CACCACACTCCACCCACAACGTACTACATAGCAACAGATTTATCATTTCATTACCCCTATAATGTTTTGTATTTATCATCCTAAAATTAAGTTCTTAACAATTACTTGATCATATGACAGTTATTTCACACAAATATCAGGTATCCCAAAGATGTAATGTTATACATCCATGACCTGCTAGACTATAAACATTACACATTCATTAAATTATATTTTGTAGTTGTAAATTATCATTCATCATGTAAGTGTCATTTGCTCTTGTATGGCATTCATTTTATTATTATATGTTATGAATTGATATTAAACAGATTAATGTCATCATTGGGGGTATTTCTGTGTATTACATTTGTTTTATATTCTCTAAATACATGTGATCATTTTATCAAAGTACATACTGCTATTTAACTATAGCTCTTGTTCATTTTCATTTGTCATTAGGATTTAGTTTTATCTAGTACTTTGAATCCCATAGTGGAGCCTTAGATATATATGGACATATCATCTACTCTACAAATGTCTTTTCATGAATGTAGATATGCGGCCAGAAATATGTACAGTGAACTTTTTAATCTATCTGCATAATATTCAGAACACCTTGTGGTGCATGTTATCGTATTTCTGATAGCTCACTTTAAACTTACCACCAGAAATCCTCTCCTCATTACCAAAATATATATTATTGGAACCCTACACAGCCCTAACTAACCCTAACTGTAATAACTTAAACCCTACTTACCCACACAAATGAATGAAACACGAACCCTAATGCAGCACTAAGAATTTTACCATGCCCTATGTAACCCTAAAAAAATGAAAATCTGTTCTTGAAAGATGTTTTATGTCGAACAAAAATGCTCTTCACAGAAACGCAACAGTCTGGTAAAAGTACTGGACAGATATCGTCGTATTCATAAGCATTTATAAATCACACATGATATTGCATTGATATGTGTTGTGTTGTGGAGGAATTCATTGTTTCAGGAATACATATGGGAATCCTACAAAGTCATAATAACTACATCATAATAACAACGGCATCTCATGATCATTGTAAAGTAAATATTGATAAAGTAAATATTGGTGACAAGTGATCAAGGCATATATGGGAAAGATAAGAAAACTTCATAAAATAGACTGGATTGTTCATTTCCTCCTCCTGCTTAGTATTCAGCCAATGATTTATTACAGTAAAAGAGGTCTTGAGTATTTAAATGTTTCCACTCTTACAAGATTACAGTAATTCAGTTGTATCCTATTACTTACATAGTCTTATCCCATCTTACAATGTAAACCATGCATTTCTAACTCCCACCATCAATCCCATCAATGAATCTTTGTCAGAGTTCAGATTCAATCAGATGAACTGCAACATTTCAGAAATAGCAGTTGTTCTAGAGAAGAGTGGATTCTTGTACTTCAACAACGCATCGTTGAACACAACATCTCGCGTTTTTCGCAACTCTCAGCCAGGCTGGGTAAATCAAATTCCTTCTTCGACTGTCTCGTAGAACGCAAGGTCTCGCGTTTTTCGCAACTTGATATCTGGACTTGCAGGACTGAGCTTGGTCCCCTGTCAAAACAATAGCATTTCAGAACAGAAACATGCTACTGTGATTCCACCCTCTCAGAAAAGGCTTTTTTTGTAGGAGAAAAGATAAATAAAAGAATAGCTGCATGTATGAGGCACTTATTAGATACATATTTGATTATGTTGCTTGTGAATAAAAATAAACAACCCTTGTTGTTCATTTATTGTAGATAGTGTACATTTCTGTGTTCATGTGTAAATTTCGTCAATTAAGTAACGTAATCTTGAAATGTCCAACACTATACTCTCTCAAGTATTTATAACAATATCTTAAATCATTTCAGTTTAGTTTACGCCACTGCTTCAAATACGGATTCACAGTACAAGCTATTGTGTAAATAAGAAGCAATATCATCAGTAAAACCTCACCAATAAGTTTTGACTGGTAAAACCATGTACTGTAACTAATATTTACTATTTATATGCCGGCACTGATATATGTTTAAACAATTGAAGAATCACAAAATTTGAAATTCATGTTTGGGTGCTGAAGTGCGCACTCTAAGAAAACTCTTCCACCACCGTGCATTATCACATCTCGCGTTTTTCGCAGCATTTGAATTCAATCTTAAACCCACAGGCTCGAATCCATGGTTGACCAAGATTTTATAAGAAACAGCGACAACAGTAAGACCCACACAATACAATAACAAAGAAATAAAATAACATAAAACTTTTAGAAGAGAAAAGTGCTTAAATTGTAACTGATAAATAATATATACAAAAACTCTTGAGAATAATACTGCTCACATTATTAATATGAGATATAGAAAACAGTACGTGAAACAAAAATAATAGCCCCAAATTACGAACAATAAATATAAACGGGGAGCTTCAGTTTTTTTTTACTTTAGTGTTTTTTCAGTTTTTTTTTGTTTTGTTGGACTAGAATCAATCCATTTTATCAATATTCATATTTGAAAGTAACAGCCTATCTAAAATCATGGCTGGACGAACGTTTGTAATGTTGTACATGTTGGGCATTCACAGAACCAGTACACTTTAGATCATATCGACAACTATTACTGCAATAATGGAGAATACAATACTGGAAGAAGCAACTCTAATCGAAGCACCCTTACCCTGTAGGACAGATGCTGTTTGCGTGCTGCTGAATCCACTGCCGATGTTGTTAACAGAGGAACCAGAAGGTGATAGAACAGTCGTGGCAGACTGTTGACGTGATGATGGTGCTTGTCCTTGTCCTTGTTGTTGGGCTTGGGAAGGTACAGAGTGTGGTGTTTGGCTACTATGAATACCACTGACTGGAGACACAGTACCCTTTGCACTCTGAACAGATGGGGATCCAGATGGTACATTACTGCCTGCCGATTGGTGAACTGACCCAGAGCCAGAGCCAGAGCCAGAGCCAGAGCCACTACCACCGGCTGTGCCGAGGCTTGTGTTGGCTTTTCGTTGCCAGACCCTTGGTCAGCCACATTTTGTGACTGAGGTTTCTGAGAGTTGACAATACCACCTACACCTGCTGCTCCAGATGCATTAGATCCTGCACCGGATACTGTTGAGACTGGTACTGTACTTGAGACAGTGTTTCCATGACTCTGTACACCTAGAGTTTCTGTTACTGTAGAAACAATTGTGTGGCCATGCTCATCAGTACCTGTACTATGGGATACAATCTCGGTGAGCGTGTGACCGTCCGAAACCACAGTGGTGGTGTAATCAGACCCCACATTTGCTTTAGAATTCGAAGCTGATTGTGCATTGGTGATTGTGGTGGTTATTGTTGTAGGATTACCATTGGAGTCGGTAGTGGTGATATGCGAAATGACATCAGTTTCGATACTGCCATTGCCCCTGTCGACTGATGTAGTGTAGCCAGTTTCACCTCCAACAGAAACAGTGGAGAGAGTAGTTGTGCCTGTCCTGGTGACTCCATCGACGCCAATAGATGGGAAGTGCGAAATTACTACAGTGGCAGTAGCAGTGTCTGCACTGACAGTTGTCGTAGTGACTGGAGCCTGAGAGTAACCGGGAGCAGAAGTGTATACACCATCACCCACTTGATCATATGACATAACGGTCACAGTATTGGTGACCGTCTGACCGATATCATTGGACGTTGTAACATTGAGATACAACAGCTGTGATCGTGTGACCATCAGAAACAAACACAGATGTGTAATCTGGTTCTTCTGTTAAGGTCACAATTGTTATGATGGTGGTATGGTTGCCGTTGGAGTCCTTGGTAGTGATCTGGGAGACGAGGTCATCTCAAAGTCACCCCTGCCCCTGTCAATTATTATCTGTATCAAGTTAGTATTCAGAAGAATATAAAACTGTAATTATATACTAAATTTTAAAGAGAAAAGTAATTAATTGATATATACATAAAAACTCTTTAAAAATGTATTTACAACTCTTTCGTTTATCACAAAACTGAAGCAGCACGTAATGTTCTTGTTTTTTGCACAACCGAACTCCATCATCAATGAGAATTGATCAGTACGTCTGAGATTCTCTAAAAGCTATTTCTCTCAATAAGTTCCTTCTGAAGTTGCTATATCGGTTAAGCAAGGAGAAAATAAAAATAATAAGTGTATCATGTTCATTAATTAACCTGATAAGGTACGCCTGCAATATCTTACATTCATGAACATTAGTTTGTATATCTATAACCTATGCTACACCAAATAGGATTAATATTGTTAAGGCTGTAGAAAGCAGAATGCTATCAATTTTGACGACGAATGTAGAACCTGAACCGCGGAAAACGGATGCCGTTTCAGTCTGAGAAAATTTGTTGCCACTATCAACAACAGAAGCATCAGTAGGAGCAAACAAATTTAGCGAAATACTTTGGCTCGATGTCTGACCTGAATTTGATAAAATTGGTTGACTTCCCACACCTTGACCTGCAGTCTTTGGGATAGCCTTGCTGTTGCTATTGACAGTAGTAATAGCGACCTGTGAGCCAACAAGTGTGGTGATACTACCGCTATTTACCACACCACTTGAACCTCTTACAACAGAGCCAGGAGCTGGGTTTGGAACAGTGGTGACAATGGTGGTAGGCTTACCGTTGGAGTCTGTGGTGGTGATATGGGAAACAACTTCTGTCTCAGACACTTGCCCGTTAGACTTGGTAACTACAGTGGTGTGGTCTGCGTTGTTTGAGCATTCGGTGCATGGAACAGTGGTGACAATAGTTGTAGAGCTTACCGTTGGAGTCTGTGGTGGTGATGTGGGACACAACTTCGGTCTCAACACTGCCGTTAGACTTGGTAACTACAGTGGTGTGGTCTGCGTTGACAACTGACTTACGAGAAACAATGGAACAGTAGAGTGACAACAGGTTGTAGGCTTGCCATTGGAGTCGGTGGTGGTGATGTGGGAAACAACATTCTGTCTCAAACACTGCCGTTAGACTTGGTAACTACAGTGGTGTGGTCTGCGTTGTTTGAGCATTCGGTGCATGGAACAGTGAGTGACAATAGTTGTAGGCTATACCGTTGGAGTCTGTGGTGGTGATGTGGGAAACAACTTCTGTCTCAACACTGCCGTTAGACTTGGTAACTACAGTGGATGTAGTCTGCGTTGACACAGACATCGAAACAAGGAACAGTGGTGACAATAGTTATAGGCTTACCGTTGGAGTCTGTGGTGGTGATGTGGGAGACAACGTCGGTGTGGACACTGCCGTCAGAGTTGGTCACGACGGTGGTGTAGTCAGCACCGGCAGAGGTAGGAACAGTGGTGACGATCGTGGTAGGCTTGCCTGCGGCGTCTGTGGTGGTGATGTGGGAGACAACGTCGGTGTGGACACTGCCGTCAGAGTTGGTCACGACGGTGGTGTAGTCAGCACCGGCAGAGGTAGGAACAGTGGTGACGATCGTGGTAGGCTTGCCTGCGGCGTCTGTGGTGGTGATGTGGGAGACAACGTCGGGTGTGGACACTGCCGTCAGAGTTGGTCACGACGGTGGTGTAGTCAGCACCGGCAGAGGTAGGAACAGTGGTGACGATCGTGGTAGGCTTGCCTGCGGCGTCTGTGGTGGTGATGTGGGAGACAACGTCGGATGTGGACACTGCCGTCAGAGTTGGTCACGACGGTGGTGTAGTCAGCACCGGCAGAGGTAGGAACAGTGGTGACGATCGTGGTAGGCTTGCCTGCGGCGTCTGTGGTGGTGATGTGGGAGACAACGTCGGTGTGGACACTGCCGTCAGAGTTGGTCACGACGGTGGTGTAGTCAGAAGCTGTTGCCGGTTCCCCCAATGTTGTTATTATAATGGTTGGAGAACCATTTTCGTCTTCCGTTGTTATGTGAGATATAGATTCAGTTACTACATGGCCTTGATCATCAGTTACTGTTGTCACATAATCAGGACCTTCATTTGGCAATCTTGGGTAAGTAGTTACTATAGTTGTTAGTTTGCCGTCAGCTCCTGTCGTTGTAATATGAGAAATGATTGCAGTAGCAGGTAAAGCGTCGCCATTTGTGTATATCACAGTTTTGTCAACACCATCATCGTATGCATAAGTGGTAAAGATTGTAGTTGGCTTACCATCTGAAGTTGTGATGATAGGAGATATGATATCGGTGACTTCCATACCTTCACCATCAATATATGTAACAGTTTCAACTGATGCTGAAGGTACTGACGATGTGGTAGAAGACTTAGTGTCTTTAGGATTTATCACTGAAGTTATCGTGCTCTTACTACCATCATCATTAGTTAAAGTTAGGGTTTTTGTTATTATATGAGTTTGTATTTGTTGAGCGGTAAGAGTAGTGTAATATGTAAATGGTGAGCCATCATCATCAATACCTGTAACTTTACTGATGATATCTGTTTCAGTTCCTGATTTACCAGCCTTTGTTTTTGTCAACACATCTGGCGCTGAGAAAATGGTAGTTGTACCAACTACAGGCATATTACCTTCATTATAGGTAGAATAGAATGAAACAGTTTCAGTAAAACCCATTTCATTAGTGGTTACATATGGATCAGGCACCTTGAATGAATACAAAGGAATATCAACACATGGCTGACATGTAGCTGGTGCTGGGTTTGGTGGAGGTCCGTTATAGATAACAAAATTATTACCATTGTAATTTTCACCTTGAATGTTGATATTAGCGATTATTTCAAATTTGGATTCATCATAACCTTTTCCCAATGATGGCAGTAAACCATTGTTCACTACCGTAACCAGTTGTAAAAGTTGCAATACCTGTTAATGAGTTATAACTAACCTTTTTGACCGGGAAATGGGGGAACAAAAACCCATTCCCACTTTCCAAGACCAAAGACATTCACATTTTGACGATTACTTAACGCAAGAACGGAAGATGGGGTGCGATAAGTAAATAGACTGTTGTTGCATATCAATGTTATAAACGTTGAAAACAGAATTCTCACCAACTGTTATACAACCTCCACCTTGTATAGCCTTATTCAAAAGGTATGTCGTGTTTGCTAGACAGACGGTTCCGGTATTAATCCAGGTATTGAATCTATTACCCCAATTGAAATTGTTGTGGTCTGTTTGCATTGGTACCTTTAGAATAAGATATAACCAGTGTTTGTGATAGAGCTTGAATAAATTGTAAATGTGTCACCCTGGCTGGAAGTGAACATCATACGACCGGTATTAGTGGAAAGTACCATCTTTGATAGTCCATGAACCGGGGCTTGTACTTTTTCTATCGTCAACAACAACCGTACCATCATTTTGAAAAACAAAAGGTACATAAATAGGATGGCCAGATGTAATAGAGAAACCGCTTAAATAGTCATTAATATAATAAAGCGCACCTCCTTTGTTAACGCGCACAGTTTGATATAAGGGTACAGTATTCATATCTTGAAATGCCAGGTAAGCACCCTCTAAAATAATATAACCATTGGAATAGCCAGATGGGTTATTACCCTTTACAACAGTATCAGTTTGGATAATAGCTTGAGCAGAAACATTCACTATAATGAATAAAATTCCAACTAGCCACAACTTTATCATAGAAAAAGGTGGTTTTCTCTTCATCTTTAATAAATTGACTCTGGTAAAATCGATCTTACCCTATTTGTATGACTAAAACCTCACTTTACCTGAAATACCTAGCAGTGAAAATATTAGTTCTGTTAGGTGTTGATTTGGGGTTTTTAATGGTAGAATTTGTTTATTGTAATTCAAAACAGGTCGAGAGATCTTTTTGTTTTTTTAGTTGACCTTTTATACTTATTGAATAAAAATTTTTGTACCTTTGAAACAATTGAAAAACAATAGCAAAGTACTCAAAAATTCTATCATAAAAAAAAAACAGAAAATAACTAATATAATAGATATTTTAGTTGCATTTTCTAGTAAAATAATGAAATATCTCTCAGACATTGATATTACACTAAAGCATCTTAATCATATTAAAGAGTACCATCGATATCCGATATTAGCGGTATAGCGAAAAACGGGGTCCGTGGTATTCTGGTTTTATTTACTGAAAATAAATGGATAATTTGAAAACATTACTATTTCTTCGTTGTTTTGTGATTACTGCTTATCAATAATGTAATGTAGCGATTAATTAGTGGTTAATAGTTTTCAGCTGTTTCATATCGATATCTTTTTTTTCAAAATATTTCTTGCAATTCATGAAAAATACAGTGCATCTAGTGGGCAGTACGATCGCTCTGAAAATATTATTTGAGGATATATTCTCAATTACTTCTTATTATGAAAATAGTTCACACTTTGTGCAGCATTTCTGTAGATAGTGCAGAAATATGGTAGAGAATACCGGGGAATAATAATTGTTAAAAGTGAACAATTTAAGAAAGAAAGAAAATTATTTTTTGGTGGTTTCTGTGCAATACGTGAGAGCTAAAAATTCTCAATTAGCTACTTAAATTCAATAAGACATTTTATGAATGATTGTAAGAGATAATTGGGATGCAATGACGACTAAAGATGAATTGAAGTAGAACATCATTTCTTGTGTGCAGAATTTTTAGATTTTCTTTCTTTTTTTGTGAGATTTTGTTGTCGAATATATTGGTCAACAATATATTAATAAACTACTGTTTAGTGATATTTAATATTTTTGAATATCTTTGAAAACTGCAGTACCTGTTTGAATACAAAAGAGCAACTGCAGATAGTTAAAAAATACAACATCATTATTTCAGAATTTACTTGTTAGTTTAACAAATATATGCAAAAACTTATTAGTAGTAGTTTACCCACGTTACAGTTACATCCCCCAATGGTTACCTAGTGTCCTATTTCCTAACTATTAATTAATTATAATTATTTTTAATTAAATTCTATAATTACTTGAGGACAGATTATATTGTATGACCTTAAGCAGCACTTTTTTATGATATATTTAGTTCTCTGCACATAATTAACAAAAATAAACCCGATATTAATTAGCCTTTGCTTAAAACTGTATATGGACTACATCGTTATTGGTATTCAAATAATGTTTTCTTAATCCAAGATAATGTATTGTTCCATATTTGCTTTTAAAACAATTATAAACTTGCTAGTTTCTACGTTTCTTTTCCATCATTTAGCTGCAATATTATTGAATATTCGAATATTCTGTTTGAAAGTAACTAATTCGTTCATGAAACAGTTAATAATTTATCTCCAAATATGTTAAACTAATTCACATAATCGTGAAACAAGTATAAAATAAAATAGAAGCTGATATAATCAACTAATTCCGAACAAAAATTGATCTTATCGTCAGTTGCATATTTTTATTGACTTAGCTATTTTCATTTGAAGTTTTCTCTAATAAATTGATAGAGTTCTAAACATTTATTGCATAGTACCTTAATTAACAACAAAGGAATATAAATTTTTTTCATTGTTTTCTTTAGTTGATACTATTTTACCATGTCAATGCGTAACTAATCTATTGCAACTTCTGTTATGTACTTCAAACAGTTATGTAATACGCTCTAGTAGGCAGACGTTTTAAGGAGAAAGCCTTTTCTAAAAAAAATGAAAAATCTACTACTGCAATTTTGATCACTTTACTCTTACTATTCTATTAGTAATAAATTTAGTAGTAAATAAATTGATTTATTTATGAAGAAGGTATATTTGTATCACATTTGGTATCAAATGAAATACACACTTCCTAGAGTGATTGTTAACTTCGGGGAAATTATTAACTTTTATTGGATGTTTCAATTGTTGTTACAGGTTGTATATTTTATAAAGGTTTGTGAAAGCACGGACGGAAACTATTATATCCCAGGTCAGATAGAATTCTTTTATTTAAAGATATGGATTACTTGATAGCAGCTATGGTGAAACAATGAAGGATTGTCTAATTTTAATATACTGTACTTGATTCTTATGCATTTCGATACTTGTTCTGTAATATGGAATGCCAGTTGAAATTTCGTAGTACCGAATTTATCAGAATGTATCAGAATGTATCAGAATGTATCAAAATTCATTATTGATTGAGTAAATATTGCTGAACAAAGGTTTAATGAATATAAATTGTTGCTATGAATCTCTACTCTTGATATAACTAAATTCCGATAAATTATTACATTCCCAATTATGTAAAATTGTTTCTTGAATATAGACGTATAATTAAAATTTGCATGAAACCGTACAAAAGATGTGAGGTGGAACTTGTAAGAGCGTCTTAATTTGCTTTTTTTTCTTCTATAGTAAGATTACAGGGCAACAAACTGTCGGATTTCTCCTCTAATCTCCGTAGATTGATGGTACTGTTTAAAATGTGGGTAATTATCAATCAGGCATTAATAGCTTTTTTACATAAAATGGTTTCATCTTTCCTTAGTGTATTGCATTCATACCACCAGTGACGATATTAGCATTCAAATTTTATTTTGCTGGTTTTCTTCTATGTTTACTTTGTTTCCATTTATGTTCAGGAACAATATGCTTGATTGTTTGGAAATTAAAAGTAAAGTATCTACGGCAATAATATGTTGCAAAACATGGTAGAGGGTAACTATATCTTGTCTTCAAATATTATTCAGCCTCTTTATTATGTAAGTTGTAGTTGCTCAAATCAAATTATGTAAAGTGATGAGTATTATTCGATGTTATGCATAAATTAGATGTCTCTAGCTGAGGAGAAGTTTTAATTATTATGGTTTAGCATCTCTATCAAACCAAAATGGAATTGTTTATGACTGTAGGATCATTTTCTTATTGTGTTTTGTCGGGTTTAACGTTCGTCAGTCTTGTCTACATAATAACATACTTCACGGATAATTTACAGGCTACATATTATGTTCTTTTCTTGTGCAAAATTTTAGTCTGTTCGATTTGAACAAATTTTGCCTCATTCTATGAAATGATAATTTTGTTACTGTTTACAATTAGTTAGATTCGTTAAGCTATTAGACTTATGAGCCGACCTTCACACGAAAGATGAAAATTTTTTTCAAAAACACAGCTTATAGATGTGAAAATGATGTCAAAAGAGTAGCCAATGACGTCATTCAAATGTGAGATGTTAAAACAAAGAATTGAATGCGAACAAGTATCGCTTGATTAGCTAGGAAACAATTTTAATCGGAAACTAATATCCCGATGAATATCATTCAGTGCTGTGCTGTTTTATCTAATGGATATTGATAGCTATGTTTTTGTTGGCACAATTTGTGCGGGAATAAATGATCCTTTTTAGTTACAATTGGAGGGAGCCAACGTCTTTTCAAATTATCTGTATATTGACCAAATTACGGGCATCTTTAGAATGAATTGGAATTAAGCTTTCATGAACTTTTTGCCATTATCTACTTAGAAATATGCCTTTGAGCACCATCGTATATTAATTCAGTCTATATAGGAGTTTCTTTTCCTATAAGGAAAACTACATTTTTACGAAATACAGAGTTAAAAATCGTACATATTATGCAGAGGAAATATGGGGCTCACAGTTAGAGTTACTTCATAATACGATCCATAAACTAATTTTTGGTTTAACTGAATATTGACATCAAATTAACTCAGTTGTGTAGTCTACTTTTTTCTATAGTTAAAGTATAGTTAAATTACAAGTTGCTTTTTTTGTATGAATCTGTTATCATGCAAACAATCTTTGTTTGATGAAGCTCTCCTTTTTTTTTTATATAAGTGTTTAATGTGAAAGCGTTGAACAAAAAAAATAATAAGTAACATTTGAAATGCATTGATACTTTGGTTTTCTTAAAACATACAATATGTTAATGAGTTGCTAAATAAAGAACTCTGTTAGATAAAGGACTATTTTTCTTGTTTTTTGGGATTAATAAAAATCGAACCGTGAAATAGCGATATAGCCTGTTACAGCTAAAAATATATCAGTGATATGCATGCTCTATGAATTCAGCCCATGTATACCCTCTTACACGGTACCTAAATAGGACAAATTAGTATCAATTAACATCAAGTTGAATCTTTAGTGTTCTAAATTAGACGACTATAAAAATTTTATGTTACATATATTTGAAAATAAATGTCATTAATTGTAGATACATCATATTAATAGTGTAACATATAATATCAACTACTAGATAAACGAGTGTTTTGTTTTTTACCCTTTTTCAATTATTACGATGTTTTTCAATAGAAAATAAAACAAGCTTTAAATAGAACAAACTACCTATTACCTCAGCATTAAACCCTTTTTCAAGATTTTTATAATAAATAAATTATTGGTAATAGTATTAGTATTTGTGTTAGTGTTGGTATTAATATTAATATTATTTATCTTATCATTACTATTGTTATTATTAGTAGTAATAGAGCATATAATACTTGTTTTGTAGTTGCAATATAAATTCTGCACTGAAATTTGCTAAAAATGAAATAATTAACGTGTTCTGTATGTGTATATCTTGTAAATATCGAAAAACAATAAGTTTTTTATTTGATTAGTTTCTGAAATATATTATTGAGGTTTGGGTGAAGGTAAGCAAGTGTTGCTCATTACTTTGTCTATTTCAAATACCTATCAAATATTAAACGTGATTGCACTACTGTTACGTATTTACAAAAAATTATGAAATAGAAATCTTTTATATCATGTATACACTAATTGTGCCCCAAAGGTCATACAAGGACGTATAGGGTTTAAAGGCCATATGATTTGGATGAAAAGCTATATAAAAAATATGAAACAAAATTGTTTCTAACTGATATTTCGATTATTAAGGCTCACCTTGGCATATTTTCTATGCAAAAGAATAAATAACAACTATGTTTAGAAACTTCAATTTAACAAGTTGAGTTCGAGAAATTTTGTTGATAATGTAATCGTATTGTAATGATACAAGCCAAATTAGTATCTTTTTCACTGAAATGAATATGTCGCATTTTATCCACAAGTTTTCTAACAAATGATTTATTGCTGAGCCGTTTTAGGTATGCAAAACATTAGCCTCTATTTATTAGATCAAGTATAGTTTCACTAAACTTATGGGCATAATAAGGATATTTTGATTAGAATGTTTACAATGAAAATTCTACTCCACCGAATATCAATAACTAAGCAGATATTTACAAAGTAATTTGATTAAATTTTAGATGCTTAAAATCATCAATGCGTATGAAAGCTTTGTAGCAATTTACTAAAATTTTACATTAAAGTGACAAATTTTGGTAGTAGCTAGAAGAAACTTTACAAAAGCTCTTAATATCTTTGTGGAGAGACTTTGGTTCCGGTCTATCATAATTGTATTTTCTTTACGTATTGTTTATCTTATAAAATATAGCGATAAGTCAGTTAAAGAATATCATCTATAATTGGGTAGTTGATACTGATTGTAGTAGTTTGAATTTGGATATAATAAGCAATATAATTAAAGAAATCAAGCCAAAATCCGTATCCAAAATTCGTCAGTGTGAATTTATAACTCTCTTATAATTTCCTGTAGCGTATTCTTCAGGACTTGATATATTGCAGCTTTCGATTATGATGTTACAATTATTATAATCACTTATTCTATTATCTGAATACTCATGCAGCTGTAAGTATGAAAAAAGGGCAAAAAAGAGTTGTGGTATGATATTATATCCTTTTGATTAGGGGTAATTTATATTTGCGTTACTCTCTTGTTAAAATCTTGTTTTCTGCCATCGTATTCTAGCCTTAGGGAACCCCATATTAAATCAGACAAAATGGATGAAAGTCCTAATGCATAGACAAATGTCAAAGCGAAGAAGAAGTTACTATTTCCTGAGCCAAGGTCGATCCATAAGTGATAGAACAAAGGAGATAGAATTACTGCGTGCATCAAAAGTAAAAAAGATATTACAGGATATTTCATGTAGCCATAGATCTTATCAAATAGAGGTACTAAACTTATTAGGAAACCATATGCCCCAAGTGTTGGATAAGGGTTAATCAAAACAATCCAGCCAAGTGACAAAACGAATGCTACAATAGGCAAACGATTAAATCTAATAGTGAAAGGTAAAATAAAACATACTAGTAATAAATTAAAGACCCCCTTAAAAAAAGGTATGAAAGAACTGAACATTTCGATGAAGAAATACCACCATAGGCCTATATTTGGAAACGATTTAGCAAATGTCATATATTGGAAATAGCATGCGCTAAGAAAGTCAAAAGATTGATAGGATACCTTATAACTCCATAATAGTAAAAGACTGAAAAACAAAAGATATGATTGTAGATTATCTCTCAAGAGCATCTTAAATTGTTTGGAACCAGCAGCTTTCTCTGAGGAACGCACATTTAGTGCTAAGAATGGAATCACTAACAGTATGGAATATATAGACAACGAGCTTGCCAGTGCCATGAAAAATGTTGAAGTCGTGTACCTACCCTTAGAAGAGAAATATAATGCAGATGATATTGCAAAATGTGTGAAAATAACAGTTGATCCGCTAATGTTGGACAATACCAATAAGGGGTTCAATGCGTAGATGATTCCAATTAGGATATGGTCTTTCTTTTGCAACAGTTGTAAAATAGTCGCATTATTAGATTTCACAATTTCCATAAGTTGCCAGCATATTATGCAATCGATAACGGCGTAGAGAAGACCATCCAGCCTAAATTTCATGATGACAGACATGAATGCGATGAGCAAGGGCGAGTGGTGCACCACACCACCATTATATAAAGGGAAACCATTGTCATATAGAAAAACACCTTCTGATAATGATTTGAAAGAGGTAAATGGTGTAGAGAACTCAACTGTATTATCCAACTGTGATCTGAGTGATGGAAAAGTCGCTGAAATTAGAAGCCGCAGTGCACCACATATCACTACAACCACATTCTGATTAGTCATAATGTATTGTTATTTGTTTTGGTTTTAATGCAAAAAGAATTATTGAAAACTTTTTTAAAGATAGATTTCTGTTAATAATGCTTTTCCGTTTTGACTTGTATTTATCTGTAGGAAAAAGAACAGTAGGATGTAACTCTCGCTACCTTACCGAACTTCAATTGTATAATTGATCTATAGTATAGCAGTTGGGATTTGTCTTCAAAAATAATGTCTATAGCTATTCCTATACCCTCCTAATACACTGGAATTAGTTCTTTTGTTTTGTTATGTCTTGTGTGTGGTTTGGTTTTTCACGCGTTATTCTTCTCGTATGGAAGCGATAGTGAAAAATTAAGGATCTTCCAAGCTATTATGTGTAAAGACCCACTATGCTAATGTTCGTGATGGCAATTGGGATTAGCCAAGGCAGTTCAATTTGCAATAAGGGACAGTGATTTTTCAAAAGGGACACATTTTCGTAAGGGGGATTGCAGTCGTGCGTCTTATCAATTTTAAAAGAAAAACGAAAGCTAAACTCCTCTCTTTCTCTCTCTCTCTCTTGTGGAGGCAAGAATCGGGTAGAATGAACGACAAGAAAAGTCGAAAACGGAGAAAATTTTTTCAGCTTTTGAGCAGACAAGTTAAACTAGACGAAGCTGTAAGTCATTGGGTTTTGAATACGAATGAAACCTTCTCATATACTTCGTTATAGTGACACTAATGAGATTTTCTTAGTTGCAGAGCTACACCATTCACTTTTCTCTGGCTTCGCAAAACTCACAACGTTTACCCAGCCTTCAAATTGGAATACCCTTTAACTTCTAGATTACGCAGAGCAGGAGGGCCAAGTGCGAGAGTCGGAAAGAGAGAACACGACTTTCACAGTTGGCAAGGAGTGCAAGACAGCGAGTTGTTCTGGCAAGTGATTGTTCGTATAGCAGAGCACACTTGTTGGGTTTGTTTTAGTTATTCTTTTCGAGAACATCTTAACAGCTTTGAGATATTGGGTTCCAAGGGAAGAAGACAAAAGCAATGGATTCCCGATAGAAATTTTTCTGAGAAGGGCAATGTGGTTCGTAGATTTAGAGTCTTGGTTCTTTGTTAACGTGATCACTAAACTCTTTCTTTGTATTTTCCTCTCTCAAAAGTCTCTTTTCAATCTTTCACGATTCGTCTTTCTCTCGTCGTGTGTCTTTTGTTTTTTTATGGCTTTTGGCACAATCGAGTTGAGAGGAGAGGTAAGTAACTTTCTGCGTTTCGATTTTATAATTGTTCAAAGTAAGGCTTTATTTACCATTGATTATTCGTCAGTTGAATATATTCACATACAATATCTTGATCTTTTCATAGCTATTCTCTTCCTTGTGGAATCTTGGTCACTCAAAGCTTGAAGGGGGAAAAAAGTGGAAAAAAAAAAAGCCATTAGCTGTTAAAAGAAGGAGAGAAAGAGATCGGCTTTTTTAGAGATCAATTATAGTAAGTTTAAACACCACTGATCCTGTCCAAAGTTGTTTAATATATTTAGAAACTGCCCTTCTAGGAATTAAGTTGAAAAAGCTTCTACTAGTGCTGATTATAATCATCCATACAAGAAGAAACTGGTGATATATTATTTTGTGAAAAAACAGTACTCTTTTCGGTGCTTTTGTTTTATTGGATTCTACTGTATTTGACCTGCTCTTAGGATTAAATTGAATAATGGATTTTGAAGCTAATGAGGATTTGAACGGTGTTCGCTTCTCTTGGAACGTGTTCCCATCATCTAAGACCGATGCCAATAAAAATGTCGTTCCTGTTGGTTGTTTGTATACACCATTGAAGGAAATTGAGGATCTACAAATTGCCTCCTACAATCCAGTAGTATGTGCAGGTCCTCAATGTAAAGCTATCCTGAATCCTTACTGTGCCATTGACCCAAGAAGCAGCTCGTGGACATGTCCAATTTGTAACTCTAGAAATCATTTGCCTCCTCAATACGCAAACATGACCCAAGAGAACATGCCAATCGAGTTGCAACAAACCACTGTTGAGTACATCACAAACAAGCCAGTTCAGATTCCTCCTATATTCTTTTTTGTTGTGGATATCACAGCAGAACAGGAAAACTTGGACGCTTTGAAAGAATCTATCATAACCTCATTATCGTTGCTACCCCCAAATGCATTGATTGGTTTCATGACTTATGGTAACGTTGTTCAATTATATGATCTATCCTGTGATATTATCGAGAGGTGTAGTGTGTTTAGAGGTGATAGAGAGTATCAATTTGACCAATTGGTGGAAATGCTAACTGGTCAAAAGCCAAGCAATACTATGGCGCCTTTAGCAAATGGAAAAATCACCCCATTGTCTTTGAATAGATTCTTCTTGCCATTAGAACAAGTAGAATTCAAACTTAACCAATTGCTAGAGAGTATGTCCCCAGATCAATGGTCTGTACCAGCTGGACACAGACCACTGAGAGCCACAGGTTCGGCATTAAATATTGCCACATTGCTACTACAAGGCTGTTACAAAAATGTTGCATCTAGGATTATACTGTTTGCATCGGGTCCTGGTACAGTAGCCCCAGGCTTGATAGTCAATACCGAATTAAAAGATCCTATAAGATCCCATCATGATATTGATTCAGATCGTGCTCCTCATTACAAAAAGGCTTGTAAATTTTATAACTCAATTGCAGAAAGGGTGGCAGAAAATGGTCATACTGTTGATGTCTTTGCTGGTTGTTACGACCAAGTTGGTATGTCTGAGATGAAGAAGATGACAGATTCTACAGGGGGTGTCTTACTTTTGACTGATGCATTTTCTACTGCCATTTTCAAGCAATCTTATTTGCGTCTGTTCTCTAAGGATGAAGAAGGTTATCTAACTATGGTTTTCAATGGTAATCTGGCTGTTAAAACAAGTAAGGATCTAAAATTGCAAGGTTTGATTGGTCATGCTTCGGCTGTCAAGAAAACAGATGCTACTAATGTCAGTGACTCTGAAATTGGTATTGGATCTACATCTGTATGGAAGATGTCTGCATTATCGCCACATCATACCTACGGTATATTTTTTGAAATCGCCAATCCTAACGCTGTATCTCCAATTACTACTGATAGAGCAAATTTGGCATACACTCAATTTATCACTCAATACCAACATGCATCAGGAACCAATCGTGTTAGAGTTACTACTGTAGCAAATCAGATGCTACCTTTCGGTACACCTGCTATTGCTGCATCTTTCGATCAGGAAGCTGCTGCTGTACTGATGGCTAGGATTGCTGTTTTCAAAGCAGAAACTGATGATGGTGCTGATGTTATTAGATGGTTAGACAGAACTTTAATCAAGCTATGTCAAAAGTATGCCGATTACAATAAAGATGATCCGGCTTCTTTCAGATTGGCTCCAAACTTCTCGCTTTACCCACAATTTACTTATTATTTGAGAAGGTCGCAGTTCTTGAGTGTTTTCAATAATTCACCTGACGAAACGGCCTTCTATAGACATATCTTTACTAGAGAAGATACTACCAACTCACTAATTATGATACAGCCTACATTGACTTCGTTCTCTATGGAAGAAGATCCACAACCGGTTTTGTTGGATTCTATTTCAGTTAAACCAAATACAATTTTATTGCTGGACACATTCTTCTTCATTTTAATTTATCATGGTGAGCAAATAGCTCAATGGAGGAAAGCAGGGTATCAAGATGATCCTCAGTACGCAGATTTTAAGGCTTTACTAGAAGAGCCAAAGGTGGAAGCTGCTGAATTATTGGTTGATAGATTCCCATTACCTAGGTTTATCGATACAGAGGCTGGTGGGTCACAAGCCAGATTCTTACTGTCAAAATTGAATCCTTCTGATAACTATCAAGATATGGCTCGTGGAGGTTCAACGATTGTTCTGACAGATGATGTGTCTCTACAAAACTTCATGGCGCATTTGCAGCAAGTTACAGTATCAGGTCAACCATAAGTCCTCAAGGTTTATAAATGGAATATATGATGAATATTATGTAATAGCAATATTATGTACATAACCATTTTCTAATAAACATTTGGTTAAAATATATGTAAGTTTAGTATATGCTGTTCGTCACCTCGTATTCTTAGAGATCAAATCAAATATTTGGGTTATTAGGCCGAGTGCCGAACATTATAATCATATTTTACGTGTTAACGCGAAATTCGTTGCCCAATTTACGCTCCTCATCTTAATTACACATAGAACAAAATTGATCAAGTTAGTTTTGAATAGTTCCAATATCATCAGAGATTATATTCATCGGTTTTAAATATTATATTTCCATCGCATTTAGAATACAATTACACTTCTGGAGCTCTTCATTCAATCTTAGCTAAGAAGCAAAATCCAGTAAACTTTTTTTAACATCATCAAAGCATAATAAAACCTAGGTCATATTTAAAGAATAGATAGATTAAGTTCAATATACATGTTTGAAACTATAAAAGACTTATTTGCTGGTGTGGTAACTACATCTGATAGGAGGAAAAAGGAGCATGGATCTCTTGCTGATATAAAACGAAGGTCAATGAATAAGAGGAAAAGGGCGTTAGGTCATAACAAATCAATAACAAACACCGATCAAAGGAATGCAGAATACTTAAATAAATTGAAGATGAGGAATTCTATAAGGGGTAAGGTTGGTAAGCCTCCCTTGAGGGGGGGATATATGAACTCAGTGGATATAAAACCTGATACAAAAGAGAGCAGGGCTAGAATGGTATTAAACGCGGTGAAGTCTATATTCTCAAATGAAGACCAAACACTGATGAACATGGCATCTACTGATATCAATAAATTGTTAAGAAACCAAGGATATGATAAGAATCAAGAAAACTTGAAAGATAGTATACTTAGGAGTAATGCCTTTAAAAAGAAAGTAACGGAGTTGGAATACAACAAAAGGATGTTAAGGGATCTAAGAAGGTCTGGTGTTAGTGGAAACTATAATATTATTAGGGATGATGATTTGGAGGAGGATAGATATTTGCTTTTACAGAAAAAGTATCAGAAAATTAAAAAGAGACTGTATGAAGTTGAACAAGAATTGAAGTCTGTGCAGGATTCTTTGAGATACAGCCAAGAAATGAATGCCTTACTTCAAGAAACTCTAGATAAAGCTAATATTGATGATGCATACTTAAAATCAAGAAGGCAGATAAAAAATTTGCAGAAGGAAAATGTATTACCTGAGAGGGAGCTCTCTCCCTCACCCAGACGTCCTATTGACCCGCTATTCACCTCTAGTCCTGTACGTAAGTCTAGAAATGGTGAAGAAAATGGAAGTAAACCAAAAACTGATTATAAGCACTCCCCTATAAAGGAAACTTCTAATTTCTATGATAAATACCCTAAGCTGCCTGAAACCGAACAACTTGCGCAAGACAAGGGTAATCATTCCTTATCTCCAATCAGAATAGATTATTCGAGATATTCATCTTAATGAGACGGTACGACTTGACTTTTATTTCTTATTCATTTTTTTTATATAATGTTGGTTTCATTTTGGAGTTTGGTTTTTGTTTGTATGTATTTGTATGATTTATAGCTACTTTTAATGTGCACTTTTTGGGATATTGGCATCGAGTGAGTTAATAAGATAATACAGTGCTTACTGAATACATAGTTTGTCAAGTATCACACAGATAAGAACACATGATTTCATTTATTAGTTAATAAATTAATGTTTTGTCAACAAAATATACATTTTTACCAATTTCAAAATTGACCAGTTGGCGTCCAATACATTAATTCTATAAACAATTCTCTTTAATGCTTAGACTGATAAATATTAATAGTTACCTAATCCAATATCTATTCACTTATAAATACCAACATTGTTTTCATTGTCAGAAACTTTAGCATCTAACATCTTGACTATAACAATTACGGCATTTTCAGCTAAAATAAAAATATCAGCATCTGGGTTAGCACCTAAAAGTAATCTCATATAGTATGTAGATTCATCTGAATCACAGTCAACTATTCGTGCATGCCCCGTAATTGTAGCACTCATCTGGTTCAATTCATTGTCCTCAAGATTATTGAGAACATTTGATATCCTATTGCCGTGACTGTATTGCGGAGAAAACTCAATTGATCCAGATGAGTTCAGTAGAGGATTACCTTTACGAAGAGAAAGGTTATTTGCTGATATCCAATCGTGGAACAACAGTGATACTTTTGGGTTTTCTCGTATGTTGCCGATTTTCTCCGTTTCATCAAAAGTAGCAAATATAATATACCCATTATCTATACCATCGGAGTCTTCATATGCTCCTTTTAAATCAGCACAAAAGAATTCAGAGAATAGCTGTGGTTTTTCCAAGTAAACGTAGTTCATCAGTGATACCGATGGCTCACAGTATTTCGAACAAGTAGCAACATGGACATACTTTGAGGAGCGTATCAAAGCTATCAAGTCATCTGGAAACTTCTTTGAAATTATCGACATGCTAATTTAAAACATTTTGGTCTGCTGTGATAGCAACTTAACCACATAACAGTTTCAGCTAGATAGAAAAAAGTAATTATTTTATTGCAGATCACCATACATTAGCACAAATAAGTTTTTTTGAAGTACTTTTAAAATTTATGAACCCTTGACTCTGGAACAAAAAAAACTAAAAAAAATCAATACACAAATGATTTTTAAGATTTCCAGACCCGTTTTTATTTTACTTCTTGCCATACAAAAAAAAAATGGCTAATTAATTTCGAATATAATACAGCATCAGAGGTAAATATTGTTACATTCACTATGTAGGTATATAGTATTCTTAAAGTCCCACTAAAATCGAAGAGGCTAGAACTGTAGCATTTTTGCCAGTATCCAGACGTTTCTATTCACAGGTAGTCATTGCATATCAAGGCCTGACTTTTAATTTCAAAATTTTCATGAGGAATGGGAGAGATGATTCATTCCTACCATTTAAAGCTCACTCATAGTACATTGATTAGGGAAATATGTTAATCTAGTCGTTACAAAACTAGAGAAACACCTTATAGTTATTATCTTAAATCACAAAGACTAGGTAGACGCTATGTCACAACGCAACCCTGTAGCAACTGGCTAATGTTTTTCTCTTTCTTAGGACAAGCTTCTAACAAGCGCTAAACTCATTTTGGCCACACTTTAGCTCTCACGTAGTGAGAGCAGTTATTCCTTTTTTGATAACACCATACTTTTCAAGATAATTAGTATTTAACAATGCCCAACTAAATTATCCACCATCCTACTCATAGGAACCAGTACATTAGGATATGCTTTCATGTCAATCAAACAAGATAACTGGAATAAAACATTCACTGAACCTCTTTTAATGACGGATCATCACGGTCAGTTGTTTCACTCTGATAAGCTTGCTTCAGATGATTCAACTTTTCAGCTTTTAAGGTTGCAATTATATCAGACCAATGAAGAAGAATGCTTTTACAAATATCATGAAACTCTTTCAAATCCGAATTATTAACTATAACTTTTAAAAGCTTATGAAGTTTACTCTTTCTTAAGGTATCAAGATCAAAAAATGGAGGCTGATCATCCAAATTTTCTTTGATTTTGCTCAACAGCTTATGAGATTCTTGAAGCTCAACATCAGTCGGTGGTGTGTCTCTCTGAATCAAGTTTCTCTGAATTCTTCTTCTCAATAAGAGAGAAATTTCTTCTCTACGTGATCGATCGAGCTTATTAGACTTCTTTTTCTCCTTGTCCACACTATTATCGATTATTAGCTGATTATCGGAGCTCTTAGCCATACTTGTGATGTCCTTCGATGCCTTTATCTTTTTACTGCTTGAAACTTTTCCATCATCTTTGCTACTGCTTTTCCTTTTCCGCGAATTGGTATCTGGATCGGTAATGTGCGGATCTTCTCCAGATTTCAACTTCCCATATAGTTCTTCGTCCTTCTCTAGATCTTCAATCCTATCCTCTGAGCTAAATCTTTCAACCACGAAAGAGCGAAGATCACCAAACTGATCGGCTTGACTATAGGCTTCAACAAGATCAGCCTGTGATTGAGACTTATGCTCCTTGCTTAAATATTCCGTTATGATATTCTTTTCCAACCTTTTCAGTTTATGTGGCTGCTCCCAATAGTATGTAGGATCGTTGAGGAAACAAACTGCAATACAGTTGTTCCGCTTTTTCTTAATAACATCCTTTCGGAGTAATCTTTGGGGGAAGACAACGGCAGGCCATGGCGGAAAAGAACCAACTTTACACAACACCAAATCTCCAGTTTTCAAATTATTAGATGTAGTCATGTTTGGAACAATTAGTGAACACCTCCAAAACAAAAATACCCTTTTGTTAGTATACCCTTAAAATATCTTATTGGTAGCCTCTTTATTACAAAGGATTGCACAGATAAACAAACGAATATCACAGTATGAGTCCCAATGTGTTCCTGTAAGGCACTTATCAATTAAGTAACGGCCAAGACAAATGATAATTATAATGTATGCAGTTGCTCTTATCTTAAATACTATTTGTTAATCAGAACAACATGCAACCAAAATAGCTTCTCTTCCACTATTTATTTAACCCAAAGAACAATGCACTTTATATCTTCCTTATAATAACTAGGTGATTACCTAAGTGAACAGTAAACAATTAAACGCGATCACAATACACAATTAAAAGAACTTAGATCAATAGTATTCCACAAATATATGAATAGTTAGTGACTTAATCCAAACGTTATAAAATCCAACAAAAGAATCACTCATCAAGATCGCAGAGTAAATCCAATTGAACAAATTCCTGCACCAAAATTTTAAGGATATGATGCTTGTTTGCTAAATTGTTTGTTTTGAAATAAATTAAGCTTCCGAATTTGCAGCAAAATCAGAAATTGATTGTCTCACTTGTCATAAGTCCCTTTGAAACAATGGAAAGTCACTTCGTGTAAACTGATTTCAAGAGGCAGTGTATATTAGCCTTCGTATTATTTTGGTACTTTCTGCTATAAGTGATGTTTCAAATCAGTAAATGAAACACAGCACTGAAATCAATATAATATGTAATTCTGAACCACAAAATAAAAACTATACCTAAATTCTAATGATTGCAGCTCTAAACTATATTTCAGTTAGGAAAATGGATGACATGGAAGGTTGACGTCGACTATAAAAACATCCATTTGAAATATATATTTAAGCTTCTATCGATATTTAAAACATGATTTTAGGGTCACTCTGTGATATCCTTTGATCCAATTGCATCTACTGTTGGACCATTTTCCACCGTTTTCGTATATTCTATCATCTTTCGATCATCTCCTTTAGGCTGTTCTTTTGATAAATCTGATGGATGGTTCTTCAATTTTGTGCCCAAAAACTTACCTGTATGTTTTATAAGCACCTTTATTAAAATCTTTTTAATTTTTATCATTAAATCAGCCAGTGTCATAGTTTGGTTTTCAAATATCAATGTAGGGAAAGTGAATAAAAAGTTTGTAACATTCGCTAATCTCATTTTACCTTTGCCTTTGTAACTTATCATCAATTTAAAACTGTTAATCAACATATTTTCTATGGTTAAAAAGTTTGTAGATCTCTTAAACATCTCATCAATATCTTTTGTACCAGTAATATGTATGCGGGTATCTTGACTGAAACTCATATCTGATATGGACTCAGAGCCCATGGATGAATTATCAGAGTCTTCGTTTTCTGGAGATAAATTCTTCAAATGTTCTAAAGACAACCACGATATAATTCTATTGATTGTCTCTTCCTCTAGAGTTACCACTAAACCGGTAATATTGGTAGTCACTGACTTGACTATTCTTATCCCACCAACTGGCTTGTCAACTCCCCAACGAATTGCAACAACAGGCTGGTCATCGTATTGCGTATCCAGCAATCTCCTAGTAGAATATGGCTTTACCAATGTTGGATATATAGCATCCTTGTCACGATTGAATATGTTGATATTACGAACAGATACCATATTATCTGTAAATCCAGTATCTGTCTGCAAACGTTGGTAGTTTACATTATTCACAATAACATCCAAGAACGGTGTACTCGAATTGTGCAACATATGCAAAACAACTTCTTTGATTTTGAAGTCCCATAGTACTGTACAATTACTCTCATCACGATTACTTTCAGTAAAAACACGTAGAATAACATATAACTGAAGGAGATGATTCATACGCTCATTATAAATATTGGAGAGATCAATCAAATCCACATCCTTCAACAATCTTCTCTTAAAAATAAATTCTTTGACAATACGTTCCAGCACCTGTTCTGCATTAGTCAAGTTGCCAATCAAAGACGTAATTCTTTCAATATCATCAAAATCAAAGGCTAAGGAGGCAGTTTCAATCTGCTTCTTCAACGACTTGTTATCTGGTTCGACGTAAAGAATTAAGTTCGTTACGATCTTGTAAATTGCCAAATAATCCTCAGATGTAGCTGATACAATAACACGTGGTAGACAGGCTGAAATCTTATTCTCAATCACATCTTTCACCATGTCGTACATTGAAGAGAAAGGAAGTAGTTTTTGCAAGAAAGTGAATGCGGAAAAGTTTTCAATAACAGCAAATTTAGATAGAGGAGTTGGATGGAACGCAACTTCTGCTCCCAGCCATGGAGGCCAGTCACTTCCTTTCTCTTGTCCATACAAACTAGCATCGAACACCAATTCAGGATACTTATCAAATCTTTCCTTGTGGAAAATGAATGCATTAGCGTTAGATAAAAATAGGCCGTATCTTTTCAAAAACGTATTTTCTAGATATACATTATCCGGTGTCTCTTCATCAAATGACAATACTTTCAAAAGAATTATTGGAGTTGAAACTAACACACAAATATTTGGGTCATCATCACTAATCAGTTGAATTTGAGGACATATAAAATTAACAAAATGATTTCTCGAGATAGAATGGTTAATGTCAATGCCCAGTTGAGACAATCCCTCCTCGAACATCTCCAACAAAGCGGCCTTAACATGCTCATCGTCGTTTGCGTTGTCAAACTCAACCTCCGACTTCACCCTTTGTATCTTTGATGAAATATCCTCCTCTTCATTAACGTTATCCTTTTGCTGTCTTTTGTTAATAATATCGTTAAACATCCTATTTGTCTTATGGGACGCCAGCTCCATAAATTGGTGTGTTAGGTTTGAAAAGTGTAGAAATTTGAACGCTATATCTCTGACACCTTCGTTCCATTTCAATAGCATGTGATAAACGTAGTATTTATTATCAAAAGATTCTGAATTTGTATCTTGAATCAGTTGAATTGCTGGGTAATTATATGCCTTACTGCTATCAATCTTTTCCTTTAGGCCCGTCATTATTTCTAAATCTTCTAGTAATGATTGCACATTTCTAACACTAGCTTCAGATCTAACGAGGTATTTTTCATGAGCCTTCTGTTCTGACTCTGAGTCCATTCCGTAGTGATTACTTTCAATGGTAGCTTTCACATGCTTCAGACGCTCCAATCTATCTCTTATAACCTCAAAATTTGGAGTAAAAGGCTTTCTGATAGCACAATCATGCGAAATTGAATTATCAAATGGCTTAATCGGATTGTAAGTTTTTGGATCAACTTGATATTTATCACCATAGCTTGCATGCTTGCTATATATAAACTTATGGGCACTTAACATGGGAAGAATTTTAATATTTGGCAGGAAGTTATCGATTTCAACATAGAAAGCTTCTTGGAAATCAGTCAAATCAATCCATTGCATGTCATTGTCATGAATGTCATACTTGGCATCTTCTCTTTGCTCAGTATACTCCAGTTTAGTGAAAAGACCATGAACTGCTCTTATATCAATATCAAAAGTTGCAACTAGTCCATCAAGGAACTTCAATTTTTGAACCTTCTTTATTCTGTCCAATTCTTCCTGATATTCTGTAAAAACTTCCTTCCTTTGATGCAAATCCATTAAAAACCGCCCAGCCTTAGCCTTGATACCGGCGTATTCTGAGGTATCTAGGAAACTCTTTTTCATAATCTTATCAGCATCAAGATTATGGTACATGTGTGTAATATATAATGGTGATACATCCGCATAATAAGTAAGAGTTTCCAAATGTTCACCAAACTTAGGAGCAATACTCTGTAAACCAAATAATGGCCCTCTTCTAACAGGGAAATTACCACTGAACATTTTCCACCAACTGAAGAAAGTTCGCAATCCTTTAGGGCTCAATTGAAGTGCGTTGTAAGATGTTTCGGATTTAGACGTAAGCACTAAAGATAGATGGATAAAGTCACTTCTAAAGTCATTAAATGAATCGTGATCATGCAAATCAGAGACATAGATAGGGTTACAGAGACGGACATCCCAGTGATTCCGCGAATCATATGTTCGATCACTTGTACCTCTTATTAGTCTCTCAAAGACGAACCCAAGTTTTAATTTCATCCCACCAGTTAGTTTTATTCCAGTCTTTTCGATGTACGCCCCTTTCATGGAATGAATATCTGAATTCTGATTGACCTTGTCTTCCAAATTTAGTAAATAATAAAAGGATGCAGACTCTTGTAAGTTGGTATCACTTTGATTAGGGATAAAAATAGCATCTTTACTGGGACTTGACCAAACTAATAAAGGCTTGGCAAAGTGATTTGGAATACTAAAATGTACACGATCAGCTGAGCAAGTCAAAAAGTCTTTTGGATCATCATTAGGATTACAGATAATTTTAACATCATCCTCAAAACCAATTACAAAACCAGCATCTTGGCCTCCGATCTTATAAGGGCTTTTAGACCCTTTCAAAGCTATTTCAAATTTACCGTTGTTTTTCAGATTGATATTAATTCTACCATGGAAGATATATCTAACTTTATCCCAGAAGCCCACCTTAGGAGAAGGATCTAATGGAGGTTTTGAAAAATTATCTAGGCATTGCATTACTTGTTGAATGGCTGGAGAGTAAGATCCGCCCCAGGTTACAGTTAGGGTATCTTTTGAATGTAAGTCAAATTCCAGGTTGGTAAATAGCTTGATACTAGTCATTGTTCTTGGAACCAATAGGGAATATAACTTATCCTTGTTTTCAACAATGATTGATGGAACTAGGGGAACAAATACAGTTCTTAGTTCCTGTTCAGAATATATCATATCTTCGGTTACCATGAAGTCACCATGTATACGTATTGACTGAGATTCCCTCGATTGAGACGGTAAAAGTTTTGGCATATATACAAATGGTAACGGGTAATCTCTTAGATGCCATCTTATTTCACTGAATTTGGCATCTAAATGCATTGGCACTAATATGGAGTATTTTGTATCTTTTGGAACACCTTTGCCAACTTCATAAATAAAGTCTGGAATATGTTCAACCCCACAATGAGGTTTGGCTATGTCAACATCAATATCCTCGATAATTAAAGTAGTTAGAAATGGGTTAGTAGAAAAGTCAAGTACACGCTTATTGATATCATCAGGGAGTTTAGAATAGTTGACGCGACCCCATACATATGTGAAGTCTGAAAGAAACTTTTTATGCTGTTTCTGTTTGTGACTTCTAATCCTTTCAATCCATGAGTGAGAAAGTTGTTCTTGTAATTTATCATATTCCGTCTCTAACTCAGCTGTTATTAAGTGATCAGCTGTTTTATTCTTGTTTTGTTTTCCATCTATGTTAAATGGCGTATTAACTAGGGGCATATTTTGTTTTATTAATTGATCAGGCGTATTTTTTTTGTTTATTTTCAACCTCTTCTTCCAAATCAACTCTTCCACCGAAATATCAGTATGAGAGGTAGCACCTGCTCGTCCATGGAGGGACTTTAGGGCTTGCTCATTGAATTCTTTCCTTTTCTCCAGTCGACTACGTTGTTCCTGTAATCCAATTTGGAAAATTGAATTTAGTTCAGCTTCAAAAGGATCATCATCTACAGTGAATAACAGTCTATTAGATTTTAATTTTATGTTTGGTAATATTGCTGCACTCACAGGCTTGGCAAATATCACAAGGTCATTTTTAGAGGACTTGAATGAATAGATTAGCTGTTTTAGTGTCTTAGCAATTGTGGAAAAGTTATCAAATATTCTAAACATTTCAAAGTCATATGGTATTGAGAAATGCCAAGACTCGTTTTCTAAGGTGACCCCAGGTTCTGAATTCCCACCACTGTCATTGTTCTTCTGAGTTTGGCTCTTGAGTTTTTCAATATCAGCATTAACCTTGTATCGAACAATTGTGATCAATCTAACCCAATAGTGTTTAATAGTAGGTGATTCTATGCAAGTACGGAAATATTCACCAGTAAATGAAATATTGTTAAGGTTTTCAATAGTCAAGAACATATGTGAAAAATCTAAAGAAGTCCGCAATTCATTTGGTAAAACAAATATCTGCTCATATTGTTCTGAATGAATGTTGACTGTCAGCATTTGTTTTATATCAGTCCATCTAATTTTTTTTATAGAAGATTTCTTCTTTACTTTAGACACTGCAAGGAAGAATTTCTTAGCTTTGGAAGGTCCTTTATTTTCCTCCACTGCATTTCCAAAAATATGATGTAATGTATGAATACCGGACAAAATGAAGAAAATATTCATCAGAGAAATAATTGCCTTTATTGATTTATTTTCAATCTGTACTATAACCTTGGCATTTTCATTTGTATCATAATATTCAGTTTCAGGAAATACTTTTATCGATATAATTGCGATCTTGGCAACTGTTTTTATGGTCAGCTTATCACTTAGTTGAGGACATTCACCAATTATTGTGGAAGTGATTTTATCTATCAAGAGAGATAGATTCCAGGGTCTTTCAACTTCAGTTGCATCACTTGTAGAAATATCATCCAGCTCCGATGCGTAGTAAGATTTGTATTTATTCTCATCACCTGACCGCGTCATACCAACATGTCCACCATTTATATTACTATGCCATTGCGTCTTATTCCCAAAAAACGTCACTTGCAACTTATTGATTTGATTGCAGTATTTCCTTAACTTTCCATCAATAAAGTCCTTTCCGCTTTGGGGTTCTAAAGAAGTAAATTTATCTTTCGGCATAAACACAGACCTAATACCCAGTGTGGCTGAAACATTTCTTACAGTCAACAAAAAGTAATCAAAAAAATCGGGAAGTGATTTATATATCATCTCTTTTAGTGGAATCTCATTTTCTACCATGTTTTTTCCAATCACATTGCATTGCTTTTTAGCATTTCTAATCACAGTTGAGAACTCCTCATATAAATTATTGAAGTAAAACTGCTCTACTGCATATATTTCATCATCTAATTTCCTAACAACATCACTTAACATTTTGAGCGTCGGTAATTCTGACAGATCTACATTCAATGTATCAATGATCATTTCACTGGATACGATTAAGTCAGGAAGAAGTTTCAGTTTGTTATTAATTGCAATACTGTCAGAAGAAAAGATTGATTGTTCATATTTCTGGTGTTTGTTTATATGGATTAGGTTAACATCCAGCAATTCAACATTACACCAAGACTCATAAATAATCTCTTTCCTCTTCTCATTAATTGCCACAAGATCACACATAGATTCATAGTCAAAAACAAGCACCGAAAGTTGCGCCATTATTAGGTTATTATTATGATTTATTATAAACTTTGGGTCTTCTAGGCTGAATTTCAAATTAATTAGTGGCAAAAACGTCTTGAAATATGTGCTTAAAATTTGTTTCATCTTCGTATGTGAATTTTCTTTGCGAACCTCATTCTTAAACATGCATCCACTACAAGTACTTGTAAAGACCTTTATGTTCTTTTTAAACGATTTCAAAAAGGAGAGATCTGATAAGGAGACATCTATAGTAGGGGAAGATATTGTACTCTTTATATTAAAAAGAGAATTCTCCGAAACTGCCTCAGTCGTATTACAAGTCCTAAACTTCTGGGACAGTATGTTTGTTTCACCAAATAGTGTTATATTCGGGATAGAGACCAATTTTAGTACCTCAGATGTATTGTTATCAACTCTATTTAGATTAACATTAAAATCAATCCTCGATATAGCAGAACTAATTTTAAATGGCGAGTCCTCCTCTTTAAACAGTAACTTAAAACCAGGCATATCATTCCTGTACTTGCTGGCGTTGAAAGTAAAATTTGAACAACAAAAAGAATAGTTCATATAATCATTCATTTTGAGTAATGCCGGGTGAGATGTTACCATCATATTTTTCACACCAAATTTATCAATAGAAATAGTAAAATCGGATAATATATCAGAATATTCCCGAACAGTATCTAAAATATTCTCAATATTATTCACTGCTTCAAAAATATCCTCATCAGTGAAGCGCAATCTCTCCATTTCCATTTCCATTTCCAGTTTGTTTCTCACCAAAATGTCTTGTTCCGATTCTTCATAATCCAGAAGGTGCCCCACGTCAACAGTTTCCTTACTTTTCTTGAAAGCTGCTAAGTAATTCATTGGTATATTAATACCTCCAAATTTGAGATCTAGATATATGTTTTCCAGGAACTGTGACTCGTTCAATTTGGCCGCATCAGTAACAGTATCAGCTTTAAAAGAGATAATAGATTCATTACAAATGATTTCATCTTTCCATAGAACCTTCCTTAAATAGAATTGAGTATCTAATTGACCTGTTTTAGGAATTGTAGATATTATTAATCCAATCCCAGCAATGCTAATGCCGAGGTCACTTAATTGGAGATCTTCTAGATGAAATTCAAACCCGTCTAGTATCCTTCTTAATATTGGGAAATACTTTGCATATTTAGCCAGGCTCTTTTTATTACTATTTTCCTTCTTTTCAGTTTTGACTTCCTCCGTCTTATTACTCTTTTCCTTGAGTATTTTCAACTTGAGTCCACTCACAGTAATTCTCTTCTGCCATGGGTTGAACTGGATATAAGAAATTTGGATTTTGTCTTTGTAGGACAGATGGCAAACCCTTAGTCGAAGCGGGTTGATGAATCCTATGTTCAAGCCTATAAGCACCTTAAGCAAAAACTTGACAACTAGAAAAACAACAACTGCATTAAGAATATGCCATGTGCTGCGGTAGAACAGCTCCCTCATCGACCATTTGAGGATGGGCAACACATCTACCACTGAATCAGAAGCCTGTTGCCACAATCGACCAGACATTTGCAGTGTATTCAAGATTATTATTCCGGTCTTTGAACACTTTTCCTCTTATGCTTAAGTGCCACTCCTGCTTAGAAATATGGTTTACCTCTCAGTAACAGAAAATATAGATACTATTCGAAACCAACTCTCTCTATAGCAAGTGTTATATAATACCAGAGAAGTTGCAAAAGCTGTTGCTGGTACTTCCTGCGATGGGGAGGGGGGATGTACTCACGGGATTCTTCGGTTTTTTGTTTTTTTTTCCCTAGTATTCCTTTCCACTTCCAAGAAGAAGTTGCCACTATTCTGAACTGTCTGGGGAAGGGAACATTTCTTTTAACTTGCTACAATTTCAAAGAAAGTCGATGCAAGATTCGGCAGAAAAATTGTTCTTCCCAAACACTGATGGCTCTGCCTAATAGCTCTACCTAATGGCTCTGCCGGAAAGGTCCTGTTTACTCGTTGTGTGCACTGTATGTTGGTCCTTAGGTTGGGTTAACCTTGCTCGCTGGTACGGACTTTTCACTGTTCACTGTTCTCTACTCTCGTTGTGTAAACCTCGAAGATAGACTTTCCTCTATATTCCCCAGCAAATAAGATAAGACTCCCTCTTTCCTGTACAAGGTGCTTTCCTTTCGAGCTCACTTCCCACAGACAATGCGTGCAGGGTCTGTGTCTGTAATTGCTTCCCTCTCTCTCAAGACACTTCAAATTGAAGAAAGTATGGAATGCGAAGAATTGAAGTCAAAATAGGGGGGTGGGGGATGCGCATAGAAGCGTGGGAAGGACATGACCTGCTTCCCACTTTCCCCCCTCCCTCCTTACTGCCGGGGTGCTGCTGTTCAACACCAGACGACGGTGATTTACAGTTTATCCACCCTTCTGTGCAGCCCCTTTTATGGGAAATGAAGGGTCCACATCACCGTCCTTCCTTCCTTCACCAATCGGTATTCTGGTTTTTGTACGCCCAAAGAAAATGCTGCAGGAAGTCACCCTTTTTTCCTTCTCTCTTTCAATGCATTCGTTCGCTACAAATAATAGCATACGTCGTGGAACCTGCATGTTCGTGCAGCAATATATTTACCTTTTCCAATAGCGTGATGGCGTAGAGAACTAGTATACCACCACCCCCGATGCCCTGCTATACAAGCTAGTTGCTATAATTTCTTTGTGGGTACGTGGCTTTGCTTTCTTTTCTAGGCAGAGCTACTCAGGTTGAAGGGCAGATAATTGCTTTGTGATATGGACGATGAGTTTGGCCCCATCAGGAAATCGCTGAAGAAAGTCTCGGTAGGGTCCATAACACAATCGAATTACGACACCGATGATCTTTGCACCACTGAAATAATTCCTTTGCAGAAGAGGCCACGACATGCACCAAATGTGCTAGACACTCCATTTGCTATCGTCAACTATCCATGCATTGTGACTGATGATAATCGTAAAGATACATATGCTACGGAGTTGTTTTATGAGCAAGTTCTTTTCAAGACATTCAGGTACAAGTTGCTGGACAACTTGCTACAAAACCAACTAGAGTTTGCTCCGGCTTTGAATCAAATTGCAAAGAGTTTGTACAAGCTGGTTATTAAGTCCTTCAACAAGGAATTGACCACTGTGAAAAACTACAGAATTGTTGCACCCGAAGTCTCATCTTCGCGGTTTACTTCAAATATAATTGACAATGTTGTCGTGTTTGATACAGTTGCCTCCAAGCATTTCAATTTGATAAACATAAGACTCGAATCCCCCGAGGGTCTCCAAGCGAAGGATGTAAGCAGAATTCATAGGTTTTTAAAGAAATCGTATCCTATAGATGAGGTACCTATGCAATCAGAAGGATTGAATGGATTTAAAAACATTATAGATTATTTTACAAAACTAAACTCTACAGCAATAATGAGATCATTAAAGCCTCTTCACTTCAAAATTGATATTTTTCAATACAACTACGATGTTGAAAAAATAACAAATATTATCCCTACCAAACCGAATTTCAAGATCATAATATCAACCATCGGTTCTAGTCATAGCCTTGATGACAACCCAATTACCACCATTGTCAATTTATCAGAGCTATCGGATATAAATCTTAGCAGAATGTGCCAGCAAGCATTGCATTGTAAATGTGATATGGGAAAGCATACTGGACTTAAAGAATATCAAGATCTGTGGAATCACTGTGTAGCAGATATTACTCAGAATAAACTAGGTAGCAACAACTTATTTCATTTATTTTTGGTCTCGTTCACAATAGGCGGATTAGGTACCAATTTTTTCTTCTACTTGGAACAAACACTAAATGGTGTCAGAAGTATGGATCAGCTACTACGCAATTTCGGAATAAATCGTTAGTCAATAAACTATGTCATATCTGGTGATCAAAAGAGTGTGATTAAGAACATATATTTTATGTTACATGAATTATTGTTCTCTGAAAGTTATTCCAATTTGAAGGGACGAGCAATCATCTACGGAACATAATTAGTCATTAAATGATCTGATCCGAGGCTAATCAGGAGCAGTTGAGATAAATAAAAGATAGTCAGAGTGCGACGGTCTACATATCTCTTTACTATACTGTTACTAATACCTCAAAAATACCGAATTAGAAACGTACCTTATTCGTATGACATTACTACAATATGTTTCTGTCAATTAAGGTTGCTTTGATAATTGTATCAAAGTAAAAATAGTTGCTATTCCATACACCGTGTTTCAGGTAACGTTTTCAAAGAATACTGGTTTGTTTTCTTTATGGGTATATTTTGAAACTTTCTAAAATATAAAAAAGTGAAAAAGTTCCAACAAAAAAAGTTTTGAGAAAAGGAAAGGAACAAAAATATACAGTTACCTGAACAATTATTGAAAGTTTAACCCTCCCCCTGGCGAATTAATTCCATTAGTTTTTGAGCATCAATATTTTTAATTCCATATATTGATGCTGTATTGAGTCAGTTTAAGAAAAGAATATCGATTCTAAGGTAATATTAAATGGCATCATCGTCAAATGTAAAGCTGGGAAATACTGAATTTAGAAAGACCCCCGCTGGAAACTTGTTTACTAGTGATATTAAGACAATCTTCTCGATACTATTAATAAGGCTTGATTTAAATGCTCATCTTAATGAAAGGAATAAGAATCCATTCATTTTAGGTTCAAAGCAATATGAGTTTTCATTTTCATTACAGAAAGCTATATGCCTTTTACGAAACTTATGTCTTCTTCCATCAGAGAATAGAGCCTGTCTGAAAGTCTGTTATACTATTGAACAACCATTCTCGCAATTTTTAATGTCAGTATTCATGACAGCAAAGCTACTACATACACCAGCAGATAGGACAAGAAAAGGGCCTAAGGATAAAGTCCTATTACAGCCCACGCCCAAGGGTATAGCTATTCTGCAAGCTTTTTGTCGTAGCATTGGATTGCAAAGGCTACCTGATGTACTGTTCTCATCATTAAACACAATGAATCTGTTCCTCTTCGAACGTAGTGAATTTACTGATAAACTACTCATGAGCCGAGTCCTAATATATCTGCTATTTATAAAATTAATGGGACCATTTCCTAATGTCTGGTCTCCTTCAAAGGAACATGATTATGCTTATGTAGCTTTACCGCAAAATATATCCATTGAAGACATTAAGTTTTCGCTAGACCAGAACGTGATGTTATCGAATTTTGAACCAGACAATATTGCTCCACCAGTAGATACTTTAAAAGGAAGCAATGTATATTTAAATCAATCTAAAATTCTATCTCCACTTGCTCATAAATTTTTTACAAATCCAGACTCTGACTCACACATACAATACTATGTCTCGACTGTAGGTGTTAGATCTAAACCTGATGTCGAAGTTAATTTCAAAACCACAAAAAATTATGTTTTTACTACAAAAGCTATTTGGCAATGGTTAATGGATTGCTGCGATATATTCTATCCCAGGGATGCAGCACACGTTACCGCCAGATTCCTATTCTATGGGTTATTGGAAGAAGTTCCTGCCAGTCCTGAAAATTACGCGGGATTAATTAGTAAAAATAAATATGTGAAACTCACTACGTTAGGAGAAAATATTGTAAAATGGGGGAAAAAGGATGACACTGGCAAAAATCCTCAAGTTGATTCTAAATGTTTGTCAAATTTGGGACAATTAACATCTATTTCTAGAAGTCCCAGTGTTTTTCCTTTTTTACCAAGACTCTCATATCCATCGTCGAGACAAAATTTAGACAAAATTCTGAAAGAGCCTGGGTTAAGACATTTATTTAGACATCATCTCGAAAAAGAGCATTGCTCAGAAAATTTAAATGCCTACTTAGATGTTAGGCGGTTTCTTCATATGATGGGAGGTTTGAAAAATAAGATGAAATTGGATAATTATAATGATTCTCTGTCTCCGAATTCAATTAATATTAATTATTCTTTACTATCATCAACTGCTAAAAACAATGAGGATTTTCTTTCTCTAGTAGGAACCTGTATCGAGACTGCATGCAATATTTATTCAATCTATATTATGAAGGATTCTCCGATGGAAATTAACATAGATTCGAATCTCAAAAATAAAATTGAGAAAATTATCATTGGTTATGTTCAGTACGATTATGAAAAGACTTGTTCAGTCAACAGCATTGAAGCTACCATAGGCAACACTCTGGATAGCGCGTCTGGGCACACATATTTGTTACACAAAAAGAATGGCATATTGAAAGATACTACGATGAAAGAATTCAGTCGAGAAGCTTTTATGAATAAGTTTGGTAAATTAGAAATCAACAATTTGCTATTTATGATCTCAAGTTTAGGTCATTTATACTTGTTATATGAGCATGTTGAGAACGCAACCTACCATATGATGGAGACAGACTCTTTAACTAAATTCTTAGATTCTGCAGTAATTGACAAGATAGGTTCTGCTTTTAGCTTGATTTCTGTCTAATCTTGTAAACCTCTTATTGTAATTACTATAGTACAATTATTGTTTTAAATCATTAATCATTACACAAATGGTTCTCTAAGTACTTGATAACGTATAAAAATAGCTGTAGGTTAAATGTAACTAAAGTGTGGGATTGAATGCAAATTCATTCATTAAAATATCAACATCTTTCCAAACAACATCTGACTCCCAGTTATCCCAATTAGCCATAATTGAGTTAGGTGAATCATTTGTGGGGGTTGTATTGATATGATCATCCGAGAATGGTATTATGAATTGTTGGTTGGTCAAGTCATTGCTAGATTTAATACCAAGGTTGTCGTTCAGTATTGGAGATTGAGCTGTGGATTTTCCGTTTTGCAATTGACGTTCACTAAACTCTCCAGATGTTGCATTTCTATAATCGCTGGTTATTTTAGGTTTTTGGTTTCTTACAATATCAAACATTGATGTCTCTGGTGGTCTAATTAAGGATTTAGAGATTTCTTTTTTTCTAAGAACATCTGAATTTGGCCGAATGTATTGATTAAATGTTCCATTTCCTCTATTGTAAGATTCTGGTGACATCTTATTATTCGTGTTTGCGTGGACAGATTGATTATCATAAGTGCTACTATTTGGTGTATTTGTGAGACTACCATTACTGCTTCCAGTAGAAACGTTAATAGGATTTGGATCTAGTGGTATAGTTTCTATAATTCTTCTTGCTTTCATTTCAGGGTTCTTAACATGCGATAGCTTTATATCATTATTCTTAGCATCCTTAGATGTACCTTTTTCAATACCAGAATCAGATTCATCATCTTCGTCATTCTTTTCATCATTCTCTCCGGAAATATGAGACCTTTTAGATTCTCTTTCAAGCTTAGCCATACCAGATTTTTCTTTTAATATATACAAGCAATCAAAAAAAACACTAACAGCCATTCTAGATCTTACTGTTATACCTAGATTGAAATTTGTGAATTCTTCTACAAAACTGTTTTCTTTTTTTCTCTGTTCCTTTTTCCAAGATTCATACATGTTAGCGTACAATGACCATATGCTTCTCATTATACCCGACGACCGATAAGCCATATCGTGTTTCAAAACAGAGGCATTAAATGTTAACAAGACTGCATTCTGATATGCTTTTTTCCCGTATGCAACATCAAGCATAGGGGCTAGTGACGAATTTGCTAGTTTACTTATGATGCAGGCTGACTGCCAAATATTAAGAACAAAAACACCAGGAAGATATTTGATTATTGTGGGATTCGATTTCCACATACTATGAGCATGACTTAAAAACTCAATTGCTGCATTGTATGCTTTCACTAGTCCTTTTTTGGTCTCAAATAAAGCTTCTGTTTTATTTGATAATTGCATGAGATTATGGTTACCATCTTTGGATCCCACTTCCGACAAAAATGGATCGTTGAAATAATATGTCAATAAATGTGTCTTTGCAACTAATAACGAAAACTTCCTTATATCATCGATATTGGATTCCCTTAACGATAAATCCAAGTGAACAAGCTGCTGATTTAAGACCTGAATTAGTGGGTGAACAGTTTCTCGGTCAGCTACACCAACGACGTTGGTGCCATTGTTACTTATGGTGTTTATAACTTGATTTTCAAAACGTGCAATCTGTGTTAGCTGCTTCAAAGGCAATGGTATGTTTGTTCCCTTCATCTGATTGAATAACAGAGATGTGGAATTCAAAATGGAATTGTCAAAGGACGTGTAGGATGGGAAGCCAAAAGATGAGGCAATAAATTGTGAGACAATATTGCAGCATACCCACGTACGCAATTGTTCATTTATTAATTCAAAATTCGCTGTCGTGTATTCCTTGGAAAAGTCAGCACAATTTAAACCTACTCTTATTGCTTGGAACATTGCAGTACCGATAGTATTCCAGGATGTGTCTGCACTTAATGAGGAAGTTAACGGTGGCCAAAACGTATACAGCAAAAAAGCTTGGACAGAGTAGACAGATGCAACGTTTAATACAGGCTCGTCTGTTTCCGATGGTGTGTACCTTATAATTGGTGAAATAGTGATTTCAGCTAACACGGACTTCACCAAACCAGATAATTTTTTCATTAGGTGGGTAGACTGAGGCTTCCTTCGGAGACCAATTAGTAATATGACCCAAAAAAGACAAGGTGATAAATTGTATATTTTCTCCGCCCCATATTCTAGATTTACAACAGGAAGGAATATGTGATATTTTGTTGCAAACTCCTGAAATAGTTCAGCTATCTGCTGGCTTGAAACGTATACATCACCTAAATTTTTTGGTGAGCATTTAAGTTGTTCTTCTGTCATTTCTGAAAAGTGAAAAACAACATTTGCACTTTTATCGTAATTTTCTTCAGATATTGTTTTATTACCATTGCTATCTATATGCGCTGCCACTGGGCTATTTTCTTCTTGATAGTTAATTGAATTTATGATCGAGGTTTCTTGGTTTTCTTGCTGCCATTTCTTCATGTTCTCATCTTTCATTTTTTTTATTTTATCTTTGGTAAAATTACTGTTATCTAGTAATTGTTGCTGCTCTTCCTCAATCCTTTTTAAAATCTGTTCCGAAGAAAGATTACTTAGTGTTGCAGTTAGCTCCTTGAATCGTTTCTCAATGGCCTCGTTTCTAGCTCTCTTATATGTTCTTCTGAAATCTTTCTTCAAAACACATGGAACGCCTTTCTTTTGACATCTAGTACATGGTTCTGGCGCTTTATCATGTGCGTCACATTTAGACTTCTGTTGACGGCATTCTACACATGCAACTCTCTTTTTCTTCTTGGGTTTCTTTGAACCGTTGGTTGGTGAAGATTGTGGAGGTAATTCTGGGGTCACACTAGCCTCTTCGGAGTTAGGAGCACGATTCGTTAGATTTATATCGCTTTGAATATCTGAAAAAGGTGTTCCAAATCCAGGGCTTACAGAATCCATAGTTATGATTTGAAAATCATAAAATTGTTTTGTTAAAATCTTTGCACTATCCCGTTAAATTAGTAAGGGCAACACTTGTTAGAATAAGCGAGATTTTAATTTTGAAAGGTGCTGTGCCAAATTACAAGTTTATGAGTCTATATTTTTGCTCTAATGGCTTCTGAAAGAAAGAGTTATATTTGATCAATGACCTCCACAATTATTATTCGGCCTGATTTAACTTGTGCCTATCGCAGTTTTCCTGAGTCTCAGTGGTTTAAAAAGAACTCCGATAATAGACGTATGTCTTTGTATGTCTCTTACTAAACCTTGCTCTGGTATACAAAGAACTCAAAGAATAACTCAAGCACACAAACTTCCATTGTCAGCTTTGCAGATGAGTTCCTGACTTCATCGTTAGCCGTATGCACTATTTTGAATTCGAATTTTTCTGATTTTTTTTTTTTCACGATGAGCTGAGTCCTTTTTTTCTTTTTCTTGGAATTATCCTTTAGTGCTATAGGCGTTGCCATGTTGACATAACCCTTCAAACTTCAATATGCTGGCTACGTAGTCGAGCCTTTTGCACCATTGGTCATTCAAGAAAACATATCATCACTCATATATATACTTTCTGTAAATAAGTTGCTCAGAGATGAAATATGAGAAAGATATGTCTTACTGTGTACAAAAAATTGACGTAATAAAATTATTAATGCTTTGCCATTGAGTACTTCAAAAACTTCTCAATGAAATCAGAGTTTAGCTTTGGATTAGATTTAAAATCTGCATAATAAATCAATTGGCTCGTATGTGTGTAATTGTTCTTATCATTGAGACTCAAAATTAATGCTACTCCTCCTTGATATAAGATGTTACAAGAAAAAGTCAAATAGAAGTATTAAGTATCTGGTTGTTCTTGACCTTACTTAATATATAGAAATTGTGTTATATGAAATATGCTGAATTTACCTTATACATGAGTCAGGGTCCTCACAAAGAATGAGAGAAAACTCTTTATTTCCTCTCTAAATTCAAACCTACAAAAGCAATCTGTAGATTAATACTGAAACTACCTTCCCCCTAACTGGAGTGTAACCTGCAGAGAATTACAATAAGTGATTGTGATTGAGAAAAGAGGATGATCTTAGGTTCCCCTTACTAACAGTTTGATGATTATCTTTTATCTCATCACTCTTTTCCGACAGGCAGAGAAATGACGTAGGAAATAGATAAGTGGGAGGCCGGTGCCGGTGAGATGCTGACTTCGACTATCCACCGGTGACTTGGATTAAAAGCGACAGTCATGATGGATTAATAAGATTTCAAGAAGGTCGATAAGATAATATGATTCACCTGAAGTAAATTGTGTGACGTATCTAGTATGCCAGTAATTTTTAAAAAAAAAAAGATTTATTAGTTTAGTTATAAAGTGTTTATGTGTTGCAATATAGAAGAACTACTTATCTAAATATGATATGATCGTATGAACAGTATAAAAAAATTGTTTTTGTAGTCATTCAAATTGCCCTTGCAAATGTATAGAAAGTTTTCCATGAAACATGGATTTTGGTGTCAAGATCGTAATTGTTCTCCAAAATCTTATCTATAACTTCATCGATAATGTCCTTCTTATTGGCATTCTTTGGATCATGCTTCCATTTATAATAAATACCCCATGTTTGCAAATATTCTCTCAAGTTCTGGACAGTCATTTCACAAATCATTTTGAATGGTGCAGATTCATAATTGGCTTCACGTGGATTATAGACCTTCAAATCGACTTCCTTGAATAAAGAGTCGTTCAACTTTATGTTGCGGTAATAGCTTGCAATGATGTCTACAGCGGGTTTTTCCCAATATGGGGCCAATTTTTCCTCTCCAAAGCAAAAGTCATACAAGGCATCATCGACTGCTGGTAATTCCAATACAACAGGCTCCAAGTAACCCCAATAAGCAAGTGTTCCGTCAGCTCTCAAGTTCTTGTGCACTTCATCCTGGAATTTATCGAGGTTGAAATACTGGATGGCTTCAGCAGAGACGACCATGTCACATTGACGCTTGTTTTGTCTTTCACCGAGAAAGGTAAAGTCTTCACCGCCTGCAACATGAAAGTTCACGTTTTTGGCTGGGTTTCCATTGTTGGCGGCCTCGATCATTCTTTCGGAATAATCAGTTCCGATAATTTCGTTAGTATCATTGAAGACCTCACTCAATTGCAACGTAGCAGTACCTGGACCGCACCCAACATCGACAATCAAATCACATTTACCGTTGTGGTATTGTTGCAAGTGCTTGTAGAACTCCAATGGGTATTGTGGTCTGGACTGCTTGTATCCTTCGGAGTTAAAGTTGCTCTTTGAAAAAGAAGACATTGCTATAAGTTTCAAGAGTGAAGTTATAAGATAAAGGCTAAGTACTATATACTAGTTAATAAAGATCGTTGTTGTTTTATCTTAGTCTGATTCTATTAGTATTACCAATAAAATTCGGACTCGCTGTGCTAAACAAAGGGCAGAAATTGTATCTCTGAGATCTGTTTAATATGATTTTGTTATAGTGTTCTGTACTGACAATTGAAATTTCACAAGTAGCATAAAAGGTCGAGAAAACGTTTATTGGTCAAACCTTGGTAAAATGCTCACTATTTATACTTTTTCATTTTCATAATTTTACAGGGGTTTTCCCATATGCCATAACTGAAACCCCTTGGCTAATTGCAGTCTCAGGTTTCTATAATTGGAAGGGCTCACTGGTTAAGCCTGTGCAAAAGAAAGTAAGTGTATATGCCAGAATAATATAAAGTGGGGTAATCAAACCCACGTACAGATTATCTTTTTGTTCTAAAAAAAGAAATTAACTCACACCTAATGCTCTGCGGTATTTTTATATACGAGGATTATACTGTGAAGCCCCCCCCCCCATTGTTTCTCTAATGTGTGGCCGTGAGTGGCAGCGTGGAAAGAAAATTGTTTTCCATTTTTGTTTGTTTTTCAAAATTACGTCATTTTAAATTGAAGAGGTTTCAACATCATCAGCCCAACAGTTTCAATCGAGATATACTGTATTGGAAGTATTACTGCTGATTATATCCAGCTCATAGCTGAAGCAAAGTATTCTGTATAGCAAAGAATATACGCTCTATGTGATACAGTGTAAATGATATGTAGTTACTATATCGAGGGTTCTTCCAATTAGGAATGAAAAATTATTTGGTTGACGTTGTAATGCATAAAACTATGGGCCCATGTATGTGGTCACGTTTGCTTAGTACTTTGTTGGCGTTGATGTATCTTAACTATCTGTTATGTAAGATCGAATTGGTCATATGACTATTGTCTTCCGACTTTTCTCCATGATAGTGTCTAGCTTTCGTTGACTTGATTCTGTAAACTGCATTAGAAAAATCATAGAGACAAATGTTAACAGAAATGTACGCACAGTTTGAGTAAGGAAAAGTAGAAACTTTCTGAAGAAAAAAAAAAAATAAGAGCTTGCGATGCGATGAGCACGATATTCAAACAGCTAGCAACAGTTTATAAGACAGCACCATTTTTATTTCTTGTTCAGTAGTAGAAAAATTGAGATTAGAATTGGGCTATCCTCACGGCAAAATTAGCTTCCTTCTTCTGATGAGGTTTAGACAGAATGTGGTGGGGGCACCTAGAGATGTTAAGCTCTTGTGGGCGTCTGTATTTCTGCGTTTACTATCTTATGGTATAACAAATCAAGTGCTCACGTTGTTATTAAGTGGGATACACATGGGTGAAGACCGTATAGGTCTTTTTATGTCCCTAACCTTAGTTGGTGATGTGTTGTGTTCTTACATTCTTACATGGTATGCTGATTCATGGGGAAGAAGAAGGGTGTTGATCTACGGATCTATCATGATGATGCTGAGTGGTATTGTGTTTAGTTACTCGGAGAATTTCCACGTCTTGCTGATATTTGCCATTTTTGGTGTTATCTCGCCATCCAGCGACGAAGTGGGTCCCTTTAAATCGATTGAAGAATCGATGATTGCACATCTATCATCAAATGACAAGAGGCCAGATGTGTATGCTATGCATAGTTTGGTTGGTACTGTAGGCAGTGCTTTAGGTGCAATATCTTGTGGGGTGTTTATTAAATTCATCAAGTCTCATGGTTATGCTACAACTGATGTAGAGAGTTATAAATTAGTTTTTAGACTATATGCGTTCATTGCATTTATGAAAGTTATTATAATGTTTATGTTATCAGAAAAGACAGAGTTGGACAGCCATTTTCATGATCATATTGAAGATAATAATTTATCAGAGGCTATTGTACATGATGAATTGACACCACTAGTAGAAACAGCTGCGCATAAAAACGAGATCAATAAGTCGAGAGCACTCTCAAAGGAAACTAAGGCAACATTAACTAAGTTGCTGGTAATCTTCATGGTGGATTCATTAGGTTCAGGTTTTATGACTAGTGGATGGATGGTTTATTACTATAAGAATATTTTCCTACTATCACCAGTTGCATTAGGTACCATGTTCTTTGTTTCTCAGGGTGTTCAAGCTTTATCTACATTGCCATCATCGAGTATTACTAGGAGACTTGGACCAGTTAAGACAACACTAGCAGTTCAAATACCATCGGGTATTTTTTCAATACTGATTCCATTTGCTGTAAATTATTTGCCGCTCTCGATATTTCTGTTGAACTTACATTTTGCAACAATGGCAATGGATGTCACTCCAAGGCAAATAATTTTGACGAATTTGTTCAAATCTAGCGAACTAACTAGAGTCATGGGTATAGTAAATATTGGTAAAACGTTTGCGCGCTGTATTGGGCCAATATTTACAGGTCTGCTTGCAAGTAAAGGCTTACTGTGGTGTTGTTATATCATAAGTGGTTCCTTAGTTATTACCGCCGATGCCATATTAGCATTCTGGTTTTTGTCGATCGACCATAAGATTAAGGCACAATGTTCATAATGTCTGTATATAAATAAGGACAGTATATTTGAATAATATGTTTGTTTGATATAGAGTGAATGTTTATACATTATATAGAAATGTCATTATTTTAAAGATTATATTTCAGCACGTTCATAGTTTTAGATTGAAATCAGCAGACTGATATATCAGAGTAAAGCTAGCCTTGCCTCTTGGGGGTATATAATTTTTAAACGAGAGAAGTATCCTATTGTTAAAATGGTGATAATGGCTTGAGTTGTATTGTATTAGATTATAAACTAAACTAAGATAGAAAAAAAGATTGTACAGAAATAAAAGAAAAAAAAGATGACGTTTCCAGTATTCTTTGAAAAGAAGCGTATATGCTCTTCCCCTCTTTTTCCTTTCTTAACGGTTGGACTTGGCGACACGTTCCAATTCGTCCTTCTTCTTGATAGCGTAAGAAGTAGAAGAACCCTTGGCGGCGTTAATCAATTCTTCGGCCAAAGTTTCAGCAATGGTCTTGATGTTTCTGAAGGCAGCTTCTCTAGCACCGATGGTCAACAAAGCAATAGCTTGGTTAACTCTTCTCAATGGAGAAACATCGACGGCTTGACGTCTGGCAGCACCACCACCACCGACTCTGGTGGTGTCTTCTCTTGGACCAGTGTTGGTGATAGCGTCAACAACAACTTGCAATGGGTTTTGTTCGGTCAAGATGTGGATGATTTCCAAAGTGTGCTTAATGATTCTGACGGCCTTCAACTTCTTACCGTTGTTTCTACCGTTCATCATCATGGAGTTGGTTAGTCTTTCGATGATTGGACATTGAGCCTTTCTGAATCTCTTGTTGGCGTAACGACCGGAGGTGTGAGCAACGAAGATTGGTTGTCTAATTTGGACGTAGTCGACCAAGGATGGGTCCTTCACTTCGACATCCTCAAAAGACCACTTGTTGAACAACTTAATTTCAGTGGAACCTCTTTGAACCTCTTCTGGGATTGGAGTAGCCAAGGTGACTGGAGTGAATTCTTCAACAACTTCGAACTCTTCTTGAACTTCAACTGGAGCTTCTGTGTCAGACATCTTGTTACGGGACTGGTCCTTTTTACGTTGATTTATTCTAAACTTCGGTATAGTATTAAAAATATATATAACCAGAAATAAGTATTAACCCAAACGTTTGCAAAATAATAAGCGTCTGTTTCAGTAATATTGTGCAATCTCTAATTGACAATAGTTAACGAATGTTCAAACTGTTAATTGAGGGCTCAGTGCTAGTGTATTGTGTTACCTCTGTGCTCTTGGTAGTCTATTGCAAGCTAGCAGGATTTTGCAAAAAGAACACAAGATTTGAGATTTTGCTAAGAAACCTACAGAGGGAGCTATTGACAAAAAAGATTTTCAAACTTGGAACATACGGGTCTCTACGGATAGTTTACAGGAAAGAGTGGATGATGGTAAGTGCTAGACGGGGACTTGGAAGGAGCTAGGCAGGGGCCAGCAAGTCCAGCAAGTCCAGGCAAGGGTCATTAGGCAGAGATGTTTAGCTTTAGGAAGAGTATAGGCAAGGCAAGGCTAGGCAGGACCAGGCAAGGCTAGGCAGGTCTAGGTAGGTCTAGGTAGGGCTAAAACGGGGTTGTGTAGGCTAGGCAGAAAGTAATCTAGCTAGTTGGTGTGAAGAGTGAAGCAGAACCAACATTTGGGCAAGAGCTTGTTCCATCCCTCATCGCAAGCACCCCTCTCCTCTGTACGCATACTCACTGCGCCTGCCCATAAGAACAGTAGTGAAGGGTGGAAGGTCTTTCACAGACAAGCACAGAGTACCACACTGAAACGCCTTCACATTGTAGACAGCTGTCTTTCAGGCTGGGAAGCAACATGCTCCTGCAATCTCGTAGTGGGGGAAGGAGCGTCATCCCATCCTGTGTCACGCTTGTGCTCTGGGTAGGCCGGCCAGATAGTAGCCCAACATGTTGGAAAACATAAAACCACAAAAAAATTAGGAACCCCATTCCCTAGAGACGTACATGAATGTATGGGTGTTTTTCTCGGTAGGTAAGGATGTAAAGTGCGATAGAAAAACAGTCACAAAATAAAATAAATACGTCGTTTGTGATAAAGAACAGGCCACTGTTAAAACGCGACACCACTCCCCCAACGCCTTACTTCTGATGATACTAGTACTTGTTTACCCCTTGCCCAATGGGTAGGACAATGTACTGAAATGGTTTTACAAGATCACAAGTTAAGAGTCTTGAACAGATAAGCACTGTTTGGTCCGGGTATTAATGCTATCTCAATGGACTTCCGGTGTGCTCGTCTATTGTGCATACCGGTTTGGGGGAGAGGGTGTTAGGCAAAGGAGAAAGTAGTCAGCTGACTTGTCATTTGTAGTCACCGCTAGGAAAAATAGTGGTGTCCCCTAAATTTAGCACCTCTTTTATTCAGGTTGTTCATCTGCAGTTTCTCTGTCAAATTGATCTTATAAGCCTTCTGCAGGGATCCTCAGAGACATCTTTGTCTGACAAACCGTGTTATATCTCTATGAATCACATGATCTCACATCGGACACAAGGAGTTCATAATATATTTAACTAATACGATAAATAATAACATAATTTATCTACCAATTGGTTTTTCGTTTGTTACTTCTTTTAGATGTCATGTAATATCAATATGAATATAGTTTATTATAATTCCGTTTTTTTTTTATCATAATCCTGATGCTGTATAAATACTATTTACTAAAGTGGAAGAGAGGTACTCTATTTAAATAAAAATGGAAATGGGAAACTGAAAACAAAAATAAACGAGGTAGAAGATAGGGAGCAAAACATCATTCATTATTACTGACTGCTTTTCCACTCATTGTACCAAATTGGTCTTTGTGGTGTAACGTCGATTTTCTCTTGGCCTATAGTCAAGAAAAACTTGGAAGGTGTAGGAGTATCGTAAATATTTTTAAAGTGCTCGATTCTGAAAAGTGCAATACCGTATTTACCATCAAATGATATCAGCGTACCAGCGGCTTTTTTTCTTTGTCTCAGTTTGGTACTAGCATTGCCGAATGGAGAGTTGCCAAATGGTGATGGTGCGGTAGATTGCAGTGGTTCTGGCTCTTGGTTTTTGGGATCAACCTCTACTTCAATGTCAGGATATTTATCACATTCATTTAATAGTTTAACCGCTTGCTCTGACAAGTTTTCGAATTCAATAGGAATTAGTCTTTTCCTCAGGATACCTGTAGAGTATGTTCTTGCAGTTAGTTCTTGTCCCACATAACAACCTTTGTTATTGCTGACAGTATTAGGAAAATAGTCGAAGTTTAATTCAAGTGGCATCAAACTATCCGGTTGGATGGCATCTGAGCCATCCAAAAACCCATACTGAAGCTTACATTGTTTGAAGAAACTGCTATCCTTTTCCAATTTCTCAAATGTAAAAGGGAAAGCTTCAGAATTGAATGCGTCAAATGCATTATCGACATCTTCAGTAGTTACAATCCTGAAGAATTGTGGTGCTGTACCATCGTTGTTAAGTAATGTTTCTGTTCTTCTCTCAATGTAAAAACCCAATATCTTATTGCTGATTTTGGGAAATAGAGATGTTATAAATGATTCCGCAAACTCATTTGATGCTTCGGCGTTTTTAAGATAGGTAAGAGGCACGTAAACGTTATCTATCCATGGATTTGGATCATTTTGAGTTAATCCTGGAAATGATATGAAGAAATCCCATGTCTTAGTGTTCTTAACTTCTTCAAATTTTATCTTATTATGCAGCTTGTGTGACTCAAAAGATGTTAACATCCGAGGTATTATATCCTTGTCAAACTCTAGCAGATATTCTGGATATAGCTTAATCTTGGCTTCGGTTTGATCGTTTACTACACCAGGAGATGGGTATATTATAGAGTCCGTTACAAGTTTGCCTTTACCATTCAAGAACGCACTATAGATACCAAAGCGTGAGAGATATGGCCCGTTGTGACTTTCGGCGTTATAAATTCCCCAGTTGCCTTTCTTCTCATTGAACTCCGGGGACTCGTTATTATTAGTGTCCTTCTTATTTTTTTCATCACTTACTTCAATTGTAGTTAGATTCTTCTTAACAAAAGTTGGTAATAGCTTTGAAGTAACTAATCCATTGAGAAAACCTATTGTGTCTGGTCCTCTAACCTGTAAGTATGATTTATTAGGTATTTCACCATATACCAGAAGAGCATTGTCCAAATTTGTTGCCTTTATAGAACTTATAAATCTCCGACCACATTGTATAGAAACTGCATTCTTACTTGATCGTGTCAAGTCTAATATTGAGCGTGTTAACGTTTTCATCATTGCATTGCACTTCACTGTTCAAATGGTTTTATAAGGGATTTCAATTTCGGAAAAGCGAAACTGGAAGTTGAAAGTAGTGTTGAATGGATAGTGTTGAATGGATTGGTCGGCTTTCTAGACTATGCAAAGAAGCAAATAGCAACTTATATAATTATCAATCTTGTACATGAAAATTGAACTGGTTAAATGTAGCATTCTCGAGAGAAAATCAGTCTTGTCACTTACTGGTGACTATGTCATTAGTAAGCACGATTTATCCAGAGCGAGGTGACAATAATACAAAACAAATCACATTGATTAGGCAATTAATTACAAATATGTAGAATATTCTTTAAATTTTTGTTTTCTGTATAGAAATCATATTTACTAGTAGATTTGGCTATATATGAAAAATACCCAAGTTAGTAAAGACTATCTTGGATACAATTCATTTTGTGTGGATCTTGGAAATAGAATATAAAAACTGATATGGGGGTTTCATTGAACATCTATGAAACATCAACAAAAGATAATCCAGCTTTTAAGTAGTCTAACATATAGCATATATGCGCAATCTTGTATCAATACAAAATTGAAAGACTTATTCCATCTAAAGCCTTTATAATAAGGAATATTAACAAATAAAGATCGAACAAGATAAATTAAAGGTAACAGTAGAGGGAATATGATGTCTTTCAACATTCGCCAATAATTATTCTGATAGAAAGTTGGATCATCCTCAAAGAGTACCCGGCTAATTCAATCAAAACTCGAATAATTGGCTAATGCGCAGAGGGGAAAATGTCGAAAACCTTGAGATATTCACAGATAATTCCTTTCCTTATGGTATTGTTGATATTATCTAAATCATGATATCAAGTGGCCCTTTAGGTAAAGTAATAAAACTGCAAAAGCTAGGTCAAAAATTGTGGATGCCAAAAAATTTACAACGAGAACAAAATGTACAATAGTCGATTAAAACAAGGGAAAAAAAGTCGAGAGTATAAGTCTCGATTTTCATTCTGTTTTACCAACTTATGAAGCTTCAGCAGCCAACTTTTCAGCCTTAGCAACGACATCTTCAATACCACCGACCATATAGAATGCATTTTCTGGAAGATCATCGTACTTACCTTCCAAGACAGCCTTGAAAGAGGAGATGGTGTCCTTCAATCTGACCAGCTTACCTTCGATACCGGTGAAAACTTCAGCGACAGCGAATGGTTGGGACAAGAATCTTTGGATCTTTCTTGCTCTTTCGACGGTTAGCTTATCTTGTTCGGACAATTCATCCATACCCAAAATGGCGATGATATCTTGCAGAGACTTGTAAGTTTGTAAAGTTTCTTGGACCTTTGTGGCGACGTTGTAATGCTCTTCACCGACAACGGCAGCGTCTAGCAATCTAGACTTGGAGTCCAATGGGTCGACAGCTGGGTAGATACCCAATTCTGAGATACTTCTGGACAAGACGGTGGTGGCGTCCAAGTGCGCGAAAGTAGTGGCAGGGGCAGGATCTGTTAAATCATCTGCAGGCACGTAGACGGCTTGGACGGAAGTGACGGAACCCTTCTTTGTGGTGGTAATTCTTTCTTGCAACAGACCCATATCGGTGGCCAAGGTTGGTTGATAACCGACGGCGGATGGGATACGACCTAGCAAAGCGGAGACTTCTGAACCGGCTTGGGTGAATCTGAAAATGTTGTCGACGAACAGCAGGACATCTTGACCTTCTTCATCTCTGAAGTATTCTGCGATGGTCAAACCGGTCAAGGCGACTCTGGCTCTGGCTCCTGGTGGTTCGTTCATTTGGCCGAAGACCAAGGCGACCTTAGAGTCACCTTCCAAGTTGATGACACCGGTTTCCTTCATTTCTCTGTACAAATCGTTACCTTCTCTGGTTCTTTCACCGACACCTGTGAACACGGAGAAACCACCGTGAGCCTTTGCGATGTTGTTGATCAGTTCTTGGATGAACACGGTCTTACCGACACCGGCACCACCGAACAGGCCGATCTTACCACCTCTGGCGTAAGGGGCTAGCAAGTCGACGACCTTGATACCTGTTTCCAGGACTTCGGCGGCGGTGGACTGTTCTGCGAAGGAAGGAGGGTCGGCGTGGATAGGCTTTCTCAACTTTGAGTTGATTGGGCCACGCTCGTCGATAGGTTCACCGATAACGTTGATGATTCTGCCCAGGGTCTCTCTGCCGACAGGGACGGAGATTGGGGCACCTGTGTCGACGACCTTCTCGCCTCTGACCAGACCTTCGGTACCGTCCATGGCAATGGTTCTGACGGTGTTTTCACCCAAGTGCTGGGCGACCTCCAGGACCAGTTTCCCCTGTGGGGTCTTGATCTCCAGAGCGTTCAGGATAGCTGGCAAGTTGGACTCTTCGAATTGGACATCGACGATAGCACCAATGACAGCACTAACTTTACCAGAGGCTAGAGCAGCAGTAGAGGCGAATCTCACTGGGGAGTTGAATTTGGAGGCCATCCTAGCAGCTTGCAAAGCAGCACGGGAGGATGGCGCAGCGTATAGTCTAGGCAATACCATTGTTAATAGTTGAGCTTAGAGTTGTTGTTACAAGTCTGAAAAAAAAAAACAATTTTTAGCTTATTATGTATCTATGTATCTTACAAGATAGAGGTTATTATATATATAGTTTATTCGAGGGATTGGGAAGTGAAAGCTAATTGGTCTCAACTGAGTGTCTCTCCTACTTGCATTTTGCACTGGTACTCACACTCCAGCACTCTAAGCACTTCATTGCCAACACCACCGTAAAGCACTTCCCTGCGAAGGAGAGGCAGTCCACATCGCAGTTTCGCAGTTTGTATGGCAGAGAGGCAGAGAGGCAGAGAGGCAGAGAGGCAGAGAGAGTTAGAGCGTAAACAAACGCAGTGCTAGCTGAAGAGCCCTTCCCAGTATACAGGGCAGAGAAAAGGGTGAGTTGGGAAATCCTCGAATCCTATTGGATGAAGGGCAGAGAGAGACGGAGAGACGGAGAGACGGGAGAGACGGCAGAGAGTGACGGGAACTTGGCGGGGGGGAAGTACGCATGCACGGGTTGTGTCAGTGTGTACGTATATACCACCTGATATACGTGAGAAAGTAGTTCATATCACTATTTCCTTGTTATCACTCGAGCCACGAGACCCTGTTCGTATACCGCAACACACATCCATTGAGGATAAATGATTTACGTTTCTTTTTGTATTGTGCCTTCGAAAGTTGTCTGTGCGCCCTGTCCGTGCCCTGTCTGTGCCCTGTCCGTGCACTCCATTCTAAGTCGAGGCCCAAATACGTCACTTACTTTGCCATTCAAGGAATAGTAATTAGATGTTAGTTGTTACATTTGTATCTATAAAAGAGTCTACTTAGAGTCTACTTAGACTCTCCTTACAACCTCTTCACAACCGCTTCACAGCCTCTTTACAACCCTTCTATGTATGCTATGGAGGTGCCTGTGGTATACCCTACTGAGGAAGAGTTCGCCGATCCCATCGATTACTTGAATCAGCCCGCTCTGCGGCGCCTGGGGAAGGTCTACGGGATGGTGAGGATAGTGCCCCCCGCGGGGTTCAACCCGCCGCTGGCACTGGACAAAGCCAGGTTCAAGTTCAAAGTGCGGTGGCAGAACCTTAACGAGCTCCAGCTGCTGAACAGGGCCCGCTTGTTCTTCATAAACAACTTGAACACTTTCAACAGGCTGAAGGGACACCCTGCCCACTTGGAGCACACATATGTGCGCGTCGCCACTGCAAGGCTGCACCTGTACGACCTATACATCCACATCATGCAGAGGAAGGGACTGCTGCCCACGAAGTCGGTGCTCGTCGACAAACCGCTGTGGAGGTCCTTCCTTTCAAGGAACAAGCTCAGCCACACGGTGTCCCCAGAGCAACTCGTACAGGTGTTCACTTCTTACCTGCAGGACTATTACTCATACCTCTACAGAATGTACAGGAAAACTGGCTCCGGCAGCATATACAATGCAATGTTGTACAAGGAGGCCATACCACACTCTGCACTGCAAACCAATGACCTGGATTCACAGGATGATCAGGATCACCAGGACAACCAGGACAACCAGGATGACAGGAATGAACAGGGTGAAGAAACTCTACGAACTCAGGAACCTACGCCAGACGAACCAGTACACCATATGGCCAGGATGTCCGCCGCTGTGGGAGCTGATGACTCCGAACTGCAGGACTGGTGCCCCATATGTAAACATATCCCGAAAGATAACGAACTAGACGACGTCTCTTACTGTGACAGTTGTAGCCAGATCTTCCACAACAGGTGCATCAAAAATAATAACTACTTGAACAACGCCAGTGGAGAATGGATCTGTAATAATTGTATTATTGGAAACGGATTTTATGGGTTCAAATACAGCACACACTACTTTACACTGAAAGAATTTGAACAGAAGTACGGGACAGATGAGAGCCCGGATGTGGATAAGCTTGAAAAGGAATTCTGGGATCTAGTGGGTAACCAGGACGTGAAGACCACAGTTCCTTATGGCGCCGATATTCATAGCGAGGACCCAGCTGAATTGACTGGCTTTCCAACTAACGATAAAACTTATAGCACACACCCAATGAACTTGCTTAACCTGCCCCAGGCTAGTAGTTCGCTGCTGCCATTCCTGAATAGAAACATCTCGGGTATGACAATCCCATGGATATATGTAGGCTCGAAGTTTTCAACATTCTGTTGGCATTTGGAGGATCAATACACGTTAAGCGCAAATTATCAACATGAGGGTTCACCCAAGGTTTGGTACAGTATACCAGATAACTCCTGTGACAATTTTCACAAGCTACTACATGATTTGACCCCTGATCTTTTTGAGAAACAACCTGATCTATTACATCAGTTGGTCAGTCTTATCTCACCGTATGACCCATTGTTCAAGAAATATAATGTCAAGTGGTATAAGGCGGTTCAGCATCCTAACGAATATATAGTAACATTCCCAAAGTGCTACCATGCAGGTTTCAATACGGGGTATAATATTAATGAGGCTGTTAACTTCACGAGCGAATCGTGGCTACCTTATGGATTGGAAGCCATATCAGACTATCAACTTACGAAGAAAATGCCTGTGTTTGATATGTATGAGTTGATGGTGAATATTCTAGTAATGTATTATCGTGATAATTTGCCGTCTCCAGTAAGCGATGCTTTCTTACAACACTGCCACCATGAACTCTTATCATATATCAACAAGGAAACAAGAAATATTTTTTCGGTAATGCCATTTATTGCACAAGAGAGACTTCTGCATGTTAGTAATCAATTACATCTTGATAGTGAAGATACCAAAGAATACATACAGGAGGATGACGAAGATGGTTTCTTTTGTGCTAGTTGTTCTACTATGTGCTCTTTTGTATTTGTATTACAGTGCAAACTTGATAGGTCTAGACATGCTAAAAGAAGAAAGACTACAAATAACGATAACCACTTATTGAAGGTTCGAGAATTTAAAAAACATCTTGAAGAAGATTCTGATTCCCAAGTGCTTTGCCTGACCCATTTCTTGGAATGTAAAGACAAATCAGAAACTATCAACAGTTTAATCTCTCTCAGAGAATTTAACGAACTCCATCATATCCTTAAGTTATCTGGTAATAAGATGGATGGAATAAAATGACTTTGCGGTCAAACAAACATATGATACCCATTTTCAAATTTATGATTTTGATAATTTACAGCTTGTAACAATTTAATATTAAAACATGCCATTTGATTGCAACATGATATTCATTTCACTAATATTAATACATCCCGGAATCGAATACACAAATGACACTTTTTTATAAATAATAGTTCTATATAATTTTGTTTAATAATGAAATTTTTTTAATGTTTTGGTCTCACGAACAGCCTATTACATTTAGGTCGGCATTCATATTCAGTAACCTCTTTCAAATAAATCAACTTAACAGAGGCAAAAAAGCCAAAATACACAAGAGCATAGTATACTTAACAGACTATCATAAAAGGTTAGTGGTATTCAAAGGATACAAAAAGCAGAGCAGCCTGGTTATAGATATATTGCTTTATCAAGGAATAGAGATTCGCATTACTAGAACAAAATGGGAATTTTATCAGCGCAGAACTTAATATTGTTGAGAAGTGCACTACTTCTCACTATTGCATTCTTTTGCATAAAGAATGTTAACAGTATATTACAGAATTCATTTTTCCTTGTGTTATCTCAAGCAATGGAGCTTCCAGCTCTTTCAATGTCCCAATATAGTGGTCAATTAGGTATGTTCAGTATGCTATTCTTCTTTGCTGCTCTTAATGACCTGGTACCGCTAATGGAGGACAACAAAACATACTTCCGTTCAATCGTTCCTGTCAGATTGACAGTCTTCTTCATCATTGGTGCCATTGCATATCTATGGACTGAGAACCTATACTTTCACAACAATGCCGTATTTATCTACTGCTTTATTGAAATATGGATTAATTTCCTTCTACTTAATGCTGTTAGGGAAGAACGTAATGAAGAGTTTAAGAGAGAGCACAGATTTATGAACGATGATTTGATTGAGGAACCTGCCCCTTTCGAAAAAGCAGAGTAGATAAACTGTTATCAAAAAAGATACTATATTGAATGGCCTGCAGTTCTGTATGTCATAATTGCATAAAAAATATTGTTGCATAGAAATTTAAAGGCAATTGATACATCAATATATTATATATATAAATAGAGTCCGATAACATCAAAAAAGTTAAAATCAGATAAGTAAGCCATAAAACATCGTATACTTGAAGAACTGAAAACGTCATATAACATTAGTCTTGCTTTTTACTTGGAGATGCCATTTTCTTGGCAATCTTAAGCATCTTAGAGAACCATAAAACATTGAGTAAACTCATGGTGATATTTAGTGAAAGAACCACTGCACCAGCCAAATATGGTAGCTCATATCTAGCTCTCCAAAACTGTCTTAGTAATAATAGATTACAGCTCCAGCCCCAAACTATACGGACACCAAAGAATGTTAGCAATAATAATAGACCATTTATCATATTCAACCAATTAGGAATTACTGGACCGGATGAAGATTTATGTTTGTGGTTTAATTGAATCGTGTACCAGTTCATGTTGACAAATGGGGTACTAGCTTCAAATAGCAAGTACTTACCTACCCATGGTTGGCAAAATGGTGTTAAAATAGCTAACATCACTACCAATGACCCCACGGCATGGAATAAGAACTCAAACCCGTAAATTGAGAAGTGACGTAAACATAGCGCTAGATCCCATACAAAATAGCCACAACTTAGAGCGCTGACCATTGAGCACCATGGATTTACATAAGTAGCAATGTTTAGATCAAATGGTAGAGCCAAGACCGGAAGCAAAATAGCAATAGATATCACTGCCTGGATCATTGACACCGTGTGCACATCAAAGTCCAGTTTAAGCTTCTTATCTGTTATATCAGAGTAGTGTTTGCCAAAAAAGTACCTGTTTATTTTTGGTGCGATAGTATACTGACAGACTTGGTAAAAGATGAAAGCGTATACTATCTCATGTAAATGCGCAAGCCACAGGTTATCTAGTCGATCAGGGTACCACGACAAACCGAACAGAGGCTCATAGTACCCAGCAGCAACGGTATCGTTTAGGGAAGACATAACTGGTTATTGAGTAGAAACAAACAGAAATGGTCAGTAATATTCTGTTAGGATAGCCTTGATGATTGGTATTTCTTTGGGTATCAGATTCTTTCAACACCAAAAAATGCAAAACCAGAATTCCCAAGAAATCACCAACTATTTATATCCTTTTAGGTTACAAAACTACTACTGTATAGAACCTATATATTACCACTTTCATGATGTACCTTGGCAGTGACTGTTTATGCACATGCACTCACTCATCGGTTGAGTTGAGTTGAGCCCATTGTTACGTTGTTGGGATCAACGGGTTTTGTGTTTCTTTGCGAAGGCAACTTCACAACAAAACAACGCGATGAGCAAAGCAATTCAACAATAAGAACCAAGAAACATAGAGGAGGAGTAGGGGGTGAATCAATGCCTTTGTTGAGTGGATTGGCTTGTGGTGTCTGATCGATAAATGGGTAATTGATAAGTAGTTGCATTGTGGAGACTCGATTGAGTGAGGCGAAGTGAAATACATAGTGAGATAAAAGCTACGAAGCGAATTGACCTTTGCATGATATGGTGGATACGGATGATGGTGCCAGTGTAGGTGGGCTGAAAGGTGTATATAAGTGGACAGTGGACGCGCTGTTTGGTAGTGGGGTATCTCCAAGCGCGAAATATAGAGGGTTGAATCACGGGAGTTCACGGCAGAGGTATTCACAGGATGACACTAATTATTCGAGGTATAAGCCTCTGAGTTCAATGAGGTCGAGGTCGAGGTCCAATTCTTGGTCTGTACCAGTGCCTCAGGATCCCTCATTTTATAAGAGGTATGATCTTTTACCTCCTATTTCAAGTGATGATGAAGATTACAGTGAGGAAGATAAATTACAATATGGTGCTAACTCGAATAGAGGATCACCAATGGTCAAAGGTCTTATGAACCCAGCGCCAGTGGTACCGAAACAACAAAACAACGGATATGGAGAATTTGATAGAAGAAGTACAAATCCGTTATTCACAGACCCTACGGACACCTTCGCCAGAAGAAAAACATCAAGCAGTTTGATGAACAACTATCGTTCAAGTACTGAGGGTATCGGAGATACAGCATTTATTGAGGAAACTAGAAATATAAACATCAATGGTAGAGACCCTCTTATTGCCAAACTATTTGGAAGGATTACATCTCCCAAGAAGATGGCAAATTTGCCTGGCAAATTCCCTTCTCCTGCTAAGGCTACTCTTGACTCAAATAGAAGGAGAAAAAACTCTGTGCTTCACTCAATTGGATCAGGCCGCGTACGAGAAACTTCTACTAGTTTAGATGACAAAAAAATCCTTAGTGAATATATGGACATCATATCTGATCTGGATAGAAACAATGAAAACCTATCAGCGCTAAGTGAACAAGTTGAAGATAGAAATCAAAGGTATGAAGAAATTGATACTGAGTATAAGAAGAAGTATTATGATATGCGGAACGAATTGATTAAGGAACTAAAACAGTCGAAAAAGACACATGACAATTATTACCTGCTCTACAATAAATACAAAGAACTAAAAGAAATGGCAAGTGAATCCAATAGACTAAAATCTACGATATATAATTTGGAGTCAGAGATATTGGAACAGGGTGTTTCGAAGAATAGAGAGATTCAGAATCTGAATGAAAAGATTTTGAAGCTCGAGAGTAGATGTCAGGAGCTCGAAGCAGAGAAATTGTTGGAGAGAGATAAATACGAATTACGGATAGCCAGCCTAGAGGCCAAGCTCCGTGAACAAAACATCTCAAATGGTAAGAATTATTTCAGTGATTACAGCTATTCTCATAGATCGAGAGAGTTTTCACCAGACAACTACCGTTATCTTAATAATTACTTTTCAGAAGAGATGTCAGACTTTGATGCAGACATTCCATATAAGAATGGTCGCTGAGTAAACTGAGGTAAAATATCGCCATATTCTTTATATTTGAATCATCCACGCTTTTACAATAATTGGATATATATGTTTCAAATATAGTTGTAACAATAACGTAACATTTATAATACCAATGTAACCATATAAAATTGTTAGTTTGCTTCCTTATAATAGTTGCCATACCAGTAGTATGCAGCGAATATTGGGTTGGTGATTAGAGTTGTTTTCATCACTGGTATACACATATTTTTGAACGAGTTACCCATCTACAGTTCAGCATTCCCAAAGAAACTGGATTTTGAAAAAAAAAAAAAGTGTAATAGCTAAAAACACTAATAATAGGCAATTTGTGATGTGATGAGCTTTAAATTAGCAGCTATATTTGGGAATAAGAGCGTGTAACTGATAAGTTACTGATATATTCTTATTTCTTGGCAAGTGTTAACTGCTTGTTGGCTTTCAATTCACTCTTTCAAGGGGTATTTCGGACTTAACTTGGCCTTGTCAAGGATTTGGTTGGCGATACTGAACTCTCAATATATTTTGCTGGCAAAAAAGTTGTGAGAAGGACAGCATAGGGTCACAAGTATTTTCGTTTATTGGCTTAAAATTCTACCTGACGATTCAAGAATAGGCAATTCATTTGGCATTAGTGACTTAACAACTTAAATTGATTAGGCGTGTTTGATCAACTATTATTCATTTTAGAGATTATAAACCAGGAGTATTGGATCACCAAATATTTTATACGATAGTTTAAGTTGGTGTGAATTGGTGCATATTATAGCGAACTTTCAAATATAGAGAATGACGGCAGTGCAACCGCAAATGAGAGCCATGACACCATCTTTTACAGGTTCTGGAGGGACATTGACTAATGGAAATTCAGCATTATTTGTGAAAAATGCAGTGGGTACACCAATTTCTATGATTGATAGTAATCAACTCAATGACATACCCTCGGCTGGTAATTACAACAGTAGCAATTTGACATCAAACCTTAAATTAAAAGAGTCATTAATTGAGGACCAGCGAGTTGATATTAGCTCTATGATTGAGGAAATAACTGGCATACTTGGAAGAGATCAATGGACCAAGTATGCACAGATTCTAAGTTTATTTATCTTAGGGAAACTTTCTCGAAAAGAACTAGTTAATGAATTGGATATTTTATTTTCGGGTTCTAATAATATGAAACCTAAAATGATGAGGCTTCATAATCATTTACTATTAGGAATACTTGCCAACTCATTGAGAGAAAATCCCTTGACTATGATTAAGAATGGAAGCTGGGGGTTTGGTAATGGGACTAATGCCAATGGCAAACAATCTAAGAAAGGTAACAAACATAACTCTCAAATTGAATTATATAAAAAGATTGTAATGTCTTTGCCAATTGAGGATAGAAATAGGATCAAATCAATAACGAAAGATGCTGGTAAGAGAGGATTTGTATTTTGCTCAGTGTTACAATCTAGATTAAATAATATACCAAAAATTCCGATAGTAACAAATGCAGATACATTAAAAAGGATAAAGAATGACAATATGAAAACACCATTAGAATGGTCACAAGATATAATGAATGGCTTTGGTGCACCTCTAGCTAGTGAAAGTTACTCATTGCCAGATACTGATTCCTTTTATTTAAGAATAGTGGGTATTGCTCGAGAACATGGTATTGTTGGTAACATTGATGCCGGATGTATTGATCTGATATCGTTAGCACTGGATGTTTATCTGAAAAATATAATAGAAATGGCCATTGACACAGTTAGATACAGAAAGAAGAAGTATTCTGATTATTATGACCTAGATGACTTTGGAACTTATCAAGCTGTCTCCAGTGGTACAGATACTAGCAAAGATGCTAAAGATGATATTATGGAAATAGAAAGGAAGAGAACTATTTCTTTAACAAATGAAGATATATATACGTCTTTATCTTTATTTCCAAATATGGCCGATGCTTCGGGAGCATATTACAATGCAATGAACTTGGGTTTGGTCAATGATGATGAATTAGTGATTAAGAGTAGTTCTATTGATGATTTACCGGATTTCCTCGAAGAAAAGCCGTTTTTTACCCCTGTAGATGAGAAAAACATTGGTACGCCTACGGAATTAAATTGGTTAATTCGTGATATACTTACCGAAAACTAAGCCATGAGTTTTCATCATCATCTGCATATATTGGATACAAGGGACAAATTTATGAATACTTTCACTTCTATGTGCATTTGGCACAGGTACTGATGAAACTAGTCATGAAGAAAGCCTTCTTTTTTCCGATGCCATTGTTAATATATTTAGGGACGTTTGTATTATAAACTTATATACTGAAGGTTTTGATTATGATCAAATATTGGACAATCTTTATAATTTTTACTTGCCTTTTGGATTCCTGATGAAAGAGAGATGACTTGAGAGTTTCAGAATGTCATATACTTCAGCTGAATGATCTATTTGAAACACAAACGCTGATTTAGTATCATGAAATATTTTCTTGAGAACTATTTCAAGTGGGGAGTTCAAGTTAGATTCTGTACCTGTTGATCTCTTGAGTATTGGATAGATGCTAGGCTGATAAATCTCTATAAAATAGAAGTCAATTGGTATTGGCTCAATGTCTTGCAGACAAAAAAATTGAAACTTAGACAAGCCAATTCCATTTTGGTGATTAAGTTGGGAGTATTTCTTTTTAATTTGTAGTTTGTCGGTGATTTCATCTAGAGTTATCAGAGTCGATCCTAAACTTATTGTGCTTTCTTCGATCTTTAGCTTGATTTCTACATCTTTTCCACCATCCTTATTATTTGATAATAGATCCTGTGAGTCAGCATTATCTGACAACATAACATACTGTAATGTAATGACAAATTTATCAAAATAATTATTTTTGAAGAATGCTAAAAGTTTCTCGAATGTATTCGGAATATTAGAAGATCCAACTGAAAATAAGTTAAAGTTCTCTCTTCTTTTCAAACAAAAGTCAATATAAACGTGTAGATCTTCCTTAAATAAGTCTTTGTTTTGATGAGAAAAATTCTGTATTAATTTTGTAAATTTGTATGTTTTGTGGTTTTTCATGTCCTCTATTGATTCATCCGAGTAGTTAACAATCAATTTTTCACTTATTTCATCTTCAATAATGTTAGCAAAAAGCCGAGCACAACCTTTTAATTCAGTAATTGAATTGAGGAGTCTCCTTCTTCTAGACAGTTCTTCACCTAACGTGTCATATACTTCGTTGTATTGTTGTTCGTTATCTATAGCTTTTATTTTCATCCCTTCAATATCATTTTTCAGAAGTACAAATGAGTTTTGATATTCTTTAATTTTATTTTCAACCGGTTCAATTTCAGCATTGAGTTTATCGACTTGTAATTGCTTGTCCATAACTATGCGTTCCAACTCACTCTGTTCTTCTGCTAGTGTTCGTAGTTGAGAGTTTTTTTCGGTTTTGATATTCTGAAGTTCCGCCATCGTACTTTCCAGATTTTTTGATTGACTTTGAAGCTCTTCAAGAGATGTTGAGTTTTTCTTCTTATATTCTGAAAATGAAACCTGGAGTTTCTGTTTATATAGGATAAGATCGTTATCATTTTTAGCAATTTTATCTTCTAGATTCTGTTCTGTGGAAGAAAGGGTATGTTTCAAGTTGTTTATCTGATTTATTAGTTCATCTTCAGGGGGCATATTCCTCAACTCTTCTATTTTTTCTCGCCATGCATTCTGTTGTTTTTCAAATATCTGGCTAAACTCTGCAGCTTTTTGTTCAATAACTTCTTTATACTTGTTCTCAATTTCTGTCAATTCAGCTAGATTCTTAGATGATAAAGCAGTTTTTTCCTTCTCTAAGGCCTCAAAGTTTAAGTTAATTTGATTAACTGTCTTCTCTAGCTGACTTAGCAAACCAGTTCTCTTTTGAACTTCATACTTTAAGTTTGGTATGTCTTTTCGTTGATATTTATCAATCTTTATTTGTAGATTCTTGTCAGTTCTTACAAACTTCTCATTCTCTCTGATTAACTGATTCAATTGTTTCCTCTTCAGGCCACGTTCTAGGGTATTTTCCTCTTTATTGCCGCTAACCTTATTGGTTATGTTTTCCAACTTTCTATATTTGATTCGATACATCAAATGATTACCAATTTCTCTTTATTACCACAAATGCTTATTCAGAAACCCTATTATAAAGTTGGTAAATAATTTAGCCACCTGAAGCCTAATACAATAAACAAATATTTCTCGACAGGGACATCCAAACCTGTAGCTATGGCGTGAATTAGTTTCCCTAAATTGTTTGAATTTTAGTACATATATAGGCCAGTATTTGAGGGCTGACGGTGTAGGGTAACGCTTTATATCAAGTACAGTCTATCTGACCACTGGTTACTAGTTGCTCATCGCCCTCTTTGTTTACTTTTGAATCATTTGGCGATTTTTCGCGGTCGATATAAGAATTGGTCACGTGATTTAAACTTTACCTGTATATCTTAAATTAAGCTCTTGGTCAAGGTCAGTCTAGTCTTCTATCAAAGTTTGTCTGTCAATTTTATTTTTATCAAGTATTACTTCTCTATCAAGAAATTAGCTTCTTTTTATCATTTCAATTGCAGGGTCCCCTTCCGTTACACTGACTGTGAAGTTTTGGAGTGGTATTTCTAATTATATTTTAGATTATAAACAAGAATAGGATTATACTATATTTAATTGAAAGGTAGAAATTATATTATAGCATTTCGTTTTGGAAGTAGAGTAGTGACCTTATTAGTTGACATGAGGTAAGGGAAGAATTATAAATAATGTCAATTTGTTGTCCTTCTGCTGGCGATATAATTTACAGCAGGTTTTGCCTAAACGTCTATCGAGCATGATAAAAATGAGAGATTCTATGCCAGGATCATAATCTCAAACAGATATGTGTTCTCTCACTTTTTTATTTTCCTTTTTTTATGAGACTGACAGTTCTGGACATACTTGTCCAATGTCTTGGTGAGAAATAAATATGCAATAGTTTTAGGTTAAACTTTTTGATTTGTGCACATTTTGGTGCTTTCATACATATTGTTCAACTTAAACATTTTTTTTAAAGTGCTTATACTGACCAAAGCAGGTATTTCATTGGTTGAAGTCGTTGTTACTAACGTTCCTGGTCATAGCAGGTAATGCAACTCTAATGCCATCGATATCCTTGGACATCTTTACTTGGCATCCAAGTCTACTGGTCTCTGTTAGTCCATATGCTAAGTCAAGCATATCATTCTCGTCATCTTCGGGCTCTGGGATGGCGTCGTAGTAATCTGGATCGACAATAACATGGCATGTTGAACAAGCACATGAACCACCGCATGCACCTTCCATATCCAAGTTATTGGCCTGTGCAATGTCCAGCAATGTGTCGCCATCGGCAACTTCGTATGTCTTCTGCGATCCATCTTTAAGTATGTAAGTGACGTGTAGTTCTTCACCTGGGTTAGGTTTCTTTATATGTCCATGACTCAACATCATAGAAGTAGAAAATAGTCTGGCAGAGCTTTGCCATAGAGGTCTGTCGGCGAATCTTCTGCTCAAACCGATATTTCTGGATATTGGTACAATGCTTCTCCTGAGTATATGCTGCATAGTTTTGCAATTTCAACTATTTTCTTTGATTCGACCCTCAGTTAATTAACACCTGGCAAAGGAAAAAGACAACTTAATCCAGATAATAATCACAATACGTATGCTCTGAAAATGAGAGAGTAATGCCTGATAAAACCGACCAGAATAATACTGTAACAGTTATATATTCTATCACTCGTCAGGACATCTTACTAAGTTAGTTATTAACTAAAACTTGTTCGTTGATGCCAGAGCTGATGACTTTTTGCAGAAAGCTTACAAATCGTCTGCTCAGTGCGAAAATGCGATTCTCGGTCTACAATAAGCAGAGAAATCGCGCACAAACGGAGTTTAGAGAAGTCATTTGGGAAATAATATCCAGTTAGCAAGCTGGGTGATGAGCTTTTTGCATGCGAAAGCAAGAGGTGTCTGGTAAGCTGGAATTGTAGTTGTTAAAAATTATACTGAGTAATGGAGAAGGAGAAGGGGTGTCTGCAGATGATCGGTGTGCATATGTGCCAAATTCTCACTATTCAGGCTGAAAGTACATTGTAAAGAAAAAATATGGTGAAACTAACCTTAATGTTGGTAAAAAAATTACGTTGCCTATGTGATTAGTTTGCGTTATTTTGCTACGCCTTGGTGTATTTCTAAACAAAGCAAAAAAATATGATACATTTAACATTATTTATATATGAAACTAACATTGAAATTCTGGGCTACAAGACTATGTATTTGGAAGTAGAGCCCAATATAGAGAATTGTTAACAATTTTTTTCTAGAAATTTAAATACAGCAACTGATTGGAGCCACAGATATCATACTTAGTCGGTCAGTGTAGTATGGGCATTAATCTATCTAAAAGTGGCATGCCAAATCAGAGTTGGCATTTGTAGCTAATTCATCATCAACGATGTCATCGCCAAAGGATAAGTTTTGCATCTTTTCTCTCAACCTCTCCATCAATTTGGTTTCAAGGATATGTTCAGCATTGGCACCAACATAGGCGGTGTAGGCATTTTCAAACTTGTCCTTGCTATCGCATTCTTCGGCTAGTTCCAACTTGGTTGATTCGACATTAACCAATGACTTTGTGCTCTTACGTCTACGCTCGTCCTTCATCTTTGGAGTACCGTCAGCAAATCCACCTTTTGGTACATTTTCCTTTAAGTTCTTCTTATCCAAAGACTTAGTACAATAGATACCAACTTCACTGATCCACTTAGCAACCAATGAAGTCCAACCAGTTTGGTGAGAAGCACCAAGACCTCTACCAGTATCACCATCAAAGTATTCAAAGAAGGGGATTAGATCCTTGAAGTGTGGGTCCTTAGACAAGAAGTCAGCTTCAATGTCACCGTGAACTGGACGCAAGCCAGTCTTTTGGTCAGGCAAGAATAATTTGACCATACGAGAAGACAATTCATCAGCAACTTGAGATAAGTTTAGGAACTTACCAGAACCAACAGGACATTCAACCTTGAAGTCAGAACCGTAGTACAAATGGAATCTTTGCAATGATTCAATGATCAAGAAACTAGTGGAGAACCAGATTGGACCTCTCCAGTTAGAGTTACCACCAAACATACCGGAGTCGGATTCACCAGGTAAGTATTGAACCTTATATTGAACACCATGAACATTCATTTCGAAAGGATGCTTCTCATGGTATTTAGACAAAGATCTGATACCATAATCAGATAAAAATTCAGTTTCGTCTAGCATACGCTTCAAAATTGCTTCCAATCTATCCTTAGTGACCAAAGACAGTAGTAATCTCTTACCCACACCTTCTTCAGACATAGAAGCAACATTTCTACCAAAGATCTCCTTCTTGTTCTTGACAAACCAATCGACACGCTTTTTAAAGCCCTTGAACTGTAAGATAATAGAAGGTTCTAAAGTCATGGATGCATATAGTGGGATCAAACCAACCAGGGATCTAATTGGTAGCTGTTCTCTGTGGTCTCCACCCCATGAAATGGCATCATAGTAGAATTTATCGTTTTCATTCCACAAGTTTTGCTTAATGATTTCACCATTATCCAAGTCCTTTTGATACTCGAAGGACATGGAGTCACTAATCAAAATGAAATGTTCGAAGAACTTGGAGGCAATATCTTCATAGGCTGGGTTAGTTTTGGCCAATTCCAAAGCAATGTTCAGCATTTGTAATGAGAAGAATGCCATCCAACCAGTAGAGTCAGCTTGTTCCAGAGTACCACCAGTTGGCAATGGTTCGGATCTGTTAAAGATACCAATGTTATCTAGACCTAAGAAACCACCTTCGAACAAGTTCTTACCGTTAGCATCCTTACGGTTAACCCACCAGGTGAAATTCAGTAGCAACTTTTGGAAGACACGTTCCAGGAAGTGACGATCTTCACGGTTATATAGAGACTTTTCAATCTTGAATACACGGTAAACTGCCCAAGCGTGGACTGGTGGGTTGACATCATTGAAGTTCCATTCATAGGCAGGAATTTGACCATTTGGATGCATATACCATTCTCTAGTTAGCAAGTCTAGTTGTTTCTTGGCAAAGTCAGGATCAATCATGGCCAAAGGAATACAGTGGAATGCAGTGTCCCAAGATGCGAAGAAAGGATATTCCCATTTGTCAGGCATAGAAAGGACATCTTCGATGTACAGATGTTGCCAGTTGCTGTTTCTACCATTGGCTCTGTTTTGTGGAGGACGAGGCTTAATATTTGGATCACCTTTGAACCATTCATCGAAGGTCAAGTTGTAAAACTGTTTGGTCCAAAGCAGACCTGCGAATGCTTGTCTTTGCACATTTCTCAATTCCTTGTCAATTGGGGATGGGTTAACTCTCCAGTAAAAGTTATCAGCTTCTTCCTTTCTGTTGTCGAAAGTGGTGTCGAAGATATCTTCGTCAATGACAGCCAAGTCCTTGGATGGGAAGATAGTGTTATCGAAGTCGTTAGTGAACTTGTATCTGACAGTGACAGATTCACCAGCTGGAATGTTCTTGAAGTGATAGACGGCACCGGCTTTAGAACCCTTGTGTTCTGGGTTACATAGCTTCTTGTTTCCGTGGACCAAGTATTCTTCGAAAGCGTCCTTAGAGTAAGGGGATGGGTTCTTTTTGTCATTGAACAATTTAACCAAGTTAGGCTCGTTATCTGTGAACAAAAGCTCTGGTTCGACATCTTCGCCTTCCTTGATGTCTGGGGAAGGTTGGAAGACGATTTTCTGTTTTCCGAACTTCTTGTGGAACAAATGAACCAAGTTGTTGGCGTGGGCATCCTTTTCCAATCTTGGCATGTTCTTCTTGGACTCAGCATCCCAAGCCCAGGTGTTTCTGTAGAAGATCTGTGGGGTAACGTACAGCTCGCCTGAGTCCTGGTTGCTTCTGTTGTGGACGGTGATTCTGAAGTTCAAGTCGTCAGGGTTGCTGTCGCTCTTTGCCATTTCGAAGTAGACGTCGAAGTAAGGGGTGTCGCCGGTGGCCTTATCATGGAACAAGCCGTCGACTTCATGGACTTCGAACTCACGGTCCTGGTAGCCACGTTCGGCGTTCTTCTGGACCAATTCTTTGTAAGGGAAGGCCTTCTTGAAAGGGTACTTGTACAGGGCCTTCATGTACGAGTGGGTAGGTGTGTTGTCCAGGTAGTAGTACAACTCCTTGACGTCCTCACCGTGGTTACCTTGGTGTCCCGTAAGACCGAAGAGACGCTCTTTCAACCTCTCGTCCTTACCGTTCCACAAGGCGACGTTCATACACACCAGCTGCTTGTTGTCACTGACACCAAAGAGACCGTCCTCACCCCATCTGAAGACACGGGCGTTGGCGTGCTCGAATGGGAAGTGCGACCAGGCGTCACCGTTCTGGGAGTAATCCTCACGCACAGTGGCCCAAGCTCTCTCACTCAAGTAAGGACCCCACCTGTACCAGTACTTCTCATGCTTGCTGTTCTCTTCCAACCGCTTCTCCTCGACGGTGGTGTTCACCAGCTCTTCTCTCAATTGATTCATTCTTCTCGTGGTTGTGCTTCTTCCAGGAAGGTATATGTATTTACAAAAAAAAATTGATCAGTTTATATAGTCCCAATGGGGAGTGCAAACGATACGAGCGAGTGCATTGCACTGTTACTCTGCCCTGTACACTGCCCTGTACACTGCACTGTACATTGTACTGCACAATGTGTAAAGTACAGTGCAGTACAGTGTCCCAGTCTAGAGAGCACTACAATTACACTACCATTACACAATCGTTATGAATTGACGTAATGAAGTTATAATGCTCTGTATATGGTGTTTTGACCAGTATAGGTTGTATTAAATTGGCCTGGGTATAAGGATTTACCGTTTGTCCCACTTTGCAGTAAATCCCACGGAGGGAAAAGGCACCTGGCGCACTTCGAAGTACGTATGGGCCTATGGGCCTTAATGGTGGGGGTGTTGGACTGGTTGGGAGCGTTATCTTGAGGGCCTTGCTGGTGCTGGAGGGTGGTGGGAAAAAAGGGGGGGAGTCACACAGAAACTGCTGCACAGATGGGTGGGATAGTTCCCCCCCCTGAGAGCTTTGGAGTCAGGTGATTTCTCTTTTCTTTTCTTCAAAATTCAGGGATAGGGGTACACTTTGTACGTTAGTCATGTGGTATGTAATTGTATACTTATTATCACATGACATATTACGTATATAATACTTTTATAATACAACATAATATAATATAATATAGTATAATAAAAGCAGTGTTTTTATTAAATGCAAAGGAATATATGGTGTGTAAAAATTTTATATTAGATATATATGTTGTTGTTTTTTTCTATAATATTGGTTAATCAAAAAAAAAGCTTTGTAGATCAAATTTTAAAATCTATTAGAATTCCGATGAGGCAGAGTAGTAGGGGGCTGGAGTGGGTTCAAAATAATCAAAGCAAAAGCCTGATCTTAGACTGTAGAGAGCCATAGCTTGTAGTTGTCCTGAGCGACGTTGGCAAAGTTGTAGTTTTGTCTAGGTACCTCCGCGGTGGTTCTAGGAGCTGTTGTGTACAATCTGTTCTGTATCTTGGAGTAGAAGTGCGAGTCTGTGTCCGCGTAAGCATCGCTTCTGGGTATCATCTCGTCCTCGTACGATAGCGGGGTGAATGTGTAGTTGTTTCCCAAGGTGAACACTGACTCGTATGAAGAAGGTACGCTGTCGCTGTCGCTTGTGCTGTCGTCATCGTCATCCTGATCGAGATCGAGATCGACGTCTTCATAGAGCGGATCCTGTATCACTGGCTTGTACACCACTGGAGCCTCCTCCTCATTTATGCTTATAGGGAAAATAATGTCAGACATTGTGTTTGTGTTGTGTGTGTGTTGTATTGTTGTACTGTTGTATTGTAAGGTGTTTGTAATCCTTGCTTTTGTATTTCTAATGGTGTTATATTTGCTGTACTTATAGTTGTACTTGTACTCGTAGTTGTACTTATAGTTGTACTTTTAGTTGTACTTGTAGTTGTTTGCTGTGCTGTGTTGTATTGTTTCGAATGTCTCCAATTGATCTTGCAAACCCAATTGCTTATATATGTCAAAATTTTATGGGTGTCGGAAGAGTCATTTTTTCCAGAGGGGAAATCCACAGTTCAGGGAGCCACATGTCTCCCCGGTTCCCAGCGAGGTGCAGTGTGCAGTGTGCAGTGCGCAGTAGCAAGTACCAAGTAGCAAGTACTGTCCGGGTTCTGGTGCGGTGGGGTCCCCTTCGCTCCGTTTCCCGCATTGTCAGCCCAATAGAGGTTATCACTGTGGTGGGGGGTGCGCATCGTGCGGTCTGTTCTGTGTCTTGGTCTGTGTCTGGGTATGACACATTCTCCTCTGTGTCACTGATCTTGGAACTTCCCGCACCCTCGTGGCTTCCGTGTGCTTCTATTCTTCTCAGTTCACTGTTCTTCTCTGTTCTTCTCTGTTCTTCTGCGTTCTTCTCTGTTCCACGAAGAAACAAATGGGAAAATGACTCAACACCAGGCGTTCTAGAACAATCCAACCCACGGGGAAATCAATTCTCCCTCGCTCTCTCGCTCCCTCGTCACTAATTTGCGCACGTTGGGAAATCGCACCCTCCCGGTTACCCAACCCTCAATGTACACCCACACCCTAGCGGGTCTCATGTGGGATTCACCGGGATTCACGGGATTCACGGAATTCACCGGGACCCCCCCTCCACACTGCCACAGTTCTCTTGCAGACACCAGCCATCAATTGGAAGAAAAACATTCATTTACACATGCTATATCGTTATAGACGTATGTTCGTATTATTCGCTTTTCGCTGTGGAATTAGTGGTACTATTCGCCACGGGAAACAATGGGAAAGATGTGTCATTGAACTCCGCTCTCGCTCTCGCTCTGGCTCTCTCTCTTCCCCGTGTGTGTGTGACTCACTTGCCAAACACTTTCTTGAACCCTGACCAACTGGCCCCAGCTGAAGAGCGCAGGTTCGTGCCCAGTGTGGTCCCCAGTGTGGTCCCCAACGTGGTGGGCTCTCTGTTCATCCTGTTGGCCATCTTCAGCTCCTTCACAAGCAGTTTCAACTCTTCAATCCGGTCTTCAAGCTTCATGTTCTCCCTCATGACTTCTGTATTTCTATGTGTGGCTCTCTGAAGATCCACTTCCAGGTCATTCGTAGCCACATGTGCTTGGTCCTCGCTCACACCGTGGTCCTTCAACTGCTGGATCTCTGCACGCACCGACTCTATGCTCCCTTGCAGATCGTTGTGCTCGTCCAGCAACATCTGGTACTTCAAGCGGATCTCAATGAGCTCGCTCGCTATTGACTCATGCTCGTGGTTCAGCTGCTTGTAATCGTTCTGTAACTTGTGGTACTCCTTGTTCAACTGGTGGTTCTTGATCCGCATTGACTCATACTGTGTCTCCCGCTGGTGCTCCAGCTGCTGTATCTCTTTGTACTCTTCGCTGTAACGCCTCAACGACAGCGGCGTGATCTGCACATCAGCTATGGCATCCTGCACAAACTGGTCCACATCGTACCGAGTTTCCGCCACATCGTCGACAGCAGGCTGTGAGTCATGGACTATCACCGAACTGGCATCAGCACCATCAAGCTTGTCCTCGCTGACACGGTATACTTCAAATAGCTCCTCTTTCAGGAAACTTAGTAACTGGTCAAACTTCAGAGATAATATCTTGGCCTCGTTCTTCAGCATCAGATTGACAGCAAACTTCAGGATCGACTCTAACCCTTCAACAAATATAACATCCAGAATCCTCAACACAAACGACAACGGGAACTTGTATGCGAACATGGTCAAGAACCACTGAGTAGCATACATGGAAGCTCTGACACCCTCACGGTTCAAATGGTTCGACAACTGTGAAGAATTCTCCTCGATGATTCTGTCAAATTGATACAGCGAAAGCACTAGCCCAGGCATCTCAGGTAAGTAGAAATCTCTGAGTCCATAATTCTTCATCAGACCGACTAACAACCCAAAGGCGTCTGCTTCAGTCTCACAATTTAACAACAGTGGAGCTATCACAAACGCCATACCTTGAGTATAGCCAACTTCAGGATCAAAAATTGTGTACACCTTAATCACATTATATAGAGGTTCAATTTTTTCTTGTGGGATGAAGTTTGTCCTCTTCAAATCTCTTCTAATGGCGGCATCATGGGGGGTAGGTTCGGGAAGTAGTGTGTTATAGATATCTTCCATCTCCTTCGATTTAGAGTTTGTCATCAACTGCCATATTATTCCTCTTATCTGAGTTGGAATTCCAGCAATTACTTGTTGCTCTAACTTTTCCGGTTCTTGACTAGCCACTGCTGGGAAGTCATTGACAACTTCAGTCCAAAATGTCCAATCAGTACGTAGCAATTCTTTCTTTTCATCTTTACTATACTCATGGTCGGCTTCGAGCTGAGCTTCAGTTACATTTTCTTCTTTTAAGTTTTCCAAAATGCTAGTATAATTAGTTTTCAGTTGCGTTTGTCCTTCTTCTAATAACTCTTGTGTGGATGTAGTTTCTCTTAGGACATGGCTGCTAGTCTTCCGGTATCTGTTAGCAATTAAATTGACATCAGCAGCTGTTTCTAATTGAGAAGAACTCTGTCTCATAGATGAACTACTTGGATATCTTTTATGTTTTGCCTTTATTTTCCCCTTTTCAAATTCCTCTCTAAACTTATCAGATTTCAATTCTTCCGCTAATGGTGGTGGCACAGCGTTTTTAACCCTAGTTTTCATTTCCCTACTTGGTAAGGCAGGCGGCGTTCTGTGGTCTGTGTCACTAGTAGTAATACTCATCGGAGATTGAGATATGTGTCTGGTTGGAAGTGCTGGCGGTTTACCACTGTAATGTCCATTATATTGTTCGTCATCATGGTCCGACATCTGTATCCCATTGTGATTCTCATCTTCGTCTGTATAAGTGAAGTCATGCATGTTCCTATTGGAACCTTGTTGTTCAGAGTTTTCGTAGTCATCACCGCTGGTAAACCTATGTTTGATAGGTTTACCAGCATTTAGTAGACTGTCATGGTCCGAATGGTCATTTTCAGGAGAATTGTCTTTCTTCTCAGTTGTTTCTTGGTCTTGTGCAGGTAACAGATCTTTTTCACCGCTGTTCTCTTCGACCTTTATTAGACTCTCTTCTCGTTGTTGGTTGGTGGTTTTATCCACAGTACTCATTTCTGGAGCTGGTAACAAATTGTCCTCGGTTGGGTCTGTACTTATTAGAGTATCAGATTTCACATCGTTCTCAAGGTTCTTTTCCAAGGAGTTCTTGATCTCTTTAGATGCTTCAGTTATAAGCACCTCATTTTCGGTTGTACCATGATCAATCATATCATCATTTGCTTCGTCATTTGTACCATTGTCTTCATTCTTTGGAGTCTGTATTGGAAAGTTTTCCTTCGATTCTTTGCCCATGTCATTGTGTTCCAGTGTTGGGTTTTCTAGAACCTCTTCCTTTATCTGTGTGTCGGAGATATTGGTTTGCTTCTCTGAATTCAATTTGGTAGAGACATTAGTTTCATTTAATTTTTGTGCTTCATTTTCGCCTTCTGGTAGGTGATCTAATGGTGAACTGTTCAAGTCTTCTTCAGTCATATAGTCATTTGTTTTGTCTGATGAATTTCCGGTTTTTGAGAGATCGTTATCTTGGCTCTTTTCAATAGTATTCAGATCTTTTTCATCCTTTGCGTCAGTTTGTCCTTCTGCACTCTCTCCATGTTCCTTATTTACATGATCTGTAGTTACTACTAGCTTTGGCTCCTCCAGTTGTGTAGATGTGGCCAACTCTTCATTTGATGGTTCTTGTATTTCGGCAGTGCTCTCTTTTTCGTTACCAGCACTGTCGTCAATACTTTCAGCTTCGTTTTGTAATGCCTGTTGAGACTGTTTCTTCTTCTTGGCCTTCTCCTTCTTCTTTTTATTCTTCTTGCTGTTTTTACTCTTTACCGGACTGGCGTCTATCGACGACACGCCTGTGCTTTCTGCCATATCAGAAGCGGTCTCGACGTTTCCCAAATCGGTACTGGTTGCCATGGTATCTTTTGGATTGTGCAACTTGATCAACTTTCTTCTCGACTATAGTTTGTATTAGACTCGATTATTTGGCCAGTGTAATATCAATAGATTGTGTTCTTCAAAATCAGCCAGTATGAGCTATCCTTCTTAACTCATAAAAGCACTTTTCCTTTTTAGCAACTGCGCATCCTTTTCTTTCCCTTTGAAAGGGCTTCGCTAACTGAAATCGCTCTTTTCGCTCCCGTTTTCGAGGTTACTGTGCCAAAGTCGATCAGGGCGAAGTTGACACATCTGCTTTTAAAAATAGAATTGAACAGATAATTCCGAACCTTACCTAGGATCTCAAAACCAATTGGAGATCCTGTTGATGAAACGAAGGACAAATTCGGACTAACAAGCTCTGGCTAATTAAAATCGAATCCTGGTCAATTGGTCCTCGAATTACTACTAACAGGTAGTGTCTCAAATTTCTTGTATGATAATGAATGAGAATGATCTCCATTCTCTTTTAGCAAGAAACCAAGGATTGTACATCCAGACCAATTGGGTTCAGGGTAAATGGTCTGCAGCCCTGTAATAGTTTAAAATGGTGAGAATTTGTAATGAAATCGCAATAATTGAGCTATGTCAACATGATATATATTGCCTACCGACAGTAGCAAGGTTGGAACTAGTATCAATAGCAACTAGCCTCTCTTCCGAACGTTATTGATAACCATACATCTATTCTAAGACTTTTCATAATGTAATTATAACAACACTTAGAGAATTCTGCTCCCATGTACATGTAGATTAACGAGACCAAAGCTTTACTATCTTCTGCGTTGAGGAATTACAAATATCACTACTGTTAACAGTCAGTATCAAACCTTTACTCATACTTTAATATCTATGACTACACTGCGCAACTTTCAGCCGCCGCTCATATTTTTCTTCTCAAATATTAACGGTAGTCGGCGGCTAAACTGTCGATAATACACACTTTCTGCTTTAGATTAGGTTTGATGTAATTTGTTTCTAGACCAGCATAATTCTTGAGCTAATTCTAAGCAAGAAGGGTCGATATTTTGGAGGAGGCCTACAGGAGGCCTAATCACTTGTTTAGAATGAGCCAGATAGCGGAGTACTTTATGAACCACTTGGATCCAACTGGATATGATACAAGTGACTCTTATGGAAGTTGTATTGTATCGAGTTCTCAGAGTTATAAAGGCCAGTCTGCCCTAGAACAGTGCCTATTTGTTCCAAGTTCTTCTTCATTGCCATCTTCTCAGCTATCAGGACTGGTCAATGCACAACAAACACAGCCAGATAGCAAGAAAGAGAACAAGAGTTCATTGAATACAGCAAATCCATGGGATAAGCAAGTACAGAACATTCTAAAGTGTACCTTTCATATGGAGCAGTTTCGTGGCTCGCAAATCGACATAATTAATTCTACTTTACAGGGGAAGCATGTGTTTGTATTAATGTGTACAGGTGGTGGTAAATCACTATGCTATCAGTTGCCTAGTTTGGTAACTTTGGGGTATACAAAGGGAACTACAATTGTCATCTCACCATTGATTTCATTGATGCATGATCAAGTAGAAGCTCTCATAAGTAAAAGGATTAAGGCATGTATGTTGAGTTCAACAAGTAGTTCAAAACAAAAAACAATGGCTTTACAACTTCTTTCAGAAGGAAAACTAAATTTATTTTACATCTCTCCGGAAATGGTCATGGGTTCGTCACCCTGTAAAGGTATCATTAGGAGATTATATCGGCAAAATCGGTTGGCAAGACTAGTTATAGATGAAGCACATTGTATATCTAGTTGGGGACATGATTTTAGACCAGAATATAAAAAATTGGGTCAGTTGACCAAAGAGTTTGACGGTGTTCCTGTAATGGCGCTTACTGCAACAGCGAACGACAATATTCAAGAAGATATATTGAAAATCTTAAACCTGAAGAATGTTGTTGTTTTTAAAGATAGCCTTAACAGAAAGAATTTATACTATGAAGTTGTGCAAAAGAACTCCAGAACAATAGAATACATGACTTACTTACTCAAGACAGAATTTCATGGTCAATCAGGTATTATATACTGTAACTCAAAGGCATCTTGTGAAAAAGTTAGTAAAGAACTAAACCAAGCAAATATCTCGAGCGAATTTTACCATGCAGGAAAGACGGCTAACTCGAGGTTAAATACTCAAAGAAAATGGCAACAAGGTACGATTCAAGTTGTATGTGCTACTATTGCTTTTGGGATGGGAATTGATAAAGAAAATGTACGATTTGTGTTTCATTATGACATACCAAGGTCTATGGAGGGTTATTACCAAGAAACCGGAAGAGCAGGTAGAGATGGGAATCCTTCGAAGTGTATCTTGTTTTTTTGTCTTCAAGACGTTAATCGGTTACAGATATTAATACAGAGAGAAAATGTTTCAGCTTTGCAGAAGGAACACAATTTGAAAAAACTACAAGACGTACTAGTATATTGTCATAATAAAGTGGACTGCAGAAGATTACAGATACTTGAATATTTTAATGAGGAGTTTTTTCCCAGTAATTGTATGAAAACTTGTGATAATTGCAAGAATATTGGTGTTTCGACCATTGAGCAAAAGGATTTCACACATTATGCGAAACAGATACTGTCTCTGCTGCGAAAGCTAGGAAACGAGCGTATCACTACCAATCAATGTCAGGACATCTTTAGAGGATCAAATAACATGAAAACCAGATTTTCAGGTTATGATAATTTTGAAGAGCATGGATCAGGTAAGGACTTAACCAAATCTGAAACGGATAGATTATTTGTTCATTTATTGAAGACGGGATATGTTTGTGAGTATTTTTTTACAAATAGCATGGGTTATTCAACAAAATATCTAAAACTCCCTGATCCTATTAAAGAGATTAAGGGCAAAGTAATGTTAAACTCTTTAAAAAAGCAATATAAAGCCAAGAAGAAGCAGGATATTGACGTTGATAATTCACAGTCAAGGATTGACACATTTAGTAGTTCTCTCAGTCTTTTTAAATGCCATCAAAACTCCAGTTTCCAAAGTGAGGATGTTTCAATGCAAAACTTGTTATCTGAAAATTCTCAGAGTATGCTAGATGACAATAGCAGTCTTATTTTTGAAACTATTAACTCTTGCATTAGTACAAATTTGTATTGCACAGAGGAGAAAGAAAATCACAAGCATCCAAAAAGAAAAAAAAGAAAGTCTGAAACTCTTCCATTTAAAAAACGGAAGAAGAGTTGATTTCTTAATCAATCTACAAATACATATACTTAAAACTTGCTTTGATTTTTTATCCATTATTTAGTTTGGACAAGCTATTTCACTTAGGTTAATAGATAACCAAGGCATCCAAATACACAACTGGTATACAAATCATTAAATATTTCGTTATTAGGTATATAATATAGTCTATATGATTAGTATTGAATTGTAAATCAGTTAGGTACCATTAGAGGCATTCGGTTCTAGATTAGTAAATTAATTATATGCAGTCCATTATATGCCCGAATGTTATATCGACTATGCTAAAGACTTACAACGGTGTTCTGACATTTTGGAACTTCTTCCCACTTACGCATCCAAACCAATCACCTCTTTGAGGTCTCCAAACAATGTTATTAATTTCGTGTGTCTTATTAGAGTAACACATTGTAGGTACGTCAAGATCCTTTGATAGCGGTTTTGTAGCCTTAATCGATGACGTCTTTGATGCACTATCATCGTAGGAATAGTCACCTTCTGAATCAACCTCCATGGAAGCACCACTGGCAGCTGGTCTTGGTGTAGTTGTATGCGATACAGCTCCTTGATCAAAATATGAACTGATATCCCAGAACAGAACTTGACAGTCGTCACTACATGATATCAACGTGTTTTTCTTTGTTGGATGCCACTTAATTTGATTAATTGATGCACTATGTCCATTTAGAACTACTAGTGGAGAGTCTGGATTTCTCATATCCAAAATTAAAATCTCATTTGAAGCAATAGCAAATGTGGCTAAAACATTTGGATCATGAGGCGAAGGTTCTAACCTTAACAAAGCATGAGAGTTTTCATCAGTGCTGTCGCTTCTTGAGCTATTATTGCCCGTGCCAGGTTCACTAGCCGGGGGCTCATAAATAATAGTGCTATGAGCTAAACATCTCAAATCAAACACACGCACACTACCGTCACCACCGCAACTTGCGAATAATTGTGTTGATTGAGTTAAGAATCTAACGTCAAATACCTCACTGTCATGTGCAATTAATTGAGTTTTGACGTAATTACTACTTTGTAAGTCCCAAACTATGCAGGTCGTATCAATGGAACTTGAGATCAGAATATTTGTGTCGACAGGATTCCAATGGAATGATGTTATTGGAGGGAATTCGCCCAAGACTGATGGATTAACATCAGATGTCTTTGTAGGAATCTGACTCAAACCAACGAATGCTTTATTATTAGGGTGCTGTTTATGAAACTTGCAAAGAGATAAATTGAGTTGTTCTTCTAGTTTGTTTTCTTCAGTATTCAAAGACCATATCCTTAGCGAATCAGAAGCTGTTGCTATTTTCCTAGAACGAAATGCTGAGGGCATCCACTGTATATTACTTACCGGGTATATCACATCACACTCAGCTACATTGTCCCATTTGAAAAGGTCAGGTGAATGAATCACTTGCAATTTGTTTCTGCTATCTTCTTTATATGACCCGATACAGACGTAGTCCTCAATACTCCAATCTACACCATAAAGTGGGAAATGCGCTCCATACTCACACACAACTCCCTGGTTCATATTCTTCAATGTATTGTTAAGGCCGGCTCTAATCTGATGCAATTGAGAATAGTTAGGTGAGTACAACGGGTGCAAGAAGTCCAAAGGCGAATACATTGGCGACCTATTTGTCATGAACACATCCTCACCATTGGCACCACTACCACTTCCCCCAGTGTTATTGGGAACACCCTCAGCAGTGGTAGCCAAATTGACACCGCTGCTAAACGGACTCGTTGTGTAACTCTGATGCACACTATGGCTGGGGCTTCCAAAGGAAACCGACGCCCTTTTCCCAGGTTGATATTCCATTATTTTCTGATATTAAAGGACAAAAGCACTGTTGCCGTCGATATATTGCTTTCCCGCTCCAAAAAACTCAGAAAAGGTATATACACACCACTGATTACTTCACAGAAGCTAATTATAGACAAGATATAAACTGAACTTCTTAACTTTGTATGGTTAACACTGCTCAAGACTTGCTATTATTCCCAACATTTTTGGCAAAGGGTCCAAATTTGCAAAGACATGAACCGAAGTCCCACCAAATTACAGCAGGAACGGAACATTGACAAGGACAAGGTTCCCCCCCATTGTTACCTCACAGTGATCGAGAGTGGAAGAGCGAGTGGATCCTGTTGCTTCGAGTTGGTAACCCCTTACTCACGACCGTTGCAGGTAATGTTTCATGTGACTATAAGGTATAATAGGTAAAGTTAGAGTTATACAGTACACGCTTAGAATATTACTTAAGTGGGTTTATGCCGTTCCAAGGACGTTACCTGGGGTTGTTGTTGGAAGCACTTCTTGTCCGGGGAAGAAAGACCTATAGCCGTCATCGGTGTTGATCTCGGTGCTGCGGTAGAATTTGATGCCGAATGGGATCAAGTTGATCAGTGGGTCGGCTTTTTCTTCTATCTTCTCTATGATCCAAGCAGGTGGGATTAGAATGTTAAACCAGGTCTCACCGTATCCCATAATGTAACCGACTATCATACCTGCGGTGTGGCCTAGGAAACTGGATTGGAAAAAGACAATCGCAGTGAACAACAGAAATACCACGGGGGTGAATTGGGTTGGTATGCTCTGTGTGACACCTGGAATAAAACGAGATAGTTCCAAGCGTGGGTAAAGTTGTGACTCTTTAACACATAAGTAAGTGATGAAAGTGAATACCCATCCACTGGCACCTGCGACACCAGTTTCAAGGGACAGTAGACGAGACACCACACAGTAGATTATACCAGCAATGACTGCTGACAAGTTCAACACCACACCGGTGTGAATAGTACCGTGGCTGCTTTCGAAGTTGTTCAATGGGCCCACAATTGCCAACGCATTAAACACTAGGTGCAAATAGGACAAATGCATCAGTGGGTACAGCGACAGTTTGCCCAAGTCAATATCAAACAATGAGTTGGGGGTCAGCACAAAATGGTTTTTGAAGTCCTCATACAATTGCGATATACCAAACAAGAAGGTTAGAAAGATAAGCAACCCTGTAGTCAGACCAGCAGGAGGACGCCCCTCAGGCATCAGCATTCTTTGCGGTGCAATCATTTAATACACTTATCGAAAAATTGTTGATACTATTCAATACAGTTACACAAAATTGAAAGATGCAATCAAAGCTGTACAGCTTAAAAGTAAGCTCTTTTGAGCAGCAATCATCGATGCAATAGCGATGGGGCAGTAGCCACAAGCCACAAGCCCTCTATCACTATCCTCTAATTTGTTTTGGCAGTGAATCCTCGAGCTGGCTTGTTGAATGAGGTAGCGTCACGGCGTACGTGATTTTCTTTCCAACACGCAAAAATTTAAAATTTTCTATGCCACCTCAGAACAGCTCGCAGTGTGGTTGTTATAGGTACTACGAGTTCTTCTGTGAATAATAGGAACTGACGGTAAGAACGGACTGAAAGTAAGAAATCGTATATCCTTTAGAAAGGGACGTACAGTACGGATCTTGCTTGTTGTTTCTTCCCTTAAGGATCTCAGATACATGAGTGGACCCTTAGAGGTGCATCGGAAGAATTATGTAATCCAGAAAAAGCAATAAACTATTGATTCCATCCATGGATCTCACTTCCAGCACAGACAAATGCTGTACCATTCTCATTGTGATTTTTTTAAAGCATCTAGTACTTATAACACCGAAGAATGTGGACATCTCTGCGGTTGTTTCTCTCAACACGAAAACGTAAGCACAACAAGCTTATTATAACTGCTGTTTGTTTCTATGTGGGACTATGTGTCTTCACAGAACCCCCCCACTCAGGTCTATCCCATACGTCATTTTCTTAGATTGTGGAAGGCTCTCTTATTATGAGATGGCTGCATCTTGATGGAAACATTGTATATATATGACAAAGTATTTGAATATCTTTTTGCTTTTCCTTACCTTTTCAAGCAGTAATCTATATATTTGAAAGCTGTTCATTAGCACAAATTCAAAAGGTTTAACACAGAATATGACAGTTAGTAGAGCTTCAAGATTTAAAAGGGCCAAGCCAGCCAATGTCGTTAAGTCCATTGCCATGGACAAGCTGTCCAACGTGAAGTTATCCGAGGAGCAGCAACAATTGCGCGGACGTATTCTAGAATTCATTCGCCAGAATTTGGCTTCTTATCAGAAAGGTGGAAAACCCGGTATGTTTGTGGTTCAAGGTGATGCTGGGACAGGCAAATCAGTGATTTTGAATTCACTGTTCAACGATGTGCAAAAGCTGGCCAACAATAATCCAGACACCACTGATATTCTTAAAGGAACAAGGAACTACTTGATTGTGAATCACCCTGAGATGTTGAAACTTTACCACCGTATGAGCACCAACTATACATACATCAACAAAGCCTCTCTAGAACGTCCTACATCTCTGATCAACAACTTGCAAAAGAGAAAAGAAATGGCGGATGTGGTGATAATCGATGAAGCCCATTTACTTGCAACATCAAAAGATGCTTTTAAAAGATTTTACGGAGAAAATCATTTAAAGGAACTATTGGAATTAGCTAAGGTCTTAGTATTAGTGTATGATGAGAAACAAGCTCTGAGAATGGGATGCTATTGGGATGAAAACTCTGAAAATGGCGCAAACCTACAGACGTTTTATGACGAGATACCAGAATCGAAAAGAGGCTGGTATAATTTAAAACAACAGTTCAGAGTAGCCGCTCCACCAGATGTGCTCGATTGGATCAATGACATCAGTGTTGAAGGTAAGATCCCAAAGTACCCCAAGAGTGCTAAAGGCTCTTTGGAACCAAAGTTTGATTTCCAAATATGGGATGACTGTAATGAAATGTACATGAAATTAAAAGAAAAGAATGAGACTTTTGGCCAATGTAGAATGCTATCTACTTATGACTTTCCATATAGACTTGATGGCAAGATATATTATGTTACTTGTGGTGACTTTAAATTGAGATGGGATATGTATGCGCCAAAGGCATTACTTCCATGGAGTGAAAGGGAAGATACTATAGATGAAGTTGGAAGTGTATATACAGTTCAAGGATTTGACTTGAATTATGCTGGTGTGATATTAGGTAGGTCTGTTGGGTACGACAAGGCTAACGATTGTATTAAGTTAAGACCGGAGCTGTATGATGATCATGCAGGTTTCACTAAAAAGAAAAACATATCTGACGCTGATACTGTAAAGCAGAAGATCATCATGAATAGCATAAATGTGCTTCTCACAAGAGGAACAAAAGGGTTGTATGTCTACGCATGGGATCCTGAATTGAGGGAAAGGCTTGCTCGTAGTCGAACCGAATAGGAATTTTCAAATATAGTAAAAAATGCATTAATTCTATCTACTGATAAATATATATACAAACTCGTTTTCTGTTTGAAGGCAGATCATTATTTTGTTTTTCTTTAGTTAAATAAGCTTCAGAACTCATTCTGATTTCTGTACTTTTGCTTCCAATGCCTTCTTTTCTCTCCTTTTATCGAGAGCCTCCCATGTGATACCGGAGAAAACAATTACAATACCCAGCCATTGCGTTGCGTTCACGGTTTTACCGAAGACAATGATACTCAGTAGCATTGACATCATCTTCCTAGTAACCGTTATCATGATCAAGACCAAAGAGCCATACAATTCCAGTGTGTAAAAAATGAAACACTGACCGAGAGATCCACAGAGGGCGTAAGCTAATAAGTATGAAACAATAATGGGATCTTTCTTTAACATTGCATGAGCATTGCATATTTGGCCTCTATCAATTACCAACAAGTAAGCTATGTTCCAGATAGCCACAAAGAAGTTTAATGCAAACATCATGTGTGCACCGGTAAGTGTATGGAACACTTTATGTTGTTGCTTTTTGTCCTGTGTTTCAGCGTTCTGGATTGCCATCTGAACACGATTATTCTTCAACATTTTATCCTGGGTAGCATTCGTAAGTCCATCCATGAACAAGCTTAGGAACAATAACAAGAACCCTGATGCTTTCTGGAAGAAGTGCTCGTCGTTACTTCCACTAATTGAACCTGAAATCTTTCCCTTAGAGCCACCAATAGTAAAAATAGTAACACCAATACTAACCAGTACAGCTACAACGGACTTCTTTCTTGAAATAGTAGTACGGTAGATAATAAGATGAACTAGCAGGACTGGGATCATCTTACATGACTTGGCCAGCATATAAGTTAAGTAATCGACGTATTGCAAAGCATACTGGGACAGTGGAGAAGAGGCACTTTGAGTGAAAGATATCAGTGCCAGTGGTTTGGCGTAATCACGAACCATTGCGATGGCACCGTAGTTCCTTTGCGCACCTTTCGCTCTCATGTAGAAATATCCAACACACACTGCTGCGACCGCCTGCACCACAGCAATGACATTGGGGCACTGAAACCTTTTATGAGAGTTCTCCCATACCTGCGTGGTCAAAGGCTCCTGAACTAATGCCCACGTAAGGAAACTAGCATATATACCAGCAGCACAGAATAAAACCGGAAATATTGAATTACTCTTGCTCATTTGATGTGTAGCTTTCTCACAACAAAAGAAACAGTAACCACTGCAACGTGTAATATACTATCTTGGAGACGGTATTATCTATTATACCTTCAAAGTAAGTCCACAATTGACTAACTTCAGTTTGTAGAGTGTGTCCATCGATGAGCTCTGCATTATGGCCAAATCATCTACATCACAAAAAACGTTATGTGATTCTCGATATTTTTTTTCAAAGAATTTTTTTCAGCGAAGAAACGCAAATTCAACCGAGAAATCAGTTGAAGTTAACTTCAAACAGTTCCTATGGTGGGATTGCAATTGACAAGCGGCAAAAGCAGTATCAATTGGGTAACAAATTTTGCTCTAAGTTGGATTATTCTCCTATTAAGTTGCTTTTATTACACTTTCTACCCCGGTGAAACCGATAGATTCCAGTTGAGATAGCTTCGAAATAGATTGTAAGGAAGTGAAAACAAAGGAGGGAACGGTTTAGTAATTATGCCTATTTTCTCACCAATCAATGCCACCTACGGTGTAAGAGTGGAACAAATCCTCGAGACTGATCAGGATTTTGTTAAATATCATGATAAATTGAACAGAAAGTTACAGAAACTCAGACACCGCTGTCAGGGTGTTACCAAGGACACCAAGAAGTACAGCGAAAAGGAGAAGTTCTCCAAGATCACTAGCGATAATTATGATAAGCAATCCAAGCTTTATGGTGTTCTTTACCTTTTGCAAGTCGAGAGAGACTTGAGTCTCGTGGAGACGTTAAAATTAAGGGGTCGCCAAAGAGGTAAGTTAAAAAGACCAGAGAGGAAAGTTATCCAAACTAGATTAAAAAAAGTTGCAAAATTAGTCGAAGGTCTAGTTGCTTTAACCCAGAACGAACAAAACTATGTCACTCGTCTTCAATACTTAATATATTCCAAGCTGGCAAAGGCTGAATTTATTTTGAATGGTAAACTAACAACCAAGAAAAAGGCTGAAAGCGACGTTGCTGGGCTTTTAGCTCTAGCATTTGCTGGGTTGCAATACTTAGCTGAACACAATTATATCAGTGAGGATATTTCTAGTTTTATCCAATCAAAATATGAATACTCTTTAATGCAATATGCAGGAAATCTTGTTTCAAATGTGAGATTACAAAATTTCATTATTGAGTCTTTGAAATCGATTGGTGACAAAGATGAGATTGTGAAGCTACTATTGAATAATGGCTTCAAGTTAGACATAAAAGAGGTAGACGATACAACCACAAATTCTTTGACCAATATCAATTGGAGATCCTTCCAAGCTAAAATAACAGATCGTGAAGTATCTCATCTAATAGAATTGGCCGAATCAGTTGAGATCTCGAAGTTGTCTGATTACAGCAGCAAACTACTATATTGGGAGGATGCCTTGTCTAAACAAGAGGCAGTAATAGCGAATTATGATGAAAATGAATCCACCGAAAATGCAGATATTGATGATCCACAAGAAAATAATCAAATCTTACTTTCTTACGTCAAATACAATAAACTTATGGTAAACATCCTACGTGACAATGAGATTTGCAAAGAACTATGGCAGCAATGGGATAAATCTTGTTCAACTCTGTCTGCCAAGGTAGTGAAGTACAAAGAACTAGAACGTATAACCAGTAATCTCTCTGTATTTTTACATGAAGTCATGGAATTGCCAGGTATCTATTCGGATGATGAACTAATGTACCAACTCGAACTTCTGGATTTACACTACAAAACTTTGTTAAGCTCAAAGGCATTGGCATATCTTTACCAATCTAAGGGCAAATATAGAGAAGCTTTGGCATTGCACGTAAGATCATTCCAAGAATTGAACTCTAAACTCGAACAGGATATGCTTTACAGTAACGATGAAATTCTTCCTAATTCACTTTTTGACAAACTTGACATAGAAAAGAACCAAAGCAATATCAAAGCAGCCTGGACGGGTGTTATTGCTCTAGCAGGTTACCAAAAGTCCCTAGAAACAACAGGGAAGAGTAAATACAAGCTATCTGTTATTGAGAAGATTAGTAACCAGAAGGAAATCGAAGCTTCAGATGTTAATATCAGCAACCTGTTCCCATTAACCCCACATATGCAGCCTGTAGGAGCTAAGCCAACTTTATTTGACTTGGCTTTTAACTATATCCAATATGAGAAATTTGAACAAAGGAATATTACAGAAAATAAACCAGCTGAAAAGCAATCTAGTGAACCTGAAAACCATAAGGAAGAACAGCCAAAGAAAAGAGGTTTCCTTGGTCTATTTGGTCGCTAATGAGAAGCTTATACTATACTTTGACATGAATCGAAGAAAGATCATGTAACAGAAATTGCATTATATATTAATATTATATGTAATATAGAACTGATAGCGTTATATCGACTGTCTATAATAGAAAGCCGTGGTTACTAGCTTTAATAATTCAGCAACATTCAGGTCTACTTTTCTATTCAATAGTGTTATCGTACCCTTTGGATTTTTTGCCTGTTTTTCTAACAAATCTCTGAACTCAAAGAAGTCAGTGATATCCATATGTTTGTGTTCGGGACCTTTACGTTTATCAGTCATTTGAATCCCAAATCGAGAACCATTTGTGGTTGAAATTCTAAAATTAATGTCGGGAAATTTAGGCCCACTAGAACCAAATACTTTAACTGAATGTTTCCCGAGGTTTTCTCCCTGGATCCTCTTCAAAATGCCTTTCTCATATAGTTGTCTAGCATTCCATTTATACTTTAGACCGTCCAGTTTGCTATCCTTATTTTGAACTTTTTTGTAAGCACTTTTTAGATTGCCCAATGCACCTTTATGGTGAGGTGTAAAATCTGAGGTTTTTTGAATATCAGAAATAGTAGACGATACAAAGCTCCTCATATTCCTTAGTTCACTTTCCAACTTATGATTTACATTTTGTATTTCAACCAGAGTTCTATTTGTCATTTCAACTTCTTTTTCCACGAAATGTAGCGCATAATCAGGATTTTTTATTGTATTAGCGATATCATTCAAGAAATTTTGGAGCTTATTGTCCTTCATACAGATAACTTTTGCTGTTGTCAACTCTTGAATATTTCTCAAGGTTTCATTCTTCAACGTGAAGTATGTTCTCGGGGTAAGTTTTGAGACAAACGAATCCTTCTCCAATCCTATATTATTTCTTAGCAACTCTTGAAAAACAGGTTCATCCTGAGGTAAAACACTACTAACAGAAAGGTCATACAGATTTGTCTCAACATCTTCCACTTGAATCATGATGACAAATGCTCTCTTGACTTGATCGTACACTTTCCTAATGCCATCATCCCCAGTTAAAAATCTGTACGAAGATGAGTCAAGCTCTAATGTAACTCTACCAGAATTATTGCTCATTAGTTTAAAGTCCATAGTTTTCAAGACATCCTGAATTGGATCCAAATCAGTAAAATCCTCAGAATAATCACTAAACATTTGTGCAACTTCAATTACTTTTGAAGATAAAAGCTCTAGGACAGGGCTTGTTGAAACCATGTCATTATAGATCTCAGCATACCCAACTTGCTCATATTCTAAATCAACCAGTAGATTATATAGGAGATTCTTGATATGAGGTCTTATTTCTCCACTATATTGATTCAATGGCTTGTGATATCCATCGAAAGAGGTTTGGAGGAAGACTATTCTCAGCGACTCAATTACGACCTTAATTTTATCATTGATGTTTTCATCATTGTATTGATCAAAGCCGAATTTTTGGAAATTAACCATGAAATGTTCAATAAAGCTTTCAATTAATACCATTGAGATTGCTTTTAAAGCTTCCTCCTCACAAATATTTTTATCAGCGAAATAACACAGTGTCTTGGTACAAATATATCTTAATTCAACTGGTATTTCATTGGTTTTACGAGAAAATATTTCTGCAATCATCTCAATGGCATGCCAAATATTCCTCAAATTCTTAATAAACTCATTTTTTACCCTTTGATTTTCAATTGGCTGACTACTGGGAGCTTCTGAGTAAAACTTTTCATATAATACGTAAGGGTCGCTTGTAAAATCTGTTTCACGATTCCCAAGAAAAGACAAAACAGGTACAAAAAGTTCGAATGCTTCCGAGTACTCTTTCTCTATGAATTCATCAAGTAATAATTTCCAGGAAGGTGAAGAGAACGCCATAAATTCTCCTACTGATGTGCATTCTTGTATATCTTGTTGGAGTAGTTCAGATACAAGCTTCATAAATAATCGCCGCTCTCTCTCTTCCATCTTTTTATTCGTTGTAGTAAAGGTAGAATAGATATTTCTCATCGAGAATTCTTTCTCTTTAGCTGCCATTAGCTTCCAGTAAGACGGATCAACCTGTAACAAGTAGAACAAACCCTCAAACCCAGGATAATTAGAGTTAGGAACTTTAGACTTGATTTTTGAGAATGTACCATGATTGATTCCTTTAGCTAAATTTTGTCTTTCTAAAACGTCTAACAAATCCAGTTGGTGCTTTATTTCTCTCAATACTTTGGTCTTCTTCATATTCTCGGAATCCAGTGAAGCTTGGTAAGTCTCCACTTCATCTTGTATGGATTCAATCGATTTCCTGTTATTCAGAAGGTGAACAAATTTTTTAACTGACCACAGCGATGGGTTTGGGTATGTCATTAGTTCTTGGTACGCAGTCTTCATTTGGAACATACGAATATGGCTCTGGATCTGTATTATATGAGAAATGTTTTTTCGGTAGTGATGAGTATTCTCCTTAATAGCACCTCTTTGAAGGGCACCTCTAATTAAAGATTGAAGTACTTCTATTTGATGATATTCAACTATATCATCAACCAAGTCCAAAGTATACCTAACCAGAATACCACGAACTAAGGCTTGAAAACCTATTGCTGGTTCAAGTTCAGAAGAGAGATCAGTCTGGCACCGGCCAATCCTTCTTCTGACGGAGTGTCCTTTTAATAAAGCGATTAATTTATGAGACTCAGATAACTCAATATTTATTCTTTGAATTTCCCTTCTCTGCAATAAAGACCTCCCAACAGTTTGGAAGGCTTCCAAACTTGAGGAAATTGATGGAGCAAAGAATGCTTTTCTTCTATTATCAATACATTGCCTCACTAATATGCTCCTGACTGTGGCTTGTATATCAGTTAAGCAGGGGATGTTAGCGTGCAGATCTTTTGATGTATGTGAGACCACGTTTCTAGCCAATTTACCTCTCAGTAAGCCCTGCATTATTGTGACTATTGTTGTATTGTTTTTCACGTAACTGGAGAGGACTGTCGCATTTCGCCTAGCAAGTATGCCATGGCATATGCTTTGAAACAGAATAATACTAGACTCCTTTCTGTTCACTGCAATCCGCTTTTTATCAAGTTTATCCCTAATTCTATTTCCTCTAATAAGTGAGGTTAGAGATACAAAATCAACTGACTTCTCAATTGACCTCCATTTATGCGATTTTGTTCCTTTCATCTTTCTCAATGAATTAGCCCTTATTAGAGACTGTAGCCCAACCACATCTTCTTTAAATAGAGACAAAAGCTGGTTCTGTAAGTAGATCTGGTATCTTATATTAACACCTTTAGTCATAGCTTGAATTTTCATAACGCAATCGAGGAATTCTTCTTCATTCATTCTTGTTTTCCTGGTAGGTGAATACCTAGATGGAGAGTATTTATAAGTAGAATAATGACTCAATTCACTATCGCGATACTGACTTCTACGCATATAGAAATCTGTGTCAAATGTAAGGTATTTGGAAATTGATGGAGAATAATAGGAGAAACTAGTCATTTTCGAAGGAGAGTATGATAAACTTGGGGTTTTCGCAAATATATTTGCAGCCGAGGGACCATCTTTTAAGCTCATATATTCATCTGTCTTTGATGTGTCTAAAACCTTAGATACAGGTGTTTTAAATGAAGAAATATAAGTAGGTCTACCCTCAGCCTTCGGTTTAATAGGTGTTTTAGGTTGTTGTTCCATAGTGTTGACTTTTTTATCCTTTGTGATAGAAGAACTAAAATCCTGAATTAGTCCTTCGGATTTTGGAATGTCAACTTTTTTAGGACTAGGTACAGCGCTAGTGTTAGCTAGTGATCCAAAGTCCTTTATTCTTGGCCATGCTCTTCTACAGACTTGAATATCTTCTTTTGTACAAACCATCGTTCCAGATACATTCTTAATATCTGGCGTGGTTCCTGGCCATTTCTTGTTAATTATGCTAATCATGATGTGTAGTGTTTCGAATACATGAGGCAAGTCCTTTTTGTTATACAGATCTTGTAGCTCAAACCTAAAAGAATCTGGAACACCAACATGCTCAACCAAACTGAAGAATGCGTTAATGTTCTGAGTATGCTTGAATTGTAGTTTATCACCTGCTGGGAACACGGATGGAGCAAGTGCCGGGTTGATCTTGTTGGTAACCTTTGCCAAAAAAACACCATCTCTCATAACATCACCTGTTGCAAGCTCTGTAACGGAAGGTAATTCTTCTGAGATAACAGATTCGATCCAGACTTTGACTTCATGAACTCTGCAAAGGAACTCGTAGTACCTTAACTCATCTGCAGTAAATGCTTTAGAGACAGACTGACTCTTGGTTGGTGTCTGGGGCAGATCAAATGATTTCTTGTAACCCTGGTTCTCTTTGTCGGCCATACTTAAAGATACTGGGGATGATAGTTTTGACTTAACTGGGGATGGGGAGAGTAAGTTGGTTTTGGAAGAGGATTTTAGCCCTAATGGCGATACAGGAGATTCATTTGTATTGACCAGATCAACATACCGCTGCAAGAACGAGTTGCTATCAGTCATATCCGCTGTCAAACTTTTATATAGTTCTCTAATCCTTCAAAATGCTGTCCTTTTTGTTGTTATATGGAATAGCTTTAGAAACTCAGAAAGCTAGCTTTTTAACGCTTTCGAACTCTCGAGCCTCAAAGAGTCGCTGTTTAAGAATCAAGATATCCATCCCTTCCAAGATGCCGATCAAAAGTTCACTCTCACAATACTCTGCCCTTGGAAACTAGTCTCTAAACAAGAAGTAAATAGCTGATGAGCCCATCGAGAGTATATTTTTGGCAAAATGGGAATATTTACCATTTGCCCGATTAGGAAATCATATGAACACGCTGCGCACTTTTCTGTGCAAATGAAAAAAATGTCAATATGCTAATTCCACTTTATAGCTTTATAGTGGAGCATAGTCGTCCTTAGCATAACGATTGGCACTAACAACTGTTTCTTTTCACGCATATTACATTACTATGCCCCTTTCGGCAGCGATGTATGCTTCCCTGAGCTTTATGGGGTCCTGGTCCTGGTCGGGTAATGGTGGGCCCCATTTATAAGGCGGTTTATCTGTATGGGCTTTGAACACATTAAAGTTCCTGATAGCGATCAAGTCCTGTGCAGTCGAGTGGAAAGTTACTTCGTCGCAGTCCTCAATAATCACTGTCTGAGCGCTGGCTGTGTTATCTGCGGGCTCCACCTGTATTTGGCAATTGACCAAGTTATGCAGTCTTATCTGCACTTTCTCTCCGAACCTCAGCCTTATCAACAGCGTAGTGTGCTCACAGTCTGTAACAAAGATGCTTCCTAGCATCTGCGGTACGTTGAGCGATACCACTGTGTTTCTTGCATGTGCCATTGAGAATGCCGACATGGCGTCGTTGCTGGCACCATCGTAGAGCACCACGCACCTGTCGAGTCTGTCCAGGTTGAATACCCGCTTCATCTGCATCTCGCTGAGCTCCAGTACTGCGTCTACATGCTGCAACGGTGGCGTGGACCTTGCGGCAGGGTCACCCGCCGGTGCCTCGGTGCTTGTCTTCAACCTCGGTGTGTGCTTGAACCTGAACCTGAGGCGCTGCCCGTGTGGGCCCTGTCCCGAGCCCCCGCCGGAGCCCCCGCCGGAGTTCCTCCATGCGAACAGCGCGTCGAACCGCCGCTTGCACTTCTCCCGGTCGTACTTGGTCAGGTCTGCGATGCGTTCGTTGAACTGTGCGTACGCGCAGTCCAGCTCCGCTAGCCATTGCTCCTGCGCTTCCTCGGCTGTGTCCTCGAGCCGCCGCAGCTGCTGTGCGATGTCCATCTCTGGCTGCACTACGACACCACAGCAGACCGCAGGCTCCGTGGCTAGCCCTTTGCTTATATGCCACTCCATGCATAGGTGGGGCCCATTGGGTTGATGGGACTTCATCTACTCATTTTGGGACCTGGTACGAGCCCTTCTGAGAGCACATTAACTTGGAAGAGCGATGAGGGCCCTCGATGGAAAAAAATGAGTGAAAAGTTGCGATGAGCAATGAAGAGATGGTGGGAGTATGGCAGAGACTTGCAGAGTCTTGTAGCAGTGCAGAGTTTAGGTGTGGTATTGTATTGCGATCTGGAAGAGGTATAAGGTACCAGGTACAGGAGTCAAAGTACAAGAGACAAGGTACAAAAGACAAAAGACAAGAGACAAGAGACAAGATAAAGATGTCGTTGCATGAAAAGCCGCTAGAGCAGGAGGACCAGGACGCCGTTATTCTCGATGCCAGGGCTGGTGATCTGGAGTCGCTGCAGGAGATATTCACTACGCTGATACATCCGAAGCTGTTGGCTACGTGTGTGAGCTCTGACAACGGGTCTACTGCGCTGCACATGGCAGCTGCGAACGGGCACTTGGAAGTGGTGAAGTACATAATGGAGCAGGTGAAGCAGAGTGCGGATGCTGGCGCTGTGGGGCGGTATGTGAACCTGCAGAACAAGACCGGGAACACGGCGCTGCACTGGGCTACGCTGAACGGCAAGCTGGATGTTGTTCAGTACCTGTGTGACGAGTGCGATGCCGACCCGTTTGTGAAGAACGAGTTCGGACACGACCCGATCTTTGAAGCGGAGAACAACGGCAAGGAGGAAGTGGAGAACTACTTCTTGAAGAAGTTTGACGTGGAGCCCGAGTCTGAGTCTGAGTCTGAGGACGACGTCAAAGTATCCCACGGTACAGAGATCGAGCAAGTCACCAAGGAGGCCACAGAAGTGCTCGCCAAGCAGACAGAGTCGCTGCAACTGGAGTAGACACAAGAGATATCTAAAGACATCTAACATAGGATCAAATAGCAAAGTAGATAGGATCAAATAGCATATACAATCACATGGGATATCACGCAGCTCACTACACTCTGGGCAATTGGTGAAAGCTTCGAGTTGGGAGAAAAGAGCATTGCCTGCGGGTGTTTCAGTGGCACCAAGGCGAATGACAAAAAATTTTTTTGCAAAAAAATTTTGGAAAAAAAAAAGTTGAAAAAAGTGAAGCTGCGGGCGTTTCAGTACTGATGGGATAATAAAGAAGAGAAGATATTTAGCAATAGTAGTTGCAAAGGTAGTTGCTTGGAACCATAGAAGTGAGCTAAGCGAGCCTAAGCGAGATGAGTGATATTGAAGTGAAGAAGGTTGTTGACGATCCATTTGCCGGGTTGAAGAAGAAGAAGAAGAAGAGCAAGAGCGTGAAGGAGGAGGAAGTTGGAGCTGACGAGGTTACTGAGGCGCTTAGTGAGCTTACTTTGAAGAAGAAGAAGAAGAAGTCGAAGGAGGTTACTGATGAGTTTGAGAAGGAGCTGGCCAAGGCCGGTCTTACAGGCGAGAGCAATAGCAAGGAGTCTTCGGTGGGCCAGGAGTCCTCTATACAGCAGAACGTCGGTCTGCCATACCCTGAGTTGCTGTCCAGGTTTTTCAATATTCTAAGGGAGAACAACCCAGAGTTGGCTGGCGACAGAAGCGGTCCTAAGTTCAGAATCCCTCCTCCAGTCTGTTTGCGTGACGGTAAGAAGACTATTTTCTCTAACATCGAAGAAATCTCCGAAAAGCTGCAGAGATCCACAGAGCACTTGATCCAGTACCTGTTTGCTGAATTGGGTACTTCTGGTTCCGTCGACGGTCAAAAGAGACTGGTCATCAAGGGTAAGTTCCAGTCCAAGCAGATGGAAAACGTGCTAAGAAGATACATTCTGGAATACGTGACATGTAAGACTTGTAAGAGTATCAACACAGAGCTAAAGAAGGAACAATCCAACAGATTGTTCTTCATGGTTTGTAAGAGTTGTGGTTCCACCAGATCCGTCTCTTCCATTAAGACAGGTTTCCAAGCCACTGTCGGTAAGAGAAGAAAGATGTAAAATTGCTAGACTGATTCACCATTTTTAATAATAGAAAAAAAAACAACGAAAAGAACGATTTCATCAATAAAACATCATTAATCAGACGTGCAAATCACCAAAATCAGTTAATGGAGACAAAAGGAATAAAGATTATAGTAACTTGAATTTGTTCCGCATCTTTCACATTTACCACAAGCAATTACTAAAAGAAAAAAAAGACTAAAACTCGTGGTTATATGAAGATACCCTTCTACTAATGAAATACTGAAGATGTAACTCTCATATAATTTCATGAAGTTTTACTTAAGAAACATGACAAAAGATAACTCAGGAGAAGCATGGGAAATGGGGTACTTGTCGTATAGTTCCTCAATTACTTAATGGTAATCCGCAACTATTCGAATTTGCATAAAAATATACCTTTCCACTTCCTTTCTTGAAATCTCCGTTATCTTATTATCATATCCTATATATACAAACTGCTTTCATAACTCTCATATATGTAATTTAATCATCCATATTTTCAGTTAAAGTAATTATTCCATCAAAATCTAGTATGCATTGCGTAAAACGAGTACGGACGGTATGCTTGATAACTAACCATAAAAAACAGACTATGACATTAGACCAGCTATGTATTTAAACCGTATATGTGTTAGAATATGTTAAACTCCTCCTTTAGTAATGACTAACTTTGCAATTGCTGCAAGTTGTTGAGTACAATGCTAACAGATGGCCTTTCAGAAGGATCCACTTGCAGACATGATCTTATAATATCCAATATGCTATCAGAGTAACGCGATTGTGAAGGGAAACTGAACTTGCCGGTGGATATAGCATATTTTATCGACGCACCATATAATTGCTCTTCTCTTTCAAAAGGGTTCATACCAAACAAAAGTGCATAACAGATACAACCGAATGACCAAACATCTACTTTCGTGCTCAATTTCGAGTTGGTCTTAAGGTCTAGAAACTCGGGCGCCATATAGCTATTAAAATTATCATCTACCCATTCTCTTAATCGATTTAACTGCTTCGCAGTTTTGATTTCAACATCAGCCTTCGAACAAGAACCCAATTCTGAAATAATTGGTAACCCATTCGAGGAGAATATAATATTCGATGGAGATAACATCTTATGACTGTAGGAAACAGGCACAACTGAAGTAGTAGATATAGAGTCCAGTTCAAGAAGATGTTCATCCATGGACAAACCTGCTTCATCCGTGTAAGAAGCAGAAATCTTATCCCTGTCATCTCCCAAGTTATCTGATAAATTGAAGTCCGTGTTTACGTTATCGGAAGCCCCTTCATCAACTCCTGTCGTCAATGTCCTTACCCCTCTAGGGGCACTGCTAGAATCATGCAAGCACAGCAAACCGCGAGCGATACCACACATTATGCGAATGCATTCACTTTCAGAGACAAATGTGCCATCCAGTATTCTGTCGTCGATCGAGTCCTGCAGCGAACCCAATGGGTAGTGTGGAAACACTATATATATCGTCTTTGCTCCGTCCAGTTCTTGTATCACCTGTGAGTCAACGCTAGATACCACGTATGGGCTTTGGAATCTTTTATAGTTGTCTATCTCCCGCATAGCATCGGAGACATTGCTAATATTCCCGATGGGACACCGTATCCGCTTAAGAGTGTACGTATTCACACTCTCATATCCATCGTCATCGTCCCCACTTGCAGCAGCACTTAACAGAGGCATGCCATCTTCTAGCCGTACCAGATACAGGAAGGACATGTCATCCTCCTTCAGCAACCTCACTATCGAATACTTCCGTCCATTAACCAGCAAAAAAGTGTTAGAGAAATCGGGGCAAAACCCGCAGCACAGCACAGACAGCGGCCCGCTTAACCATTGCCACAGCATCACTTCCACTTCTCGTCTACCATTAAACAATCACCTAGGCCACAGACAGTGCTTATTACTCCCAATAGCCAGTAACTCCTTCTTTTGAGTAACTTGGTGAGAATTTCGAGATGAGCTTGCGGCCCAAAGCCCTTAAAATATTGCAAACTACGATTTCTTGAAAAATTTCAAAAAGAGAGCTGAGAGCTCCATTAAGAAGTACAAATTACATAGAAGGTGTAACTAGCAGTGAATTGTTGTTAGTGTTAAGCTCCAGTAACAGCGTAAGCGTAACTATAGCAGCAAAAGCAATGTCTATTCAAACCAGCGATCCTAACGACCCGAACGGGTCCCTGAAGTCGCTTTCATTGATTGCAGCACACTCACACATCACAGGTCTTGGTCTGGATGACAACTTACAGCCCCGTGCCTCTTCTGAGGGAATGGTTGGCCAATTACAGGCCAGAAGAGCCGCCGGTGTTATATTGAGGATGATTCAGAATGGCTCCATTGCTGGGAGAGCAATCCTAGTCGCGGGCCCACCTTCCACTGGTAAGACTGCGCTCGCTATGGGTCTATCGCAGTCTCTGGGTAAAGATGTGCCATTCACAGCTATTACTGGTTCTGAGATATTTTCCTTGGAGTTGAGCAAGACTGAGGCGTTGACACAGGCCTTCAGAAAGTCCATTGGTATCAAGATCAAGGAAGAGACAGAGTTGATTGAGGGTGAAGTTGTCGAAATTCAAATAGACAGATCTATAACCGGGGGTCACAAGCAAGGTAAGCTGACCATCAAGACGACAGACATGGAGACTATCTATGAACTAGGTAATAAGATGATTGATGGACTCACCAAGGAGAAGGTTCTAGCTGGTGATGTGATCTCTATAGACAAAGCCAGTGGTAAGATCACTAAACTGGGAAGATCATTTGCAAGATCAAGAGATTACGATGCAATGGGCTACGATACAAAATTCGTTCAATGCCCAGAAGGTGAGCTACAAAAGAGAAAGACTGTGGTACATACAGTTTCCTTACATGAAATTGATGTTATCAACAGCAGAACACAAGGTTTCCTAGCTTTATTTACTGGTGATACAGGTGAAATCAGATCAGAAGTTAGAGATCAAATCAACACGAAAGTTGCCGAGTGGAAGGAAGAAGGCAAAGCAGAGATTGTTCCAGGTGTTCTGTTCATCGATGAAGTCCACATGCTTGACATTGAATGTTTCTCATTTATTAACAGAGCCCTTGAAGACGAGTTTGCTCCAATCATAATGATGGCTACCAACAGAGGTATTTCCAAGACAAGAGGAACTAACTACAAGTCTCCACATGGTCTACCACTTGATCTACTAGATAGGTCAATTATAATAACCACTTCCAATTATAACGAGGAGGAAATCAAGACGATTTTGACCATTAGAGCACAAGAAGAAGAAGTGGAACTTTCACCAGATGCACTTGACCTGCTAACCAAGACAGGAGGTGAAACCAGTCTACGTTACAGCAGCAACCTGATATCGGTTGCTCAACAGATAGCTTTAAAGAGAAAGAGCAACACCGTCGAAGTTGCTGATGTTAAGAAGGCATATCTACTTTTCTTGGACAGCTCACGTTCTGTGAAGTTTGTTCAAGAAAACCAAGATCAATATATTGATGATAATGGTAAAGTTATCATCTCTACTAGTGGGGAAATGACACAACCAGCGGATGGTGAGGCGATGGACACTACCGAATAGAATAAACAGCGCCCTATTCCCACCGAATATATATTAAAACTTATGTAAATGAAAGGTTTACAGTTGTATGTAAAAAAGAGAAGATGCATGCTAATTAAAAAAAGCATATGAAACAAATTAAATAAATGAAACCAAAATACACGTATCAAGAAGCTACAGTTAATTTGGTCTATATTCTTATTTGTTAGAACTTTACATTATATGCATCAGTTTTCGCGTCATGCGTCACGTAATACAATAATATGCTATTTAGCGATGAGGTGAGACCGAATGGTAGAAATAGTACCTTCATGAAGACCATAAGCTGGCTTGAAGCAACCTTAAGATTGAAGTTATATTAGGACATAAAGTATCAACGATAAGGATGACAATTGAAGATGAGCAGAAGAGGGTAGGTATCGAAGGTATCTGTTTGTTACCAAGTGAGATCAAACTGCTGAGTGAAGCATATTTCTTTGAATTGCCAGCATCTTCAAACAACGAATCCAGCTCCACAACCAAACTACTAAAATATGGAACGGAAATATATCAAGTCACTGACTATTGCTTTGGTAAAGGTAGGAAATACGAGAAAGTTAAGGATGAGATCAACGACCGTTATCATTACGACGAAGAAGGCAAACCTTTGAGGTCTGCTATACATGTTAATTCAGAGGACAAGACAAATTATACAGTCCTACCCAACGCAAATATAAAATATTTCTCAAAGTATGATTTGACCTATAACTTGATCGGTTTCAAATTCAAGGACTGCGTTACTGGAAAAGAATCGGAATACTTTAAGCCAACACATAAGGAAACTACAAAGAAGGATGATGATAGATATTTAACACTACGTGACCATCAAGATATGTTGATTGATAATGGGCATGCAAACTGGAGCCAAATACCTTCACCTACACTAGAACATTGCTTGTCAAATATCTCCGACCAAATAGAAGAAGCCGGAGACAAATATTATAAGATAACGCTTGACAAAATTCTAAATTACCTAAAACTCAAGATAGTTAATATTGTGGAGAACTTTCCAAACAGTATTTCTGTACCGCCAAGCTTAGATAAAAACGATTTGAATGCTTTCAAAATTTTTATCGCTTCAAATATTCTAGTCTCTCTTGTACCAAAAATAATATTTGTTTCTTTACAGGACGACGACATCCCAATAGAAAAATATGACATTTCTGTTAAGCAGGCTTTCCATGACATAGAAGTATTCTATAAGACTTCGACAGACAAAGATGCTGAACAAAAGATACTGCTTGAAGCTGCCACAAACGTTGGTATGCCAGGCGACTCTGGTCCCAGGCAAATGGATAAAAAACCCAAAAAGGTTGTACCCAAAAAGCCAAAGGTTGCTGTCGGAAGAGGTGCTATAGACGGTTTTTTTAAGAAGAAGTAAACATAAATATTGTTACAGGCATATATTACATGTGTTTAATTATAGCGGCTATTTACATAATTCAGGAATGACCTTTATATAACATGCTCTTTTACCAAACTAGAATATAAAAAATTATATTGATAGTTTTTTACAGTGCAATAACATAAACAAGTATATTGTCCCATTTGTCAATCAACTTCTACTCGTTTCGTGCTCTCTTGATTGCTCTTGTAGAAATGAAATAATTCAAATATGACCTCAAAAGTGATCAGATATATTATTATCCACTCTAGGAAAGAGCTATTACGCTCATTAAGTAGGGACAAGATAGCCCTACATTCATCAGTTGAATAGTCAAGCTTGCTGTTTAGAATATTGATACGGGGACTAATATCCAAATAACGGGAGACGTCTTTGAATATAATTTCAAGCTCCGGCTCACTCCAATATAAATCTGGTGTCTCAATTAATTCGGAATATAAATTCAATCTTCCTCTTATTAAAAATAATCGACCGATAGACTTCAGAGCATCAGACTCTTTTACCTTAAGTTTGATACCCGTAGAAATCTTCTCTGTTATTATTCTAGTGTTTGATATGTGTCTCTCCATAGCATTTTCTAGTACTGCCAGTGCAGTACTTCTAGACAATCCGCTAGAAAAGGCAGCTTTATCCAAAATACCCTCAGACTTCTCAATTGAGTTGATCAAGATTACATCTCCAATCAACCTACTATTTATCTTCGGCTCAGATTGAATGCCAGAATGTGAACGAAGATTTTCCAAGTCCTCAGCTGATTCAATTTCGATATAATCCATATCTTCTGTTTCATATTCTTCAACCTCCAGTTTATTTACAATAGCTTCAGATATCAAAGGCACTATCTCTATAAGTGCAGTTCTTTCATCAACACCCCAACATACCACTGATCCTGTTTGTCCCAAAATCATTATCGTGCCATCAATACCATTTGTTCTATAATTAAAAGACACAATCTCTCCCGGTATGAGGTTGGACGGCTGAAACCCGTTAATATTCAATATCTCTAAGCATTTTCCTAAGTCATACCTCTCACCTGTGGTAACAGTTGTACAGGGCTTTATCACTAAGGTCTTCAATATCGAGCTCTCAAACTTATCATCCTCAGATTCAGTGTCCACAGCATTAACCTTCTTACTCCTAGGCACAAAACTTCTCCTTAAGTAACGGGTTGGATTTGCAATACCTTTAGTAAACTTTGTAGTCTTCACTCCATAGCTGTCTATATTCGTCATATCTTTTTTCCTGTCATATCCCTCATTAAACAAACTGGTACTACTATGAATGAATCTCCGGATACTCGTACCATGTTTCCAATGTATTCGACATATTAACCCACTCGAGTTCTTACATTGAAGTCTACCAATCATTTGATTATTATCTGTGGCCTAATAGATGAAGGTAACAAAGTTGACTGGCGTATGAGATCAGTAACTAGCGATTTAATAAGCTATTGATTAACATAATAATGGGAAGCTTAAGTAATCCAAATATTCAAAACCCTAATGTAAGAGCTCTTTCTGCATTAACTTACCGATCGGAGTGATGAGATGCCCAATTCGTGGCATATGTTATCTATAAATCATATACTTTAGTTATATTGTTTGATTTGTAAATTATTGTTACACAATATATGGATACAAATGGGGGTCCCCATTATCATAAAATGCTCGTTTATTTCTGGGAAGTCTTGAATTTGTTATATAGCCTTCTCTAGATTAATTTTGAACTCGAGAAAGAATGATCCTAAAACCTTGAAGTGTCAGGAGACGCATGTCTCTTGATAGGGTGTAGCCTGGATACTTATCATTGTAATATATCAAAACTTAGCATACTACGTATCCAAACATCAATTTTATCGACTGAAAAACATAATGATCACTTAACCAAGAAACGATAACATATTTTTCAAACCCTATTGCGTTCATTAAATAAACATCTTCAGCTATAGCTATCAGCCAAGGCTCTCTTTACGTCTCTTTTCAACCTTTCCTCCTTTGTCACATCAATATCCATTATTTCCTTCACAAGAAGTACCACAGAATCGAAGTCAAACTCGTATTTTGTCCTTCTACCAATATGGTACGTGGTAATAACATTCCCTGTCTCTGTATTTTGATCTCTTTTATCTATATATTGTTGATTTACAAATATCCTTAAGACTGAATCAATTGACATATCAAGCAAAGGTATAGGGTTGTTCTCTGAAATGCCAAATTTTTTTAACTCTTCATAAAGGTCTCTTTCTAAAAGATTATTCTTTGAAAATAGTATTATGCAAAGCATAACTGATAATATACCTTTCAATACTAAATTGTCCTTAATTTCATAGTCGCTGCTTAGTGTTGCATTTATCTGGGACTGTGGTATGATATTCTCTCCATCTGAATTGTAATCTTCATTTTCTCCCAATTCTTTTGAAAGAAATGTTTCATAGGCCTCTTTGGCTAATTCAATTTTAAAGTTTTCTACTGCAGTGATAGGTTTCAACTTATTTCGTAACACAAAATAGTTAATATCGCTGGATTTTATCGATTTTGTACTATCTGCTATAGCAATTGGCGTTGATCTACCTGATTGATCAGCTTGGCTCGTTGTTTTATTTGTACTCACTCCAATTAACTCAAAACCGTAAGTATCATCTAGTATTTGATTCACCTTTAACAAAACATCCGACATAGGACATCGTACCACATTTTCATTACTGGCATATTGCTTTATAGCCTTTTGAAGTTTTGCACGCCCCAACACCGAATTACCTTGTTCAGTGCTCGATAGAATAAAACCTACCAAACGATACGCCACATTATCTAGCTTAGAATTTATCTCAGGGCTCTGTTCACTTGAGTATTCCTCATCCATGTTAAAAGTATAGTCCGTTCACAGAATCATACGTTAAACCCAATGAAAGCTTAAAATCTCGAATCAAATCGCTTGCTCCACATCATATACTACATAAAACTAATTAGAAAGCGTACAAAACCAATAAAATGAGTAGTAATATTTGAATGCAACTTTCAAGTAATTCATAACTAACCGTCTATGCTCATCGCTGACTTCAAAGAACTAACTTTGTAAACTTTAACGAAATTGTTCGATTGGAATATTATATGACTTGTCAAGAATATGATAATTGTAGTACACTAAGCTTACAATTGAATATAAGGAATATACAATCCGGAGACGTCATAGATTCACTCCCCACTTATTTAAATACAACAATCATTGATTTATTCACAGTGTAGAGGTGGGCATGACATGTTGGTATCATGAATTTTGGCTCTTTCATTCTAATATAGTGTACCTTCGATGTATCCAGCACTGCCAACGAGTACAGTAAGTGAGATGCATGTACAGTAGAATTATTTATATATCATTAAAATTTTCATACATTTGATGAACAACTCAATTAGTGCGATAGTTATGATCTTCATTAAATGTCATAATATTCAATATTTCAAAGCACCTTCAACAAACCCCCAAAAATCCTGTATAAATTTTTCCTGCTCATCATCATCAACAAGACCACCACGAACAGCAAGGTATGACCTATTGTTAATTGGTATATTCCATTGACCGGGATTACCACCTACAATTTTACCACCTGCTTCATTCAAAATACACCACCCTGCGCAAACATCCCATGCCCAACATCCGCCTTCCCAATATGCATCCATGTACCCTATTGAGACGTAGCAAATATTCATTGCTGCACTTCCCAAACTTCTGAAACCATGAATGAATGCACCTCTATCACTTAATAATTTGCGATAAGTATCAAATTTCTTTGTAAAGTTGGTGCCTTTTCCGTCTTCCCTTTCACTTCCACCCTCCAAACCGATTATGGATTTCTTCAGGGATAGCGTTCTTTTCTCAATATTAATGGGCTCATCATTTAGATAAGCACCATTTCCCAAAGATGCATGAAATAGTTGATTAAGGTGTGGGTTATAAACACAGCCAATCACCGGTTTACCACCTTGCGCGACACCAATCGAGGTACAACTAAAAGGAAACCCATGTATAAAGTTTGTAGTGCCATCAATAGGATCGACAATAAACGTAGGATCTTCAAGATCAAAACGTTCGTCCTTTGATAAACTTTCTTCACCAATAAACTTAATTTCTGGGTAGTTTTCTTCAGCAAATTTTCGAATAAGTGTCTCGACTTTTTTATCTACCACGGTAACTAGATCGACATCATTAACCTTCTCGTCGTAAGAATCAAATTTGGTTCCGCTAGCATTTTTCAAAATTGGACCAATGTCGGTTTTGAGAAACTCAATTAAATGTTGCTCGATTTTACGCAACTCCTCTCCGGTTAATTTTTTAGCCATTCTGGTTGTAGGCGATTATCTTGTATATGTGTGAGATGCGAAAAAGACAAAATAAAGGCTAACAAATTATCAATAGTACGTCTCTCAATATCTTAGTATAACGAATTCTAGTTATAAAGAAGTTTAGTTATTTTATAACTGACGCGATGTCATAGTGAAGTTTGAATCTTCAATCAATAGTCAATCTCCCTTTTTTTTTCTTTTTTTTTTATTTTTCACATGGACAAATGATTCAAGATTTCAAGAAATTCAATAATTTGCGGAGAGAGAGAAACAGCTCTAGGAGTCATAAGAAACTGGAAATTTGCAAGTTGACACATGCGAAACAAAATGTCAGTAGTGTATGATTTGGTTATTACCCTATTGAACTATCAAAACAAGTTATATTATCGAAAAGATCATGTTGCGCTTACTTCCGATGCGGTCTTGTTTACCGAGAAGACTAATTCAAACAGCTACTACAGGGGTTAGTAAAGGTGGTGTCAAATTAACATTATTCTCAAAACCACAATGTGGACTATGTGAAGAAGCAAAAGAAATTATAGAAGATGTACTGGAAAGTGATGCCATACCCAAGCACAATATATCGATGAATATTGTCAACATTAATCAACTTAATAATAAAAAATGGTGGGATCTGTATTGCTTCGACATACCTGTTTTGCATATTGAAAAAGACAATGACAAAGAGAGTTTATTTAAGATGATGCATCGTATCGATGAGGATGTTCTAGTTGATAAAATTCAAACCTATCTAAAATAGGAATACTTTTATTAGATGATGACAGCTGTTTCTTGCATAGTATTTTGCCTAATCGAGATAGTAATTTTCTGCTTTCTTGACCTCATTCCATGAAGATATCGAGGACTCAACAATATTACTGTATCATAACCAAAGCTGCTCATAGGCCTGAATAAGAGAATTTTGAAGGTTATATCTGTAAATAAAATAATTCAAAATTTCATGTTTTCTTTCTGCGCTTGAAATTGGTATTTTTGTCCCCATTGACATCTTCAATAAGGAATTTCTTCTTTGAAGTGTTTCGACCATTCTGTTTATCTCCAATTGTCTTTTCCAAATTAGAATTTACCTTTACTTTTGAGTTAGCAGCTAATTTTGGAAATGCTATTGATGAAACACTCTCAAAATCACTAGCCGAATTTGAATAAGACAGATCAAACACATCATCTAATATATCTTCATCATCCTGTTTATGAGTGTTTTCTTTTATAATTGAGGAAGGCCTTTGGTGTTTCTTTTGAAGTAAGTCATCTTTTTTGACTTCTTCCAAATTCCTAGCGTTTGAATTAGAATCATTTCGATATCCATTTATAGGATTTTTATCGGCCGATGCCACCTTTTTCTTTTCTTTATTATTGACCATGCACTTCGATGCCATCTCTTTTAGTTTACCCTCGATTTCAAGCTTTTCTGAGACCAAATCTTGATTTTCTGCTTTCAACTGTATCCGCTCTTGCTTTAGAACTTTAAGTTCTCTTTCAATCGAAGTTGTACATTTTTCAGATTCCTTTAAAACAGTTCTTAAATTTCTAGTCTCTTCTTCTAATTCTAACTTATTCGCTGCCAATTGCACCATCTCAACATTTACACTTTGCAACTGCTTATTTATTTTATCGAAATTTGCAACTTTTTTGTACAACTCATCTTCTACTCGTTTTCTATCATCGTCAATACTATCAATTTTGGTTTTTAGTTCGTCCTTTTCTTTTATTAGTACCTTGAGGATCTCACTCTGAGAACCTAGCTTACTCTCGTAGTTTACTTTTTGTAGATTGTTAATTTCGTTTAGTCTTGAAATTTCTGCAACTTTCACACTCAGCTCCTCTTTCAATTTAAAAACATCTGCAGTAGAGTTCTTGAGCGTCTCGTTCTTACTTTTTAACTCAACTTTAAGGCTCTCAATTTCGTTCCTTTGGGAGGTTAAAAGTTGCTCAAGTCTTTTTTCAGAGTGTTGATTGTTCTCCACATCGTTTTCTAGTTTTATGTTATATTTTTCCAGAGCAAGAATTTTATCCTTTAGTTTTTTAGTCACATCGACCTCGGAACAGTATTCTTTCAGAGATGAATCAATGCTTTCTAACTTTGAGCTAAAGTTTTGTTCATGTTTTTCTAGCAACTTTAAAAGTTGAGAATTTTCAGATTTTAATGAATTTTCAAAACTGTTAAATCTTTTATCAATATTATCTATTGATGCAATTGCATTCTTGCTATTTGAACTAATAATATCATTTATTTGATTCGCATTGTTTTCAATAAATGAGCTCAAAGAATTAAAAATATTTGTAATGTTATTTTCAAGAGAAAGCTCAAGGGCATTATTATTTCTATAACTTCTAATTTTATTTTACATCATTATAAATGACTACCAAACAAGATTATCTTTCATGCTATTTGCAGTCAAAATGAAATAAAAATAGTTAAACAAAATTTGTTAGTAGAGCAACTTCTTTGGTTATATCCTCTCCTAAGAAAAGGGAAGAAAAGATAAAATGAAATATTAATATAACATACTCTTGGATTTTAACTAGAATATCTGAAGACTTTGATTCTACGAAGCTCTGCATTTTTGTCAATGCTATATCTAGACGCTGAAGTAACTTCTTCAAGTTATTAGTTGATACTTGCTTAAACAACTCATCCATCAAATTCTGCTGATTGGTTATGTTTTTGTCCAGGTAATGAACCAAATCATTATTTTTATTCTCAATTGTCTGATTTATCTTATTGCTTTTAATTTTTTCCTCACTCAGTAAACCAGAGCATTCATCTAATTCTTTTTTTAGAAAATCAATTTCAGAAGATTTTTGCATCAAATCATTTTTCATAACATCCAGAATATTTTTACCTTCATTCAATTTTGATTTTAGGGACTCTATTTCAATTTGACTTTTATCTAATTTTGATTTCTGTTCTTCTTGGAATGTAACGAACTCTTTCAACGATTTCTCATTTTGGATCTTCTGATGTGAAAGAACAGATAATTTTTCATTTAGAGACTCAAATAAAGATTTATATTCATTGATTTTTTTGCCAGTTTTCTGATTAGTTTCTTCAAAATCGTTCAACATTTTTTTCAATCTTTCATTTTCTCGTTGCTCTTTGAGCAACTGTGACTTAAGATTGGAGCATATCTTTTGTGTGTTTGTGAATGCTTCAAGCAAGACATCGTTTGAGTTTTCTGTTATTAGCGGTTGCATAATATTTTCGTTTTTGCTTTCTTTTACTTGTGTGAAATTAGGTCGTAGTTCTTGCTGAGTTTGATTATGACTTTGATCTTGAACAGGGGCCAACTGTTCTTTATCATCAATTATTCTAATCTCTGTTATTTGCAATTCATCGTTAGGTTTCTGAAAACTATTTCCCACGTCGTCGTTTACAACTGTATTCTCACTGTATTCTGTTTCTATAATCTTGTTTATGTACTCATCCATGACTATTGAGGAGTCCTCAGAGGCCGCCACTTCTGGCTTAGAATTTTCATTATTGTAATCTGTCGCATCAGATACCGTCCTCAACTTATTTTGAAATATATTCGATCTGTTCTTAAATGGCAGGTTAATATTATCTCGGAAAAACGACATGCTCAAAGATTTTGAAGAAAATTAGAGTTAAAAAAAAGACCTAAAATCAGGACAAAAATGAAACTCTATTTTGTGTTTATTTAAATAATGCCAAAATCGAAATAGTAGGGAAAAATCAACCCTTTTTTCACTCTAGAAATTACGTACAAAAATTAGTAAGAAGGATAAACTTCCTTTGCTTAATCCCAAGTGGTATTTATACTTTTTTTTTTAATTTTGGGAAAATTCCCATTTGCCGCCCAGCCACCCCCTGAATTTCCAAAAAGGGAAATCCAGTCTTTAGAGACAGATATAGAATTTAGTAATAGCGGCTATTTATATTACGTAATACTTAGAATTGCAGTAGCATCACCCAGATCTTGAAGGAAAAAAGAAAGTTTGGCAGGAAACGGTAAAATGCTAATGCTAAACTCGCACTTTTACTAAGCCATGACACACACACACACACTGAAGCATAGGTAGTATAAAAACCTTAAATGACATCAGCCACATTCTGCTGTGGTTTACTGGCTACCAGGTAAGTGATTTACGTTAATAATTTTAAAGTAAAGTGGTACTACCCTATTGAACACACCGCATGTACCACACCTCAATCTCTCAGCAGTGTATTTCCGAAGGCCAGTTAATGCATCAGCTCCATCGAACTCATATATATGTCGCCGTACGTGGAATTCAATGCATAGCTGTCGAGTGTGGCGGTTATTATGCCTTTTTCACTGGCTATTCTATGAATGAAAGTATGTAGTTCTAAAGGAAAATATCTGACCCATGCGCCCTGAATAACCTGTCTCTACCTCAATAATTGGCCTAAATCCCAAAGAAAGGTATACAACAACCTGAATGTTGTAACAATGTACATCTACCGGAAAGAATTGCTCAAAAATAGTTGATTAAGGCAAGTCACCAATCTATGCCAACTATATATACACATAAGAATCGCAAAACGGAAACAACAGAGTTGTAAATACAGAATCAACTGCCATAAATAAAATGATATGCCTTCAATTTTATCAATGTCATTAGTAGAAAACGGTCCCCTCCCCACCCAAAGAACAAATAGCTACTACCATTTTAGTCCTATAACACCACCTGTAAATACAGAGAATATATGAACTAGGTTTTATATATTTCTGTACAACTCTTTTAGTTTTTTTTTTTGCGCTGTTAGGTAGTACTAGAAAACCTACAATATGAAAATCATGCTCTACAGTTATCCACAGAATATATCCCTTCACCACATCTTGTTGCAGTCATCCTAATATTTAACTGTATAAAGTTACTCTAACCCTTTTCGTTAACCAGTTGGGTTTCTGGTTTAGTTTCTCTATACTTCGGAATACATTTTAGCAGCTCTGAAAGATCCCAAAGTAAAAAAAATAAATGGGTATAAAATTGTTTAGCTTCAAAAATATGAAGGAGACGTTTTGATAACACTCATCCTGTTATTCCATGACAGAGCTGTACCCTAATATTAGTTGTCATGCATTTAGTGCCTCTTGCATAACCTTGCATTCCTTATTTTCTTCATTCAAATTACGCTTGATAAACTCCCTGAAATTTCCCCGTAGAAGTCCTAAAGAAAGAAAAAAACAAAAGAAAATTAAACTTAGAAGACAACAAAGGTAGTCACACAGCTCATCGAAGTATAAAAAGACAGAAGATTTCAAAATTGGGTGATTGAGTCAGGTTAAATTCAATTTTCGATATTTTTGCTACTAAAACAAATACATCAACACTACAAAGCTTTTTAAATTTATCGTTAGTGCCCACTGATCAGTATAATTTATTGGACTGTCGACATTATATACAAAGAGATGAACATTGACAGATTGACATTTGGGCTAGCACGTGGGGAACGTGAGAGCAATAGTCGCCTAGAGAGGTTGGCCACCACTACATCTTCAAAATGGCGTATACAGGACGTATGCCTGCTATTGATAATTATGGTAGTCAATTATCCGGTGTATTACCAGGAACCTTTTCAAAGGCAGTTTTCCCTGGATGACAGAACCATTTCCCATCCATATGCGGAGGTAGAAAGAGTTAATGATGTGATGTTATTCATATACAGCTTTATTGTTCCTGCTTTATCGATATTCGTGGTTTGGCTTCTTTTTGCCGACCCTAGACATAGATACTACCTAATATATGTTTCGATGCTGGGTTTGATATTTGCTTGGTTTAGTTGTAGCCTGTTCACAAACTTCATTAAGAATTGGATTGGAAGACTGAGACCTGACTTCTTGGCTAGATGCCAACCAAGATCAGATCTACCAACCGATAGGTACTACACTATCGATGAGGTTTGTACCACTGAAAATTACGATGTATTGCTAGATGGTTTCAGGACTACACCTTCTGGCCACTCAAGTGAAAGTTTTGCTGGCCTGGGCTACCTATATTACTGGCTTTGTGGTCAACTCCTTACAGAAAAGAAGTACGTAGGTCTATGGAGAAAGACGTTAGCCTTAGTACCTCTATTAATAGCCTCTCTAATTGCTCTATCCCGTACTCAGGATTACAGACACCATTTTATTGATGTGATCATCGGGTCGATCTTGGGGATGGTTTTTGCACACTTTACTTACAGACGCTATTTCCCATCAATTACTGACGAGCTACCGTTCAAGCCTTTGCTCGATGATTCAACAGTTGGCACCGACTTGTATTCTAGCGCAAACGAAGAAGTCTCTTTACCAACAGTATAATATTTCTGTTATTCTCAATCACGTCTTTAAGACCTCTGAATTTTTTATTTCTTTTTATTTCAAATGCAAGCTGTTACACTAGCAATTGTGAGAAACACCTAATGACTCCTATACTTCTTTTAATATCTTCTCTATGTTCAATTGTTTTCTTTTGGTCGTTCTTTTTTGTTATGTGACTTTAGTATATATGAATTTCCTATTTGCTTACAGGATTTTAGATTTCTGACGTTACCACTTCGATTTTATTTTTTTTCTTTTTTTTCTGTTATGCTTATACCACTTACATTTTTTAACAGTCTAATACTTCTCACTGTATACTTAAATTACCGCTACCTTAATATTAAATGTGTTGATATTCAAATAAAATCACTCATTCTTGTTGAAGCTTGTCGGGAACGGCAAGTGAATTATAACATTTGAATAAAATATTTTTGTAAAGAGGGAACTAGAATTTAATTATGTAAATTACTGTTGGCACTAAAATTTAGCCGATACTTTCTACCCAACCATCTGTAGTTTTTCAAGCTTTTGCTGGCCACAGAACTCATAAATACAATCATGTGATTTGCTCTTATTATTGATAATTGAATTTAAAAAGTGCTTCTTGACAGTTCTTTCCCAAACAGAGTGGATCTGTACACTGAAATCTGAGGGGTGCTAATCCCAATCTTACCAAAAAAAAAGGGTTCTAAACCTATCTCTCTAGGCTACTTTCTGAGAAAGATCACCTATCTGAGAGTTAATGAATTGCACATTCAAATGGAAAGCGTTGGTGTCACAATTAACGGAAAACATCAAATTTGGAATTTAGCCATAATAACAACAGCTCATCTCCTGGTTGTAATGTGTCATAGCTAGTTGTTGTTGAGTTTGTGCTAAGAAAGTTTATACCATAGGCATCTGAATATAATACCTATATGTACCAATGTTGATAAGGTACTCAAAAAAAATATCACTTCAATTAAAGAGCTATCAAAATACTTATACACAGCTATATTAATATAGTACTCAAACCTAATTTAGCTATTAGCAAAATACCCAATTGATATACCTTACTGTTCTGCCGAATCACAAGAAACAACTTTTGAACACTAGAAGACGAGAATTTTAGACATCTTACAGAAAATAGTTTATTCCACCATAGATATTTCAATTGATTCATGCCCATTCACTTAAACCTGATATTGATACCCTATAAATACTTTAATCTGAGCATTGTCATAGTATCTTGAAAAAAAAAAAAATTATAAAAAGAAACCATTGCATCAAGACTTACTCTACTTATAACTCAAGATGTCCAGAAGCTATCTGTCATTGGATGAATACTATGAAATTCAATGCAATGAGTTGGAAGCGATAAAATCGATATATATGGATGACTTTGAAGATCGCACCAGGAAGAAATCAAAATGGGACAAGCAACCTCAAATACAGTTTGATATTAGTCTCCGATCTATGGATAAAGATCCTGAAGAGTTATCACTCGTAGTCCATTTTGCCATGACACCAATGTATCCACATACTGCACCAGAAATATCCTTCGGTGAACGATCAAATGTCACAGATACCCAGATTAAGGTACTAGAAAACAGGCTGAAGGAGATATTTAAAGAATTGAAAGGTCAAGAAATGGTCTTTGAGATAACATCGTATATACAAGAGAAATTAGATGAATTCCAAAACAATGTCACTACATCATCTTTAGAAGATGAGCGTTTACAAAGGATAAAAGAGGAAGAAGAGAAGATGATAAGAGAAGAAGAAGAAAGAAAACGCCGGATAGAGGAAAAGAAAATCAATGAACAAAAACGTATCGATGAAATTGTGCAGAAAGAGTTAGCTAAGAGACAAGACGATGAGGATGACGAGAAAATATTCCAACATAAAAGCCAGGTAAATCTCATGCCGCCCCAGGACTGGATATCATCAGGTGAGGCTATATTATTCCCTAAGGTAATGAAGGCAAAACTACCAAATAATACACAATTCAAATTTTGTGCTGTTGTAGCTCCAAAGCAGATTTTTCTGCAAAATGACATTTTATCGTTTGCCAATCAGTATCTAGTGAAACCATACGTACCGTCTGATTCTCCATTAGCTGATGTTTTAATGTCATCAGAAATGATGCAAAACTTCTATTTTTTGTTAACCGAAATTCACTTGAAAAATCCATATTTCAATACAAGTAATGGTAAAAAAGAGATAGCAAATTTAGAGAAAGAGCTTGAATCACTTTTGAAAGTGCAGCATGATAACGTCTTGAGAGTATTTTCATTTACAGTTGAAAGGATGGGGAAAAACCATTCGAGTTTTTTTTGGAAGATAAGGATATTGACAGAATATTCCCCTGCATATTCAGTTGGCGAGATTGTTCAATCTGTCAACTTTGTGAACTTAGCAACTGCTAGAGTTTGGATAATTCGACTGCTGGAAGGTCTAGAATCCTTACACAAGGCTGGTATACCTCACAGATGCATATCTTTAGAGACCGTATTGTTACTGAAAGATACCGACTTGGGTAATACAGTACCAAAACTTACCCATCCTTCATATGCTTACATCATAATTAATATGCTATCAAGATATCCTAATAAAGATGATAACAATATAGAATTACCTGAATTTGCTTGGCCAGCACCTGAGCTAAGTAAAAATCCATCTATGAAGCCGACGAGGATGACGGACATTTGGCAAATGGGTGTCATTTTTCTTCAGATGATTAATGGTATCGAATCTGTAGTGGACTTTTCTACGCCGTCTGACTTTCTTGAAGCATACGCCATGGATGAGAGCTTACACGATGTTCTATCAAAAATGCTTAATAATGATCCCAAGAAAAGATTGGGCACACTGGAACTCCTTCCTATGAAATTTTTCAGAACCAACATTGATTCCTCAGCTAACAAATTGTTCATTCACACAGAAAAATCATTCCAAAACTTTCAAAATATGGGCTCATCATATGAGACTAAAGATAGAACACTTTCAAGTAGTAGTATGAGAAGAAGATCTTTCAATGTTGGATCAAGATTTTCTTCTGTCAATCCATCTACTAAGTCTAGATATGCCACCGATTTTGAAGAAATTGCTGTTCTTGGTAAAGGTGCCTTTGGTCAAGTTGTTAAAGCCAGAAATGCGCTTGATAGTAGATATTATGCCATTAAGAAAATTAGACACTCTGAAGAAAAATTATCGAGCATCCTTAGTGAAGTAATGTTGCTTGCTAGTTTAAATCATCAGTATGTTGTACGTTACTATGCTGCCTGGCTGGAGGAAGATATTGTCGATAACGACGTTTTTGAATCAAGTGATGATGAGTCTTATTCAGATGAAAGTTCCGAAATATCCAAGGATGACCTATTGTTATCTAGCGGTTTTACCAGCAGATTGTCCACAAAAGATTTGGACGAGAGTAATTTTGATTTCATTTCTAATTCTGGCTATCCCGATATAGTTTTTGAAAATAGTGGTGATGATAACTCTAAAAATGAATCAGATGAATCGAATGAATCAGACGAAACGGATTCTGATTTTTCGGATGCTGAAAGTGCTAGCAATGGCATTGAATTTGTTAGAGAAGATTCCATGAAGAAAACTAAGAAGCGGAGTACTCTCTTTATTCAAATGGAATACTGTGAAAATCGCACCTTATATGATTTAATACATAATGAAGGTCTCAATAAAGAGAGAGATGAATATTGGAGACTATTCAGACAAATACTAGAGGCCTTAAGTTACATACATTCCCAAGGTATCATTCACAGAGATCTTAAACCTATGAACATTTTCATTGACGAATCTCGTAATGTTAAGATTGGTGACTTTGGGCTGGCAAAGAATGTACATAAATCATTGGATGCCTTGAAATTGGACTCTCAGATGTCTACAGGAAGTGTAGATGATTTGACTTCAGCAATCGGCACTGCACTATATGTTGCAACGGAAGTACTAACCGGAAAAGGAAACTATAATGAAAAAATAGATATGTACTCCTTGGGTATCATCTTTTTTGAAATGATATATCCATTTAGTACAGGTATGGAAAGAGTCAATATTTTAAAGGATTTAAGATCATCTAATGTAAAGTTTCCAAATGATTTCGATAACAATAGAATGAAAACAGAAAAGAAAATCATAACCTTGCTAGTCGATCATGACCCACAAAAAAGGCCTGGGGCAAAAACTCTTTTGAACAGTGGATGGCTACCAGCAAAACATGCTGATGAAGTAATCAAAGAAGCCTTAAAAAGTCTATCTAACCCTTCTTCTCCTTGGCAACAGCAAGTGAGAGAAACACTATTTGACCAGCCATACAGTTTAACAAATGACATACTATATGATAATAACAAGCAAGTTACTACAAAGTTTGCTCAAATTTTACGTGCTAGAATGACGGAAGAAGTAGTCAAAATATTTAGAAAACATGGTGGTGTTGAGAATAATGGTCCTCCACGAATATTCCCTAAAGCGCCAATATATGGAACTCAAAATGTGTATGAGGTTTTAGATCTGGGCGGTACAGTTTTGCAACTTCAATATGATTTAACATATCCCATGGCTCGATACCTTTCGAAAACAACCAGTACAATAAACAAACAATATCGGATGCAATATGTCTATCGTCCACCTGAAAATTCAAAATCAAGTTTAGAGCCCAGAAGATTTGGTGAAATTGATTTCGACATTATTTCTACTTCTTCATCTGAGTCATCGTTCTATGATGCCGAAAGCATAAAAATCATAGATGAAATATTGACTGTGTTCCCAGTGTATGAAAAGACTAACACTTTATTTGTAGTTAATCACGCTGACATATTGGATAATGTATTTAACTTCCTAAACATCGATAAAGCGCAAAGGCCAGTTGTTTCACGACTACTCTCTCAGATAGGTTTTGCAAAGTCTTTCAGGGAGATAAAAGCGGAACTGAAATCTCAATTGAATATTGCATCAACTGCCTTGAATGATCTCGAAATGTTTGATTTTAAATTGGATTTCGAGGGCGCTAAGAAGAGGCTGCAAAAACTAATGATTGACAGTCCTTACTTGAGGAAAATTGAGGAATCTTTAAATCATATTTCAAAAGTCTTAAACTATCTGAAACCTTTGGAGGTTACAAGAAATATTGTTCTTTCCCCACTCTCAAACTACAATAGTGCATTTTACAAAGGTGGTATAATGTTTCAATCAATATATGATGATGGTTCATCACGTAACCTGATTGCTGCAGGGGGTAGATACGATAATCTAATATCATACTTTGCAAGACCATCCGGTAGAAAATCTAGCACTGCATTTAGGGCAGTTGGATTTAATCTTGCCTGGGAAACAATATTTGGGATAGCGCAAAGTTATTTCAAACTAGCTTCCAAAAATAGAACTAAAAAGAGGAAGGAATTTCTAAAAGATGTTAGTATTGACTGGAAACCTAGTCGCTGTGATGTCCTTGTATCCAGCTTCTCGAACAGTATTTTTGATACAATTGGAGTAAATATTCTAAACCAACTATGGAAAAATGGAATCAAGGCCGACTTTTTGAGAAACTGTTATACAGTCGATGATGTCGTAAGTGGCGCCCAGCAAGATGGAGTTGACTGGATTGTCTTAATTAAGCAACAATCCTACACTGTAAACAGTCAAAAAAGAAAGTACAAACCATTAAAGGTGAAACATCTGGGCAGTGATATTGATGTTGATGTAACATTGGAAGAATTTCTCGTCTTGTACAGGCAAGAGACGACCCGCAAGTTAGGAGTTGAAAATCAATTACTGGCTTCTGAGAAATATGAGGAAACCAAAAGATGGGATGATGGTAGCAGTGCAGGAAGCAGTCAGGAGGATGATAATGATGAGCCTCTTAATGGGAATGCTAATAGGAAGATTACTTACGTTCCGAACATGGCTACTCGTTCAAAGAAAGCCAGTAAAAGAGAAAAATGGGTCTATGAAGATGGTGCGAGACATGCATCTCAGGCAATCATAAATGATTTATCAAATGCACCTATAATCGCAGTCGATGCATTAAGGGATGAGGCGATGGATATTATTGCGATCACCTCTCTTGCACAAAAAGATGAATGGCTACGGAAGGTTTTTGGATCGGGCAATAACTCTACTCCTAGAAGTTTTGCTACAAGTATTTACAATAATTTATCGAAGGAAGCATCAAAGGGGCACAAATGGGCTATTCTATACTGCCATAAGAACAATAAATCCTGTGTTGTCGATCTACAGAGATAAGCATTTGTTTATTATTACTTCCTCATAAGATATTTTCTTGTAAAAAGACATTATATTGTTATTATTTTGCACTTAAATTAAGATTCTTACTACATAATATTCAATTATCTTTCTCTTATCCGAATATTTTTAATATATTTATATATATCATGTAAGTTCAAATTTAACTGCGTGTTTATGTTTAGCAGTTATTAGTATTATTATTTATATAATTTGCTTTTTACATAGTAGGCCTACTTCGTCGTTATCCAAACAAATAGAATAAGATAATCTAGTTTGCCAATTTACTTAGTAAATCTTGAATATTTGAGGTTATATTTCCTCCAGTATCTTCACCATTGTTTTCAGAATTCTTCTCAGCTTCATCTAATTCATTCTTTTCCGTTTCTCCCACATTCTCTTCATTTTCAATTGCTTTCATTTTTTTTGAAGAGTCATTCTCATTTAAGTTATCATCAGGAGAACGTTTCCTGTCATTTAAATCACTTAATTGTTTCTCTTCTTTCTCATCCGAGCTCGATTCACTACTGTCACTTGCATCAGAATCATCATCACTACTACTATCATTTGCATTACTCCCAGATGTGTATGTCGGTAGAACGTTGTCTTCTGGGATTTGTTGAATTTTAGCTGGGTTTTTTGACATTAGCGAGAAGTTTATTTCTGTTAGCATAGTCTGGCTAGCTTCATATTGTTTTTTCTCTGCGTTTAAGACAGATTGAATAATATCAATCGCCTTTTGTCTAGTGTCCATACTTTTTTGTACAGCATCGACGGCTAAGTTAGCTATTTTTGAAACAGTATTGTAATTGTCCTCATATACATGACTCGATGGATCCAATTCGCTGGCAGAATTATCAAATCTCGTCTTTAGCGAAACAGCATTCTGTTGTAGTTTTCGCAACTCCTTGTGTAACATTGCATATTGCTCTATTGTATCCGGTAGTTCTAGCGACAACTTTGTGCGATCCTTATCAATCGAACCAGACCTACTTGAGCTTGTTTTCTTGTCTTTACCAGATTCTAAGTCTAACTTAGCCGTTTTATTAATCTCTAAAATGGAATTTCTTAGCTTTTGTAGGATATCTTTGGGAAAAATTCCACGATCATACCATATATCAACGACCCTTTTAGCCTTCTTCTGCATCTCTGGATGCAACTGTGGATAAACATTTTTGATAACCTCGTAGACAACATTGCTGAAGGCTTTCTGGAAGTGGTCTATCTTTTGGCTTTTGGCCTGTTGGACAACGTGATTTAATAAATATATCCCTAACAGCTTCCTCCTTGCCTTAACGGAATCCTTTAGCATATAATCTTTCCAGGTATTTGCAACGTTATCAGCCTCTCGGTACTGTGATAGCAGCCATTTGGACGCACTATTGATAGATTCCTGGCTGTCTTCCAAAGTCCCTAGTTTACCAATGAATTGACTGGCAGAAAATGACATCTTCTTTATATTAAGTTCCACAAAGCAGCACAAACTAATAAAAAAAACAAACTTTAAGGCTTCTCACAACCAATAACTACCTATCCTAAAGAATACACTTTGAACTCTGAAGAACTACTCTATCCTCAATTGAAAAGTCTAGAGTGGTCGGAAACGTTAATTTGAAGAATCGCAAGTAACCCCGGCTTCTACCAAAATTTCAATATTCTACTCAGATTTGCAGTCGACAAGTTTAATTGAACTGCTAATGTCGAGTTACTCCACCCTGATGCTAAAACTATTTATATCTTGCAAAATTAAAGGGAAGTTCCTTCAATTTGGGTGAAAAATTTCGGAATTTTGATTTAGCAAAAAATAAAAGTTGCGATGAGCTAGAGAATGCCAGATGCATATGCTCGTAATTACTTCAGGTTAATCAAGCGAAGATTTATTCCCATACCATTACAGAATAAAAATGGATGAGCCTGTGTTAAAAAGACCTAAAGTTGAGGAACAGAGAGAAGAATCAGCTGGGCAAGATGACTTCCAGTTAAGGGATTTCAAGAAGTTCTTCTTCAAGTTGAACACCTTATATACTTTTCTTTCATGTCGCAAGCATGTCGTCCCATCATTTGAGACATTGAGTAAGCCATTGAATGCAAGTATGAAACGTGAGGTGAATGAAATGGACTTTGCTCGTGTAGTTGCGCTGATGCCACGAGGGACAGTGTTCAAATACATCGATGAGAACCAGATAGTAACGGAACGAAAGTTGTTTGATTTCAACAAAGGTGGATACCAACAAAGAGATAACGATATCTTTGAACTGGAAGAGATAGAAAAACAGTTTGAAGAGAGCAGATCGACTCAGATATTAATATTTGAATTTGTGGATGGAACAATGAAGAGAACGTGGAACAGAAATGGGCAGGATAACCCAAATAAGCAAGTTTTCCTCCCAACATATACCCCAGAAGAAATGAAGAAGATGATTAAAAAGAGAGAAGCTTTTTTTAATGAGAGGTTAAGCTTATTTATCGAGGAAGCGTCAAATGAAGGGATACCTACAATGAAAAAGTTGGATGAGCTAGCTTTGAAGCATATGCCGAAACCTAAGGATTACGAAGACCCAATTACATCTATGTTGAAAGCTAAAGAAGAGAAAGAAAAACAAGTAGTAAACGAAGAAACTGGAGAAAGCCGACCTTTAATGACTGAAATGGTCAGTAAACTAAAAAAAAGTGAGCATTATAACGGCCAAATAAAAACCCACATGGAAATTCCACAAAGACATGCCGAGTACGGAGAATTAAACGTTGATATAGATTCCGAAATTCTGGATGCCATCGGCTACTCTCAATTTTATAGCCATCAAGCTGACGCAATTAACGCTGTTCATAATGGTGAAAATGTAATTATTACGACATCGACATCATCAGGTAAGTCATTGATTTATCAACTATCAGCCTTTGATCTGATGTTTCGCAACCCTGAATCGACATTCATGTATATCTTCCCTACTAAAGCGCTGGCGCAAGATCAGAAGAGGGCATTTCAAGTGATATTGTCAAAAATTCCATCGTTGAAAAATGTTGTTGTGGATACTTATGATGGTGATACCGATCCAGAAAAGAGATCATTTATTAGAAATAATGCAAGAGTTATTTTCACTAATCCAGATATGATACATGCCAGTATTTTACCGAATCATGTCAATTGGAGAAGATTTCTCTTTAACTTACATTTGGTTGTGATTGATGAACTTCACATATATAAAGGGCTATTTGGTTCCCATGTAGCCTTAGTAATGAGGAGATTGTTGAGGTTGTGCAGGGAACATTATGATAATTTTTTTACAAGATTTATTTCATGTTCTGCTACACTGAAAAATCCAGTCAAACATATGATGGACATTTTTGGTATTGATAAGGTGAGGCTAATTAGTAATGATGGTTCCCCAAGAGGCACAAAGCATTTAGTCGTTTGGAATCCACCAGTTCTGAGTCAGCATGATAGAAAAAGAGAAAACTTCATTAGTGAATCTGCTAAAATATTGGTTGACCTAATTTTGGCCAATGTCAGAACTATTGCCTTCTGTTATGTCAGGAGAGTTTGTGAGCTGTTGATGAAAGAAGTTCGATCCATTTTTGAGGAGATGGGAAGACAGGATTTAATTACAGATGTCATGTCATATAGAGGTGGATATTCGGCAGCAGATCGTCGTAAAATTGAAAGAGAAATGTTTCACGGTAATTTGAAGGCGGTCATTTCAACCAATGCTTTGGAATTAGGTATAGATATTGGTGGTTTGGATGCCGTGCTAATGTGTGGCTTTCCACTTTCATTAGCTAATTTCCACCAGCAAAGTGGTAGAGCAGGAAGAAGATCAAAAGATTCTCTTACTGTTGTGGTTGCCAGTGATTCTCCCGTAGATCAGCATTATGTTGCCCATCCAGATCTATTGATGAATAGTGAAGATCCTGATTCCTTTCAAGACTTAGTATTGGATTTCACGAATATGCTAATTGTAGAAGGGCATGTTCAATGTGCTTCGTTTGAACTTCCAGTAAACATAGAAAGGGATAAGAAATATTTTAATGACAAGTTATTAAGAAATATATGCCATGAGAGATTACAAAAAGATGAAAACGGTTATCATTGTAATATTCGTTTTTTGCCGTGGCCATCCAAACATGTAAATTTGCGAGGAGCCGAGGAAGATCAGTTTGCCGTTGTAGATATTACTAATGGGAGAAATAAAGTCATTGAAGAAGTCGAAGCATCGAGGACCAGTTTTACTTTATATGACGGTGGTATATTCATTCACCAAGGTTATCCATATCTAGTAAAAGAATTCAATCCAGAAGAGAAATATGCCACCGTTCAACGAGTTGACGTTGATTGGGTTACTAATCAGCGTGACTTTACAGATATAGATCCACAGGAAATTGAATATGTACGATCAATGGAAGGTACTGATGTTCCAGTGTACTTTGGTAAAATAAAAGTTACTATTATAGTGTTTGGGTTCTTTAAACTGGATAAATTTAAAAGAATTATTGACGCTGTAGAAGTTCATAATCCACCTGTGATAATAAATTCTAAAGGTCTATGGATTGACATCCCAAGCCGAGCTCTGGAAATATTGGAATCCAAACAGTTAAATGCTGCTGGCGCTATTCATGCTGCACAGCACGCGATAATGGGGTTACTACCAAAATTTATTGTCGCTGGTTCCAACGAAATACAAACAGAATGTAAAGCACCAGAGAAGGAGTTTGCAGAAAGGCAAACTAAAAGAAAGAGACCAGCTAGACTAGTTTTTTTTGATTCTCATGGAGGCTCATATGGGTCTGGATTATCTAGCAAGGCTTTTGAACATATACAAGAAATATTAAATGGAACACTACAAAGAATTACTGACTGTCCATGTGAAGATGGATGTCCGGAATGTGTAGCAGCATCTTATTGTAAAGAAAATAGTTTGGTTCTATCAAAGCCTGGTTCATTAGTCATCCTTCATTGCATTCTGGGCCACGAAGAAGATGATTATATTGATCTCATAAAGGATGGTCCTGAACCTAACATGCCTGAAATAAAAGTGGAAACAGTAATCCCTGTCAAAGAGCATGTGAATTTTGCACCGGATTTCGAGATCCTTGACATTAAAAACATAAAAAAGGAAGAAGGATATATTATCAATGAGGATGAAAATAACAAACTGTATATAAAAAAAGAGGAAGAAACAATAAATCATTGATAAATATGTCACTGATAAACAATTAGGATAATTTCAACAGACACTCAAGAGGACTCACAGGCCATAGATTCAAAACTGTCAATAACAATTACAAGGAAATTCATTAGAATTCTATAAGATCTATAAATATGATATCATACGTATGTACTTAGGACATTAGAGTATTTACCGCCCAGTTTACACTCAGCGTTCTTAAATCGGTATATGTCTGGCCAACACCTACAAATAGAATCGGTATACCTGTAGCATATACCATATTCACCATAGTTCCAAGCATTTCACCGACTGTATCACATTTTGATATGATAAAAAAATCTAAGTTCCTATTTTTACCGAAGGCATTATTAAAGTTCCTGGCTTGCTGAACAGAATCAGTACCAACAAGAGCCTCACCAACCATAATAATTTTATCAGGGTTCGCTTGTTCAGCAAAATTCTTAAGTGGCGACATCAAAGTAGGGTCATTGTGTCTTCTACCTGCCGTATCCATAAGAACTATATCAAAATCTTGCTCCTTGGCATATTTTATAGCCTGTTTTGCAATCTTCGTGACCAAATCTGAGCCACCATAACCTGCTTCAAACAATTCAATATAGTCATTTCCACTCTTTCCCCTAGAATTTTTGGAACCTCTAATATGCTTCTCATCCATCAATTGTGCCAAGTTTTCTACATGAACTCTCAATTGTTCGACAGCACCAGATCTGAAAGTATCACATGCTACAATTAGTATTCTAAAATTGTTTTGTAGTAACCAAAAAGCCAGTTTTGAAAGATTGGTTGACTTACCTACACCATTTACACCAACAACTGAGAATACATATGGATTCTTTTTCCCGTCAGCACTTCTGTTTCCAGTTTTTTTCTGAATCTCATGTAATAAGTCAACAGAGACACCTGGTGTTAACACTTCAGTCAGAGATTTAGATACCGCTTGCTTCACTGTATTTTCAACACTTGTCCAATTATCTGTCCTTGAACCAACTAAGTCTCTTGAAACCTGCTTTAATAGATAGTCAGCAGCTTCAGGTGAAACATTCTTAGTAATCAGTTTCTGTTTAAATTTCTCCAAAACTTCATGTATGTCCTTTTCAGTAATGGTTTTATTACCAAGTAAATGCTTCTGCAAAAATCCAAATGCAGATTTTGTGTAACCGGTATTGTCGGATCCTGATGAAGACTTTTGTTGTTGCTGCTGACTTAAAATATCGTCAATTTCTTTGATTAAGAAATCACCTGATTTACTCTTGCTACCAAAATCTGATGTATCAATATTGGTATCTACATTCTGTGACATTTCCCCAGTGGGCTTGGCGTTTGGATCAGAAAAATCAAGAGTTCCTGAATCATTACCAGTTTCCTCTAATGCACCGTCAATACCCCATTTACGGTTATTGCCACCTTTAATAGGCTTTTTAGCCTTCGATTTCTTCTTGGCACCAGGACTTTCAGCTCTGATTTCATCTGAGTTAATATTAGTATTAGCCTGGTCTACCTTAATGGATTCATTGTATTTTGTCCTCAGGTAATTATCAAACTTCTCAATATCCTCACTTATTTCCCCAGAGATGTCTATACAGTTGAATGCATTCTTTTTGCCAGTGCCTTTAGCAGCTTTTATTATGATATCATTAATCGGTAGAGAATCCCATAAGGCAATGGCTACATCAAGCACTTCTTGAGCTTCGTTGTTTAATTCCATAGATGGTTCAGGATAAGTTATAATAAAATACAGTTCAGGTTGTTTCGACACATGACTTAAAACTGTAAAAGGTTTTGCGTTCTTTGAAACACTAGGAATGGACAACAGTTTGTATTTTGAGCTGCCATGATCTCTCGAGATTGGCGAAGTCAGCAAATGGGAAATAACTGCATTGACCTGGGCTTCAGCAAACTTTCTATCATAACAATTGTAATAGTAAAGCACTTCACCTTGAGGAGTGAAAATGGTCAACTGCTCAAACATGATATGGATTTATAGTCTATTCAATTTGAAATAGTTGCAAATAGTTGTATATTTCAGTTGTGTTAGGTAGTAATCGAAGCACAAAAAAATAACCTATGAAGTTCAATACCAGTTGTAAAAGGAAATTAAGCTCTTATTGATATCAATCCGGTGTAGAATAGTTAAAATTATATGATAATATTAGATGCTTGAAGGAGTTTAATTCAGCCTTTCGATGTTACCAGGAAACTCAGCAATTTTTAGAACTTCCAGCAGTTCTTTGTATCGGAGGAACGTGATATATGATGCTACTATATGTTGATGAATATAAAGGATAACAAGCAGTGAAATGAATGTCTTTATTTTTATTTGAATAAATGTTCTTATACATCAATTAATTATTGTGGTTATGGCCGAGTTTTTATTAGTGTAATCTTGCACAAAAAAGTTTTGTCTTATTCTCTATAACACCTGTTGGGGCAATATGCAAATTACAAAATGAGTGAGCTATCGAACTCATTATTGACAACAAAAAAATATAACAAATAGTGAGGTAACTAGCACCCGAGATATTATAATTACTCAAAAAAGCAACAACGTAAAACTTACAAGGTTCATAGTAATTTAAGGAATGAGCTTAGTGTTTTGGTTCCACTTTCATGAAGGGGTTTAAAGCACGCACTGACAAACAAGGTAATGCCATACCGATTTCTGCCCTTAAGAGAATAGGTATTTTTTGTAGTTCGTAAATCTCTTGAATGTAATTATCATTCTCAGTTCTGGTATTTACAGTTGCTAGGAAATTATTCAAAGCGTTCTTACCATCTTTTCTCTCCGGTAGTCTTAACTGAGGAACAGACAAACTCAACTTAGAGAGCTCCTTACTTAATGAGTCACTAACCAACGAATCATTGTTTGACATTCTATCAAATTCAGTGTCGGCGATCTCAGCTGTTGTTGATCTGAACTTGTTTTTAATCGAATTTCTGTATGACTTTGGATTCTTCTCATCTGGTGGAACAAATGTAGCACTGTCGATGCCTGGTTGCCAATGCAACTCTAAAACTCTACTAACTACATCAAATTCTGCTTTTAACAAAGGTAGCTGGTCACCATGAACTCTCTTTTCGATACCGAATTCTGGGATGAAAACATCGAATGATGATTCATAAACTTGAAGGACAGTAGCCATGGTCAACAATTGTCCTGTAGTATTGCCCATGTCGTTAATTGTTTTGCAGAGTAGTAAATGGATAGCCTGTTCTTGAGCTTGCATTGCACAATCCTTCTTGAAATTGCAATATTCGGACGTAATTTTCAAGGAGTCCATATCATCTGAATAAGGAACATCGTAAATTGCTGCCTTTAATTGTCTATGAACAACGTGGTCAGCATATCTTCTCATTGGAGCAGTGAAGTGTGTGTACAGTGGTAAATTCAAGATATAGTGGCCGTATTGGTCAGGATCAAGCTTGCCTGCAACAAAATATCTTGCTCTAGACATGGTCTTGAACAATAATATCTCGACACCAGTTCTGACATCAGGATCATCAATCTTCAAAATTGATTTTAGAATAGTGTCTGCAGAGAAAGTATCGATTTCATACCCAAAATGTTCCACCTTTTTGATAAAAGATGCGATCTTTGTTGCTACAGGGGCAGTTTGTCTTCTCAAGAATGCCAAATCACCTAGCTTAGTATACAGTTTTTCAGCTACGGTTGCGTTAACTTTTCTCTGTAGTTCACTAATTACAGAGCCACCAATACTGGAAGAGAAGAGGTTCAAGTCAGCCTTAACCTTTTCATCGTCAAGACTATCAAGTAAAGATAGGGCAGGTGATAACTGTGCTTCTGGCCAGTTGATTCTATCAGCGTAAAATTTGGTAGCAATGTCTTTTAGGGCAGAACTTACTGGATCAGCACTTCCAGTATTGTAGCGCTTGTCTAGTTCGCTAACTGACATTTTTCCCGTTGGGGTCACGTTACTAGTACCAATCCATGTCTCTTTGATCTTCAATGTAGATGGGTCTAATGTATATACGACAGATATAGCCAATGTACTCTTGTTTGGCTTCAAGCTAATGGCATCGTTCAATGTCTCCGGCAAAAGATCGACTACTTTTTGAGGCATGTAAACACCTGACGATCTCTTTCTGGCTCTTCTATCTAGAGAGGAGCCCTCTTCAATATAGGAAGTTACATCAACAACATGACAACCGAGTTCAAGATTTCCTTCGTTATCCCTTCTTAAGTGTGTTGCAAACTCAGAAATGCTTCCGTTTTCTTCAATACATAATACGGAATAACCATGCGCATTATCAAATTGTTTTCTAGCTGCTACAGCACTGTCAGAAACTTCCAGTGGATGGAAAGTGGTCTTCTCCTTGGAAGGATCCTTAGGGTCAGAATATTCATTGGATAAGAAGTTGTTATCCCTCAAAATAGAATCGATCTCCGTATTTGGATCATTGATCTCACCCAGTTCTGAAACTAAGATACCAAATGGATGTAACGAAGTGATTGGCCAACGTTTGATTGATGCAACAAATAGTCTATCTGTGTATTTATCAGCGTTTTCAACAAAGTCCTTTGGTGCTAATTCAGTTGGAATAGCAATTAAAGGTACTTTCTTATCAGTTGGTTTGAACCAGGCAATCTTTGGGCTTTGAGGAGCTTTAGCGTTTTCGTTGTTAGCTTGTTGAGATGGTCTTAACAAGCCCAGAGTACCACTGAACAATTGACCTGGGATACGGTCCAGGACTGCTACCACATGACCAGCATATAAAGGCTTAAACTTATCATTGATCTCTTCTTCTTCCACCAAAAGCAAAGATTGACCTTCGACCTCGACGTCATCGTTTTTCTTTTGAGTTGGACGTTGTTTCAATGAGCCCTTTCTCTTGATACTAGATTTCGTTGGAGAACCTAAATCGCCATCAGATCTCATAGATAATACTACATCGTCTGAATTGTAAGATGGTGCACCTGTATTTGGAGTGGCAGAGGCGTCATTGTGATAGTCATCGTTGCTGTTCAATGGTATGATATCTTGTTGTAATGCGTCCTTTCTTCTCTTTTTTTCTTCTTTCTCCTTTTTGGATCCCCACACGTCATCCACTACCAATAATTCCACTGCCACTAAGTCACCTTCCAAAGCTCTATTTCTGTCCTTTGAACCGCAAATGTAGATATCAGCGTCTAGTGCACCGTCAGTGGACACCCAGGCGTCTGATCTGTTCTTTTTGTTGACTCTCAGTATACCTGCTACCAAGCGTCCTTCCTGGATCAATTGAGGAATGTTTGCCTGAGGCAAATAAGGTGCGAACAATGACTTCCTGCTGTTTTGGTTGTTTCCACCTCCGCTGTTTGAGGAGAAGCTGTGTATGGATGAGTTAGAGTTACGGGGCTTGTGACCTTGTTGGAACATTGCAGGTGGCTCGAGTGTTGAGAAGGAGTTAAAGTCTCTTGAGTTTGAAGCTCTGTGGCGGAAAGGTGACCGTTGTGTATTCTGGTATTGCTGTTGGCCTTGCTGCTGCTGCTGTTGCTGTTGCTGTTGTGCTTGTACTCTCCAGTTGGAGTTTATGCCTATGTTGTATTCCGAGTTTCTATTTCTCGATCTCCTGTTCATCGAAGACGTAGGTGTGAAATCGTCGTCGTTTCCAGTGTTTGCAGAGCTCGTTGGTGTGCTAGCTGGGAACTTGTAAGATGCTGGTGACAAGTTTGAGTTGCTTCTGCGATGCGTCTTCTGTGGGAATTCGAAGCTGGATTGCTCCTGGGAGCCCAGATCTGGAGATACTGGCTCGATCTTGACGTTCACGCCGCTCAGGGAGTCATTGATGCCTGCGACACGCTTGGCTTGTTCTTCTGCTGCGGCTTTCTTGGCCTCGTTCAGCCCCAGGGAGTGTCTCCTGGAGTGGCCGTACACGCTCGACTGAGATCCCGTTCTCCTGTGGGCGTTGGGGCCTGAAGGCGTGGTCACAGAGGCGCCGTCGTATGTGTTAGAGTAGTAGTAGCCTGAGTTGTTCCTGGAGTGCGTTCTGGACCTGTTGCCGCCGGCCATGAGGTTGTTGGGCGACGCGAGGCTCTGGTTGCTCCCGAGTCCGCCACTGGCGCTGTTGCCGCCGTTGCCGCCGTTGCCACTGTTGCCACTGTTGCCAGTACTGTAGTGCGGGTTAGGGGGCTGTGGCAGGAACCCGCCCCCCATGGCGTGGTGGGCCTGGTTCTGACCACTCTGGTTGGCCATGCCGGCGGCTGCAACGGCGGCCGCCGTGGTGTTAGCACCCAGCATAGCGTCCACACCCTGTCCTGTTCCTTGTCCTTGTCCTTGTCCTGTTCCTGGCTGTGGCTGTGCCTGTGCCTGGCTGGCGTACATCTGTGTCTGCTGCGCCAGCTGCTGCTGCTGCGCGAGCAATTGCTGCTGCTGCGCCTGCACTGCCTCGAGCTGCTTCTGCAGCGTGAACTGCTCTATCATCAGGCTCGTCAGCTCGCTCTGCGACCTCCTGTGCGCCACGAAGATCTGCTTCGGCGCGTTCTTCCCGCCACCCGTGGTGGTTACGTACATGTTGTTGTTGGTGGTGCCACTGGCACCATCCTGGCGATGAAACTTCGACATTTGGGGTTTTCAGTTAGAATAGTGACCCTCGGCGCTTACACTTCTGTCCTTTGTTCTGGGGAAAAGGGTCGGAAGGGAAAGCCCAGGGTGCGCTGCTTAAATACTTTGGACGGGAGGGGGGAAGCGATAGGGAAGACGCTGAAAAAAATTTGGGAGAACGAATGGCGCAAAGGGGCGTCCAATGGAAAGACCGGGCAGAGAATCCCCTGTGGGATGTGGGAAAGGGTTGGTTGTAAGGAAAGAAGGGATCTTGCTTAGAGACACCTGTACAACAAGGGACTCTGAAAGGGGATCTTGCTTATAGAGAGAGAGGCCCGTACGAAGGACCATTTCCACAAACTTTTATTGCTGTATCACGCTGTACGCAGCCTCTTGTCTTAGAAGCAGCTGCACAAGAGCGGAACATCGATATCCATTTCGACTTCGACTTCGATATCGATGGCGGTGCCCTGAGTTATTCTGCTGCAGCGTCTGTGTGGGAGATGAGCTGTGGGAAGAAGGGGAAAACTAGGCGCATTCCGTGGTCGGTGATGAGTTCTTTTTTTAGAAGTGTTGCGTTGTAGCTTGTCACATGTATTCGTACGTGTATTTGTATACCTATAACATATACAATATATACAATACATATATTATATACAATACATACTAGTCGGACTTGACCTTGTACAAGGTGTCGAGGAAGGCTGTGATCAGTTTGTCTGCTACGCCTGTTGTTTTCACTGAGCCTGCGACACCGTAGAGGGCGCTGGTGCCCTCGGTGCTTGGTGTGCTCGTGGGGTCTGCGCTCATCTGCTCGACGGCCTCCGTGAGTGTTTCGATGAAGGTGTCGATCGTAGGAACGCTCAGTGTGGTGATGGCCAGGTGCAGCGCGGCGGGTTTCTGCAGCGCGTTCAGGTGCCAGCCGCTCTTGGCGAGGCGGTCTGCCAGCTCGTAGATGTTCAGCTTGTTGGAGGAGAACGACACTACTGACAGCTTGGGGTCGCCAAGCACTTCCAGTTGTGGGAGCTTGTTGCGGATGTGGTCCTTCAACTTGCGCGCTGTGGACACTATGCGCGTGCAGGAGTCCTTGTAGCCCGACTCACCCATGTGTATCATGGTAGACCAGCAGCCCACGACTAGTGCGCCGGGTCTCGAGCCCGCTAGCGTGGGTGAACCATACAGACCACCGGTCCACTTGGAGTCCACGTAGTACTGGTGCTTCCTGAGCTCGCTGTTTCTGTACATAATCACGGAGGAACCCTTAGGGGCGAAACCGTACTTATGTGTGTCACACGAGATGGAAGTCACACCGGGAACCCTGAAATCGAAAGACCCAATGTCGTTGAACCCGGCTTTCTCCATGAACGCAATGATAAATGAGCCCAGGCAGCAATCAACATGCAGTGGAATCTTATATTTCTGAGCCAGCTTGCCCAAGCCTTCGATGTCGTCAACTATTCCGTGTGGGAAGTTAGGAGCAGAACCAGCGAGCAAGACTGTGTTCCCATTTATTAACCGCTTGACTTTCTTCAAGTCAACTTTGTACGTAACTGGATCAAGATCAACGTGGTGTATCTTGATACCAAAGTAATAGGCAGCTTTGTCAAACCCAGCATGCGCTGTTACGGGGACAATCATCTCAGGTTCGGTGATACCACGGTGCTTCAGGCCGTAAACTTTGGCACTCAGACATGCCAATAGAAGCGATTCGGTACCACCTGATGTAGTAGTACCACAACCTGTCTCAGGTGCATTGAACATTTTCAAAGTCATGGACACCACTTCAGCTTCCATTTTTCTTACTGCAGGAAAAACATCGGGGTGTAACTGATTAGCAACACAATACTTCTCAAAAGCTTCGCTTTGTAACTTGATGAGCTCTTTCCCACCATGGTAGACAGCACCTGATACTCTGCCTTGCTCCCAGGACGTATGAGGTAGTATAGAATTCAACTTATCCAATTCACTGTTGATAGATTCACTGGATAAACCCTCTTTAGGTAAAACTTCAAAATCAGCCAATTGATCATCGTTCTTGATCAGTTCTTTCTCCATACCAGCGACAGCCTTAGAGACCTCTTTGTTAACAGAGCCTCTCAGCAAAGGTGATTCCAGTAATCTTTGAAATATCCAATTCGCAACACTCTTGTATAATAGCTGCATGGACTTCAATAAACCATAGCCAGCCAGATAATAATAGATTTTCTTGACAAACTTGTATAGTACAATCAAGAAGACATAGTCCTTTAAGATATTGTACCACGGGGTGTCATCCAAGTAGCGTGTAGTCTTATTTACTACGCAATTCACCACATCTTCCACAGAAACTTGATCAACAAGTTCCTTGATGTCATTGATATTCATCCTGTAGCTTAGTCTCTTATATATGAAAGTAGCTTCCACTTTATAGCGATTTTGTTAGCAAAGTTCCTCGAATGTGGTTGTATTTTTAATGATAAGCTGATTAACTCAATCGCTGCTGGGATAATTGACTTCTATATATATGTGACCATTATTAAAGATGGTCACTAAGAATGAAACCAATTCTGTTGATCAATGGGTCTTTTGAAAATGTGACAAGTTAAGGGGAAAGTGCCTTTGATGCGGATACGGAATTTTCGTTAACAAGATGAGCCGAAATATTTCACAGAAAGCTTAATATATTAAACTTCACCATAGTTAGTAGAGGGAACTATATCACAATGGCTTGTATTTCATATATATGGTATGTATGTAAATTACTACACATACATCAAACCTAGATAAGGTTAATTTGAGGACTTCTATCATAATTATATAGTTTCTGTAATATGTCAAGTCTAATACTGGGGGTACAATGAGTTTACATCCAAAACATAAAAAGAACGAGATATTCAAATGCAGTTCTATTATTACATGGATGTTTTACATATAAAGTACGTACAAACGTAATAAAAAAGTGTTATAAATATGCAATTGGTGTGATTCAGTAGTGGAGTTGCTCAAGTGTATGAAGGTGTGGCAGATCTAGTGCTTCTGATCCTTGTACTATTATTGGAAGTACGACCTCCAACCGATGAGTTTGGTGCTCCGTTGGTTTTTAGTGAATACTGTGATTCCATCAGCTCGATATAGTGTTTCAAGTATTTTGATTTGGCTTGAATCTGATACAATTCTTTCCTCACACGTTTCTCTTCAGCAGTAAGAGCATTGACCTTTAATTTCAAGGCAGGGCCTGACAATAGCTTATTTAGATCTTCCAGCTCGGTCCTGAGAGCTGACAGAGTACTGGCGCTTTCCGCAGCTTTAGAGGAATCTAACTGGTACTGAGACCTGAGTTCGTCATTCTCATTGCTGCTTTGTTCATTCTGTGTTCTCAGTTCCTTCAGGTTCACCCTAGTTTTTCTTATCAATTCGTTTAATTCCTCCATTTGAGAACTCATCTCCTGATCTGTAGATAAGTTAATTAAGCTTTCTAATTTTGCCTTTTGCTCCTCCACTGCAGATATACGCTCCCTCAGTTTCGAAGTTTCTGCATTAGCCCTCTCAAGTCTCTTCTCAGAGTCTATCATTGATTTTTCATCGTCTTTGAATTTTTTATAGAATACACCGATCTCTTGTTTCAAACCATCTAGCTCATTTTGAGTCTCAGTACTGTGCAATCTTTTCCTTAAAATGACTTTTTCATTTTCTTCCTTTTCATTCTCTAAGTCCTTGAGTCTTTCTACAGTTTGCTTCATCAATGTCGATTGATAGCTCTTAATATCAAATACTGTATTGAAAATTTTCAGTTCTGAGTTTGAGTACTTTAGTTTGGAAAGTCTAGGTTCGAAAATAGAGGCCTGCTCGTTGAATGCTTTCTTGAAATCAAATGATTCAATTCTCAATTGGGGAACGACATTATTACAGTTTTCATTTCTCAGCAGTGAAGTAATTAGTCTTTGGTAATCAACATCAGTTTGTAGTTCATCTGATCCATGCATACTCCTATAATACTTGCTTCTTGTGAGTAGGAAATGCATTAGTCCATCTACTGTGTTCACATACTCGAGACTATCGTCGTCTAACTTACCATCCTCAGCTTGTTTGCTTTTTATGAGTTCTTCGTTCTTCAAAAGGGTTCTCTCCAGCATGAAGTGGTCTGGAGAATTACACACTACTAACTTGATTAGCGGGATAGGGTTTGACTTACCGTTGACGTTCCTGATGGACGAGACGCCTGGCAGAGATGGGTCCAGGAGTGGATCAAAACATATTATGAGGTCAACATTGATGTTATTCAGTAGCGTTGGGTCGTGTGTCAAATGTCTGGTGGTTGTCAAGAATAACCAATCGTCAATGTATATGTCGGGATGTAGTTGTTTCTTTATTTTCCTTGAGTAGTGGTAAGTATCCTTTGTGTAGCCAGTATACGTTGAAGTTGAGTCAGTTGTTTTTGAATCAGAATCATTCGGCGAGCTAGCAACAGATGCGGTATTTGTTGAGTTTGAGTTTGTGGACTTCGTGTTGATGGTAACGTCGGTGGTACTACTCTCGGTGCTTCTCGTGGACAAGTGTCTTCCACGTTTGCCTCCGCTAGTGTTGCTAGTGCGGGAAGATGCAGCTGATTTTGGCGGCATGTCATAAGGGAGGTCATGCTTTTCGTCATACAGAGGGGTCCCCGAGAATCTCTTAATCTTGAAGTACTTCCCTAGGACCAGGCCTTCGATGAGGTCCAGTTCTTTGATGGAGTGCGAGATCAGGCAAACTTTCAACGGTTTTGGGAATTGCTTGCGGTCTCTTTGTATAATCATAGACAGTATTGTGTTTAGTTTCTTGAATTTATCGCTCGATGTTATAGATATTTCAGTGGGCTCCATCCTCAGGAATTGCCTTGGGATGTAGTGGTCTACCAGCAGAGACGGGTGGTTGGCAATGGCCCTGATGTTAGCGTCCAGCATGTACGTCATACGTTTCTGTGGGATGATTGGGTACTTGCCTTGGTGGTCCTCAGTTTTCAAGACATCGGCACCTTTGCTGTCATTATTGTAACGCTTAGCACATTCTTTCAGCAGCGAGTGTGCATGCAACGAGATTAAAATCTCAATCAGGTCTACCTGTGAGGTAGTCAGCCCTATGGGCAAGTAATGAATATTGGCCTTATCCATCTAGAAAGTTTAATTTGTTTCCCTCCGGAATATTAAATGTTAAAAAGGTAATACTGGATGGAACTATGAGAGCGGGTTTCTTCAAAAATATTATTGAGAGTTAATCAATATTACAATACTGGATAATAAAAAATGAAACAAAAAATGGATTATATCAAATGGCTAAACATCTATTAAAGACGACTGTAGTAGCAAAAAAAATAAATTAAACAAAATGCTAAAATGGAAAGGATTATCTAATTTAACAAGAATATAACAAAAAATTAGAACAGAACACAAGATAAGCAATAATTTAAAGCTGATGAAGGAAAAAAAAAGATACACAGGCTGGAGAGAGATTGGAATGTTAAGAACAGTAAACAGAATAAACAGAGGAATACAGGAACCATCTGAAAGCTAATAGTGCCAACAAGCTTGAGAAAAAAGAAAGAAAGACGAAATGGGTCAATCCTAATAATGAATATCAAAGGAAACCAACGAAACAAAGAGCAGAAACAAAGAAACATTTATTTTTCTGTACAACCCGAGGATTGGTGACAAGAGAACCGACAAATTCTCGCAAAGTTAGATGAACTTTCAGATTTATCATATATAGTGACTAGAAATCAACGAAGGTGTAGTTGTAAGTGAAGGTCGACCTTTATGATGTGGTTTGAGGAGGGGGGGACCTTAGTGTATCACAATCGTGTACCATATTATATACGTTAATGAGGGAGCCAGCACTTGGTGTGGTATTTGCAGGGTAAACTCCTGTGCGGGGGGACTCAATTATAAGTATTACAGGGACAAAACTTTGTAGATGTAGTACAGTCACTACCACATGGACAGGGACACCCAACTGCTACATCTGCAAAGCTATATAACAATATTCTCCACTATACTTGCATATAATAAGTGTATATATCGTCTGATAAATATCACCCGAGACGCACGAGTCCACTTCCCATGATTCTGGCGAGAGGAGACGTTGAGAGGATTGGAAGAAGTTATAGAAAATGGGATGCCAAGTGCTACGTAGGAGACTCAAAGGGGTAGCTAGCACAAGTGAGAGACAAGTGTATAAAGCGCCAATAAGGAACCAATACGATGTCTTTGATGAACAAAGCGGTTAGTCGTTTCAGGACTGCTGGGTGGCTGGAGAAAGCCGGGTACTCTCCGTGGTTGTACCTGTACAGGAACCTAGAGCGTGGCCAAGTGATGTACTCGCAGTTGCCAGAGTATGGGGAGCGCAACATCAAGACGCAGTTCAAGCGACACCAGTGGGAGAACAAGACGCCGAGCCTGCGCCGAGACATATGGCGTGTGATGTGTGTTGTGCAGATGCCGAACCACCAGGACAGCGTGCAAGTGTACCAGAACCTGTGCAGGTTGAGGTATATGCGTGATGTGCTGTATCGGGAGGAGGCGCAGAAGCACAGGAAGCTTAACGACAAGGGCCAAGTGTGGTACAGCGGCCAGTACAGACCGACTTACACGCAGGAGGCAGTTGCAGACCTGAAGGAGTCCATTGACAAGAGCGGCAGTGCGGGACCTGTTACGCTAGTGTGGGAGGATATGTGGCGGATGGGTGAGCGGTCTGTGTGGGAAGAGTTAGACCTAGAGATCAAACACAGGGCGCTGCCTAAGCTGGGCAATGTTATCCGTGACGAGCACGCCATGCTGAAACAGTTGCAACTGGAGTCTCTGGAGTGAATCTCAGTGGAGAAACTTAAATATTCCTTCTTTCAGTAGTGCAACATAACTCCCTTCACACACACACATATATATACATGTAAATACCATCAGTACATAGCTAAGAAATGACAATCTTACACCATTATGCGTTGCGTTTATTAGCTTTATAGATGTATTGTGCTACGTAAAGTAACGTGACATCCACAATAAGAGCACTACGGACGCATCCATCGAATTCTCCGCGGCCGCAGCAAGCAAAGCGAAGCAGAGCAAAGCAGCAGAGAGCAAGAGTACCAGTCAAGGCATACACCGGTATATCTTAGAGGCAAATAAGTTCCGCGGTATATAGTATGGGGGGGACTAGGAGTTCTATTTGTCAGCTGTTTATAGGAGCATCAATATACCGGATAAGGAAACAACGGGTACCCGTATAAGGACCTGGCATAAGGTGGTATAAGAACCGGGAAAAGAGACCATCCGAGAAAGGAGCTCGTATAGTCCATTATGGGCAGTCCAATCTCGTATAATTCCAAAAGAGAGGGTCAACGCCAATGGCTAGACAGAGAGAGACAGCGAGACAGCGAGACAGCGAGACAGCGAGATACGCGAAAACTGCGCAACAGAGATGACAAGCTCCTGTACGTACACTTCTGTGCGAGACTGCAGGAAAAAAAAGAAAGAAAGTGGGGGTTACTGATGGAAAAGCAAGAGCATGAGAACAATGGGAGGACTCAGACCAGGACGTAGGAGTGCATGACAAGCTGCTAGACAGAGCCGTAGTCCCTGTATTTCTGTTTGTACTGCTCTCTGGAAAATGTATATCTTCCTCTGATATTGGCTATAGACATTAATATAGACACCGGTCCTGCCCACAGGTGAAGGGGCAGCATAACTTATTTTTGGTTTGTGGATATGGGAACTTCTCAATGATACGTCCTTGACAGGGGAAAACCACTCATATTCTTGGAAGACACTCATATTCTTGGAAGACACTCATCGCTTCCCAAAACATCACGCTATGGGAAGTGCTGAACAGGTATCTTCAAACACAAGAATCAACTTGCAAACTATGTAAACTTGTGAACTGCCATATGATTAGTAATCTATTAGAACTGAACAACTCAGTGATTCAGATGAACGACATAGACAAGAACTATGGACGCGGGCTAAAGAAAAAAAAAAAGGAATTCTATAGTGTAGAGAAAGAGAAAAAAGTTGTTCCACCTCGGCCATTTCTCTCACGTAAGGAAAAGCTCAAGGACGAGAATCACAGACCGGGGGGAGAAAAAACGTATATATATGTAGCATGATTCCCTTCTTGCGCAGGATAATGATTTCTGTATACCAGTAAAAAAACAACAACAACATACCAACTACAAAAAGAAAGAATAATGTCTGTCAACGGGACTTTGTTTGAACAATCTTTCAACTTGAAGGGTGGTTATGACTACATGCACACTGTCTCTGCCCCAGAGATCAAGCTGACTCCTCGTGAGGACTTGACCTCTTACTGTTCTGACGGTATCCTTGCCCTGGCTGCTCCAGTTATTGCCTACTGGGCTCAGTCCGCTTTTTTCCACATTATCGATGTGTTCCATTTGGCTGAGAAGTACAGAATCCACCCAAGTGAGGAGATCGAGAAGCGTAACAGAGCCACCAGACTACAGGTCTTGCGTGAAGTCATCTTCCAACACATTGTGCAAACCGTCGTTGGCCTAATCTTCTTGAAGTTCGCTGACGAGTCCGTCACCGGTTTCGAACAAAATGAGATGTGGCACTGGAGACAGCAAGCTCCAGGTTTCATTCCAGATGCTGCTGTCTACTACGCTTACATGTACGGTGTCTCCTTGATCAAGCTGTCCCTAGGTTTCTTGTTCATCGACACCTGGCAATACTTCTGGCATAGAGTCATGCACTTGTCCCCATTCATGTACAAGTACTTCCACTCTATCCACCACGAACTTTACGTCCCATACGCTTACGGTGCTCTGTTCAACAACCCAGTCGAAGGTTTCATCCTAGACACCTTGGGAACTGGTATCGCTATGTTCCTAACAGGCTTGACCCACAGAGAAGAAGCCGTCTTGTTCACCTTCGCTACCATGAAGACCATCGACGACCACTGTGGTTACGCTTTGCCATTCGACCCATTCCAAATCGTCTTCCCAAACAACGCTGTCTACCACGATATTCACCACCAGCAATTCGGTCTAAAGACCAACTTTGCTCAACCTTTCTTCACCTTCTGGGACAACTTGTTCGGTACCAACTTCAAGGGCTTTGAAGAGTACCAGAAGAAGCAAAGAAGAGTCACCATTGACAAGTACAAGGAGTTCTTGGCCAAGAGAGAAGCTGAAAAGCTTGAGAAGATCAAGAACTTCTCCAAGAAGAACGAGAACAAGAAGGAGAAATAAGTGTAGAGTTTCTGTACATTACCTTATTTCAAATGGAGTTCTTTCGTTTTTTGCTCCGATAATTATTGAGCGGTTCCAGTTTGATGAAGGGACCTGGGCTCAGACCATCAGTCATTCAATGGTTAAGCTAGTTCTTCTCACCATTGTCTGATTATTATTTTTTAATGAAATTTTTTTATTTGGGAATTACTATACACCCAAAAAGCAAGAAATTATAATTCGATAAAATTTGAGTTTGAAATGTTTAGTGATGATATGACTTCATTTTAACCCTGTTTGACGGTATTACACCAACTTTTTTTACTCTTACAATTTGTGTTTTATAAAATATTTATGATAGACTTTACTTTTTTAAAAAAAAATACATGATATGTCTCCTTATTTAATCAATTTAAATCAGCGCGTATATATATCTACATTACTGTAACCTGTTTGGAAAAGAGGTTAAAATTTTTTTTATTGAATATAAAATACTGTATATATATTTTTGGTCTAAGATTTGGTTTTCTCCCTAGTATGAAATGTGATTTATTATGGATAAGCCCAGAAGTTCTCATTTAACAAGGTTGTCGTCAGACAAAGGTCCAAATATAGCCACAATTGCTACCAAAAGGAGTACATGAAAGACCAGACGGTAGTTTTCCCCTTATGTGTTTCTTTTTTCAAAATGCAATGATTGCCAATATATTTACAAACAATTTGCGCGTGTATGAGGTAATGGAATATAAATCGAAGTTAGACTGTGAACGGGGTGATTGGGGGTGATGGGGGGGATGGATGAGCTGGAAAGCTGTATCCCAAACTTTGCTACATCATAAAAGCTGTAGCTGCCTCAAATAGTTTCTTCTAACACCTTGTTTAGTTTTTGGATCTTTGAAGAGACACTTAGGTCAATGGTTTGGTCGCCAACTTCCACTATCAAACCACCTTTGATGTCAGGCTTGACAACGTTATCCAACTTCAGGGTCTTCTGTTGGCCAACTAGAGAGCTCTGTTGTAATGCTTTTTCCAATCTCTTGAAGTTCTTGCTGTCCAAAGGCTGTGCTGTGGTGACGGAGCCCCTGATCAATCCGTTGTGGGCGTCATTCAAGATGGAGAATTGGGATGATATCTTGTCGAACAGGCCCAGCTTGTTGTTCTCGGCTAGAACCTTCAACAAGTTCACGACTGGCTTGTCCAAGTTTGCGGAGCTCTTCACTAGGGAATCCACCACAACGGCTCTGTCCTTGGTGGACAAAGCTGGGTTTTCCATGATGTGCTTCAATTTGGCGTCCTCTTTGATCAAAGAGGACAACTTAACTAATGAGGAAGACGCAGACTCGACGCTGGTCTCCTTAGAGGCCGCAGTGAACAAAGCACTGGCATAGGTGCCTTCCACACCGAACAACTTGACTGGCGGCTTGACACCGGCCTTGGCAGCGTTAGAAGCCGCACGTACAAACACTCTGGAGAACATCTTGATGGGGATATTTGGTTTATTGTAGTTTGTGTTTTATTTGTATTGCTCTCAATGTAAAGTTGAAAATATGTTTTTAATATTATTCTCAATAAAGTTACTGTAAAGTAGGATACAGAAGAAGAGGATGTGTGTGGGACGTGAGAAGAGAGAACACAAAACTGCAAGAACACCAGTTTGCTGATTGGGATTGGGTGAAACACTCTCAAAATACATGCTTATTACTCTTCGAGCAATGGAAAAGGTATCTGGGAGCATAATGTCCTGGGGGAGAGTCTGTTCATCACGACTGGTGTGCTGAAAGGATTATTACTGGGATTGGTATCGCTAAATACGTTAAAGATAGGTATACAGCTTCTCAATGCTCTGTTGTGTTGTGTCTATGTGGGTGGGGGAGGGAAGCAGAGAAGAGAGGGACAGAAACCCCCTCTGGGCCAGGATTTTCATGGGTTTCATTGGCTGGAAGTCACGTGTACCCGAGTAATAGGCATGTATTCTGTAGCCATCTGAGTCAAGTATATAGGCAGAAGTAGATAGAGTCGCCTAGTACCTTTATTCAATTACAGATGGATTATCTTATGTAACAAGCATAATATATTTATAGGATCGTTTTCTTTGATTTGTATATGCAGGCTCACACAGACACGCCGCGGACATGAATTTGTTCCTATTCACGGAAAGAGGTACTATACGATATTACGATAAAATCATATGACTACATCGTTATATATTATAATACATACTCATATACGTACACACATGACAAGTACGTACGACTGTATATTTGCAGGATATTTTCTGCAAAAAAAAAAAATTTGGCGATGAGCTTCTCGAGCGATGCGATGAGCCTCTGAAGTGATGCGATGAGCTTATACAAAGGACAAAGGAGGGAGTGGTCCCGCTGTATATTAGCTTGTATTTGTGTTTCGGAATTGGATAACTTGTAAGATCATTGTTGAGAGGGTTGATATAACTGTTGTATTAATACTAGTATGGGCAAACTATTGGCAGACAAGCTGGGCAAGTTGGCGAACAAGCCGGTTGTCGGAGACGTTGATATCGAGGATGACCGAGTGTTTGAGCACCGTGAGTCAGGAAGTGACTCTGATATGGATTCTGGAGATGAGGAGTTGAAGAAAGCGCACTATGCTCAGGTTGGAGAGTCTAAATTGAGGAAACAGTTGGACTCTGAGAAGAACCTACAGGAACTGGATACCAAGTATGTTGGGTCTGTGGGCTCTAGGGAAGACATATACGGCGAGAATGCATCTTCCGGATCGGATTCCGGATCGGATTCAGAACTGGAGGATGACGAGAGTGATGCACCTGCCAATGATTTACAGTCAAATGACGAATCCGAGAGCGTCGAGAGCGAGTCTGAAGAATCTGACCACGAATCTGGAAGTGAGTCTGACAACGGCGAAGTCCTGAGGAAGATTGTAGAGAAGGAAACCAGGCAAGCCATGAATAGAATATCTGATTTGACCAAGAGGGATGCTTCTAAGGGTTATTCTATTCTGTCACAGAATAAGTTCTTTGAAAACATTTTGGACACTAGAATCAAATTACAAAAAGCAATGAACTCTGCAAATGTGTTGCCAGTGACCAAAGCTAGCTGGAAGTTAGAATTAAAAGAGGACTCTGAAAACAAAAAATTACTGGAAGAAAATCTCTCCATGGTTGAAAATCTACTTAACAGAGTAATAAACTTTAGAATAGACATACAAGCTAAAGAAGGTATCTCTACTGACTCTAAACTTGAAACGTCAAAGAAAAGAGATATTACAGATCTAAACGAAAGTACAGATGCCTTAGACAAAGATCTAAAGAAATATAGAACTGCGGTATTACAAAAATGGTCCGCAAAGGTGTCGAGTGCTTCCGGTTCCTCTGCTATGAAATCATCCAAGTTTAAAGCAGTGAACCAATCTGCCGATGCACAGGTTGAAAACCAGTTGGCTGATACTCCTAGACTAATAAAGAGAACTTGCCTCAACAGAAGAAACGTTCTACCAATAAACTTTACTGAGGATATGGAGCAAGGAAGATTGACCAAGTTTGAGAGCACGTCTAATACAGGTGAAAACAATGACGAAGATGAAAATGCCGATATTCCTAAGAACTATGATCCAAGAAGGAAAGATAATAACGCTATTGACATATCAACAAATCCATACATCTTTGACGACGGTGATTTCTATAGAGTTTTACTAAATGATCTGATTGACAAAAAGACTTCCAGTGCAAACTTGGGTGTTACCAGCTCAGCTACTAACAGTGCCATCATTGTCTCCAAATCAAACTATAAACTCAAAAAGAATGTTGACACCAAGGCATCAAAAGGTAGAAAATTAAACTACTCCATCCAGGAACCAATTGCGAACTATGAAGCTCCTGTCAGTTCCGGTTATAAATGGTCCGATGAACAAATTGATGAATTCTTTGCTGGCCTATTAGGTCAAAAGATCAACTTTAATGAAGACTCGGAACAGGATTCTGAATCCGATGTTGGCGATGAAGAAGAAGCCATCAAAAATGATGACATTCAAATCTTTGCTTAGTTTGATTTCTCTCAAAATTTATAAATTTATATTATACTGCATTGTTTTTATACATAAATATACTTTATTTATCGGCTTTATAAATGTCCCAATATTTCATTAACACAATAATTCAAGACAATGAACGAAAATTTCAAGATAATGAATGTAAATTTCAAAACAAGAACTCTGTATATAAGTTTTTTTAAAATAAATCTATCTAAATTTCATCAATCATAACGGCTTAATTAATGTGGTGGGAATGCCATATTCTCTCTATGAGCGATATATTCGGAGTTGCAGTAACCTAATTCGTTCTCGATCTCATCACTTTGTTGCCCTTTGATTTTGCTAATTTCTAATGATGGATAATTACATCTGGCCCTTCCAACAATTGTTAGTGGGTAATCAGGATCCAATTCTCCATTTGGCAAACGTTTACCAACCTTTAAGTCAACACACTCCATTTCATGGAAGGATCCTTCAATTTCAATGACACCGACGGGTAACAAACCGGCTTTGTTCTTTCTTGTCAAAGCCTTGTAGGCACCTTCATCAATAATCACTGCCCCAGAAGTAACTAAACCATGCAAAATCCAAAATTCTTTATTTCTTAAGTGGCGCGATATACTATTGGCCAAAAACTTAGTGTGAAAGGGAACGCCCATTCTGTCAAGCTTTTCATACTCTTCAAGCTGAAGTTTCATTAAATCACCTTCAAATACTTTGTTATCTTCACCAGTGTCATGCAATGATTGTATATATTTCACAATCTTGTAAATATTGGAAGGAGCATCACTTTTCATTATGATTGTATGAACACCAGCGTTGGTTGCAAGCTCAGCAGCGACTAACTTTGTCTGCATACCACCCGTACCAACGTCAGACCCAGAACCCGATGATGTATCAACACCTGGTAGACCTTTGGACAGGTCTGGAACAATTAAAATTGGTTTAGCATCAGGATCACTTCTTGGATCAGCGGTGTACAAGCAGTCCACGTCAGTTAATAGGAATAAATAATCAGCATGTATCAACCCTGCTGTAATAGCTGAAAGAGTATCGTTATCACCAAACTTAATCTCTTGAACAGATAATGTATCATTTTCATTGATAATTGGAACTACACCCATCTTTAAAAGCTCTTCCACAGTATTTTGAGCGTTTCGGTATTGAGACCAGTCTAGAATGTCATTTCTCGTTAGAAGAATTTGAGCAATAGATTGCCCAAAATGAGCAAACAAGGAGTCCCATCTACCAATCAGTTTGCTTTGACCAATGGCCGCAATTGCTTGGACTTCTGACAGATGTTTAGGCCTCTTCTCCATACCCAAAATGTGCAGCCCAACACCTATACTACCACTAGAAACGATTACAACATTATGGCCTAACCTACGTAATTTGACAACAGTTTCCACAATCAAGGACATGATAGCTAGCCTTGGTTCTTTGGTCTTCTCATCAACCAAAGAAGACGTACCAAGCTTGATCACAATTGTAAATGGCTTACCACCAACTCTAGTTTCGGTCATGATGTATATCACACTTTTCTTGCACCAACAGCAACTAGAAATGACAACTGTAAATATTCCAGTAACTCTTAATTAACCAGATTTATCAATCAGGGACTTCAGTATTTGTCAGTTTCTATAGCACATCTTAGTCATTTGGCGATGAGCTCATCGAAATTTTTTAAAGGCTCTTTCAAACGAATTTCAAAGGTAATTTTGATGAAATTTGTCAAAAACTCGAGTAAAGCTTTAACTAGAGGCAGCTTGACCACTGCTGTGCCTATTGTACTTACTCATTCCTGTCAATTTGCCATCTCACCAACTTGTAGGATTTCAATTATTTGATCTAATAGTGGAGTTTTAAGGTTGGTTTTTTAGCATAAAAATTGATAGATCCACTAAAAAGTTATCAGGAAAATGAATGTTTATGATGATGTTATTGATCCTACAGTTGTTTCACACTCTGTTTGTGGACATTTTACTACTACAGACTACTTGGAGTTAATTGTGATACGGACGGATGTTCTTTCCATATATAAGCCTATAAGGTCGGGACGGTTGTACCTTATGGAAGAGCATAAGCTTAGTGGTAGGATAAACGACGTGGCCCTGATACCGAAACATTCTAATGGTAGCAACGGTAATGGCATCAATTTAAGCTACTTATTGTTAAGTACAGGTGTGGCGAAATTGTCATTGTTAATGTACAATAATATGACCAGTTCAATTGAGACAATAAGTTTGCATTTTTATGAAGACAAATTCGAAAGTGCTACTATGCTTGATTTGGCTCGTAATTCTCAGTTACGGATAGAACCAAACGGAAACTATGCGATGCTTTTCAATAATGATGTACTTGCTATATTGCCTTTCTATACTGGCATAAATGAGGATGAAGATGAAGACTACATAAATAATGATAAATCCAAAATTAATGACAATTCTAAGAAAAGCTTGTTTAAAAGAAAAAAAGGTAAAACCCAAAATAATAAAGTAACACATCCATCGATCATAATAAACTGCTCTGAACTAGGACCACAGATCAAGAACATCAAAGATATTCAATTTTTATGTGGATTTACTAAATCTACAATCGGTGTCCTATATCAACCACAACTTGCATGGTGTGGTAATTCCCAATTAGTCCCATTACCTACAAATTATGCCATTATAAGTTTGGATATGAAATTTTCAATAGACGCAACAACATTCGATAAGGCTATCATATCAGAAATTTCCCAGCTTCCATCTGATTGGCATACTATTGCTCCTACATTGTCTGGGTCACTTATATTGGGTGTGAATGAAATTGCTTTCCTAGATAATACTGGTGTTTTGCAATCCATATTAACACTAAATTCATATAGCGACAAAGTTTTACCTAAAGTGAGAGTCATTGATAAATCTTCTCATGAAGTCTTCTTCAATACTGGTAGTAAGTTTGCATTAATACCAAGCAATGAAAATGAAAGATCCGTCGAGAATATCCTATTATTCGATGAAAATGGCTGTATCTTCAATGTCGACCTAAAATCGGAAGGCCGACTGTTAACACAATTTAATATCACTAAACTACCTTTAGGTGAAGATGTTTTAAGCCAAAAAAGTAACCCTTCAAGTGTTTCAATTATCTGGGCTGATGGGCGACTAGATACCTATACTATATTTATTGGTTTTCAATCTGGTGATGCCACCATGTTAAAGTTAAACCATCTACATTCTGCCATTGAGGTAGAAGAGCCAACATTTATGAAAGATTACGTTAATAAGCAAGCGTCTGCTGCATACAATAATGAAGATGACGATGATGACGATGATGATTTCAATTTGTATTCTGATGAAGAAAACGATCAAGTAAACAATAAGAATGACAGAACATTTGGTACTAACGAGTCAAACGAACCATTTACCGCCCAAGAATTGATGGAATTGAGAAATATTGGTCCAATTAACTCCATGTGTGTTGGAAAGGTATCTTCAATCGAAGATAATGTCAAAGGGCTTCCTAATCCTAATAAACAGGAGATATCAATTGTTTGTACATCAGGGTATGGTGATGGCTCCCATCTAAATGCAATTTTAGCCTCTGTCCAACCAAGAGTTGAAAAAGCGTTAAAATTCATTAGCATCACTAAAATCTGGAATCTTCACATCAAAGGCAAGGATAAATTTTTAATTACAACCGATTCAACCCAATCGCAGAGTAATATTTATGAGATTGATAATAATTTTAGTCAACATAAACAAGGTAGACTAAGAAGAGATGCTACCACAATCCATATTGCAACAATTGGCGATAATAAGAGAATTGTGCAAGTGACTACCAATCATCTTTATTTATACGATTTAACTTTCAGGAGGTTTTCAACAATAAAATTTGATTACGAAGTTGTCCATGTTTCTGTAATGGATCCTTATGTTCTGATCACACTCTCCAGAGGTGATATTAAGGTCTTTGAACTGGAAAATAGAAATAAGAAGAAGTTTGTCAAGGTTCCTCTTCCAGAGATTCTCACTGAGATGGTTATAACATCTGGTTTAATCTTAAAAAGTAATATGTGTAACGAATTTCTATCTGGTATTGGAAAATCGACTATTGAACAATTGCTATTCACATTTGTAACAGCAGATAATCAAATTATCTTTTTCACCAAAGATCACAATGATAGGATATTTCAGCTTAATGGTATCGACCAATTACAAGACTCGTTGTATATAAGCACATATCAGCTTCCCGACGAGATTATTCCGGACCCTTCCATAAAACAAATAATGATCAACAAACTGGGAAATAATTCCAAGGACGAGTATCTTACAATACTAACTTTTGGGGGTGAAATCTATCAATACAAAAAATCTCGAAGTAGACACAGCCGGTTTTACAGAAATGTTGGTAGAAACGATCATCCAATAACTGGTGCACCTGATAATGCATATCCCAAAGGTGTTAGTGGTATTGAAAGAATTATGCATTACATCCCTAATTTTGACGGGTATTCTGTAATTTTTGTCACCGGTAATACACCATATATAATAATGAAAGAGGATGATTCTCTTCCCAGAATATTCCCATTTGGCAACATTCCCATTGTCTCAATGAGCAGATGGGGTGAAGGCTCGGTAATCTGCATTGATGATATCAAGAATGCAAGAATATACTCACTTAACCAAGATAATATCTACTACGGAAATAAACTTCCAATAAGAAAGATCAAGATTGGGTCAATGCTTCAAAATTATAAAACTTTGAATAGCATCGTTTATCATGAAAGGACTCAATTGTACCTTGTTTCTTACACAAAGGAAATAAGCTATGAAGCCAAAGCTGAAGATGGTAGTCTATTAATTGGATACAAACCAGAACTACCAAACGCAAAAGCATTTAAAAGTGGTGTATTACTGATCAATCCAAAAAGCTGGGAAGTGATTGATGAACTAGATTTGCCGGACAATTCATTAGTGAACGATATGAAATCGTCTTTCATTCAGATTGATACTAGAACGAAAAGAAAAAGAGAGTACATCATCGTAGGCATTGGATATGCTACTATGGAGGATGTCCCTCCAACAGGCGAGTTCCACATCTATGATATAACCGAGGTTGTTCCTGAACCAGGCAAACCAAACACCAATTTCAAACTGAAAGAAATCTTTAAAGAAGATATCAGAGGTATAGTCAGTGTTGTTAACGGTATCAGTGGTCGTTTCTTGATAAGTCAGAGTCAAAAGATAATGGTTCGTGATGTTCAACAAGATAATTCCGTTATACCAGTGGCATTCCTTGATGTACCTGTTTTTGTTACCTCATTGAAGACATTTGGTAACTTAATTGTCATAGGTGATGCTATGCAAGGTATCCAGTTTGTTGGATTTGATGCTGAGCCATATCGAATGATAACATTGGGATCTAGTATTACCAAATTCGAGGTTATCTCAGTTGAATTTCTAGTAAACAACGGAGACATATACTTTCTTGTCACAGATAGAGATAGCATCATGCATGTTCTCAAATATGCACCAGACCAACCAAACACCTTATCAGGTCAAAGGCTTGTCCATTGCTCAAGTTTTAACCTTCACTCGTTGAACAACTGTACAATGTTACTACCAAAGAATGACGAGTTCCCGAGAGACCAAAGATATTCAAGATCGTTCCAAACAATAACTGCTCAAGTTGATGGATCCATATCAAAAATAGTTCCTGTCAAGGAGGAAACATATAGACGATTGTACTTCATCCAACAACAAATCATAGACAAAGAACCTCAACTTGCTGGACTGAACCCACGAATGGAGAGACAAGACAACAAATACTATCACTTGGGCCACTCTTTGAGACCCATGCTAGACTTCAACATTATTAAAAGATTTAAGGACATGAGCATGAATAGACGTTCTCATATCGTACAAAAACTGGGCAAGAATTCTAACTTAGAAGTTTGGAGAGATCTCATTGATCTAGAGTTCTCACTGAGGTCCCTAAAACCAACAGATCAAAATTAGTCAATATATATAGACATCCAATATCATGTAGCAACAAATGTAACTTTAATGAGCATATTTACATTACTTACACATTAAACGTTTATAACGGGTTTTGACTGACAATTTCGTGTTTGAGACGGTAAATGTCCATCGGATAAAACAATTAAGCTGCGGAAGGATGGCCACATAATTAGCACCAGAAACCGGTAACCACATATATCTGAAGCTAGCTTAATTACAGAATAGACCACTATCTGTCGAAACAAGGATGCCCGTCAAGAAAAGAACCCCATTGAAGCATAAGAGCGTATCGTTCTCTGATGACATCACTCAGACGCAGCATAACCATCATCATAGGAAGAAACAAAATGGTGAACGTCCTCCAGTTTTTATCAGGAAAACATGGTTGACTATTCCATGGCATTTGATAGCTTTGGTCTACATATATGTGAAGGTCTTTAACAATTATAACACAGCAGAATTGCTTGCATGCCTTGTGCCTTTACAAATACTATACACCATCTTTCAATTCAACAAGGCCACAATCTATGGTAACAAGAGACTGAAATTCAATTACTCTCTAGCTGCGATTTCTATATTGGCATGTATTGTGCTCTCCATACCAGTGGTCGTAATCATCATTTTGTTTGGGGCACCGCTATTGGAACTGCTATGGGAAACTTGGCTACTTGCACTACATTGCTCATTCTTAGCTTATCCAGCAGTATATTCTGTTCTAAACTGTGACTTTAAGGTTGGCCTGTGGAAGAGATATTTCATATTAATTGTAGTTGGTTGTTGGATCAGCTGTGTTGTTATTCCTCTTGACTGGGACAGAGATTGGCAAGCCTGGCCTATCCCAATTGTCATTGGTGCATACTTGGGAGCATTTGTTGGCTTTGCATATGGGGCTTACTTATAGAAATCTGTTAAAATTTTAATTCACTGGCCTTGTTATGATCATAGTATAAATTTTTTATTGAACACGTATTATTGACAAACGGTGGAGTTGTAAGGGTTTTCAAATATGATTATAGGAGCATTATCACCTTTCTGTAACGTCAACAATACTCTACATGCATTTTTAATATTACATTATTTATATTGATTTACGTGCAAAATTCAGAGAAAGAGATATACATAGCACACACACATACATACACAATCCTTAACTATAGTCCCTTGCTTCATTAAAAGGATATCAAGAACATGAATAGTATGTATCTATAACGGCATCAATATTATTTTCCGTAATGCCCATGGTATCCCAATGGTTTGGATCATATTTCACTCCACCCTCATAAAATTCTTTCTTAACCAAAGACTCTGAAAGTCTATACAGTTTTGTATTAAATAATCTTAATAAGTCCGTGGAAATCGACTCAAAGATATTTTTCCTCTCTATCTCAACAGGCTCAAACCTATGCGACATTATCGTCTCTAACTTTGACAAAAGTTTGGTTGCCAGAGGATTTACTACTTTACAGTTCTTAGAGTAGTCCCTTACAAGCATATGCAATTTTTGCAAAATCAGGAAGCATAAGCCAGAATGAAACCTATTTTCTTGTTTTGCATTTTCATCCGAAAGTTTACTGTACTGCCTCTCAGATCTTTCATAACCACCAAGATACATTATAGCTATACTCTCTAAGACCTTGAAAAATTTGTTGATGTATACAAACTCATGACCTGTAAACTTCATGTTAGCAAAGTTAGAGAAGATATAAAATATTGTTTCCTGAGTTAGCATAATGAAATCCAAATAAGTCTTTTTGTAGTTTTCAACATCATTCTCTTTCTCATATTGTAGCATCAAAAAGTAAGTCAAATAAATACTCAAATTTTTCGTTAATATAGTATCGTTAACATTACTAATATTAGCGGCAACTGTGGTTAGATGTTTCGTAATGTTAGAAATTTCCATGTTTAAATCGTTTTTTATTTCCTCCACTCGACTAATTGGTAATTTTTCATCTCTAGACAATAAGTTAGATATTATTTCACCATGATGGCTTAAAAGTTTTTTGTCTATATCATAAAGAGGGTCCCTCACAAATGCAGTGTTTAAAGGATGAGAAAGAGTCAATTTTGGAATCTGTCCTCTGAACAATGTCCTGTACTGATAATTTTTCTCGATGAAATTCCACATTAAAATATTTGAGGTATCGCTGTGTTCATGACTGGTACCTAAGCTTATTCCTAAGTTAACATCTTCGTTGTAATCAACTGAATCTGCAAAACTTGGTGAAATGGAGAAATAGAATTTCCATAGAGCAGTGTATCTTAAATATTCGGTATGATTTTCGACATCAGATCTCCGCTCTATTTCTGAATTGATTGTGAATATATTAGATTCTAATATGGAAAACATGGCTTTGATCTCTTGAAAAATTATGTTCATTTCTTCCGTCAAATTTATTAACACTGAGGAGACAATGGCTTGATAGCACAGTAACAAGCATATATTTATCTCCCCCAGTTGAAATAATTGTGATAATACATGTTTAGTAACATCAAATGTTGATCCCATGGAAAAAAGCTTCTCTATAGATTCTGGCAATTGAGCTAAGTTTAGAATAGGTATCAATGACGATGATTCTTGAACAATTGAATTGAAAATGTTGATAAATTCTTTCGTGTTAGCTTTGTTGGGAAACTTTACAACGTAGGTTGGTTTCTTGTATTGTGATCCAGTAATTGTTTTTTCTTTCCAGTTTTTCAAATTGTCTTGATATTTACCGCATACTGTTCGATCAATTCTTTTTAAAAATTGTTTGTAAAGAAAGGGATCCAAACAACATACAGTATTGAAATTGAACAGATCATTACTGCATTTGCTGTCAAGGTAACCCATTATCTCATCTCTGTGTGTGTCTGTTTCACAGTTTTCCAAGATATCAAAAATCTCCGAGTCATCTAAAAAGCTTGGATCCATGTCTCTGTATTTATTAAACTCCGATTCGTAACCACTTTCTAAATCAAACTCTGCGTCTGTGAGAAAGTTTTCCTTTCTTTTTTTATTTTTTTTAGTTTCTATTGTATCATTTGGTTTCGTTACTGTCCAGTCGAGATTTATGCCAGTTATATCTCTACCTGAAATTTCCTTCAATTCCATTAGTCTTTTTTTAATAAACTCAAGTTCTTTAAGTACTGCTTCGTCTTGGCCATAATTGACACCTTCGTCCACAAATATGGCTGGTCCTTGAACCCAATTTACATTGGATCTCATAGAACTACCACTAGGGACTTCTTTATTATGTGGGAAAGTACTTGTCCTAGGGATATACTGCTTTGGCGCTTGCGGCAGTTCATTACCATCCATGTTAGATAACTGAAGTCTTGTGTTGTATTCTCTAATTTGATCAACAGTGCTGATTTCTTCGGGACGGCCACTGCCATTCTGTGGTAATGGGCTACCGCCATTATTCTGGATATACTGTCCCGGGACATCAGGGTAGAAACAATCGCCTTTACCGGCACGCGCACAGTTCCCACAAACTGGGCGAACTCTATCACAGCCAACTTTACGCCGCCTACACTGCGCACAGGCAGGTGGTTTCTTCATTTTGCGACCACGAATATCCATTGCCTCTAACTTGTATAGATCAATTTAGTTTGTATTATCTGGTGATTTCTTTATTATAAAAGATATCAAAAGAATTTCTCGATCTTAAGAGAATAACCGTCAACTAAACCGCTTTTTGCACACAAAAAATAAAATGAAAAGGCACGACCTATAGTTCTGGTCCTTGAAATCGTTATGTATATCACCTAGTGGCTATTATGCACTGGTAACTGACTCTATAACTTCAAAACTAGTTCTGCAACTGTGAGTTTAAGTACTTTGACAGTTATTTTGTCAAAATAGCCGGCAATCGCGAGTTCCAACGGTCGAAATAGACACTACGTACATTGTGATATCGACTTTTCATGTGTATAAAGCCAGCAACTTGACAATATTCTGATTCAAAATAGCAAATGTTTGTTCAGTACGTACGTATTTTTTTTTAAGAGATCTAGTTTAATACATCAATATATACTGTATCTCATTTTTTGAGGTGTGTGTTTGCAATTCTTTCACCATAGTCAAAGAAATCTGGTCATCCAGTAATATTGATTGAAAACCTACTTGTATTTACCATAAGGCTGTTTATTTAGTTTTACAGCCAAGAGTGTCCTGCCGCGTTGGATTGTGTGAAATCTACAATTCATCATCTGGGACATCTCTTGGCTTATTACCTAAAGGGGCAGTTTCCAATTCACCGCTGTCGGCGATAACAACATCCTTCAAAGGTCTGTTTTGAGCGTTAGTCTTGACGTTCTCAATGTAAGTAACAACGTCCATACCTTCTAGCACTTCACCGAAGACAACGTGTCTGCCGTCCAACCATGGTGTGGCAACAGTGGTGATGAAGAATTGGGACCCGTTGGTGTCCTTACCTCTGTTGGCCATGGATAACAGACCAGGTCTGTCGTGCTTCAAGTCAAAGTTCTCGTCTGGGAAAGTGGAACCATAGATAGACTTGCCACCGATACCAGTACCGTGGGTGAAGTCACCACCTTGAATCATGAATTGAGGGATAACTCTGTGGAAGATAGAGCCCAGGTAGCCCATGTTGCTGTCGTCACTGATAGACAACTCATAGAAGTTCTCAACAGTCTTTGGCACAATTTTACCGTACAGACCAATGACAATACGGCCCTTGGAGACACCGTCATGCTCGATGTCGAAGTAGACCTTGTGAGTCACTTCAGGCTTCACAGCGGCGCTCACAATTCCAAACAAAAGACACAGAGTCCAAATAATATTTAACTTCATCGTTGCTTTGGTTTGTTTATCGAAGTTAAGCCTTGATTGAGCAACATAATGTAGACCAACACCTAGTACTCTTATTAATCCTTCAACAAGAAACTTTCCCCTTCAATGGCCGAGGACTCGTTAACGGTGAATTTTGCAACTTTCTTCAGGAACGATGACCGATGCAATGCTCGATGGTCAACGCTCAAAACCATATAATAGGCCCATTGCAACACGACTAGTTAGTATAGAGGTGTGATACTGGGCCATTGAGTACTTTTTGTAGTATTAGTGGGAATCCTTTTAGTAGGGAGACGGCCATTTACAGTACAAAGGCAGAGAGGTTCTCACAATATGACGCTGATGCGGTTCAAGGACTGTGACTACAGTCGTAGGCTGTTTACCATTGCTATAGACATAGGTGGCTCATTGATCAAAGTGGTTTACTCGCCGCTGGATAGCCAGGTGATTCATTTCGCTACTGTGGAGACGGCTAAAGTGAGTAAGTTGCTCGAGCTGCTTGACGATGTGATACAGGAACACAACAGCGGTGACTTTAGCAGTACCCAGATAGTGGCGACTGGTGGTGGTGCTTTCAAGTACAATGACCTAATTATAGAGACATTCCCAGGTATACATAGCTACACAAAGTTTGAAGAAATGCAAGGCCTTGCCAAGGGTCTGGATTTCTTTATACACCAGGTGCCTGACGAGGTTTTCACATACAGTGACCACGAAGGTGAGAAGATAGTTGAGACCATTGCCTCTTCTCCCACAGCGAAACCAACCATATACCCATACATGCTTGTCAACATCGGCTCAGGTGTCTCGATGCTAAAGGTCGATGCACCTAACGTCTTTACGCGGGTTGGTGGCTCTTCTTTAGGTGGTGGTACGCTTTGGGGGTTGTTGTCTCTAATCACAGGCGCTCAAAGTTATGATGAGATGTTGAACTGGGCACAGGAAGGTGATAATACTACTGTAGATATGTTAGTGGGTGATATATATGGAACAGATTACAATAAGATTGGTCTGAAGTCTACGCATATTGCTAGTTCATTTGGGAAAGTTTTCCAAGATCGCGATCATCCTATGATCAATGGCAATTCGAAACATCGGATCAGACAAGAAGAAATTGATCATCTAGAGGATCACGCAAAGGATAACCACACCTGTAACGAGTGCATAAATCATAGGAATAAGAAGTTTAAGAATGAGGATATTTGCAAAAGTTTACTTTATGCTGTATCAAATAACATAGGCCAAATTTCCTACTTACAGGCCAAAATTCACAATGTTCAAAATATTTATTTTGGGGGTTCATACATAAGAGGGCATTTGACTACTATGAATACTCTAAGTTACGCCATTAATTTCTGGTCACAAGGATCAAAACAAGCATTTTTTTTAAAGCATGAGGGATTTCTGGGAGCTATGGGTGCCTTTTTAGACGCATGTGAAGGTAAATAATATTGGTAACAATGGAATGCATCCAAATATACCCAACTCTTAAATCATGAGACCTTCAACTGTATTATATTCATGTTATCCAATTTATTCTTGCATTATCAGTTATTCTACCTTTGATTACACTCCTTTTATGTTTTTATTCAATTCTATGGTAAAAAATACAGCTAAAAAACTGCAAATATGCATCTGTCGATAATATCTTTAACAAAGACAGTATATTCTTTGCATTAATGTTACACCAAGCATTTACTACAATATGTAATCTATATCTCTATTGCTCTAATTGTCATTATTTATCACTCTGTTTATTATATTTTTTAATGCCTGCAAAATGTTTGAATGTCCCTTACATTCCTGTAGTACTTGCTTTCTTAGTTCTCTCATCGGTATTATTCTCGAATCCTGCTCAGTAAATAAATCAATATCGTGTATTGTTGACTTGCCGTCATGCGTTTGATGTTTATCCAGTTGAATAATTATCGTATATCTATTGGCAACTCTTAATTGAAGTTTTCTACTATATGGATATAGTACAATCTCTGAGATATCTTCATGGATTGAAGCAATAATTCTCCTTTTCCACATATCTATGAGGTCATTTAATTGCACCGTATTGACAATGCTTTCTTCAGCTAATTGTGTTGAGTTGATGGCTTTATTATCTACCTTTTCCAACTCATCAATCTGTTTCTGTAGATTATCATTGAGAACAGCTAACTCTTCCAAAGTTTTCCATTCTTCGTAGCATTCTTCCATGGCATTTAGTTCCGTGTCTTTCCTATTGCTATTATCCTCATTCTTGGTGATCCTTTGATCATCTTGCAACCTTTGCCACTCATCAAGAAGTTCCCAGCATTTATCGAGTTCGTTAGTGGTCTCAAGATACAGCATATTAACCTGATCTTGCTTCTCCGTTATTTCGTGCGCAACTTGCAAGATTTCACCTGTTATTTGATCAATTTCTTGGTTCTTAACGGTCATTACATCATCTCTAAGATGACTTACCTCATCTTGCAAACTCTGATACTTGGGATCAGTATCAGAAAATACAGGAACCTGCTCTGCATCACTGTTTATAGTATATTTTAGGAAAAGATCCAATGATTCCTCTCTCCAGTACAGTTTCCTCAAAAGATCCATCAGAGAGTCCAGCTCTCTTGATTTCACTTCCAATTGCTTTATGTCTATCAAGCTATCAGCATCACCACTTAGTTTTAGATAATCACTTGTTTCAATAAGCTTCCTAATGGACTGATCAATCTCCCGTAGTGTACCTTGCAGCCGTTTATCTTGTTCGGTAAGCACCAAATCGCTGGACCTCGTTATTTCTTCCTGTAACTCATGCAATTGTGCCTCCATTTTCAGTCTCACAGAAATGCAACACCAACACTAGTGCGTATAGTCTGTATAAGTGACTACGAACATGTATAAACTAAATATTGCGATGGCCTGGGCCTTCAAATGGCTTTATTATCCTCGATGCCCTAACAATCGCTGCTAACGTGTTTGTTCTCGAGAAAGCTTCACAATTTTTTTTTGGCAAAATAAGCTCATCACAAGTCTTCAACACATATTTTAGAAGCCAACAAGTCATACAGATGCTACTTTGGAAGCCAAACAACAAGAACCAGTAAAGCCTTTATTGCCTGTTTTAGGTATTACGGTTTTGACAGCGTGAGAGTACTCGCTCTGGCAGAATTTACTGCAATGGAAACCGTATAATACCCATAACAGCTGTTTGGTGGTTCTACTGAACTTTGAACTTAGGAATTTGCACAACTTAAGTTTGTCAGATGAGTCCTTGTTTGTGGACGATATATACATCTGATGAATGTGTCAATATGCATAGATTGATCCTTTGAACCCATTCCTACTAAAATTTGCTGTATTTGATTGATGTGTTGCTCTTTGGTGTCAATTCATTGAACATGGGACCTTGTATGGATTTCACAGTTCTTGTGTAATCCTACATTTGTCCTGTGTATTATGTGATTAGATACTATCGAGTGGAGGATATGAATATAGTACTTGATTTCCATGTTGTGGATCATATATTTGCTTTCTATTGCACGTTTAGCGTTTTGGTTGTGTTCTACAACAAATGCCTGTGTGATAGTACGTGATAGATCTACTTATTTTGGAATTCGTGTGGGTGTTATATTTACTCCATTTGCAGCCGGTTATGTTGATCAAGTACTTGCGATTTTAGTAAATTTATCAATGTCATTGGCAATAAATTTGCACCTAACCTTATATTTTATTATATGTTTACGGCCTTTTTTATTATGCTTCAGTGCCACTCGACATTTCATTCCAATTTTATTATATCTAGTTTCAGTTTCTGAAACCAGTATGCTATGGGTTTACATTATATGCTTATCAAACTATATTTCAGTCCTACTTATTCTTGTATTTGTTCCCTCCACCCTGTTTCCATAACCATAACGCTTCGATAGCGTAATTGCGAATCGATAGACTCTTAGTATATTTTTCATCAGAGCCCAGTTCCAATAGTTCAATAACCTTGGTATCCTTTACCAGATCCCAAAACATCATGTAGATATGTTTTGTGGCATCTTCAGCTTCAGATTCATCGTTAACTTCAACTGTGAGTTGAGAATTGTATTCTTGCTTCCCTAGTTTGTATAGAATTCTCCCCAGTGTACGTATAGCAATTGCCCTCTGAGAAGCAAATTGAGAACGAGCCAAATGTGCTAGTTCAATAATTGTATAGCCCGCCAGATGCTGGTCCTCAGAGTGATGATGCAGTCCTGAGTTGGTGTTGTCTATAGGTCTATTGGGCGGTACCAAGTTGCCTTTGAAGTCAAATCTACACTGAGTAACATCTTCTATGGTTGAAATACCCTTATCTTCCGGGAGCTTTTCCATCCATTTCAACTTGTCTACTTCTTTTGGTAAATTTGGGAAAAATTTCTTGTGTAGTTTCTCATTAAACTCAGGGTCATTGATATCTAGTGGATCATCGTCATCATTTTCATCTACCTTTGGCGCTACAAAATGAACATCCTTTAGCAGATCCTCATTGGCCATGTGGTCAATCGTTTGAGCCACTTGAAACTCCAATGGGGCAACGTCGTCATCATCGAGCGGCGGTGCTATGTCTTGATCTTCAGATTCTTGCTTGTCAGATTCATCGTCCTTAGGAAGTGAAGCACTGGTTTCCTTTGGGAGCTCGGTAGCATTGAGATCTAGAGCTCTATTTACCATATCTTCATCCAACGGTGGTAAATCATCCACATTTGCCACAGCCTCATTTTTACCACCAACCCAAGTTCCAGAAGCACCTTCAATCTCTGCAAAGATCTTATCAGACTTCTGAACATTTTTCAATAGCTTCTGGATAAGCTTGGGGTCCAGAGATTCCAACAATTCCTGCCTTTCCCTTGCTATTTCTTCGGGACTCATCTTGCGCATAGTCTCCAAGTTCTCCCTATGTATCCTCTGAGCGGCAGATTCTTCCACAGCTCTCATTGACTCCCTGCTCGAGCTCAATTCATTGACTTTTCCAGTCTGACTAGCCTGTTGCTTCCTCTTTAACCTTGCCTTCCAGGATGACACTTTCTCCGGCTTATAAAGCTTAGGAAATCCACCATCTGGTAACTCCCCGACTTCGCTGACTTCGTCAACATCCTTCTCTACAATATCACCCAGCAAATCCATCTCTTGCTTGCACTCTACAATAGGGAAAGTGCTTCAGATTTCTACAAAAGCTTCTGTTATGGCCTTATGTATTTATGCGATGAGCTGAAATCTTTTCAGCTATAATTTTTTTTCCAGCCTAAAGGAATAGAAGTCAAATAATTATATTATGGGAGTAATGTTGGGAGTACATAAAGTATTGAATATAAAGAACTATAGTGTAGCGACTAAACTGAACCGTATTGAGAGGAGCCCTGCAGTCTGCTGTGCTGTTGCTCATATGGATAGCAGGATATCACGTAGAGAGCGTGGATCAGGCCCGGGAAGAAGCCCAGGATGAACAACACTAGGTTGATGAGCATGTCCTTCGAGCAGAACCCACGTCTCAGACCAACGGCCACTGGTGGCAGAAACACTGCCACGAATACTAGAAACCAATCTCTTGCGTGCATTTGTACTGTACTGTTATGCTATATAGGAAGCCAAAGCTTTGCTGTTCTGTGAGGTATTGTTGCCAATACAAATGGAACGCAAAGGAATCGTCCAGTTGTAATATATAGTTTATATAAGTTAGATATGGTACTCAAAGGGGATGTGAGGGGAGGCACAAATCCTGAATGTTATCATTTGCGTTGTAGAGTAGCCCGTCACGACCTTACGAGGTGGTGTGTCCTTGAATCACTACGTCACATCGGAGCTCTTGGAATGCGATTCTAAAGAGGGCTTACCTTGGTGTTGGATATTAGCAATTGGAATTGCATTGCTTGCTAGAAAGGGCCCAGATTTTTCATCTTGTATACGCTAACAACTAAGCATTATAAGCAATAATCAAAGAGCAACGCTAAATCAGCCGTATTAGTGCAATGGAGAGGCTGAATAGGCCCAGTGAGCTGTGGGAGCGGATCAGGGCCCTGGACGAGTCTAATAAGAGGTGTTGTGACTGTGGTTCACGGCATAATGTTGATTGGGTGTCTATCAACCTGCTTTGTGTTGTGTGCATCCAGTGTTCTGGAGTACACAGGTCTCTGGGATCTCATATATCAAAGGTGAGGTCGTTGAACATGGATGATCTACACTCTAACCGAGAACTCAAATACCTGTTAGTGAACCACCTGATTAACAGGAACGTCAACAGCGTATATGAAGCCCGAATACCTGCCGGGATAAAGATAAGGAAGGATGCTCAGCCTGCTGACCGGGCTAGGTACATAGTTGACAAATATATGCACAAAAAGTATGTTGAACGCACCATGCAGGCTACTTTGACCAACTCCCAGATGGCTAACGATAAGGATATAAGAGATACAGAAATAGAAGACCTAGTGAGGCATATACGAGCGAAGTCTATACTGGGACTACAAAGAAGCCTGGCGATGTCAAAACACACACTGAAAGACCTTTGTCTTCATTATGGCATTCGTTCACCAACTTTATTTCAATTGTCCTTGGAGCAGTTCGAGGCTACCTCTTCTGGAACCCTAGTGTATTATATATCGGAATACTTGCTGCTGAATGGGCTTTTAATAGATGATCAAAGAGCTGTTGGTAAAACTAAATTAGACGTTAGTCCTGGGGCTTTAGAATATTGGACATCCAGGCAAAATATGTATGACACATATGCCAATGCTATGATGCAAAATAACGGGGAGACTAATGGTGGTTCCAATGGACTGGCAAGAGATAGAACAAAGAATGGACGAATGAGCAACGGGTTGCCACGTCGGGCAAACACCCAGAATGATGGAAAGAGACGACTATATTTGGATACACAATCGTCAGCTTTCGATAATAATAGGAGTTCTGGGCCATTTTCAGCTACATCAAATAAGAAAAGATGGAGTCTCGCATCGCCGACAAGCATACTCTCTATACATAAAAGTCTCTCCAGAAGAGATTCGCATAAGAAGTCATAGCCATTCTATTACCCACTTCATAATCTTTTACAAGACGCTCTCTGCGTCTTGTATGATTATTATTTGGGGAGGATTTATTGCATCATACTTTGTGTCAACTGTAATAATAAGAATTTTAGAAATGGATTCGGATGTACAGAATGCATTGTATTTCTTGTATAAAGTAATTGATAGAGGATCTATGTTCAATTAGCTTTCTGACGTAATTTTATTTTACTTTTGTGCATGACCATTACTTTAATTAATCTCTTCTATTACTATAAGGGCTGTTTTAATCAACTTTCATACATGGAAATTAGAAAAAATTAACTCTGTGAAACCAATTGTGGTTTCGAGTATTTGTGCTCCAGAGTTTGTGGTATTCAAATATATGCTTAATTACTAGTAGTCGTTAAATTCCTGATATCTTCTCAATTCTTATTCTGTTGCAGTATTTATTTCTGACAGTGCTATTTGTTGTTATCACAAGCGTTAATAAAATCAGAATAATTCAAATACCATAACATAATTTGCTGGGAAAGTATTTGGTTAGGTTAGTCAATAACAAATTTTTGAGTTGTAAACAGTCACAAGTGGAATCAAATCACTTTTGCTTAGATTTGGCAAATAACAATAGGGATTGCAATTAGTTAACTACAATGTCTAAGCGTTTCGTTATTGAGAATTGTATTGGTAGAGGAAACTTTGGTGATGTTTACAAAGCTAAAGATACTTGGTTGAACGAGGTTGTAGCAGTGAAAGTAGTCAATTTAGAAAATTCAGAGGAAGAGGTAGAATTGCTTGCGCAGGAGATTTTTTTTTTGGCAGAGTTGAAGTCTCCATATGTGACTAATTACATAGCCACTGTTGTAGAAGATGTTTCTATGTGGATTGCTATGGAATACTGTGGAGGTGGGTCTGTTGGTGATTTATTAAAGTACCATTACACATCCGGTTTACCAGAACACAAGACTCGATTCATTACAAGGGAAATTTTGAAGGGTCTATCTTACTTACATTCGCAGAGAAAAATTCATAGAGATATAAAGGCAGCAAATATCTTGCTCACTGATGAAGGTAAAGTAAAATTGAGTGATTTTGGTGTTAGTGGTAAGCTTCTATCTAGTTTTAGAAGGGATACATTTGTTGGGACACCATATTGGATGGCTCCAGAAATTGTAGCCCATGATTCAGAAGGTTACGACGAGCGGGCTGATATATGGTCGCTAGGTATTACTGTGATTGAAATGTTGAGAGGTTCCCCACCACTATCCAAATACGACCCCATGAAAGTTATTGCAAATTTACCAAAGCGGAAACCACCAAAGCTACATGGCGATTTTTCGGATGATGCAAAACATTTTGTGGCCTTATGTTTAATCAAGGAGTCGGCAATAAGACCTACGGCGGCTGATCTTTTGACAACTAGATTTACAACTAACACCAGAGTTGAAAACCTGAAGGATGATGTCGATCTCATTAAACATGTAAAGCTCAAAATCAATAGGCACTCAAAAAGTCCGAAGTTTCCTTTGGAAGTGAAAATTTATGAAGATGGTACTGATTGTGCTAGTGCAAATTATTGGGACTTTGATACTTCGGGATTAAGTGTGGTACCTGCAACTGCATCAGTCGATAATAGTTTTGCGTCTAATGAGGCCTCAAGGATAGATGAAACCACTGAATATCACACTGGGAAAGGTGAACTGGTCTCAGCAATGACTGGAAGTCCAATATCTAACAATATGATTAGTCCATACCAGGACTCCTATAAAAGTACAGTGACCCCAATCACGCCAATGCCGTTGGGTGAATCTTTTAGGAAATATTCAGCACCAGTAAAACAACAGCCTGCATATGATATAGGTTCAGGAATGGAAATTGATCAACAAACCTGTTTAGATGGTGAGCCTCATAGCTCAACAGATAAAGTGGCCCATGAGGATTATAAAAAGTCAGTTGACCATAAGGTAAATGTTAAAAATACTACAATTTCTATTGTTGGCTTTGACTATTACAGAAATGTAATCCATCATTCATTCAAAAGAATGGAGGACAGAGCACATGATAAAAGAACTAAGGAAGTTGTCTTGGAGATTTTGAAGCATTTTGCTGCTGTAGAAACTACAATTCCGGGCTTTAGTGAAGTCTTCATTGAGGAAATTTCATTAAGATTGGAAGCATTACGGGACTATTACGAGAAACACAAAAGTCAATTGGCATAAATCATTTATTGAGGAAGTGATTATTCATTTCACGTACTGTCATTTAGAATAATGTGTTAATCGAATAATTAATTATTTTATGAATCCTAAGCAACGGTTAATTGACTATCACTATTATATATATAATAACATAAATGAAAACTGCAAAAAAATTAATGATATCAACATTCTGGCTGCTTTGTGTTGTCATTGTGTTGTAATAATATTTAATGCCACAAATGTTTTCCACTTTTGATTTTTTGTGCCAGTATAGTATTTTTCATGTATTGCATAATTCATCAGTAACTAATTAAGTTATTGTTCAGTCTCAAATAAAAGATAAAATTAACATCCTATTAAATCTAAAATACCAGATGCACTGCAAGTCACCAAACATGAAATTAGCGCTACATTGGTATTTTGTTTTAAGCTTTATTTTAAGCGCTATTGTAGCCTATGAAAATTTTGTAATAATGGAGGAAAAGAAACTATTGCCATTCGTAAAATTGGTAAGAGATAATTATACTGTGGAATTGATCCCAGATGATATTACTTTAACTGATGAGCAAACTGCGGATCAGTGCAAAGAATCTAGTATTACTGTTAATTCACCTGAAGAGCTATTCTACTTACAAAGGAGGTGTGATATTCTAGAAGGTAATTTGATCATTGGAACTGATTATCAAGAGAGAATAATTGATTTAGGTTTTATTAAAGAGATAAAGGGTGATTTAGTGCTTGATGGAAATGCAAATATATTTAGGTTGGTCGGTGAAAATTTAAATACAATTGGTGGAACGTTTACCCTAAGAGGGACCATGTCGTTAGTTGCCATTATATTCCCAGTATTGAGACGCATCAATATTATTGATTGGCAAGTAGTACCAGTACTTGATCATTTAGAATTGGGTTCAAATTTAGAAGGTCTGCAACAATTAATAATATCAGACTCGTCGATATCAGACTTGAATGTATTTAAAGGAGTGCAAGAGCTAGATATATTTAATATTAATAACAATAGGTTCCTGGAGATTATTAATAGTGATTTGAAAAGAGTTAGTAAACAGTTAAGAATACATGCAAATGCTGATGAGCTAGTTATCAATATGTCCCAGTTGGAGTCTGTTGATAATATCACAATAAGAGATGCAGCTGGCATCAATCTACCTGAACTAACATATGTTAATAGCTCTATGGAAATAATAGAGAACTTTTGCAGTGATCTCATTCTACCAAAGTTGAAGAGAGTTGATGGTACTTTGGGTATTATTGGTAATCCCAGTCTACAAAATGTCAGTTACCAAAACCTTAGAGTTATACAAGGTGGTTTAATGATTGCAAATAATTCAGAACTCACTAATTTGGACTTCTTCCCTAATTTAAAGCAGATAGGTGGTGCAATCCATTTTGATGGTAACTTTATAACTGCAAATATGCCAAAATTAAAATTAGTGAAAGGAAGTGCTTTTATTAGGAGTACTGCTGATTATTTCGATTGTAAGAGATGGTTCACCCCAGTTAACGGAAGGGCAATTGTTAGAGGCGGGAAACTAAAATGTATTGCCAATGAACGTGAGAGTACAATTAGAATTGGTGATGACGGCTCATTAATCGACAATGATGACTCACCACAGTACGATGATTCTCCAGAAAATAAAGATAGACAAGAGAACAGCGCGATGCTCAGGAGTAAAATACGTGGCCTTTTGCCTCTAACAACTCTACTAAGCATGTATTTGATACTGTTTTAAAAATATATAGCATTTTGTAAGCATGTTATCGCTCTAATCCGAAAGAAAATAGGCTATAATAAAAGTTTTAGAAAGTATTTGATTTTTTGGAAACTCTAAAACAATCAGTGTGCATTCTCTCAACTAATGATAAAGTATGTAAACATGGGATAGTGTATTCAATGTGGACTGTAATTTTGTATCAATTTACAACGCTATGTTGTTCATCATAGATTAAAGCTTGAAAATAGTGAAAGTCAAAGACACTTTGAAAAAAAATAAAAATAGCGATGAGCTAAGCTGAGCACAAGAATCATCACTAATTTATGAAATTATTGTAGTGGGATGAATGATTTTAAGGTTTATTTTGTAAACTTCTTAGTAACTGCTGTGTCAAACAGTTGAAACTGCTGTATATTTGACTTTTATTTCTGGCTGGGTTTACTGGAGCTTGTCTCTTTTTACTGCAAAGCAAGTATAAATACTAGGTCGCGAGCGTTGTTAGTTAGTAATGGAAGTTGAGAATGCTAATAATGGTATGAATGCTGGCGTCACAGAGAGTGTTACACACACACAAGAGGATAGTAAAGCTCCCAAGGAAAATGGTAGTAAAAATGATAATGAGGACAAGAAACCAAGAAGGAAGAAGAGAAAGACTTCGAGCTGTGATGTCTGTAGGAGGTTTAAGACTAGGTGTGATTTTGATGTCATGTATGGCAAATGTTATAGATGCAAAGTGTTAAACTTAGAATGTTCTTTAACTATGGAAAGACAAACTGAGATCAACAAGACGCAGAAACTCGGAGTTAATGCCTTACTAAATAATGATGACAGCAAGGACTTGAAGCCCATGAATATTGATGAGATTACAATGAAGGTGAGAGATATGGATTATAACTATGGGGTATTAAATCACAAACTTGATTTGATACTTAATATGTTACAAAAGTCGCATAATGAAGGAAGACTGCCGTCAGGCAACGACAAGCAAGGCAAACTGGTACCTTTTACCTCAGTGTATGATGACATCAGACCATCAAATGATGGATATAGGATACACGAGCCACCTTTAAAGCTTATAAATGATCTGGATGCAAGGTTATTTCCATTGGATGCACTTACACAGAAAGCAAAGATGGAAAGGGAACAACGACCTTCTGCTGTTGCAAGAGTCAAATTCTTGGATTTTTATAAGAAGCATCAAGAGCTCTGTCACCAATTATCAAAAGAATTTTTAATGAGATCGCATTTCTGGATTATCCCTGGAGGAATTAAAGAGATCGATGAGACATATGCTAATAAGCACCTTTTCATCACAAGTGTGTTTACTATTATCGCAATGAGTTTTGCGGATAATGATAAATATGCACAACAGCAAGAAGAATTATATCCGCTTGTGGAAAGATTACTAACGAATACACTTACAATGTTTGAAAAACTTACAGACTATGATATAGAAGCTATCCTGTATTGTAGTATGTTTAATATTTCTCGGAAGGCAAAAAGATACAGGCAACTAAAATATAACTCCTTAGTTCTGAGTAATTTTGCATTGTATAGTTTGCTTAATATCGTGGACTTTCATAGAATTAAGGAAAGGGTAAATGCTGCAGAATTTGACATGAAGGATTTATATCATCTAAGGATTCTAAACTCCCTTACCGCATGCCATCTGGAGTACTCAATTAGCTCTGGTCAAATATGGGAACAAAATAGTGCTATAAAGGAATTTAATAATCTCGTTGTCAAGTTTCCGCAAGCAAATTTTGCGGATGATATAAAAGTTAGTGAGATTAATTTGAATGTAGTCGTAAATGCTATTTTCATGAACTTCAAAACTTATTTTCATCGTTATCTATACAAATACTCAGATAACTCGACTGTGCAAGAAAAACAGCTTTTATTATTCGATGAGCTTGAATTGTGGCTGAAGGACTGGGAAGAGCTTTTAGCCAAAGATGGTGCAGGTGTTCTACTATTTACCTATGATTTCTACCATATTATGATATGTCGAAGCTTTATAACTGACAATAAAGATGAGGTGAGTAAATATCCAGACTTCCTGGATAATGTTCTATATACTATGAAAGAGCATGCATTCTCCCTATTACGAGGCTTTCTACGATTACCACCGTCACTAATTAAAGGTGCTCCAATCTTCACAACATATGAATTAGTTTATGCGTGCCTTTCGCTCTGTGATTACATTCATTTATTTGATCAGCCTGAAAGGCAGCAGGTATTAAGTACCTGTACTAGGGTGTACTGGCATTTGAGTACTATTGGTGAGAAAATGAACGAAGCAACAGACAACGTTGGAACAATTATTAAATCTATCATTGATACTAGTAAGCAATCTGTAAGTAAAACTCAGGATATGGCTACACATAATAATCACAGTAGCATGAGGGACTCTATGGCTTCCTCGGGTAGCAAATTACAGACTTCGCCAAGGCAGCATAATAATACACTGTCGGATACTAAGTCTTCAGGAATGCAACTTCCAGATGTTGATCAATACAATTCTTTCGAGGAGTTCTTTCAAGGTTTCTTTAATAATTTAAAGCCTAGCACTCAACAAATATTTGAGTCTAGTAAGCAAACAAAATAGACATTCCCTTTCTGCATTTAATGACAATAAAATGTGAGCATGTGTTGTTTCTATACAATGAAGCATATTTTCAGTAAGACATATCGATCCAGGTGTAATTTGTTAGTGCATATATGAATATAACAATTTAAATAGTATGATTTTGTGACGATTGATTTTGATTATAATACTGTCTACAAAGTATATACTCTATTTAACATCTATATTCAGGATGACGTCAATTATTTACTCTTATTCTTTTTAGAGGAATTAAAAGGGTTGATTAGTTGCGGGCAATGTCAACTAGTTCAACATCAAAATCCAGCACAGCATTAGGTGGAATTACACCACCAGCACCGCGAGAACCATAGGCCAATTCTGGAGGGATGTGAAGGGTACGCTTCTCACCTAGACACATGCCTGTGATACCTTGTTCCCAGCCGGCAATGACTTGACCAGCACCTAGTTTGAATTGGATTGGCTCATTTCTGCGCAAACTGGAGTCAAAGACCTTACCATTTTCTGCCAAAGAACCAGTGTAATGAACAGAGACCATGTCACCTGGAAGGGCCTTTAACTTACATTTGCTAATTGGGATCTTCTTGGTAATTTCAAACTTCAAGCCATCTGACTTTGACTTAGAAGCAATAACACACACCATAAAGGTGAAAAGAATCCAAATTTGTGACAACATTGTATTGTTTACTTCGTTGTTGTTTATCTTATGTGTACAAGACAGAGAAAGAAGAATGATTCCTTAAATAAGAGTTATAACTATATGGATGTGTTGAATAAGAGTAGCAAAGTTGATTTTGGATTCACGCAATCGTTTGCATAATGATTTGCCAAGTACATGTAACTATTCACTAAGAAGTAAATGCTCAAAATGATAATCTAATCGTTATTACAGTTATGTACTCTTTATCTATAGCACTTCATGATGTGCATTGGTATACATTATACTAATATATTGCTTATTGTTTTTTTACAAATGATGAACGGTTTCTACATCAACACGGAGTCATTAACAGCTAAAGTGATTCAAAGATTTGACAGACACCGTTAATGTCCTCTTAGTTAAATTGAGAATGTGTTCACGAGACAATTAAATAGATGACTTAAGGTTGTAGAGTTGATTACAATTCATCTTTGATTTCGTTGTTGAAAGCCTTTTGGTCTGCATTAGCAGCTTGAGCTTGAGCATTAACAGCTTCGGCAGCTTCGGCAGCCTGAGCATCTTCGATGGCCTTGGCTTCGTCTTGCTTTTGCTTTTCTAAAAGGGCTTGGCCATCCAAGTTGGAAGTTGAGTGGCTCTTAATAAAGTCAAGAACATTCTCTAGGCTCCTCTTACCTTCAAAAATAATTGGTTGGGAGCCAGGCTTGGAACCAGCACGGTAAAGAACCAATGTTGGGTAACCAGCAACTGGGAAGTCGATAATATCATTAGCAGTAGAGTCAACCTCTGCAAAAACGATCTTCTCCTTAGTTTCTGGATTAGAGCCAAACAGTTCGGCAATCTCTTCCAATACTGGTCTGAATGCCTTGCTGTGTTGACACCATGGGGCATAGTACTTCACAAATACATCCTTGTCATTGTTGTAAACAAAGTCGTTGTGGGTCTTGGCGACCAATTTGTAAAGCACAGAATCCTGGGTCTTTGGGATTGGTTCGGATTTTATTATTGGTTGAGCCTTACCTTCGACAAAGTCTTCAACAAGCTTCTTGATATCTTCACTTTCTAACTTCTTCATAACCTTGTCAGATTCATCGGTAAATTGGTCCAAAGTGTATTTTAGATTGTTGTTGACGTTGTGGATTACAAACAATGGGAATCTTTGCTTTAGGTTTAGAAGTTTCAAGTGTTCTTGGAATTTGTGTGGGTTCATACCAACGAAGTTCAACTTACCTCTGTACTTTTCACCCAACTCATTGAAAAGACCTGTAAAATCATTTAGCTCTTGTGGGGTGGAATAATAAAAGTATGCAATTGGAAGCTTGGTGGCCATGTAGTTCTTGAAATCAGCTGCTTCAATATCAGCGAAGAATGGCAAGTTTTCCATGTGCATCCAAATGGAGATGGACTCCTCGGTTGGTGGCTGTGGACCGTCGTAGACGGCAGTTCTGTTGGTGCCTGGGAAGTACATCTCCAAGGTACCATTCTCGCTAGCAACAGTGTCTCTGATAAAGGCGAACTTCTCGGACATATCTAGAGCGACAGACCTCAAAATCTCATCGATTTCTAAGTTACCTCTGTTGTGCACAATTGGCATGTCAGTCTCAGACTTCATCTTCTCGACTTCCTGCGCGCTGGTAATGTTGGTAACAGGGTTATTCTTCAAGTTCAACAAATAGTTAGCAATTTCATTGCCGGCTTGGGAGCCCTTGTAGTTCTCAGCACCAACCAGCCTGTGATTCTTATACACTTTCAAAGTTGGGTAGAAATCAATCATCTGCTGGTCACATAGCACACCGTACTGGGTACAGTCAACTTGTAAAATCGGAATCTTAACACCCTTCACAATCGTGGCAGCCTCGCTCAGTCTAGGCTGCAACATCTTGGAGTGAGTACACCAAGGAGTGAAGAACTCAACCATAACAATTGGGTTCTCTTTCACATGTGTAGCAAACTGCGAGATGTTCGCCTTTATAATGTTGGAACTGTCGGGCGCAATCGCATCAGGCAGCTGAATGGCAGACGCAACACCAATCGCTAGCGCTAGACTCTTCACACTAACCATCTTATACTATGTAGTCCTGGCTTCCCTCAATCCACCAAAGCAATACCATGTCGCCAAAGAACGCCAATTGGCTCTTATAAGCTCTTTGCTGCCAAACTTCGAGAACTGCGACCCTGCAAATCTCAACGTCAGTAATGACCTGCGTTTTGGGTGATATAGCCGGGATGGCCTACCCGTTGATGGTCTATCCATTGATCTGCTAAATTTGCTGGGAATTAGTAAGATAACTATACTGAATATTTATGTATATAGTTGGTATACTGTGCAAACGCGTTTGTGGTGTTTTTACTGGCTTGCTAGGCGCCATTCCAGTGGCTTTTCCGCTAAGTTTCATCGCCTATCTAGTTCTATAAATGCCGCAATTTGCTCGTTACATGACGATGTGTAATGAGCACTTGTGCTCGCTACACATCGCCATCATCGTACCCGTATTTGCCTTAGAGCTTGCACGGCTATTCGCTCTTGTGATTGGGTTTGGACCCCATTTTGTAAAATTATTGTGAATTTTATTGTCACTTCTACTTCTACCATCATGATGTACTTCTTATTGCCCTCATAGGTGAATATAGCCATTTGTTAAGCAAATTTTATAACTCTGTGTGCTGATGTCGACTCCACGTTGTATGTCGATAGAAAAAGAGTTCATGCCAAGTTCTAATCTCCCGGATGCACCACTAGGAAGTTCACAGAGTTGGTGCTAAAGTAACACATCATTTTTGGTCATAAGCCCTACAGCTACCATCCGTATCGCTGCTTCTGTTCACGTTTACGCTTCTTGATCTCCTCGTTACGCTTGTCCAAAGCTCCTTTGTATTGCTGCGCATTCTTCACCAACGCTGAGAGGCTTGTGTCACGTACTTGTATGTTCTTAGTAGATATAGTATTGCTTACCAAACTGTCTTGACTTCTACTAGCAATCGCATCACTATTTATCTCCTGTCTGGCTTCCTCCTGCGGCACAGGCTTATCCGTCTTCTGCACTGCATCCACCATCGGCACTGGCTCAACGGTGGCAGTGATGGGTTCTACCGCATGCTGCATCCTGTCGTAACCGCTGGCAAACATGATCTCTAGCGGTGCTTTCTTTTTAACTCGGTCAGATTTTCCATTCGCAACTCAGGTATGTTTAATAGTGGCCTTCTTGTTATGATTTCAAAAACTCATCTCAAGTCCGATGAGCTCTGCAACTTAAAATGTAAAAGCTCATCGAAGCTGTAATTTGCTAGAATCAGCAGTGGTAGTCTATAAGTGCGCAGGGGATACATGCGTTATGAAGCTCAAAGTTAGTCTTAGGATAGTCAGCGTTCAATTGAACTCGCAGATAGGCCAGATAGATGAGACGTTGCGGCGCACCACTGTGCTCATCGACAGACTGAAGCAGGAAGTGGAAGGCCAGAAACCGCCAGATCTAGTGGTATTCCCAGAATTTGCACTGACTGGTTATAATTTCAAGAACAGAAGCCATATACTTCCTTATGTATGCAAAGCAGGTGAGGGTCCTAGCTTTGAATTAGCAAAGAGAGTGTCAAAATTATTTGGCTGCTATACTGTGATAGGATACCCTGAGAAGTGTGAGCAGAAGTTGTACAATTCTGCTATTGTAACTGGACCAGATGGATCAGTGCATTTTAATTACAGGAAGGCGTTTCTTTATGAAACCGATGAACAATGGGGATGCGAGGAGAATCCAAAGGGCTTTGAACAGTTCAAGATGAAGTTTCGAGCAAGACCAATTGATCAAGATTCGGCAGAGTTATCACCCGTTGACATAGACTTGAATACTTCCATTGGTATATGCATGGACCTTAGCCCATACAGGTTTGAAGCACCATTTCAGGATATGGAGTTCTCATCGTTTAACCTCGAGAAGGGCACAGAGTTGATCATTTGCCCAATGGCTTGGCTACATTCCAGATCTATAACCGAACACACCGATTCTGAAAAGATAACTCCTAAGGACATAGAATGTCTTCTTTCTGAACAAGGCCTGTCTATTTTTGGCTCTCAAGGTCAGTATCAATTCGATTTTGATAACAGGGCAACTACAAAGCCAGTATCACAAGATATCACAGACATAAATAGGGACAATCCAGTTTACTCAAATCTGGATGAACCTGATATGTCTAACATAAATTACTGGCTGTTAAGATTTCTGCCTTTCTTATCTTTGGATGTAAGGAGAAACTGGTTTCAAAGCTTCGCTGACCAGCTTTTGCCTCTTAAAAATTCTTATATGGGCATGACACCAAAACATCCTTGGGGTTTTGCTGGTAAAAATGCGGCTTTGGTTATTGCTAATCGATGTGGTGTTGAAGACTGTAAGACAATATTTGCAGGAAGCTCAGGAATCTTCAAATTTAATGGTTCAGAAGATAAAGATAACAATACGGACTCTACTAACCAGTCTGTTAAATTATTTGGCAATTTGGGAAAAGGCTATGAGGGTTTACTAATGAGAGATATTGATTTAATGATTGATAGGTAGTATTTTGTTAAATCTATCTAATATGCGATGTTTATGCGATTTTATATAATATAGACAATGAAAATGGCCAACATGCCCTTTAAAATAGAAAACTTAAATTAATGACAGAAATGTTTTAAATAGTCAGATGATGAAAACGCCTATTTGTGCGTTTCTTACTGTACAATTATATTCTCTATAAGGTCAGAATCGGATTCAAAGACTGGATAATTTGATAAGTTTTCATCATTTTCATAGTTCAATCCAGCATAATTTAAGTTATGGGGTTCGTTATCATTAACAATAACTTCAAAACCGTTGTATCTTTTTTCCAATATTTCCTGAATAGAGTGCCAAGTTCTCAGAATTAACTTGCTGCAAACGTTCTCTTTGATCTTTGCGATAGCCAATACATCCTTGTCTTTGACCAGCTTATTAAATAGCCTTTTTTCATAGCTGAAAAGAGTGGGATCCTTAAAGGGATTCATAATGTTGCGCCCCTTCTCTCGGCGGAATACTTTAAATGCATCGACAATTCTTTCAAAGCTCAAATTTCTGTCAAACATAATCTCAAGTTCCTTGAGTCTAAATGAGGTAGCTTCAAAGGTATTATGTGTGATAGCTATGGCATCGTGCATGTTTTGAATTAAGAAAGCCTTCAACAGAAAATAATGGTCAATACCTCTCAATTGATGCAAATTTGTAGGTATAGGTACTGACTGGTCCACAGCCAGTCTGATAATATTACGTATATCTTTGAATGAATACCAGAGTTTCATTCCAGGCAAGTAAATATTACCTTCGAAGGTAAGGAATCCGTAAGTTTTTGTTAGCTTATATTCATGCTCTAAGTGTTGGATGGGTTTTCTAGGGATTAAAGCAGATTGACCGTGGTAAATTGAATTATACAATGGGCTCAAAGAGTCAAACGAAATGAAATGACCATTTCTACAATTGTATAACTTCTTTTCCAGATGATTAGTAAATCTTTGTTCCGAGCTTAGTTCTTCATCCACAAATCTCTTATTCTTCCTTTTCCGCTGACTTTCTGAGGCTGCCAGCTTCAATAAAGTATCCTTTTCTTCCATAGACAATATCTCATTATTGCGGACTCTGGTCGAAAGATCATCAAAGTTATCCTGATTAAAGCCGTATTTGAAAGGCTCGTAATTATGGTACTCTAATTCTGAAGATTTTGATTTATCGTTTGGCCTGTCTACGATATAATTCTCGGCGTATTTTGGTGTGTATTGTGATGAGACACTCAAACCGGTGATGTCGATATAAATACCAGAATCTACATCAATAAATCTGGCGTCAATATTGTTGTTACCATTTCCGTTAGTCCTTATGGTTATAGTAGATGATACATCCAATAAAAATCTTCCGTTTCCTTCCCTAGGATCTTCGAGAATTAGTGATTGGTTGAAGTGCTCGGCCAGCATATTAAGATGTCTAATTGGCATTTGTAAATCGAAATCATCATCCCATGGGAAGGTTAGACCATTGTATAAATGACTGAACAGTGTTCCATGCGATAGCCACGTAATTAATCCATTGGCTTTAGTAAACTTCAGAAAGTTTCTTATCAGGGAGTTCATTTTCATCTGGTATTCTATTCCGTCGATATCTGGGTTGAAACTATTGTAGAAAAATCGGGCATCTCTATGAGATCCGGACTTGGAATAAAGTAAAAGATCTCTAGCTTCATTGAAATGTTTCTTTTGAAGTAAAGGGTCTACCGTTATTGAATATTTCAGACTTTCTAAATATTTTCTTTGATGGGTTGTTAGATGTTCCTCCTTTTCGAGGTAAGCTATCCTTTCCAGTGGATCAAATATAAAATCATTCTCTTTGACGTGAACTAACAATTCATCGTGTATTCTGTCCGTTAATTCTGGGTTTTTGAGCTTATATTTTTCATTAGATTTACTCTCCAAAAATTGATCAAACAAAATTGTGTGGTTGAATACCAAATCCTGATCATCTTCATTGACTTTATTTTTTTCAATAAATTTGGCCAAGAGCTCAGATTCGATGATATTCTGAGGGTTAATATCGGTTGAAATTGGTACTTGGAAAAAACTTCTATCTTTATTAAGAATAGTTAAAGAGAAAGGCATATGAAGTTTTGATCTCATCATGAAGGCCTTATTTTGGAATTCATATTGCTCAGGTGTAGCATGAGCTTGGGGTTTCTTTATATTAACTGGTAAATCAAATCTTGACGTAATACCATCGCTACAGTAATCTACCAAGTTGATGAATTTTGCTTTCCTTGCCAATACCTTATACCAATATTGCTCGCTGTAACGATGTCTGTTTACTTGGAATAATGGCTCATTAATCTCAGCCTCTATATCCAGAAGAAGTTGTTTATCGAAACCTGGGCTATACATCACAGCACAGTTGACTCGAGATTTGACCTCATCTGATAGTGCCAATATCCTGTTATATTGTTGATAGTCACTCCAGTCATACCAGGAGAAAGGAATTTGATCAGGACCTTCCTTTGATAAATAATCTAGTAGAACAGACCATATGAGTCGAGGGTCATTATCGTAAAATTTAAGGTCATCGATTGATTGTAATATTTGTCCCTTATTTTGCCCTATTTGAACAGTTAACAAATTATTCTTGTATGAGTATTCATCTGGCCATATCATTTCTGTGTTAAACATCATCTTTTCATAAAGCTTCGAGGGATTTATCGATTTGTTGGGTTCATGATGCTTTATAAAATGATGGATGTATTGTATGTGTTCACCTTCTGGGTCCAGCCAAACTCTGATTGTTAAAAATGCCTGTATAAGTAGTAAAAGTACAATAAGTCGCTTCAATATGAATCGTAACCATAATTTTATTCGTTTTACAGCTGGTAAAGAATGTATTATGGAGTGTTCGTGGCGGTCATATACTGTATTGATAGGATACTTTTCAGTATCTCTCATCTTGTCCTTTGAGTACCCGGCGTTATTCAGCATCTGTTTATATCAGCATTCAAATCCCTTCTTAACTTAAATTTCCACTTTGACTTAAACTTTACGAGTAGTTCTCAATATTTATAGAAATCTTAATATATCTAAAATTGGATGACAATGTTAATTGCCCAAATGCGGTTAAATGTAATAAGTTTTAACGGACTGCCGATTTAAATTTAGCCACTAAATAGCGAATGCTCTGACAATTGATCTTGGGCTAACCACTAGATTGGTAGTCTATTGGTACTTTAGGTGTGATTGAGCTCAATAACGTACAGTGGCAAAGTTTCAACTGAACAAGGTTATAGATCTATTATAGTGTGAAATGTAGCTCACAATAAATTGACTTTATGGTTTAGGATAAGTATTGCTATCTTTCCCAAGTGCACATATCAAATATCAACCAAAATGTTATGGAAAATGTCTACCTTTGTTAACACATTTGAGTTGTAGGATTTTTTACTGTCAAGTTTATGTTTCTACTAGGGTCCGCAGAGATCAAGTTGCGAATAATTAGCTACACCTCTCCAGTAGAGAATCAGAAGGAACGGATAAACTGCTTGATAAGAATCTTGATCTCTCTACAGATAATGGTGAGACCTTAGTAGCAGTTAGTTGCACAGGACTCCCTGCGTAGCAGCAATAAGGTTAGTAAATCTGGCAAACATGTTCCACGCAGATCGCAGTGTCAAGGCAGTCGACCAATTCGTCATCCTGAGTTAGTATTGTATCCTTGTAAGGAAGTGAATCTCAATTTGCTGACAAAGTCCACCTTGGTGATATTCTGCAACACCAAAATAATGTCTCAGACAGTGGGTGTCTCTTCGGTGTCTGAGTAGAGCTGGTTTTTCGTAATTGCAGTGATGATAAGCTTCACTGCAGGTTCATAATGACTTGTGGTTGAATATTATCAGTTGGCCACCTCCAAAAACGCTTTAAAGTATCGTTGTTGGTGGTATTTGCAATGAGTAATTGAGGTCGTCAAGCGATTTCGAGCTGTAGATTTCTAAATAACATAATTAATTGCATCGATATTCTCTATCACTATATGTCTTGTAAAGCTTCAGTATGTGATATTACTAAAGGATGAAATAGTAATTGTTTTTAATAGAATAATAACAGTAGATACAGTATAGAAAATAGTAAAAGAATACAAAGAAAAAAAATAAAAATAAAAATGTAGAAAAATGTTTGTAGGTACTGTATGTGATCTTAAACATCTTCTGGGAGTACACCTTCCAGAAGAGTTAGCGAATTGATAAGTTGAAGGTTGGACAGAGAAAAATAGAGGGTGATAATACTGACGCTGAGGTTCATGGATGGTTTCTTAATAATATTACAATTTTTTGTGACGATTATAAGAATAGTTGATATTGTGTAATAAGGAAAAGGATGGAATTGAGCTCTTCGTCCAATTGTTTGACAACCAAATATCGTTCTTATCAAACTTCTTCTATTAGAGCTTTCCTCTCAATAGTTAATATATTTACTGGAATAGAGATGGAGAAAATAGAATGAAAATACAAGTTTGAGAACTTCAGTGGTATTAGCAATATTTGCGTATGTAGAAAAAACTTGAGATGGTAGCGAACGAGGGTGAAAATACTCATACCAGATCATTTTCAATATCTATTCCTTAGACTCATCTTCGCCAGCTTCTTCGTCTCTTTCTTCTTCTTCTTCTTCTGGTTCAGCGCTTGCTCTGGGATCTATTTGATCAATTTCCTCTTGGGCTCTGTTCAATTCAGATTCCAGTTCTTTGGCTTCCCTCAAAGTATCTTCAGGTATCACAAATTTATCTTCATATTTGATGTTGTTTTCCTTCAAAATGCTCTTCAGCCTGGTCAATTCTTGGTAAGCGTCATCGAGAGCAGCCGCAAGTTTCTCGTTTGACTTTTGGTGAGCAGTCTTTGTTTGCTCGGTCACAATTCTTTGAATAGCCCATTTGTTCATTTGACTACTCTCAGATTCCTTCAACTTCTGGATCAAAGCTGCTGCACTGTTCAGAATACCAGCCTTGCTGTACTCTGGCTTTGGAAGAAGTTTTCTCAAGTTATCAATGGCCAAGTTAATAGTTTCACGACGTCTCCTTTCAACTTCCTTGTGAGATTCCTTACGGATCTTTCTCCAGTCCTGGATGGACTCATCGCCCTTCGTTTGCTTGCCTCTCTTCTTCTTGTTCTCGGTCTTCACGTCAGACCTCGAGCTCAGACTGGCATAAAGCTCAGGGTTTTCAGGGCCAACATTAATGGTAGTGTCACCTCTAGAGTTACCGGACAAGTCCTGGTAGTGGATTCTAATGGTTGACACGGCAGCAGCAGCGTCACCACTGTCATTGGCAATTTCACGGATAGATTCCATATTCTCCTCATGGTCGTGTTCATGGCCGTGTTCCTCTTCAGGTTCTTGTCCTTGTTCTTGCTCTGGTTCTTGTTCGTGTTCAGCTTCTTGTTCTTGTTCGTGTTCAGGTTCGTGGCCCTGCTCCTGCTCCTGCTCCTGTTCTTGGTGCTGGTGCTGGTGCTGGTCCTCATCACGGTCTTCCTCGTCGTGTTCCTGATGGTCAGCATCAGCGCGATGCAACTCATCGTCCACATTAGGGTCTCTGTTGTCATCGTGGTCGTTCACGTGGTTTTCGCGCTCATCTTCATCCTCATGCTCACCCTCGACAGCATGCGTTTCATCCTCACTAGCAGCACCTTCAATGGCCCTACGCTGCTCGTCATCGTTCAAGTCAGAGCCATTCACCTCCTCCTTCTCATCGTAGTGCACTGTGGTGTGCACAGTGGTCTCGATATCCACCTCCCGGTGCGACCCCTTCCGTCTCTTTGGTGACCTCTCAACCGCGTCACTCTCATGCATACGCTCAGAGGAGTTCACGTACTGCTTCAACTCCCTCTCAAGTATATCCTCCGACACTTCCTGGCGTCTGCTCTTCCTAGAACGGTTGCTTCTCTCCATCATTCTCTCTGTCTCTTTTTCTATCTCGAAATCAAAAGACTTAGCTAAACAGTCTCAATTCTAAAACTTAATTGGCAAGGTCTAAATTCAGTCTGGCTCGTGGTTCTCCCTGAGTTTCCTTGGACTTGGCGTCTAATATAAGAACTTTGTAAACAAGAAACGTGACTTATATTCCCCGATTACCCAACACGTGAGTTGTTTATCCCAAAAGCGTCAAGTTTATCTCAGAATCCTTCAAAGTTGGGCCATCTTTGGACTTTTCCTTTGTTTATCACAACCTCAGTATTACGTGTAGAGTGATTTGTTTGTACTAGTGGTATAAAGCTATAACGGGATATCGGCATGGGCTGTATATACTTATTTAGGCTGGCACAAGTGCTTACTTTGAGAAGAGGGAGACCATGGAAGGGTGGGTGTTTACTGAGCTGTGCGGGATGTCGAAGTGGTTGTGCACCACGCGTTTCTTGGAGACTGACAGCTCAGACATCTCCTTGTGGGGAGGGGAGGCCGTGGTGGACCTGCTGGCCATGGAGCTCACTGGTGACCCACGCTGCACCTGCGGCTCGACGTGGATCTCGGGTGTACGTAGAGTAGAGGTGGTTCTTGTAGCGTCCTGTGCTTTCGGGGATTGCTGTGCCTTGGTGGGTGCAGGGCTCTCGATCATGGCGTCCAGCTTGTTTTCCTTCGGCTCCTCCTCGTTGTCTTTGTCGTTGTCGTTGTCGTTGTCGTCGTCCATTGAGAACGTCACTTTGCCGTGGTGCTCAGTTGGCTTCTCCTTGTGCAGCACCGGGTGTTCTGCGATCTCTACCATTGACCGTGGCTTGGGGCTCGAAGCATTGCAGCCTTCTTCGTGTGTCTTCTCAGTGCCAGTGCTGGCACCGTGGTTGCCTGTGTGCACCGGTATGGTGTCACTGGCATCTTCAAACGTCGCACCCACGGTACCAGCAGCAGTCTCAATGGTGTCCTTGGCGTACAGTTGGTTTGCGTACACAAGACCCTCCTGCGTAGTGGCTTTCCGCAACTCGGGTTCTGTGACTGTATATGCATCGTCAGGGTAAACACACGTCTTGATGTTCTGGAACCATGGGTCGTTAAACAGGTCCTCCATAGTGTAACGCGTCTCGGGTTTGGGGTCAGCTAGCCTCCATGCCACTCTAGACGCCTCCGTGTTTCTGAACTGCTTGGCTAAACTGTACTCACTTCCAGGACCTGGCTTGTAAACACCTTTCTGTCTGAACGCAGGATTACCATGGGCTATGAAGTTCTCATACGAGGTCTCGTACTCTCTGAATCTCAAGTCAGTGTTGCACGAGTCCAGAAACGGTATGATATTGTTAACCATAGTAATGAGCATGATACCTAGTGCGTAGGGGTCCATCTTCAGCGGATCATATGGCTTCTTCAGAGATTCAGCATAGTGCTTCTTGGCATCCCAGTACATAACTTCCGGTGGCGTGTACGGTGGGGAACCGATCATACCCTCTGTGGTCTTTAATGGGCTGTTTGGATCATTGGGATCCTTACGGTACCAGTCAGAAATACCAAAATCAGTCAACTTGCATACACCATCTTTTGAAAGCAGCACATTTTCAGGCTTCAAATCTCTATGCGCAATACCATTGTCATGGCAGAACTTGATTCCCTCAGCCACCTGTTTAAAAAGGCAATATTTTTCTTCCAACGGTACGTTTCTCCATCCGCTTCTGGCCATCAACTCAAACAGATCCTTCACACCATACTCCATAATGAAACCCCAGCCTCTGGTGGTGTATGTAGTTGTAGGCACCTTCAACAAATAGAAAGTCTTGATAATATGAATATTCTTACTCAATGATTTCGCAATGATGAACTCCTTGGAGCATCTCTTGTAAAATTTCTCGGGAGTCTCATGGTAAATCATGTTTAGTTTCTTTAAAGCGTAAACATCCTTGGCCTTATAAGCAGACTTGACCTTTCTGACCTCACTGGAACCACCGGACCCAATTGGTTTGTTTGCAGCGTCAAAGACAAAATTGTCAGCCAAGTTAATACTGAATTGTTGCATTTCCTCCGGTAGAAATTTGTTAGGGTCCTCAATTGGCAATGGCAGCATCCTGATTTTCTCATTACCATCATGCATGTAAAAGCTCAGGTCGCCAGCGTTCTCTTTCAAAGTGTCGATGTACGCCGTGTCGGGTCTTCTCAGGTTCGGATTCATCCCGTATGGGTTATAGACCATGTTAGCGTCGGCGTGCAGTCCCGACTTCGAGGGATTCCGAGACAAGCTGTGGCCCTGGTTAGCATGGCCAGCCATACTTGCAGGTTTGTTCCCGTGGTGGGTATGTGCCTCTCTTCTGCCAGCTATCCCGGAACCCCCGCCAGCAGACGGCTTCCTCTGGAGCTGGTTGGGCGCACGCTGCGAGTGCTCCTCCGTAATAACATAAGGATTGTGGCTGTGCTTGATCAGCTCATTAAGTGCTACCGACGACTTCGCCGAGGACACAGGCCCCCGGGTGAAGTTGGCCTCCGTGGCCCTCGCAGGCACCTTCTTGCTCAGGGAGCTGGACCGCGCCCTGCTGGGCGACCGACTGCTGTTCCGCACCAGCGTCTTCCCAGTGGGCGACGTGCTCCTCTTGCTCAGCGGCCGTATGGGCTCCCCCTGTGCGTCCAGCACAGGCTTCCCACTGCTAACCTGCGGGTGGTTCATCAGCTTCCTCCCAAACTTCTTCAATGTCATCACAGAGGGACTGTGATGGACTTCCTCCTTGTCGTTGATGTTCGTCATACTGCCTTGCCTCCCTATTTCCAATGTCCAAGAGTCCAATTGATCCAAGAGCAAGAGTATCCTCTTATATACCACTCCCTGTGTGAGTTGCGGACCCATCGAGAGCTTAAATTGCGATGACGTCTTAAAATCCCTTTTCTTCCAGAAGTGGGAAGTGACGCATCATATGACGGATGGATTGGGTTTACGCATATAAGATAGTATTTGGGAGGGATGAGCGTGTTTCTCCCCCGGTTACCTGGCTCCATGGGTCCAGGAGCACGATGGCGATACAGTTTATACTATGTTTCAACAAGCAAGGTGTGGTGAGGCTGCTGCGGTGGTATGAGAAGGTGCCTGCAGGCCACGAGCGGACGCAGGATGTGATAGCGCAGATATACAGGCTGATCTCATCTCGAGATCACAGGCATCAGAGCAACTTCGTTGAGTTCTCGGAGAGGACGAAGCTGGTGTACAAGCGGTATGCGGGGCTGTACTTTGTCTTTGGTGTTGATCTGAAGGACGAGGAGTCGATATACCTGTCGCACATACACCTGTTTGTGGAAGTGCTGGATGCTTTCTTCGGGAACGTGTGCGAGCTGGACATTGTCTTCAACTTCTACAAGGCGTACATGGTCATGGACGAGATGTTCCTCGGCGGCGAAGTCCAGGAGGTCTCCAAGGACGCGCTGTTCGAGAGGCTGAGTGCCCTCGATAGACTGGAGTGAAGACTCGGATAACAGCTATATATATGGGTCTATAGAAAATCACAAATGCATAAATTTTTATAACTTATTAAAAGTACTTAAACTCGTTGGTGGCGCGTGTTTCGTGCAGCAAGGGCTCTATTACGTCCCATATCTCCGCGCTCACTTGCTCGATGCCCTTGCCCGTGACGTTGACTGTGCGCAGTTCTCCCTCCTGGCAATATGCGTGGAAGGCCTCGTGGAACTTCTGCTTCACTTTCAACTGGAAGTCGCTGTCCTCGTACCGCTCCTCCCCGAACCCTGCTCTGTTGGCTATACTCTCCCTGTCCTCGTTGGTCAAGAACAGCGTCAGGTCCGGCTTCAGGAGACCCTTGTCCGGCTGCAAGCACCACTGCAGGTCCATACCGGGCGTGCCCTTCGCCGCCGAGTACGCCACTCCGGAGAACACATACCTGTCCAGCACCACGCAGTATCCGTCGTTCAACTGCTGCTTTAACTCCTCGATGTACTCCCACCTGTTCGCACTGAACAGCAAGTGCACAGCCTGGTCCGGCAGCTGGAAGTCCCGGTTCGTCAAGTACCGGTTGATCAGCTGCCCAATCTCACTCTCACGGTTCGGAAACTTAGCTGCAACAACTTTAAGCCCACACCCACGCAACCTCTCCGCCAGCGCATCCACCTGCGTAGTCTTGCCCGTGCGATCCAGCCCTTCTATAAGTATAAGCTTCCCACGCATCTCTCTCATCAACATACAACACACTGCAGTACTCCTCCTCACAACTAAGCAGTATAGCCTTCTTATATGGCTCGATGCGCAGTTATCGTTGCTTCATGGGTCAGCAAGTTATGCGGTCCCCAGCAAGAGACACAACGTTTACCATGGGCACCAGCTTGCTACCAACATAACTTTCAAGTGACTCTCGGTAGCCAAGTTGGTTTAAGGCGCAAGACTGTAATTTCAACACTGAAATCTTGAGATCGGGCGTTCGAATCGCCCCCGGGAGACTTTTTTTCTTATTTTTTTGTCAATTTTTTTCTTAAGTATGGCGTATATTGTGACATCGAAGTTTTGCAGCTATAAAGGAGCGATGAGCATCTCTTGCGGTGTGTTTACGGGTGCTGGATAGTTGGGCAGTGGATACTTACCAGTTGGTGTATTGGCGAGTTGGTTTTAGGTTCATGTTACCACGGGATGGAGAGGTTGAACAGTTTGGAGAGGAGTCTGCCCCCGGAGCAGCCGCCCACGGAGAAGGCTATTGCGACGCTGAACTCTGAGCTGTCGCAGGAGTTCAAGCTGGCGGCGAACTCTGTGACGAAGCTGTACCGGCTGGCGAACGAGCGTGCGAGTCTGGTGAGGCACCAGGGGTACTTGGACTGTGTGGAGGACGTGCTGTCGCTGATAGACGGTAGCACCGGTAGTAATGGCAGTAATGGTAGCAAGGAACCGACGGTGGAGGATATACGGGAGTGGTGCCTCAAGCGCAGACAAGAAATGCTTTCTTCCAAGGATGGCCGTGTGGATAGTCACAGAAGTGACGGCCGCGGGGGACAAGGCCGAGTGGCCCCCAAGGTGGATTTCCACTTGCAAAAGAGCTTTCTGGGCAAGACAGAGGTGCCGCAGGGTGGCAAGATCGAGGTGCCGACATTCAAGCTGGGTAAGCCACCGTTGAGCGTGGAGCACCACGCACGCCCAGGACGGCGGCGCCAGCTAAATACACCTGCGGCAACGAACACAACGTTTACATCTACACCTAACAACGAGAACTCAGAGATGCATGAATCGGTTCCTAAGAAACCGAAGTTATAGATATAAATTCACAATTTTTTTATAGATTTTAGCACATATTCCCCTCAATAAAGCTTTCGGCTGGCAATAATAAGTTGTAAATATTTATCATTTTGGTGGTGGTAAGTTACGCACATACACACACATACACACATTTTCACACCTACTTCAAAGATAGTAGCTATACCCTGAGCACATTCACGAGCTCTGAATTTGTAGCTTGTAAAACAAATTCATGAAAGAGAGGACTTATAACATGGCTATACATGTTTTAACACAACAAAAATATTTACACGACGCTTATATACGCTGTAAATTCTTATCAACACAACGAAATCATTAATCCGCGATAGTTTAATGGTCAGAATGGGCGCTTGTCGCGTGCCAGATCGGGGTTCAATTCCCCGTCGCGGAGATTTTCTTTTTTAGTATTTTTATATAAATACCAAGCTGTAAAGCCTTTCACTGCCACAGCGAGCTTCCAGCTTTCCTTTATTTTTTGGTTTATTCCGACTGTGTTGATGACCTCAACTAAAACGCCCTGCTCTGTACCCGCCCATCCTTGGTGACTATAGCCGTTGGCATTTGTGTGTGTGTGTGTGGGCAAATACTTGGCCAGCGGCTCTGAGACACACATACAACAACTCTTAGTGTCCCAGTGGCCGAGTGGTTAAGGCGATGCCCTGCTATTCTCTCTACGAACAGCATTTAGGCATTGGGTTTTACCTGCGCAGGTTCGAATCCTGTCTGTGACGCTTTACTTTTTTTTTTGGAAATCACGACGCCGCAGCATAACATCGAAGAATGAAGCTTTGTATAATACAACTGTTACAAGTGTAGTTACTCTTACAAGTGCAACTGCAAGTACAAGTGTAAGCTACAAACTACAACCACAACTACAACCACAACTACAAACTACAACTACGAGATGGATCCCAGTTTGCTGCTGGATCAGATGCTGCAGGATGTGTCTAACCTGCCGGCGGAGTTCAGGTACATGCTGGAGGAGGTAGGGCTGGAGGACGAGCAGTGTTTGGAGCTGCGGAAGCGGTACCAGCAGAAGGAGGGCATTCTACACAAGTACATCAAGCAGAACGGGTCGCTGGCGGCGAACCCCAAGGAGGACGAGCTGTTGGCGGAGGTCGAGCAGAGCATGGCGCAGGTGCGCGAGTTGCAAGAGGAGAAGTGCCAGCGGGCGAACACGATCCTGTTCCTGGTGAGCCGGCATTTGAACAAGCTGCAGCAGAATATCATCATGCTCGAGGAGGACGGGCTGCTGGCGCCTGCGGAGGACGAGATGGAGAGCGGGCCGGACTTCTCCAGGGAGAGCTCCGTGGTCGGGTCTACAGTCTCTGAGCGCAAGCGCAAAGCCGCGTCCGAGGACCACCCACGGCGGAAGAAGCAGTCCCGCTCGATGTCCAACACCCACAGAGAGAAGAGCTACAACAAGGGCGACGACACAGCCGACGTCAAGTCGCCTGCCTCCACCGAGAGGGAAGGCACACTGGACCTGCAAAACTACCAGGAGGAGCTCTTCTCCAGCATGAACGACAACGAGAAGGAGGACCAGAACCTGTACTGTTTCTGCCAGCGCGTATCCTTCGGCGAGATGGTCGCGTGCGATGGCCCAAACTGTAAGTACGAGTGGTTCCACTACGAGTGTGTCAACCTGACAGAGCCTCCTAAGGGCACCTGGTACTGCCCAGACTGCAAACAAGAAATGTCCAAGAAACTAAAGAAGAAGAAGCAATAAAAAATACAATCACATATAGTAAATGCACATCCTGGAACAGCCCCATACAGGACAATAGCGGCTCCCCCCTCCCCAGACCTATGCACAGAGTGAAATGGAGACTTATACTACTTAGCAACGTGACATACCACCAAACGATGAAAATTTTTTTCCAGCTGCTCTGCACTTGTGAAGGCCAGTTCGCTGCGAACCAAAAAAAATTTTCATTTTGTGCGATGAGCATCGGGTTGCGCATAGAGTAGTGAATGATTAGGCACATAAGTTGTTGGGATATTACCTATAGTCTGCAGTGAGCGGGGTTTCACTAAGCTAATAGAGAGCAAGAAGCTATAAAAGAATACCAAATGAGTTTTAGAGGCGGTTTCAGAGGCGGTCGTGGAGGTTCCAGAGGAGGTTTCGGTGGCCGTGGTGGTGCCAGAGGTGGCAGACCAATCCAGCAAGGTCCACCAGACACTGTGCTAGAGATGGGTGAGTTTATGCATCCATGTGAGGGCGATGTTGTGTGCAGGTCTATAAATACCAAGGTGCCATACTTCAATGCCCCAATATATCTAGAGAACAAGACTCAGGTCGGTAAGGTGGACGAGATTCTAGGTCCATTGAACGAAGTCTATTTCACAATCAAGTGTGGCGAAGGTGTCCAAGCGACAAGTTTCAAAGAAGGTGACAAGTTCTACATTGCCCCAGACAAACTACTGCCAATTGAGAGATTCATTCCTAAGCCAAAGGTAGCCGGCCCACCAAAACCAAAGAACAAGAAGAAGAGATCTGGTGCACCAGCTGGTAGAGGCGGTGCTAGAGGTGGATTCGGTGGCCGTGGTGGCTCCAGAGGTGGCTTCGGTGGTCGTGGTGGCTCCAGAGGTGGCTTCGGTGGCCGTGGTGGTTCCAGAGGTGGCTTCGGTGGCCGTGGTGGTTCCAGAGGTGGCTTCGGTGGTCGTGGCGGCTCCAGAGGTGGCTTTGGTGGTCGTGGCGGTTCCAGAGGTGGTTTTGGTGGCCGTGGTGGTAGAAGTTAGTGTGCTTCCACAATCCCACAAGCTACTGAATAATATTTTCTCGAAGATCCATCCATTTACCACATTACAAACAAATCACGGTTTATTTGAATAACTTGTATTTGCATTCATACGGAACTTATATTACGCTGTTACATTATTTTGCCTAACACAAATTTCCTCATCTTTGTTTCCTTTCTTGGCATGATAACTCTCAATTTACATTACAAGAATTGAATTCTTTTGTACCATATAAATACTTTTTAATAGGATATTTTTTATTTAAAAATCGAAGTTTATTTTGAAATAACATCCTTCTCAACAAGACCACATAAGCATGTAAAATACATCTCAAATATTCGAATGAAGGACTTGATATGATACAAAATATTATTGAAGTAGAAAATTATGCGAATAAAACCTAAGTAAGATATACGAAAGAAATTAAAAATACGAAAATATGTTGACCTTGTATTTTTGTGAAAATGCAGTATGACTGGAGATGGTATAATCCCAATATCACAAGTAGAATTTTTTCTTTTCCTTGTCCATCTCTGGTCTGTGTTCCCATTCGGTCTCTTCTTTTATACCTCTTTGAACTCTTCTCAATTTCATTGTAAATTGTGGTCCAAGTTCTTGTAGCCCCACCTTCTCTTCATTCCTGAACACATAACGATGTCTTCTAAAAAAGATATAGTCTCTTTGATTGTGTAGTGTTATTACTTGTCTGCCTTCGAAATCTGGATTCTTTGGGAATATGGATTGGAATAATCTACCAACCGTCTTACCAAGTCGTGTTTGGAAGTTGTTCAGAATCAGTTCTGGAATATGACTGGTTGGTTTACCATGACCCACAATTTTCTTCACTTCGACAAAAGAGCTTATCTTGAAATAGAATGATGGACCTTCAGGCAGATGCATAAATGTTAAACCAGTAACTTTTTTCTTGTTTTCATTGATGATCACAATATCAGTGAAATTTCTCTTTATACAAATGTCAGTCATCTCTTTCAATGTGATACCAAACTTTCTCTTAATAAATGTGACGTTTGGCAAAATCTCAATCAAAATATTGGCAAACTCGTAGGCACTCTTCTTTGCATTAACATTGGTAGTCAATAAGATCTTAGGAGGTTCATTAGATGATGAATTAAAGAACTTCATCAAGTCATCCTCATCACCTTCAATCTCTTTACCGATAGTCTCATCGTAAACTCTCATGTTGTCAATAGTTTTCGTGACATTCTCCTTCAGTCTCTTCTCCTTCAACTCAGGATTCTCACGCTCTTCCTTCGACCTAGCATGTCTCATCTTATGACGCTCCTTGTTCTTTTGGTCTTTTATCTGAGCAAAAAGCTCTTGACGTTTGAGCTTATTCTTAATCTTTATCTCTTCTGGTGCCATCGTTGATATTGCTGTTCGTCTTCTAAGGTGCTTATGCTAATTTAGCAATGTAGCTATTCTTGTACTCAGGTGTGACTGTGGTAAATAGTCTAGATAACTGACTTATTCCAACTTTCCTAGATGCTCATCGCATCGCATCGCAATTTTGCTTCTTTTCAATTTTTTTTCAGGTGCTCATCGCACACGCACTTTGAAGCAAGAAGGACAATAATAAGCTGAGAATGGTTGTTCTCACAGAGAAGCACATAACATTTAATGCTATACAATATTGGTATTTACACCACCATAAATACTATCAAAAATTGTAGAAAAATTCAGGCTATTTTATCTAATGTTTTGCTTGTCAATATTCGAAATACATAAAGGGCAATAAAATTGATTTCTAATGTAAGAAAATAATAGTGAGTTAGAGATTAAAGGCTGGCAAATATTGTTAGTATACCAATTTATTTTTATATCAATTTGTACTTAACGCAGCTCATTTGTCTCTCCATATGTTACTTTCCATTTCTCAGATATGCAGTTGGGATTTATCTTGTTGGTTTGCTAACAAATCATAAAATTATTATTTACAAGAGCATTAAAGTAAATAGTCTATACAAAATAGAGTGTTGAAGACAAAAAAAAATTATAATATTATATTTAGAGACAGATATAAATGCTTGGTCATATGCACATTATATTATAAAAAAGAAAAGTAAGATATAATGAAAGAAACACGATTAACTCGCAATGTGGACTAGAATTCCAGATTCTAGTGACACTGTAGAAATGAAATGGTGAATCTCACATTTACTTTTGGAAGTTACCTTCGGTCTTGACCCTGTTGGTCTTACCGTTTGGAACACCTTCCTTCAGGATCAATCCAATGACTTCCTCTACCTTCTTACCCTTTCCGAATTCGTTCTCTAATTGAGCCTTTGAAGCTTCACCGAATGTACCAGTGGCACCTTTACCGTCCAAGTTAGTGAAGACTTTGAACACTTCAACAACATTGGCCAGCTTGGAAGGAGATGGCGATGCCAAATAGTCGTCAGCAGCAGCCTGCGACGTAACATATATCACCAGATCAGTCTCCTTACCCTTGTAGAAATATTGTAGCACTTCGGTAGAAGAGTTTCTTCTAGGCTTCTTCTTGGTATCATCGTGTTGATTACCGTGGAACAATTCATTCAATGACATGGTTTGAGATTACTTTTTGGTTAGCTATTTTTTAATATATATTAGATGGTTTCTAATAGTGATTTTATTAGTTTAATTTACAAGAAAGTTTAAAATTAAGAAAAGACCATTGAGTTGTGTAAATGTTGATCAATAACACCCCCTTTATATATTCAATTCTTTGGGCATTGGCAATTCTTCTACTCAAAGAGTCATTATGCCCCCCTTCTTCTTGCGTTCTTCAATGGTCAAGAGAAGCTTATAACGAGAGCCCACCCCCTTCAAATCAAATTGCGAACTTAGGCCATAATCTGGGTGGAACTGTACTGAGTAGAAGTCCAAGCCATAGTAAACTCTTGAAGCTCCCCTTCATCATACGAAATGCTAGGGTTTCAAGCTCGGTAAGGAGTTTCCTTACATGAGTTACAATGAACGGGCACAGACAACCACAATGCTTGTGGAATCCTTTCAAGGAATATGGGGGGGGGGGACAAGGACCAAGAGAAAGGCCTATTCAAATTGAGGAATCCTCAGTTCTCGCAAAAGAAAAATGGGCTTCTTGACGTAAAAGTTCTCAGTGAGAGGTGAGGGACAGGACGTAGTGCTCAAGAGACAAGAACAAAGAGAGGATGAGGTCAAAATGAGATCCTCCCCCCTTTCATCCCTTGTCTAGTCTGCTGGCCCCACCACCCCTTGCAATATCATTAGCTTATTCTTTCTCGAGAATGATCGTTTGACAATTTGGGATTCAAGATGACTTGGGAAGTAGAATGCCGGGGGTAGGGAGGTCCCGATGAACGTTAAAACAGACTAGACCTAGTGATGACGTGTGGCTCTCACTTTTGGGCCTCTATAACTTTATGTAAAAGAGATAGAAATTGTGGACAAGCCTATACTAAGCCATTTGCAATCAAGTTCTGCTGTCTTTCTGCACAGGATTGCACTTCTCCGACGGCGCGTGGCATATAGATAAACAATATATTCCATTTATTAAATTACAAGATACATATACAACAATACGGATGGTATACTCTGGCTCATTAGTAAATTCTTGTTAAGTACTGCTACATAAAATTCAGAGGATAACCATGGGAAGTAAACTTGCGGCTAATAAACTTTAACGATGTTGTTTATCATAAATATGTAAACTGAAGAATACTAGCAACACCAGCACTTCAAATTGAGCATGTGGTTGCCGTATAATAAAAAAGGGAAACAACCACTATAAATGATTCCTAGTACAATAGAAGCTGAACGACGAATACATTGCATTATCAGTACCAGATATGGTAATGAAACAAATTACGACAACATCAGCGTGTCAATTAAAAGCAAATAGTATTAAATAAAGAAGCAATTAGGAAAAAAAATCAGAAAACAAATGAAATAATTGTAGTATAATCAATAGATAACTTGGATATTTGGAAGTATTTTCTTGTCCATTTCTTTTGAGGATGAACTCTTCCTTAAAAGGTAGAATTTTTTTATTAGTAATTATTAGAAACTATTAGAAAATAAAATCACGAAAATATTATCAAGCAAAACCTTACCGATGATCTTATCAATAAGAAACTCTATCATCAAATTTCTTTTGACTAAAACGATTGGAAATTATAATATCAACACCGCAATCATGCACATGACATCAATTGAAATAAAAATTTCATTAACAAATATTGGGACTTTGTAAGCACAACAATGGAAATCAGAAAAAAATAAAAATAAAAGTGAAAATGAAATCAAAGGGAAAAAACAAATCAAAACAAAATAATAATTAATAGGATACCAGCCAATAAAATGTATAATGTGATAATCATAGAAAACATGATTAATAAACAAATAAGGATTAAAAACTCAATGGGCTAATTCACAGGAAAAAAAAATAACAAAACAAATCGAAGCCAGCACTAGATATATGAGACTCCCCCTTATTATTCAAACAAAGGAAAAGCTAGCCGTACCCGAATTCAGACGTTCTAGTGCTGCCGTTGTATTATTCACAGATAAATCATTAGTAACACTCAAATTTGGCATGCCGTTATTTACAATAGGTTGATTGCCAATTTGGTTATAAGCGTAAAGATCTCTTGAAGGTAAAACATTAACATAGTTTAAGTTTTCCCGTCCAGGTAGTAAGTCATAACCGTTAAGATTTTGTTCTTCAGGTTGATAAATATCAGACAGCATGTTTTGACTAGTACTCAAACCAGAGCCATTATTTAAGTTGACAGGCGAGTATCCGTATAGTAAAGGTTGCTGTTGTTGCAATTGCTGTTGCTGTTGCTGTTGCTGCTGTTGCAATTGCAACTGTGACTGCAGTGGTTGGCCTTGTTGTGGCAATTGTTGCTGATAATTCGTTTCGCGACTCCTTAACAATGCCTTTTGAATCAAAGCAGTTTTCTTAGCGGATCTACCCCAAGAAAGTCTGACTCTTGAATTTGCAATAGGGAACCCTTGCATTTTCGTAATAGCAGTCTCTGCAGATGATCTTTCCACATACTGAACAAATCCACATCCCTTTCCTGCAGGAATCTTAACGTAAATAATAGTGCCGAAGGGCTCGAAGTAAGAACGCAATTCATCTTCAGTAACCAAAGGAGACAACCCTCCAACAAATACAGTTGTATTATTAGGATCAGTGAAGTGATTTAAGACAGGCTGCTGTGGTGTTGCGTTAACAAACTGCTGCGGTAATTGACCATTTAGAGATCTAGACTGTTGTCCTAATCCGTTTGAGATATTGTCATTGGCCATTCTCTGGTTATTGTAATTACTGTTGCTGTTGTTATTATTGTTACCACCTGCAATACCAATCTTGATGGCTCTACCATTCAGGAAACAGCCTTGCATTTCAACCAGCGCTCTTTGCTGATCCATGCTGCTCTTGAACTTAACAAACCCGTAACCCTTCGAGATTCCGGTAAGTTGGTCGTACATGACCTTGGCATGAACAGTGGATGGATATTTGTTGATAAACAAGTCGAATAGCTGTGCCTCAGTGACACTTGGTGCTAGGTCACCCACGAATATGGAGTTGTTGGTTTGCTGGTTTGCAACGGCACCGTTTGCCACGGAGGCACCGCTGCCGTTGTTCACAGACTGCGCAGACCAGTTCAACTTGAGCTTCTTGTGCACAAACCCAGGGATCTCCATGCCGTTCTTCATTAACGCGTTGGACGCATGCGCGGGCGACGGAAATTCTACAAAACAGTATCCGAGATTCTTTCTGTGGAAATCAGCATCGCCGCCCCACATCATCCTCACCCCGATGTTCTCCTCACCGAGCGCAGCCCAGATACCTTTCACCACGGCTTCGTCCCAGCTGGGATCCAAGTCGCCCATATACAGCTGACTTCCCGGCGTTGACGCGCCTGTGCTCATTCCACCATTCATTCCACCATTCATTCCAGTGTTCATTCCAGTGTTCATGCCAGTGTTCATGCCAGTGTTCATGCCAGTGTTCATGCCAGTGTTCATGCCAGCGTTCATACTCATTGGTGATACAGAAACAGGACTCATTTGCGCTCCTGCTGCGCTAGCGCCCATAGTACCAGCGGCACTCCCGTACCGGTACGCATCCTCCATGTACCTGTTGTAAGACATTTGATCCGGCCAAATGACTCCCTGCTCGTGAACGTTTCTGGTTGGGGGAGGGGAAGACCACAGCCAAGAAAAAATTCCTGTGGCCTATTTATACTCCTGGAAAATTTTAAGCTCGCCAGGACGCAAGAGTCCCGCTGTGTGCAGCCCTTTCCACTCCCCCCCCAGAGATCCCAGAGATCCCAGAGATCCCAGAGAGGGCCCTAGAGAGGGCCCTGGAGAAGCCCTAGAGAAGCCCTAGAGAAGCCCTAGAAAAGCCCTAGAGGAGGCCCGCAGTGGAAAATGGCTGCTGGAAATCGACAGCCACAGACAACCGCGCAGAGAGCAATTGAAAGAGAGCAACAACAAGCAAAACTCAATCTCCACAGAAGAGGTCGTAGAGTACTTAGCGACACATTCTTTTTTCGTTCTCCCTCTCTTCCCACAGAAACCACCGCACCAACTGCTGCATCTCACCACTTCCCCCTGGGTTCTTCTGAGATCTAGTGGCGGGGGGAGTGGGAAAGGGGAATTTCAATCACGTGTGTACGTATAACATGCTTTGTATAGCCGAGTGTAATAGTAGCCTGGGAAACTGGGGAGCCTTGGGGAGGAAGTAGTAATGCTATGTGTGTTTATTGATTAGATTTAGCGCTATAGAGAGTATATAGGGGGGGGAAGGCTCTTATATATGCTATATTATCTTCTATCGTATGCTCTTCTTTAGGTACTTGCCTTGTCTTAAGGTGCGTGGTCTGCGTTGGTGTTGGAGCTGGTGTTGGAGCTGGGGCGGGTGTGTATTTGGGTGCTGGTGCTGTTGGAGCTGGTGCTGGCTCTTCTGCTCCTCGTCCTGTGCGAAGGTGATGTCTGGCTGCATGGACTGCGGGGATATGAGGAATCCCGAGCGCATGCGGTCCATGGGAGAGAGGAAGTACTTGCTGGCGTCAAAGGGTTCCATGAAAGTGGAGTAGAACTCGTCATCGGTGCTGATCATGCTTGAGGTGTTGCCCTCTGTCCCTGCGGGTAGTACTATGTCCAGTGCTGATTCAATGCTGTGGTTGTCGTAATCGTCGTGATCGCTGCCACTGGTGCGGCCCGCGATGTTGTAGTCGTCCTTGTCATATGTTTCTGCGCTCGCTAAGCCATCGTCAAACTGGCTGCCGGACCTTTGCGTGTGCGCTACCGAAACACCCGAGCGGATGGTCTCCTCGTTGGAGCTCGTCGTGTACTCATGGAAACTGTCCTTCTGCTCGACCTGTGTGCCCATACGAGACGCAGAATTAGTAGGACTGCCTCGGTCAGGATCTTGTTCTGGTTTGAACTGCGGGGGCGGTGGTGACGGAGGAGGCGGCGGTCTCGATTGCAATATCCCAGGATCGCTGCCATCATCTGTGCTTTGCAAGGCGCTGTTGTCACTGCTGCTACTGCTTGCTGTGCTTCTCCCTGTGTTCCTCGCAGAATAGCCACAACTACATCTCAAGGGACCCTCAACTTGAATTGACGCATGGGGGTCCTCTTCTTTTTCTATGAGATTATCAGGTGAACTTTGCTTTATATCGGCGTTGAGGTTCACCGCTGGTGTGTTCCTCTGTTTGCACATGTATTCTTTACTACCCATATTACTAATATAGTATTGTACACCCTCGAAGAACCCCGTGGTGGGATCAATTAGAGCCGGCATAAATTGCTGTTTCGATATATTCACAGTTTCATTATCTTTAGGCGGTACTTGCGACGTCTTAGAAACAGCACGATCATTGCTTGGTTTCATGTTACGCAAATCGGCATGCTGGGTATGCGGAGTTGTATCCGAGGATGGTATAGGTGTATGCACACTAGAATATGATTGATTCGATGCTGCATATTTTTGGCTACTCGTTTCAACTGTGTCTTGCGATGAAGAAAGATTAACACCAAGGTCGTTAGGGTTTCCAGTAACACGTTGATTAGAATTTGGAGCTCTATTGACATCAATTGGTGTACTGAAAACATCACTGAATATAATCCTTGATCTTAGAACGAAATAATTACGTGCCTGTTGAAACACCGATCCTGCAATAGAACGATTGTATTTGAATGTCAGTGCTGGCTCGCGAACTGCCCTAGTTGTTATCAATTGGTTCATGCCGTTAGATTCTCTTTTCAGATCTCTTTCTAACGCATCTGATATTAGCTTGTCATGCGGTACACTGAACCAATAAAATACCTTTTGTTTTTTTTGCGTTTTAACACACATATTTTTATATAGAAAGTCTAGGAATGGAGACTTTGGTTGTTCCAAAGAGGCATGCTCACCTATCTTCAAACACCTTAAGTCAGAAAATATCCCTTCTTCAAACTTCTTCTTCTGCAAAACAACCCGTCCAAATAACAGCATCTTGTATATACAGATTTTGATTATATCTGTGCCTGTGATGTAGAATATATTGTCCCAAAAGACACACGATATGTAGCCTAACTCTTCGTTTAGGAAATAACGTCTAATAACTTGGCCCGGTTGCCAATTTACAGGTGCGGTGGCTAAGAAATATGTCAGCTCATCTATACTTTTCAATGCATTGCCTATTACTGCACGGTCATCGCTTGCCATCATTGCACAAATTGCTTTCTGAGAATGGACTTGTTAAAACTTTTTCTCAATTGAAATAGAGCACAACCTCGAGAATTATATTGAAATTTGGACCCTTAATATGTCTCTATGATCAAAAATGTCTGTGTATTCAGTTAGACTTTTAGTAAAATTTTTTTGTCTCCCCGTCTCTGTATCTTAACAATTGGTTGCCAATGGTTTTTAAAACAAGGCCCAAGGCACTAGATCTGAGAGTTCTCTCCTTCTTAACTTGTTGGCAACTTCTGCTTGCAACCTACTTAAAACAATGCCAATAAGACAGTCAACTCAAGATGACTGAACCGTAATATGCTTCTTTTAAGCGTTACTTTTAAATTTCTTGCTTGTTCGCTTTTTTCTTTTTTATGTCAAAATTTCAGAAGCAAACTGCGCTATAATGTTAACAGAACTATACGTTTCGAAAGTTATGGCTTTTGGTTTTCAGGTAACTAGTTCTGGAGACTAATGCTATATCCAATAAGTCTAGAATTCCTTTTGAATTGTAGCTGTGACACTGGCCTATTTCTTTTTCTTTTACAATGGATTAACAGCCAGTCCAATAAAAATTAATAACACAAACACTACCTTTGAAGTTCAAAGAATATTTGAATGCAAAAAATAATAATACAACCTGTAATGAAACCTTTAATGAGAGATATTCTGTTATGATACCGATACACTGATTAGAAAACGCGATTTCTATTTTTACCAGGAATATGTATTGGCTTGAAAGCTGTCGGCAAATAAATCAATTGAATGAATGAAAAAATTATTATCTTTAGGAATACAAGTAATCTAACGGAATTTTAGCTATCTTCAGTAATACTAATGAGCAATACAATCACTAGCTCGATACTGCTTTTGAAAACCCTTATTTGAGATCAATGCTTCTTTCGACAATATTAAACTATAGGTTCAAAAACTGGAATGAATGCCAAAAATAAAATACTGAAATCCACACAAGTTACAATATAAGTTGAAACCTCTAACTGAAACTTTTCTTATTCAAATTCAAAACGTTTAGGGTGGTGAATAGAGATCAACTGTGAAACCTTTGGTAAATATACTCTTGCTTATTGATGTGAGAAAGTAAATGAAATAGAGATTTAGTTTGAATAGGCAAAAAACAACAACAACAATGTTAATTTGAGAAAATAATCAAAAAATTGCTAACAATAGAATTAACAATGCAGGCAATAGAGAAGGATAATAAGAAGTAACAAATTAAAATATAACAACTTTAGGAAAAAAAAAAAGATTTGATGCTGAGGATAATGGTATCAGGTTTATAAGAAGAATGAAATATAGTAATATCATATAAGAATTACATGATCGCATTATTTTAAAATAGATATTGGTGAGAATTGTATTACTCGTCACCCAAAAACGGGCAATACGAAGTCCCCTTTCGCTTCTTTGACTTAATTGGAACCAATTATGCATGCACCGGGACTTAATTCATCTACACCTTTTTCTGTACATCTTTGGATTACGCCATAGTTCTTTTGATTCCATAAGCATAGCACCCTTATTACTACGATCATTGTCTTTAATAAATTTTCTTGTTAGGGTGGCTAGTCTATACAAAATCGTAGATATATCTGTGTCATTGCATAGTAAAGCATCGATCGGATATACAGGAAATAAGGACATGAAGCATTAAATCAGCAAAAAAGTACTAATTAAAAGTGAATTGTACAACCACGGATCAAGTAGTGCTAGGACACGCTTCTGCATAGAATTGCGAGAGAACAACGATCATTTGCCATCCATGTCAAATAAATCCTCAAGGGACAGATGAGCTAACAGCAGCGACCCACTTTCATATAATGTCTCTTTTGTCCTAAACTAGCATTCTTTATAAACCAGGTGAAGAAATAAAGTAGGAAAAAAATGCGAAAGAAAAAAAAGTCTTGTATTTTGCCAATCCCATTCGGCAGCAAAGTGGGTGACCAGTACGAGTAAGACACTATCTGATTGTTTCATCTCCATTGCATATCTAGAACGAACGTACTGCCATCGTTTGATGGAGGGAGGCAATCTAATCAATATACAGAAGGTTGTTATTGAAAAAAAACAAACAAACAATAAAATAAAAGGAAACCCTTGCAAATTGATGGGCTACTACCGAAACAGAATACGCTGCAAGCATGCTTAGTTTTGACATAGTATAGCACGTAATAGTAAGGAAATAGTTTACATTATAAGCGTGGGATGAAATATGTGTTTAGGCTATACATTATCAGCGTGAATATCTTCCTCGTGAACTGATGGCCCCCGCTCCCGCCCCCACTTCTCTGGAAATGGATGAAATAAGACGCTTATTCAAGTTTATTTTTAGATTGGGCCAAAAAGAATGCTAGTGTAGTCTTGAGATACTCCTTTCTCATTTGCTATACTTTTGGTCAATTGTCTCAAGTACAAAGAGCGGGTTCTCATTCTCGTTGCAAAACCGGGTTTAATGCTTAAAAGCCAATCGACAATCCAAGTTATTGTCTCAGCTGGGAAGATTAGTTGGAACAATCTTGTTTTCGTTCGTTATCTCTCAGAGATGATTTGTCTCACAGTAGGATAACAAAACCGCGTAGTTAATAGCGATCATATTCTAGGAGTATTGTCACCATTGTGCTCAGAAAAGAAAAAAACTGAAAAGAGGGAAATACAAGTCAGTGAATGAGTCCTACAGAAGAAAAGAGCAAAGACAATGCGAAGCCGTTCCTAGACCTATCTTGTCTTAGTTTATCTCAGCACCAAAGGTCCAGTACGCAACTTGTCTCCTATAGGACCCCCCCTCCCAAGGAAAATCGAGAACCCCGTCATGGGGATCGGCTACAAAACATCTATCCAGTGGGAATACACAGGGTCCTCTTTTGTAACATGACGAATGGGGACCAAACCTCCCAGCCCGTTAAAAGACGAGTTTTTGCTTGTTCTTACTTTTGCATTGTTAGCTGCAAAGACAAATTATCCCAAGACATTGACATAAGAAGATCCTTTGTTTCTCGAAAGAGGTATCTTTAGGACAAAAAATAGAAATCGCTCTCAGAAGCACTCGCACAAATGGAAATGTTTTCTTTTGTGCTTCTTCCAAGCTGCATCACCGTCGAGAAGATCGAAAAATCCGAGCTGCAAAGATGATGAAAAATAATAATAACATGTAAATCCTTAGAAACAATCGGAGGATTTGTAGGGAAGAGGAACTGTTGTGGCGAGGATAGTCATACAGTGCAGTAGAATTGCTAAGCAACTTCAGTTTCCAATTGTGCCCCACCAAGTTCTTGCCGGTTGATCGTATAAGGCCTGCACTCAGCTAGAAAATGGAACTACCCATTGTTCTCCCAAACAGAAAGTAATGCAGAGATGTGTTGTGGTGTTCAAACCACGGTTGAATAAACCATAATGAATATCAGATCGGATTTAATTCACTATTGAAATGCTGAAAAAAAAACCAAGTTAATAAAACTAGAAACAGATTAGACAAGTATATGGCAAGGAATAAGTAAAAAAAAAAAGAAAAAAAAATGTATATGACAATAGAGGGAAAAGGTGTGTGTAACAAAAAAAAAAGTGGACAAGTCAGATCGCTCCTATGCCTCGTTTGCCAATGACATCGATGAATGGATAAAATATTTCCAACTGTGTTGAGAAAAGCAAACCAAGTATAGATTCTGACGAGTGCCGCTGCCCTGTGTTTCAGGGGATGCGGTCAACTATCATACTCTCCTAGTAGCTAATGGATCATCGACCCTGCGCAGATGCCATTCTATTTTTAAAACAGCAAGCCAGAAAAGACAATGCTGTCACAAAATATCCCTATTTTATCTTTGCCTATCCCAGTCATGTTTAGTAATCTCAATAGAGAACAATGGAACTTGATTGATTTAACCACTCAAAATACCCTATCTTACACAAACCCATCAGAATCGAAATAGAAATCATATAGCAAGAACAACAACAATGATATGCTATGATCTTCTTCCGATTATGATTTGCCAAAATAAATGTTAATTTGAAATCACAGATAGTGGAAAAATTGATATACATAGGTGTGCTCATAAAGCTCCGATCACTAACAAGAAAGGCAGGATTTCAGTGCCTATTACGCTTGGTCTTTGATCCATGCAGCGATTCTTATTCTACTCAATTAAACATCCTCTTGCGAACTAGTCGATCAATGGTCCTAATCCAGCCTCATACAAAGTCTTTCACAATTGTTGTGCTATCATCAAGTAGTTTTGAACACTCTGCTCGCAAAAACTCACCGAAACTAGGGAGGTGTAGAAGAGCTAAAACATAGCTTGCAACCTTTAACCTTAGATAATCACTGAATTTATCATGTGTACTTTGTAATAACAATAAAATATCTTTAGCCATAGCCAGTTGCTTTTCTAAATCAGAAGGAGAGGGGGTATAAATTTGTCCTAGGGACAAAGAGGATATTTGCGGATGTCTTGTGAAAAAGCGGTTCCTTTTACTCAGTGTATGAAGTGTGTCAGGCGAACATCCATATGTCTCGTACACTAGATTATTATGTATTGTGCAAAGGAGAAATGCATCATAAACGGTTGTATCCAACAAATTCCCGATAGCAAGTTCAGCAGATTCCAATTTAGAATCTAAAATTATCATGATGGAATCCATAGACCTCACATATCTTTTTATATTTTTAGATTGGCCATTCATCGTAGTTTCTATCAAGATTGGGAGCCTTTCATCTTTATGGGCTTTTTCCGATAAAATGACAACTTTATTTCCGGGTTTTCTAATACCAGCGACATCTGTTGTAAAATGAGAGTCAAGTGTAGATTCTGCATCCAACTTCGGCTGGTTTTTCTTTTCATTGTTACCCTCTTCAAATTTGGTAGGTAATCTTAAATTATTCTTTTTACAGAGTGATAGCTGGGCATAAAGACACAACGGATCTCTTGCTAACATAACATCTGTACCGCCTATCTCGAAACCATGCACGCTGTACACACCCAGTTGAAAATTATCATTACCGCTATTGTCGTTTTTCGAATTCCCACCATCATATTCAGGATTGTGCATACTACTTTTGACATCGCGGAACTCAAAACATCGGTTAACAGTGTCTGAATAAGCAATTGCCTTACTTTGCGGTATGGTTTGGTATTGAACCACTGGGAATCTATCAAACACCCACTTTACTGGAGTAGGAACTTTCATTGTTGTGCTTGACATATAATTGAAGCAACTTACAGGCCTTACTTGGAATATATGCCTTCAGTTTTTGCGATTTCGTAATTTAATATTTGATACAAAACACCGATTTATAGCAAAATGAACTCAACGCAATTTTCGCTGTATTTTTTTTTCTCGAATTATAATAAGGTCAATCAGTTCAAATTAATCTCAAATAAAGCCACTACAAAATTGTTAGAATGAGCTTACTAATACTTCAGACACAAATGTTTACTCAAGCAAAATTTGTAGATCGAAAAGCCTTAAATTGCTGACCTGACAGTTTTCGTTTATTAACAACAAATTTGCAAATTAATTCAATTGATCAACAGACGGTATGCCTTCTTTCACTGGTTTATTCAATATTCAAAGGAAAATTCTCAATTCTTTATAGCGAGGTACCCCCCACCTGATAAGTAAAGTTTATTGTAGGTTCGTATTCGTGGTTTCCTAGCAACCAAATATACGATAGACAATTGATTCTGTGCAAATAACTTTCTTAGCCAATAACTGATAGCTTATTGGATGATTAAAATGTAACGCAACTGCTTACAACTGCTAATCCAATAATGCCTTCAAATAGAACTTCGGAATCAATAGAGTGGGACTAAGTCAATCAACACTATAATAGATACTCGAATTACTTCATTAATTTTTAAATCAAATAATTCTCAACTATAGCACTGCCTGCAACCTGAATTGCTCCATATCGAATTGATAATAGTCTTGCTATTTTGAATTCTCATCGAATTCCTTAAGCTATGAAATTGCTGTGGTAAGCCTTAAAGGTGAGCTTTAGTATAATATGAAACGTAAAAGTCACATGTAAAATATATTAACTGAATATACACAATACGCTAGCAATTCATACATCACAATGATCCCACATTGTGACATGGTTCCTTTTTGTGTAATATACTTAGGGTAAATTTATATTATGCCATGGCTAAATGTATACGAATAAATGCTCTATCATATGAATATACCTGGGTCAGAAGCTGACAAGATAATAATCGAAGGACTGGTAAACGTGAACTTTCAAAGATATTTTTATGGTTTATCAGATAGGTCTAGGAATTGATTAGATCAGTGGCATTATTCCATGAGAAGTGAAACTACTCACATTAACGCTGATATAGTATGCTTATCCAACTAAAAAAATGCATAGTGGAAAAAATCGTAATGTTTTGGTTCTATCTTTAATTCCCACCTTTGCTCTTGCTTTTGGCCTTCTTGTCTTTCTTGTCTTTCTTGTCTTTCTTGTCTTTCTTGTCTTTCTTGTCTTTCTTGTCTTTCTTGTCTTTCTTAGCTTTCTTGTCTTTCTTAGCTTTCTTGTCTTTCTTAGCTTTCTTATCCTTTTTATGTTTCTTACTTACCTTGTAATCTTCATCGTATTTTCTTTTCTTTGATACCTTGAATGAATCAGATACCACCGTTACAGTCTTGCTCTCCTTCAAGTCCGGCTTTTCATCTATGGTTCCTTTAAGTCCAGTACCCTTTACAAACCATTGATAGAGCGGTGAGCTACTTTTCGGTACCCCTGATGCAACTACTGAATTCTGCTTAAACACAATCTCACCATCAGAGTTAGAGTCCGTTGAAACATCTAAATTCTTCAACTGACCATCAAATAAACGCTCCCACCATGCCTCACCGTCATTGTGCCCAACAGCACCCCCGAGACCCTTCTTGTCCCTCTTATGCTTCACCAATATCGGTTTCTTTAATGATCCTTTCCGAAGGCCCTCACCTTCTTGCCATCCATATGACTTTAAGTAACTCTTACCATCCATTGCTTCACAATAGATTATATCTGGTATTCCAAATGGCTAAGACAAATCCAAAATTTCAGACAAATTCAAAACCAATACCTTGTACTTAAACAGATATTAAACTAATAAAACCGTCTTGAAATGCTTTACTGATAATACTCACTTTAGTATTGAAGCTCATCGCATCGCATCGCTTTTGAAAATTTGTCAAAATATCGCTGAAATTTTTCAGTCTATGCCATATATAGGCTGATGAGACTAATTTCTACAAATTTTGGCATTCTGAAGAGCATGATATGTACAAGCTAGACCAATTCTGATATATGCCATACCCTTGTTATCATTTACTGTGAGTTGAAATTATTGCTAATGGGAACTCAACATGGAAATCATAGTGGTCCCAAGAGGTCGCCGAAGAGAATAAGGGAAAGGTGTACGGTTTTAGTAGAGAATGTTCCCAAGAGTTATAACCAAGGTAAGATAAAGAAGTTCTTCAAGGATTGTGGTGATGTATTGCAGGTCAATAGCTATGAATCCTGGAGAGAAGGCAACCGTTGCCAAATGGCTCGAGTTGAGTTTGCCGACGAGGATGGGGCACGCAGTGCATTGACTAGGACGTTAAGAAACATGGGTAGTAACACTATAGAAGTAAATGAACTGAAGGACTCCACTGTCTGGATGACCAATTATCCACCAACTTTCCAACAAAGAGATATTAGGAATATATTCAAGGACCATAAAATTGTTGCGTTAAACGTACGGTTGCCTTCACTAAGATTTAATTCTAACAGAAGATTTGCATATGTAGATTTGCCAAATATGGAAAGCCTGGACAAGGCAATTCAACTATTAAATGGCAAGGATATTAATGGATATAAATTGGTGGTAAAGAAGTCAAATCCCGAGAATAGGGACAAGAGGTCCGATGCACCAGTCCTTGAAAGAAGAGAGATAATAATACGGAATCTTCCTAAAACAATGCTTGTAAAAGATACTCTTCTGGATATTTTTAAAAAATATGGAGCTATTGATGATTTACGAATTCCAAAAAAGCAGCTTGAAATGCTCTCAGATCTAAACCATGGTTGCGCTTTTGTTGTATACACAAATCCCGAGGACGCTAAATCTGCATTGGAAATGAACAATCATGTTATTGATGATATAAAAATATCTGTTAACCTATCTGATTCTCATGCGTACCTTGAGAGAAAGGAGGTGAATCGAATCATAAATAGTAAGCACACTGAAAAATATGCTGCCATTTATCCTATATCGGACAAAACTTCTAAGGAACAAATAAGAAATTTTATAAACGATAAAAATGCTGTTTTAGTTGAAGAACTAAAGAATATTTATCTTGTTACTGATTACAAAGCGGTGTTCCTGAAATTTGAAAGAGAGTCTACAGCGGCTAAAGCTATGCTTCAGTTAAACAATAGCACATTTGATAGGAAAACAATTAAATGTACGACCATCAGAGAGTTGATGAATTTTAGTTCAGTAAATACCAACTAAGTCATATTTATTAACATGCGTTCAAAACCAAACTAAATATATAGCATCAAAAAAAGATAACTATGTAATTCAAACATAGTACCATTTATTTACATGATCTGGAACAGGAGTATCTGGCAAACGGTCATCTTTTACTGAGATTGATGTACCTTTCCTTTCTGTTGTGGGAAGTAAAATGTTAGGGGATGCCGATATCTTTCCAGCAACCAATCCTTTCCATTCCTGATGACATTGTTCAATTGTCTTCATTGTCTTGTCATAATCTTGAAACTCACCATTGAAAGCAAATTCATTTACTGGCTTACCTGTAGGAACTTTATAATTCTTAAACCAATACCTTGTGGCATCCAACAATCCAGGACAATATTTCTCTACATCCGCCAGATTGTTAATTTTCTCATGCATAGGATCCTCTGTATTTATGACCATGATTTTCCAATCTAGTTCACCGTCGTCTACCAGTGCAAGAGATCCAAGTACTTTTACCGTTTTTATATCTCCCATCTTAAGCACCGTCGACCCAATATCGCAACAGTCCAATGGATCATTGTCACCAAATAAGGGCTCTTTGACTCCAGGTAATGAAGATGAAGAAGTAACATTTTCCCAAGTTTGAGGAATTGCACCATAATTATGGATGTATCCGTGGTATGGGAATATATTATTTACAAATCTGACTTTTCCCTTCTTAACATCTTGTGTAATCGGATTCAGCTTTAATTCTTTGGATATTTCAAACTTACCACTACTCCACCTGGGAACCTCAACAACCATATTTACATAGCACTTGTCCTTTTGTATTCCAATGGGTACATCATGGAAATACGAACCGACACTCCCATCCTCTAGTTTCAGGTACTGTCTGTATGTGGTAGAATACTTAGAACCTTGTCTAATGCTACCATAGGCTCTTCGGCATTGATTTATGAGAGCCAATTTTTTGAAAGCCATTTTGTAGCATTGCATTTTGTGGATATAGATACAGGATGTGCCCAAAAGCTACTGTTAATTCGATCTTCAGACATCTTCTATAGATCAGTACATCTCCTCCTAATGGATCAGGCAGTCTCTTTGAACCTTCTAAATGTCCACTTCTTGATAACACAACGATTGGTCACATGGTTTATACAGCATAATCATAGTTAGAGAGGAATAGGATATTACTTAAAAGTCTATTGATATATTAAAGTCTTTGATATATTATGGTCAATACAATACTAAATACCATTAGTATCATTAAAAATTAATAGTACTAGGCTAATGTTACAAGATAAATGTGTAATATAGTTGCAAAAAAGAATGAAAATTAGATGATGTTTTATGACAATGGTATGGTTAATGCTGTGTGGTAAAGAACTGAGTTTTACAATTCTATTACAATTCTTCAGGGGTTTCAAATGGGTTTTCTGAGTGAGACTCTTGCTTGGATAGATGCGATATCTTTTCCTCTACAAGGCCTTCCTTTGGAGGATTGCCTAAAATTGTGATTTTACCATCTTCATTTATTACAGCACCCTCATCTGAAGCCTGTATAACACTAGCTATGTCATCAATCAAATACGTTGAGATACCATGAGGATCTCTAGGTAGCCACAGGACGGGTAGTTCTGCACTCACAGCTGGGAAGTTATATGCATTTCTTATATCATCTTCATCTTTCAATTCATCGGGATCCTCAAGGTTATAGATTTCTGGAATTCTGTGTTTAACAGCCTTGAAGGACAAAAAGATATGTGGAAGGAAAAATCTCTTCCATGATGAAACTTGTGGAATTTTCTTTACATGACCATCAGCAAGTAATTCGGTCGTATCCAATACATTGATATCCTTTCTTGGCGAACTAGTCCTTATTGGTGCATCTTCGTTCTCCAATGTGTTATCACTGTGGAAGCTATCCCTGTAACTAACATCCTTTGCCAGTGGTGATGAAGATGCATACCCAGAGCTCTTGAGCGCTAAATGGGCCCTCGAAGATCCAAATAATTTATGAGGTTCATGATTTTCTTCAATTGGAGCACAAGAGCTTTGCTGGTAGATGTTTTTATAGGATGGGGTGTCACTGATACCATCTGATGATTTCATTGTATCCACAGGGACAACTCTCATTAATTTATCAAAGGTCTTGTTGAAATATAAATGTATGATGGTGGTGACTGCCAGACCAATGGCCTGCAATACGATAGGTCCCCAACCCTTACCAACAGCAAATAGACCTAACAGACAAATTTGACCAATATACAAACCAACGATAGTCTGATACATTGCTCTAGGATAATGAACACCTCTAGCATCTGATGCTTCTTGCCAAACATAGGTTAAGTTGTAGAGGTAAGCAATGTACAATAATAGGAAGCCACAAGCACCGAATAAAAGAATAATTGGAGAAATAATAGCATATGAGAAGACGATTACAGCTAAATTGGTATAGATCGGAAAAGTTGTACCCCAATCAACACTACCTAAGGTGGTAAATCTGGTCCATTTCTTTCTTGGAGTTTTATCTAGCAAATATCCCAAGGCATAAAACATTGCCAAAGGAGAAATCTGTAATAGGGAACCAGACGCAATAGACATACCCTGAAGAATAATATAGGCAATAAAAAAGTTCGATGCTTTTGGCAGATTTTCAGCCAGCAATCTCATTGCACTTGTAGGTTCTTCAACAATTTGTGTAACAGTAGAAGTGGCAGCCGATGTAATTGTCGTAACTAAGAAGACTTGAATGACCTGAAAGGCGAAATATGATTGCTGTGTGAAGTATTCAACTTGCTGAGACGAAGTAGCACCCTGAATCTTAGCCATACCTCTGATAAACATTGGCAACAACATCATTAACAGTGACAATGCAACTGTTGGTGCTAAAGAGGTTAGTAAACCAAGCAGGACATCCGGTAAATGATAGATGAATCTCAGCCAATGTAATTTGTTTGTTAGATATGTAATATTAGAAATCATACCAACGAATGCAACAGGAATAGCCCATAAAATGACAAGGGCAATGATAGCGCCGACAGAACCCAGCTCTCTGACCATACGTTCCCACCAGAATAGTCTCAGATTGAACCAAACAACGTTCTTTGGCTCGATACCAACGTAGGCCGGGGACATATACAATGGCGCATGATAGGCTCTAATTTGTAAGGCGATTTGTGCTTGGTACTGGGACTCAAATTCAATGAAGATAGAGTTTAATGTCTTCTCGTCTTCATGACATGACTGCAATTCTTTAACCTCATCATCAAGCTTTTTAATTTCTTCTTTCAAATAATCAATGGAATCGACTTTTTTGCCGATGAAACGAGTAGTTCTATGAGTTGGGCGCAGTTTCTTATCTGTTACCAAAGAATGAATATCAAGTTGACCGTCTTTATTTTTTTTCAACTGCTTTAAACATTTCTTTAGGAATGCAATTTCAGTGCTCTCTAGAGTCATTGCCAATTTTTCTCTTTCTTCAACTTTCTTTGGTAAGTCACCTTGGGTTCTAGCGATCCATATATTCTTGACACCTTCAAACAGCTTACTGAACTCCTGTTCATTCAAGTATTCGCCCGGTACAGTTTGGAACAGGACAGTTCTAGAGGATAACTTGGAAGCATAACGAGGCGACGATAGAACGGCCTGTCTCAAAGAGTTGAAATACATCAACTCACGGTAGACCACAAACAGGAATGACCAGTAGAAGACCCAGCCACAGAAAACATGTGCGTAGTACCTATGCCTGTGCTTAACGTTTTGATAAGCCAATTGATTCAGACCAGTCTCATGGGCACCATTACTAGCATTAATTGGAATTAAGATAGGGAAGATGTACATTATCGAGACTGCGAAGAATGCCGCCAGGATGAACAGGTATCTCAAGAAGAAATACCCGTCCAGGCCAGCTTGCTGCAACACGAAATTATCAGATTTTTTCAATAGCGGGAGTATCCAGCTGAATATACCCGATGGCAGTGGTTCAGGTTTCTTTTCATCGTTGATCAGGTCGAATGATGATTTTGGCTCATAGATACGCTTCAATTTTAGTCTTAAGAGCACGAATGCTCCGACGAAAGCGCCAAATATAACACCATTTGTGATCAGAGCAGTGACCACTTGCTGTGTGGACGTGCTCGTTACGTGATCACTAGACATTTAGCTATATATTTGCAGGTTGTATACTAAAGCTTGGGTGATGGAAAATTCTACATGCAAGGTACCGATATTTCAAAGAGAACGTTTCATTTATAAAGAATAAAGAATTGAAAGGAAAGATAAACAAGAATTCGGTACTGCAATAGAAATAAAGATGGAAATAAAGAGACATGTAGTCCGTGTTATTATTTGGAGATTTGGGAATGGCATGGTCAGCATTTTTAAGAAAGATAAAAAAAAAGAAAAAGCATAAATGCATTATAATTAGAACTGCTTGAGTTAGCAAATATTTTGAGATGGCGGGGCGAGACCCGAGGTTGTAACCAATTGATGCATTTTCTGCTGCCCATGAAGGTACCTACCCAATTGCAAATGCCAAAAATAATTGGGAGAAAAGAAGTGAAGCCAAGGAAAAAGCACAATGGACCATCGATAATTTACACATACATGCACGGAAGGGTCCAACATACAGTGACACCGTGAATAGGGTCCCCCCCAGCCTCAGAAATTGCCTGAAAGTTAGCCAATTCTATGAATTATGGAAGAAAGAGATTAAGAGATTTTAGCCAGGATGGAAAAAAAGAAAGAATACACTTGCACAGGAACCACCGTACGAATGACTTAATTTATGTCACTTAATTTCATAGATAATTTACGATTTTCTCGATGGGGGAAGATCTGTGTCCGTGCCTAGAGAATGTCGCACTCAGTAAGGTGTTGGTTGTCTTTCTACCTTGAAATGCTGTGTCTACTGGCAGCGAAAGTTCTTATACTATTTGAATTATACGATGAGAAAGTATGGTCTGGCCCCAGCAAGACATTGTGCACTATGCAGTATGGTCTGTTTGAAATGGGTAATTGGAAGGGCGAAGTTAAAATACAAAACTGTGAGACTAAATGCAAAACTGTAAATGATATGATAATAGTGCCCAAAACAATAGCATTTATCATAGCTGTAATGGTGACGTCTCTGGATTTAACACGTTTTTATCTATCTTCAAACGCGAAAAATGGGGCTTATCGCTATTACAATTGTGTAGACTGGTCTTTACTTAATTTGACAGTACAATAGACACGCACTGATTATGTCCACTCGGGCAGACTTTTTGCACCGGAGAACAAAGAAATTGGCCAAAACGCGAAAAAACCATACATATCATTGTTCACGATTATTCATCTACCTTTTATATCTTGATGTACGTGTATATCATATGGTGATCGTGGAGTGGAATAGACTAGCTGCCAACTAGCATGAGCAAAGCGATGAGATGAGCTGTTGAATACTCAATATAGCTGTATTTTGTGAGTCAGTGTATAACAAAGTGTGTTTCTCTTTTAAGTTAAGCGCTTCCTTAATGTTTATAATTATTATCTTTGATTACGTCTTTGAAATATCAATCTTCCTCTTAATTTCGCCATACTAAATTTGCAAAGTTTTCTGGGTAGAGCTCAGTTCGAAAAACAGTGAGTAGAAAGCTACAAACTTAGGAAACCTTTGCCAATGACTTCCTCATTAACTGAACACCAGGTCCTTGAAGAATGGAATAGCATCCCTGGTGAAGTACATGTACCGATAGTGTCTGCTGCTGAAATAACAAAACTACATATATATGACTTTGACAATACATTATTCAATTCCCCCGTGCCCAATCCACAATTATACACCAAAAGAGTAGAAAATCTACTTAGAAGTAGTCCCCACATATCTAGCTTTGGAAGCTGGTGGGACGACCCTCGACCTCTAGAGATCATTGCAAAATTAATGAACCACGATAGCGAGAGAGCTGCATTCTGGAATGAGAATCTTTTGAGATTGGCAAGGCTGTCATGGAGAGATACTAGTACTGTGTCAATTGTTCTCACAGGGAGAAAAGAAAAGAATTTTCATAGCTTATTTGGCAAATTGTTTCAAATATCAAGAGATAAATGGGCTACTGAACAGATAGCTAAAGATGATAATAAATATTCCGCCGATGATTACCTGTTTAATGCAATCTGCTTGAAGAAACAGCGCGAGGAGACCAATACCTTTGACTATAAATGCAAATGTATCTTATCATTTCTAGATAGATACCCAAACTTAGAAGAAGTAACAATTTATGATGATAGAATACATCACATTAACAAATTTAAGAATTTTTTCAACTCTCTGCTAAATACAAAGATAAAATGGATTATAGTACCAGTAGCGCCTCGATTTCATTATTTGCCAATTAGAGATGAGAATACTCTGATACCGAAGTTTGTCAACGAACAGGAACGTGCAGAGAGTGGACTAGTGCTTAATCTCTCTAGGACACCAATGCAGGTGGGCTACTTCTTAACCGTTGGATCACAAAAGAAACTTTTGCATTGGGGACTAAACTATTTACGCCAACATTTTAAAGATACAAAGGTGCAATTGTCCAATTTTGCAGAATACCCCATGTACATACCCTGTACTGCGCCTGGTAATGGTATCACAGCCAGTCAAGCTAGAAAGTGTTTCACACATTTTGATGAGATTCAGATAAGCAAAAACAATGACAACGAAAAAAGAAGTGATGAAGATATTATAAAGTATTTCTGCTCTCAAAAAACCATGCTCTCAGAATGGTCAACATCATTTAAAGTCGTGGCAATTGCTATTAGAGAAGCACCAATTCAAGCTTCTTCTCGAAAAGCTCAAAATAATAAAGCTATGGAAATTTATTACAGGACCATTCCGGTTGGTCCTAAGAAGGAGGCATGGACTTCCTGGCCAGAATTTATTATCGTCGGATACAACTATGACAAGAATATACAAGTTCAAATGGAGGAAATTAATTCAGTCTTGACGAACCCAAAAAGCTTACGCTGGCATAACGTTAAGGTAGGAATAAAGATAAAAACGTATTTTGGTTTCTTTTCAAAGAGAGATACAGACTTATGAATGCAGTTACATCATAAATTAATCATGAACTAAGACTATCTAAATAATTCTTCGTATTGTAGCTTTGCTTTGGATACCTGATGTAACAATCACCTTATCTAAAAGGAAAACACGATATTTAACAGAAATAGGTATACATACGTATGTTTCTATCTATTAAACTATTACATGTTTGCCAAGTACTTACTTTATAAGTGATGCTAGTTCTGTATCAGTTTCAAGTCGTTTCTCCATATTTTTTCTTGCTTCCCATACAAGTAATTTCTTCCTTTCATCAATTTCTAATTCTTTAATGCTCATATCAGACATATCTACGGACATATCAACGTTGAATTTCGATAAAAGATTATCAGGTCTTATGTTACTTCTTTTGCGAATGTCACTAGGCTCGTCTATATTATTATGTTGCCCATTCGCTGAGCTTTCTCTAGCAGGTGTGTAACCAGGAGGGAAAGGGAAAGATTCACCATTAAAGTATCTTTCCATTGTTTGTTCTACGGACCCAGTACTTTCCAAATCATATCTGATTTGTTCAGGATGCAGAGCTGGAATAACATTGCGGACTGTCTCTATCATTTCAGGTGTAATGTTTCTTCTACTAGTCGAAGAAACACGACGCTGTGAGCCTCTGCCATTTGAGCTACCAGCAGTTCTCTGTTGATTATTGGATGAAGAAGGAAGCTGCGTATTAGGTAACCTTTGTGCGGATGGATGTTCCTTCGGGGCTGCAAACCATTTAACAACAAATATTCCGAGTATTAAAGTAGCCACTACCACTGCTGCACTGTGCTCCATTACCGAAAACCTGTCTTGAGTGCAATATTTATAAGCTGTAATCACTTAAGTTTTGACTGTGTTGGAAAGTTGACTTCAAGGTTTGGCTTATAGTTGGTTGTCTTTATTAAATTTAAAATAGGGCCTATTCCTTGACATTTCTGGGCCAAAATGACATGATCCAGTCAGTACAATACGAACTTTTACATAATGCCGATCATAATATCGAAACTACGAAAACTCAAAAATGAATGCTGTCATCATATATTATATTATTCATTACACAATTAGAATATAAATACCGATATTTAAATTCTATATTTTTAGGAGCTTCTATGATAAACATAGGTTTATGGGGAAAAAATTCACAGTCTCAACAAAATAGCAATGGTGGGACGTATGTTTTGCTTACCCTCTAAACTCCATCTTAAACTTCTTTTTCTGGTTCCTGACCTTGTATATAAAGTTCGGTATGCATTCAGTTTCTTTTATACTGAGACTGTTAAAATGCTTCTTTATCTTTGAGGCAGCTTCAGTTTTCGTTATTCTATGTCCAGGAACTGATGATACATTTCTTTTATATGATATAGTTCTCTTCCCCAGTTCAGATCCTAACAAATAGCCTTGTAAAGTCATCTGGTCTGGCACATTCAAGCCGAAATGGTCCTTGTATGCTCGAATAAACTCCTCACTATATTGTTCAAAGTCAAGCGGATGCGGCTTTTCTTCTAATGTAGGATCATTGTTTGTTATATGTTCATTGATTAAGTCTCTGATATACTGCTGTTGTGCTGCAGTGAGTCTTTGCTTTGCATTAGACCTCGAAGATTGTGAATTGGATCCCGCACTAGTAGTGTTTGAAGCGTTCGATGATCCGGCATTACCCTGGTTATTGTTCCTCGTCTTAGTTTCAGATTCACTATTAGAGTTATTTGCTCTCGCCATTGTTGATTAGTGCTCCTTGTAATATATGTGTACAAGCTTTACAATGCTCTCTGAATTACATTAAAGGTAAATATATGGCTATTATGTCTCTTTTCATAATTTTTTGAAAACTGCTTGCTTTTTTCTTTTGCTCGGGGGGGGGGGGGGGGGGGGGGCATCGCAAATGCATGGTGAAACAAATAAGTGAACCGTTTATGTCTAATTGACCAGTGGGTAGGATCCACTCCAAATGGGATCCTTTTGCAACACCAAGAAAATACGATAGAGAGTTATATATACTTCTGTTTTGAATGAATATATATCCGGAATACGGAATAAATACGGAGTTTGTAAGTACTTTGTTGGAACAACACGTGATAATAAATATATCAACTATGATCCTTTCTATAGGTTTTGTAATGCCGTTTACTGAGCAATTGAGTGCCCATAAAATGACTCAAAGTTGGTTTGCATCAATTCTTCGTAGTTATCTATGCCCCACCTCTGGCCTATGAAGTTGTAAACTGTGCGCAGCGACATCTCCAACCGTTGTGCGTCATGCTTATTGATCTCGAAGTCTGTCTCTGGTAATATGCAAGTCTTGGGACATATGTCTAGTATGTTCTCAGTGACCGCTCTATGCTTGTCGTCTAGATTAATGTACTGTGATAAGGACACAAATATGCGCTCGTGACCAAACTTGCGTATCCACAGGGCCGTCAAAGTATCTGCAGGACCCGTATACGAGTGCAAGCAGATGTTACAAGGTGTGTTCAGCAGCTTCTTCTCGCACCTGTCCAGCAGAGAGCCATGAGCCTTGACGCCATGCAGCGACACACTTAGTCCGGTCCGCACTGCCAGATCAAGGAACCTGTCCAACACCACCCGCTGGTGGTCCATGGACACATGCCAGCGCGACAGTGTGCCGTCCCTACGCTTCACACGGAACAGCTTATCGAGTCCCACTTCACCGATGACTTGCCACCGGCCCTTGGGAAAGTGGTCCCGTATGTACTGGTCCAGGTCAATGGGGTCCGGTAACTCATCCACCAGCGACAGAAAGCCCTCATCCGCAGCATCCGCCTGCATCACCCGACTGTAATGCTCCAGCTTCCCAGGCGCATCGCCTACGTAGAACCAGTGCGAGAACCACGGGTGCACGCCAAACGCGCACACCGCATTGCCAAGACCAATCCCTACCGACAACATCTCAGCGTCCTGCGGGTTCGTACTCATCAGGCACACCCGCACGTTCCTCGCATACTCCGCACATCCGCGGCTGTCTGCGCTGCCGTCGAGATGACAGTGCGCATCCACTAGCATCTCTACCCCAATTCGGTGTCACTCAGTATCACTCGGAAACACTCGGTATCACTCGGAACACTCGGTGTTAAGTGTAAATCTTGTGCCTTACTTGCCTTCGGTGGCACTTGCATACCCTTTGCTGCACCCCCCACTCTCACTAATAACCTTGTACACCTCAAAAAAAATTAGGGAAAGGCCACCAGGACCCTAGGGCGGACCGCACTAAGGGCTAGCCGCCCGGTTTCCGCCAAGCAAAAGGTGACAATCCCCAAAACACACCACACACGATATAAAACGTGAATAATTTCAATATCACATCAAACGTCGAAGACAAGATCACTTTTGGCCAAAGAAAAACTATCCAATATAAATCGCGGGGTATTGAAAGTGTCGTACAAGTAATTGAATCATCCCTTCCACTCCCCCCTCCATCCCCCCACGTCTTTCGAGAGGATAGTCACCGCAGGGGGGGGGGACAGGTACCTCACCTAGAACACAGAGCACATTGCTGCAAAGTACATTGCACAGACTAGAGAGCGGGAGTGGGTGAGGGGGTTCAACTTCTCTAATTTAGAGGGACACATACACAGAGAGAGAGCGTAGCTGAAAGAAGGTGTCTAATATACGCTTAGATGGCGCTGTACTAGTGGCAATTAATGGAAAAGCATAGAATGTCATTACTTTTCTTATTTTGAGATCTATTCTGTACGGTGGTTTCTCTTGTGTGATTGGGAAGTATATATGTGGACCCCTTGCTAATAATGTTCTGGAAATTGGCATTGTAATATATATAAAGTATATAATCCAGTCCTTTGTTTGCTGGAAAAGGGTTTCTGTATAGCCAAGATAGACACTAAAAATCAGATAGAGCTAAACATGACTCTAATTGTTGCGTCTTTGTTCTTGCCTCACAGGCCACAGTTTGAAGTAACTGCCTCGGCTGGCGAGACACAGGAACTGATTGAGAACAACCTTGTGAAGCTGAACCCATTGGCTTCGAACGAGGCCTCTCCTCAGGCTAGACCTAACCTTGACAACTATATCAGAAACACACGCAGTGCGCTTAACGTCCCCTTTGCCCAGGGCCGCAATGTCTCCCAGGAGTCGCTTCTGTCGCTGAACAATGCGGGAAACACCTCGGGCAACATCGATGACCTGGTCTCCTCAGAGCAGTTCCTGGTCAACTTGACCGCAAACGCTACTGCTTCTGGCACACCAAACCCTTCTTACCACACAAAGGGTAACATGGGCAGGCCCAACCTCGGTGCCGGTGGCTCCGCTGAGGAGTTCTTCAGCACCTCCAATCCGCCTTCCAACAGAGGTGCGTCGCCAGTGCTGTCAATTGCCTCTGCGCCACAGGTCCAGAACAACTTGGACTCGACTTTGAACAATAGGGGCTCCCCTCCACCACAGCAACTTGACAGCCAGATGGCGGACCCAACTGCGCATCTGTTGAAGAACGTCTCCAAGTCGCTGCTGACTCAGTCGTTGCATGACTCGACGAAAGAGGCGTCTGCGCCAATGCCTAGCTCCAGTGCGAACTCGATGGGCCAGTCCCGTTACAACCACGCCAACACTTCTATCGGCACCGCAGTGACCCCTAAGTCGCGTCCGTTGCCTGGTCACTCCAACAGTAGCTCCATTATAGACTTCTCGCTAAGTAGAAACAAGCAGCATGCACCCGCGTTGCCCGCATTGAGACGTATCCAGAAGAACAAGGTCGGCTCCCCCACCAAACCTTCCCCCTTGAACACACAACCTCAATCCTCCAACTTAAAGTACTCCAAGACATTACACCAGATGCACGGCGATAGCGCTTATAACTCAGACTGGACTACTGGCGACGACAGTGATCACCTTGAAGAACACGAGGAGCCTGATAACGACGATGACTTGAGACAGGAATACCTGGTTCCTCAGTTCGGCGGCTTCTCAACTACTAGTAAGGTTAGGGAAACTCTGCTAAAGAGCTCTAGAGAGCTGTTTGCGCAGTTGCCATGGACCATTGTCAACAGCGATAAAGGGAACGGATCCTTGAAGAATGCCGTTAACACCGCTGTTAATGAAAAGACCACGAAAGAAAATGTGAAATGGGTTGGTACCATGGGGATCCCCACTGATGAAATTCCTGATGAAATCGTTGAAAACATCGCTAAAGTGATGGAAGAACAATACAACTGCGGGGCAGTTGTTACTGATGATATTACCTTCAAAGGTGCATACAAGAACTACTGTAAACAGATTTTATGGCCAACTTTGCAATATCAGATTCCTGATAATCCAAAGTCAAAGGCCTTTGAAGACCACTCATGGCAATACTACCACAGACTGAACCAACAGTTTGCTGAAAAGATTATTAATGTCTATAAGGATGGTGATATCATTTGGATTCACGATTATCATTTAATGCTGGTTCCTGGAATGGTTCGTGAAGTTTTCCCAGATGCTAAGATAGGTTTCTTCCTACACGTATCCTTCCCAAGTAGCGAAGTCTTTAGATGCTTGGCACATAGAGAAGAAATCTTGGAGGGATTGATCGGTGCCAATTCTCTAGGTTTTCAAACCAAGGAATATGCAAGACACTTCTTGCAGACATCTAATAGATTACTTGCAGCTGATGTTTCTGATGATGAGTTAAAGTATGATGGTAGAATTGTTTCTGTAAAACAAGTCCCAGTTGGTATTGATTACTTCACTTTAAGAGAGAAACTGAAAGATGAAAATGTCTTGCAATGGCGTCATCTGATTAAGGAAAGATGGCACGGTAAAAAGCTAATTGTTTGTAGGGACCAATTTGACAGAATCCGTGGACTATACAAGAAAATGTTGGCTTATGAACGGTTCTTAAAAGACAATCCTCAATACATTGAAAATGTCGTCCTGGTTCAAGTCTGTATTGGTAAAAGTACGGATCTAGAGCTGGAACGTCAAATTATGGTAGTTGTTGATAGAATCAATTCAATGTCTCCAAATATTAGTTTGATTCAGCCCGTGGTATTCTTACACCAGGAATTGGACTTCCCTCAATACCTTGCATTGAATTCTGAAGCCGATTTATTTATGGTTAATGCTCTGCGTGAAGGTATGAATTTAACCTGTCATGAATTTATTGGATGCTCATCTGATAAAAATGCACCATTAATTTTATCGGAGTTTACTGGTAGTTCTTCTGTATTGTCCGAGGGTGCTATGCTTGTGAATCCATGGGATATTAAGCAGGTAGCCGCTTGCATTAAAGAGGGTTTGGAAATGTCCAGGGAAGAAAAGAAGAGGAATTGGAAGAAAATGGTCAAGAGTGTTATAACTCATGACTCTGATAGCTGGTTCGTAAGCTGTTTACAGAACTTGAATAACTCATGGGAATTCACCAAAGAGAGATCAACTGTTTTCAATCTCAGATTTGAGACTTTCTCTGATGACTATAATGATACTAGCAAGAGATTGTTTATATTCAAGATATCTGAACCTCCAAATTCAAGAATGATATCTGTACTGAATGAACTTTCTTCCAAGAATCGTGTCTATATCATGAACTCTTTTTCAAAAGTTGTTAATGAAAGTCTATATAGTAGAGTCAACAACATTGGATTGATAGCTGAAAATGGTGCCTTCGTCAGACTAAATGGTGATTGGTATAATATTGTGGAAGATGTTAATTGGAGGGCAGAAGTTGTTAAGATCTTGGAAGATAAAGTTGAACGTCTACCTGGGTCTTATTACAAGATCGCAGACTCTATGATTAGGTTCCACACCGAAAATGCCGAGGATCAAGAACGTGTTTCAGGTGTGATCGGTGAAGCTATCACACATATTAATACTTTATTTGATGACGCAGGTATACATGCGTACTTGCACAAAAACATTGTATTTGTTCAACAAACTGGTCTATCACTAAACGCAGTCAAATTTCTTTTAAGGTATTACAATACTGCTGCTAGTGGAGACAATGTCACACCAATGATAAACTCTGAACAATCGCCACGCAGCAGAAGTGACAGTATTTCAGTATCCCAAAAACCAATCGACTTCCTTTGTATCTCTGGTTCTTCTTCACCTGTTATTGAGCCATTGTTTAAACTGGTGAAGGATCAAAGAAACTCGGGAATGCTACGTCACGGACATTCCATAGTCTATGGAGACACAACATCCTCATACGCCAGGGAGCATGTAAACGGTTCGAATGGACTATTCAATGTGCTTAACAGGTTAATGAGATCATGAAATTACTGAAACGGTCTGAAATCAAAGTATACAAATATGGTATTTCCTGTCAATAAAATGATTGAACTGCATCTATAAGAATACTAAGCTGGGTGCTTTGTTCCTGTTATTTTTTTCTACTTTTCCTATCCTATTAATCCTTTCTCATTACAATCACATTATAGATTGATTTGATAAAAGGCAGTATAAAATATATACATATACATATATATATAAATCCATTCTACAATGATTATTATCTGCAATACCGAAGAAGGCACAACTCTATTAATAATGACTTGTTAACAGTTGTATAAGTCACATGACCCAACACTTTGCAAAGACGTCATATCGCCGGAACTAAAAATTTTTCTTGAATTTCATGAGTTTCTTCACTGAGAGAGTGAAGCTTGACAAAATTACAGAGTGTATTTCAAATTGCTAATATATAATTATTGTAAGTTGACACTTGCTTCTGTGTTATTGGGAGTCAGATATAAAGAGCCAATTAAGACAAGATGGGTAAGAAGAACACAAAAGGTGGTAAGAAAGGTAGAAGAGGGAAGAACGATTCCGCTGGTCCAAAGCGTGAGCTGATCTACAAGGAAGAAGGTCAAGAGTATGCTCAAATCACCAAGATGCTGGGTAACGGTAGAGTTGAAGCCAGTTGTTTTGATGGTATTAAGAGAATGGCACATATCAGAGGTAAGTTGAGGAAAAAGGTCTGGATGGGTCAAGGTGATATTATTTTGGTTTCATTGAGAGATTTCCAAGACGACCAATGTGATGTTGTCCACAAGTACAATTTGGATGAAGCCAGAACTTTGAAGAGTCAAGGTGAATTGCCAGAGAATGCCAAGATTAACGAGACCGACAACTTCGGTTTCGAATCCGACGAAGACGCTAACTTCGAGTTCGGTAATGCTGATGAAGATGACGAAGAAGAAGAAGATGAGGAATTCGATATCGACGATATCTAATTGTACAATACAACAACACTTAATATACTGTACCACACAAAACAGAACATTTATCTTTTAAAAATACTACTTTTATTAATATAGAGTTCACAAGTATAGATATTTTTATACAGAATTAGTCATATATAATTGAAAAAAAAGATAAAACAATACAATTAAATTTTAAATTCATGTATTTGAAACCAATTTGCCATGAAGGTTTACACAGTTAGTATAACTGAAGCAATGCTATTACTATAATTACACTAGTATTACTTTCTGCTCACTTGCCAAGCAATCAATTGGTTAATTTACCCAGCACCAATTTGAAAAATTTGAGTCCCGAAAGTGCGATGAGCATCATTGAAATTTTGCGATGAGGTAGTCAGAACCAACATATACTGTAACTGTATAATAGTTCCAGCTGTTGATCCAGTACTCAATTAATTGGTTAAATTTATTTTCTTTTTCTTCACACTCAGATTATTGTCTTAGAAGCTCTAACTAAGAATAAGCCCATATTTCAAACAAGTATGCCAAACCAAGAGTTGAACTCGATCAAAGATTTTCTTTTGAAGACAAATCCATCTAAAATCAACCAGGAAAATAAAGATGATATACTCGAGACATACATCAATTATTTCACCATAGTCAAAAACGAGTTGCTTTATAGTGCATCTCTAACTGATGAAGACCGACTATTTCTCACGGACACGTTATCAATAAATATTTTAAGGTCGACTCAAACAATAAAGAACAAGAAGCTGGACACTAGCACTTTTGAAAGCCGTTTACACACAGAAATATTTACCGAAGAATTGAATAACCAAATATTTAATTATGTTGTGAATTTTTGGGCAGAAACTGGACCAGTTCAAATGAACGCGCTTAGAGACTTATTCGCTAAATTTATGGGTTTAAACAAAATAATACAGGATGATGCGTCATTTCAGGAAATGTGCCATTGTTGGTTAAAAAATATAAGTAAAATCCCAAATACTTTGAAAGTACAATATTACTTAATTGAAGCACTATCCAACGATATCGATTTATTTGAGATAATGGAAGATAAACCTGATTTTTTCCAGACATCTCTATCATTAATGAATCTGGATTCACTATCAACTCCCATTAGTAAATGTTTAGTTAGCATGCTACTGAACATATTTAAAATTCATTTACAAAGTGATAAAAGCAGGCTCAATGAATGGGTTAATTTATGGAAAGGAAGTTTACTAAAATACTTAGGAATAAAAGAGTATTCAAAGAATATTACCATATACATTTTGGAGCCATTGCTTAAAAGTATGCCAAAAGAAGCGTTTAGCATTTTGGTAGATTCTGGCTTTGAAAATAATAATCAGTTATTGTTATCAGTGATAAGATTAGGCCAAGAGTTAAATATCATAGAAGATCCATTCTTACGCAATGAGATGATTGCTATGAGCACATTGGAGGATCTACTGAAAACAAATGCTCAGAAACTTCTTACATTTCAAGTTTTAATCTATTCGAAAAAATCCTCAAAACCTATTGATCCTAGAATATATCATTTAGTTCTGCAGTCAATGAATTCGTTCTTTTTGGAAGTTGATGTTGGAATGAGAAATTATTTCTGGAGTTCTTTCAAAGGCCTTTTACTGAGAGTGAGAGATTCTACTTATGCGTTACATAGAGACGCGAATAAACTACAGAAGGCTAATAAATTTCCAGAAGAGGTGCAGCAGAAATTATCAACTGTTACGTTGGCAAGAGAATTCCTTTCTAAAGTGTATGAAATTGTAATTTTCCATCTATTACCAGGCTCCTCGTACCAATCTCACCATTTAGGGCTTAAATTTCTGAGATTATTTCTAGAGTTAGGCATTGATAAAAAGGCAACTAATTTGATAATTGAACTTCAAGATGATAGAGAATTTCCTTTTTCACTCGATATTGTAGATGATAAACATTTGCAAGATACATTACTGAGCCTTCTGATAAGTAAGTTTCCTGATATACGTGAAAGTTCCAGAAAATTGTTAGAACTGATGAATAAACCACAGAACTCCAAACTGGAACTTAATGAAAGTATGAAAAATGATATTGAAATTCAAGCCGCTATATATCTTGATCTATATCAGCATTGTGAATTGGGTGCATCTTTACACCAATATTCATATATGATATGCAATGATAAAGGAAAATACATGGATAGTTTCATTCTAAAAATAAAAAGAATGCTTTCCATACATGATTATAATAAATCAGAGTTTATCAGACAGCCTATTGGAGGATATTTCTTGGGTCTCTCTTCCTTGATGAAACAGTATTTTCTGCTACATAAGAACAAAAATGATAATCAATACTTCGAAACTTGTTTCGATCTAGTATGCACAAACTGGTCATATATGAAAGAAATCTCGAGCTATAATTCATCAAATGACATATTACCTGAGAGTTATAGAAATTGTGGGGTTAAGGATAGCATTATTACGACTCAAGCATTTCGAGCTATTAAAGAGGCTTCGGGACTTCTAGAAATTCTCATGGAAAGTTGTGAATTAGATGCAGATAATATTAGCTCAATTGGGGATATTTTGATTGATCAGCTTTTTACTGTAAGACATAGTGGTGCATTTCAAGCAGTTCTTCCTGCGTTTAAACTATGTACAGCCATGGCAAAGAAAAAAGTACCTCTACTGTTAAATGAATGGTTAGATAAATCAATTGATATGGTTGAGACTAAGACTCAGCATATAACTAGAAGATCTGGGGGAATTCCCTTTATTGTTTCTATTATCCTTGGTACATCAGCTGACAAGTCAATGTTGGATCTGGCATTTAAGCGGCTAGTAAATATTGCGATTGAACCGATTACCGAATTTCAAGATGTTATAGATCATCCACAAGTTAACGCATTCAATTGTATAAAATCGTTATTCACAGAAGCAAAATTGGCAACCATAATCTTATCCCATGTCTCAAAATCTTTAGAGTTGTGCCTCATGTCATTTACTTCATCAATATGGGCAATTCGTAATTGTTCTATGATGTTATTTACTGCAATTCAAAATAGGGTTTTTGGGAAATCCGGAAAAGATTATCCAGCAAGACTTTTTTTTAACCGTTTTGTTGATGTAGATAAATTACTTTTGGAGTCTTTGAATAAAACCACAACTGCTATCCATACTCATAGCATTTTGTCAGACAGGCACATTGAAGTTTTGTATTTAATTGTAACATTATTGTCAAGGCTTGAATCAACTCCAGGTTATACTGGGTTGGCAGACTTTATCTCCTTACTGAAAAATAATATAGATTGTAAGGACTGGAAAGTACGGGACCTCATTGCAAGAACATTAGCCAAATATGAATTTGAAAATCTATTATCACATGAGTTTTTGCTGGAATGGGATTGCTCTAATCAAAATAATCTACATGGTAAGTTACTCTTCACAAAATACTGCTTACAGCAAGGAATAAATAAGAATCTTGAACAATTCAAATTAAAAGATATTTGTGTTTTTCTGATATCGAAATTGGACGAAACTATTCTGCGGAATAAATGCTACATTACAATCAAAGAATGTACTGAAATTGTACTTCTACTTCTAGAGAGTAACATGTTTGACAAATCTGAGATAGATCAAATGTGTAGCATATTTGGAATGTTCTTGTGCAATACTATTGAAAATCCATCGCAAGACGGTACTAAACAACTTGCTTTGGCTGCCACATTGCAAGTGCTACTACAAATTGAGTCACAAGCAAATATACAGTGTATACTTCAATTGGTATTGTTAAGCAACTGGTATGAGTGTCACCTAATTGCAATGCAATATATAAACAGTACCATGGATTTGTCATTGTATTCAGATGAGATGTATTCTTCTGTTTGTACAATTGCTAAAAATAATAATAATTTGCCAGAGGTAAGAAAACTGGCATTGAAAACAGCGGTTTATTTGAACTTTGATAAGTCACTACAACTTATACTTAGTGTATTCGAAAACAACAGGGTTGAAAGTTTGAGAACTCAATCCATTGAACAAATAGGTAATTATATTACTGCGGAAATTTTTGAAAAATGGTGGCCATTGCTCCAGGACATGTTTCTGGATAATCAAATTGAGGACATAAGACTGTCAGCTCTGAGATCTGTTATAAACGCTCCGCAGTTGCTAGACCACCCAAAAGTTGTGTTTAGAATGCTATTGACATTAAACGACGATGATGAGGATATTAGATTAGAATGTGCACATTTCATTAATAGAGCCTTATTAGCTGAAAATGATATTCAATTTGATACCGCTCCTTATCACACAGCTATCAGCGTTATGCATCGTGGGAAAATTGATGCAAAGTCCACCCATCAGCTGGCAAAAATCGTAATGGATTCGATTATCAATGATATGAACAAATTTAATAATATGGAAAATACATCCACAATAGGTGATCATTTATTTGATAAAGAAGAGGATAATATCTTCAGGAATAGGGTCCTTGAAAATATGATCATGGTTAAAATTATTGCTTGTAATGCGGACAATGAATTAAGAGAGGCCATAAAAACATTCTTGATCTCCTACTGTCCAAGCATCATATCAATAATTGCAAATTCGCACACAAGTGGATCTTTATTCCATTGGGTTACTCACATCGATCACTTCACCAAAATTTACACTACAAGACTATTGCTTAGCGAATTTTGTCCTGAAGATGTATCTGCGTTTGATTCAGCTTTAATCAAACTTGGTATACCACATAATACTATATTCACCATGAAAAATATTATAGTATAATAAAATGGCTAGTCGATCAATTCGTAGCTCATGGAAATATAAACTAGCTCAATAAGTAATGATAAAAGCTAAATCGAATTGATATGACATCCGGTTGCAATACTATATTTGAAGCAAGTGAAAAAATCCATCCGGGTAATTTAACTTCTCAACAAAAATTGAAAATTTCCAAGCCAGAGAGACCCTAAAAAATGCGATGAGATAGCATATCTATTATCACTTAGGGCAATAACTTAATTGATATATTAATGTTTATTTATTGATCCATAATGATAAGGATTGACTATTTGTGATTAAATTATTTGTGAATTACTGTATTATATTGTGGAGTTTATTTATTTGCATTCTATGGGATTATGATGAATAGCTCGATGGATAATGACTACCAAGCAAACTTGAACAGCGTTCTTCCATTAGTGTGTGAATATTTGAACCAGAATGATGTCTTCAATCTCACCCTTTGCTGTACTACTTTCAATAAGTCTTTGCAACGGCATCTATTTAAGTCTATTATCATACAAACCGAGCCAGTTTTAAGGGATGTAAGGAGCCATCTGGATTGGAATACCACATATATCACTGGTTGTCGAAATATAATCAAATCAAATGATCAGAATGATATTTATGTCTACGATAGAGTGGAGGAGTTGATCCGATCAGGAAAATTACATCTAATTGAAAAATTAGTTATAGAAAAGGATATTTTTTTTGATAAGGATAACGGCAATGCATTGTTGATAAAGTTGATTGAGCGAATTATAGAGATTGACCTGATAAAAGTCTTGGAGATCAAAGATTATGATCTATTCTCTAATTTTTATGACTCTTATCTGAAGTTGACCCATCTAACTAAAATCGAAGTCATTGAATTAGATGATCTGGAAAACACGAAATCATTATTTACCTTAAGAGAAATTGTACTTACTTTAATTAATGACAATGAGCGTCAGATCATTAATCTGAGTGAGAACACTAAGAAAATTCTGAGAAGTAATATAAAATCGGTTCATATAAATGATGTTGATTACGCATCCGGAGAAATTATTAATCTTCTGAAAAGAAATCATATCAGTTTTCCAAAAGCACAAAATATTTCATTCAAGCACGTCCATAGACTGGAATGTGGTCCAATAACTGATATTAATCTAGGGAATATATTTGATCTAAAAAAAATCAAGGCTTTAGAAGCGGTAATCAACTGTGAAGAATATGGCCATTGTTCTTGTTTAGATGAGTTTTTAACTAAAATTCGAGATGATCTCATCGTAATTAACAAACTGGCATTATCACAAAAGCATTTCATAACCGTACCTAACCACAAAGAGCAAGAAGATTGGGATATTATAATATGTAGGTTTCTCGTAAACATACCTGATGTCGATAGTAATCTATCGACTTTAATAATAAAGCATGATCCACCTTTTGAAGGCTTTGCTGAAGATAGTGTTGATGGTAACTATATCAGGAGGAAAAACCTCTTTATGAGTGTTTTTCCGGTACTTAAAGCTCTAAGATCACTTTGGGCACCAGTGGTTCTCCAAACTATAAGTGCGTATGAAGTCCCAATGGCTGACATACTTTGGAATGGTTGTGAGTGTGAGTACTGTAAAAAATGGTTGCCAGTATTTGACCAGTATTTGATGAATCACCAATACTATTCAAAAGATGAGGGTGACTATAAAGACATCATACCAACCCCATTTGCTGCATTCACGGGATATTCCCTTGCAAAGCGGGTAATAGACGATGTAAATTCTCTATTGGAATTAACTACCAGAGCACCTCATATGTTCAACTGGGATTTCCATACTTACGATGCCATTCGTCACTTTGAGACATATGAGTGTCATTTTGACGAGAGGGTCTTCCCAATGCTTGGTACAGCAATCTCACATTTCTTTTATAACTACATGGACTTTCTTGTGAAGCATTTGCCAAATTTGGCATTCACTCAGTTTTCTGGTATTTACTTTACTGTAAAGGATCAGAAATACGATTGTATATATGACTAATGAACTCACCTCTACATGAACTCTTCGGGACTCATTGAATATCTTAATAACTTTTGCATTAACATATATGTATATATGACATTTAATATCAGTTATTATGAAAATAACTATATAAAAAGATGTCTAAATTAACTATTGTGTGGAAATAGACTTGTAATTACTTTTCGGCTATATAATAATAGTTACTTACAAGACTGGGTCGTCAGCAAGTTTACCCGCACAATTCCCCCATTTCGTTTTGAGTTTTGAAAGTTAAAGGAATCAGCAAGGTGGAGCTTCATCTAGCTTACCATGTCCAGCAAATCTTCAATACTCAATAAGTCAACTACGCTGATAAGTTGGTGGTTAGTGAACAAGTTGCTTATACAGTTGGTCTGAATTCTACTTATTTATTTTTCTCCCTGAACACCAGTTGTTAAATTATAGAGACCGTAACAATTGAAATAGTCCGCGCGAACTAGTACGGTTAAGAGATATCAGAACGGTAGAGCAAATTAATAAGCCTGTATATATAATACTCTAACCGTTATTGATCTGTTGTTTGGATTTGTAACCATTGTTGGAAAAATTAATAGTGTACAAACTGTGGTTTAATCATAGCATTAATAAGATCAAAAAAATACCATCTTCTAATAATTCCGATTGGCTATTATATTCACCGTCATTTTCACTGATTGATCAATTAAATTTTCTGCAAATTATTTCGTTCTATTATCTCCTGTAAATATAGGCACTTCAATTCCCGATAATAGAGGTAATACGATATTCAAATATAACAAAACTCTAAACGTAAACTGGGAGTAATCACCATTTTAGCATATTTGCCTCTAGATGAAGTTTTCCACAATTATTGCTTTTAACAATTAATAAGAACAAAGCCCAATGATGCGAAAATGGATAATTCAAGGAAACTTGATCAAACATTTCTCAAGGGAATGCGCAGAAGATCCGCTTGTAAATAGCATTAAACTAATAATATTGAGGCATGATTATAGTACAAATAAGGTTGGTATTTCTGTGAAGGAACAAGTACCGAGAGAACAGAATGATGAGAACAATAAGAGAGCCCAATTCTATGATGAAAGTTTTAGATTTCTAACTGGTACTCCTATGCATATAACCAATCGACGACTGACATCTGATCTTGAAAATATTTCATTTATTTGCAAGAGCAGTCCCTCTTTTATATCAGAAGAAGAATACACACGAATATACAGGATAATTCAAGATCCTGGCAGTTCTGAATATCTGGTGAGTTCTTCCATCCTATCCATCTCAAATCACAAACATAAGCTAATACCATTACCAAAGCTGTTATCGATGATACATATATTAAGTGAAAATGGATACTTGAATGAAATTCATATGTTATTTGGTAATTGTAAGGCACACCTTTCCATACTAAAGTCAGACCAACCTGAAGATTTGTATAGGCAATTTTTGGAATTAATGTTGGACGTTGAATATAAGCTTTTAAATTTTCATTCAATTGAGAAAATATTCTCAGAATACATCAAAATGCCGAACATCAAAGCAAAATATATGACATACGGATTGAGGGCATTTATTGAAAACAATGACTTTCAGCTTGCTAAAGCATTTTTTTTTCAAGCACTAACCCATTCAGATAATTTTCCTATGACACCAAAAGAACTGCATTCTTTTTTAAGCGGAATATCCGATCATAATGATTTGACAAACACATTACTGATATTTTACTCATGGATATCTGCTAAATGTAAGCAATTGGACGACAATCCTAATTTTCCATTACCAGAAACAATGCAATTAATACATAGAATGATACTACTTTTCCAAGATCGAGTCCAATTGACGCAATTTTGTTCCAACGTTGTGGTGAAACAATCAGGCTACCTGGATAGTGTTGACTATAAGTTAACAGTATATTTCGATAAAGTGCGGAAAGTTCTAGCAGATACTGGCCCACCAAATAAGGACAGACCAGAAATATTCAAAGGAATTCAACAATATATTGATCTTCTGGACGGCATGACCGATAAAAGAGAACTCTTCTTCAAGAGACTTCTTTGCATCTGTACTGACTCGCATGATTTGGATAAATTTATGGAAATTGTTGCCCTAATAGAGGCTGACAAAGAAGTAGATATGGAAATATTTGTAAAAGATATGGTCGGTAAAATTATTGCTAGGAAGCGTCGGTTTGGTACTGCATTAAAATATTATGAAGATCTTGTGCTTAATGGAATAGAAGGTAAAAAATTTCCCATCAAACATGAGTATTTAAGTTCACTTTGGATTGCAATTGTATCTGATTACCCAACTTTAGCGGAGCCCATTAAGCAGGAACTGTTTCTTACATTAAATACGGACAAATATAAGAGAGCGTATCCATGGCTAAAATATTTTTTACAAGAAGTATCTCAGCTGAAAGAATGGAAACTTCTTGGCGGTGTAAGTTGGAATGTTCTACATCTTCGGATATCAGAATACGATAAACTCAAAGAGCTAGATAAGTTCATAAAAAGCGCTGACTGTCTAGAGATTGAACACATAATTCAACAGACACTGCGTGACGGTTTGGTGCCAAACTTCCATTTCAACTATTCACTTATCAAACTACTTTTGAAAGGGTCGTTAGTCAGCTCTGCTAAGACAATTGATGACACGATGCGTAAGAATTACTACTCGATACCTGAAAAGTTGAATATCTTGTGGCTCAGAAATGATATTGATACCATGAAGAAGAACATGAATAGTTTAACAAACCGAGAGTACAAGAGAATGATTTCTTCAATGTTGGATGATTTCGTCAATTCAAGGGTTTTATCGCTGGGTTTCAAAGACTATATCCAGCTTACGCATCTTGCAATGGATTACGGATTGTATGGCATGGCTTTCAAGTTACTAAAGTCTGGTAAGATGATATTCCAAGAGAAAAACGGAACAAACTGGAAGTTATACTATTTGGCATCATTAAAACTCCACACACAGACGTTACAGCTAGATCAATTTATGGCAGTTTTACAAAGCTGGATTAAAAACAAGGATGCATATGTCATTACACCAGGTTGTCTAAGAAGATTGAAGTCCTACAGCAGATTTTTTAAGAAAAATTCTGGTAATATGGATAATTTTGATGCGGATAAGCTCAAGGAGCTTGAACAAAATATACAAGTGCTCAAGACTAAATATCTGGAAAACAAGTACAAAGGCTTAAACGACATGCATCGAATGTGCCAATTCATTAAGACTGCATTAGATAGAGATGCCAAAACAATAACGACTCAGAATGCAAATGGTTCAACGTAAATAAAATAATAAAATTCCATTGCATATAAAAAAAAAGAAAAAGAAAAGCAAGGCACCTTACTCTACTCATCAATTTAAATATTCTAATTAATTCGAACTTTAATAATGATAACTTCTCATCCCTACATCTCTATTGTAACTAGAAGATCTATGTGACTTAGAGCTTCTTACTGTTAGGCAGATTTAAAATTAATCACGTGAGAATATATGGTTTATAGTTTTGCTCTTTTTATCTAAATGACATTGTCGTAATCATTACTCGTTCATTATGATAATTTCGTATTTTTGCTTCTTTACAAGAAAAATTGTTGTTCTCGAATGTGATTGGCCGAACATATTGTGTGTCTACGACTCTACGTGCTATTGTTTGCAAGTAGGATGAATGGTCACAGAGTGCAACAATGGCAGAAACTAGTTTCGCAAAGTATCACCGATATTATTCTTTTTGGGCAGCAAGTTTGGAAAACAACCAATCCCAATGCTTTTAGACTGGCTTTCTGTATGGCTAAGGGACTTAGAAAGGCTTCTGGTATTGTTTAGTCCCTTCCCCTTCCTGCCCCGACAGTTCCGTCTATCACAGCTTTTCGAGGTGAGGGTAAGCTCAATGAATGAGACTGCTTTTGGCCAACCAAAGCTTGCGGATGAGCATTTTGACTTTCCTATCCTTTGTTTTTCCTTGCATGTTTTATATAATAGCACTGAATATATAAACTTGAAACGTATTTAACACTGTTTCGAATTTGAGTATTTGAAAATCATTTAACAGTAATCAGCAAACTAAAAACACAAATATTAGAAGAAAATGGCCAACAGAATTATCGAACTACAGAAGCTTTTCCAAAGCTCTACAAAACCAATCTGGTGGAGACATCCTAGATCAGCATTCTATCTATATCCATACTATGGTCTACTAGCTGTTGCCGTTGTAGCACCTTTGCTATATATTCCAAACGCTGTGAGAGGTATTAAGGCCCCAAAGAACAACTGAATGAGGACATGTTTTCAATAGATACTTGAGAGATATTTTGGTTCCATTGCTTTAGAATCCCAAAATCTAAAAGTATCTTTTCTGATATGTCTTTTTGAAGAACACCATACAAATATTCAAACCGCTAAATTAATTAAAATTGAACATGATATCCCAATCCAATCATTAGAAGCAGAAAAAAAAATTTTATTAATATTCCTTATTTATCAATAGATTGTAACAGACGCAAAAGAAATAAAGTATTACACAAAGAATTATAATGAGCATGTATCTTCATATCTAACTATGATATGGCATACTATGTCAGAAGGATTTCATGTGGGGTATTATTTGGATAAAAATACCATGTCATCGCGATACACTTCACAATGAATGCTTGAAATTTTCCCTTATTGTTTCAATTTATTCATTATTTTCTATAATTTTTTTTATTCAACGAATTCATAATTGTTTTTTCTACTTTACATTTATTTATGTATCTTCACATTACTGAAAGATAGCTATTTAGAATTGTAATAACATGAACACCATTTAGTAAGTATGGGGTTGCTTTTAAGAAATTTGGGATGACTTGAGTTTATTTATTAGTTCATCTTCTTCTTTCTCATCATCCCAAGCAAATTGTTCGTCGCCTTCTAGAAAAGCAGCTAACAGCTCTTTTTGTTTCTCTTTATGTGTTCTTTCATTGAGAAGTTTCTTTTGTTCCTCTATTTTCTTCTTTAATAGTTCCATCTTAACCTTGTTTGCAGCTGGGTCCGTCTTCTTTCCATTTTCACCATTTGTTCGAGATTGCATATTCCTTGAACTCGGTCTTGTGCAACCAGGTGTAGTTTGTGCAGTATCTGGAGACTTTTGTCTTGAATAGTTTGATGATGCAGTCGAAGGTGGAGACGGCGTTGCACTTGTCTTAGAAGAAGATTTGTTGTCAACTAAGTATGATTGATCGATACGATCAAGTAGACTATTTCTGCTAGCCGATTTAGTGCCGCTAGATTTGGATTTTGGTTCTTTTGGTAAAGGACTCATATGCCTATCATCTCTAATTGCATGACCAGCTGCTTTCTTGTCTTCTGAGTTGACCAGGAAAGATTTGTCAATACGGTCTAAAAGACTCCTTCCGCTGTTAGGTCTGGACTCTTCTTTAGCTGATTCTCTTGGGGTAGTCTCTTGATCGTTAGTTGAGTTGCGAGTCCGTTGTCTACTATTGGGTCTACTCACACTCTTATTTTTTCTCATATCTCTTTTAACTTCGACAACTTCATCTTCATCTGGGGCATCGGCCCATTTCGAGTCCAAAACCATGATCTAATAATGGTGTACTACTCCCTTCTCACACGCCACTCAGACACAGTGACAGCTATGAACCTCTTCTTCTTTAAATGGCTTCCTACAAAGAAGTTCACTTAGGTTAAAATACGACAGATATTTGCGATGAGCTTGATGAAATGTGGTTTACCAGTTGATTTCATTATTTTTTTTTTCAGCCCATTGTTGAACTAGCGTTTCTACGGTTTACTCTGAGAACAATAAATTACAAACCCATCGCAGGTATATAAGAAACTAGCAAGTTAATAGCTCTCTGAGTTATTATTTGTATATTTTTGCTATTTAGTAGTTATCTACTTTATTAATGTTAGTAGCTATGTATCTGATTTGATATAGGAGTAGAATGCCACACATTGCATCATTTTTAAGATCACTCTGCACCGAGTTGCTGGCCGACCCTCCACAGATCACAATTTCAGTGCAGAAAGTGTAACCTCCATTTAAGCAACTCTAAAAGTGGGATTCTCGGAGGACTGCCTAACGTTAGTCCTTGAAATAGAGTCATTTTGTTCGGAATTGCTTCACACTGAGGGGTTTTTTTTTAATGCATTTCTGAGCTAGAGATGAGCTCTTTCATTATGCTGAGCGTAGTCATTAGTCCTATTAATTTTTAAAAGTTTGCTATTCTTGAGTAAATGGGCTCTTGTAAACTATTTATATGAGTGATTTGGATGAATCTCGCTAACGTATACGGTTGAATGGTAAATCGTTATGGCTGACGCTAGTAAGACGATAGTAAAAGAATCAGATTTTGAAATCAACGATGGTAACGATGCAAGCTCTGCCGGTTCTGCAACAGAAGCTGGCATGGTGGCGAGATTAAACCAAGAATACCTAAAACCCAATGTCGGGTTGATATTTCTGATAGTATCACAGCTGTTCAATTCACTAATGGTTGTTTCTACCAAGGTGTTAGAGCTGGATAGGGAAGGTTTAGAACCAGATGAACCATCAATTCAACCACTTCAAATCCTACTTGTGAGAATGATTATTACATATATTGGTACTCTGATATACATGAAGATCAATAGCTCGAGTATAGAATATGTACCTTTTGGGAATCCAGCTGTGCGTCCATGGTTGATTATGAGAGGAGCCATGGGCTTTTTCGGTGTCTTTGGAATGTATTTCTCTCTGATGTACTTGACGATTAGTGACGCCGTACTCATAACCTTCTTAGCACCCTCTGTTACAATTATTCTGGCGTGGATTATACTTAGAGAGAGTTTTAGTAAAGCAGAAGGTATCGGCTCGTTTGTTTCGCTAGCAGGTGTAGTGTTAATCGTTAGACCAACTTTCTTATTTGGCAACCCAACTACATCAGATGGAGATATTGATGAGACTACAGACCCTCATAAGAGACTTATTGCAACACTGGTAGCACTTTGGGGTGTGGTTGGAATAAGTAGTGTGTGGATTATTATCCGATACATAGGCAAGAGAGCACATGCCATAATAAACGTTAGTTATTTTTCATTAATCACTGGACTAATTGCACTGTTTGGTATTCTATTTGTGCCATCTGTACATTTTCAAACACCAAGGACTCTAAAACAGTGGCTTCTTTTCGCTAACTTAGGGATTTGTGGGTTCTGTCACCAGCTCTTGCTGACGATAGGTATACAGAAGGAACGAGCCGGTAGAGGGACGCTGATGTCATATACAAATCTGATATACGCAGTGTTTTGGGATGTTCTCCTATTCGGTCACTGGCCGAGTTTCTGGTCTATATGTGGTATGATCCTCATCACAGGCAGTACCCTCTACATAGTCAAGATGAAAGCCAACGATGCCAAACCTCAGGCTGTAAACAACAACTCCATACAGACCGAGTTTGACTTGGAAGACTTGAGTTCGGTTAGATAGAAAGCATTGGGCGTTGGAGAATCTCCAACTTTTTTTATTCGTTTGTAAACTGTAATTTTTGACATAGACAACTTTGGCATGTGAATTTTGAGTTCTTGTCTCGTTATTGTGAGTTTAGTAGCGTTATAGAATGTAATCTCCAATAAACCAACTCCTGATCCTGCCAGATTATAGTATCTGCTGGGTTGGAGGTAGCCCATCGCAAAGTGCAAGTTTTGGAAATTTTTATTTTTTCCTTATTTTCAACACTTTTGTGACAGACAAAATCCGCAGCAAGAGCTGGAAAATGTACATCACAAGGAATATTATAGTGTACTTCCCTAAAATCCCTATCTCATCGATGAATTGGTCCAGCTAAGTGAATGAGTTTGGGGACAACTCCACGCATTTAGGTAGGCTTTGCGAAGTTAAGATAAGAAACGAATGGTATTCTAATAGATATACTAGGCGATAAGAGGAGACAAGGGTAGTATCTAATCAGTTGCAACATCAAGGAAAGATTAAAAAAGCTATATTACCGTCACGCAAACTCTGAATTGGAATACTCGCAAGTGTGGGTATATTTTATTATTTTTTTCTAAGTCGTTACAGTTTGTAGATAATTGTACTTCATATCTACTGATTTTGAATTGTTAGCAGTTGTTCATTTGTATATTGAATAGGGTTTTTTCAGATATTCTTGTTTGATTAAAGCAGATATGATGTACAAGGTAGGTGTCAGGTCCATCAATAGTGTGCGTCAGTTAAGCAGATTTCGTAGGTGGCATGAATTAGATCTCGCCGAACAGCACAAGTTCATACACAAATTTGCCGAAAACTACCGCAAGCGGTACCCGGGATCGAAGACCAATCTCTCATTTCGAGGACTCATGAAAGACATCGACACTTATAAGGATTCGCCGTCTGTATTTGGTATTTTCTACAATAGCATTTGTGACAACATTGACCACGGCAGAGACAATGGTCGTTTTGCGCACGACAGTTTCCGGAAACTAGTACTACATAGAAACGACTCTACATAGTGCTCATATAGAATATACACCTTTTTCAACAAAGCAATTTCAAAAAAAAAAATTGTTTTTTTTTTTATTATAATTATTTATTAATGGTATAGAATTCAAATTTTTAATTTCGTACACCTTCAAACCAGCTGAAGTAAAATTACATAGTTTTTTTGTTTTCTAACAAAGGGTCATTTGGCTTTCATTTGAAATTTTACACAGAAATCAAATCAAAAAAGCCAAAGCACCAGCCACAGCTGCACCCGCTACACCAGCAGTGTAAGCATTGTTGGCTGGAAGGGCATTGGCAGCGTTCTTGGAAGAACTGCTGTGGTTAGAAGCATTTTGAGCATTGACAGCAGCAATAGCGATAGCACCTAGAACAACATTAGAGACCTTCATTGTTAGATTGTTTAGTTTGTTTGTTTGGTTTTTTTTTTGATTGTTTTTTTCTATTGAAAAGACAGTTGTTTGAAGGCTTTTGTGAATAACACAAGCTCTTTATATAGTTTTTTTTTTCAGTATAGGCTGCAATGCTATAAATAAACTAAGCCATCATTTTCTACTTTTCTTCTGAGCTCTCTGAGCGCTATTACCGTTACGCCTGTTTTCGGCCCTCAGAAAATGAGTCAGCCCTCGATGTCACCATTCCAAGAGAAAATGCCTAGCCGCTACGCACTTTTTTAAGAGTCTTGCCATTCCCACCAATCTAGTCAAAAGTTCTAGAAGCTCTACTCTTCCAAGCCCAGAGAGTGGGGGGGATTGAGATCGCCTTCTATGCACCGTCATCCTTACGATTGTTGCATCAGTCCACTGACGCAGCCGCAGCAATATCCCCCCCCTCCCCCCACTGTATTCTGTTCTATGCATTTTCGATATCACCCGCTACTCACAGTAGCCGAGGCAGCCGAAGTTCTCTGCATTCTCTTCTTCAGATTTTTAGATTTCATTGTTCTTTTGTGCGCATGTTTCTTACTGGCCCCCCTCGGTTTCCTTAATTGCAGAATGAGACCCCTTATCCCAAAAGGGGATAGTAATTAGGGAGGTTCAGAGACGTCCGTAGCAATTACTACACCCTTAAACCTCGGCTTTGATCCCTGTACTTCCCAATTTGGTTAGTGGGAGGCGGGTTAGAGTGGTAGAGTCGCAAGAGAGATCTGTTGCCCGGTTCACAGAGGTTCGAAGACAAAATTTTAACGTTTTGGTCGAAACTTGAACTTACACCTACTACACATGCTTGACTCTTGTATGAAAAAAAATGTTATTGAATATATTGTTTTAAAAGTATTTGTAAATATATAATAGAATTAACAAGTACCTCTGTAGTTTCTCTTGAGACGTTGTTTGATTTCTTCTTTCTTGGATGCTTTCTTTTCCTTGGTTTCTTCGTCTTCATCTTCTCCGATGTCGGCGTCTGGGGAGGCCAATGCCAGTAGCATCTTGTAGACGTAGTCGCGTCTCTTGTCGGAGTCTGATTCATGCGAGATGGTCTTCAGGCCTGAGTAACTGCCTTGCAGCTTTCTGAGCACGGCTTGGATGTCTGACAACAGCAGCTGTGCCAAGTCCAGGGACATCTCGTTACGGAACACAACTCTCAGCACCTCGCACTTGTCTGAGCCATCGGTGGAGTGTGGCAATGGGTAGTTGGGGATGATCCAGCCACGGGTCCTTAGCATGTGTGACAATAGCGCCTGTGGCACTTCTGGGTACTCCTTCTGGAACTTATCGGAGAACTTGAAGGCAATCAGTGGCACACCAGGCTTGTACTTCTCGGGGTTCTCCCAGTAGTCGTTGGCTGCATCTGGGACCTTGTCACCATCAATACTCTCATGGATAGAGCTGACGACTTCAAAGTAGTCATTGAAGATTGGACTGCGCAAGATCTGGTGAGCAAAGACTCTAGCAACAAACAGCGATCTCTTAAATGTATCACGGTAACCGTCGTAACCCAAGTTCATGAAATTGTAGTATTGGTGAACAACTTGGAACCCCGGTCTGGAGAAGTTCAGACCAAAAGTCTCTTCAACACCACCCAGGTACTTTAGACGGAATCTCAGTTCAGGTGCTAAGTGACTCTCATCTCTCCACAGAACCCAACCGAGACCAGGCGTGGTTAAACCAAACTTGTGTCCACTGGTGTTTATACTAACAACACGAGGGTGGTCGAACCCCCAGTTTGGAACACCATAGGCCTTCAATTGCTCCCTGGAGAATGCAAACGGAACAATGAAACCACCAGACGCACCATCAACATGAATTGGAATATCCTTGTTGGCCCATTCTGGGTGCTGCTTCTCGATGGCGGTTAACACATCGCCGACCTCGGCAACATTTTCCAAATGCCCAGTGTATGTGGTACCCATGATAACAAAACAACCAATAGTGTTCTCATCGACAAAGTCCCACAATAGGTTAGGGTCCAGCATATGGTGGCTCTTCCTAGATACTGGAACAAGTCTACACTCAACATCGAAGTAACGGGCAAACTTTTCTAAGGCAACTTGACAGGCTGAAGACATAATAATGTTAGGCTTGCTGGTGTCAGTTCTCCCCGCAGCCTTCATCTTCTTCTCCCACATCTTCTTCATAGCCAAACCACCAAGCATAATAGCCTCACTGGAACCCGTAGTAGCACACCCAATTGGCTCCTCCTCTGGGTTAGCGTTCCATAGTCCGGATAACATAGAGATGCATCTTTGAGTAAGTTCAATCAATTGAGGATACTCGTCGTTATCAGCCAAGTTCTTGGTCAAGTTCTCAGAAATAAGCTTTCTTACCTCATGAGTAGTAGATGTGTTAACGAAACTAGCCAAGTTCAAATGGGTGTTACCATCTAGTGTCAGCTCATTATGAATCATATCATAGGCCTGATCAGCAGGAACACCTTCCTTTGGAATCACATATTTCATGGAGAGCAAATGAGACTCTTTGTTCTCTTTGCTGCCAAGAGCCTTCAATTTCTCACTGTTGGAGGCAATATCCTGCAACTCCTTAGATAGTAACTTGAAATCCTGTAAGCATGGGTCAATATGATGGTGATCCACAATGTTAACAGGAAGTCTCTGCTTGTCAGTGTGCTTGTGTAACATTTTTCCAAATTTATTTGTATGAGTTAGTCCACCTACCTTTTACCTTAAAATTTGAGAACTATTGGTGGTGTGAGATACAAGCTACAAAATTAAGAACACATTAGAGAAGCCAGTTTTAGTGGTAGCAATTCATTCGGTTTATATACTTAGGAGAGTTCTCATTGACGTCGAATCACCATAATGAACAATATGAGATCATCATAACTAATAGGGGAGCAAAAAGAATGCAAAAGGTGATCCGCAATCTAATATTAACTATTAGCCCTATTGGCTTCTTTTAGCTGGTAGAAATCACGAATTAGATATGTCCACTCCTTTTTCGAAGTAACCGTTCCATTAATTGGATACCATACCATTAAAGCTTTGCAGGTGTATAAGAAGAACATGTCACTAATATCAAAGCCAATACGTACGATAAAGAAGGGGGATACTACAAAATTTCTAGAATGAACTAAAATTAAGGCAGCAAATAGGGTATACTTTTAGGGACGTCCCTTATGAATACAGCTATCTCCACCCCAAAAGGTTGCAGCTTCGCTCAAGCTTGCCCATGATACAGGTCAAGAAGCACTGCATGTCACAGAAGAAGCAATCCTCCGATGAAACAAATTTGCATTAATGGTCCACTCCTTGCAGAACAAGGGAGAGGAATATCTTGAAGGCATCGAGGTCTCGTAAAATATTAATTGCTGTTGTTCGAACGTTTTGTCCCCTGTATAGAAGTAGCTTAGGGACAAATGCGATATTATCTGGAAAAAAATATTACGGAAGGGACAAAAATTGGAAGTGTTAGCTTGATTACACAGACTTCCAGTTGTTTCTTCGGTTATTATATTATTTGAGCTTTTGGTACAGGTACATCAATTATCTATTTTCTTTATTGTTATCCTGAGATTATAAGTACGACCGAAACCTGATATAAGCTTTGAGGGAATTTCTGAAGCGTGCTCGTTTGTTACCATGCATCAACTGAGTATCTATGATATAATTTTAGCACTATATTTGCATCTGTTTACAAGCTGTATTCTTATCATTGCATCTGTCGATTTTAGCTATATAGAGGAATTCCATAAAAAGGATCTGCATTCTGTAGTATAGACATTCATTAAATATTGCTGAAGGAGCGGTGCCATGGAGGTTCATTTTTTATTGATTAAGATAGTTGTGTTCATGAAGAAGGAATAGTTTTTGCTACTTTGATATTAAAAAGATTCTCTTAAAAAATAAATACTAGGGTTTATGTAATCTATTAAAATATCTGGTACTGAGTATGCATTGAAGAAAAGATAGAGCAAAACTAGGTCAACAATTTCTTTCAAATCTTATGTATAGAAGGTGGTAGTCGTCGAGGTCATAAATGATTCTATCTTTCTTTGTATAGTTGGGTATTTCTCCAGAGGTCTTCATTAGTTTCTTGAATGATTCATTATCCATGGACTTGCAGAAGAAAGTGATGCATAGATCCCTAGGTTGGAATACAGAAAGAACGTGGTTAATAACAGATATATTGTCTTGTTTGTTGTTGGATACGTGCCTCACAGGGACGTTACTTTCGAAAGATGCATATGACCATCCTTTCTCTGGTGTGACATGCAAAGTATAGTAATATTCTTCATCCATTATGATGTTAGAGGAGTAACCGCAAGGTGTGAATGCGAAAGCATCGTGGTGGAAGCTTACATTCTTCTCATTGTTATAAACTCTATCTAATCTTGTGGCATTTGTCATTTTATAACCTGAAAGATGGCCTTCATCTTCACTTGTATTTTCATCCTGTTGTGATTGTTCAACAGTTTTTACTTCTCTCTTACAGGAAAATTGTTGGGCGCAGGTCTGATCCAACTCCGTCATCAAGATCTCCAAAGTTTCATCTTCATCATCCTCGCCACAATCATCTGTGATATTCATGTTTTTGTTCGTCTCAGTGACATATAGATTCCAATGGTTGCTTTGATCGCTTCTACCAACGAGATAACTACTTCCATAACAGAAAAATTTGTTTAAGTATTCTATCTCATCACTCCATCTCTTATGAATTGAGCGCTGTTTCAATGGGAACATAAAACATCTTCTAGAATAGAAAACTTTGTGAGGGTGGTATTTACCAACGTTTTCTTCCTTCTTAGCACGCATATCCCAGCCAAGCTCTTCTTCAACAATTCGAAATAGTTCTTCAAGACAGAACAGGGTAGTAGTAGTACCGCACGTTTTTAAAGTTATCTTATGATCGCATACAAATAAGGATGATTCACTTAATAAGAATGCATCCATCTTCTCAGTTGATTTGATGGACAACACTTCACACTTTACCAGTTTTAAGATGGCCACCCATTTCTCAACAGCGATAGAACGCAATGTCTTCATATCGCCATTTTCATCCTTTGGTATACAATGGCGGTGAGGAAAAAACCATATCTCTAACAACTTTTCAGGGCCCTCAAATGCTTCGGTTGAATCTAAAGTAGCGGAGAGCTCATGATCAATGTATGAATGGTTTGTCAACTCCTGGATGGTAACTGTCATGTTAACTTTTGACTACTGTTGAATGTGATGTGTACCGTTTTTTTTTTTTGTACTGTTTGTTGAAAACAATTATCCTCCTCTAGCAGAATAGAATTATTTGAATTGTGTGGCGTGTCTATCAGTGAAACTGTCCTAAAATTATACAACTCACAACCAAAAATTTCTTGTGATCGTTTTATTGTTATCGTCAGCGTTACTTGGTCTCTTTAGTAAACCCACAGAAAAAGTGTTAAGACAGTAATTTAAAAAGACTATTAACAGTTGCTACTGATCTAAGAGTAAAAATTGACAAAATAAAAGCAACTTAATCCAGCAACAACTGTTCTTGTATACTATATCATCGCTGTCAACTATTTTTTTTAATTTTTTTTTTTTTCAACTCGAATTTTTTTTCAGAAGCCCGATTATGTGATAGAAACTGAAATGTATAGCTATTGGTGCCTGCAATAATATATGGAATTCCAGTCGCTTTTCTACCCTTATATTATGCTTTAACCATTACGGCATAGCAATGGCACTCAATATGCAACTATCCAATGCCGTTTCTATCCACGGCATGTCCTATTCTCTATTCTCTCTATTAGTGGAGCAAGAGTTCTAATATACTCATGTTATTCTCACTATGCTGGAAAACTAGTGACACATGTAAATCTTCAAAATCGCAATTGCAATACTAATGAATGTGTCTTGTATTTATAATTGGCTATTGCTATGGAATTATGGAAAACCCATTATTTCTTAGAAAATTTTGAAACCAACTGATATTAGTAATAATGAATTATTCAAATGTTACAGAAATACAATGGGCGTGTGGCGTAGTTGGTAGCGCGCTCCCTTAGCATGGGAGAGGTCTTGGGTTCGATTCCCAACTCGTCCATATTTTTTTGCTCTTTTGGGTTTAAGAATCAAATTGTGTTTTCCTCAGAAACTATTGCAGGGGAATACGGCTTTCTATAGTTGTTTAAACTGAAAAAAAAAAATATGCTAGGCTATTACTTTCGATGGCAAACTTAACTTCTGTCATATATTTTTATATTAGGCAGACAACTCTAGAACCCTGTTGAACAATTGGCATAAACTAACTGCAATTTTTGGTATCCATTTATTTACTAAACCAAAAATCAAAGAAAAATAAAGTGAGACTTTTGGTGGTAAATTACTTGAGAATTTAGGCAAATTTTATAGAGATATTTCCCAGGTTAGTGGAATCAACAGCATGTCATTTGGAGTGAACACTTTTCAGAAGTATAGAGATGATAGCGGTCTAGGTCATAATGGGGTGGCTGTGTCTTTAAACTATTATGATGGTTTGCCAGAGAGCAGCTTATTGAACTCGTTGTCTAGCAATGAATTGAAGTTGATCTTTAAATCCCTGATGAAAAGGGATGACACCACAAAGGAGAAGGCATTGAATGAGCTTATGGGACTAGTTGAGCACTATGACCATAACAGTTTCTTATTTGATGATATTATGCTGTTATGTTGGAGTCAATTGTACGCTAAGCTATGCATGAGTGAGCTGAAAAATATTAGATTAGTGTGCCAGCAGGTTACTCTCGGTATAATTACTAAGATGAGAAAATCAGTAGCCAAATATTTCAAAGACTTGATTCCATTTGTGCTTCTAGGTACATGCGATACGGACTCCGCAGTTGCCAGGCTATGTGCCACGGGTATAAAAACCTGCTTTAATGACGATGAGGATAAAGTTACCGCACTATACAGTTTATTCGATATCCCTATCTTGTCCCTGACTAAGGCAATATTAGTCACCGAAACTCCCCAAACATTGACAGATGAGAGATACTCGACACCTGATGATGCTGACTTTAAATATCAGCGGGTTGTAGTAAGCGCTATAAATCTTTTGTTAGCTGCAATTGAACGGAACAAGGCTATTTTGGAAGATGAAACTTTTAATGAAATCATGGACAATGAGAATTTATGGAAGTTGATGAGTATAAAAAATTTGAACTCTATTAAGACATATGAGTCACTAATAAGATTGGCTATTACTTTAAGCGAAGAGGAGTTTTTGACTTCTCATAAGCATGTGTTAAAGCTGATAAGTAAGAAACTCTTGAAAAGCCTGTCTCAATTTAACGATAAAAATATACTGAAGGTTAATTATATCTGTCCGCTGATCTTAACTCTGTTTATGTGCTTGAACAAATACAAAAATGGAAAGTTTTGGTCATATGATAAAATTTCAAAAGATCGACTTGTGGGATTCTTGTCAACTGCCATGAAGAGCCCAACGGTTGGTTTTTTCCCTACATTTTTTAGGTTTTATACTTCGGTAGAAAGTCAAGATATCTTGGATAAAGAGTTAGAATGGTGGCCATTAATTCGAATTGGGAACAAAAACTTATGCAATAAATCCTTTTTGGGTAGAGATGGTGCTAAAATTTTAAAAGAGTACTGGAGCTGTCGAGTACAACTGAATAATTCATCTTTTTCGAACAAAAATGAGTTATTGATTGAAGATATAAAAGAAGTTATCAACTCAACAGATATAACCAATGTTGTTGAAGTAAAACAGCTCTTCAGGAACTATCTTAATAACACTGCTATACTTCATGAAATTGATGTACTATTAGCAAGCCATGGAAATCTCACGAGAGATATAAAATTGAAGTTTGATAATTTTCTAAACTTATTTTTTCTAGAAGCAACAGAAAGTGATGTGATATCAATGTCAAAAACACTTATAAAGGCTTGGGATAACAAAGAAGGTCCGCCAGAATCCACTTTATTTGTTTCTAACAGATTGATAAAGAATGGAAAAGAACACCCAGAGAGCTTATACTTCTTCTTTGAGCGGTTGCTAGATTTGATGAATGAGGACAACCACTCCGAAATTAGTAACCTGTTTGTCTCCTATTCCTCAATTATAAAAGTCCCTGATGAGAAGGTTATTTCTTTGTTCGGCAGCTTTATAATGAGAGTTACCATAATATCCAAAAATGTCAATAGTGTAAAGGACATACTTTGCCAAATTCCAAGAATTTATTGTGAGAAGCTATGTAGTGCGGATGAATCAACTATCAAGAAGATTTTTGATACTATTATACAATCTTACAGTGGCGATACTAATGTTCAGTTTTTCCAGAGCCCTATTATCAATATTTTCACCATCCACAGGCTATTTGAGGTTTTTGTTTCAAAAGGAGAATTCAGTAAATTGGTATCGGATATTAATTATCTGGACTCTACATGCAAGCAGTACTTGTATGCACAAGAAACTTTTTATGATCATACCCTTAATGAACTAAATGACATGCAATTTTTCACACTTTTGAAAGAGGCATGCTTGGTTTTAGGCGTAAATGATGAAATAGATGCAAATATTGTAAAAGTGCTACTAAGAAAGATAAAAAAATCCTTTAGTAAACAATCATCTGAGCAATATTTCGAAGTACTAGATATCTTATTAAAGCACAACAAGGATACGATTAATGTATTCCTTCCTTCTGATCCTCTTAAATTGTTAAAAGAGTTTAATCCTTCTTCCCTGCTTTTATGTGACGGTAACTTCGGCGCCAATGTCGCCTTTTTTTTATCTGGGCCTACTCTGGAGGATTACGAAAAGGCAAAGCCACTGCTACACCAAGCAATGTTTATTGATACATATCTATCAAAGAATAATAAGACTGATTTAGATGCATGGATAATCTTTCTAACGATAATGTCTGAGATAGCTGCTGATTATAATTATTTATCAGAGTCGCCTGAATACATCTTCCAAGACTTAGAAAATACGATCTACAAGTCTGTCGAGAGACCGTTTTCATTTTTGTCTATTTTGAATCTGTTGAACAACGTCGAAGCGAAAAACAACTCATGGTTGTCAAAACTAATTGACTTTGAAGAAAGTAACTCAATGGTTGCATATTATTCAGGAATGATTGTTCGTAGAATTCTGATAAATGAAGTTGATTACATGAGTAGCAGTGACAAAAATTTTATCAGTCAAGAATTGTATACCTTCCTTTCTAAAGCATTAAGAGAAAAAGAGCATGGTCTTAAACTATTTTATGCAACTATACTACTTGCTACAAGCAAAGATGTCGTTATGCCAGAAGCTTTAATTAAGGTTGGTGCGCTGCTTATTTCCCAGATTGTTGGAATTAGCGAAATGGAACTCATAAAAGGCAAAAGTAAGGTATTGTTAATCCTATTTAGTATGCTAGCTGGCTCGATAAACATTTCTGAACCGGTTCTACCCATTCCCAAATTAAATATGGCTTTGAAAACACTGGATAATATCCTCGATAGTGATATTGCTTATGATGAGGAGTTCATCATCCACAGACTGCTCATAATGAAATTTATTGGTGCTATTGTATCGCAATCAAATTTAGAACAAGCTCATTCTCAAGCATTGAAATTAGCTGAACGGTTAATCGCAGATGGTTTTTCCATGTCATTACTGGAAGAAACTCCGATGAAACCTGAGTTACAATATCTAGCAACACAACTTCATAAATATTGTATTGCAAGGAATGAATGGGAATGTACTGAAGAATATAGAAGCGAAATTGAAACCGGATTTATGGATACAATGTTGAATAGTGTTTCAGTATTTAAGAATAATCACTGTTCGGCACAATATTATATTATGTGTGAAGGTATCTTTTCTGCAAGGAAAACCAACGAGCAAATTAAAAATCTTGATTCAATGATTGAGCAATTTGTCAGTATGCAATTATGCTGTAATATTGGATATATGAGGCTGTTGGTAGCCATTTTAGAAAAAACTATATATGAGAAACAACAAATTAACCTAATTGAGTTTGAATTGGAGAATCAGAAACTTGGTAAGGATAAAACACAAGATGATAATCAAGAAGATGAAAGAAGTTTTGAAGAGTACAAGATTCCTGAGATATTGATGACTTCCTTGATCACAAACTTACCGTCAGAATACTTGGAATATGAGAATCAATACAGATTCTTGAATTACTTGTGGACGTGGTATTTAACTGTGAGTTATTTTAAGGATGTCTCCTACAATATGAGAGAATTATATATGGACCAACTGAAAGAAAAAGACCTCATTACTCAGATGTTGGATTTTATTGTTGATCAGATTGATTTTGATGATACCACATACTGGAAGACTGTTGAGATAAATGATATTTCCAATTATGAAATCCATAACAATCAGCTTGAACCATTTATCGAGGCCGTTAATGACGAGTGTAAAAAGCTACTTGTGCATTTGATGTATAAGATATTCAGTGCATCAGGCACATTGAGTGCCAAATGGTATATGAATATCAAAAATAAATCTTTGAGCTCCAAAATTGATCGTTTTGTATCGGAGTTCGTCTCTCCTATTCTGATATCAAATGAACTCAGAGAGGTTGAGAACAAGAAGGAATCATTGACGTCAAAAGATGACTCGTTAACAATTAAAATTAATGAAAAACTTCATGAGGTAAAAGCTTCATTTTTAATTGATGAACAAAAACTTGAAATTGCATTTAAACTGCCAGTAAATTATCCTCTAGAGAATATCCAAGTCATTGGTATTTCACGTGTTGGTATCAGTGAGCAAAAATGGAAACAGTGGATAATGTCTACTCAGCATGTTATAACTGGTATGAATGGATCTGTACAAGATTCTCTAGAGTTATTCACCAAAAATGTTGGTCTGCAATTTTCTGGATTCGAAGAATGTGCTATTTGTTATTCAATTCTGCATGCTGTGGATAGAAAACTGCCCACCAAAACATGTTCTACGTGTAAAAATAAATTTCATGGAGCATGTTTGTACAAATGGTTTAGATCATCAGGAAACAACACCTGCCCATTATGCCGTAGTGAGATAAATTTCCGCAGGTAAATCTCTTTTATAAACTAATTTATCTATACAATGCAGAGGAAGATCTCAATTTTATGATAAATGACAATGTTATTATTTAAGATGCAAGTATATAAAACAAATCATAGAACCAAACGGTCGTTTGGGATGTTTTTTTCCTTGTTTTCGTTGTACTGATAGATCGGTATACTTGCACTAGAAGCTGTTTTCACTTGTAGTGATTTTATACTACCTTTTATAACACCACCAGATGGCTTCATGTTTTTATCAGAAAGAAACTCAATAACATCTTGTATATTTTCTAATATTTGTTTAGCAGTGTGAGTACTAACGAACCCTACCTTGACATTAATACAATTGTCTTCATTTGGCATGTATGATGTATTTCTGCATATACTTTTCAACTGCGCCTTCAGATATACTGGGTCTATTGTTTCATCCATCTTGGCCCCTTTGTGCTTAACTTCCTTATTTATTCGAACCATGTAAGGAGTTTTTTTGCTGCTATGGTAGAACCTACTACCTAATATAGCTGGAAGTAAATGATGTACTCTAAAGTCAGCAACCACCATATCAAATTCTTTGTAGAGACTGGTCAATTTGCTCCCACGAAACCTCCTCTTCAAGTTCTTTACGCTAATGATTTCTTTGAATGTATCACTTGTTAATTCATTACTTGTCAAAACGTCTCTATATTTGTTTGCAGGGTCTTTTGTAATTAGAAGAATTCTCATATCCTTCACTTTAGACATTTTGTTATGTTTCAGCGGTATAACCCTAGGTATATAATCTTTTTTGATGCCTAATTTCTTTTCAGTATGGATAATAAGTTGGATATCATTGTTCGAATCTTGGTTAGTGGCATAGGATATCAAAGCATCTACGCCTTTTCTCGCAAATGCAGAGTCACACAATGATGGTGCCATGTTACTGTATGGTGCAAGTGTGTTGTAGCTTTAATTTGTGAACTAATCAAGAGACTTAAGGGACCACTGAATATAATATTTACTTCTTAGTTTTACTAGGTTAATGCGAAGCTCATCACTTTTTATTCAGTTATTTTTTTTTTTTTTTAATTTTTTTCACAACTGCGGCCGATGCTATCAAAGGATTGATATTGATCGATATATTCGAGTTGAATTAGAGCTATTAGTTGAGATATATGAATTTTAGCTGGATTATTACAATTGTTTATAAATTTATATCATTATTATTAAAAAAATGCCACTGTATCAAATGTATCAATAAATGAATCTCGCAAAAACAAAAATGTATTATTCAAATAAAATAAAATAGGCAAATGGGTAGTAGCATGAAAGAAATATGGTGCCACTATGGAATTTAAAGGTTAAATTAAGAAGCAACAATAAAATTAAGAGCAAATCCGTGGTCATTAAAAAGTAAAAGGAAATTTCTGTTAACGTTTCAAAGTGAAAAAACTAGATTGGAAAATCACTCTACAGAATATTCAAAAATATCTTCAGGGAATGATCTTTCCACAGTGTTCAAATAATTTGTATTTTCCCATTCAAACCTGTAATTATTATTATTATTTTGGTTGTGAATATTATGTGACCTTGATTCTTGTACATCCATCTTGGAGTCCTTTACTTCCAGCTCCGAAGCAAGTCTAGACTCTTCTTGCTCATCTACTATTTCATCGTCATCCTCTTGTTTATTGGTTGACGATTCATCATCAATTAAATCATCCAGTTCATGATCCTTTATGTCTTCTTCCTCTATAATCTCAACCTTTCTATCATATCTATCTTTTGGTTGTTCAATTTCTCTTGCTGCCTCGTTTGCGGCGTCTTCTTTTGGATGCGATACCTGTCTATTTATGGTTTCCTCTTCATGATGTTGAATCATATGCTCCTCATAATGAACACCTCTAAAATGTGTTTCTTCTGGCTCATTTCCTTGGGATTCCTCAACGGAAGGCTCTTCGTTATGTTGTTGCTCTTCATCTTCCTTCGATATAAATGTTGTTAACCATTCTTTGAAATCTAGAGGAAGTTGGATTGGAGTTGGGGGTTTTTCTATTGGTTGTTGTTCCTCCTCAATAATATCGCACTCGTCCTCGTTGATTTCGTCAATCTTCTCCAGACGCTCATTGTATTGCGTTTGCTCATGGTGGTATTCATCAGGTTGGTTCTCTTCTATGTGTTCTTCACACTCATCCTGTTGAGGTTCAATGTGCTCATCCTCGTCCTTGATGGTAGTATGGGCTAATAGATCAACCAGATCATACTGTATTTGGAAATCCAAGTACGCTGCTCTCCATTGAGCGGCATATGAGCTCTTTTGGAATTGCTCTTGAGACCATTTGCTCCATGGTTTATGTTTACCAATGAAATGCACTAAACGAATATGTGGGCCAAAGAATTTCATAGCTGGAGGGCACTCGTAGCCGTAATTTGGCGTAGTAACGTTGTAAAGGTATGGCAACCTAATCCATTCCTTAGTGGAGTAATTGGCTATTCTCCCAAAATCATTCAATCTCATGTTCTGATTGAAAAATTGATTTAGGATACCTTGGTCAGAACCATCAATGGACACCACATTTAAAATGTAGTTGTTTAGTTCGGCGACAACGTCCCTGTTAGGGACAATCATCATAACACCACTGTTGAAAATGTCTGGCCAGCCGATATCTGGGACAGCGGCGACTTGTTCGCTAGTCTGGTCGGCCAACTGGTCAAATAAGTCAAATATGCCAGAGTTCAGAGGCAAGGTGTCAGCGTCCAAGTAAAGTACTTGCTCATACTGGGTTAGCTCAAAGATCCTCGCTTTAATCAGAGCAAAGGACAGTTCAGGTCTCTCCAGCATTTTCAAGTTCTCCTTGTTCATGTCCTGGGTAATATGCTGGTAATCCAAAGGATCCACGAGCACAATATCATCGTACAAACAATTCAGCAAGTTCTTACTGATATCGCTCAGTATGTCATTGTACAGCAACTTGGTCACCACAATACACGTCTTAACACATCCACAACCGCCAGCATCGATAAGTTTCCGCAATTGAAACCCCAACGTAAACACACCAGGCAGATAATCCGCCGAATATAACAGAGTCGCTACAGCAACATTCTCCTTACCCATTATTGCTTTCCTCCTTTTCTTGTTCCTTCTCTCGCGTTCAGTTCTATAGAAGTAAGTAATATTCTATACATTATGTTTTGATACTTCTATACTTATATACAAAGAAAAATACCCCTGTTGGTCTACTAGCAACCCCCTTGGCCTTCCTATTCATATCAATAAGTCATTTTCAATTTTCAATTGGTTTTTTCTTTTCTCTCTGTTCTCATTTGTTAGAGAAATGCCTTTCCTTCGCGTCCACTCCTGCCCCCTCCACTCACAATGCTTACTCCTTTACCTCGTCTAAAGGAGTCCTTTGTTTGTTTTGATTTCAATAAAAAGCAATCATCTCAGGCAATGAATTTGCTTCCTTTGGTCCCTCTCCTTCCCTTCCTTCCTCTTCCCTCTCCCTCCCCCCCACACAAACAGGAAGCATCGTTCAGCAGTCAATGTTTATTCCTAAGATTCCTGCACGTCAAGCACGGTCTCGCACGGTCTGAATTACAACTTAGGAAGGTTTGTTGCGATATCCCTTTTGCCCTATTATAGCCATGAGGACTATACCATTTTGACAACTTTCCTAATTAGGACAATTACAAGTATACCAGCAAATTGATCCTTCCCCCCCCCCGAGTCAAGAACTGGAAAAGACAAGAAGAACAACTTTGTACGCAGGGCTCTGAGTAAACTATGGGACATGGTGGGGGATAGTGGGGGTGTGGCAGTGAGACATAATGCTATTACCTGCACGCTCTTCTTTAACCCCACCATATTTGACCACTTTTCCAGTTTCCTTCCTATGTTCCCCCCCTTTTTTTTATATTCACAGATATTCCGGGTGAGAAATACCCGCACAACCACCGGAAAAACTAGAACTTCAAACACCAATATGCCACCCTCCGCTTGGACGTCTCTGTCTTTGGCTTCCTAGAAGAGACACTCTCGCTTCCTACGTATGGTGTCTAGGAAAGGTAAATGGTGGTCACGTGTACCACACACCTTACTGTCACATTGTGTAGAAGTTAGCTGTGCCATATCGATCTACGTGTATGTAGCATATATTGGCGCCTGCACCAGTATTAGGAGGCTGCTGTTGAGTCATGAGCAGGTTGTTGTGAGCATTGGAAGATAAGGCGGTGCTTTTGAGCTTGTTTTTTTTGGTGGGGAATATGAGTGCCCGGTTGAAAGTTGTGTATGATGGGATGCATTACATGATCGTGTATAAGTCCGCGGGTGTGCTGTCGCAGCCCGGGTTGGCGAGTGACTCCCGGCCAGTTTTGATGTCTGAGTTGCGTGGACTGCTAAGTGAGACTTTGGACTTGTACAGTGTACAGAGACTAGACGCTTGTGTCACTGGCGGGACTGTGGTTGCAAAGAACAAGCGCGCGGCTATGATGTTCAGCCGGTATCTGAAACAAGGAGGAGGGTCTGGGTACGGGCTTACGCGGAGATACTTGGCCAGGATCAATGCGCAGCCAGTTTGCGATGAAGGTACTATTGAATCACCTGGAATGGTGACTTACTACAGGCGTGTTCGAGACGATTGTGTGGTGGTGGAGTTAAAGACGGGTAAGAAGCATCAGATCCGCAAACACCTCGCCCTAAATTTGAATTGTCCCATCGTCAATGATACATACTACGGTGGCAGTGTAGTGAAGGGTGTCAATGGTCAAATAGCACTGCATTCGGCTTTTGTGAGAACAAGAATAGGTAAAAATATGCAGGATCATTTGGTCGGTATAGAACCCCAGGAACAGACACTGTGGAAGTCGATACTTACTGAGAATGGCATGCTCCCTGACGATATAGTGAGAACCCTCACCAGAGATAAACTATTCTGAGTTTTTACCAATGTCGAAGATTTAAGGATTCGCTAGTATTCTCCACCGAAGATGGCACAAAAGCTAGGTAAAATTGGTTGCTAAAAAATTCGGTAACACTGTGCTAATTTCCCCCCATCGCTATAGAAACGCTACCATGACATACAATTACTAATATGTACTAGGTCACATTCTTTCGTTTGGAAGTATATATGTTGTTCTGGCCTTCGACTCTGGTTATCAAGTAATCGAATGCGAAAATAGCGAAGTAAAGGTGACTTAGTTTGCGTGTGGTGGAAAACCGATGACTTCCCAAACATCTTACATTTAGTAGTGGCAAAATCGTTGGATTGTGCGCTTACTAATTATTTCTAGTCTCGAGGTAAGATATATAAGAGTGTTTGCTATCTAGGAAACAAGTCACATATCCAAAGAACAGGCATAAGCAGCTAATCAAAGGCAGTTCACTTCTAAAGAATAGAATACTGATTTACTTACATTATGTTTCGCCAGGCAGTTAAGGGTATACGTACCTTGAGGAATTTTAGCCATTGCAGACCTCGTCTCAATGCATTGCCACAAACACGCACCTCGGTTCTACCAAATGGTCTCACTGTTGCTAGCGAGTTCATACCCAACAAATCTACCGCTACTGTTGGTATTTTTGTTGATGCAGGATCTAGAGCTGAGAATGAAAGAAACAACGGTACAGCGCATTTCCTCGAACATTTGGCTTTCAAGGGAACACAGAATAGATCACAAACCGATATTGAACTTGAAATTGAAAATATTGGTTCACATTTGAATGCTTATACCTCTAGAGAGAATACAGTTTACTACGCTAAATCTTTGGAAGGAGATGTGCCAAAAGCTGTGAATATATTAAGTGATATTTTAACTAGATCAGTGTTAGATCCCAAGGCTATTGAAAGGGAAAGAGATGTTATTATCAGAGAAAGTGAAGAAGTTGACAAGATGTACGATGAGGTTGTGTTTGATCATTTGCATGAAATAGCATACAAACAACAGCCTCTTGGTAGGACAATCCTTGGTCCTATCAAAAATATCAAATCAATCTCAAGAAAAGATCTGAAGAGTTATATAACCGAAAATTATAAAGGTGACAGAATGGTGCTGGCCGCTGCCGGTGCTGTGGATCACGAAAAGTTGGTCGATTATGCGCAAAAATATTTGGGTCACATTCCAAAATCTGAGTCACCTATGCCCCTGGGTTCTCCAAGGGGACCTTTACCAGTCTTCCAAAGAGGTGAACGTTTGATACCAGAGAACACGCTTCCAACAACACATATCGCCTTAGCACTGGAAGGTGTTTCATGGTCTGCTCCTGACTATTTCATCGCTTTGGCAACCCAAGCTATTGTTGGTAACTGGGATAGAGCTGTCGGTACAGGTACTAACGCTCCTTCCCCATTAGCTGTTGCAGTTAACAAGGGTAACAATACTTTGGCTAATTCATATATGTCATTTTCTACATCCTATGCTGACTCGGGTCTGTGGGGTATGTACATTGTCACAGATTCCAACGAGCATAACGTGCAAGCTATCATCGATGAAGTATTGAAGGAATGGCGCAGAATCAAGGCTGGTAATATCACAGACGATGAAGTTAACCGTTCTAAAGCCCAGTTAAAAGCAGCTTTGTTACTGTCCTTAGATGACACCACGGCAATCTTAGAGGATATTGGCAGACAAATTGTAACTACAGGTAAGAGGCTATCTCCAGAAGAGGTCTTTGAAAAAGTTGATAATATTACAAAAGAAGATATTGTTTTATGGGCTAACTACAGGCTGAAAAATAAGCCAGTAGCAATAGTAGCTCTGGGTAATACAAAAACTGTACCAAGTGTAGACTATATCGAAAAACAACTAAATGCATAAAACATCAGTGACTGTCCGCAAATTGGAATTGTTCTCCTACACTGGCATGATGTAAATTGCCAACCTATAATGTCATCAGATCTATCTACATATGCTGTGATCTGTAAGAGCGAATCACACAAAATTATTTTTCTTTTGTATATAACTTGTATAAAATTATGCATATTCTCTGTCAATTATAGATGTTTATTTATGGTCTGTAATGCATTGTTCACAGACCCATTTGAGTACTTAAGAGGTTAATAGGGCAATTAAGGTCCACTTATTATCTGTTTCTATCTCAGTACTAGAATAGAACAACGAGGATAGAAAAATAATAGACTACTGAGTTTATGAAATGTTATTATCTTTCACAACACAGATATATATATGGTTTAGTAACAATTGCGAGATTTTGTATATACATTATATGGGTTAAATTATTTGATTGAAAACTATAAAAAACACAATGGGCGTGTGGCGTAGTTGGTAGCGCGCTCCCTTAGCATGGGAGAGGTCTTGGGTTCGATTCCCAACTCGTCCATTTTTTGCTAATCCTCTGTCGTTGACTAATAACGGTCATGTATATACAATTTTTATGTAAGTAGTTTCCTATTCATTTTTATTTTTTTGCTATTTTGGCTTCTTTTTTGTCTATTCACCAATGCAATGGAAAACGCTTTTTGCTTTCTGTTCTATAATATGCCAATTTGTACTTGTATCATAGGAACTGTTTCCAATACACTGTGTGAGGCGTAGTTTGTGATCTCATCTCATCTCGGAATTTATTTTGCTAATTTTCAGGTCTTCTCAGTATTCAAATAATTGAAAAAATTTGATCTCAATTGAATCAAGTTATTGAAGAATCTATTGATCTTGAGCTAAATAACTGAAATAATAGGATTGTACAGCTTGGTTATTTTTACCTTCTCAATTTTGTGATTCATACTGAACCATTATACTTAAAAACTGAAGCATTTCGAAGCTCTTTTTGCAAGGTTCTCCATCTATAAGACGTGGACTAATTCGGAAAAATCGTGAGCTTATAAGTGGTTAAACAACGCAAGTGTGAATTAAAAGTTTTAGATCTCCGAATCAACATTATCGATAAGTGGGTCTTCTGAATTAAGTTTAGAAATTAGCATTTAGAAAAATACTTCAAATAGTATTTTCTAATATACTGGACAATCGTTTGGAAAAAGGACCCTTTCAGATTCAGGCACATTTATAAATACCTAAAATTTATCTCATAATTGCAAACTCTCTAGTACTGTTTTGAAGATGTATAAACTACAGGTCTTATTGGTACCCCCAAGTATACAAAATAATAACTTTTCGTTAAACTATAATTATGGGCAAGCAAATAATTCAATCGCCGATCAATCTCAGCAATTGCCGAATAAAGTGAACGGTACTTTTAATAATACATTTAATGGTCAGTCGCAACCTGATAGTTCGATTTTTCCTGTACTGACAAGGAGTAACAGTTCCTTGCTTACACCTAACTACTATGCACAGAGAAGTATGAAGAAGTTCTTGCATTTTACCAAAGCAAATAATACGTTGTTAGATCTTTCTGATGAGATAAATGATAAATGCAAGGCAATGTACCCTTCTCTTGAGGCCGATTTGGACATATTAAGTCTACAAGATAGTAACGGTTGTGATTTAGATCCTGACTTTGTCGTCAAGGATGTATTTAATGTGGATAACATAGTAAGAGTAATATTAAATGACGAACTTGATATATCAGAGATTACTCCTGTCTCGTCATACCGTTCGATAAAAAGAAGGAGGCTGAATCCCGAATCTCTTGCAGATAGCAAAGATCAATCAGATTTTGGGGTGGAGTCACAATCAATAAAGGTGGTAAAGAAAAGAGGCTCAACTTCGAATGTTATTAAAGGTCAATCTAATATTAATGGTAGAATTTCTACACCGCTAGCTAGACAATTGTATCCACCTAGCGCAATTTTCGAACCTCAGAATTCGGATGATGAAGAAGTTGCTGATCGTTCTTTTCTTCCTCCTCCTATACAGCCAGGCTCCCCTCCGATTAGAATTAGTTCCGGCATAGATACGAATGTGAGAAAGATAACATCTAGAATTGGAGAGCAAGATACTGTATCTAGATCAGCCACTGTTGATCCAGATAAATCTAGACAACAGAGACTTCTTTCAGGAACTCCGGTGATGTCAACTATGACACCCAATCGTGTAACATTGACAGGACAAAGGGTTATATCTGAACAGAGACCCAATGATTCCGTTCTAACTTTCACAAACAGGCATATTAATGAACCAAGTCATTCAAGAAGAATAACTTCAGGAATGCTACAAATTCCTGAACCAAAGATTGCAGAGATGGAGAAAGAGCTTCTTGAGGGGCCCTCTAGCCCATCTACCATTTTGCCTCCTATTCCTGATAAGATTCCCATGAAAAAGCCATTTATAGAAACGGAAAGATATTATTCAGAGGACAGTTCCGAAACTGAAAGTAACTCTGGTGAGATCAATGCTAAGTCCTCATTACACCGCCAGACTTCAATTGCTGATAATAATGGGTCCCCGTTAAGGACTAATTTTCTTAATGAAGCTGTTCACTTAGCAGATTTACCTGAGTTGCAGAAGTCTGAGAAAGCTAGCAAACCCAGAAAACAGGTTTATGGTAGCATTACTGTTAATTCAAGTAATTTGCAACCGATTCCTAATAACATTAATAATTATGTTGAAACTAATGCTACAAAGGTGAGATCTACTGTCAATGATTTTGGTATCTCATCGTCTTCTGATGACGAAACAACGTCAGAAACTCATTCCAAAATGTCTGATGAGGATTATGAATCATCTGATAGTAACAAAACCATATTTGAAGATGATGATGATGATGATGATGATGATGATGAGGCTAACTCAACTGTTGTCCATATCCCAACCAAACCTGTCCTGACCCGAAAGAGTAATAAAAAGATTTTTCAGAGAGATGAACTACTCAGGCTAATGGAAGGAGACAGAGACGGCTTGCCTGTTTCAATTAAGAGAGAGCTTTTAAAAATGTATCCTGATTTCCCACCTCAAAAACATGACAAAAAACTGGGTCCTGAATCGAAATTACATCCTAGTCATAATGCCATACCTAAATCTCCAGGTAGTGATGGAGATAAGCAAAAAAATAGCGCACAAATTCCCCATATTGAATATTCTTCAGAAGAATCTTCAGATTCTCTTTCCGAAATTTATGTTGAGGAGGTGGATGAAACTACGAAAGGACAGAAGAAAAAACCGAACAGACGGAACAAGAACAGTGAGGAGCCATTGTCTGAGCTACATCCACTAAAAGAAACAGTAATTGATATAAAGCAAAATGGAAACAGATCAGTCAAAGAGAATATTACAGAATCTTTAGACTCAAATAAAGAACATGGAGAATCGGTAGGGAAGAATGATTTTGACGTTAACAATACAGAAGAGATGAGTCGGCACCAAGTGAATAGTAATTTACATGAATTACCCATAAAGGTGCATTCCACTGATTCCTTATCTGAGACAAATGCTAGAAATGAATCAGGAGATAATGCATATAATTACAAAACTTCTAAAAGTGCTGATCAGAATGATGATTTAGCGTCTACTGCGAATAATGATATTTTCAAGTCACTGGTAGATTTCAGATCTTTAGTAGCTAAAATTAAGAAAGATAAATCAGAAAATAATCCTAATGGCTCTGCTATGCGTGATAATAGCCAGGGTAGTTCAAACTCACCTGTTTTAAATTCAACAAGTTTTCCGAATGTTGTAAATAACGCTGCCTTTGGATCTACATATACAAGAAAAGATACTGATAAAAACGTTTCTTTGAAAGATAATTCTAAGTTGGTGTCTAGTGCTGTCAATGCTTCTGCCTCTCAAAATGAACAAGGCCCACCAATATATCCTCCTGAAACTGAGCGTTCTGGAAAAGAGTTAATTGAATCGAAAATAAAGGGTTTACCACCATCTAAACTAATACAAGAAAAATCAAGCACCTTCCGGACTCCTCATTCTAAAAGTGCGCAGACTACTAGTCCTATTGCAGAGGTAGTTTCAGGACATGAAGTTGCTGTTAAACAGATAGAGGATATGCAACAATTTAAACCCCTGGACGTTAGGAAATCAACATCTACTTCTCTTCTAAAGAAAATACCAGCCAAGGATGTTCCTGTCACTCAAGTAAAGAATACGCCATCTACGAAGGCAGTACAGGACAAAGAGACTGTTGGCCCGGCCACACAGCATAAGTCCACACAGTTGGAGGCCAACTCAGTTCCCAAGAAGGTACCAGCCAAGGATGTTCCTGTCACTCAAGTAAAGAATACGCCATCTACGAAGGCAGTACAGGACAAAGAGACTGTTAGCCCGGCCACACAGCATAAGTCCACACAGTTGGAGGCCAACTCAGTTCCCAAGAAGGTACCAGCCAAGGATGTTCCTGTCACTCAAGTAAAGAATACGCCATCTACGAAGGCAGTACAGGACAAAGAGACTGTTAGCCCGGCCACACAGCATAAGTCCACACAGTTGGAGGCCAACTCAGTTCCCAAGAAGGTACCAGCCAAGGATGTTCCTGTCACTCAAGTAAAGAATACGCCATCTACGAAGGCAGTACAGGACAAAGAGACTGCTAGCCCCGCCACTGAGCATAAACCCTCAAAGCGCGTTGACCGTAAAGTCTTGGATAGCACACAGAAGGAAATCTCCATTACCCAAAATAACAGTGTGCAGTCAAAGAAAGTAGTACAGGATAACACTGTGGATGTAGCTAGTCATAAACAGCAAGACCCATATGTATCAGCTAGAGATACATTGTACACAAAATTGACTGGAGGTGAACAGGGTGATAACCATTTATCGACGAGCAAAGCAACTGCGAAAGTTGATTTACCTACGAAAAAACTGCCTAATGCAAGTAATGGCAATGTAGTTATCTCACAATCACCTTCTGATATAAATGCCTCCCAAACTTCAACTAAAAACAAAGTAACCCCATCTTCAGTTGAGAATCAATCGGGGTCAAGTAAAAATCCAAATATTGCCAGTAAAAATAAACAAGACATTACGACTTCAGAAAAGGATAATAGCATTTCTTCACAGTTTACAAGCGAGGTTGATAAACATGTTGAGGGCAATGATTCTAAATCAGGTATACATGTAAGATCTTTTGATAATGTCAAAAGTGCACCATCAGAAAAAGATCTAAATAGTAATACTGCTCCGCCTGTTAATAACTCACAGAAGACCAATGGCAGAAATGGTTTAGACGAACAGTTGGAGCAACGAGTGGAAACTGTTACTAGATTGCCAAGTCCGGTGAAAAATAAAATCAGGGAGCAACAGAATAGAGTTAATGGTAAAAGCCAGCAATTAGAGGCTGTGACTTCGCCTGAGACAACTGCTGTCATTGGGCGCTTGGATGGGAACAATAGTAATGTCATAGGTAACCAATCAAAGAAACAAACAGGTACTAAAGAGGAAACTGATAAGAAGATAAGAGTGACACATAATAATACCAAACGAGACTCAGCAACTACTGCTGATTTAGGAAGTATGGGTCTTGGATCTAGAAGTAAAAATGAAGGCTTGATTGATGTTTCGAGTAATATGGACCCTATCTCAACCTCCGATAATATGAATCTTAACACTAAAGTTGCAGTTGGTAGTAGTTCACCGGCTCTAGTTGATACCCAAATGAATAGAATGAATAGAAATCCTGATACTGACTCAGTAAATTCAGTATCTTCGCAGCTTGTAAATAAAGCAGGTATTGTTAGGGGTATTTCTGGACATAATCATGACACAGCAACTGAAGAAAGTTCGACCGATGATAGCTCCACTGATGAATCATCTGATGAATCATCATCATCTGAAGATGAGAGTAAAGATTATAGAAAGACCAGGAGGTTGATTGTTGATGTGCCTAAAGGACCTGTAATTGACAAAAAAATTACATCAAGTTCTATTGATCAAGAACATCAAAATAATTCAGTTCAACAAAATGACAACAAGATTGAAGGCAAAAAAATTGAAGCAACAACGTCTGGTAGCAACAGCACAAAAAAAGAACCCTTTGTTGGCGTGCTACAGGCGTTACCTGAAAAGATAAGGCCTTCGCTAAGCTCTTTATCAGATTTAGTCTCTCGAGGAATCCCTGATGTAAGAGAGTCCACAATCAAAGGTAGAAGCACGGCTCACCAAATTGTAGGTGGAAAAGGAAATTCCTCTAATGTGTCTTTCTCACTTGGTGTCAGCAGTTCCCAACAAAAGAGTTTGGGATATAAGCCTACTGTAGATAAGCAGGCATCAGGTGTAACAAAGCAAATACCAGTGAAACCACTGTCTAATTCCGAATCAAGTTCAGAGTCAAGCACATCGGAATCCAGTTCTGGGTCCGAATCTGACTCTGATTCAGATAGTGACTCTAACACGAGCTCGGACAGCGACTCTGATTCGTCATCTGATTCTGATTCAAATGATGGTAAGTCCAAAAAGAAAAGCAAAGCAGTAGATTCATTTATCAGTGCTAAATCAGCTAGTAGTGCACTTAAGAAGAAAAAGAAGTCAACAGGCTTTGCTTCACTAATACGAGACTCTAAAAAAAGGTGAATTGCTAGTTTTGAATTTGCAATACAACATATATTCAGCTAGACATGTATTTACGTATAAATGTGTTTATTTTATAGACATGAATACTATTTTAGCATTTTGAAAACTAGGAGCATGTTAACACTGCCAATATATATCAATCGGGATTTCAGAAATTATATCTCGGATAGTTTATTGCCACCTTTAATAAACCGCTTGGCCTCCTCCTTTGTTACCTCAATAACAGAAGATTGCTTATTTTCATATTTTACTCTGTAGAATTTATTAGCAGCATCCACCATATCAGATCTAAATGTAGTGCAAATGAATTGTGCATTGTTAGATAGTTGGGAGATGGTTTGAGCAACAGCTCTTCGGTATTGTTTATCAAGAGCGGCATCGATTTCGTCGAACAAATAAAATGGTGCAGGTTCTACCATTTGTATAGCAAGTATCAGTGCTATAGCACATACTGTTTTTTGACCTCCTGAGAGTTGTTCTACCTTTAATTGTTCATCTTGCTTAGAATTAAACGAGACTGAAATAGAGACACCCTCATATGGTGTCGTGTGCTCGTTGCTTTGTGTAAATAACTCAGAATTGTCGTCCGTCCCTTGTAGATTGATTCTGTGAATATTCAATGTTGCTGTCCCCCTGGGAACAATTTTTTCGAATATCATAACAAAATTTTTTGAAACCTTATCAAAGGTTTTATCGACTGCATTAAGCTTCTGTTCTTTCAATTTTATAATTAAGTCTTGTATAGATTGTTTTGAGTCATCTAATTCTGTTGCTCTCTCTCTGAGTTCTGATTGTTTCTCATTAAACTTCTTATAGTTTTCGAATGCTCTTTTATTAATATTTCTCATCCCTGAAATTTCCTTATTGGCTTCATTTAGTTTTAATAAAAGATCTTCACTTGATAGAGTTTTAAATTTATCAAGCGTATCCTCTGAAATAATTCCAACTTCCCTTATCTTTTGTTCAATTTCTTTCTTTCTGGTAGCCAACGTGGTTTTTTTGATCATTGTTTTATCAACATCCTTTTGATATTCATCCAATTTCTTCAAGAGAAGTCTTTGTTGATTGTTAGCTTTTTCAAGTATTCTTTCTTTGTTGGTAATCTCTGCCTTTGTGCTCTCGATCTCCTTTTCGATCGATTGAAGAGCTCTTTTTTGAATTGTGAGCTGATTGTCAGCTTCACTGGCACGTCCTTCAAGTTCTTCAGAATCAAGTAATAGCTGTTCTATGATGCTGTCAGAAGAATCTAGCAATTTTTGCTTAATGTCATTTTGTTGTGGTATCAGTTTGGATTCCAATTCTGCAGTGATTGTGTCAATTTCGACAGACAGATGTGATAATGTTTCAGAGGTCAAATTCAGTTTATTTTGGTTTTCGAGAATTTCTTTTGATAGTATTTCTATCTCTTTCTTTTCTTCTGTGGTCAATTCATTATTAAACGTCTTAGTCAGGTCGATTTTTAATTGAGTCAATTTTTCACCGGAAACTCCCAAATTTAGGTCAACAGAATCTATTTTCTCACAAATATTAGTCTTTTCTTGTTGTAAGAATAAGAGTTCGTTTCTTTCATGTGACAATTTATGCTTCCAAGTGTTCAAATTTGATTGCATATTCTCCTTTCTGTTCATTACAAGGCGAATACTACCATTTGTGCTATCTATATCATTATCCATTTCGGTTAGTTCATTTTTAATCTCTGTCAATTTGGCGCTAATTTCAAGTAACTGTCTCTTCGATAATGCAACAGTTTGTAGTAATTCTAACCTCGATTTTTTGCTTTGCTCAAGATAGCCACCCGTCAGGACACCTTTTCCGTCAACGCGATCACCATCTAAAGTAATGCAAGACAATTTATATTGTTTCGAAATTGACAACCCATTTGTCAAGTCCTTAACAACCAAAGCACGTCCAAAAACTTGCTTCACAACACAGTCAAATTGCATATCATACTTGATTTTCTTGATTAAAGGTGTGCATGGTATATTTGGATCAGATGGATAATCAATGTTCTGATTGCCATTTTTCAACTTGTTAAGCGGCATAAATGTAACTCGACCACCTTTCATTCTGAATAATTCGTTCATGAGTATGCTGGCTGTTTCATCGGTATCGACTACTACATGAAATAACGAGTTTCCACCAATCACTTCTGCACAGACTTTGTATTTTTCATTAACTTGTATCAACTCACCAACAGTGCCAAAAACAGATTCTGTTCCTAGATTTAGCCTTTCACAAATTTCTTTCACGTTTTTGAAACCATTTGCTAAAGATCTACTCATTGTTTCATTTAAAGATCTTTCATTTTCTTTGACTTCATTTACAAGAGAATCCGAAATCATCTGAAGTTTTTGCTCTTCACGCCATTTTTCCTTTCGTGCATCAATGTTTGCCGTATACTTTCTTCTGAGATTAATCAATTCCTTCTCGATATCCTCAATTTCTGCTTTGATACCAGGACCATTGAGAGAATCTTCTAGCTCTTCTATATTGTTTTCTGACTCATTGATTTTTACATCAATAGAGGATTTCTGTTCCTTCAACTCAGTAGTTGATGCTTTCATGGTATTTATCGATTCGCTGAGTTCCTTTATTTTTGAATTAATCCATTCATCTCTTTCTTCTTTAGATTTGAATCTTGCATAACTTCCCTTCTTTAGAAGAAAGTTGTTCTGTTTTTCTATACATTCCTTCAGATGATGTTTTATCAATTTCTCCTCTGATTGCAACTGGTCAAATCTAGGACTGATCTTTCTCCTCTTTGATTTTTTGGAATCTATTATTTCTGTTATCAGTTTCAAATTCTTGCGATCATTGTCATGTTGCTCTTTGTTTTGTTTAATCTTTTCCTTTATATCTTTCAGTTGCAATTTAATTGCTTCTGATCTTTCAAGACTTTCCTCCAAAATTGCCTTAGCTTGTTCAAGATCAACAGTTGCTTTCAGTTTTAATGATTTTTGTAAATTTTTGATTTCTTCATTTACCTCTTTAATCATGTTCTCTCTTTTTTCCAATTCCAAAATATACTTCTTCGAGGACCCCAGAGTGTCGTTGTAATCACCGTCCAAGCTTTCGATCTGTGAGATTATATCTTGTAATTCCCTATCGTGTAATGTATATCTAAGAACTTTTCTATCTCTTTCCAGGCTGTTGTATTTCTCAAGCTCTTTTCTTTCCTTTTCCATTTCGTTGAGTTTAGACTCGAGCTCCTCCATTTCCGCCGATATTTGCGCTCTTTTCTGTTCAGTTTCATCCATTTGCTTCATTGACGCTTTTAGTTTGACTTCGAAAGATTTGGCACCGACTACTTCTTCTAACAGTTGTAGTCTTTCTTTATCCTTTGCATTAGTGAGCGAGACAATTCTGCCCTGTGGGACTATATTATATGGGTTGCTCATATAGAAGCCCGCACTTTCCAACATCCTAACTAAATCACCTTTAGTGACATTCCTGTCATTAACTTGGTAGTCATCTTTCTTCAAACCTACTGTTCTTCTTATACGCACTTCATCAGAACTGCCATTGCTATTTATACCAGTGGGTGCAATGATGCTATGTTCAGGGTCATGGAAAACAATCTCCACAGAGGCACTCATGACTGAGGCCCCAGCTCCTTGGTGTATCAACCCTTGACGCTCCTCACGTTTCAAGTTGCTGTAATCATCACTCAGCACAAACCTCACAGCGGCAAAGAAGTTGGACTTACCAGAACCGTTAGCACCAATCACAACATTGTGATGCGGCGAAAAATCACCAATTATCGTCTCATTCCGATAAGTCTTGAAACCCTTTATGATAACACGCTTGATATACATCGCAATATATACCTTTCTATCTTAGCTCAGCTTCGAAGAGTGTTGGTGGAATAGCACAGCAAGTAATAGTAACAGGTAGTTGCTTCTGTATTTGCACCACCAGTAAGTAGTTCCTGGTATAACAGTTTCAAAATATCTTTAGAAACCTTATAAAGCAACAAGCGCCGATAGCGATCCCAGATCTGAAAGACTTTCAAACTGAAAGCTTCAAATGAAACACGAAAATTAATATTTAGAAAAACTAAAAGTACTTGACGCGTCGTATAAATATTGCATTCAACGATTGTGGTCACATGTATATTATATTTTACGATATATCATATGACCTCATGTTTCGTCAACTATCATATACATTTTTGACTAGCATAGAGGATTTTGCATTTGATGTACTTGGAGGTAGTAACTAAACAGATTGTTATGAATACTGTGTATATTGGCCTCGAAGCAGGTAGCTATTGAGTGTCCAATTTTGAACTTCTGTGGAAGCAATTGATAAGGATAGCAGCTGTTACCTCGATTTTTATTTCCTCGGGTGAGTTTTATTTGTTACTGGTACAATTGTTATAGGTCTAGAAAGGATTTAACTTGCATAGGGTTTGTTCTTTGCTCAGGTTACAGTTTTACAAAATACATTTAACTTGTTTGAAAAAGGTGGGAAAACTAAATGGTTGTACTTCGAAAGCTTTTTGGTTTGGTTCCCTTGATTGGGTTTACCATTGCGGAAAGTACGTGTGAATATAAGGCCTTAAGCAACGAGGCTCAAAGCTTGAAGAATGACATTGATTCCTTGAACAGCTATGACACCTTGATAAGCATAGTAGAAGAATGTCTCGTGGCAGATAAGCATAAGGACTACGACGACCTGATAAAACTGTCGTACCAATTATACTACAAAAATGGTTTGATACAACTGTCGGCAGGAAGATATCATAAGGCCGTGGCGCTGTTTGAGAGGGCGCTCGGTGGAAATACGAATACTGGTGATTCTTATTTCCTACTTATTGCGAAGAAGTTGCAGCAGATTTATATAGATTTCGGATTATGGAGTAATATAACATCCACTACTCTGCCTATTACTGAGAAAATTGATCCTGCACTAAAAGAAACATATGAGGAGAGACAAAGAGTGTATCATGATACTTTAAATCGGATCAAAGAAACGTTTTCAAAAAACAAAAATGAACAGCACCTTGAAGAACTCTTTGATTCATTGACAGAAATATCTCCCTATAACCGTGAGGTCATATATATGGCCATTGATTATTACAATGCTAATATTATTACCAATAATAGGGTTGACCTAACAAGAGTTATAAAATTGAAGGAGAAATATGAAACATTACTGGAAGTGCATAGTACTTCGCTTACCCTGAACGAAAGGCTCGAAACTCATTTCAAGATTTCGGTAATCCAAATATTTTTGTTAGGACAGGATCCTCTTATTCAAGGAAGTTCTTCTCATTTGAGAAGATGTCTAAATATTGACATGGACTATGGTCCATGTAAAGATTTGATCAAGCTAAGTTCTCGTTTGAACAAGGTAAATCCCGACATGAGGCTGGTGAAAGATCCCGAGGCATATAAAAATGGGCATATTATAATTGAAGATTGGAAAAATGTTGTAGACTTCTATATTAACAATAAGCCCTCTTTGAAATTATTTACCTTAATGAAAGGTGCCAAATTTGACACTAAAACTAACTATGATTTGTTGAAAAGGCTTCAGTTCCATCTGCTCTCTACATTAACTGGACAACAAGAACAACCAGAAAAGTTGATCACAATGTTTTTTGTAAACTTAGATGTGATACTTTGTCAAGCGTCTTCTTTCTTGTCAAAAAAGGATAAAAAGGAAACATCTAAAATGTGTTTACATGCTCTAAGCAGTATTGGTCTCGAGACAAAAGAAGCTTATCGCGAAAGTTTGTCAAATGGATCGCCTCTGCCGGCTGAAACTGTTATTGATCTATGGAATTCTTATCCACACATGCTTATCTACACCATGACTAATATTGTTAAGAAGTATGGTAAAAAACAAAGAGGTAGTGACAATTTGGTTGAACAGGTGAGCAAATTTTGGAATGAAAATAACTTGAGGGAAAGTAAAAATCCATATGTTGTAAACTTGAATAACTTAATGGAAAAAGTGGATAAGAACAAGAGGGAGCAGCAGTTTAGACAACAACAGCAGCAACAACAAAGGTTTTTTCAACAGCAACAGCAACAGCAACAAAGATATCAACAACAGCAGGCCAGTGGGTTAACTGATAGCCAAACTGCTAAAAATTATTACCAAATTTTAGGTATAAAACCTGAAGCATCTGATAAGGAAATTCGTAAGGCCTATTTAAGTTTGACTAAAAAGTATCATCCAGATAAGCAAGGTAAACAACTATCAGAAGAGGAAGAAAAGAAGAATGACGAGAAGATGTCAGAGATTAATGAAGCGTATGAAGTATTAAATGATGAAGAAAAAAGGAAGGAATATGACTCTATCAGATCAGGATCGAGGCAGTTTCAACCTAGAAACAATTTTAGAACTAACCAGAGAAGAGGTGGTTATCAAGGCTTCCAAGGTGGATTTCCGGGAGGCTTTCCGGGCGGCTTTCCATTTGGTAGTGGTTTTGGTTTTTAAGGCGTGTTTTAGAGCACCACAAAATCGAATAATAGATTTTATCTTTAATTGTGATAATATGTGAACAAAGATGGTGATTTCATTGAAAAGTTGTTATTCCTTTTTCTTATTGGTTTTAAGTCGGGCAAAGTTTGTTCTGGAATATCAGGAAAGAATATAAATAGCACAAATAATGTGATTGTTTTTTGTTGGCGTTGATATTATTCATGAACATGAAAGAATTATTCATTAAAGTGTATATATCATTATTTTATAGAGTTATTAACAATTATAGTCGATGTCTAAGAATGACAATTCTAAAATAGTTTTAAATAAAGTGGCATTTTTGCTAGATTTCTTCTTCGTCTCCATCAACTACTCCACCATCCGTATTGGCAGAATCATGAATCTCTCGAAGTTTATCCATCGTCCTCACTATAAATGGTCGAAGTTCATTAATTTCTAGCAAACTCAGATTATCAAGTTGTAAATGAGATGCATTTAATTGTTTTAAACCTTTCAGCACTTTCGTTTGTCTTATTTCTCGGAGGTCTTGAACTTTGCTACGCAATTCATGTACTGGATCATGAAAATCATCTGCTGCTTTTGCAAACAGTACATTGGCGATTACCAACCAATTCCATGGTAAATCGCAAAACCTATCTGAGTTATTCGTTTCTTGTTGGATCTTACGATTAAGTTCGCGTAATGTCAGCCAGGAGGGAGCCACTATACTACATTTGTTTTGTTGTTTCAATAACAACGCTATCCACAGCTTTACTTCAGTAGACCTCATCGCTACCATATTATTCAAGTTGTCGTTTTCAGTGGTTAACATACTCCATTTTGTATCCACATCACCGTATGCTCCTCTGTTCTTATCCCTCCGTTTCTGTCTCGTAGTTATACGGGGAAATATCTTAACTGTCTCTTCTTCCACTAGAAACTGCACTTCTTCTGGACTGAATGTCTCTTGCAAATGAGCAGGCAATGCCATTTTTCACTTAATTTTATAATTAGCCAAACTTGCCCTCAACTATATTAAACCCTAGCCTATTACTACTTGTTGATTGCGCTAAATAATTACTCCACTAGTGATGCTACTGCAGTTCATAATACAAGTAGTTATTGCATGTCAATTTCGTGATTCCCACTCTAAGCTTTTCACAACATCAGTGAATTTTTGAAAAAATATTGCGATGAGCTTGAAATTAAGGTAACGAGCTCTATTTTATACAAAGAATATTGAGTAGCTCAGTAGTTTCTGTACCATTATTAAGTTCTCTAAAGGTTCTAGTCTATTATTCTATTGTTAGTGACGCTCAATTGTATAGCTGGGTGGAATGTGGGCTCACTTGTTCAAGCATGGATTCAAGTATGAGCAACAAAACTCGTTGTCCAAGAGCCTTATTCTGAGTGTTTTAAACTCTACTGCTACAAAGCGAGAAGCGAAGGATTACTTGATCAAGTATGCTAATGGATCTTCAAACTATCACTATTTATTGCTGATCAGAAATATCGCCACGCAGAGTGAGAGGTCTTTACATAGACTTTCGGACTCGATAAGACGGTTGAAATTCCTCGGTATTAGTCCCGTATGTGTTCTTTTACCCTCAGGTAGAATACAAACGGAGGTTGAAAAAATGGATAAGCTCATAACTCTATCACAATTGAAACCCTTAGTTTTGGACTACGGATTGTCTAGGGCTTTTGACGGAAGTTATGAGTCAATCATGCAGACTGCACTTGATACCGAGTATTGCACCACAAGAGGTATTGTGCCAATTGTGAAGCCATATATATATGACCAGAGCACTGCTTCCCGTGGGTTAATTTCAGATCCTGTGCTGTTTATGGACCAGTTATCTAGGGATAGCTCTTTAAAGTTTGATAAATTTTTTATTCTGAATAGAAGTGGTGGTATCCCATCTGGTGAACGTAACCAAAATTCGCATATATTTATAAACCTTTCTCAAGAGTATCAGAAGATACATAGAACATTGACAAGTTCTATTAGAACTATAGTGGAAAGACAACCAAGAAGTGAAGATTTGCTCGATAGGTTGGAACTATATGTTAGGGAAAGTGACATAATATCTTTGGAGGCGGAGTATAAGGAGCACATGGAGAACTTACAACTGATGAATACAGTCTTATCCAACTTGTCTTCTAGTGCTACTGGAGTTATAACAACTATTAACGCTGCGTCCTCGCCATCTGATACTGTTAATCCACTCGTTCATAACCTCCTTACAGATCGATCAATTATCTCTTCTTCACTTCCCAGATTCAAGAATAAATCTGGAAACTTTTTAAGCCCAAGTGGTCAAGATTGGTATGAAATGCCAGTGGAGATAGAAACAGATGAGGAAACTCTACAAGGTGAAGATTCAGTATTCGTTACCACAGTGTTGAAGAAAGGTGTCGACATCAAAGAATTTGATTATTCTCATCTTACTAGTGAAAATACTGTCAATCTTCCTAAACAATTTCAAATCAAGCTCCATGATGAAAGTACATACAATAATTCATGTTCAAAGTATAAACTGGACTTGGTAAAATTTAAAAACATAATTGATAAAAGTTTCGGAAGGGAACTTGATCTAAATCATTACCTAAACAGAATAAACGGAAAGATTGCATCTATTATCATTATTGGCGATTATGAAGGAATAGCTATTCTAACTTACGAAGGACCACCGGATAATAAGTTTGTATATCTGGATAAATTTGCTGTTCTGCCACATTTGAAGGGCTCCCTCGGTATTTCTGATATTATTTTTAATCTGATGTTTAAGAAGTTTCCTAGAGAGGTCGTTTGGAGAAGTCGTGCGAATAACGTCGTGAATAAATGGTACTTTCAAAGAAGTGTTGCCGTACTTGACCTTTCAATGGAACTAGATGAAGGTGATATGCAAGAAAGTGAGTTCAAGTTATTTTATCATGGAGATCCAGAATCTTCGCTCAAGTCTATTGTAGCAATAGATCGTTTAAGAGATCTAGCAAAATATGTGAGAAATATCAAGCCAAGCTGGGTCAAATAGAGGCAGTTTATGAAATCAATGACTATGTATTGTATGGTTGCATCGTGACGTAATGAGATTTAAGTATTTATTATTATATATTCAATTTGAAAAAGACTTTAACAAGATAAACTGGTCTATAAATATCGGTTATTAAAACCTAATTAAAAAGTTCTTCCAAAAAGTCCCACTCTTGATCCAACGTATCTCTTCTATATTGTCGGCGAATCATAGGGACATTGTGTTTGATTGAAGTGTCTTCAGCAGTATCGTACCATACATCAACACCACCAACATTTTCTTTGAAATACTTATCTGGCCTAACACTAATACCAGACCAATGAGCCTTATACCAGCCTTCATAACCACAAGCAATGACACTGTTTCTGGCTAGCTCACATAGATCAGCAGCATTGAGAAGATAGATACTGGCGGCTACACTATATTCTTCTATCATTGGCTCCATTGTGTATGAGGAATTAAACAAAACTGAATTAGATGACAAAGAGGTTTTCATTCCTAGCTTGAACATTCTCATAAATGGATTGGATCCATACGAGTGATCATCACTGACAGTAATATCCCTCTTTGTTATTTCACCCTGACAAAAACCAGTTAAAGAACTTAAATCTGATTTGTATTTTCTACCTTGCCTTTCTAATTGCATCGAAGGCATTGTAACGGATGATAATGGGGCAATTATAACTGGAACCTGCAGCAGGTAAAACAAATATGTTAGTAAGGCTGGTGCACTCCAGATATATTCAGCATTCATTAATCCTCCATTGCATAATAATAGATTACATATTAATGATTCTGTTTGATCTGTAATATATCTGTCGGTAAATTGGGACGATCGGTTATCTAAATCAGAGCAGTAACATCTTAAAGTAATACATGGCTCGCTCCTTCTATTCATCATATAATTGAAGTGACCTAATCGTTGATAGATATAGTACATGTAATAAGCAACTGGGGGGTTGTCACCTTGGGCTACCCATTCAGCAGGTGTTTGGTTAATGTCTGAAAACTCTTTCCAGAGGTAATCATCATTTTCGCTTATTACTAAATCGAGGGAACAAATATTTGTAATAAAGTAATGGAAATCCGGATTATTGTCAGAGTTGTTAGTGTGATCAAAAATAGGTTTAAATATCATGTCTAACATGTCATTAAAGCAAGTCACTCTACCCAGTTTGAACAGCTTTGAGTAAACTCTCGAAATTTGAACATTCCACCTTATATTATATGATATTAAATTCCATCTCTTGATCCAATTTGAGAATTTGTACCACCAGTTATCTTCCTGAGAATCATAAAACTGGAAATCGACAGAAACTTGTCCAAGTTGATACTTGGATTTTTCCCAAGTATGTACTGTGTATTTTATGAATACTTCGGCAAAGTATTCTCCTTCTAATATGTTGTCAAACTCAAGAAAAGTTTTGGCCAATAAGAAGAAACGCAATTCCTTTCCTTCAAGTTGTACATCAGCTTCCCTTGATGGAATTAAATGAAATTGTTGTAAGTAGACAGTCTCATACCATTCCAAGAAATCATCATCTACAATTTTTAAACCTAGAGCAATAGGTTCGGCACTGGTACAGCCGATTTCAAATAGCTCGGATAATTTAATGGTTTCTCCTGTTGAAAACTTGTATACAATTCTTTCAGGTTCCTTGTTAAGTTTTTCCCATATGAACTCACTCAACTGCCTTTGGGTAATACATCCACTTAGTAAGAAATTGCAATCCACTTTACGGGAATTGTAGAAATCTCTATAAGGAACTTTCTTATTCTCTAGTATTTCCGTTTTCGATTTCAAATGTTGGAACAACTCGAATTTATCATTTAGGTATGATATTCTTTTCTTAGCGAGGTTATCAAAATGATTGTTTTGTAAAAGTTCGACAACAAAATCAAAATCTTCTCTAAATTCCGCAAAATCGGGTATCTTTTGATAGAAATTAAAGTCACAAAACTTGCGTGATGGATCACTAGCGTTATCATCATCGATCTTCTTTTTATGTTTCTTTAAAGCTTTTTTATACAAATCATAGTCAAAAAACTCTCCCGTATGGTGAACCCCACCAAGAAATTTTGCTGAAGTTTGGTTTGGTTTAACAGCTTCAGGCAAATTGATTAAATCCTCTTCGTCATCAAATTCGTTTCTTGCGCTAACATAGTAACTTTGTTTCTCTTCCTTTTGCTCTTCTAATGTTAATCTTTTATCATTTTCATATTTCCAAAATTTTGGTAGCGGTTTAGGATAAACAAATGCTCTTTTATCATCAAATTTAACATTTGAAGCACTATTCTGATACGAGTTCACCACATACTTCGTTCTTGACATCACTATCTTGTTGAAGGGATTATTCTCGGCATCGACATCAGCGCTATCTATCTCCCTGGCTCGCACAGGTCTTGCATTGTATGAGACATGTTCTATTCCTTTCAAAATATTCAGCATGGGATTATCTGATATAGTAGAGCACTTGGTCCTGATCTCTTCTTCTCCTTGAGGATCCCAATACATTGGCGAACCAGCTTCCATCTGCTGATCAAAAGCAGTGCCCAAGGAAATCATATCCAGATCATCAATTGAAATCTTATTAGTCTGCACTAATTTGTTCAAGTTCGCTGATGGAACAATACCTTTCCCTTTAAGGGAGTCAGCAATCTTTGCTGTGCTGTCAGCTGTCACAGCATGTTCGTAGTCATCGTGAAGTAGCGATGGTCTCCTTTGCAATACTGATGGCGCCATTATACTTGTGACCAATATTTCTCTTCAATTATCTGTACCTGTTCTTGACACAGTTCCGAATAGCTTAATTGAATCTGGAATAGTTATTGAAAACCTCTCGAGACTATTACTTTTAGTATAAATAGTTATTAGCGTATTATCGAAGGGGGGGTGAGTCCTTCGTTAGGGGTAGATGTCTGATGTAAGTTTGTGCAGGGTAAACTTGCTCAGAGTAGTGTACCACATTAAAGGGCAAAGGATGGCATTAAAGAGCAGTATGAATGAGTACTGTTCATCAAAATCTTATATTGGTTTTTATTCTGCATTACAATATAATCTTCTCATGCAACATGCTTGTAATGATATGTATACATAAATATCAATTTTGAAACTTCAAAATAGGTATTTCCCAAGTATTTTACGGCTCACTTGTCACATATCTTGACTGAAACTCTCATTACCATTACCAAATGTTTGATTACAGATATTGATTATATAGGACAGCATAAGCTACATCAAAATTCAAGTTTGTCTTCTATTCAAGTAGCTATTACGTTTCATTAGCAATATAGCCTTGGTATACATGTATGCCTGAGTTTTTCTCTAAATAACATAACATAAAAAGCTCGTATGGCGCAGTGGTAGCGCAGCAGATTGCAAATCTGTTGGTCCTTAGTTCGAACCTGAGTGCGAGCTCTGTTTTTTTTCCATTTTTTTAGCTTTATATTATAGTTGTTAAACTAAATGGTGCAGTAGTCATAGTGTTTTTAAGGTATTCTTTTTAGATTTCTTATTAGTATTCAGTACTTTTGAAATCATTGATAAGTTATATATGTTACTTGTCCTGATATATAAGCGATGAAAAATGCATTTTTTGGCTTATGCTAAAGATATTTATATTTATTATAAGTTATTTGATTATGCTATTGATAGAAGTTGAGCCTCCATAATCTGATCTTACCTTGTTCGTTACCTACCGCTAACATTTCACCATTAGATGAAATGGCAACACTTGTCACTTTACCCAATGGGGTACCGCTTGTGGGCCAATTCGAGAAAACTTTCCCTGATGGTAAGTGTACTAATCTTAAGGCATCTTTTATAGCTCTGGATGACATACAAAGGATTTGGCCATCAGGAGAAAAGTTCAATGAGGAAATAGAGGTCGTTAGTTGATCTAATGTGGCAATTGGAGAAATGGCTGCGTTTTTGAGATCTGCGTTACTACGAATGGCACTTCTATCATAGACATTTACAAAGCCACTCTCACTACCAATTGCTAGCCATCTGTTTTGTCTTATTTTTCTAGAACTCATTGGTAATAAGTGATCTGAACTTGTACCACCACCAACTTGGATGGTGGTAATACCGATACCACCATTGTCTTTCCACCTGCGGATTATTTCATTGTTTTTGCTTAAATTGAATTCCCATATTTCACCATAAGTGTTTGTAACAATTAGAATTGTCTGGAATCTACCCTTCGATATTGGCTGATAGTCAATGCAGAAATCGACCAGATTTCCTTCTATCTTGCATCCAGTTATCCAAACACCAGAGTTTGCATCGATGATATTTATCCAACCGCTACCACCCTGTAATACAACTATACCTTGAGAAGAATTGGTAGTAAAGTTATATAGATAACCAACTTTAAACTTCTCAAAGGATCTCTGGGTCTCTTCGTGACCATACATTCTGGAGAATTTATCAATCTTGGCGACTGATGCCGCCTTTTCAGAACGGGCATTGTTGAAGGAAGCAGACAAGTCCCAAGAATGCATGTAGCGTCTTCTACCACCTGTATATATTTTTTGCTCTTGTGGCAGTTTGCTGGAGGTGTTGTTATGAGAAACGTAAAAGCAACAAGTTTGCACGGGAGTGCCTTTCAAGTACACACTTGTAACTAATGGATTAGATTTACCATCGATATGATAAAGTCTTAAAGTTCTATCGTAACCACCGCTTAGTAAAAGTGGTTTGGAAGGATGAAAGGAAAGCGATTGGATTGCCGAATGTGATGCGTGACTGGCATTGGCGTCCTTTAATCTCAGTATATCCAAGCTCTTTTCCGGTAAGAGTTTGGTTGTTATATTATCCCTATATGTAAATGTACTCTCCAATATCTTTGACAAGGCATTTACGTCACCATTTATCACAGAGTTCAGTTGTTCTGAGTTGCTATCGTAGTCGCCATCGCTCAGATCACCTTCACTGTCAGAGATCGAATCAGCCCATTGTGGTCTGGGATATATTTTTTCAAACTGAGCTCTTAATCTTCTCACATAGTCAGCACCACTAATATGACTGTCCTGGTAATTTTGTCTCAGTTTCTTTGTCCTGTTATTGGAGGTAATCGGTACCGACAATTTCTCATCATCGGAGTCCACCCACGCTTGTTCTTCTTCCTCGTCACTAGTCATTCCTTCGTCATTATCAGATGCACTATCGCCATTGTCATCAACATCCATCTCTTCACCGTCACCTTCACCGTCATCGACGTAGAACAGTTGGTCATCTGCTAATTGCTCCATGGCATCTCCCTCTTCATCCTCACCGCTGCCACTTGAACTCTCGCCATCTGCAATATTGTCCTCCTCATTAAGTTTCTTCTCCTCATTCAAGGCAAACTCAGTGTCAAAGTCGGCCAGGCCTGAATGGAAATCAGTTGTATCCCCAAATACTAGTTTCGCAAGCAACTCTTCCTCCTCATCCGGCGGCGGAACCTGCTTCATATCTACTGCACTCTTCGACATATCCTTTCTCAACAAATCGCTGCTTTTAATTGTCAGTGGAGAAGAAGCAAATAACTGATATAACTATATTGCCTGGTACTTCAATATATACATCATATGAACTTTGCGATGCCCATTGCGATGAGCTTCAAAAATTTTTTTTTTGTCAAAAGCTAGAAGTGTATCCCTCACCACGGCTCATCGCATTCTAGAGTAATTACATAGAATGAGCAAACTCTAGCTTTAACAGTTGCCGGTCAAAGAACAGTACCTAATGAGAATTATAGTAAACTTTCTACGTAAAGTGATGATGGTGGTGCTCTTATTGAGATATTTTCTTGCTATGTTTAGGCAGAATACATATGTGATGCCGCTTGTAGCACTTGATAAGACACGTGAGTTAAAAAAATGTAACACTTGTCAGGGTTCAAGTAACTTACTATGGGCAGATTATCAATTAAATATCATAACAAGTGCAATTACTCGTAATGTTGATGAGCTAAAAATAAGTTTTATTAGTCTAAGGCAAACTTTACATAAGATCAGTTGCTCTTATTAGCTCAGAGACTAAATTGGTATCGTCAAAATAAATAATCGTTGGAGAGGGTGAACCAAATCTAGTCAAGACTGTTTTTCTTAGTCTAGATTTCGCCATTTAATAATGATTATTCATGTTCTGCTGCGGATTTCGTTATAAGGATAAAAGCCTTGATCAACAATTGGCAAGCAGTTCCGAAAATCGGCGTGAACTGGTACAAGTCAGTAGAAAGACTCTTCAAAATAGATTTTTTGCTATTTTTACTAGCATTAGGCTTCCAAGCTAACTTTACAAAGGAAATGTACCAAGCTGTATAGAAAATGTCCAAAGTAGCGCCAGTTAATGGTTTTTGTCTTGGAAGAAGCTTCACAGTGTTTTTTTTTTCAGTTCCGAAGAGTATTCTTAACGTTCTGGAACCCATGTGTCATCACTCGGACTTAATCTTTGATTATTTGTTACTTCCGATTATCTTTTGCTACTTATCATCGTACTATTCTACTAAATATCCAAGAGAGCTGTGATGGAATGATTAACGTAATTTCAAATGGAACTGTATTTTTTAGGAAGCTTTACAATATCGGAGAGATTGGCTTTTCACCAACACCCCGTCATCCGATAAGAGAAGCGGTACATAGTTTGCCTGTTCAGTAAAAAATGAGAACCACGTCCGTTCTAATGAACAGTCTAAATTCATTATTAAGAAATGTCTTGTTTAAATTAGTGGATGTTTTTTGTCTTGTTTTGTCATGTCTTGTCTATTTCTAAGATCTTATAAAATCTACACAGACTTAATTTCTTTTTCTTTTTTTATGTTTTATCCTCTATTGAATATAATCTAGATGAATATGATCATCGGTATAATACATATTATCGTAATATTGTATTGCGATAGATTATTCATGACCATTCCATGAGAAATAGTATATCATGTTGAGGAAGAGGTTGAATTTGCTGAATATCTTAGACCTATGAAGTCAAAAGACAAATGAAAAGAAGAAAAACGAACCAATATACAATTCTGTAAATGCAAATCATAAAGATATTATAGAAAACAGGGTGAGTAAAACGTAAAAGAAGCTGAGCAATATCAAAACTAGGAATCGAAGCCACAACTCTTGGAGCTGACAGTGACCATCATCAAAAAGGACTAGACTCGTGTCAACAACTGCTCAAGCTCTGTTGTGCAGTAGTTTCACTGAGATCTGATCTACTATTTCATAAATGGGTAATGTTTCATTTCCCATAACACCCCATGAGTTCCACGCGATTTCAACAGGCCAGCAAACTCTTTGTACATCTGTGAAGATTCTCTTCGACCCTTTTGTGCTGCGGGAAGTGAGTGATGAAAATTGATGAAAATAAATGTCCTCCGATTCGCTGTAAGTTGCCCAGTTCGTTTTCTGTTTCTAGGTAATTCACGCTGCAGTTTAAGAAGGACCCTGTCACAGACATACCCGTGCACGCACGCACACTACTTCGTCAGTTTTGAACCTACCTTCCGCTAGCTGTTTCCTGTCCTCCGTTGGTATCTGTGTGATAAGAGCAAAATTTCGTCACTGTCGATTTGTTTTTCCTTGATTATATGCATGCAGAGCAAGATCGTGTGCAAGTCCGATTTACCTTTGTCTCTTCAAAACACAACACAAAACCATCAAGATTGAAGATATCCTCACAAACAACGTACCAACAACAGTTGTATTGGTTTTGACAAGAAATGCGTAAACTACAGGTATTGTACAGGAAGCCAAGCATGGCGGAGCCGTAGAAACTGAAATATGGTTAAAATTCGTAAATTACATATGATTACATCACCGTTTAAAGCAGAGGTGTAAGAGATCATCCCGTAGACACATGATGGTTCTTGTTTGTTTTGGTATGATAGGGATGTAAAAACCCAGCTAAGATATGACTGACTTCTTTGCAAATGGCTAATACAGAGCCAAAACCCTTTCAGATATGGGTAAATCTGTGGACTGCTCAATGCTGAGCATGTGAAGTTTCTACATAAGTTGCTTTTTATATTTGTTGTAGAACTAGGGTTCAAAGCATTTGTATAAGAAATGGGACTACGTAACAAGGTTGAAATACATAGAACTCTCTGTAGATGTTGTACTCGCGAGTTTACTATTTATCTGATATCCATTGTATTCATTTCGATATGTTGAGAAAAATGGGATACTCAAATCTACCGAGCACATTAGATGCCACAATTTAAACCGTTCTTGGGTTTAATCTCAAATTCACATTACAAGCTTTGATCCTCTCACCTTCCTTCCCCCCTCCCCCCCCCCCCTTCCCCCTCTTCTCCTTTGTCCCTTCATTCTGAATGATAGTGGTTAAGAAGCAGTGACACAATGAGTATGAATCAACAGCATGTTCTCTTTTCCTCCTTTCTCACTTGGCTATCAAATATGGTTGGGAATTCGACCCTCATTTAAAACACTACTTATGCCATAGCAAGTATTAATATTTTGATAAGATGTACATAATATTTGAATAATAAAATAAGTACTTTGGGGTTCATTATTAATTCAATGGTCGCCCTTTTTTCCTTTACTTCTAATGATATGTGTTCAAAACTAGCAAATCAAGATCTGAAAGAACTGGAAATGAAGTACAGATCTCCCAGTCTATTCTTAGATAAATGACAGTGCCTCACTCAATTTCTTTTATCTTTGCCCTAGCGCTTACAACATAAGCCAATCTCAAGTAAGGCATCATTTCATAATACATAGAAAGAGTCGGTTTGAATTGTTTTAAAAATAGAACAAGTTCTTTTTTTTTGATCTAAACGATTGTAACTGTAAACTCTGTACGTTCAATGCTTTTGTCTTTACAAGGGTTCCTCCAACTAACCAATAGATCCCCTCCACTATTGATGAAAAGGGTTCAATTGGTGAAAATTGTATTACCTTATTTCTTTCCATCCCTGCCAAACGTACTGTTATTAGTACAGTAGTTTAATTGATCCTGTCATTCCTGCTAGTCGACAGTCAGCTCTTAGAAATGAGGGTACAAAGGCCCAACGGTACACAGAACGTTAAAAAAAAAGAACAATGCCCATCTTTTCATTAAACCACAGGACTAATCCACCTGTACCACCGATTTGTTACAGCATTCTCTAACCAGAATTTTATCACAGAGAAACTGAAAGCACGCCATCCCATTTCTCCAATACAGTCCTTAATGTTCTGAGAACCGATAAAATGCAAAACTGGGACAAGAATACGGTTTGACACAGAAGCATATGTACAGTCACAGAAGCAAAACCTAAACACAGTATACGTTAGTAAGTGCAGTACAGGATCTTTCCTCTTTCCTCTTTCCTCTTTCCTCTTTCCTCTTTTCTCTTTTCCACCCAATTAACGTTTGCCAATCCATCCCTTGGTTACATCATCAACTTGGTGTCACACGGCATATTCTGAAGACTTCACATTTCTGCTGAGCTTATTCGGATGCGTTTGTCTCCCAGACGATGCACTTATCCACGCCCCCCCCCCTAAAATCCCTCGCAGAGACAGCTTATTTCGATTTCACATGTGAGCACTTTCGCTTGCTTTTGATGAGCTTCGATTTTCTGGTGTGTTCAAAAATCAATGCAAATCCCAGTATAACTCCCGTAGTATTGCTCTTATGAACATCTCTTCGCTTTCGTTCTCTACTTCTTTCTTTCCCTCCTTCCCCCCTCTCTGTTTTTTCTCCCTGTGTTCGTCTCATTCCACACCTTCCATTCCCTCCCCTCTTTCTTCTTTTCTCCCCTCCACCCCAAGCCAGTAAAAACACAGCCCCTGTGGCATCTGCAAGTGTGACAAGGACATTAACTAATTCCCTGATCAAGGAAAGGTGATTATCTCAATCTTTGTGTTTCTTGCTAACGGAAGCAAAATCACAAATCACTCGATATACTATTTCCCTTATCAGTAAGCCATATTCTTTTCTGCTACATATCTGTAAAATCACGCACAGCCATCTCTCTTAGGGATTTCTTTTTTTTGCTAGTTACTCTCCCAGAATGCCTACCCTTCCTAATTGCTGTTTGGAAATGAGTGTGATCCGTGTTGTATACCTCTCGCTCCGTCGCAAAACCTACACTGAGACATCCTTTCTCAATTGAGAAAACAACCGGAGGCATCACCCATTCTCACTGCCCAGCTCCCACAAAGCCGAGAACGGTATTTCTCTTTATTATCCCTTCACCCTCTTCTTGAGTATTGGCAGATGTTATGACACATAAACTCTCGTAGAATGCACTTACACCAGTCATTTACACTTTTGAAATTTCCCCCCCTCTTCTCCTCTGCTTCCTTCTCCCCCCCCCCCATTGTGCTCTTAGAAGGCCGGGTTGGCACAACGGGCAACCCGCTACCGCTGCTCGTCCAGAACTCCAATCAGAAGAAAAGAAGATAATGTGTCTTCTTTCTTAGAAAAGAGTGCAGAGGAGGCAGGAGGGTTTTCTCGCAACTCTTGCACACATCCTTACCAAAAGACACCATTCTTACTGTATAGGAGAATGATTTGCTCAAAGGCCTAAAATTGCTAGATTACTAGATTTCGTTTGGAAATCGGACAAACTAATTAAACCCAGAGGACATTCTCGTTTCATCACAGATGAGAAAACCATTAGTGGGACAAGGAAGAGGAGAAAGAGCATAGGGAGCTCACACGCACGCATACACGCATTAGAAATGCGTAGTCCTGGGAAGGGACGGAGGAGGGGGGAGAGTAGATGGTTGTCCGAGCCCTGTGAAGATACATGTAGTACATAGGGAACCCAACTCCTCCCACACCAAAATGTATTTGCCAATGAAAGGGTCTTCTCTTGTTGAGCTTCTCATACAAATGAAGGAGAACCATAAAAATAATGAAAAATAGAAGATACGCTAAAAATTTGCTGAAGTGAAGAAGGACATATCCCATCGGATCAGTGTCAGAAATATTTCCTCTACAGCGATGCCCTCAACTGCTTATTTTTTTCCTGAAATCCTAACAAATTATTATCAAATGTATTAATAAAATTTATTATTAATCTCCCTCTTCTCTTGATAATTGAAGCACTAACAAGAAAGCAAAAACAGAAAAAAAAAATAGGTAAAGATAGCATGAAAAAAAGAAATTACTTCTATAGTTATTAGGACTTCCTGTATGAATTATGAACAGGTATTCGAAAATTAAAAATAACATAATGTACATTACAACAAAGTTGAGAAAGAGAAAAAATGTGATGAGTCTTCTCAATTCAATCATCCCGAAAAGATAGTTCTTTCTAATGGTTGAGAAATAGTATAAATTAAACAATAAATTCTCATTTCTCAAGCCATTTTCCCAGAAATTCAATTTCTAAAATCATTTATTTAAGTTATATCTGAATCATATATAAACAAACCAAAAAAAATTTAAAAACCAACATTTACCATCCTTTTGGGATTGATATAACTCATATTGATTTGAGAAAGAGATTCAACTATAACAGTCTATTTTTTTCTTCTCCAATACTAAAGAAGAAAAAAAAAAAGTACGCCAATCTGGAATACATATCACAACAATAATGGAATCAGTACAAACGACGTTGCCTTCCATTAGGTCGATTATTGATTCATTGTCCAAAGATACCGAGACCACTGGTGGCCGTGGTGTCTACGATTCAAACCCTAGAAATGTCAACTACACTGACTACAACAGACAGCAAAACCGTTTGAATCTTTTGGATTATCAGTCTTTGAAAGATGTGCCTGTTAAAAGCAGCTATTCCTGGGGTGCTCTGCCACACGAATTTAAAGTCACAAAACCATACCACAGAAGTGGTAAAGTAAATTTGGTTATAAGGCGAGAAGAATCACAGCCGCTATCACCTCCATACTCGCCAAATGGATCCATTGGATTGAGTGCGGCTATACCGATGAAGTTATGTAGTAGCACTTCGAGTAGTGTGTCCACTACAAGTACGACTACGTTAACTTCCGTGAATAGCCCACCTTCCAGTGTATCTTCGTCACCTTCTGCCTCTTCCCCAGAGGTTGGTCAAGGCGCAGTCAAGAAGAGAGCGAACTTGCCAAAGGAGACTGTAAAAATCTTAAATGAGTGGTTGTATGATCACATCAATAACCCTTATCCTACACCCCAAGAAAAGATGGAGCTCTCCTTGAAGACTGGCTTGACCAAAATTCAACTATCCAACTGGTTCATAAATGTCAGAAGAAGGAAAGTCTTTGCTGATTATTATGATATAACCAACCAAAAAAGAATTGTATCAGCTGGGGTTGTGAAGAAACAACTGCCCGATGCTTCAAAGAGAAGAACAGCTATGGATAGAGTACATTCTTCTTGAAAATTTTAAATACACATTCTTTGTTATTCTTTTTTTCTGTTTCAGAAATATAGCGCATATCTGAACAAGAAAAGCAATTCATGGGTTTAATTATAATAGATATACATGCTTAATTTGTCAAGAACGCATCCCATAGACCCCAAAGCAAAATGAAAAGAAGGTTATTATATGGTGCAAACATTTATATCTCATTCGTTATAATTCCTCGCATTAACTATTCCCATTGTATTATCATGTTACTTAGAAAACAAATAAAGTTAATAAAAATGATCAAAAATTAATATAATATATTCCCAGTTCATCCCAGCCAGATTGATTGATTCACAATTGTATTTCTCAGTGGCTCTTCTTCTTCGTTTTTACTCGTATTTTTTTCATTATGTTAGGATAGTTAAAAGATTTGTGTGTTCTTCTTGAAAACTGTGACTAGTAAAGGCATATTGATATTAAAGACATCTGTGCTATTCAAACAGTGTTCCTACATTTTTCTTCCTGTTTCACAATTCCGTATGTTTTATGTTATATGCTTATGATATGCATTCTGGCTATTTATAGCTCACACAACGTTCATATTTTCGTTTGGTTTTCTAAAATTTCCTAATTTTAAATACATATGACAGTAAATCTATACCACTGTCGCATTTTTAAGACAATTGTAGAATTCATGAGATCCTTTTATACTTTCCTTTTCCTGTCTGGTTACTTGGATGTCCTACGTCGTGAACATATTTTTAGATAAGATTTAAGATGAGTTGATATAAGTACAATCCATTTATAATTAACTAAATGATTAGGTCATGACCAAATTGTAAAAAAAATTATCATTTAATTATTTGAAATAGAGATATATACATAATAAACAGGTAATCCAAAATTTTGTGCCCAAAAATCAGAAATTGCTACAGATTCACAATGTACATGATTAAACCGATCAAAAAATTAACTATTAGCACATTTGATTCCTTCTCATATATTATGGCCGTGAAACAATTCACAGTATAAAATGCCTAACACATTTTTGGACTTACCATTACCGTCTAAAAATGCTTGATATAACATTTATTTTTTTTATTTGATAAATACTTATATTCTAATCCTGGGAATTACTTTAAGACCAAAAGATCTATAATTTATATAATGCTAATTGAACAAACGCACGTGAAAGACATTTACTACACTAGGGCTAGTCATTTTCTAACAACTCCATTAAGTTGTTATCCGATATAGTGTAACGGCTATCACATCACGCTTTCACCGTGGAGACCGGGGTTCGACTCCCCGTATCGGAGTGATAGTTAATTAGTTAATAACAATTTTTTTCCCATTCTTGTAAGTGTCGATGCCTATAGCCTGCTTACTACATTTACCATTTTTAATTTTTGTTTTTTATTTGGGATTTTTATCTTTCGCATAACCTAATTTACAAGTCGATATTACGTCTAAAAAAATCAACCCAAAATCCATAGTTCAATTATGTTATAGATATATACTCACCTATCACATATATATATACTCACCTATCTCATATATATATACTCACCTATCTCATATATATAAGAAGCTCTCACTAAACTTTGTTTCTCATAGAATCCATGAAATCCCTGGTAGATAACACACTTGTACCACCTAATATGACTCTCATTTTGTTTTTCATTGTCTCATTAAATTGGTGGACAAATCTTGCTTCTTCATAGGTAACACCACCGACAACGAATATCACTACATCTCTTGCAGAGTTATTGTCAACCAATCTAGAATTTACACCGTTATTACCAATGAAACCATATCTCTCCTTACTAAGTGTACTTTTTGATATGTTAGACAATATTGTAGATATCTCGGGAATATGCTGCATATACACATTGTTGTTTGATTTCTGAGTGTTATTTAGAAACCCCTTTGACGCCATTCTAGTATTAAATTTCTTAGCAAGTTCACTCAATAAATCGTCTCTCTTTCCTTCACCTTCCGCACTATTAGCTGATGAGTTTAAATGATTATTGTATTCCTCAATGATTTTTTGAAATCTGTGCAAAAAGTTTATTTCTTGCGGACTTACAGTCTCACTTATAGTTTTGATGAGGACATTTATCCTGTCTTTCAAATCAAAATGTTTAGTAATGTAGATGCATACAAGTTTTACTTTATAATAGTTGTTGATTTTTTGATTTCTTAGCATATCTTGTAATCCTTGAAAATCTTCCGTATTATCTCTATGAACAGATAAATTCTGTTCAATCTCACTTATCTCCCAGATATTAAGCTCTTTCAATTGTCTGTCTAATTCACCCACTATTGACATATGCTTGGATACGTTACCTGATAGTTTTCTAAATTCTGGATATTTCTCAATGAAGTTCTTAATATCTTCAATCGTGTTAATTTGACTTGTACTCTGACTCTTTAGCTTATATGAATCGACATAGTTTTTAACTTGGTCCCCTAGTTCACCAAAATTCATGTACATTGTCTCGTAAAAAAACCTATCTTGCATTGATGAAAGAGTCACTTTCTGCAGATCTTGATCTATACCTGGCATACCTGATAAATCAACAACATTACGCTTTAATCCAACATACTCATTTATCATAGATTGATAAGTCCATGGCTGCAGAAGTGGCGTTAAAGGGTCGCTTTCTCGATCAAGTAATACTAATAACGGCGGCGTATCCATGTTAGGAAAATGGAACAACGTCTTTTCATTTTGTTCGATAATTTTGGCTAATTCATTAGCTAGTTTAGTACAGCGTTTACTATTCACTTCATATCTAATATCTGGCTTTAACTTCAAAGACAGGAGTAGCGACACTAGACTATCCTTACAGTTGGTTAAACTGGTTTCTCCCCACACATTAGAATTATTAATTGTTAGCTCAGCAGGATTTATATCAAATGAAAACAAATCTTCATTCAAAATAAAATAATCTTGAAATATCTCTTCAACCTTAGAAACTGCCTCCATATCATCCGATTCTGCCAGTTTTTCTAGTTGCGCCTTTGATACTGAATTGCTAAAATATATGTGATAGTCTCCATATTTAGGGTCACGCAATTCTCTAGATAAAAATTCAATACTGTCATTAGTTGGCTTGACGTAAACAATACATCTTAGATGCCTTTCCGGATCTCTATTTTCATTCTCTAATGTATCAATCAGAAAAATCTCATTATGTAGCAATTCACTTTGGGTCGCACACATAGATATCGTACTTTTCGTATTCTTATCCAAAAGTAACGCTTTTATTCTACTACGCTCGGTTATGTCGGCAACTCCGCCTTTCGATTTCGAATTCACCATCCTATCGATGTAAAAATGTCCAACGTCAAATAGATTCATTGCAAGTGTTACTTTCAATATCAGTTGAATCCGTTATTGCACTAATTATAAAACAATCTTAAAAGTAGACAGAATTGAAATTCATTGAATATTTCTTATCAATCCAATGCCTTTAATGTAAACTTCTATTTGGTAGTCTGCAACATTTGCTGTCCTAGTCAATCCGGAATGAATGTCCTTATGGTTCCCTTTTATTTACCACCCCGTACGACACTTGTAATTGCTACGCCTTAGGATTATAACGATAAAAATATTCAACTCAAATATTTCAAAGCAATAATTTTAACAATGATATTTACAGAAATGTATATCTCAGCTATTTATGTGCCATTTAAATTGTGTAATGATGAAAGATAAATAGTAATAATGAAAGATAAATAGTAATAATGAAAGATAAATAGTTTACCCAAATAATTTGTAAGCGAATTTGAACAATAGTTAAAACTATAGCTTCAAAGGTACCTTGTAATTAGTAGTTCTTCCTTCTTCATATAGCTTGTTCAACACTTGATCCATCATGCCATTGCTCTTGAGTTCAAGATACTTCTTGTACAGAACAAGAGCAGTGTAAGCGTCTTCGATTGAATCATGATTTCCTTCTTGTACATTTATGTCCAACAACACATATGCTAGATACCTTAACGATAAATAACGTTTACCTTGTAGGAAATATACTGCAGTATCACGTATTTGTTCTTTCGGCACAGAAATATTTATATGTTTGAAGTCATTTTGAAGACCATGACCAATGAATGTACAACCCAGTTGCATTAGTAGCCAAATCTTTCTATAGGCAACATTTCTAGGCACCAAATGCTTATTGCTAGTTTTTGGATCTAGATCACCTGGCAATATACCACTAAATTTTGTCAGATAATCATCAATATTCTTCTCAATTATGATATAATCATCTATAAATGGGACACCAAATTGTTCTTCATTACCTCTAACAACGGATATCCTTGCTAGGGCACTTACTTTTGACTGAACTACTGTTTTTGCTCCTCGACAATCAATATCATATTTTTCATTCTTCAATGTAACAAACTCAGCATCAATAGCAATCAAGGATCCCGGCCTTGGTGCCTCATTTCTGGTAAGCAGCTCATACTCTTTTTGGATCGATTCTCTAATGGCAGCAGAAAAGTAGTCTTTATAAAGAATCGAATCATCAATTTCTACATCTTTTAGATAATTAAAGGGCTTTCTCAATTCTTCTGCATCTCCATAAATTACCACCTCAGGTTTTAACCAATGCTTTCCTAGATCATACACTATCGATTCATCAACTTCAGTGACCAAATAGTCATTAAAGAGGTACCACCTAAACATCTTAGATTCTTCATTATAAATTCTTGAAAATGTAACATAATGATCACCTCTATCCGGGTCGGAAATACGCGCAATATAACCATGTAGTTCATATTTGTAGATCATAGTATTTGTCCTTATATCATTAACAGACCCTCTTACTAACGGTTTGTTTTTCATAATAGAAGCATAAAATTCTTTAGGTAGCCAATTTTTAGTCGTCTTTGCTAATTTCATTGCGTTGTCATCGAATTCTAGAGAAAGGGAGAGAATTGGTGGCAATTCTTGTATACTAATATCTTCCTCCAAATTTTCTTTTATTCCACATTGTTCACACTTCTTATTCAGCACTATGCTATTTTTTAAACCATGCTCAATATATCCCAATATTGAATGAGGATAGGATACTTTACCGTTCTTTTGAGTGCACGCATTTGGCCCTATGGTAATCGATGGCTTGTACAGACTACCAGATGTTTGACCGTAAGTCATACAGCCTTTGGTTTTTACTGCAAATTCACAGCAATAACAATGCTGCAGAACAAAGTTTTGATCGATAAATTTAACCTCCTCCTCACATAATTCACTCAATAAAAAGTCATTAAGTTCTTGAATGGAAAGTTGCTTCTTGCCCCCATCGTCATTCAGCGATAGTGAATTAATTTTTTGTAGCATATTGGACTCTGAGATTGTATGAAGGGAAAGATTGTTCTTCTCCAAAACATCATTTAGAGACATCTGATAATTGGTCGTCCTGCAAATACCATCAATTGTATTTCTCATCATATCAAATAAATATGCCATATCGGTAAGCAAAGGTGACTCGAAATGCTCATGTTTCAACGTACTTATCAAGAAGTTGGAGATCTCCGGAATAAATCTATATAGTTGAATCAGAGCATTAGTGAAAGGGTTGTCTACATCATTGTCTAATCCACAATACGGTGTCTTATTAACTGATTCGAAATCAAAGGAATCTGTTGCATACTTTGTGACAACCAATGGCAGATTTTTGAAAGCTGGCGGAAGTTCTCCATCAACACTCTTTGTAATAAGCACATCATCTGGAACAGAACCAGTTGACCTCTGATAACGCTTATCCCTCAATGATATATATGGTTGTAAGGCATCTTTATGTCCGTATTTAGCAACACTATAAGGATAGAAATTAACACCGTCAGCAACTAGCTTCTTTGATTTTTTGCTGTTCTTTAAATCAGTTAGTATCTTATCTATATCTCTAGGTACTGTGCCTGGAGATCTAAATATGACAGTAGACCAAGTAGATAATAACTTTTCTTGATAGTAAGGCATACCAACGGTGCTCAATGGATAATTATAATCATCGATACTAATATTGGCCAAGGGTCCATCATTTGGATATGAAGGGTATGTTAAAAGCTCTGGCATATTTGTAAAATTTACTGAACTATTAGGTCTTTTCCATGTACTAAACATATCGTTTGATTCTAATACACCCAGATGATCACCATTAGAAGATAAGCGAATGCATTTGATTCCGTTCCCAGGATTAGCAAATTGCGTCCTCAAGCTAGGATTGGCCATGTCTACAAAATCAAATGCCCCGGAAGAAGAAGCGATCATAACAATAGTTGGAAGCACAGGATGCAGTTGAACAAAGTCAGCACCAACAGTTCCCATGCTAGTGCTTTTAGAGAATGATATGGGTGGTAATTGTCTCATCGTCCTTAGATCATATACATTTACAAATGGATCTGCAAATGTATTGTAAAAACCATTTGATTGACCAGTGGTAACCAATGTATAATCTTGTATATCCATTGAGGTAATGCATGATGAATGCGAAATAAATGACTTTATTACTTGATTGCTTCCAGGATCAAACAAGTCAATTGATCCTGATAATTTACCTATTGCAGCTAATTTCTTGCTTGACTTAATGAAATTTACTTTTGAAAAATACGGTATGTTTGTCTCTAAAGTTCCTCGTTGCAAATCTATTAGTGATAAACCTGTTCCTATGTCTGTACCTGCACAGTATACTTTTGATGTCTGATCAGCTGACATATAACACATAGTTTGTAAATCGTTGAAAGCAGCAATATCTATATTGGTTAAATTTAATAGCGTGGTACCTCTTCTATCCTGTAAATGTAAAGAGTCTGAACTTAATGAGAGAACTCCACTGCTATGACTCATGAGATCTTTAACAGGAGAGCCTCCAATGTGAGCTCTCTGTCTCACATACGGTTGGAAATTAACATCATATGATGAAACACAACCATAAGTATCACCAGTCCATACCAAATTAGCATGGTCATCAAATATGAATTTTGTTAAATGCTTTTCTATACCATCATACTGTAAGTATGGCTTATGTAAATGCTCATCCAATGGTCGGGCATTATTGAAAGAATGCTGCCAGTTATTCATCTCAATTTAAAAGCTTTATCAATTCTTAGTTTAATCAGGAAGATTTATCTCACCAGCCTGTATTTCTCAATAAATCCAGAAGTCTATACGTAGAAAATATAGTGTAGGAATTGCTATCCTGTCGGGGATCTTTCTAGATCTGTATTATTAGAGCTGTTCACTTACAGATATCAAAAATACTTATTGACAGCTTTTAATCTGTATGTTTAAATAATAAACTTTATACAACACAAGGTGTTATAGCAAACATATCTACTAAACCTTGACCAAATTTCCATTGTTTCCTAGCACTTTCCCTTTTCACAAGCTCATCGCTTTGTTTTGAAAAATATCACGGAACCCAACGCGATTTTAAGAAACGTAACACACACAACCTGTGAATGATACAAGCAACTGCCTGTATGAAAGACCTTTTTGATTAAGTGTATTGTACTAATAGCCTTGTTTTAGAAAGGTTTTTTTTGAGCAAGTGTTGAGAGAACTTGATGAAGAAAAGCATATTGAAGGGATCACCAACCAAGATTATTCGTAGTGAAGCTGAAACTCCAGATCACAATGAGGGTAACGAGTCTAACAAAAGTAACATACTACAGTCTCAAATCACTCAACGAGTTTCGTTTTTGCCTGATGTAACATTGCATAGCTTTGACATTTCACCCACTAAAAATATGGCTACATCAACTCAAAAACCAGCCTACGAGAATGACGGGAATGCTTCTATGGATTTGACTGAACCCATTTCATTAGAAGTCCAAGCTGGAGCTAGTACTACTGAACCAAAAGAAGAGACAATGGAGTTTACAGCCCCACAAAACATAAATAATGTGGAGAATACCCTGACAGCTCAATTACACTCTGAGCGGACCCGAAAATCTCAGAGTGAATTAGATCTATCGACAGATATTATTTCCCAAGCAATGGAAATGACTCAAGTTTTACCAAATGAAACTAATAATCTCAGGAAAGCCAACAATGATGCCAATGATGCAGAAAATGAAGATGGCATGGAGTTTACACAAATTGTTCCAAATATTCATGAATATTCTGTTAAAAGAAGAAGACTAAATGATGATACAATTGAGAAGTTAGTTTCACCGGCCACTCCACCTGATAACACTTCAGAACAACAAATATATGGATCTGACAGCGAAATAATTGAAAAGATGTCACCTATTAAAATTATATATGCAACAGAACAGCGACCGGCAAGTGTACCCAAACAGTTATTTGATGATAAGGAGCCGAATTTACAGTCACCGCATAAGTCTGAAAATCATGAAAATGAAAAGACTATAACTCACAGTTTTTCATTGAAAAATTTTTTAAGTGATATTGATTACCGATTGCTAGAGAATATTAAAGATATCTTTAAACAGAAAAATACTGCTATCACCCTCAATACACTAGATTACTCAATTCAGCAAAACTTAAGATTAGGTCAAGTAAATTCTGTGTACCACATTGATGTTCCTACCTGGGAAATTAAGACTTTCATAATAAATGAATTACGTGCAAGGATAAATCAATCAAAGTCAATGGATGTATTAGAGAATGATATATCAAAAACATTAAACATAAATTCGATTGCATTAAAGTATACATCACAATCTGAGGCAGGTATTGACACATCTTTAAAAACTATACTTGCGGTAAAGGAATTTTCTGAGATGGAAACGCAAAGAGATTGGTATGAATGGAGGCTAAAGCAACTTGATGGATTCAGAGAAGTTCTAACAGATAATCTCGAAATCCTGAATGAGGAATATACAAATGTAAAACTTGAGTTACAAAAGGTGAAGGAACTCAAGTTAAAAATATCTGATCTTAAGGATACACTTCAAAGAGAAATAAGAATTCTAACTGAGGTGTCATATGAAAAACAGAAAAATGGCCCCTCTTTGGATGATAAGATCAAATTTGCAAAAATAAAGAAGACACTACTGCATCATCAAATTGAGGTAAACAAACATGATGAAATACAACGCAAAAGGCAACAACTTGAGGATGACATTAATTCAAAGACCAAACAACTAATAGAAATTAATCAGAGTATCAGTAAGGTTACTTCCAAAAGAAAAACCATAAACCCAATGGACATCAAAAAAGAACGCACCTTACTAGCAAATTTCAATCTATTACAAGCACTATCTAATATTGGATGTATTAGAAATTCAAATGATATAATAGTCCTAGAATTTAAACTGTTAGGAGGAATGAAGATTCTAATTGATAATAGCATAATATCTGCTAATGAACCCAGTGGCATAACATTATCTCCTGAATTTCAAAGGGAGCCTCTATTTCGATATTTGTTTGAAGAAATCATGAAAGAAATCCAAGTAAAAGTCAAGCAGAACAAAAAAGGAAACCTTTTTGAAATGCTGATATCTAAAGTTATCGACTATATCCCAATATACAATTCCTTTCACCTATTCTCATTAATTTTTAATGTCAAATACGAGATGGAAAATGAGGTTTCGAAAAACTTAAAAATTTCAGATATAGACTACTATAGCAATGCTAATATCTCCTACACAATTCCAATAAATGATATATTAAAATGTTGTAGGAACAATAACTCAATTCTGTCTATAAAAGTTAGATCGGAATCGAAAATATCTCACGACAGAGTTATTAAACGTATCACAGAGAAGGGGAGCAGGATCTTCCCTTGGCTAAACAATACAAACATAAACCTAGAAATTTTATAATTTAACCAATAAATAATACGGCATGAAAATGCAATTGTAATACTACTACAAATAAAACACCATTTTCTAAAACACAAAAGAAAGAGACACTGCCTATATTCCCATATATTGATTATAATTAGACACGAACATGCTTGAAAAGTTACAAAAAAAAAACATCATTTGTGAAGAGCAAGCATAATAAGAAAGAACAATCAATAAGTTAATTGGCAAGAATTTCAATTCAACGTTAGTTTGCTCTTACATATAACTTTTTCTGAAAACCATATTTTTATTTTATTGAATCTTATTGCTAACCAACTGCAATTGAGGTTTTTTCCCATCTACTGCTTCTGGTTTTGTCTAGTACAATATTCTACTTTTGAAAGCTTATTTCCTATTGTTGCCATATTACATCTCTAATTTGACAAGGCTGAAAATTTCCACAAGAAATCCTTTATTAATTTAAACTGAAGTTTAGTTTACAGATCAGGGATAAGTATATCTGAAGATTATTGGTTATATTCTCTAGTCACCAGGTCCATTTAAATCAGATCAATCTGATCGAAATTTGATAGACATAAAAACAAATAAAGCATACAATTTCGATATTAGAATTTCGATATTATTTGAATCAATACTTTACTTTGGAGACGATAGGTAAAAATACATAATGTTTGGCAAACCTAGCGGAGCAGCCTTTAATTTTGGGAATACTTCAACCCCAACAAATACCCCAGCTTCCTCTACCACTAACCCATTGGGACAAAGCAACCCATTGAACAATAACTCAATTAATATTGGTACTTCGACACCAAGCCCATCTGTTGGATTGTTTAGTAATAGTAGCAATAACCAGCAGAATGGGGGATTATTCGGGAGAACTGCTAATGGACAACAAAGTTCCGGATTATTTGGAAATAATGCCTCAGCTCAACAAAATAGCAACCTATTTGGCAACTCCTCTTCCACACAACAGAATGGAGGTCTGTTCGGAAACACAAACTCTACGCAACAAAGTGGAGGTTTATTTGGTAACAAGCCACAACAGCAAACAGGTGGTCTATTTGGCACATCTACTGCAGCAACCAATAATGTAGCAAATTCTGGATTATTTGGTTCATCTAACACTTACAAAACACAAACCACTGGGAGCTTGTTTGATAACAAACAGGGATCGTTAAATATAGCAAATTCTGGTACTGGTTTAGGCCTGGGGAATAAAACAGCCGGACTTTTTGGAAACTCTTCTAATACTAACAACACTTCAGGATTATTTGGAAATAATCAACCAAGCGGACTTTTTGGAAACAGCTCAACATCAAATAATATCTTAATGAATAAGCCGATCACAAACAATCTAGGAGCCAATGGGCAACCACAAAACAATGGAATTCTACCAACCTCTAATCCATATGGGTTCACCATGAGCTCTAATACTACTCCCTTAACAACGATGCCAGAACCATTAACTGGCACATTAATCAAAGAGAACTCTATAAACACTGAAAAGGGCGCTTCGAATAACAAGAGATCCGCTTCTATGTCTTCTGCTGCACCTAAGAATACTTCTAGTTACGGTCAAAGTACTCTAATTAGCAAGCTAAGCTCACGTCTAAGTTCAGGGCAGGCCTCCAAAGCTATTCAAGGTGTATTTTCTCCTTCCTCTGTAAAACCATGGCTTGGCGAACAAACGAGTAAACCCAATAGGCCGACAGATCTTAAAGACAACATTTTAGGCCTAACAGTTATACAGAACAATAGCAATAAGAAAATTAGAGATATATCTAACCAGAGGGAAAATTTATCAGAACTTAGAAAACTAAAGATCGACAGCTCTCGAAGTGCATCTAAAAAGTTAAAACTCCTTTCAGGCGGTTCTCATGTTACTAAATCACAAAATCTTGACATGACAGAAGGAGCGCGTAAGCAGAATCCTTCAGCCGATACTGCGAGAAATGATTTTTCTCCAAGCTCTGAATTGAAATCCTATTCCATCCCTAAAATGCCTTTGAATGACGAAAATGTTAATAAGAATAACTCTGATTATTGGTGCACTCCTTCTCCAGAACAATTAAGATTACTAACCTCTGACCAACTTTCCTCTGTTTCTAACTTTGTTATTGGAAGAAGAAATCATGGTTATATAACCTATTCAATGCCAGTTGATTTACGAAAATTTTCCGATAATTTTGAGATCAATTTATTCGACAATATTGTAAAATTCAGATCATCAAAAACTGTAGAAGTATACCCAAAAAATACTGAAAAACCACCAGTCGGATACGGAATAAATGTACCTGCAGTCATTACTCTAGAAAATGTCTACCCGATAGATAGGAAAACAAAAAAGTATATTACCGACTCTTCACGTTTGACAGAGTTTCAAAAGTTTGCACAAAAGCTGAGATCACTTCGTGATATGGAATTTATATCATATAATCCATTTGGTGGTGTTTGGACTTTTAAAGTCCAACATTTTAGTATTTGGGGTTTAGTTAATGAAAGCGATGCTGAAATCGATGAAGACGACGATATGGAAGATATATTAGACATTAATAAGCTTTCTCCACAATCAAACGAATCGCAATTAAATGTTTCTGCTATCAATACAGGGAATCTTATTGACGAGAAAGTATATGAACCAGACATAGAGGAGGAAGACTTTGAAGGATTAGAACAAAATGAGATTCTAGACGTTGCGAAAAATTGGGATGAACAGTTAAGGCTTGCAAACCAAGGGCGTAGGTCCATATTCTTATTGCCTACGGATAGAGCTGAAAATGAACTTGATTTATTGTTAAGTAACTTCAATGACGCAAAAAACAAGACTAGGGAAATTGAACAAGAAAGACGTCTTAACACAAAGAAATACAATCCTTGCAGTTTTGGAAATGGTCACTTAGTTATTGGAGATAATAGATCAAGAAAAATTCTAATCACTAACCAAGTTTTAGTTAAGGATGAATTACCTGCTGTATTGACGGATAGAACAATTTTTGATAATGAGCTAAAGACCACATTAATTCACAGTAGATCATCTAACAATTACCCATGTGTTTTTAAAAAGGAGTTGATCTTCAAAGATGTACTTCAATGCATACTACCTACAAGTGAATCATACAAGTTGTGGAATTTCTCGTCCATCCTATTTGATCCAATCCAAATCGATTGCCCGATGGAGGCGAAAGATGCAACTTTGAAATATAAAAGAAGGGACAACATTTGTAACTGGATAAAAGATCACGTTAGGGATAATGTATATCAAAAGATAAAGGTTTCAACAACTCCTTTGGAAAAAATATTTTTGCATCTATTGATAAATGAAATAGAAACTGCTGCAAAAATAGCAATAGATAGCGACAATTCTCATTTGAGCATATTAATATCCATGCTAGGGTCTAATGATCCCAGACTGAAAGCCCTTGCTCATACCCAGATCGAACAATGGTCTGGCATTGGTTCTAATGTTGAGATCTATGTTGCAAAGATTTATAAATTATTAAGCGGTGAATTATTTAAAGGTCCATTCTCGCTTATTGAAAATGCTGAGGATGTGAACTGGCTTGTTTTAGTGGGTGCCGCCTTACATTATGGTGAAGTTGACGAACTTTCCTTGGAGGACTTAATCGGCAACAGTATGGCTTGTCTGTCAGATCATTGTTCAGGCGTTTTTTATCTCCTACTAAAACTATTTTGCTCAACAAGAAATGCTGATCAAGTATTACAGGAAATACTAAAAGAATCCAATGCACTTGGCATCGACTTTTTATGGCATTGTTTACAAGCGCTTGAAAGCAATGGTATTGCAGATATTAACAATCCTTTTTGTGATCAAATCACTGTGCAATATGCACAAAACTTAGAATTATCTGGCCATATTCCTGAAGCACTCTACATTTGTGCACATATTAAAGATGACCATTTGGCCAAGAAACTGTTTGAAAGTATCATCTTTAGTAACATTCACCATCTGACTTTAGATGGTAAGCCTTTAGCAATCATGTCGAAGTTAATGGTTCCTAATGAAGTTATTTATCGATCCATGGCTCAATATGCTAAGTACAGAAAGTGCCACCAAGAAGAGCTCGAATACCTTTTAAAATCTAAAGACACAAGATTAGCCAAAGAGGTATTTATTACAAAGGTTGCCCCAAGTTATATTTTAGGTAACGATGACTCAAAATTGTTATCCTTAACATCAATGTTAGAGCAATTTGACAGAAATAGTACACAACGAAATGATCTAAAGGTTTATGATTATTACATACAATTCAAAAAAAATTCAGAGAATAGTAATATTATAAAGAGTTTGGCATCAGAATTACCCCAATTCTATTCTAAACACCAAATGTTTGAGAATGTTACCGCCTGTTGTAACATTATCTCAAATAATGTTTTAAGCGCGGTGTTAGATCTTGATAATGATTCAAAGACTAAGGAGTTTTCAAACCTAGTTTGCAACATGCCCTTAGGCCAACCCGAAAGGAAATACGCCACACTTCACTTCTGTTCCAGAACTTAGTTTTACTAGTATACATTATCAAAAAACAATATCTTTTGTACAGTCTTACATAAGTTTAAAAATTTGCATTGCACCTTGATTTATTCAGCATTTATCTGCTACACATGACTTAAAATTCGAAGACTGCAAATATATTTATATTTGTGCTGAAACAAGACCTCAATATTGACAGTAGATGTAGTCCGGAAATTTTGATTTATGTTTATTATTATCACATTTCCAAAAACTAACCATGATGACAATAGAGAACAATCACATTATATAGTTCAGTTGCCAGCTTTTCCAATAGTCCCATTTCATTATAATTATCAGATTACCCACATACGACATAAACCAATCCTATATATATATATTATACAAGTAGCAGTACATTAGTACTTAGACATCACCAACTGCATCTCTCAATTCTTCTACAACATTTAATACAGCCAATGTAGCGGGGCTATCTGGAAATTCGTCAAGGAAACTTTCACCCTCATCAGAGCATCTTCCAATTCGTGGATCAAGTGGTACTGAACCGAGGAATTTGATACCTAGTTCTTTACATAGAGCTTCACCACCTCCAGTAGTTGGTTTGAAAATCTGCGATTCTCCTTTACAATTTGGGCACACAAATCCACTCATATTTTCCACCAAACCCAAAATGTTTATGCCCGCCTTTCTGCAAAAATCTATCTCCTTCCGTACATCTAACAAGGCTACTTCTTGTGGTGTAGTGACAACTAAAGCCCCATCTATACCCGATTCCTTCATATATTTATTAATCGAAATATGCTCATCGGATGTTCCTGGTGGCGTGTCCACGACTAAATAATCAAGATCATCCCAAACCACATCCTTCAGAAACTTCTTGATCAATAAATTTTTCTTATTACCTCTCCAAATCACTGCTGAGTCATCCTCTGGTAACATGAATTGTATAGACATAGCTGCCAAGTTCTCAGCGACATATACAGGTGTCCACCCAGTATTTGATTCATGCACTACTTCGTCGGTGCAACCTAGCATATGGGGCAAGGAAGGCCCGCAAATATCCAAGTCCATGGCTCCAACTTGCAAATTATCATCAGCAGATAATGCCCAACTTAGCATAGTGGTAAATGTAGACTTACCAACACCTCCTTTACCAGATAAAACTAGTATTTTGTGCTTTATACCGCTCAAATTCTCTGTAATCAAAGGTATGTCCGGATCAGGACCTTTCGGTAGACTCTCACATATATCTTTATTCTCACAAGTCTGACAGGCATCTGCCTTACCAGCCATTTCAGACTCTGGCCCGGGACAGTGTTCTGGTTCAGGCGCATCTAGAGAATACTCCGCTGGAAGTATCTCTTGTGTCGGTTCAGACACCACTGAGGTTGATATCACTTCAGTTGACATTTTTATTCACACTTCAGTTAGTTCGAGACTGCTATTATATCCTCTATTATCAAATGGATCTCTTTTATAATCATCGATTGGGTACTGAGCTTAGTAATTATATTTTCAAGTTTCTTTTTCAAGAGCTCATCGCACTACTTGAACAGGGGTGTCTCAAACTGCAATAATAGTAAAATGAATCATTCGAGAGTCAAGTAATATTCAAAACCAAAGATATATCACCAGGTTATCCAATACCATAAATTATACCAATCTTGTGATCCAGCAATATCTTGCGAGCTCGAGAAACAGTATTGCGTGCCGAAGTAACTCCAGTGGTTTAGACATTTCTATGTGGCAAAGGCCTAACGGTGAATGAGTTGTTATGCAAGCTGTATCGATGTCCAAGGTAGTGACGAGGAGGTAATTCTCTGTCAATGTGAGTTATTTGATGACGTCGATGACTCCAGGGTCAAACGGTTAATTTTCAGTGATGGTGAGTGCATCTTTGAGAGAACTGAGTTTGGAGAAAGTGTGCTGGAGCTATATGTGGACGATTCCCAGAGAAACGATATATGGAAAGGTTACATTAGTGTCTTAACTGCAGGGAAATTTCCCATGAAAGGGAGAATAGATCCCTTATACTCCCATATAGAATATATTTCTGGAAATTCTTCTGGCCTTGCAAGTAACTCTGGACAGCTAACAATGTTCCAGAAGACTGGCGAAATCTCACGTAGTATTGCAGTACTTACAGTCAATGAGGCCAAAGAGAGTGAGATTGACCTTTTTCAGGTATCTAAGCAACTGTATTGCAACCTAGTCAAATCAAATGAGGATGTCAAAGCGCTAAACGAAAGAATTTTCCAATTAGAAATGAATTATGACAATTTACAAAGTGATTTCGATGAAATGGTAGATAATATAAAGCGCAGAGACAAATTGTCCAGGGACGTCATGATTGGTCTGTTAAACGAGAAGAAAGCAAGAATTAGAATACTGACGTCCTTGATGGAAAGAGCCGGTGTATCCTTGCCTGATGGAGATAAAAGTGATTCTGAACTGTTGAACAGCCATGTACAAGATGCGGTTTCTGAGCTCAACTCTCCTGGAAAGAGAAGAGTAGCTGCCTGGAGAGATAAGAAGTCCATAAAAAGACTGGAACCTGTCAAGAAGAAGCTGAAAATTAAAGAAGAAGAATCTCTTCCAGAAATCGGAAGCGACTTTGAGGATTTCGAGTTTTTTGGTATATCGAAGTCGCCAGAAAAGAAGCACCATCTCACTACCGAGAACCATAGCGGCGAGTCATCCACATCCAAGGACAACTCTGTAGCAGGTGGAGATACCGAAAGTGATACGTCCATCAAACAAGAAACTACTAATAAAGTTAATACATTGGCACTGACAAATGACGTAGTGGCTGCAAACTCTTCTGAAGAAGAAACTGATACAGATATATCCACGGAAAAATTGACACCATGAATTCTAATGTAATGCTGTGGAAAATGAATAAAAGGAGAAAATAAGAATAGAAACTGATACAAAGTAATCTTAGTTTAGCTAGATAGATAAATTTTATGAAAGTTTATCTAAAGGTAAAGAACATAAAATAGTGTCATTTCAGAAGGAGTTAATCGAAAATATAAAATAGAGAAAAACTTGCTTGTAGTTTTTACACAAGCAAAAGATAATGTAGGAACACAATTAGCAAGAATTTTTTTTAAAATAAACCTTGGCCTTTTCTCAACCTGACCCAATGCCATGCTTCAGCTTCTGGACTAGCATCGGCACTTCTTCTGAATAGACCTTGGCCTTTTCTCAACCTGACCCAATGCCATGCTTCAGCCTCTGGACTAGCATCGGCACTTCTTCTGAATAGACCTTGACCTTTTCTTATTTTGACCCAATGCCATGCTTCAGCTTCAGCATCAGGATTGGCATCCCTCTTGGTGAAATCCGATAATTTCTCTCCTTTAGTGGCTTGATTATACAGGGTAGTATTAACGAAAAGCAAACCATTGTTTGTTTTATTGGAAATTGGAAGAATAGCGACGTCATTGGTTGCACCGAAATCCAAGTAGCCTATAAATGCTTCGGAGGGAACTTCGACTGTTTCGCCTAATTCTTCTCCAACTGGCTGTGCGGTTGCCAATCCAGTAATCAATAATGCAACCGTAGAAATAAATCTTAAGAATCTCATTTTGTAGGTTAAAGCTGTGGGTTTTTACTGTTGCTGCTGGTAATATCAATCAGGAAAGGGTTAAAAAACTTATCAATTGATTTTTATTTTCCAATATATGGTTTCAATTATCTAATACAAATCTTATAACTTTAAAATATGTCAACGTCAGGAAAAATCAACAATTCAATCCTTGCTAACCATTCTTTATATATGTCGAAATTATTACATGCTACTTTGACTTACTCTGTAATTATTTAGTTGGATACAGAAAATATCTTTGATCAGATTGTGGTTATTTCATGAAATAACCACAATAACAAAATCAATCAATACCACTCACATAAACTACAGTTTCAATAGACACCAAAAATTAATTAATTATAATAAAGTTTTGAGAAGCTACATTTGCTTAAAACATACCATCAAACCATTTGTAGCAAATGTTCCGGATTTTATGTAAATACCATAAATGGCTCACAATGAGTATCTTAAGAAATTATAATATTATCCATTTTACTCTAAATCCTTATCGCATTGTTGCTAAAGAACTTGTTAAGAAATGCACACTATTAAGAGTACCAGTGAGGCATTAGCACTGAATTGATACCTCTTTACATTCAACTATTGGAAGACTGGGAAACAAATTTGTCGTTTGCCAATGCGGAGTTATTAAAATTTCCATTTCCGATCACCAATGATGATTCATTTACATGCACATAGGTACTTTTGAATGAAAGAAGTGCAAGATATAGGCACCGACCATCTAGTCAAAGCTCATTACAAAGTCAATTGAAATACTATAGTATGAGAAAGTGATATATTGCGGTTTTGAATCCAGTAACCAATGCTTATTTGATATATTTCACTTACCATGGGTTAATAGGTGTAACATGTAGAATTGGCTGCTGCAAATACCAGGAAATCTCTACAAATCAGGTATTGTACTTTGATGTATATCGATTTATTTCCTCTTTTAATGATTAATTGTGTATCAACATAAGGAAAAATCGAATACATTTTGGATAAATACTGCTTTCAGTATTAGTAGTCATTACTGTAGTATATCAATTAAAAAAGGACAAAAGCAACAAAAAAACTATGTAACATCTTTAACTATTTATTCCTTGAGTTCATTTGAAAGTGCTTCCTTCTTCTGGTTGAACTAGCTTCTTATTTGCTGGAGAAGCCATCTCTTTTCTGAGGTCTAGCAGAATAGTCTCCATATTATAAAGTCTTTTCCAATCCTTTAATGTGTTAAACTTTTCTTTATTAACTTCACCTGTGGATTGATCCACACATGGAAGGTTTATCTTAGAGATAAATGTGATAGTGGGTGGTTCATCAGGGTATTTTGGTCCACATTCAATGGAAACCGAGTATATACGGTTCTCATGGTTACTGTGTGGTGGTCCAAGGATTGTACCATTCCATCTAGTCATTGTAATATCATCTGCATCAGCTAAACCGTAACTACAGGATTCAGGTCCAAGGCCCTTTTCACCCTTCTCTAGTTCTTCCAATAACCTGAAACTTCTTGGTCTTTTAAAAATAGTAATAAATAATGCGTTTAATGACCTCTGGTTTCAAATACAAATGTCATAGGCCTTACTCTCCATTAAGTATTGTAACATATGTTAGTTTCCGAGTCATAGCATTTGAAGTCTAAAGGAAAACCGCCACAGGATGTTAATCTATTGATCTTATATCCCAGTAATGGCTCAAAAAAATATTATACATACACTTTTGACATTGTGGTCTATTATCAGTAACTATTTCTGTCTTAGTTTCCACTCCTATTGCTTCCTAGTTTACGCTTATATTGCGACTATCTCATTATGAATTTATGCTATTTTTCAAACGTCTTTGGATTTGATTTCGTTAAAATGCTAATTGCGATGGCAACCTGCAATCATGCTTGGGTAGAAATTGTAAAGAGGTTTAAAACCGGTCACTTTAAGAATTGGCATGTGTATTAGCACTATATAGTGGAATTTTATATTGGTGCATAAACTGATGGTATTCTAATGAACAACTCAGGCAGTGGAGGTTCTTCTCCATTTGTAGAAAGCCCCGATTTGGTTTCGGACGGACACCTACATACAGAGCGCAAGGATACTCCAATAGACGTGGATAACTGGAAGTACAAGTATGATAACTTGCTAAACCAATACGAAATAGAGAAGGTGAGGTGGCAAAAGGAGCAGTACGACTCTGAGAAAAGCCATGAGGCACTTCATCTTCAACTCGAGAAAGCGCGAAATGAGATTGACCAACTGGTGGAAAGTAAACGCTTCCTAGAGGCTCAGTTGCAATCTCAACACCCCCAAAACACACAAAAAGAATGGTCTCATGAAGATAATAAGGTTAATAATAATTCTATGAATAACGACTATATGCTTTTAGAGGAGAAATATAAATCAGATGTGTTTCACCTTGATAACAGCGTCAATGAATTGAAACTTGAACTGACTAGTTGTAGATCTTTATTGAAAAAATATGAAGAAGTTATAGAACAACAGTCAGAACAAATAAAAGAAATAAAAAAAACTCTCAAAAAGAAGGAACAAGAGCTAGATGAAATTGAAGTCAATCGGTTGAAACAAGCTCATAATGCAACAAATACCGAGGAAATAAGACAACAAACTAATGAAAATGCTAGTTTTTCCAATGGGTACAATACACTTATGTCTATGAAGAACTCTGTTAATTACTGGAAAAATGAAAACCAGCAGCTAAATCAAAAATTAAGCGAATACAGCGATATATACCAGCAACTCCAGGAGGCGCAATTGGAAATAATGGAACTTAAAGCTAATTTAGAGGAATGGAATAAATTTTTATCAAATAAAAAGCAACAAGATAACAGCAATGACTATAGCATTGATCATTTTATTATTGAATTTGAATCACAGAGAAGAGAATTGAACATGGTTACAGAAGAATTAGCAGAAGTTAAGAAAAGTTATTATAATAGCAAAATACTAAATGATGAATTAGCCCTTGAGCGGAATCAACTATTGAAATTAAAGGATGACTATGAAAATAATATAATAAATTTAGAGAAATTGAATCATGAACTTGAGCAACAAAAAGTTTTGCTTGAAGAAGAATGTTCATTACTCAAAAATCAAATCCCTACTAAAGAAAACTTAAACCAACAAATAAGAAGCACCAACCGAAACGATGCAGAATATGATTCATTATTGGACAATTATAAGCAGGAAACAGAAAATTTGACCAACGAGTTGAAACGTTTGAATGATAGTTTAATAGAACAAAATAGAAATCAAGGAACAGAAATGAAAAAAAGGAAGCTGAGAAATGGTGATCATATAAATATTAATTACTCTCAAAGATTGAACGAGTTACAACAGAACAATCTATCATTAGAGAAAGATAATGAAAAACTAAGACTGGTAGTAGAAAAATTAGAAGGTAAGCTTGATGATTTGAGAAAGACGAAACCCAAAAACATAAGAATCCTACAACAAAGGGATTCACCATTGTTAAAGCTACAATTTGTCAGAAGAAAGGAAAATGAGCTACTTAGAGAAGAGAACCAAAATCTCTTGACGATGATTGAGAATATTACAGAAAATCGGAATGAGAGCTTTGACAAAATACCATTGACATCTTACAACTCTTTGAAGTACCAATACGAAATTTCAATGGATACGAACAAGAAACAAGAGAAAAAGTTTAGCAGGTTGAAACAAATTTTCAATAAGAAATCATTGGAATTTATCGATGTTGTGAATTCACTTTTGGGTTTTAAACTAGAATTTCAGCAGGATGGCAGAGTCAAGATATACTCATGCTACATGCCAAACAAATATCTGATAGCCAATCTAGTAGATAACACATTGAAATCGAATTTAGACACAGTAATATCTGACTGGGATAGTTTACTCAATGATTGGGTTGTCGAAAAAGGTCAACTACCTTGTTTTCTTGCATCATTAACACTCCAACTATGGAAAATGGAGAATGACTCATGAAACACCAATTTGCATCATATACACATTTTTATAATATTCTGAAATCTTGTAATTAATAACTAACGTACATATTAAATGAACTTCGGGATTAACCAGTTTTTATAACAATTTTTAAGTTCTTTACAAGTCCGATGAGCCGATCAAAAAGCACAGAAAATTGCAATACGTATTGTTGTGATCTCAATTAGTGTGCTTCGATCAAAAGAAATTGATCCCAAATGACTAATAGATCACAGGATAAACATATACTGGTTAACCGAGATGCCCTTATTGACGGAACTATAGTTTCTGTGTTAGTGACTGGGAGTGCTATCACTTTATATAAAGGTTATACCTGTTACCTGAAGCAACTAACTAATGCAAGTCAAATACCCACAAAGGTGTTTCGGAGAAAGTGGCTATATGGCAAGGTGACGTCTGTTGGAGATGGTGATAATTTTCATTTCTTCCATATGCCTGGAGGTGTACTTGGTGGATGGGGATGGATTAGAGCTGTACCAAAGTTGACTAAGAACGAGAAGAAAACAGCTTCTCTATCGTTTCATTGGGGCACCAACAAGTTAAAACAACAAAATGCTACCTATAAAAACAAACGTAATCTACCGACAATTTCTGTTCGTGCTTGTGGCATAGACGCTCCTGAATGCGCACATTTTGGAAATCCTGCTCAACCGTACAGCGAAGATGCCCTAATATGGTTACGCCATCGCATATTAGGTAAAAAACTATGGATTAAACCGTTGAAAACTGATCAATACGGAAGATGCGTAGCCAGTATACGAATATGGACATGGTTGGGCTATTCAGATATATGCTTAGAAATGATAAAAGAAGGATTAGCTGTAGTATATGAAGGAAAGACAGGTGCGGAATTTGATGGTAGAGAAGGTAAATATAGACGTCATGAATTTATTGCCAGAGCTAAAAAGAAAGGCCTTTGGTCTCAAAAGAGATTACAGACACCAGGAGAGTATAAAAAACGATATCAATGACCAAATAGATTTAAGATATCACAATATAACGATAATTTGGTATTGGCTAATAATCAATTTCATTTACATAAAACTTACATATTCACTTAATAAAATATTCATAACACCATCAAAACTATCTCAGCACTTCAGATCTATTCCTTTTCTCTTCTCTTCTTCTCTGATTTCAAACATCAACTGCACTCCAATGAAAAGGCTACCAAATGATAATAGCAGGAAAGTTAATCCATTACAAGTACCGAACATGTCAGCTAACAATTTTTTCATTCCATCAGATCCCAAACAGAAACCAAACAAATTTGCTATCATCATCAGGTATATATTTAGAGCACCTCCAAGTGCACATATATGTCTATACCACCACTTCTTACTATACTGCACAAAATATTGGGTAGCAAACATTTCTGGTAGCAAAAACAATACCACAATCCAGCCCCATAAAAGCAATCTCAGTTCAATATCGTGCCAAATAGCAACAAAAGAAAATACTGCTAAGGACGTAACAATTCTACTTTTGGAGCCTCCTAATGGAATGTAAATATAGCGTATAACCCATTTATTATAACTTCTATGCCATGCTCTCCAAAAAGCGAGGGCACTATAATTATTGTAAACACATCTTATCATGTTTTCAGGTGTGTCAATACCGTCCAATAAACCCCACAATCTAAAAAATCTCCAAGGAATAGCTAGCTTAAACCAAATGATATTTAGATTGATTAATCCAATCATTGCAATTTCAAAAGGTGAATCACCTTCCCACGCTTTCCTCTTTGAAATAGCAACCACATAGAAGAAGTGCAAAACCAGTTCCATTAAAAATAATGTGCACAAAAATCTTGCTGCATACCACAGTATAAAATTTTTGGTTAATGAAGGTAGTTTATTTCTGCTTTGGAAAATGTAATCATTGTATGTTATGATTGGCCCTGCTATGAATAATGGCGCGTAAGTTATATAAGCAATATGATTTAATGGATTATAGTCATTTACTGGCAGTATCACATTCATTCTGGCCTTATCATCATAAAGAAGCACTTCTTTCATTTCATTTTCTTTTTTCGATTCAATATTTTCTTCTTTACTCTTAGATGTAGTGGTATTGTATCTGTTTAAAAAATCAATATTATAACTAATCATCCTTAGGAGTAGAAAATTGTAAAAAACATCCCATCTTGGGATCAGTCCCTTTGAGTGTTCATCTAAAAATCTTAAAGATGGACTGAAGTTGCTAAAGGCGTATGCATAATACTTATCATTTATGAATAAGGATCCAATACCATATACCCATGTGAACAAAATTGCCAAACGTTTACTATTTTTAAAAATATGCGCAATGGAGAACATAATGTAAACGTGAGCTAGCACTCTTATGGAGTTAACACCATAAGCTCCATACAAAAATAAGACACCAAATATGGTATCAAATCTTATCTTAGAGATGGGGCATAAAGCTAATACAATACGTTTTATAGTAGTATGAAGTACCAACAATGCCGCCAATTCAATCAAATGTTCTCTAAAGAATCTATACTGGGCATCTGAGTTATCAACCTTCCTTCCAAATAACCATCCAGAGGATAATAGATCTTGATATTTGTAGTAATTTATGTTGTGCTCAGAGCTAGTTCTATAGCCGGCCCATATCATATTGGGAACAACAATCACAAACATGAGATAGTAAAATTTGAACTCCATACTACCCCAACGAGAAGGACCAGCATTCTGAATGATTGTGTTAGTCTTCGTGGTTTCACTCTTCTTATTGCCCTTAACCGGTCTTGGGAGTACTCTCGAATCCAGATGCTCCACATCAACAAGTGGCAATATCTTCTCAAGGACCATTTTCAATGTTTAATTCGATTTGTAAGGTGCCTCGCAATTTTTGTACACTTCTGTCAATAGATTTATTGGTATCCATTTTGTATGATTTCCATTATTTTAAAGGTCTACTTGAACTTTAGCGATTTCGAAACTCACAGAGAACGGACAAGCAATTTCAATGGTAAGAGATCAACTTCAATTGTATAAGATTAGAGTGGTCTCTATCAAGATAAACTCATTCTTGTGACTGGGTTGTTAACAAAACTCATACTAAAGGATCACATAGTTATATCTTTACTTGTTTCATTGGTGGTGATCTGATCCTCATACGAGAACCAGCTTCAGTATTGACAGGAACGCGTGCTATCAAAATTCCAACATGGTTTTCTGGTCATCGAAAAGTGGTATTAATTCGAAATATACGTTCTCGTCTTCACCAACGTTTACCTCTGATCCATGGAGTGTGTATACAGGTAGGCCGAAGAGCTCCTCAGCTCTGGGACGAGTATCACTGTTCCAATTTGACAAGAAACAGTTTGAAAACTATCTTTTGAACTATGGTATCATCAAATCGAAGTCTTCATCGCAAGACAAGATGTTAATACAAGAGGCTTATCAAATATTAAAGAACCAGGTGAATAACCTGACCAAACTTAAACATCCAAATATTTTAACAGTTGTTGAACCCATAGAAGAACATAGCAAGACTTTCTTATTTGTCACAGAATATGTGACAGACTGTCTGGAGTCCCTATACAATAATGATAGCACGAACTATGGTAGATTTTCCGACAGTGGTGAAAATATCCTATCCAGTAATGGCGCTTCTTTGCCCGATAATATCCTTATTCAAAGAGGAATCCTACAGATTGTCAATGCGCTCGAGTTTATCCACACTAGAGCAGGTTCTGTACACCTAGATCTACAACCACGCTCTATTTTTATAAATGAAAACTCAGATTGGAAAGTATCAGGCTTAGGGCATCTTGTGAAGCTAGGTGACAATTTGCAAGGCGGCATGTCTACAGATTTCTTTTTACCAAAATACGACCCTAGAATTCCTTCCTTCATGCATATTAATTTTGATTATTCTGCACCGGAGTTGATTATGGATAATACTGTCTCGTTTAAGAATGATTTTTTTTCATTAGGTTTGCTAATATATTTCCTTTACTCGGGTAAATCTTTACTACACATTGAAAATTCAGAGAGTCAATATAAATTAGAATACAATAAATTTGAGAGGAAAATAAGTACAATGTCATGGGATAATGTATTTTCTAAGGTACCGCCGCAACTGAGGGTTTTGATACCAAAATTGATGAGTAGAGATATTATATCGAGATATGATACATTGGGTGATCTTCTTGACTCTGAATTTTTTGATAACCCATTATTAAAGATGCTGAACTTCTTAGATGATTTGCCGACGAAAAATAATAGTGAAAAGTTGGTATTTTTAAAAGGTTTGGATGAGTATCTAGATCAATTTCCTTCTTCATTGCTCCAAAAGAAATTTCTTCCTATTTTATTGGACCTACTTATACAGTTATGTCAGGATAAAGAGCTAGATGGAGAATGTATATCACATGATATCAGCTTAATTATCAAAATAGCATCCAATCTGTCACAGTTATCATTCCATGAAAAACTATATCCGATTATTGTTGGTAATAAGGAAAACTTCAATATTTTGCTAGAGAAATCAAATACAATCTTGATCGAGAACATGAAGATACTACAGGAGAAATTCAAAGCCGCTGATTACGATCAAAATTTCTTGAGACCTTTATTAGTCTATGTTCTACAAACTATGCAATCTGAATCTGCGGTTAATTCTCAGGAAATGTTATTGAATCAATTGGATCTAGTTTTAAAGACATTTGATTTCCCAACAGTTAAGAATTTCTTATTACCATTGATTGCGAAACTGTTTGTGAAGACGACAAGCTTGACTATCAAAAATAGTTGTGTGACATCATTCCAAATTCTAATTGAAAAAAAAAGTATTGACTCATACACTGTAACAGAAGATCTTTTGCCATTATTTAAGACTATGAAAACAAGGGATCCAAGAATTTTAATGAAATGCTTATCTCTTTTTAAACTCGTACCGTCGTTAGTGAAAGACGAGGTTATTTTGGTTGAACAGTATCTTCCATTGCTATGGAATTATTCTATGGCTTCAACTTTGAACAAGTCACAGTTCACCGAATTTACCAAGGTTGTTAATAAAATATCAGCTGACATTCAATCAATACATATTAATAAGCTTAAAGAAGGCAGCAATGAAAATTATGAACATGATAACTCTGATAAAAATAAAGCATTCACAAAGATCATCGAAGCCCAATCCCAACCAAAGCGTGAAGACCGTGATACTACACTGGCTAAGAGTATCGCTACGCCTGCAATTCAGCCAAGAAGAAAAGAAACGCCACCAAAACCTTCAATTTTGGACAAAAGACCGATTACTTGTAGTATACCAGCCAGACGGACGAACCCATCATATAATAAATCTATACCTACAGCAAGTATCACTTCACCGCCAAACGATAGCCAGCCACAACAATCATTGGATGACGAATTTGATGACTTTGTTTCTGCTGCTACAACACCAAAACCTCATAGTATCAACAATAACACCAGCCCTGTAGTCACACCAAGTGCACCAGGTCTGACGTCTTTACCTCCTGGATTTAGCATTCCACTACAACCGAAAAAAAACTAAAGGACATATGATTCGAATAGAAATTTGTACAAGAGATTACCTTTATACCTTCTTCATAAGTCACTAACTAGTAAATAATGTAATCAACATAATTAACATATAGAAATTCTCTACTGGGCTATTAATTCGAATAGTTTCACAACGCTGCTTTGGTATACCATGAATAAACGTATATACTTATATACGAATTACAATGAAAGTTTTCATGAATTAGTGAATCCAGTGGAGCAGACCCTCAAAAATGATTACAGAAACAAGAAGGCCATCGTAACGTAACTTAATTTGCTGAGATTTCTGTAGGAACTCTTACCGATAACTCTATTATTTAGCTTTATTACTCTGATCAAGATCTTTTTGCAAAAAAACTTCAAAGTTTTGGCACCTATTCACATAACCAAATATGAGTGATACAGGTTCTGTAGAAAGTGAAAAGTCTGACTTTCAAGATAGTCGTGAGACTCCTATGCCAGAAAGTAGTGAAACACCAATCCCAGATAGCAATGAATCTGTGGTGAATGATGTATCTCATCAAACTTCTGTTATTGAAGAGAATTCAGTAAATGAGCATGAACTTGAAAACGCCATGAACCAAACAGAAGATAAACAAGACGAACACAGAAGTAATTTAGAGGAATATCAAAGTATTAACCAAGGAGAAAATGTGCACAACAAAGAGGGAGATTCAGACGAAGATGAAAATAAGGATGAAGATGGAGACGAAGACGAAGACGAAGACGAAGAAGCTCTTGCTAGAGATTTGTATTCAGATGATCAAACTATCGGTAATAATGGATCCTCAGCTACAACTGGAAACAACGAGGATCAAACAGTAAAGGAGCAAGATAATGAAAATGAAACATCACAAGAACAATATCTACAGCCATCCTCTGAAGATGAAGAGGAACTAAAAAATGATGATGATGATGTGGTAAACAATGAACCAACGGTACTGGAAGACAACTTAGAAAATACTGAGTTCGATGGTGATCATGTTAACGAACAAGGAACTGAAGATCAGAATTCCAGTGAGAGTAAAAGTACCTCTAACGAAAATGAGACCTCTGGTGATGTTGAACAACAGCAACCTGCCAATGCTAATATTGTCGCACAAATATTATCAGAGTCATTTGAAAAAGAGAATGTTGATGCTAACTTGATTGAAAAACAAGTTAAGTTTATTGAAGATAGTCATTTATTAGAAAAAACACAATTTCAAAAATTAACTGATACGGAAAAGATTACAGTAGTGTTAAAACTATTAAACTCAAACACAGAAACTAAATTTCAGGCTACAAATAAGAAAGCTAATGCTGTTGTGGATAGCAATGGCTTGAGATTGTTCCCAAAACCAGATATTACAAAGCCAATGACACCTGAGGAATCAGTAAGATATAATGATTATCTAAAAGGTGAGAACAAAATTACAGAAATGCACAGTATTCCTCCGAAATCTAGATTATTTATTGGTAATTTACCTTTGAAAAATGTTTCTAAACAAGATCTATTCCGATTATTTTCACCATTTGGACATATTTTACAAATCAACATAAAAAATGCGTTTGGTTTTATTCAATATGATAATCCAAAAAGTGTAAGAGCTGCAATTGAATGTGAATCTCAAGAGATTAATTTTGGTAAGAAGTTGATTCTTGAGGTTTCTAGTTCAAATAATAGACCTCAATATGATCATGGTGATCATGGTACCAATAGCAGTTCAACATTCATATCTACTTCTAAACGTCCTTTCCAACATGAAGACGAGGAGCCTGTTGATATGTATGCCGAAAATAACAATGCCCATAAAAAGCCAAAGCGTAGAACACCATCGTGTGTTATATTCGTTAAGAGAACAGCTGATAGAAATTATGCTAACGAAGTTTTCAACAAATTCAACAATATGACTGGACTTGAAACTGACATGGTATTTTTGAAACCGAGATTGGAGTTGAGAAAACTAGTAAATGACGCTGCCTATGAAGGTGTTTGGGGTGTTATATTAGTAAACAAGACTCGAAACCTAGATGTTCAAACATTCCATCCTGGTCCTCGTGGAGAAACAAAATTTGATGAGTATGTTAGTGTGTCTGCAGATGACGCTGCTGCAATATTCAATAACTTGAAGGTAATCAAAAATAGATCAGGTGGTATGCCGCCATTGGCGGGACCTCAATCAGGATACCCGCAACAATCTGTGCCAAATATGATGCCTCAACCTCAACAAGGATACTATGGCAATTATAATTATGGTCAACAACCCAAACCACAGCAACAGGCGAACTTCTATCCTCAAATGCCGACTCAAAATACCAGCTATGGTCAACCGGGGATGGCTCCAGCTGTTCAAGGTTATGGGGCCCCTACTTCTCAACCTCCAATGAATATGGGAGGTGGAAGCTACAGCCGGTATGATAATTCGAGCATGCAACAACCCATGTCTAATAATCAACCCATGAATCAGCAACAATTGTTAGCTGCAATTCAGAATCTGCCACCTAATGTTGTATCAAACCTACTTTCTATGGCACAACAACAGCAACAACAGCCTGATTCCCAACAACAAATTTTAAACATGATTCAGTCAATGCAAACACCCCAGCAGAACCAACAGCAGCAGCAACAACAACAACAACCAGTAAATATGCCACCCCAAAATAGCTTTGGTGGTAATGTTCAACCTTCGAACCAACCCACAAATCCCGTATCGCCATCTGCTGCTGCCAACCAGCAGGACCAACAACCTGCTAACAATGTTCAAAGTCTTTTGGATAGTTTAACTCAGCTCCAAAAGTAAAGCAGGATAACTGAAGAATAAAAAGACATCTTATAAAATATAAATTTCTTTGTGCTATTTTTTCTACCTTTCTTTCAATGATTCTCACACATCAATTGCTAATATGAATGTCTTAATTACTCTTATCTCTTAATGATTTTTCTACTTATCAAATGAGTTTCCTTCTACCTTCTATTCCTCTGAGAATATACTCTTACACATTGCCATTTCTTATATCTGATATCTTATCTCTTTAATCTCATCATAAATATAGTACAGTCAATGTTGTATGTGCACCGATATCTAACTTGTGCCTATCATACATCACAAATACTCTTGTATAATCAGTCTACTATTCAACCTCCATTCGAATCTCTGCTGGAGCTCAATTTGCACTTTCAGTGATTCGCGAAATCCAGTTTGATTAAGGGGTGTGTAGGCTCATAACGAGCATGATAGAATAAAAGTCTATCACACAGATTAGGCATATATAGCCTGACATAAGCAGACAAAATATCATTGTAGTAATAATTCATTATCTAGAGGTCTTAGAAATTTTGGATTACCGCAGAGATTGCAACTAAGAGGAAGCTGACGAGTAACAACCTGCTTTGTAAAGAATATCAGAAACAGAATGGATGACTATTACAGTATCAAAAGCATTGAATTCAAAGGGTATCATTGTCGGATACTACTAGACCAAGATGAAGACTACTCTGCATTGGTAGCGTTGACTAATGCCCTAGTGTTGTCGCAGGGACATAATAGGGTTACGAGCCAATTGAAGAGTATATTTGACAACTGCAATGAGATAGCTGTAGAAGATCTTCTCGATGAACTTGCCAACATTGGACTGCAATTAGGTGTGATGAGTAACTATGGGCAAGACAAGGAACAGTTAATAGCTACATTGAAGGAGTTTAGAAAAGGTTTGCATATTAATCCTAAATTTAACGGATCATTTACTGACAGTTTGGAAACTTCTGTATTTAGTGGATTCAATGTTGCTTTGGTTCATGGATGGGTGGTTGATGGTGACAGAGATCCAACGAGTTATTACCATCTATCAAAATATTCATACGAGGAAGCACAAAGGGTTTTAGTCCAAGCATATGAAATTAGGAAGGACCAGAACGGGGTTGCGCTTAACACTAATGCACAACAAGTATTAGACGACTCTGCATATATTAAATCATTTCTAGCACGGTCTGCTACTCAATTGACTGAGTATGGTTTACAACATTTAAAGGAAATACTTGTTGAGAAATCATTTGCTGTGCTATTTAGAAATGATAGATATTTCACTCTCTACAAAAATGCTGGTGAATTATTTATTCTCGTTACTAATCCATCGCAATCACGTAATAACAACATTGTTTGGCAGTCATTACATTCGGTAAATGGTGCTAGGGATTTGTACTATAATGGAGTTTTTGTTGAGATAAACCCAGATAATGACCAAAATACATTTGATGATGTTGTTGTCCCACAAAGTAATCCATTCAGTGACCCACAAACAAACCAAGAATTCCAAAACATTGACAGAAATGATACCTTCGATGCTCAGCAGGTGGAAGATGATGAATTGCTAGCTAGGCAATTGCAGGAAGAAGAGGATAGACAAGCCGCTGGTCTAATGCAGAATGCTTACAGAAGAAATGGACCTCGTAATAAGTACCAAATAGATGACGAGTCAAAGAAGAAGAAGAAAAGGAACAGTATAATTCCAAAAATGCCGTCTCTAGGAAAAAAGAAGAAAGACGGTAAGGATAAAAATTGTATTATAATGTAACATGCCACCTAGACATTTGAAATAACTTATGTATTATTTGAAAATTGGCCGTGGGAATGTCCATAACACCTCAACTTTTCATTTATGCGGCGTAAAATTTTAGTGACTCATGGTCCGTTCACCTCATTTGCTTATCAATTTTTCATTGTTCTTGGTATATTATATGAAACATGTACTATTATAGATGTATTATACAACTATGATGTAAGTAAACAAAATGGTCCCACTTTTTGTAATTGGTTTTAATTATTTAATCATGCTATAACTTGGCTATAATCTCGGACTTTTCTACGTTATGTGACAGTATTTAGAAATTGAAAACTGGAATTAAATGGCTATATAGAATATTCTCAGTTTATAGAAAGTAATAATAAAATAATAGACTACTATCATTGCCTAAAATATTGCAGCTCGTAACCATATTTTCTGTAAAATACTAAAACTCGAACAATGCCCTCTGTGATAGGCATCATTAGGTTTCAGATTAATAAAGGGGGAAAGAAGCAAAAGGTCGCGCTGGTTGGCAGATCGAGTAAGTCTCGATTAGTTAAATTTAATGGAAACAACATCCCAAAAATTTGTATCGATGATCCGCTTATCTCGTCCCTACATGCACTGATCTCGGCTAAATTACAAACGAGGAAGACAAATATTACTCAACTAGATATAATTATAAAGACTATTAGTCATTCAGCCATACTTGTTGATACAATAAGCCACAGAATTGTGCCTAAGCTAGTCATACGGGATGGGGAAAGATTTGGATTGATTCCAGGACCAGCAAGCAATAATCAAATAGAACCCAAATATATGGTACAGATCCATATCATTCTTGTGGATAATGAATATGGCATATATGAACTGCAATTGTTTGATGTTTCATCAGGTATATTCTCGCCGATTCAGTTGGGTATTGCTGCAATTAAAGGTCTGGAACACCATTATGATTCATCACCTAATGCATACTTATATCAAAAACAAACTGCTAGACTTGCAACTAAGAAGATGACCAAGCATGTACAGAAACGAATAATCAAACTACGACATCAAAAAAATAGGAATTTACTGAATAAACAAATGAAGCATATGTTTGTCGGTACTTTGGTCGGAACAATACTGGGTTCATGTGGAGTCCTGGGATTAATTGCTTATTTTGGGGATGAGATTGAGTCATTTCTATAATATGCTTGCTTTAATATTGTGAATACTCAAATTTGTGAAAATATTCTTAATATAACGATAAATTTGCGATACTTAAATGGGAAATGTTCATAGCTAATTGTTATGATAGCTATAATTCTAATTAGTATTGAGCAACAACTGATTATGGTATGATCATGATACCATTTTGGGCTATTTATTAGGTAGTTATTCTATGATCTCTGACACAGTACTTAATATTACTTATCTAAAAGATCATTAGGCCACAAATACTTATGTATAAGGTTTGCCGTGGATTATAGCAAGTAAAACAAATACTACAAGTTTATATAAAATGGATATCTAAGAATCTTACTGTAGTGGTTATATCAATTCTTGATAATTTTATAAATATTTCTGTATAACTATATTACTTTTATGAACTGTATCGCTACGATGAGCAGGTATGGCTATACACATCAGCTCTAACGGTAAAAAAGCGGATGTCTGCTAAGAGTCAGCCCTTCAGCTGTCAAGCTCCAATTTAGTCTTATCATAGGAGTTAATGGGTATTTAGCTATAATTAAAATGGATGTATTTTTTATATTCCTTTTATAAAAGGCTGTCTTTATACTATAAATTGTTTTAGAATTGCACAACGACATAGAACATTAATCATAGAAATAAGCACAATGTCTAACATGTCTCAGCCAGTTCAAAGAGCTGCTACAAGGTCCATAATCCAAAAGTATATCAACAAGGAGACATTAAAGTATGTGTTTACCACACATTTCTGGGGACCTGTTTCAAATTTTGGTATTCCAATTGCTGCATTATATGACTTAAAGAAGGACCCTACGTTGATCTCTGGTCCAATGACACTGGCTCTGGTTGCTTACTCTGGTGTGTTTATGAAATATGCTTTAGCTGTTACTCCTAAGAACTATCTGCTGTTTGCATGTCATTTCATAAACGAATCCGCTCAACTGGGACAAGGTTATAGGTTTATTGACTTCAATTACTTCAAGTCTGACGAAGAAAAGAATAAGATTATTGAAGAATACAAGGTAAAAGCTGAACAAGCTAACGAAAAGAAATGATTTGTTTATTCAAATATTATCTTAAACAATACAATTTCCACGATTATGATTTAAGTCAAAAAGAAGCATTTGATTCATATTGTAAGTTCTTAATCCATGACTCTTTTCTATATTTATTTTCATATCAAACTGGAGTAAACTATTCGAGCATTATTTTTTCTTCCTCTTTGTACAATATCTTTTTGGAATCCAAAACCCATTATTCTTTCTCCCTAAATAACTTCACATATATCTACATTCTATTCTGTAATGCATCCACAATTATTTTACAACACACCCACAGAATACTCAAATTTTAACTTATCAATCCTTTCAAATCGTCATTCATTCTATAGCTTTTTCAATTTGATAGAATTGAAACATAACTGCAATGCAATACGATAGTATAGACACTGATTACAAGTAATACAATACCGAACTACCACTGTTACAACTGCTACATATAATGTCGGATGAAATTGAGGATCGTCCTAGGACCAGATCTCGAACACCATCAGTAGACACACAATCATACACAATTAATGAAGAGGCACATCATATAATTACAGATTCTGATAGTAGTTCAAGTGAAAATGAAGATGGTGAAGGTAATGAAACTAATAGCTCAGATGATAGCTCAGAATCTGGATCGGTAGAAAGATTTTTAGATGAAATTGTACCGACTACAAGCACTTCATTTATACCCAATGATACACCGGATCCGGCTACTCTGTTTGATATAACAGAGTATATTTTTGATTCAATTGTACAATCTACAAATGCCTGTGATTTCTCTGAAGCATTTGCACTACAGGCAAAGACATCAGCGGTGATAAACTCTAAAAGTATGGAACTGAAGAACTTGATAGAGCAAACCAAGGTACGATTGCCTGAACTTCAGGCAAAGTTTAAAAACGGAACACAAACGTTGAGAACCATCAGAAAGAATTTGGATAACGCTAAATCAAGGATACAGGTAATGAATGATGTACTTCAAACTGATTATCCAATAGAATTTAACCAAGCACGAGATAAGATATTGGAAAGGACACTTGATTCCGATGAAGAAGTTATCTAAAGTATTGGAGATGTCACTCATATAATACTACTTGTCATACATCGTCAAAATAAGGCGCTTTTAAACTTGCTTGCCTATACGTTTGTGATTTTAATCTATTTTAAAGAAAACTATTATACATGAACTATATTCAATTTAATTATAAAAAGCCAAAATTGGAAATGAAGTAATTTTTTATTTTGTTTATGAACTAATACTTGAAGTTAATTTCAATCAAAAGTAATCTTCTTTGGCTTTTTGCTCATATCAATATCTTTAAAGAATGCACCATAAGCACCATGTTCTTTACGTTTAGTATGGGTACCGAATTTGATCAAATCTTCAGGAACTGGTTGGTTAGCTCCATTCAGAACATTAACTAGACCACCTGCTAAGTGTTTCTCTTGCTCAGTAAAGAGTGTGTGGGCAGTACCAGTTTGGCCGGCTCTACCGGTTCTACCAATTCTGTGGACATAATCTTCTACAGTCAATGGGAAAGTTAAATTGATAACAGTTTTAACATTAGGAATATCTAAACCTCTGGCAGCAACATCAGTAGCTAGAAGCAAGTTTGATTTCCCAGACTTGAACTCATTTAATGCTTGAGTTCTTTGCTGTTGAGATAGGTCACCATGAATAGCAGCCACTTTATATCCATTGTAGTTCAAGTTTCTCTCAACTCTAGAAGCTTCCTTTTTGTATAGTGCAAATATAAGAACTTTGTCATTCTTTTTTGGGCCAGATTGGTATTTCTTTAATAGATCCAAAAGCTTTCTTTCCTTGCTACGTGGATCAACAACCTCAACAATTTGTGTAATACGCTTGTTGGCACTCAATTCATCTCTGTTACCGATAGAGACTTTAACTGGTTCCTTCATGAATGTAGAAGCTAATTCACGAACCTCCTTTGGCCATGTAGCAGTGAACATCAGAGTTTGTCTGTCCTTTGATTTTGTCTGACCGATAATTCTCTTGATATCTTCTTCAAAACCCTTTTCAAGCATTCTATCAGCTTCATCAAGGACCATGTAGTCGACAGGAGATAAATCAACAGAACCTTCTTCGATTAAGTCCAATAATCTACCTGGAGTAGCCACAACGACATTGGATTTAGCAATTTGACGTCTTTGGTCATCTTTTGGAACACCACCGTACACAACACAACAATCTATACCAACCTTTTGAGTAAGGAGAACAAGATTGTCATAGATTTGAGAAGCCAGTTCTCTAGTTGGTGATATAACCAATACCTTGATGCCCTTTGGCTTTGAAGAACTAGTTAGCAAGTTATTAATGGCAGGAACACCGAACGCAAAAGTTTTACCTGAGCCTGTTTCAGCAACACCAATAACATCCTTACCAGAAAGAAGATATGGCCAAGAAACAGCTTGAATAGGTGTAGGCTTGGGGAATTTAGCAATCTCATTCTGGACTTCTTTGTCAAGGGATATTTGGTTGAAAGCTAATAGAGGACGCAAATTTAACTTGCTTGGGTCCTCGACAGAAACTTCATTTTCTTTAAAAAACTCATCAATAACTGACTGAGGTTGTTTAGATAGTTCCTCATTTTCGACATAAGCACCAATCTTAACTTGTTTGCTTGGTTGCTCGGTAGTCTCAGAAAGTTTGTCAACTTGTTCAGCCTTCTTATCCTTCTTGTCTTTCTTGTCTTTCTTGTCATTCTTCTCCTTCTTCTCCTTCTTCTCCTTCTTCTCCTTCTTATCCTTCTTATCCTTCTTATCCTTCTTGTCCTTCTTGTCCTTCACCTTCTTGTCCTTCTTAATCTTCTTCTCATTTTGCTTGATAGCAACATCATCGGTAAGCTTTCTCTTCTTTGATTCTTCGACAGTCATATTAATAGATGTACAGTATATGTGTATCTCAGATGTTGTAAAGGTAATATAATATCACAACCTCAACAACTCTAATCTAGTTATATCATTGATGAGTTTATTTTATAAGTGCTAATAGAAGGCGATGAGCTAGCTCATCGCATCAATTTTTCGAAAATTTTTCAGTTTTTAACTGCCGAAATTGTGTAAGCCTTAGAAACAGCAGTAGATCATTCAATCAAAAGGGAAACATTAAGAGTTTTTGGAAAAGAAAGAAAACCATATTGATCACACAGATCCTCGAGGTTCACAATGTGATTAGGATTCATGGAGTGGACAGAATTGAAGCAATAATATTATTACAGATATAAAAGAGTTAGAATTGGATTTAAGGTGCAATAAATAGTAGGAATATTTTTAGATGAGTTTTGATTTTATTAGCTAGAGAGAGGACAGCTAGTGAAAGTTGCCAAGTGTATGTTTTCGAATGCATGCAACATATGACTCGAGTGTCTGAGAGTATATGCCTTAAGTCTTTTTTATTTTGATCTGCGAGAGAAAATTGACTATATTGACTGCATTTTAGAGCAGCCGTAACTTCTTTTTAATATTTTTTAAATTGTGTGCGAATTTAATAGATTTCTTTCAAGGATACTGTGAATAGCATCTTCTATCTTTAGATCTTAAAAATTCATCCGGTTAAAAAAAAACGGTACATGTAAGGTACAGTTGACTCTGTATTTCAATCGGGTTTCAATGCTTGGTATCCAAACCCACCTTGTCGTAGTGATGGTGAATAATATTATTGACAGAGTTTGAATCGTGGTAATCATTGATAATTTCAATGTTAGACTCATTGACATCAATATCATCCTCACTTTCTTCTTCCTCTACAGCATGGAATTCCTTCTTACCCTTGAACTCCCAATATGCAATGGCATATACAGTGTAGCCCACAATTACTACCGACACATAGTTCATATTATCCTTTGATACTGGTAGTACTGGTGGGAATGAGAAGAACACTATAGCAAATAGTGTCCATCCTAACAGGACAATGTTTGAAAATAGACCGAATTTCCCTAGCCAGAATGGTCCTTGCCTTATTTGACGCTTACGCATTAGAAGGCAAATGACTGGTATGATATATGATAATAGTAAGAAGGCGATGCAACCTGTGATCAATGAGTTGAAAGCAGTAGTGGAGGCTAAATACAAAACACCAATAAGGGCAATCAAAGCTGAAGACATTAAGTGGGCATTTAAAGGTACACCAGCGTTAGGGTTAACTTGAGACCAATACTTGGAGTAAGGTAGACCATTGTCTCTAGCAAATGACCAACCTAATCTTGCTTGCCATGTGTGACAGGCAATGATACAACCAAATGATGTTATTAGCACTAGACACCCCAAAACAATGGCTCCAGCTTTACTGTTGGTGGCTTGTTCATAGATATTTAGGATTGGAGCACCTGTATTAGAGGCTAATAGCGCATCCAAATCACGAATGGAGAAGAACATGGCAATGACATAGCAAAACGATGTCAAGAAGCCGATGGCAATTGTACCCATAATAGCAATTGGTATCACTCTTTCTGGTTTCTCAACTTCAAAGGCCATATGAGTAGCACAGTCCAAGCAAGAGAAAGACCAAGCAGGGTTAATTAAACCAACAATAAACGCTATGACACTATTCTTCCAGCCAGTTTCGTTATAAAATGTTGCAAATACGAACTTGGCATCGTTGAATTTACCTGATGAGCAAGCAAGAACTGTAACTGTAATGACAAAAAAGGATGTCAAGGAAATGTATAGCGAAGATGCGGAAATTAGAGGTAAAGATTTACCATAACAATTAAACAACATCAAGAATAGATGCAATAGTTCAAAACAGACAAAAATATGCCATCTCTTTGGTGTGAATTCTGGGTGAGTTAGCACGTACATACCAACTAATTCAGTAGCAGCAGACAAGGTAGTAGAAGCACTTGTAAATAATGAACCAGCATATGCAAATGAACCACATAAGTAAGCTGCAAATCTTTTGTGTTTTGTTGGGGCCAATTTCAATGACCACCAGAATTGGCCACCAGCATGCGGGTATGCAGAGGACAATTCACCAAGGGACACACCAATACAAACTGATATCAATGCAATGATTATAATACCATAGACGATCATCATAGGCCCACCGGAGTTGATACCAGTAACCATAGATGCAGAAATACCGAACCATGAGTTTGTTAAGCCAAAACCAACACCAAGGATTGACCAAAGAGAGAAGGATTTCCTCAAGTGGACTTCGCCGTCTATTGATTGCTCTTGTTCTATTATTTTTTTACCATTTTTGGCTTCAAATTGGCCATCAAGAATAGAATCCTGTTGACTTGTTATAGAAGTCCGCTCAATATCTCGAGGTGACATATTCTTTATATTTCTTCGGTATTATAGAAAGAAGTTCAATGTAGCAGTTATTCTATGGATTGAAATTTAATGAAGTCTAAAAAAAATCACGATAGTTTATCTCTTTTGTTCTACCTTGATGTATTGACTTGTTTATATAAAAAAAACTCTCCAGAAAGTCAATATACACTTGTTAGACTAGAAATGCATTTAATCAAATAAATGGCACAGCATATAAGAAGTTTGTCACTAACGCAACTCTTCGGTCTTCCTTGATAAATACCGGTGTCTGAAGTTTCTCAGAAACAGGTTTCTCAGTTAGAAGAAACTCGTGGAATTTTGTTGAGATAACTGCTAGTGATAACAGGCTCGATTCGGTAACGATGATCCTAATTCCGTCTCGAAATGCAAGCTGTGTCATTACATATATTTTTCAAGATTAGCATGTGAAGAGGTTAAGTATATGACCATGTGAATATGATGATCGTTGCTATCATTGGTTTCACGAAATTGATACAACCATAGCCCATGTGAAATATAGTTTTTCGTTTCTACTTCAATTTGCAAGAATTCGAATAGCATATTCAACTACCATTCCTTTGTCTTTATTTTAATAAAAGTCAGTCGAAAGATGGTGATAAGTTTACGACAGCATTGTACGTTGTACTAGTCGAGTATTGTATATTGGGATACAAAAGGTCTTCATCATTTAAAACAAAAAAACAATGGATAGTTGAATATGTTTTGTTTTTTAAAACATCATGAGATCAACACCTTTACCACAACAGTATCCATACTATATGCAAAAAAGGAATTGATCTCTATTCTATAGGCACATCGCATACAAATGCGTGGATATTCTCTTCGCACTCCAGTCCAAAGAAGATAAATAAGTAATATCAAATTTTAGCATATCTCATTTGTTCGAGCTGCTTTTATACTTTTTTTTTTTTTGATGAAAAAAAATTTTCTCGCATGCTGAAGCTCATCTCAGCAATAGAACAGAGTACAGTTAGGGCTTTTTCCCTGTCCGGATAGCAACTGTCAGAAGCATTCACAGTTCAAGTATCTTGCTGTTTCGATCTTGTTCTTTCAACAGTTTACAGCTTATTTACTATTACAATATATAATGGAAAGGTGAATTGGATCAGTCCCGAAAGATGGTGTATTTTAAGTAGACAACATCGTGTTAAAAACACTAGTCACTTTATAAAGCTGTCGAAAAATCGACTGTTTGTCATCACTTTCAATTTCTTTCCTCTTTAAGAGTTTTACTATCAACAAAAACCGATCAGCCTAAGTTTAGCGTATAAGTGTACTCACGTATACATTCAAACTTCATTCTCGATTGCAGTTTGATTACATCAGCTCTTTCTATTTAAGTTTTATTTCTTTTACATTACTGTGAACAAAAGCAGAAACTCTATAGCAATTCATAAATTGTAGTTTTTAACTCGATGCCCTTTATATACTTTTTTTTTCTCATTCTTGTTCTTCTAGCATTCAAATCGTGAGGTATGCTGGCTGATCAAAGTAGGGTTCAGTCAATGGTCATATTAATGTATACCAAAGACTTTGTCATAGGCATCGGACTCCAAGAATTTCGCAGAATCATTTGAGAAGACGTCCCTGAAATACCACGCCAGCCTGCTGGCAAGGTTGTTCCTTTCCCACCAGGGGAGAGCCATTGTTGCATCGCCGATATCTTCTTTTGTAATAAGGGATCGTATCACAAATATGAACAGCAAAAATGGGATAACATAGGCTATAGCTCCATTGAAAGTATTATTTTTGCTCTTGTTATCATGCACTCTAGTTTCTCTCTTAAGTTGTGGGTCAAATTGGATCTGTTCTTGCAAAATTCTGATTAGCCGGTTCTGTTCTTGTAGCCTACTCTTCAATTCGCCAATCACTACATCATGTTTTATGGCAGTGCCATTGTTCCCTCCATGTATATGTCTTTGTTCATATTCTTCCGACAATAAGTCATATTTCTCCTTCAATTTGGATATGGTTGATCTCAGCTCTGTTAAGTTGCGTTCATTATTCATAATTGTCTTCTCTTTATCTTCTAATTCTCTTTTCATAGATTCTAATTGCAATTCTAGACTCTTATATTTCCTATTGATACGCCTTGGAGTTTCTGGTTCCTCTTGTGGTTTTAAGTTTCGCAAAAGATCAACCTTTATCGGACTACCGAGGCTATCCGCTTTACTTCTAGGAGACGATTTGACATCAGCTTTCACTTCCAGGGCACTTATGAAACTTGCAGGAAACCCATCACAATCCTCAAATATTTTGTTGATAACGGTTGAAAAATTATTACCTGTTAGTTTATTCAGCATATCAGAGAAGGATTCCTTGTAGATCTTGTAGTATGGAGTCTCCTTCGCAAATGCATCGATAAGATCCATATGCAACTTTGGTAAAAGCGGCAGCTTCAATCTGTTCTTGAACCGGGTCATATGAAAGTCGGTTTTATTGGTATTAACAGTATCCTTTATGACCTGTTCACACTGTGTGATAAAAGATGGCATCTGTTTGGCGTAGATGAAGCCATCGCGGTCGCGATCTACCTGCAACCACACGCGTTCAAACAATAGCTCTGGAACATCTACCTCAGACATTTGGCCAAATTGTGTATATCTTGTTTATCTACAGCACCGTAAATTGAGTTAGTATCTTTCACGTACATGCAGGGAAACCTTTGAGATGTATACCTCAACGCTTACAGTATTGCATTGTCCTTATAAGATACAGTCCTGTTTGTTTTCTAAAACGAGGGCAGCTCGTTGGAATTTTTTGCTTCCGTACGAATAAGTAATAGCGATGAGGAAATAAGAGTTCGAAGAGGTTCCATCTTCAAGGAAGTATGAGAAGAGCCATTACTCATATACCAGTAATTTGACACTGACAATCTTTTTAGAAATTGTACAAGGTGAAAAATATTGAGTTGCAGACATACTAAGTATTCTGTCTGAACAAAAGAGCGGACCCCCATAGTTTCCCGGACTTAAGATAGAGGAAAGTACGACAGGAATTGTTGAATTTGTGAAATTATTAGAGCAATATAGTACTGGAGAGATACGTTTTATATCAATTGAATTGGATTACAACGTTTATCAAGGATGAGCGAACATAATAACGAGAATCTGAATTTACATGAAGGATTGAATCTTGATGATGACGACCTGGAGAATATGTTGAAGAACCCAAATCTATTTACGACTTCACCAGGAATAGATGTTGAGAGCATTCCAAGTGCCACAAATCAGAACTCTGTAAATGGCCAGGATGATAAGAGTGGTATAAAAAGCCAAAATAGCGACACAAATGAAGTCATTGAGGATATTGTCAACCCTTCCATAGATCCGTATGTCTCTACACCGCATAACGATGAAATGGCTTCTCCAGAAGACGATATAGATAGTATAAACAACAAAGATAGCAACAAGCTTATGACATCGTTGGTGAGACAGAACTACGGGCCTCATCTTGGTAGGGACAATGCGGACATTAACAGTTCCAATTTTAGGTCGCACTATCAAAACTTATTTGATGATAACTACTTAAAGACGGATATGGGCTCACCAGTTAATAAGAACAAGCGTAAGAGAGAAGATGATGATGATGACCAGCTTTACAGCTCACAGATTCTCCGAGGACCATTATCTCCAGGTGGCAATGCACACAAGGTGGATAACCGATTAATGTCGTATGGTAGTAATAACCTTAATAGTCGGCAGCAAACGCCTGGGATGGAAAATACTCCATCAGTATTAAACCGTCGTTTTCAGAATAAAACCAGACCTGCGTTTGTGAACAAAGTTTGGAGTATGATTAATGATCCAGTAAATTCACATCTAATACAATGGTCTGAAGATGGACTGTCCTTGATTGTGGTAAATAGGGAAAAGTTTGTGCATGAGATCCTCCCGAAATATTTTAAACATTCCAATTTTGCCTCCTTTGTGAGGCAATTGAATATGTACGGATGGCATAAAGTCCAGGATGTGAAATCAGGTTCTATCCAAAGTAGCTCAGATGACAGATGGCAGTTTGAAAATGAGTTTTTTGTTAGAGGTAGAGAGGATCTATTAAACCGGATAGTAAGGCAAAAGGGCACATCCGCCAACGCAACGCCTGGGACACAATCCAATATGAAGTATGGCAATGGCAACCAGATACGTGGGCTTCCGAACGTGAATGGACAAACTTTGAGGTTGATGAATGAGGCCAATATGGGTAATACTATGGATATTACTGCTGTTCTTGGAGAACTAGAGCAAATCAAGTTTAATCAGATGGCTATCTCTAAAGATTTGATGCGCATAAACAAGGACAATGAGCTACTGTGGAAGGAGAACATGATTGCCCGTGAGAGACACAGGACCCAGCAGCAGGCACTGGAGAAGATCTTTCGTTTCTTGAGAAATGTTGTTCCGCATGCGGACCAGAAATTGCTTATGGATGTTGCTGAGCCCGTTTCTAGTCGGATTGAGGAGGCGCAGGATATATCAGACGCACCCAGTGTGTCTTCAAAGAGCTTTGACTTTGATGACGGAAAAGAGGATAGGTCTAGGTACATACCACTACAGGATGAGGATGGCAAGCGTCCTTTGTATTTGTTAAAGAACCGAACTATGAGTGAGAACAGCAACAAGAGCAGTGGTGGTCGTTTAGCCTCTACACATAACGATAGCAGTGGTCGTATCTCAGAGATACCGTTTGAAGAAGACGATCTCAGTCCCCCTCGCCATGAAGTAACTGACGTGGGGCATATCTCAGGTCAAAAGAATGTAGCCATTGATAAGTTAAAAGCAGATCTACACGAACAAGAGGCACGGATCAAGTACTTGGAAGACATGGTAGAGAATAAAACCTTGGACTCGCATCTCAATGACTCGATGACAATGCCAATGATGCCCAGCCCATCAACAATGCTAATGCATGATATGGTTGAACCCTCAACGATAGCATTAGGTAAGGAGGCCACAGACACTAGCGAAGGGAAACACCATGGTCATGACCAACAAGGCCAAGTGCAAGGCCAGGACCAAGTGCAAGGCCAGGACCAAATGCATAGCCAGGACCAACAAAACGACATGAGTGCAATCGGTGGGTTATCCGAATTATCCCCCGGGCTGTCTCCGGGACTGTCCTCGGGCCTTTCGCCAGGGTTCGATATCGGTGACTACCTGAACTCATCGCAGAACCACATGACACCGATGTACGAGGATAAGAAGTAAGCCTTATGTAGTTTAGTTATATATCAATAGCTTGTCCATAGGAACTACTCACATGACTTACGTGATCGCCAACGATATTTGAACAAAAGTGCACCCGAGAAATTGCCCGATTGAGATGAGATGAGCTGCCGTTGTCCGTCAACTCTTGAAAATCAACTACTTTGGCACAACTTCAAACTAATTGGCAGGCCCTCCCACCGCCTATATTTGTTACCACTGTTGTGTGTGTGCCTGTCATTGCTATTACATCCCAGTTACGGGCCCTCGTTCCCTGCATGCGAACAAGGAAGGAAAAAGGCCAGGAAAAAAAAATTCAGAGCTCTTGTGAATTGTTCACTATCTTTAGGCCAAGCAGATAACGCTATATATATAGAACATATTGATTTGATATTAGAAAAATATAGTGGCGCAGGAACTTATACGTTGAAATTACTCCCCCCCGAGAGACGAGAGTTTGTTTTGTTTTTGAGCGAAGAGCGTTTTGTGGGTTATAGCGCTAGCGCGAGTTACTTATAAGGAAGGAAAAGTTAAGACGTTGTGAAAACTGAATTAAGACTGGGAAAAGGAAATTCTTACTCGAGTAGTGGTTTTCCTTTATAAGACAGCAGGCGAAGCGTAAAACACTTTCAAAATACAGTTCATTACTTTAATCAGGAAGTTGTCCGGCGATAATTTAGCTTGATTTGTATAATAATAAAGGTATTATTTCTTACAAGTCTGGTTATTTTATCTCAAAGACCTTATATTCAGGGCAAGTTTAGGTTTATATTAGTTTTTTTTCAATTTGAAACAGAGAGCTGTTATTTTTATTTGTTTTATTTGCTATTATTTTGAAATTTGTTTTCGTGCTACTATTCCAACTTTTTAATACTGTTTTATTAATATTTTGTTGCAGAACAGAAATTTATTTGTTTTTTTTTATTGTTAAGGCATATATCTCTTCGAAGAGGAAAGAAAATCAAGATATTACCTGCTTTTTTTTTGTGTTTCTTATTGAAATATTGAAATGCTATGGATTCCAACCAACTAATACACTTGGATTCGGTTCCTAATTTCAAGGATAAGAATGAGATTAAACCATGGTTACAGAAAATTTTCTACCCGCAGGGAATAGAGATCGTCATTGAGAGATCAGACAGTCTTAAAGTTGTATTTAAGTGTAAAGCTGCCAAGAGGGGCAGGAAGAGTCAGGAAGAACTTACCGAGGAAGAACGTTTACGGCAAGAGGCTTTGGCTAGGGAACATGAAATGAAGAGGAAGTCTATGGGTAACAAGAGGTGTGTGTCGCGATATAATCACTGTCCATTCCGAGTACGGGCAACTTATTCGCTAAAGAGGAAAAAATGGAGTGTAGTGGTGTTAAATAATACACATACCCATCCTTTAAAATTTAATCCTTTATCTGAGGAGTATAAGAAATTCAAAGAGAAACTTCGAGCCGATAATGATGTCGATGCCATAAAAATGTTTGATGAACTAGAATATCGAACGCAACATAACTTACCACTTCCAACATCGATCATTCCTTGTGATTGTGGTCTGACTAATGAAGTGAAAAGCTTTGATGTGGTATTACCCAAAACTATGGTACCAGACGAATTATCGGTTAAGGCTAGCGAAATCTCATTAAAGAAAGTATTGGAAGAAGATGAAAACTGTACATTCTTGACAAATCTGAAAAAATCCAGTGCAATCTCAAAGAATAAAGGAGTGAAGCGATTGAAACCCAAGCATTCGCTATCTGGCAATACAGAAACTTTAAGAAAAAATCTTCTTTGGAAAAGTAATCAAATTTACTATAGTGAGACTGCTGTAAATTCGCCGATGTTAGATTCTTCTCCAAATTTATTTGGAAATCAATTATCTTTGTCTACACCAGATTTGGTGGCAGCAGATGCTGGCAGTAATGGCAGTCAAATATCTACCAAAGCCTTTAGTGATTTTATAGATGATCCATTTACAGTGGGTACTAATGGCAATGGTGCAGACTTCCAACCATTCACAGCTTCAAATACAGGGAATGCAATAACCAATTTGGACGAGATTGATTTTACTAATATTTTTGCCAGATCGACTAATAACAACCACAAGCACCCTTATAACTCTACAGCTATTGATAGGAATGATTCACCAACATCAAATGCTCCTTTATCAGTAAAAAATGCCTATGATGGACTTGATGATTGTTGGTCAATATACATGTCACCAAACACTACCCATGATGACACACCTGTTGATATTTCCCCTGCATCCTCTAAACTACATAACAAGATGCCTAGAATTCCAGAGCAAAGGTCAGATTCTTTACAACCGAATGTTCGGTTTAATGATACAGCTTTAAAACATGAAAGTTTATTCACAGATGACCTCATAAATAAGAGTAGTCCAAGACATGACGTTGGAGATGAATTCTTGTTTGATAAGATGCTGAATAAAGAATTGACGTCTTTGAACGAATTTACAGAGAACAAACATTCTGACTATCCTGTAAACGCGGGTTCATTTAATCTTGATGTCTTTGGACCTTCTGTCGATAACAATGATTCTTTGTCCACTTTAGATTTTACTAAGCCTATGAACGATAACTTTGTTAAATTAGAAGAAGATCACATAATGTGAATATTGATTGATATGAGATGTATTGTGTCTTTGTTGTTTTCCAAATGTCTATATTCAAATTTAGAACTGATTAAATTACTCTGGCTTTCTTTCCATTTTGTTTTGATGACGATTTTCCATTTACGTTTATTTTTTAAAAGGGTTAGCTTACCAAAATCCGATCATCTTTTATATATTAATTCCACATGGTAAACTTTAACCCAAGAGTAAATAGACACTATATTTTATATATAATATTTTAGATGAGTTGATTTTATTCTATTTTCTTCTCTAAATGGGCATATAAGAGCAACCGTTCCTTGTATTGCAATACTTTATAGCAGCAATGGACGCCAGTAATTACTTCCAAAGCTAGCTGCTGAATTGATTTTTTTTTTGCAGCATTAACAGGATATTCGCAGTTATTCACTTTTATTTTATATTTTGATATATGTATATGAGATTATCTATCGCGTATAATACAGATTCTAATAGAGATTGCATATAAAAGATGGTACAGAACAGCATGTTTTTGAGGTCAAAGCACTGGGACAGTTTGTCCTATGGTTACCTTTGGCAGTTAATAGGGAATTCATAAATGCATTTCTTATATTCGTTCCATTAATTTGTACTGAGAATGAGAGGTGGGTCACTAGATTGAATAACAATTCAAGAGAACTGGGTTCTCTTGTTCTTTTGATCAGAAGTAAATATATGTGAGCATGCTAGACAGACAAAGAAAAGAACCATACTTGTATCTTTCCTTCTCTGCTGTGATTGGAAGAAGACATTCTCTCTCGAGTGGCACTTTGGACATTCACGGTCAGACCTCGGAAGCGTTGGATCAGAACCAATATCCTGCACCACACCGGCGGTTTCACCAATATTTGTAATCAATTCGTGTCTATAGACCAAGGGAGAACCAGCTTCCTCAATATACGAACATGTTCTGCATTCGAAAAGTAGTCTGTTGTTCTCCTTATCCTCACGAGGGTAAAGCATGTTGTTGCAATCTCGGCAGAAACGGAAAGTAGTCATTTTGTCTTTGTAATAATTATTTGTTGACTATAAGTCGTTTTCAAGTGTTCTTAGCTGGGTTAGTTGCTTAACCAGTGCTCTAATTACCAATTTATATTTTATTATTGTCAATAGCTCGCTTCCGCAGATAGATATCGTTTCCACAACCAGTTTTCGACCTCACAGAAAAAACCACCGTCTACAAACTTCTCGACGCCAAGTTCAAGTAATGATAACAACAACTAGACTAGCATCCAGGATTAAGTGCCATCGACTTCAAACTGCTATTTGGGCTTTATTACTTCGAAGTTTTGAAAAAAAAGCTTCAAAAATTGCGAAGGCTAGTGAGTTCGTCTAATCAGCTTTGTCACTGCAAAACTGGAAAAATGCTTCGAAAGTCTCAAAAAAACTCGAATTTGGGAAGGAGTTGTCCAACGAATATAGACCTGGGAGAGCAGACTAGTACTTTAGCCCATTGTGATAGCTAGGTAAGACTGCTAATTTGATTTACTTCAGAGGTAAGTGCTACGCGGGAGGGCAAACAAGAACTGGTATTGTTTTTCATCCAATTTAAGAGAGTTAGAATTAGCGAAGGTATAAAAAATGTCGTTACGTTTAGTTGCTAAGAGGTCTATTGCTGTGCCAAGGGTGTCTAGACTTGTGGTGCGTCCAATGTTGACTCGCTTTAACAGCACTGCTGCTGAAGCTGGTGTGAGCGAAGTTGACCCTAAGATTTCGAAGATCGTGGAGGATATATCCAAATTGACATTGTTGGAGACATCAGCTCTAGTGACCGAATTGAAGTCGAAACTGAATATTCCAGATATCTCGTTTCCTGCTGCTGGTAGTGCTCCAGCTGCTGCACCAGCTGATGGAGCTGCTAAGGCTGAAGAAGCTGAGGAGGCTAAGCCTGAAGAGAAGACCGTGTTTGGCATCAAGTTGGAATCGTTTGATGCTAAATCTAAGGCTAAGATCATTAAGGAGATTAAAGGCCTGCTAGGTTTGTCCCTGGTTGAAGCCAAGAAGTTTGTTGAAGCAGCTCCTAAGATCCTAAAAGAGAATGTTGCTAAGGATGATGCTGAAAAGATTAAGACTACCCTTGAAGGTTTAGGTGCCAAGGTATCCCTAGAGTGAGATCCTTCAAACAACCCAGAATTGTATGACGGATTTGGTTTTTTTTGATTTTGAGAATTTTAAATGCCCCACCAATCTCTTTCCCTTTGCATTGGACTAATCATATTTACAGTGGAGAAAGCCGGTGATTATCTCAAAGTGCATTTTACTTGCACCCATCCTACACTTCTGAATTCATGTTTTATATAGTTTTTATTCATTCTTTAGATTTGAGAAAAGAAACCTGTAAATATTAGGCTCTCATTAATATATTATCAAAAATAGTATTGATTTTTTGTTAAATACGTGGAATACAATTATATGCAGTTATGTGCTATATCTAGAGTATTCTTGGCACATGTATTTAAACAGAGCCAAAGGCAAAACAATAGCATTCAGGGCAACACTAAATAAGATAAATTTGTAGTTTTTTAATAGATATATAATTGCTAATATACCCACGTAAGTTCAATAAAAAATAATAAAATTAGATGAATTGAGGAAAATCTATGCAGATTTATCGTTGCTATCTATAGGTCGTCACTACAGGCACAATAGAGGGCATTTTCTAGTAGTTATTGACTCTGATTTTTAGATGACCCAACAGTTATTGTTCAGATGTTAATCTATAACCAAATGGATGAGTTTGCGTATTGGAGTAGAAGTATAGCGGGTTAGAAATTTTTTAGATATCAACCTGCTTGTATGTATTTATGACCAGACGATATTCTGTAGTCATTATCAATTGGTTTCGTGGTCTGTTTCTTCTCTATACCTGAAAAAATGATCCTAAGAAATACTTCACTGTTTGTAATTTCATACCCTAGATTCTATCTTTAAACATCTACAAAGCAGTGGTACTTATGATTATCTTTTTTTTCCTTGAAATGCTCCCGTAAATTTTGGATGAACTTCTTTACTTCAGAATTAATCAGAGCCATATATTATCACCAGAAGGTTTTGGATTTTGTGGAGAAATGTTTTGCTGTTGAACTTGTGGCATATTATTTGTTTGAACGTTTGGTGGATAGTGAGTGGCTCTGTTTACTGGTTCCTGGGTAGGAACAAACTGCCCTTGAGTTTCTTTTCTTTGTCTCTGTAGTAGTGGTTCAGGACCTTGTGGGGGTAATTGATCCTGGTTCAGTTCAGCAGACGCCAGCGGTTGCATTTGAACCTGTTGTGATTGTTGTTGCTGTTGATTCTGTTGTTGTTTTAGATTCTCCATGCCTTTATCTATAGCACTTAAGAGCTCTGGAGGAAGGGATGCGGCAGCATTGTTGTTTTGGACTGTTTGCTGTTTGATCTCTTCTGGTGTTGGGTAATGCTTATCGTCATTCTTGCAATAATGGAAGTGACTAGCAAACTTTTTCATGGCCAATAGTTTAACCTTATTGAAAGAATCGTTCTTGCTGTCCTTGGTATTGCTGGTTGTGTTTGATTCGTTGTTGTTGTTACCACTTTCCTTATTGGCGTTTGCAGTGGATGATGTGTCAAGCATCAGTACGTCTTTTTGTTTTTCTACCATGGCCTTGGTGTATCTAAGCATGGTCCAGTCAAAGAGGTGATCGTTGTGGTATTCCAATTTAATGCTTAGGTCTTTGAACAGTCTGGCTAAGTAGAGATAATCTGGTCTTTCATCGAACTTCAAGTTTCTACAGTAGTTCATGTACTCTGAGAATTCCAGTGGTAGCCCTGCGCAGAGAGTCTCTACGCTAATGCACAGTTTCTTCTCCAGGATACGGTCGTATTTTTGTTTCTTGGTGGTGGCCTTCAAACCTTGCCATGGTAGGGATCCCTTGCAGAAATATATCAGCATGTATCCTAGGGACTCCAGGTCGTCTCTTCTGCTCTGTTCGATACCCAGGTGTGTATTTACACTGGCGTATCTGGCTGTACCTGTCAGGGACTTGTTCTCTCTGTATGGGATGTGACGGTGCGTGTTGAAATCTCTGTACTTCTTGGACAGACCGAAATCTATGACGTGCACGGTAGAGCCGCGACGGCCCACGCCCATCAAGAAGTTGTCCGGCTTGATATCTCTGTGGATGAAGGACCTGCCGTGGATGTACTGCACGCGGCATATCATCTGGAGCGCGAGCATGATCACGGTCTTGAACGAGAACTTCCTGTGACAGTAGTTGAACAGATCCTCGAGGGAGGGCCCCAGCAGATCTATGACCATAGCGTTGTACTCACCCTCGCGGCCAAACCAGCGGATAAACGGAATACCAACACCACCACTCAGGTACTTGTACACACGAGACTCATAGTCCAACTGCGGGTGCCGGGACCGAATCGACTCCAGCTTGATGGCAACCTCCTCGCCACTGATTAGATTAGTACCATGGTAAATATCACCAAAGGAACCACTACCGATCTTCCGACCTATCCTAAACTTCCTGCCCACACGTAGATCCATCGCTTATAAATATTTTGTGAGTGTGCGAAAGTGCGAGTGTGCAAATGTGCAAATATGCGAGTGTGCGACAAGAAATAGACTCAATATTTCCTTTTAGCTCACAGTTATCGAACTGTCTTTCAGTATTACCAACAAGATCAATAAGACTTTTCAAGAGTGCTTTAAAGTCCACAAAAGAAATTTTTTTTTTCCTTCAGTGTGTCTTCAGTGAGAGCCAAGGATACCAAGACACCAGACAAGGCGAAATACACAAAACAGCGTAGTTGGGGAGAGCCGGGTAAACTTCAATTCTTAGTGCTTTCGGTTGCAGAGGAGGCATCGCACCTTGCATTCACCTTCTGTGCATGTTATATCTATTGTATACTTGCTTGTAGGTATAGAGATTGGTACTTTCAGCTGCGTTGGTTCAGTTCTGTGTAGCACAATTTGTAGGGTTATATCGCAAAAACATAAGTTGAGACTACACGAGACTTTGCGACGGACGCGAGGATACACCTCAAGCTGTGCAACAGGGTTGTATCAATACCAGATGGGTTGCGTATATACAGGTGTAGCCTGTGTGTGGGAGAAGGACCAGTAAAGCGTATAAGCGTTAGTATATATATATAGTATAGTCACGTGTTTGAACGTACGTTGTGAGTTTCACGTCTTTTGTTTTTGTGTCTTGCGTATAGAGTTATATGTCACATGATTTGTATAGGCCCGCATACATTGGGGGGGGGGGGGGCGGCAGCGGCATACAAATTAGCTATTATTCTACTATTTCACAGCAAAATGCAGTCCAAGAGTGTTCTCTTGGCTAGCGTAAATATATTTCAATGGTAGAAAATACGCTTGCATACAAGTATACTCTCTGATACAGTCTGTGAGAATTTTCCTTTGTGGGATGTTGGTGGTTTTTCTACTTGCTGTGGCAAGTGCCCTGACCGTGCCCTATGAAGTGGCCTGTCCCGAGTATTCGCTTGTGAGAAATGGTACCATGGGCCTGTGCCACAAGGAGCTGCATTACTTGAGCAAGAAGTCTCGTTTGAAACACGTACAGCTGGATGAGATACTCGCGCGTACCCAGGTCGGCGCTAATTCATCGGTGGTGCACAGATATTTGCCCCGGGTAGCAATTGCTTTATCTGGGGGTGGTTACAGGTCAATGCTGCTAAGTACAGGGTTCTTACGAGGTCTGGACGCTATGGGGCTCTACCACTACTCGGATTATATTGCAGGCATATCTGGCGGGAGCTGGTCGGTGATGGACCTGGTGGTAAACAAATTCCAACTTGGTAAATTAATTTCCGGTTGGGACTTATCTACGTCGATGCTTCCAGGTATGCCCGACGTGGACATAGGTGATGATGACACTGATTTCATATCAGATATGCATCTGGATCACTTGTTGCAACCAAATATAGCCACGCAAAAGAGAAGCCTGTTCAAGAGAGACAACGTAGTTCCTTCCCCTTTGCTAAAGATAAAACAGATACTGTTCCCGAATAATACACTCGCATCAGAAAACTTATTTGAGAAGCTTAGTAAGTTCAAAAACGCCTTGCAATTTTACATCGACTTGCATTTGCATATAAGATCTAAGAGGATCAATGGGTTCCCTATCTCGTTCACGGACTATTGGGCTCAGGCATTGGTGCAAAACATAAAATATCGGCAATTACCAACCCACTTGACATACAGCAAATCTGTCAGGACCAGCAATTATTTCAAAAATTACTTGGTACCAATTCCAATTATAGTGGCTAATTGTAGAAATGGCTTTTTAAAAAATGTCATATTCGAATTTACTCCATGGGAGTTTGGTTCCTGGGAACAGGTATTGGGTCTCTTTGTTAATATAGAGTATCTGGGTTCCCGAATTATAAATGGCGTCTCTCATCAATGTTACAAAGGCCTAGACGATCTGGGTTTCATCGCTGCCACATCGTCTTCGATATTCAATAATGCATTGATCTATGTGTGGAAACTAGCTTCAAAATCTTCAAAGGATGCTATCGCTGCTGTAAAAACCGTTCTGGCAGTTTTTGGGTTAGGCACAACAAAATTTGAGTCTGCTCTTCAAACTTCATCTCAGATTACTGCAGCTTTGGACACAGACTATGCGGTTTACCGCCATAACCCATTTTATAAATACAGTAATATAAAAAATGAATTAGCACAAAATGATTACTTGTATCTAGTTGATGGCGGTGAAGATGGTGAAAACATTCCCATCAGAACACTGGTCCCAAGAAATGTCGACATGATTATGATCATGGATTCAAGTTCTGACAAGAAAAACTATGCCAATGGAGATAAGTTAAAGATAGTCCTGAATCAAATGAAGGAAAAAGAAGGAATTTACTACAGGTATCCAACCAAGATTGTAACTAGTCAAAAGAGGCCCACTATCATTGGTTGTAAACCACCAAGAACCTCAGACACAAAACTTGCACCAATCCTAGTATATTACCCAAACAGTGAAAGATCATCCACCCAGGTAACAAACACATCAACTTTCAAGATGATATACACCTCAGAAGAACAGCAGCTTCTGATAGACCATGGGTACACCCTTGTGACAGGCCATGGAGAACATGACTACCAGAAATGCATGGCGTGCATACTTGTCAAACGATCTTATGACCAAGCATCTATAATACCACCAAAGCAATGCAGCATTTGCTACAGTAAGTATTGCGATAGTTAGTGTTTTTTCATGATACAATGTATCTTGAGAACTGATATATCATTAATCATATATGTCGTTAGGTCTAGTCAAAGCAGTAATTTTGATTTTGATCCCCTTATGAAATTCACGAATTTTCACTGAAAAATTACAAAAATAGAAATTTGAAAAGTAAATACTTCAGAGAATATTACTTGATACAAGGGCTATCTTTGATCTTTAGTATACTTCAAACTCTACCAAATATCATATTGTTACAGATAGAAGACGAAAATGAAGTTTAGCAGATCTGTATTTGCGCTGCTCGCTGTCTTAGTGTCGGCTAATGCTGACGTCAAGGCTAAGGATGATGTAAATGTCGAAGTTGAGAAGCCACCAAATGGCATGTCCTGGGAAGAATGGCATATGGACCATGAACACGAGCTTAAGAAATATACGCCTGAGCAGTTTTTTGCTCTTCATGATGTTAAGAAGAAGGGTTACTGGGATGAGAACGATATTCTGGGTCTATATGGTCTTAACCGTGACGAAGTTATTGGTGCAGGTGACGGTATGGGAGAGCATGATAATTCTGAAAAGATAGATGAGACCACCGCTAAGAATGTGGTCAAGTTCATAATGAAGTTACTTGATGTTAATGATGACACTAGGATTCTGAGAGATGAATACCTGGAATTTGCTAGGAGGGGTAAGAAGCTTCCTGATTTGGGTGTTGGTGTGGGTCATCATTCAGATTTCGAACGTGAATACGAAATCCATCACTGGAATAAGTACCACAAGGATAAGGATGTAAATGTCAAGAATGTCCATAAGGAAGATATTGAGCATGAACTATTACACCATGAGCACGATATTGAACACCAGGAAAAGATACAAAGAGGTGCTGCTAGGGGAACTGTTATTACTGATGATCAATTGGAAGCTAGAATTGAATTGAAAAATATCCCATCTAGATTCAAGAACGGTTACTTTTAAATTCTAACTAATTCACTTCATCAAAGGATAATTTCCTTGGGCTTAACGAAATATCAAGCTTTAATTTAGCATAAACATGCCTCTTCATTTGTTGAGGTCCATATTTACATGCTAATTATCTAGCATCAATAACACGCATACTATGTAAATCAATTCAATTACTTCAAGAATTCTTTTTATCTTTGTGCTTATTTATTATTTTCTTCATCAAGTTGATATGTTATTCATTTTTTATATGCGGATTATGGGCACTAGCAAGTAGCTAACAGCCAAAATAGTCTTGTTGTAGACATGTTTTGATAAATAGCATTATAATTTATGTATTTTCTGCAATATATTGGTCAGAATTTCATTTTCCATTTGTTTACCTTTCACTTCGTGGCATCTAATACCTTTCATATTTAACTGATCTTCATTAAATTTAATCTCACCTTCAGATAAATACACAACATCAGTGATCAGATCATTCCAATTAATGTGGATTGATTTCCGTTCTGTTTTACTGGGATCTTTCGAAGTGCGGTAAACTTCAATCGCACGGCGCATAGAGTCAACTACCATCTTAATGTATGAAATTCCAGACAGAAAAAAAGTCTCTCTATCATATTTGTTATTTATCAAGAGCACTTTTTTCATACTTTTTGTCTCTGAAATAACATCAGCGATATTACCCAATATAATGATGGGTAGTAAACTAGTCATTAAAGAACCAATTGAGTACACCAGCATGTCAGCTTGTTTAATTTCTGCAACAGCTCTTGGGTTACCAACTGGTCTTATTTCTTCTCCATAAGGATTTATATATAAAATTCTTTTTATCGGGGCCGGTAAAGTGCAATCATCCATCTTATCAAAGTTTATCTGAGATTCCTTCAATGCTGGTAGAATATATATAGGATTTGCAAATTCTTCCTCTTCTGTATCATTTATATCTGTCCAAGTGTTTCCTGACTCTTCAACGGAGTCAGTTGTGTCTTGGTTTAAAGAGCTTGATTCATCATTATTTTCGAGTAATTGTACAAATTTATCCTTTGTGATAGAAACTGAGGAGCCTCTGTTCGATGATAGAGTCTCTTCAGAAATATTTTCGTTGTTTTTCTTTGCCTCTACTTTATCCTGTGGCTCTTGTGGTTTAGAAGGGTGACTAATCTGCGACTGTCCCGTTATTACTTCACCATTGGTAAGAAGCGCTGAAATATGGTGTGTATGATTTGTGTTAATACAGGGGATGACATTTAGGTGAGTATTCGCCCTTCCAATTCTCATCATTAACTCTATGGATGCATCAACTGAACCTAAAAACAACCTCACACCTGTTAGAAAGAAATTTCCAATAGAAGCTTTCCCAAAATGGAATGGATTTGAGTTCTTACTCTTCTTGAGTAGTTCTGACTGGACATTTATCAAAAATGGTCTAGCCATGTCTCTAGACTCTACAGGAATGTTTTTCCATATAATGTGCGTACCTTCAACAATCTTGTTCCATTCGTCCTTCGCAGCTTGTGTGTCTTGTGGCAGTCTGTATCCAAATAGCTTTGTTAGTGCTGGGTCTTCGATCAATCTGACGATCCTGGACCTTATATCACCAACAGCGGGACCACCCAATACCCTTAAGATCTCGCTTGTAGACCCACCATTATCAGAGATGGGTAGTACATACGTCAGGTCCTCGCCTTGGTTTATTGACAATTCATTAAAGCAAGGCGTGAGTGAGTTGGTTGCAGTGCCTCCTGAAAATACAACAACTTTCATTTCAAAGTACACTTTCTTGGTTGAATATTATCTATGTTATCGCTTATAGTGTTTCTTACCACCGCTAGATTATATGTTTATATATAGTCTGAGCGTATCAGGGGAAGATTCTTTACAATAGCAGCCCCGCAAAAATAAGAGCTAAAAGTACTAATAATAGCAGAGGCAGGACGTGAGGTTAATTCCACTGAATCTGAAGGCCAGTTCAGTGACAAAGTAATCTGTGCATCGAAGGTTCCCATGTATCCATCACTTGTAAGTGTCTGAATGGCAACACTGGCTAATAGGACCCTTCCACCCCCCCCCCCACCCCACCTACCACCCACTAAATTCTCGAAGAAGAGATACATCCAAGGAAATATTAGCAGCAGAAGCCAAATGAAAACATAGTGGGGCATTCAAAAGTACGTACAACTGGGTATGCTGCACCTTTGCTCTATGATTTTCAGTTTTTGTTTAGTAGGTTTTCTTTCTTTTTTTACGACTAGGAGCTCAGAAAGTTGCGTACACATGCCCATTTTCATAGGTACTCGAACATTGTGTTGAAGGATCTCAGAGATGCATGGAATGGGGGGAAGGGTAGCTACTCCTTTGTTATACACTAATTTCTGTGGATCACAACAAAGAAATCTTCGCAACATGTTTGTATATTGTATTGAACGTTGGTATTCGATGAAAAGAAGGCAGAGGTGACGTATATTGCATTTATTGTTATTATAAACTGGTACGGTACATGGGCTTTGGGACTCATGTGATAGCTATAGTGCCGAGTTATAGTTAACTCTTTGCAATAGTTGGTGATGAAAAATTTGGATAACAATGGGAAATATATATAGGTGTTGTGGTATAGCACAATTTGCATTAAATTGCCAATTGATTTGTGGTTGTCAAATAGCATAAGCAGAATTACGTTTAGAAGAACGATTTGCATTAATACGCCATGGTTAAAGCTGTTATTTTCACTGATTTTGATGGTACTGTCACCAAGCAGGACTCTAACGATTATTTGACCGATACTCTAGGTTTCGGTAAGGAAGAGAGATTGAAGGTCTTCGAAGGTGTTTTGGATGACACCAAGTCCTTCAGACAAGGTTTCTCCGAGATGTTGGAGTCCATCAAGACACCATTCCCAGAATGTATTGAAATTCTTGAGAACAAGATTGAACTGGATTCTGGTTTCAAGGACACCTTCCATTGGGCCCTAGAGAACAATGTCCCAGTTGTTGTTGTATCCAGTGGTATGAAGCCAATCATCAAGGATCTTTTGACTAAGATGGTCGGCGAGGACTCCATTCACAAGTTGGATATTGAATCCAACGAGGTTGAAATTAAGGACAACAAGGAATGGAGAATTATCTACAAGGATGAGTCCCCATTTGGTCACGACAAATCTAGAACCATCAACGCTTACAAGAAGAAGTTTGAGGCTGACTTGAAGGACGGCGAGGAAAGGCCTGTATACTTCTACTGTGGTGACGGTGTATCTGACCTAAGTGCTGCTAAGGAATGTGATCTTTTGTTCGCCAAGAGAGGTAAGGACTTGGTCACTTACTGTAAGAGACAAAATGTTCCTTTCCATGAATTTGACAGTTTCTCTGACATTTTGGCTAGAATGAAGGAAGTTCTAGCAGGTGAAAAGACCGTTACCGAGCTAATGCAAAACTGATAGAATTTTCCCCCAAACTACAAATACCAGATGACCATAATATTTATGAACTGTATATTTATGTCTTTTTTTTATATTAACTAGTTGTAGAATGGTAAAACTAATGAATATTGCAACTCCATCGATGTCTGAACGGCTTAACTCCGAACGGCTTAAACAAAGCTTGGAAAAGAGGGGAACTGCAGGTTAACTCTTACTGACAGTAGAATATATAAAGAAGGCATGATATGAATGGTACTCCAGCTATCAGTTCTAAGATATGTAAAATGGGCTGTAAGAAAACCACTCTAAATTGCAAATACGTTATCTGAAAATGGCAGGGAAGATCAAAGTTAAGAATCCCATTGTGGAGATGGATGGGGATGAGATGACGAGGGTTATCTGGGGGATGGTGAAGGATAAATTGATATATCCATATTTAGATGTTGATTTGAAGTACTACGATCTGTCTATTCAGCACAGAGATGAAACTGAGGATAGAGTTACTGTAGATGCTGCAGAGGCCACCTTGAAGCATGGGGTAGCAATTAAATGTGCCACTATAACGCCGGATGAAGCAAGGATGAAGGAATTCCATTTAAAGAAGATGTGGAAATCTCCAAATGGTACCATAAGAAATATCCTAGGTGGTACAGTTTTTAGGGAACCGATAATTATCCCACGTATACCTAGAATTGTTCCTACATGGAATAAGCCCATAATTATTGGAAGGCATGCGTTTGGGGATCAATATAAAGCATCAGATGCAGTCATCAAAGAGCCAGGGAAATTAGAGCTAGTCTTCACTCCTGCATCAGGTCAGGGCAATCCCAAGACAATTAAAGTCTATGATTATAAATCCCCCGGCGTAGCGCTAGCGATGTACAACACTGACGAATCAATAACAGGATTTGCAAGAGCTTCGTTTGAGCTAGCCATAAAGAGGAAATTACCATTGTTTTTCACTACTAAAAATACTATACTGAAGAAATATGACGGTAGGTTTAAAGATATCTTCCAAAAGATGTACGATGAAGATTACAAGGGTAAATTCAAGGAACTAGGTATAAGTTATGAGCACAGGCTTATTGATGATATGGTTGCGCAAATGATTAAATCCAAAGGTGGGTTTATCATTGCCATGAAAAACTATGACGGGGATGTTCAATCTGATATAGTAGCCCAAGGTTTCGGATCACTTGGCTTAATGACATCGACATTATTGACTCCAGATGGTAAGATCTTCGAAAGCGAAGCTGCACATGGCACAGTAACTAGGCATTACAGGCAGTATCAAAAGGGCAAAGAGACCTCGACAAACTCAATTGCTACAATCTTTGCTTGGTCCCAAGGTATAATCCACAGAGGCAAAGTGGACCAGACACCTGATGTTAGACTATTTGGAGAGATCCTAGAGAGGTCTACAATTGACACTGTCCAGATAGACGGTATCATGACTAAAGACCTAGCTCTAATTCTCGGAAAGACTGAGAGAAAGGACTACGCAAGCACAGAAGAGTTCATAGACGCTGTTGCAAGAAGACTCAAGCGTGAGTTCAATTCCCATTTCAACAAGCCATCGAAACTATAAAAATAGCTCACGCATTTATATATTCAGTAATAGTTAAATAATATTCAATCAATCAAAAAATACCGACGGAAATATGAGACTAGCTTAGCTGTTACGACAAGTCCTTTCCAAGAATGCACAAACCCTAATGATACCAGCCCTAACGATTATCACAGGGGCTGTTTAAGCCCTAGGTCTGAATTTTCAATTTTCTATGTTTTCACTTTCTTTCTGCAAAAAAAAAATTTTCGTCGATGAGCTTGCTTCCTTCTTTGAAAATTTTCACTTTTGATGCGATGAGAGAGGTGATGAGCTTGTAGTAACTAGAATTATAGATACATTATCCATCTGTATTGATTGGTGTACATAAGAAGTAACACTGTTATTACCTGTATTTAGATAATACACAAGTCAGCAAGTGCTATACAGGAAAAATGTCTGAAGAGCATATTATCAAGCCAGAGACTACCAGTCCATCTACCAATGCCAGTGAATGGCCATTGTTGTTGAAGGACTACGACAAGCTATTGGTTAGAAGTGGTCATTACACTCCTATTCCAGCTGGTAGTTCACCATTGAAAAGGGACTTGAAGTCCTACATTAGTTCAGGTGTTATTAACTTGGACAAGCCATCTAACCCATCTTCCCATGAAGTTGTTGCATGGATTAAGCGTATCTTGCGTTGTGAAAAGACAGGTCACTCTGGTACTTTGGATCCAAAGGTTACCGGTTGTTTGATTGTCTGTATCGACAGAGCCACCAGATTGGTTAAGTCCCAACAAGGTGCCGGTAAGGAGTATGTGTGTATCGTTAGATTGCATGATGCTTTGAAAGACGAGAAGGACCTAGGTCGTTCTTTGGAGAACCTGACTGGTGCTCTTTTCCAAAGACCACCTTTGATTTCTGCTGTTAAGAGACAGCTTCGTGTCCGTACTATATATGACTCTAACTTGATTGAGTTCGATAACAAGAGAAACTTGGGTGTTTTCTGGGCCTCCTGTGAAGCTGGTACTTATATGCGTACTTTGTGTGTTCACTTGGGTATGCTACTAGGTGTCGGTGGTCACATGCAAGAACTGCGTAGAGTTAGATCCGGTGCTCTATCAGAAAACGATAACATGGTCACCCTACATGATGTTCTTGATGCCCAATGGGTTTTCGACAACACCAGAGATGAATCTTACCTAAGAAAGATCATTCAACCACTAGAGACTCTATTGGTCGGCTACAAGAGAATTGTTGTCAAGGACTCCGCTGTCAATGCTGTTTGTTACGGTGCCAAGCTAATGATTCCAGGTTTGTTGCGTTACGAAGAAGGTATTGAACTATACGATGAAGTTGTCTTGATGACCACTAAGGGTGAAGCCATTGCTGTTGCCATTGCTCAAATGTCTACTGTCGACTTGGCTACATGTGACCACGGTGTTGTCGCTACTGTTAAGAGATGTATAATGGAGAGAGATCTATATCCAAGAAGATGGGGTCTTGGTCCAATTGCTCAAAAGAAGAAGCAATTGAAGGCTGATGGTAAGTTGGACAAATACGGTAGAGTCAATGAAAGCACACCAGAAGACTGGAAGAAATCATACGTCCCACTGGACAAGAGCGAAGCTTCTGAAAGCTCATCTGATGCCAAGAAGGTTGAAGAACAAGTAAAGGAAGAAGTTGAAGAGCCAAAGAAGGAAGAGAAGGAAGACGAGAAGGAAGACGAAGAACCAAAGAAGGAGAAGAAGGAAAAGAAGGAGAAGAAGGAGAAGAAAGAAAAGAAGGAGAAGAAGGAGAAGAAGGAGAAGAAAGAAAAGAAGAGAAAGGCTGAGGATGAAGGTGAAGAGAAGAAGAAGAAGAAGTCTAAGAAATAAACAATCATGCATACCACAAATTATTCGTGAGAATTTTATTTTATATTTGTTACACTATATTTACGGTCCAAAACTGTTGACCATTTAGCACTCTATAACATTCTGTATTTTATAATCTTTAAACATAGAGGATTTCATCGGTAAAATAATGTTGATCTCTTTATGAAGAGATCATTCTTTTTGGTCTTTTAATATTTAGTTTTGTCATTTATGACATAGAGTGATTTAAGTTCAAAGCGAATTTCTTGTACAAAAGAATGTTATAGTACGGTCAACTGAATGAGACCCAAATAGCAATCAAAACCCATTATAAAATATTAATATGTTTGAATGTATGCGTCTATGTAATAGGGATTTTATAATCTATATAATATACAATAATTGAAGAATGCCAATGCCTAGTAGAATAAGAATGGAAGCATAGAATCGAATAAGTAGCTCAAATTATAGAAATAAGAGGTCATTAAAGCTACTGCTGTCATTAGAGTTTCGTAAACTCACCAACTGGAAATGAAAGGAAATATTGTCTATCAGTACTCATCATAACTTTTCATTTTTTTTTTCTTTCTTTAAATTTGGGAGCGTATATTGTGTAGATATGTTTAGAAGTTCTCGTCGATGGCCTGTCTTTGTTTATCTGTCAAGGAGATAGGGTAGTCGACCTTGTAATTCACGATCATGTCACCTCTTTGACCTGGAGTTTTTGGAATAGGCATACCTTGGCCTGGGTAGGTAGATTTCTCAGATGGTTGAATAGGTTGGATTCTTGATACAGGCAGTGTTCTACCGTCGATAGTTTGAATAGTCTTATTGAAACCGAGTAGAGACTCCTTGAATGTCAATGGCAGTGTGTATATCAGGTCGTTACCGTCACGAGTGAAAAATGGATGCTTCTTTTCCTGGATGATAAACTGCAAAGTCTTTCTGCGGCCAGTGGCAGGGTTATAGTCACCGTAGTTCTTGTAGGTAATCTTTGTACCAGCTTTCCAGCCTGGTTTCAACTGGATATCGACCTGGGTCTTCTCTGGAGCACCATTAGGGCCCTTTCTACCGATCATGAAGGTCTTCTTCTTACCAGTGTACAGGTCTTCCAAGCTCACGGACAAGTTAACTGGGACGACTTCTTCCTCAGGCTGTGGGCTAGAGGCAGACCTGAACCCGCCTGGCATACCACCCATGCCACCCATGCCGCCGCCCATGCCGCCGTGCATTCCACCGCCCATGCCTCCGTGCATGCCACCCATACCGCCAGGCATGCCTCCGAACGAACTGTAGCTGAAGCCATCGTCGGCGGCACCAAACGGCGAGCTCCCACCGAAGAACTGCGAGAAGATGTTGAACGCGTCGTCGTTGCTGAAGGCGTGCGCACCGCCAGCGCTGCTGAACCCACCACCTCGGAACCCACCGGCTCCCCCGAACGCAGGACCACCGTTTCTGGCGGCCTCGAGCCCGTACTGGTCGTAGACCTCTCTTTTCTGCGGATCGCTCAGGATCTCAAACGCCTCGGAAATCTCCTTGAACTTCTCAGTGTCACCAGTAGGCTTGTCTGGATGGTACTTCAACGCAGCCTTCCTGTAACCTTTCTTAATCTCTTGCTCATTGGCACTTGGGGATATACCCAATAGATCATATAACTTTGTCTCTTTAACCATTGTCGCTTGTAGTCTTTAGGTATCCGTTTGGTGCAGTCAAGAAATAGAAGTATTATAGAATAGAGTTATATATATATGTAATTGGGATTTTTATGAAGTATCCGAGTATATATACTGTGCCCAACTGCAAGGGAGTCGCACACTAGAAGCTTCTAGGCAGTTCTACCTGTCTCTCTGTATGTACCTTATTAGCAGAGGGGGGCTCCCACTATATAACCTCTCTAGCTCTCCCACCTAGCTCTCCCACCTAGCTCTCTGCCCAGCAATTGAGACCTGGAAGTACAAGAGATAGACAGAAGCCTTTAATCCACCCCCACGACCTTCTAGAACATTCTCGAACACACCAAATAAGCGAAAACTTGCTTTGCGGCCTTTTTTGTGATTGTGCTACTGAGTATGAAGTGATACGGAGCATGTTTGCATCGTGTATAAGTATATGTGAGTATATACACATGTACGGGTATGTGATCATGTGATTTTGAAAAATAGTTATACCCAAAATCAGCTCTCTCGATGTGTGGTCCTTTGGTTCAAGCTACTCTGTCTCTCTCTCTCTATGACTATTGAAATAGTGGGTTTAGGTAGTTACAAAAGTGGGCTTTATCTGGTATACATTTATATCCCCGCCAGATTTGTGCTACTCAAGATAGGAATAGATACAGTCCCTGATGTCTGTTTTGCTGGTTTCTGCTGGGTATGACCACACTATAAGGTTCTGGGAAGCACTCACCGGTGTGTGTCTGCGGACTATACAGCACCCTGACTCGCAGGTGAACAGGCTGGAGATCACAAACGACAAGAAGCTGTTGGCTGCTGCTGGGCATCAGAACATCAGGCTCTATGACATAAAGACGAGCAACTCCAACCCTGTGGCGTCTTTCGAAGGGCACAGAGGGAATGTGACCTCGGTTTCCTTCCAGCAGGATAACAAGTGGATGGTGACTTCGAGTGAGGACGGTACTATCAAAGTATGGGATATACGATCGCCGTCTGTGCCCCGCAACTACAAGCACAACGCGCCCGTGAACGAGGTGGTCATCCACCCGAACCAAGGTGAACTAATATCCTGCGATCGCGACGGGAACATAAGGATATGGGACCTAGGGGAGAACCAATGCACCCACCAACTCACACCAGAGGACGATGTGCCCTTGCAGTCGCTGTCTGTGGCTAGTGACGGGTCGATGCTGGTGGCCGCTAATAATAAAGGTAACTGCTACGTTTGGGAAATGCCAAACCACACAGACGCTTCGAACTTGAAGCCCGCAACTAAGTTCAAGGCGCATCCTTCTTACATTACGAGGGTGCTGCTTTCCTCTGATGTCAAACACATGGCGACGTGCAGCGCTGACCATACGGCAAGGATATGGTCCGTGGAAGACAACTTCAACCTGGAATCCACACTAGATGGCCACCAGAGATGGGTATGGGATTGCGCTTTCAGTGCAGACAGCGCCTACCTAGTCACTGCATCATCTGATCACTACGTGAGGTTGTGGGATCTCTCAACAAGAGATATAATTAGACAATACGGTGGCCACCACAAAGGTGCCGTTTGTGTCGCGCTCAATGATGTATGATCCCACATCTAGGCCTAAGAATAGGACAAACGAGACCATATATACTATTTAAGATATTCTTCAAAATACTCCCATGACTTAATATACTATAATGCATACCTGTTCAAAATTTATACCGTCATCCTTTGAAAAATCAAAAAGCATAACAGGAATCATATAAGCTGCTATCTATTATGCACTTCTGTAATAACATATTTCTTATATATAAGTTTGACATTATGAACTATCTATTGTGTCATAAACGCTATACAAATTTAGATAGATCCGATAAATAACCAGTCAATTGTGTGGAAAATGAACCCAACAATAACCATGCAGGTGTATAACTCTCTTCATCAATAACTAAATTTCCAACAGTCTTACCAAACAACTGGGATGTGCAATCAGCTAGCTGAAATGTTGTGACCCCATCCATAGACTGATAGAAGGCACACAAATCGTTGAAGAATGTCTGCATTCCATGCTGATCTGAGTTGTCCGCGTTTGGTAACAACGTGAGGATATTCTCTCTGAAAAATTTGACTAAATTCGATCCGATGTTATAGTTTTCATTACCTGAGATCAGCTCTAGCGATTCTAATGCATTTGGGAGTATTTTTTCTTCCCAAGACCTCTCCAGTTCTTCAGTGTTACAATTAGCTCCGAAATACTTGTCATCTAATGAACGCAACGTTTGTAAAAGTTTCAATTGCTGTTTCAACAACCGAAGAAACGTTGTCACGGTTTCCAGCTTCTTGTTGACAAGAGTCGATGGCAAATCTATGGTTGACTTTGAGATAATGTCATAGAAAGTATTGGCGAGGATTTCCCATTTATCCTGGGTTGTTTGATCAATCGACTTGAATTGGAGGAGCATACGGGAGATGTAATTTAGTATGGCCACATATGTCAGTGTGTCACACTCAATTATCCAGTCATACAACTCTTCGGAGATCAATAGGTTATACATCTGTGGGGATATTGCTCCAGAACTTGAGAGAAACAAGTTGTTTGCAAGTCTTTCGAAGTTCAAGAAGCGCACATTCTCAAACAATGTATTGCAATGAATGTGATACAACGACTGTAGAGCAGCTGTGATATCTGTGTCGGTACCCGCGGGTATAATCCCAAGGGGTATTTCTGGCAACCTCCTCCCAGATACAACAACGATACCTGCCTCTAGTGTGCTGTCAGAATCTGATTTCACGTCAGGCTTCTCATCATGATCAACATCCACCCCAGACACTGGTTCTCCATCCTTGTCTTCTATACGTGTGTCTTCAGTCTCAGTGATATTACCTGTAGCTGAAGATGAGTTTTTGTTCTCACCGGAAACACTAGACTCTTCCTCACCACCTGGCAACCAGTCCTTTAACAGGTCGCTGATAAACAACCATCGTTCAACAGATTTTGACCAGAACAGGCCGGGCCTTCTGGATTCTCGTTGTTGCAAATCAAATTTTTCAGTCTGTTGCGCACTAGCAACGTCGCCGTCATGGTGGGAGTGAGCATCGGAGACAACAAACCTTGACCCTGGAGTTGATATAAAAGAAGAGAGGTTCTTTGTTAACGGGTTGTAAAAGATATTCCCATTTTCGAAGTATGTGGCTGAGCCGCCAATGGGTAAATGGAAGTCACTTTGCGCTGTCGAGCTGACAGTTGTTGCTGAGCCTGTTAATGACATGGGGGAGTCAGATAAACGAGGGGAATCTCTCGAGGGTCCTATTATTGTTGGAGCAGAGTAACGGGTTACACTTTTAGTTGCTAAGTGCCTTCTTGAATTGATTTGATCTACGCCGTTTTGAGACCAATCATCTTTTAATTTCGTCTTAATATCTCTATCATTGGGGATAATTGATGTTGGGGAGGGACTATTTCTATTGCCACCTGGAAGAGAAGAATCAGAGTAATGCCTGTGAACCACGTTACGTTTGAGTTGTGGTGGTCTAGAAGAACTCGTCTTTTGTTGCTGTTCCAACAACATCGATAATGAATCGTCTGTGGTTAATTTTAACCCACAATAATGGTATTTGGATTGGCCTCTCATCCCCAATCTTCTTGTGGTTAATTTTGGATACAAAGATCTTATCAGCTTGCCGAGAGTGGCCTGTGATAAAGGTTTTAGGCCGTTTTGTGCGCAAGATGAGACGTATTGAGCGAATATTCTCCCCCGACGAACGTATGCACCAGGCTGCAAGATACAATTTTTCATTAACCATAGAGATGCAAAAGCCTGTTTAGATCGTTCACGAGCCTGTTCCGCACTTTGCTTTTCTAGCTTAGATCCATTTTGATTATCCAAGTTTAACACTTGGAGTTCAGCCTCTCTTACCTGAACTGCAAACTCCCCTACTGTTTTATCTATATTTTCCTCTGCGATCTTCTTAGCTACAATTTCTGGAGTTGTGTTATGTTCGGAATGATGACCACTATCGGTATTTGAGAGTAAAGACTTTGCATTTTTTGAGTTCGGTTTTCTACCTCTTTTACCTTTTGTTGGTTTGCCGTCTTGAGATTTCCCAGAATGTGGTTTTGTAATCCGCATGCTCCGCTTACCTGAATGAGTTGAGGTACTTGAAAGAGGCGTAACAGCACTCACAGAGGAAACTGGAGTCGATACACTCGTTATTGAAGCAGAATCAGATATACCTCTCAAGTACCCACTCGTACTTCCACTACTACTGCTGCTACCAAGATTTACCTGACCTAGGAAGTTTGGATGCTGTAGTGCTAATGAACCTTCAGAAGCAGCTAATGCTCTGGCATTAGAATCATCTATTAAATGTTGTTCCTGTATCTGTGATGCATTGATATACTGCTGTTGCATGGTACTTGGAAGCCTGTTAGGCACATGCTGTCTTTGTTCCAAAATATAAGGTAGTTGGATAGGTACCCTTTGGTAGTGTATATTTGATGGTGCCATAGGATTTGTGTTTATGATACCTTTATGTTGGTCACTTATTAGACTGGGCAAAAATGGTCTCTGTTGCTGTTGCTGTGGTATTTGGTGTCGTATCATCGTGTAGTCATGCTGCTGTTGCTGCTGCTGCTGCTGTGTTTGGTTATCTATAACACCATAAGGTATATTTGCATTTGGTATATATTGTGTCATCTGTGATCTGTCATATATCCTTCCTTGATTAGCGTTCATGACTTGTTGTGAGTTATAATCTGGTGTTGGTTGACCCGCCGTAAGGATGTTCATCTGTTGTCGTTGTCGGTTTTGGTACTGCTGTTGCTGATTCACGGTAGACTGTGTATTGCTACTTGGAATAGAATCATCTCCAGTGTATCGTACGTATGACCCAGCTTTTTCGTTGCTGTCTCTCATGATTTGCGTTTTTCTTCACCGACTCTTCTCGATTTAGATAGTACCGTCACTAGGTTCAAGTAACCCGATTAAGATTGTGCCAAGGTAGGTTAGTAAAAAAGGTTAGTGCTATTCGATGTTTGTCAAAATCTGATCTTACTCAATGTATATCAGTCTCACAATATCAAATTGGCTTTTATTCCAATAAAATCGATGGCTTTCCCTTGAAAATTGCTTGCTCTTGTTCGGTTGACACTCAAAATATTCGTGTAGTGAATACTTGCTTACTTAACTCTCTTCGAGGTTTTTCTGTTAGCTAAGACCCTGTTGTGAAATTTAGTCGAAAAAGACCTTGCCTTTCAAATTTCTTCAACTAGAAAAAGTAGCGAAAAAGAAAATAGTGAATTGAAAAAAAAAATCAATTGAAAAAAGGAGAGAAACTGATTAGGTAAACCAATCGATAAATGGGAAGCGTAAATCCAAACTATTCTATTCACTAGAAATGCGAACACCTAATGATTATTATTCAGTTAGTCTTTTTGAATAGAAATACTCCTTCAAAAGAAATAGTGTGAGTGCTTTGGAGATCTTCTTACGTCTGTGGATGACTTCTAATCAGTGTTGGAAATGATCACAGCTTACTACCAGGATAAGAAAGTGTAAAGCTGCAATATAACAGAAGTAAGAACCAAAAATATCAAGCCTCTCTTATTCTGATTTGGTTTTAACAGTTCAGTTACAAATGTATGGAACAATTTTTACTGCTCTGGTGGAAACCGTGGTATATCTAGAGAAACACAATTCAAATGGTGCAAGAATGCTTGATGTGTCTTGTTTCTGTTGCAAATTGTCGAAGTGAATATCTTGACGAATATCAACCCCGTCCTTAAATAAATTGATGAGGATTTGATATAATATTACCCTGATATTACTAGAATCTGTTTTGTACTTGCCGATTTATATTGGCTTTTAAAGATAGGTCACTTGGAAAGGAGAGAATATTTTATTGAGAAAAAGAGTATTTGTTGAAAGAATTCGACAGACTTTTATTCCTTTTTAAAAGTAATTTTCTTTCTTTCTTCCTCCAAGACTATTTTATAATTCAATTACAGTCTCTCGAACCTAAGAATATTTGGCAATTGCTTACTATTAAAATCTTAGCTTCCCTTTTGCCAAAATTCAAAAAAAAAATACCCAGTCTCCTCTTTATTATCAACAGGAACTCACAGAGTTAAACTTGTGAATGTTCTCACTAAAAATACGTAAATCAGTATCAGAAAAACGTCGATCTTCTATGCCTTCTTTTCTGTGATGATGTTCTTTCTCCTTTTGCTGAAATTCTTTTTCTTCGCGTTTTCTAAGGATGTCGAAGCTTTTCCTTTTTTTTTTTCCTTCTGTATTCACTGTCAAATTCTTCTACGGTATTGTCTGATAAATCAATACAAACGACAGTAGAAAGAAACTTCGCAATGATATGCCGGTGGGATAATTCGAGGATAGCTAAACAGAAAAGAATATTTTCCAGGTGTGGAATACGAATCTAATCTCTTGGAGTAAAATTTCGAGAACAAAATAGTAAGCAGTTCTCGAGATGAAAAGATAGCTGAGAAAAAAGAAAAAAGACAATCGAGAATAGCTTAAACAAAGGGGGTGTGGAGAAGTCACTAATATATGAAAAGCAGCGGTCTTCTATCCTCTTGCGCTTTCTTTTAAAATTAACTAGAGTTATAGGTCTAGAATCAACGTGCTATGATATCTATTGCCTGAAAGTATTGTAACTCTAGCTATAAGCAACTCCTAATTCTCAAAAATCGAATAACTAAAGTTTTTGTCTTAACTCTTCTTGGATAGAGATGTAATAATATTCAATCAGCAAATTTTTTGGGATGTGAAAATAACCAGTAGAAATAACTTGACTTGAATGTTATTTGGTTGATGTATTTGATTTGGTGTTAGTAGAGTTGAGGCAACTTTTTTTAAGAAGTTGCAAATATTCTTAATATGCTTATGGATAGAAAAAACAATTTCTTCTTAATATTAATATTCAGTGGAAAAAAATATGATAATCACTACTGTGTTTCAATAGAAATAAAAAAATAAACTTGGAATAGTTTTAAAAATTTAGTGATTTATAGTAAAAGTTGTTACTGAATTTTCCACTCATATATTTATATGTCAAACTTCAAAATCAAAATAAAAATGGGATGAAGAAGAAAAAATGTGTGCTATAAGCTGCGGTAATATGATGTGATGGCCTTGATAATTAGTAAGTTAAAATTGAAAAATAAAAATGTGGGATGAAATATTTATCAAAGTTCCGAATTTTCTTAATCGAATTATTGTTAAGTATTTATTCCAAACTTATGGCGTCTCTATTAGTATTGTTGCGATGATGCAATGAAATTCTTTAATAGAGTGCTTCTGGCCTTTTCTTGTTTTTCCTCCAAAAAAAAAAGTGGGGTGTTATACTTATAGTATTTTAGCTGATTTAATCAATGCGTGACTTTCGATATGATAAATTTTTTTTTGTCTATTGTCTTTCCCTTCAATTCAATTCAATGACTTGGCATATAATGCACGATCTCGGATTAGTAAAAGAAGGTGTAAATAAAAATAGACGTATTCCCGGTCAACGGTAAATACAGTAAGATGAAATAACGGTACTTAGTTCTATTTTATTTTTTGTAATATCTTTCAAGTGAATGACAAGGGAAACAAAGAATAGTCTATCAAAAAGGACAAATTAAGGGAAAGTAAAAACTATTAGGAACCAATCAATCCATCAAAAAAAAATACAAAAACTACACAAAGGGAAAATAAAATGACGTTATTGAAACAACTTCTTATAAGAACTAAAAAAGTCACATCCCGGGAAAGAATGTTGGCTATAGAAAATGGAAGTTTGACGGTAATGTTTGTATCCGATCGCCAACTGGAAAACCTTATATAACAATATGAATTTGACCATTTAGTAATATTTTGGATGCTTTTCATCTTTTTTTTTTTTCCTGGTATAGCATTAGCAAGAAGGAGGGGGGGTCCAATATTCTATAATTTCATATGAACTCTCGTATCTTTCTAGAAGGAGCTACGTAGGATCTTCACGATTTCATTTATCTTCCGAGTATCTTGTAAGGTATTAGCTAAAGATTTCGACTTATCCATTTTGGTCCTTTTACCTTTGTTCATTGTAAATGGTTAATGAAAATCCATCTTTCTCTATTCGTAGTTTCCAGGCTACTTTCAAGGGGAAGTTCTTACTTTTCAGATTTTCATCTTCTCCATGGCCAACAGGTCACGCAGAGACCAAGAAGCACCGTAGCTCAATCTTTTCTTTTACAGAACGCGATTTCCACTGAATTGCCGTAGCTTTACTAATATAATGTAATGATCAAGTAATTTGCAATTTTTTTCAGTTTTTTGTCATTTTGTTTTTCTTTCTTTTTTATCAAGGCTCCCTTATGCTTTGTACAGTGTGTTCTGAGTAGGAATTAGAAGCCAATCTCCTGCTTCTCAACTTTCACCTGGATCGAATCATTCTTCGAAGGAATCCCAGACACAGAGGAGAACTGGTGGAAGGGGGAGCAGCTGAGAAAAGCCTGATGTTGCTGCGGGATTATTGCACGGGAGAAGAGGGGATGGATATTACTTAATTTATTTCTAATGTTCACACATAAGGAGGATTCGATGCATAATCTTCGGCACAGTTGGGGTTGTACGGTTGTCCTTACTCTTCTGTTGTTCTCTACCCCTCCATCCCCCGAGAGTTCCTCCTTCGAAAAGAGGGCTCCCTTTATGTTTCATTGCTATGAAAAACCAGGAAATCATCCATGGAAGCTTCCATGGAGCCAGAAGGTTTCGCTTCAGGATCGCCTGTTTCGGTGTTCTTGGCGGATACTTACTGTAAATAATATTGATATCCGGGTATAGTACTGTTATGTGCGATCGGTAATTTTACTACTTCATTCAGACAAGATAAACCTAATTCGCTTTTTCAGTTGTTTCTTCTGTAACTTGTTCTTTGTATTGTGCTATACTTTTTTTCTATTAGATGTTCTATTTGCCATATGATAAAACTATGAAAAGTAGGATTTTTGTGCCTAATCTATTTTGATAAGTTGGTGCTACGCGTCGGATGGAGAACAATGGGAGGAAGACCGCGTTAGGATGTCCCCCAACACTGATGGAATAGAACACGTAAGAGTCACGAAACGCAGTCAACGGTGTTAAAAAAAACCCATCCAGGCGTCGGTGGGAGAAAAGTTAGAAAAGGAGCCCCATCAAAGAAGAGCATGTGTGAGAATCCCTGGAGGGAAAATACGTAAAGATAGAGAAATTCGAAAGAATGAAAAGAAACGGTCACTACGTTACAACTGTTGGATCTGATCACATATCGGCCAATATCTGCCTACCAACACTTTACTGTATATGGATTTAAGGTTCGTGGACAAAAGCTAGGTTGAATTCTCTGACAATTGTCTTTTACGTTGATAATAGCATTCTACCATACTTCTGGTATAGTTGTACGGATGGTATATAGTATATATATTTTTGATAAAATAAGCTTTTAGTTACTGCCTTCTTCAGCGAAACTATCTAAGAAACATCAGCACAGGACCAAAATTTTATCAATTTTTATATAATTGATGATAAAAAGCCAACGAAAAAGAAATAGTTTGATTGTGCTGAAAGACAAAAAGAAATGACGTAGCAAGATCCCCTTCCTGTGTGTGGACTTGTCAATGTTGTTGTTCTAGTTGCGTAGTGGGAGCGAGGGGAAGGGAAATGGTAGACCAGCAGTTACCTGAACAGGCGTTCGCTATTTGTACGACGTTTTCTAGTAGATTCAGTGTATTCTCCCTTTTGAAGAGGAAAGGTCCAACTGGGCTGGTTGACATTAAGGTTTCCACCCTTGTCGTGCGAAGGTTTCTTGGGATATTTATATTTTCCTAGTCTGTACGGGTTTTATTCTCTGCTGGTTCTCTCGAGAAGGATGCAGTACAGGAACTTGTCATACCCACTGACCATCTTCTCTATCAAGTCTGATCGCAGCGAAAGTTGCGATTCCCTTATCACTATCAAGCTACCAGAACCTATTGAACTTGAAAAAATGATGGGTACTTCTTAAGTCTCACGTTGTAATGAGGGGACAAAATATTACAATATCTTTCAACCCCGATCTGAAAAATTATGTACAAGATGCAGGCCGGTTGTCAGACCACGATGTATGTCACGTACCTATCAATACTGGCGGTGAGTTATTCTAGAACTTTCTATGTAAGTTACAAATGGTGAGCATTTCTTGGCGACTCCAATTCTCTTTTTTTGATTAAAGATTATTGTGGTCATCTCTTCATCGGTCGAAGATATTTGATTGTGAGGTTATAGCGAGAGATACATACAAAGTCAATTCCATATTTAAACACTTGTGATAAAGTTTAGCATGGTGTGATCTAAATCAGAGCTCAAAAAAGTGTGTTGGCTTGTCAGAGGCGTATCAGACTTTGAGTTCCTCATTACATTTACTTGACCCGAACTTCGTATAGTTCAAAACTACTTGTAACAGACTCTTTATACAAAATTGTGTTACCCTTGACCGGTGATAGTACGAGAAATTCCCATCTTCAAAAAATGATGTTTTCTAGTCCTTTTCTTCAATGGTAAAAAATTGGGTAACTGGGTATTTCTTCGGTACTGTTCCTATGCGGCAACAGTATCAGAGCTGTGGGAAAAATCATAAAGGGTAATATGAAAGTTAAGGCACTTTCCTAAAACTACGTAAGTGTCTTAGTAAGACATGTCAAAGGACCACTCAATTCACCTCTTGGCAACGCAAGAGAGTTCAAATGAATGAAGGAATCCTTATTGAAGGCAAGATATGAAAGTACTACAGTGAACCTCAGGAGCAAACAATGTGCCGTATGATTTCTATGCAACGGGTGCTTCATGCGCACTTGTTGTTTACTTCCATCTTCCACTTACTCTATCGTACAAAAAATATTGAGCACAGCACGCAGAAATAAGAACAAAAAGGGCAGACTAAAGCCGGGAAACGAAAAAATGTACGTAATGCATTATTAATAAAGCAAAGAAAAGCTACAAAAAAAGAAAAGGTAAATTAGCAAATCCACAATTGACAGAAAAAGGAAAGAGCTATTTTGCTTATTATAGAAGTATTTGTAATTGATTTGACATAATTTTTTGACAACAATTTTCAATTTTCAATTTTCAATTTTCAATTTTATCCTTTTTTTGAAATTCTAGATGATTTGTGCGGCCACTACTGGAGGAGAAGAACTAGAAGGCAGATAAAGTATTCGAAGATAACGTTGCGGAATTTGTATCGCTTACTCTTTCTGTTGGGCTTGTTTTCTAGGAGAAGGGTTGAATACAACATCGGTACGGGTTATTCTAGTAGGAGAAATGGCTCAACAAGGAAGAAAATCGGGAGGCGACCGAACAATGGGGCAATGCCCCTTCCCAGTCAAGCAACTCGAAACTCGAATTTTGCTGATAATCACATGCATCTTGCCCGGGCCTGTGTGAGTCTCTTTAGTCCCTACCTGGCCTTCCATTGTTTCATCATTTGTTTGTGCCCATTGTTTCCAACAAGACCTGCGTCATTTGTTATAGGATAGTATAACCTAGAAATGAACGGTAGATAAGAACCGAGCAACTGAGATGCCATTGTTCTCAATTTGAAACAATGCTAGTGTGCTAAGTGTTGTAAATGCCGGAAGAATTAAGATTCACATGAAAGAGGAAATTTCTGTTCTTAGTCATTGCTTTATAATAGCTAAACTAGAAATAAATGCGAATAAGTGCACCTCCCTCTATCTCTACATCTTGACACCTTTTTTTATTCCATTTCTGGTCTTGGACCTTCTAATTGTGGACCTTCTATTGGTCATTTAGAGGAATCCCATGTTATAAAGTGGTTGCTTCTTCTGAAAAGCAGCCATATTTAGAACACGTACTGCTATCTGTCTTCAATTTAAAATAACTACAAAAATAGTAGTGTTAAGAAATTGGCGAAACAAAATACAACTGTTGCAACTAAAAGCTCTAATAAGAACAAAGCGAAAATCCGATTCTCGGTTTTTGAAGGGGGCGGCCAAGAGATTTCAGTATTGACCTAACAAGTTAGTAATGGTTTAGTAAGTTATGTATATCCCTTCTTGTAAATTTCTCCTAATCTTTAACACACATGAAAATCATGTAGCGCCCAGTAATTTGCCTGTTTTGTTCATTTTGCCAATACTAGCGTAATACACCTTGAGTGAACACAGCCATGTGAAAGAGCATGGCAAGAGGCATCATATAATTATTCCAATTGCGCATAAACAACCAGAAATCTTTAGTTCTATAACTAGCTTCTTATTTGTTTTCATACTATAATGATGCGATTGCCAACACTCGCCTATGCAAAGCCAAACGCTGTTCTGTTATCACTTCAAAACTAAGAAGGTCACGTCCATACGTCTACAGTGAGTGTATATGAAATTTTTTTTTTTTCAAAATTTTGAAAAATTCCAGCTTTCTTAGGCGATGAGCATCGCAATCGATGAGATGATTTAGAAGCACTATTAGCATGCCTTTATTAGCTGTGATCTCGTTTCTTGCCGAAGTGTATTTATTGTTAAGTTAGGTACTTTCTTTCAAGTAGCAAAGCCCTATAGATCAGGAAATATACTTCGCCATGTCTGATATCACTAACGAAAAGAAGCCGCTAAACAGCGACCCAGAGATTTTACTACGTAAGAGAAGAAATGCTGATAGAACTAGACTAGAGAAGCAAGAGCTTGCTCGTCAAAGACAAGAACAGAGAAAGAAGGAGCAGATCAAGAATAAGAAGAAGTTCATCAGAGCTGAGAGTTTGGTTGCTAACTCCCTTGCTACATCTAGAGAGAAAGAGAGAATCAAGAGAATCTCCAAATTGGAGCACAAGAAGTTGAAAGGAGATGTGTCACATTTACCATCTGAGAAGAATTTCTTCTTGAAAGTTACTGAGAAGCCACAAAGTGAAGAAACAGATGACTTGATCGATGAAGATGAAGAAGATGGATTCGAAAGGGAGAAAGTTGCATACAACGGTGAAGAACAGTTACTGTTTGTATTGAGAGTAAAAGGCCCTGTAGCTGCAAGCATCCCACACAAGGCATACAGAATTCTAAGTACTTTAAGGCTTGAAGAAGTGAATACTGCTGTTTTTATCAAACTGACGGAGACTACTTTCTCACTACTGAAGATAATTGCCCCATATGTTATAGTCGGTAAGCCATCATTGAAATCTATTCGTTCCTTGATTCAAAAGAGAAGTAAAATTGTGTACAAGAGAGAAGATGAGGAAGAAGCTAAAGAAATCATTCTAAATGATAACAACATTGTTGAAGAGAAACTGGGTGACTGCGGTGTTATCTGTATCGATGATATTATTCATGAAATTGCTACACTTGGAGAAAATTTCACTAAGTGTAACTTCTTCTTGCAACCATTCAAGTTGAACAGAGAAGTATCAGGTTTCTCCTCTCTAAATAAATTGAAGAAGCTGGAACAAAGAGAAGTCGAAAAGAAAACCAGAAAGGTCTCCAATGCTTCTACCGCACCAATTGTCCAAATTGATATTGATGCATTGATTGCTAAGATCAACTAGGTCTTTTTCAGTAATTTTCTTCCTTTATTTCTACAGGTTTTAATTTCATTGCCTTTTTTGGTTGAAATTCAACAGTAAAGTACACTTTAGATTTTAACATCCATTATTCACCAGCTTTATAGATACATTTTATAAGGCTTCAAGTCATATAGCGTTTAAATTTCCATATGTATATTAGAATACACTAAGAACTTTCATTTTTACATATAATTTTTTCCAAATTCCCATCCTTTTTACCAATAGATAGCGGTTTAATATAAGGTTTCAACAAGAAATATTTTGTGAAAATCAAAAGTTAATAGTTTCACTGTCGAAAATATGAAAGTTTAAGTTTTCAGTTCATCCCATTGTAGTTATCAAATTTCTGTGTTTCCCGTATATGTGTGCTCTGTATTCATCGCTATCTTGAAACTGGTTATGATCGTTGCGCATGTGACCTGTATCGCTCAAAAGAGCCCGGCACCGGTACCGGGCAAAAGCCCCTAGCAAGCTAAAATGATTCAACTTTCGTAGTAATTTGTTCAACCGGTCACAGTAAAGTCAATGACTAACTTTTGAATCGAGGATGTATTTCCAATTGAAAGCAATGTATATATAAACCATTGTGTTGAAGCTTGTCTTACAGTTTTCTTGTATCCTCCCATTGTTCATATAGTACTTAAAGTACCATAATCCTTAAAGAACAAACTTGAAAGAGAATACACTATACACAACTAATAAATAAAGAATAATCATGGCTGTGACCAAGACAATTGTAGTTCTACCAGGTGACCATGTTGGTCAAGAAATCACTGAAGAGGCCATTAAAGTTTTAAATGCTATTCAGGAATGTCGTCCAGACAAGGTCAATTTCAAGTTTGATCATCATTTGATCGGTGGTGCTGCAATTGATGCCACTGGTGTTCCATTACCAGACGAAGCTTTGGAGGCCTCTAAGAAAGCTGATGCCGTGCTTCTGGGTGCTGTTGGTGGTCCAAAATGGGGTACTGGCGCTGTCAGACCAGAACAAGGTCTTTTGAAAATCCGTAAGGAGTTGCAATTGTATGCTAATCTAAGACCATGTAATTTTGCATCTGATTCCTTACTAGATCTATCGCCATTGAAGCCTGAAATTGCAAGAGGTACAGATTTCGTCGTTGTTAGAGAACTAGTGGGTGGTATTTATTTCGGGGAGAGAAAAGAAGATGAAGGTGATGGTGTCGCCTGGGATAGCGAAAAGTATTCTGTGCCCGAAGTTCAAAGAATCACTAGAATGGCTGCTTTCATGGCTCTGCAACACAACCCACCTTTACCTATTTGGTCTCTAGATAAAGCCAACGTTCTAGCATCATCAAGATTATGGAGAAAAACAGTGGAAGAGACGATTAAGAATGAATTCCCACAATTGACTGTTCAACATCAATTGATTGATTCCGCTGCTATGATCTTGGTTAAGAACCCAACTCATCTAAATGGTATTATTATCACAAACAATATGTTTGGTGATATTATCTCCGATGAAGCCTCCGTGATCCCAGGTTCGTTAGGATTACTTCCATCTGCCTCCTTGGCATCTCTTCCAGATAAGAATACGGCATTTGGTTTATATGAGCCATGTCATGGCTCTGCTCCAGACTTACCAAAGGGAAAGGTTAACCCCGTAGCAACAATCCTATCTGCTGCTATGATGTTGAAGTTGTCTCTGGACCTGTTCGAAGAAGGTGAAATTATAGAACAAGCAGTCAAGAAAGTGTTGGATTCTGGTATCAGAACAGCGGATCTAAAGGGTACCAACTCTACTACTGAGGTCGGTGATGCAGTAGCGAAAGCTGTCAGGGAACTATTAGCTTAGACTTAGTAGATGTACAGTTGCATACATAAGTCTGAACAGAAAGAAGTAAATATCATATCTAGTTCGGTTTAGAAATCAGTGACTATATTGGTTTTGACCAGATCGCAATCCTTGCAAGCATTTAGTAATGACTATCAAACCGGTGAATCATCTGATAAGGCTATATTAGCTTGTGCATTCGCATGTATCGGGAAACGAACTTTACGTAAATCCGCATAATGACTATTAAATAAAAATACGTATTTTTATAATGATTTATTAGATAACATATCAAAAAACTGTTATTTTAGTGTCCATTATTATTAACATGATAGGGAATAAAACGCTCAAATATGATCCTATAGAAAGGATGTCTTGAAGTGAAAATGACAATGCTGTTTTATCGATTTGCTTTGGAAGCCTTAGTGACTGTAATGTAAGATGTTATGAATAATTAATCTAATGGCCAGACCATTGGATGGAATTCAAATCGATACCTTCTTGTACCATTTCCCATAGAGGAGATAGTTCTCTCAAGAACTTCACTCTCTCAGTGATGGCTTTTAAAACGTAATCCACTTCCTCTTCGGTGGTGAATCTACCAATACCGAAACGGATAGAAGAGTGAGCTAAAGCGTCATCTTTACCCAAAGCATGTAGGACATATGATGGTTCTAAAGATGCAGATGTGCATGCAGAACCAGATGAAAGTGCAATATCCCTCAAGGCCATTAGTAAAGACTCACCTTCAACGTAAGCAAATGAGACATTTACACAACCTGGATAACGCTTTTCAGCTGAACCATTTAGTGAGGTATGTTCCAGACTCAACAGACCGTTTACAAGTTTTGATGACAGTTTGTCAATGTGCGCTATGTCGGCATTGTATTCTTCGTGCATTAGTCTGGCGGCTTCACCGAAACCGGCAACTAGGGGAGGAGCTAAGGTTCCCGATCTCAAACCTCTTTCTTGACCACCACCAGACAGTAGTGGCTCAAGTCTTACTCTTGGTCTTCTTCTAACATACAGCGCACCAATACCCTTTGGACCATAAATCTTGTGCGAAGACACGGACAGCAAGTCAATGTTCATTTCATTAACGTCTATTGGGACTTTACCGTAAGCTTGAGCTGCATCTGTGTGAAAATATATTTTGTTCTTTCTACACAAGGCACCTATCTCTTTTAATGGTTGCATGACACCAATTTCATTATTGACAGCCATAACTGAAACTAGACAAGTATCTGGCCTGATGGCCTCTTCAAGTTCTTTCATATCGATGAGACCTTGGTTGTCGACACTCAAAAATGTCACATCAAACCCTTCGTTAATCATACCTCTTGCTGCTTCCAATGCGCACTTGTGTTCCGTCCTTGTTGTGATAATATGCTTCTTGGTCTTCTTATAAAACCTTCCTACACCTTTGATGGCCAAGTTATTGGATTCAGTGGCACCTGAGGTGAATATTATTTCCTTTGGATCAGCGCGGATCACCTTGGCTACATGGTCCCTGGCGGTCTCAACCTCTTTGTTGGTCTCCCAACCATAGGCATGCGTGTTAGAATGAGGGTTACCATAAAGACCTGTGTAGAACTTAAGCATCACGTCCAGGACACGAGGATCCGTAGGCGTCGTGGCCTGCATGTCCATATATATAGGCCTTGTACCGTACCCACTGTCCTCTTTGTAAGCATGGTGTAAGACTGTCTCCCCGCTCTTCAACACCTCATCTCCAGACTGACCTTGAGCAGAAGCCCTAACATCAGCCTGCTCCTTTGCAGCAGCTTGAATATCTGTGTGTGTCTCAAGAGAAACGTTGTCAGTCATCTTGATAGCCTTCGCAGCTGCTGCTGCGGCACCCAAAGTAGCACCCGGGGTATACCTTCTGACATGTCTGCCCGCAGCAGACATCATGAAGGGCACAACTCTTAGTCTGCTAATCATGTCTTCTGTGTTATTAGTTTGTACTTTCCAGTTGTAGTTTAGAAGAAGCGTTGCTCTGTAATCGAAACTCGCTATCTAACCTATGTGCGCTGGACTGTTTTCTTGCTTCCAGCGAAAAGGTATCAAACTTATGAAACTCAGTCCGAAGCCTATTTATACTCAAAGAAGTTATTAATCAGCAAGGGCCCAGAGTCCCACCAGGACAGAACGAACTCCAGATGTGATGACGAAGAACAATTGTCATCCCAAAGGGCTTCAACTAGGTGATTCCTGCATCGGTTTCCCCAGTTGTGAGTGAAAAAACTAGCAAAATGACAAAAGTTGCTGGAAAATTGTGATTTGAGACACCCCCAATCGGACATCAAAATTGTGCAGTTAAAGAGCACTGTGGGTGCTCATCTCGAAGTTGCAATGATGAGACCAGTGTGGCGATGCTGAATGGGTTTCTTATATCGTTGCTGAGCGGTGCTGCTGCCGGTACTTCCACCGACCTTGTGTTCTTTCCGATTGACACTTTGAAGACTAGGTTGCAAGCTAAAGGCGGGTTCTTCAGGAACGGTGGGTATCGGGGAGTGTACCGGGGTCTTGGGAGTGCTGTGGTTGCCTCTGCGCCTGGTGCGTCGCTATTCTTTATCACATATGATACTTGTAAAGCTGAGACGCGGGGCTTCTTTAGAGGGTTGCTTCCATCTAGCAACGTTGCCGATGTAGTGACGCATATGTTCTCTTCCTCGATGGGTGAGATAGCTGCCTGCATGGTCAGAGTCCCCGCCGAAGTGGTCAAGCAGAGGTCGCAGACCCATGCGTCGCACTCCTCTTGGGAGACCCTGAGGGAGATTTTGAAGAATGAGAACGGTGAAGGTGTGCGGAGGAACTTGTATCGCGGTTGGTCTACCACGATCATGAGGGAAATCCCCTTCACTTGTATTCAGTTCCCCTTGTATGAATACATGAAGAAGGTCTGGGCCGAATTAGACGAGAGTGATCGTGTAGAGCCATGGAAAGGCGCAGTATGTGGTTCCATTGCCGGTGGTATTGCCGCAGCCACTACTACACCTCTGGATTTTTTGAAAACTAGACTAATGCTATGCAAGAAAAGCATACCTCTAGGGACACTGGTCTCTACCATATATAAAGAAGAAGGGTTCAAAGTGTTTTTCAGTGGTGTTGGGCCCAGAACTATGTGGATAAGTGCAGGAGGTGCCATCTTCCTTGGAATTTACGAAACCGTCCATTCTTTGTTATCCACAAATAAGAAACCTACTAGAAATGAGGCGTGAATAAAAAAGCAAAAAAAATAATTGCTCTAATTGATCTTACCGCTGTTGTTCGACTCATAAATTTGTCTTTAGTATTGATAGATCTAAATAGTCTTTACGATGTATATTCTCTAATGATTTTGTAAATATTATACTTTTGCATATTTGATTTAGGCTTGGAATTACAGGTATTTTTTTAATGCATAGGGGGTGTCAAGTTCAAGATCTTTATAGTCCAATTAAGGAGAACCCCATGAATTCAATTTATACGTTCACTAAATAGTATTCAACATTTGATGTTTTTGAGAGGTAAATTAACCATCTTAGTATGTGGATATCGTGGGAAAAGTGCGTACAGTTCTGTCCCACACCTCCTAATAGTCAATATTCTTGTCCTTCACGTATGATATCTTCAGATCACAGCCACCATAGTTGTAGCCTTGTAAACGACCGTAGCATACTTCTGCGTCATCCTGTTCATTGTAAATTACAATAGCTGATACTGTCTCTCCTGCATTGTCTGTATTGATAAAACCTGCCGTTTTTACTTTACCCAAAGTTTCAAACAGGTCATATAGATCGCCTTCTGTGGTAGCACCTGGTAAGTTATCACAAAGTATGATTTTTGATTTATCTTCTGTTTTTACATAGTCGTCAGATGAAAACTTATTTTGAGCACGAGCTCCTCCATCGCTAGAAACATCTGCCTTCAAAGCTTTCTCATCTCCACCCTCAGCTGTATCAATGTCCATTTCAATATCTTCGTTATCCTGATTAACTGTCAGGTCATCTGTCTTCCTGGTAGATGAGATCTGTGTTGGGTCGGGTATCTGGCCACGTACTTCAAGCACTTTACCTTCAATCTCAAATCCATTGAAATGTTCATAAGCCTTCACCATATCTTCTTGGTTCTTGAATATCACGTTTCCAACACCTATTGACATTCCTGTAGAATCTACTTCAACATTAGCTTTTAGAACATCGCCAAATTCCTTGAACATCGTTTTGAGCGTTTGCCAACTAATAGAATAAGGCAGGTTTAAGATCATTAATTCGTAACCTTTCTTCTGAGGCTTTACTGCTTTTTTGGGCTTCGTTACATTGGTGGTATGCCCACTGTTACTTCCAGAAGAGTGAGTAGACGACGACTCCGGTGGAGGGTTATCCTGTCTAACAAATATCTGACGGTTCATCAGGTATGCTCCATCAAATTTTCTGATCGCCTCGTCTACTTCTTCGCCAGACGTGAATTCGACAGTACCCATCCCTCTGTGGTGACCTCTGGAAGTGATAATATCTGCCCTGACAACTTTCCCCACTTGTGAAAAGAAATCTTTCAGGTCCTCTGGAGTGCAGTCGTAAGTTAAATTACCAACAAAGATACTGTTTGTGTAGTTCCTATTTACTTTCTCCTCATAAGTGCTATCGAGCTCCCTGGCTAATCTGGGCCCAAAGTCGCCCTTTGTGCGAGCAGCTTTCTCCTTGTCTCTTCTAAACTTATTTACACCACCGCGCTCACTAGGTCCCGCTCCATTGAAACGTCTCCGCTCATGGCCTCTACCACCTCGGGAAGACCCCGGACGCGGCCCACGCTCCGCCGGTGGCCTCCCGTCATTCGAGGGCCTCTCAAATCCTCTCCTAGTGGCATAACTACTCAATGACCTACGGACAGGCGACCTAGACCGACTCCTCTGTGCTTCAGACATTCCCTAACCGTTTCTTTTTATCACGCACGTCCTACAAGCTCTTGGCTTTCACTCCTCAATTCTTTCAGACTAATTCAACCGCTTCAACCAATAGCTAAGGGTATATTCCTCAATGAGAATGCATTGATTCAGCAAGTTGATCTTGCAATTCCCAAAGGGCTTTATTCCTTCTAAATTCTGTTCTGAGCAAAAAGTCTGTTTCCCCTTCTGCCCGTCTTTGGTGAGTGCAATTCTACTTCTCGAAGTTATAAAATATAAAAGGACTGGCAACGTTTGCATCACTGTGCTCCATCTTTGAACTTAGTGGTAAGGGCAGTAGAAACGGTATAAGACGCAGGATGTTTAGCGGGTTGCACACTAGTAAGTATGCGTGCCAGGTAGTGGTGCAGATTCGTACTGCTACGAAGAGAGCTGCTGGTTCGAGGACGTCTATGAAGGACAGTGCTGGTCGGCGTCTGGGTCCCAAGAAGTACGAAGGGCAGGATGTGAAGCCCGGTGAGATTATAATGCGTCAGCGTGGTACCAAGTTTTACCCCGGTGAGAATGTGAAGATCGGCAGAGACCACACTATATATGCGGTGGAGCCAGGTGTGGTTAGATACTACCTGGATCCGTTTCATCCCTACCGGAAGTTCATCGGTGTGGCGTTGTCTAGGGATATGAAGCTGCCTAAACCGCATTTTGAGCCAAATGTGAGGAGGTTTGGGCGGATCGAGCTGGATAACCCGAAGGCCATCGCCAAGGAAGAGAATGCTCTTTCGAGAAAGGAATACCTGTCGAGAGATACTCTCTTGAAGGATCTCACAGAAAGGGAAGCCAAGAGACATGAAATGATGGACAATTACTGGAACTTCATTAGCAGCGAGCTGAAATTGAACATAATACCAGAGAGAAAAGAGATGGCCTCCAATTATCTGTTGAGATATAGGACCGGATTGAAGAATGGGTTTGACCTGCAGGAGGCCCAGTTTAATGCCAAGTACTACTTGCAACAGATGCTGAAGTTGAAAGCCAAGAGGAAAGAATGGAATGAAGAGAAATTGAGTGAGCAATTGCACAATTTGGATGAAACCACAGCACTACTAAACAAGTCTGTTTCTTTCAGCAATAAGTGGGTCATAATCCCATACATATCTGAAGAAGAAAAGCTCACAAGAAAGGATGAGTTGATCAAGAAGCTGACGGAGCTAGGCACTGCAATCAAATCGAAGTCGGACAAAAAGGCTGTTCTGGAGTTATTTAAGGATGCCTCCCACTTTTTGACTCAAGCTCAAGAAGTTCGTTTACGTCGTCAATTCATGAAGCCCGTGCAACCAGAGATTATGAATGTTAACGTTGCTGAGAAAGCCGACAAGAAGACTACTGTCATTAGAAGATTTAATTACGAAAAGAGTAAGATTGATATTATTCCAAGAACCAAAACAGCTTTCTTTAAGAGACTATGAAAAGCATAGACCAAATCATCTGTGTATATAGCAGTATATAATTTAAATAGAATGTCATTAATCCTGTACATATAGTCTACATGAAGTTCTATGATTTATGCAACAAGTAGTAAACTTATTGACTAGCCAAGTCACGAAAATAGTAGCTAGCGTATGTGAGAATGAGTTAAAATATGGGTTCTGCTGTACAAATATAAGTAATTAGACATTTCGCAAGAGAGAACAAATATAAGTGTTATCGTTGTATGAATGACTATTGTCAATTATGTAGCATTATTTATCATTTTTTGGATGAATGTTTTCTAAAGTTTGAATAAATATCATTTAACCAGGTGGTAGTTGACTGATATCAACGATGTCACTGATTTTGCCGTCGATATCTTCTTCATCGACTTCAGTTTGCAGAGGAGTTCTTGGTAAAGCCATCATACCACTTCTGGCGCATTCCAGCACACCAAATGGTTCAACTAGCTTCAAGAAAGCGGAAATCCTAGATGGCTTGGCAGAAAGTTCAACAATACAGCTAGTTTCACCGATATCGACAATCTTACCCCCGAAGTTCTTGGCCAAGTTGGTGATGTCGTTCAAATGTTCGTGCTTCAATCTCAAGACTTCACTTGCTTGTAAGTTGGATGGATGGAATTTCTTCTCTCTGATCTCAGAGACAATTTCGTGAGAGTCCTCTAGGTTGGCTGTAGATTTGTGGTGGTGGACTAATAGATCTTCAAAGTACTCAGAACCCAATAGAGAGACTCTGGCCATAACCAACTCTCTCTTGATGATCTCGGAGTTTGAGTAATCAAGAACAGCGTAAACTGGAATCAAGTCCTCGATTTGTCTTCTAGCTTGTTCGATAACTCCATCTTGACCCTTCAGCACGATAGTCATTCTACTCAGATCCTTGACCTCGGTGTTGCACACAACCAAAGAGTCAATGTTGAAGCCCCTTGCGGCCAAAGTACCAGAAATCCTAGATAACACACCAGGCTCATTCTGGACCAGACAGTTCAGCACATGCTGCTTTCTAGGTTGACGGGATGGAGCTGGTGTCTCATATAAAATCGAAGACACAGCACTATTAGCATCCCAAGCCGGAGTGTCCACCACTGGCAAAGGTGGTCTAGCTGTATGCTTGTGTAACTGCTTGTATGTCATAGCAGATGTTGAAGAGGAGCTATGACGCACCAAACTCCTCTTCACACTATTGCTCAGAACAGTCCTAATCATATCCAATGAAGTTTTCCTATTCACGATACCGATCCTTTCTCGAACTGTAATACCCAGTTCTATCCTTCAAAGGTACCACAAAACAAATATGGTTATGTAACGGTAAAAATATAAGAGACAATTGTCAAAAGTATCAGTTTCCGCTACTGGCAAGCCCCATTCGTTACTTCACTTTTTATTTATTCCTTTGCCATTTGGCAAACAAGATTTTTTGCTTCATTGGATGACAAAATTTTTAGTTTCTCTGAGTCATCACTGGTCTAGTTGGGATTACATGAAAGAGGGCAGTCCTGGAATGCTAACTTGAACTACATAGGGAGACTAGTACTGTCTCGCTGAAAATATTTACTCTGACTATATTGCTTATGTAGATTGTCTACAAGTTTGAAAGGGCCGTCGTTACGCAATGTTATCGACTTTCACTCCTGGAGCAATGCTATGATCTTACGGATGTGGAGTCTGGCCATGAATTGGTCCCTGGCCAACTCTCTGACTTTCTTGATAAATGCATCAAATTCCAGTGCACCGCAGTTTAGTAGACGCGCCAAGACCTGTATCGTATCCGTGAGGGCCCTATCCCTTGCCACTAGGGTATATAATTGGTCCAACGCGGGAACCTCAGTGGTGTATACGGTATTGGAGTCCAGAGTTGTGCCGTTCTCAGCAATAAACTTCTCCACAAGTAAGGTCTCTTTGTCTACGTCTTCTATTCCCTTTTGTAAGCTTTCTCTTGACTCTATGATTGAGGATTTGATCCAGTTTAATTTTTCTGATTCATGGTTGTAAAGATCATCGAATTGTTTTATCGCGGTTTGTAACTGTGGAATGCGTGATTCAATCTGTTCTTTCTTGTAATTCTGATCCAATGTGGACAATTCATGGATGGTCATTTTCAATTTTTCGAGGGATTGTGTGTATGCATCTGAAACAGGTTTCTCATCCATTGAATCCAGTAAATCCACCATTGGCACCTCGTTAGGGACCGCATTCACAAATGTTCGCTGTGTATTTTGCACAGGATTTGCATGGTCGTCATGATGTGGTGGTTCTTGTAAATTCAATTGGCGTAATTGGTCGTGCAATGCATTGCTCTGTTGGGGTTTCTCGGGCAACGGTGGCGGCCCCATGGTACCATTTCCCGTTGGATTGATGGAAGCCTTTGATGGTCTAATTGTTGTATCTGTCTCTTGTGTCGGGTTCTGTAATGGCATTCTTTCTGGTATCTTTGGAATGCCATTTGGTCCCGGTATACTAGAAGTTTGGCCAGCAAACTTGATTGCGTTGTCAGTAGTCTTTGGAGGTAATGCTGGCTTAGGTGGTACGGGTGGAGACTTCTCAGCGTCAGTTGTTCCTGGCGCAACAGTACTCGAGAAAGTTACTGGTTGTATGGGTGCGATTGCATTGCACATATCTGCTAAATCCTGTATCACATTGAAAAGATTGGCGCTCTGTGGGTTCCACTGTCGAAGCAAGCGGGTGTGTACTCTGCCATCGGGTTCCACAGATTCGTTAGTGGCTAACTGTAGATCTTTATCCAGCAGCTCTAAATCTATAAACAATAAAGGTTTCGCTATGGGATATGACTCTGGGATCCAGATAAGCACAGGCACGTCAAGACCTTGCTCAATAGGTATGCCACCGTATAGGCAAAGCAGCAACCGCGGAGAGCCATCCTCATCCGTGAAAACCCTTGTCCTTGGCCGCAAATTCTTGAATTCTGTCAACGTTTGTACAGCATCATGAAACACCAGCTTCGGCTGCTTGTATATGGGCTGAATAACTTTGAAAAGCCATTGTACCACGGATTCTGGTAAAGGCGTCGACATCCCACTCAATTGAGCAATGTAATTCACTATAAATCGACGTAGATTGTAGGTTTGGAGTCTCGAAATCTGTTATGTTGCTGACTATTCAGTCGAAACCCATATGGACAAAGGGCCGTTCTTATGATGCTTTTCCCGGGAAATTGAAAAAGTACGAAGAGATGAACTTACTGGAGCTTAAAGTTAGACATCTAACAGTATAGATTCAAGGGATTCCCATCAAATATACTGTTTGTAAAGTTGGTGTTCCATTAAATTGCGATTACGGTTATAGAATCCAGAATAGCGTGTGGCAAATATGAGTTTGTATGTGTTTCTTCCAACTTTTTTGTTAGGTTTTGCGATAAGGATAGACTTTTGGATCAGTTATACTAACATGGATTGCAACGAATACATTGCATACCTTTGACTTTACCAAATAGTTGCAAAGTTATATTCTTTTTTAAGGCATGTGGCTTGTTGAGGGGTGTGCTGTTTTTGGTATTAGACGTTGATTTCTTTACAGTTATACGGTTTTGAGTGTTTTATTGGTTGTTGTACTTTTATGTGTAGGGTTCTGGCAGGTGGCGCCAAAGGAGGATAGAACTGTGTGGAGAAGTACAGTAATACTGACACTTTCTATGATGTTCCTGATGTGGGCTATCACATACCTCGCACAGTTACATCCACTGGTGGTACCAAGACGTTCGGATTTAAGACCTGAGTTTGCAGAATAGAGTTAGCAATCACAATCACAGATAAGTAGTACTGTTTTAGGTTGTGATTTATGGGATATTATACAATAAAAACAAAATAAAAATAATAATATTTACTTTCTTTTTCCAAATTATCTACCATTGGTAATTGAAATTATTAGGGATGTTGGTCTTTAGGACCTGATATACATCCATAAGTAAAACATTTGGGCATTATAGTAGTAATATCATATCGGCGTATAGAATATCATATAGCTGATAACATGTGGGATATTAAATTTAATGTTTTTATCAGCATTCCCTTTGTGTTATCAGCTTAGTTTAGTTTAAGTCGAATTTTCATGCCATTCATGACCGATGCAATTTGAACTAGTAAGAAATGGTGTTTTACATTTGATTATTGGCTCTACTGAATGCATTGCTGTAGTGTAACTACTTTCTGCTAGAGATCTATCGAGGTTGATCAAGATGTCAACCTACTGCTTATAATTATGTATAGTTGCATCATTTTGTGCGATGGTTTCTGTATGAAAGAATCATAGCCCATCACTTCAAGTAATTTTTTATAGTGAAAACTGAATAATAGTCCAACTCAAACTGTTGCAGTAGTATAAAAGTAGTGGTAATTGATCATTAACACTGCCATAGAATTGAGAGCGAGTGTCAATTGAAATATAGCCTGAGAAAAGCTGAGTGAAAATATTTAGGTAGTATAATGAAAATTATTAGCATTACGAAGGACTCTGCAAACAAAGAAGGTGCTACCATCGTGCTTTTACCAGAGGATAAAGAGGATCTATTCACTGTGCATCAAATTATTGACAAGGATGATGAAGTAATCTTCAAGAAGAAGTTCACCACTAACCTTGATGAGGCAGGTAAGAAGAAAAGTACCGACCTGGTTAAATTGAGACTGAAAATAGTCTCATCTGAGTTCGAGATGAGAGATGAATATTTGAGATATAAAGGTGTCACTGTTGCCGATGATAATGGAAACTCTAATGTGGATATACCCGTTGGTAAATTCTTGAGCTTTACGGTTAATTACAGCTTCCCATTTACTATTATAAAACAAAACTTTGATAGCTTTATGGAAAAGACATTGCAAAATGCAGCAAATCCTGAATCTAGGTCTGATACTGCAGCTATTGTTCTTCAAGAAGGTATCGCACATGTCTGTTTGTTGACTGCATCATCTACCATACTGAAACAGAAAATTGAATATAGTATGCCAAAGAAAAAGAGAGCAACAGATGTTATGAAATTTGATGAAAAGACAGAGAAATTTTACAAAGCTATCTATGAATCTATTAAGAAATATTACGATTTTTCGAAAATCAAGTTGATCCTGTTATGTTCACCAGGATTTTATGCTAAGACATTGCTGGAAAAAATTACCCAATACGCACAAGAGGAGAGAAATAAATCAATCATTGATCATCAATCATTATTCCTGGTTGCACACTGTTCAACAGGTTATTTACAAGGTATTAGTGAAGTTCTCAAAAATCCACTATATTCAACCAAGTTGAGTGATACGAAATATGCTAAAGACGCTGCAATTATGGATGAGTTTATGGAACACTTGAATAACGACGATTTCAAAGCATGGTACGGTGAAGCAGAAGTAGAAAAAGCAGCGGAAATGGGTGCCATAAAATATTTATTAATTACTGATACCATGTTGCATAATGATGATATCAAAAAGAGGAAGAAATTCCTTGCTTTATATGAGAACGTCGAAAGTTCCGGTGGTAAAGGTGTGGTTTTCAGTACTTTGCATTCTCTTGGTGAAGAGCTAGATAGGATGACTGGTGTTGCATGTATACTAAACTATCCATTACCAGATCTGGACGAAGATCTTGAGGATGAAGAATCTGAGAACGATAATGAATTTGAAATTTAAAATAAGTTTAATTTTGCTCCGATAACTACTTCCATAAATTCCCGTAGATTCAATAGCATGAAAAGCTGCTTGTGCTTAGATTAGCATAATCCAGAATACATTGAATTAGGTATTAATTATTTATTGGTGGCCCATCTATTTATAGTTTCGAACTAACTCACCTATTTATTAATTAATCTTTTCGCTAAGTCTCGAAACGTTATCAGCTTAATATATGTGTCATATATAATACAAGTCAGGAAGTATAATTTTTGACAACGACTCACAATACAATAAATGAAAATTAGACAGTAATACAACTACATAATAACACAATTTTTACTTGGATTGAATTTGGTCTTTTCTTTTGGACGTGTTTCTGTAGGTTTCTGTTGAGTTGTTGTTCCAGAGGTCTTTACTTCTGCCTTGCCAGTAGCGGATGTATTTTGCTTGGCGGATGGCTTACTGTCCATATTTTTGCTAGATTTAGTAGAGGGCTTTTTGTCGCATAGCTTAGAGGCAGTTTCATAAAAGGTTTTACCTTGTGTCTTTGCCATTCTGAGTTCAAGAGAGGAAGGCTGTCTTGAACCGTCAGCACCAGCCAAGGTACCAGCACCCCAAGGACTACCGCCGTGGATGTCCTCCACATTCGACAATTCTGCAAATGTGTATTTGTAGCCCAATGGAACAAATACCATACCGTGGTGGACAAGGTAGTTCATACAAGTCTTGACTGTGGCTTCTTGGCCACCACCATAGGTACCAGTGCTGACAAATACACCTGCTGGTTTGCCCCATAGGGAGCCTTGAACCCAGATAGCGCCTGTTTTATCCCAAAATTCGGCCCATTGGGATGGAACATTACCAAAACGAGTGGGTACACCAAACAAGAAAGCATCATAATCGGTAAGAGTTTCGCCATTAGCAATTAGGAAGTCCTCTGGCTTTTCAGCAGCGTTCATTTGCTCCAGAACATCATCGGGAAGTGTCTCAGGAACTCTGAACAAAGTTACTTCACCACCAGCTGCCTCAACACCTTTTTTAATCTCCCTTGCAATGGTAGTTATATGACCATAGCAGGAGTACGTAATAATTGCTACCTTAACCATTTTAAATTATTGTTTTTACCTTGGCAGTTGTATTCTGTAATTACCTCGATATTACGCTGATAATGTGTAAAACTATCGAGTTGCTTCTTTCAGAATGCTAGAATAGATAGTGTACATGTTATATATAAGAAGCATAATAGCTGTGTTTATATCCTCAAAGGGTGTCCTATGTAAAACCTATATCCAATAGAGGAAATTTAGGGTCAATAAGGATAATTGGTTAGATAGTGTTTACGAATACAATGCAAATATGAAATGAGCCATCCTATCAAATGCGTGAAGAGAAATTGAACCAATTGTTTGGCTAAATGGGTCTCTAAGGCCGGGCTTATTCAGTTAACTGGTGAGCTTCTATGGATACTGAGTTCTCTTGCAGCACCCATTATGTAAATGTGCTACTACTTTTAAAAATAAGGTCAAAGGAATTACAGGGCAAGTCAACAAAACACTCCCTCAACTTATCACAGGTGAGACTCAATCGATGAGGTTTTCCCAAGAAGAGAAGCAAGACGTCAAGGTAAGCAGGGCAGACAACAAGCAGGCAGCGAAATGTCCGAATGTGTTTCCAAAGCAAAAACTCTCTTTTGACAGACCTTGAGAGAGACACATTCACCATCATTTGATAAAGAGCTCAAAAGGTAAAGATAAAATTGTCCCTTAATTATTGGTTCGAAGTGATAACTGTTTTCTTTCAATTTATCTCGGAAGCTGAATGCTGGTGAGCTGTTGGCGAACTGCTGGCGAACTGCTGGCGTACTACTGGGAAGTTGCAACCTTTTCAGCTAGGACAGCATACTGGTACCAAAAATAAATAAGCGAAAATAGTTATCCATGATATATCCATTAGATTCATCCGTTAGAACCTATTTGGGACCATCAGAATAGAGTCAAGTTAATCTTGGGAGTTAGTAAGCTGTTATATTCAAAAACTGTTACTTAAAAGTAAAGATAAAAATTATACAAATGATATGTATTCATCAATTCATTATAAAAGGACAGACATGATAGAGTAATAAAAAATGAATGATACTGAAAAGAAAAAGCTATGTGTATTGATTGGCTTACTTTTCACAAAATCACATATACAGGGCAAAGTATGCAATGCGCTTATGAGATTCTCCTATATGGCATGCAATTAATTTTTACAATATGAACCTCCTTAATCCCTGACAAAAAGTCATCAAGAATAAAAAAAAGGTGTTGTTTGGCCTCCTTTTACATTTTATCGAGCTGTATTTCAGATTGTAGGAATATAAAAATCGATATGGTTGCAAGTATTTTCTTTCACAAAAAATAGGAAAAAAGCATTATAACTTAAAAGTTAAAAACAAACAGGATTCATCACAGCTGATGATTAAAGCTGATTTCGTATCCTGCAGTAAAAATAAATAGAGCAAAACAGGAAATTAAGAATATTAATAATTGTTAGAAAGATCCCATTTCATCCTATTTATTTCTTGCTTTCAATAGATTTTACCAATTCCTTGAACTTCTCGGTGGAGAAAGACTTTGGTCTTTCAATTGGAGCACCAACAGCTCTGTCGATGATCAATTGTGGAAGAACACCGAATGCTCTGGAAACACCAAACAATACAGTGTAGAAGGAAGCTTCAGTTAGGCCGTAGTATTGTAATAGAACACCGGAGTGGGAGTCAACATTTGGCCATGGGTTCTTGGTCTTACCGTGCTTGGTTAAGACCTTTGGAGCAACGTCGTAGATGGTAGAAACCAACTTGAACAACTCGTAGTCTGGGAAGTGCTTTAGAGCAAATTCACGTTGAGCAGTGTAACGTGGATCTGTCTTTCTTAGGACGGCGTGACCGTAACCTGGGATAACTCTACCACCGTTCAGCGTGTCCCATAGGTACTTCTCAACAGTTTCCTTTGAGTAATCACCCTTGACCTCTTCTCTGAAAGTGAACAACCATTCCAAAACTTCTTGGTTGGCACGACCGTGCAATGGACCAGCCAAACCGTTCATACCAGCAGCAAAGGATAGGTAAGGAGAAGATAGAGCGGAACCGACCAAGTGTGTGGTGTGAGCAGAAACGTTACCACCTTCATGATCGGAGTGGATAGTCAAGTACAATCTCATCAAGTCGACGAAATCTTTGTTAGTGTAACCCAATAGGTGGGCCAAGTTCTTACCGTAGTCGGCGTTAGGGTCGACTTGGCAGATCTTACCATCCTTAAAGATGTTACGGTAGATCTTGGATGCAATAACAGGCAACTTACCCAGCAGGTCTAGGGAGTCTTCGAAAGTGTAGCTCCAGTATTCCTTCTTGTTAACACCTCTTGCGTAAGCCTTAGCGAACTTGGACTCTGTTTCTAAAGCGTTAACGGCAATGGACAATTGAGCCATTGGGTGCAAATCCTTTGGTAAGCTGTCCAGCAACTTCAAGACATGTTCTGGAACTTCAGATCTGGAGGCCAAGTCAGCGGAGAAAGCCTTAACTTGAGATTCGGTTGGGACTTCACCGGTCAATAGCAACCAGAAAAGAGCTTCTGGGACTGGTTCGGAGCTGCCACCAATGGTAGGCAATTCCTTCTTGATTTCCGGAATGGTTCTACCTCTGAATCTAATACCTTCCTCAGGGTCTAGCACGGAACCTTCCCAAACGATACCTTTGATACCACGCATACCACCGTAAGCTTGTTCCAGTAGTAGTTGGTCAATGACGGTCTTACCATGTTCTTTCTTGAATTGCTTGATCTCTTCTGCTTGTTTTGGGAAGATGTCAGCAAATGTGTCCTTCAAAGTCTTTTCGGAACTTATGGAAGTGGCACTGAATGCTCTCGTAGAAGTGAGAGCTTTGTAAGCTTGTGCCCTCAAGGCTGGGGTAGCTCTAGCTGCTGAGGATAAAGACATAGCTCTTGTAGTTAAGATTTGTTTGTAATAATGACTAACTGTGAATAGCTTTTCTCCTTTTCTTTATTTCAGTTAAATTAACGAAATAAAAATAAAATGCAATGTTTCGAGAGAAAAAATTAGGGATAGATTTTTCAAAAGAAATAAAAATCACAAAAGAATATTATGGTTCAGTAAAAATTCACAGAAGTTAGAAAGTACAATAGAATTTATAACAAAAATATGATAATTCTAATATATTCTTTCCCTTGTTCTGTCAGTGGATATTATATTTTTAGATTTTCCTTGTCAAATGTTATTGCAGGGGAAACAAACTAAAAATTATCAAATAGAAATAAAGTGTAAATTAATTCCTTGTCGCTAAAAAAAATTAATCGATTTAGAATATTGATTGCTCGGTACTGTTTTTCTATTCTTTTGTAATAAGTATATGACACAAATTTTTACAAAAGAAGACGAGGAAATATAAACTACTCTTGAAATATAATCTTCAAAATCCCAAAAACCGAACTGTCCGATATATTGCAACAAGTTGCAACACTTATATATAATTTTTTTTTTGTTGTCTGCTCTTCAAAAGAAAATCAAAATAAATTATCAAGAGCCTGTGCCATTCCTATTTTTTTGTCTTGAAAACACCACGTCCGTGACCACACAAATAGCAATCCTATTGAAATGTGTGTGCTAATATCCGAGTTTATTGTATTTTAGTGGTTTCCCGTAAATTTAATATCTACAAGCTTGTAATAACATCATGATGGTCATTCTTTTTTTTTTTTTCCTTTGAGTTTTGCGACTTCTGTATCTTCAGTTTTTTCATAGCTTGCTATTTGCTCTTTAAAAAGCATGCTACTCTACATGTAAACTTTAGTATGAACACTTCACTTCACTTCCACTTCGCACTTCACATAAAACTGGGAAGAGGGATAATATAGAGATGGAGGGGAGAAAGGACTTCCAAAGAGAAAAGGTAATAGCAAAGAAGGCCCAAAACAAAAAAAATTAAGGGCACAAATTAGATGTTACCAGTAAAACCCCGTTGGAAGGAAAGGAGAGGAAAGGGAGTCGATAGGCCAGCGCAAGGAAGAGAGAGTAGAGATGTAGAAGAGATCTTCTTATTCCAACATACTGCGTAATTTTGATTTGTTGTGATTGGTAAAACGGGAAAACGTAAGGAAATCCCACCAAATGCTAACAACCCTCAGCAGTAATAGCCATGGGAAAGCTATACGTAAACTGTTTTTACAAGGTAAACAGGAGCCGCAAAGCAGAGTTTAACACTTCAAGAAAGAAGTTCCAGCACAACGAGATCGACTTCTCCCCTCTCCTCCCTCGAGAAAAGAGAATTAGGGAAGCACGAAAGATTTCGAAAATGAATGTAGTCTCTCTAATTGCACTTCAAGCATTGGCTGAGAAGAGAAGAAGAAACAAAATGAGAGAGTTACGGAGAAACGCTACAATGGCATTTCATTGGTCAAAAGGGTAAGCCAAAAAGTTGTAATTCTCGGGATTGTGATCATGTACTGTACCAAAAGTTGCAAAAAAAAACATATTTTGTTTTGCGGGAAAACGGAATCCAAAAAAGGAGATAGTAAGCAGACCAAAACCTTGTGCGAGGATGAACATCAATATTTTCTTTCATTGTAAAAAAAAAGAATAAAAATAAAAACTGGGATACTGAAAATGTGTCTATAACCCGTACTGGGATTAATGGGGGGGGAGGAAATGGGGAACCTAAGAGAGAAGCCTTAAGCTAAAAAAAAAAAATTAAAGAATAAGGGCTTCGGACCAATAATATCACTGGCTTTCTGTCTATTTGCTAACTTCCTTTGCACTGGAATCTGAATCTGAATCTCATGTTAACCTGCGAAGCCCTAAGAAAAATGAGGTAAGAAGACCTAAAAGACCTAAAAGACCAAAAGGACCAAAGAAAAAAAAAGCTCTCAATTTCAGGTCCCTAGGAGCTGTTTTTAGCTTTAGGGCTTGGATAAAGAGAAAAGAGCCCTTCCTAAAGGTCATATGTAACTTATTTGGTAGTTTCTGCTGTACCAAGCATTGGTGATCAATAAGACCTAAAAAAGACAGTGCAGAAAACTTTAGGGGAGAGCATAGAAACTCCGTGGCTCTCTGAAAAAGGATGGGAGAAGTTAGAGGTCATGCACTTTTATTCTTTCCCCTCCTTCTAAAACTGACTAAAAGAAAGCAGGGCCGAGGACGTAAGATTCTAACAGCTGAAGAGACAGACAGAGAAAGAATCAAAAGTGCGTGACCTGCTAGACTACTACGCACAAAACTGTCCTCCTTCAAATTACACGCGTAGGAAACCACAGTATATTTCCAAGTGTAATGCCTACTTCTCTTTCTATTTCTGAGAATATGTGTGGCAACAAGCAATAGGAAGCGTTGAAAGACGTTGAAAGACGTTGAAAAGCAAAGGACTGTCTGAGGAGTATGGTACAGCAGAAGAGTAAATCAATCTTCAAAATTTGGCACTAAATACTCGCAGAAAGGCTAACAGCAGAGCATTCCCAAAGCCATTTCACTGCACACACGTCTTCTATCCCCATCTTCCATTACTAGCAGACTAGTCAGAAGCTAACAGAAAATTAACTATTCAATAATAGGACATCGGTTGTCTTTAACTGTCAATTAGAGAATAATTTTCCTATTCCACTTCTCTTGTTACGTGTGTTAGTGTTGCTGTACTAAATTGGAGATTATCGAAAGGTAAAAAAAAACAATTGCCGCCTTTATCCGATTAGGCTCGTAATATCGCCTGCAATTTGAACTGCACCCCGGTGACGGTGTACTCCTTCAAGGAGTAAGTTACGTTTCTCCTTAAAACAAGATCTAAATCAAAAATCTATCGTCAAAATGCGGTTAACTCAGGAGAATCCCATAAAAGGCACCATATTGAAATGGATGATGACCATAAAAAGTGGGGTATTAGCTTTTCAGAATTGTAAAAGTGTTTTAGGAAGACCGTGAGTTACATGTTTCTCAAAAGTATGTGTGACCTACTTCCATGATGAAGTTTATATTACTCCAATATTTTCCTGTTAGTCTGTACACTAACAATACTCATGCCTTACTCCGAAATAGAAGCAAGGGACATGGTCCACTTTCCCAACTTCAAAGGTGTCTTGGATTGTTGTGTAATGTACCTTTCTTTTAGTGATTCCGTAGGAGTACTTATTAAGACATCTCCGAGAACACGGAGCTGATAAGGATCTACGGTTTTCTTCCCCATCTCTTTGACGGCTGTCCAAGAACATTGACGAGGATACTATGTAATCGTATCCTGTGCGGTTATCCTTACCTGAATCAAGTCTCTCATTTCAGTGGTAGGAGAAGCTACAAGTAGGTTGGAAGTGGAGGGAAGAATCATATCTTGTCATAGACTGTACTCTTTGTAAATACGCGTTATTAGAAGGAAATGCACGCATAACCACACATTGAATTGCATGTAATTTTTTTGGCGTCTCACATACTTAAAACAGGAAAACTTTTTACCACACATTTTGGTCTAGCTGTAACTCATAAATGGGAATTTCTATCCCATGATTTCATAAGGTTTCTGTTGTTACTCTATTTCTCGTTTGATGGGGGAGGGATCTAGGCGGTTATCATATCGTAAATTCATGATAATCAATAAAATTATATTCTGTTTGGAATAAATCTACGGTTGTGAAAAAATCACTTGTTCCCTAGCGCTTGTCCTTTTGTACACTCAGCAGCAGCTTAGCTTCTCTTAGTTCTCTTCTTAATTTATTAACTTGGTTTTGAACGGATGAGCGTTCATTGATTAATATACAGCATTTGGATTCTAATTCTTGAATGTTATTTTGTTGTCTTTCTACTATTTCATTCAACTCCCTCTCTCTTTTAATGTTTACGTAGTTCCTCTCGGTGTGATCGATCTCTTTGGCTACATTTATAGATGGGATTAAACTAGACTCCTTTAATTTCAGATACTTAACCTTTTGCTCTTCGTACTGTTCTTTTAATAGAGATAACTCCAACTCCATTTCTTGTTTACTAACACTATCTTCGATTAGCATACGGATGGATTCCTGGATTGGTTTGATCCCCCGCCTTTTCTCTTCTTGATGTGCAAAATATCCTAGAAGCTTTCTTAGCCGCCCATTTTCCTCCTTAAGCATACTCAACAGCCTTATGTGTTCTCGGTTCGAAGCAATTTGTTGTTCGTCCAAACGGCGCTTAACTTCTTGTGTTCGCTCCTTGAAATTTTGTGGAATGGCTCGAGATAAAAGTGAAAACATCTTGCATACGCTATCGTAATCCAAATCCGTTGGAACTTCAAGATCCATATTACATAATGTAAAGCATCTACTTATCAGCAGTCTCAGCGCTTCTAGCTCTTCATTTCTATCTGTCTCTGTCTGATAATATTCCATTTGGGTAGTGTCCACTCTTCTAGTCTCGGCCTGAGCTTTCTCTGTAGTATCAAATATACCACAGTCTTGCATACCTGTCTTTGAAACACTACTCTCTGGAAAGTTTCTCAATATAGATTTTAATCGTAATCCTCCCGACGTTGCAATGTTATTAACGGTTTTTCGTTGCCCATCAAGTTTCAGTGGAAGTATTTCTATTGTGTCGTCATCCGAGTATGTAACTATTGTGTTCCTTGGGTTGAACTGCACACTGCAAGTTTTCTTTCTAGTCATTATATGGTTGTTTGTTTGTTTTTGAGAAGCCTTAGTTATTATTTGTAGTCTTTCATATCACTGATAATTATCTACTTTTACAGGCTATATATTAATATATCGGCGTAAATAAGATACATATTCAACTCAACCTGATAAATCGGATATCTCTTCGAGGAATAACTTCCAATGGCGAACTATAATATTAGTATCATTTTATAACTTGGGTCACAAAGTCGGTTTAAGGTCATTCTTTAGGTTTATGTATTTGACACTAAATATAAAAGGAAAATACTGTTATTTTTTTCCAAAGGACACAAATAAGCTCAACTCTCTCCAACACACTACGTTTGATAGCTAGCCTTGAAATCATTCAGTAACTGAATGTATATGATAAAAAAGTCTGTGGTGATCTCTAACCTCCCCAACCCCCATTACACTCTGAACTGTGGTAAGACAAAATTGACCTATGGCAATACTGGTGATAAGAGCAGAGAAATATCTTCATGCAAGGAATATCTTTATATTTAGTTATAATGTGTAGTTGAGTATAAATAGTAGACAAAAAGCTCGATTTATGCATGTTTATGATACACATATGCTAAGCTCATTTATGTGTTAAGAGTGTAAATGTATTAAAATGAATGCGTGTGTACTTTTTGACAATTGATTTGAAGATAGTTGCCGTCACATCACAGTGTGTTTCAAAGTTTAATAATATTAAGCAAATTGGCAGATTTATCTTATTGACAGTTTTTATTGTATTGAAGCAACAACCTGTTGTCATATAGTTTTCATGCAATTAATAATCTCCTGGAGGAGGACAAAACTTGTAATTTAACAGAAGTAGAAAGAAGTTGAGTGCATTCATGCTATAGTTTCTGATAGCAAGCAATAGCAACCTATTTCCGACCCTTTTCTTCCATTAGTTGCCGGAATTAACTAAAGTAGTATTCATGACATCTGTATCATGATTGGCTGGTCTTTCATTTGCAAACTGACTTAGTATCTTGTTTTCTTCCAGTGAATATCTCCCTGTTCTTATACGATTTATTGGCCTTGCTTCATGACTATCAGAAAGAGGGAAGATCAGGTTAGAATATAATTGAGTAGAGCCTGCCAGCTTACCTTGTACTTTCGCATTAATAGTGGCTTTATTAAATATAAACGAAGAAAGTTCACTGTCAGATGTGGTAATGCTAGATGGAACACTAGCTAAACTGCTTGCATTATCTGTTAAAATAGATGTTGATGAAGAGGAAGATGAGTCTGTGGTGGAAACAGATGAAGATGACGATGAGGGTCTACAAAAATAGTTTGAGTTCAAAAATTTCTGATAATCTGTATCTGGACTATGAGGAGCTTGGTCGGTATCAGATTTCCTAGAAGTCTCTGTGTCCTTAGCTTCTTGAGATGAATTAGCCACTTCTGGTAACAATATTTGATTTCCTGTATCTTCAAGTTCAGTATCTACAACGATATTATCCCACTTGGTATTAAATACAGGGTCCTCAGTCGATTCAATAGTAGTTGTACGATCAGAAAGGTCGTCTTCCGGTTCTGAGTTTTCCATAGGAATGTTATATGAAGTTGATATTGAATCTTGGAAGGACTTGGGGGCGTCTATGCTTCTCAGATCCTTAGCAGTTAGACCACTTGGACTAGCAGGTGTGGGTTTTGTTATCGTTTCTACGGAGTTGTTGGAAGTGCTATAGCAGTCATAATACTCGATCGGTGAATCCACAGTTCTAAAAGAAATTGGTGATTCACCTGACAATTTCAAAGCTTCAATATCTATTGTAGTGTCCGTCACTACGCTTTGCTTGTCATCAGAAACCTCATTCTCATTAGATCTAACGGGTTCTATAGTAATTGGTTCATTAAAACTCTCAGTTATTGGATCAGTTACCTCTTGTAAGATTGGATTATTGGAAATGTTTTCCTCTATCTTATTAGTTATTGAGGGCACGATAGGTTCAACAGGTTCACTATTTAACTCAATATTAGCAATTGAATGGTTCATTAAGTTAACAGTGGTTAACGTGTCCATGGAATCATTAAGATTTGCGTAATCAAATTCGGATATGAATCTTTCTCTCTCTGTGAGCGGCTCATGTAAGGATTGGCAGGTGGCATTTATTCCAATTCTTTGGTTCAGATCGGTGGGGATAGTAGATGTTGAATCGTATAGGACTTCATTGAGTCTCTTCGGCTTTATGTAGCTAGTAGGGTCACTATGGTATAAATGTTTCAATGGCGAAGTGTTATAGTAGTCAGTGTTTTCACTGAACTTTCTGGATATTACTCTTCTCCTGCTCTTTAAAAAGTTTTTAGAGTAATTATTTCTAGAAGGTGAACTTGATTTCTTATTTTGGCTGATTTTTTTAGGGGATTCCTTTCTAGCGAGTTCCTTTTTCTCCTGTTCCTCGGCGGTTACAATTACATCGTTAGCGATGGTGTGCTCTTTACTGGCCTTTAGTACGCAGTTATAGTTTCTGTAGTTGTTATTGTCATAGTAGGTTTCGCCATTTACATCATAGCGGCAACACAGTTCCATGTTTAGATAAGTATCGTTTGATTTGAATTGCAAAATGCGTTTGAATTGCAAGATATATTTCAAAGAGCTTAGATTTATCTTGAATTCAAATTCATCGATCTCCGCGGAAATCGATTTAGTGAAATATGCAGTAATGTAGTGAATGTCGTTCCAATTATTGAAAGTATATTTGACTTCAATAAACTTTTCGTAGTTTAAATTTTTTACTAGGATCTTGCCTACTATTTTATCATCAATGGTGGAGTCCTGGGCTAAGCTTACTAGTTTGATGTTACCATCGCTGTTCTCAAAACTATGTTGACCTGGATTCACGTCAACGAAAGTCAATAACCAATTAACTTCTGAAGCCAGTTCACAGTTTTGAAGGTTATCATCTGCTACATGTGTGATTGAAGTGCGACGTGATGTCTGAGCTTGATTGTTTGTACTACCATTGAGATCATTGAAATAGTGACCTGCACTATTATCTGTTTGGCATACATTGGTACTAAAATTTGGAATTATTTTACATGTACTGCTATTATTTGAATCAAGGAGACCAGCTCTTTGTTGATTCGTATTTGAGCAATCCGGTGGTCCCAGATTCTTGTTACTTGTATTAACATTATAAGCAGCAGGGAAAATCTTACCGAAGAAGTTCTTGAGGTCATCATCGTGTATGCCGTCATCTTCTTCGTCATCTTCTTCGTCATCCAGGAAGAAACTTATAGTTGACTTGGATTTAATCCCAAGGAAGTTCAAGTCCTGGTGTTTAGTGAAATCGTCATAGTCACTTAGATACAACACGTTGTTCAATGATGTAGAGCTTACATTAGAGCTTTCGGATTCTCTTAGTGGTTTCAAAGTGGGCGAGTTTTCATGAGATATAGAAATCGGTTCCGAGTTCGAGTCAAAGCTCTTGACCGTCGTCAGATTAGTAGCAAATCGTACATTTTTCAAAGATGAAGCTGTACTTAGAGATGAGATCGTAGATATGTTTGATAGCGATCTCGTGTGGCCCAATTTTGAGTCATTACGTATAGCATTATCGAAGGAAGAGTATGATTTCAGCGAGGGTTTCAATTTGGCATTCTTTTGGACTTCTGTATTTTGATTCAATGAGATGTATACACTCATCTCAGGTCGAAGAAGTGTACTTTATTTTTCTATTAATAATCAAAGAAAATGATTAGCAAAAAAAACAATAATAAATTCAATATCAAAATTATCTTTTTTTATTTGTTTTTTACTTTGTCAATAAGCGAGTATAACTCCTGGAATTCAGTTATTTCTATTTAATATAGTTTTTGATCTTATCTGCGTAACAAAGTAATACCTTCTTGATACGATATCCGTCTAATTTTACAGAGTAGTTTATATAATTTTTTTTTTCTGTTTCTGACTCAAGGGTATGTATGGTTGAGAGCCACAAGAATATTTATAAGATCTTATTTTTTGGTTTGGTTTTAATACTTTTGTATGTTTTAGTTTGAAGAGTCTTTGAGAATTTTTTTTCTTGCCCTGGCTCATCCACGGTCTCTTGGGACTATATAAGGGTCACACAGAAACATTCGTGTCAAGCCCAAAAGAAACCCATCCTTTCCCAAGAAAGTTTATCAGCAGAGCAATTACGTCTTTGGCTTTCCTTCTCGTCTTGACACTTCCCTTTGTGTCCGTTGTGCAGGTGTATCTCTGGGCAGATGAGTATGTCTTTCCCTTTAGTCTGATTCCTCTTGCACTGTGAATACTACGACTTTGCTCTACAGTCTCTGCGTACGCCGTGTCCTTTGTGTGTTGGGTTTTGAAGTTTGTGGGGGGGGAGGAAGGGCGGGAGTTATATTGTGCTGGGTTTGCGCTTGTGCATGATTTCACACTGAGGTACTCCTTTTGTCACAATTTCCTTTCCCAATCTGTTGATCACAGAGACTCACACGCAGAGAGTACTCTGTTTGTGGGAAGGAAAAAGAAAAAGAAAATACCGTACCTGTACTTCATTAATGTTGTTCGTCCTTCTCTATTCCTTGTATTCGTATTCGCTCTATGCCCAATTGACTCTTCAAAGCACTCAGGGTGCGCTGTAGTGGAGCCTCTGCCTTGGTATACACAAGTTTCAGAAGTACAACTCAAAAATGGGTACCTGCAGTCACAATTGCAAGTACAAAAGATGTACGCACACCTTTTTCCCTATTTCATTTGTATTGCGTTCCCTGTACGCTAATTTTGAGTTCTACAACTGCGCGAATGATACCCGAGGGAAGGGATGGAGAGTTGTTGTGGGTAGTCATCCTCTCTCTTTCACCCCCTTCTTCCTCCCCCCCCGCTCCCCAAGGTGTCCGGGATTTGTCTGTCTAACTGATATTCCAGTTGTTTGCTTTTTATTCCAACAATATCCGTCTATCTCAACGAAATTCTTCTGTCCCCTTTTGGCAAACATTCTTTTCTTTTAATCATTTTCTTCCCCCCCCTTTCAAAAAAATCTCGCACTACGGATGTTTACTGTAACAATGCCTTCTTGAAATTTTCTTTGTGGTTGTTTCTTGTGTGCACTTCTATTGAGATCAATGGAAGAACCCGAACATCTCTCGATTTTCCTGCGGGATATTTCAAGAGAGTGGTCTTCTATTTCGGGTACCGCGTTTGTGGAATTGCTAGCGATCGAACAACGGGAACGGATTGGGGGGGGTGGAAAACCTTCCCTACAAAACAAGGAAGAGACTACGGGAATTCTAAAAAAAGACAAGACTAAGCCCTTTACTAATTCCCAGCCATCTGAATCTTCAAAACAGCCTTCTGAAGGAATTGCAGAAATCTCAAACTCATCGTGAGGAAAAGGATACTGAGACGCTACGGGGAGGACGATGAAGTAAGGGGCAGAAAAGAAAGGTATTATCACTGGAAAGGGTTTGTACATCCCATCTAAAAGCTTTGCGCAGACGCCCTTGCACAACTTTTTTGGAATTTCCTATATTAAGCGATTGAATCATCCCTCGTTCCTCAACAATACGTGAACAATGTACCACATCGGTGCTGGTACGATCCTTTCTGTGGCATGGAGAAAACAAAATTTAATCTTTTGGAGTGGAGAAAATCTTTCGATCCCACAGAGATGACTGAGCCAGGGCTTACAAGATACACGAACGTAAATGGTTGTATGGGGGTATGGAGTCTAGAGAAGCAGATGAGAAAAAAAAGAGCATAGAAAATGTATTACCTGATTCGGTAATATTTCTTATCTTGTTGTTGATTCAAATTGTGTGGATTGTGGGGGGCCCGGGAAAAGACAGGATGTGATTCAAACAAACGCACTTCACTGCTAATGCCTTTGTGTGGAAGTCTGACATGGCCGCCCACAGATGTTCCCGTATTACTTGTAGTAGAGATCACAAAAATTTTTGGGTTGATAAGAAGGCCCACAAAGATAAGGGCAGAGGAGTAAGATATATATTTATAAGAAAAAAATATACTAAAATACCGCGTAGGCGTAGAAAGCATTGACGGCTAGGTTTATACTAGGAGAAGGAATCAGATCTATAATAAACAACAGCGAAACTGTAAATGATAACATATAGAAGGATATACCAAAAATGCATCTATACCTTTGTATATTAGATAAGATATTCATTACTCATTCAATTATTGATATATTGAATCACTTTCGCCTTGTTTTGTTACCTAGAGAAGGGTATTAGCGCGATTTTTTTTTCCATCAAGAAAGACAGTATTTGCTGTAGAATGCCGTTTAGCCTGCCTTTGCTGCTATCTGGAACTGAATTGAAAACAAATACTAGAAGTACTAGCATTACTTTATTACTGTTATGTTCTGTAGTTTTTATGTGCTGTATATATCTCAAACTTTCTACAAGAGAAACATCTGGTACTCGATTGAGTGCTGTTTCAACTCAATATTTCAAGTATTCCCATACACAGATGTGACCTGAACCATTATTTTTTTGCTGGTTACTATCCCACTCTCTTGGAACCGTATTGTTTGGAATTGAAATGATGGGTTTGAAATAGGGCAATATATCCCCAATTCCCAATTACATTATATCAAAAGGGCAAAAAAAATAATCAATTGAAGAGTGTACTACATCGAATGTGTCATAGTGCGGTTATACAGTGAACATTCCCGAAATGACAACTCTTTGTCCTCTCATTTTTGTTTCTTAGCTCCCGACTGCCCACCTTCGTGATAATTGATTGCTTCTTTTTCTTTTTTCAGCCTTTGTTCCGGTTTTTATCCTCTTGACTGCCTTACATAACACTGTCTGTATGCGGTGCATCCCATTGAAGTCGATTCTCTGTCAAGAATGCACCCACTAAAAGAGAAACTCTGTCTCTTAGCAGCATATTGATAACATTGTAAGACTTTGCTGTTCTTAGCTGGAACAGTAAGGTAAATAATATGTTAATACTAATTGAATAAATCAAGTATACAACGCAAAATAATATTTTCAAAAAGCTTCATGAGTGGGTATGGATAAATATTTTTCCATATTATCTCAGTTGCTTTTTATCCACTACGGTAGTAACATTTTTCAGTTCAGTTAATTTCTCTATTTTTATTATATTTAGTTCTTTCGGTTCGTGCCGAAACTATGTCACTCGGCTAATTTATTGTATTTGCAAATGTTTGCCTTGTTGATATCAATGTGAAAGTACTTTTGTTTTCTTAATGTTACAATATAAGGAGACTCCCTTTCTGCTAGTATATACGCTTCCATTGAACCATCATTTTCAACTCTTTATAATATCTCATGCTGACCTAATGCAGAATAAAAATAGGTAGTTGTATTAAAGGTGTGTTCCAGGTAATTAAAATTTTACAGAATCCTAGATGTGATGTCTTGAAACACTAATCAACACACCTTTGTGTATGCTGATATGCTATACTTGAAAAATATAATAATGTGAATGTACAAGGAAATGATGATACTGTGTTGCGAATTATATGGTATACTTATGCTTTTTTTATTGTTTGTTTTTAGTCCCAGGAGCTTACTCTTTGGTGCTGTATGATCTTCTGAACTTGTCATCGATCTCAGTTAGATAGTAAGTGCCGGCTCTCAAGTGGTCAATAGAGCCAGTTGGCTTGAAACTCTTTTGCAAGTGTGCCTTCTCTCTTAGCTCAATTGCGGCTTCGTATTGTTGAGGGGTGAGGCACTCTCTGCTTTGTAGCTTGTTGTCGATGTCCAGCTTGCTGACTATGTCGCTGATGTCACCGCGGACAACAAGAGAGAACAGAGAAGCGGCTAGACCACTACCGTAAGAGAACATACCGATACGCTTGCCCTGTAGTTGCTCTTGGTCAACATATGATAATAGAGAGGCCAAAGAGGCGTAGACAGAACCAGTGTACATGTTACCAGTGTTGGTTGGCACGTTCAAAGAAGGAGCAACTCTGGTGGCATGGTGTGGCTTGGCAACGTTGACGAATAACTTCTCAACAGATTTGTCGACTAGAGACTTTTCGTAATCTAGAGTAGCCAAAGATTGGTCAACGTCTGGATATAGAGATGGGTTACCACGGAAGTCGTTATACAAAAGTCTACCGTAGGATTTTGTGACCAACTTACAAGTAGGGACATGGAAAACGTTATAATCGAAGTGCTTCAACACATTGCATGCTTCATCACTGATTGGTTCCTGAACCAATCCGCGGGCAATGGCTTTCTTTGAGTAAGCTTTGTACACTTGGTCAAGAGCCTTAACGTAACAGGTTAAGGAGAAGTGACCATCGACAACAGGGTATTCACTAGTGAAGTCTGGCTTGTAGAAATCGTAAGCATGCTCCATGTATGTACCTCTCACAGAATCGAAAACCAATGGTGCATCTGGACCAATCCACAGGGCAACGGTGCCGGCACCTCCTGTGGGTCTAGCGGCACCTTTGTCATAAATAGCAATATCACCGCAAACAACAATAGCGTCACGACCATCCCAACTGCTAGATTCAATCCAATTGATAGAGTTGAAAACGGCATTGGTACCACCGTAACAGGCGTTGACAGTATCGATACCTTCCATATCACCGTTACCTGGGAACAATTGAGTCAAGACGGTCTTAACAGACTTGGACTTATCCACTAGAGTCTCGGTACCAACTTCCAAACGACCGATCTTGTCGGTGTCGATGTTGTAGTTCTTGATCAAGTTTGAGCAAGCAGTCAAACACATGGAATAGATGTCTTCACGGTCATTAACGAAAGACATGTTAGTTTGACCTAGACCAATTGTGTACTTACCTTGAGAAACACCGTCGTACTTCTCAAGTTCAGCCTCACTGACATATTGGGATGGGATGTAAACCTCGATACCTTTAATACCAACATTAGTTGGTCTGGCAGCTTGGAAATCGGTTCTCTGCTTCTTAATCTCAGTCATTAGATGTTGTTGTTGTTTTTTAGCTAGTGCTGATTCAGGATCTGTGGTTTCAAGTTATTTAATTGAATGTATGTTGTTTTACGTTTCCCACTTTGCCTCTTAACAGCAACTTTGATCCAATTTATATATGAAAAAAATTTTCTACAATGTAAGCCAGAATGGAGAGAGAAGAAAAAAGACCTCCAATTCAAATAAGTTACATATCTAATACAAATTGCAAGCTATTCAAGAATAAACGAACTTTCAGTGCGCTGCTTCTCATCATTTTTCCCTTCAAGTTCTTTTTCCTTTCAAATTTTTTTTCAACAATGTTCACAAACAGCCTTTGTGATATTAGAGAAGGACCCTAAACGAGCCATCTCAAACTACAAACTTAACCACGATGCTCCCATCGGAGATACAATACTCTTAAAGAGTTTACTTTTTTTTATTTCACCATCTTTCCTCCTTTTGCTTTTGCTTCTACCTCCTCTTGTCTTTATTACCAGCGATGAGCTTAGCACCGCTATATGAATTAGAATGCAATATACACTATCTAAGTTTCCAATTCAAAACACCCGAAGTAACTTCCTCCCATTCACTCATCGAGAAAAGAAATCGAGCAGCTTGGTACCACCATCACTATGCTCTTCCCTCTACTTTCGCCTTAACAGCAACACAGTGCACCCCGTACACACTCCATATATACCCAGTTGTGAAAGATCCCCCTCCCACCTTACGATCCTCGCAGCACTTTTGAATCCCGCACCGATCGAATGCCTCTGGAAACACCGATGAGACCGATGAGACCGAGAGTATAAAGGTACTAGGGTACTAAAGTACGAGAGCACGAGAGTATAAAGGTACTAAAGTACGAGAACATGAGAGCAACTCGCCTTTGTCTGCATTACAAGCAAGAAGCCACTTGGCCTTTTGGGTCTTGTGAGTGGTAGTGTCGTAGCTAGTAATATAAATCATGTGCCGTGTTTACGCAGTGGCAATTCGTGTGTTGTTATTAATGGCATTCCCACCCTTTTCTCTTTTTGCATTTTCTTAATGTTTCGTGTCCGGGTTCGATTCTCGGTGGAAGCAGTTTTCGTGTGCTATCATTTATAGGCTTTTTCTTGCCCTCTTAACTGCCATCCCATTGTCTTAGGGTGTTGCCATCGCATGTGTGGGTTTGACAAAATAATATTGTTCTATATTGAAGTTGTCTTGAATGGTTCATGGTTAAAGAAAACCATTCTTTATACAGGTTTTATTTTAAAAAAAACAGCTTGGCATTATTGAGGCATAAAGCTGATCACCGCAGAGATGCTGTTGGAAGAGTTGCCCTCAGAAGTTCTGATCAATGTGTTCAGTTACCTGGATGAGAAGGACTTGTACACTTTGCAAGGTCTCTCAAGAAGGTTTGCCTCTTTGATCGGAGACGAAGAGCTGTGGAAGAACTTGTTTATTACACGGCTGCATACAAGTTACTTCCCGTCCTTCTCGAAGTCCCAACGATATAGCCACGAGTATGTGGCAAGAGTGTCGGGTGTCAAGCAGTGGCAGCATAATCGACTCATCAAGACCAGGTATAACTTGTCACCAACACCATTGCATGTTACACATTTACGTAACCACCCAAACCAGGTTGCCATAGAGGAGCTCATTTTCCAGTACCCGAAGCTGGCCTGCTACCACGACGGCATCATCACATTGGTGCAGTTGCAGTCCAAGAGATCGAAAATCAAAAACAGAATGGTGTATATCCCTTGCACAACTCCACAAGGTTGCTCCACCATGCACTTCAACATTAACTCCGCCGTGTTCGGCAGATTCGATGGGAGGGTGTTTGGGAAGTTGCTCACGAACAAGTCCTACTTACAACCAGTGACGGAGTTCGACTCTTCCCACTCAGCATGCGTCACTGCCATTGCCACTACAAACTCCACCATGATAGATTCAACCACCAAGGACTGGTCTGTAAGTGGTTCCGAAAATGGGGAAATTATATGGTGGTTGGAAACGAAAAAGTATAAGAGCTTGAAATTCGCAAACAGCCCCATCTTGAGACTCTCTCTGGTGAATAAAAATATTACTATAGCTTTGGATGAGAAGTCTATATATGTCATAGAAGATATGGAAAGGGTACACACCTTGGACATTCCTCATGACCCTGTAACAAACAAGCGGATCTCGATTCACTTCTTCAAGATCGATTACGGCGCACAAACATTATGTCTTGCGGACACCCAGTCTATTTATATGATTTCATTCAATTTGACCAAAGATTTTGGTCAAGTGAAAGTTCTGAAGTTGAAAGATCCCTCAGAAACGATAACCGATGTTATCATGGATGAAGAAACCGCAAAAAGAGAACAAGATCCTCAACTAGCCGGAGGTGACGGATGTTTTGTTGCACTCTGTACATCCAATATGAGAATCCTGGTACTCAATACAAGAAAATCTTCTTTTGTAACTGTGAATGCAGAACAATTGTACCAAGAGGTAAAGCCCCTCAGGGAATTCCAATTTAATGATCACATCTATGCCACCCAAATAACAAACTTAGTCTTGGTATTGGCGTTGGCGGGAACTATTGAGATATACGATGTGCTGTCAGGTGAATTGATCAAGACGGTTCAAAAAACGGAAAAGATTCCTCAATTTTTGCGAGTCTCTCAAGGAAGGATGATTGTTAGTAGTGGAAACACCATACATTACTTGCAGTACATTCCTGATGAAGATGATCAATCTGAATCCCATAAAAAATCACATGGATCAAGTAGACTTCGTAGTAATAAGTGGAATGAAACACTACATTCAGAAATGGAAATGTATAATGAAAAACTTAAACAAGAGGAAGAAAGAGAGTTGGAGAATGCTCGATTGATGGAAGCCTACGGTGGTGATATGGACGGTGATGACGAAGAGTTACAACTGAAAATTGCATTATTGGAATCTCAGAATTTGAATAGTCAATCAGCGGAAGGAACTGATGATAACGCCAGAGCGGATCCTACAACCGAAGAGGAAGATGAGGCCTTGAGAGCTGCTATAGAAGAATCTCTTCGTATGCAACGCTTGCAAGAGGAAGTAAGAACTGCTGTATCAATGGAGGATGATGAAGAATTCCTACGAGCCGTTGAACAATCTTCTAGGGACGATGAAGAGAGAAGGACAAGGAGAGGACAGAGAAGAACTTTGACGGATCTCGGTCATAATGAACCTACGACTGAAGAAACCTCAAATGTTCAACATGGAGATATTAATGATGAAGAATTACAATTAGCTATTGCACTTTCTCTAAGTGAAATAAATGAAAGTCAGTAAAATTATCTTATCTATATATCAATAATGATATCTAATCTATAGCATTTCTCATTTAGAGATAGTTTAATGAATTGCATTTTTTTGATTTTTTGTATTTTTTTGTTTATTATTATGCTATGGTTTTCACTATTTCGTAAGTTCAGAATAATGACCAAAAACATAAAATCATATCACGAATAATAAACTGAGAGTTATTAGTATATTGAGACATAATTGAAAAATAAAGACAGTAAATTTGTAACTATAGGACAGGAATAGAGACAAGTATATACCAAGTCATCTAGATCTAGAGAAAAATTCGAAATACATATATCGAACATTTACTCTAAACGAAACCATAACATTAATATATCTTAGCTATAAGGAATGTATTCAAAAATTTATTCGTTTTCATCAATGATACCGTTGATCAAGGCCCACTGTTTGTTTGCCAAGAAAATGTTGTCTGGGTCTTGTTCTCTTCTAACCTTCTTAAAGGTTTCCAAGTCTGAACCATACCATTCCTTGACTCTTGTAGCCATACCTCTCATCTCATAGTCTTGGTATTGACCTTCAGCCTTAACTTGACCTTGAGCAAAAGAGGTAGAGCCCAAGAAGTTCTTAGCCCAATGTGGTTTACCGCCAGCAGCAGACATTGTATCTTCAAACAAGGTGAACCACTTGTGAATTGGGGCATTGGTGTGGAATGGTCTGTAAATTGTCGCGTTAATGTATAGCGTCAACTGACTATTAGTAACACTGTGGATAGGAGCATAAGAGCATTGAGATGGGGTGTTATCCAAGTAAGGACGTAATAGGTTACCGTAAACTGGACCTCTACTAGTGTTAGAACGGAAAGAAGTTTCAGGTTGTTCCTTTGGCAAAGTTGTGTTTGCACAACGAACCTCAACTGGGACATGTACATAGAAATCCTTGTTAGCAGCGGCTTGAGCAATTGAGTGGTCAAGAGAACGCAAGACTTCTAAACCATTGTCCATTGGACAACCCCATTCATCAACGAACTGAGAAAACAAACAGTCCATGTTGAACCCAGTAACAGAATCCTCAATTGCCACATCACCTTTACCTAGGGTTTCAACTTCACCATATTGTCTTCTGAAGACAAATCTTTCAACATATGGAGTCAAAGGTGGGTAAATCTTGGTAGATATGAACAACAAAGTCTGGTAGAAAAATCTACCTAGAGTAGAACCCCACCACGAATATCTTGACTTAGTCTGTGGTTCATTAGTCTTTACACCTCTCCAAAGGATACACTTACGTGTATATGGGTACCACCAAATTCTGATAAACTCTGAAGAAGTCCAGAGAGAGTCCCATTTTTCCAAAAGAGTTTCAAATTTGATAACTTCTTGGGTTGATTTAATGTTGAAAGCTGGAACAACACGAACAGTTGCACCCACAATAATACCAATCTTACCAAGCGACAAAGTAGCAGCCCTGAAAACTTCAGGGTTAGACTTTTCGTCTAAAAATAATACTTCACCTTTACCATTGACAACAGTCAAGTTGACAATAGTAGAAGATACCAGACCATGGAATGGAGACGAACCATGAGTACCAGTAGAGATAATACCACCAATACTTTGTTCAGAAATGGACCCCAAACTTTGCATGGCGTATCCCTTTTCCCTTAATATTTTGTGGATCTTATACAACCTAGTACCACCTTGAATAGTAACGTCTGCGTATGTCTTATCCTCGTTTTCCACAAAATCTAGTAACTTGTTCATCTTGTCCAAGTTCATCATCCATTCGTCGGTAACACACATGTTACTAGGGGAGTGGCCTGAGCCAACTGTAACAATAGTCTTGTTCTTTAGTTTAGCAGCTTTGACAATTTCGACAACTTCGTCGACTGAGGAAGGCTGAAAGTACCATTCTGGTCTTGAGGAATAGATACCAGCCCAATTGCGAAACACAAAGTTCCGCCGACCACCAAATGTTTTCAAATCCATGTTATTGTCCTTTTTTTTGGTTTAGAGAAACTCTTTACTTAAAAAAAATACCAGTACTCCAATTGCTAGATCTTGCAAAGAGATTATCTTTGGGATAATAACAAAAGCAAACAAATATGATTTATATAAGTTTGAACAATAAAAACAAGGAGTTAATATGCCCCCCCGTATCCTTGCTTTATATGACAATTTGACTCAATTTCGGGTTAACCCTTCTCCCTTTGCTGCCAAATTTTCAGAAATTTTTCAGTTCTTCGTGATGCGATGAGGTTGAACATAGTCCATATATTAAAGAAATCCACGAAATTATATAATCAATTGGCTAAGTGGCAGAGTATTATTAAATCTTATATTTTCCTGTAATTTAGAATGTCTCGAAGGGAGGCTATTTTTGTAAGGACTATATATGAATGAAACGCTGACTGGTCGTTGCAGCTACACGATAGCTGGATGGGTTTCGCGGTCACGTTTCGGTCACAAGGAAGTTCTAGCCCAAGTACCGCACCAATTGCTGTGGGAAGTGTATCGCTATGTGGTGAACATGGGCAATGATACCTTGGAGCTGTATTTATTGTTCTTACAATTGGAGGCTCGAGATATGCCACAGCACTTCTCACAAAAGCTCTCGATCCGCGATGTCAGCGTAGTTGAATTGAGTCATCTACTTGGCGGATCCGCAACGAAGCTACCACTTGATCTACAAGTGCATGCATGTAGAGACGTCGATGATATGCGTCAATTAGTTGATCTACAGTGTCTTCATGGGTTATCCGTGATGTGCCCCGTAGGTGACCTTATACTTTCATACTGGATCACGCGGCTGAAGAACTTGAAGGGCAAATGGACTCAATTGAAATGGCTCGTTGTGCCGACCAGTGTCAGTGCCATGCACGTCTACAAGCTACTGGAAGCGATCCCTAGCTTGGAGACTATAGCGTGTGGGTTAGATGCCGACCACGTAAGACAGGTGCCTCAATTACGTAAACGGCTGCATCTGACTGATCCGCTCATCAAGACAGAGTCACAGATCCAAATTGCACTATTAACAGAAAGATTTACTACTTCTAGACCAAGCTACAAGGCTACTGTTAACCCAGTTACTATTTCCGATACACATTCTGTGTACCAGGTTACTCCAATCGATACGGTGAGCACCAGCAACATGCGTAAGAGACCTAGATTAAACACCAAGAGGATATCCGCGAGCCAATATTTTGGGATATAGTTTCTTTTTGAACTGATGAGAACAGGAGAAGGGACCACCTGTCGGAAAGAGTGAATAGACATACATTTGCCGGAAAGAGTACTAAGAGAAAGACCTGTGGAAAGAGTTAGGAAGAGAAAGTGGATGAAACTTAGAGATACAGAAAGCCACAGAATGAAATCAGGAACAAGATATGCAAGTGATCAAAGGAAGTTCTACCGATAAGATCCGATTCCAGTCTTCTTTTGCTTGTATTTTTTTTTTTAACTCTGTTTGATAGGACAAACAAAAACGCATAGAAACCGGAAACTAATGCAAGTGATGTTCCTTCTTTCCCCTGAGGACATTCGATTTAGTTGTTGATCACTTCAGAAATGTCTCTCCAGATGTGTCATAGTATGGCTAACCATGTTTTTGATAGTAAACGTTGAAATGTCATAATAAACCTTTGAAAGACGAAAAATTCGTCGAAAATTTTTCCCTTTGCGATGAGTGTGGACTTTTGTCTCCACGATGAGTACAGAAAGTTGGTGAAATTTGATGAAGGGCTATTGATAATTAAACGAATTGCGTTTGGGAATGTGCCTTTAAAAATAGAACTGTAAATTGAGTAAATTGTTGTCTTGACAAAGTGAATATTTAAAGTTGAGTGTTTCTAATATCCCGAGATTTCCTGGCTGCCGAGAGGATGAAGAAGTGGACTGGCAGTGCTAGCATGAAGTTAGAGTACTCGAGGCCATTGCCTACTTGGGAGGATGTGCTTAGGTATGAAAAGACGTCTGCAAGTGCAGTGTTCGATAATGACGAGGATTTGAACGGGTATCCTAGGTGGTGTCTGCATAGTTCAGTGAAAAGGCTTTGTGATGTACTAGGGAACAAGTATTCGAAGGAGAACGAGAAGTGTTTGTGCTTTCCATCGTATGGCGTAGCGAAAAGATGTAGAGAATATATCAAGAAGAAAGAAGGCCTTAACACCAAAGTGCGTATTTTGCAATTGGCAACTTCGAAGCCTTTAAATAGCGAAGAAATGAAGAGCAAATGCGAATTTAAGATAGCAGTTGTTTTTGTAACCAAGAATCTTTTCCACCATGTGCGACAATACTGGAAACTTACTGGTGAAATTGTATCGCCCAGGCTCGCAGATTATATCCTGAATGAGCTTTTCATAGCTGAGAGGTCATCTTTTGCCACCATATCCAACGGTAAGAACAAAGATCAACAAATGCAAAATAAGAAGTCGCAGATTAATTTCACTCTTGCAAACAGAGCTCTTGCATGTGTGCGCAAGAGGTTAGTAACAAATGTTATAGATGCGAATGATGAGCTGGGAGAAGACAACTACCATTTCCAAAATGATGATGATGATGACATGGAGCCAACATTTTTGGACACGGTACGATCTAATGACAATGTAAATGTGAATAACCATACCAGAATAGATGATCAATTACTGAGGAATGGGTTTGAATTTTCTGATAGCGAAGATGAAGACACAATAAACCATAATAATCCATTTGGTGATTCTACAGATAGTGAAGAAGACGATGCATTCGTATCCTTGGTCCCACCGGAGCCTATCGCAATCGATATATCTGATACACCAATCGATTCTCCTTTGCCTGACAGTTCCAACAATGCTTCAGCTACATTTATAGACCCATCAGCAGCGACTATAGCCAATGATAATATTCCTAACGACATTGATCCTGAAGATGAAGTCTTTATATTCCCTTCAGGTATCGCTTCTATATTTACAGCTCAAAGAGTATTACAAGAATACGACTTACTCAGAGTGAACAGAATAAGATACCAGACTGAGAGCAGTAATGGTACAGGCACTCAGAAGAGAATAGTTTTACTAGGTGATATCTGTCCTGATATAGTAAAGATGTTCCAAGAGTTTAACGATGTAATTATAATAAACAACCAAAAGGGTGCTTTTTCAACTTTAAATGACTTGGAAGTTTTACTAAATTCTGGTGAACAGATTCTTGGTGTTTTCTTAGCCATTCCAACAAACCCTTGTCTGGAGCTTACCAATTTACAAAGGCTGAAGGAGTTGTCTGACCTTTTCGTGTTTCCTATCATATTTGACATTTCGATGGGATCTGGAGTTCTAAACTACAACATCTTGAAATATGGTGATATAATTTGCATGTCATTACTTACCAGGTTTACAAATATAGAAGTAATGGCTGGCGCCATGATAGTCAGTAAGAAGCGGTCGCCAAAGTTCCATGAATTTTTCCTTTCACGCATGAATGAAGAGCTATTGGAATCACAACTACAGAATACTTCACAGCAGACATACTCACAGAACCAGTTCATCTCACCAGGTGCAACTTTCTGGGTCGAGGACGCTGTCCTATTAGATAGAGGCTCCTGTAAGTGGCATGACCGTAACATCAAGATAAACTATACTGCGGAGTATCTAGTAAAGAGAGTTCTGAGACAACACGAAGGCAAGGTTTTTAAGCGCGTGCTTTATCTCAACGATGAGGCTTGGCAAGAGAACAACTACTACAACATGGTCAAATATTCTCGTGAGGACTGTGGATACGGTGGTATAATTGCCATTGAGTTTGAGAAAGAGAATCAATTGGCAAAATTCTACGACAGCATTGAGCACATATATAAAGGAACTCCAGTACTAGGTGGTAATGATATCACCACCGTAGCTGCTTTCCGTGAGCATAACGGCAGACATCTGCTGAGGGTCTGTGTTGGGTTAGAGAACATCAAGATCTTAACCAAAGTGTTCCAGTCTGCATTAAGCAAAATATAGAAGTAGCGAAACGAACTATTGATTAGTGTTTAGCCTGTATATCAACATTTTTCAAAAAAGAATCACTAGAAGAGAATATAGAATGCTATCTCTTTTTGCATCTCTTTGTTATTGAATTATATATATGTGATTGAAGAAATAAGATATATATGAGTAGAATAGAATATTTAATAATCGAAGTTGAATGAATAGTTTATTGTTTTTTTTTTTTACCCCTCTGCCGTTGGGCAATGTATAAGAAGTTGAAAAAGTGCAAAGAATAGAAGCCAAAGTTATTATCCACAAGAAGTTTATTTTTGAAAGAGGGGAGGGGGTAGATTCTTGCCTTCTTTACAAGTACTTCAATTTGATTGTTAGAACGTAGTTCTATATTCTGTGCATTACCTTCCGTGCCTTGCAATCCTAATTGAAATTGAAGGAAGTTTACAAAGGCTTCTCACCTCTGTGGAAACGTGGGTTTCTTGGATCATTGATAAATTCTTCACTGTTGGACATGGCAGTGGCGGCTTTGCTGACACCATAGTACACAACTGCACCAGCGGCGAAGAATGGCCAGTAAGTCTTCAGGACTGGAAATTGAAATCTCTTAATCATTGCTATCGGTAATGCTTTTCGAGCTATTTCTTGTTTGTCTTTTTCTAGTTAGATATTTACTATGAAAAGCCCTATAGTACCACCTTACTATCAAGGAATATGTTATATCGTTGAACTTATAATCAGTATAAATTACAATGAAGAGATGGTCTCTATTCCACAACTTGTGAGAATTAAAGGTGTAACGAGAAGCACTTGGGCACACAGAGTGTGTGCGGAAATAGAGAGATGGGGAGAGCTTTCCACAATGAGAGCACTTGGGAGGGGGGGAGATGAATATTCCTCTACGGCTTTTCCTCTCAACCCAGATGGACTTCTCGCCGTCGACATGCGATTTGTTGCTCGAATAACACTGGGGGTGCTAGTCACATGCCAATTTACACGTCAATAGCGACTAGAGCTCTACTAGGATGGAAGTTCGATACTATTGGTTCGTTCAGTTGAATATAAACACACGTGTATTACGTACAGACGAGCATTTATTCATACACATCATGTGACCAGCTATACATAGCTGAATACGATACACAGGATATTGGATCGATCATGTTGATATCATCACCTACGGAACTAGCTGGACACATATAACATGTGACTTAAAGTTAGCTTCCTATTTTAATGCGCTCATTTGAGAACAAGATGCCACTCCAAGACTGCCTTCTGTCACATGTATATTCGCACAGAGCAACGTCATTTCTTGCATAGTGCGTGTATACATGTATATAACTAACCTAAGACTTAGTCTTGCGTTTGCTGGCTTGGTAGTGATAAACCTGGTGGTACTTAATAGTATACGCTACTGTTTTCCCTCAATATTTGTATTTACCAAACTTTCTTTATCTGTATGGGTGGCTCCTTGTTTAGTAGGCTTGGCTATCGTTATTGTATTGTAGAACCAGATAAGATGACTATACATGTGAAAGCATAATTAGACAATGACATGAAAACTTTTTGTAGAGAAAGAGAGAGAGGGAGAGTAAGACAGTGACAGAGAAGCCAAAACAAACTAGGAAATTAACAGTTGAGCAAAAATATCGATTATTGCTGGGGGTTGTCTTGGTTGTGAGGAACTTCGTTAAGATATCACAAAATATATTTGCTGAATAATGACGTTTTTCCCATCGTTTGCCAAAAATTTTTTTTTTCGTCTTTCTCTTCAATAAATCACTTGGGAATTCTGTCGATCTTTACCTTGTTGACACTTTTCGCACACACACAGACACACAGACACACAGACACACAGACACACAAACTCTGAGACTAAGCTTTTCATTTGGTTGCATTGTTAACTTGCAAAGACTTGCTAAGCTCTACAGAAAAGACTGCCACTTATCCACCTTTCTACTCTAAATACTAATAGCTCTACAAACTTTCATATATCTCTCAAAAGATAGAACAAGCCCTACTATATAGGCTGGAATATCAACAACGACCAAAAAAAATACAATCACAGAATTAAATATTTCTCTCTTTATGGTATCCAGGAATCCATTATAGAGAAACGAATAAGGACAAATAAAATAAACTACACACTGAACCGTGATGATGTCTGTGGGTTCGGTACCTGTGGATAATGGTGCCAATTTTGCTCCCATACCTAAGAAATCCAGAACTATAAAGACTGACAAACCAAGACCACACCTTTGCCCTATATGTACTCGTGGATTTGTGCGGCTAGAACACTTGAAGCGACACCAGAGGGCACACACCAACGAGAAGCCGTTCTTATGTGTTTTCTGTGGTAGATGTTTCGCTAGAAGAGATCTAGTGTTGCGACACCAATATAAACTGCATCCAACACTGGTATCAAAGAATAACGAAGGGTCTCTGGACAATAGCCGCAATAATTCTGTTTCACCAGGAAGCGACAATAGTTCCGATGCCTTGAAAGCAGAAGCAGCCATCAACGATAACATTATAAAAGTCAGCGGGAACAGGGCCACCATCTTACCCACGCCAAGTAACCCCCTCGCAAAGACTACAGCTGAGCTACGGAAAGCAGCCAAAGTTGCCGAAAGTACTGGCTCCTCAAAAGAATCTACACCTTCAACAAAATATGCCAAGAAAGTTAATAAGAAGAGAAAGACAAAGAATAAGGAAGCTGGTAGCAACGGAAATAGCTCATCCACTTCACCACTTGTTTCACCATCTATATTCCCACAACCATTGAATCTAAACCAAAAGAAAGACAACAATTTGAGTGTACCCGCATCTAGGAATAAGAGACATGCTTCTTTTTCCGCCTCTAGTGCTTTCACTTACTTCCCAGATAATGTCTCACTAAATGGCAATGACCAGGAACACCAGAGAGAAAACATCGAAGATCTGGGCGAAGGCATTCCGCATCTCGTTGGTTTCTCAACCCCACAACTTAGTGCACAGGAATTAATAAGAAAAGTAATGCAAACTGGTACTATGGACTTTGAACCTTTAGACTTACCCCCATCCTTATTTGGTGACGAGAATGGTCAGCAAATGCTTGGTATGCAAAATGGGGATTCTGACTTTGGTGTGAGTCTGTTTAATAGCAATGGTGTTACTAAATCCAACAATGAACGTGTAGGTTTCATTAATGGTAAGAAGAAAGCCAACACAGTCGATAACACTTCCACAACTAACTATATTGGCGATCTTCCAAGCTCCAGCATGAATAACTCTAACATGAAACATGCTAACAGCTCTGCATCACTAGCTGCTGCCTTGAGCTCAATGTTTGCAATTCCAAATCAATCCTCAACAAATTTGGCAAACAGCGGTCCCTCCCACCAAATATTGACCGATTTGGTAACCATGGGTTCATCATTTGGTGGTTCCAATGGGTTTAACAAGAATCTACACAATAATACCTCGGAACTTGACCTTTTCAATTATAAAAATTGGAAGAATAACTCATATCACGATATATTTGAGGCCCCATCTGCTTCAAAGCAAAAGAAACGGGCCACATTTACAACCAACGATGTAACAGAAATAGATGACCAAATTGACGGACAAAATTTCAAATCCCCACAGAGTATACCTGATTCAAACCAAAGAGGAAATACGAATACAACTTCACCTGATGAAGACTGGACTACGAAATTTATTAAAGACTCCGACCTTGAGAAATATTTTGATATGGATGCTGACCACTTCAATGATATTGGTTTCTTCCATTCTAACATAAATGATGCAAACCAAAACTCAATAAAGAGCAATCTACCTAGTGGTATAGCTAGCAGCCAAAATAGCTCCAACGAGACCTCTGCTATCAATTCTTCCTCCAATCTACCAAGGTTAGGAAACAGTGTAGCATCACCGATCAACTCATTATCCAATAAATCTGCAGTTAATACACCTCCTGTAAATATTGAACAACCAAGTGTCAACAAAGCCAAAAATGTTGAATTCAAGGAATTTAGAGAATTGTTTAACTCACATATTGATAACTATGGCTTGCCTAACCACATGAGTAAACGTACATTTGAAGAAGAAGATATTGGGGCAGCATTAGAGAGGTCTGTTTCATCATTATTCACTTCAAGACAAGTGGAACTATTTAGAAAGAATGTTAACGCTGCCAATCTTTCTCTCTTTTCTAATCCTTCTTCTGCATCTTCTTCACTGAATGGTTCACCAAGAAACTCATCTGAGCCTTTACAGAAAAAACAAAAACATATTCCACCACCGTTGGCATTTTTTACCGAAAAGTTTAGAGAGCAGATTGTTACAATGAATAACTTAACTCAGACAATGTTTCCTTCTGTGAACGTTCTTAACCACTATGTTAATTTGTATCAGAAAGAATTCCACCCATATTTTTCTTTTATTCATCTACCTTCTTTTGTTCCGTCAACCGAGAATTATCCATTTCTATTAAGTGTCGCAATGATTGGTGCTCTTTATGCTTTTCATTCTAACCATGCTATGATATTGTGCAAGGTGGCAAGGCACAATATTAGAGTCTACTTAGAGCAAACTGTTAAGAATCAAAAGGTGACTCCATTATGGTTGATTCAGTCTTTAGTTTTATTGACTTTTGTTGGTATCTTTAGCGATGATCTAAATGTTGCAAGAAGTATGAACACACAATTGATGACATTAATTAGATTGATCAAGAAAACTAACTTAAACATGCCTCTGGAAAACTATTGTAAACCACCAATTGCTAGCAACCATGCACTAGATTATCAGAATAATCCTGCTACTTTTGCCAAATACAAAGCACAATACACTACCCCTGAACAGTTAGAAAAAGATTTTCAATATTTTATTCTTGCTCAAACTAGAATTAGGACCTGCCATGTTGTTTTAATAATTTCCAACTTATTCACATCATTAGTGGGCCTAGAATGTTGCTTTCATTCAATCGATTTAAACTGTGGTGTACCATGTTATCATGAAAGTTTATTCTCTTGCCCGTCATCCAATGAATGGGCGGGAAAACTAGAAAAATACAACATTGTGCTAGATTCTAAGTTCTCTCTTATTGAACTATCAAACGGTGAGGCCAAATATGCCAATTGTATGATGTATTTATCCAATGGCAGTCAATACGTATATGATAACACGAAGGTATCTAAGAAAACGCTACTATCTCTGCTAATAACTATACATGAGAAAATATTTATAGAGAGGAACAATATTAGACATGAAAATGGTGATAACATACCTCTAAATGACGCTAAATGGAGAATGTCATCAAGACCTATGATATCAGTCATGGTTAAGCATTGGGAATCCATGTACATTAAGAACGGTGGATTGCTAGTTCCAACTGATGAAAACATCAAAATAATCAATAGGGATCCTGCCATGAGATTAATAGTACCATTACATTCTTTTGCTTTAATTAGAAAGTGCCTGGATTTGACGCCAGTAATGAAGCAAATTTATATGCACAACTGGGTTGGAATGAATGAAACCATGCAATTAATATGCTGTGACTGGGAGTCATTAAGAGAGAGTACAACTTATGCTTTGAATATCATCGATTTTTGGGTTATCACAATGGATGGTTTAAGAAATCAATCTATTGGTGGGACCCCGATTTTCACAATAACCTGCATTTTCTCTGCTGTATTAATTGTTGCCGAGTACATGAAACATTTAGAGGATTGGTCAAATGATGTTTCCTCCGATATAAACTCCCAACCTAACCTAAAAGTCTCTGATAGAATACTATGGTTCAAGATCTTCAAAGTCCTGAAGAAGGTAGAAGGTCATTTGTCTAGCAGAGACGTTGGATCAGAAACTTATTCACAGTTTTTGAGAACACAAGCTAATGGAGCCTTGGACATCGGTTCACTAGATGAGGCATACATTGAATCTGCTACTAAACCAGATAGGGAAATCAGTGAAACTCTAGAGGTTATCAAGAACTCACGATTATCTACCAGATCACTTTATTTTGGTGTTCGGATCTTAGGTGATGCACCTGTGTGGCCTATTGCTATTCTATTTGCGTTGGCTTTGCAATGTAGAGCAATCCACATGGAGAAATCCGCAGACAAGACTTTACTGCATTAAAGAATGATGCTTATTTCGTTGAATGTAGATTAAACTACATCTAGACTATTTCCACAAGTAATGAGAGTCTTGTAATGTGCAAAATATGCTGCTTGCTGTCTTACTGATTTTTTATGACTTTTTTTTAGTTCCCGAACTCTTTCAATTTAACAATTGAAAATTTTATAGACATCATTATGAACTTATAGATTAATATAGAAATTAGATTATTATTCACATTTTACCAAATTATAAATATTACTCTTAATGTCTATCAGCAATTTTGTTAGAGATGCTATTTTGCCTCTGATCTCCGTACCTTAAAGTTCGCATCAGGCACATGAAAAATTTCAAAATTTTGCGATGAGCTAAAATGCCACAACATAGAAATATATTGAAGCAGTGTATTACTCATACCCCGATACGCTATATTGTTGTACACATACATCAAGATATTGTTATCTAACCTAGAGAGGTAGTATTATAAATTATTAAAAGTTGTGGTCCTCAAAATCTTTGAGTTTAGCTATTAAGACACTCATAATCATGCCTGAAAAGAAATTGCCAATGAAACTGAAGGGCAGGGAGCTTTTTGAGAAAATTGGAAATCCTAGGCACATTGTAGCTCCCATGGTGGATCAATCTGAACTGGCTTGGAGGGTACTATCTAGAAGATATGGTGCCACATTGTGTTACACACCGATGTTTCACGCCAAACTATTTGCTACATCTGAAAAATATAGAAGGGAAATGTGGTGCGATCTGGATGGCGACTCTAAATTGGATAGGCCTTTAGTGGTTCAGTTTTGTGCTAATGATCCAGAGTATTTACTACAGGCGGCGAAGCTCGTGGAAGATAAATGTGATGCCGTCGATTTAAACTTAGGGTGCCCTCAAGGTATCGCCAAAAAAGGACATTATGGTTCGTTTTTAATGGAAGAATGGGATTTAATCCATAAACTAATCAAAACATTACATGAAAATTTGAATATACCAGTCACAGCTAAAATAAGAGTATTCCCGGATAGACAGAAAACATTGGATTATGCAAAAATGGTTCTAGATGCCGGCGCTCAATTTTTGACTGTTCATGGGAGACTTCGAGAACAAAAAGGCCAACAAACTGGTTTAGCTGATTGGGATATCATTAAATATCTGAGAGAGAATTTACCGGATAATACGGTCTTCTTTGCTAATGGTAATATTCTTTATCCTGAAGATATTGACAGGTGTATTTCTCAAATTAAATGCGATGCAGTGATGAGTGCGGAGGGTAATCTATATAATCCTGGCGTGTTCAATGTGCATTACATTGGTGATAAAGATAAAACATATCCTCGTGTCGACGTGCTATTAAGAGAGTATTTTGAGATAATAAGAAATGAGTGTAAGGAATCACTAGCATCTCGTAAAGCAATGAAATCACACTTTTTCAAGCTGCTCAGACCATTTTTACCACATTATACAGATATTAGGAGCAATATTGCTGCATTAAACGCTAAATCAGATTTAAAAGAATGGGAAGATAAGGTTGTAATACCAGTAGAAGAAGCGGTACAGGAGCTTTTCAAAAACCCAGACATTGAAGATATGATAATTACGCATGATAAGGAACTATGGGGCGGTTCATACAAGACAATTCCGTACTGGAGGTGCCAGCCTTACTTTAGGCCGGTGAACGGTGTGACCGGTGACAAACGTATAGTACAAGAGTTAGAGTCCAAGAAAAGAAAAGCAGAATTTTCTCTAGACAGTCAAAAGGAGAAAGAGTTTAAGACAGAGTAAGTTTTAACTGAATAGTTCGTCTTAGATCATTATAGAAAAATCACAACATACTCTATAAATTTCTCGCTAACTATGTTCGAACGTGTATATTTCAATTCAAATTTTTAGATACTATCCATGTCTACAGCCCTCTAAAAATCGAACATTCCATACTGCTGATTTGCCTCCCGGGATCGTTTAGACCCCAAGAATCCAAGATATGTTTTAGCTGACAGGGTGCATGGCTACTCCGTGATTTACCATATGTCCATCGCATTCGTCATGGCCTGATGCCAATGACCATACTCTTTAGACTCGGATCCGAGAAGTCATCCCTATCCATACGATATCTTCTTCCGAGTCCATTAGATAAGGCAACGCTAGATTTAGCTGATTGATTGCCCTGAGAATTAAAGGGAATCAGCGAAAATAGAAAAAAAGGTTTTGGATGAATATTTTTGTTCTTTTTTTGAGACATTGGTGTCCACTGCCACAGCTTAATAAACAATGGCAATCAGCAGTGTCTAGATTTCAGCGGAATTTAGTGGAAGCGAAATGAATTCGGCTGACTTAGTGCCTATCAGTAATATACATATTTGCTTTTTGCTTTGGCATTGAATTTATCAATAACTGCATACCCAAAATTAAAAATAAAATAGAAAAAATAGTAATATATAAAGCACCCGTAACTTCCCATTTCTGGGAAACTTGGAATTCATTTCTCCCATTTATCCTTTCTTCTATATATCGAATCAACACATCAACAATACCAACAAACTTCAACTTATACACAACATCTAATATTTATTATAGCTTCGAAATGCCTGAACAAGTCAACTGCCAATACGATTGCCACTGCTCCAACTGTGCTTGTGAAAATACTTGCAACTGCTGTGCCAAGCCAGCATGTGCTTGCACAAACTCTGCTTCCAATGAATGCTCCTGCCAAACTTGCAAGTGTCAAACATGCAAGTGCTAAACAGCATTCAAAGAAGAATAATTTCTAGTATTTTTGCTATTGTTGCTTTATTTTTCATGATTATTGATAAGGTACTGGGTATCTTCTGCTAATGACGCTGAACTAGCTCTATATGCTAGCTATATACATTACGTATAAAAAAAATATAAAAATATAAAAATATAAAAAAAAAATAAAAAAATCACTTCAAAAACTATAACACATACCAAGTTTCTATTTTCTCTTTGACTAAATCAAATCGATCTAGTAAACATGCAGAACAATTTGTGTAATTATCGTCTGATCTAAGGGCCGGCGTAAGCAATTCTAACCGACCACACTACGTTACTTAACAACCACACTTGCTCTTGAATACGAAACAGCAAGCTCTACCTATATGAAATGGTCTACAAAAGAAGTTTTCTCTAGTACTCTGAGAAGGTTATATTATACATCATTGAAATGCTTAAAGCTGATTTGCATCCCGGGATCGTTTAGACCCCAAGAATCCAAGATATGTTTTAGCTGACAGGGTGCATGGCTACTCCGTGATTTACCATATGTCCATCGCATTCGTCATGGCCTGATGCCAATGACCATACTCTTTAGACTCGGATCCGAGAAGTCATCCCTATCCATACGATATCTTCTTCCGAGTCCATTAGATAAGGCAACGCTAGATTTAGCTGATTGATTGCCCTGAGAATTAAAGGGAATCAGCGAAAATAGAAAAAAAGGTTTTGGATGAATATTTTTGTTCTTTTTTTGAGACATTGGTGTCCACTGCCACAGCTTAATAAACAATGGCAATCAGCAGTGTCTAGATTTCAGCGGAATTTAGTGGAAGCGAAATGAATTCGGCTGACTTAGTGCCTATCAGTAATATACATATTTGCTTTTTGCTTTGGCATTGAATTTATCAATAACTGCATACCCAAAATTAAAAATAAAATAGAAAAAATAGTAATATATAAAGCACCCGTAACTTCCCATTTCTGGGAAACTTGGAATTCATTTCTCCCATTTATCCTTTCTTCTATATATCGAATCAACACATCAACAATACCAACAAACTTCAACTTATACACAACATCTAATATTTATTATAGCTTCGAAATGCCTGAACAAGTCAACTGCCAATACGATTGCCACTGCTCCAACTGTGCTTGTGAAAATACTTGCAACTGCTGTGCCAAGCCAGCATGTGCTTGCACAAACTCTGCTTCCAATGAATGCTCCTGCCAAACTTGCAAGTGTCAAACATGCAAGTGCTAAACAGCATTCAAAGAAGAATAATTTCTAGTATTTTTGCTATTGTTGCTTTATTTTTCATGATTATTGATAAGGTACTGGGTATCTTCTGCTAATGACGCTGAACTAGCTCTATATGCTAGCTATATACATTACGTATAAAAAAAATATAAAAATATAAAAATATAAAAAAAAAATAAAAAAATCACTTCAAAAACTATAACACATACCAAGTTTCTATTTTCTCTTTGACTAAATCAAATCGATCTAGTAAACATGCAGAACAATTTGTATAATTACCTTTTATCAACAATTAAATAATATTTTATCATTGAAATTATGATAACTGAGAAAATATGTCATGGAACACGACTGTAATAGGTGACTCTTGAAGGAAATGTTTTCAAGAGACCAGCCAATTCATGTTTTAATAGTCACACTATCAATTGATAAGTATTTGAAACCAATTTGCCAGAAAAACATACTAGAATAAATTATTAGAAAACCAATACAAAAAATATGCTGTCAAGAATTTCTATGCAAAAAAGATTTCTATCCTCCACTGTCGCAAAATTAGGCAAGAAGGTGTATTTCGAACCATCAGTTAACGGTTCCCGTATTGGCCGTATTGAGTTTGAATTATACGATGATGTTGTTCCAAAGACTGCTGAGAACTTCAGAGCCCTTTGTACTGGTGAGAAAGGCTGGGGCTATAAGGGCGTTCCATTTCACCGTATTATTCCACAATTTATGATCCAAGGAGGTGACACTGACTTGACCAACGGTTTTGGTGGTAAGTCTATCTATGGCAACAAATTTGCTGATGAAAATTTCACTAAGACTCACGACAAGCCAGGTTTATTGTCCATGGCTAATGCTGGTCCAAACACCAACGGATCTCAATTCTTCATCACTACTGTGCCTTGCCCATGGTTAGATGGTAAGCATGTTGTCTTTGGTGAAGTCACAAAAGGTATGGATATCGTTAAGACTATTGAGAGCTACGGTACAATGTCTGGCCAACCAAGAGCAAAGATTGTTGTCGAAGAATCAGGTGAGATCAAAGAATAGGGTCTTCTTTATATCCAGTGAGGATCGAACATGCAATACAGTAAACACCTCTATTAGCCTTGTAAATATATTTCTTGTCGATTTAAGAAGGCGTTTATACATAACTGTTGCTTAAAATTAAAATTCTTTTAGATGATAGTTTATCCTACATATAATTCGATATGGGACATATGTGTCATCATATACGTCTATCAAGTATTCCCGACTTAAAAGGGCATCTGATTGCATTCAAAGAAGGGGATCAGCACGACCTTCAGCACATTATATGCAATAAAAGAGGCAACAAACTGGAATCAACCCGACTAAAATTGTTTAAACAACAGTACAAGTAAAGAACTAGAAAATTGAGGAATGAGTTTAGAAGACACATTGGCTAATCTGTCTCTATATGACGCTAAAAAGTACTTCCGTAAGGCTCAGAATGTAGTCTACAATTACACCGATATGGAATCTAAAGTCAGGGAAGCTACAAACAACGAGCCTTGGGGCGCTTCTTCGACACTGATGGAACAAATTGCTCAAGGGACATATAATATTAGGGAACGTGAAGAAATCTTAGGTATGATATTCAGAAGGTTTACCGAAAAATCAGGGAGTGAATGGAGACAAATTTATAAAGCTCTACAACTCTTAGAATATTTGATTAAGCATGGTTCTGAAAGGTTTATTGATGATACCAGGAATAGTATCAGTATTGTTAAGTTATTGGAATCATTTCATTACATCGATTCCCAAGGAAGAGACCAAGGTGTAAACGTCAGAAATAGAGCTGCTGCACTAACGGCTTTATTGGCTGATGATAGTTCAATCAGAGCAGAACGTAAAAAGGCAAGAGAGACGAAAAAGAAATACAAGGGTGTAGCAGGTGGTGTTACATCGATGAATACGGGACTTGAAGCCAACACAAGGGCTGGCTTTAACAGCTCTAGATCGCATGGTATAAGTGTCAGTGCTGATTTTGATTCTGATGAATCTGATGATGGCGTATACAAATCATCAAATAGATCAGGTGGCTTTAGAGATAATGTCGACGATAGAGAAAACTCTAACGAAGGAACCACTACTACGGCTAATGTAATGCAATCCAATTCAGATGAAGATTTCTTCTCTTCTTTAAAGAAACCAGAAGTTTCCCAGAACAATCACGCTAATTTGGATGAAGATGACGAAGATGATGACGAATTTACAGATTTTCAAACGGCGGTACCGGTCAACTCGACCCTAAATAATACCGCAACAAGTCATGGTAATACTACTAATAATAATGAGTTTGACCTTCTTGGGATGAACATGAACTCCACTGCAACATATCCAAAACCATCTACCAATGATGTCATTCCAGCAATTGCACAGGATAAGAAAAAGGATGATCCATTTAGCTCCTTATTTAGTTCAGCTAAGACACTCCCTGCTGAACCAAAAAAGGCACAGACACAACAGAACCAACCCATTTCATCACAAACTGACAAAGCCGATGAAGATGAATTCAATGATTTGATGTCTTCAGGTCCAACAACTACCTCTGCACAAACTTCTGCTCCAACACCTTCCCAATCAAATGCTGGGGAAATTGATTTATTAAGCTTTTGAAAGAGAATATAATACAAATAGCATGCATTTAGTACCATCATTTTACACAATTCTCGTTCCGATGAAGTACCGTAGCTTCTGGTAGCAACAGTATGTATTTTTGTCCTAGTACATAACAAAACACTTCCACAGACACTACAATATAGTTGTTCCTTTTATATTAGATATCACATATACCTTACCAAGCACTATTTAATCGATTCAATTTTGTGTGTTCAGGGTTCTTTGTTATTTTTTTACCAACCCTAAATAATGACCTAATATACTGAATCGAACTTGACAAAATTATAAAATAAAAACCCTAAAAGTTTATCAGCAATCATAGGACTAAGCAGTAATTTGGAAGTGAAATGGACTAATTATCTCATAGCTATCTGATACCATAGAAGTGTTGAGAATACAGTGAGAGTTAAGTCACACCAACTTATAGAAGTGAGAAGTACACATTTTAACTGAAAGTATGGGAATTCATTCGTTTTGGATATTTGATAGACATTGCAATTGTATATATGATCGTGAATGGACTTTACTCTCGAATTCAGGCAGCGGTACTATTAACTCCAAACAAAATGATGAAACTGCTAAATTGCTGTATGGTATGGTTTACTCTCTTCGAACAATAACACAGAAACTGTCACATGGATCCATGAAGAATGAAATACGGACGATTGCGACTGGCAAATATTTAGTGCACATTTTTTGCACAGCATCTGGCTTATGGTTTATATTATTATCCGATTTCCGTCAACAATCTTATTCGCAGGTTTTACATTACATATATGGGCATATATATGTTAAATATGTCGCTAATAATCTGCTGTCCCCCATAGACTTTGCAGAAAATAAAAATGAAACCAGAGGACAAGGTTTCAGAAAGATTACTAACAGGAACTTTATAAAAAGCCTCGAAGCATTCTTAGCACCTATGGTTGCTAAGTAACTCACATTATATCAGTTATTTAAAACAGTAATATGCATGTATGAAAGTTATGTAGAATAATTACCTTGACCGAAAATCATTAGTGGAAGTATTGGCAATAATGATAAAGACTTATTCTCAACTGGAAATTACAATCCTATTGGACTATAACATATATCATATAAACACTTCTTCTTTGTTTGACATATTACATTCAAATTCCAGGGAGAAAGAGATCAGACCAAAATTCATCATTAAGTGTATTCACACCCCACAGTAATGAATTCATGTCAGTTAAATAATCATTGAAATTATTAAGAGATGAAGACGGAGATGAATTTAAGGTTTGACTCTCCAAATTCACTTTGACCTGTGGATTTAACAGGCCATTATTCGGATTATTATTCGTTCCATTTAAATCTTCTTTTTCTGTTTTATACCCCACAATTCCGCTGCTAATATCATTGTTAATAGGTGTATTACTATCATCGGTAGAGTTCCTGGTGAGCTTACCTTGGGTAGGCGCTGAATCAGCAGGGAATGGCAATACATCTGCTGAAACAGTATTTTCTGTATCGGTAACAGGAGTTTTAGTAACACTAGCATATTCATTTCTCAATAGTTGTGTATTAAATTGTGTATGGGGATTACTCTTTGCCTTTACTGTGCTTGATTCCGATGCTTCAATAACCCTCTTAGCATATGTTTGACAAAATAGTGCCACAACGTATTGTAGTTTGTATAAGGGATAATTATATGGAAATAATTTAGATGCCTTTTCCAGTGCATCCGCCACTCTTCTAACCAATGCTACCGCTTTATCTGTATCATGCAATAGATGGTGGAAAGCTGCAGAGGTCACTACTTTGAACCTTAACTTTAAAAGAATGAGGCCAACAATGTAAACCATCCTAGATGAGTGAAAAAGCGGAAGTGATGCAATTAATTTACTGTCAAGCTTCATGAAATTCTCTAGACACTGAACACAACAATTATAGCAGCTCTTGAAGGCTGCAGTTATATCATCTGGCACTGGATCACCCTTTTTCAAACTATTAACATTCTTCTTTATGAAGTCTTCCAATGTGTATTGATACAAATATGCTTTAATTGAATAGAAAAACGCCACAACTCTATCACGATTTAATGGAATCTCTGTATATAGCTCATCTAATTGCGTGTGATATCTCTGTATCATTTTAGATGTATCATATAAAAGGAATTCGTCATTCTTTTCCAATTCATGAAGTTTCACGTGAATGTTCTCTAATACTCGACATAATGATGTAAAAACTACCAAAACATGAGCATCTTCTTTATGATCCTCAGTTATTTGCAACTTTGAGTCTCTTGCTGCCTGTTTCCACGCGATATCTATGCATTCATTATATGGAGTATGCAACGGTTGCCGTAGGAATATGCAAACATTAAGCGATGTTATGTATACAAGCAATATCAGTCTGTACACATAGACTGGATATTCAGGTTGTGGCTCCTTCTCTGGAAAGACATCAAATACCCTTCCTGGATGAGGTCTGTGATTCAACTCCTTTGTTATAATAGAACACACGTAATTAAAAAAGTGGTATTTGGTTCTTGACGGCCATTCTAAGAAATTATACCACAAACATAGAATTAGAAGGGATTGAACCAACTGCACTGCATCCACTCTTCTCTTGAATATGTTAGATGTAATCTGTTTCAATACAAATGTATCAAGCCTCATTGTGGTTACTGGATTTGTTTCATGTGGAGCTAATAATATCGACGAGCATGACATGACAACTGAGAATAACATTGGCTTTTCAGTTCTCATTATATTTACGTTCGTATTATTTCCTGTGTTAATGAAGGAAAGTCCAGCAAAAAATGTTATATCTGTTGAGAACCTTTCAAGCCGGAGTTCAGCTTCTTCCGCAGTAATTATACCGGCACTAACAGGGTCACCTGTAACTGGCAATAAATCCGATCTGTCGATCATATCTTGCCAAGTTTTCGCCCATTGACCTAATAATGTGGATGTTGTCTCAATCTTCTCTTTTTGATGATACACAAGAGATTGCAGTTGTTTTTTGAATGAATGTGTCAGACGATTAATATGTGAGTTTTTTGGAGACTTCACCGAGTCAAAATGAGACCCACCTTTGTTGGAGTTACTAGAGTAAGCGTACTGTTGTCTATCATATGTATTATTTTGAAGTGGGCTCAATATGGTAGGGTTAGCAGTGTCAATATGATTGTTAAACAAACTTCCAACGTTACCTACATTCGGTGTTTTTAAAGTATTATTGCTAGGACGGACGACATCATTGCTAGTAGTTGGAATTAACGGTATGTTTGATCCCAAAGGTACCGTCGATTCATCATAAGCATTGTTTCTGGTAGGATAACTCCCCAGTAAGGAATTTATATCGGTTTGAGGATATCTCTGAGATACACTAATAGTGGTTGGTGTCCTCATAATAGCGTTCAAGTCATTTGATGACTGTGGCTGACCCAATGTGATACTTGTTTTTGGATACTGATTTGAATCAACAATAGGCCAGTTTTGGTTTCTGATTGACTCAGGATTTTCAATAATCGATATAGGTGTCTGCTGGATATTAGGTATAGCCAAAGGTACTCTAGGCTCTTCGTAGTTATCACTACTACTCTGTGATTCAGAGTTCCTACTATTTTTCCTCTTCTGGTACTTATTATTACCAACACTATTTTCATGTCGAGATCGTCTTACTCTCTTCCTCTTTCGCTTAGCTAAATCAAATATGCAAGGATCTCGACTTCTCAAGCATCTAACGCATGGGTTTCGATATATATCCCCAACATCGGAAGGACGACACTTCTGTTTCAAGTCATGGCATTTCACACAAGCAAATGTGTTACGTTTCATATTACCGTTCTCATTCACTTCCAACTGCGAGGGCTGTGATAACCGAATATCATCAGGTTCAACACCTACTATTACTGTTAGATGCTTGTTATTAACAACATAGTCGTTGGGACCAGGTTCATACGTGTGGGATGCATCCGCTCTCACACAATTTTCTTCCATTTCTTTTGTTATGTCACACTTTGATTTAGTATTATATTAATATACAGTCTTGGCTTATAACATGCCTATCCTGTCTACTGTATGTTTTTTTTATTGCTATTACTGTACACTATACTACTATTATATATCAACCGATCATTAAGGTACCGATGCTCATAAATTAGAATTTCATTTTTTTTTTCTTCCTTTTTTTTTTTCTTTCTCTTAAATGACACAGGAATTTTTTCGTCTTCTTCCTGTGTTCTTGGTACACCTTTCACTCACTGGGGAATTCCTTAACCCACATCTCCCATTGTTTCCTTTATTACTTTTAGAATAACCCACAAGATGCTGTTAGTAAAAGCTGTTCCAAATACTAGTATGTTCATTGCTAGCCTTCCCCCCCAAAGCTATCTCTTATTCTCTATAGATTGCCATTTCTAATTGTATCACTTCACATACAGTTACCTGGCTGAAAAATTGCCGTAGCACCAGTTGCTTTCCTTTCCCTTCATTTAGGGTAAATGAGGGTTGCACTGGAAATAGCTGCCATTTCGTGCGATGGTTTCTTACAATTGCCCTCCCTCCAATCGAGTTTAATTAAAGGGCTCTCTTGTGCAGCTCTTTCATTGATAAACTTACTGAGAGGGGGGATGAGAAGAAATCCAAGTAGTTACCATAGAAAATTCGCACTCGAGACCTTCTCTGTGAAACTACCGTTCTGCGCTCGATGGAACGGGACTACAATGCAGAAAGCTCCGCACCTTGTCTCAAAAAATGCTTCACTTCTCACTTGCAATTGGTGAGTGGTAAGAAAACTCGTGGAGGAATTCCAGTTTCCATTGTTTCCGATCTATTATTGATGTACGATTTTCTTACAGTTGTATTGTCGAGATTTCTTCTGTAATACTCCATTTCTCTTCCTATCATTGTGGGAGGTATTGTGAGGAGTGGAGGGGGAAGGGGGGCGGTTGTACGCTTTTTCCTTAGAGTTGGAATAGATAGACGAATATGCATTAATTAAAAGGCTATTTCCAAATTAGGTATATTAATTTTAAATGGTATAGCTGTGTTGAAGTTCAACACCTATATCCAGATGATTTGTCCTTGTGAAAACATAGCGCTGGGTTATGTATCTCTAGGCACATTGCTGTTCTCTTATTGATGGGCTTTATTGGTCCTCCGTTGTTGATGAGAGCACCCAATGGCCTGATTTCAACTAGAGAACGTTTTAAATGTGGACTTCAGACGTTAGTGCTTGTTCAAAAGGGATAACATTCTTTAACCCCCCGCAGATATTCTTATAGGACTATCGATACCCCGCCGTCAGTACGATCAATAGCTGATGAATTTCAACGCTACTTTCAATGCGCTACGGGTAATATACAACCACAGCCTGTGCATCCCAAGGCTTCGTATTGCTACGTTTAATCAATTACCAATACCGATAAAACCTCACATAAAAGTGGTTGTGGTTGATAAGGACAACTGCATGGCTCTACAGGATGATGACAAAGTATGGCACGAGTACACCGCGAAATGGGAGGAGTTGAAGAGAGTTTACCAGGATCGCGTGCTGATAGTGAGCAACAGTGCAGGTTCTTCGGATGACAAGGGCTACCTTCAAGCGAAGACGTTGGAGAAGAACACTGGTGTTCCTGTGCTTCGACATAAGCTGAAAAAACCAGGTTGCAGAGACGAGATTATTGAATATTTCAAAGAAAGAGGCCTGATTGAAAAACCTGACGAAATCGCAGTTATTGGAGACAGATTGTTTACAGATATACTGATGGCAAATATGATGGGTTCTTATGGCGTGTGGATAGAAGATGGTGTGAAAATTAGCAATAGTGCCTTCAGTAAGTTAGAGAAAAACTTGTACACCAGGTGGACTAAGAACTAAAAACACTTGAAACTAAGAACAATCAATGAAATACTATTCTTAAGATGCTTAACATAAATATCTAGTATCAGAAATGCATGTAATTATAAATTGTACTGTTAAATAGTATATGCTCGTAGATGAATTTACTTAAGTAATAATTCTGCCTTACGCTTACTTGTAACAGGATCAAGAACCGATTTAACTTGAACTTCTACTTTGTCAAAGACACTTATCTCTCTCTTAGCGTTTGTACCTTGCTGTGTAAAAGTCAACTTAAACTCAACTTCATCATAGTCCGCAGAGTCAGTATCATCCGTTAGATTTTCTAGTCTAATCAGACCTTCGACACCAAATTTGGGCACTAGGACAACGATACCATTATTAAATACTTTGATAACATAACCCGTTTCAACGGACTCATTGTTTCTCATGACTTGGCCGACATAGTATTCAATACTGGCTCTTCCCGCAAACTGAGCATTCCTATGCTTTCTATTGATATTCTTACATATCATATCCATCTTCGTTTTATCTCTATGTGTCAAACTCAAAGGTTCATAACCAATGGCAGCAGCAAGTTGTCTATGTGCTACAACATCACAATAACGTCTAATAGGTGATGTAAAATGTGTGTAGATGTCAACCGCCAAACCATAATGCCTAAAATCGGAATAAGAGTAAGCTCCTGAATAGAAGTACTGAGCGGCCATCATACATCTTGTCGACATGATACGCACTAGGGTATTAAAATATGGATCATTTTTGTCCACACATCTATCTAGAGAATCAGCTAGTGCTTTGGAAGATTCCAAAGATATAGTCAATCCCTTCTTGGTTTGAAGCATTTCATTTAATATCTCAAAATTGGTAGAAGGTGGTGCTGCATGTCTTCTTAGCATAGCCGTTTGAGGAAAAGAATCATAAATCTTTCTAGCAACAGAAATATTAGCCAATAACATAAATTCTTCAACCAAAGAGTTAGTAGCAAGTAATTTCTTGATTTCCACCTCATTCGGATCCGAAGTTTCACTATCCATGTGAACTTTAACTTCTGGTGAGGCCAAATTCAATGCACCAGCATCCAATCTCTTTTGTTTCAATTTTTTAGAGAGTTGCAATAACGCTCTCATACCCTGTGTTAGCTCATCGGTTTGATTTGGATCGTCAATCCTTATTTGAGCCTGTTCATATGAAAAAGCCTCCCGCGATCTGATCACAGATTTTGTAAAGTCAACATTGACAATATTGGCATCTTGATCAAGCTCCCAAAGAACAGAGAAAGCAAACCTGTCAACATATGGCTTTAATGAACACAAGTCAGTACCAAGTAGCATGGGTAACATATCAATACGTTTGTCAACTAAGTATACAGAAGTACCTCTAGAAGCACCTTCTGCATCCAATGCTGTTCCTGGTTTAACAAAATGTGTAACATCTGCAATATGTACACCAACCTCCCAGTTCCCGTTCTCTAACATCTTGGCGTGTAGAGCATCATCAATATCAACACAGTTAGGAGGATCGATACTACAGATTAATTTATCTCTTAAATCTCTTCTTTTTGGCAAAAGTGGGTCTTTAGCAATAGCTGCTGAATCTGATAATTTTTCTGGTGCCTTCCAGTCATGGCCTTCACTGGGCAAACAATCCAATACTTTCTTGGAAAATGGTCTATACTCCACATCGTGTTCTAGCAAAAGAGCTTCTGTTTCAGCTTGAACAGTTTCAATTCCTCCTAAGTCCCTTACAAAGTGTCCTAATGGGTATCTATGTGTTTCTGGCCATGAATCGATCGAAACAACAATTCTTTTATCTAAAAGCTCTTTGGCTCTTCTTGTTCTAATTCGAATCTTGGGGAGACATTTATCCATTAAGATCACAAAAACATATTGAGTACCACCGTTTTGTAAGTCAACAGAATTTGGAGCTATCTGTCCGACATATTGTCTCCATGATCTACGTACAATACCAACAACTCTACCAGTAGGAGAAACCTTCTTAGATTGTTGAGCTGCAATAGCATCCTTAGCGAGTAATCTTCGTTGTTTATCTGACATAATAACAGCAGAATTAGCACCTTTCACATCACCTGACTCTTCATCGTTACCATCATCTGCATTATCGTTAACGTCAAAATGTTCAGAATCTAGGGTTATTGTTGATGGGGCCTTCCACTCGGATTGTGGTAGTAATTCAACAATCACTTGATCACCATTAAATGCCCTATTCAAGTTCTTTTGACCACGTATTAGAACTGGCTTAGAAAACCTCGGAAGACTGATCGTACCTTCTAAGAAGTTATATTCAGAAATTTGGATAGAACCTTGAAACAAAACACCATTCTTTAGCCCACCCATAATTCTGGCATTGGTATAATATTCTGGATAAGAAAAATCCGAAATACTTTCTTTATCTTGTCCATCAAATGAATTAGAACTTGGAATCAAATCTTTAATCTCATTGGCATTTGGCAGTTTCTCAACATACTCAACCAAGTTTAGCGTTTGATATTTCTTTTCCTTTGCATTTGATCTGTTTGCCTCCACTCTATTTAATCTATCGTTTGAAACCAAGACAATACTAATACCAGAGCTCTTTAAATGGTCAGCATACCATTCACAAGTTTTTCTTATGGCTCTATCATTCCTATCATTGATGGTTTCATTCTCCAATCTTTCAACAAAAGTGTGCTCGCTGAATTCATTATGGAAAACAATAAACCTCTTTCTATCATCGCTATCTCTACATAATGTTCTCAGCCTAGTGTAAACAGGGTATGATTGATTTCTAACCTCATCAAGAACAATTTGTGGAATAATGACATCAAAGAAGCATTCAGGATTCTCCAGTAAATCAATAGCTTGCAATACTATGTTAGTATCTAGTACTGCATAGTGTTCCCCAATACCATCCAATTTGCCCTTCTCAGGTTTCTCAGAAAGCACAAATTTAGGTAGCTCATTGTGAGCATCCGGTGCCACTATCTCTGGGCATTTACTGCATGCCCTTGAGAGACATGGTATATCATTTCTCAAGTAATGCTCCCTTACAATTTTGGTAGCACCACCATTACGTGATCTCACAAAGACTTTTTGGGTAACAGCTAACCCATCTGATAGCTTCTTCCGTTTGCTTTGTCTTACTAGTACTTCTGCGCCTCCACTCATACTTCTTTATGGTACCTTCTAATCTTGATGTTCCAGTGTTTTGTAATTCTAATAAATAGAAAACTCTAATAACTCTCTTCTGTTTAATAAATGACTAGTAGAATGTTCCAAAAGATGGTAGTTAAGAGTTGCGATGAGCTAACAATTGGTACTGGAGCTAGTAAACTGGCCAAACAACATAGCTCATCGCTGCTAATGGGAAGAAATTTTCAAGTACATTTGCACGAAGTAGAAATTTTACAATATCAAATACTATGATAACCTGTGTATTTAAGATTTTTAACAAGTTAATATGGTTTCGTGGTCTAGTCGGTTATGGCATCTGCTTAACACGCAGAACGTCCCCAGTTCGATCCTGGGCGAAATCATTTAATTTTTTTCAATTGTGAAGATTATTCTTTAAAGAAATGTATGTGCATATTAGCGTGAGTGCATATAACTCATGTTACCTTTTTATTTTTTTATAGTTACCAATTGGGATATACTTACTGTAGCTCTTCATTTCAAACCTCAATTATAAGTATGTAAACTCCAAATATCAGTAAAATTCAAATAGTTACTTTCCGTGCATTACTTTCTTTGCAGTTGTTATTGTTCTCGGTTTTGAATCCGCATCGGGTTTTGCCAGTAATTTTTTGTTTACATCCGGATCAGGACAAAATGTAAACAGCTATGGACTTGGTGAGTAAGACTACTCATCGTGGAGATAAGTATCACTTCCAAAGAGATAATATTGGGTGCCTATGACCTGTCCTCGATTTGTAAAGTTTAGCATGAGCTATATGTGTTATTTTATTTTATTTTTTAAATATCTTTAAAAAATAAAGCTGTATACATTGAAGTAAGAGATTGGTAGCTGATAATCTTCAGCGGATTGGACACTACAGGCTGAGAATTATCTACATGAAATGGATAGCGGTGCTACATCGTTTAATGTACTGGGTGAATGGCGACGTACAGTACAGTCCAAGTTGCTGGGTGAAAGGCATGTTGGATTTGTAGCAGAAGAAAATAAATTGCATTGCGGTAGCATTAAAGATCGAGATAGTGTAGTATTGACACCCATTGCCAATATTCAACAAGGCACTGTAAATTACAACCATATGTTTGACAATTTGATATGGGTCTCAGATGTACAATTCATGGAAGAACTCCAATATACATTGATCTCGTCACCGTTCTTAAATGATATACACCATCATCAAATGCCCTTATCGGTAGCAAATTCTATAATGGACTTCCATCGAGACAGGAGATTTCACAGAGAAAGCTTTATTTTTAGCGTGCCAACAAAATTGGGGTATTTAAAGGCTAGGTATGGGGATAAAAAACTGGAATTGCGAAAGAACATTAACTTCATGGATGTCCATAAGACTGTATACTCCATCCTTAAACACTTGAGAAATAACAATAAAAAGTGTACATGGCGTATCCTATCCGTTTTAATGATAATACTTTACCTCGGCTACGAACAAGCTCATTTTCATAATCAGTATCCCAAATACAGTTTCTTAACACAACTGAAAGCAATGATGGGAAAACTACAACAGTTTGACAGCATTCAAAGAAAGTACTTTGAAAATATCAACATCACAAAGGAATTTGATAAAACTGGAAATGAAATATTTCAGTTATTACATTCAATAACGCATATAGCATCTATGAAACTTTACCATTTATCAGAATTTTTACTACGGTTCACAAACATCGGAAAATTATCAAAGTATTGTGGTGTATATGGTATTGACATGAACTTAGCATATTTAACAAATGTCAGGATCTTAACATCTACTAAACAAGAATTACATTTATTACAAGACAAGATCGAATTTTTAAGGAAGTTCTTATTATGCTGTTTTCTATCAGTGGAGCACCAAGATTATAACGAAAAGGTTAAGAATATTATCTTTTCCACCTATCTATTAAAACTCTTTCCTGGATACACTGAAGATAATAATTGCAAGTCCTTATTTTCTTCACAATGGTCTGTGTTATCAACCGTGATAGTAAAATTTAATCAAGATTTAAGCTTTTTATACTCAGTGTTAAATGAAAATAAAGAGCTTATATATTCTACCGAAACCAGAGAAGAGTCAGAAACTGATGAAATGCTAAAAGAAAGATACAAATTCAGATATAAAGATAAGAATCAATCATTAATGCTTAAGGCATTAAGTCAAATCCATCTAGTAGAGGAGCAATTGATTTCTGTGCAGGACGCAGATGACAATGAAGAAACTAAATGCTTGATCAACGATCATATCAAAAATCTCCAACAGCTGATATTGTGTTGTAATAATAAGACAAATTCTGGTACAAACTTCAGCAACCGCCATACTAGCTTACAAGGGAAAGGGTTATTTTTAGATGTCCTGAAATCACCAGAGGAGAAATTTACACCTATTTTTCAGGAAATGGAAGTATCTCGTATTGGGATAAAAAACGTCAGTGATAATGATGACCTCGAAAGTATTTTAACAGACAACGAGAATTATGAACATATAGAGCCAGCGCATTTCATCGATGACAGAAACAACGGCGGGGCTTTTACAATATATGAAGATTCGACATGTTATGCTGACGATTGTTACAAAAATGCTTCTGAACTCAGGAAATTAAATGATGAGCAACTTCGGCGGAAATTAAATGAAAAAATTCAGTTATTTGCTACTGAAAACAAGAAAAATCGAAATCAAATACGACAGCAGAAGTCTTTAGAACTCTTGAGAAGTAATAGTACACTGACAGCGTTAAATGAGCTTAAAAGCAATACTAATTATGAATCATTGGATAAAGGAGTTAAAACAAAAAAAAGAGCACACTTTATGGAACAGGAATTGTACTCAGAGGAGACTATTCCTTTTTACTATGAGATAAACGACTTCCTTTACAATCAGGCCAATCAGTGATTTTTCTTTTGTCTCAATACCCTTATTGCATACCCTAAGTTACTTATTAAAGCCGTAGTCCCGCCATAATACTCAAGGTTTTAAGTTGACTTTGTGTCCAAAGAACAATTTGCATCGGAGATAGCAAACTTCCATCTTGCTTTATACATATATTAGACGTGGTAACTTATATATTTATGATATATTCTTTTTTAACAATATTTAAAGAAAACTATTTGTCTTTAAAAGCCCCTACAGATAGTAATGGCAAGCAGAATTAGAGCATTCTATGTGGGGAATGGATATCTACTGGGCATATATAATCATGATTTACGAAATAAGTTGCAGTGGGCTTTGCAATCATTAATGGTCCAAATGGAATTATTCCAAGCTATTACAACGATATCAGATGTGTTTTAAGAACCACTGCTCAATTAATTATAATAGCTAAAACATCAATAACATACTTTTTCATAAGGTCAAATATAGCTATTTCAATTTTTATTATTGAGACAGAATTGCATTTCATTGTTATTCTCGCGAACCTCGCAAGGTCAAACTGCAGAAATACAGTTACAGGAAGATATTAATCTAGCATAATTCAGATTAGTATTGTAGCAGGTTTGTTATTAATATCCATCACCAAATCATATAAGTTACATTGGTTGACTTTTTTTTGCAGCAAACTGGTTTTAATAAAGCCATATATTGAAACTGATACTATTTAATATTGTTTGGACTATAGTACGTCCTAATAAGCCATTAGAAGGAACGAATTTTTTTTTGACCATATTTGAGTACTAGCATATGACAGACTACCAAATTGTTTAGAATTCTCAATATCATGACCGAACCTGATAAAAAAAGGAAAAGATCATGGTCGTTACGAACACAAATGTTTAACAAACATTTGTTTGAAAACTATCACAATGACGATAATGTTGAAATGAATGATATAGATGAGGAGACTGAAAATGACGAGGGACATATAGGCGACTTTAATTCAATAGATGGTCAAACAAAAATACGAAATCATCAATCACCTAGACTAGTAACAAAAATTCTCGATATGTTATTTGACAGAAGGACTCAAGTACATTCAGTAGATGGTAGACATATTCCGATATCTCTAGATCATAGTTCTGCCATATCAGACATTTATCCCGTAGACAGACATGGAAATTTAGTTGATGAAAGATATGGATATGCGTACTGTAATAATCTTATTACATCTTCCAGGTACACGATTATCTCATTCTTTCCAAGACAGTTATATGCACAATTTTCTAAGTTAGCCAATGTTTACTTTTTTATTGTCGCGATATTACAAATGATACCTGGATGGTCTACAACAGGCACATATACAACGATTGTTCCACTCTGTGTTTTTATGGCTATTTCCATGGCAAGAGAGGCGTATGATGATTATCGAAGGCATAAATTGGATAAAGAAGAAAATAACAAACTAACAAAAGTTCTCCAAATATTGCACGAAAGAGAGGATAACGATTTAGATCTTGAAAATAATGCACAACATTCAGCGAATAATCCTGAAAGCATCTCAAATCTTTATTTCAATAATTTTGATTTATTGGCAAAAAAATACAATGTTCGCATTGTGGAAAAAAAATGGAAGGACATTCGTGTAGGTGATTTTGTTCTTTTACAGCAGGATGATTGGGTACCTGCAGACATATTAATCTTAACATCAGATGGGGACAATAGTGAGGTATTTATTGAAACTATGGCTCTTGATGGTGAGACAAATCTGAAAGGTAAAGTTCCTCATCCAGAAATAAACAAATTAACTAAATCCGCATCTGGTTTGGCGAATATTAACGCACAAGTTACAGTTGAAGATCCTAACAATGATCTTTATAATTTTGAGGGTAATCTGGAATTAAACTCAGGTAGCAGCTCTAAAAAAAAATATCCCCTAGGGCCAGATAATGTCATCTATAGAGGAAGTATTATTCGAAATACCAGAAATTGTGTTGGGATGGTCATCTTTACTGGAGAAGAATCTAAAATTCGTATGAATGCCCTAAGAAACCCCAGGACAAAGGCACCAAAACTGCAAAGAAAAATCAACATGATAGTTGTTTTTATGGTCTTTGTGGTGGCCTGTATGTCTCTATTTTCTTACTTAGGTCATACCATCCAGATTAAAAGATATGTTAATAATAATAAGGCGTGGTACCTTTTACAAGAAGATGCTGGGACTGCGCCAACAATAATGTCATTTATTATTATGTATAATACCATCATTCCACTTTCGTTATACGTCACAATGGAACTAATCAAAGTCGCCCAAAGTAGAATGATGGAATGGGATATTGATATGTATCATGCTGAGTCAGATACCCCTTGTGCTGTTCGCACAGCAACAATATTAGAGGAACTTGGTCAGGTCTCTTATATATTTAGTGACAAAACTGGTACTTTGACTGACAATAAGATGTTGTTTAGAAAACTTTCTTTCTGTGGTACATCTTGGGTGCATAATGCGACCCAAGATATCAGTGAGTTTAAACCTGCCCAGTTGTCCAACAAAAACGATATTGATGTCATTTCAATAGATGATCAGAGTTTTTTATCAAAACTTGGATATACTTCACAATCTAACCCAAAAAGATATATGGATATAAATGATTTTCCAGATAGAAGAACATCAGTGGAGTATAAAGGAAATGCGACTGTGAAATATACTGGTAGACCTAGTATGAGGTCATTGTACGTTCCACCAAAAAAGGAAACAAATGCGTCAAATTCACAGGATGCTAGCGATATTCCAGAGGATATCAAAAGTACTTTTGAACTTATATATTACATCCAGTCAAATCCCAAAAGCTTATTTGCTAAAAAGGCCAAAATGTTTATTCTTTCACTTGCTATCTGCCACATTTGTTTGCCCAAGAGAACTGAGGAAGGAAATGATGAAGATGACATCATTGAATACCAATCATCTTCTCCAGATGAATTAGCACTAGTCACAGCTGCAAGAGATATGGGATATATTGTGTATAATAGAAACGCAAACATATTAACGCTAAAAACATTCCCCGATGGTTTTGATGAACTTCCTAGATTTGAAAACTTTGAAATATTAGAGCTAGTAGATTTTAACTCTCAGAGAAAACGTATGTCAGTTATTGTAAGAGTACCTGAGGAGAAGGATAGAGTACTTCTTTTTTGTAAGGGTGCTGACAACGTGATTTTAGAAAGGTTGCATAATAAAGAAATGGCTCTCGATATGTTGGATCAGGTTGAAAATAATACCAAATATCGTAAAGACGCCGAGGCAGAACTCGTCATTCAACACAGAAAATCTCTGGAACGTGCAGTCAATGATGATCTTCCAAGGACATCATTAAGAAACTCCATTTCTAGGGGACCTAGGGAAAGTTTGTCTCTACAAGCAGCTAGAAAAAGTATGTCTAGGAAAAGTAATCAGTTACAAGATCCAGAGATGCAATTAGGTACAATTGACCAATTTCTTGATAGTGTCCAAAAAACTGATAAAGAAATTGACGCTGTTGTCAGTCAAGCCCGTAAATCGTTGGCGAAACAACGTTTAGAAAAGTATGGACCCAGGTTATCAATGGATAGTCCTCAAATAGTAGCTGCAGAAAAATCACCGCAAGTTAGTAATGGTAATGATGTGCTTCTCAATTATATTGGTAGCGACGCACTTATCAGCAATGAAGAGTATGTTTTAGAGAAAACCTTGGAGGATATCGAAAGTTTCTCAACTGAAGGATTGAGAACTTTATTATTTGCTCATAAATGGATAAGTAATGAAGATTTTGAGCAATGGAGAACTAGATATCATGAAGCCAAAACTTCTCTTAGTGAGAGAAAACAGAAAATTGATGAGGTTGGTGCCCAAATAGAGGATGAACTATATCTTCTAGGTGCGACAGCTATTGAAGACAAACTACAAGAAGGGGTTTCAGAAGCTATTGAAAAAATTCGTAGGGCTGGCATAAAAATGTGGATGCTTACAGGTGACAAGAGAGAAACCGCTATAAACATTGGATATTCATGTAAATTAATTCATGACTATTCTACTGTGGTAATATTAACAACTAGTGATGAGAATATTATATCAAAAATGAATGCCATTTCTCAAGAAGTTGACTCGGGAAATGTGGCACACTGTGTAATCGTTATAGATGGTGCAACACTTGCTATGTTTGAGGACAATCCAACTTTAATGTCAGTTTTTACAGAGCTGTGTACTAAAACTGATTCTGTTGTTTGTTGTAGAGCCTCTCCTGCTCAAAAGGCCTTAATGGTCTCAAACATAAGAAATACCGATAAAAGTATTGTGACTTTGGCCATAGGTGATGGTGCAAATGATATAGCTATGATCCAATCTGCTGATATTGGTGTTGGTATCGCTGGTAAAGAGGGTTTGCAGGCCTCAAGGTCGGCAGATTATTCTATAGGGCAATTCAGGTTTATCCTTAAACTGCTTCTGGTTCATGGAAGATACAATTATATCAGAACTGCAAAATTTATTCTGTGCACATTCTATAAGGAATTGACTTTCTATTTGACTCAGTTGATTTATCAGCGTTATACAATGTTTTCTGGTACCTCATTATATGAGCCTTGGTCGTTGTCGATGTATAATACATTATTCACATCACTACCAGTTTTATGTGTGGGTATGTTCGAGAAAGATTTAAAACCTGTTACTCTCCTAACTGTTCCAGAACTCTATTCTATGGGGCGTTTGTCAAAAGCTTTTAATTGGTCAATATTTGCCGAATGGGTATTTCTTGGGACAGCAAATGCATTGATAATAACTTTTTTGAATATTGTTGCTTGGGGTGAAACAAGCTTGTCAGACAACACCTTATATCCTCTCGGATTTGTCAATTTTAGTGCAACCGTTGCTCTAATAAATGTGAAGGCTCAGTTTATTGAGATGAGGAACAGGAATTGGCTAGCATTTACGTCTGTGATATTATCTTGTGGTGGGTGGTTAGTATGGTGTTGTGCTTTACCGATTTTAAACAGATCAGATGGAATATATGACGTTACATATGGTTTGTATCATCATTTTGGAAGAGATATTACATTTTGGTGCACTAGTTTGATTCTTGCCGTGCTGCCTATTATTGTTGACGTTGTATACAAGACTTTTAAGATCATGTTGGCACCAAGTGATTCAGACATTTTTGCGGAACTTGAACAAAAGAGTGAAATCAGAAAGAAACTTGAACTCGGTGCATACAACGAGATGAAGCAGGGATGGACATGGACACAAGATCAAAGCACATTTGATAAATACAAAGATATCGTCTTCAACAGATCTCGATCAGCGTCATCTGCTACAGAAGTAAATAGCATGACAAACTTAGCACACGGCAACTCGGAAGACGATCAGTATTTGTCCTCGCGTTTTGCTAACGATGACATCCATACAAGTTATAGTGGTAACTCTGCTACTTCTCCTCCGAAACCAACTAGAGGTAATAGCTTGAAGCTTTTATCCTTGAATATAACCGGGAACTCACGGTCCTCAGAAGAATATGAGGTACTCCCCAGTGGCAAATTGATTAAGAGACAATCAACGGAATTACAAAAAGCAACAAATAATTCTGAGAACATGGCATCCAAATTGACCAAAAAGTTAAGGTTCAAGATGAAAGATGAGGAAGACGATGAAGAGATAGATCGAATAATCAGAGATAGGATGAAGGACCTAGAGTGAGCCGGCTACACTCTGGTATGTGAAACGCATAAAACATTACTATAATAACGAAATGTATGTAACGACAAAATTATGTAAATATATTATAAACTGTTTTTATATAAAGTAAAAGCAAAACTTAGCATTTTTTAAATTTCAATGTTGTTTCTCTGTAGATATTAACAAGCAAAATTTTTAAAACCATTATGTCTGAGTATTTTTTTTGATGCTATAACTATTAATATTATACAGGTATAAAGAAATAAAGAAAATGTAAAAAGCTCGTAAAGTATGTAAAAAAAAATGAGAAATGTATATCTAGTATGAGCGCTTCATGAGAAGCCTTAACAAAAAGAGAGCCTTAAAGTCCTGCTTAAATGTTTCACCATCTCATCAAATGGCAAAAGCAAGCAGGTATTCAAAGTCTGATGGAAATAAATGTGGAATAAAAAGGCAAGACAGCGAAATGAGCAACTTTTATCAAATGTCATGATATCTACCAATATACTGACACTCAACGACATCTGTTGATTGCTTTGGTCAAGGAAAAGGTATAACCATATTAGAACATATGTATCTTGGAAAAATCATCCTCGATATTATGCATAGGGCTAAAAGCATTGTCAGTCTCTATGAATCCTAAAAAGTGTTTAAGAATAAATCTCTTTATTCATGTCGTAAAACTTATCGATTCTATAATTGAACCATACAAAAACCAGAAAATAAAACGGTGTAATAAAATATTGCGAGCGAAACTAAAATAATAAGAAATAGAAATGTGTGGCAGTAAGGCTAACCAAAAATGAACCTTTCCAGCAATGGCAGTAGGAAAAGCAGCAGGAAAGGAGCGAGTATCCGCAGCATTTCGTAAAGTTCCGAGTTGACCAATTCATTTTCTTGATTTCCTTGGCGGCGTTGCTGCTGTTGTCTATAAGCCTCTCTAGGATCTGCTCTTCTGAACCTTGCTCTTTGGAAAGGGCCGTTGCCTGTTGTGTACATGCGGAACCCGCCAGGTCCGCCGAAGGAGAATGAAGCGCCTGGGCCGCCCCCCATACCTCCATTGAACAAGAAGTCGAAAAGGTCTTCCTGTGGGAACATCTGCTGTTGCCGTTGTTGGAAGAAGAACTGTTGGAAAGGGTTGAACTCTTCGAATCCTGGGCCGTAAGCAGCTGCACCGCGGCCGCCGCCCGCAGCTGCACTGCTCGGTATACCGGAGGACCTGTCATCGGGGTCCCTGCCTATCTGGTCGTATATCTGTCTCTTCTGCGAGTCGCTGAGCACTTCAAAAGCCCTGTTGATGAGCTTGAACGCCTCGTGTGCTTTCGGGTAGGGGTTCTTATCCGGGTGTAACTTGATGGCGAGCTTCCTGTACGCTTTCTTGATATCCACATCGCTGCTGGAGCGCTCCACATTCAGAATGTCATAGAACGCATGCTTGTCATGGGACAGCACCGACAACACCACTTTCTCTTGCTCCTCATTATAAGACATTTTTAGCTCTCGTTACTCTTGCGGGGTGAGGGAGATGTATGAGAGTGAAAGACAAGCACGCTACAATATAAGGGCTATATATTTAATATATTCCCACTCCTACTTAAGGAAAACTCAGAGCCCACAGATCATCGCTCCAGCAGCGATCCCACCATGTGAGGCGCACGTTATTATCGGGTGATATCTAGCATAAAAGACAATATTACAGATAACCTGCATTCCAAGACATTAGCTACAAGTATTTGAAGTAGGGACCTCCCATTGTAGTCATAGTACGGTACACAATTTTAAACACAGCACAATATACTATTACTACCACACATGGTATACTTGCCCAGGCCTTATTTAAAACAATGGGCTTACAAATATTCTAATAAATTTTTTTCTAAAAATGACGTCATTTTGTAATCGAAAGTGGACTTCCTTCTAAACATGAAAGTTTTATGACTTGCACACCCATACACCCACATACACCCATACACACAATATTACAACACAAATCTGCACTTTCCCCCAATCTTTTCGAATCTGAGAACAGCTTCCCCTCAAAGATCGCCTAATATGGTAACTGCCCACCCTTTTCCAATATGGTGAGTGAGTGTGGGGTGGGGTGGGAGTTGTATAGCTCAAATGCCATTATCATACACGAATACACGGTTGGTGTGTACGAGAAATGTTAGTGGTGGACGTGTGTGATGTGTGTGTGATGTGTGTGGACATGTGTACGTGGTTTAGTGGAACACCAGAGAATGTGCGAAGAAATACCCGCACACAAGCGTGTTGCACAGCCTCTCACTGCAAGCTGGAGAGAGTGGGGGTGTTGGGCAATCGGGGGGAGGTGAAGGATACGTGTAGTGGGGCACGAGTTTGGCATATGATGTGAACGTTCTGCATGACTGAAAATTTTTTTTTTTCAAAAATTTCCGTTTCTGAAAAATTTCTGAAAAATTTACTTTGGCATCGGGGCAAACTGTCGACGCTATACAGTGTAGTGAGTTTACACCACTAACAGGCGAAACTTGTATTAAAATATATTGGTATAATATAATAGTACGTTATATTGGTTGTATAATAACTTCCATCAGGACCACAGATCAAAAGAACTAAAGTAAAGGTATGTTATAAAGCTGAATGAGAAGCTGAGCGCGAGCGAGTAAGGCGATACCGACCTCTGAAATTGGGAAAACTATATGGGGGAAGTTGTAATGTTTTTCGATTGGAAGGGATTGGGAGGGTCTTAACTGCTCAAACAGAAGATAGAAGAACTCTTACTAACAGATTGTTTTCTTTACTATACCTAGGTAAGAAAAGAAGAAGAAAAATATTGATTATAGATGGCTGCCTCTCTACCTCACCCAAAGATTGTCAAGAAGCACACTAAGAAGTTCAAGCGTCATCACTCTGACAGATACCACAGAGTCTCCGAGAACTGGAGAAAGCAAAAGGGTATCGACTCTGTCGTCAGAAGAAGATTCAGAGGTAACATCTCTGAACCAACCATCGGTTACGGTTCCAACAAGAAGACCAAGTTCATGTCTCCATCTGGTCACAAGGTTGTCTTGGTCTCTAACTTGAAGGATTTGGAAACTTTGACTATGCACACCAAGTCTTACGCCGCCGAAATTGCCCACAACGTCTCCTCCAAGAACAGAGTTACTTTGTTGGCTAGAGCTAAGGCTTTGGGTGTCAAGGTTACCAACGCTAAGGGTCGTCTAGCTTTGGAAGCTTAAATATAGTAACAATTATGTTCATTAATCCCAAAAATATACAACTCACAATATCATCCAATAAATTAACTTTACATTAAAATAATAACCCATTTTTATTCAAAGTAACCATCATATTAGCAAACCGAAAAGAAAATTTTAAAGGAAAATTTAAAAAAACCATTATTATATCTTTTAATATCATATTATCTGAGAATATCAAGCATGTTAAGGGTCTTTTTTCTAAAGACTTTACAAGGTGGTTTCTTAAATGTTCAAGCTAAGGAGCAATAGGTGGTACGGAGCGTATGCCTCTGCATACTTCTCATCTTTACGATCGCTTAGCTGAAGTTTATTTCTACCGCCTTGTTACTCTATATATACTATGTAAGACTTTTGGTTGGTTATTTTCCCAGTTTTTTTTTTCTATAGCGATATAAAAAAGGTACATGTATCCATACTTTTCATATAAAGGCCAATCCGGTTGGCAAAAGAATACTTGTAACCGTTCGCTCTAACCATAGAACTCAGACCCTCCAATTTTTGTCTTAAAACAATTTCTTAAGAATATATGCTACAATGACCAGCATAACGCAGAGCATTATCACGTATTTCCGAGTAGGGATGTACTCCCTAGCACCTCTCACACCTTCCTCACTGGTCATCAACACTGGGATCTTCTTCGACACAGCACGATGTTTCAACTCTCCGCTGACTATCTTGTCCCAATCAGTCTCCAGTACCTGCTTATCATAACTAGTATCGCCAACTGGTGCCGTGATAATCATGAACTTGTCTCTGCCAGAATGTGAGGTCTCCTGGCCCAGATACACAAATTCAAGCTCTAGCTCTTGTCCTTGTAGTATGGTGTGTACATTTGGCCGCACAATGTATAGATCAGGAGCTGTAGTCCTTACTTTATATATAATATTCTCATCGCTGACATTCCTGACTCTAAGAACACGCCGGCACTGTACCACGTCTTCGAAAACAAGCTGCTCAGGGTCAATACGGGTGTACATCGTTGAAGCGGTTGAGATCAGCATCAGATGGCTACTGTTGGACACTATAAACCTAATTAATTTAAAGTAGCTCATCTCCCCCAGATGGGCCTTCCCTCTTTTGCTTGCCAACTAATCATGGCCAACGTCTTCGCAATGTGCCCTTCTTGAAACTTAAACTTGAAGTTATAAAGGAAATAGACGGTTTTGAGACCACTAGTCACCAGAAACTAGTCTACTCGAGCGGAACAGCACATCAGGGACCAATAACATTAGGTTCATGTTGCGATTTTACAGGAGTTTCTCTGCTTGCAGAGCGGTGCTAAACAATGGCAAGACAATCAATCCATTCGATAAGTTGGCTGACAAGCAGAGTCTTCTGACGACTGGTATGATGTCAGGGTTTGGTATGAGACAGGACAAGAAATCTAACATCCTAGTCAGTGCAGAAGATATGCAGCTACGAGAGGAGGCGTTGGAGACGCCTATTAGAGGTGTTCAGGCTGGTAGAACAGTTGGAGTGATAAATGGGGATACTGCTACTGCAGTGAGAAGATTGACCACTAAACTGATTGCTAATGGGGTGCCCATGGATAAGAGAAAGCAGAGGTTCCACATGAAGCCCGGTAAAGCTGCGGAATTAAAGAGATCTCAACGCCATAGACGTGATTTCAAGAAAGGTTTCAAGAGACTCATCGAGATTGTCAAGGATGCCAGAAGGAAAGGTTACTGAGCAAGTTTGTTTAGCTATGTAAGCTTTATCCCTGCTTCATGTATCTACTGCATTCTTTCATTTATTACACCACACTACATAGTAGCTATCTATTCCTGTATATAAGATAATATCCCATTCGATTTCATTATTGATCTTTACTATTTTTGCCAATCCTTGTTTCAGGATCAACTCAAGAGCGAAACGCGATGAGCTTTATTTGAATAGTGTTTACAACAGAGGGATGACTAAGATGACCACTTAGCCACAGTCATTGATTAGTACTCTCCAGTAAACCAACTAACTTCAAAGAGGGAATGTCAACAGCACGGTCCGGTGTTGTGACATTGTTGCATACTGCCTGCGGAGCTGGTATTCTGGCAATACCGTATGCTTTCAGACCGTTCGGCCTGGTGCCAGCGATATTTATGCTGCTATTTTGCGGACTGTGTTCTATGATGGGTCTTCTATTACAATCTCGAATTGCCAAGTACGGTCCTTTGAAGAACGTGTCGTTTTTCTCGTTAGCGCAGGTGGTGAACCCGGCGTCTTCAATATTATTTGACGCTGCAATCGCTATCAAGTGTTTTGGTGTAGGTGTATCATATATGATTGTGGTTGGGGATCTTATGCCTAAAATATGGTCCCGAGTATCATCGTCTGGATTACTGCTGAGTAGAAACGTTAACATCACTCTCGTCATGTTGTTCATTGTGGGGCCACTATGCTTTATGAGGAGGCTGAATTCTTTAAGATACGCTTCTATGATTGCTATTGGCTCTGTAGCATACTTGTGTATACTAGTTATTGTTCATTTTGCTCATCAGACAACCGAACTAAGAGAATTGAAAGGTGAAGTATCAGTTGGTTTACCTCATGGGGAGCCAACACCTTTAACCACCTTACCTATATTTGTTTTTGCATACACTTGTCATCATAACATGTTCTCAGTAATAAATGAACAGAAAAATACTGGATTTACTTACGTTAGGTATATCGCAATTGTATCAATACTGGTGGCCTTTGTACTATATGTTGTCATTGGTAGTACCGGTTACCTGACATTTGGTGACAACATTACAGGAAACATTATTGCATTATATCCTGATACATTATCTACCACTATTGGTCGGATTGCAATTGTTCTTTTAGTAATGCTGGCATTTCCTTTGCAATGTCATCCTGCGAGAGAATCTATCAACAACATGATAAAATATGTACAGGACAGATATTCTCCGCAAACCTCATATGAGTTGACGGCAGTAGATGCTGATAATCTCGAGATCAATAACGATGTGACATCTATAAATTCAAGAGCAAATGATAAAGAGGAAGAGTGCATGGATACAAAGCGATTTATGATTATTACAGCATGTATTTTATTCTGTTCCTACCTGTTGGCAATCTCAGTTACCTCTCTAGCACGGGTTTTAGCCATTGTCGGTGCTACAGGATCAACAACTATATCATTTATACTACCTGGATATTTTGGTTGGAGTTTGATTGGTACGGAGTATACCTCTAATGGTAATCAATTACCTCTACGTAAATCAACTGTCATATTCAAATATATTGGCTTAGTGATGACTATTTGGGGAATAATAATCATGATTACTTCCTTAATTGCATCCCTTTTCTTTGGGGCTTCGCATTAGATATTTTGTTACTTGTAACTATTATTTATAATTAATTAACAAATGAAATATGTATATTGACGTTTAATCCATTTTCCTACCTATGTTATGTTGTGCAGTTTACCTAATCCACTACGTCCGGCTCAGTCATCCAAAATATAAAAAATGCAAAAATGAAAATTAAAGTACAATGTTATATACAATATACACCTCGTAATTTTCATGAGAAGCCTAAGACCTAATAAAATGGAGACCAACCATTAAAGATCAAGGCTAAATTAGATTCATCGACAGCTTCTTGTATCAGTTTTTCTACTGTTGCCTCTATCGTCAAACCATTTCTATCCAGCTTCTCTTGAACACCTTTTAGAGCTCTATAAGATTGCTGATTTTCATCTGAGTCTAGCTTTGGTGTTAGTTTCCTCTCAATAACTTTAGAATTATTTGTTGCAGTCGTCATATGACCCTCTAAGTTATCATCATACATATATTTATGCTTCTTGAAAGGAGATACTGCCCATGAGTACAAGGGATCCCACTTCAAGATATTTAAAACACACATAACCTTTTCAGAGTCTCTACTGAGAACATTTAACACTTGCTCACAAGTTCTGCGGAATATCCCTTCAACACCTGTTATCCCAAAACCATCAATAATATCTCTAGTTAATCTAAAGGGCACTAACTCAGGTATTTTTAATAACCGACCCTGGTCAAATGCTATACCTAGGTCAATATGAATGGGTTCACCAGTAGTGGTATCTATCAAAATGTTATTTAAATGCCTATCCCCTAAACCAAGGATATAACCAACCATAGAACTAGTGGCTACCCCTTTTGTATATTTCCTCTTGGCACATATCCAGCCATTGGCATCAATGAATGAATTGAAAAAGAAGTTTCTAAATTTTGGGCTAATTTTTTTTGTGATATCTAGATATGTTAAGATTCTTTCTTTGTCGCTTTTTGACTGAACATCCTTCATGCTTCTGCGTGCTTCTAACCAACTATAATTATCATCTTTGTGAATATCAGTTAGAATGCTATGCAAAGACAAAGAATTATTCACAAATTCAATCAAACCAGCCTTTGGCCCCAAGGGAACAACATTATAAGTTCTCATATGTAAATCAGACCTTCGCATTTCAACGTCTTTACCAAAGATCTTATTCACCTGCTGAAAAACCTGTTCCATGATGGCGTCTTGCCTTAGATCATCAGAACCATATTTTATAACAACCTTATGTCTTGACCCATCAGACAAAAGTAGAGTCATAACCTTAGGTAAAGAAAGACCTGTAGATGTTATTGTGATATTTCCAATAACCTTCACAATATTCCTAGAGGAATCAAGAGTATACTGTGAAGAATTTATAGTACGAGTTACAGTTGGTAAAGGAAGGTTTTTTTTGGGCAACTCCGTGATCCAATATCTTCCAATATTAAGTGTCTCTAATGATATTTGAGCATTTTTGCCCTTCACCTTCAATTCTGCTATTTCTAGTGTTGCATAACAAAACTCCTGAATAGTTCTTAAGTATTCACCTTCTTTAACGCTAATCTGACTGTTTTGCAATTGATCAAATATTAAATTTGCAGCTTTGATCTTTTCAGAGATCTTTTCGTCTAGTTTATCACTATATTTTTCATAAAGTTGTAGATTTATGACCGCATAACCGGTCTCAAATGGCAATTTATACAAAAGTCTTTTCATGATATACCATAATTGCTTTTGGAATTTACTCTTAAGTAGTGAGAGTTTAGAAGTAAATTGGTTTACCCAGGGTAAGAATTTCCACGTTGGAATTTGTGACAGCTTTGAAGTGAGGTCTGTATTAATGTCATCATCATCATCATTCTCAAACCAGAGTCCACAGAATCTATCTAAAACGTCATAATCATAATTATTGGTCAATATTAGTATTTGGACATAATAGTCAAGTGCTCTCTTGATGAGTTTTTTTCTAGTGAGACAAATATTTTCAATTGCCAGTCTATCATTTTCCATATGCGTCTTGAGATTGTGATAATGCTTTTGTCCTACTAATAATTCCTCATTGGATAAATTGGAACTTTTAACCACACTTTCAATATCTTTAAGCTCTTGCCTAGTCCTTCTGTAACTTTTCTGTTTTTCTTTCAGTTGATCACTCCCATTTAGACGGCTAATTTCAAGATTCAAAAAGTTAGCCACCTTATATATTGTATCCGGAGCGGACCGTATATTGTTTATCGAAACATCCCAATGTTCGACATCATTCTCAAAAATTTGAATACCACTTTTCACCTTAGCCTGATAACTATCCCATATAAGCTGCGCACGAACCTCATCGTCACTTACAAAGGTATTATAATTTAATTTGTAGGATTTATCAGATAACAATTTAGATAATATAGTCAACGGTGCCTTGGTTTCACCAAATTCGCGCAGAGCTAAAGCTGTCACATAAGAAACATGCCTACTCAACTGCTCCACCAAATTTGTATCTGCAATATGAAATCTCTTCATAGCAGCTTCCATGCTTAATATTCTAGAAAGCGAAGTCTGTTGGATATGAAAGTCGACACTTAATTCAGTCTGGTGAATGAGCTCTAAAATAGGTATACATTTCATAGCTTCATTTGCGAATTTCTCTCGTTCAACATATATCTTTAACATCAAATATCTAAATTGCCAGTTAATCTTTATGTCGGAAATAAGTGCATTTTCCAGATACCTATCAGGGTTTATTACATGGTCTATTTTGAATCGTGATATATCGGTGTCAGTTTTCAGCGAAATAATGGCTCTCTTAGTTTTGACATATTCCCTAATTGTTTCAAACCATTCTAACTTGCTTGAAAAATTTGCTTTAGCTTTATAAAGTTGTATCTCTGCATTCTGTAGTAGATCAACAAATTCTATATTAGTATTTCTCAGGTCGTAAGCAGTATTGTAAAATGAAACTATTTTACAGTCAATTGCTTTGGGTTTCGGGAGATCCCATTTATCCAACTGAAGACATCTTAGATAAGCATCTGCAGGATTATCACAGCTAGTTCTTAGATCAGCGATATCCGCTAACGCATTAAACCCCATTCCTGTGAGGGTATTGACTAATTGGTGAGATCCATTATCTACCAGATGATTAAAGTTTGCATCAAAATATGCACCATTCAACTGCAGTGCTTTTAAAGAATGCGGTGATAGTCTGTTAGCATTTTTAATAAAACCATTTAGTGAAATTGGTGTTGGCAACGCATATAACATGTCAACATCATCCAATTGCTCATATATACTAGTCAAAAGAGCAACATCATAATCACCGTTTTCGCACATGTATGCTTCCTCAAAAAGTTGCAATGCAAATTTTGAATCCTTTATCTTTAAAGCTGCATCTATAACACCTTTGAACTCAATTTTCTGGTATAAGTTTGAATATTCTTTGCGCCCTTGAAGAGCTCCTGAGCGTATAAGACGAATGAATGACAACAATAGTGTTAACTTTGCTAGACAGTCGCTTGCCATTGTGAGGTCATTTAAACGTGAAAATATGTGTTTCCAAGTTGAACTCATTCGCCGATGATCAAATGAAAACGCAGCCAGAAAAAATATACAAACGTTTTGTTTACAAAAATCCATAGACTCATAACACAAAGGAATAAACCATTGAATTTCCTTTGAGTTCAAAGATATTTGTGAAATGAAAAACATACAGAGTTTGACCAACCAGTCTTTATAAGGAATATTTGTGTCAAAAAATTCACTTTCAAGGTAGTGCTCGGAGATAACACAACCACAATTAGATTTTCCAAAATGCTCAATTATTGTTTCATCAATTTCTTTCGCTGAGAATGCAATTTTCATTTTGGTTGCACGCAAAAATTTACTCAGTAAATCCTTATCTTTTAGGATGTTTATTGAAATAAGATGGCATATAATATTACTCAGAGCAAAACTCTTGAATCCTATGGTAGGCTTTATAGATATAAGGCTTCGAAATAATACCGAATACATAGCGCTAACCGCACTATCAGAAAAGTCATAAACTATTTCCATATCATCTATACCAAATCCATCTTTTTCACAAAACGAAGAGTTTTCTTCCAGTTCTAAAATTAAAGAGGAATATTGGGTAGAATAGTCACTAAACCATAATGAAAAATTGTCTATGTCAATCAAATTATTTGATTTGTACACATATTCAATAAATTTCTTATTCATCTTGTGACTAACATAGTCTGGCATAGGGGGTGCAAATGTCATCAACAAGGCAAACAGTTCCACCTCCTCAGCAAAATACATTTGTGAAGTTAGATCACCAACCTGATTGTAAATAAGATCAGTAACCTGCCCATTGGTAAGGAGTTTCAAAGCAATACTATTAACCGTAGACAGATTATTAGATAACATATTCATATCCTCGTCCCCAATTTTTAAACATTCTTTATTTCTCACGTAAAAGTGTAAAACATTTAAAAAAAAAAGAGTAAGTGAATCAGGTTTATCTAAACTGTTAGGCTTAATCAATGATAACAAACAATTTAATAGTAAAAATACATCGGCTTCAATGTTCTCTATTTTAAGGAGATAGGATAGCCAGTTCATCAATTCTATATGTAGAACTGATTGTAAAAAAGTGTCTTCATATAAAAATACCAACAGCTGCAACTGCCTCAAATGATTATTCTGTTCCCAACTAGATTCTGATTTTTGTATATCAGAGATAATCCATAATATAAGAGTTCTCAGATCAAGTAATAGTGTTTGTCTACTCCTACCACAATTTTTGAAAATTTTTATAACAGAATGAACAGTGATATAAATATTCATTCTATTTATTGCATTTTTCATCTCGCTGTCCATAAACAACTCTAGGAGTGAGCTCGATTGATTTGGCCGCTGCATCTCATTTAAAACAGATGTATAATCACTACAATCACATAACTTTAGAGCATATCGCATAACGATTATGAAATTAGAGCTTAGAACGCTCTCCAATTGGCCACGGAAAGAGTCTTTGAGCTTATTGAAAACCATATCTCCCACACCATTATCGTAATATGACAAAGGAATTAGAAGGTATAGAGATCTTCTTAACATCTCACATTTGCTAGTATTACGATCAGAAAAAAAATTTCTTTCTAGTGATTCACTATCCGAGCGACTAAATATTAGGGCGCATATTTCTCTATTATATTGCCTTTCAAATTCTTGTATCGAACCAAAACCAAAAAGACTTCCAATAACAGAGTTAAAATAAAGCTGACGATCAGTATCATTTCTCTTAGTCCATTGTCGGATGACCTCTAAAATATGTACGTTCAACAATTGAATTTTGTTTCCTTGATAATAATTGTTGACATAATTCTTCACTGCTTTTTTTAAAAAAAATGATATGTGAGGAATATTACCGTAGTTTGAAAATATATCCAAGGTGTACACAAAATTTGTGTCATTGCAGTCCAGCAAGCCGAATAATACAAAACACGATGATGCAGCCTTTTCTACACTTTCAGGCATGGGTTCAAATAATTCAACTAAATCATCCAATATGGTTTTCCGGTTTTTATGACTTTTTTTTGACATGTAAGCTTTTAATTCATCAACAATATTACCTAAAGTCGAATAAGCAACGTTTCTCATGCAAAATATCAACATTGAATATAAATCTTGTGTCTTAATGGCGCAGCTGCTGTTCACTGTAGAGTTGTGTTTTAAGACAGAAATGAACAACCTTATCAGCACAACAAATGTGCCTGTTTCACCAAAATTATTTTGCACTAAGTTATTGGTTATCCAGATAAGAAAGTCATTACAATCAGAATTCAATATATTATATTTCACGTTTACCCATAACTCGATAGTGGAAGTTAAAAATAACCCAAGCCTGATCATTGAGAAATCAGAAAGCTGATATTTCGAATTTAGCAGTGATTTGGCTAAAAACTGACATAATTTTTCAAGGGAATGGACTTCGTAATATTGATTATTCGACGGGTTGGTTACCCATGATAAAAGTTCATCTAAAACAAGAGACTCATTCGGACCCATCGAATATAACAATAACCTATCCAAATATATGCCAATTTTCCCCGGAACATTACTGTCCACACAAGTGAAAAACTGTGTCATTAATTTAATATCTGTACGAAAACGCAAAATACTGCGCTGGTTGAGATATATGTCATTACCAGTCTTGGCAGTGGACCCGTTATCTGCATTCAAAAAATGACTGTATTCTTTCTCAAACAAGTTAATCAATGATAGTAAAATATTATCTTTGAATACTACGTCATTGTGCAATCTATTGAAGAAAGTTTCTTGATTGCAGATTATCTCAATAAATTGTTTGCCCTCTTCCCATTTGTCAAAAGACAGAAAATCCAATTCGATAAGTATCGAGTTCAACCTTTGGTTTAGTTCTTGGTTCAAATATGTGTATACCTTACCACTTTTTTCAATAAAATTAATAAAGTAAATCAGTGAAATAGCAAAAGTATACTTCAAACTGTGGTTTTTAGAAGTAGTAAAATAGTTATCGATTATATTCAACAACCACTGAATCTTTATATTTGTGCTGGTTATTGGACAAACCATGGACTTCGTGTTGACCGATGCTTGTGAACTTGTTTGTATGGTTTGTGTCAAAAACTTTCTTTGGTTTTCATAAAAATACCATATTGCTAAGGCACTATCGCTTGTTTTCAAATTTAATAGGTTATAGGTGTTGTGTTGCTTATTATGCGATGTGCTGCCAACAACAACATCAAGTGACCAAAGGAAAAATTCGAATATCAATTTTAAATGCTCAATATGGATAGTTTGTGTTATATTGTGATTAATCCACTTACTAAATGAATCAAGCAATAAGGAGTTGTCTACTTTGAGATTGTTTATCGCAAACACAAAAATATGCTGCCATGCTTCACAGGTAACAGATGAAATTTCTATAGGTAAAACGGAATCAGGGGACGCGATTATGCTATTAACCAGAGATGATAGCTCATCAATTGGTTCTCTTGTCAAGGAGTGAAGTAATTTGTTAAATATCAGACATGCCATGATATTTACTTCACTAGTTGATAATAGTGGGGTAATATACTTTAGAACCTTGAGGTATAGGGTTTCATCAAAATTCCACAAATCATAACTGATATTAGTAAATATACACGCGAGATGCCACGAAGTCAATGAAATATTATTGGTGTTAATACAAAGTCTATCAATAAGTTCAGTATTACATGCTATGGGGTGATCCAAATTTAGCAAAAAGAATAGCTTACATCCCAGTAGCTGAATTAACGGATCACCCGACTCTAACAAACTCTGAGAGTAGTCTAATAATGAGTTGCATTGGTTCAGATTAGATTGTAAACTACCTTCATATTTGATCTTCTTAAGAATTTGGGTAGCATTATTCTCTCGTTCTTGATTAGATAGTCTATAATAAAGGCATAGAGTGTCATAAAGTCCAAACAGTCTTAACCATGCTAGATCTTTGCAGTGTGTCTTTGCAAAAGTATTATACGTCAAATCCATATTAGAATTGTTTAGGTCGTCATAAATACCAATCGTCAATGAATGATCAACATCCAACATTTCTTTTACTTTCATTGGAATATAGTCCTGTAATGTAGATAATACAACACTGTGGCTGATACGGCTTCCCATAATTTCTTGTCCAGGCATAATTGGAATTTGGTTTTGCAATAGTCCTCCACCAAAGATATCTATTTTTGAAATGTCATTTAACAAATTGAAATTGTTTGTTTTACCAATCCGTGTGTAGAGTTTCCAGCATTCAATTATTAGAGATGTGGTATCATAATAATGCTGGCAATGCAACCTAGCTACCAAATTTGAGGAAATGGATAGTAAGACATTTGTAGTAGCAGTTTCACCTTTCTCAAAAACGATTAAATTTGTTATTATGACCAAGGCTTCCTTCGCAACTTTACTAAGTGAAATTGAACCTTTTATTAACAGGACATAGAAGGTATCTAAAGAGTTAGTGAGTGCTCTTATATTTGATCTATTTGAGGATGTTATCTTTATCAGCCAAAGTGTATATTCAGCAACATCAAGCCATTGAGATGGTCCAATTTTGTTTCCAAATATTTCAGATTTTACAATTGCCAGAATGCAGTATGTTACATCATTGATTACCGGTACAATTATTCTGGCGTCATTGTAAAATAGGTCCTTAACAGCCGATATTGTTAGCTTTAAATGGCTAAGCTTGAACTTTTCGATTACAGTTTCAATGAACAGTCTTAAAGTATATGTGATATTTGAAAATCTGCTAATTGATATATTTTCTTTCCGTTGTCTAGAATCCGTATCATCTTCTATACTATCAATATACTTGCCCGCCTCATTTTCTAATAAACTCAATAGTGTGTTTAATAAACCATTAATTTGTTCGTTAGCAATAAATCCAGGATTGTCTTTCAGGATAGATTGAAGCTCTTGAAGTCCTGCATTTCGATCTCTTAGTTTACTTGATGTTAGTTGATCCTGTAGCGTTCTGATTTGATAATTTTCCATTTAGTCAACTCATAGATCACAACATTAACACATTAATCAAATCCTATCAAACCAGACCGTCTATCTAGTGTTATATTTAAAGATACGATATATTTCCGAGAGTTTGAATTATCTAAATTTTAAAATATGATAAAAGATACCATTTTAATTCCAAGTTTCAATGAGATGAGATGATATGTCAAGAGAAATAACCGAATGAGAGGGCGTACTGTATGACATAAAATCTCGGAATAATACACATTCTTGACCAAAGCGTGAATTATTGGGATCAGAAGATAATCTAGGATCTGTTAGTCATTCTGTTATAGTTATTGATCATATTTGATATCTAAGAATGTTTACAAAACATTATACAATGAAAGCATTCACCTCTCACCTAACTTCGATCGCGATAGGTTTTAGTATACATGTACAAAGATATTTTAAGTTTGACTTCCTATTTTAGTAGTTCTTATAAGTATTAAAGATTAGAATAATGGAAAACCTTCTCTTAAAAAGAAATTTTAATAAAAAAAACCAGTATTAAATTGTATTGAAAGAATAATAAAAAAAAAATTGAGATAGTCTGCCATGTCCATTTTTACATGATTTTAAGTATGCCAGTAACGAGCGTCTTGAATGTGAATTTTGATCTACCGAGATAATATAGACAGGTGATTAAGACATGTGCTTATTTAAAGCAACCTGTACATCATCGGCGTTGATCACGACACCCCTTTCCGAACATTTAGCTTTTGCCATTAATTCAGAGCATAACCCATCAATATCTATATCAGAGTATTTTGGATGTGCCGTTATTCTGTCCCAGATTTCTGAACATCTTAAGAGACCATCATCCCGTGATGGAACGACAGTATTGTCATTTTCATCATCTTCGTCATCATCTTCGTTGTCATCTTTAGTCGTTTTCTCACCAATATTTTGATTGTCAATTGTTTCTTTCATCCTCGAACTATTGAGCATATCATTTGTGTTTTGTACTTTGAATGTATCTTCTGTTTGCATTGATGGCTCCTCTTTAACCAATCCATTTGCTATTAGTGCTGAGTCAGAGTTGTCTGTATCTGGTATATTTGTTGTAAAGTAGTCGTTTACTAAATCATTACTATTGGTGAAGTTATCGTCTTGATCGTTGTCATCAAAGTTTAGATCAGTTGTTTCCCTGAAAAAGTTGTTATCATAGTCACCTGGGAATGCCAAAGATGAGTTGATGAATGGGAAATTTACTGATTTACTTTCATTTTCCTTTTCTACTACCTTTTGTACAGCTGGCGACCTGTAAACCTCTTGTGTTCTCCCGGAACCTAACACTGAAGGCGAATAGGCAGGAGAATTGGGAGAGAATAATATGTCGTTACCTAACAAGTTATCACCGAATCCCAATTGTCCAAAACCTGGAGCACCACCAGTGGAGTGTTGATTTGAGGCGGGAGACATGTCATCCCATGTATTTGACAAGAAAGCTGGATCAGTGACGAGGTTATTAGTAGCATTCCCATGCTCATTGCCTTGCATGTTTAAACTAACATCTCCCATTGTATCATTTATAATCATTGGTGAGTTGCTGTTGCCGTTACTGCTTGTGCCAGGTAGAGGAGTCGTGGCAGCCGATTTACTCTGTGGGATGGGGCATGCTTTAGTACCACACGCCTGGTTCAGTTTAGTACAAAACTCTGAAACCTGCTCATCGAAGAAGTTATTGAAATCTATGCCCGAGCCCGATTGGCCCCTCGATATCTGCTTGTGAGAGGTCATGACGTCGTCTAGCCAGTCTTCTGATGAGGTTGGGTCTGTGTTCCAAGTGTTTTTGGATTCATTAGAATCTGAGGAGTCAGAATGTGGAATAGACTGTTTCTTTGCATTAGCGGCAACCGAGTTTGCTGTTGTTGATGAGGACGTGTTACCAGGTGGCGTCAACTGACCTGTGACGTTGAAATGCCTATTTTCATTGAAACTCTCAAGATCTTGCCGTATAATCTTCGCACCAGGTAAGATGCTAGAATCCTTTGATACTCTGTTAGCATTTGACGCCGCGAGATCTGTGTGTCTTGTCGATGTGGAAACCGAGCCGGTGGCGGCACCGTTCCCAGCACCAGCAGCCCCACCCTTGTGCTTCTCCAAGTACTTCAATACCTTATGGTCCTGTTTCGTCTCTGGTCTGTACTTCCGCAACTCTTTCACCAGGATACTCAGCTGGTCCCTGAGGAAGTTGGTCTCCACCTCATTCAGCTTTGTCAAGTTCTCCAAGTCCACCACTTTCCGCTCCAGTTCCTTCATCTTGCGCTCCTTACGCTCCCTGAACGCCTTCTGCGCAGCCCTGTTCTGTGCCACACGCTTCATACGCGTCTCAGGATCCAGCTCCTGGTACCGCTTCTTCCTCGAAGCGCTGCTCTTCTGTGCGCCACCGTTATCCACCTCAGCCATCTTTTACTTCCTAGTTCTTGTCTCTGTCCTTGTCCTTGGCGTGTCTAAGAAACCTTCAAGTTGTAGGCTCTTCTGGTATTTGGTATTGCGTGCGGTTTCGAAAAGTAAGCGCTTATCAAGTAGTTACTGTTGCATATTGGGTTTTTCTTATATAATGGTGAAATCTGCCCATCATCCCCCCACACACAGTTTTACGTGTATAGAGAGAGGGAAGAGCCCCTCCCAGTTCCCACCTGTCCTTCACCGATGCGGTATCGCCCAAAGAAATTACCGCACTCGCAACTGGAGAGCACCTCTTTCAGTAACGGGAAAGGACACTGTGCTGTCGTGACACAGACGGTGCTGCAGGAACAAGGGGTACCTTCCCACTCCGCTATGTTCTGTGCCAAGGCCTTTTTCACCCTTCTACACAAAGTTTCGGGTTCCATTTGGCTACAGAAGCAGCAGTACAAAACAGTACACAACGGAAATCAAAATACAAACCGGAGAAAGACCAACACACGGGGCTGTACGGGGCTGTACGGGGCTGTACGGGGAAGTACAGGTACAACAGACACAAACTCTTTCTAAATGGGAGGGGTGCTGCTGTACGGGTGCGTTAGGTAATGCACAACAAAATCATATACATGGTGTGTGTGTCATACGTTGGTACGTGTTACACATGTGCAACACTTGTGAACCATGACATACATATGTACGTAACATCATCTGATTATACGTATCCAAGTATTTAATCGTTAGCCCCCCCCCACTCCCCCACCGCCGTCGCCGCCGTCGCCGCGGCATTTGGATTTTCTCGTTTCGCCGAGAATTGTTACCCGCAGTGCAGGGTGGAGGGGGGGGGGAAGGAGGTGCTCGTTGCTTTTCGCCCTAAGAGAGTGCTTCACAAGGGATCCCACGGAAGGGGTTTTCTCTGCTGCTATTGCCAGTATTCTTATTGTAGTATTCTATTGTTCTTATTGTTGGTCTATTGTTCTTATTGTTCTAATTCTATTGCAATCCTCTGATTCGAACTCGAAGATGTAAATTGTCTCGTTTACTCCCTTGCTCCCCCCGTCAACACCCTGCAGTGGATTGTTACTGCATCTGCAAGCAAGAAAAAAAAATTGCGAAAACTCGTTTAGCCCTTCGTACCCTTTCTGCTCAAATCTCGGAAGTTATCGGGTAAACATCGCAAATTTTTTCTGGACAGCTCTATTATATATATTGGTAAAGACAATATACAGTTTATTGTGCTCTTGACGTCTCTAAAGCGTATAACAGAAAATATATCAAGGAATTGAAATTCTCCCGATACTAATACAGAAGGAAAAGATGTCTGAGTCGGAATTGAGACAGAGACAAGCTGAGTTCACCAAGGAATTGCACGGTGAAGGTGCCGAGAGCAGGACCGGTTTGACCGCGTTGCTGTCCAAGAACCGTAACGCCCAACGTGAAGCTGTTTCCAAGTACTTGAGACACTGGGACGGTAAGACCGACAAAGAGGCCGAGGACCGTCGTTTGGAGGACTACAACGAGGCCACTCACTCCTACTACAACGTTGTCACGGACTTCTACGAGTACGGCTGGGGTTCCTCTTTCCACTTCTCCCGTTTCTACAAAGGTGAGAACTTCCAAGCCGCCATGGCTCGTCACGAACAGTACTTGGCATACATGGCCGGTATCAAGAAGGGTGACCTAGTGCTGGACGTCGGTTGCGGTGTCGGTGGCCCTGCCCGTACCATCGCCAGATTCACCGGCTGTAACATCATCGGTCTAAACAACAACGACTACCAGATCCAAAAGGCTAAGTACTACGCCAAGAAGTATAACTTGCAAGACCACATGGATTTCGTTAAAGGTGACTTTATGAACATGGAGTTTGAGCCAAATTCCTTCGACAAAGTGTACGCGATCGAGGCCACTTGCCACGCTCCAAAGCTGGAAGGTGTATACGGTGAGATCTACAAGGTGCTGAAGCCAGGTGGTACTTTCGCCGTTTACGAATGGGTCATGACCGAAAACTACGACGAAAACAATGAAGAGCACCGTAAGATCGCTTACGAGATCGAGCTAGGTGATGGTATTCCAAAGATGTTCACCGTCGACGTTGCCAAGCAAGCTTTGAAGAACGTCGGTTTCGAAGTCGAAGTTTCTAAGGATCTTGCTGACGAGGATGACGAAATCCCATGGTACTACCCATTGACCGGTGAATGGAAGTACGTTCAATCTCTATCCGATATCGCTACTTTCTTCAGAACCTCTTACTTCGGTAGAAAATTCACTAACTGTATGGTCTCCATAATGGAAAAGGTTGGTGTCGCCCCACAAGGTTCCGTTGAAGTTACCGCTGCCCTAGAAAATGCCGCTGTTGGTTTGGTCGAAGGTGGTAGAAAGAAGCTTTTCACCCCAATGTTCCTATTCGTCGCTAAGAAGCCAGAAGATGCTAAATAAACAACTGCAGCATAACTATATTCACACTTTATGATGTTACTTTATTTCCAAACGATTGTCTTTAATTAATTTTATTCCTGGCCTTATGAGTGTTACCTGTCGTAATGCTAATGAAATTAACGCTAATTATGATTTTTGCAAAATTAAATTATAGAAGAGATCTTTAGAATGTTCACTTGAATTCATTCCACATGTTTTATTTTATTCCTGTTTAAATTTGAAGAATATCAAAGGATCATTGGCATCCGCAATATATATATTATTTGTATATTTCCTTTTATGTAAGTATCTTCAATTAACTGCCCCGCGCTCATATATACGCTACGCATAGCCTTAACGAAATCAAACAACATTATTTAAAATTAAATTTGGAACTCCAGAAAGCACACTGGTCAAAACAAATGATAGCTAGTTAGTCCGGACTTTTCTGACCTATGCTTGCCATTATAGTTAATTCAGTTAGATAAAAAATGAACTTTGTTATCAAAATGATACGATGTGATGATGTTAGAATCTATATATACATTCATACATTACTTAAGGGCATGCTATTAATGGCAAGAGAAATAAATTACTACTTATTCAATTGTTTAATCAGTAATGTACGCTTATTGTGGTGCTGGGACCTTTGGCTTGGACCAGTCGACACGTAGAATCAAGTTCATGAAACCTCTACCGTCCAAGAAGTGCAAGGCCTTCTCAGCCATGTCTTCATTAATGAATGTAACGAATGCCAAACCTCTGGATCTGCCGGTTTCCTTGTTTCTGACAACGACAACCTTTTGGATTGGTTCGAATGGGAATAATAGTTCGTTTCTTAGGGTGTTTTCATCTGCGTTCTCGTTCAATTGTAGAATCTTCAATGTACAGCTGTCATCACGTTCTCTAGCGTCTCTGTAAGCGTCTGAAGAAGGATCTCTTGCACCAGCACGACGAGATGGTGGCACATAAGCACCTGTTGCGGTGATACCAGAGTCAGCCTTGCCAGCTGGCACTTCTTCAGGTAGACCTGGACCAGCAGCGGCAGCAGCTGGGTCTTCCAATGCCGATATTTCACTCAAAATGGTCTTGAATGGACAGTTCATAGTGTAATGCGCGTTACCACACAGTCTACATGTAATAGTCTTAGAAGCAGATGCCTTAAGCTTTTGAGTTCTGGCTTCAATGATCTTTCTCCAGTTTCTGTCAAGCAATAACTCAACGGTTTCACCGAATTGTGTAGTAGAGTTGTTTGGTCCAGGTGGCGAGTTCTTCTCAGCACCAAACTTGGCCCAGCTTCTTCTCTCAGCAACAGATCTATGCACACGCTCAGTTATCTTAACATCTCTCACCTTCTGAATAATCTTATACTTCTCACCATTTTCAGTCTTGTAAGTGATAATACTCTTCGTCCCGTCAGGGTTCTCTATGATCTCTGGTGCTGCTTGCGACATTGGCTCTTATACGTATTCCTCAGCGTTTAACTCCCTCTACAATTGACGGTGCAACTGATCCACATATACACACACTTCACCCATCACTTATACACTATGAGCGTCTCTTCCACCAAAATTTTTCAGAATTTTTCTTTCTGAAAAATTTGCATATACTTCAAGACGTAAGAAATCACGGGGACTACTCCCCTTCCAGTCTTCCCGGTTTTGGATTTTATAGATGTTGTAACGTTATAACAATAGTAGTTGTAGTTATGGCCTCTTAGCTGAGCGTTAAACAGTGAGTGTTTTGAACGCTGGATCGCAAGGGATTATAATTATTGATAATGGCCAAGGTCAAGGCTAAGAACACGGTGGTGAAGCTCGTTTCTACTGCGCTGACGGGCTACTCTAGGTTTATATCAGTGAAGAAAGGTGCTCCTCTAGTAACACAGGTGCGGTATGATCCTATTGCCAAGAAGCATGTTCTATTTAAGGAGTCAAAGAAGAGGAAAGTACCAGAGAGGAAACCGTTGGATTTCCTAAGGACTTCGAAATGATCTCCAAGGTCTGTTGCACAAGAACTATACCAATTCCTCGCTCAAATTGGTTTATCCATGTATATACAACAAAATGGGTGTTTGTGAGTACCCAACCCATAACATATAAATATGTTCATATATTCATTAGCAAATACTATAATTTTGAAGTTTACATATCAATTATACACCTGAACACCTGAACATAGCATTTCAAAATGGAAAAGGATTCACATCATGACCTGCAAATTTCATGTCCTTTGTATTTTGTTATTAGAAACTTTATGTACATATATGCTAATAGTTAAAGAATCTATTGGTGTATGCGTGATCGTCCCTTTAAAATAACATATAAGGGATAAATGATGGTGGAAAATGGCATTCCTAGATGGAAGGAAGACTAATCTAGTGAGTGAGTATAATAAATGATTAATAAAACTAATGAGAAAAAAAAATAATGGGACGAAGGAAAAAACTAATAGCACAATTATAACTAGAAATAAAATATTATAAGTTTTAAGTCATTAGAACTGGTTGAAGATGACTATATTGAATCGCGTTGGGGAAGGCTCATTAGAAATGTAATAAAGTAAGAAAGAACATAGATTTAGTATTTACATTCATTGGTTACCCCATGAACTCCCACCTCCATAGTTGGATTTATTGCCTTGGTCTTTCCATGCAGATCTATTACCACCATTGTTTTGTTCTTGGTTGTTACCACCCCAAGTAGATGTCCCACCTGTTGCATTATTACCCCAAGTAGAGGCACCACCGTATGTAGAACGGTCACCACCTCCCCAGGTAGAGACACCACCATTGGCTTCACCACTGGCAGCCCATGTGGAGGCACCACCCCAGCTGGATTTGTTACCCCAAGCGGAAGCACCACCCCATGTTGATGTAGCACCTTGACCACCCCATGTAGAAGTAGCACCACCTTGACCTCCCCAGGTGGAAGAGCCACCAGCACCTTGGCCACCCCATGTGGATGCACCGCCCCATGCTGAGGTAGCTCCGCTGGTTCCTGCTCCGTGAGAGTTAACTGCTGGTGTCTTACCACCATCGAAAGCACCCCAACCAGGAGTCATACCACCGGCCAAAGCACCGTTATTATCAGCTACGACACCGGAAGCGCCGCTAGCCATATGTCTAGGAGCGCTGACATAACTTGGACCCATTCTTGCTTGTGGTAGTCTACCACGTCTATTCACTAGCTCATCATACGTTATACCTTCACCACCTTCACGATTATAGTATGTTAATTTTCTCTTGTCTATAGTGATATGCTTGTTCTTGGAATGAAGTTCGACGGTGGCTTTATCACCATTGACATCCTTCACTATACCTAGTTGACCTTTGTATCCAGCTGATCTAACTCTAACAGTTTTACCAAGAGCGACTTCACGACCAGTACGTACTGGAGCTGCGGAAGGCATTGAGCTCTTAGGTGGTCCCATCTTGGAAATGATATCTGGGTTCATCTTCGATAAATCTAGTTTATTGTTTAACATATTATCCTTAGAAGCAATGGCCTCAACATTGACAGGATTGACAACAAAAACACCAGCATTTTCTACTATCTTTTTAGAGACCACAAATATTTGCTGTGATTGAATATAAAGAACTTGACCTTCTCTACGAGCACCGATCTTTTCTACAATAGAGTCACCAATCTTAATCTCATTACCACTGCTGTCAACTGTAGTTAACCTCGACCTTGATGTGTTTATTTTGCTTAAGATCGAACCCTTTGTAATTGTAGAGACCTTACCAGTTTCATCTATAACTTTGAAAATGTCGTGACCAGCTTGAATAATACAAGCCACATTCTTGGCACTGAGCTCAACAATATCATGCAAAGAATATTCACTAGAGGTTGGGGTTGAGTCAATGGATTTTGATAAGTTATTAGCTGTAATAGTTACTTCTTCTCTGGTTTGATTCGACATGAAAGTGACCTGACCTTGTTTGATTGTCAAAACTAAACCAGCATCGCCTTGATGTTCACCGTTAATGACCATAACATGGTCACCAGGTTCGAAGATCTTTCTTAATGCAGATACTGGAAATTCCAAAGGTTTTAAGGGAAATTCAGGAAGATTGACAGTCGCAATAGTAGTGGTACTTTTAGCAACAATACCTCTAGAGCCCCTTTGTTCACCATTTAGAATCTCAACTCTATCACCTGGTTGGAAGGAAACCTTAGCAGCTTGAGCCTTCTTTATACTTTGAGAAATTGCTGTTAGGTCAACAGCACCTTCTTTTGAGCCAAAACGAGCTAATTCTTCCACAGTAGGTTGTATATTCTTAGTTTCAACATGTTGGATTCTGAATGATTTGTATAAGTAACCATCTATGTAATCTTCATTTTTGTAAGTGAAATGGCGATCATCTCTTTTGTACAAGTTTGCTTGATCAAGTCTCAAAGCCATAGTTGGATTGAAAAGCTGAGGTGCCGGTCTATGTGCAAATGTTGGTCTTCTAGATTTACGTTGCTGAGTAACAGGGTCAATTTCATCGAATTTTCCGTAATCTAAACGAGGAACAATCTTTAACATAACTTCCAGATTGTTTTCACTAATTTGATCCACCATTGCAAGGTCACCCTTATATATACCTCTCTTAACTCTAACGTAGCTACCTTCTTCAAGAGCAACATCGTCAGATTTACTTGGTTTTAACAACAATGGTAATTCTTGAACTGGAATTAATAATTTTTGAGAAATGTAGATATCAGGAACACCGTTACAAAACTTTTCAATAACGGACTGCTTTGGTGCTTCGATATAGATTCTTCCTGTATAGTTATCTCTTTGGAAAATAGATAGAATCTTTAGCTTTCTCTTACCCATAGCTCTATCCAGGTTAAACTTCTTTTTCAAAAGTTTCCTTACTAATTCCTTTTCTTTACCAGGTCTACATCTAACACCCCAAATCGTGGCTGTATCAACACTAGGCAACAGGAATCTTTGAGGAACATAGCCATCTTGAGCAGCAGCACGGTATTGTTTAGAGCTACTTCTACCATAACGTTCTCTCAGTTCCTTGGCCAATCTTTGGGCATCTTCTTCGGAAGATTTGTTCAAATCCTGGTCTAGTTGTCTATGCAGCCTGTCACCACGACGGTTACCTGCCACGCCTTCCTCGTCATCCTCATCCTCACCGTGGGTAATGAAACCTTCACGAACCAACTCACTATCCTCTTCATCTTCTTCATCCTCTTCATCTTCACTGACTTCGGCTTCAATATCCAAAAACCTGTTTCTCTCTTGTTGTCTTCTCTTAGCGGCTGGTTCTTCATCCTCATCATCCTCATCCTCATCAAAATCCTCCTCATCATAATCTTCGGCTAGACCTTCAGCGTCTTGGTTCTCTTCACCATTGCCATCGGTCTTTGATGAATCGTCGTCTGCTGCAGTTTCAGTGACTGAAGGCGAGCCCTTTTCTGATTCAGCGTTATCCTTCTCAGCGTTGTCCTTCTCAAGTGAGTTCTCAAGTGAGTTCTCGCCGTCACCGTTCTCAGAACCTGTGCCATGTGCCTGCTCAGAGACAGGTTCAGTATTTTCAGCACTCATCTCTTCATGCGTCCGCTTACTACTATCCACCACGGCATCATCAGCCTTCACTGGCTCCACAGAACCATCACTCATTGCTCAACACTCTATCTAGAAATGGAAGATATGCTAAAGAAATCCAGTAAATTTGCAGAACAAAGCTTATATCAAGCCCAAAAAACCCCCTTCGCCCTGTTTCGTTTGCTGGGAACCTGAAATCGCAGTTAACTTATTTACCAATAGGCGTCTGAGTGTCCTCTGAATCCCAAGATAAGCTCTTTTGCTGCGTCTGGCAACAGCTAATAGTCCTTGCAATTATACAAATACTTGATTGCTTTCCTGGTCTCCAAAGAAGGTTTTCAGCTTGATGTTGGGAATTTTGACTTTTTTTTTTTCTGGCAGTCACTGATATCGTCAGGCATGCGAAACACGTGTATTAATTTACGTAGCAGGGTATGATAATACCAGTTTCAATGGCTGAACTGCACGTCTTTCGAAAGTATTGGAGAGGGATAAGATACAGAGCATATTCAAGATGGTACATGGGATTTTTTTTGGTAGTGTGTATGGATTAGCTAGGCTTGCTGAGGAGGCTATCACACGGCGTTCGTATATACCTTAGGCTAAGTGATGAGTAGTAAAGTTAAGCTTACGTATGAGCAAGTGAAGAAGTTTACGGAGGCCAAGATTCCCAATGAAGTGGAGGATGAGATATTGACGCGGTATGCTGAGTTCAGTCTGGAAGGAGATATGGTTGTCAAGGACATGGTGCCGTACTTTGAGTCGCTGGAGCTGCCGAGGAGATTCTACAAGCATGTGCGAAAGGATCAAGTGGTGATAGAAGGCACCGATATAGTTGATTTTGACAAACTGTTGAAGCTGACTTACCATATACTGGTATTCATGGACAACGAGACATTGATAGACAGCTTGTGGGAGCTGTTAATCCGGAGCTCTGGTAAGGACAGAAATGGTTCGGTGCGGGACATCAAGGACCATGTACTGAGCATCAAAGATTTCCAAAAGATTGAGAACTACCTCGGCGACGCACAGAACATCTCTTTGATAGACATGGTAAGTGTGGCCACTGGTGGGAAACGTGTGTATATTACATACTTGGACTTCGCCTACGTTCTGGGCAAGTTAGGGTATCTTAGGTTTTAAGAATGTATGGTAGTTTAAATTTTTAAGCATCATGAAAACCAGATTTTAATATGTCTGTGGAGAGGGGTTAATTATATAGGGTATATGTATTCTTAAATACAGAGAGAACGTTTTCCTAAATAATATGCTTGGACTTGAAGTAGTTCTTCAAGTAGTTTACCTGCCATGCACCTAGAGAGGTCAAGACGATGATGACCAATACGGAGAAGTTTCTGACACGCTCGTTAGTGGATTCGTTAGTGTTTCTCAATCTCTCTTCTCTGTTCTTCAAGTAGTTCAATTCGTCGACGATCTCATCGGTCAATTCCTCGATCTTTCTCAGCTCCAGCTCAATTGGTCTCAGCTTCTCGGTGGCACTGATCTTGTTCCAGTCACGGGCCTGAGAACCAGACTCGATGTCCAATTCAATGGCACGCTTGGCGTTTCTGTTACCACGGTTGGAGTCCAAAGTGTTCTCGAAACACACGTCGAAGGAAGTAGTAGCTGGCGCAGTGAACGCAATACGTTGCTCGCCGACGAAGTTCTTCAATCTTCTGTACTCGTTACCATTAGAGTCGTGCACGTACAAGTTTAGCACGTTACCGTCATTGAGACTACCGTCTGTGTCAATGTTAATAACCACCAACTCACCTTCAGAGACGAAGTCTCTGATACACATCTGTTCCGGCTTGGACTCAGCCTTCAGATCGAACCTCAGAGCACTGATGAAAGGCGCCAACAGCAACAACAAGAGAAACTTCATCACGTATTTCACAATTTCGTTATTATCTCCAAAAAAAGAAGCAGCTCCTTGTTGATCTCGAGTCCCTCCAAATAGTAACTTGAACATTAGCAAACACGTATCTATATATATGGCCCAACACAATGAAATTTCTTAAAGACCCAAAGCACAGAAACAGGGAGAGTGGTACCCAAAGGCGTACAGAAGCCCCAGAAGCCCAAAACCAAGATGGACCATCAACGTGATCAAATGAAAAATTGCTTTTGGCGACGCGTTGTGGCTTTAGACGGTCCGGTCAGATGATATATTCGTTATACAATATATAACCATAAACGTACAATCAGATGACATACGTAGAACACTACACACAATCATGGTGAACGAACGAAAATTTCTTTTCAAGAAAAATTTCCTTTGGCCATCTTATATATATAGAGTGGGATTAGGTTCATTCCTGTATTATTTCTTTACGTACTTCTCTTGCAGTACTAATACTCCCCCAAAGCTTACACACATCCACTACTCCAAAAGAAAAAAAAATTTGCATAATGGATAAGCCAGTTGAAGATCAAGAAGTTCCACAACAAGAACAAGAGGACGTGCCTCCTCCTCCACCTGCTGAAGCCCCACAGGAGCAAGAGCAGCAACAAGAACAGGAACAACCACAAGAGCAAGAGCAAGAACAACAGCAAGAACAAGAACAACCTGCCGAGGAGATGAACGTTGAGCACCAGGATGCTCCTGTCCACCACGAACCAATGCCTTACGAGTCTCAGTTCCCAGAACCACCACAACCATACTACAACCAACCTCCACAAGGTGTGCCCACTTTCCACCAACAAGAAGGCGAATTGTCTAACACCAGACTGTTTGTTAGACCATTCCCTCTAGACGTGCAGGAATCTGAGCTAAACGAGATTTTCGGTCCCTTCGGTGCCATGAAGGAGGTCAAGATCCTTAACGGTTTTGCCTTCGTCGAATTCGAAGAAGCTGAATCTGCTTCCAAGGCTATCGAGGAAGTTAACGGTAAGACTTTCGCCAACCAGCCTTTGGAAGTCATGTTCTCTAAGATGCCTGTCAAGAGATTCAGAATCACTCTAAAGAACTTGCCTGAAGGTTGCTCCTGGCAAGAACTTAAGGACCTGGCCCGTGAAAACAACCTGGAAACCACTTTCTCAAGTGTTAACAGCAGAGATTTCGACGGTACTGGTGCCTTAGAGTTCCCAACTGAAGAGATCATGAACGACGCGTTGGAGAAGTTGAACAACATCGAATTCAGAGGCTCCGTTATCTCTGTTGAGATCGATGACAACCCACCACCAATTAGAAGATCTAACAGAGGTGGCTTCAGAGGTCGCGGTGGTTTCAGAGGCGGCTTCAGAGGCGGCTTCAACGGTCCTAGAGGCGGTTTCAGAGGTGGCTATGGTGGCCCAAGAGGCGGTTACGGTGGAAGAGGTGGCTTCAACGGTCCAAGAGGTGGATTCAGAGGCGGTTACAACAGTGGTGGCTTCAGAGGTGGTTACGGTGCTCCAAGAGGTGGCTTTGGCCAAGGTCCTCGTGGTGGCTACGGTGCTCCTCGTGGCGGTTACGGTGGCTCTAGAGGTGGTTACGGTGCACCAAGAGGTGACTACGGCGCTCCAAGAGACTCATACAGAACCAGAGATGCTCCTCCACGTGAAAGATCCCCAACTAGACAATAATTAGTTTAACCAAAATGGTATAATCTAATTACCGGTAACTCTCCGTGTCTCCCATTTTTAATTGTATTTTATGTGAATTATCAACCAGAGTCAAATGAGACACTTATATTACATTGGCACCAATTATCCCATCATTTGGATGAAATGCAGACATGTAATGGAAAAGAAAAAAAATGAATTTAAATTAGTGACAAATATCTACGACTGACCCATATAGGAAATTATTACTGAATGTTTATTATATTAGTGTATGAAAAATCGGCGAATAGCAATTTAAGTATCCCAAACCTAGTTGTAAAATTATTCTTTAGATTGAGATAACTTTCAATTACATGACCTTTGCAATGAAATCTAAAGAGCACATAGTTGAAAATCAGTGCTTGTTGAAACTTAATATGTTGACAATCCAAAGACTTGTTTAAACTGATCCAAATGTAAGACATAGCACTGTAACAATAATGGAATCACTCTTAAAGACTACTGTTTCAAATCCACAAATTAAAAACTATTAGATTTTCCAATATATCCAAATTAATTACCATTGTACTATAACTGAAATTAGGATCTCTTGTAAAGAATAAAAATCTACCACTTATTAATATTCTACAAAAATTTCTGATCTTACCCAATTAATTATTTGACACTATACTTATTCTGATACATATAACGGCCATCTCAGATATCTGATTTTTCTTTTTAGTTACCAATTATGCTACTCCGCATCTACAATCAATTGGCCTCAACTATGAACTCTAATTATGTGATTGAAGATTTACTAACCGATAGACTATTCAACTGTCAACGTACACCACCAGTTTTATATTATCGTGCGCATACGTTGTTATCTGAAATTAAAAAGAAATTAAAAATATGCATATTGAAATGAAAATGATTGATGAAATTTCTATAAAGTCAATGAATAATGATATATCTGTTGGCATACATTCTATTTACCATTTTTACATCAATTAGTTTCATCATCAGATTCACTTGTTGATAAATCCTCATCTATATGTTCTACCAGCAAATTCCCTTTGGGCCATATGTCTTTAATGTCACTAATTACTTTATTTTCATCCATTGGAATATTCGTCCTTGGGAAAGGTGAAATCAATTCAAATTTGATTTCTAGATCCTCAACTCCTCTCAAATTTGGTGGTAATTCATCAAATATTGAATGCATCTCATTATGCACTATATCCATTAGTTTTTCTATTGAGTTTTCATCTGTTTCAGTCAGACTAATTAAGATAGATGAACTGTCCGAGTTGTCACGTATATCACAGAGTTTAGATTGGATTTGTTGCAACCATTTTCTTTGATCTTCATCCTGTAACTCAAGATATAAATGGCACCCAATCTCCTCATAAAGTGACCTTAGCGTCATATCTCCTGCAATCTTCTTTATAATTCTTTTCCCATCAGCAGTCCTGATTTGGAGCGTAGCAATATTTTTATTCCCTCCATTTGATATGCTATTCTGCTGCTGTAAATGAGTTGTCTTCTCAATACATTTGCTCAACCAACGCAGCTCATGCAGAGCTGTCAACAAAGCTTGCTCTCTTTGTTTCTTTGCAAGCATTGTTTCCAATTCCTTACGTTCTTTTTCTTCTTGTAATCTTTTCTCTTCCTTGTTTCTGTCTTGCATCAAAGAATTTTGATACGCTTCCTCTTGCTTTTGCTTAATTTCACGGGCTAGTCTCAATTCCTGGACATCAGTTCTACTTACAAGTAATTCTGGCCTGTATCTTTCGATTGTGTTCTTTAGACTGGAGCTAAACCTCTTTGCGGATGTCATTCGAATCTTGCTTAGTATCGATAATCTAGTTGATCCGTTAACTGAACCATTGGAGTTTAGTACGTTAGCCACTAGAAAGCTGTCAGGCGTGTATTTCAATTTCAATTCTTGAGAAATAAACCAAGGCTCTACATCAGATACTGAGCCAACATACACCAATAGCTCATCTTTGTAGTCAGCCAACGTCTTCAAAACAGCGTCATCAATAAGAACTCTATTTAAAAATCTGTGTGAGTTAATATCAATGTCTGTGACATCTTTTGATAATTTCTTTCCTTCTAGTTGCGAGGGGCTGTAACTATCCAAGTTTCCTAAAAGCAATACCAGCAAATATTTAAATTCAGACTGAGCCTCTTCTAGAAGGTCGTTAAAATTTTTATTCTCATTGGGCAATAAACTTTCAATCATCGATATTTTGTTATCATCATCAATATGCGTAGCCATATAACCTTTTACAATCTCAGCATATGATTGCTCTGTTTTTTGTTCAGGATTTTCGAAATATTTCTTGAGTGGAGCGTTTGGGATATGGTATACTTTACTTTTACTATCATTATTCAAATTATTTGTAAACCCAAAGGCTATAATACCCCATAGTAATGAAAACAAGCTCAGTCCTGCCCGAAGGACTATTTTGGGAACAAGTAAAAGAATCACTATCAATGGGCCTAATAATTCATTTGTAGTTCCACTTGCAGTTAGGTTATAAATATCCCAAACATTGACGCCTGTAGTGAGACCAACCACTTTCAAGTTATCTCTATAGTTGGTTGGTAACTTTCTTATTAATGGTAAAGATGGAACGTAGTGTGAACCTAAAAACGGTCCTGGGGAAGCCTCATTTCTCATTATTTCATCATGGAAAAATGATGGAGTTTCTACATTAGGGATATCTATAGGTGTGTCGTTTCTCATTGGGATTGCTATATTTTCAGGGACTCGTCCTGTGGCAAATTCTGCAGAGGAGTGAGCTCCGGAGTTGATCAATTTCACCGATTCTTTCCACTCATCATCAAAATACCTACTTAAAGCAGCTTCCAAATTCCAACCATGGTTCTGTAAAAGCTTGATGACTAATGGTAGATCGTCCTCTGGAAAGTTAGTAATACCTTGAAAGTTATTCAGTTTTTCCTCTTCCTCATGAGAAAGATGGAACTCTTCACCAGCATGATTAATAATTGGCATCTTATAGACTTCTTATCATAATAAATACCTAACAAAAAAAGTAGTATTTATTTATATTTTAACACAAAGGAACTTTGGGCTTTTATTAGTTTAATCGTATTTGTACCTTTATTATCGTATCTTTGAATGAAATGACTAGCCTATGCATTCTCGTAGGAAGGTGATATTTTCATAATCCGTCAATCATTAATATAAATGCAATTTACAATTATGATAATATAAGGTACAACTATGCTACATTCCCTAGTGTCCTACTTGGAAAGATCACATTATTTATAGAGTTAAGATCTCAAGTTTGGTTTCAAATAGAACCCTGTCCAAATTTTATAACTGAGGTCTATAAACTTTGATCAAGCCTTCTGAGCGATGACATACCAGTTATCCTTTTCATAGCCTCCTCTTACTACTATAGCACCTGCTGCTTCACAATCTTCTTCCAATTCACCCTTTTTATATAAGTGATAGAACCTATATTTGACATCTTCTTTTTGTTCTTCATTTTTCTGCTTTGCTTCTTCCTCTTTTAATCTCAATTGTTCTTGCTCTTTCTTCCAATTTGCAACAAATGCTGCTCTATCCTGAGGTGCAACGTTCGTTAAATCTGGCTTAGCTCTTTGAGAAGACTGCTTTTTTGTCGGTTCTTTCTTCTTTTTCTCTTGTAAAACCCATGGCACTAGAACATCTTGTTCCATTCCTTCATGATATCCTCTACGTGAATTTCCTTGTTCCAACGCCCAGCAGTATATAAGTGCTTGCCCACCTGATCTTACTTTACTTAGAATATGCTTGATTGCACTAATACGACGCTCCCTCGTAGTCCAATGATGCACCACAGCGATGGAAATTGCAAAATCAAACCTATTGTCTAAATGCGGCAGACGCATACCATCCGCGACAAGAACGTTATAGTTAATCGGATCAATTTCGTGCGCACATTGTATAAGACCAGAAGACCGATCTGAACCAATTATATATATATTTGGATTCACATTCAGGTATTTCCCATTACCACACCCAACATCTATACCAACACTTCCCATAGGTCTAGTCATCAGGAAGTCAGTAACAATCGGCCAAGGTTTGTACCGCGTCTCTGAGAAGTGAGGGGCAATTTCATTGTAGACTTTATGTACATATTCTTCTTCCTTGAGATCAGCCATTGCTTTCTAAGATATAATTATTGTTGTCTATACACCTGGACCAGGCTTAAATTTAGCGATGAGCTCTTTCTAAGTCTCTGTTATTGTTAAGATTTCTATGATGCATGATTTTTTTTTTTTCAAATTATTTTGTCAAAATTTTTATTCCTTGAAAAGTGCGAAGGGACAGACAGATACAGAAAAGTAAAACAAACTTAATAGTTATTGAGATACATTAATAGTTATTTTATGCTCAGTAATTATGATGGTTGCCCAATTTATAGTACGCCTATAAGTCCTTCAAGCAAGTAGAGTTGCGTACAATCAAACCGATAATGATGGCTACTACACAAGGTCCCTTGGATACAATTCCGAAGGCGAACTACCCACCTTTGTTGACAAAAGCCAATTACATGTCAACGAAGCAGTTAATCAATGAAGTTCTAAGTGAGGATCGTGAATATGTGACTTGGAAACTGAATCAACTGAGAACAGGTGGTAATGATGCACCTGGTGCGAAGCTGTTACAAACTGTAGCACACCATAACAATCGGCAGTTTCACAAGAAGAACGCCAAGGTCATGAAGAAGAGATATCCTAATCAAATTAGTGGTGTGCCACCAAATCTCACCTTCGTGCAAGACTTGTATGAGAAGGAGATGAAGAAGGAATCAGAAGACATAGATAAATCCTTACGGGAGATGCATCAACCTTCTATACCTGCTGATGAACAATTCAAGCTTCTAGTAACCAATCTTGATGAAGATCAAACAAATCGTTTTGAAGTATTCCACAGGACCGCGTTGAGTAAGACTCAGGTCAAGAAACTTGCAACAACTGTTGTAAATCAATCGATCAACGAGAATATCCGTGTTTTCTTGCAAGCTATAGGCAAGATATTTGCAGGAGAAATAATTGAAAAGGCTATGGAGATCAAAGAGAAGTGGCTTTTAAGCCTAATGCACAGAGAATTTGATAGGAAAGAGGAGACAGCAATGCGTTTAAAGAAGCTATTGAAGAAATTGACTAAGATGGTAGATAAGAATGGAATTGTTGGCGATGATGAACCTGGTAATGGAATGGAATTAACAGCACATGATTTAAATAATGAGTATCCTAGCAGTGTTGATGAAGAAGAAGAAGACATTTATCTAGACGATGAACCCGATGCAATGAAGAAAATACAGGATGTAAACTCACTACTTCGATCTCAGGAGAACACTGCTGAAATCAGATTGAGACTCATATCACATTATAATGAGCTAGTACGACAGTTCAATGAATTGGATGTAAGTGTGGAAAAGTACAACTCTAGCCCACTCTTACCGGAACATATCCGTGAAGCATGGCGACTGCACCGTCTGCAGAGTGAAACCATCCCACCCGCATCCTGGCGTACCCAGGGTTCAGGGAACGGTCAAATGTTTAGGTAATGATTACACCGATCGCTAGTGTCCATCGAGAAAAAAAAAAAGCATTCAACCTGATACATATGTTTCATAGTACCGACACGCAAGAAAATACCTCATTCAAGAACGCTATTCACAGTTAGCTATACAGAAAGCAGTTTGTCCCACCAGATCAGAAACTGTCTAAAAATACATATTTCTGACTAAACGCAAGAAAAGGGGAGCACATGGATGCTACACTCAAAACTAATATCAGGCGTATATATCTCAATGAGATGCCCTTAATGCTATAATTAGGCAGTCTTTTCCTATCGAGTCATGAGCGGGTCCGCTTAATTGGCCCACACGTACTTATTGCTGGTTGTACGCCAAATCCTTAGAACACACCGATAATCTGCACAGAACAATAAGATTTACCCTTTTCTCATCTCTTTCTATGCATCTTCCTGCCCCTTCTTCTCAGCCATCATCAACGGATAGAGCATAAAAAGACTTCTTTTCTTAGAAGAGATTTTTGTCCTGCACTAATTTCTGTGACTCTTCACTATTCTGGCCTCTTCAGTTTTTTGTTCTTTTTTTTTTTGCTTCCACCCCCTTACACCTAATCGTTTGGTGTGCACGGGTGTTTCTATGAAAAAGTACCTTCTTTTTTTTTTTGCGTTTTTGCTAAAAGAAGAGATCTGTCCTTCCATCATGTATTTCTCGAAGATTTTTTGGGCATCGAACCCATTCCTTCATCATGGAGTGTTTTCTCATTGCACAGAGATCAAGCAGAGAACTTATTTTTTTTTTTTCAATTTTTTTTTTTGCAAAGCTTCTGAAGAAACAACCCTTTTTCCGAATTGTATTCACAAGATATGATCGTACAGTTAAAAACTGAGAAAAGAGAAGAATGTCTGGATGATGTCTTCCTATAATCATCAATGGAATAAGGCTTAGAAGAGAAGGTGACTTAGCTGTACAATACAATGGCATTCCCTGGGGAGGGAAGGGTGAAAAGTTTATGCTGGATCATCGAGAAACCTTCTCATCAGCAAGTTAATCTCCCTTTAATAACTGTTTCACCCCCCTTCAAACAGCTCGTTCCGTTTGTCTCTATTTTTGGGTGACAAATATATTGCATGTATGGAGTCCCATTGACTTACCATCACTCACAAATTATATATATACATATGTATTCCTTCTATCATTAGATAAGTTATGGGCAAAGACACTATAGTTGTTACTTTAGCACTGATTTTCTAAAAAAAAAAAATTACATGCTAATGTTCCTTTAGTGAGAGATTTTTTACCTATGGGGAACACAACTTCAATTGAGAGTAAGATAGATTTCGGACAGAACAGGCATGTGAAGCCGCATTTGAAAAACAATAATCACGTGGATGATATTTACAAAAGGGATACCTTACCGCCGTCTATGGCACAAATGGAACCTAGATCACCAATCCTGGTTGTGAATGGTAAGCACTTAACTGATATCAAGGAAATAGCAAATATCAGCTCACAGATACCGGAAACAATGATGGCTGCCAATGCTGAAGCTGCATCACTTCAGGAATCATTATCCAATGAAGAGAGAGCTGCTTATTTGCCAACTTTTAGCAAAAGTAGTTCGTATGTATCTTCTCTACACAGTAGAAAATCGTCTTTGCTTTCTAATTCTACTACACTAGGGACCCCTGCAACTTCGCCAGGCTTAAACGAGTCGTCTTCCTCATTGGCCAACGACTATTTTGCATCTAAAAGGAGACCCTCGCTACCAGATCAAACCTTGGGCCAACACCTAACTCGACCCTCTTTGCTCGACAGCCACAGATCTTATTCTAGCGACAATTGCTTGTCCACTATTAACTCTAACTCAACAGAGCTCCAGAACACCACTACGCATCACAATGACAGACTAAGAGATATTTTTCCATTTTCCCGACCAAAATCACCAAATGGCTTTGAAATACGGATTCCATTATCTTCTGATGATGTATCATCCAGCTCTGAGAGTAAACTGTCTTTACACAGGCATCACAGCTCAAAAGATATTCCTGGTGATCAAACAGGTTATGTTATGATCAACGGAAAACGGAAGAAACAAGTCAACATCGATGAAGCTATACAAAGATTACTAGATGTTGGCTACTCAGGCAAGAAAAACAAGGCCTTTTGCCTGAAAAACTCCGAGATAATTCAAATTTGCATACAAGCACGCGAAGTATTCTTAAATCAACCGGCGTTGCTGGAATTATCAGCTCCCGTGAAGATAGTGGGGGACATTCATGGCCAATTTCAAGATCTTCTGCGGCTATTCACAAAGTGCGGGTTCCCGCCTTCATCAAATTTCCTGTTTCTAGGAGATTATGTGGACAGAGGAAAACAGTCACTAGAGACCATATTATTATTGCTATGCTATAAGATCAAGTATCCAGAAAACTTTTTCCTGTTGCGCGGAAACCACGAATGTGCAAATGTAACGAGGGTTTATGGTTTCTACGACGAGTGTAAACGTCGTTGCAATATCAAAATATGGAAATATTTTATAGACACATTTAATACATTACCATTGACAGCTATTGTAGCGGGTAAAATATTTTGCGTTCATGGTGGGCTTTCCCCCGTGCTAAATACCATGGATGAAATTAGAAATATGTCAAGACCTACAGATGTTCCAGATTTTGGTTTAATAAACGATTTGTTGTGGTCTGATCCTATTGATTCGCCAAATGAATGGGAGGATAATGACCGAGGTGTGAGTTACTGCTATAACAAAGTGGCAATTAATAAATTCATTAATAAATTTAACTTTGACTTAGTATGCAGAGCTCACATGGTCGTAGAGGATGGCTATGAGTTTTTTAACGACCGAACATTGGTTACTGTATTCTCTGCACCAAACTATTGTGGCGAATTTAATAATTGGGGGGCAGTAATGTCAGTCAGCCAGGAGCTACTTTGTTCTTTTGAGCTACTGGATCCGTTGGATAGTAACTCTCTAAAACAGGTCATGAAGAAGGGGAAACAAGAACGTGATCTTGCAAACTCATTTGATTAACCTATTAGTGCATTTGGTCTAATCTAAGATTCTTGATACTCATTAAGCATTCTCTAAAAATCACTACTAAAAAGATACTTTACCCATACAATATGTTATTAGGCAACGGCAGAAAGTGCTTTTCATTATACCCAAACTATCGAACTTCCTTAAGTTTCAAATTCTTCAAATTAGCTACTATGAGGAAAGTTCTCATATCGGTCAGAATATTATAAAAATATTTTGCTGATAAGTTTCAATCATAAACCTTCCGAGTTTTACATATTCTGAGAAATAAATTAATATAAATAATATTCATTCTATAATAATAGTTTCAAGATACGTACACGTTATCTATATCTTATTGTCAGAGAAAATAAAAATGAAAATTAAACCAACATGTGCTGTCTTTTCGACAAATATTAAAACAAGTAAATTAGGCTTAATTTTTACTTCTATATATCGCAAATCAAACAACTTTATACCGTCTCAAATTTAAAAGTTTATAAAAAAGAAACCATTAGTAGTCATTGCTACTTTAAATATTATAGAATATACAGATAATTAATAAATTTTATTAAGTTTTAAATTTTGGGTCATCTATCATCGTAACTTCATAATTGTATTTAACCATAATTTTGTAAACTAACCAGAAAACATCATTCAATGGGATAAAAAAAAGGATCAATCATATTATACTATGTTTGACAAATTAAAATAAAAGGAGATGAACGTATCAGCCAATTAATTGAAACGTTCATTATGATATAATGTATTAGTGATACGTGTGTCCGCAATTCTTCCCGACATGCTCATTAATCCATTCATCGACATTAGCAAAAGACATATTACAATGCTTGCACTTACCTGAGACAAAGCTCCTCTCCGACCGTCTGGTGCCTTGTGGATATTCGAAATGAAGGGCTTTTAGGTGGTTCTTAAAAGTATCACAACGAGAAAAGACACCAGTCTTATGACACTGAGTTGTTATGAAATTGACCTCCTTGCCTTTATAAGGATAAAGCTCTAAATCTAGTTCTATCAGAGCAGAGTTGTAAGGACATTCATAAGTACCCTTAATACAATGCAGCGATTTTAAGTGTTCTTTATCAGCAATTGTCAACTTTGAACCTGTTACACCAGATTTATTATCCTCTGATTTCACAGCACTAGAGAGTATTTTATCTTTCCAGTGCATTTTCTCATGTCTCATAACATCATTTTGTCTCACAAATCCTCTTTGACAAACGGAGCAAACAAATGGTTTGATATCAGGTTCCAAATGAATAGCTTTATGTGTCGTCAGATTGGCGAAGAAGCCATGACAAATTGGACACTGCTTTCTCCTCCTCTTCTTAGTAACTTTCATATCTGTCTTCACACTTGGTACACTAAGAGTTGGTGGTGTGTGCTCTTCTGAAAATATGGATGGATGTGGCTCTTCCTTCAAAGATTCCAGAGCTTTCATCTTATCTATGGCTTCCAATATAGGCTTATGTGAATACTCAATAGAGTTTGGTGTAAGAGCATTGCCCTGCATAGCTTCAGTTGAGTTGTCCGAGTTGCTCATAACCACATTTTTTTTATTAAACGATAGGCTCGGTAACTGAATACTAGAGTTGGATCTAGATATTTCCGCCGAAGTTGTCCTTGACGATTGCGTTGACGATTGCTCTGAGTCATTTAAGGAGCACCATGTTGGCTTGATTAATGGCACACGACCGGTCGAGTTCCTCTTCTCGCTATTGAATGCCTCTATCGGGAACACAGAGTTTCTGATGGTAGACTTTGAAGCGGATATCGAATCTATCTCTGAAGTGGTATCACTATGAATCATATTAAGATCAATCTTGCTGTGCATCCTTGAAGGTCCCAACGGTGACTCAGATAGGAACTGATAACTGAGTATTCCAGAGTTGTTCCGTGTTCCAATAGGATTTATAACTTCTCTGCTTTTGACTCTATTTCCGAGAGCCGTAAATATCCCTGAGGGCACAGGGGTTAAACGCTCCCCCATATACTGCTTCTCAGCTGCTTTTATGAGGTTGTCAAAAGAAGAAATAGGCGGAAGCGTTATATTTTGATGGTCATTGGGACTCTTTGAAAAATCCACCATACCTTCAACGGCCATTATTGTTTTAATTTTTTTTTATTCGATTATGTGGTGAGTTCTGTTATCTATATTTTCTTTCAAATTCAGATTATACTACTTAATTTATCGATCCTCCTTTTTCTGCTCCTTTCCTTATCTTACTGTACTATATTGTACGTGATCTAACTTGTCATGCAATAGATTTTGTATCCGGTATTATTGCTACTTGAATAGCTTATGGTTAAGAGCTTATTAATATATAAAGAATATCTCTACAATATAAATAATAAGTGGCAAGAAAAGGATCATCCTATGACAACCTTACCAGTATATCTTTTATCAAATTTGCGATAAATTTTTCAGTTATCTTGTAAGAAAAGGGCAAGTCTTCCAACTTCTCTTTATGGTTGGGAAGAAAAGGAAAAATAGTGGGCAGTTTCCAAACATTTTGCAGTAAATCATCTGTACCAAGATAACTGTGTGAACAAAGGAACATCTAATACCAGAAGAAAGCATCTTGGAAGCCTTTTTATTGGATTTATTGACAGTGCGGGGGGTGGGGTGGGGTGTGTGTGTGAGTAAGAGCTCTGTTCAGGACAGCAAGCAGGAAGTGGCCTATATTCTTGATGCAGAGATAATAAGGGGGGGAAAGAATGGATCTCTCTTGTAATGGAAGTGTTTCATTGTGCGCTCGGTTTAGTGATGGGTTCAACAGGATGGGGGGGGTAGGGACGAGGGGGGAGGGGTGCTAGAAAAATCCGAAGTACTGAAAACAGCCTCTACGTCAGTTTGTTTGTGCGTATTTAGTAGTTGTTCCGTCTACCAAATAATCAAGTAATGTACGCAAGTATCTGTGGGGGGTAATTATTCCGCAACTATCGAATAAAAAAAAATTAAAGAAAATCAGTCTTAATACGTGGGGGTTTTCTATTTCTTCTTTATTTCTTCTTTCGCTTTTCCTTCATTGTTACGCCCTGAAAATTATGCAATTTGTACGGATCATCCTGTGGGAAGAAAATTGCTACAACTGAGACAAAGGAGGATGCTGCCTTTACTAGTTACTGGCTAGAAGAATATGCCGCACAAAATGGTGCAAATAAAAAAAAGGGTCCTCATGGAAAATTTTCCGTGAGAGATTATTGTACTGAAATATATCAGTACAAGCTAGTCTTAGTATGCATATCTGCAATGCTGTAGAGAACCATAAAAGAAAAAGGACAAAACCATTGAACTCCTACGGCTTTCCTCTAAGACCCATGGGGGTTATGGGAGAAAACGAGGAGCTCTCTGAGAATTAGATTTTCCGAGTTTTTCCCACGCGACACCAAAAAGATAAATGTGTTCATCTCTAAGAATATTACGCGGAAGCCCATGGTTTGCGCTCCGTACTATGCACACCAGCTGGGAAACAAATCATAACTTCACAGATAGAATGCGCAGTCGCAGAGAGAACAATATTTCCCAATGCCCTTTGAACTGGACCTAGGATATGCTTCCTTAAGTTGTGGAATTAAAAGTGGGGTGGGGGGGGGGGAGTGCCGTGATACCCGTGTTCGTTATTCCGCATATACTCCTTCTATTTGCCGGTACAGGAGTTTTCCAACATGGCTCAACTGGAACAAATGCCAAGGTACTATTTACGGTAACATGTAGTGCCCTTTCAAGGGACAAAATAGTCTGTAGCTGTTATTGCACATATACGAACTTCGCTCACGTTATTTCACTAAATGGTATGTGTCTTCTGTATCTCTCATTAAGACAAGATCTGTATCCTTGATATATGAGACAGGCAGCCTTGTGAAACTGGTTCCTGAACTGGTATATAAAGTGGAGGTTCCACCTTCAACACCATTATAATATTCGAGACCATAACTTGTTGTCATTGTCCAACAGCCAAAGGTAGATCGTAAAGACTTCAGCATTTTTTGTAAGGCACTGAACTCACGCATAGCCACGGGGGTCTGATAATATGAGAGATTGTCTATAATAATTCCGGTCAAAGGCTGTTGTAAACAGGAGTAACTATCGGTGAAGATGCACCTCTTCAAAGCTTCATCGGGGCTGTCTATCAGTTGCCCTAGAAAATTTAGTAAACCATCAAATTGACAAAGGGAAGCACTGCTGAGATACGCAATACTTTGACCATTGTTTACTAAACTTCTAGCAAACTGTTTCCAGCAAGAAATCACATCTATTAGTAGTATTAAGCCACTGTTTTCGTCCAAATTCGTAGTTATCAATTTCTTCTTCACTTTGCTTAATCTGAAACTATGTTCCACCACATGTATGTGCCCTAGTTTACGCGTTCTTAATGCTAAATGCTGGTTTACTAGATCCTCAGGTATTTTGAAATATGTTTCTGTAGTGGCACAAAAACTTGATATGGGATAAATCCTGCAATGCTTTAATATTTCCATTATAACTATGTATTTCTTGTAAGTTCAAAATTCAAGTCATACCTGCTCACCCTATATACTTTGACGCTTTCTTGATAACTCGGTATTTAGTTTTCTTAGAAGAGAAGTCATTAGCATTTGATCAATTGAACTTTGTTAACAGCATTAATATATATTATTTTTACAATCCATACATTAAATTGGGTTTTTGTTACGCAACGTTAGAGCGACTTCATAGGAAGCTTACTATTTTGTCTGAAAAAATTTAGTTGAAAAAGATTGATGCGATGAGCTCGATTTAACTAAACAATTTATAAAACAAAATATATATATACAATATAAGAAATAACCAAGCAAAAAGTGCAATAACTATTACAAATGCACAATAAGAAGGTGACGAAAGATGAAAAAAAAAATACTAAGACCAAAGATGTAAATGAACATATACCGAATTACATAAAGAACTTGCCTTGGTACTATCAAGATATTGACAAGAACAGTAAGAATAATTCGAAAGAACAGGATTACCTAAGACACCACAGACAAAGGAGAGATGACAAGACTATAGATATAGATAACAATGATCAGGCAAAGATAGGGACCGGTATCAAAGATGAGTTTGAAGTGATTGTCGAAAATAAAAAAACCACAATTGATGGTATAATCAAACGTAGAAAAGACGAGAAAGATTGGGACGCAAGGAAAGATAGATGGTATGGTTATAGTGGTAAAGAATACGAAGAAGTCTTAAAAAAATGGGAAAAGAGTAGAGAAGATCTCAATAACACTACTGAAGAATCTGCTTATGATACTGATGAAGAAATAGAAATGATGAAACTTGGTTTAACCCCTAAAGATCTCGAACAAAATATCAAAGGGTCATCAGTAAGATTACGAGAGGATAAGGCTGCTTATTTGAAGGATATATACTCAAGTACAACCAACTATGACCCTAAGTCTAGACTATACAAGTCGGATGATCTGGGTAGTATTGATGAACACTCAAACATGTTTTTACGACATCTTACTGGTGAAGGTAAAGAACTTAATGATCTAAACAAGTTTGCGAGGGAGAATGCTAAAGAATCTGGTATTAGAGACGAACTTGTTGACGCGGATAAAGTTAATCATGTTCTTGTTGCCAATCCAACAAAATTAGAGGTACTGAGGAAACAAAAAGAGCTGGACTCTTTAAAACTAACTGAAGAACAAAATAGACAAGAACAAAGAAAGCTGAAGAGAAAAGCCAAATTGCTAAAGAAGAAAGCCAAGAAACCAAAAGGAACACCACAATCTGACTCTACTAAAGCTCAACTGATGGATATGTACGGTTGATTTACTCATACCTTTTCGTTAAGTAGCAAATAGCTGCATGATAAAAGAGCTAGGATCCTGACATATCAATCTAATTACAACTTAACAGCAAGGTTCGAAAAAAATGATATACTTTTTAGTTCAGTACCATTGTGAATTCATGATTTATTTACTGTTATTTATGAATAATTATAAGAGGTTTTTGCGTGATTATAAAAGAATAAAGAAGCTAAAAAATTATAAACAAAGAGATGAACATTATAACTACAATCCGATTAAATGCGTCATCTTCATTCCTTCCCGATATGTTTCAAGAATTTGTCGATTTCACCCGATGAGCCCAACCAGATGGAGGATTTGTCGTGAATGTGCTTTGGAACCAGATCCAAGATACGTTCGCCCTGGTCATTAACTGCTTTACCACCGGCTTGTTCGACTAGGAATGCCATTGGGAAAGCTTCGTATAACAATCTTAATTTTCCATCTGGTTTCAATCTGTCTCCTGGATAACTGAACAAACCACCGTATAGGAATGTTCTGTGGACATCTGCGACCATAGCACCGATATAACGCAGAGAGTATGGTTTACCCTTATTAGATTCTTGACCCTCTTTCAATGAGTCAATAAAAGAGACTATCAATTCATCCCAATACAATCTATTACCTTCATTCACGGAGTAAATTGGTCTTAGTTGAGGGATTCTCAAGTTTGGCTGAGTTAGGATAAATTCACCCAAATTAGTGTCCAATGTGAATCCGTCGACACCGTTACCCATAGTTAACATCAAGTGAGTTGAAGCACCGTACATGGCATAACATGCTGCGACCATGTCATGGCCTGACCTTAGAACATCCTTGATACTTCCTGTGGATCCCGGCAGCAGTTTAAAAATCGAGACAATAGTACCTACGGAGACACCTGCGTCCAAATTGGAAGAGCCATCGATAGGATCACAGCAGATAGCATATGTACCTGTCTCTGTTGGAAACACTATTAGGTCTTCTTGTTCCTCGGAAACCAACAGTTTGATGAAACCGCAACCTTTCATGGCATTGATAAAGATTTCATCACCCAGGACATCCAATTTTTTTTGTTCATCACCAGTAGAGTTGGAAGCACCTGCTAGGCCGATCAAGTTAACCAGTTCTGCACGTCTGATAGTTTGTGAAATGAATTTGAATGCAAATCCCAGAGCATTTAGCACTAGGGAGAAATCACCACGAGCGGTCTTGACAGTTTTTTGATTCTCAACGATAAACCTTGGCAAAGTGATGATATCGGTGTCGAAATCATCCATAGAGGCCCTTCTTTCCGTAGCAACTGGCATTTTTTCTATTTGTCTATTATTATTAGTATTATCTGATATTGATATAGTATGTATTCAATGAATAAAAAAAAAAAGTGGTTCCTTAAACGTCAAATGAACAATGGCACATCCTAAGTTTTAGTTCTTTAGCACTTGTTCATATATATACCACTCAATAAGAAGTATAAGTAAATAGATACTATATACATAATACCGATTGCATTACATTATAGTTGATATTCCCCGGGCCTAGTAGCTAACACCCCATTGGTCCGACTCTTCCGCACAGAAACCATAGTAAGACAAACGGTGTTTGTACTGGTGAGAATTCAATTATATAATGCTAGATACCTAATACCAAACAAAAAAAACTCCATTAATCCGAGACTAGTTTCTTTGTTTCTTTATAAAGGGAAAAATCCCAGGAAGAACCATGCAGGAAGAGTTGGACAGCCCATAGCTGGTGTACAACTGTACTTTGTGAACACTGTACAAGATATAAAGGGAGAACGTTCAGTATTTTAACTACTTGAGCTAGACAATCTATAGGCTGAAGGAGGGTATGCAGTATGTTATTGTGGGGGGGAAGGGCATTTATATCCACTGAGATGCCAGATATAAAGCGAGGAGATTTAATGGTGGGGCTGTTACATCCGGGGTGTTTTTGTTCGGCTGTTTCACTACTTGTCCCACCTTGACACATTTCTTCGCTGATCGATTTCTGTTCATCCGGGAATATGCGATTTTCGGATGTACATCCTTATCGTCCTGAATGAGGTTATTATAACACCGGCATAGTACACTTTGGGCCTACCGAATGATAACTGGTTTGCGTGAATTACCGCAGTACCATCCGTTAGAGTGTAGCGGTATTAAAAGGACCTATACAGCATTGAAATGAATTACGTAACATTCTGTATCAGTTTAGCGCATAGAACAATCGAGATCGTAGCAGATTGACAGATATCTGGTAGGAACTTGTCGGGAATAATACAGAAAGTGTAGGAATTACATACCATAAGAATAAGAAACAAGTACAGTCATAAGTAAAAAAAGGGGAGTTGATAAAAGTTGTAGGCAAACATATTCTGTATCTGAGCACTTGATAAATGTATGTTGAAGTACTCGACTGCAGTTTTCGCCGTTAGCGTGTGACCGTGCGTGTACAATGAACAACCAAAACGTTCTCGTTCGTGTTGTGAGCACGTGACACAGTTTATATAGTTGATAATTCTCGATTTAAAGCGCGATAAAAGCGATTCATAAGCCGGGTAACTAAAAATAACCCGGCTGAGTACTTTCGTACCAAAAAAAGTGGGTTGACAGTTTTAGTAACATACCAGTATTGCTTTTGTGTATTGCCAAGCCGTTGAAGTCCCAGTAAGGTGTACAGTATTACACATATCTACATTATCTACATTGTATACTGCACAATTCCTCCAACATAATATAGTAAAAAAAAAAAAGACCGAATTGTATCAACGGGTCAATTGATTCGATTTTACCGTCTATACAGTCCTAGAAGTTATCGATCTCTGTTGATCATCAGTTGCTCAAAGATATATCACACAAGACAACTCAGATGATTACACCTGTCAAACTTGTCCTGATGAATGCATTCTAAATCTAGCACTCGTAGCCTTTCCTCCACAGAAGCAAGATTTTCTCTATGGAATTCTGTTTTCTTCCTTGTACTGAGACCAGAATGGATAGAGAAAAAAACCCATCATAACATACATGATGTAACTACGTGGTTTTATTTTCGAAATGTATTTTTACTTACACCGTGTTTTTCACGTCGTCGATAAAACTGCAGCTACAACTCTACCCACGCCACAGACACACAGGGCCCTCCTACAGACACTACACTACACAAAATACACCTATAACGAAGAAAAATGGCTCTGTTAGTGTGTGAGCAACCATGGGATTTAAGAGCCAGCCATGCTCATGTATGTGCAAGGGTTTCTCACAAAGTCCAGATAAAACCACCGTACCCACTTTCATGACAATCCTTTTTTTTTTCTCTTTCAAGCTCTACTACTACATGTTCACTATAACAGAATCTCCTATACACAACCTTTTTGTACAATGCCAATCTTTTTCATTTCTTCCCTTGAAATCTCCTTCGAAATATACGTAACGGCCTTTTATAGGGTCTTCCTTTTGTTTTCTATTTTTTTTGCTACACCTTTTTCCACTTATTTTGTTTTGTAACAGTTGCTTACTATGACACTTCTTCTAAAAGCTGGTATCCTTCTCTGTCTTTCTCTCTTTTCCCCTTGCGTAAGTCCCTCTTTTTCTTGCCCTCTCAAGGTTCCCCTTCAATTTCTTCTATACTTTCTTGATGGAACAAAAAAGAGTTTGAAAAAAAAAAAAAATACTGTAGTGCTAACTATTCGAACAGCAAAGGAGAAAACAAAAACATTTCGAATTGAACAGCAAATACTTTTGGGCGAGTTAGGAAAATCCTTGAATGTCTTTCTTTTCTATATTTAATATAATAAATAGAATTGAATATATTGAACCTTTCCATAATTGTTTTTAGTACTGAGGTAGCAATTCTTTTGCATTTGGATACCTAGAATACCAACAAACTTACAATTATTTAAAAGATTAAAGGCTTTTGAACCCAAACTCTGCTTTAAAGTCTCCCTTCCTTAAATTTTTCTTGTTCAATTTTTCATTCCAACGTTATAAGAAGGAAAATACTACAAGAAAACTCGATTCAAAGGAAGATAATAACAACACTCACTATTATACACACAACCTACAACAAATGTCTGACCGTATATTGAGTTTGTTCAAGCCATTTGAAGCTTTTCTACCAGAAGTTATTTCTCCAGAGAGAAAAGTTCCTTACAACCAGAAATTGATATGGACAGGTGTGTCTTTGTTGATCTTCTTGGTCTTGGGTCAAATTCCACTATATGGTATTGTCTCCGCTGAGACTTCTGACCCACTGTACTGGTTAAGAGCCATGTTGGCTTCAAACAGAGGTACTCTAATGGAATTGGGTGTTTCACCTATCATTACTTCTTCCATGATCTTCCAATTCTTGCAAGGTACTCAATTATTGCAAGTTTCCCTAGACAGTAAGGAGGACCGTGAACTGTACCAAATTGCTCAGAAAGTTTGTGCCATCATCTTGACTTTCGGACAGGCTTTGGTCGTCGTTATGACTGGTAACTACGGTTCTCCATCTGACTTGGGTATTGCCATTTCCCTTTTGTTGATCTTTCAATTGATGTTTGCCTCCTTCATTGTCCTATTACTGGATGAATTGTTGACTAAGGGTTACGGTTTAGGCTCCGGTATTTCCTTGTTCACTGCTACTAACATCGCTGAAAACATCTTCTGGAAGGCCTTTGCTCCAACCACTGTTAACTCTGGTCGTGGTAAGGAGTTCGAAGGTGCTGTCATCGCGTTCTTCCACCTGTTGGCTGTTAGAAAAGATAAGAAGAGAGCACTTGTTGAAGCCTTCTACAGAGAAAACTTACCAAACATGTTCCAAGTCATTGCTACTGTTTTTGTCTTCTTATTTGTTCTATACTTGCAAGGTTTCCGTTACGAGTTGCCAGTTAAGTCTACCAAGGTTAGAGGTCAAATGGCTATCTACCCAATCAAGTTATTTTACACTTCCAACACTCCAATTATGTTGCAAAGTGCCCTTTCTTCTAACATCTTCTTAATTTCCCAAATTTTGTTCCAAAAGTACCCATCCAACCCAGTTATCCGTTTGTTCGGTGTTTGGGGTATTAGACCAGGTACTAACGGTCCTCAAGTCCCATTGTCTGGTATTTCTTACTACTTACAACCAATTGGTTCTTTGAAGATGGCCCTATTGGACCCAATCAAGACCGTTATCTACACTGCATTTGTTCTTGGTACTTGTGCTTTGTTCTCCAAGACCTGGATTGAAATCTCTGGTACTAGTGCCAAGGATGTTGCTAAGCAATTCAAGGAACAAGGTATGGTCATTAATGGTAAGAGGGAAACATCTGTCTACAAGGAATTGAAGAAGATCATTCCAACTGCTGCTGCTTTTGGTGGTGCTACCATTGGTGCTTTATCTGTTGGTTCTGATCTTCTAGGTGCCTTGGGTTCTGGTGCTTCCATCTTATTGGCTACCACTACCATTTACGGTTACTACGAAGTTGCTGCCAAAGAAGGTGGCTTCACTAAAAACTTAGTGAACGGTTTCTCTGAGATGATGTAATAAGAGAATCTATCAACTATAGTATACAATTTCTAAATTTGAAATCTTCCTTATATTCAAATTCAATTTATAAAATAAATTTTAATGAACCCAATATTTGTTTTAAAAGGAACATATTTATGAGGTATATGTTTTTCATCTTCTTCGTATAATATGGCTATTAAGAATACAAAACTGCTCAATAACTATCATTCAAAACAATTAAAAGGAATATCCTTTGACAATAAACTTTAAAATTATTCTGAAGAAACTATCCACCGATTTTTCTATTAACTTGACCACTGAAGCATAGTTTTGATTATCCTGGTTTCGTTTTTTTATTCATTACCCTAATTGTTGCTTTTACCTGTATTTTGATAATCTCGTGAAAGTTTGTACTATTTTGCATTGAAAATCTGATGAGAGGATTAACCAAAACGAAAATAGTCCATATAAACTGATCCTTAGACTAGCATATGGTTATTTGCATTGGACAAAATTATATTGAAATCGTTATATAGTTTCATTCATACTTGTACTTAAATTAATATATTATAAGAAAAATATAAACGCTACATAAAAAAGGCTACTGGAATGCTTTCTAATGATACCTTTACCAATTAAATTAGCACAAATTAAGTGATTAATTTGGTATTCATATAACTTTTTGTTTGTTTTGTTATTCTCCCAGAGTTTGGATTTAGTTGTATTATTAAGTAAAGACAATAATAAGCCTTCACCGAATATGCTATAGTGTTCAGATCAATTATGCTTGTGGTATCACTTCTTCTACAATATAATCCATAGTTGTATTATAAATTCACCATGGAAACGAAAATATATAGTGATTCATAATGAAACATAGGTGGATTGGGTTCATAATGAAAGGTTAACTAACTATCTAAAAATAGTATCTCTTTCAAATTCTAGTTTTACAATAGATGATATTTACTGATACAAATAAGAAGATAAGAAAGTACTTTAAATAAATGACTTTTGTGATATGTACTATAATAATTAATGCCTTTCTTAATAACATTTGAGCGCTTGTCTACCAAATAAGTAAATGCAAATCATTTGTCGCAATATATTTTATTTGAATTTAACTCTCGTCGAGGGACATATTCAATAAATATGCCTCGCTATATTGGGATTTTTCTCATTTATTGCTCTTAATACCCATTTCCTATTTCGTGCATCTTGTCCATGCTGCCTCAGACGAAATATGAGGCAAAGAGTTCTAAAAAAATTAAATATACCAGCACCCTCTCAAGGGACTTATAGAAGCACTACTTGGAGGTAAATTAAATTGCCTGTAATCAATTAGTTTACCCTCTCTCCAACTTATTCTGAGAAGGAGGAATAAATTAGTTTGGTTCAGTCTTACCCACACCCACCGAAGGGCAAAAAGTTCTTTAACCGTATTGAAGTAAATGATCAGAAGTAGTGCATCTTCATTAAAAAAACCTTCCTACTACCGATTCTTGGTAAAATGAAGCAAGGGTTTTTGTCTTGGTCATAAGACAATGGATTGATAGAGGCAAGTGCTTGTACCTTTCTATATTTTCGAAATCATTTCTTACATCGCACTATATGTATTGCAGTTATTTGTGCAGCCAGTGTGGTCCTTCACAGTATTCTAAATATTTGTATGCTATTGTCAAAGGAACCTTGAAAACGAAAAAAATTTGGCTGCTACTTTTGTAGGTACTGCCAAGGCTTGTATTGCAAACTTCATTTCTAAATATAACAAAAAGAGAAACACCGTATGGATTGCATGCAACAATACTCTAGGGTTTTTCGTTCCTGATAAAAGTGGCATTGTCAAATGATTCTCTTGATGATTCAATTTACTAAGAAGCTGGTATTTACATAACAGACTGAGCACATTTTTTCATTAATGTAGTGGAAATAAGCCAAGTTCGAGACCTTTGTTGCTTTGGTATGGTGATAGTAATACCTGACCCCACTCTTTGCTACAAATAACAATTCTTTCTTGAGACTCGAGAATACATATATAAATGTACACTTGGAAGTAATATTTCAACATTCATTCACTTATAAATTATCTGTATTGCTAATATTTTTAGTTGTGTTCGCTTTTATAAACGCTATCAACCAATTAAGGCACTCTTATCTGACATACAATATTAGATAAGTAGTATTTATTACTAAGCCATCCAGCTACTCTCTATTTCAACAGAAATTCAAATAAAAAGTCACTATTATGAAAGGTTTAATTCTAGTTGGTGGATATGGTACTAGATTGAGGCCATTGACTCTATCTGTTCCAAAACCCCTGGTCGAATTCTGTAACAGGCCAATGATTTTGCATCAAATTGAGGCTCTAGCTGAAGCTGGTGTAACTGATATTGTTTTGGCTGTTAATTACAGACCAGAAGTAATGGTTGACACGCTGAAGAAATATGAGAAGGAATATGGCGTGAACATCACCTTTTCTGTTGAGACAGAACCTCTAGGAACCGCAGGTCCATTAAAATTGGCAGAGAAAATTCTGAAAAAGGACAACTCTCCATTTTTTGTCCTCAACTCTGATGTAATCTGCGAGTACCCATTCAAAGAACTTGCCGAATTCCATAAATCACATGGCGGTAAAGGAACAATTGTTGCTACAAAGGTCGATGAACCTTCCAAATATGGTGTTATTGTTCATGACTTGGGTACTCCAAATTTGATTGATAGATTTGTTGAAAAACCAAAGGAATTCGTTGGTAACAGAATTAATGCTGGTTTATATATTTTAAACCCAGAGGTCATTGATTTGATAGAGATGAAACCAACTTCCATAGAAACAGAGACTTTCCCAAAGTTGGTGAATGAAAAGTCCCTGTACACTTTTGATTTAGAGGGTTTTTGGATGGATGTCGGTCAACCAAAGGATTTCCTGGCTGGTACAGGACTCTATCTACAATCTTTGTCAAGAAGACATCCAGAGAAATTATCGACCGGAAGCAATATTGTCAGCAACGCCATCATTGACCCAACGGCCAAAATATCTCCTGATGCCAAAATTGGTCCAGATGTTGTAATTGGTCCAAATTGTGTCATTGGTTCAGGTGTAAGAATTGTTAGATCAGTACTTCTAAAGAATTGTGTGGTCAAGGAAAATTCCTTAATCAAAGACACTATTGTGGGCTGGGATTCTACCATTGGCAGATGGTGCCGTCTAGAAGGTTGTGCAGTACTTGGTCATGATGTTGCAGTCAAGGATGAAGTTTATGTGAATGGTGCTAAGGTTTTACCTCACAAGTCGATTTCTGCCAACGTTCCCTCCGAAGCTATTATTATGTAAAATCTCAATGGCGCTTCTAGGTGTCTTTTCGAATTAGAATTTCTTTGTTTCACATGGACAAAAAGTCAAGAAATAGCAATACGCAACATAGTATCTATTACATCACTTAATTAATCACCAAATTTAATACTTGTAGTTCATATGTATGCTATAATAAAACCGAAACACCTTTCGATTTGCTCAACCATTGTTATCATGGCGTATCATTGGGGGAAAAAATAGTCAAGCAATACATTGTTGAATTGATTTACGAATGTTGTTAAATTTATCCGAGAATCTGACCCCTCACCCTAAAAAAGTTGGTGTTTTGCAACAAACCACTACGCGATTGTTTCTCTATGAATCCCTATTTTCATCAGACACGGAAAAACTCTGATATTTAGGGCTACCAAAATATTTAAGCCCTAATTTGCAACAATACGATGGTGTATCGTTTAAGTGAGAAGTTTGCTGGAAAATTATAAGCTAATGAGACTAAAAGTTATGTGGCTTGTTTGGTAACTGACTTGATCATAATGTCAATGTTGGTCCTTTGTTGGGTTTTATCATTAATTCACCCTCTTTTTGCTTGAATTGCTGCCTCTTGTATTATTTTTATTGGTATTATTTATTCTTCATCTCTCAAGATGATAAATATAATAGACCAATTTTCACCACTCTCTGTTTTAATCCGTCATTAACTTCTTTTCTTTAATAGTTATATAAATTATTTATCAAGCAGTATATATAGCTTTTGGATCATAGTAGCACTACCCGAATATCAGGCTATACCAACCGAAAGTAGCAGAAACGTCAACAGTTATATTGACATTTCTAGCCAAAGCTCCTAACCTACAACTTACTTTTGGAAAATATTACATTACTATTAGAACTAGTTTCAATATTTCGTCTTTTTTTGTTAGAATTATTTAAAGTTTTTCAAAATGACCACCAGTAAAGATACAATGTCAAGCAACAAGAAAGAAAGTCATTTGCCGTTGGAAAGAGAGGTTGTTTTAAGCCCTGAGAAAGAGCTGTTGTTAAAGCAAGCCTGGGTATATCTGTTGCAACTATGGGGAGTTTCTGTAAACGGTGATATTGTATTTAAAGATGCGCATCACGGTGACATCGACGGTTTAAGCACTCAAATGTCAGCCTTGAGTACAGGCTCTAGTGAACCCAAAAAAAAGAAGACATCCCTATTTGGAAGGCTAACTGGTTCTGACCATCATGACACTTCTAAACATGCAACACATGAAACCGAACATCATACCCGTCACACTCAGATACCTTACGTCAAGGATGGAGTTCATCCAGAGTTCACAAAATTGGAATTAGATTCAAAAGCCACCTATAAAGAGTTTTGGGAATCTTTAAGATTGGAGCCCGCTGATCCAAATATTTTGAGATTTCTAAAAGCTAGAAAGTGGCATATGGATAAAACAATACACATGATTGCAAAGGATATGAGCTGGAGAACAAAATCGGGATATGATATCAATAGCATACTGGATGGCGGAGAATATGAATTTGTTAAAACGAAGAAAAAAGGTGTTATAAAGAACTTAGAGCTACAAAAAGCAATTGTTGCAGGAAAGGATAAAGATGGCAAGCCATATATTCTAGCACGTCCAAAATTGCATTACTCAAGTGACCAAACTGAAGAAGAGATTGAAAAGTATGCATTGCTTGTAATTGAGCAGGCGAAACTATTTTTAAGACCACCTGAAATTGCACAATGTAGCATTGTTTTTGATTTAGGGGGCTTCTCAATGTCGAACATGGATTATGGTCCTGTAAAGTTTTTGATTACTTGCTTTGAAGCCCATTATCCCGAATGTTTAGCTCACTTATTTATTCACAAGGCGCCTTGGATATTTACTCCAATTTGGAACATTGTCAAAAATTGGCTTGATCCCACAGTTGCCACTAAAATTACATTTACCAAGAATGTAGAGGAATTGGCTAGATATATTGATATAAAACAAATTCCAACATATTTAGGGGGAGAGTTAGACTTGGACATGGAACATTATGAAATGCCAGATGGTAGTAAGGATGAATTGCTGAGAGATGAAGAAACACGTGATAAATTACTGAAAGAAAGGGAACAACTAATCCAGAACTTCCTAAAACTAACTGCTGAATGGATAGAAAGTGATGATAATGAAAAACAGAGCATTTCCATAAGAAATAAAAGGGCATTAGCTTCTGAGAAAATTACCCAAAATTATATTCAAATTGATCCATATATAAGATCGCGTTCGGCATACGATATCAGCGGAGCCCTAGTTCTACAATAACGAAAAGTCACCTTAACAAGAAATTGACTACTTTATTATTCAAAAATATAGCCTTTGTTGTTGTATCTTTTTCTGTAATATGACTATGGTGATAGTAGATATTATTTATATTTATTATGTAAACACGCGATGGATTAAAATAACTGTATCAATGCATTTCTTATCCTTAATTTTCGCATTGTTTACATTTCCACGTTCAAAACTACGTGTAAACTAAGAAAAACATTCGATGAGCATATATCTTAATGAGTTAAGTTGGAAATGACTATTGCATGAGTGAATAACAATATTAATTCTCCAAAGAAACGAGCTAATATTCGTTCAATCGATAACTATATAAACAAATTATTATTTTAATCAATACAAAATAACCTATAGAGCAATTTTATGTTGTACATTGCTGCAACGTTTCTAATTTGAAAAAACTCTCCGAAGAATATAAAGACTAATAGCTCTTTATGGAGCCTTTAATTTCCACTGCTATCGATAATTTGTTATCCGCAAATGCTACAGTTACAACAGACTTCATAAAAGTTCAACTTGAGATTATTTACCATCAAACGATTAAATTTGGGCTTACAAATTTGGAACTACGAAATATTATACACTTTATTACGACAACCCAACTTATAACTGATGAGACAAAACTATACATTATTCATAACTGCCTATATCCATGTGAAGTTATTGGAAAGGAAGTGGTGATGGAAATTTTAAGTAAACTTGGGACAACAACTATCTATTCGCCATATGAACTTACTACACCAAAAACTGTACAGACGGCGCTATGTGAATGGCTAGTTAATGCATTCTTCCTGGTGGATATTGAACAGATACGAGAATTTGACTCGTTTTGGATTCATTTATGGAAATATAGCTATTTGCAGAAGTGGTTAACTTATATCATTGTTTGGACAGCAAACCCCCATAATGTCAAACAGTGGAAGATAAGGATGATTCACAATATAGCGATCAATTTGGGATATTCGGAATCATCCGGTTATGCCGTTATAATTTTGAAGAAATATCAGCAAATATGTGGATACTCTGCAGAAATAAATGATATACTGCCAACATTAAGATTTCCTTACAGAAGGATAATAAAAGTTCAGAATATTAAACTACGCAACAGATTTTTCAAAAATACCTCTGATATTTTGATTACATCGACTCCCGATACATTTAATATGGAAAAACTTGAAAATAGAATGCAAATGCTAATTAATTCATTGTTAATCGACGAAATAAAGAGTTCACAAGGTGTTAAACCTAGCATAATAGATAAAAATATTGATATAGAGTTGCTAATCCCTAAAAATTCAACACAATTAATAGATCGATGGAATCTTATGCAACCTTCAGATATTGTCATTAGTTCTGAGTTATTCCATCCAAACAATAAGATAAACTACTACATATTGGCTTTTATTTCTACAAAAAGGAGCCCGCAATTTGTGGAAGATTATATTACAGACTATTTTATGAGACACCTGTCTGATAATGAGGATAACTTCGGAAATGCATACAAATCCTTTTTGGCCTTTGTCAAACTATTATTATTAATATACCCAAACATATCACTTTCACTCACTAAGACTATAGGAAATGGAACACAATATGATGTAAAAAAATCTGTGCTTATGGGGGTTTTACCTGCAATTTTACCGAAATCTAAAATCAATATAGAATGCATACAAAAATGTATTTTTAATATTATCAGTTCAAATTTTAATACACAGAACTTACTTTCACAGAAGAGTCTCAATTTATCTGTGGTGACCACACGCTTATATTTTGACTTATACTTCCTTATTTTTCTGAATAGTGAGTTGGCTGCTGATTTAAGCTCACTATTTCATAGGGCAGGGACCCTTGGATTCAGAAGAACCATTGAAACGACATATAATTTTGGTGATATATCAAGTTCTGTTTACTATTTGAATCTCGTAACATCTATAATAGATTCTAATGAGTTATACAAAAGTGTCCCGGGTTTGATAATAAAGCCAAACATATTAAAATCTTTGATCATGGTTTTTGATCCTTTGCTACTCAATTCATGCTGTAAATATCTCACACAATCAAAGGGGGCTCTATCAGTAAATATTCAGGATAAAGACTTGATAAGATGCCATAATCAACTCCTTTTAGACACGACGAACTATTTGTGGAGAAATAAAATTTTAAGTTCCAGATCACTATTCGATATATCAACTAAATTTATCAAACAAGTGGTGGATAATTTATATTTACCTGATTGCGATAAAAAAGACAAAAATGTTTTTGGACTACCAGGAGTACCTACTACAGGTTTTGTGTTTTTGCAGGCAGTCCGTCGCTTAGAGGGCACGCATGGCGCTCGTTCTCATTACAATACTGACTACACTTCGAGTGGATTCAAGAAATTCAAATCAAATCAGGAAGAAAAAGGAGATTGGCTGCATGATATTGAGGATTTTGACGAGTTCAGAAGAGTCGTTTTGAAGGAATTTACCTCGATTGATTGTGTTAAAGAAATTGCTGTATTTTTATATACCTTTTTAAAAAGCCTAACCTCAAATCTGTAGGATGAGATTTACAATTTAATATTCATTAATTATTTAATTGTCTGGGAACGTTAATTATGTACATGAAAATAATATTTTATAAACAGAGTTCGACAAAAAAGCGATAGTTATTGCTTTTCAAAAATCAGGCTGATTAAATCCTTTTTCCTAATTATTTGCTTCAGCTTCTTGGCTGGTATTAATCGGGCACCATCTTCTGTCTTTGACAATAATTTTAATAAAGACATATCATCTAGTTTCGAAATAGATTGATCTGTCGCATACATGAATCTCATTTTTCCATTTATGAATATTTTCAAATTCATTAACGATGATTTAATCACTTCTCTTGCAGTTGGCCATTCATATATATTAACATTGACATTTAGATGTGTCTGTAATATACAACTTGCTTCTTCAGCAATGGATGGAACGACGGGATAGATACATTTTATTAAATCTCTAACATAATTTATAGTAACAGTATCCCTTATTTTAGTATTTTTTTTTGCATTTTCAAGAAGAGTTGTGAGTTTCATATAGTCTGAAATGACTGTATTAAGCGATAAATTCTCAGAGAATGATTTAGTAATAGAGTTTACCATCTTTGACACATTATTGTATAGAGTAATCTCGTCAGTGTTATATTGATCTGGTGGTATACCGGTCATCCCAACAATTTTATCTGGGTTTGAAGCAAATGACATACATAATTGAAGTATCTTGTCCAACCATCTTTCAATGCCAACAATCTTTTCTTCATCCCACCTCAATGCATCAGAAATAGGACTTTGAAAAAGAATGTGAGCTCTAGTAGCATCCGGTCCATGTTTTGAAATGCATTCGTTTGGATCAGCTCCATTATATTTTGACTTGGACATTTTTTCATATTTGAGTATAGGAGCTATGTTCTTTCCTTTGATTTTGGGTGTAGAACTACTAGATAAATAATCAATGTCGTTTGGGGTCAAGAATTTCCCCGTTTCAGGATCAATAAGAGTTTTGCCTTGCACCATACCTTGAGTTACTAATTTTTTAAATGGTTCTCCATGAGATATACCTCTATCCCACATGCCAATTGATGAAAGAAACTTAGAAATGAATCTTGAGTAGAGTAGATGTAATATAGCATGTTCAACACCTCCTATATAAATATCAACAGGCATAGATTTATTAGCCTTCTCGGGAGAGAAGGGCAAAACCTTATTATGAGCATCAATGTACCGAAAAAAATACCATGAGCTGTCAATGAATGTGTCCATAGTATCTGTTTCACGCTTTGCCGAATTGTGACACCGGGGGCATTCGGTATTGACAAAATCCGATATATTTGATAGAGGATTGCCCTTCTGATGAAGACCTTGCACATAAGGTAGTGTTACCGGTAAATCTTCTTCTGGTACGGGAACTATTCCACAATTATTACAATGAATAATTGGTATTGGTGATCCCCAATATCTTTGTCTGCTGATAAGCCAATCTTTAATCCTGTACCTAGTTGTTCGTTTTCCCAGATTTTTGTTTTCCAGTTCAGTAGAAATGGCATCTCTTGTGGCATTCACATCCCATCCAACATATTTACCGCATCGTTCATTCATTGTACCGCTTTTTGATGTGTATGGGATGGAATCTTGACCAAGCCTGCTCAAATCTGGTATTATGCAACCAAATGGTTCTTCATTAGTGTTCAAATTTATTTTACGGAATTCGTAGTCTCTTAAATCATGAGCTGGGCATCCCATAACAGCGGCTGGTAAATCACCATAGCCACTAATGACATAAGGAGCCACAAAGACAGGGATTACTTCATGGGTAATAGGGTTCTCAACAGTCAAATCAGAGATCCTGTATCCAGTTTTTGTATCCTCAGGTAATTCCGGAAGTTTGTGAAGAAATTCCCTCAGGTCTGATTTCTGCTTTGCATAATGTTGTGTTATGGGATGATCCGTAGCAAGAACTACATATTCAACAGAAAACAAAGTTTCGGCTCTAGTTGTGAAGACTGTTACATTTTCAAATTTTCCGATCTTTTTGTTAAGCTTGAAATTAACTTCCATACCAGTAGAAGAACCAATCCAATTATTCTGCATAGTTTTTACCTTGTTGGGCCACTCTTCAAGATATTTTAAATCGTCTCTCAATTGATCAACAAACTTTGTAATGCCCAGAAACCATTGGGTTAGTTTTTTCTTTTCTACAATAGCGCCAGATCTCCATGACCTTCCGTTGGCATCCACTTGTTCATTAGCTAATACAGTTTTATCTACTGGATCCCAATTGATTTCTGCATCCTTTCTGTAAGCAAGTCCATTTTTATACAACTGTAGAAATAACCATTGAGTAAATTTGTAATACTCGGGATCACATGTAGTGACTTCTCTTTCCCAATTGAAATTTGCTAACATATCATTCATTTGCTCCTTCATCTTTTTGATATTTTGTTTTGTCCACTCGGAAGGATCAATCCCTCTTTCTATTGCAGCATTTTCAGCTGGTAAACCAAAAGCATCCCATCCCATTGGATGAATCACATTATAGCCCCGCTGTTGATAGAATCTGTTGAGTGTGTCACTGATAACATATACTCGTAAATGACCCATATGTAACATCCCTGATGGATAAGGAAACATCGATAATATGTACATGTCCCTCTTGTCATTCTCTTTAATCGGTATGAACGGTACTCTGGCATTCCTGGGTACACCTTCCAATGTCTTGGATTTCCACTTTTCTCCAATTTCGACTAATCTTTCAGAAATGGTTTGACCAGAATGTACGCTCCTGGAGTTCTGCAATCCAGCTGCAGCAATTCTCACAATAGACCGCTGACTAGGCCATATTTTCACGAGCATTGATAGTGCTAAAGCAATTTCTATTAAAAAATAGAACCGTTTGCAATAGATATGTGTATCTCCAACACTATAGTCACGATTCTTAAACAATTTTTGGCAAGTTGTTTTTATATCATCGAGCCTTGAATCATCGTTTTTTTTTTCTTCGGTAGCCTGGTATTTGAAGTTATCTATACAAATTGATCAGGTAATAACAATGGAATGTAATCCATGATTTTTTGATGCTGGTTTTTGGAACTGGCAATAAATACATACCAGAGAATTATTATCAGTCATAATTTCATGGCATTGGCCTTCCGGTATAAATGACGCAAGAATTACGGAAACGGTCGTTTGAGCATGTTGATGAACTATTGAATCAAGCCAGTAATGAGGTCAACTATGATAGCAATAAGCGTGTTAGGAGGCATGAATACAGTGCTATGACACAGTACAGTTCAATGCCAAATAGTAGAGTTGATACAGAAGCTGATGCAGCACTAGGTAGAAGGGTTGATTGCGCGCATCGTGATATCGGTTTGATTTCACCGCCACCTGGCTATATAAAGAAGTTAACCTTGCATAATTTTATGTGTCATAGAAACTTTGATGTTGAATTAGGACCTGGTCTTAATTTCATAGTTGGAAAAAATGGTAGCGGTAAGAGTGCCATCCTTACTGCAATAACAATTGGTCTAGGTGCAAAAGCTAGCGAGACCAATCGAGGTAGTTCTTTAAAGGATCTCATTACTGCGGGCTGTAACTCATCCAGGATTACGATATATCTTAGCAATTCTGGGATTGGGGCTTATGTACCAAAGGGTAAACAATATGGAGATACCATTATAATAGAAAGAACAATTAGTAGAACGTCTACCGCGGGTTTCAGTCTCAAATCAGAAAATGGTACTGAAATTAGTAATAAGAAACGTGATTTACAGGAAATTCTGGATTATTTTGCTATCCCGATAAGCAACCCTATGTGTTTCTTGAGCCAAGATTCAGCCAGATCATTCTTAACCGCCAGTACACCTACGGATAAATATAATCATTTTGTTAAAGGCACATTATTACAGCAGATAAAAGATTATCTGGAAAGGGCTACAGAAGTACATAATGAATCTGCTGCTGCGATGGAATTACACACAGAATCGCTAAGAGAACTTCAAGAACGGTATGACAAAGCCAAAACTGATCTAAGACAAATAAGCAAAACATCAGATTTGAATGAGAGGTTAAAATTACTAACAGGCAAGTCCCTTTGGTTAAATGTTGATGAGAATGTTATGAACATTAATAAACTTAAAAATAAAATTTCTCATTATGAAAATGAAATTTCAAAGCTGACTGAAAAATCAGATTCTAGAATGAATCAGATAGATAGCTTAAAATCTGAAATAACAATAATAGAACAGGGTTTATCTGGCAAACTATCGAAAATGGTAGAAAAAGAAGAACAGTTTCAATTGATGAATGAAAAAATCAGAGAAGCTAAAAGTAAATATGAGCAAGAGGAAAACAACGAGAAAGAAATTCTCGATAATATTGAAAGATGTAAATCTATTATCAAAAAACTGAATAAAAGTATATCAGAACTACAAGAGAAACAGGAAAAAGAACAAGGAGGCGACAAAGATAATATGTTGCAAGAAATTGAAAAACTTACAGCTAGTAACTCTGAACTGAAAAAGGACATTGAAGCCTACATGACAAAAATTCAAGATATTAACGCAAAACTTCGCACTGTTAAGATGGAATCACTGAAAACTATTGACAGTATTGATACACAAATAAGAGAAAAGCAAAATGAAGTTAAGGATATCAAGCATGGTAGAACAAATTTTCTCAGAAACTTTGATAATAATATGGAACATTTGATAAAAGAGATATCTAATAATAAATCTAAATTTGACAACCTACCGATTGGTCCACTTGGTAACTATGTTAGTATAAAGAGTGGATATGAAAAGTGGGCTCCTTCAATTCAAAGGTATATGACGACTACATTAAGCTCGTTTGTTGTTAGTTCTCATAGAGATAATGGTTTACTTAGACAACTAATGAAAAAATGCAATGTAAGATCATCAAATTTTTCTATTATAAATTACAAGTTACAGAATGCTCATTTTTTTGATAATAACAAACTAAATCAGAAATATCCAACAATTCTTGACGCACTCGATTTTATTGATGGGAACTTAGCTGCTGTATTTGTGGATATGAATAAGATAGACAGGGTCTTGTTGATCGAAAATATGTCAGAAGCTAGAAAGTTTCTCTTAGAGAATGGGGGTGATACAAAAGTTGCACTTTCTATTAGAGATAATAACTATGGCTATCAGCTTACAGGAGGAACAAGAATTGACTCTGTGAAATATCAAGATAAAATCCGAGTTAAGGTTGGTACTTCCTCTGAGGATAATATTGCTTATATTAATACTGTTATAAGAAATCTTCAAGAAGAAAAACAAAGTACTCAAAGTAGATACAAAGATAGACTTCAAATAATTAATAATGAATTAAAAGAATGTGAGACAGCATTAGTGCACACTAAGGACACTTATAGAGCCAACAATGAAAAAATTAAGAGCTTCAAAACAAATATAACGAGAGAGGTTGATACTGGTAAGCTTAATATGCAAATTGAAGAGAAAAAGAATCAGGAAGTGGCTGTGGAAAGTTATTTAGAGACTAGAAAATCTATTCAACTGCATCTTGCAGATATGGTTGAAGACATTAAGCCACTGCAAGAGCAATATATGATTTATAAAAATGAGCTGGATCAAAGTAAAACTGAGATTGAAAATGATAGAGAGTTATTGAGAAGATCAAAAGATAAAATACTAAAATATCAAGATCACATTAAAGAATTACTAGAATCTGTCAAAAATATTGAGAAAAATATACCTAAAATTGCAGACAATATTAGAGTTTTAGAGGATGGTGTGGGGTTACAAAAACAAAAAGCTCAGGAAATTTGTCCAAGAGCCGAGTTATCTAATGATTTACCACACTCACAAGAAGAAATTAAACAAGAGATAACAAACATTCAACAGAAATTGCAAGAAGCCGAAAAAATGATGGGGATGTCCCAGCAGCAAATTGTAGATAATTATAATAATGCAAAGACGAAATTTATTGATGCTAGTAAAAAATATAAAGTAATAGAGGAGGTGTTAGGTAAGTTGACAAGAACCATAAAAATAAGAGAACAAAATTTAGAAAGAACGCAACAGATTACTTTTTTTGAAGCTGATAATGACTTTAAAGCATCAATGAGAATAAGGAAGTTTGCAGGTCACCTCGATTTTGATAAAAAAGAAAAAAAATTGAGTATTCTTATTTTAACACCCAATGATGATAGATATCGTGAAGTAAGCACTTTTTCTGGGGGTGAAAAATCATACTCTCAAATGGCCCTATTGCTAGCTACATGGCGCCCAATGAGATCTAGAATTATTGCACTGGATGAATTCGATGTTTTTATGGATCAAGTTAATAGAAAGATTGGATCAAAATTAATTGTAAAAAAACTGAAAGATATTCCTAACACACAAACTATAATTATCACTCCACAAGATATTGGAGGCATAGCAGAAATAGATGATAGTGTGCGCATATTAAGAATGAGAGATCCCAAGCGGACAACAATAAACTAAAATAAATCGATAGAATTTTTGTAATTTATGTAGTAGTTTCTTAATGTTATACATATTAATCAAGCTTGCACATACATATTAGAATGAGACCGCTCTATTGATTGTAAAGACCGGGATTTCAGGAATCTTCATTTCCGGAATTAGATAAACTTCTCCATTTTCGTCAATTCTTTCTCTGTCTTTTTCACTTATGGAGTAAATCTCCTTTACGTTTTCATTTAGCAATTGTATAACCTCCAAGAAGTTCTTCTGGATCTGGTAGGCTTGCTCTCTCTTGTTTCTTCTGCAAAGCGCTTCAACTAAGTTGTAAGAATCAGAAAGAGTTTGATTTAATCTTTCAATCAATCTTCCAATAGACTGGATTAGATATTCTTCTTCATAAATAGTACCCTTTTTACCTCTGGCTCTCTTTCTTTCTTCACGACGCTTGTTTTTCGCAGTCCTTCTTGAGGCACCAGTCTTAGCTGTACCTCCAGTTTTACCAGTATACCTTGTAAAGAAAGATTCTTTAGTTGAAGTTTCTGAAGGTGCAATAGAAACGTCATCGGCCTGTTCGGTTTCTTGACCATAAAAAGCATAAGGATCTTCCTCTTTTTTAGTTCTCAATTCACGAAGTCTTCGTAACTGTGAATTTATTTGACCTTTACAGTCTGCCAGTAATTCTGCAATGACACCAAAACCATCTGCAAGCTCTGTGTCCACGATTTCTTCAATAAACTTGATGTTATTTGTGTTTGTGGCTGTTAAAATGGCAGTATCATATTTGTAAGACTTACAGTAATATTTGACAGCTTCACGGACATTTTTTAAATATATAAGTTCAACTTGGGCAGCATCCTCGTATTTATGTTCAAAAGTCAACGAAGACACTAAGTCATTAGCCAGCTCCTGGACATCATCTGGAAATTTTAGTTCTGCGATGCTTAGTGCCGGTTTCCAACTCTTCGCAGACTTGTAAGCATTAACAGCGTTTTGATATTCCCCAAGCATTTCAAAAATGATTGCAGCATCTTTATATTCCTGTTTTGATTGCAAATCCTTGGCATAGCTCTTGTATATCATATTCTGCTTGTTAGTTTCATACCTAAATGTTGCTAAAGCATTTAAAAATAGATTATGTGTCTCAACATAATTAATTATTTCATCAGACACAATTGTGGAGTCAGATTCGGTTGAAATTAAATGGCCAAGTGCTTTTTCATAGTTGCCTAAATAGTCGTCAATCATATATTTTCTGCGATTTTCTGTTTCTTCGTATAATGACTGAAGAAATGGAAGATATTCACGCGGATCCATTTGAGACTTTTGTGCTACTAATAGTGCTAGTTTGACATCATAGGTTGCCAGAGCACTTTTATATATAACATTGACATCTTGCAAAAAGCACAAATAAGTAACGCTAGAATCCTTATCCTCTTCAGTTGACAAAGATGCAATTAACAGCAGTGCAGATTCTAGATCTTGTGGGTTTTGTGTTGCATATGCAGTTAAAATCGTGTTGATGTATTTTTTCATGTACTCGTCCTTTGATAACAATGTGTCCAAGAAAGCTTTACAAATTTTGTTCACCTTTGATGTTGCTGGATCAAACATTTTCTTTTTCATATACTCTTGCATTTCGGTAAGAGGTTCTGCTGCCACTGCGTAAGGTAACGCCATATCGGAAGTCAAAGTTTCCTTATATTTTGTCGATGATACATCGTCTTCTGTTAGACATGAAATAAACAAATTCAAATGATCAACTTTTTCAACCTGTAAAATAAAATTATCCAAATTAGATATAAACGAATCTGGGTCGTAATCATGAATCAAATCAAGACTAATACGATGTGTTCTACAGGTCAAAAACGCTTCCTGGTACTTTTGGTCTTTTATTTCTTTTCTAACCTCAGACAGCACCATTATACGAGGATAAATAGTCTCCAAATTACCTCTATCTGCTTGTAATACTACCGCAGCCCTTGATGGGATGGATGTCACTAATAAAGAACCTCTCTCTATAGCTCTTATTCTCTCATCTTCAACCTGGTCAGGTACTATAGGTAACTGTTTGAAATTTGTATTATTTAAATGCACAAACTGTAATCTATGTTGAGCCGTTGTAAACATCAGAAATTTATCAGTTACCTCGAATGAAGTGACAGCGGTAGTTAGAAGGGTATTATTAGCAAAAAGTTTACCAAATGAGGTAAGACCAAAAGCAATTACTTCAGAGCTTTCTGATTCCCAGTTATCCTCTTTTCCTTCCAACATGTTATGAACACGCTTGACTCTGAAGTCGATAACTAACTGTGGAAACTTTGTTATTTGTTTTAGTTCACCTTCAACGTCGACCTCGAAAACACTACCATCACGAGTTTCATACACAATGTGGTTGTAATCAAAACTAGTCTTCATGAGTACTATTTTATCAAATATTTCCACAGTCTTTAATAAAACGGGTTGGCTGACATCTTGTACATCAACCAAAACAATATGTGACAAATTCTCACTGTCTAACAGTATACCAATTACATTGTCATTAATGAAAGCAACTTGGCGCAAGCTATCAATAGCGGAAGCAAATGTGGCTTTCGAAAGCTCACTTACTACAGTTGGATGTTGACCTTTCTTCATGTCATCTATGCTTGGAACATATGCTACTACAAGTTCATCTATGGTGATAGCTGCAAATATTTCGTTTGAAAGACTGCAGGCTACATCTAAAACATTTCCAGGAGCATCAAAATCTCTGTAATACATAGGAGGTGGAACATTTGCTAAGGCAAATGGTGTGATGTTGACAGTACTTCCATCAACAACCATAACAGTACCGTTATCAAAAGGTTCAAGTGTAGGACCGTTTGTCATTTTATAAGCAAAATCGACGATATTAACACCATTACCGGATTCAAACATTAGTGTCAAGTCCTTTTCTGGATGCCATTTAGCAAAGCTGATACTTTCCGAGTAAATTTCTTGCTTCAAAAACCAATGATAATTCTTTGATGTCCACAGTTGAATTCGGTTGCTTAATACAATTGCTAGCACATCAGAATTCGAATTCCAGCAAAGTTCTTTTACAAATTCATCAACAGGAAGTCTAGTGTCAAACTCTCCATGACGGAGACCATTTCTTTCGAAAAAAATTAACTCTAATGAACTTTCCTCCTCTAGAAAAGACTTTCTTTGAATTGAAGCTATTAAAGAACCTTGAGGCCTCCAACTTAAATGGTGTTCCATACCATCAACTGGTTCAGACGCACTGTCTAAGACCCCATCACGTGAAAATACTCTAAATGCTCTTCTTTGGATCTCATGACCAGGTTCCTCTGGTAGCTCTACGTTCTCAATTGTTGATATAGCAAAAAATTCACAGTCACCTCTCCAAGTGATTGTAACCTCCTTACTATCTAAAGATGTAATTTCACCAGAATCCACCATATATGGCATTGTTGGGTCTCTTAACTCATTCCCTACCAAACCAGAGGCTTTCAAGGAAGCTAGGGCTTCACGTTCCATAGCTCGTGCACCTTTACCTCTAAATTGTGTTTCTTTCTTACCCCAGCCAACAGTTACATGCTTGGATTTCTTAAGATCATCAGTTTCCAAATGATACTCGGCAATAGGTTCAAATAATCTGCTTAATAGTACCACATTTCGATCTTTAGTTATCAAAACCACAGTTTCTTCATCAGGAGACCACTGTGCAGCGTAGATACCATTATCAATACTACCTGCAATTTCAACAATTGTCTGTGCTGGGTCAAATGTGACTGAATCGTACGTTGCTGTGATAATGTCACCCATTTCGAAAATAAACACTAGCTGGTTTATGTCTCCAAAATGTATAAATGAAAGTAGTCTATCGTTGAAATTCTGAATATTAAAAGAAGCCAATACGTTACGAGATCCATCCTTCATAAACTGTTGCACTTCAATAGCACCCATTTCCAATGATCCCAAAACACATGTAATACTATCAGTCATAGTATCAAAAGTGCTGTCCAATACAGTAAAAACTGTTTCATTCTCGGAAAGTTCTGATGTTGCAACAGGCAATAATCTGCCTTTATTCAGTGTAATTAGATTACGCATATTTTCTTGACTTAAACTTAAGTTCCTTAAAACAGTATTCTAATGCAGTACTTGTTGGTGTATGGCCGTTGTAGCCGAAAATAGTAGTAATGCACGCAGCCAATACAATTAAACAAATGAACGAGAATAAAATAATTGAACTATAATATATAGCGTTGGCAACTATATTTCAACGAAAACTCACAGATAGGTATGGCAAATGTGATCGTGTGTGTTTCCCAGTAGTTGTTGATTAATAATAGTGCAATAAAAATATGAATTTGCGATGAGCATCGGCAAAAGTAATACTTGATCAAGTTGGAAAACCAATTTTTTCAGTCGTATCAAGTGCACTAAAAGGCTACATGACCAATATGGTGTTATGCTGTAAAATGCAGATCACGTGCTATTAACTGGAGTATTGCTCTATTGATGCAGGTCTTATTTTAATCGGTCAAATAACTCCTTAGCTTCACTTCTGATGGTTGGTAGTTCCTTCTCTTCTAATTCGTTGATCCTCTTTGAATAATAGTAGTTTGCTAGTGTGATAATGGTAGTTTCTTCCTTCGGTACATTAGGGATACCTTCGGAAAGCCATTCTTCGACCAAAAACCTTAGATTTCTGACAGTCAGTTTAGATACAGTAGGTGCATTTAATTTTAGAAATGTGTTTGATTGGCAATTATTCATTACTTCAATATCTATTACAGGTTCGACTAAGAGTTTCTTGATGTCGAGATCTTTATTCTTCATGACCAATGACTGCTGATGTTGTAAAAGTATTTGTAATATTAAAAGCCTTACCTTTGAGCTATACTCCGATTCTGTCATTTTTTATTTGTAGTTTCTTCTGTGATCTTATTAATTTGATCTTCTATATTTAATATAAGCATACATGCTTATAATTATCTCATCAAGTCATTTATTGGAACGATGGCATCTCACGTAAAAATTCCTGTTTAGCTTTCGCGAAAAATGAAAATAGAACCGTAACTACAATTCCAAGTTCACTGGATTTTACTCGAATGTATCTGGGCAAATTAGTTTTGACCAGCTGATATGTTTAATGTTAACACATGTATGTGATTCGGTTACATTGAGAACGAATATTTCTACTTATTCTTATCGACCTAATATATGAAAATACATATACAACAGAACCCTCACAGAGGGATTACTGTCATGAAAACAAAACCGTGAAAAGTATAGAATAAACCCAGATTAAATTGGTCTTCATAGAACCTCTTTACTGGGTAATGCAGCGTGAATTTTTGTTTTGATGCTTTGGACTGTAATCAGTTTTACCTCATCATCACTGGTGCTTCGTCAATTGAAATTCAGTGACAAATCATTAGACCTAAGCTACTGATAAAACCAATAATAATTGAACAAAACGTTAGAAAATGCCATAAAATGAATTGATAAGATTATAACTTGATTCTGACAGCCTTGGTTTGGGTGTAACATTCGTATACTTCAGAACCCATTTCTCTACCGTAACCAGATTGCTTGTAACCACCGAAAGGAACTCTGGAGTCAAAGTCGTTGTATGTGTTAATCCAGACAGTACCAGAGTGAAGCATCTTAGCCACTTTCAAAGCAGTGCTCAAGTTTTCAGTTTCAATACCAGCACCTAGACCGAATTCAGAGTCATTGGCCATGGCAACACCATCTTCGATCTCTTCGAACTTTGAGATTGTAACACATGGACCAAAAATTTCTTCCTTGACAACTCTCATATCTTCCTTGACATCGTAGAAGACAGTTGGCTTGATGAAGTAACCTTTCTCGGCAGCAGTTTCACCACCAGTAAGAACCTTTGCACCTTCTTCTTTACCGATGTTGATGTACTTCAAAATGGTGTTGTATTGTTCTTTGTTAGTGATTGCACCTTGGAAGTTAGATTCATCGAATGGGTTACCAACCTTAATGTTCTTTTCGATGTAGGCCTTGAACTCCTTTAGTAATCTGTCGTAAATACCTGCTTGAGCGTATATTCTGGAACCTGAAGAGCAGATTTGACCAGCGTTCTTGAAAATACCATTAACCAAGTTTGGCAAGGTCTTTTCTAGGTTAGCATCGTTGAAGACCAAATGAGCAGACTTACCACCCAATTCTAAAGTAATCTTTTTCAAATTAGAAGCAGAAGCCTTGACAGCAATATCCTTACCAATATCGGTAGAACCAGTGAAAGCCACCTTTCTGACCTTTGGATGAGTGGTTAGAGCAGTACCAACCATACCACCTGGACCTGGGATAATGTTGACAACACCAGCTGGAATACCAACTTGTTTACATAGAGAAGAGAAATATAGAGCATTTAATGGAGTGGCAGAAGCTGGCTTTAGGACAATGCAGTTACCCATGGCCAAGGCTGGACCGACTTTCCATGATAGCATCATCAGTGGGAAGTTCCATGGGATAATTTGTGCGCAGACACCAATTGGTTCTCTGATGGTGTAGTTCATGTAGCCATCACCAGTGTCAATACTTCTACCGTCGACCTTATCGGCATATGAGGCAGCATCTCTGATACAGTTAATAGATAGTTGAACATCACCACGGGATAGAGCAATTGTCTTACCGTTATCCAAGGTTTCAATGGAGGCAATAAGTTCCAGTTGTTCTTCCATTAGGTCAGCTAGCTTGCTCAAATAACGGGCTCTAACCTTTGGGTCTTGAGTAGCCCAGTCACTCTTTTCAAAAGCTCTTTCAGCACAGTCAACAGCGTAGTCAACATCTTCTTTAGTAGCGGAGAAGACATCGACAATTGGCTCTTGTGTAGATGGATTCTCGATGGTCATTGTCTTACCATCGGAGGATTCAACAAATTCATTGTTAATGAACAGACCAGTTGGCTGTTCGTAGGTTAGACCATTTGGTAGCTTAATGGTTTTAGTAGCAGCAGTCTTGTAAGCCATAATATATTATTTTGTGGTAGTAATGGAATTGATTAGTGTTGGGCAGTATAGGATTATATACTGATTTGTTTTCTTTCTTTCTTGGGATTAAGATAAAACTCAATAATCAAAAATCCTGTTGTAAAAGTATTGTTTTTATGTTTTAATAAGGTATATCCTTAAGTGTGTAACTATTAGAACCAAAATAAACATGACTTAAAAATAAATGGTACTTATTTCACACATTGTTCAAAACCCTGTCTGTTTTTATATGTTTTCTGATGGAGTGGTTTCTCATTTGATATTAACAAACATTAATAAGAACAGTTGTTGAAATGATGTATATGGGTAGCCCCTCTCCATCAGTCCGATCTTATTCCCGGCAATTCCATCATCTATAGCATATTTCACAACCCTCTTTTTTTTTCTTTCGATTCCGAGCCTATACTATAGTTGTCTATTTCACATCATATGAAACCTTACATAATTCTTAACTCTTTCTTTGCTGAACGTATTGCGATGACAGCTTCCCGCTATCAAGAGCTCTATTTTTTGTCCAAAGGACAAATTGGATGTACAGGATTTAGGGAAGATGCATGGGAAGGGACCCCGAACTGGAAGCAAAAAAAAAGAGGAGTTGCTCTTTCTTTATCGTTACCATTACATACAAGTACACTAATGAGCTCGGGAACAGCTGGTTATAACAGCACATATACTAGTACAGCCAAGCACAATAGTTGAACTATGATAATGGCATCACTACACATTTAACTGGCCCTTTGTATGATACCTTGCTCACAAAAAGCAGTAGTGAATGAAGTGCCCTAACATTTTCTCGAGGAGAGCATGATCTACATTATAATGAGATATTGCAATGGAAGTTGCGGGGTTCTCTGCGCTGCCCTCGATTATACACCAAGGGCCTACAAACAAAAAAAAAGAAATGAAAATAGATATAATGCTTTTTTTAAGATTTTCAAATTCGATGAAAATTTCAAAAAAGAGGAGGCGATGGGTGTGGACAAGGTACTATAGAGAATAGCTGCACCTTTTGATTGCACATGGGACAAAAGTATAGCTCGGATGCTACCAATTGTTGAATCTATGTCTTCGGCAACTCTGTTTCTGTTCATGAAGGCTTTTCAAGTAATGGAGGCTAAAAGAGCTTTTGCCACATGACGTATTTGGATTATCTTTCTAAACCATTACAAAAACATTCGAACGGTGTTACATTTCCTATGAGTAGGGCAAAAGATTGTTCTGCGCTATGCCCGATGGGATTAAGCTACACCCAAGGGTCTACATCGAATAGTTGGCGCGAACATGAAAAAATAATAGCTTTGGATACTCATTAAACGTAGTACAAATCCTTGCACCTCTTACTTTGTTCCTTGGTTATGTGAAAGTATTAAAAAGAAACAAGAGCTCTTCGTGCACTTCCGATATCAGTATTGGGACAGTAAAAGGGACGAATGCATTATCCCCTATTTAAGAACGCATGAGCTTTCGGTGAAACGGCTCCATGGATCGTGTCTTTATAGAGATATGTATCTAATAGTGATTTTATCAAACTAGGAAGTATGGTAAACTCACGCTGCAAAAAAAAGATTACTGACTCCTAAATGGCCTGCAATGTTTAAAGTTAACCTTCCCAGGATTGTTCTAAACTTGTTTTTATTTTCGAAAACTCGGGAATAGTTCACCTAAGAGACAAGTAACATGGACATTGTAACTTTTAGTAATAGAACACTAAATAATGATATTTGTGCCATTGTAAATCAAGAGGTCCGTCGGGAAAGTAGTTTCCGAAGTTTTCGATATGCCGCCCCTATATTCCGTTAACGAACCGACACCCCTTTATAGAAGGTATTACATAAAATTTATTGAAAATATTACGTCAAAAAGATATCCTGGCCAATAGTATTGATCTCTATTCTTAATGGTCGTTCTTTATCCTTTTGAAATTTTGGTGAAAACAATGGCGATTGTTTACAATTTGACATATGTCCTTACATGATTGTATTGTCTAATTGAGGGTACAAAGCTTTCCTAATCAGGTCAGAGTATCTTTATCAAAGCATTTAAAAGCCAATCATAATTCAATCCGAAGTTCATGGATTTCGACAAGCGTCACAAACGGAATGTCCAGACTAGTGCTTCCTTAGGTAAACATGATCTTATTATAGCCTTGCGTGTACTAATTCTTAGATGTAATTGCTCCCGGGATAAAATAGAATATTCCCGTTCTTGTATGCGGCTGTAGCAATTATTGAACATTCATCAACTTGTTCAAAGTACTGTAAAAGGGAAACTCACAATTCAAGCCGATCACATGACACCCTAATTCCGTGTATAGGTATTTCGTGTTTTTGAATCGTAATTGATGGCCTTCACGTTGTATCGTGAACTATGAAGATATTACGAGAAGCTATGTCATTTCCAAGAAATATATTTTTCTCTGGTGAGTTTCACTCATATCTGTGCCTCCTTTCTTTACGTTTTGTTTTGTTCTAACTTTGTAGGCAAGCAAAGATACCTTACTACTGATGCTTTTCACTGGAGGATGTACAAAGTTATTGTTGCTTTTTCAATTTCTGTGTCACTGAAAAAGCATTTCCATCCGTACTGGCATTTTAATACCCCTCATTTTTGCAATTGTCAGATCTGAAAATCAAATTATGTCTATTTTTCTTTCAATTAAGTGGGGTATTAGATTAGCCGTAGGCCAAGCAACTTTACGCCATAGCAGCTCATTTCCCATGTTCTGATTTGCCCCGTCTAGGTTCTTAGAATAGACATTTTTCGGACAATATTCCTGTATGACGGCTCATATATTCAAACCAGACCCTCTTTTTTGTATTTCTTATACTTCTATTATGTTTTCTTTCTTATTCGAAAGCATCCCCAAGCTATTGACCGATCAGATCTCAACTACATATTTGTCACTGAAAGGCAAAGTAATCACCGTTTTCAAAACTTAGAGACACTCAAGAACCCCTCTTTTGCTTGTTGTAACAACTAAAAATATATTTATCGTCATTCTACTACGTCATCCATCATCGTCTCCTACATTATTGGCGTGCAATGTAGGACCTGCGCCATCAGATGCATATTTTGTAGATGGCTCCTTCGCCGATTCCGAAGTGTAACTGTCATTCAAAAGAAAATATTTCAACATTTTTAACATTTTTCTTATCTTTGATAAATATTAGTTATTTAGAAATGAAGGGATGACATTCAACTCTCTATAGTTTTTCCGCCAACATTGATGAGAACAAATATAGAGCAGCCATTGAACTTTGTAGATAGCAAAATACTGTGGATGTTCTCGACAGGTAAAACAAATGAGTGAAATTCTCGAGACATCACAATGGGTCACAATGGGTCACCATGTTTCAAATGATTTTTGTTCGTCAACATATTTTATTTTTCACATGTTATGCTAGTTTCCGTATTCCACGGATTAGTGTGTAAATTTATGTGCTCATTGTTTTACGGATAAGTTTATCCTAAGAGAAACAAAAATAAGATGTGCCACGGAATATATACTTGTATTGTAATCTTATTGAACATGCAGCGAATAAAATCTTGAAAATAAGCGCTGAGTATATAGTATTGTATTGATATGAAATCGGGATAAGTGGTTTGTAATGTACTGTTAATATGTATTCGCAAGGGTTGTAAATTAGCAATATTAGTTAAAAATTCTGTAAAACATAAACGATTAGATAAATACAAGAAATCATTGAAATAACTATTTATTATTGTTCTTTCATTTGTGAATGTTGCTTCATTGTCATAATACAGAAGGTCGATCAGCAACATGATTGGTATAGGATATTTGAAATCGTAGCTCTAATAAGATTGAACAACTTTAGAAGAATAGTTCTAATACTCCTCATAAGCTTATTTGTTGGCTTGTTGTTCCTTTTTCTTTTGTTCAAAGAGAGCGTCAATTTCTTTCTGCTTTTCAAGTTGCATCTTCATCTGTTCCTCTGGGGTAGGAATATTACCTTCAACATAATCCTTTAGAGTAAAAGTTTGACCACTCATTTGTTCTTGTTGGATACGCATTTTTTCCTTCTCCTCTTCAATCAACTTCATGAATCTAACATAGTTCTTTTCACCTTCTTCTCTGATCATATCTAGAGGGAACTTGTTGCCTCCACCAATACCGTTAATTACTGGAGCAAGGCCAAGCAATTTTAATAACCAATTGCTATCATTTTTCTTCTTCTGGTCTTGTTCAAATTTATTTTTCAACTTTTGAACTCTTTGTTCAAATTCAGCAGGAAGTTCTCTCTTATTATGGTAGCTCTTCAAAATAGGTCTTACATCTTCAACTTGTTGAGTTGCCATGTATTCTAAAAATGGGATTAATCTCAAAAGTTTGTCATCAGCTTTACCGTCCCAAGGGTCCATAGGGATAGCATTCTCAGGTTGCAATTTGTAACTGTTTTCATCGGTGTCAATAATCATAACTTTCTTTAAGTCTCTGTTCAGTTTTGATAAGTCTTTAATATGGACACCATCCTTGTATACACAATGTTCTTTGAATAGATTGTAAGATATGAAAGCATGAATAGGGTCCATTTTCTCTGCAATTTTTTCGGCATACATCATGTAGTTGGAAGAAAACAGAACAATTTCATAATATTGAGATAGGTAACCAAGGAAATAATCAGCACCTGGTCTCTTAGCAGTTCTCCAACCGTGTTTTTGATCCCATTCAGAGTGAACCAAAAAGTCTTCCAAAGTAATAACCAATGTTAGTGGTCTTTGATATGGAGCTGGTGGTGGAGGAGGTAACAGATCAGGAAAAGGTGGCTCCTGGAAGTAAGTAAAAACGGAATTAAATCTAGCTCTAAATCTTTTGTACATCAGGTCAGGTGTATAGCCATTGTCGATATCTTTTTTCATTTCATCATCCTCATTCTCCTCCCAGTCTCTGCACATGTATAGGCCAAGACCAGCTAATGATGAAAAAGTGAAAATGTAAAAGTAATTAGCATATCTTTCTTTCTTCTTGTCGGCAGAAGTCATCCTTCTTTTCCTTTTTTTATTGCTGGAATTTTCAGATTGTTGCTCTTCATTACCTTCTTCTGTTTCATGTTGCTTTTGTTGCCCTTCCTTCTTACCTTCCTCTACATCAATACCAGCTTTGAAAAGCAGGTCGTCAGTCAATATGGATTGAGCTTTTTTGTCATCCTTCTTCTGTTCCTGTAAAAAGTAAGACTTTGTATTTAGTCTTCTTTTGTTCTGTACTATTAGAGAATTGGCTAGATTTCTGGATATCTGAACAGAAATACCCTTAGATGCAATATGTGGTGCCCTGGTAACTGCACATCTGAATAAAGAAAGCATCCTTGAATGTAAACAAATGCAGTAAAAATAAAATTAATCCTCTGATAATTGGCGTCTATAAGGTATTAAAGTTGTTTAGTAATACTATTGTGTTTATTCAGTAACCTTCTTTTTCCTTCAATGAACACTCCCAATTTTTGATACCTATTGTCTTATGATACACAATTCTAAAGAATGATCAACAAACGTTATCCGAGTAAATAGAAATCTAAGAAATGGTCTAGTTCTGTTGAATGATATGTATATACTAACAGAAAGTATATCAAATTGATATATGTAGTCATTAAGGCCACTGTTTTTATTCGACGTCAACGCCCATTTTTTTTTCATAAAATGAAAAAAATCGATAACCTTTGGCAGGGTAAATTACAAATGCGAATATAATGCATTGCGATGATTTAGTCTCTAGCTTTGCAATAAGTAGTATTTTGGTATCTTTCTATAAGTAGTTTTCCATAGCTTGATCAAGCATGGGTATTATATAGCTTTCTTGTTCGTCTCTTCAAGAAACTAGGGAAGTGGTTTTGCTATGGAAAGTATCGTACCTGTCGTTTCAGGGAGCAGTAAGTCCAAGGTTTTGTTCTCTTCCTTTACATATTATACTTGTTCATTTTCATTGATTCATTAGGAGATACTATGTCCTGTATTAGTCAGTGCTTATGAACCTTTAAATGAAAATGTAGCTCTGAATTTTCAAATATCATTCACCCTAATAAAGAATAGAAACTCTTGTATGCTTGATTAAGTATAAATAGTAACTCTCTTACTTCATGTTCATCTAATGTTTCTTCTACCTTCATTTTGTTGATTTTTACTATCCACTCGACCAGTTTTGATCTATTTTCAAAATCATGATTTGTAACCCTATTAATGCTAAGCAAAAGTTCGGCCATTAATGGGTGTAATTGATCCTTTGCTTTGTAATCGAGTTTTAAGGCATCCATAATTGTAATAAAATTTCCTGTGGCTTCTGCTACATTTTTAGCATTATATTTCCCTCCTTGGCTCTTTGACTCCAATGAGCCATTTGAACCGTCGTTGTTCGTATCTATATCAATTGCATGCTCAACCGTGACGGGAATACCTCTTTCTAATCTTGTTATAGCATTAGAGGCAATTATATTGTACTTTTCTTTAAAATCATGGAGATCCCCTACATATTCGGATATATCTGGCATACTCATATAGGTCTTGTACTGTGCTAGTAATTTATTCACTGACTGCGTGTAATGGGTACTACTTATAGAATCTCTCAGATACGCCTTTTCAACATAATCCAATGCTACTATGATGGAATATACATCAGCTACTCCTTCCAAAGTTTCCTTGTCTTGGGAAGAGCTCGAGTTCTCAAATAACGGTACCTCTTCATTCAATGCTGTAGGGATCTGATTCATAGGGATATTAATTGTCGTACTCAATCTTAGACTACTGAGACTTATTAATGTTTAGTGAATTATATTTTCCAGTTTTTATTTTGAGTACTTGTTATAGTTTGATGGCTGTTTCGAATAGCTTTCATCCCGACCACCAGGTACCCTTTACTATTTTTACTAATTTCTATACGCCTTTGATATCATGTTCAAAGTGATAAATAATAGATGGCACCAGTTATGAGTATCTGCTGAATGGAGTTAATGAAATACAAAAATTAATTATGAATATAGATTTATTTACTTAAAATGCTTAGTTTCAACTTCGAAACACTAGTCTATAATGGGAAGCTTCTTTAGTTGCGATTTTCCATTTCCTGAAGTTAGCTGGAAAATATGGAAATTCTTACTATTATTGTGCTCTCGAGAGTCATATATTATTGGTGGTAATGTAGGGTACTCAATCATTCCATTGGAATGTTTTTGTAGTCCCCCATATCCGCTATAGAATCTTTTTGCGTGTGAAGCAATCTCACGTTCCTGAATAATAGCTTGTTGGATATATTTTGTGTGTGATTTCAGCCATTGTGAAATTGTTATTGGAATGCTAAATTCAAAATCTTTCCCACTACCAATCTTTATTTTTATATCTATTGCATGGCCAATTGAGTAGTATTTGCCATTAGTTGATATGGAGCAGTGATATCTAAATGGAATAGCATCAACCTTGTTTTGTAATAATTTAGTGGGAACATTTCTATTGGTCATATTGCCTTCAGGTTGTTTTGGCAGTTTGTAAAGAAGTTCAGGCTCAAGCATTGTATTTTCGAATTCTTTGAATAGAACATCTTTAGTGCATATATGAATGTCATTTGCTGTTTCAAATCCATTCATTGTGATTATCTCATTATAATTCTTGGTTTCTGTGTCCAGCACGTATTCCTTCGATTCATATGTCTCACTGTGGCATTGAAAAATCTCTTTAGTTTGAAACGTAACACTCTTGACTTTTAACTTCTTCTTGAATAGAACACTATTTTCGTATTCGGGTGCTGTCGAACTACTATGTTGATTTGGCATAACTTTTAGTTTTATTTTAAGCAGATCATCAGTTGTAATGCATGGATTCTCAACGTACACTTTGGCTTTCAGCTTTTTATCCGGAGAGTAGAAATTCTTCTCTATCGCTGGGAATAGCTTTTTCAATGGAAGATTGGTATATCTTTCAACATTAACTGTTGTAATAAAATTCTTCAGCTCAGGAGGAACACTATCGAAACTAGGGCCGACTTTTTCTAAATCATAGTACAATAAGTTGCATTCCAGATATGTTACGCAAGTTCCAAACCGCGAATTGAAATTAGTGTCGTTGATATCCGCTGGCAGAGATATTGTCAGTGGAAAATCCACTCCAATCAAAGGTTTTGATATTCTTTGAGTGTTTTTATTCTTAGCAGCTTTACATTTCTCATCGTTAGCTAAATAAAAAGACTTTTTGTAATGATATGAGATTGACTCATTCTTTCTGGGCTTTGATTTCGATTTGCCTATTGGAGTGAAAGAGTAGGATACGTGACTCTGAGGAAACACAGTTTCTACAGATTTTAGTATAACTTCAATCTTAGCTATCCTAAACTCACTGCCATTATTCGAGCGCACTCTTAATTGGCACTCTATTCGTGGTAATGTGTCACTAATCCCAGGACAGCCTCTGATCATGGAATTGTAACTAGGCATCAAAGATATAATCGGTACCGTCATGGTATAGGTCGTCAAGTTGCTTCTTCTATGAGTTGAATCATGGTATCCTAAAAGGTATTTAAATACTTCTAAACCTCTTCGATATGAACTATGACAAAGTTAAGCTCTTTCCGTTTTCACGATATGGGCAACAACATTTTACATTTCGGCTACTTCAAAGATGGACCAAAACATAAAAAACTCTTTCTTCAGTGTTATAATAAAGCAGAATATCATACTAGCATTCGATATCCAAACAACACAAAAGATCTTCTTACTATTTAGATCATCTAATACAGGACACAAGACTATATCATATAAATTATCGACAATTGGAAATGGCATTACAGCCTATGAACTGGGCAAGTATCAAACAGAACATTGAGTCAGGGGAATTGCAGAACTTGAAGAGGTCACCAATTGAAACCGAAAAGTATCATGAGCATAAGAGAATATTAGCTGAGAAGAATATTGAAATTGGTGACTACATTTTGAATAAACTGGGATGGACTTTAAATGAGCTCGCAAGTGTGAATGACATCAGTGAAGAAGAAAAACTGTCTTTGAGTTTCTCGAGAAAGGATTTATACAAGCTGAGCGTAAATGATTTTCCGTACAATTTTGAACCCCAAGTATCACATCTTTTAATATGGTCTAAGATTAATCTGCCTCTATACAATAAAAACGAGTCTTCAACAGACATGAATCCTGAAATGAAGACAAAAATAGAAACATTTATTCACAACAATCTGTCAAAATACCTGGATCTTGATATGAAAGACGATTATTGCTGGTTTATCAACTACCGAAATTTACAAAGTATTAAAGGAATTGCACACGTCCACTTGTTAATTAGATGCGTAGACGAAAACGGACCACAAGGTAATAGATGCCAACGAATTAAGAACGAAATCCTAAATGAAGGGTTTGAACCTATAAGTTAGTAGCAATCAAAGGTATTTACTAATCAAACATCAACCAACCACTATGAGGGTTATAGAACAAGATCAATTTTATCTACAAATATATTAAGGTTACTTTTCTTTTTATCACTCTGATCATCTTGTAGAATTTTTTTTGATTTGAAATTTTATGCGATGAGCTGCGATGGCACACAATGGCTGATATGATGAGTATGGCAATGAAGGAAGATATCATATTTACGAAACAACGTTATAGAAAGTTTGATATTTTTAACTAGTTTATGCTATACAGAAGTTAGTTCCAGCTTCTATTTATGATAGATGTATATGCAACATTATTTTTTTAGTTCATCAAAATCATGGAGTTGCGGAAGCGGAAGAAAGTCAACTATTCTGAGTCAAAAGGAAGAATCGGTGGTTTAAAGACTGTTGTGGTACAACCTGATTCTCCACCACATAATTTCAATAAAGATGTTAAGCCTAAAGGTCTACCACAAAAGATTGTTAGATACACCCCCATGATAAATAAAAGGAAGGCATCGAAAAGGATAAACAAACCTACATCAAAGAAAGTGCCACATGTTATGGGAAACTATGATAATAGTTGTCGTATCAAAAAATTGACTTTTGAAAGACCCTCATTCAACGACTATTCGAATTATAAACAACCAGAGCCTGCTCTAACAGGCTTAATTCATTCAGATGCCCGGATAGATTGGATAAATGCCAAAAAGTTTCTTGCAAACCATCGTGAAAAGCTAAGAAAGTTAGCCAAATTTCAATATGAACTGTATTACAAGGACATAACCAAGCCAGAATACAAGGGGCCACAGGCATTTGCTAGTCTGAAACTACCGGACGACATGGTATCTTATTCCAATATAATAAAGAGTATTGGGTCATTGCTACATGAAGTTGAAAATTTAGAAACTAACAAAAATTCTCAAAAATTATACAAACCAACTATTGAAATTTCAGCTGAAGCTTTGAAGACCATCCGCGAACAGACATCAAATAATGACAGAATTGAGCGTACTGCCGAGTTGCATGATATTGATATCGAAGATATCAAACAAATATTAAGAAAGAACGAAATAAACACCACATTACATCAAATGAACATGCTTAAATCGTCAGATTTCCAAATCATGCACACTTTGATGGAAAAGAGGTACTTCCCATATGATGATTCATCCTTGCTATGGCCAACTAAATATAAAAAAGAGCTCAAAAGATATTCAAGCTCAGAACTGGATCAAAATGATCCGCTTCAACTTTCAATTCCGTTATTCACGGATTTTTGATTAAAGCATTATAGATCAATAACCTTAATATTCACGTGAAAAATAAAACAGCATTACAAATACTCAGTTTGTACTTAATAAACATTCAAATTGCCTCACCAGCTAATTCAGTTAATCTGGTCAATTTTTCCTGGAAAAATTGACTTTCTAACTATATTCCTTATTTTCTTTCATATTTAGATCATAGCGATTATGTACTTTATATATTTTATGAAGAATTAGGCTCACGGTAAGCAACAAAACTGATAGAAATTATTGTTAAGCACTAGAATTGCTAGAAGTAGAATTTTCCTTATTATGCATAAAATACTTTTTATGTTAAATTGTTTAGAGATGAAGACAAATGATCCACAATACACCAGAGGTAATAGAAAAATAGGCACTTTATCAATAATAAATACGGCTAGTTATTGCTATCATTGCACTATAAATTACATTTACAAACAACACAAACTCATTGAGAAATATTAGTCCCACTGAAGCAATAATCATGTGTCACTTTGCTACGAACTTTTCTTAGAAAGTTATGACACACTTATACTTTTGACAGGAATACAATCTATAATGATCAGCACGGTCATCAATGCTATCCTATAAGTTTTGGGTGTATATATCTAATCAAGAGTTGTCAACATTATGCTCAGCAATTGAAAGTTGAGGCACAAACTATGACTTTAGAAAAGTTGAAGACTTTGATAGAATCACCACCAGCATGGTCACAATCAGATGAAAATTCAATAAATCAACCATACAATCACATTGCATCAAACCCGGGAAAGAACTTCAGAGCCAAATTAATACATCTTTTTAACCAGTTCTATTTGCTAGATGAGAATATTATACAAACACTCACTCAGATTGTAGAGATCCTCCACAATTCAAGTTTGATTATCGATGACATTGAAGATAACTCACAGTTGAGGCGTGGAGTAGTCGCATCACATATGCTCTATGGTGTACCCATGTCCATTAATACTGCAAACTACATGTATTTTGTAGCAATGGATTTACTTAGAAACCTGTCTCATGATGCAGTAACTTCAAATGATCTAATGAAAATATTTAACGAGGAACTTCTATATCTTCACAGAGGCCAAGGATTGGATATATACTGGCGTGACTCCTTACCTAAGGTTGTACCAACAGAGGAAATGTATTTCAACATGGTTATGAATAAAACTGGTGGACTCTTCAGATTAACGCTTAAAATCATGGAACGCTTAAGCGAATACTGGCAGGGTCAGAAATCATTAGTTCCATTGGGAAATTTACTAGGAATTATATATCAAGTTAGAGACGATTACTTGAATCTTACTGACTCATCGATGATCGAAACTAAGGGATTTGCTGATGATATATCCGAAGGTAAATTATCTTTTCCAATTATACATGGCATTAATTATGCTAAAATACATGATCCGAACAACACATTGCTTTTAGATATTCTATGCTTAAAGACTAAAGATGAGAACTTGAAGAAGAATGCCATACGATACCTTTCAGATTGTAGCAAATCCTTTGAATACACAAGCAGTGTGCTGAAAAAATTGACGACCTTACTACATTCGAATTCGTACTTTCCCGATGTAACTAATGACTCTACCAATAGCCAGACAGAAGCTATAAAACAAGTATACAACATTATGGAAAAGCTAGCTAATGTGTGATCAGAATTAATTGGTTATTTTGAACTTTACTAACATTATTAATTTAAACCTGACCTTCCTCTGGAGCCCATTAAGTTTTCCTTTTATAGAGAGGTATGTAAGGTACTGTTGATGATTTCTAGTCACCTAGTAGTTTGTATATCTGAATTTTGTTATGATATATATATTCATAAATAATATGTTTTCATGCAACGTACAGTGATAGGAGCCACAAATAAATAAGACGCACAATCATAAAATGCTTTTAACTCATACTAGTTTTCGTCCACCATTTCTTTATATATTTCAAAAATTTCACGTAAGTTTGAAATTGTCAAGTCTTCGAAGGCATAATCTTTAAATTGCTTCCAATTTTCTGGTATGCTTGGAGTATAATTGGAAATTGGCGCCTGCTTGAATGACGACAGTTGAGTTGGAACTTCCTTTTTCAGGTCGGTATTTATCCAAGGCGAACTTTCAGTTCCATTACTGATTGGATAGGCTCTTATTCTATCAATTATATTTCTCAGCGATGAATCAAATACAGATCTAAAACCTTCATATGATGCTGTTCGTGAAACCTCAATTCTTTTAGTAAGTTCAGCATCTTTTTCTATGTCAATTTCATGCCGCCCTAATTCAGGTAGTTTTACCTTTCTACTTATGGGTACAGCAAACAAAGACTTTTCTCTATCAGTCAAATTGTCCCGCAATAACTGAGGTAAGTCATCTAATGTTAAACCTTCTATAAAAACCAATGCGGCTTCCAGATTCGTGATCGCAAAAAGTTCACTATCCACTAGTTTCTTTTTTATTCTAAAGAGTCTAACAAACTCCATGTTTAGAAATATGTGTAGCATTGGACATTTGATAACGTAATATATCAATAATGACAAAAAATCGTCATTCGACATTGCTTTTGAGTTCTCCATAATTTCATACATTTTCAGTAAGCATTTACATTTTTCACCTGGCGCAATAACATTGTTAGCAAAATCATCTAGAACCATCTTTATATTTGCAATGGATTGTATAGAATCAAATTCATCATTCCCTTTGGGAATATCTAAAAAGTCTGATAAACTAAAAAACTCCTCTTTATCAAATCTGTATAAAAGATTGACCCTTTCGTCAATTAGCTTGTCGTATTCGCCAAATTCTGGACTATTTCTAAACAAGCTAACTATACTGAAAGATTCGTTCTTCTTTGCATGAACATCTCTGGTCATTGTAGAGTTAGCTAATGTGGAGTTTCCATTAACATTAGCAGATTTGGATGGGCTACTGATTGGCACAGAAGTTCCAACTTGCAAAATTCGATTGAATAGATCTCTTTCGCATAGATCTTTATATTTTTCAATCTTTAAATTGTTCAATGCATCAGTCTTCAACTGCCTTTGAATCTCTTCAGGAGATAGCATTTGGGTCACATTGTTACTACCTGATTCATTACTGAAAATAGAGGATGATCTACGATTTCTCCTAGTGGATACATTGGTACTTGCACTACTACTTCTACTTCTGGAAAAGAGGCCACCAATACCACTAGTCAAGGTCTCCCTAGCATTGAAGAACGTTGACACATTTGTAGATGAAGAAGTCGTCTTCTTTGATTGCAAATAATGGAAACTATGCTTGTCAAAACGGATATAAAATGCCTGAAACAGGCTAGATAGTTGAGGAACCGACAAGGGACGCTCATATTTTGGTTGTTTCAAGTCATCTATGAAAGCGTCAATCATGGCAGATAGCTCATCAGGTAATTCCCCAATTTGACTGATCTGATCGATTTCTTCTTTGCTGAGCTTTGGGCTCTTAGAGCCCTTGGAATCATCTTTACCAAGCTCGCTATTGGATGATTCGGTAGAAGAGATATTAGAAGCTATGCTGCCCTGAGCGGAATGTCCCTTATATGACTCCTTTATAGATAATGATGGATCAAATTTGGAACTGTTGATTGGAGGTGTAAAAAGGTGAGTCATCTTCTCGTCCTTGGCTTTCATCATGATAGCTGCCACAATAATATCTCAATGTAATATCAGTAAAGTGAAAAGAAGACTCTAGATACCCAACCTTTGGGTAAAATTTCCTTATAACTTTTCTCTGAACAGATTCATATGAAAAACTGTCAAATGCTTGAAATGATTAAAAGAAGCGTCTTTTTCTTCGTTCCGGGGAAAGGGCTCAGTTTTAAGCGAATTTTTTAGAAGCTTTTCAAAATTTCAAAGGAACAGGGCTCAATAATAAAGCTCATCGCATTAGAACTTCGATTATTTCAAGTTGGGGTTTCTTTTATAAGAGGAAACTTGCTGATATTCGGAATCTTCTCCTTGAGCCACTGACGGGAAGTTGAACTCAGTAATAGTGGAGTTTTGGCACTTTTCTCCGAGAAGGATTTTTCTTATTTTTGATAGTTTGAAGTTCAATTTATTGCATGCTGTAATTTATAACCAACCGCATAATAAGATCTCTTTTGGTCGGAAACCAATATAGCCGATAGAAGATACTTAAAATAATACTTTTTACAATTGTTGTATGGATTGTATATGGGATTTAGTCGAAACTTTAAAGGTGACTCAAGGAAAAGACCTCACTCTCCAGACCTATATGCAATTGGTGAGTTCAAGAAGTCAAAACTAATAGAAGATCTTGAAAGGCTCTCATTAAATGACGATGTTGTGTCGGAGAATAACGGACTACAAATAGTCGACCATAATAAGTTCCGAAGACCACATAAAGATGATACCAGCCACCCCGGTGATAGAAAATGGGTTATCACTCAAATTGTGGATCTTATGAGAGCAGAGTCACTGCAAGTTATACCTTGGATTGACTATAAACAATTTGCATATAATGAATGGTTAAAATGGTACAAAATAAAACTATTATCTGATGATACTTTAATGATCGATATTGACAATTTGCTGGAAAACGATTTTTACATGAGAGTTGAGCCTACAAGCAATTACAGGGGTCAAATCGAAGGAAACAACGAAACTGAAGATATGGATATTGATATAGATTAAGTTCAAATAATGCATAATATATTTATACAACATAGGATCATGAAAAAAAAAAATTGTGGATGCAAAAAATATGTCACTGGGTGGTTACTTATAAGCAGAATATCAATGCTGATACTATTCTACAATATTCTCTCATAAAACAACATATACACTGATTTCTGTTCGTTAACAATATCAGAAATGCGCTTCTCTTTTACGTTAGTGTCAGAGATCAACCAGAAAGGATATATCGTAGTAGACTTCATACGCCTGAAATTACTATCCATCACAGTTGGCTTCTTTTCACCAATTGTGGTGCCAGTATTAACAATGTCCCCTGACACTTTGCTCTTCATTATAATAGGCTTACGTCGCAACACCTGATAGTGGCCACTGTAATGGCTTCCTGTGTGTATGACAATACTTTTAAGTCTATATCTTACTCTTTTCGTAAATTCATTCGAGCTTGTGGAACATGCCACTGTTTCAAATGCATCCAAAGTTTCACCAAAATGAACTTTGCATCCATTTCTGGTAAATGTCATCCCATTGTATGTCGATCTAGATAAGTGAATAACGAAAATATCTGGTGCATTAACAAATTTGCACTGTTTCAGGATACTCCTCCGAGCAACATTATTTTTAAAGCCATATTTGCAATAAGTATCTAAGTAATTTTGTAATTCAATGTCAAATTCCTCATTAATCGTAATATCGGGCAGCTTTTTTTCTAAAGCCAAAAGTTTGCCTTTGATTGATTCTGCAGTTCCACTAAAACCATGTGCTCTCTCTAGTGTTATTACTGATCTGATCAAACATACCATACACTTATAATCGTCAATAATTTCATTACTATTACGCATTAATACATCATTGAGATCTATTTCATACTTTTGGGGCAGAGGTGCTTCGAATATGTTAAAAGTTGATTTCTTTGGTGCAGTCTCATGTTGACACTGCAAGCACTTGTAACTCTCAATTATTGTACCAGCAAAAGGGAATTTGCATGAGCTAGTTTTATGAGAGTTTGATAGTTCCACATGGAGTTGTTCAAGCAGTACCTGCAAAAACTCGTGTGCATCATTCTGAGCCCTAGACAGCCTTCCACTAACCTTCCATTCTAGAACGCTTACTAGATGTTTAATATCAGCATTTGTAGGTTCAAATATTACCATTTGCAACTTCCTAAGAAGGTCTGCAAGAGCCCTGTGTAACAACAATGCTTCGGTATCTGTCTTCTCCAAACCAGCTGAAGATATTTCATTTTCATCAATACCAATAACAAATTTATTGATATAATCACTAAAATAATCTATCGAAGAAAGGGCTTGTATTACTGAATTTGCATAACAATAATTCCCTTTATTAACCAAGCCAGTAGTGTATTTATCAGGCCTACTTGCTAAAGATCCATTAATATTTTTGCTAAATAGTATATTCTTCACTGACGGATAAACAATATAACTGACCAATAAACCAATCAGGCCTACTCCAGCCTTAAATGAATTTGATCTTCGAAAGCCATAAAACAATTGATCTATTATAGTTTTAAAGAGGTCCTTGTTTGTTTGTAGTATTGGGACCAAAAGCATTATGCTGAATTGTTTTAGAAATTGACCAGATTGTTTTAATTTAGCAATTATTTTACTACATTTATGCACATTCTCAAACAAAATGAATTATAAACTTGAAGCGTATGTGATATAATGCAATTGTACGTCGTGACAGTAATTGGAATTTAGATATTAGATCACTTTGTCAAGAATGCTATAAATATTAATATTAATGTTATTATCATTGAGATTATAAACGTAGTATTATAACTTCTACGTAAATTAATAATTAATGCGAGTTGTCATATTAGAGTTAGTATGTTAGAAACCTCAGGTTTCTTAATTACGAAAAAGATCAAAATCGGTTGCTAGGTCAACATCTTCTCAAAATATCAGACAAGACTGTCTTAAGATAGGTTAGACCCCAGTGCTTCCATATTCAGTCGACCAATCATCAAACTGCTTCAAAGATTGTTGTGACACACTTTTTTTAGTGGTAGCTAGTGCGTTTTTAAAGTCTTCAAATGTTACCCCTCTAATGGTCTCATTTTTAATATCCATCAGGCGATCACCAACTTCCCTGATGGGTTCCATGGCTGCTTCCTTTGCTAGTGCAGTTAAGTCCGATCCGGAATATCCCTCTGTCATCCTGGCTACCTCTTCGTATTCGCTTATTGTCAAGTTGTTGGGTTGTTTAGATAGTAGTTTGGTGATATGCATCAATCTAGTGTCGTAATCAGGTAAAGGTATGTATACTCTTCTAGAAAATCTTCTTCTAGCAGCCTCATCAATAGCCCAGGGTAGATTTGTAGCTGCCAAAACTAATACCCTGTTATCAGAGAGCCCTCCAGAGTTTTCGTTCTGAGCAACAATATTGGATAACGAGGACCATTGAATCAAAACCTCAGTTTTTATTCTTCGTGATGATTCATTTTCATTATCGGATCTGGCTGTTAGTAACGAATCAATCTCATCAATAAAGATTATAGAAGGTGCTAATCTTTTTGCCAAGTAGAATAGCGCTCTTACTAGCTTTTCTGATTCACCCAAATATTTAGAAAGTAATGAGGATGCGCTAATACTAAAGAAGACTGAATTAGATTCGGTAGCAACTGCTTTTGCAATCATTGTTTTCCCTGTACCTGGTGGCCCAAATAAAAGCATACCTCTTATAGGTTCCCTTAAACCCTTAAACAAATCCGGTCTTAGAAATGGATATACAACAGCCTCTTTTAGTGAGTTTTTGGCGTTTCGTAAACCTGCTATATCATCCCAGTAGACCTTTTCATCTACTACTAAAATGTCGTTTAGTATATGTTCACAAGCCATTTTATCAACTCCTTCCAAGGTATCCATGACACTCTGAATTCTTTCGTTCATGTAACGTTTAGGAGACTCTGAACTTTTTGCTGGCCTCTTGCTATCTACCGATCTTCTAGGCTGATCTGCTAATACTGGCGATGAAGGAGCACTTTGAGACTTCGTCCGTCTAATAGCTTTAGTGAAGACTTCCCTAGAATTACTATCTGTTGCTACCGACGTTTGTGCCTTTTTAGGTGCTTTGATATGAACCCTATTAATAACAGGTTTTGTGTATTCATATCTTTTTTTTGGAGCATGATATGACTGCAACTTTGGTATGGTTGAAACAGGCTTTTTTAGCATAGTTGTAGCAGTACTAACAGGATACCTTTTGCGAATATCATCAGGTTGGAATTGTGTCCAGGCTACTTGTGCTGCTCTTCCAATATGAAAGCCATTATTCTTTCTCTCTGTTTGCCTGTCATGATCTCTATTAGCCGAACCCATATCAATAGACCTCCTGTTCATCACTATATCAGAACGGTCATTAGAACTTGACACTTGCTTTTTACCTCTGTTACTTACTGATGTTAGCTCAACTTCTTTCTGTCTTTCAAGTTTTTCTTGCCGCTCTCTTTCTTTCCTCTCCTGCTCTTTATGAAGTTCAATCTGACGTTGAACCTCTTTTCGTAGCCTTTCCTGCTCTTCCATCTCTTTCAGTTTAGCCTCTTCTTGTTCTTTTAAGGCCTTCTCTCTGGCCAATCTCTCTTCCCTCTCCCTTTCAAGTAGCTCTAATTCCTTACGTTTTAATTCCTCTTCTTCCAACTTACTTGCAACTTCAAGATCAACTTGCTGTCTTACCTGTAGGTCCATTAATTTCTTTCTCTGATTTTCTAGCTCTAGAAGTCTCTTTCTCTCAAGCTCTTGTTTCTCAGCTAACTTACGTTTTCTATTTTCCAGTATTCTCTCTGCTTCTTTGATGGCAGTAGAATCATCTAAGCTTTCATTTTTTATCTTTCTGGTGCTGTTACGTCTCCAGAGTTTTGTCAATGATCTTCCATTGGCTTGATCTTCTATACCATTCAACGTTAGTTGAGCATCTCTCCTGGCCAATCTAATATCGTATCCTAAAAGTTGAAGATCCTCTACGCTTTCCTTCAACGTCGAGTCATTTTCGCCAACTGTAAGTATATTAGTCTTTAGTTTAAACGCTTTTTCAATTCTCTTCATACCATCATTTACATAATACAGGAGAGATTCCAAGGATTTTGAGAGTCTTGGCAGTTCAATGTTGTCCTTTTTCTCAATAGCGATATTTAAATTGTTTCTTAGGTTTTGGTATTGGTCTCTAGCTATGGAATGAAGTAAATTCAAAGACTGCTCTAATGAGAATCCACTCGGTATGGCAAACTTCTCCGGCCCTATCATAATTGTATTTTGGATTTATAGAGCCTTGCTATTATGATCAAAGCTTTATTGGTAAACTCCGACAGTGAAATACTTTTAAAAAGTTAATATCGTTACAAAAGGAAGGTTTGCTGGTTTAATCTCAACAGTGAATAACAAATTTATGCTGGAAGAGAAAACCTAATCAAAAATAAAACAGTCAAACTAAAATTATCTAGAAAGTTTTAATAGATTTTCAATTTAGAGAAGTTATTCCCCTATTGTTCCTTCGTGAAATAATGCACTATTGAACTGATCTTCCTCACTAGATTAGAAAGATTGCTATACTGCTATTGCCGACAAATTCAAAAGGGAGAGTCTTGTATCAATTCTAGTGTAGTGTGAATGATTGTCCAAAGACCTGTACGCTAAAATACCATTCGCTAAGAATGTCTCATTTACTTAGCAAAACTCCCAAAAAAGAAAATTATGAATATACATTATTTCTCTACGGCAGGTCTTACCTGGAAATATAATGCCTAAGACATTGACAACAGATGATCTGCAAAAAATTGCCAGCTGATGAGACATTTTTACGCAATTGAAGACATTTAAGTAAGGATAGGGACTGTCGGAGCTTAAATAAGAGTACTAATGAAGAGAAGAGTATTACTAAAGGGCTTTATCTATTCTATAAGATTCTAATTATATAAATATTCATGAAATAAACTAAAAAAAGATCTATATACTATAACTTTATTTTACAACTTATTTCCAAGTAACTTGAAAAAAAAAAATACGATCGACTTTGCGACACTAATCTACGCTGTCTCGTCCTTGTCGTTAAATTCATTATTCGTAACATTGTCATTATGCTCATTGTTCCTATCATCATCTGCATCAGCATTTTTTGGTAAGGTATTACCAACCTCAGCATCTTCTTGCCTAGGGGAACTGTTTTTTTCGGAAGAGCTTGAACTTTCCCTCTCTATACTAGTTGTAGTTGGATTCTCTATCGGGTTATTGAAAGTTTGCTTTGCAATCATGTTAGGTCTTTGGCTATCAGTAACTGAAGAATGTGATTCGTTAGTCGTGGTAACATTTCTATCCGCAGGCCCATGTTGACGTTTACAGTAACGTATCTTCTCTTCCTCCGTCATTGCTCGTACTTGCCAGTTATTGAAGTTCTCGAATATGCATATCTCATTATTTTCTTTGATCAATTTACGGAAGTAAACTGACAAAGAGTTTAAAGTCAGTGCATTGTTGATCCTAAACCTTTCCAGATCACCAACAATTATCTTTCTAATATCTTCTCGAGGTTGATTCGGGTTGGTGAATCTACCTAATTTAATACCACGATCACATTCAGTCTCGATATAATCAATAATCACTCTTCTTGTCGGGAAAAAATGGGAGTCATCACTAACTTTCCAGCGCCTATACCCATAGTCTTCAATGAGCTTTCTAATAGAAGGTTGGCCATTTAAGCCGATATACCATTCGGCATATAAATCCCATATTGTTTTATTGTCTCTAGACAATTTGTATTTGAGAGGTGGCAAGTGTTCTGGTTTAGAAGCCCCATCTCCTTTTCTCCTTTTTTGTGTTTCCATTTTCTTATTCTTTTCTATATCATCCCTTGATGATTTCCCTTCATATCCTTTTTCCAGAGTATGTTGTAAATTGGAATGTCCAGGGGCGGGTATAGTATGCATGACTTCGACTGATAAATCAGGATCTACAATGGTGCTAGCTCTTGATGCTAATTGAGGTTTAGGTAATTGATTGCTGTCTATGGCTGATTGAGCATCAGGAGATGGTGGTAAACTAGTGGTTGACTCCGTTATAGGTAACGTAGGCCTTTCAACAAGTTTTTTTAGAGCACCTTGCTGTCTTCTATGTGAAATTGTGGTATTGACAGGCAGTATTGGGACATTTGGTGATAATGGCTTGATTATAGTTTCCTCTCTTGAGGCTGCTTTGTATGGAATATCGCTTAAAATACGATTAAAACTTCCATCTGTGAACGTACCTTGATTTCCACCAGGTGAGTTATATTGACCTGTCATGAAAAATTTTTTATCAATAGAATTGTTCCTATTACTACGAGGGGAATCCATAATGTTAGATCCGTTAACGCTAGATCCTCCAACTCTTGGACTTGCAACAGACTTAGATAGCAATGAATCAAGTGCATTTTGTGAGGGTGTTGATTTATCCTCCAGTCTATACCTCTTGTTATAAGGTGAGTCAGGCTGCATATTTATGGAAGGAGAATATGGACTAGCCCCACCGTTTGCATTATTCATAGGCACATTTACGATATTGCTAGTAGCAGCCTGATGACTCGGAAATGGTAGCTTCCTTTTTTGAGCTTCAGAATTCTGTAGCTTACTTTGAAGAGAGTTGAATGTTCCAATTGGTGCCAATTGTGAACTTTCTAGCCCCTTCTGTTGGGAGGTATCATCTGCTGAGTGAACCAACTGATTAATGAGCTGGGAATTTAATGCATTTTTGTCTAAAATAATAATGTTTCCTTCCCCATTAACTGAGTTTCCCATGCTTCTATCTCTAGTTTGGTTTTCACCATTAGCAATCTTCCTTTGAAGTTGCAAGATTTGATTACACATGGAAGTCACAGAATTTAGGTCAGATTTCAGCTGCGTTATTTCTTGGCTTAGTCTTATGTTTTCTGTGGTCAATTTTTTTGACAGTGAAACGAACTGAGATTCTATCATCTTTTCTAGAACGCTATTATTAATATATCCATTTTGTGTTCCTTCTCTTGAAATGCTCTGTAGGTTTGTATCGTAGGAATTGGGTTGAAAATCCGAGCCCTGTCTTTCCATCATAAATTCATCTTCTGAGCTTGATTTGAATTGCTCATTTTCAAAAAGTTCAGGAATGAATTTTGATATAAATTCCACAATTTTAGGCAGTAGCATGCTATGCTGACTTAGGTACCGTAAATCTTGTATTATTACCTTGCCCATGAACTCGAACAGTTCACAGAGAGAAAACAATTTGTAGTTTGTCCTGTCTATTAATAACATATCCTGTTTAAGAGCTGGTAGCCATGGGAAAACTAACTCAATCATATCTGGAGATGGGTGGAAAATTTCAGATCTAAGAATTTTAGTATTTTGACTTAACTGCTGGTGATCTGGATTTTCGTTATTCACTAGTTTCGCATTTGGATCAATAAAGTTGGAATCTAAAAGTGAAATTAAATGATAGTTGTTAATTGTAATTGGCGGATTGGGATGGCTCCATCTAATCACAAAATACACTGCTAGCGCAAATATTGGGCATCTTGAGATATCAGGGTTTCTGGACACTGTGTTGAAATATTGGTACGGTTGCATTGCTGTAGTTTCATTTAATTTTCGCAACGTTAATGAATCTTGATATGTCTGATCGACTATTAAGTCCACTAATTTTAAAGATGCTAAGTCACTTGAATTCGCCTTGAAATATGATTGGAGAATATATTGTGATATGGCATAGAAGTTTGTCGTAGTATCAGCTGAATTTATATTCGAATGTTCCTCCTGTTTTAATAATAATGATTTTAATTTATTGTTAGTAATGTCGACTTGTTTAGGCGAGGTTGCATCTTCATTGAATTTCCTAGCATCGATAGTCTCTTGAGCTGGGTTTGTTTGGTTTTCAGATATTACATTCCAGTTTTGCTTCTGTTTGTCATTATTAGTTGTTGGAATAGTTCTAGGCATAGCAAATATAGATGTACTCAAGCTTGGTGCTGACATACCCCTATTCAAATTAGAAACAGACTCTTCATCAGCTTTATTGGTTTTTGATACATTCGTAGTATCACCTTTTGTAATCGGCGATAGTCCAAGAAAGTTCATAATAAATGCGAAAGCACTTTAACTAAGACTTTATCCTCAGTCTTCCTAACTTAATTCGGCTTTGTATGAAAAATGGTTAACTATCAATGATATCACCTTGTATTTCTTAATAAAGTTGTTTGTTGAGATCAACACCTTGAACTTTAATCTCCACTCTCCCAAAATCGTCTTACTCGTCTAGATTCGGCTCTAATCAGATTCTCTCAATACCCACTGCTTTATGTCTGCTTACCTCGGTCTTGTCTAGAAATGGAAGATTGAAGGCCAGATTTGCTTTTCTTTTGTGTGATCAAAAATGGGATAAAACTATTTACAATTGATTGTTTCGAGGAAATTTTGGAATTGGATGGAAGCTTTCACTATAAGGCCATGTTCCAATAATACTGTCTGAACTAGTACTTATAATGGGAACACTGTCGGTCTCTATAATCTAGCTAATCTTCTCGTGGCGCGTAAATAAAAGTGAAAATAAATACTTTTAGGGCCACTTTTGGTAATTTATGGCACACTCAAATCAATGATGGCACAATAGTTTGATAAATGAATTGGGTTAACTTGATTTTGCAGTCTATAATTTTTATTATTCAATGGAACAATGAAATAACAAAAAATCAAAATAAATGCTATTATCGAAATTAAGGTAGAATAGATAATGAGGAAATGAATTGGCCAAAGAACAAAAAAAAGGAAATTTTCATCGGACTCTGAGGGATTAGAGTAAAGGGTAAGTAATTGGCTATTGATTTTATGCTCAACATATACTTTTTCTAATCTGATCACTTGATTTGAGACTTTACTTTCTGTTCTTGGGATCACAGCATATTTTCTCTTCCTTTTTCCGTTCTGTCTTCAATACCAAGATAAAAATTGATTTGCTTTCTGAGCGAAGCTACACTAATTTAATGAACCATGTCTAGAAGAATAAATTGCGGAGAGAGTTCTTTGAAAATATGTAAGTAACTTGATTATAGGAACATGCTGAAAGCCGGCTAACAAAATGGAGAGGACAAGATAGTAAACAATAATAACAATATGACAGCACGTAATGAACAAACAAAAGCCATTTGGGCAATGCTAGGGAAAAAAAAGAAAGAATGCATTCCAAAAAGGAATACAAATTGAACATACCATTGTAAAAGTAGATTGTGACAATAATGAAAGAAAACAACGAAGAGTATAAAGGTGGGATCAATAGGATTTCTTCTGGAGCTTAATGTGAATGATTACTCTGAAACTGCTAATTACTAGCCACTGATAGCAAAAGCAGATTCCGAGCTTGTTTTTCACAACTTCTTACTCTTGTGATGTAGTCAGAGTATTGTGCACACTTTTTGCAAAATGATGCAAAACTTAATACGTAATAGAGAATTAAAAGAAAAAAATCGATACCGCAGAGTAATTTAGGTAACACAAAGATTATAGTCGCAAGACGAAGTTATTATTGTAGCACTATAGGAGCAATACTGTTACGTAATTCGCTCTCTGAGACAACTTATGAATTCTATTCTTTTTGCTAGCTGGAAGTATGCCAGATTCAAAGATTAGAGCTTTAGCGCCTTAGTAAACTGAGTTGTTTGTTACCTTCTCTTGATGTCTGATTGGTGAGGGGATACTACCACGAGACGCGACTGTATATTTTGCAACAAGGTCTGATTTGAAAAAGAATATCTGTCTGTGGGTGACTTACAAGGGCGCAATACTTGTGTCACGCCGATGAAATCGAGCCTAATCTGCTGGTTGTGTTTTCGGTATTTCGTATTTTCACTGGAATCCGGGCACAGAGAAATTAACGTTGATGAAGCAACTTAGCTACTGTCCGTCGCTAATTTCGAGTTCTAGTTGGTGGTAATACTTACACCGACAATACTGTTGGATGGGGGATGGGTTCCTCTAAAATTGCACGTTTACTAGTGGAAAACACTAAAATGTAAAATTGGATTCCAGAAAAGCGCAAAACAATGAGAAATACAAAACAGGAATCCGGGCTTCCTATATATACTTTTTTTTTTCCTCATTACTTTACTTCTCCGATTACCTCTTGGGTTCTGACGCGTATTCTGTGTGTCTCCCATAGAGGTACGTAGCAAAGTTCTGTTCCTCCTCTCTTATTAGTAGGTTCCTCTCCTTGAGCCCTACGTTCGTACTTCAGCTTCTGTGGGATTCCTCTAATAATAGCAAATTTTCTTCAAAAAAAAAAGAAAAACGGGATATATCCAACGAATTGCACTCGTTTCTTGTGGACTTCTGCTTCCCTTTCACTGGTTGTCGATCGTTTGTTTCTTGTTATTATTAACCCTAGGGTTTGTCAAAAGCAAGGCACCACTATATGAAACAAACCCTAAATTAGTTACTTCGATTTAGGTCTTAGTAAATGCTAGGTCTATGTTTATTCGGACTAGGGTATGATAGGGTTATACTGTGATAGAATCACTTTAGGCTCAACTTTATAAATGATAGCTCCAATAGTCATCCTGTTTTCAACATGATCCTATTATTACAAGAATAACAATCTTTATTAAGACAGCATGCCATTTTAATTTGAAATAAATCAGTTATCTATCTATAATGGGTTTTGCAGGATCCCATCCAGAAAGTAACGCATTATCGTATCTATGGTAATGTAACTTCCAGTAGATAAACCATTTGGGGAATAGCAATTGGAAAGCGATGGCCACGGCCAGTGTAGACACCATATATGTTATGCCAAGTGTTGTTGTCACAAATGTATATACTGTTATGTGTGTGCCAAGGGAAAACAAGATGTTATGAGGCGAAACTAATGTTGGAAGGACGATATTGATTTCAACACATAGCAACATGAAACAAAATACCTCCGTTGTGGTAGGTAATCTTGATGCAAGCACTGCGACATTAGCCAGTAATATATTTGTTGACAAATTTGTTGGTGTATTATTCTCTGTTTTCGAAGATGAGTTGACATATAAGTACGACACAGAGAGCCAGAAGGATAATGTCCAAATTGAATCTGACGCCGAAGTCCTAGATAGTGACTTGATCACGGGTGAGAGGATTAGCATTGTAAAAGTAATGAGCATCGATGATTTGAAAGTCAAGAGCCGATGACTTCTCTGGTTCACCACATATAATAATGTTACTAAGGCAGTCATTCCAATACAGGGCGGTAGAGGGTCTCTTTCGTAGTAGTATAGGTAGCAAAAAACCACATAGACAAAGGAAGTATTCATTACCAAGTGGTAGAAAGACAAGAAATCTTGTCTTATTATTCGTTGATCTATGATCTGTCTGTCTGCATTGTTGTATTTGCTAGCTTGTATCTCTTTCAAAAGTACATAAAATTCGGAATCAGTATGGTTATCTGGATAATCTTGTTGTTTCCACAATTTCCTCTCCCAAGGTGCTTTTGACATTGTCGTGTTCTTCTGGTACTTGTAAGTATTGGTATAAAAACTTTATAAACTTGAAACGATGATCACTTTAATCATCTTACGATCGATATTAAAGGTTTTTTTGCTTTTGCTCCGCGATGTGATTTCACAATCTTCGGTGAAATCGAAATCAAAGAAAAAAAATTAAAATAATAGAAAAACAATGCTCAATAGTGGAGAGTAAGAGCAACTAGCCTTGACCATCCATCTAACCGCAAAGGCAAAATAATATAACATACATGATATGGATGGTATAGAGAGAGTAAACTCAGTGAGACAACACTATAACGATGATGTACCGTCCTTCGTTATCGATAATGTATCCGACATTGATACTGAATCTGCAGGAACAGAGCCATATCTAAATGCATTTGATAACAAAGATCACAACAACACAGAATTTGAAACTGGCCGCAGTGATAACTTCTTCAATTTTAACTACAATGATAACGACAACGACATCGATAACTATAATGACAATGAAATTGGTAATGATAATGATGTTGAGCTAGACCTAGTGGAGGATAGTAAGGATAACTTTATGATGATGGTACCGCGCACGCTTCCAACATCGGGCATATCAGAGCATCTGTGGCAGAAACGCATACGAGCCAATCCAAGTGATGGTGCGCAAACGCTAGAACCACCCTCGGGGCCTGTTGATCTCCTATCTAGTGCGGACACTTCACAAAGACTGAAATGGGCGGGTGCAGGTCCGGGACCCAATGCACTTACTATGACCACCTCTTTACTCAATGGTGAGAAATTGCTGCGGGCAGCAACATACCCTGAGACGGAACAAGAGCAGAAGCAAGCTCGGCGCTTGCATGAGTTAGAGACACCTAGGCTAGTTGTTCCACCCAACGTTGACAGCCAGGAGCGTTTGTGGCAAGAGGTTGGTGAGTTAGAACAAATCAAAAGTTTTGCTAGACAAGTGAACATGTTTGAAAGCATGTTCCCACACGGGTTCGAGAGTAACCTGAACGAGCTTCGCAAGTTACAGAACGGGCTTGTGCATGAGCTAAGAAATTATAATGCAGAACTAGAAGAACAAGAGCGGAAAGAAATTGCTAAGCAAGCAGCTGCTTCTATCTTAACTTTCACACCGCCAGCATCAATCCATAGTACCGACACTGCACTACTTAACCACAGCAGCAGCGACATCAGACTTGGTGGTTTCAGCGGCGCCAACCTCAAAGCGGAGAAGTACTTGCGCCAGCTGTTCGAGAAGATCACAGATATGGGCTAAGCTTATCACAAACAAAATATATAGAGGCACATGTATAGTTATAGATGCATCGGCACTAAAATTACCTTTTACGTATATTGACTTCACTACTTCACTATCCCTGTAGGTATTCACTGGAGTGTGTTTCATATAACACCGCTGCAGCGGTGTTTTATTTTTCTTTCTATTAGAAATTATTCTGTTTGAACATATCCCAGTACTAACAGCAGGCCATAAAATTGGAAGTACGATTGAGATGACTAGCAATATAGGGGGGATAGTTGAACGAAGGACATACGCCTGCATATACATAACGAGTTCCCCTTTTCCTCTATCAAATTGATTAGCAATATACTAAACAGTCAGTTTACACAACGTACCCTCTCTAAGTGAAATATTTACATAGGGGAAGGTACACATGTGGTGAAACGCAGATCAGATCACCCACAGAAAGATATGTGGAGCTCCTGATCGAAATACATATATACCCGCCCAGTTAGTATTTTCAGGGGAAAGTCCATAGGACAACAAGAAAGGACAAATTCCCCTATCTCTTTCTCTCTCTTTTTCCATGACATTTACGGTACATCCTTGTCTACCATACTATTCCAGATCCTAAAGCACCCTATATTGTGCACCTGAACGCCCCTAATGTTATGGATACTACATCCACCCCTTACCCTCCCCCCACTCCTAATGCCTGTAATGCCTGCAAGAGCCTCTGGTCAGGAGTCAGATAGAGGGACTCTCATGGGTGAGAAACAGCAGCCACAAGGAGTTCCCCAGCAGTTGTGTTGCTATTGAAATCCACACAGTTAAGGTACTGTATAACTACATACGTGAGCCACGTATGAAATGAAATAAACATATATCACTCTATACAACACACAAAAGTTCACCAACGGAAGATTCCCCCATTGTTCCAGTCCCATGCCTTTCACACACTAAGACCTTAGCAGAGGAAAGCTCCTTTGCTTCCCTAAGCACCACGGAAGTTTCTGAGCCCCTTACTCAACACTTGACAAACACAGCATCACTCTACACATCACTCTACACATCCCTATACACATCCCTGTACACACGGGTAAGCAGTGGGAAATTGCAAATTGTCGCTTCCTTCCCTTCCCTATTCTTTGACTGGGTGTGCTATGTACTCTCTGATTGTGCACACCATTAAAGCTGTGAGCGTAGAAGTTCTAGTTCTGAGCTTCTGTTTCTTTCTCTACTGGGCTATCTTCGGCGGGCCATATTAGCTTCAATCCACGAAGAAGCTATGAAGCTATGAAGCTATGAAGCTATGAAGCTATGAAGCGAAAGTAAGTGAACAATCAAACTCGCTGGGAGCAAGACACAGCTGTCTCCTAGGTACAGTTGTGCATAGGCCTAGTCCAAACCTCAATGCTACCACGTATAGTAAGTCTAGTAGACCTTGGTTATGGTCCTCTATAACTTATTCTTTCAATTGATCACTCCTGGGGATTAACTACAAACTTGCTCCATTTTTTTCTTGTAGTCTTGCTAGGTACAATTATATACATAAGGATCTTCTATTTCAAAACTTTGGAATTGTGGGTTTGTCCTCATGTCCCTCCTAAATAAGTACTTCTATCAATTGGCTTTCGATTTTTTTTTTTTTGACTTATGCTCACATTTGTTCCCTTTCTTCTTTTTTTTTCTTGTAGTTATCCTCTTTCATGTTCCTATTTTATATATAAGAAGAAGAAAGACCCTTTATGTGTTGTTCCTTTTTCAATTGATCCTTTTTTTTGTAGTCTTTAAGTTGATTTCTTAGTTGATTTCTGTTTCTTCATCTGGTATTTTGAAATAAAACTCCAAATCAAATCTTATATTCATTATTTAGAGATGGCTTCTTCTAACACTTACTCAAACTTCAAATTGGCCACTGAATTGCCAGCTTGGTCTAAGTTGCAAAAGCTTTACGACGCTCAAGGTAAGTCCTTGAATGTTAAGGAGGAATTCCAAAAGGACTCTGCTCGTTACAACAAGTACGCCAAGACTTTGACCAACTACGATGGTTCTAAGATTTTGTTCGATTTCTCCAAGAACTTGATCAACGATGAAATCTTGGCTACTTTGATCGAATTGGCCAAGGAGGCTAAGGTCACCGACTTGAGAGACGCTATGTTCGCTGGTGAACATATTAACTTCACCGAAGACCGTGCTGTCTACCACGTCGCTCTAAGAAACAGAGCTAACAAGCCAATGAAGGTCGATGGTGTTGATGTTGCCCCAGAAGTTGACGCTGTCTTGCAACACATGAAGGAGTTCAGTGAACAAGTCCGTTCTGGTGAATGGAAGGGTTACACCGGTAAGAAGATCACTGACGTCGTTAACATCGGTATCGGTGGTTCTGACTTGGGTCCAGTTATGGTCACCGAAGCTCTAAAGCACTACGCCGGTGTCCTAGACGTTCACTTCGTCTCTAACATCGATGGTACTCACATCGCTGAAGTTTTGAAGGTTGTTGACCCAGAAACTACTTTGTTCTTGGTCGCTTCCAAGACTTTCACCACCGCTGAAACCATCACTAACGCTAACACCGCTAAGAACTGGTTCTTGTCCAAGACCGGTAACGACCAATCCAACATTGCCAAGCATTTCGCTGCTTTGTCCACTAACGAAACCGAAGTTGCTAAGTTCGGTATCGACACCAAGAACATGTTCGGTTTCGAAAACTGGGTCGGTGGTCGTTACTCCGTCTGGTCCGCCATCGGTCTATCCGTTGCTTTGTACATCGGTTTCGACAACTTTGAAGCTTTCCTAAAGGGTGCCGAAGCTGTCGACAAGCACTTCGTTGAAACCCCACTAGAAGACAACATCCCATTGCTAGGTGGTCTATTGTCTGTGTGGTACAACAACTTCTTCGGTGCTCAAACTCACTTGGTTGCTCCATTCGACCAATACTTGCACAGATTCCCAGCTTACTTGCAACAATTGTCCATGGAATCCAACGGTAAGTCCGTCACCAGAGGTAACGTCTTCTCCACTTACTCCACCGGTTCCATCTTGTTCGGTGAACCAGCCACCAACGCACAACACTCCTTCTTCCAATTGGTCCACCAAGGTACCAAGTTGATTCCATCTGACTTCATCTTGGCCGCTCAATCCCACAACCCAATCGAAAACAACTTGCACCAAAAGATGTTGGCTTCCAACTTCTTCGCTCAAGCTGAAGCTTTGATGGTCGGTAAGGACGAAGCTCAAGTTAAGTCCGAAGGTGCCACTGGCGGTTTGGTCCCACACAAGATCTTCTCCGGTAACAGACCAACCACCTCCATCTTGGCTCAAAAGATCACCCCAGCCGCTTTGGGTTCCTTGATTGCCTACTACGAACACGTTACCTTCACCGAAGGTGCTATCTGGAACATCAACTCCTTCGACCAATGGGGTGTTGAATTGGGTAAGGTCTTGGCTAAGGTCATCGGTAAGGAATTGGACAACACCGAAAAGATTACCGCTCACGACGCTTCTACTAACGGTTTGATCAACCAATTCAAGGAATGGTTGTAAATCAAAGGATAGCTCTCATATCGTGCCTATCTTTGTTTTAGCAATTTCCTTTACCTTATTCTCAGCAACACTATGTATTGCTACCAAAAATAGATTTATAAATACGTATATATAGTATATATATGAAAAATGAATTATGTTAAAAAATGTTTAAAGCTGTTTTATTGTAATTAAAATGGAAGAAGGCAACAAAATGTGTAAGATAAACAAGATTACGTACCATCTATAATTTCTACACCTTAATTGCTAGGTTGAAAAGGCAATATGGTGCAGAGCGCATGATATATAATAGATAGAATGTCTATGTCTGAATTATAAGCACAGCTCGGTATTTATTATTTTGGACTAGTAAAGTTATTGTAGTAAGCACATTAATACTAGTGCACTACATGTGACCCGTTTAAGTACGTTTGTATACTTGTAGTAAGCAAAGCGCTCAAGAGGAACAAATTTCATAGATAATCCTGGTATTGGGTACACGGTTGAATTACAGATGATGGTTTCCAAATATAAGTAAGAAAAACAACGATAGTATTATAAAACGGTTATGACGACAATCAATATCTACTACGATTACATTACAGTTTTCCATTAGCACTTATTGATTATTTCATAAATTGTTGATACTTGGCAGAAGCTATGCTTATATCAAGTTGCGCTTTACTTTTAAGAGTTAATAATTTAAGTTTCACGTTAAACTAAAGAAGCTGTTTGTAGAAGGAGTCATTATAAAACATGCAGATTTATTAATCTTTTTATTCTGTAAAACATAAGACAAAGTCTGACCTGTACATCCGTGACTAATTTATATTAGTCACGTCGTCGATCTCATGGTCTTGAATTTCCTTATACCCAGCCATAGGTTGATATCAGTGGTAACAGTTAGTTTAATTGGAAAAATCGTTTCATATATTATGTTTTGAATTCCATCAAATATACAAGTACGAGTTAAATTAATCAAGCGCTGGTGTCTAAGAAAGATACGAGTGTGTTTTTGTTTACTAGAGTATAATTTAATTGGAGTTTCAAAACTGTTCATAGGATAATTTTGTCAAATTTGTTTTGTAATAACAGATGCTTCAAAATAGCAATTTGTTGGAATGGAGTAAATATTGGGATTTCAACAGCAGGTAAAGAATTGATACAGAAATTTAGTTTGAATTTGTTGGTAAAACTTATTTGTTTTTTTTTTTGTAGCATAAAGTGCATCTTGTGTATATTTGTTACAAATTTCTTATAAGATAGTGCACTCACATTTAGCGAGGCGGCGGTTATAAAGTTTGGGTGCTCTGGGTCTTTTACAAGTCTGACAAGTTCTTTTGTGGTTAACTGTTGGTTTTTTCGATAAATTTAAACAACCATTGTTTATTTTTTTTAGCAGAAATGTCAGATTTTGATCCTGATATGTCAACTTCATATCATTGGAAGTCTTTCCGGTAAAGTGTGAAACCTACCCTTTATTCAAAAGGCTCTGAGTCAGATACATCGAAGTATTACGATGAATCGAAGTCTGTCTCTGGGTATTTAAACCGATGATTTCACCTTGAAGGGTTTTCAGAAGGATGGGTTCTTTTTAAATGCGGTCACTATCATGTAAGATACAATTTATAAGACCGTCACTGATATTCAACGGTTTCACGGCGTAGATCGGAACAAGTCACAGAATATGGTGATATAGCGACCAATAATACTGACTAATAGAGTATAAAGGTTTGAACATCATCTCATGTTTCATAGAAGAAAGGCACCATAGTTCTGTATGAATTACAGTGAGTCCTTTTTCAATCAGCTTCTTTTGGTTTAACGTGAAACTGAAATTGTTAATTCTTAAAAGAAAATTGCAACTTGATATATGCATAACTTGTACAAAATCTCAACACTTTATAATATGGTATATAAGTGTTAATATAAAACTGGAATATTACAGTAATAATTATATATTTTTGATATCGTTGTTTTCTAATACTATTCTTGATGTGATCTGTCTACTGATAAAATAAGGAAAATATAAATGAATTAAATCGTGAAGAAACGAAAATCTAAAACTCACATCTGATAGTTCGATTACTATAATATTTTGGATAGAAAAATCCTGCAATCTCCCTATGCCATCGATTTTTATTTATCAGAGTTATTTATTGGGTTCATTATTTATTGAACACTAACTAAATATTGCTGTCGAGCTCAAATGTTGTTTCAGATTGACCCGACGTATATCAATCATGCAAACATAAAATTAAACTCCATTTTTAAACTAAGTGCAGGGGAGTGTTGGCACATGCTTGAAAGTATATAAATCCGAAGAGTAATTAGACAATGGGATTCAATTTTGTTACTTAATGTGGCTCAAAACTGTACTTAGACAGACAAGATAGTATTACGGAGGGTTGGCCGAGTGGTCTAAGGCGGCAGACTTAAGATCTGTTGGACGGTTGTCCGCGCGAGTTCGAACCTCGCATCCTTCACTATTTTTTTTTTTACTATTTCCAATTCATAACGGAATGTTCTTTTTTGCCAGTCATGTGACTATTTACAAGTTGATTGTATTGACTTTCAGTGGTTATTTCGTATATAGGTAGATGATTGATTGACCAATCATTTTCAAGGAGTACGTATATGAACCTTCTTTCCATCCCTTCCCCCCAACGAATAGTTGCTACTGAACTTTCCATTCGTGCTGGTGACCTTGCCAGAATTACGTCCTTTCTAGCATTTTGTGCTACATTATCTCTAAGGACAGTAATCTTGGGAATGAAGTTGGCTCAACTTCCTATGATTTTCGAGCATTTCTCATTTGCCAATTTTCATTGTACTTTCGTAACAGATAGGTGAGGAAAGTCTGTTACTCCCCGTCTCCCCAGAGGTAGAGAGATGTGTGAGTGTGAGGCCGTGATGCACTTCCCAGGAATAGTATACACTTTCCCCTACACTTCTTGTTGAACTATCACATTGAATTATGCCCTCTTTTTAACTTATAAAGTAGTTCATTGATAATAATAATTGCCTTTTGTCAAGTAGGATATTTGCAACTAATTGTTTATTTACTTAAATCAGCGATAGTAAAGTCGTGACGATAAAAAGCAAAACAACCTGAAAGCAAAAGCTACTTAGAAATAGAATTCTAAATTTTACTGGAAGTTGTTATTTATTTCAGTTATACTTACAGAAGTTAAATCGGTTGTTTGCATATTCCATCCATACAACAAATACACACTACAGTTGCCTTTTATTCTGGGTGTTGATTGTAAATCAGATTTGATACAGTATTGAAACAACTAGACAAGTTTAAAACCAATAAATAAAACAGAAGAAAAAGAAAATGAGTTTCCGTGCTTTGACTATGAGAAGTGCAGTAGCCAGAACTGCTTTGAACAACACTATTCGCTCTGCAAGAGTCGCTACTCCATACTTGGGTATTCGTCACTCTTCCTCTACCCCTACACCAGATCCAAAGACCAAAGCTGCCTCCTTGATCGACGCTTTACCTGGTAATACAGCCTTAACAAAGACCGGTATTTTGGGTACATCTGCAGCTGCTATCATATACGGTATCTCCAATCAATTGTATGTTATCAACGATGAGAGTATCTTGTTGTTGATCTTCTTGGGTTTCTCTGGTTTGGTCGCCAAGTTCCTCGCTCCATTGTACAAGGATTTTGCCGACGCTAGAATCAAGAAGATTGGTAGCATCCTGAACTCTTCCAGAGAAAGACATGTTGATGCTGTGAAGGATAGAATTGAATCTGTCTCAGAATTACAAAATGTCTCAGAAACTACCAAAGTTCTATTCGATGTCTCAAAGGAAACTGTTGAACTAGAAGCAAAAGCATTTGAATTGAAGCAAAAAGTTGAGCTTGCTCATGAAGCTAAGTCCGTTCTAGATTCTTGGGTCAGATACGAAGCCTCTTTGCGTCAATTACAACAAAAGCAAATTGCTGAAGGAATCATAAGCAAAGTTGAAAGTGAACTAACCAACCCTAAATTCCAAGACAGAGTCTTACAACAATCTATTGCTGAAGTTGAACAAGTCTTGGCAAACATTAAATAAATGGAATTGTCAATGTCATAATAACAACTTCATTTTTCTTTCCTTTTATCCTTATTGATATTATATTTTCAATTCCTTCTGTTGGCCACATTCATCAAACTAAAAATGCTTATGATCAAATTGGAAAGAGAATAAAATTGTGATCCTATCATTAGATTAACATGCTTTTCAAGTTCTGTGTATGAATACTTTATGGCATTGGGTAGCCACTAAGGTAATAAGATGAAAGTCTTAACCATATAGAACATCATTTTGCATTATGTCCAATATAATATATTCTTTTCCACATCATTTTGATTTTGAAAACAGGGTTTATTACAAATAATACAAAAAAGTCTCAAAAAAAATAAAAGAAGAACAGAATAGAGTGTGCCATATCAATGGCTTCTGAAGCAATTAGTAGTGGAAATGATGGGCACGTATACATGCTACTTTCGATTTGATCAAAAAGCAATTAAACAATTTTATCGTAAATGAGAGAGATAGGCAGTAAATATTTTCCTTCTCCCCTCATTCAACCTTTTTTTGTATTCCTTTTATTCTATAGGAATGCAAATTTAAGTATATATGGCGCATATAAATAAGTACTAGTATTCCTTAATAACATCAATAAAAAAATTACAGATTTAAATGTCATTTGAAATACCTACAGAATATGGCAATTCGGTTGCATTTATGTTAGACTTTATTTTATTGCTGGTTTGTCATTCTATATTTTAGTTTACCAATTTAAACAAATGTTCTAATTTCTGCAAAAGATGTTCCTTAAGTTCAAAATGGTTTGAAGTATGTGTAATATTATTACAGATGGTATGCTAGTATACAATTATGTTTATATCCGGATATATTATTCTAGTAAATTATTGCCAATTTACTCTTCGTCTGCTTCGTCAGCGGCATCTTCACCACCTTCAGAGGCCTTACCAGAATTCTTTCTGGCAACTCTACCTGGTCTGGCACCACCGAATGGAGAAGTTGGAGCAAAGTCAATGTGCTTCTCAGAGTCCAATCTGACCATGAAAGATGGGATGTTGACGATTTGCTTACCAACAGCAATGTGTCTTTGAGTGATCAAGACTCTAGCATGGTGAACAGACTTGGCCAAACCTAGCTTGTAAACTTGAGTTTGCAATCTTCTTTCCAAGAAATCTTCAATCTTCAAAGCCAAGACATAATCCAACTTCTTCTTGTCTTCGGACAAGACACCGATTCTCACCAATCTTCTGATCAAAGCATTACCTTCGAACAATCTCTTTGGGTCCTTTTCGTCTCTGGTCAAAAGATCTCTAGCAGCTCTTCTGATCTTAGACAATTGGAAAGAAATTCTGTAAATTTCTCTCTTGTTCTTCAAACCGAATTCACCAGCAAGCTTCAATTCAGCGTCCAAACGAGAAGATTCGTAAGGTCTCTTTGGGGTAGAATAAGTCTTAGAATAAGTTCTTGGAGCTCCTATAAAAATAATTTAAAGACTTGTGATTAGATCGCTATTGATTCGGCATCACGCTCAGGATAAAAGTGAGAGAAAACACTTCAACAAATAGACACAATCTCACATCATACAAGTATAAATAAAGTGTTAGTCAAAAATAGTTCAGACAATTTTTTCTGCTAACAATTCCTAAATAAGAAGTTCTACGGGTCTCCATTAACTAGACTACAGATGATATTACTGTTCATGATCAAAAATTTTTTCATCAACCCTTACACCAAGTAAACAATGTTCAGGCATTTCATCAGTGTAATGAATCATGTCTGCATAAAATATTTACCAAATGATTAACTCGTTCATTAACTTTCTATCTTAAAAACGGAATAGCTAAAGCAACCTAGTGACATTAACACATCCTGTATTAAGAAATCCTCAAAACCTCTCACTGCAGTAGCAAAAACAGATACTGTAGTTATAATGTTTGACCTGAAGTGTCGGGAATTCAGTGCCAAACCAAAGAGAAGATACTTCTTACATTCCGATTGAAATATAAATGAGTATCCTTACTGAGGAGAAAAAAGTTGTACAAACGAAAAGGATTGATGAAAATTTGATATCTCAAATGAGATGAACAAATAACGTATCATCTAGTTTGTAAATGAGGACCCGAACCTCTAGCATTCAAAGATAACCTGTCCAATGCCCTACAATTGTAGAGCAAAAGATAGATAACTATCATGCTTAGAAATTATTAGAAAGCAGGTGTTGCTTATCTATTATCATAAATTAGTGTAACGTACTTGGCATTTCAATGTATTATTATTAAATTTGGATTGATCCGATAGTGTATCTTACTATTGTTTATGCCAGGAAATCAGAATACAACTGAAATGTATATCAAAAAAACTTATTGCTTAAATATAGATGTATAAAATTTAACTTCAAAATAACGAAGACACCATTTTTGCAAAAAAGTATAGTTCTTGGACAGATATATGTCAGAATAGCAGAAAGACAAAGAAGAAACAGCCATAATCTCAGATTACCTAACTAAGTAATTGTTGCAATTGAACTTTGCTTTTTTTCGTTCAACGTTTCATTTTTTTTGAAAAGCTCAAGTTTCAGTTTGTAGTGTGTGGGTGTTACACCAAAGGAATGGTATTGATCGGATGAGCTACACAATTTGAGTCTTATGAGACGGGCACCTAGTCATTGAGCTGTACATTAATCAAAAACAGGCAGTCACAAAACTATTTACTGGTAACACGTTGGGTTTTGACGGTTTATGGGAGAGGGAGGAATTGCACATTCTACTTTTTCAGTTGTTGCTTCTGCTGCTTCCTTAGAGCTTCTGATTTCCAAATGGGTCTCCGAATGTGATGAACAAAAATTGTCTTTTACAAAGAGATGATACACGAAACGCGTAAAGAATTACCACATCACAGATCTTAACAGGGTATATTCATTGTTGGCGCTGTGGGTACTTGTATTGAGACTCAGATATAGCCAATCTAATGTCCCCATAGAGTCATGCATTATGTACTTTTATGGAACTTTAATTGTCAATTGCGTATTTTGCATTGCGTATAACTTAAACCCCACAAAAAGGTGCGCTTAATATATGCGCATGGAAGTACTGTTCTACTGAGTAACAGAGGATCATCAGAATTAAGCAATCCCCGTGGTAAGTTTAATTATAGTGATGTATCTTGCAAGATGTTTCACAAAGTAGATATCAAAAACATATAGCACACTAAGATACTTATCCTTTGAATTTTTTAAAGATTCTCGAAAGGTAATATTATGAAGGTTCGTAATAGAACTCGTTGAATTGGTCTTTACCAAAACCAAAAATTAGAAAACTAGGTTTCCTTCTTTGGTTTTGTCTCAATTCACTGACTACTCTTGTCTATTGTTATAAGCTACATTAGTAGTGCGAATGAACACATTTAAAGAGTTCACCTACTTAAATTTTTTTTCTTTTCTGTTTTACACGCCCAAAGAACATTGATTTCTTCCAATTCAGTAACAAGGGAGCAGAAGATCTACTATAACCCTATGTCTCCACCTTAACACCACACATTTAAGAATACCCTTTTCATTGTATCCAACCTTGAATGGTAGAATAGCAGAAGCCGGGACGCATACTCTAGTAGTTCTTCCAAATTGGTTAAACACGCTTTAGATAACAATGCACAAAGGTAACAAAGAAAGATATCTACCGTGTTTTCCAATTTCACGCGTCTGTATAAGTTATTTTTTTTATTAGAAGATATATCTACACCAGCTGACAAACTAACGTAGAACAGTGTAACCATATGAATTTTCGACTGTAGACTGCAATTTCACACACTCCATCACTTGATATATTCCGTACAATTCTTTCTGTGGAAATGTTTAGCCTTTTTTGTTAAGTTCCTTTCCCTCTATACATACAGCTGCTTCTGTGTACGTCCTTCGCTTCCTTAGCCCTTCCTCTTCCACTGCTCTTCAGAGATACTAAGTGTATCGCAGAAGAGACAACATATAATTGACTTTTCCTCCCTACTAGATTCTCTAGGCCCATAACATAATCGAAGAATTTTGATTTTTTTTTTTTCTTCTTTCCTTTTGTTTTTCTCAATTTTGTTGTTGTTCCATGAAAACAAATTTTTTTTTTACTTTAGGAAAAGCCACGGTTGTATATAAGCACTAGGGTGAATTATCGTTCATTTTTTTTTTTCTCGGTAAAAAAAAAAAATATTCTTTATTATATTCTGTTTTCGTTCTAAGGAAGACATAGTAATAAAAGAAAATATTATAGAAAAAAAATATAAAAATAAGGGTGTTCACTTATTACGAACGACGGATACTTTTATACAAGAAACAATCTTTCTTGCCTAAGTTACCAATTAATAAAAATAAAGGGGAGGGCATAGGAGCGTGCTGGCACTAAGAAAAAAAGGTCTGTATTGAACAGTGAGATACCTCCAACACACACACAGCATTTGTGCACATACATATCAGCAGCAGCAATACAAAAGGGGAAGAGCGTGCTTATATATCTTCAAGGTGAGAACAAAAGATCCATTATCACAATTACCTTAGAAACCCTCGCACACAATAGTTGTAAGTTCGTTGGTACGAATCCATAGTTATTATCTTTTTTACCTTTGTGCAAAAATTTCAATTCACTCTGAAGGCGGGTTTCATTGGCACATCCGTACACCCCATCCAAATATAGTCTTCAGAATTTTTTTTGTCTTTGCCCTTTTCTTTTTTTCTTCAGGAAAGGTGAAATTGGGGACTCTTAATTATTCGTTAGTTTGTTTGGTTTTTTCGTACCTCACGGGCAGTCTAAGAGATCTAACTTTGGTTCAGATACACAGAATTCACGCAGAAATTTGGCGGCTAACAAAATAAAAAGACACTCACTTTTTTTTCTAGTCTATAAAGCTAAGAGGAGTTGGTATTTTGAAATAACTGTTGGGCGGCTAAAGGAAACGATATAAAAGAGAGCTATAACTACTTTCAGAAAAAAGAAAAGGAATTAGCAATCACTACTATTTTTTGCAGTAACACTACTGAATATTTGCATTGATTTTTTTCGTGTTTTTATTTTCTGTCTAATAATTGTAATTGGGGAAAAAAACAAAAGGATTACTAAGTCTAAGTCTCTCTTTTTATGCATTAGTAATTGGGTTTTTGCATATCATTGTCTTCTTTTCATCTATCCATCGGTAATACTATAATAATACAAGAGGATGACATCAAAAGTATCTAGACTGGATAGGCAAGTCATATTGCTGGAGACAGGATCTACACAAACAATCAGAAATGTGGCTGCAGATCAACTAGGAGAACTAGCAAAGCAACATCCTGAAGATATCCTGTCTCTCTTAAGCCGGGTATACCCTTTTCTAAGTTCTAAGAAATGGGAAACCAGAGTTACAGCAGCTAGAGCTATGGGCGGTATCTTGAGCAATGCCTCCGTGTGGGATCCTAATGAAGGGGAGGTGAAGGAAGAAGAAGAATCACATATGAACTCTGAGATAAAGAAGGAAAATCAGAATAATGATCATGCGGAAATGGAAAACACAGTTATTAAAGAGGAACCAGACCAAGATAACGGAGTATCAGTACCGAACCACACTAATAATGACAATAATATTGAAACTGTGAATGCCAAAGTGAAATTAGAGCAAGACATACAACTAAAATTAGAAGAACTGATAAAAGAAGATAGTAGTTTATTGGATGATAATAAGAATGCTGATAACTGTTTAACATTATCAAACTGGCATTTAAATGAATTATTCAAATCTGGAAAAGTTTTCCTTGCATCGAGTATAAATGATTATGATGATAAAAAAGTAGCATCTAATTCACCGTCTACACTAAGTTCGGATATCGAAGATGCATCTATGAAGAAGGAAAATGATGCTGAAAATCATTGTAGTAAATCTTCAAATATTGAAGGAGGCAATAGTAGTAAAAAATCAGCAAGAATGCTTGCAATGGCAAAGAGGAAAAAGAAGATGCAAAAATCCAAGACTACTACCACTATGGAGGTCAATTTGTCAGAAAGCTCATTATCGAAGAAATTGATGGATGATCCTTCTGCAGTAAAATCGGATGCGGTTAAAATGGAAAACCCAAAACTAGCTATTACTGACCAAGCAGATCCCAACGCCATAATGGTGGAAGCGGTTGTACCTAAAATTCTAGAGAAGCATGAAAAGGTCGCAGGACTTGTGTGGCAATTTCAAGGAGTATTTGAATTGTTGTTACAAAATTTGATGCATGACAACTGGGAAGTAAGACATGGTGCCACTTTAGGCTTAAGAGAACTTATGAAAAAGCATGCTTATGGTATTAATAGGATAAAAGGGAAGACTCGGAAGGAAAATAATGATAGAAACTATCAGGGCCTCGAGGATCTAGCTACCAGACTGTTGACCATCTTTGCTCTTGATAGATTTGGTGATTACATATATGATACAGTAGTTGCACCGGTTAGAGAATCTGCTGCCCAGATATTGGCTGCCCTATTGATCAACTTACCTGATGATCTAGCGCTGAAAGTATATATGAAGTTGGAAGACCTTGTTTTTCAGAACCCCGAAGTTACAGGACTTCCGAATAAAATATGGGAAGCTACTCATGGTGGACTGTTAGGTATAAGATATTTTGTTAGCATTAAACAAGAATTTCTGATAGAGCAAAATCTTCTAGACAAAGTTGTTCAAACCGTGCTCTATGGTCTGAATCAAAATGATGATGACGTCAAATCAGTTGCAGCTTCGATACTGACACCTATTACAGCTGAATTTGTCAAGTTAGATACAGATACTCTCGATATTGTGCTGACAACAATCTGGAATTCTTTAATTCATTTAGATGACGATTTGGCCTCCAGTGTGGGTTCTGTTATGGATTTACTAGCAAACTTATGTCAATATAAAGAGGTTCTAGATGTTTTGAAACATAAAGCCACTGAACAGCCGTTAGAATGGTCATTCAAGTCTCTAGTGCCCAAATTATATCCCTTTTTGAGGCATTCGATTTCTTCTGTGAGAAAATCTGTTCTCAATCTGTTACAGTCATTTTTGAGTATCAAAGACGAATCGACAAAACATTGGTTGAATGGAAAGGTATTTAGATTAGTTTTCCAGAATATTCTATTTGAACAGAATCCAGATATCTTAAACCTGTCTTATGAAGTCTATACTTCTTTGCTCACTCATTATCAATTAAAACACACTGAAAAGACATTAGACCATGCATTTTGCAAACATCTGCAACCATTACTTCATCTGTTGAATACACCAATTGGTGAAAAGGGTAAGAATTATAGTATGGAATCTCATTACATTTTAAAGCCTTCACCACGTTATCAACTTCACCCTGAGAAAAAAAGAAGTATATCGGAAGCCAACAATGCTTCGGATATTCCTAACCCAAGACCAAATGAAAACATCAACATTGATATTCCTATGATTAATGGTGACGTGACATTATTAGGTGAACAGAAGATAATGAATACTAGAGTTCTTGCAGCAAAAGCTTTCGGTTTTACTCTCGCAATGTTCCAGGAAGCAACAGTGCAATCATTCTTCGCCAACGTGCTTGTGCGTTGTTTAGACTTACCTTATGCAACACCAAGAATGCTAACTGCTATTATCGTTAACCGGTTCTGTAAGTTTTGGGTTGATCGTCATGATGACGTACCAGAGGTTCCAAAATTTGTATCAGAGATTTTTGGCGCCACTATGAATGAGCAGTTGAATAATCCATCAAAGCTACCTGTATTCAGGGAACTAATTCCAAGTTTGAAGGCTCTACGTACTAGTTGTCAAAATCTATTTGCAACATTTGTGGATGTGGGTATGCTCCCACAACATAAGTTACCTAGTGTTGCTATAGTGGTCCAGGGTGAATCCGAAGCAGGACCTGAGGCTTTTGGTCTCGAAACTGCTGAAAAGGTATATCATGACTACTATGACAAAATGTATAAAAACCTTGGTAATTCGTACAAGTTGTTAGCCAAGAAGCCATTGGAAGATGCAAAGCATAGGGTCAAGCAATCCATTGAATCTGCAAAGGAATCAAAACAAAAAAGAATATGCTCAATATTGTCAAACTATGCATCATCTGTGCTTATGTTCTCTGAACTACCTCCAAAATTAAACCCTATAATCAGATCCTTAATGGACTCAGTCAAAGAGGAACCTAACGAGGCCCTTCAGAAGATGTCTTGTGAATCTGTTATTTATTTAATTCATGAACTACTTAAATGTAATAAGGCACCAGTGGCAAATAAGATTGTGAAGAATCTATGTGGTTTCTTGTGTGTGGATACTTCAGAAGTTCCTGACTTCCAACAAAATCTAAGCTACCAAGATAGGCTGTACACTTTTATCAAAGAGCCAGATGCATTTGTTATTAATGAGAATGTTGAATTAATGAAGGTAGCAGAGGAGGCAAGACTGAAACGTAAAGGTGGTATATACGCAATGGGTACATTGCTGGAAATCTGTGGTTCTTCTGCATTAGATGATATCCCACAGTTAAAGAAAGTGTTTTTGGAGCCATTAGAAAATATAAGTGATGTTTCTTCAATTGATGTTATCAAAGGTCAAGCAGTCACTGATTATTTCGGTATAGTTAGAGTATTATTTCCTTATATGGATCAGTCTTTGCAGGAGTCTGTTGTTATTGCTAAATTTCCGAGAATGTTGGACTTTTTAAAGTGCCCATACTCTGTCATAAGGTATTCAGTAGCCCGTACTTTTGCCGACTTAGCAAAGTATAAACCAATAAAGGTCATGCCATTTCTAATAAAAAATGTACTACCTATGATAAATGATGCCGGTTCATTGTTCAATAGGCAAGGTGCTACAGAATTAATATTTCATTTATCTGTGTCTATGGAAGCAGATATTCTACCATATGTTATCTTCTTGATCGTGCCGCTACTGGGTAGAATGAGTGACCCTAATGAAGATATAAGAAATCTGGCAACAACTACATTTGCATCCATTATTAAGATTGTTCCATTAGAAGAAGGTATTAAAGACCCTGAAGGGATGCCGGAAGAGTTAATGAAGGGGCGTGAAAGAGAAAGAGATTTTATAAAACAAATGATGGACCCATCCAAGGCAAAACCTTTCAAGTTGCCAGTTGCGATAAAGGCAACCTTAAGAAAATATCAACAAGACGGTATTAATTGGTTAGCATTTCTCAATAAGTATCATTTACATGGTATCCTTTGCGATGATATGGGTTTGGGTAAAACTCTTCAGACTATTTGCATTATTGCCTCAGATCAGTATCTAAGACAAGAAGAATATAAGTTAAGTGGAAACATCGAGTGTCGACCTCTGCCTTCGCTTATTGTCTGCCCACCATCGTTAACGGGTCATTGGGAGAATGAATTTGAACAGTATTCACCATTTTTGAAAATTGTGGTGTATGCCGGTGGACCGTCGGTTAGGCAACCTTTAAGGAAGCAACTAAGTTCTGCAGATATTATTATAACTTCCTATGATGTGGCTAGAAATGACCTGGACACTATTTCTTCTTATGATTACAATTATTGTGTTTTGGATGAAGGCCATTTAATCAAAAATGCTCAATCCAAGCTGGCCAAAGCTGTGAAACTAATAAAGGCCAACCATAGACTAATACTAACAGGTACCCCTATCCAGAATAATGTTGTAGAGCTTTGGTCGTTATTCGATTTCTTGATGCCAGGATTTTTAGGTACCGAAAAATCTTTCCAAGAGCGTTTTGCGAAGCCTATCGCAGCATCAAGAAATAGTAAGACGTCATCAAAAGAGCAAGAAGCAGGAGCTTTGGCTTTGGAAGCGTTGCACAAACAAGTCTTGCCATTTATGTTGAGACGTCTTAAGGAGGATGTTTTGTCTGATTTACCACCAAAGATTATACAAGATTACTACTGTGAATTGAGTGATCTACAAAAGCAGCTTTACGAAGATTTTGCTAAGAAACAGAAAAATGTTGTAGAAAAGGACATCCAAAATACTGCAGATGTAGATAGCAAACAACACATATTTCAGGCCTTACAGTATATGAGAAAGCTGTGTAATCATCCTGCACTTGTCTTATCTAATGATCATCCTCAATTAAAGCAAATACAAAACTATCTGAAACAAACGGGGTGCGATTTGCATGATATAAGAAATGCGCCGAAACTAACTGCTCTCAGAACGTTGTTATTCGAATGTGGTATTGGTGAAGCTGATATGGACAAAAAGGTAACTGGCGAGCAACTATTGACGGGAAGTGTTATATCTCAGCATAGAGCTTTGATTTTCTGTCAACTGAAGGACATGTTAGATATGATTGAAAATGATCTTTTTAAGAGATATATGCCCTCTGTGTCTTATATGAGGTTAGATGGTAGTGTCGATCCTAGGGACAGGCAAAAGGTTGTTAGGAAATTCAATGAAGACCCTTCCATTGACTGCCTATTATTGACGACTAAAGTAGGTGGGTTGGGTTTGAACCTAACTGGTGCCGATACTGTTATATTTGTTGAGCATGATTGGAATCCAATGAATGACTTACAAGCTATGGATAGAGCTCATAGACTTGGTCAAAAGAAAGTTGTGAATGTGTATCGTATTGTGACGAAAGGTACATTAGAAGAGAAGATAATGGGTCTTCAGAAGTTTAAGATGAATATTGCATCTACCGTTGTTAATCAGCAAAATAGCGGTCTGGCATCAATGGATACACATCAATTATTAGATTTATTTGACACAGATAACGTACCATCGAATAATGCTGGTGAAGTAGCAGAATCCGGTGATAAATTGCCAGATGATGTTGCTAATGAAACAGGTTTAAGTGGGAAAGCTAAGGAAGCCTTGGGTGATCTTAAGGAACTTTGGGATCCATCTCAGTATGAAGATGAATACAATTTGGATAATTTCATTAAGACATTAAAATAAGAAGTATGGCGGATGACAGATGACCGTCAATTCCTGTCATGATAATCATCAATGCAGGTGAACTAAATTTTCTGCATGAATTAATAGATAACTATTTTATCATATTAATATCACATAAAGTATATAGAGATATGTGTTATAATACATTTTGCATTTCATATTTTAAGCACTATTATTTATTAAGGTTTAGTCATTTTGTTTGAGGATTGACTGGTAATTTCATGTTTCGCAATGTTTTTCTATTCGCAAGTTTTTTCACAAGTTGAAAAACGTAATTCCGATGCCTTTAGATAATTTCAGGCGATGCCCTAAGTGCAAAATAATATTCTTTGATCAGTATATATGCCTTGTTACAATTTCAGTATATGGCACATTAGCATCAGTTCATCCATTTAGTTGTAAATAGTACTATATAAGTTGAAGACCCAGGAATGATATAATGGAGAAATTAGATATTACTGATGGTTTTGCAGACCGTGAAGATATAATAGAAGCTGAAGATGAAGAGGAGGACATGGTGCAAGATTGGACTGAAATATCGCGAATGGTTTTGAGCAATAATCCAATCTCACTTCCACGAAGAGGTGATAAAGAATATGAGCCTGACGGTTCCAATATTCAAGAGGTACAACTGTCAAAAGCCAAAGATATTATGTTTGATACGTTGAGAAATTCGATCAGAGGATCTGTTATCAAGTCACAAGTCAAAGCATATTATAATATTGATAAACACAAAGCATACGTTCCACATCCTAAGGGTAGTTTTTTACAAACCATGGGATGGGCTGATTCTAATGGTGTATTTTGGTTAGACTTTCATGAGTTAGTCTATCTATCTGAAAGAGGGACTGTAACACCATATTGGGGTTCAGACGATAGTAATGATGATGATGGCAATCTGGACATTCCTTTATCAATTGAAGACCTATATCTTTTATTTAAATCACAAGAAGATTACGATAATTTCTTAGTTTATTCACAATTAAAAAGGTTAGGCTTCATCGTTCTACTAGAAAAAGATAACCGATATCATGCTACATCCTTTTTTCCCCCAGTGAGTGAGCATACCTCTATGATGACTGCTATCGGCTCAAATATTCGAAGCAGTATTTCATCGGTATTTGTGCTAAATAAAGCTTTATTCTCTGGTACGTTCTTATATTCTAAATGGAACTATATTCTAAGGAGATTTACGACTAACGATCAATTATACAACAGTATCGGATCTTTAATTCCTACACAAACTGTACCGAAATCTGATACTGAACTTAGAGAATACAACGGAATTCTTAATGGCAATCCACCCAGTAATCTAAAAATTGTCTTTAAATTGTGGAAACCTCAGGTCAATTTCAAGAAGAAAAGTCCAGCATTGCCGGATTACCAAATAGTAGTTTATAATAAAAACAACAAAAATCAACAGTTCCCTTCATACCTAAGTTTGAAGAATATATTTAGTAAATTGGACTATAAATTTGATTTTCTGCAAGAAATAGATGATGACTTCTGGGATAAAAACACTTTTACTAATGGGGTACCTAGGTTAGAGTATCTCACCAGTATAGGCCGTAATCTAGATAAAAAGAATAGCAAAGGAAAAAAATCTGGTCAAGTATCAAGTACACCTTTTAATAACAAAAAAAAGAAACCTAAAGGAAGAAGCAAACTTTCAGCAATAAAACAAGGGTATAGGAGTTTTTTATTGGCAGTTGTTGACAATGGTCTCGTTTCATTTATCCGGATATCTGAAACTGAATTTAGATATTAGATAGCATATTAGAAGGGACTATTCTTTCAGTTGTAATATTGATACATATCTGCTGTATTCATGTATGGTTGAATCCAATTGTATATATTACATAGAAGACAAATATCATTTACTTAGTTTCTAACAAATGTGATAAAATGAAGTTTTTATAGTTGCTGAGCAGGTAAAAAATGACTGCTATATTAAATTACAAGACTGAATCATTTTGGCACTTATAAATTTTCCATGACATTAACGTAGCCGCGGCCTCCTTTTTTTTTGCGTCTAGTAGAAGTTGCTGGTGCAGCCGCTGTTAAATTTAGTAAATCATCTAATCCATTGGTTTTTGCTGCCAATGATGGGCCACTCTTTGGTTTTGGAGGTGCGTTGCCACTAATAGGTGGTATGGATGAGCCAATACCAGTATCTAAATGAGGAGTTACCCCGGAGATTGATCTGGGTTTGGTCTTAGGTTCTGTGTCTTTTCTTTTGACAATGGGAGGAGGTGGAGCTGGTGTAGCAAGCTGTTGCTTATCCTCCTCGCTGGCATTCTTGTTAACCCATCTCTTCAACTGCTCATCATAATAAAATGAATTTTGGTTTCCTAGTTTGGCTTTCACAGCTTTCTTTTCATTCGTATCCTTTTTTAACCAACCAAACCAGCCTGATCCTGCATCATTGTTATCGTGGCTTTTCTTCTTAGTTGGCATCTCATCATCTGAATAATTATCGTTTTGTTTATTTTCATTTCTTTCTGAGTTTCCATTATTTGAGTTGTTGCTTTGCATAGGGGAATCATCCTCGGAGTCATCAGAGTCATCAGAGTCCTCTTCTACCACATCATCATATTGATCTGATGCAGGTGGGACGGGTGTGAATGCCCGAGCAGTAGTGTTACGTGAAACTTTAATTACAGGTTCGAAATTCTCGGTAGGAAGAACACCTGTTGTATTGTTATTAGCCAATGGGTTGGCAAAAGGAGAAGGTGGTATTGGCAAGGACTTTGGAGTAGACAGCTTCGTTGTAATTGGTTTTTTGGATACCTCATCCTGCTTTAGCTCTACAGCTTGCCGTGCTGCAATAGAGGACTTATCGGGTGCATCTTCGTTAGAAATTTGCGAAGATTCCTCAACAATCGAACTTGTGGATTTTTCTTTCTCCTGTGGCCTGTAACCTGAATATGCATACATGTCTAATGGTGAACTTTCATAAGAGCTAATCTCAGGCTCAGCGATGAAACTCTCAGTTTTTCCTTTCGGCATATATGATGTTTTCTTTGTCCCTTTCTTACCAACTGTTGGTGGGGCATATGGGCTAGGGTTAGGTTTTTCAGAAAACAACTTGGGTGCTGGTGCATTGGAGTCCTCTTTATCTACATCCATTTCCAGACCTAAGCCAGGAGAAATTGATACGGTAGTTGATTCACGATCATTTTGTGTTTGCGGAATACTAGCACTTAGATGAGATTGGCTTTGGTCTACATTTAGTTCCACTTCACCATTACCAATCTCCCGTTCTTCCTCATTAATTGCATTGTCCTCATTAGCGTTCGATATCTTATAATCGGCATCGTTTTCAGTTGGTAATTGTTCGAGCTCATGTTCTAATGATTTATCTGTAATCTGTTGTTCCTTAACTAAATCAGATATGTTTTTTGGATCCATGTTCTTACTGTCTTCTGAGTACACAGGTAAGGGGGGTCTCTCAGGGGAATAATTAGAAATTCTTGTCTGTGATAAACCTTCAGGTGAAGCTGTTGGTTGTAGAATCTTTTCTTGATCGTTTTGTAAGTTAGGTGCTTCTTCAAATTGATTTTGGGAAACGACATCATCGTTATAGGACTGAATTGGTGGTTCTTCTTCCAATGTTTGATTTGGTTTGTATACCTTTTTTGTTTTTGTGTGAGGTTCATAAGACCTCGCATTCCTGGAAATTTCTAGGTTTTCAGGTTGAGTAGGCATTGCTGATTTCCGCATTGCACGTTGGTTTGAAGGATAATAAGACTTCTTTTGTTCAACCGATTGCATTCCGATAAGATTAGGTGTCGACTGGTGATATGGTACAGAATTGTTAGCTGATTGACTTGATTTCAAAGTTTCATTGGAGGAGTTAGATGCGCGGTTCAAATTGTCAGGTGCGTATGACTTCTTGCCTTGTTTCACAGTCATTGACAATAATTCATCTTCACCGGAAGGTAATTCGGTCTTTATTCTTCTAAGGTTCGGTCTATTAGATAGTGGGGGCTTCATATTAGATACTGCTCTTTGTGGCGAGCCCTGCAGACTCATGCCGGTCCAAGTGTTAGTGGGAGGTTCAAAGGCATTTTTTTCGCCAAAAGCCGTTAGATCAGGAACAGTGGACATCTTATTTTCAGAGTTTAGATTATTGCGAGAGAGCTGATTTATTTGAGCTGGCATAAAATTTGATACAGAATGAGACAAATCAATCATAGAAGAGTTGGTAGATGATGATGGCGTATAACTATCAAAAACTTTTTTCTCAGTAGCGGGTTTCGGAAGATCGTCATCACCACCAATATACTTGTTAAAAGACTTGTCAATTTGGCCCCAAACACTACTTAACTTGGGTTTGCCAAGCCAGCTACTACTTGATCCTGCTAATCTATTAGTTAAAATGGATAAGTGGTGAGATAAATTTAGTGATTCTGCATCCTTTTTGGTCATAGATTTTGTTGCTGATGATAAATAGTCAACATATTTATAAGCTAAGCTAGTTAACCCTTCTTCCTGTAGGCAGTAAGCATGGAATAGCTTCAATGGTAAAGTAGCTGGGTAACCTTTGAACTTGAGATCTTGACTGATTGTGTATTCATATGTTTCTGAAAGAATGGCACCAAGTACATTATTGGTTGATCCAATCGACCTAAAATGGACATCAGAATCTGGTAAAATTGGCACATTGCTCAATGGTACATTTGCTATTACAAACAGAATAGATGCCGGTAAATTCATACCTAGCTTTTTTAAGAATATACCGAATTCGATCAAAAACTCGGTTACAACCGCAGGCGGTGTTTGAATTGAGGCTGTCTGCTTTGGTTGGCTATGATCTGTAATGTTTATTAAAACTGCAGCTACGATACCTCTCCAATTCTCAGCAGCCCAATTAGCTTCCTCCTGGTTCTTGTAAAATCTGCTGACTGCTGTTTTGGAGCTTCCGACAAAGACTTGAAAGATTAATGGCAGTAAATGTGCCCAAAGATTGGAATTATTGGCTATGGCGGTAAATTGTTCGGATAAATATCTTTGGACAACTTCACACCACTTATCCTTTCCTAATAGACTACCTATTAATAAAGATATTGAATAGTCCTTCTTCTCCAAAGAAAATCTTAATGCATCATCATGAGCACCGACTTGTAGAAATGATAGGACTCGGAATTGAGATTCTGGGTCCAAAGAAAAAGCATTTGGAGCTTGATTCAACGATGTTAGTGGTTGTGCAAGGTACTCATGGAGAGTAGCAGTATCATATAGTAATGTGGCCATATCCTTGAATGTCGAGGTTGTTGATAGTTTTAGTTTCAGAAGCGATAATAGTAAGGCTGCCTCTTCGTCAACATCTGCATCTTTAGATGCAGTAAGTAACCATTGTTCGACGTCAGATTTTTTTACTTTACTACCACAAAGTGGACCAGGAAATGACTTGATCAGTTGAGTCGGCTTTATTAAGATTTCGGCTCCAATCATTCTTAGATTTTGAAGTGGTGAGTTAGTTGGCATCATCACACTGTCGTTTTGTCCCAATGGAATACCATAAATTACCTTGTTATTGCTTCCCCAGTTGAAGATTGGAAATTGTTTAACTAACAGTGCATTGTTATTGACAATTTTCTTATTTGAAGCTCCATGTACATTGTATGAGTTCGTTTGCTCATGAGAATGCTCGGCATAAGTAGGATAGTTAGCATTTTGTCTCAAGTTTTGTTGCGACTCTAACAAAACATTAGTTTTTCTTATCCCAGGAGGTAAGACGGTATTGATAGGTGGATTTGCATCACCAGCACTTTCGGATTGTTTTCTTGGGAAGGGTAACGCTGGTTGGTTCACAGCAGGCTTGCTATGTGATGAATAGCCAGCATATTGTCCTGTTGAAAATGCTGGCGCATATTTACTTCTTGAGTCATTTTGGGAGGGTAAATAACTACTATTACCGGGATATTGTTTCGATTGTGGGCTAGGTTGATTATTAGCATTAAGTTTAGTACTGATTGGTGATAATGTTGAACCCATTGGTGTTGTTGATGAGTGCACAAGTCCAGAATCCAGAACTTGTCCCAGAGAATTGAATTGAGAAGTACTTGGTGAAATAGGGCCATATTTACTGTTATTTGGTATTCCGGCTGGTTGAGATATTGATGCTCTTGGAGACTTTGTAATCTGTGGTGAATATGGATTTTGTTTAGTAGCTACTGATGTACCTACTGATTTACCACTAGTAGTAGAAACGGCACTATTTCCTCTCATTCGAGCTGTCGGCATCATATTAATCGGGTTATTGATCATATTTGTCGTTGGCGCTATTACGGGATTAGGTTGTTGTATGCTGGCATAAGGATTCTTTGGGATTATTTGGGCAGGGTTCACCGATGAGTTTCTGCTATGTGGATTAATCTTTGGTGTCGTTGGCGTGCTACCATTACGACTGAACTGATTTGTAAATACTCCAACTGGCTTCGCATGACCTTTCTTAACAGTAGAGGAAACCAAGTTAATTGGAAAGTCATATGCATCAGACTTCTTCTTCTCTTCTGTCAGTTTCTTTACCTTTTCATTAGTGGTTTGAATTGGACTGAGAATAGTACCTGGCGTATTAGTTTGGGCATTGTTAGTTGGAAGGAAGGTTGTAATTTGTTGAGGCCTAACAATTCCGGTGGGTGCTGTCGATGAATTGGGTACTGTCTGGTAATTATTGTACTTTGGATCCATTTGTGTGTTGATACTGGAATGGCTGGAGGGTCGGTAGGGATTATGGTTCAATTTCTTTGATTCCGCTGAAGTAGACATTTCTTGCGTTAGTTCGTTTATTTGGACAGTTTCATTTGATTCCAGCTCCTCTATCTCCTCTTCTGATTCTAGGAAGCTATCATCATCATCTAATAAGTCATCATCCTCTTCTAAGAATGAGAATTTTTTAACAGTATCGGCAGAAGTTTGTTGTCTATCACTTGAAGATTCTACATTTTGTTGTTGGTTTGACTTAACGGACTCACTTGGCAGTGTATCATTATCTTGAGAAGCAGTATTGTCACTAGTCCTAACATTTGCTGGACTTTCCTCTTTTGCCGTTGAAGATTGATGATGTTTTTCTCCCTCCTCACTTTTCATAGACTCTTGTAACCAAGGAACGTCGTCACCAACTTCATTATTTCCAAATAGATCATCGAAGCTGTCTTCCTTTTTATCCTCTCTATCACATAAAATTCTATCAATATTATCGCTATCGTCTTTCGTGGTTTCGGTAATTCTTTGATTTTCTTCATGACTTACTTCATTCTCAACAACATTTTCCCCTTGTTGAGGTAATTCCCAAGGATTCTGCTCATTAGTGTTATGCATAGAAGGAAATAAGTCTTCTATCGCGGATTCCATTGAATTTTCATTTGCAACATTAATTTTAGAAACTGATTCTGATCCAATATTTTCTTGGTTCTCAGTGTTGACTTCGTTTTTTGGTATCTGAGAAAATGTAGTTTCTTCTTGTAATAGCGATGATTCATCCTGTAAATCATTGACTGACTGTTCGTCATCGTTCATTTCAATAAGAGAATTAATTTGTGCTGCCGGTCCTGTTTCGAATTCGTCATTTGCATGGAAATCAGACACTCTAGCAGTGGCATCCTTATGGGTGTCACTGTTAATGTTCCTCTCTTCCATCTTCTGCTGGCCTAGATTGCTCTCGTCAACATGTCGAATAGTATTTTCAGCCATTCCTGTTTGAGTACTAACTGAACTAGTTAGCAACTCTTCTGAATGGTCCACCTCTTCCACATGGTCCACCTCTTCTGAATGGTCCACCTCTTCTGAATGGTCCACCTCTTCCACATGGTCCACCTCTTCCACAAGGTCTTCCTCTTCTGAATGGTCTACCTCTTCCACATGGTCCACCTCTTCCACATGGTCCACCTCTTCCACAAGGTCTACCTCTTCCGAGTAACTTAGTTCTTTTGGGTAATCTAACTTTTCCGGCTTTCCAAATTCTTCTGACTCCAGTCTATTTTCAGTTAAAAGATTACTATTCTGAGTACTTGATAGCTCTACTTCTGTATTATTGGAAGCAAGATTATCGAAAAAATCAGACCCGTCTTCCGCTGTCGGATGATCATTTACAAGGTCATCATTATTATCATTTTCATTATTCCCTTCAACTACAGATTCTTTATCATCATTACATGAGGACTCTAGTGGCTGACCTTCCAATTCAAGCTTTAAGATATCCTCTTGACAATCAGGATCTGATATTTTTGATGAAGATTCATTAATTTTGTCCTCACTTTTGACAGTATTAGAACTGTCAATACTACCCCCAATAATATTTTGTGCAGTGTCAAAGGTGATAGCCTCAGTAGTGTTCTTAATGTCATTATGATAATTATCCTTCATTTCAGATTCAATGTCTTCATGACTATCGAAAACAGTTTCGGATTGAGGGTCGTTTTCCTTCTGTTCATTTATGAAATTATCTGAATTTTGATTTTGTGATAGTTGAGAGTCCACGTTGACTTCTTGTGTAGAAGTAACTGAAATCTCGAAATTTGAAGTATAATCTGGTGTGCTTACGTTACTATTACTTGTTAATGCATCTTCAGCACCAGAAATATTTACTGATTGATCAGTAGCGGGTAAATCAGTAGCCTTCTCAGCAGCCTTCTTCTGTTTCTGTCTAAGTTTCTTTTTTTGATTCTTCTTCCTTTTGGCTTCAGGTGTCATAATGAATAATTTTCAACTTTAATATGAATCCAGCTATTATAGTGAACAGCAAAAGACTTAAATCTCAAATATTTAAATAACTAACTCACAGAACTCCAAAGTCTAAATACAATATGCCTCCTTCAGATAGTTAGTCTTTTCGTCTTTGCAAAGCGGATCAATTGTAATCCTCAGAAATGGTAAATTTCGCGTTGGGGTACAATGCAATCCCAATGTAGTAACAATTATCTAGAACCTTTAGAGGATATATAACTATTAGGTGCCAATTTATCAAATTTTTGATTATATTCCTGTGTTTGATATACTCAAGTTATTCAACTTGTGATATTCATTCCTGTTCATTAGTTGGAACTACTCGTTGTTGGCTTTCTTTGGATTCCTCAGTTCTGGAGTGTCCAAAACGATCGCAGGACTTGGTAATTTTATACGCGAGGTTGAACGTGAATTGGATGGATTACAACTATGATGGTATAGATGATCATGACTATATGTGACATACATAGCCATTAAATCATTCGTAGCCTATCTCGACAAGACAGTCAACTAATTTATGTATTTTTGACTTTAGCTTTGGCACGTTTTGAGAAGTTAAGATAACATGTTTGAAAATATTCGTTTAGACATGAAGTAATTACTTTCGATTTACATGTTAAATAGGTCATGATATGTCGTTATAAAGATCAAAAAAAGCTATACACAAGGATTCCTATTCTTAAAATTCATGAACATGCATCTGCTTTTGCTTTATTAGTGATAGGTTATAAAAATTCACAATAGACTTCTTTCAAAATGTGAAAAAATGTCAATCGTTAAAGGTCCCCAACTTATGGAAACCGTCAGATATAAGTAATCGCCTCTCAAAAAAAGCCATGAAAACAAAACTATTGACATGCCAAATACATGCCAACTGTGCACCGTGTACTATTTTGATTCATTCTTTTTTTGTCGCTTTCACGTCGGCTCTTGGTCCCCAGAACTCAAGAGAATATGGAGTTCTTACAGTTAGTCCCTTTTTAACCAGTTCTGGGAAGAAACTCCATCTGTAAATGAAAATGTAGTCGTCACCCCTACCTTGCGTCATAACTCTCAAGTACTGTAAGTACACCACGTAGATGTATACACCAGTACCGGTCAATAAATGCCACCAGCCGTGAAGTTCTAGGAGAATGCCTAAAGGTAGTTCCAAATACGTCCTTCTGATGTGGATCCACAATGAGCACAGGTGAATATCTAATTGCCAGCAGATAAAGCCAAGGACAAATGGTACAATACCTAAGCACATAGTGGTAAATAAATTTCTCTTTGCCACGGGATCATGAACATCTCTGTATGTTAAGATACCAGAAGCTATGACGACCATAACTGTCAGGACACCGTATAAGATTTGGAAGATTTCAACAACTCTGACCACAATGTATAGCCAAGTTAAAATAGACACAAATCCGAACAGTAAAGCGGAATAAATAAATTGAATTCTGAGGGATTTAGCCTTACGTTCATCGACATTTTTAATCAAGTTCTCCTGGTTCTCAACAAAGATACTCCAAGATGGTATAACAGTAGCATAAAGCATTGGCAGTTCGTCCAACAATTGGAAGCGATATTGCAAAGTCATGTGGAAAAGCCAAGAGCCGATACCAACCAAGGAGAAACCAAGACCAATGAATATAAATCTTTTCTCCAATTTGTTCGTGTAAGCAGAATAAGTACAATAAAAAGCAACCACCAAAAAAGCAGCGTTCGTTATAGTGTTACACCATTCTGCAATATATGGAGTCACAACGTAATTCTCTTCACACCAATCTATTAAAGCGGTTGGCTTGCCCCAGTAACCATCGATGGTCTCGGGATCAGGGTATGGCCAGCTGAATTGCATGTTTTATTTATCTGATCTCTTTACTTGAAAAATAATCCAGATAAGAAGTCCTCTAGTATTGATAAGATTGAAAAAAAACTTTATCTATACTTTTAAATTTTTGCTATATTAGGATATCTTCTAGTTCTTTCTGTCCCTTCTCATATTTCTTTTAAAGATAAAGGTAAATTATTTCAAACCATAATTAAAAAAAGGTATCTACCAATGTCTAATTATAAAAAAAACAGGCAAGAACAACCATTATAATTTACCAATTTGATCTTGATTATTCAGAGAACTCAAAAGAAAGGGATTAGATATTACTAGAGAGCACATTCTCGACAAAGGGGAGAGAGAGAGCCTACGTTTATGTCAAGGAACGAAGAAGGATGTCAGCTCCAGAGCATCGTTTCAAAGAATTTGGTTCGGAATCCATTTAACGATTGAAGAGAACTTGAGTCTTGAACCCAGCTCTGTCTTCCCAACAAGTTGCCCATCTGCCATCAAAACATAAATTATATCTGGAAGTGCAAAACAAGACCAATCATTGGGAAAGTGATAATATTGCATGTGATTATCATCACAACCATAGCATGTGATACTTAGTCAAATCTAAAAATAACTTTTCTGCCAAAATCAAAAGGAGGGGGAGGGGGTCGAGACCCATTGTACTTCCAGCGTCGTACTCACAGATTATCAGCCGACTTCCCTTGGTTGCCAAAATTTTGGCTCAAAACTGCAAGTCCATTTGTCGATCCTTTCCATGCACAGAAACATTCGTTGCTTTTCTGAAAATGGAACATCAATAAAAAGTAACATGTGAACACATAATTGCTTATTGTTTCCCTAGCCATCGACCCCTTCTACTTACGCTCAGGGCAAACACTTTTTCTTCTACAAATTCATCAAGTTTGCCTTCTTTTTTGTATTTTCACTGCAGCACATTCTCTGGTTTCTTGCTGTATTTTAGGTACTTCATGTCTGTGCTTGTAATTTTACTTGTATTATTAATTTACTGAACCACTCCCCAGTCGATGGGCTTTGCTCTTTCTCGCATTACTACCGATATGGCATGCTTATTATGTGTTGTAAAGCTGACTGAAGAAGGAAAGTTGCACCACGATGGGACTGAGATTCTTTAAATAGCGTGTGGGGACCTAACTCTCTCTGTCTTTTGCATAAATCTCATCACGGCAGATGAGGTCGATAATCAAAATAAGTCCCTTTCCGTTCGCATAAGTTATTCCGGGAAGTTTATTTATAACTATTGTTGTTATAGTGCCGTTCCTATTGTTTTTTTTTAAATTCTTTTTTTAAATAGAGATAATATCCATCAAACCTATAGCACAAGTTATTCACAAAAATAGCGGAAAGAAACTTGTATCTTACTGAATACACGGGACGATTACATTAGTGAAAGATAATATTCATAATAACCGAAGTTTACTTGGCATAATTTACTGATCCGCACTTTTCAGCACGCTTGATAAAATAACACTTTCAAATTTCACTTGTTGAAGTTACAAATCTGCATCTCAAGATACAAGGCACAGATTTCGCTTTTTTTAACCTTTGACTATAAACTTAGGTCCATTACTACTACCAAGACAGAAATCAGAAAGGTTACTTAACCAGTTCTATCGAGATTACTGCCCACTTGCCATTTAATCCTGTACCCATAAGAAGGAATTCAGGCGAGCGTATTAATTTTAGCTTGTTGCAACACCACAACCATCAGGAATAAGAAAAGCAGTTGCTTCTTTATAATTTGCAGATACTTCCATTCATTACTATTACTAAACAAGGTATTCAGATCTAACATACCCAATACAGGGAGCATATTCATTTAATTGACACATTACCAATACACAGACTTACGGCTTTTGGAATACTACAACGGCCCCATTGTTGTCCTTTTATCGAATAATATTTGCGTACTAGAAGTTCAATACAAAAACTTTATTTTATTTTTGGATTTTGCAACATCGCTGGTCAAATATAAAAATACCTCAGTTTCTTCGTCAGTCCTTCTGAGAACTACTATTAATATTCCACTTCTCAAGCCTTGATTTTCTTCAAATTAGCCTTTAATCATTCACATTTTTTTTAACTTACAAAGTTGAAAATAAAAACACATCTATTCAAACTTTATTTAAAATCTAACACATTTCATTTAAGAAGATAAGATGGGTAGAAGAAAAATCGAAATCGAGCCAATAAGAGATGATAGGAACAGACTCGTTACATTTATAAAACGGAAACAAGGTTTGTTCAAGAAAGCACATGAGTTGGCCGTTCTATGTGAAGTCGATGTTGCTGTTATTATCCTTGGCAGTAACGATACCTTTTATGAGTTTTCATCTGTAGACACAAATCAACTACTGGATGCCTATCAGAATAAGCCGGAACTGCACCACGACTGCTGTGACCCTTCAGCATTTGGTGACTTCAAGAAGAACAAAACAACAATTCTTCACCACAGCCGATCCACTGCTAGACCAACAAACACTACCACGAAAGACATATCAATGAGTCAAATAGAAGATACCACAGGCGATGAAGACGAAGATGAGAGCAATACAAAAGATGAAGACACAAACAACTATACCTATCACAATAAAGAGCCAGACAATCGATATAACTCTAGCATCAGTGATATTTCTAAAACTAGGGACAATTCTCAATTTATCTCAAATAACAATAGAGGTTTCCCGAAAAGACCATTTGTGCAAACAATGGACTCCTTTGACAATAATAGTAGTGATAACAGTTCTTCAGACACGAATAACACTAAACGTATGAGATTCGATAATCAGAATAGCTCAGGGAGGTTCAGTGTTAATCAAAATAGCACAACTGCATTACATGATAGTAATCAGAATCCAACACAGCTGGAACAGCAATCACTGCAGCAGCAGGGTCTGCCACAGCCACCGCAACTACAGCAACAATCACTGGAGCAACAACAACAGCAACAACCACAAGAATTCCAACCTGGAAACTCAACAGGTTTATCCAATAATTTACAACAACATGTGCAAAAACAGTTCCAGAATTTGTTCATGATGACCAAAGGTGCAAGACAAATGCCTAAACCAATAGGACTATCCCAGTCGTTCTCATCTATGAATGGTGGCCAACCCTCCGATGAGGATTCACTAACCCCTGTAATGAATCCAAATTCATCAGGTAGCTCTGATCAGAACAATGGTAGTGAAAATATATCGAATGAAATGATGTCGGAAAACAAGGAAAATAGTACGATTCAAGAAGATCTTTCAGCTGAGAGCAATGAAAGAAATGATACCCCTAGTGAAGGCGGTCCGCCCAAACCGAACCTTACTGTAGATATACCAAGCAATCAATTTGTTAATAGTGCAACAATACATGATGACACTTCATCAGTTTCCACAAATGGACAGAGGCAATACCAGATACAATTGAATGGAATCAACTCAAATGATAACTTACTCAAGAATTTATCTCCAATATCATCTAACCCATTATCTGCATTTGATAGGTCAAACCAATCAAAGTTGATATGGAAAACCCCAAGTGGATTAACACCAGGCTTACCAGCAGTACTATCATTTTCTCCCACTACCACACAATTCCAAGGTACCACTCCAATCAACACAATGCTGCCGACGCGCAATAGCATTGCTAGTGAGAACCAATTAGAAAGTCTCAACAATCCTAATTTTCTGCAGTCTCAATCTTCTTCGCTGGGCGACGCATCTGCTATGAAAAAACCCTCTTTACAACCATTGCATACAATTACTGGGAATGGCAATGATGTACCTGCAATGGGACCACCTACGGGATCGATGCCATCTAAATACATACAAGACTTGATGGTTTCGTCACCTAATAATCCCTCAATGCCAATGTTCCCAGACTGGTCACTGGGTCCCACGAATAGAGGCGCTCAACAACCTCAGGAGAACACATATGATCCATCTCATGGGAACACAGGGTTGACCCCATTTCTACAAACAGGCCAGACACCAACCACAAGATTCTTCAGTTTCAACAGCGATATGTCTGAAGAGAGAAGCACCAAGTAATACCATCTATAAATACCAGGGGTGCTGTTGAAATCTCAAAGAATCTCTTTATTGTACTAGAGCTTCACAAAGGTGACAAATATATAATTCATATTTAAGAATGCTGTAGAGCCAACAGTGGCCATATTAGCAGCTAGTAAATAGTATTTAGAACTATTAAATCGGATATAAGAAGTTCATGGGTTCATATAACAGTGACTTTACTATTAATAGCAATCTGATAATTACGTAAAAGGAAAGAATCGAATACACTTATGATATTTCAGATACTATAGTTGGATTAATCAGTATGAGAAGCTGATAATAGTTACAGAATCAATCTTAAGGTATCAATAATTTGGTAAACGTCTAAACAAATTATCATACCTAATCACAATATATCACATGACTGAAATCTTGCTCATATGGAACAATAAGCTGGTTGATTGTTGCCCGAGTGCACTGCTCATGTGCAAAAACACATTAAACGAATATGAGAATGATTTCATTATTTTGTGACTTGCTTTTTTATATCATTGAAAGTTATAACACCCATACATCTTGAAAATTTGAATTATTGGATCATCAAGAGTATTTTCTATGATAGATACGAGGCTTCGGGATTGGCAACTCTCTAAGAGGTAATGATGGGCACGCATTGCTCGGTACCTCATCAGATGCTGAGCCTAGCATGCTTTTCGTAATGCTGCAAAATACTGACACTAGGAGAGTGGTAGAGTGTAGTGCTACCACGGGCATACAATGAAGCTTGGGGGATTAGGCCACTTTGTGGAACCAGGCTAGGCTGAGCTCACGAGCTATCTTCCGCCTAAACCAAAGTTTCCTTTCTAACGTCTGTGTAGGTGCTAGGCAGAGTAGACTCACGATCCCAGAGAACAGATCCAGTTTGTGTGAGCAAAAGCATATTGTCAGGACAGTAGCTGGCTCACAGGTTCCATATATGTGAAATGCCAGTTGGGCGTCTATTTCATAGTAGTTAAGAAGGATTACCCGTGCTATTCTCATTACAATTTGTTTCGAAAGGACCTCGAGAAACGATAACTGAGCCATTATGAAGGTATGTTTGCAAACCACGATGAATTATGGAGGAAATAGCGATCTATATTGCCTATTTTGCCTATATTGCCTATAATCAGGGATTAAAGCTATGTGATACACAGGCGCATAGTAGGATCGAGACTGGGAAGATATCATACTTTCTACAAAATATACATTGCGTATCTTAGGCGAATCCAAGCATTACAATTCGATTACCTCTACCTACTTTTATTGACGATTTAAAGAACAAAAATACTAACATTAGCTATATTATTGATTACAAACTTAACACAATTACCAATTTTTCCCCGAAAATCTCAATTTTGCAAGACATGTTCATTAGTATAATTATCAGTTCTTCACCATGTGGTACAATGATGAACTTTTTCAGGATTAAGAGAAAGGTCACTATTAAAAGGAAAGGATATCAGTTTTTGGATTAACAGCGTAACTCATTCAAAGATCACATCATGAATTACTGTTCCATATCGATACTGTCATATATGAGTGAACTTCTTATTCTTACAGACGTTTGAGTAATAATATTTCCGTTTGCACCCAGTTATTTGTCAACTCCAGAATTTTAATATATATTACATGAAATCAGAGGTTTATGTGAAAATTATACAGTTTATCTCCTAAAGAATGAAATCATGTTTTAGCATGAATTGAGATTTTAGTGGTATATGCTATTTGTTTTGAGTTCTAATAATAATATTATACCATTTTTACAGTTGAACATTGCATACCCAGTTAACGGTACCCAAAAGACTGTCGAAGTCGATGACGAACACCGTGTCCGTGTCTTCTACGACAAGAGAATTGGTCAAGAAATCGAAGGTGAAGCTGTCGGTGATGAATTCAAGGGTTACACCTTCAAGATCACCGGTGGTAACGACAAGCAAGGTTTCCCAATGAAGCAAGGTGTCTTGTTGCCAACCAGAGTTAAGCTATTGTTGGCTAAGGGTCACTCCTGTTACAGACCAAGACGTTCTGGTGAAAGAAAGAGAAAGTCTGTCAGAGGTGCCATTGTTGGTCCAGATTTGGCTGTCTTGTCTTTGGTCATCGTCAAGAAGGGTGAACAAGAACTAGAAGGTGTCACCGACGCTACTGTTCCAAAGAGATTGGGTCCAAAGAGAGCTAACCACATCAGAAAGTTCTTCGGTTTGACCAAGGAAGACGATGTCCGTGACTTCGTCATCAGAAGAGAAGTTACCAAGGGTGAAAAGACCTACACCAAGGCTCCAAAGATCCAAAGATTGGTTACTCCTCAAAGATTGCAAAGAAAGAGATACCAAAGAAACTTGAAGGTCAGAAACGCTCAAGCTCAAAGAGAAGCTGCTGCCGAATACGCTCAATTGTTGGCTAAGAGATTGGCTGAGAGAAAGGCTGAAAAGGCTGAAACCAGAAAGAGAAGAGCTTCTTCTTTGAAGGCTTAAATATAGGAAATTAAGATCTCTTTTTTTTCCTATTATTATATCTTTCAATTTTCAAACTTCGTATGGTTTTTTCTACCTTGAGTAATCAAGTGTATTAATCAACTACAAATCTAAAACAAATTATCGGTTTCAGTGACTCGATTTTGGTTTTAGTATCATCCTCCCGATCTAGATACGAATAAAAGGACTAACATTTTATGCCACAAAGTTTGTTTCCTTGTCATTTATTCTAGAAATAAAATTTACATCGTTTTCATATAAATTTATGTATTTTAATCAATAAAAAAGGCAAAATAATTCAATTACACTTATAAATTTCTGCGACGAATTTGCCTCTGTATGCGTCAAGGTAATGCTCTCATTTGATGATTGTACATCATCAGCCATTCGTAATATAATGATAATAATGTATGATTCCATCAATTAAAATAACTAAAATGATTAATATACACGACCTTTAAAAGAAAATCTAATTATTATCTCATAGTAACCAATTCCTCAGCACTGGTTGGATGAATAGCCACACAGTTGTCAAAATCAGCCTTTGTGGCACCCATTTTGATTGCGACACCAAACCCTTGCAGTATTTCTGCAGAAGAGTCACCTACAATGTGAAGACCGACAACCTTCTCATTTGGACCTTCACAGATGATCTTGTATCTAGTTGGAGATTTGTGTTCCAACATGGCATAGTACATAGCTGTGAATTTACTGGTGTAAACCTTGATGTTGTCCTTACCGTACTGCTTAATTGCTTCATCTTCAGTTAGACCAATAGAACCCGCTTCTGGATGCGAGAAGACAACACTTGGAACGTTTGTGTAATCAAGTTTATCATTACGGTATTGCTCAGGGCCAAACAATCTGTTTGATAACTTTCTACCGGCTGCAATAGCAACAGGAGTCAATTCCACACGTCCAGAGACATCACCAAGAGAGTAGATATTTGGAACGTTGGTGTTTTGATATTCATCTGTAATGATCTGTTCCTTGTCATTCAGCTTCACACCAACGTTTTCTAGGCCGATTCCCAGCAATGATCTACGACCCATAGTCCAAATCAATTCATCAACATCTTCAAGGACTTGTCCATTGGTCAAATGAACAGACAATTTACCAGTTTTCTCATCTTTTTCAACCTTGTCAACATTAGTTTCCTTATGGACATTAATACCTTCCTCAACATAATAGTCGGTAACAGTATTTTGAATAATCTCATCGAACTTTCTCAAAACAGTTTTACCTCTAATAACTAGATGGGAATCAGATCCTAATCCATGGAATACACCTGCCAACTCAATACCAATGTAACCTGCGCCAACAACTACCACTTTTTTTGGTTGTTCTTCCAGGCGGAAGAAACCGTCAGAGTCTGTACCCAATTCAAATCCTGGAACCTTTTCTGGGTACACAGGTTTACCACCAGTGGCAACTAAAATACGGTCAGCAGAGTACACCTCAGTAGTATTATCATGCTTTGTAACTTCAACGTTACCATCCTTGTTAAATTTAGCCCAACCAAATACTACTTCAACACCTTCCTTTTTCAAGTTATTTTCATAGATACCATTCAATCTGTGAATGTAAGCATCTCTTTTCTTCTTAAATTCCGGCCAATTGAAAGTAATAGATTCTTTAGACAATGGTACGTTTTGTGCTAGACCATACTCGTGGGCATGGGTCAATCTGGTGGCCAAGTCAGAAGCATACCACATTACCTTCTTTGGAACACAACCGACATTGACACAGGTACCACCAAGGGCTTTACCCTCAATCAAAAGGGTCTTGGCACCATATGAGGCTGCTCTTCTACTGGAGGCAACACCACCGGAACCACCACCAATAACTAAATAATCAAAATGCTTTGCAACTGGAGCCATTGTTCTAAATAATCTCTTTACTATCATATATATAGAGGAACTTAAAAAAAGTTGCCAGTGGAAAGGAAATTGAACAAACCTAAAAAAAATATTTTACTGTTGTTTAAATATTACTATCTCAATCTTTACAAATTGAATTCATTTTATAATGCCATCCAACTGTTAGCACCCCGAGTCCACGCTGATTCACGGATGATAGGGTGCCAGATAATTTACTACACAATCCCTCTGTAACGATGGTAAAAAAATGGAAATAGTTAAGGGATTTCGATGGGAAAATATTAGCTAATTGTGACAATTAATGGACATTACAGCAGTAAATTCAGCAGTGTCCTCTCTCATCACTAATGATCATCTAACTCCTATTCTATGTAATCCATCGTCGAAGATGAAAATGATATTTGTAGGAGTGATAACTTGACGTTATTTTAGCTAATGATATTATTTTAGGATAATAGTCTTTATAATGACAAATTATATTAGATTACAGATTATGTATTTGAATGAATACTATTATTGCTATATGTTGAAATTAATGCAAAAAATTAAAATTAAAGAAATGGAAAATAATAGACAGATTGGTAGCAAATCTTTCATTTTTAGATACTGACATGGGCTGTATATGAAAATGAATGAAAAATGCTCAATCTTAAATGAATATAGATATTCTTTTATCATGAAATAAAGACCAAAAAATCTAGAGTATTACCAAAGGTTGAAATAATAATTATGAAAAATAGCAATACATTTGCCGAGCAAAAATTGAGTACACGACACATGCTCTTTTTTTTTTATACTTTCTTTAACCTTGGTGTAATTAAATTAGTGTTGAGACTAATATCCTAGCCTCTAAATGCTAGGGAGGTGGTATTCATGAAATGCAAATTGTAAACGTGAAAAGAAATTGATAAGAATTCATCTGAACCAATATGATACACAAATGAACTTTATTTGGTATATTATCATACCAATCTCGTAAAATCATCTTGACAGGACTCTTGAATATCATTGCTGCTCTCCAAAGATTTCTCAGTACTTGTGTTTTCTTCAGTTTCCTTCCATTTAGAATATCTAAAGTAAACAGGCTTTATAATTGATTGTAACAGAGTCAGTGTTAAACATATGATAGTCCAACAGATACAGACACCACCGTAAATAGCACCAATGTACCTGAATGTCTTTACTGGGACATAATTGTTGTAGATAACATATATCTCCTTGTTAGCTAGACTCATTGTACCCATTGGGAAAGTCATTCCCAGCCAACCTTTGTGGAAAGTGTATATTCTCTTCACCTTGGGCCCTGTGGCGTCCTTTGTCTTGGAGTAAGAAAGAATGGAGATAAAGCAAAGGAAGGTGAAAAAATATCCCAACGATACTAAGGCTAACACCAACAGTAAGAAGATGATCTTAAAGCACCAAGGAATTATTTCAACAAGGAGTTCGTTATAATAAGGATGCCCAGGTCTGTAATATAAATGGGTGTATTTTTCAACATTCTCACCTATCAACAAGAAACTGTAACTTCCTTGACCTAATGGACCCAAGATCAAAAACATCGAGAAGACTTGGCCCATGGGAGGAATCTTATTCACATAAAGACTCCAAATGTAAATTGTAATAATGAAAAACACAAATATCAGTGCGTGAAACAAACTCAAGGCGCACACGAATATGTTAAGTAATTGAATGTGTCTCCCAAAATATTTGATAAAGATGGGACTCATTGTAAAGCCACCCAGGCTTGAAGATGCAACCACCAGAGGTATGACTCCCAACAGAAGCACACTTTTCAGAGTCTCTGCTGCTGATTTCTGATTTGGAGTAACATGGGGACTAATATCGTTTTTGTCAAAATCATACTTTTGCCATATGAGAAAGGAAACACCCCATGCAGTTAATAAAGAGATAAGTTGATCATACCACCATAGAGCATAGGCCAGCACTATGAGACGCTTGGCGTTGCCAGTACCAGCAGCTTCATTATTTGCAAGGAATGAAATGTAGTTGATAATAGTAGCCAAACCCATAGGGTATGCACCCCAAAAGGGGCCATACGTGACGCCGGCATAGTATCTTTTAAAATACACTTTGAAAGAGTCCTTCTTGATAGAATAGTATGCATGTACAAATACGTATATTTGCAACACGATGAATATAGCACACGCAATACCAAACATGATGTATGAGCAAACACGCATCCAGTGTGAAGGAAAGGCGAAATCATACAGCAAGTTGCTGGAGATACCAGAGGCCATCACCATAACAAACATAAAGGGCTCAAAGTCCCGAACCAACTGCTTCATCAACCGCCGCATTGCTATTACTTAATTTAGTTTGGGGATCCCAACAAAGGGGAAAGTAGTTTGCGAATGGTCCAATACCCAAACAATAAGCAAGAGAGATCTAAAGTAGCGCTTATATATCCTCAGCTCCCAATAGGTCAAGTCTTGCGAAATAAATTGATCAACTTCGACAAACCTCATCGCTCATTGCTACTTTTCACTATTGTTTGATAGGACTTTAATTTTGTTATTGTTAGTGATCACACAGAAATCGATGGGGGAAGGAGAGGCGAAACTGATTCCAAATTTTTTCTCTTCGCCGATTTTTTCTGTTTAAGAAATGCCTGTACGGCACATTCTTAGTAATATGCAAGGAAAGTGGGGGTCCCACTCCGTCTTCCACGGGCGTATCTAGGGGTTACGGCTATTATGTCCTTCTAGAAATTAAATGAACGGTTCTATGAAATGCGCGAAGGGCTTGTACGACTTGTCTCTGAAGGAACCAGAATGTGTCAAGCATTTGATGACAATAATTTGCCATAATAGCCAATTAATTACTATTATATTTTATTTTGAGCCTCTTGGTTATTGTATTATGAGTCAATTTTTGGTTGCTTTGGAGGGCTCATGCATAGTGGTAACATACCCTCTTGCGATATTTAGTAAAGAATGCAATCATGAAATGGAAATAGTTGCATCAGACAAAGTGGGATGCGGACATTCTACTTTCGTCAGCTATATTTACTTCTTACGTTGCTTCTATAAATGAGAATGGCTTGATGTTTGACAAAATGTTTTCAATAGTATACATAATATATGGAGGGGCTATAAATCCTAAGTGTTTCTTAGAAAAAAATAAAATAATTTCGAATGATAACGGTTATAATGATGTTAATGTAAAATGGAGAGATAAAAAAAAAACAAAATAAAAAAATTTGTACAATAATAATAAAAATGAAGGGAGGCTTTTACATCCTTCATTGTTAAAGTCGTTGTGCGAAAGAAGTGAAAAGAAAAAATATTATGGAAAAGACAAAAAAAAAAAATTGGAAAGAAATTGAATAAGAATCCAAGAAATCTCACCAATTCTTACCTTTTTTTCTTTCTGTTAATGCATTTTTTTTTAGACTTGACAGTAAGATATTCCGTTAGGCTTCAAAATGTCTTTACCTGGTAGATGAAGTTACCGTGACAATAGACACACAAAGTAGCATATATGGGGATAGTAGATAAATGCTTCCTTAACGGAAATCAGACTTACCAATACCACGCTTACCACTGAACAAATGCTTGGGTAGAGAAGCAGTGGCGTGTCTGTCGGCTTCACCTTGTCTAGCGTCTCTGTTTCTTTGTCTTCTTTGTAGCTTGGCCATTCTGTCTGCTTTACTTCTCATAGAACCATCAGCAACACCATCCAATAGTCTGTCGCTTTGTCTTAGTTTACCACCGTTTGATCCAGAAGCCATGCTGTCATTTTGTCCAAAGACAACATCAGCACCCGTCTCAACATACCTGCTCTTTTCGGCGGCAGCTCTGTGCTTGTCTTGCAAAGAAGACATATCGTGACCCAAAGTTGCCATATGCTTTTCCATGTCACCGAAAGACTTAACAAGTTTTGAACGTGGCATCATGGCCTTGTTTCTCAAAGACTTTTTGTTTCTAGCCTCGGCAATCATCTTCTTCTGCTTGTTTCTGATCCAATCAGCCTTTTCTCTGATCTCATCAATTTCCTCTTGATCGAAACCACCGTAGCTTTCATCCTCATCAGAGTCGTAGAAACCTTCCTTCTCCAATCTTTCTTCTTCTTCTTCTAGAGCTTGCAACTTAGCAGCAATATCTGGGTCTAAGAAATCGTAGACGTTCTTACCGTCCATGATTTCTGGCATTATATCGTTCTTCCATTCATCGTCATCAAGAATATATTTATCCTTCAAGTTAATGTTAAAGACACCAGCACCACCATTCTCGGCTTCGATATCTCTGGCCAAGAGTCTTCTTTCTGGATCCTCTGGATCATATTTCTTTAGTTTCTTGAATTCTTCAGGAATGTATGGAGTTCTTTCAACGTCATCTCTAGCCTGAGGCTTAGCGACATGGATCTTGTTCAAGACATTTGTGATTCTAGCTTGAGATTTCAATTTGTTTTCAATTCTGGAGGCCAACAACTTTTCACAAGCCTTGTTTCTAACGTTCATAACGTTATCCTCCAACTGACAAGAGGCACTCATGATCTCAACACCTGGAAGTTCCGTGACAGTTTGTAGCAATTTAGCACGTTCCTCGTCTAGATCTTCTGGTCTTATGATATCGGTCTTGTTGATAACAACCATAACAGATTTGTTAGCGAACAATGGCTTGATGGAGTGGAATAATTTAACTTGTGCTTCAACTGAGAAACCACACTGTTCTGAAAGATCCATGAAGTACATGACACAGGAACGCAAGTGGGCAATAGCGTAAATAGACTGCATTTCAATGTTGTTCATTTCTTCAGTTGGTCTGTCCAGAATACCCGGCGTGTCAATAGCTTGGAAACGCAGGTACTTGTAGTCAAAATGACCAACATATAAACTCTTTGTTGTGAACGCATATGGTTGGACCTCGACATCAGACTTGGTGATACATCTCAAGAATGAAGACTTACCAACATTTGGATAACCACAAATCAACAGAGTTCTTGTGTTTGGATCAATAGATGGCAATCTACCCAAGTGCTGACGAACTTGTTCTAGATACACTAGTGGATCCTTCAACTTCTTGACGATGGTAGCCATTCTACCCAAAGCGGCTCTCTTCAACTGCTTACATTGGAAAAGAGACTGACCAAACTTCAGCAATCTAGTGTAATCTCTAGAAACTTGCTCAACCAGAGTCTTAGCACGGGAAACAGCAGCCAAGGAAATCTTATAATGGTTCTTCTCATACAATGTGTCCATCAGATCACGGTGGAAAGGATGCACATCATTAATGTTTGGAAAACCTTTCAAGATATCATCGAACTTTTCTTCAAAACCCTCAGCAGTGAACTTCACCTTTCTCATGTAGAAAGCCCTGATTCTAGTAATCTTGAAACCAGGTCTAATAACAGTAGGCGTCTTTCTTTGCGTCCTGTTAAGGACAATGTCCAGCATATCATTTGCAGGCGCAACCGTAGGGATATCCTTCCAAGACAATTGCATCTCTGTAACTTCTTGGTGTATAGTTTACCTTATAAGATATAAAAATTCAAAATAAATAATAAAAACCAATCAATATAAAGAGAATACACTTGCAAAATAAATGAAATTCCTCTATTATACATGCGATGAGCTCCACTTCTATACAATTTTTCTTGCGATGAGCAGCTCATCGCTTGAAATTTTTCACTTTTCTGAAAAATTTTCTAGATATCATTACAAACGTCATGTGGATTGCAGCTTAGTCTTATAAACACCAAAAGAAACTGCCAAAAGCTTGCATGCTTATAGCATTACAATAGTCAGAGTGAGTGTTATAGTCGTCTAGTTTACTCAATTTGAAGCGATTGCATAACAATCTTAAACTCTCTAATTGCTTTTGTTTTGGTTATTTTCTCGAGCAGTGGAGAATTGATTGAGTGAAGTGACTAATAAAGATGGATCAAAGTGCAGTTCTCGCTATCGCCTCTTTTGTGCGTAACAGAAGCGAATTGAAAGCCAGGAAGGGTCTTTTCCAGGATAAGCCTACTGACTTCTTTAGATATAAGAGATTTGTGAGGTGTCTGAAGTCTGATGCGTATAAGAAGAAATCCCTAAAGCAGCCGGACCTATATCCACCTCTACCGGAGGATGAGGAGAAGTTTGCTGAATTAGCCAGAGGTATATTTGTGGAGTTCATCAAAAACCAATTGGTAGTACCGGGTCAGAAACTACATAGTTATGAATGTAAAGAACACGGATTAAAGCCCAGCAAGGACTATCCTCATCTAATAATGTCCACCAAGGCTACACTAGATGACAACGAATACTACTTGTGGCATTACAACCCCAAAACATTAACGGACTATTTAATTGTGTTTGGTGTGATTGGTGTCATTTTAGCATTTGTATGTTACCCTCTGTGGCCTGCATCTATGAGACGTGGTACATATTACCTGTCCTTGGCTGCCTTCGGCTTCCTAGGTGTATTCTTCGGTGTCGCAATTATCAGATTGATTGTGTTCCTAATATCAATGCTTTTCATTAGGGAAAAGGGCGGGTTCTGGTTGTTCCCTAACTTGTTTGAAGATTGTGGCTTCTTCGACAGTTTCAAACCACTTTACGGCTTTGGCGATAAAGAAACGTACACTTATATAAAGAAGATGAAGAAACAAAAGAAGAGGCAAGCAAAGAAGGAAAAGTTAAAGAAACTGAAAGAAAAGGCTAACTAAAAGGAAAGACATCTTTAGTTTTGACAACTATTATAAATTATCGTTCCATTTATTTGATATTAGCCTAAAATATATAACAATAGGTAATATATATTAATAGGGTAAAGATAGGATAGCAATCTTTATCCAAAATGCATATTAGAGATTGAATGCTGTATAACTTTTGCCATTATTTTTAAGCTGTTCAGGAGTTTTTGATTTATCTATTCGATGTACAATATGAGTAAAGATAATCCAGACCTATCTGCAAAAAGTGCTATGTTAACCACATGTAGAAGCCGCTTCATGAGAGGATGGGATAAAGTTCAAATCATAATAGTGATACTTAAGGCAATAAAGAATGGTTAGATACCCTCCAATCAAAACGCATCGACGATAAACCGATGAATCTCACACCCATCAAATTATTGATAGTGATTCCAAGTAGAAAACAGTCCTCCACATTCATCCGACTTCATTTCCCATTTTCACCTCTCGATTCTTTCCATTCTGCAGATCCACTTATTCTACCCTTATTCCCAGTTTTTGATATCTTCAATTTCTGCATCTCTTTGGTTGGAGTAGCAGAAGGGTTTAATTCAAGTTGCTCCAGGTCGTCCCTACAATACATTTTGTATGATTCATCATCACTTAGTCCAGTTCTTAGACGTTTGGTGAGAGCATGACACAGAAACTGTAAGTCATCTTCCTTGATTATATCTCTTGGTAACTGATTTTGCAAAATATAACGTTTACTGACATCAACTACACCGTACCTCCAAAACCCAATACAATAACTCATGCTCTTATTCCAATTCTTTGAATAAATAAAAGGCTCATCAAATGACTGTTCACATGAATCAACATGTATCCATCTTTTCAAATATGGAGAATAATATTCACACCATACGTGATCTTCCCTGTTCCATATATATCGGCTTTCCAGCCCAAAAGACTTAAGGACTAAGGTAAATAGATTACACCATTCACCACATCTACCAGTCCTTGTCTCTAATAGTTTAATTGGGTCATTATATCTAGGAAACCGCACTTCTGAGTTACATTTCTGACAGTGATAAACTTCTACCGAGCCACAGTTGAATTTTGCCTCTTCATTAGTTGGCGCCTGTATAGCAGCACCATTAATATCGTCTCCAGATGCACCACAACTTTTACAAACCGGTTTATTGCACCAAGTAAAGAAATCTTGCTTGAAGTATCGTAATAATTCTTTAACTAAATTGTCTGAGTATTGTGAGTCATCCTCAAGAGGCATCATATCAACATTTGCATAAATTTTGTCAAGGTCTAACGTTTCTAGCACTTGTGAGTGCCATGTACCATTTTCATACATGGTACACAATCGATTAGACATGTCAAATAATTCACCAGCAAATTTGTTCTCCTGTAATAACTTCTGTACCCTATTTAGCGGAACGGGCTCCTTGAATAAATTTATCACATAGTCTTTGTATCTCTTTAAAAACATATCAGCAACTTCAACATAGATCGGATCAACCATTATAATATGTGGCAGAGTCTTTGCTTTGCTTATGGTCACCAATTGTTTGCTAACTCTTAAACCGTTGGTGATTCAATTGCACTTCAATATTAACTTTTGTTAGGAAATTCGCATTTTGCAGAAACTGAAAATATTAAAAGAGGGCGATGAGATTGTAAAGGAAATGTATTCAATGTCAAGGTGCATTTCAATGAACAGTGGACAGTAATGAAATAATTGCTGTGGAAAGTGTTTCAAAGGAAACAGATGAATCAGAGACAGGCAGGATATGCTATTTTGACTTTCACTTATGGTGTTGTGTTTGTTTCGCTTACAAGTTTTTGGTTGATCCAAAGGTATTATCCTTCGGCGATTTACTATTGGCAGTGGCTTCTATTGCTTCCCGCATCCCTATGGTCATGGTGTGTCAAGTCATGGATTGACGCCGAAATGTTTGGAAGTTCTAAACAGGAGTGAAAGGGTATTTAATTATTTACAAGTACTCTATACAGTTATGTCTACTTCACAATGCCCGTGGTAGTATTCTATGTACATATATTACTCACTGCATCTCAATGACAAAGCATTTTTGTTTACCAATTCTTAGCAGCAAGACTTTATCGTCAATTAAATAGTCATTATAGTCATTAATATCCTTAGTTATCTTCACACGACTTGTGTGAAGGTATATACTTCCCTGTTCAATCTTCCTTCTAGCCTCTGATTTTGAACTGTGTGTTAATCTTGAAACCAAAGCTACTAAAGACTCACCTCTCTTAGCCTGCTGCAAAATCCTTGCTTCTCTGAACATATCTATTAATTCCAAGCCTGAAAGTTTCATCTCTTTATCTTCCATGGTCCCGAAGATAATATTAGAAATGCTTTGTGCTTTATCCCCATTTCCTACACCAAATAACATATCTGTAATTTCCTTAGCTAACATTTTTTGACCCAGTCTCAAGTGAGGTTTCTCATTATGACGCTTAGTCATAGACTCAATCTCTTCAATGGTCAAAAAAGAAAAAGTCTTCAGAAACCTTGGTACATCTTCATCCAGCGTATTCAAGAAAAATTGAAATATATCATAAGGTGTACTAATGCTGGGATCTATAAATACTGCATTTCCTGCACTCTTGCCAAATTTCTCACCGGAGGCTGTTTGTAACAGAGGCACCGTAACACCATATGCTTGTTTGGTTCGTGAGGAAAGTCTACTGATAAGATCTATACCCGCTGTAATATTCCCCCACTGGTCATTACCACCCACCTGAATGCTGACACCATAAGTTTTATTCAAATGGAAGAAATCGTATGCTTGCAATATCTGGTATGTGAACTCGTTAAAACCCAAACTATTTTGAGTGTTCAGCCTAGCCGTGACTGAGTCTCTTGCCAACATAGATTGAACTCTTATATGTCTGCCATAATTGGCTAAGAAATCAAGCATTTTAACATCTTTCCACCAATTGTAATTATTCTCTTTTATATGCTTCCCCGGTAATGTTTCATTTCTATCCTTATTCTTAGTGTTGTAATAAGCTAGACCATTAATGAAAAATTTCTCCAATTGTCCAGATATACTTGACACATTAGACAGCCGTGTTTTATCCTCCATTAGGCTTCTTTCAGTGGTTCGCCCACTCGGATCACCGACACATCCAGTAGCACCACCAACTAGTGTCACTATATCGTGACCTCTAACGTAGAAATGTAAAAGAACCATCAGAGGCACCAGATTTCCCAGATGTATAGATTTAGCAGTAGGATCTACTCCACAGTACAACTTAACCTTCTGTCCGGACTCTAGTTGCTCTTCTAGTTTCTCCTCAGGCGCTGATACCTGAGATACAAGCCCTCTGTCTCGTAGCTCCCTTAAAACATTGTAACTTCGCCTAAAATTGCTAACAAATAGCCTACCCTTCCTTAAGTTAATCATTCTACAACGAATCATGACAGTAGTATCAGTTGCCAATTGCCAATATTTCTTGCATCAATGGGATTCTTTTTGTTACTGTCAATTTCTTTTTATTCCTTGCCATTAAATCGATATTTTAATCCAATCCGATGAGCTTATTTTTTCAGAAAATCCCCTTCTGTGTTGACCAAAATGCTAGAACTTTTCACAGTATTTAGAATCCATTTCCAACAAATATAAAAGAAGTACTGCTTGACAAATACAAGTGAAAGCTATCAGCACTACATTTAATACCAATAGTGGGCACTGATATCTTTTTTGCATCTTTCTACAAATCAAATTAGCCAACCATGCCTCCAATGCCACAAGGTTTAGCACAGCAACAGCCCTCCAACTGGGACAAGTTTAAGATGGGTCTGATGATGGGTTCCACAGTGGGTGTATGTACTGGTGTTTTATTTGGTGGCTTCACAATTTTAACACAAGGTGCTGGCCCTGACGGAATAATGCGCACGCTGGGTAAATATATTGCTGGTTCAGCTGCAACTTTTGGTCTGTTTATGTCTATTGGTTCCATTATTAGAAGCGACTCTGAAATGCCAATGTCTCTACAGCAAACCCAGGATCTACAGAGAAGAGCAAGATTGGAAGTATGGAAGGTGCGTAACTTGTACGGTCTAAGTCGCAACTAAAACCTCAAGAAGTCTTTTGGAGATTCTAATACTATTTTAAATAAGATAATTCCACCTGTTAATATCATTTAATTGTTATTTATAATGAAATACAAATACATACAATATTGTTAGTTCTACTAGCAAATTTCGAGTTCTGAATCAAAACCTCATAGCTGAATCACTTAAAAGGGAAAAACTTAAAATTTAGCTAGATTAAGATAGCAATGAACCAATATTGTAAATCTAACATCATTACACAGGACCAGTAAGTTCGACTGACTACTATGATTAAGACTGCCAAAATCTCAACATTAAGACTTGCTATAACCAGAAATGCTAGAAATCTATCTTTCACCACTCTGGTAAGGAGTCCAGAGGTCGACAATTCTAAAATAAAAACATTAGAAGATCTAACTAGGCTAGAAACCTTGGAAGGTGTCGATCCTGAGCTTATTAAGAGGCTGATAAATGAAAAGACGCAGGAATTTAATACTCAAGATGAGTTAAAACTTTTAAAAAGCATGCAAATGGAACAAGATAGACTAAACGAAGTACCGCTGAAGAGGTTTACAAGACCACTATGGATATTCATTTTGATGGCATCAACTTTTTACCTAGGTGCCCACTTGGTATGGTGGAAATTAGCCTATGAGAAAAAGGAGGTAGAGCTGAAGCATAAGGTGGATTCTTTGGAGACTACATTGAAAGACGTGATGAAAGAAAAGGCTACTGGCCCAACACCATGCAATAATAAGAAGTCCTGGTACAAGTTCTGGTAGTTCTTCCATAAATTAAATATTTCTTTGTAAATAGAATCAAATCATAAAATAACATGAAGTTTTTATAGGAGATATATTCGTTAGGATATTTTGAATAGGCAAAATGCCTAATAACTACCAGGAAATCTATATAAAATGACTTGTTTTATTTAGAACACATTGTCCATGCTTTGAAGGTATCGTGTAAGTTTTGAAACTACCATCATCAGATGCGACATATATTTTGTTATCAAACTCTTCTGGGAAACCAACTACCGTGTGCACAATTCTATCCATATTTATATGTGCAAAATCTCGATGTAGGTTTTGATTAGGAATATGGGATTTGATCTTTCTTGAGAAAAACTTTTTGACTTGTTCATGCGGTATCCTATTTTTAATCAACTCTAAACTACCACCACTGTCGCTCCCAATATCTCCATCTATTCCATCTAATGCCAATCCATCGTCGTCTGTCCTAAATATATGTATGGTATCGCTATCTCCAACACAAACCAATAATGTACTATCTTTATTAAACAGCAGTTGATGAATGTGGCTTGGCCTCGAACCTCTTCTGAATTCTTTATATAGCAAGGGTCCCGAAGCAAAATCCGAATCCACTCCTGTTTTATGTATTCGAATAATAGTGCCCTTTTCAGACGCCGTGGCCAAGAGCTTACCATCGATACTAACACTAGTCTTCAACACACATCCTTTATGTACAGAATTCAGATAGTTAATAGGCTTCAAATTCAAAGCATCATAGACAACAATATCATTCAATATGCGAGCCGGATTTTGTTTTGATGAGGAGTATTTACTATAGCAAAGGATACTGTTGTCATTACCACTTAATGTTAGCTGAGGTTTTATTTTATGAGAGCCGTTTATAGAATATGTTCTACTTCTTCCATTGTCAGAATTTGTTTGGTCATTGTTATTGTTGCTTTTGCTTCTAATCCTATCTAATTCATTGCCATTCTTTAGATTTTCATTTATCATGTTACTTGCTCTTTCCCCTACTTTAATATGATCATTTAAATTACCCTCATTATTACTTTCCCAAAGATCAAGGGTTTCCATTAACTTCATGCAGGATATGTCATATATAAAAATTTGGTCATTATCTAAAAGAACACAAATCCTCTTTCTATTCATCACAACATCAACGATCAAACTAGGAAATGCAATTTCACAAATTAAAGATCGTTTCTTAATATTCACAATTTTCAGTTTCTTCCCGGTGTTAATACCTTGCCCTTTATCGACCACCGCCAGCAAACTTGTGGAAAATAGCATTTCGGCAATCACTTGCGACTCTATAGAAGAAGAACCAGCTTCCAAACTATCATAGCCTATACCATTATCATTGCTATCACCATTAACATTACTAATGTTAAACTCAAAGCATTTCCCAAATGGATCACAGTTATATACAGTCAATTCATTGGCACCTGAATTTACCACGCAGCAACTAGCATCCTGATTGAACCTTAGCACTTTCATCACTGTACATGTAACCGTCTTATTAACTAGATCCTTTGCAACCTGATTTAATATCAGGCACAAAAAAGAATAGGGTAATCTTGCGATGAGGTGTGCATATAGTGCTATAATACCTTTTATTTTTAGTTTATGGGCTTCGCTTTGCCCAAGGGACAAAGGGGAGCGCTTTTGAGAATCGTCAGTATGGCGTTCTCAGTGATATAAAGTCACACTAATGTTGGTATTGTTCTTAACAATAATGGTTTATAAATAATTGAAGCATAGTGAGCTTGTACTATTTAATGGTATATAAGTGTCTTGTTTTATCAGGTATAAATTGTGAGAAGCGCTAGCAGAATATTTATATTCCATCCTATTGCTGATATATAACTGAATTTTTAGGGGTTCAAAGAAAAAATAGAAATGTTAATATTCTAATGATACTTTAGTGCTCTTCTTTGGAGCAGCTATAGTATTTGACATATCAGTTTCATTTGGGTTATTCTGTTTTTCAGGCTTGTCATCTTCGACATCATCAACAGGTATACCCCATTCTTCTATCTCGAATTTCTTTCTACCGTTCTTGAACGCTAGTTCCGATTTCATAACATGCATTTCACCGCGCTCACTAAATACAGGTAGTTTCATGATATGCAGCAAGCCCTGTTGGATTTTTCCTGGCTGTGTTTTGTATATCCTTTCTAAGAATTGCATCATATCTTGACCAAATGGTTCCAAATTCAGGACAGAGTCGAAAAAATTCTCAAGTTGTGCTAGTAGGAATGAATCAATAATATCTGTAGAGATTGTACCCATTAAAACACACCTACTGCTGTACTTCTTTAATATACCTCTTAGCCCATGCATTAAGAGTAATACTTCTGAGGATAAAAACATCCTAGGAGGATACGTCGCAGGGTGTAATAGTGATGGTATCACAATTCTTATCAGCTTATTTGAATGTTGCTGGATTGTCCTATCCAGTTTATTAATAATAGATGCTACTGGTTCAGTAGGGTTTATAAAAGTCAGTTCATTGGAGGTTGGTGCAGGTAGTAATCTAGAGGTGATGTCAAATTGGTGGTTATAGTTAGGATATTCAGAAGACAAACTATCTCCGGCTTCAGCATTTTTAACACCCCTCTGCTCGTCCACAAACTTGTACTTCCAGGCTATTTTCAAGTCCTTATATCTTGATGGAGTACTTTTCTCCTCATTTAAGTTTTGAACTGATAACTTCTTTTGTTCTTCTGAAATCTTGGACTTCTTTATGTCTTTCTTCGAACCCTTGTATACTCCAGGCAGTTCCTTACCTAGACTTTGACTTGCACTCAGTATGATCAGGTGTGTATTACCATTCTTTTCCTTATTGTCCTCCACTCTGTTGTGTATAATACCCTGCGAACACATCAGTTTCACCAAGACGCTGTTAAATTCGGTAAAATTGCGCTCTTCTATCAGTAAAGAAGTACCTAGTGGTAACCCCATGTGCCCTAGAACCTTATCCAAGTCAAAGCATCCGGTAGATGTAGCGGGTTGGGAACTTGCTGGAGATGGTCTAATACCAGGATGATTCACACCGAAGGCAGAAATGGGTTCTTTATTAGGTCCTGAAGCTGCAGTTCTGCCGTCAGCCAGAGGCCTACCACTAATATTGGCTCTCACTCCTCCTCTCAAATTCAACTGTTCCATACGCCCACTTAACCTATTCACACCAGCATCTCCTGGTGTACTAGGTGTACCTCCAGGTGTTCTGCCAGGAACAAGAGGCGCTCTATTTGGCAACCTCCCACCGGCTAGCACTTCACCTCTTTTCCTAAATGACATCTCGTCGCTTTACGTTCTTTCCTAAAACAATGGTCTGTAATATAATATGAAATGTTGTGTTTTATATATTCAGGAAACAACTATTAATAAGCTTTGACTAGAAGCTCATCACTAAGGGCATCGGGCTCATCGATTATCCATATTTTTTTGCAAAATTTGAAAAACTGGCACCCTTTTCTCAGACAAACACGCAGAGCAGTTCTTGAAGAACAATAAACATATGTCAATAATAACAGAACACAAATAATTGAAACTTATAGAAGATTTGTGTTGAATAAGGAAAGTATGTATCACATAGATAGAAGGCATTGGTGGTGAAGGAAAATGTTTTGTTCTGTGGGTCGTATCCCATTCCAGCGATGCCGATTGCATGCCCGGTCGTTAAGTATCAGCCCGTTGACTAAAAAGGAGAAAAGACGCATAGGCTATGGTTCATTGGCGGTTTTGAGCTTTCTAGTCCCTTACACTGCCTATGCTGTGTTTGTGACTGTGTCTGCCTATTCGGAAATTGACACCAGGCTGGACTTAAGCGAAGTGGTTGAGAAGAAAGATGGGTTAAACTACCAAGGCACTCTTATCAAGTATTCGCCCTTGCAAGTCCTAGGCAGGTATGAGAATCCATTTGCTGAATATAGAATTCAAACTATATATGAATTTTTCATCAACAGAGTTGTCGAATTGTTTCAAAGAAATCGTGGAGGTATACCAGCAGAAAGAGCTCACATGAATCAATTGATGCCAGTGCATAAACCTACATGGTCGGAGGACAAGATCAAAATAGAAGATGAACAATTAATAAAATATCAATTACTCACAGAACATGATGATCTAAAAACTATGAATGTAAATGTAGACTCGAAGGACGATAATATTCCAGTTTACAGCACATGGTTAGGCCAGTCCTGTAATTTTGTGAGCTATAACGGATTGAAGGTATTAACAGACCCTTTATTCTCAGATTATTTAATACATAAAAAACTTGGGCCTAAACGGATCACTGATATGCCTGCAAATATTGAAGACGTACCAAAACCAGATATCATAATGGTATCACACAATCACCCTGATCATTTAGACCAAGAAAGCATTGAGCATTGGAAAAACTCAGAGACTTTGTGGATTGTACCCAAAGGTTTGAAGTCCTATATGGATAAGAATAAAATTAAAAACTACATTGAGCTGTCTTGGTGGGAAACGTGCGAGTTAGAGAAAGACAACGAGATTTACCACATTTCATGCACGCCAGCAATGCATTGGTCTGGTAGATCAGTCCTGGACACCAATCAATCATTGTGGTGCTCTTTTTTGCTAAGTCACAACAAAAAACCGATTTTATTCCATGCTGGTGATACTGGCTATGTCAAAGATTTATATGTCAGAATAAAAGATAGATTTGGTGCCGGATGTAAATTAGCACTGTTACCTTGTGGTCAATACTGTCCTGAATGGCATCAAAAGCCTCGACATATTAATCCAAGGGAAGTCATCAAAATCATGAAAGATATGGAAGCTAACCAGGTTCTTGGTGTTCACTGGGGTACTTTTGTTCTTAGTGGTGAATACTTCCTGGAACCAAAAGAGAGGCTGGAGATGCTTGCAGAATTTGATGGAATACGGGACAAATGTTATTGCCCAGAATTGGGTAAAACAATCAAAATCGAATAGCCTGATCTCACCTTCAATTGTAATTCTTTAGGTTAAAATATATCTATGCATTGTAAATATTTCCTCTTAAATTCATTCATGATCGTATTGATATCACTTAAATGTCCTCTCAAACAACAGTAACGCTCACTCTTAGTTTTCATACTTAAAAGAAGGTATAAAACATTATGATTACAGTGCTGAAATTATTTACAGTTCATATATTTACATGATGTCTAGTAGTTTATACTTATTCTGAATTCCTTGACAAATATTCAATCTTATAATCTCTTAAGATATCTTCTGCTATTGTGCTTGGGCTCTGAACTACTAAATCTGAGCCTGTGATACTTTTCGGGAAAGGAATCACATCTCTAATACTGTCCGTTCCGCACAACATGGCACACATCCTATCATAACCAATTGCAAAACCTGCATGTGGTGGTGTTCCCGTTTCGAACGCTGACAATAAATGACCAAATAAAATTTGATAGTTGCTAATTTTCAAGACATTTTCGAACATAAATTTCTGTAACTCAGGATCATGAATTCTTGTAGATCCACCACCCAATTCGATTCCATTCATAACTAGATCATAATGCTGACCTAGACAATCTATCGGATTGGTGGTAAGCTTGTCGTAATCTTGTAATTGTACCATCGTGAATGGATGATGAGTAGAGATAACAGTTCTATCTTCATAAATTGGATACATCTCTTTATGTTTGGTATTTTTTATTTCAGTTTCTTTTGGTGAAAGCAGAGGGAAGTCTACTACCCAGACAGCTACATCTTTATTAGTTTCCCTAACAATATCTTTAGTTTCATTATTTTGCAGTATTAGCTGCCTTGCTCTCCCTAGAGGTGTTGGGTTTTCAAAAATTCGGGTATCAATCTCTCTGTTTGAGCCAACAACAATATCACCCACTTCTAATCTAATCGCTTTATTCAACATATGAGTGTTTTCAAAGCTTGCAATTCTCATAAATTTTTCATACCAATTTTTTGTTTCTAAATCTGTACTAATTGGGACGACTATAGGCTTTCTATAATTGTAGTTATCATCATTCGATAAAAAGGACCATTTCTTCTTGTAGTCATTCTTATCGGTGAATGCTTTCTTTATAATCATTATCTCAAATATTGGGAACGCAGGGTTAATATTACTATAAGCTCCTAATTCTTTCATATTTAGAATTCTTAGAGAGGGAGCCCTAAGGTCTGGTTTGTCAATACCATAGTTCGTCATTGCCTCTTTGTAAGTCATTCTGTATAAATTACTAGCATCCGTTGGAGTTAGCGAGTGGTTCCTATCGAGAGTTAAAAGCCCTGTGGATTCTTTAGTTCTAAATTTCTTCCAAACAGATGTGATGCATTTCTCAATTACAGACATAACATCCTTTTGGGAGGCAAATGACATTTCCATATCTAATTGTGTAAACTCTGGTTGTCTATCGGCCCTTAAATCTTCATCTCTATAGCAACGGGCAAATTGGAAATATTTCGGTACTCCACTAGCCATAAGTAGTTGTTTGTATTGTTGTGGGCTCTGTGTTAATGCATAAAACATTGGTACAATTTTATCAACTTGTTTGATTTTTGCACTTACTCTCGTTGGTACCATAAATTCTCGAGCACCTTCTGGTGTAGCTTTGAAAAGTGTTGGTGTTTCGATTTCAGTGAAACCGTCCTGATCAAGAATTTGCCTTAGCGTCTTGGAAACTTCATATCTGGTCCTTAAATAATTTTGATATCTAGCAGTTCTCAGTTGTATATACCTAAATTCAGGTGGCACCAGTTCGGGAGAAGTGTCCCTTAACTCTTTGAGCTCTGAAGGTTTCTTGTTAGCAGCGTTCAAAGTCTTGACATGATCTACCACCACTTCAAACTTCTTATTATCTAGATTTGAGCTTCCAGTTTCACGTTTTAATTGAACTTTACCTCTTACTTGTACAACATCCTCAACTTTACATTTCCTTAATAGAGAGTTGGTATCCACAAGTTGCACTCGATCGCCATTTGAGTCTCTCAGCTGACCAAAAATCAAACTTTTCGATATCCTCTTCGGTTTCGAGTCAATCCATCCATTAAGCACAATATCCGCGCCAGTGACCAGCTCACGCACCCTAAGATTACTAGTCTCAAACTCAAATTTATCCCTGATGAGCTCCTTCGCTGGCAATTGATACCATCTCCGTAAAAGCTTGCTATTAACTCCTTTCGCAAACATAATTCGAACCCACAACCCTACGGTATATTACAGAAATACACCGCTTGAAACATATAATGACTAAAATGTAAATAATTGAGCCTTGTAGCTACTAGAGAATAGGTTTAACATCAATATGACTCGCACAGGCTCAGGTGTACCTCCATAAGCAAAAGTGAATCCCTTATGGATAATCCATATCACGTGTTTTTTCAAGGCTTCATCGCTTGGTCTTCGCTGGAAAATTTTGATTTTGGCCCGCAAATAGAGCAGATCAATTCTATTCCAATAGTAATAATCGTAGGTATGAGAAGATGCTAGCCCATGGAAGTGGTTTTCTTTTATAGTTGTATAGATTTGTTTTGGTGTTGGCTATAGATAAAGCAACTCAATTGATCTTCTTCTAATAATTTCTGGTTAACAGTTTGTGAATTTACACAATAATCTAATTTACTGACTAGAAATCTACCAAAAACTTAGTTTAATATATCAAATAATTCTGAATTGAAAACCTGTACCATTTAATAGCCGCAACGGAATTCCTTATTAGTACCTTTTATTAATAAGTCAACTTACCCCTAATAAGAACAAGAATAATAGACAAAAGACTAACAACTTTTAATATTTTCAAATCATTACAGTGAGGAATAGCATAAATCCGATTTCTCTATTGAATAAACACAAAAAGTCAACTATAGAAATACACTTCACTAGAACAAATACAAAATAATGTCATATTCTAATATGGATTCCTTAGCATACAACCTGCGCTCCCTTGATGTCAACACTGTTCAGAATAGTACTGATGGTATAAATTTGACGGGCTTCAATCCTCATGATCCTGGCCATAAGACTGGTAATACGGCTGCTGATAATGGTAATGCTAGTATTGGTACACCTGCAACTCCATCCACACCTGGAAATTATCCTTTGGGCATGCAAGGACCCAATCCTAACCAATACCAGATGCAATTCCAGCCTTTGCAGCAACTGAACAGGACCTCGTCATTAATTGAAAATATGGGTGTCCAGAGAGCTTCATCTCCATTTTTAGCTAGATCACAGTCCAATTTATCTGTGTTTCAAAACAGTACTCCGGTGAATAGCTCTGTTGGGAATAATATATTGTCTCCATCAGGTGATGTACCTTCCATGAATCCGAATATGAACATGAACATGAACATGAACATGAACATGAACATGCACATGAATTCTGCAACACCTACCAATGCACAGGCTTTAGAGAAGGATTGGTTTCAACAACAGTATCCTCAACGTTCTCAGTTGCAAAGACCAAATGTTCTTCCACAGCAATCAAACCTGTACTCGCCATTGTCTCAGCAGCATACTCCGGTCGCTTTTAATAATTCTGCACAGATTCAGCAACCAAATATGGCAATTGGCTCGCAATCCTCAATTGGCAATCATATGGGAATGGCCCCACCGCCACCACCCCACTTTGTGATTACTGAGTCCCAGTGGAAATATATCGATCCATCCGGTCAATTACAAGGACCATTCCGCTCTTCAGAAATGACAACCTGGTATCACTTAGGTTACTTAGCCTCTACCTTGGAGATAGCAAGGGTACCAACTTCACCAGAACCGTTGGATATCAATGACAAATTCATCAAGATTTCAGATTTGATCGAAAAGGTTCACAATGCCCAGGAACCATTCCAGACATTTGATTTCATTGTTGCACAATCATCTAATATATCAAAACCGCCTGGATTAGCAACGAACGCCAATTTTTTGAACACTATCAATCCAGATCCAGCACTGAATGTTGGCCAACAACTAAATGTTAGTCAAAATATTCGGCAACAACAACAACAGCAACAAGTTCCAACACAGCCCTTGGTTCCTCTACCTCAAACAATTAAAGTTAAGAAACAAGCTGTTGATGCAATTGATAGAATAGAAAGTCCTGATTATAATTTTGAAGAACTTTTAAATTTGAGGTCTACTGAAAAGGATAATGAGTATTACTATAGAGAGACTACTATCCGTGTACCTGTAAATAGGCATTTGATTAAAAAGCTGGATCCAAACGAAAACGTAAACACCACTCAGTACAACGTCTTTCCTCCAATTACCTATGACCTCGGTATTTTGGAACAGCTAAAGCTGCAAGGTGAATATGATGCAGCACAGAAAAAGCAGCATGCTGAAAAACAAGAAAATAAACCAATGGTTGAGGAAGATATGAAGTCTAATACAACTACTGAAAAGGTGAAGTCCAAGGATGTGTCTAAGCCAGCAGATAGCGATACAAAAATTGTCTCGAATACTTCTGAAGACAATGCTGATCAAATTGACAAGCATAAGCTAGAAGAAAAGCGTAGAATTGAAAAAGCTAATGAGATGGCTAGAAAATTGCTAGAAGAGCAAGAAAAAGAAAATGAAAGCAAAAAGAGGAAGGAGCAAAAGCAATCTAAGAAACAAAAGAAAAAAGCAGAACAAAAATTAGTACCTACTACAGAAACTGAAACCATTAGTGACAATAAGAATGAAGAACTTATTGAAGTTCCTAATAGACAGAACGAAGAAAATAACCAAAGTGAACCACAGATCACTACCAAACCCGCACCCTGGGCTAACAAAAATACAGCTGTTCAAGTTGATAGTATTCCTACTATTGAAGAGCTACAGAAACTAAAACAATCTAAGAAGAAAGCATCTAGTAAAGATCCAGATGTACGTAACAAATTGTTGCAATTGCATGAGGAGATTATGCAGGAAGAAAGATCAAAGGAGAAAATGACATCGGTGCTGAAGTGGGCAGATAAATCCTCAAACTCCCAACCATCTTCCAGTATTGACCTTAAAGAACAAGTTAAGAATAGTAAGAAAAACAGGAACTCGCCGGCGCCAATTGCAAATAAGTTGCCTACTTTAGGTAGTGGTTTGGAAGAATTAAAAAATCCAACTTTTATTGAGGAACAAAAACAAATATGGGAACAAATACAGAAGGCACCACAAAAAGGTAAAAAAACTGATATAACATCTAGCTTATTGTCCAGCAATAGTTCAACACGTTCCGCAACTAGTACCGGATCTAACCCATGGAAAACAGTTGCCAGTCAATCATCACAGGCGGTAAACACCTCTGCCGGTACGCCACCTGTGAAGCCTGTAGTCTCAAAGGCTAATTCGACATCTACGAGCTCTGTAAACAGCCTTAACAGAGGCAAGCAAATTGGCTCATCCACAGTAAACCCAATTATGAAGGCAAGACAGCCAGTTAATCTCTATCCAGGAAATTCTTCCATTTCAGCTAGACAAGAGTTCATTAAATGGTGTAAAACTCAACTAAAATTAAAGCAGGGTGTAAACGCTAAGGATGTTCTAGAGGTTCTGTTGAGTCTTCCAGCCGGATTAGAAGCTAAAGAAATTATTGCGGATACGATATACTCCTACAGTGCTACCATGGATGGAAGAAGGTTTGCCACTGAGTTTATTAGCAAAAGACTTGAGTGTGAGAGCCAAATTAAGGATCCACTAAACTGGAGCGAAGTGTTGGCTCTGCCTGAAGGTAGTAGTGACGACTGGGAATTCCAGGTTGTAACTAAAAAGAAAACACGGAAATATTAATAAATTATTCCACTGCTATGATTACTCATAGGACATACTATTCTCTTTTTAATCTAGACTTATCTCCATCAAAGGAAGGTATAATTAATCATAATAATTTTAGCATCTGAAAAGAAATGGAAAACATTATTGTTTTTCGATGAAGTCAGGTATGTCTATATAATCAAGTATTTTTCCGATATAATTCTTAGTTAAGGATTACTATGCATTGTTTAAGGAATATAGATAAATAGTTAATATTGCGGAATATGTAAAATTAATGCGAAGTTTGTGGCTGAATTTTATTCTTTTTCAGTTTTCTTTGTCTTTCAAATTCAGCAAACGCCTTAATGTAAACCGGTATATCATCCCAGCCATCGTTCTCCTCTACTGGGGTATGTATCTTTTTCGCCAAGTTCCTTTGCTTTGCTTGCTGAACAGACTTCGGTAGAGGATTTGTTCTCTTTGGAAATAAATTAGCAACAGTCTGGTGTTGTTTGGCTAAGTCTTCTTCCAATTTCATTTTCTTTCCGTGAAGCGTGGGTGGGAGATTCTTCATTTCCAGCTTATCCAAAGGAGGATCCCAGTTGCTGGGCCATACTTCGGTAGAATCCCTAATCTTCAATGCAGCTTCGTTCCTTTTCTGCTTCCAGTATCTAACATCATCATTATATAGCTCCCAGACACAGTTGACACAACCTGACATGCAACAATTATCAGGCTGACCAGGCTTTTCAGGAACTTCAACACCAGCTATCAATTTTGAACCTCCAGTTAATATTCTGCTGGTCGATTTTGGTGGTTCTCCCTTCAATCTGCCCCCAAATATCCTTTGCATACGTTCTTCGGGAGTAGCTGCTATACCCCGTGTATTGCCTTCAAATGTCATAGAAATCTTTCGACAACTCGAAAACCTCCTCATAGTCATATTTGCTCTCATAGTAGCTCTCATAGTTATCATCATATTATAACGTTTATCAAAGCTTCGTTACCCATCTAGTAGTTGTGTAATAGTAGTTAAAAATATAAAGATGACCTGTTTTTTCTGTAATAAATTTCGAGAAATCTTGATATAAAAAAAAATAACTATTACTCTTTCCTCGAAATATAAAACATTATATATTATTACGCTAAGGATCAGCCCGATAAATTTGTAGATGTATTGAAGAACTAGACGAAATGACTGGCTTTACACAGAAGACATCTGAAGGCTTCCATTTCTCCTGGTCATCTTGCAGATGAAGAGCCCTCATGTGATAGATAATGGGTATCACACGACAAGAAATTATGTAATTGCAATGGTCATCGTTCTGGACTTATTGCTACAAAATATGTAATTTCGACTCATGCTTATTGAAACTCCTTTGAACCCAGTCGCTCATTGCATTTGCTGATCATATAGTCCAGTTCTTCAAGCTCTCTGTGAATTTTGTTCTTTGTATTGTAAGGCTCGAATAGATCTCGCAGTTTTTGAGCCAATGATACACAATTCTCGTAATCACGCTGGTAATAAAGTTTGTGACATATCCCACTTACTGTTTGTCTATTATGTTTTATTGATAGGTCATGGAAGAGAGATTCTTCGCTAAATATTTTGTCTTGATCGACTATATATTCATCGAGCCATCCTATTTCTGTAACTTGTGGGCCTCGTTCATCTTCAAAGTAGAGCTTCAACTGGTGCCGATATTCCTCTTCAGTTTGACCCTTCCGTATTTTGCTCTTACCGGTAGATGTACGCACCACAACTTCACCTGTGTTATCATCAAGTGATACAGGTTTAGTTATTGCTTGATCTTTGACACCATTTAATCGGGTAAATTCCTCAGTTAATTGAACAACTTGCATTTTGGTTAGATTATATTGTTAAAGATCCAGATCTTTATTTGAATTCGCACTGATATGTGTCGTTTTGATTAACCGAGTTTGCTTCTTATAATGGCTAAATATGTCTTCTTATTTAGTTCATAATCTCGAATTTTTTCGAATTTTTCTGTCTATAAATCGATGAGCCGATGACTGGTCCGATCGTCCGACATTTACATATATGGTTACAGTTACGATTTAGTGAGTCAAATATTCGCTATAAATATTTAAATTATATATTATAAATGTTAACTTCTATGTTAGTATATTTTCTTAACAGTTACTGACCCCCCGAGGCAAAATGATCAAACCAGTATAGCTGATCAGCCAACGCCTTGTTCATAGCAAACTTGACAACTGGGTTGGAAACATCACCCCTAGATGCAAATCCATGTTCAACACCGCTAAAGAGATCAATTTCATATCTAGCACCAATTTCCTTCAATTTGGCTTCCGTCATGTGTCTCATCTCCTCTGGAAAAATGGCATCCTCCTCGGCGGCCGAAATCAGCAATGGTTTCCCGATGGCCGCAACATCCTCAATAGTCACTAGTGATGGGTGGGCTATGGCGCAAGCGTCGACAATACCTGAAGCTGAATCAATTTGCTTAATGGCGAACTTAGCTCCGTAGCAATAGCCAATAATACCAACAAACTTGGGGTTCACGTGTTTTCTTAGGTCAGATAAGTATTTTGTCACTAAATTGTGCGCCCTGTCAACAGGATGAGATGCCATCCAAGCAGGTATATCCAGTGGGACATTGAGATCTAGTGCGGGGTTATTAAATAAAATATCAGGAACGTACACCTGGTAGCCACTTTCTGCGATTTGATCTGCGGTTAAAAGTACATTGTTTAGTCTATTACCATAAACATCGGTCATGATGACAACTACTTTATCACTGGGATTTTCCAATCCAACAACATAGCTATCAACACCAAAAATATCCTTATGCAGACCTTTGGTTTCACCTTTTCTGTAGAATCCTTTAAAGCAGCATTGACCAAGCATTTTTGAAGCCATTTCGATATATTATTTGGTTTGTGTTATCTGAGTTAAAATGGTTAATGAATGCACAAATTAGAACAAAAGAGAGAAATTATACCCTTTATATAGATTTTACAATGAGAAAAGTATTGTTTTAAAATTTGTAATATAGACATCAATTTAGCTAGCGGAGCCATTTGGTAAAGTATTTCACACATACGTTGGGTACATTATGTATCCGTTGCTATGAAATGCTGAAGCTGCGTTGAAAAAAATACTCAAGGGTAATAATGAAGCTGTATTACCTATTAACAACGATATCTAATATTATTATTATAGACTGAAACTAAAATTGATGGTTAGCAAAATTGTCTCGTGCTGAAAGTGATGGTTAGTAAAAAAATCTTATGGTGAAATTGATGGTTAGTAAGAAGTTATTAAATAGATAATTATTAAGAGAATATTCTATTGATGGTTAGTGGAAGAATCATATACTCGAATTAATAGTTAGTGAATAATTTTATTGGCAATTGAAAGTTATAAACAGAATCATCTAGTAGCTGTTGAACTGTAAACAGATACAGAAAAAGAATACGATTGTCTATAGATTACCTGGTTGTTTAATTATTTAGTTATCTAATTTTATGTTTAATGAGTTATTTCTTAGTGTAATGTTAGTGTGAACTTGAATGTTAGATTTTCACGTGAATGAGAACTGAGAAATCACCTGTTGTATTTAGACATGGAACGCAGTGAAGGACCATATTTGTATAAGACGAATGGAATGACCCATAAGCCGATAGTGAAAAATCCAACTAACGAAGAACCCCATGCTACAGGATAATTCTTAGTGCCCAGATTATTGTACATCGCTTGTCCAAAAAGAGGGAATGCGGCAGCAAAACTAGATCTTGCAAACCCATTACCTGCAAAGACTGAAGCAACATACTTTGGATAGCAAATTGCTAAATATGAGAAACTAGCTTGGAAGATATTGAAGCATCCCAAAACGAAGAAAACCTCAGAGATGATAGGTAAAATCCAGTGCACTTTCGCAGTCCAGCCAAACATAAACAGTGCAAGTGGAATACACCAACCAATGCACATAGCTAAAATCAATGTGGTTTCAGGAGTAAACGTATTATTTGCGAATCTCTTAGCTGCGACTTTGATGCTGAACACCAAAAGGATGATGTATGCAAAAATACAGCCAACACAGAATCCGAAGTAGGCCAGACCTTGTTCTACTAATGTAAAGTGGTAGATACCACCAAAAACAATTGGGAAGGCCTCAAAGAACAGGTAGAATGCGCCGTAACATAGTGCAATATAAAGATCAAAAGCTAGGACAATTGGTTCAGTGATCATCATTGAGAATGGTCTATAAAGGGTTTCAATTAGGAACTGCTTTTTTGGCAATTGTGCTTCTTCTCTTTCTTTCTCTGTATAATAGCGGTTGTCACCAGTCAGCTTTCTAATTCTTGCCGCCTTTCTATGTAGAACAGTATCGGAAGAGGTTTCTGGGAAAAAGAAAGTTAGAAGTAGCATAGTGGCACAACAGCAAAAAAATAATAACCAGAAAATCCACCTCCAATCTTTGGCCACCACCATGGAAGCACCGAGTAATGGTGCAAGTACTGGTGCAGCAACAGCACCGATGGACCACAGGCCAAGCACAAGAGCTAAATAATTTTGAGAAACGATATCACCCAATGTAGCACCACCAGTAGAGAGCGCTGGTGAACATAGAACACCTGTAATAAATCTCAGAATCACAAGGCCAGCAAAGTTTGGGGCAAGTGCACAGCCAATTTGTAGCATCGTGAATAAGAAAAAAGTAATCATATACACAGGTAGTCTTCCAATACTAGATATTTCAGTTAGTGGGGAGAAGACAATGGGGCCAAGACCATAACCAAGAACGTATAAGGAAAGGTTTAGCGTGCCAACAACGTGTCCTACATGAAATTCATTTTGAATCTCCAGCTGGCCTGGAGTATAAATTGACGATCCCATGTAATTTACACATGTAAGCAGCATAGTTTGTATAATTATTAGGGCTTTTTTATTAGTTGACCAGTTGTAAGGCATTAGCGGATCATCTTCGCCATTAAAAGTAACCAAGAATGGGTCTTTTTTTGTGTCTGCCTCCTTGTCTGAATTTTTATGAATATTAATCTCGCAATTTTGTTTTTCTAAATCTTCAACACTCTTTTCCTGGGAGTTTTCTTCTGACCCGCTATTAAATGACATGTTCGAAGACTCTGAGCTAGCCGACAATGAAGCATCACCGCTTAAATTAAGCTGGTTTACATGCTCTTCACCAATGGTGACGATATTAAGCACCTCAAGTAAATCGACAAACAAAGTATCTTTAAAATTATGAAGATAATTCATCTTTGCAATTGGGTTGTAATATGGATTTGGTTTTAGAATTGGTTTTATTTTTCTCTCTTCACAATTGCAAATACTGAATTCAAGAAATTCAAGATATAGTATTCTCAAGTTATACTGCTCCCTTATATATACGCCAGTTCGATATATCAGAAGTGGTTAAAATATTTGTAAGGGATAATAAATTTCTTTAATATTCTATATTGCCTTGTATGTTTCAAGACAATTGACATTAGCTAAGGTAACTATCCCGCACAAATCCCATATTAAATATGAGAAAAAATAAAAAAAAAAAAAAAAAAAAAATTCATCATCAAATCAATTGGGACCATATCTTGACTTTGCAGGGGAGTTAACTTCAGCTTCAATTACTAAAACTGCGCAGATGGATCTGTGTTGGTACAGAACAGACATCGGAACGATCCTTGTGTTCACCCTCTCTTAATTGCGCAAGAAGTGTGTAAGCGGAGTTACGATCTCGCTGATGACTTTTGATTTCAATTAAGGACTTCTGGAGGATTGCTAAGTAAAAGTCCTTTATTAGCACATTGGCAAACCAAAGTGTACAGGCTTTGTGTGGTTTGGTTAAGTCCTTTCTTCATTGAGTGGCCACGTCGGCCGACTATTACTTCAGCTTACAAATATGTGGGATAATGGCAAAAAATAAGCGGATCTTTACTCGGCCGATGGATTCTGATTTCTTTTTTTTCTTCCACAAGCCAATATCTCTGTGTTGAGACCTTTGAGTGGGTGTCGGCCGATACTTCATATTATTCCTAAAGTGTATTATACAGTAGATGGCAATACGTCGGCCGAATGTTTATGCCATTGAAAGCGACTACCCGAACTGATTATTCTGTGAAGACAATAGGGTATGGCTAATCCGACTCTGTTCGTCAATAGTTCTACTACCAGCTAGTTATCAATGTATTGGCTAATTCCGACACAGATTTTAACGTACTACATGAAATCAGATCTAAAGATCAGATTGTGAACTTGTTTCACACTGGGAGTGCGTGCAAGGTGGGGAGGCCTCTGAAATTGAGAGCTTTTCTTTCACCCGACAGTGACATGTCAGCACAAATCTTGAAGTTCTACCTCTCAAGATTTCTTTTTTCTTTTTGATTTCCCTTCACTGGAGTTCTATAGACAACAGATTCACAGCTACGCAGTTCCTTAGTGCTCTTATTTCTTTTTATGCCTTAGCTTACGAATATACGTACAAGTCAAGGTCTATCATTTTTTTCACTGTTCTGACTTTCTTTTTTCGGAATTTCTTTCTGCTCTTTCATCCGATGCAGAGACTGAGGGGCACTTTCACACATTTGACATCCTGGTAACTTAGCATGCAAGGATGCCCCCCCGACCACCATCACATCACCATGGGCTCAATGGTATATTGTTTCATAGCAATAGGTTCATGGGTTGACTATCTTCTGTGGTTGCCAGTGTTCACAATGTAGTATTGTGGCTTTTACTCACCAAGATAAGGGAAACCAATTCAAAAGTCTCTCGTAATTTGTATTTAGTCATTAATCGATTATTCTGGGGTTGGTGGTAGCACTGAATTCCACGGAAGCAGATGCAATGCACATCTTGTCCATATTGTTTTAGTTTGTGTGAAAGTTATCATTTGTAATCTTCTTATCAAACAGAAGGATAGTGATCCACTAGTCAATTGGCATGTTACCACATGCTACCCTTAAAAATTGCCATCTCTTAAAAAAATCCTTATCTTGTCAAAACGTGTATTTATCATGTTGACAAAAATTCTGAAGGGTGTTCTTTGAATGAAATTAATGTGAAGTATTTGAAATTCGTGCAATTCGTCCCTTCCTGAGCAGCTGTATTTCGAAGAAACCGCCATTAATTGACTACTTAAAATCAGAGGTGAATTAACAAAATATTGAATTGAGATTAAATTAAATTAAGTGAAGGAAAATATTATGTGTCTATATTAAATGAAGAGCTAGCGCAACTTATGGAAGTGCGGGGAAAATTAATGTACAATGCTCAAAATAATCCTGATAAGGTTGCCTAAGATGGGGCTATCAGGATAAGAAAAGTTATTTTTTTCAATAACCTGCGTAGGAATATGCTGCTGGGCAAAAAAGAAAAATTTAAAACACCATTAAAGTTTATTTTGTTGGAGGGCAAGTGCAGTTCTATAATAACTATCACCTGGCCAACTTTTATGATAAGGAAGATAAATGTTCTATTATTAAGAATTGCACCTTGATAAATGAAAATAATTTGTTCGGGGTAAGCACAATTGGAGGCTCTATCTTTTTTCTCTTCTTCATGAATCTGGACTAAATCTTGATCTTGCTCTAAGTGCGGGGCCGTATTTGTAAAGTACAAATGGAATCAGTGATAGCACCACAGTGATGAATCCAATTAAAGTGGAACCCCAAGCTACGGGATACTTTTTTGTGCTCAATCTATCGTACATTGCTTTACCGAATAATGGGAATGCCGCTGCAAATGCACCACGACACAAACCATTACCTGCAAAAACCGATGCAACGTATTCTGGATAACACACGGCCAAGTACGAAAATGTAGCCTGGAAAAGGTTAAATACCGAAAGCACAAAGAATAATTCGGCAATAATTGGAAGAATCCAATGGATTCTAGCAGTCCAACCAAAAAAGAATAAGGAAAATGGTAGGCACCATCCCAAACACATAGCTAGGATTAAAAATAATTCTGGTCTGAATTTACCCTCTAAGAATTTCTTTCGGATGACTTTCTCTTGGAAGATAATCAATGCTGTGTATGCGAAAACACAACCCACACAGAAGCCCAAAAATGCTAGACCCACCTCTACCAAGGTGAAATGGTAAATACCCGCGAACACAATGGGGAAAGCTTCAAAAAATAGGTAAAATGCACCATAACACAATGCGATGTAAACGTCAAAAGCAAGAATAATAGGCTCTAGTGCAATCATTTTGATAGGTCTCCAAAGTGTATTCTTGATAAAAACACTCACTGGTAGTGCTTCCTCTTGCTTCTCTTTTTTAGTATAGTATCTATCATCACCAGTCAGTTTTCTTAATCTTTTGGCTCTGCGGTGTAATATACACTCATGCGATGTTTCTGGAAAGAAGAAAATGATGGAGAGTAGAGTTGCCCCGCACATGAACAACATTAGCCAGAAAATCCATCTCCAATCTTTAGCCACCACCATTGCAGCACCTAGGATTGGGGCCATAACGGGAGCGGCAACGGCACCAACGGCCCATGCACCTAGAAATCTTGGGACATATCTTGGGAAGCACACATCACCAACAGATGCACCACCTGTTGCCAGAACAGGTGAACACAGAATGCCTGTAATAAATCTCAGTATAACCAAACCTGCGATATTTCTAACCAAGGCGCATGCAACTTGTAAGATAGTGAAAAGTATAAATGTCCATAAGTACAAGGGCATTCTACCGATACTGCTAACTTCTGATAAAGGTGAAAATATAATTGGGCCAATTGCGTAACCCAGAACGTACATGGACAAATTTAATGTACCGACGACATGACCGACGTGAAATTCATGTTGTATTTGTTCTTGTCCTGGTGTGTAAATGGAGGAACCCATATAGTTGATACATGTTAGCACCATCAATTGCACTATAACGAAAGTCTTTTTCGAAAAGGACCAATTCCAAGGTTTTCTGGGATCATCTTCACCTAGGAACTCCACCAAAAATGGGTCAGCTTCCTCCGGTTTGCTAGCATCCTTTGTGGAACTATCGTCTTCTTCAGTACCAAAGACACCTTGGCCACCGCTCATCGCTTTATCAAGACCATTATCTGTATCCATGGCTCTTTCGATGTCCTCATTACTGGCATCGGTCTCTTGCTGAGTAGAAGTAGACATGCTATCAGTACTGGTCTGGTTATCTTGTTTCATCTCCTCTTTCCCGCTGATAGACGCAGCCACCGCATTGGGCGCTACTGGTACACCATTGGGCCTGTAGATATCTAAATATTCCTTCCCAACGGTTACCCACCCGAAGTATTCGAGCATATCGACGAACAGTGTGTCCTGAAATGCACCGATATACATTGTAAAATAGTTAATAATTTGTTGTGTAGTTTTGTTACCTTTATGAATATGATTCTATTAAATGCTACATTTTTTGTTGGGGGTCGCTAAAGATACAAGTTAGTGTTCCTATTTATATAATCGAATAAGTGCTAGTAGCTTAATTGACAACAATCAATGGCAATATTAAACCGGGGAAGGGTGATGTCCGTTATTATTTCCGCCGTGCTTCCTCCATTTCCGAAAGGAATTTTCTCCCATGAGAGACAACGCCATGATTTCCCGGGAGTACCTCTTAAGTCAAGTTTGTTCAATGAGTTCAGAGCTGGGTCTGTTTGCCCATTAGGTATTTGAGTTTGTATATGAGGGCACCCTGCCTGTGCTCAAGTCCAGGGGGATCGACGAAAGTTCCTAATTCCCACAGTGAAAATCTCGCTGCGCGCCATTCTTCTTCCGTATTATCTAATCTATGATCGTTGATGAACTGTTTATTCTGTACTGCGTACGTTGCTGTCAAGTACGACCTTTGTCCCGGGTTCGTGGTCAAGGTCAAGGTCGAGTAGCTCTGGAAGTACAGAGAAAGAGCAGGAGAAAGTTTCGTTTCTCCCTCCTCCCTTTCCCCTGGCAGTTAACAGACACGCAAGATTTATCAAGAAGGTGATTGCCATGTTGCGAGATTTATGGATCTAATGTCGCCAGCATCAAATGTCCCAGAAAGTGAAGCATCTCGCTGCGGTGTATATGCTGAGTTCACACTCTGTACCTCTTGTACCTCTTGTACCCCTGTAACTCTGTGTGGATATACCATGGATATGGTGTATATGGATATTGCATGGATATTCTATTCAGAACGGGAACAGGGAAAACACGGAAAACATGAGCATTCTGGGAGAGATAGCTCCCGTACGATTGTTCTGGGTCCCCTTGTCCCAGGAACTTCTGGTACGGGTTTGTACCTATCTTATTCCCGTCCCTCCATATGCAACGGAGTTCTTACTCCCTGCAGCTGTCCACTGCTTCCACTGCTTCCACTGCTTCCCACTCTCTCTCCCCTCTCACTACAGACAAAACCGTGCACGCAGAGATTGAAAAGCAAAACAAAAAAGCGGACGAGACAACGGCTATTATTCCCATTGATCCCGTTGGGAAAAGGTAAAGCGTTTCGCCCGGCAGAGCAGTGATGTCATACGTATTCCTAGCCGTGCGGCCTTTGCGTGGAACTTCAAAATCCTGCTTTGTGTCTTTTCTGCTTCCACGGTCTTCTCTCTCTGCGTTGCATTTCCTCACCCTAGCAATCGTATTACCCGGAACAAAAGAAATGGGTTGTTTGTGCTGTGTGTTGTGTGCAGAGAAGTAAAAAAAACTAATGAGAGATAAGGGATTCGAACCCTTGCATCCGAAGATATCAGAGAATTTAAGCTTTAAGTGTTTCAACTCACCTAAATCTGACGCCTTAAACCACTCGGCCAACCTCCCAGTGTTTCTGTGTGAGAACTTTGGTTGTGTAGAATGCAGTTGTTGAATATCAAATTTTCTTACAGACAAAAAATAATCAACTTTGACAATTCGAATAAAGTAACAATGTATAGCCTGAGAGCGTAAGAATTTCAAACAAAATCAACATATACATTTAACTTATTTTTAAAAGCTTATATTCTCTATATTCTAATATCTTTTTTTTTTTACTGGGAGTTGTGTTAGGTTTGTACCTATACTTTCCATAAAGGTGGCAAAGGGGGTTAGGTCTCACGAAAAAATCGGCAAAGCTGCTACTATTTCAAAGCAAGTGGGCACTTTACAAAGTTTATAAAGGATCGAATGGCCTGTATCTTAGGTGTAAATTTCGGTCATTGACAAGCACAGCCAGATAGGAAATGACTTCAATTGGTACAGGGTACGATTTATCTAATAGTGTGTTCTCTCCCGACGGGAGGAACTTCCAGGTTGAATACGCCAACAAGGCGGTCGAGAATGGGGCTACCTCAATAGGTATCAAGTTCAATGACGGTGTGGTGTTCGCTGTGGAAAAGATTATCACTTCAAAACTTCTGGTGCCTAACAAGAACTTGAAGATTCAGACAGTAGACAAGCACATTGGTGTGGTATACTCGGGATTGATCCCAGACGGTCGTCATTTGGTGAACAGGGCCCGTGAGGAGTCTCAAAATTTCAGGAAGATGTATGGGTCAGCTATCCCAGTGGATGCATTCGCAGAACGTGTCGGACAGTACGTCCAGGCTCACACCCTGTTCAACAGTGTGAGACCCTTCGGTGTCACAGCCATTTTCGGCGGTTGCGACAAGAACGGCCCCCACTTGTACATGCTAGAACCAAGCGGTACTTACTGGGGATATAACGGTGCCGCCACTGGTAAAGGTAGGCAGACAGCCAAGGCCGAGCTGGAAAAACTTCTGGATAAGACTCCGGAGATGTCTGCAAAGGAGGCTGCCAAACACGCTGCACGTATAATCTACATGGCCCACGAGGACAACAAGGAAAAAGATTTTGAACTGGAGCTAAGTTGGTGTTCAGTATCGGAAACTAACGGTGTACATAAACTGGTACCAAAGGACATACTGAACGAGGCAATTGAGTACGCCAAGAACGAAGTAAACGGCGACGACGACGACAGTGATAGCGACAGTGACAGTGACAACGACAACGACAACGAGAAGAAAGACAAGGACAGTGATGACGAAGACGTGGATACAAAGAAAGATGCTGATGGTGATATCCAACTAGAATAAGCGCTATCCCTCACAATTCCCTCCAATTGAAGAGTTTTTCAATGCATATAATATATATTATATATCTATTTTCCAAATACACGCAACAAATGTAAATTGTAAGCAGAAAAAAAATTAGAAACAAGTAGCAAAATAATCTGTGCAATACCCAAGTGCTGTGCAGATTTGCAGACTGCAAAGGCATGCAATTGTATAACGTATTACTTTGAGAACTGCCTCTCTGCTATAATCAAAACGTGACACGTGACTCTTTTATATATACTTTGCATTAAAGCCGAAAGTGAGCCATCACATATATTTTGGTCACGTGCGGTATCTTTCCCTTGGTACTTCTGCGCAGCTGAACCTTCTGAAAGTCCCCTCTGCAACTTTTTCATCAATTTTTTTTTCATTAATCGCAGTACAAGCTAAGTTTGGCAAAGGAAGGTCAATACTCGAATAAATGAGTAATTAACTTTACAAGTTTAGCTATTGATAAGAGGTATGCTAAAGAAATACACAACAACTCACTTGTACAAATTAACATACTCAAACGATGGATCAACTTAATGCCAAGGAACAACAAGAATTTCAAAAGCTTGTGGAGCAAAAGCAGATGAAGGATTTCATGAGACTTTACTCTGGTCTAGTTGAAAGATGTTTCACTGATTGTGTTAACGATTTCACATCTTCAAAGTTGACCAGCAAGGAAGAATCCTGTATTCTAAAGTGCTCGGAGAAGTTCTTAAAGCACAGTGAGAGAGTTGGTCAACGTTTCCAAGAACAAAACGCTGCTTTGGGTCAAGGTCTGGGCCGTTAAGAATATGCTATATGATATTATTGAGCTTGAATATATCGGAATCTAATTTTATCGGATTGTCTAGTTTAGCACAATGATGATCTATGTTTATTCTCGCCATGCATATATATACCCATCCTTTTCATTCCTTGATATTGCGCTGAGAAAAAAAATATCGTCTGGGAAAATAACAATATCCTCCATGTACATAGTAGTTTTACAGGTAATTTAATTATTATTTTAAATATAAAATATTAGTAATTGAAATATAACAATTGAAATAAGCTATATTCTATGCTAGTTCTTCTTTTTCGGTATGCGAATCAAAATCATATAATTAGGAGATAGGTATCATTTGACTCTTTGAAACGAATTAATAATATCCAATTTTGGTATTTATATACTTATTAAACCTAGATAGGATATTTGTTATTATACAGCATTACTATGGCTCTTTTGTGTTAAGTGAATAAATAAAAAGCAATAGTTATTTTGGAAATGAACGTTTATGAACTTGAGCAAGTTCTGTAGTTTATAATGAAGGGAAGTAGTAAAATTGAATGAAAAACATTGTGGAAAATCATACAGGTAAAATTGTTTTGATTGATGAAAGGGTAAAAAACAGTAATAAACATCATGCATATTGAGTATCACTCTCTCACTATTGGGCCATGCCATGGAGAGAAATGAAAACTCTAAAAAATAAAAAATAAATTGATTTCTGAATGGTCTTAGAAAAGAGACTGATGAACTTTTCGTAATGTAATAGCAATAAAGACAAATAGCATGAAAAATCTGGTAGTTACGATATTAAATGACGTTCAGAGTTTTTCATCCTGTTTTTCACACTTTTCTGCTACCACTGTTGCTATTTTGGGTGTTATTCGACTTTAAAAATTCGTATCTACCTAACAATGGGATATGGTCACTTGGGAACTTGTCATTAGGGAAACCAATAAAGTTGGATACATATTCGCTGTCTACTTCACCCAATAGGCCACGTACTCTCAATGCCTGAGAAGAGAACCATATATAGTCGATAACGTCAGTGAAAGAAGGAGTGAAATTGGTGAATGCCAGTTCACCAATACAGTTATAACTTGATTTCAAAGCTAAGTTATGAGAGAAGTTATCTTCCGAGAAGTAACCGAAATCTCTGTCCTTACCATCATGGTGATGTTGTACACGGCCAGTGCTGAAAAGTTCATACACGGAGGAAGATAAGTAGGAGTTCAAATCACCACAAATAACCAGTGGATATTTCTTTACATCTTGTTTTGGATTTTGTTCCTTCAACAGGGTTTCCATGTGATCCAATAAAACACCGACTTGGAATGTTTTGACATCATTGAATTTTGGATCCCAGTGTAAATGAGTAGTGACTAGCCACATTATTTCTCCAGATTGGATGTGTTGTAATTTCATGACAATTGCAACGTTATCTTTGTTCATAGCACGGTTTAGATAGTCCTCCGTTCTTTGGAACTTCTTATGTTTCATCCATAGACCACTGAAATCCACACATTCCTTAAATAACATCTTAAACTTTGAAGTTTTATAAAAAGCACAGCAACCATCAACCTTCTTCGAATCCTTTGATTGCATAGTCTTGGCTCTCGTTTTCGCATGGAATAAACCAGTATAACCATGCTTCTCTAGCAAGGGTTGCCAGAAATCCTCAAATGTCTTGGCTTCAACTTCTTGTAGACAAATTATATCGGTATTAAAATTTAAAATTTGTTCCTTAAGCTTCTCCCTCCTGTAATCCCAACTTAAAGCCCAAGATGGTGTATAACGATACATTTTGGGAGTCGCATAATGTTGGCACAATGTATTGTAAGATAGCATTGTAAAACTTTTCTTTTGCATATCGCTAGATAGGTTCCTTTCTGCTTCCTGTACAGTATCGTATTCCTTTTCTGGCTCACCGTCAGCATTAATCTCAATAAACTTACGGTCATGTGGATATGGAACCTCTGGTCTATTATCTCTCAAGTAAAAGATCAACCCTGTAAATGATTTCTCAGTCAAAATCTTCAGCAATTCTTTGTCAAGCGGATTACCTTCACAGCCCAAGAATTGAATGTTGCAAAGGTTTCCTAATTCCCAAGGTAGTGTTGTAATTTGGTTATCAAAGAAATATAAGTATTTCAATTGATAGCAGTTACCAATTTCCTTAGGCAGTTCCTTCAATTTATTATGAGATAGATCTAAAACTCTCAAGTTCTTTAGGTTTCTAATTGAAGATGGGATGGATTCAAGGCCATTACCATTCAGATACAATCTAGTTAAAAAATCATATTTCATCAAATTTGGGCTGATGTTAAAAATCTGTAGATTGGAAAGATCGATAGCATGCCATATTTGATCGTTGTACTTAGTGTCTTTTGGAGCCACCATGCGATTTTCGACTTCGTCATCCTCATCAATGCTATATTGAGACAATTTCTTATGCTGTAGTAGTAAGGAAGGAGTTGAAGGTTGTTCACGAGAATTATTCATGTCTATCTTAGATGTTGTTGGCGTAGAAATAGTGGAGTTTGTTGTTGTTGAAGCTGTATTTGGGGCGGACATGCCTTTGAGTTTGGAGTCATCTGGAGCCATAATATCCATTAGTGCCTGTTTGGTACAATCCACCAAAGACTTGGATGTCTCAGCAATCTGGGATTGTGCCTGAGCCTGCTGTTGTGTTTGATTTTGTGGTGGAACCTGTGTCGCTAGATATTTTTTCATGGCGTTTTGTCTAGCATATATATTGGGCTGTCCAACTGATTGTGCGGAAACAGTAGCTAATTGCAGTTGTAATTTCCAAATTGGATTGTTCATAAGTGAGGGGTCTTCTAGGTGAGGATGGTACATAGGATTGTTTGCATTAGCGTTAGGTTGAATTGGTGGGGCAGCCAATTGACCTGGGGTGTTTCCGAAAGTTGAAATTCCTGGCATTCCGGAATTCATATTGCCTCCTGCCAATGAGCTACCGCCAAGATTTCCAATGATGTTGTTATTTCTTAACACATTGGCGTTGCCCATTGGTATATTGTTATTGCCACCAGTATTATTATTGTTCATTCCAACATTGCCATTGTGGGCACTACCATTCCCCATTGGCATCCCACCCATTGGTAACTGCATTTGAGCCGCAAGACTGTCCTGCTGTTGTTGAGGAATTCCCATGTTGTTGGGGTTCTTATTGATTAACTGGTCCAGTAATTGGTGAGAGTTATTATTTGGGATTCCAGACACTGGGTTACCACTCATCAAGCCATGATTAATCATGTTCTCATTTCCAGTATTCGAACCTGCTCCACCCATCATCATCCCAGGTGGTGGCAAATTTGTATTCATCATATTCATCATGGTATGGGGTTGCATTGATATAGGTTGTTGTTGTGGTTGTTGGGCTTGCTGTGGCTGCGGCTGTTGTTGTCCCATTCCAGGGTACCCCATCATTGATATGTCATTCATTACTTATAATCTCAAATTCTTTTGCAGTTCCTCTTTCAATTTTGAATCTGGTTCGGTTCTTTTCGTATTTAAATGTGCTCAATTGATATATTTTCAGATATTCTATGTTTGACTTTATACTCTGTTCGTTTCACGATGTGAATTTGATAGCATAAAGAGTCAGAGTCAATTTCCTAACAAATTTAAAGTATCCAAACCTAAAACTTTATATTTTCTCTTTATTTTTCTTTTTTGCTTGTGAAAACAAAAACTAATGAAAAGAAAACGAATTCAAATTCAATTGCAATATATTTGAAGTTGTAAATATATTCCTTGAGACAGTAAACTCCTAGTTGAGGGGAATTGGCAACTATTTTGTTTCCCTTTATTTGAATTTTTGTTTCAACTGTTGATTAAAGATAGAAATTGGCAAAAATACCTGAAAGCCTTTAAGTTCCTATTTTGATTATATTTACTCTAGTTTATTGGCAAATGATGGCGTACTGCGAATATTGAAGGCAACCGTTATAAGAATCAACCTTTGTACTATTCAATTTTTCTATTTTTTTTATCATGCAGGAGGAAAAAGTAACAGATGGAAGGATTCGGATGAAAATTGAAAGCTAAAATTCTCATTTATCACTACTTACTCCCCCTTGGTCAATGGAGGCCTTCATGGTCAACAAATGAACTCACTTCTCACTAACAATCGCCTCAATCATCTCTAATCGTAGATGACATGGTCTTGTCCAGCCGGCAGCTTTTTAGATTCATCATCTTCCGGCCTTTCATATATCAATGAAACATATCATTTGGAAGTAAAATCACACAACTAAAGTTACTGGGTTCTTAAATTCACATATTAAAGTTGTACTTTAAATCTCTAAAATATGTGAATTGTGTAGATGAGGTGGTTTGCAATCGATATTCACTAATACGTGAATAGTCATGTGGTGTAAAATAAAACACTCGTGCAACGGTTCATGTGGGCATTCGTCTATATACAATGTGCTTTCCGCATACCGGGCATATTGGTTTCTGTCTTATTAGTAAACTTTAGTTTATTCGTCGCTTGGACACTGATCATCTCTTTCTTATACATGTATATATATGATATGGTGATACTGATTATTACCTGATGCTATAAGACATATTTCCCATCGTGATTTGTTATTCTTATTCTAAAAGTAGTACAGTATTGGTTCACATTAGGATAAGGAAGCGGTTATTCTTTATTTTGCAAATACGTAGATTTGGAATATTTAGCTATAGTTTTTTTATGTTACAGAATTGCTAATGTGTCATTGCTTACAATCCATGTAGTTGCACAACCTCCATAGACCATTGGTCTTGAAATGGCTTTTGCAACTGGATTTAAGGGACTTGTGACATTATGTTTGTCGTTTACCCATTGCTTTTCTTCATGGTCTTGCACTGAACCACAGTTACCGTGTTCACCCCAACCCCAACAACTCAATTGATACAGTTCGTGGTCGTTATGGTCTCTGTCCTTTGATACCAGTATGCCGTGTTCACTGCCAGTAGTGAAATTAGCAATACATTCACTAGGTGATAGCTGGCTTTGGTCGAATACTTGGCCATGAATATTGTTCCCATAGGAGTGTATCTTATTCGGATCCGATTTATCTCTAATGTGAATAGAACTCCACATACTTTTAACCTCAAGTTCTTTAGCAAACTTCCATCGTGTTTCAAAATCTTTAGTAAAATCTTCTGGGGTTTTACCATTGACATGAATGATCTTACCTTGTGGGGTCATGAGCAGGTTGAAATCTTTGCCCATCACTACGTTAGCCACTCTGATTTCAAAGGTTTCATACATTACTATGGGACTAGCCAGTCTTCTACTCTTGGGTTCGTTTATTTGGCATTTAGTATTGTTTCCCCATGCATAGACAATGCTACCATTGTCTTCTTTTTTGTCCAGTACCAATATGCAGTTTTGAAAAGATGAATAAACTCGGTAACCTGCATACTTAGAGCAGTCCATTACCAATTCAAAGTTGGATTTATTCTCTAGATTACTACTACCAAGCCCTAGTTCACCTTTTAAACCAGAACCCCTGCTATAAACTTTCCCATCGGCTGTAACGATAGTAGTGGAGTCCCAGCAACAGGTAACATCTATGACATTATACCCTGAACAAATCTCCTTCCACCCGATAATCTGTTTGGCTTGATCATCGGAGCAAAGTTGGCCTAGGGAGTTATCACCACATCCCAAGACTCTGCCAGTGGAGAGTAATATCACTGTATGGTTACCACCACAGCTTATCTTCGTTACATCTATATCAGTCGGCAAGTCCAACGACTTTATCGGTATCATCGTGTCTTCATCATGATCGAGGCCTAAGTTGGTAGTTACCGTTAGAACCAAACCCGTAGACCAACATATCTTAACTGCAGTTTCTGTACTACTTCTAATAACAACTGAAAAATGGCCTTTCTATGAAGGTAGGTTGGTACAGCCTGTTTGTAATGTGCATCTGTTCAAAACTACAAGTTTGTGATATATAAAACTTTTTATATAACTTTAATCTATGTATATTGATCTCCCAGACACCCTTTACAATGAAGAATGTGAAGGTTACGGCTACAGCTACGGCTACAGCTACAGCACTCTGAAGTCCCCCTAGGTGATACTGACAGTTGTGCTCATCGCCTTACTTCACGGGTCAACTTAAGTCCATCTCTCTTGTCAAAGTTTACTGAAATTCGTTACGTGAAAGCTGAAAAAAAAAGGCAAACTTTTGTTTCTGTGAAAAAAAAAATTAGCAAACAATAGTTTTCGTGATTTATTCAGTATATTGTAACAATAGCTTGATTCAATACTGATTTAGAAACCACTCATTTCTTGAGAATATTGTCACTTAGCTACAATAGCATATCCAAACAAATAGGATAGATTTCAAAGTCCCTTAGCTCTCCAATACTGGCAAGGTTACAAGAAATAACTTCGTGTATATAAGGCATCAACCATTTAAAACGTGATTAGTTGGAGTAAGCAGTTATTGACTTTGACAGTGGGGTTATTTCAATAAGTAGGAACGATTGGAAGTTGCTCAGAGTCAAATACGGCAGCTTATCGTAAATATTCGATTTTTAACTAAGCGGTTGCTAAGTTCAACAAGATAAGATTTATAGTGGTATAAACGTTATGTCCGGAAACGAAGGCACTGAGGGCCAGCCGGGCAACAATCTATCTCCTGTTCAGTACAAAACTGTATCTTCTTCTCCATTGAAACCCGAAGCGAGTACTCAGGATGCACAGAAATTACGCGAACAGTTTGTTTTCAAGCCCAATAATAATCTCTCTAGCGCCATCACGAGTACAGGTCAAACAGCGTCATCTGCCACAAGTGGTACCGCAGCTCCTGTAAATCCAAATGCATTTGAATCGTTGGTGGCTGAATTTCCAGACTTTTCGCAGACGCTAGTGCAAGCAGTCTACAAATCTAACTCTTTTGATTTGTCTCTTGCTAGAGAAAGGCTTACAAGAATTCGGAACCAGAGAAAGAACTGGGTCAGCTCAAAGAATTTAAACTCAAATGTTGCTCGTGGAAGCAGGGCTGCTAGTACTGGTACGGGGAGATTAAGTGGCATTAATAATACATCTGACTCTTCAAAAATTGTGTTGGAAAAACAGAAGAAATCTATCTTCGATAGATATTCGAGCGCTGTAAATAGTAATGCACAGAACAGTGGAATCAACTCTGAGCTGTTTGAAAAAATGCAACGTAACGGAAGTCATAAGAAGAGAAAGCTTGTCAGAGGCGATAAATTGGCTGGTGATGAGAGTTATGTAGATAGCTCAAATTCTCAGTTAGCTAAAGCAAAGCAACAGCTACTGAAAAGTCGTAATAAAAAGTTCAATCTTTCTGATGATGAAGAGGAAGTAGGCAATGATAATGGAGACTTTTCAGACGCTAGTGGAGATGAATACGAGGAGCATACTCCTGTGGCTAATATTGATGATCAGATCTTGGAATTTTTGAATAACTCTGAAATAGATGATATTATGGATTTGGGTGAAGTTTCTTATGAAAGAGCTAAAATAATTCAATCCGCAAGACCCTTCACTTCCTTGTATTCGTTTTCTCAACAAGAATTTTTGACAGAAGAAGAGAAGGAAAAGCAGGCTAAACTTCTAGCTCAGCCTAAGAAGAGGGGTAGAAGAGGAGCTGCCCAAAGAAAGGAAGGTGAGAAAGTTCTAGATAGAGTTTCACAAGCTATGAGAGGTTATAATGCCATTGAATCTGTCATCAAGACATGTTCACAATATGGTAAACTAGTCTCCTCTCAAATAAAAAAATGGGGTGTCAAAGTAGACGCGGAAAATGGTGATGATGGAGAGCTTGATTTTATTAATGTTGGTTCTGAAACTGAAGGTGACGCCATTGTTGAGGATTTTAGCTCGTCCGCTCAAACTCCAGCACCCGAAATGTCAGATAGCGAAGGCTCAGAAGAAATTAAGCTTGAAGATGTCAATAAGAAACTCGAGAGCACTACTGATAATAATAACAAGGACGATGGAGCCACACTTGAAACTGCTTCAGAACCTAAGCTTGACACTATGGAAGAGAAGGATAAAACCACTGACACTTCTGTTGAAAAAACTGAAGAAAATACGGCTAATGTCAAGGTAGAAGACACAGACAAAGCAAATGACGATCCAGATAGCGATTTTCAGGCTGATGAAGAAATGGAATTTATTGATGAGGATGAGGAAGATGAGGAATACGATGAAGAACTTCCGGTAACAAGAAGGACTAGGAATACTGGCGGGAATTTCAGAAAGGAAGTTGTGAAAAAGAATAGTGTTGTTAAATTTTTCAGAGGGAGACCAAAACTTCTAAACCCTGATGTTTCATTGAAAGACTATCAACAGACTGGTATCAACTGGCTAAACTTATTATATCACAATCAAATTTCTTGTATATTGGCTGATGATATGGGTCTGGGAAAGACATGTCAAGTCATATCTTTCCTAGCTTATTTGAAACAAATCGGTCAGCCAAGTCCGCATTTGATTGTGGTTCCTTCTTCGACGTTAGAAAACTGGTTGAGAGAATTCCAAAAATTTTGTCCTTCATTAAAAATTGAGCCATATTACGGTACTCAACAAGAAAGAGCTGATCTTCGAGAGATATTAGAGCGTAATGATGGGAAATATGATGTTATTGTCACAACATATAACCTTGCTGCAGGTAACAAGTACGATGTATCATTTTTGAAGACCAGAAATTTCAATGTAGTTGTATATGATGAAGGCCATATGTTAAAGAACTCAATGTCTGAGAGATTTAATAAGCTGATGAGAATTCATGCTAATTTCAGGCTGCTTCTAACGGGTACACCATTGCAAAATAACTTAAAGGAGCTAATGTCTTTGTTAGAGTTTATTATGCCGAATCTTTTTGTATCCAAAAAGGAGTCCTTAGCTGCAGTTTTCAAACAAAGGGCGAAGACATCAGATGATAACAAGGGACACAACCCTCTGTTGGCTCAACAAGCAATCACCAGAGCGAAGACCATGATGAAACCATTTATTTTACGTAGAAGGAAGGATCAAGTGTTGAAGCACTTGCCTGCAAAGCATGTCCGTACCAGTTACTGTGCAATGAATGACACTCAGAGGGAGATATACAACCGTGAAGTGAAGCTTGTAATGGAGCACAAGCAAATGATCAGGGATGGCACATTACCTGAAGACAAGAAAGAGCGTAGTAAGATTGAGAACAACAGCTCAAAGAATTTGATCATGTCTCTAAGAAAAGCATCTATTCATCCATTATTGTTCCGTCACATCTATGATGACGCGAAGATAGACAAGATGTGTGATGCGATTTTGGATGAGCCAGCTTACGCGGAGAATGGTAATAAGGAGTATATCAGGGAGGATATGAGTTTTATGACTGATTTTGAGTTGCACAGGCTATGTTGCAACTTCCCTAACACACTAGGTGATTATCAGCTGAAAAACGATGAATGGATGAATAGTGGTAAAGTGGATGCTCTAAAGAAGTTGCTAGATGATATCATCAACAAGAAACGTGAGAAAGTGTTGATCTTCACACTGTTCACGCAGGTGTTAGATATCCTGGAGAAAGTATTGAGCACCTTGAACTATAAATTTCTGAGACTCGATGGGTCCACCCAGGTGAACGACAGACAAACGATGATCGACAAGTTCTACGACGATAACACCATCCCCATCTTCATGCTATCTACCAGAGCAGGTGGGTTTGGTATCAATCTGGTGTGTGCGAACCATGTGATCATCTTCGACCAAAGTTTCAACCCACACGACGATAGACAGGCGGCCGACAGAGCGCACCGTGTGGGCCAGACCAAGGAAGTCACAGTGACCACGCTGATTACCAAGGACAGCATAGAGGAGAAGATCTTCCAGCTGGCGAAGACCAAGCTGGCGCTGGACAGTCAAGTCAGCAGCAGCGAGGACCAAAGCGATCTGATAGACAACAAGGTCAGCGATCTCCTGGAAGACATCATATACACAGAAGCTCAAAAGAAGTAAGTGTCTCCTCCCCCCCATCCCAACGCCTCCATCATTAATGTTAGCAATATATAGGACAAAAATGTAACACTATCAAGAAATACAATAGTTATCTTTATCCCCCCCTCCCCCGCGTTTATTTGGGACTTCCCTCCCCACGGCAGAGAAGCATAGAAGGGAACTGATTTACGTTCTCTGCAACGAAAGCGATCTCGCAAGGCTGAGAGAAAGCGGAACGCCCCGGAGGGTGTGGCTCTTGGAAGTTCTCGATTCCCGATTCCTCTAAAACTTCCCTGCGCCATTTTCTGTAGAAAAAGTCTAAATAGCCCATTTTTCTTCTTTGCCCCTCCCTCTCAAAAAGCAAGACTCGCGTTCTTACGCAATGAGATCTGCACTATGTGTACTACAAGACGAGGTAGATCACCAAGTGTCATTATCGCTGCAGTGGGCACATTATGAAACTAGCACCTACGCTCAAAATACACTGTCAATACCAATACCATGACTACAACATACACCTTAGCGCCAGACCAACAGCAATACCACCCTGCTTGCATAGGCCCATGCTACCACTACAATAACGCATACAACCTTATAGTCTCACGTGCACAGTGATTAGTACACTGAAACTCCAACTTTCTCCTCCCCGTCTCTCTCCTCCCCGTCTCTCCACCTTCTTCTGAAGCCTTCCCCCCCCCCCCGTTCCTTGCATATGGTGCCTCCATACGGTCAACAGAAAGCTTCGAATTTCCTCTTTGGGAACTTTATCCCTGCTCTCCGCCCTGAGATAAGGGAGTCAAGTAGCCAGAGGAAACAACGCACAGACCAAGAACAAAGCACAAAGCACACAAAGCACAGAGCACACAAAGCAATGGAGCCGGGCTGTTCATCCCTGTGACAGCTAAATGGAAGGTACCGGTCCCACGCACTGCAGGAAAATGCAATTTTTTTTCTTCCGGAAGGGATTTCCAAGAAAAAATAACATAAAATAAAAGTGAAAATACAAAAAGCTTAACTTTCAACTGCAACTGCAACAACTACAACTACAACTACTGCAACTACTGCAACTACTGCAACTACTGCAACTACTGCAACTACAACAGACGCTAAAACTTCTGACCACTGCTACATATTGGGAAGTTTACAGGTTCTAGCGCTACATTTGCACCCCGAGAGACTCCAGGAAAGAGATCAGATAACTGGAGACAGACGAGAGTCCCTGGATATATAAGACGAGGATCCTTTTTCTTATATATCTTAAAGAGAACAGACACTAGGTGCTAGGCTTATTCAACCTTATACCTAACAGGTACATCTATCACAAATACACAACTGACAATGAAACAATGTCTAGCAAAGAGACCATTCCAATGCACCAGCGGTCTCAGAATGTCGCTGAACTATTAACTGTCCTCATGGACATCAACAAGATTAATGGCGGCGACTCTACCACCGCAGAGAAGATGAAAGTGCACGCAAAAAGCTTCGAAGCCGCACTGTTCGAGAAATCATCCTCCAAGGAGGAGTACCAAAAGACTATGAAATCGAAAATTGACGCAATGAGAAGCACAAGAGATAAACGCAAGAGAGAGTCCGTGGGTTCTGCCTCTATGATGGCAAACCTAGGGCAAGATGGTACCAATAACAACAACAACAACAACAACAACAACAACAACAACCTGAACATGGCCGCTAGCTTCATGGGTGGGGATATGTTCGGAAGAAATCAGTCACCTGCTCAGAACAGTAACGCGAACACTAACTTAAACACAAACGTTGGGCCCGGCGTAAACGGCCCTAATGGAAACGACGGCACCGCGAACCCCCAGATGTTCATGAACCAACAGGCGCAGGCAAGACAACAAGCTGCAGCCAGACAACTAAAAAACAGACAGATGGGAGGCTCATCTGCACAGCAACAGCAACTTACGCAACAGCAACAGCAGCTGCTAAATCAGATGCGTGTAGCACCAATTCCAAAAGAGCTACTCCAACGTATTCCAAACTTACCACCAGGTGTCACCACTTGGGAGCAAGTTACTGCCTTGGCTCAACAAAACAGACTATCAGCACAGGATATGAGCATTGCTAAAGATATCTATAAGATACATCAGCAGTATCTGATCAAAGCGAAGTTGCAACAGCAGCAGCAACGCCAACAGCAACAACGTCAACAGGGAAACCCTGACGTGAATAATAATATGGCCGGATCTAACAACAATAATAACAATAATCTGCCCATGGCTCAGCAGCAAATGCAACAGAGACAGCAGCAGCAGCAACAGTCACAGCAGCAACAGAACAGAAACCCTAACCAAAGACATAACGTGCTATCACAGATAAACCAAATGTTCACCGCAGATGAGCAAAGAGCTCTATTGCAAGAAGCTATGGAGGCTTGTAAAAACTTCCAGAAGACTCACTTCGGTGGTCAAATGTCTGATGCTAACAAGCAGGCTTTTATCAAGAAGTTCATAAATTCAAAGGCTTTGAAGAAACTAGAAGCTATGAGAATGGCTCAAGGTGGAAACAATAATGCTAATTTGAATAAAGGGCAAGCCGATATGCTACAGAGACAGCAAGCTAACATGCAAATGAACCAGCAACAACAAAGAGCAGCTCAGAACCAACGTAGAGGTCCAGTAATGAACGATGCTGTTAGTCAAGGGTATAACAACCAAATGAACTCTGCCGCTGATTCCACAATGAATAACTCTAACCAGCCAATGAATATTGGAAATAATGGTGTTAATATGATACCAAACCAATCTCAGCAGCAGCAGCAAACAAATAGACCAAAGGAGCAAACCCCACAGCAACCTCAGCAGCGTATACAGTCAAACAGATCTGTACCGATGCTTAACCCAACGCCTGAGGATGTAGAGGTTGTACGAAGGATATCTGCAGAAGCCGCCAAGACTCAACTAAGACTCACTGATTTAACTAACTCTTTAACTCCTCAAGAAAGAGATGAAATAAAGAAGAGACTTCAAAAGAATCAGCAGTTATTTGCCCAAGTTAGTAGTTATGCACCTCAAGTTTACCTCTTCACTAAGAGTGAAAGCTTTTTGAAGGAAGTTTTACAATTGAGGATCTTTATCAAAGAGATTCTAGAGAAGTGCTCCAAGGGAATCTATGTAGTCAAGCTTGATACTGTAGATAAATTGGTTATCAAATATCAGAAGTATTGGGAAAGCATGAAAATTCAGTTGTTGAGAAGACAGCAATTATTACAGCAGCAGCAACAACAACAACAACAAGGCATGGACCCTAACAGAGCTCAAAACTCTCAACAGCAACAGCAACAGAACCAGGCAAATATGCAACAGGCACGTAATAGAAAGCCAACTAAAAACCAAACCACTCCTGCTATTGCAGCTAGTGTTGCAATGAACATGAATGACAAGGGCGCTTCAATGTCACCCGCTTTACAAAAGGCTGGATCTGCTGTACCGAACTTTGCACAACAAATGTCACCTAACATGACACCAGGAACCATCCCTCCAACAAATGTGTTATCACCTCACTCTCAAAGCCATATACCAATGGTGTCTCCAACGATGGCAAAAGCAGCATCTGCTGCAGCCTTAAAGAATGACACTGCTAGTAGCAGTCGCCGTGGAAGCACAAAACCTAGAGGCAAGTCAACTGCACCGGTTACTGGTAAAAAGACATCTAATGCACCAACACCCCAAGTTGTTCCTGCTACCGTCCCAAGCACAACAAACTTGTCGGCTGCCGGTACACCAAATATCAGGAATAAATCAGCTACCCCATTAACTGCAGGCTTGTCACCAAAGTCCACGATTCGTTCCAATTCTAACACAGCATTAGCTTCTGCAAAAACTCCATCACCAATGACTGTATCCATTCCACAACCTGGGAATAGCTCGGTTTTCAAGAAAGAAGAGGAGTATTTGTCTAAGTTACAATTAAGAAAAGAAGAGATTCGATTCCGCCAAAAGCAGAGACTAGATATTCTAAGTAGTTCTCCGGTTGATTTATTTTTGACTACTGTTGCTGATTGTTTGGGTATTAATGATGAAGAAATTGAATTGATAAACAAAATACCAGAAACCACTGCTGACAACATTAATAATACAGGCAAGAAGAAATTAACTAAAGCTGCTCAAAAGCTAAGAGACAAGGAGATATTGAATGTGTCGATACAGGTTGGTGAAAAGGATAAACTTATCATGTCGAGCAAAGCACCTGATAAGGTTATGGACTACTCCATTAGTGCAATGTCGCTGGCGGCAGTTTTCAAAAACTTATCTAGTACAGGTAGCCTGAATAATATCGCACTTTCTGGCAGTAATGCAACTACTTCCAAGGACATCGGAAATATCTATTCACACACAGGTGGTGTGAAAAGAAAATTTGATGAAGTTGAGATTAGTCCAAATTCTAATGGATCTCCTTCTGCTTCGATAATGAGTGAATCAAAGAAAATTAAAATTGACTCACCTGAAGACATGTTTGTAACGCATTCTTCTGAAGCCGCCAAAGGCACTAACAATTCATCACTGATGGATTCAGGTAAAGAAGGCTCCTGCAAGAGTATGGCTGGTTCCGCAACTGAGGTCAATGACACTAGCATTTGGGATTGGAATTTCTGGACAAGTATAGAGTAAACTGTAAATGACAGGGATGACTTTTGGAATGACTTTTATTGCTTTTTCTGCTACTGTTGTTAGTGTGTTGGATCCCTGACCAGTTTGATAACCTATCTTAACAGATTAGCATATGCCTTTTGGTCATTGATTTGAACTGTTGGATAAAGTGAGAAATTATACCCGTGAGTGTCATGGTATTGGAGATTGACACCGTTTTCTGAATTCTTCTTCATTTTGTTTTATTATTATTATTATTATTATTGAGAGTCTAGCTTATAAGATGCTATACTCTCAGTGTATTATGTTTCACTATCTCTGGTACTTTATTTTTTTGCACAAAGTACTCTCCAACAGCTTCTTAGAATCTTGTATTTTTACTATATGTCGTTTATTTTTTTTTCGATTTTGGACTATTAATATTGTATACTGCTTACACCTCTTTTTTGACAACTCATTTTCCGGAGTTGTGTCGTTTTTAATTTCGTTTATTTTACTCTTCTCACAATTTTTTCATATTTTTTTTAATATTAACAATAATAATTCTATATCTATTATTTCCTTTGATACTTGTAGTTGTAACAGCTTTGTTATATATGGTTTAAAGCAAAAATTGCGAAATGGTATTTTATGGATCATATACATAAGAACGGTGGACATCACCTGTAAGTAGTAAGCTGATCGATACCTAGTAGTGTGGCGCCCAATATGTTGGTAGATAGTGAAATGCCTGCTAAGAATGGGAAGGAATCCAAAAAGCCTGCTGTGATTCCAAACATAGTATACTGGCCAGGGTGTTGATAAATTCTTTCGTATCTCTCTATATTGCTTAAGCCTTTCAATCTTAGCATCTTTGAAAAATATACTCTAGACAATGCTGGGGAAACAAGGAAATGGAAAGTGAATGGTCCAACAATTGGAATTGATGATATGATTAGTAAGAAAACTAAGATGATCAAGCCTGTTAGGTATTCTGATAGTTTTTTAGTTAGATGGAAATACCAAAAGTAAGGTGTAGATGGTGAGACTTGGTACTTAATCGGTGTGTGTCTGAACAAACTCTGGTATCCATTTGCATCAACGCAATTTTTCACCAACCCTTCATTCAAGTGCGATACTCTCAGAAACATCATAGTAAGCATATTTGTGTGTAGGATAGAGTGTATCCACGCGATTAGTATACCAAAGGGACCCAGCACGATAAATAGTGCCGTATATACTGGGGTGATAGTTGCCCAGTAGACCATTGTCACTATCGCGTAACTTACTAGATAAAGTGAGAACAGTGCAGTTGTCGAGGCCGCATAATCTCTGAAGTTTGAGTACAATTCATACATCCCTTTAAAAGGGTATACAAACATATTACCAGTGAACAGGTCATCAGCTATCACTGCCGACACTTGGGCCGACCGTGTGGCCAGTTTCACCAATTGTCTCTGGTATATGCTCGTAGCATCCTGGATAGTAGCCTTTTGAGCAATCTCCAGAGGTTTGAAGTGCTGGTCCCTGCTGAACTTGTAGTATACCCCACCTAACCCGGTCAATATCAAAGAACCCGCGAAACTCATTAGTGGATTATAGCTTTTTACAGTTCTTTTTTGACACACCGATGCCAGAGTGAAGAACAAACAACAAAACACCTATAAGAACCCAAAATAGTTAATTGTACTGATACTTAAAGTAATCAGGTACACAGTATCACATCGCCACAAAAATAATAGATTAATACTGTACTTCCCCCACAAAAGCCTTCTTATTTATGGACAAAATAGAGCGCACTCCAGTCACATGATATGCCTAGATACGTCAATAAACCAATAATCACATGATATATATCCGAAGTGATAAGCAGGCTGAGAGCTCTTCAAAAAATGGAAACGATACGCATGTTTCTCTGCGATGGCTACTTTCTCAAGACAGCCTCTCTTTCACAGAAGACGCAGTACAACACGTACAGCCTTCAATGGGCTTCACTTGCCCCTTCTTACTACCTGACTTCTGGTTCCCCCCTCCTCCCTCACCCCACACCCCCACACTGCTGGAAGTCACTGCAAAGTCTTTTTGAACAAGTAATCACATTAAAGTTGGGACGAACCCTTTTCTAGCAGTTTGGATGGGGGGGAGGCTGTCCCATGGCAACTAGGCAAGTCTGCACTACACTTGAGCCCCAGTCCCTGGGAAGATCCTTTCAAAGTTGGGAAAGGTGCTTTTATGTTTCAACGCCAGTTATACCTTGCCTCTACAAAATACATAAACACAACAGATAAGAAGCTATCTGATTAGTCAAGTCCTAGTCTCCCCCCCTTCCTGTGCAACTTTCAACTCCTAACTGAAAAAAAAAAAAAAAAAAAAAAAGAAAATAAGACACTATTAAGCAATAAAAAGTACAAGTTTATTGGCCATTTTGCTATAAACCGCTACTTAACACTATACCAGACAGACGGAACCCTCGAGAGGATTTCTACTAGACTAGGATAATAACAAGAAGTTATAGTGGCCATACCCTAAGGAATAAAGAAACTATAAAAGTCGAAAACTAAACATAGCTAGACATTACGAAAAGAGGGATATTGTTATTGGAAGTGCGTCAACACAGTGAATATATTTGAAGGGGAAAATAAAAGTACAGAAAACAAAGATATAGGCCCAAATGCCATATATTGGAGCATCTAACATTTCCCAAAACTCTTTTGTTAGTCTGAAGGAAAAGCATGCTATTCGGGATAAAGGATCTCCATCTGGTTCTGAGATCTCTTTGGTTCCGGATTCTCCCATAAAGGACGTGGCACCATCTAGGTTGAATAATGTTACCAATGCGTCTTCTTTGAGCAATAACTCTGATAGCGCACCTCGCAGCAATAATGGTGTAGGCACTGACAGCTCTAGTGTTCCTAAGACTAGACCAAGAGAACAATCGTTTAACGGGCCGCTCCCAGAGCATATCCTTAAGGATGACAAGAATTTTTTCGGTTTGGAAAGGCCGCCTAGACTTGCCAGAAATGTCTCGCTAGACTCGTCAGCCTCTACAATATCAGAAGTTGACGCTAAGGAGCTTTTCATGCTGCCGAATGAATCCACACATGCGTACTCTTATAACCCGCTGTCGCCGAACTCCCTAGCTGTACGTTTAAGCATATTGAAGAGATCTCTAGAGATTATTATAGGTAACCCTGAAATGTTGAGAGAACCAGAGTTGGATCTCCCAGAGGAACTAAAGGGCGAAAATGTGTCACAAAGGAGGAAAAGTTTAAATAACTTGTACAATCCACATTTTGAGTCCTTCTCAATGGACAGAAGTGTAATGAGAAAGGCCAATCAGAAGGCAATGCCACATACCGCGACATTGAATGCATTTGTAGCAAATAGCACCACTAACTTTGGTAACTTGGCTATTTCTGAGAAAAAGAAGGCTAATAATCAGCTATCAAAATCGTCATTTGGTAATATTAATGTGGGTAACATAGCAGGCATACATAGAGCAGCATCCATGGCATTTTTGCCTTCGTCATTTGGTAGATCAGATAGCCGCACAGACAGAAGTCTGGCTGATTTTAATAGGAAATTTGGGAGAAAGCCAAACCCACAAATTAATTTTAGAGAACCGTTCAAGAAAATACCAGAACAAGGGACATCTAGTATGGAAGAGTGTTCTTCTACAAAAACTCTAAGTGGTGATAATACTTCTAAAGATCTAGATCATAGCATTAGTGCAATCTCAGAAGAAGGCGATACAGTAGTTAATGAAATGGACTATTTCGTCGATGAGCAAAGAGCAAATCTCATGAGTTTGTTAGATCTTCTAAATGAGACTTTGGAGAAGAATACCTCTCCAAAAGCTTCTGATCTGCATATGATTTCTCTATTCAATTTGGATAAGTTATCTTTGAACAATGATGAATGTAACGGTAAATCTAGCTCTGAATCACAGAAGAGAACTGTCGCATTGAAGAAAACTCTATTAGATAGTTTGGCTGAGCCATTTTTTGAACATTATGGTGGTGCCGATGAAATACGGCATGATGACGGTGAACTGGTGAATGAACTAGAAGATATATCTGCTATGGCAGATGATTCAGTTTCATTAGGTGAATTCAGACCTCAGCAAGATTACGGAAGGATATTGAGAACTTTTACTTCAACTAAGAACTCCGCTCCGCAAGCAATTTTTACATGCTCACAGAACGATCCCTGGCAGTTTAGAGCAGCAAATGATTTAGCATGTCTTATATTTGGAATATCCAAAAATGCTTTAAGAGCTTTGACTCTATTAGATTTAATTCATACTGACAGCAGAAACTTTGTGGTTAATAAGCTCTCTTCTACTGAGGGACAAGAATTGGTCTTTACAGGTGAAATTATAGGAATTGTACAACCTGGTGGTGACAATACTAATCTAATATGGGCTTCATTTTGGGCGAAGAGAAAGAATGACATGTTGGTCTGTGTATTTGAGAAAGTTCCATGTGATTACGCCGATATAATGCTCAGCTTAGATGATTTCTCAGTGACATCTGTTTTAGATAGATGTGGTTTGCTAGAAGCTGCAAAAAAGAAAGAGCCAGAGAACAAACATCCTACGTTCCATTTGGGTCTCAATGAGGAGGATTCTGAGGAAGAGGATGACGAGTCATCAGACTCTAAGGTAGCTGAACCGGCTAAGAAAAGTGTTAAGTTTGCTGATGAAATTACAAATATCTCTATGATTAGTACTTCATTGGCACAAACTATTGAAGATGTATGCAATGGTAAACTTCATAACCTGGATGATGATCTGCTACCTTTACAGCTAAGAGTATCAAACAGAATCAACTTCACTAGATATTTCACACTGAATCATTTGTCTCATAGTATTCCATGTGCTGTATCAGCTACTATTCTAGAGAATGAGATGAAATTGAAAATTCACGGTATCCCATACCAAGCCGGTCTGTTTGTGGTTGACTCCCATAATTATCAAATGATTAGCTTTAATAAATCTATTGTTAAGAATATGTTTGGTTATCATTTCTCTGATATGGTTGGCAAACCAATAACTGATATTATACCATCCTTTTCAGAACTATTAAAATTCACATCTTTGAGATATCCAGCACTGACAGTCACAAATCACAGAAATAGAGGTTTGGTCTTGACTGAACACTTCTTCCGTAAGTTGCGTGCCGAAATGATGGGTCGCAAAGATGAGTTCTATACATCTATTGGTATTGATGCAGTCCATAGAGACGGTGGTATGATTAAGGTAGACTTCCAAGTTAGAGTTATGAGTTCTAACGTAATTTTGGTATGGATAACTCATTCGAGAGATGTATTTTTCAATGATTACACTACAACACCTTCTCAATTACATATGCTAAAAGAAAATGATCTAGCTGTTGTCAGCAGTGAAGGAAGTTCTACATGCTCTTCTAGTAAGTCATCCCCCCATATTTCTTCACGTCCTTTGCGTGAACTAACAAAACTATCGGATGTTGATAGAGATAATCAGCCAGAGAGATTTAAATCTTCATCCGTTTCCTCAAAGGATTCAACTTTGTTTGACAAAGATACTCATAAGGATGTGAGTATGGATGAGGTATTTGATGATTTGGAGATTGAGAAGGATATTGAAGACCCTGAATTGAAGAGAAAACTGGCTTTAACAAAGATTTATCACAAGGATAAATCACAGTTTGTTAAGGAAGAGAACTTCAAAGTGAACCAGAGCTTCATCATGAGTAAGATTTCTATTCAGCATAGTAGCGACTCTTTAGCCAACAACAGGTCAGCCACAACTACACCTATAAATCTTCAAGAGGGCAATATTGCCCCAACCACCTTCTTGACGATGAATCCAAATCCAATTGGAGCAAAGAAGCATACCAAAAAACTTTCAGATTTTATCATTTTACAAAACATGGGTGAAGGTGCTTATGGTAAAGTCAATCTTTGCTTGCATAAAACTGAAAGATACATTGTTGTCATCAAGATGATCTTTAAGGAGCGTATTTTGGTTGATACCTGGGTTCGTGACAGAAAATTGGGTACAATACCATCGGAAATCCAAATAATGGCCACAATATCAAAGGAACCACATGAGAACATTTTAACATTACTGGATTTCTTTGAAGATGACGATTACTATTACATTGAAACACCTGTTCATGGAGAAACTGGTAGCATTGATTTGTTTGATTTGATTGAATTTAAAACTAACATGACAGAGATAGAGGCAAAGCTTCTATTTAAACAAGTTGTATCTGGTGTTAAGCACCTCCATGACCAAGGTATTGTACACAGGGACATTAAAGACGAGAATATTATTGTTGATTCACAAGGATTTGTCAAAATTATTGATTTTGGTTCGGCAGCCTATGTTAAGAGCGGGCCTTTTGACGTTTTTGTCGGTACAATAGACTACGCTGCGCCTGAAGTCCTTGGTGGTAGTCCATACGAGGGTAAACCGCAAGATATTTGGGCAATTGGTATTCTATTATACACTATAGTATTCAAGGAGAATCCATTTTATAATATTGATGAAATTCTTGAGGGTGAATTGAAATTTAATAGTAGTGAACTTGTTAGTGAGCAATGTACTACTCTCATTGCTAAAATTCTGAATAGAAATGTGCAAAAGAGACCAACAATTGATGATATCTATAATGATGAATGGTTAGTCATTTAGTTATAGTATCCTTTATTACTCTGTTTGAATATTCCCTTAAAAAAAGCTAATAACATATATATTCCTGTTCTTTCTCATTGATTCATAATCAACTCTAGCCTATTGTCTTCACCGGAAAAAACTTATGGATTTTGATAATTGTTCTTTTTCAGTTTCTCAATATTCAAAGGACTATATATGAGTCGACCCTGCATTTCTTTTATTTAATGAACAGAAAACTATGAACTTCATACTCAAATGCATATAGCCTATTTATGCCTGTACATGATCACAATAACATAATATCCAATAACGATTGTTTATTTATATTTATTCATACTAATTTAGATACTTACAGGAATAATTAGTGGATTGTCTACCCATTTTATATATTTTGGTAGCAGTTTAAGTAATTATTAATTTAAAACCAGATAAGACTCATAGTCCATTAAGAAATGTTACTGTTCTAGTAATACACAAATCTTAGTTACAGATATATCTGACTATTTACTTAACATATATTTACCTTCCCTACTCACAATCAGATAGTATAAAACTGTCTAAGCAATATTATTACTTAGCCTCCCATCTGGTCTTTATAAGTCACATGACTCCAACACGAAAAGACATAAGGAAATGATAGGTAGCATGATCAACGAGGTGTCATTTTTTTTTTCAGTCAAAGGCCCCTTCGCTGCCTTCCGACCCTTTGAAAACCCCCCTTCCCTTCGAAATCCGCCAAAAATTAGCTAAATTGTGGTAATAAGCAATAATATTGGAAAGAAACGTACAACTAATAGTGTCTTCAAAGGGTCAAGTTTGACTGAATTTTGTCTAGAAACACCAACATTCTGTTACTGAAGATTACAAGGACAATAAAGCGCTTTTTTCCATCTTTAAAGGGCGTATATTTTAGTGGTCGTTACGCTGAATAAGGAAAGCACAAACATATCCTATTGTCATTTGATTTTCCGGATAATTCAATCTCGAACATACTTATTATTGCAGCCATTTCACTTCAGAAAAGAGAAATAGGTTACATTGTTTCATTGGTTTGCATAGTTTATATAGATTGAACCGCACCACAGTGATAATTACTCAACACATTACTGGACCTGTCATTTTTTTAATCATTCGTTTTAGATCTAAAACAATCATTATTCGATATCATTGAGAATTACATATAGAAGAAAACACAATAATGGCACAAGCTGATCAAGATCTGTACCCATTGGCTTTGCTAATGGATGACTTGAAGAATGATGATATTTCAAATCGTGTAGAAGCTACGAAGAAGATTGATCAGATAGCTATAGCTTTAGGACCAGACCGAACCCGTAATGAATTAATTCCATTTTTAACTGAGGTTGCAGAAGATGATGAAGATGAAGTATTTACTGTTCTAGCTGAAAAACTTGGTTCCTTCGTTCCATATGTTGGTGGTGCGGAGCATGCTTCCACCATATTACCCGTACTAGATATACTCGCCGGCGCAGAAGAAACAATTGTTAGAGAGAAAGCTGTGGATTCATTGAACATAGTAGCGGAACAAATGCCCGATGATGAATTATTCAAGTATTTTGTGCCTCTACTACAAAGATTGGCTTCTGAAACATGGTTTTCTTCAAAGGTTTCCGCCTGTGGTTTATTCAAATCTGTATTCTTAAGGGTTAAGGATGTACAGTCCAGAGTAGATCTGTGGAATTTGTTTATGACGTTGGTAAATGATGAAACGCCAATGGTTAGAAGAGCAGTAGGTAAGAATCTTCCAATTTTAATTGATTTACTTACTGAGAACCCAGAATTCTGTACTGACAAAGATTTAGAGTTTATCTCTACCACTTTCCAAACTGTCATTAATGACCAGCAGGACTCTGTCAAATTCTTGGCTGTAGACTGCCTGATATCCATAGTTAAGTTTTTCAATAAAAAGGGCTACGATACACATTCAAGAGATCTATTAAATTCGGCACTTTCACTAGCTGGAGATGAGGCATGGAGAGTTCGTTATGTAGTTGCGGACAAATTTGGTGAGTTAACAGAAGGTTTTTCTTCAAATCCATCCTATATAGAAGAATTACTGGATCCATTTTTAAAATTATGTGAAGATAGTGAAGGTGACGTAAGGAAAGCAATTGCCAAACAAGTGTCCTATTTTTCCAAATTTGTCAATGACTCACATGTTGTACTTAATAAAATAGTGCCTGTCCTCCAAAATTTAAGTATGGATGAAAATGAAGACGTACGTGCATCATTGGCATCAGGTATATCTGATATCGTGTTGCTACTACCAAAGGAACAAGTTATCGAATATGTCTTCCCTATATTTTTAAACATGCTAAGAGATGAAATTCCTGATGTGCGCTTAAACATTATTGGCAAACTCAAAGTAGTGAATGAGGTAATTGGTATTGATATGTTAACGGACTCTTTATTACCTGCAATCTCTGAACTAGCAAAAGATAGTAGCTGGCATGTACGTCTGGCCATTATTGAATATATTCCAATTCTGGCTGAACAACTTGGAGTAGATTTCTTTAATAGTCAGCTGAGTGACCTATGCCTTTCTTGGCTTTGGGATGCCGTATACTCGATAAGAGAAGCAGCAATAAAAAACCTACAGAAACTAACCAACATCTTTGGCTCTGAATGGTGTAACAACGAAGTCGTTCCCCGCTTGTTAAACCTAGACTCTCATATGCTCGAGAATTTCATTTACAGAATTACCTTACTGCAAACATTTAAAGCATTAGTATCTGTATTATCACCAGAGTTTGTGGCAAATCAGATACTACCTCATGTCATGGAACTAGCTAACGATCAAGTTCCAAACATTAGATTTAATGTTGCTAATACCTATCCAATCATTGTTGAAGTTTTAAGCAAAGGTGGAGATCAATACAAACTTTTAGTAACGGATACCATTTACCCATCTTTAAAGGATCTTTGTGAAGATCCAGATTTTGATGTACGATACTTTGCCAACAAAAGTATGAAAAAATGTAAAGAAATCATAAGCTAAGGCTTGTAACCTAAAGACTGAAGCCGACTTACAACTTCGTAAATACCATTAATATAGTAATTCTTTCATAAAAGTACATTTCTGTCATTCGAAAAATGAATATAGTATCCATAAGATGATTACATATATTTATGTAGATGATTTGATTTACTGTAAGACCAGCTCCAGATGAGATTTATACGAAAAGACTAGTGTCAGGTTCTTTTTTTATTAGTATTTCAGATTTCAAACTTGTGTCGACATTGATGGCACAACTCTCTTCCAATTTGACTCCAACATCTAATTTATTGTCGATGGAAGAATGAGGTTCCTTCTTGAGCTCTATGGAGTTTTGTTCACCTTCTACTATCGAGACATCCAACTCTTCCTTCATATCATTCTCAAGCTTTTTCAAGTCTAATTTCATCAAAAATCCCATCCATTTACTATAACTTGTTATATTTGACCTTATGGACTCATTCAAATTAGATAATGTTGTGAAAGTCTTTTCCGTAAGTTGACGCTGTTTACTCTCATCGATATTAACACGAAATATGTTGAAGTTGGCACCTCTTGATTTACCAATTACTTGTCCAAAACCTACAAGTAGTCCATTTATTTCAGTCCATAATCTCGGAGGTAGCCATTTCTGTAGTTGTTTCCTGGTGTCATTTGGTGTTTTGCATTTGTCAGGGTCAACCCATTTCCACATCTTACACAACCGATCAACATGAACGTCGACACATATTCCTTCAATTTTACCCCAAGCCTTTTGCAAAGTTAGATATCCCATCTTTGGTCCTACACCAGGTAAACCAAGTATATCAGTAACATTGTCTGGAACGTCTTGATCGTATTTTTCGTTAAGGATGGCTGCTGTTCTTTTAATAAAATTCGCTTTCCTTTTATGAAAACCAACGGAATGTATTAGTTCATCGAGAACTTGTTCATCTATTCTCAATAAGGCATCTAGAGTAATTCCTTGAGCATCTTTGAGCTCCTCAATACAATATTTCATAATATTATACATTCCCATGGCAGTAACTTCATCTTTAGTTTGAGCTGACAACATAACTCCCACCAATACCTGCAATCTGTAATTCCTGGGAAGAATCTCCGATTTTTTTATACCGCAAATTTCTCCCACAGTCATCGGAATAGAAGAACCCCCAATAAGATCAACAGGTGCTCTTATAAATGATCTCATCCACCTCATCTTCTTGTAGATTTCGGGAAAGTTTTTCGGTAGCAGTTTAAAACTCTCTTCATCTAAATCTGTGAAGATAGTGTCATCAAATGGCTGGCTCCATCTATTAGGAACATTACCATTTCTACTCACAATCCATTTGAAATAGTTCTCACTATCTAAAGACTTGACCCAGTTGATATCGACATAATCACGGTCATGGCTTATGTCCACCTCTCTCTCCTTCTTTACTTTAACTCTCTCCTTGAAGTACTTGGACTTCGTAACCTCACTGTTCTCATTTTTAACAGCAATTTCTTTAGCTGATGACTTTCTCTTCCTTAATACAGCCATTGTATGCCACTGTATGACTCCCAAGGTGCTTCTCGGTCTGAATCGACTTGTGCTCCTCAGCATAAACCAAATCGAATCTCAATGGCATACTTATACTTCTACTTTAAGCGTCTATGCACCCTGTTATACTGAGATATTCATCAAAACTGATCAATCGCAACACTGCTTAGTAATAGTATGCCAACAGCAAGATGGGTGGCCATCGCAAGATTATCAGTAACAATCCGTGACCCCCCTGCAGAATTTTCTGAGCGATCAGCTGCGAAATTTTTTTTTACTTTCGAGCAGCATTGGGGTGTCTCTGTGATGAGCCGAATCAGAATCACATGACTTATACGGGTAATTAGAGGATCCATAATCTTGATTTCATCGGTGGTCCATCTATGGTATTATCGCAAATATTAACTTGCTACCACTTTATACATGGATGGCTGTGGATGCTGAGAAATATTGAATGGTAGTATCTGTAATAATGGTTAATCTCATCAAACTGAGATGCTTCAGAGGATAATCAATAAGAAGATGAGAATGATGGTTAGCATAACAATAATTGAGCATGGCCCATTTTCTCTTGCTGTGCGTTGGAAGCTGTCCAACCTCCTGCGCGCCCTTTCCAGATTTCTTGAACTCGTATCCAGTAAATTCTCCATATCATCCAATATGTGCTCATTTTGGTCTGTTAATTCTTGATTTATATCAATAGATATGCCGTGAGTGTTCTTAATGGTCGTTGCCAAGGAATCAAGATGTGTATCTTGTTCCAACAATTGCTGCTGTTGGCGAGCAAATAGTTCGTCATTGGATATCATATGACCAGCATTTACACGTTTATCAGAAGTACTCGACGAAGAATTTGTAGTGTCTTCTTCATAGTCATGATATGGTTGAAAAGTCATTGGGGCTGATGCAGGCGCATCCTGCTCAGTATCTTCGTTCGGAAATGTCTCAAGATCATCATTAAACCGTACACGTTTCCTAGTCTCATCATCCTCAATTTCCTCCTCATCGATATCACCCGCGTTAGCTCTACTTTCACCTGGCTTTGATGCTATGTCTTGTTTGGGAGAGAAAGTGTACAATCCCACATCTACTGCAGTATCGTCACCAAGCTGAGCCAGTACCTTATTATACTCATCAATATAAGCCTTAATTTCATCTGTACCATGACCACCTACAGAGTTCAGCAAGTCTAGGACTGTGCTCAGTTGTGATTTTAGCGATATTGTATCAGATTTCGATGGCTCCATAGAAAGCTCATCAATCAGTCGGGTCCGCTCCTCGACTATATCCTTAAGCTTATCAAGCTCATATGAAACCTTCAGATCCATTATACTCCTTCGCTGCTTGTATACAGTAATCCAATCCTTAATCCCGGGGTTCAAACGCAAATCCGCATACAACTTCCTAAAGGGCACCGACGAAAAGAAATCACACAAATGATAGTATTTGGAAGCAATATAGTGCCGTTATCCAAATAAAATAGGACCAAGTAGACTTAAAATAATACTAGCCTTATCGAGGTTACGCTATCTTCTATTTAACTGCCCAAAATTGTAAGACTTTTGCCAAAAATCGCTATTTTTTTCTTTGACTATATAAAATCGGAAAAGGCAACAAAGATAATGAAATGGGAGGGATGAGCTTGCAATTCATTGTGAGGTTTGTAGTTTAGAAGTACTAAGGCTAAGGATAGTATATAGAAACTCTTCAAACAGTGTTGGGATCTCACTTGAAATTGTTAGTGTTGCTAATAGATTTTGGTAAGCGACTAGGTTTGGAGAATTATGGAGAATAGAGAATTAGAGAAGGAGCCCATGGAGGATAGAATTCCTGGAAATGAGGCGATAGAGGAAGATCAAGAGAGTGTTTTGTCTAATATTGACTTTAACGGACAAGACGGCGAGGTGATCACCATGAGAAGCGAGCTGAACTTGTCTGAATACTGTGTGAGCAGCGATGCTGACACTGAGAAGATGGATGACGACGATGATGATGGTAAACACCCGCCTTTGAAAGAGTTAGTAGTGGATGCTGAGACACTCAGTAGAAAGCGCAGTTTAGATGACGATGCGACCGAAGATGTATTTGAAGACAAGAAGCCCAAGTTAGAGCAAGTTGAAGCTTCCGAAGTAAACAATGAGAATCAAGGTAACGACAACCACACAGAAACGAATGATTCAGTTCCTGTTGAACCAATTAGTAGTCCGCTGAATACGATGGAAGGTGTAAAACCTCCAGTAATACCCTCAGAGAATACCACAGAGCTCCGGACTGCTGATCAGGCATCAAATGAGATCAGTGTACCTGACAAAGAGACTGAAGAATCAACACCAATGGGTACGGAAGAACGGTTAAATGAAGAGAAAGATACATTAGAACATCAATCCAATGAAAAACCAAAAAGTGCAGAGCCGGTACCTCAGCCGGAAGAAGTAAGTAATGATCTGGCGGACACAGATACCGTAATTGGCACAGAGTCAAAGCAATCGGAAGATCAACTTCATGATGTTGTGCCAGAAGAACCAACAGACCCTAACTCTGCTCCCGACAATGTTGAAGCTCCAGTTGAAGCTCCAGTTAAAGCCGACATTACAAAAGAGAATACCGATGCAGATGAAAATGGCCCTGAAGAAAGCGAAGTTAAAGAAGGTGAGAAAGAAGAAGAAGGCAATGATGAAGAGGCAGCGAACAATATTGACGAGGATGAAGGTGCTGTGGGTGATGCTGACGATGATGAGGATGAGGATGACGACATTGATGAGGATGAAGAAGACGAAGAGGATTCACAGACGGTAGACAATGTTGAGACAAGTGATTCTTCGAAGAAGAAGAAGCGCAAGAAGAGTTCCATCTTGCCTATGGTGCTGGAGGAGCGCAGACAACAGGCGCTGAAAGATATAACTGAGATAGAGCACAGTTTTGCTGAGCTGAGACAGAAGCTTTATGAGAACAAGCTGAGGAGGCTCGAAACAGAGTTACAAATGTGTGTTGAGGGCTCACACCCGGAGTTGCATGAGTACTACGAGAAGATATCCAAGCTGCGTGACTTTAAGCTACACAGGACGTACCAGAGACAGAAGTATGAGTTGAAATGCATAGACATCGAGACCAGGGCCACACGTACTATGATCCACCAAAACTTCCTGCGCTGCGTCAACGAGCTCAGATCGCAACTGCTGCAGGACACCACGACTAAGTGGTACGACATCAACAAGGAGAGACGTGACATGGACATAATTATTCCCGACATCAACTACCACGTCCCTGTCAAGACCGCCAACAAGACACTGAGCTGCATCACTGGCTACGCGGGACCCGCACAGCCCAGACGTTACCTCGGCGAACCCTTATCCGAGGACCTCGAATGCGAGAACATCTCTTACCGCTACAACGGCAACCCAGTCGACAAGCTCGAAGTTATTGTGGACAGAATGCGCCTGAACAACGAGCTGAGCGACCTCGAAGGGCTCAAGAAATACTACCACGCCTTCCCGGGGGCACCTTCCCTCTCCACACTACGTGACTCAGAGATACAAGACGACTTCAACTACCTGAGACAGTAATTGCAACACAATTCCGTGGTTGTATACAATACTCTTGTTGTATACCAATTACACTTTGTGAGCATTATTGCATTAAAAATTCACGTGACTCTTCCATTCCCCCCCCTTCCCTCCCCACAGTATCCACAGACGGCAGTGCCGTGCGCCAGGAACTTGATCTTGTGCGCGCAGTGAAGTGAAAAAAACCAAAAAACTGCTTCTTGATTTCCCGCAGTGAATGGATTTAATGTCAGTTTGGAAGGAGCAAAAAAAACTGTGTCCCGTCCCTTGTGTGCGGTACTTTCTGAGTGAATGTGAAAAAATAGCTGAAAAAAAAGGAAAGCCTATCGATTCTCGAGGGAAATGAGATGAGTTTAGCTAGTAATAGCATCCAAGCAGGAGAAGGAAGGACGAAAAATTTGATAATAGTGGCGAGGGTGGGCATCGGATCCCGATTGGGTAGTATAAATACGACGCTGAGTTTTCTGCTTTTATGACTTGCTTTGAGTCGGTTTAATTCCAAGAGCTACAACTAAAAAACTACAACAAACTACAACTAACTACAACTAACTACAACAACTGAATTCACAATGGGTCTATTAGAATCTGACAAGTTTGCTACCAAGGCTATTCATGCTGGTGCTCATGAAGACATTCATGGTTCTGTTATTGAGCCAATTTCTTTGTCTACTACTTTCAAGCAAAGCGAGCCAGCCAAGCCAATTGGTACATATGAATACTCTAGATCCCAAAACCCAAACAGAGAGAACCTAGAAGCTGCCATTGCCTCTTTGGAAGGTGGTAAGTACGGTCTTGCCTTCTCTTCCGGTTCCGCTACCACCGCTGTGATCTTGCAATCCTTGCCTCAAGGTTCTCATGCTGTCTCCATCGGTGACGTCTACGGTGGTACTCACAGATACTTCACCAAAGTTGCCAACGCCCACGGTGTTGACACTTCCTTCACCAACAACTTGATCGAAGACTTGCCAAAGCTTGTCAAGGACAACACCAAGTTGGTCTGGATCGAGTCCCCAACTAACCCAACTCTAAAGGTTACCGATATCCAATTGGTCGCTGAAAACGTCAAGAAGATCAACAAGGACATCCTACTGGTCGTCGACAACACATTCTTGTCCCCATACTTGTCCAACCCATTGAAGTTCGGTGCTGACATCGTCGTCCACTCCGCTACCAAGTACATCAACGGTCACTCCGATGTGGTTCTAGGTGTCTTGGCCACCAACAGCAAGGACATCTACGAAAGATTGCAATTCCTACAAAACGCCATCGGTTGTATCCCATCCCCATTCGACGCTTGGTTGACCCACCGTGGTCTAAAGACCTTGCACTTGCGTGTTAGACAAGCATCCTTGAACGCCACCAAGATCGCCACTTTCCTAGAGAGCAACGAAAACGTCGTTGCCGTCAACTACCCAGGTCTACAATCTCATCCAAACTATGATGTCGTCAAGAAGCAACACAGAGAAGCCCTAGGTGGTGGTATGATTTCTTTCAGAATCAAGGGTGGTGCCGAAGCCGCTGCTAAGTTTTCTTCCTCTACCAGACTATTCACTTTGGCTGAATCTCTAGGTGGTATCGAATCTCTACTAGAAGTCCCAGCTGTGATGACCCACGGTGGTATTCCAAAGGAAGCCAGAGAAGCCTCCGGTGTCTTTGACGATCTAGTTAGATTATCAGTCGGTATTGAAGACGGTGAAGACCTTCTAGAAGACATCAAGCAAGCTTTGCAAAAGGCCACCGCTTAAGTACATTCATGAGTAAAATAAAGATAGACAACCCAAACTCTAAATTACAACACAAAATCTCTTTTACGAACCCCCTCCCCCTTTACAACCAAAAAAACTTAAGTGTAAAATTAATACTGGAAAAGGTCCCTTCCTCACAAATAGACTCAATTTAAGTTATACGGACGCTTACAATATTAAAATATAGCGAACGAGACCATATTCTATATCTGAACATAATTTTGTAAATTAGCCTAGTAAGTTAATTTTTTTTCTTCATTAGTTCCATATTTAAGGGCTCTACTAGATCAGTAGCACATATAGTATAGAATGAATATAGTATTACTGTTAATTCTGCATTTCACTTCTATAATGCCCCGACTGCTATTACACCATTACCGTAATATCACTTTATACGTCTCGCATAAACCACTCTTTCGTTGTTGGCGGTGCGAAATGCCATAACAGCAAAAGAGAGCTCATCGAGGTCATTTTAGAGGCATTTGAACTTGATCTTTGCAACTTCCAACCACTTTGATCTTTACATTAATCATATCACTCTAGTGTTTTAAGTTGTTAAGGGAACTGCGCTAGGTCTAGTTAGAACAGAGATATATCATGGCAGTGGCACTGCGAGCTCGGAATGCCGTGAAAGTGGAAGATGGAATAGACACTAGTAATATTATAGAAGAAGTTGACGACAACACAAAAGGAACAAGAAGCCGAGCTTCGCGGCGGAGAAGAAGAAGAGGAGACGAAGAAGAGAAACACAGCGAAGAAGAGACATACAATGAGTTTAACGACGATGGTACATTGAAGACAGAAGGTACTCTACAGACTGGGAATGGAAGTGGAAGGCCGTTTGAACTGGTAGCTGGTCTACCATGTAGTTTAGATGTCCCACAATACAACTCTGCATTAACATTCCCGCTGTCAGTACGAGACTCGGGTGTATTATATAGCTCTTTGCTAAGTTCAAGAAGAACGTGGATATCAGGTGAAATGTTTGAAGTGTACTGGACTAGAGCCAACAAGGTACCTTCCTTAGCAATTAAAGATGAGAGTATAATAAAAGAGCTAGAATCTTCCAAGGAACAAGATGCAAGCGGTAAAGATAGAATGCAGAGAATGTGCGATTGTGAGTTAATGGCGGGTCCTCATACCTTTTCCATCAAACTGTTTATAGTTAAGGATGACGAGAAGGAGAAAAAATGGCAAGAGGAGCAGGAGTATAAGAAGAAAGAAAAAGAAGAACAAAAGAAACTTGAATCGGAGCAACGGAAGAAAAGAGCAGAGGAGAAGAAGCAGATGCTTCAATTGAAGAAACAGGAAAGGGAGAAACAGATGCAATTACAAAAGGAAGCTAGAGCTCGGGCTAAGAAAGAGCAAGCAGAAGCACGGCAGAGGCAGAAAGAAGAAGAGAGGCAAAGGAAACTTATGAACAAAGAACGAGTTAAAGAACAGAAAGCTAGCACATCTAAGCCAAAAAAGGATCAGAACAAAAAGAACTCGGACCAACATATGATTGCCAACTTGAATATCATGGCACAAAGAGACCCTGAATTGAAAAAATTGATGGCCAAGGTTGCGAATGGGCAAGCTAACATGCAAGAAATAGAAGAATTCAAGAGAGTAATCGAACTGGCAAAGAATTTGCCTCCTCCGGGGACACCACCTGCAAAACCCGAAGTACAGAAAGCACAGAGTAAGCCTACGGATAGTAATGAGACTAGCGCTGACAGTAGTAAATCCGAGATACTTCAAGAATCAAAGACTAACGAAAGTGACAAAAAAGCGACTGCTGAACAAGCGACTGAACCGAAGACACATTCCGAGGAAAACAAACCAGAGAGTGAAAATCAAAGTAGGGATAATAGCGAAAAGTCTGCCTCCTCACATAATCAAGAGGCAAGTATTAAGAAGGAAGCGGATGCCAATAGCGTGATAAAAAAAGAAAGCAGCGATGGTGACGGGAATAAGAGTCAGCAACCTAAGCGTAAGTATAACAAGGCTCCAAAGGTTGCTGACGAGTTAACTGAGAAGGAGAAGGAGATGCAGCTAACAGCCTTCCAGCAGAAGTATGTGACAGGTGCTGAGCTTGTTCTTGAGTTTGCTGAAAACACGAATTTCCGTTTTCTGTTGCCCAAGAAGGCTATTATACAGTATATTCCGGAATCGAATAGGTACAAGATGTCGTGGCTGCAGATACACAACCAGAGCGACATAACGCGGTTCTACAAGAGGCAAGTGAAGGAGCTGACGAGGCGGATTCACAATGCGGAGGAGAAGCAGCGGGTTACCGACGAGTACAATGTGTTTCGGGACAAGAAGTGTCCGTCGCCGTTGTTTTCTTCGATGACTGTGACGTTTAGTGGCATACATGTCAAGTTCAACTCCATAATGATGAACAGTTTTGACCCTAAGGAGGAAGTGCGTGGGTACATGGAAGATGTGCTGGCGGTTGGGACGCGGTTGTCTGGGTATAACCTGTGGTATCAGCTGGATGGGTACGATGACCGTGAGTTAGCGGAGCGGTTGCGGTCTGAGCTGAACGAGTACGAGCAGTCTTTGAAACCCAAGAGACAGAAGAAGCAGTAAAGTTATAGAAATTGCATGGTGTGCATTGCTTCTATTGTGTTTCTTACACACGCGTGTTTGTGATAAAATTGATATATTATAGTTAGCGATATATATTTATTGTTTATATAGTAATTTCAAAGTGAAATAGTAAGAAAACCGTGAATAAGAAAAAAAAACCAGGTGTAAGTAAAGTAATTTAGAGAAAAAAAAAGAACCTTTAAATGTGCTAGGACACAGCAGTTTTTCAGTTAGCTTCCCTTATGTTTCTGAATATATTTCTTGCTGAATTTCATTAGGAAGGGGAGTAATGATGGCAAAAAGATCCATGAGCAATTGATATGAGTGGTAAGATCAGATCAATAGAGCAGCGGCGGCGATGACAGCCAAACCGGAGCCAGCGTTGATGGCGTTAGCACCAGCGCTGAAAGTGGAGATAGCGTGGGATGAGGATGGCTTTTGGGAGGTCTTGGTAGAGGAGACTGAGGAAGGCTTGGAAGAAGTGATGGTGAAAGTAGAAGATGCGGTAGAGGAAGGAGTGGAGGTAGTAGACTCAGAGACCTTTGGAGCAGAAGAAGAGCCAGTGGTAACAACAGAGGAAGTACTGGAAGAGACGGAAGAGATGGAACTAGAAGCAGAACTAGAAGAGCTAGAAGAGCTAGACATGGAGCTAGACATTGAGCTAGAAGCAGAACTAGACATTGAGCTAGACATGGAGCTAGAGACAGATGCGACAGCCTTTCCGACGTCACCACAGGAGTTCTTGAAAGCGGTGTAAGCGGCGTCGCTGTTACCGTTTGGACAGATAGAGTCTAGACAGTTCTTGATGGCGGTGTTTTCGTTCTCGCAGAAACAGCCGACTTGGTTCAGAGTGTGGCATTGAGAGGATTGCTTGCTAACTTGAGCAACACAGGCCAGCAAACAAGCTGGAGGAGTGGCCAAGACCTGGGAGAAAAGACCCAAAACAACAGCAGAAACAACAGCAGCACGCATATTTAAAATTTATAGTAGTTGTAGATGTGTAGTTGTGTAGTTATAGTTGTAGCTTGTATTGGTTAAGTATTGTTTAAGTATTCAAGTATTGTTTATATATTATTTTTCCAGCGAATTTTTCATCTCGAGGATTAAGTGCAGGACGGATCGAGTTCCAGCTCCCTTCTCTCTTGCGGTCGTAGAAATGTAAACAAACGTGCTTCCATCCCTGCATGTACTCTGATACGGCATTTCCTATTTTTATTGGCTGGACGCTTTGGCAGTGTCTTCTGCGCCCGTTCTCTGTCTGTCTCTTTCTCTCTCTCTCTCTCTGTGGGGCACAGACAGAGCCGCAGACAGAGCCGCAAGGAAATCGAGACATGCGAAGCGAAGAGGGACCCGGAGGGGCCTGGAGGAAGCCCAGACTTTTTGACTTCTTTTTATAGAAGCAGTAGGTGTATGGGTGTAGGTGTGTGGGTGTATGGCATACTGTTGTACGTACAATGTCACGTAATATATACTCAGTTACGTTGTGGTCATGTGAATATTCATTTGCAAAATCCATATAGACTAAATACCGGCAAAGCTATATACCCCCATCAGATGGTTCTCAATATATACAGTGGTGGTGGGAGCTGCAGCCTGTGTCCTCTTTTATAATGTACATGTCATGTAGAGTCTCCCGGAGTTCCCGAGTTTCCCAGGTTTCCCAGGTTTCCTGGGTTGGGTGTACTTGTACTTGTAGTTGTACCTGTACCTGTACTTATATTTGCAGGTGCTGTCGCACCTGCAAATGTGCCTTGAGGCACAACTAGATTACCGTCCTCATCATACTTCGGTACTGCTACGTCCTTGCGCAAGTGGCCATCCTTCTCTAGTTGTCCCAGCACTATGGGCTCGAAAAACCTAGCCCCAGTGTATATACCTACAAGCGACACAACACCAATGGTAACTAGATCAAACCCTCGAATACGACTCATTCCAACGTCTTATACTTGCTTCAATGTGCTACAACTTCCTGAAACAACACCCCCAATCCTACTGTAACTTGTAGTAACTTCTCTTCGAAATCCTCTTTACCAATTTTCTTTGATCCTTCTTTTGCCTAAGGCCCATCCTTTTGTTACAAACTACAATTTACAAGTGATAAAATCACAAATTGCAATCGCGATTGTAACAGTAAGGGTAATTCTGAGCTTCTGGGTCATTCCACTCTCGAATTGCCAATATTCACCTGCCTCCAATTAGATCAACAACGACTCTCACCTCTAGGTCTTTACTTCTGTCCTTTTTGATATTGTGTACTTGCATGCTAGTGGCACAAAGTACTCTATACAGAAGCGTGTTGCCATCCGGTGTTAGAATAGCTCTACAGTTCAAAAAGCTTACCTCTTACTATTACAAAAAAAATTACACAACAGTTGCAAACAAATCGACTATGCCTTACAAAGACCTCAAAGTACAGTTCTTGAAACCTGACCTCGACGACAGACAGTACCGCTACATCCAACTGCCCAACAACTTGAAGGCTTTGATCATCCAGGATGCTACCACAGACAAAGCCGCCGCTGCCTTAGACGTCAACATCGGTGCTTTCCAGGACCCTGAGAACTTGCCTGGCCTGGCTCACTTCTGTGAACACTTGCTGTTCATGGGCTCTGAGAAGTTCCCTGACGAAAACGAGTACTCTAGCTACTTGAGCAAGCACGGTGGCTCCTCCAACGCGTACACAGGCTCGCAAAACACCAATTACTTCTTCGAAGTCAACGCCGACCATCTCCATGGCGCCCTTGATAGATTCTCCGGCTTCTTCAGTTGCCCTTTGTTCAACCAAAACTCCACCGATAAGGAGATAAACGCGGTCGATAGTGAGAACAAGAAGAACCTGCAGAATGATATCTGGAGAATGTACCAATTGGATAAATCCTTGTCCAACCAAGACCACCCTTACCACAAGTTCTCGACCGGTAACCTCGAAACCTTGGGCGATAAACCAAAGGCTGCCGGCTTGGATATAAGAGAAGAACTGCTCAAGTTTTACAACGAAAATTACTCCGCTAACCTGATGAAACTCTGTATCCTAGGTAAAGAAGACCTGGACACACTTTCTGAATGGGCCTGGGAACTTTTCAAAGACGTCAAGAACTCTGATCGTGCCTTGCCTGTGTATGACGCTCCTATCTTGAAAGAAAATGATTTGAAGAAGATCATAAAAGTTAAGCCCGTCAAGGATTTGAGAAAGCTAGATATCTCGTTTGTGGTACCAGACTATGAAAAGAAATGGGAAGCTAAGATATCCCACATCTTTAGTCACTTAATAGGACACGAAGGTAGCGGCTCCCTGTTGGCACACTTAAAGTCCCTTGGATGGGCTAATGAACTCGGCGCTGGAGGCCACACCGTTTCTGATGGCAACGCCTTTTTCAACGTTGACATCGAACTTACAAACGAGGGTTTGAAGCATTACAAGGATATAGTGGTCTTGATATTTCAATATCTGGAAATGTTGAAGACTTCTCTACCTCAGGAATGGATTTTCAAAGAACTCCAAGACATCTCAAATGCCACTTTCAAGTTTAAACAAAAGGGTAGTGCTTCACAAACTGTGTCCGGTCTTGCGAAACAACTTGAAAAGGACTATTACTTCCCAGTGGAAAATATATTAGCCACTAACTTACTAGTCAAGTATGAACCAGAGCTGATTAAACATTTCATGAAATCATTCACACCTGAGAATTCTCGTATTACATTTATCTCTAGATCTATCGTGGCCGATTCGAAGGAACAGTGGTACGGTACCGAGTATAGCGTAGAAGATTATAGTCCTGAATTCCTAAAATCAATAGAAAACCCTGGTTTGAATCCAAACTTAAGCGTACCAAGACCTAACGAGTTCATTGCAACAAACTTTGATGTCGAGAAATTCGATGTAAAGGAACCACTGAATGAACCTCTTCTATTGAAAGATGATGATGTGAGCAAGCTTTGGTACAAGAAGGACGATAGGTTTTGGCAACCAAGAGGTTATATTTATGTAACACTAAAGCTACCAAACACACATTCCAGTATCATCTCCAGTATGCTAACCACATTATATGTTCAAATGGTTAATGATGCACTCAAGGACCTACAATATGATGCAGCTTGTGCAAATATCAATCTATCATTTGTAAAGACCAACCAAGGTCTTGACATCACAATTTCTGGATTCAATGAAAAGCTACTAATTTTGTTGAAGAGATTTGTTGAAGGTGTCCAAGGCTTTGAACCAAAGAAGGAAAGGTTTGAGGTATTCAAGGACAAGACTGTTCACCACCTAAAGAATCAAATGATGGAAGTGCCATACAGCCAAATTTCTGGACTTTACAATAGCGTTGTTAATGAAAGAACATGGCCTACCAAAGAAAAGCTCGAAGTTGCTGAAAAGTTAAAGTTTGAGCAGCTAGACAACTTTGTCAGAGCTATATATGATGGTATGTACTATGAATCATTTGTTCATGGCAACCTGGAGTCCAAAGAAGCGAGGGAGGTAGATTCACTTGTTTCGACATTCCTAAAGAAAGACGATATCAAGAATATCGATGTTCAAAGCAATAGATTGAGATCTTACATTATTCCCAAGGGCAAATCATATGCGTATGAAACTGACCTTTATGATGAAAATAATGTCAATTCCTGTATACAGCATGTTGTTCAATTGGATGTCTACAACGAGAAGCTATCTGCGCTAAGTGGATTATTTGCACAAATGCTCCATGAACCATGTTTTGATATTTTGAGAACTAAGGAACAATTAGGCTACGTTGTTTTCAGCTCTAGTTTGAACAACCATGGTACTGCTAACATTAGAATTCTTGTTCAGTCAGAACATACCACACCATACCTGGAATGGCGTATTGATGAGTTTTACAAGACATTTGGGGAGAAATTAAGAAATATGGACGAGGAAGACTTCAACAAACATAAAGAAGCTCTATGTAAAACGTTGTTGCAAAAGTTCAAGAACATGAAAGAAGAGAGTTTGAGATATGTAGCTGCCATTTATCTAGGCGACTACAATTATCTACATCGTCAAAAGAAAGCCGATATGGTTAAAGATTTAACTAAGGAAGACATGATTGCATTCTTTGAGAACTACATCGAAAGTGACGATGCAACCAAACTAGTAATCCACTTGAAGTCTAAAAAGGCTACCGAAAAGGACGAATCCCAACTTGACACCACCAAGTATCCATCAGGTGAAAAGATAGAAGATGTCGGTCAATTCAGGTCACAACTATACTTGGCACCTCTACGCCAACCAACCAAGAAATTTGAAATTCATGAAGAATTGTGAACTAAGCTCATAAAGAATTATAGACAAAATTCATCAACGTATAAATAAATAAAAAAACCTCTACAGTAAAAATAAAATCAAGAAGTTTCACTCGATAGAAATACTAAAGTGACTGTATAGAAAAAAAAAATGTAGACTTCTTTCGACACCCTTAATCCACAGTACCTTCCCTATATATCGGTGGGAAGGGAACTAAGATCAGGGCTTCCTGTTCCGTCCATAAATTATAATTTTTGCTCTTGGAAACGAGTATCTCATTGATATATGAGACACTGGCAATCAACTACTGTTAGAAGACAGATGTTCAGTCGACTGTGGCATATTTCCTTTGTATAATTTTTGATTCGGCCTTTTTAAAAAACAACTCAAAAGAAATAACATGAAAGAATATATGTAGGTCGATGAGCTTGCAAACAATCGATGGCTATTTATACTAAAATTTTTTCAAATTTCCAGTTTTCCCGAAGCCTTCAAAAAGAAGAAAGCCCACGTTCGTAGTGATTTTACTAGACTTTAGGTATAAACTCAGGCGATGAACAGACGATTATCATTCTTTATTGCAGTTATCAAATTAACACAAGTGACTTTATACAATCTATATAACCATAAATTACTATAAAAGTGTCTTTCTGACCGATGTATTGCAACTTGATGACAAGGTCGCTACGAGGATAAACTTGATAATTAACAAAACAGAGAATGACAGTAGACATGACAGCCAAGTCTTCCCAGATCAATGGCTTTCTTACTTGATGACTCCAGTTTCAAAAAGATAGTTGATTGCAAATATAATAAATTGCTAATCTCTACACTATTGTAATCATGTCATCCGAAATAGTCGTGACCATTGCATGGAATTGGTAAGAATACGTGACAACTGATGCGATACCAAGTTTCCCCAGGACTTACTAAAAGTTTCGAGGCCAGCAAACTTAAAGTATTTAAATAGCCATATATAAATATGATCTACGTTTGTGGAGAAGGCTATGCTATAAATTCAGTCAAGCAAGAGATAACTTAACAAAATATGAGTTCAACTTTCACTTGCAACTCCTGTGACATACAATTCCAGACCAGTGATTCCCAGCGGTATCACATGAAGACAGAATGGCACCGTTACAATCTGAAGAGACGTGTAGCGAACTTGCCTCATATTTCAGCTAGTATGTTTGCTGAGAAAGTACAAATGTCTGAAAGAGAGAAGCGTGAGCATATGGTTGATGAGTTTGGATTTGAAATATTGAAAGCACCAGACCATGGCCGTAAGCACAAGAAAAGAGGGTCTGCTGCCAAACCAACATCCAAAGAAGACAAGTCTGAAGTGCCTTCCAACAATATTAAAAGTTCTGCCAATGCTCTACACAGAACTATTTCACCAACCGAGTCTGTTGCATCTGAGATGTCGGCATTAACAACTGGTAGTGAATATAACACCACTGATTTTGGTGAGGACACAGCATCTGAATATGGATTCACTAGTGATTCAAACTATGACTATGGATCCACCACAGATGAATCTAGTGATGAAGAAGATCACAAGCTGTCAGTGAAACATAACCATGATGATTTTAAAACTACCACTTGCATATATTGTGGTGTCGAGAATAAGGAAGTCGAAAGAAATATTAGACACATGTTCAAATCACACGGTTTATACATCCCTGAAAGAAGTTATTTGATTGACCTAGATGGCTTATTGAAATTTTTGATAAATCATATCCTAGTGGAGAACAAATGCATGTGTTGCAATTATCAAGGCTCCTCAGTTGAAAGTATTCGAGCACATATGGACTCCAAGCGTCATTGTAAATTACCATATGAAACTAGAGAAGAGCGTGCTGTAGTAGGTGAATTCTACGATTTCTCATCTCTATATAGCGATGAAGAAAATGAGGAAAGCGAGAATGCCGATGACGTCGAAGAGGCAGCAGGAGACAGCAATGGAATTAACTCAAATTACACAGTTGCCACAATCGATGATTCCGGTGCGGAGCTTACATTACCTACAGGTGTCAGGCTTGGGCATAGAGAGGGGCAGAGATACTACAGACAGAACTTACCATTGCCACCAAACCATGGGGAAAGTAGGAGAACAGTCACTGCAGCTGACCGCAGAATGATAAGTGGTGTTACTGAAAAGCAGTACAAGAAGGGAATGAAGAAAATGCAATTGCTGGAGCAAAAGGCTGCCAGCGAGCAAATTAGAAAAGAGGTCAAGAGAGTTAACTTTCAGCCTCATTTCAGGGATCCACTATTGCAATGAATATTATTGCATATCATTTCTCTGCATATAATAGTATAGCTTGTGTCATAGCAGCATAATTGCATTAAGTACATAATAGTATTTATACCTCATAATCCTATTCATGTGTTTTTACTTTATTAAGTAAACTTTTTTAGTTTGCCTGAGATTTTTCTTGTAATCCCAGAACGATTATTGTTTCGAATTATTACTGAACTTGCATCATCGCGCTTTTCTGACGCATTATCTCTATTGCTTATACTTTCCTTCGTAGAGACCTCAGATCTAAAGCTTGAATTTTCATTTTCTACATTGTGAAAACCATCAAGAAAATTTAGTTGTGCCTCCTTCAGTCCTAGACCTTCACGTTGCGAATAATAGTCAGTTTCCATACTTTTATTAAAATGATCTAGTAAATCAATAAAATGTAACTTGCTATTACTCACTGAACGTTGTTGGGAAATATCCGATGTGTTACTGACATCTGACAAACCACTTCTGTTACTTTGCTTATAAAAGCTGTTTTTATTTTGAGAACCTTGAGCAAACCAAACATTAACACTCTTCAACCTTTTATTCAATAAGTTGAACGCTTCAGACTGTGGTAATATCATTAAAATTCCGTACAGACATTTGTATAGATAGGGATATCTATCTTGTTCCAGCAATTGCAGCCTTAGTCTTGAAAATACAGGTGATTCAATTAGTTGAATCAAAATATCGAATTGAATCAAATCGTTGATCTTGAGTTCGTGATTTGCATATGACTGCAAAACTAAGTAGGCCAGCTCGTAATTCTCAGCAACTAGACACAATGAAATAGCAGAAACAGGGTTACAGCACCAGGATTTGAATATAATATTGAAAAACATTATGTCATCATTATTTCTGAGCTTCTTTCTTAGGTTAAAAAGCTCAGGAGCCGTCATAAGGTTTGTGCTCATAATTTGTATCATCATTCTTACGAATACAACATCAAAATCTTCTTCTAAAATTGATGAAATTAACTTATAGACTCGCTCTGTTGCCAACTTTATACTGATTTGTTTAAGAACATAATTAGCCCTGACCTTTAGTTGTTTTGGATCACGCTTCAAGCCTTCAATAAATGCCTTCAAAAACTTTCTTAGATATTGGTCATTAGTGTCCAGACACAAATTATTCAATAAACTGAGGGCCTTATCTAATAATGTTGCGTCTTTATTAGTTAAGGACTTCAATATAATTAAAAAAAGACCCTCGCTGTGTTCCATTATTTTTTCTGGAGCTTTCTGATATATCAACATCAACCAATCAAATGAGGCTATACGCGATGTTGTAGAGCTATCAAAAAACTGTAGCGACAAACTGTTTACTATGGATCCATAATTAATCGCATCTTCACCTTCTTCATCCAAGCCTGTGGTGTTTTCTGTACACAACGTTACCAGTTTAGAGTTTACTTCTTTGGCCAATTCAATTATATTTTCTTCTGATCTACCAAGCAACTTTATCAACACAGAAAGTATCCTAGGCAAAAATGGAATGAAATCAGAATCTGCCAAGACCAGAAGTTTATCCATCCACTGTAAAGCTATCAACTGGATGTCTATTTCGGAGGATGCTAAGTTGCTCAATAAAATATTGATTAGTTCAGGAAAATCAATATGAATATCCTGCCCTGGTATGTATTCTTCACCATCATTATCCTCTATAAACTTCTGTTCATTTTCAGATGTCCTGATGCTTTCTGGATTTTCAGTAATTGAAGAATTATTAGATACTGATTCAATTGACAGGGAACCCAATGCATTTAAAAGAGATTTCTTTTTCTCAGCAATCAAAGAACCATCGTTTTTCTTATTCAATGATGGTTGCTTTTCTTTGGCAAGTTTGTATTCTCTTATTTTCCTATGTATCGTTGCAACTCTCACCACTTCCTGTAATAGCAACTCCAGCAAGGAATTTGTAACAACTCGTACATCTTTGTGAGAATCGCCTAAGAAGTTGAATAATCCACCCAAAAATGACGGTAAGTATGAGATAAGTTCTAAATCTGGGGAGTCTAAAAGAACCCTAATCCAATCAACAAGAAATATCCTGGTATCAGGGTTGATTGCATTGATTCTTTCCATTAGCAAAGGGATAAATTTCGGCAGAGAGAACGCCAAAGCATCGTCTTGCTCATATGACTCCTGGTAGACATTTCCCGTTACAGAATCAGTTCTTGTAGCTGGCGGCACATTGTTAGGATCATTATTCACTAGACTGACGTAGTTCGAGGCCTTCTCAGCTACTATATCCTTAATCAATCTATCTAGAAGCTCAGCTGCACCTTTAACAGAATTTTCCGTGTCGGCACTTATCTTACTCAATACATCGAACACTTCATTGAAATACAAGAGAATCTCACCCTTGGCAATCTTGGCAATATTGTACAGACTCTCACATGCATAGAACCTAACTTGATCGTTCTGGTCTCCAAAACATGCTAACACAGGCGGTAGTATCTGTGGTAAATACGTACCAACCTGATTTGGCCCCAGAGCAATTGCAGTGGCAGCAAGGCCCATAAGTCCCGCATTTCTCGCCATAGGTTGGTGCAGAGCATACGCATAGTCCTTGCACAGATGGTCAATTATCTGCTCCACACGCGCATAGTCATTCTCCAGCACACATTGTTTTACCAGCTTTTCCAGCTCCAGCGCTGACGCCTTACGTTTATCATACAACTTGTCATTAAGACCTTTCTCAATTGATTTGTCCATATTTAAAGCTGATCCTGATCCAAGGTGACACCTCTCTAGTGCTAACTCCTTTGTTGTGCTATTATCCTTTGTTTTGAAGCTTTCTGAGCTACGCGTTTTTTTATGAATTTCACCAAGAAAGCCTAACTGTGATGGCGATGGCGATGCCTATGGTGATGATGATAGCGAACACTTTAATTTGAGAGGAGTATTTGAGTCTATCTAAGAGTCCATCGCATAGCATCGGTAATTATAGAGCTGAGAAGAAATAGCAATCGTACAGTTATGCGTGTGTTTCATACAATCAAGGAAGTAGTCAACTGGCGTCGCAACGATGTTGGTGATAGGAGAGCCCTGTCAATTGGGTTTGTGCCCACCATGGGTGCATTGCATGAAGGCCATGCCACATTGATACGTGAAAGCAAGAGCCAAAATGATTACACTGTAGTGAGTATATTTGTGAACCCATCACAGTTTGCGCCGGATGAGGACTTGGACAAGTATCCTCGGACTTTGGAGAAGGATATCGAACTTCTAGAGTCACTCGGATGTGATGCTCTGTTTGCACCAAACGCCAGGGAAATGTACCCACAAGGGATTCCCCTGGATGTTCAACAACAACGGGGTCCTTTTGTCAGTGTCCTGGGTGTGAGTGAGATGCTAGAAGGCAAAACCAGGCCAAATTTCTTCCGTGGTGTGGCAACTGTGGTTACAAAGTTACTCAACATTGTTTCTCCCGATGTGGCATACTTTGGGCAAAAGGACATCCAACAATTTATTGTCCTGAACACAATGGTTACTGAACTGTTCATGAACACAAGATTAGTTAGAATGCCAATTGCCAGGGCGCCATCTGGATTGGCTTTAAGCAGTAGAAACAAATACTTGTGTGAAGAAACCCTTGAAATATCTTCTAGTATTTACAAAGGATTGAACAAAGCTGCTGATATCGTAAAGACAGAGAAGTCTGTTGAACGCTCGGAGTTGGTAAATGCTATACAATCGATATGGCAGCCCCACATCGATTCCGCCGATTTCAAAGTTGACTACATCTCAATTGCCGACTACACTACATTGCATGAACTGAACAAGGTCGACTTACCCAAGAAGCAAGATCAAGTAGTGATTAGCTGTGCTGTATATGTCACCGATAGAGCTTCCAAGTCCGTTGTTAGATTGATAGACAATATAGTCTTGTAATTAAATAGGCCAAAAAACAAATAATATAAATACTCTTGACCAATACAGTGTGTAATAGTTAATTTGACAATGGGTAGCGAGGATCTGCTGAACAAGACTGACGATAGCACCCAGATTTCCCTGTCACAAGCATTCCCAAACATTCTTCACCTGATTCTTCTTCATCACGGGTTCAAGGTGGGGTCTCCACATCTCTAAAATCGTTTAGCTTAACTGTTAATCATAGAGAAAGGGTCCCTTTAAAATTCAACAAGAGGTGCACAATATACACCAAAAGATGTTGGAGTGCTTTATCACATATTGTCCAACAATACATTACTCTTCGATATAAATAGTCACAAGTATATACATTTAAATACTCTATCCTAGTTATCCTGTACTGCCAGCTTTTAAAATTTAAGGGCATCGCATCAATAACACAAAAAGTAGCCTTTTCTTTAACTTAAAGCATAAATAAGATAGAAAGGGCAAGATACAAATATAAACTTAAGTGATTTGAGTTTTTAAAGTGTTACAAATTGGTGGTTCAAGATGCTGCGGTTTCAGAGGGGCACAGTTAAGGAGAGTTCTTCCGCCAAGCTTGCTAGTACGAGTCGTAACGGGCCGGAGAGCTCAATTTTAGATCCACATCATTCGGTGATGGAGCTTTTACAAAGGCAAATGGAAGGTAGTGAAGTTCCAAGTGAGTCTGGTGTACTTGGTGAGTCCTGGCAACAGATTCGGGAATCTGATGTAGGCGATGGTGGCGACAGTAACTTTGATCAGCAATCAAATACTTCAGCTATTTTGTCTTCATCTAGTGAAGCATCTGAAGATGAAGATCTAGATATACAACAACAGCTTCTTGGAGGTCAACAAGAATACAAGAACTTCCATATGACTGCAGAGGAACAACTTCAGGAACAAGCACAAGGACAAGGGTTTGGCAGGCCTTCACTGCTGAAAGGTACACAGTCTCGGTTATCAGAGCAGGACTCTAACCGGTCTGGATCGGTGAGAACTATCGTAGATAAAGGGAGTTGCTCATCATCTCTTGATGAGCATGAATTGAATTCAATATTTACTAGCGACTCGATGAGCCTGACTAAGAGTACAGGGTCGTCATCAACTTCATTTGTAATGCCAAAGTTATCGCTGACTTATAAACCATCGCAGGCCAAAAAATTATTGGTGGTAGGTAGACTGAGCAAGAGGTTTCACCAGGACATCCCAAGGGAATATAGACAATACTTCCATATATCTCAAAGCTCCGACCCCAGTGAGTTTCAGAATTACATTGGCATCGTAATTGTGTTTCAAGAATTAAAAGAATTTGTTGCTATGCTGAACAGAATTGTCCAATACACGGACAAAAAACCAATAATACCAATCTGTCAACCAGGACAAAGAATTAGGGTCAAGAATATTCTGAAGTCGTTTTTAAAAAATGATGCTATAACACTATGGTATCCGCCGGTCACGATAGCAAATGAAAAAAGCATGGAGAAACTATTCAAGCACACAGTTAAGCTAGTGAATAAGCTAGAGAATGAAGAAGACGTGCTGAGCTTGTCTACTTCAGATAAATCATTATCAGACGAAACCAGCGGTTACAGGAAGAACAACAGAAGAAAGAAACATGGTGGCAAACCAAGTACCAATTACAGTAAGTGGATAACATGGGGTATATCTCTTACAATCGGTGTTAGTATTGGTTATTACGCGACATATATGATAACCACTACATTACTCTATGGTAAGGCAGAATCACACCACGCAAATGAGGCAAAGGGATTCTCAATCACCAATGGTAACTCCGGCTCGTCGTCAATATCACATTCTACAGAATACTACGAGAGTACTATAAGCCAAAAGGGCTTGTTAAGGAACACCATTGTGTTTATAAAACGTACCATCCACAACCTTAACGGGAAAGTTGGTACATTCTTTGCCTCCATCACTCAAGTTATAAAACAGACCCCAGTACGTGAAGACAACCAATTCTATACACTAGGGTATATGCTCTCTTAGGAAAAATCCCACCTATTCCTTTCTAATATCTATTTGATTTTCTACCTCATCTCTACCATATTCAATATCCCGAAACTTTTGTCTGGCCTACATACTATATCTTCAGTCTAATTATTATATATTCAGTGTTCAAAGGGAAATAGAAATGATATACCATTAGTCACCACTGAGAGACCTTTCCAGTGTTTAGGAAATTCGTAAGATTAGAAGACACCAGTGTACCTACACTAAGACATGTCTCTTAATCCTTTGATGTAATCCATATACTGCTATACCAATACAAAATCCAACACATACACTCTCTCTGGCATTATATCCCATTCACAGACTTCACCAGAACTATCATTACGTCATTTCTGTTGCTCATCCGGCTTAAAAGCCCAGCGACGCGTTTTTTCTTCGCTGGAGCAAAGTGAAAATCGGTCGCTCCGGGCGACACACCGATGAGGTCTCTCTTATCAAGATGAAAAGCTTTAATCAATGATTTAAGTGGCAGTTATTGCCAGGATTTTAGAATGGTGAGACCAACACATATTATCTGAGTAACGGCGGGTAGATATAGGCAAATACAATCAATATCATATTTTCGAGCTAGTCTTTGTGATACTATCTTTTTTTTTTACCCCTGCAATATATTACTGAAGGATTTCCGGACACAAGGATATACGCATACCGATAACAACTGGATAGGAGATTATCTAAAAGCTAGATATTGAAGGTGAAGTACTATAGAACTCAAGAATAGCTAAATTAAGCATTTCTCTGCAAACGCAATAGAACTATGGATTCCACAGAATCAGCTCCGCGAAGGAGGCGTTTTCTGAAACCGCCGTTTCGCATTGGGATAAGAGCACAGCTGACCGCACTGGTCAGTATAGTGGCGTGCTTGTCGCTGATTATCTTAGCAGTCACAACTGGTGTCTATTTCACCTCAAATTACAAGAATCTAAGATCTGATAGACTATATATAGCAGCGCAGTTGAAGTCCTCTCAACTGGATCAAAATTTGAATTATCTCTATTATCAGTGCTACTGGCTAGCCTCTAGAGATACTTTGCAAAACGCGCTCGCGAGCTATGTCGCAGGTAATAAGACTGAAGAGAACTGGGAAGAATCTACTAATGTGATACAGAAGTTTTTGAGTTCATCAAACTTATTCTTCTTGAGTCGTGTCTATGACTATGATTTCAAACCTGTCCTGAACACAACCAATAACGGTACAGGTGATGAAGTACCTGAGTCGATTCAGAATCAGTTATTTCCACTTTCAACCGATGTACCATTGCCATCCTCTCTTATGACAAATGGTATGCTAACAGATCCGGTGTTAAATGGCACCGATTACTTAATGTCAATGTCACTGCCGATCTTTGCAAACCCTTCTATTATATTCTCAGATTTAAAGGTATATGGGTATATCACTGTTGTTATGTCAGCAGAAGGTCTCCGATCAGTTTTCAATGATACAACTGCATTAGAGAAGTCTAATGTCGCTATCGTCTCTGCACGATACTCTAATTACACAAAGATCGATTCCTATAGATTCGTGTTTCCCCCTTATGGTGTAAGTCCCAGTATATTAAATCGAACGTTCGAGCTGGATGACAGTTCCTTCTTAAACGGTGCTTTCAAGCAAGCGAAAGGTGGATCCATCAAGAAAACTAAATTTTTCTATACAAAAGACGTTGCAATCGGCTACTATCCTTGCTCTTTTAACTTTGTTAATTGGGTAGCTGTTGTTTCCCAAGCCGAATCTGTCTTTTTATCTCCTTCAACTAAGCTGACCAAAATCATAAGTGGTACAGTAGTTGGTATTGCTGTATTTGTCTCATTATTGACATTCCCATTGGCTAGCTGGGCAGTGAAACCAATTGTGCGGTTGCAAAAGGCTACAGAGTTGATTGCCGAAGGCAGAGGCCTGCGACCGGCAGGTGCTGGTAGTGGTAGCAGATCAGGCAGTCGCACAAGCTCGATGAAGAAGGATATTAATGATCTCAATTTTATTAGTCGACTGTCTTTAAGTGAAAAGAATCATCGACCGGCTTATGATTCTGCTAGCGACAGCAATTATGCCACAGACGGTTCTCTTTCTCATGATTTACAAACTTCACAGGCCTCTAATAGACCCAGTGATAACGACCGATCTTCAAGTAGATCAAGGTTTTTAACTACTTCTACAAATCTTAATGAAGCTAGGCTACCTGATTACAGAAGGCTATTTTCAGATGAGTTATCTGATTTGACCAATACTTTCAATGCAATGACAGATGCTCTCGACCAACACTACGCCCTATTAGAGGATAGAGTGAGAGCAAGAACAAAACAGTTAGAAGCTGCTAAAATTCAAGCCGAAGCCGCAAATGAAGCTAAAACTGTTTTCATTGCCAATATATCTCATGAGTTAAGAACACCACTAAATGGTATTTTAGGTATGACTGCGATTTCTATGGAAGAGACAGATATTGCAAAGATTAGAAATAGTTTGAAATTAATTTTCAGATCAGGTGAACTACTGTTGCATATTCTTACCGAACTTCTTACATTTTCCAAGAATGTCCTGAAGAGAACTGCACTAGAGAAGCGTAACTTCTGTATAACAGATGTTGCTCTCCAGATTAAATCTATTTTTGGTAAAGTAGCGAAAGATCAACATGTCAGATTGTCTATTTCATTAACACCAAATGTTATAAGAACCATGGTATTATGGGGTGACTCAAATAGAATTATTCAAATTGTTATGAATTTGGTGTCAAATGCCTTAAAATTCACTCCTGTTGACGGCAAAGTAAATGTTAGAATAAAGTTATTAGGTGAGTATGACGAGGAAGCAACTAAAGCCGACAATTTTAAACAAATACATACCATAGCAGACTCGGATGCCCATCAACAACATCCTGTTAGTTCGTCACCAAACGGAGTCTTGGTAAAGCATTTGTCTACTAGTTCCGACTCTAACTCCAACTTGAGTGACAGCGATAAGTACAATGAGAAAACCTATGACGAAGATGACGATGAACATAGCATTACTAACATCTCAGACCATTCAGACGATCTGTCATCACTAGTTTCATCAAGCACAAGCTCTTATGATAATGCATTGTTCAATACTCAATTCAAGAAAACTCCTGATCTGTACGAAGACAGTAATGATGGTTTAGGAACTGAACTGGCTGATCAGAAAACTTGGGTTTTTGCTATTGAGGTTGAGGATACAGGTCCAGGTATTGATCCTAAATTACATGAGTCTGTGTTCGAACCTTTTGTTCAAGGTGACCAAACTTTGTCCAGACAATATGGTGGTACAGGTTTAGGGTTATCGATCTGTAGGCAATTGGCAACAATGATGCACGGCACCATGAAGCTGGAGTCTAAAGTAGGAGTAGGAAGTAAGTTTACATTTACTGTACCTTTGAAGCAGACAAGAGTTATAAAGTTTGATGAAGAAGAAGATCTATTTGAAGATGAGTTCAATCCTGAAAGTAAGAAAAATAGAAGAGTTAAGTTTAAAGACTCTACACGTAGTTTGCACAGTCGTAGATCTAGAACTAGTGTGGACAGAATAACAAACCACTCTGGAGATAAACAGAGTAGTGAAGGACATTCAACTTCATTCAAGATTAGTGAGGTTAAAGATGAAGATATTGAACAATCACCAGAGCCTGACAACTTACCTAAGGTTGGTGACGAAAACGATTCTAAAGCAAGCTCTTCCTCTTCTAAGTCTGACAATATAAAGGAGAAAGAAGAAAAAGTTCATTTGGATAGACCATTCCTGCAAAGTACTGGTACAGCAACATCAAGCAGAAACGTCCCTACAATGGCAGATGTGACTATGCGCTTCAAAATTTTAGTTGCGGAAGATAACCATGTCAATCAAGAGGTCATTAAGCGTATGCTAAACCTAGAAGGAATTAATAATATTGATTTAGCATGTGATGGTCAAGATGCATTCGATAAAGTCCAAAGCTTAGTCGAGCAGAATGACAGTTACGATATGATCTTCATGGATATTCAGATGCCAAAAGTTGATGGTTTATTATCTACTAAGATGATTCGCAGAGATTTAAACTACAAAGGTTCGATTGTTGCTTTAACTGCATTTGCCGATGACAGCAATATCAAAGAGTGCATAGAGGCAGGGATGAACGGGTTTCTATCAAAGCCTATTAAGAGACCTAAATTAAAGATGATCTTGGAGGAGTATTGTCCAAATTGGATAGAAATGAAGAAAAGCAAAGAAAACAAAGACGGGGACAAAAAAGTTGAAGAAAATAAACCCAAAAAAGAATGAACAATCATCTTGTTCATTATCCAGGGTTGTAATAGAACAATTTACTAGCATATTTTATAATGAATTACATTCACATTTTTTTAGCATGTATAATAATCAGGATAGACTTATTATTCTATACTATAATGTACAGACATCGTAACGATTTAGTTCTGCCAATTAATAGTATGTGCCATTTCTTGTATGTTAACGATTATTCCATGTACCTAATGATACATAGCTTTATGCGATACATGCTACATTTCACTCAAAAGATTCCGCGCGCGCCGCGTGTTTGATCGGAGCGCGATGATTACCGATGACCTGATTAAAAATAAATAGCTAGGAGGATACCTCATCGATATTGCACATATCGTGGTAAGTAAATAGGAATAGGCAATCCAATAACAAGCATAACTGTTGACAAACAATAAACCTTTAAATTGTAACCCACCAATTATTCTCGTACACATTATTGGAGTTGATTGAATTGCATAATAATCAATACCGAGATTAGTCAATTTGAGCATACCTAGAAAGCTAAATGGTTCATATAATTGATAATGATCCAAGGGAAGTAAAATTACTTGACCCATATACTGATTTATCAGAAGATGACAAAGAGCAGGAGTCAGATATACAAAGAGAATTGGAAATGATTGAGCGAAAGAAGCAAGATCTTATATCAAGATTAAAGGAGAATAAACGGAAACTTTTGAGCAAACAACTTGATCCAAATATGAAAAACATCAATAGCAGAGGAAGAGTCGAGGTACCGAGATCTCCCAAACGTGAATCCTTACCTGCACAAGAAAACCTTCAACATAATGTCCCACAAGTTACACATAATCAAGCGGCCAATAACAAGAAGGCAAATCCCAATGAAGAGGATATTGTGCGTAAAGAACTTGATGTTGTTGCGACGACATCATATTTTCAGAATAAATTCAAGAACTCTAAAACAGATGAGAATAGGATGGTTACTGCTTACCAACAGATGATGTCCGCCCGTACTCACACCTTTAATGGGTCCACTAGCTTATCCGATAATAAAACCATACAGTGTGATGAACTAGAACCTTATTCAAACTTTCACATCAAAAAGAGGTATATACCTAAGGATGAAGTCGATAAATTACTGCATGGAATAAAAATACTAAGATTGAACAAACTATTTGCTAAAGTTAGACCACCTTCCTTCTCTGAGCCACAATACTCAAACTGGGTTGCAATTGGTGCAATAAGTTCAAAGGAGGACGTCAAGCTTACCAATGCAGCAAAACCTGTCAAGTACTTCAAGTTCACCTTGACTGATTTCAGGCATAACCTAGATGTGTATGTGTTTGGCAAAAAACCAGTCGAAAGGTACTATAATCTTCGAGTTGGAGACATTATAGCCGTTCTGAATCCAGAGATTCTTCCATGGAGACCTTCGGGATGTGTTAACGGTATTAAATCATTCAACTTGAGAATAGGCCATGATTTCAATTGCATTCTAGAAATCGGAGCCAGCAGGGATCTAGGCTGGTGCCAAATGGTAAATCACGGACAGAGTAAGATTTGTAATTCTCCAATTAATACTAAAACCGATAGGTGTTGTGAGTTTCACCGTGAGCTACAAATGAGAAGCACTGCATCAAAGAGAATAGAGCTGAGTGGTTCATACGCTTTAGGAGCTCCTACTAAAGTTGGAACACAACCTTCCATATATAAGGATAATAATAAGAGTAGAAATACTAACCCTGCTAAACATAAAATGTTTTCAATAACCGGGCATGGCTCAAAAAAAGAACAAGAGAAAGAAAAACATGAAATAGAAGCACATCACTTTTCAAATAAAAGAGCGGCTAAGGCCTTCTTTGATGATTCGTTTCAAGATCCAAGCCTTCTAGCTAATCTGGAAAGTAAGCGACGCAAGATAAAAGCATCTAAAATGGATAGAAATTTATTAAAAGCTTTAAATGGTGAAGATGCTTCACAGTCCAAGAATAAACAGCAAGTAAAAGAGATCACAGAGAAAACTTTACAAACTGGTGTAATACAAAGACTTGGTTTTGATCCAAGTGGCGGTCAAATTGCAAAGGTATTGGACAAGTCAAGAGGAACTAAAACCGACGACCCAACAATCTCAAAAAAAATGGGTCTTATCAACGATTTGATACATTTCAAGAAGGATAAAATAAAACTTAAGCCATCAAGAGAAATTCAGCTTGAGAAACGGCATCGTAGAGAAGCTATATGGAAGAAACACTTTCAAGATACAAATGATAGTGATAGTGACTTAGAAATTGTCTAAAAAGAATCAGCCATTGTAAACATTGACAAATTCATCTGAGGTTATAAGGGTGAACATATCACTACTCAAGTATTGTAAATTTCATAAAAACTGGATATTCTACAAAACGGGAGTATAATACAGCTCTCTCTAATGATAAGATCGACCTAACTAAGTCGGAAGTGCATAGATAGAAGTTTGTATTGGAAAAAATTTAATGACTATAATAGTTGTACAACGTGTAATGGTTAGCCAACCACCACTAGACTTCTACTTTTCGTCAATAAGCTGTTCTGTGAAGTTCAATACTATGGTTTTTTATAGAAGTATAGCCATATCAATCATTACTCTTTCGTATTTCATTCTACCATTATTTACAGATGCATATATACCAGGCATAGAGTTGTTGGTAGAAATTCAGCTAACTTAGATTATCAATGATAGCACTGTCCCACACAATACTTGTTTTGTGAAAAATCAGGCTATTTCGCTATCTGACTTTTCATTGAACATGATTGTTTTCATGAACAAGAGTGCAGCTATAATCAAGAAACTAGATTTTGATAGTAGCATCAGTTACATAAGGGTAGCGAAAGAGCATTGTAGCACGATAGTATCTTTTGTCTGTGCCATGGCTCAACTATTATGCGGTAGATAGGTAATATTTTAGCAGTTGAGCCGTATGCTGGATTAGTAACATCACAATGAGAGTTGCGTTACAAACGTGCAAACAGCGCAAGTACTATCCCCGTACTGATAGGGCCTTTCCAAGATATTCACTATATTGCCAGCATTGCTTGTCCGTAGAACGGCAAGGCAAGTTGCGGCATCAACTCGCGGGTTTCTTCTATTTATCTAATTGTGAAATATTCAGATAATTTTTCCTTCTTTTCTTTGTGTTCGCTTCATTGTTAGGGAAGTCGAGTAAGCTTGTAAATTACCATTAATGGAAGATTGCGATTGCCAGCAGTGTATAAAGGAGTAAAAGGTGGGGGTGGGAGGGAGGTGTTCTTACGGTAACAGCTGTTGGTATGAAAGGAAGAGGGATTTATTCCCGAAATCAATAACCTAGGACAATTCCGTGGAGTTTCCCGGTTCTTAAAACTTTCCCTTGCGACTTTGTTGTCTTTTTCTCTGTTCTCACTGCAAGGTAAGTCCCTCACGAAAAGCAGCAACCTAAAAAGTGTGAATATTGGTAGAAGCACTTGCCCTAATGAACATAAACAAGCAACTAAATTCTAAAGGTCTTAATGAACAAGGGACAAGGGTTCTTTGTAAGTGAAGGGGTTTGTTGTTCAAAGCAAATAGAATGAGAATCCTAAGAATTGACAGTAGCATACGTAAACTACCAAGGAATCACAAAAATCACTTAAACAACAGGAGTATCCTTGTAGGAGAAAAGTACTAGGTTGATTTTGTAGTGATAATCGACTTCGAATTTGCAGGATAGTTTTTGACTCTCACCTTAGTTATTACTGCCTTTATTCTAATATCAACTTTTTTCTTGATTTTTATTTGATTTAAAGAGTTTCTGAAATTATCATTCCAGGGTGGAGTTGTACTTGCAATATAAGGCAAACTAGCATTATAGACAAGTGTTATACTAGGTTTCTGATATATACAAAGTTTACATCATAAGGAACATCATCACATATTGCATTTTTAAAGTTCCTGGCCAAGTCAAACAGGTTGCAAACAAATAAACGTTACCTGTAAATCAAACAGTTTAAGTTAAAGATAAAAAATCTTGGAAGAGGAATAACAGGCCAACTGTCTCCGGGTTATATATTGACTATAATAACAGAAGGTTCTATTGATTAGTTACTTCCTCGTAGCAGGAAAGGGAAAGATCAGATTACTTAGCAATAGTTGATTTAGAGTTGACTCTTTCTCTCTCTCAAATATTTGTGATATATCATTTTTGTGTGATTGCTAAGTGCAGAAGGGGTGGATTAGTCTAAAAGAGTACTAATCTTGCTTTTAAAAGACATATATGTTGGAATGGGAAGTTCACCAATAGAGCATTCTATTAAAGGAAAACATGTTTATGACAGGAAATCAAAACTAACCGACAACAATTTCAATTCGAATAACTTCATCAACAACAATAACAGCATCCCAGGTTTTACTCAAGGATTACACCAAAAAAGACATAACTCGAGTGCTAATAACCATACAAGAGATACAATTGTTAAGAGACGATTACCAGTTCAGTCAGACGAGAATCCGATTGGTAACTTCTTAGATAGCTTTTCAAAGAATAGTTCCCCTTTACAACAGTGCAGAACTCCGGGTTCTAGACCACATAGCGTGACGAAAAAAACCAGTAATATAGACAACACAGATATGGTAGGTAGAAGTAATGCCATAGGTGGATATAGCGATAACGCCAACATGAGTAATAAGAGTCCTGCAGAATTTAATGCTGGTCCAGTTAATAAAAATCATACAGGAAACAGTCTCCTAGATAACATAGCAAACTCTGCTAACAGAGTTGATATACCAGGATCACCCTTTTATTTACCAACCAGAACCCATTCAAATATATTGGAAACTACTCAAGCTGATGCTCCTTTACATCCTGTAAATTCTTCGGAGGTTGAACAAGAGTCTATTGGTCCTGAATTAAATTTGATAGAAGAGCAGTATAATTCAAATCTAGAAAATGGGGAAATAAATTATAATACTGAAGTGTCTGATTTTGAATCGCTTCCGACCAAAGATGCCAACAGTGTTACTTCAACAGAATATGAGAAGGGAACCCGAACGGCAATGACCTCACATCAATCAATTCTACCCACTACATGGAATAGATCCACTCAAGCCTTGATATCAAAACTGCAAGATATTTATAAATCAATTTTGGTTCAAGAGGTTGAACTACAGAACTGCTGTTCAGCTATTACATCCTCTCAAACTACTGATTTAAAGAAAATATGGGAAGTGTACAAAATAAATGTCGAACTAGTGAACAACTATGTTATATTTATCACAACAGCGTTGCTGCCGTCCCAATCTCAAACAGATTTATTGATAGGACAAGAGATTATTGACGTATATAAAATTGAAAGAAGATTGTGGGTGTATGGCACAATAACCTTCCTTGATGTTTTGAAACATTTTTCTAATTTCATGGATCCAGAAATCTGTTGTCAGTTTATTATTCATGTTTTTATATCAATTGCCAATATGTCTGATTATATTCCCAAAAAGTTTTCCATTCCGTGGTTTTCTAGACTTGGCGATTTATCCCGTATGGCAACAGCTTTATATCCTCCTGGGGCAACAGATTGGAAATTGAGTGCAGAATACTGGTATGGTGAGGCAATGAAATATACTTACGGAGTAGGTAAACTGTACTATCATATGGCAACAGTTCAGCAAAATTCTTTAGCAGCCTTTATAAACTTAGGTAAAAGTGTTTTTTGCCGAGATGCATTTGTACCAACACAGCAGTACTTGCAGCTTGTAATCGATAATATTTACCAGAGAGCATACATTTCACGGGGTGAGGAATCGAGCAGTAACGTTCAAATACTCGATTATCTTAAGCATAATGAAATAATGGTTTTACCAAACTTCATGGAGAACTTTGAATTGCAGCGAATGGCATATGTATATTTTAGCGAGAAATTCGGCCAAGACTTTGTAGGGAACAACTTTTTTGATACACGGAGTATGTTTGTTCAGAATCTGGAGTCAGTAAAATTTTACTTCAGGCATTCTCCGTTGTTTGCCCAGGCTCATATTCTACAAGTGGTAGGGTACGGAAATATTGGAAATGCGTTTGCTTTGCTTTACGAATTGCCCAAATTTATCAAAGATAATGAAATTTCAAGACAAAGAAAGAAATCTAAAACAGGAGTTGACAACATGAGTATCGATACACTTTCATTTCAAGTTTCAGGAAACGAAATACATGATGTTGGAGAATATTTCAACTCCTTAGAAAATATCGACAAAGAATTTACTTTGCCACCTAATGTTGATATATGGATTCAATCTCTACAATATACTAATACTACAGGTATATTTTGTGGCATGATGGTTTTACAGAAATTTCTCCAAGGTCCTTTCGTTACAGCCTTGCCACATTTACTACCATGGGTCTATTTCTTAATTTCAGTTGCATTCAAAATAGAAACTTTACGGGATACCAACAGTCAATATTTTTGGAAACTCTTCATAAGACGCATCTTTCCTTGGAATACGATCATAAATTTTTTGAACGTCTTAATTGCATTTCTGAAGGACAACTCTGATTCGTGTTCCTTAGTAAATCAGCTTTGCGAAACATATTCACAACTCTCATTGGATGAAATTTTGACAAACTTCTCAGAAAATGAAGAACTACCTGAAGTATGGAATTGCTGGGGATCTTTGTGGTTTGATACTATTAAAAACAAAAGTGAAACTAGTTATAGTGGCTTGAAAACCGCCGGTATTAAGGATGTGAACTTCTTAGACGCTCCTTATGATGGGATTGTTTTTGATGAGGAAGACGACAATGGCAATAAGTTCTGGAAACGTGCCTGTCGTATACTGTTTCTATTCAAAGGATATGCAGAGAAATTTGATCAAGGTTTAAGACTAACCAATATCAACAGTCTAAATTCTGAAGAAGAGAATATTTTCACCAAGAAACAAGAGAAGCGTAACATTGATTTCTTGTTTAAATTTGATCCTACCTATGATTTATTACCGATTGACGAAGCTTCTAATAAATACTTCCAGGTCTATTCACTATTTACAGAGAAATTACCAGCGTTTGAATCGATAAGTGAAAACAATATCATATTAGATGCTGTGCCACAACTCAGTGTTATTGATGGAGAAAGTATTTTTGATTACGTAGGCTACAAGAAGTTGTTGCCATGCTACTATTACTATGATAAGAACGGCAATGTAAACAAAGGTGCTATCTACTCAAACTGGGAGGCTTTTAACCAGCTCGGTAATGGACTGAAACCGAGAATGGAAAATGGCTCTTCATTTATTATTGATGGTCTAGATGATTCGAAGAATTTTGAGATACGCGAAAAAAGGTTATTTGCAAAGTATTTAGAGTGTGACGAAAGCCAAGAATCATCCGATCACCTAGCTGAAGTGGAAAGAGAAGGCGATGAGACGGAAGATGAGACAGAAGAAACAAATTCTCGGAAAGTGGATAAATACTACACTAATCAACGCGACTTGGACACTATATTTAAAACAATCAAGATTAACGGAGAGATGAGAGTCGCATATTATTCGACTTATTTCATTTTCGATGCCACCACATGGCTTCGTCATTTTGCTCACATATACAAGATTGCGTACAGTGGTCTTCTGAATTTTGTCATATGTCTAACCACATTCCAGGAGCTGAGGTTTTTACGTCGTTCCAGAGATGAAAATGTGATGGAGGCTGCCACAAGAGCAGTGATTGTCATCCGACTACTATATAAATTGAAGAAGGTCATACCATTACGGTTTAATGGTAAGATCGCATCACATATAGAAGAGCACTTGGAGTTTGAAGAACAGATTACGTGGAGATCTCATGTCAATGAATTTGTCATTGAAGCAGTTGCCAAATCTCAGGAGAATGGCATGTTTGATGAATTACACAATGAGAGTGCGAAGGCTGATTTTGATGCAGAAAACATGGATACCGCTGACAGTGCGGACACCAAGCAGCGTGGCAATAGTAATGCCAGTACGAATAGCAAAGTTTTATCTGTGCTAGTTACAGATGACCGCAATATGGACAGCAAAGCCAAGGAGCGCGGTATCCGGACGTGCAGCACGAGGTTTATATTTTCCATTTGCAGTCAACTTGGAATGAAGTATGGAATCTGTACCAATTAGGATCATGCCCTGATCCTCGCCTGTATTCCAGATGAAAGGCAAAGAACAAAAGAAATGAATATTTTCACGAATTCTCTCTTTTTTTTTTTAATATTTTGGTAGGACTATATTACTTCTCTTCGAAAATCAGAGCTATAGACAAATACAAACATATATAATGAATATATATATATATGTATATATATATATGTCTCACATAATTTATTAATGCATAAAGAATAATAACATAGATTCATTATTTCCAAGAGTGTCAGTGCAACTCCCATTGGAAATACCAAGATATGCGCCTGGTCAGTTGGAACTTGTTAGAAGGACAATATTGTATCCGTGTATATTTCGTAGTTGCGATCTGTAATTTAGTGTTGGAATGCAATATCAGTGGTTCAACCCCGTTAGCATTTGTCCAGACCATTATTTCGTTAGGCGACAATTGTATACAGCGGCATACCGGGACAGATATAGTGGCACCTTCCGCACGTTGGCGCAACACCGTTTTGAAACTGTGTAGGAAAGGCAGACGAAGATGGTTCTGAGTGCCTTGTCTATATACAGTTCGCCTGAAACGAGGAGCGGCCAGCGGTTTACGCTTGTTGTGCACACTCTTGCTACGTTTACGAAACACCACTTCTGTAATACGAATCATATAGTACTGTACATCCCTAGGAAATACAGTCTACACCAGTACATATATTTATTAGTTGTATCTTGGCTATAACTGTTATCTGAAAAGAAAATAGCCGCCGAGAACATGTATATCCGTGTATCAAATGGCTTTTTTCAATTCCAAGTTCCGTTCCCCCCCACTACTAAACCCACTTCCCATGTAGACATAAAAATGCCATTCATCCGGAAAAGTGAAGAACACCGCGAGTATCATGAAGAAACATTACCCGGCTCCCAATGAATATTATATTTTTCTCGGACTAATGGAAATGTGGTCCAAGGGTACAAGCTGGGTAAAAGGCATCCCACACACTGAACGTAGAGGCTACAGCCGTACCGAGACTGTTTAGCCGATGCGCATTTCTCTCTCTCCCCTCCCATCCTCTAGTCCGAGCCTTGAAGTTAGAAAACGTCAAAAGACAATAAGTGCCCTAGTAGTGGGGGGAAGGTGGAGCGGGAAGTGGAAAAGCCATCGAGAGTAAGTAAAACCGTAGGAACAATCCATATAAGGAAGTTCAATTGCAGTTGCAGTATCCCTCCCCTCCCCTAGTTTAGTAAGCCAGTTCTCGAAGACAAAAAGCGCCGTAGCACCCAAAGAACAATCTTAATTGACACCTGTTTTATGCGCTTCTTTTAGGGGAGGGGGGAGGTCAAAAGCAAGCACTAAAATTTGGGAAGAAACAATAACATACCCCGGACTAAAGGAATACAACTATTAGTAATTCCTTGTACTATCCCACTCATCTCCTGGAAGTTGACGGATGAATGGGAGGTGTATGGACAGAAGGTGGCCCTCGATTTCAATGCCCAGTCCCATTCAACCGAAGGTATTCCCTAGAAACACTGCAACCACTCCTCTCAAATACATTGTGCCATTAGCCGGACACTCCTGCGTGTCTTGTTTGGCGTTTTCTAGATACTCTTGGAAAGACAGGGCATCGGAACAAATCGGGGCGGGGTGTATGTGTTTACACAGTGGGAAGCACTCATACAGACGGAGACACACACATACACACACAGACACATACACACACACTTAATCTTGACGGTTCTATCGAAATTCCCGATTTGCTCCGGGCCCGGGGATTTCTTGCCGCCCACCCTGCCTGAGCCTGCCTGAGCCTACAGAAAAACCAGCGCACAGCACTGGGCTGGGGGATTTTGGCCCAGTTCCAGGCTTGTGAAGAAAAAAAAATTAGTATAAATAGCGGATGGAAACTGCAAGATTGTTTAATACCTTTTCCTCTACAAGAAGATAAATCAGAAAATAAAAATTGTGAAAAAGGATATCAATACAAATTACCGTACCAATTAAAAAAATAAATAAATATAAAACTACAACATGCCATCTAAATCTAGTGTTTCTGGGAACTCCGTTGAGGAGAGGATTAGATCCGAGTTGGGATTGTCCAAGGAAGTTACTCTAATTAGAAGGAACGCTCCAGCTGCTGTGTTATACCAGGATGCTCTAAAGGAAAAGAAGACGGTGATCTCCAGCGCAGGTGCCTTGATCGCTTACTCTGGTGAGAAGACCGGCCGTTCTCCAAAGGACAAGCGTATCGTTGAAGAAGAAACCTCCCGTGACAACGTGTGGTGGGGACCAGTTAACAAGCCATGCTCGGAGAGAACCTGGGCCATTAACCGTGAAAGAGCTGCTGATTACTTGAGAACCAGAGAGACTTTGTACGTGGTGGATGCCTTTGCTGGCTGGGATCCAAAATACAGAATCAAAGTGCGTGTTGTCTGCGCAAGAGCTTACCACGCTTTGTTCATGACCAACATGCTGATCAGACCTACAGAAGAAGAATTGGCCAACTTCGGTGAGCCAGACTTCACTGTATGGAACGCTGGCCAATTCCCCGCCAATGCAAGAACCCAAGATATGACCTCAAAGACCACCATTGAAATTAACTTCAAGGCCATGGAAATGGTCATCCTAGGTACCGAATACGCTGGTGAAATGAAGAAAGGTATCTTCACAGTTATGTTCTACTTGATGCCTGTCCACCACAACGTGCTAACTTTGCACTCTTCTTGTAACCAAGGTATCAAGAACGGTGACGTTACATTGTTCTTCGGTCTATCAGGTACCGGTAAAACTACTTTGTCCGCCGACCCTCACAGATTGTTGATCGGTGACGACGAACATTGTTGGTCCGACGAAGGTGTCTTCAACATCGAAGGTGGTTGTTACGCTAAGTGTATTAACTTGTCCAGAGAGAAGGAACCAGAGATTTTCGATGCCATCAGATTCGGCTCTGTGCTAGAAAACGTCATTTACGACAGCGAGAGTCATGAAGTTGACTACGATGACTCAAGCATCACCGAAAACACCAGATGTGCCTACCCAATTGACTTCATCCCATCCGCCAAGATCCCATGTCTAGCACCAGCTCATCCAAAGAACATCATTCTATTGACCTGTGATGCTTCCGGTGTCTTGCCACCAGTCTCTAAGCTAACCCCAGAACAAGTCATGTACCACTTCATCTCCGGTTACACTTCTAAGATGGCTGGCACTGAACAAGGCGTCACCGAACCAGAACCAACCTTCTCTTCTTGTTTCGGTCAACCATTCTTGTCTTTGCACCCAATGAGATACGCCACAATGTTGGCTGAAAAGATGCACGAGCATAGCGCTAACGCTTGGTTGATTAACACCGGCTGGACTGGTTCCTCTTACGTTTCCGGCGGTAAGCGTTGTGCTTTGAAATACACTAGAGCTATCTTGGATGCCATTCACGATGGCTCCTTGGCTAAGGCTGAATTCGAATCCTTACCAATCTTCAACTTGCAAGTTCCAAAGGCCGTTGAAGGTGTTCCATCCGAGCTTCTAAACCCAGCCAGAAACTGGTCTGAAGGTGAGGCTAAGTACCAATCTGCAGTTTCCAAGCTAGCTGGTCTGTTTGTTGAAAACTTCAAGACTTACCAAGACAAGGCCACTTCCGATGTCTTGGCTGCTGGTCCACAATTGTAAATTCGCAATCAAAGACTAAGAAATTAAAAATTTGATGCAAGAACAGAAAAGGCAATTTTTTTCTCTTTCTAATCAGGTAAATATTCTAAGAACCTTTTCTCTGTTTTCCATAATTTATTTTTTCTCTAAAAATAAGGGGACCAACATTCATTGTTTTAATTTATTTCATTCATATTCATATTCTCAGCTATACTCGCAAATCACTATTATTTTTTTTCTTAATTAACATAAAACTTCATTCTATCTATACCGGAAATGGATATTATTGATAGCTTTTTAAATTTAAAAAGCGCCTCCAGTATATACTATAATATATAAGCAATACATCGTTAATAAACTTAAACCAATTATTCTTATAAGCCATACTCATACCATTCATTAAATATAGTCGTCTATCCATAAAAGAAATACATAGCCGCCCTACAGCCATATTTATTAATTCTCATCTCGCATGCCATCTGTTCCTGATCAGCGGAAGGCTCCCTTATCAGTTGATACATTTCGTCGGTGGCCATAGAAACCCAAACCTGATTTACTACCGACAATGCGAACTTACAACAATAGTAACAAAGCGTGCCTGCCTCGCCAAGATGCTGATCCAGTAACTCACATCAAAATGTCCTGATTTGTCTATGCACTGCATCCTGCATTGACAGGTTGCCTTAATGATCAGTCATCGCTGGCATTATTATACTTCTCAAAAGAAGTCACGTGCACAGAGCCTACCACAGCCAAGAGGTAAGACTCTCGAATCACTGACGTGGAGTGTTCATCAACCTGCTAGCATGAGCTTGTGATGTTGTTGAGGATGGCATTCTCGTTTGAACTATACCCATAGAGGTAGGTGGCCCCATACGTCCTTGTCCTGGCCCTGCTGTGGATCTTGTTGACCTCGTTGTAACATTCATGAGACGAGATTCTGGTGTTGATGATCTCATAGTGCCAACACCAGAATCTTGTGGAAGCTGTGGCCGTCTTACAAACGTTTCATTTCCAGGCGACAGAAACCTAGACTCCACAACTCTAGTTCCATCCATATTGGCTTGGGCTTGAGTCTTCAAATCATTAGTTTCATCAATATCTGGCGAATTCTCATAATTTGGTAATGGTTTCCCGTTCTTATAATCAACCCAAGGGTAGAATCCAGTACCAAACCAGAAATGCTGAATCACTGGAAATTTGTTCAAGACCTCATCCTTGTACATCTTCCATAGACCTTTTCTTACTTTAGCCCATGTCCTTACACTTCTTGATATGTCGAACAGCATAGGCGAGTGCTCCCGGAAGGCACCTGACTTCACAGTGAAAACAAAATTTAACGTCTTGCAGAAAATATTGGTCCTGGAGTACTGTTCGACCAATACTGGGTCACTTAGATCATTGGGCTCCATGGCCAATTTCTTGCGGTTGCACCATTGAGAACTACCGAGTATGTATGCCAGGTGAAAATGATCATCCAGACCCCATACACCATGCGACCCTGCAGGTTCCAAGGTATAACTTAGAATTAATCTATGCACCAGAGAGTAGTATCGATCAAATATATAGAGGACTTGATCACCGTCAAAACTTGCACCCAGCATATCCAGTGCGGCCACTGTAGCCAGGAAAGAGAGCTCATGACCTGTTCCGAAATCAAGCCTAGTGGCGGAGCCAAAACTGTTCGCTAGGTAATACCTCAGCTCAACAACGCATTGCAACTCCGATGGAAAATGAGATGAGATCAAATCCTCGAGTAAACCGGGGATCTCACGCTCTATCTTCTCGTGCCAGTCCCTGCATGCCATATTACCGTACCTTCTAGGACCAGGAATCGGAGGTGTCTCGCTCACCAACTGATCCAGTCTATCCAATACTTTCACCACCCCACCAACTACGCCAGATAACTCCAAATCAGCAACATCACGAGACTCCACTAGATCAGTATATTTGACTATGGCTCCCTCCAGTCTGCGTATGGCCTCTGATGACTGAAAGTAGTACGCTCCTTGCGAGTCGTATATCCGCTTCACAGGCTCACTAAACATCGGCCCTCTAATCAAACATATAACCACTTGAAAGGGGCTCAACCAGCACTAACCAAAGCCAACGACACCAAGAGTAACCCGTTGCTCAAGTCAACACTAGTTTATACTTTTGCCTAATTGCTGATGGCGATGAGATGAGCCCTAAAGTCACATGACACAAGTCACTTGCTTTTCCGTCACCGGCAGCCCATTGCGAGTGGATCGGCAAAGGCCAAAAGCTGATCCCTTTCAGCAAGTATAACAGGATGGATGGTGGGTGCATACTAACAGCTCTGCACTCTGTCTCTCAAGTAGTAAGAGCATTAAGCGCGCAAGATGCAGAAGGGTATATTAGTTCCAAGTGGGAGCGAGCGCGGTCCTACGGAGATCCAGTTTGATAGTGAGATTGGAAGAGGGCGTAGTCGTGACAAGCGCACTGGTGGGAATGGAGCTGGGAGGTTGAGTCTGTCGCGGTCGCGGAGCCGGGCGTCTAGTCGTGTACGTGAGGAGGAGTTTCTGAAGTGGACTGTACTGCGGAGGGATCCCAGCATGCGGTTGACGACGTTGAAAAAGAACAAGAAGAGTGGTTCTGGTACCGGAGGTGATGATGATGATGATGATGACGAGGATGACGATGACGAGGATGATGACGATGAGGAAGAGTCTGATGAAGAGCGGGTGAGTGATATTGAGAACGATGCTGAGATCGATGAGGAGTTCCACTTCGATCTGGGGACGAAAGTGCTGCCAAACTTTAGCACCAGCATTAACGATGTTCTTGAGAATAGCAAACCATGGATACAGAAGTATTTATCTACGTTGGATATGGAGAAGGAGAGAGCGGGCGTGAACTTTGAGACCTTGGAGGGCGGATACTCGCGTGCTCTCGAGCTCGTGCGTAAGGGTAAAGGTGCGGAGGCTCACCCTGAGACAAGCAAAAACTATATTCTGTGCACTGACTTGAGCAGTGAGTCTACCTATGCACTCACATATGTGATGGGGTCTTTAGTGTCTAACGGTGACACCTTGTATATAGTACACTGGGATGGTGACAGCACGACCTCGACCAAAGACAGTTTCATCGACAATGCGCTAAGAGTGAAGAAACATGTAAGGCATCTGATGGACTGCGTAAGCGTTATTGTGGACGACCTAGACGTGGTGATCATCTCGCTGACGCATCCATACCCTAAACACTTGCTGAATGAGATGATACACGGTCTTAAACCCGTTACGCTGGCGTGCTCGTTGTCTCTAATACTATCAAGTCTACAGAATTTCGTGTGCTCAGTACCAACACTAGTTATCCGTAAGAAACTGAAGAGATCAAGAAAGAAAGGAATATCTGAGTAGCTTCTCTTTTTTCTTTATGCCACCCCCACCTTCTCATTTACTCTACATACCAAAATATATACATCTACTAAAATTTATTCTATTTGTCCTTGTATTTATCATTTAGCACCGAATATATATCCCGGATCCACGCATTATATCCCGAATGCCGTATGCTCAAGATCCAAATTTATTTTTAAAAGCTGTCCCCACCCAATCATTATACATACCGATCTACATATATGTCTACTTGTCTCCTTCAAACACCACTATCAATACTCTTTAATACTGCTCATTGTGTCTACACAGCATTATCACTCGCTCTGTGACACCAAAAAGGCCCAATCAACTTCGAGTATTCAGAACTCAATTGTTCTTCCTTCTTGGTACAAAAAGCTTAAAAGACACATCCACTGCACTCGGGACCATGCCTCTAAAACCCGGGAACTACATTGCTCATTTGTCTTTATTTCCTTATTCTAATAGAAAGGGTCCCCCCCATCGCCTACCCCCTCCTATTTAGCAGCGTGTTATAGGTGCAACATAGCATATGGATGGCACCCACCCCCGCAATCAATTGTGAGCATTCTTTGTCCTAGGGACAAATTACATAATTTACTTATAGAATATAGGATCTTCATTTTATTCTTATAGGATAAGGGCTCAGTAGTTCCCCATATATCCTATCCATTTTAAGCTTCTTTCTCTTCGCGAAACAATTGACAGCGATATATCCTTCGCATGGGGACTTGTCAAAGCTAGAGGAAAGCTTCACAGCCTTGCATCTTGATAGAATAATACCTTTCGAGTCCCTACAATCCTCTCAGGAAGCAAACAAGGACAAAGGGGGTTGTGTTTTTGGACTTTGGAATTCATATAAATAGGACCAGTTTTTCTTTTCCTTGCAACTCATGGATGAGAAAACAACTCTTGCACTTTTAGATATTATTTACTAACAATTAAACACTCTATCATAGAACTACAACCCTAAATACAATGTTTGCTCGTGTTGCTGCCTCTACAAGGGCACATTCGAGGTTACTGGCCGGTACTGTTGCTGCCGGTGCTACACTAGCAGTTGCTAACCATTATAATAATAACAACAAGTTGATCTCTAACGATGTCAGCCTGATTTCTCCTGTAGAGAAACCAGACGTGAAACTGCCTACAAGAGATGAACTTCTGGATAAACTCTCCAGAACCAACCAGTTCGATGTGCTTATCATCGGTGGTGGTGCCACAGGTACCGGTTGTGCTCTGGACGCTGCCACTAGAGGTCTGAACGTTGCTTTGGTCGAGAAGAATGATTTCGCCTCAGGTACTTCTTCCAAGTCTACCAAAATGGCCCACGGTGGTGTTAGATACTTGGAAAAGGCATTCTGGGAGATGTCTAAGGCCCAATTGGACCTGGTCATCGAGGCCCTGAACGAAAGAGCCCATTTGCTAAACACCGCTCCTCACCTATGTAAGTTGCTACCAATCATCATTCCTGTCTATAACTACTGGCAAGTACCTTACTTCTACGCTGGTTGTAAGATGTACGACCTGTTCGCAGGTTCCCAGAACTTGAAAGGTTCCTACCTGATGTCCAAGAACGCTACCATGGAAGTCGCTCCAATGCTTGACGGCTCCAACTTGAAGGCTGGTTTGGTCTACCACGATGGTTCCTTCAACGATACCAGAATGAACGCTACATTGGCTGTCACCGCTATTGAAAACTCTGCTACTGTTCTAAACTACATGGAAGTTAAACAGCTAGTAAAGGACAAAGACGGTAAAGTTGCTGGTGCTGTTGTCGAGGACAGAGAAACTGGTAAGACCTACAGTGTTCGCGCTAAAGTTGTCGTGAATGCCACTGGTCCATACAGTGATCGACTATTACAAATGGATGCTAACCCTGATGGTCTACCTGATGAAGTCGTCCAAAAGACTGAGCCTATCATTGATGGTAATGCCACAGTCAAATCTATTATGTCCCAAGTCGCCGTTACCAAGCCAAACATGGTTGTCCCATCCGCTGGTGTCCATATTATTTTGCCTTCCTTCTACTGTCCAAAGGAAATGGGTCTGCTAGATGCTAAGACCTCCGACGGTAGAGTTATGTTCTTTTTGCCATGGCAAGGAAAGGTCCTTGCTGGTACCACCGATATCCCATTGAAACAAGTCCCTGAAAACCCAACTGCCACCGAGGCTGATATTCAAGACATCTTGAAGGAGTTGCAACCATACATCAAGTTCCCAGTTAAGAGAGAAGATGTTTTAAGTGCATGGGCTGGTATTAGACCATTGGTCACTGACCCAAGAAAGAAGAGCAAGGCCGATGGAAGTACTCAAGGTTTAGTTAGATCTCATTTCATTTTTACCTCTGACCATGGCTTGGTTACCATTGCCGGTGGTAAGTGGACCACTTACCGTGCTATGGCTGAAGAGACTATCGATGAAGTTGTTAAGAACGGCAAGTTTGACGCTAAGCCATGTATCACTAGAAAGTTGAAGTTGGCTGGTGCCGAAAACTGGGATCCAAATCTACCTGCTCTTTTGGCTCAAAAGTATCACTTGTCTCAAAAGATGTCCCATTACTTGGCTGAAAACTATGGTACTAGAGCTCCTTTGATTTGTGAGATGTTCCATGAAGACCCAGAAAACAGACTTCCATTGCTGCTTGCAGACAAGGAACAAACCCCTGTACTAGGACATGTCGACTTCGACAGTTTCCGTTACCCAATTACCATTGCTGAATTAAAATACGCTATTAAATATGAATATGCCAGAACAGCTCTAGACTTCTTGATGAGAAGAACAAGATTTGCTTTCCTAGATGCTAAGCAAGCTTTGAATGCTGTAGAAGGTACCGTTAGATTGATGGGTGACAGCTTAGGCTGGGATGAACAAAGAAGACAAGATGAAATCAGATACTCTACTGAATTCATTAAAACCTTTGGTGTATGAATTAGAGCCATATTTAAGTCCTAATTTATATTAAAGTTTTCTTCACAGTTTGATTATTTTACAAAAGTTTATGCTAGATTTGGAATTTAGAGTTAGCCAATCAAGTGACCAAAAAAAATCCTTCTAAAAACTCAATATTCTTATTAATTTTAACAAATACTATGACAGTTTTTTTGGTTTCTATTTCAAGACAACTAATTTCTATTCAAGCAAACGAAATATACTAATGAGACATGGAACCTTATTGTAAATATAATTCTCAGATGATAATGACCATACGAAATTAGCTACAAAAAATCAGTAATTGCTATATTCACCTCTTATAATTAATATATATATTCTAGAATTTATTTTATATTCCAAAAAATAATAAAAGCGAATTGATATAAAATTAGACTGGACGCGAACAGGCAGGATATATGACAAATCTGAATTTTGCAAAGCAAAATTCAACTTGCATTTAAATATATTTAGTGTAAGACCTTAATAGTTATACGTGCATGCTAAATTATATGCAAAAAAATATGAAATACTATATCAAATGCAAAACATCAAAAATGATACCTTATCAATCAACTCTCTCATAAAATAGAACGTACACATTCTTACTTGATACCTTGGTTATACCTTTATCTACATTACCATGTGTCTTTTCAGCCTTAACTACTTCATCGTCAAAATAATACCATTTCTGTTCCGTATTACCAAGGTTATGATGAGGATCTTTGTTGACTAATGATGTATAATGCCCACTTATCAAATTACCTGTATGATTCACGATACTGTACAACTTATAGCGCACAATTTCCTCATTTTTCAAAACAATATTCAACACAAGGGGATAGCTCACAACTGCGTCATTTTTCTTCGTGAGATCATAGTAGAAACGAGAAAGATGTATTATCAGGACTTTGGGTAATGAAATAAAATTGATTGTTTTTATCGTGACAAGTTTCTTGCTCTTCATCTTATGCCATTCTTCTATTTCATCTCTCTCCATCTTATCCAATTTTTCTTGCTTGCCTTCATGCTTTTCCAATAAACCCAGCTTTCTGAATGGTGATTTTGAGCGACTAATGGCCTTTCCTGTAGGTAACCCAAAAAACTTTGATTTTTTATGATGATGGGGTGAATTTGGCAAGATTGTCTGTGTACTTGTCCTACTAGTAAATCTAGGCTCTACAGCTTTTGAACCACATTTAGGACAATCCCAAGCATTCTCGCCTGTTAAAACTTCATCACTAGTAAACATATTAATGCAATCCTCCAATTTTACTCTTCCTGATTTATAGAAGGCAGGAGCACTTGGCTTAGGAAGAGCTAAAGAAAGAACATAAAATGTCGAATAATTGACTGATTCGTACCCACACCGTTGACACTGCAAAGCGTTCTCCATTTGCCCTTGAAAAACTCCATCAACAGGGGATAACCCATTTGCTACCACTGTTTTATCAAACCATTTTTTATATTTCTCTTTATCGACCATCATCTTGTCATCATCATATAGAAGTAGGTTTGGGTAATCATTTATAACATTAACTTGGTTCGAGAGTTCATCATGAAGACGATTCAGTATGAATAATAGAAATTCTTGGGTATCTTGTTGATCATCAGGTATGCGTAAATCTGGTCTTAAAAAGTTACAAATCTTTAGGAATCCAGAAGGTACAACAGTACATCCACCATTCATGTACATTTTATTAAAAAGATTTGCAAATGTATTGGAAATTGCTGATTCTTTATTATCGTTGGGTTTCATTTGATATTCTCTATATTTACCAGAAATAAAAAGATTCTTAAGCTCATTAGTTGCAAAAAGACTCTGAAGCATACAATTTATATAACAGGTGTTACCCAAATTTCTTAAGCCTGTGACTGAATATGCCACATAAGGATTGGAATTTTTTTCAATTGTGGGAATAGAAAACTTTCTAGTAAGAGTTTGATTTCTTGGTGAATGCAATGCATGGATGGGTAATTTTGCTGGTGGTCTGATATATTGACTATTATCGCTTGGTGCTGACTCTTCAATTGACTCTAACTTTATTTTCTGCGGTAATGGTGGCGGTGTTTCAGGAGGAATAGGAATTGAAACAGGTACTGGTGGGGGTGGACGTTTCCTTACCATTACAGGAACTGGTGGCGGTTTCCAAGTTGGAACATCAGGAATTTGCGCATTGTTTTGTTCACCTTTATTATTGCTTGGAGCGTATGGGCGATAAAGGTAATCATCAAGCTCAATTTGATATTGACTTACATATGTGTTCATAACCTTCTTCCATTTCTCATAACCACCTAATAGTGCAGTGGGGACAGAAGAAAGATGCTTTCCTGATGTGGTTAACAAGTAGAAAAGTATAAAAGAGTAATCATATTCAAAATTCATGTACGTCTTCATGTCACTGTAATAAACAATATAGTCATATTTCAATCTGCCATTGAACAATGGGTTGTTCAAACGTTGCTCTAAAATTGTATCCTTGTAAATGGGTGAGTTTGCTTCATTATCCCATAAATTCGTTGGATCAATGTTAACCACATTTGGTGCTACAATATGATTAGCCATAGATCTTTTGTTCAGCCTCAAATCTATTAGCAATAATTTATGCCGTTCCTCAGGATTAGAAAGTATAGAAAATAGTTCAGGCGCTGTTATGATGCTCTGCTTTTGCAAACGCTCAAGTCCTTGAATAAAAGCATTTGAACCATCAAAGTAATTTTTGGAATTATTGTTATCGTCATCTATCATATATATTGAGTGGTAAGAATCTTTTCTATGAGTAATCAGTCTATTAGCGTGTAAATCTTCAAAATCTTTACCGCGATATGATACATCATCTCCCTTTGATACTGTTTCATAGTATATGTCATCGCCCAGCGTGTCACCATCCAACCCCATTACAGGTGGGGACAACAGTTCAGTACCCAATGCCAATTTCAATTGGTCGTTTGGATCTAAATCTGGTGCGGTCCATATAGGTGATCCGTGCTCAACATAATATTCTTCGTCACTGTCAGTTGCTGTTCCTGGCAATGACTTGGCTTCATTATGTTGGTCAAACACTGCCTTATCATCAGAGTGCAGCGATAAGGTAGGTATTTCATTATTGGCATTCAATGTAACATCCAAGGATTTCCTGGGTTGGTTAATGTTTGTGATTGGGTTGGATTTAGTTCGAGATTGTTTTTTTTCTAACAACATGTCTGCTTTCATCCCATTGCTTTGATCCCTTTCAACACTAGGAAAACGAGTCTGTTGTTCACTTCTGTGTTCAGGTAATTCATCGTGTAGGGATAACGTAGACATACCTGATGGCGAAGAAATAGAATAAGCACTTCTCCTGGTAATTAAGCGCTTGCCTTGATTCAGCATGTTATCCGCCCCCTTTAGGTTGTTGCCCAGTGGTTTGGAATCATCCACACCCTCGTTATCCTGAAAATTATCACATTGCTCTTGAATCTGAGCCACTTCCTCCTTAACCATAGCTATAACATTAGTCATGTTCAATTGCGACTCATACAGGTGCCGAAGCTCTGTGTACAGACTATAGGACTTGCTCCTAGTCTGAAACTGCATGGACTCTGGCATCACCAAATATATGTAAAAACAACCGGTGATAAACACCCGTACCGCCTTGGACGTATCCACATCTACACAACCCATATAGTCTTCCAGCATGCATTGCGCTTGCTCTAATAAGTCAAGCAGCCTTTGCAACTTCAGTTGCGGGAACTGCGGCCTGATCTCATCCACATATATCTGCTGTATTTGCAGCAACAACTGTCCGCTAAACTCCGGCGTAAAACGGTCCATATGTGCTCTAGCTCAAGCTCTGAGTATAGTCCTAGCTCTTATCTATTAACTGCTATCGTCGCCTGCCTTCTTGATCCAGCTCCTTAACTATGACTTCTTTTATATTCGAAGCTTTTAAGCCCCGGATTTGAAAAGAGCGATGAGCCCTTGAGGGAAAACATCGAATATGGAGTTGTCTTGAGTTTATATACATAAATAGTTTATACAATATTACCTCTTGAAGTAGCTAGATGTGCCGCAAGTAGCAACAGTGTAGTCGTAGGTCGACTCGCCAAATGCCAGGTACTTCTCGAAGTAATCACGGGCCGTGGTGTTTGGGATCAACTCTGTCCTTGGCACAAGGCCGGTGTTCCTCTTGACCGCAGCCAGGCAGGTCGATACCAGGACAAGGTCCACAGATAGGTGCACAGCTTTACCGATCTATATCTTTATTTAGCTACCCGATAGCTTTTTTTCGCACACATACTGTGTTTATGTGGGATATTCTAGTGCAACTATGTCAGGAATGCCATAATAGCGTTAGTAACTTGTTAACGGTCTCTAATTTCCTCTTTGTAATGATGTAGGTAACATACTAGTGTCATGTTGTGACTTGTATACTTGAACTTCCCAACTAAAATCAGCCTCAGAAGAAGTTTTCACCAAGTTTGACCAAGTTTGACCAAATTTGACTATATTTCTTGGAACAGTCGGGCCCCTTGTGAAATAGGCGAATTATAAGACAAAACAAAGCTTTTGTAGGAATAGGAAGCAAGAGGCCTGGGAGAGAAAAGGTATAGGAACAAAGATGATGTCAATGCTACCGAGTCGTATGTTGAGGCAGCGGACAGCGCTTGCCGCTGTGAGAGGTTTGCGCACGGGGAGTAGGGTTATGGTGGAGTTGAAGGATAAGGAGAGACCAATGACTGTCAATGCTGAGTTGCCTGATCCTATGGCTGGACGCCGTAAGCGTATTGCAGCATTTGCTGCGTTTTCTTTAGCAACTGGTAGTGCCCTGGCTGTGATATTCAACTATGAGAAAACAGAGTCGGCGATTGTTTCGAACACGATGTACTATATGCGTAGGTCTGGCCAGACAATCGACGCTTTGGGTGAGAACATCGAATTTGCCGGTGTGATTCCATGGGTCTGGGGTGAACTGAACCCAGTGGCCGGTAAGATCAATATAACTTTCTCTGTCAAGGGTAAGAAAGGCGTCACTGGTATCGTTAAACTTGTAGCTGACAGAGAGAACCGCCGTGAAGAATTTAGAATCCACGAATGGAGTCTGACTGTCCCAGATAAAAAGATAGACCTTTTAGCTGAGAATCCACATTCCTCATTTGATTAAATTACGACAGCGCACATCAACAGTAATTTTGATGAATTATTCGACCTGTAAATAACTGAAATAAAGCATTACTCCCATAGCCGGTTCCGTAATGCAAATGGTTTGGATGTCTATAATATTATCTATATCTATATGCTTTTAGTAGAAATAAAATTACAATAAAAGACCAATACACACATTGAAATGTCATCGTCAATTACGCCAACCAGCGGCGTATGTTAGACGCTCTAGATATTTTGTATATCACTCAATAGTGCTTGAGTTCTCTCTAATAATGGTTCCCCAGCTCTCTTTTCATTTAAGACAGCCTTAGTACTACGGCGACGCCTTAACGGAGCAGGGTGTTGTTTTTTTGCATCACGCAGCTTTGTTATTAAATCATCAACTGCGTTGATTTCATCATCGGAATGCTCTTGCTCTTCGATTTTCTTATTTCTCTGTTCAAGCAAATGCTTTCTTTGTTCGTAAAGTCTAGTTACTTCTTCCCTTTCTATATTCTCCTTTGCACATTTTTTAAAAACCATCGCAAATTCAACAAAATAGTTGAAGAAATTATTTTTACTTTCTTTGTCCATGGGTTCTTCACCATAGTATTTCATCAATCTATTCAAACTACGCTTAGTCAACTCATGTTGATTAATCAAGAGCTCACTCTTCGATTTGGCTCTATTAATCTTGTACCTCATTTTAGTGAATATCGCATCCTTAGGATGAAGCTTAGTGGGATCCGATAATTTACCCTGAGTCAAAGAATACACTACAGAGCCTACTTTCTCCGCAAATTCTTCACATTCGAGTTCAACATGTTCCAACGTAACTTTCCCTAAATCTTCCACCTTTGCTATGTCTTCAGTGAAGGTATAAACATCAGGAAAACTCTCCCTAACTACCCTTTCGACAAAATGTAGAAAGGAGATATTTTTCTCACTACTCGACTTCACAAAGGATAACTTAGGTAAGGAATTTAATTTGATACCAGTTACACTTCCTTTGTTCATGTAATTCCCAATTTCTCTAATAATCAATAAAAGCTTCTTTATACGTGTTGAATCGTATAATCGTTGAATTGCTTCATCTATCTTTTCTAGTTTGTACATCAAATCGAAATAGTCTCTTTCATAGGTGGTTAAAACAAGCAAACAATGAGATCTTGCAGACCAATAAGATCTAAGGTTGTAGAAAAGCTCTAAATAAATATGATCTGCACGTTCTAGTTCTCGTGGATCCTTCTCTGGTGAATCATCTGTGAGATAGTTAGTACTATAAGGAGCAAATTTCCTCTCTAAACCACTTGGAATTTGGGTTAAATCTTCCTTGGTAAAAAATCCCAATACACTAACATTTTGGATAAGATCATCTTCACACTTTAACACTTTTGTCACAAACTCTTCAACAGACAATTGGGAATACATATGAAGATTAATTCCAAATTGCTGGGCGATATCACGAGTCAGAAAACTTATTTTTGTGGGTTTGTTCTCATTTTCAGCAAGGACTTTGGTTTTCTTTACAGGCTCAAGGATCTTAAAGTACTTTTCAATTTGAGAAAATACACCTTCATCCTTCAAATGATCGAGCGGTATTCCTGAGACATCCTCCCACAACGTTCCTCCTACATCATCAACCTTTTCCCAATGAATTTGCTTCAAACGAATAGTAGATTTTGGAGTACTGGATGGAACATTAAAATTTGAGGGAAGGGGTGGTGGTGGTGGTGGAGCAACCACCACATCACCACTTGCTTCATCACTAGTATCTGCTGAGGCTTTATTTTTTGTCAAATTTGGCGGTAATGGAGGTGGGGGAGGTGGAGGTGGCAGATTGTCATTCGTGACTCCAATTTTCGTTGAAGCATCTTCATTTTTTTTGATATCAATATTAGTCAAAATACCAGGGAACTCCATTATAGGACTATCAGGAATTGTTGGACCATCTTTATCATCATTGCTACTAGTAACAGACAGTTTGGAACCCCCACCTAATTTCAAAAATGGAGGAACAGGTGGAGGTGGAAGACCTGCTATTTGAACATTTCCGTGTTCAGGTTGTATTGATGGTTGATCGAATTCAGTAGAGACAACTGAATCAACAGACGTATTCATATTAAGAGTCATTACACTATTCTGTGGTAAAATATATGGCTTTCCATTACTAGCTGCCCCGTTAAATTCTTGCTTCGCAATGTCTGAAGAGATGTCACTGCTATATTGGGCACTTTTTAATAAATACTGTCCATGCTTGACATCACCTTGCTGAGATTTTATACCTGTATTGAACACGTTTTGAGGATATCCTTTTCCAGTGTCAAATGTAGTTAAAGAAGATCCTTTACCATTCTCATTATAGACCATATTAAGTCCTGGTTTGTACCCACTAATGTTCTCTTTTTGATTATGGAAGTCCTCATTTGACTGCACAACAGACACTAAGGATCGGAAACCTTTACTTTTATATATCATCTTTGCACTTGATGTCGAAAAGGATCTTTGATTAACTTTACCTGAATTAACATTTTCAAATATCTTTCCTCCACTGATGCTTCTGGTATCTTTTGGAGCCATTCGCTGATGTACCAGTAATTGATCATATTTTTTCTGTTTTTCTCTTAACTGGCCTTTGAGCTGATTGATTAATCTAATGGATGATTCATTCTCTATAGTTTTTTCCTCCAGCATATGCTCTGCTTGTTTTAGTTGCTGTATTATGGTCCTTTTATCCATATGGGCCTCATTTTCAAGCTCTGCAATATGAGAGTTCAATTCCGTGATATTTTTTTCCAACGTCTTTATCTCCACCATAGCTCTTCTAGTTAGATCCTCACTTTGTAAATTATCTACAAGAGTTGTGATTGCATCTTTGAAAAAATAGTCAGGGTTTTCCAATGAATCTTCTACAGTGAGAACTTTATTCAAATACGGTACCAATAACGCTATCAATTTCAGAAATTTGATACATTCATTAAGTTTTTTCGTGTGAATAACTTGGAATACCAGTGTGAATAAATTTCCTAAACCAGATTCAAGCGCAGTGTTCTTTGTTTGTATAACTAGATCAGTTAATACCTGTGAGTACGAAACATCTTCCAAGATCGAAGGAACACAAGAGTTTCTAGTCATTATTTCCAGCTTCACATCTCTGTATTTCTTTATCTGGGTGGATGTATTTTCATCATCAAGGTTTTCTATCAATGTAATAAGTGGTGTAAACTTCTCCACATTTTCGAAACTCGCGATGATCGCAGATTTCTTTTCAAAAGATTGGTATCCTTCAATAATGGAATTAACCATGAACATGAATAAGGTACAATATTCAACCAGAATTTTAGTAGGGTTTATCAGCGAGGAACTGGACTCGTAATGTTGCAACTCGTCGCAATTACATAAAGTTGAATCCATCCATTCATCCATGTAAGGTTCAAATGTCTCATATATAACTTGAAAGCCACGATCCATATCCAAATAGGACAAAAGCAATAAGACTTCCATAGCCTGGCACTTGTTCTTCACGAAGTTTATACTAAATTCCAAATCAGTGGTGACTATGTCGCGCAAGTAAGTGACCAGCACATCGTTCTTCAACACAAGCAGCCGCCCTTCACTGGAGTTCATTATGGTCTTGATACACCGCAGATGGATATACAAGAACTTCGAATTGTGACCGTGCATCTGCTCAAGGTCTAGGATCACTGTCACTAGTGGCTCGAGAAGAGCGGTAACATAATCGTAATATACGAACACCTCTCGAAGCCTGCTCTGTCGCAGTAGTTTCTCTAAATTGTACAGAAACCGCAGCACTGTTTCTCCACCAGACTCACTCGCCAGCACTGTGTCTTTAACGCTCTCAAGCTTCTGCAATATCCCGCTGATCTCTTCATCTGCCTCCGCCTGGCCACCCGCATCCACTGGCCCATTCAACGTCCCACCAACATTATCACTAGATTTACCCGCTCCCTGATGGCTAGTCTCAAGACCATGCACTTTGCATATGAACTCCCACCGCTTCGAGCACGGCCCGCGTCGCAGCTCGTCCACAAGCTCCTCCCCCCAGTAGTACCCGCCATCCCGGATCAACTCCTCGAACAGCCGGTCAACAGCCTCGCCATCAGCAGGCATCGCCCGCGCATCCAGCATCAGTCGCACCATCTGTAACGTGAATTCCCTCGCTTATCCAAGAAGATCACCACACGCTAGACACTGGACATAGATTTAGACAGAGCCACGAGAGCCCACTTCCTTTTAACATTCAAAGTTCCAAAAATTCGTGTCTTTGTGGAAAAGCGGATCAAGAAAAATAAACTCCGACGGGGCCAACCCTAAAAACCTCATCGCTCAGTGTGGGGAAAGCATGGAAGTCATCGCAATTGGAGTAATAGAGGTTGGGGGGGCCACCGCTGGGAAAAGTATATAAACGCTGGTCTTGTGAGCTTGTACCAACCCGAAATGTCTTGTTGAGAAGGGAGCAAACTTTAAGTTCACTACAGTAGCTTAAGGGAGATATTATAAAAGTTTAGAAAAAATAACATAACAGGAAATAATGGCTGAGAGGTTAAAGAACATTGGAAGTCACTTGCTTGGTGGCAGTCAGGGTCCTAGTGTCAAGGAGCAACATCCGGACGATGTTGTTATTGTTGCTGCTAACAGGTCTGCTATTGCGAAGGGGTTTAAAGGTAGTTTCAAGGACGTCAACACTGACTATCTGCTCACTGTGTTTTTGAAAGAGTTCATCGACACGTTCCCTCCACAGTTGAGGGACAACTTGGACTTGATTGGGGAAGTTACATGTGGTAATGTGTTGAATCCTGGTGCTGGTGCGACTGAACATAGAGGTGCTATGTTGGCAGCAGGTCTGCCTTACACCACGCCCTTCATGGCTTTGAACAGACAGTGCTCCTCGGGTCTTACTGCTGTGAACGATATTGCAAACAAGATCAAGGCTGGCCAGATTGATGTCGGTCTCGCCGCTGGTGTCGAGTCGATGACCCAGAACTACGCTTCTTCTAACCCACTGGGCCGTATCTCTGACGAGTTGAAGTCCGACAAGAACGCACGTAAGTGTCTAATCCCTATGGGTATCACTAACGAAAATATAGCCAAGGGGTTTGAGATCACTAGGGAAATGCAGGACGAGTTCGCTGCAGCTTCTTACCAAAAGGCCTCCAACGCCGTTCAGTCCGGTGTCTTCAAGGATGAAATCTTGCCCATCACTCTACCAGACGGCAAAGTTGTAGACGTCGATGAGGGTCCTAGAGCAAATGTCACTGCCAAATCATTAGGCGGACTAAAGCCAGCTTTCATCAAAGAAACCGGTACCACTACTGCTGGTAATGCCTCTCAAGTGTCAGATGGTGTTGCTGGTGTTCTATTGGCGCGTAGATCGGTGGCTAACAAACTAAAACTACCAATTCTAGGTCGCTATGTTGCATTCCAATCTGTAGGTGTGCCACCTGAGATCATGGGTGTCGGCCCGGCCTACGCCATCCCAAGAGTACTACAAGATGTTGGAATTACTGTTGATGATGTTGATGTTTTCGAAATTAACGAAGCATTTGCAGCCCAGGCACTATACTGTATAAACAAGTTGGGAATCAACTTGAAGAAAGTTAATCCTCGTGGTGGTGCAATTGCATTGGGTCATCCACTAGGTTGCACAGGTGCCAGACAAATTGCCACAATACTACGTGAACTAGAAAAGGGACAAGTCGGTGTTGTAAGCATGTGTATTGGTACAGGTATGGGTGCCGCAGCGGTCTTTGTCAAGGAATGATCAGTAACACCGACCATCAAGAAAACCTGAAGATAAACCTTAACAGCACAATTTTTTACTAAATTGTACTCGACGCTATGTTTATATTATTTCATTCATTAATATTCTATTGTTACATAAATGTCTATATTCCATTTCTTTCCAAATTAAAGATTTGATGAAAACTTTATTTTTATTACACACTCTTTATGCACTTCGAAGGGATTCCTCCACTGCTTTCTTCAATGAATCCATGGATTGCTGAAGTTTATCGCCACTGAGTTCCTTAAGCTTGTCATTAACCTTTACGAGATCATAGTAGTTCTCATAAATAGTATTCTTTATGGAACTATTTGTCGCCGTCTCCTTCCCCAGCAGTGTATTATGAGTCGCAACTAATTCTTTCAATGTTTGCTCATTTATAGGTCTGTCAACGTTCGGCTGCGAGTCAGAATCTTCTAACACTTCCTTGACAACTTCCTCATTACCTGTGTCAGTCTGCAGAGTATTATTATCTTGTTCATGCACTTCGCCTGTTACTGGCTCATCTGTCTTAGTAGCTCCATCTTCTAAGTGGTAATACTCCTTCAACAGAGACCTCTTGTTCTTCCCCACACGAAGCGACTTCTTGTGACTTATCTGTTCAGCCATATTCCACGTCAATATGTTTCCTTTACTATATTTCAATGTATTCAAAACTTGTCTGGTGTGACTCCAGCTACGTCTGTTTATATGGTGGATGTTTCCGGGGAAAGCACTTATTATCTGACGAAGTGCCCTGTGTCACTTTAAAGAACTATGGCAGAGCTGGACGAATGGAAAGGAGAAAGCTTGAAACAACTCCGATCAGCGATGTTCCCAGCCCCATTGTGAATCGAACTCTGTTTGCAACATTTATTCCCGCAACTTGTCTGTTGCTTTGTTGATGCTTACTATTACTTAGCAAGGGAAGCTTCGAGGATTTACCGAACTGGCCTATAGTTTTAACAAAATTAAATAAGCCAAAGAAAGGCAAATACAACAGACTACACGTTTGTAGAAAGAACGTGGCCGTTATGTTCCACATTCTGAGTCATCAAATTTGTATAGCCAAGATTGTGACTTAGGAACACCTGAAAGCCTCTTGTTTTAACACTGAAACGATTGACAAAAGCACACACAACTGAAAAGAAAATGACCAAGCATTCACCTACTTCACATGAGGCTTCCGCATCGAACCCAGTCTTAGAGGCGATTGTGGCCCGCCGTAGTATTCACTACTTGAAGCCAGAGCTACCAGAAGGTGTTACCTTCGATGACATATACCACATTGTCCAAGAATGTGTGAAACATACACCAACGTCGTTCAACTCACAAGTTAACAGGGCATTCATAGTGCGTGGGGCCTTACATTACAAGATCTGGGACCAAGTTGTTAATAAGATCAAGGAACCGGAGTACAGAGCTAGGCCATTGAGAATAAGAGATGGTGCTTACGGTTCTATCTTCTTCTATGTAGATGAAAACGTTACTGAGAGAAACAAAGTTGAACATCCCGAATGGGCACCTGTGTGCGAAGCGTACGCAGATCAGGCTATGGGAGCAGCCTCGATTGCTGCATGGACTGTGATGCATAACATGGGTATTGGTTGTAATATGCAACACTATGGTAAGTATATGCATGATCCTAATGTGCTACCAGAAGACATACCATCTCATTGGACTATGAAATGCCAGCTGGTATTTGGCGTTCCTGATAAGGACCCTAATGAAAAGAAATTCATTGAAAACATAGTCAAAGTGTATGAGTAAGTAGGATAGACACTAGTAGATACTTACACATTTTCCATTAGATGTAATAAGAAGATAATATAGAAAAGAATTTTGTAGGAATATTATTGTTTTTGGTTTTAAATACACAAGCTTTACAGACTAGTGATATATTTCCTTAAGGAACTTACATTCCTCCATGAATCTATGAACTATGGTCGTTGGGTAATTCTCATTGTATTTATTATAGGAAAACCCAAACATTAATGCTATAATTTTAATGCGTAGCTGGAAGAATTGTTTAGTTACCAAACTCCTTGTCAAAGTCGACCAGAGTGAATCTATACTTAACATCACCCTTGTCCATCCTTTCGAAAGCTTCCTTCACACCAGCTTCACCAACTGGCAAAGTTTCAACCCAGATCTTGATATCCTTCTCAGAAACCAATTTTAGCAACTGCTCAATTTCCTTAATTGAACCCAAAGCACTGTTAGCGATGGAAACACCTAGCAAACCAAATGGCTTCATTGTCAAAGTTTGATCTTCGTCTGGAATAGAAATAGAGACAATTCTACCACCAACCTTCATAGCCTTTGGCATGACATCGAAGTCAACATCAGTTAAAGATGAAGCGCAGACGACAATTAAATCGAAAGTGTCAAAGTACTTTTCACCCCAGTTTGGTTCTTCCTTGGTGGCAATGTAGTGGTCAGCTCCTAACTTCAAGGAATCTTCCTTCTTAGCGTTAGAACGAGAAATAGCGTAAACTTCAGCGCCCATGGCCTTAGCAAATAATAGACCCATGTGACCAATACCACCGATACCGACGATACCGACCTTCTTACCTGGACCACAACCGTTTCTTAGCAATGGAGAGTAAACAGTAATACCACCACATAGCAATGGAGCAGCCAAATGGTCTGGAATGTTTTCTGGAATCTTAACAGCAAAATGCTCATGGACTCTGACATAGTTGGCATAACCACCTTGAGAGACGTAGCCGTCTTCATATGGTTGAGAGTATGTAGTGACGAACTTGGGACAGTATGGTTCGTTGTCATTCTTACAACGGTCACATTCCAAACAAGAGAAGACTTGAGCACCAACACCAACACGGTCACCAACCTTCAAACCAGTGTTACACTTTGGGCCAATCTTGACGACCTTACCAATGATTTCATGACCGACAACCAATGGAGTTTGCTTCTTACCCCAGTTACCGGCGGCACAGTGGATGTCACTACCACAAACACCACAAGCATCAATTTTGATGTCGATATCGTGGTCGTAGAATGGCTTGGCTGGGAATTCAACCTTTTTTGGGTTCTTCCAGTCCTTGTGATCTAGAACAGCGATACCTTGAAACTTATCTTCAGAGCTCATTATTATTTTGGTTTTTATATTAGCGTGTATTAGTTTTTGATTACTTGAGATATATGAACAAGTTGTTGTTATTTGACATGAAAGACATTAAAGGGAGAAAATGTGCCCAATTTATATATGTTATGAAGATAGATGATTCCCTGAATTTTTCATACAGCAGAGAAGTTGCAACAACTGCATCAGTTGTAAGCTTGATTTTTCGATGTGGTTCTTTGAAGTTGCTTTTTCACTTTGTACTGATTTTGCCATCTAATTCGATTAATTCAACCTGCTTTAGCCAAGCATTGCACGGGATTCTCAACAACAACAATGATATTCAGACCTCCCCCTTAGTGAACCAATTCATAGCTGTAACTATTACGTATAGTCTCCATCAAAAGAAGCCTATACATATGCTCGAGGTAAATATAGAATATGCATAGAACGTTCTATGCATTTTTTTCAAGAATTGAAAAAAAAAAGAAATGAGGATATTCAATGTTCAAATGGGATGAACGTATCTGTTGTAGTCGAAGAAATAAACGTGCAACAGGGCTTTTTGTTTTTCTCATTGATTCTTTCCGTTTGATTCCTTTGAAAACTTCAATAGTCGCAGAAAAAAGCGGGGAAGGAGTGGCAATAGTTATTAACTATTGTAGATATCTTTCCGTCAATTAACTTCCACGAGATTCTTGTGATCAAGATCTACACTTTCGGCCCGAGAACGGAACGGAAGCCAAAAAAAGCAATTAATGCTATTTCATTAATCTTTTCAACAAACCCTCGTACAACCTCAGTATCATTTGCCCTGGATTTTCTGATAAATCATGACAGCAAAAAAGCAATTTAAGAAAGCTCTGTACGGAATGGTCTGTTGAATCTATAATTCATTTTCCAGAATATAGATAGAGGGGGAAACCCTTTTCGCAGAAAACATCGTAGTAAAGAAATATTTTAGTAATATCAGAGGAATCCTAATTCTAATACTTTGATTCCTAAGAAATGTACGTACATGTATATTTTTAGAGTGGTTAGTAAGAATTCGTTATGTAATATCGTCACGTATGACTGTTTACTTGGTACATAACCGAGGATAGTTTGGTAGCTTTTAAAGCTGATACTGAACGAGGTTAATGCAATAATTCTGCTACAATAACCTTAAATAGATATTGTTAGTCTAAATATGAGATATTCCATTATGTAACAGAAAGAGGCTAAGTGCCTTTAATCACTTAAACACATTTTATTATCTGATTTGCTATTGGAGAGAAATCACGTTAACATGATATTCATTTCCCAATCGCGTGAAACTGAAAGCCAATCATCACCAAGCTCATTGTTGTCTCTTCTTCTCCAAACTTCGAACATAATTTGAATTGCACCACGATAAGAACCGGCACCTGTTAATGATACAGTGTCAAACCAAGTTTTGAACTCACTTTGAACTTCGGGGTCAGAACATAAACAACCGGCGATAAAACCTTGCCAAATGAGAGGAATCAGTTTAATACCTTCTTTGCCCGCACTGCTGTCTTTCAAGAATTCAATTTGCTGCAAATGGTAAATTACTTTCCAAACCTCAACATTCAAAGACTCATAATCCTGATTCTTTATGAAATTATAATAGTAGACGCACAATCCATAGTAAAAACTCATAGTATGATGGTAGATACCTTCAATTGTAGGACTGAGGAAATTTCTGCCGGTGCTGTCGAAGAAATCCCATTCACTTTTCCAGTTTGATAACTTGTCCTCAAATTCTCTTGTCTTCATGAAAAATTCTGTAGGTAACTCAATTCCTTCACTTTTCTTCTTGTGGTAAAAATAATATCGAGTCAATGAGACACAATCATAGAATAACAATACCAATGAATTCGGTAAGGCATTTAGGGCATCTGCACCAAGTGTATTCATTTTAGTCGACCCGTAGTGATCTGTAAATATAGTCTTAATATCATTTTCGTAAGTTTCTCTTAGATATTTGTAAGGAATAATATCAGGGTTGTGAAAGTCTAGTGATGGTTCTGAAGTTATTGTTTCCATTGCTGTACTATTTTGCATCAGTTTTAAAAACGCATAAATTGTGTATAAACTCTTAATCTTCTTAGAGACAACTACCCTTTTCTTGTTCTTGGAAATCAGTTGTTCACAGATCCTTAAATAGTTATCACAGTCAACCATTGTACCCCAAACAATGTCAATAGAGTTCATTGTTAGAATAGCGATAAGCATGTCACAGAAATGTTTATTGTAATCCTCTGCGATATCGTCATCTTCAAGAATATCACGATATTCTTCATATTCTTCTTCCTGTTCTAGGGCTAAGTTCAAGAAATGGGAAGCTCTGGTTCTCAACTCCACTGCCAGGTTAAGATAGAAATCTGTGGATACAGGATCATATTTCAGTAAATCTTTTAGGTTAAAACAAGAAACAGACAAACAGCCATTTAAAAGCGATATTCTAGCATAGTTTTGAGAATTTGGAAATGCAATAAGTTCGCCTAAAGCTGCGATAGCTCTAGGAAAATAAATTTTGGCCCATGGGTTTTTATTTTTATTGGGAATAGGTGCAATGGTCATCAAATCAGGAACTTTCTCTAAGTAATGTGTCAATAAAAATCTAACATTATTGTGAACTATAGAACATGATTCCGTTGATAAAGAAACCAGATGGCTGTGATCGTGAATAAAATCAGGTTGTAAGAGCTCCATAGGCAAAGGGGACATAAATGCAGGATTACCATCAAATGTTAGCCCTAACGTATCCGGGATCATCATTGGTGAGGTGGGTGATAATGAAATTGGTGTGGTCATTGTTGATGTTGCCACTGATGGGGCTAGTCTAGGCTTTTTCATCAATGGCTCATTATTAATATGATTATTGCTATTATTGCTATTAAGTTCATTTGCAATCTTTTTCTGTACTGGCCGCTTATCAGTTTTACCTCTTTTTGCAGCAATGATTGCTTCTCTCTCAATTGCTCTAAAGACACCAAATTTTTTTATTATCCATGTTTTGTTATTGGCGATTTTATCCTCCGGTGGTGCATGTAGTTCTGACAGTTCTTCATCCATATCTTCATGGTATTCGTATTCTTCTTCGTATCGTACTCTTTCCACATTCCTTCTTAGATTTGTTGATGTCTCAACATCATCACCTTCAGTCGTAGTGATAGATTCATTGGATGGCATAGGCACACCATACAGATCAAAGTGTAGTAACGGCGACCAACGTAGCTTGATTTTGTAACCACCACATTGAACTTTTGATCTTCGGCATCGAAGACAACTTGGCCGCACCAGATCACATTTAACTTTCCTAGCTCTGCATGTCCAGCATCCAGAGTAGGTCTTTACCGACCGAGTAGATTTCTTGTCCATAACGCAACAATAGAGACTATTAATATTCTGTACTAAATAATATCAGAAGTCTAACGATATATTGCTGATATGATGCCAGTTCTTATTACTTGATTAATTGTTGTATTTGATGGCTAAGAACTACCAAAAATGTGTGACAATAGGAAAAAAACGGATAATATTAACCACAATATGATAGTAAGCTTCACTAACCTATGATTATGGCAGTCTATGAGGTATTGAAATAACAGTTTTTATCAGTTATGTATGATATTGGCTTTTCATTGCCAATATTCCAATGTAATTCTTACAAATTTAGTTTTGTTTTTGAAAAAATGTTTGAAAACCCTGATGGGCTGATAAAAAGCGATGAGCTTAAGGCAGAATAATCCTCGAAAACAATACCTATTGGCCAAAGTCAAATAGGAAGCCAGAAGTTACAAAGCAACACAATGTCTCGCAGACGGTTGAAGAAGACAAATCTTTTTCACAAAGATATTAACTCTTTACTGTACGCATACGGTGACGTCGCGCAACCATTAAACAAAACTGTTCAATGCCTGGACGAGCTGGTCTCTTCTTATCTGGTTGACATATGTGCTGAGGCTGCGCATGTTGCTAATTCCTCCAGTAGAAATAAGATACGGCTTGAGGATTTCAAATTTGTTTTGAGAAAGGATCCCATTAAATTAGCTAGAGCAGAAGAATTAATATCGACCAATGCATTGATTACCGAAGCTAAGAAGCAATTCAATGAGAATGAAAATCAAAATCTAAAGAGATATAAAGAGGATGAAGACGATGATGATGATGAAGACGACGATGAAGACGACGATGAAGATTCCAAGCCAAAAGAAGCGCCGGTAACTGTCGAGACTCAAGAGTCCACTGTGCCGGTCAAAGAGAAGAAAAAGAGAACCAAGAAAGCTAAAGTAAAGTCTTGAAGGTGTATTCAACATCTAGCGGTATTTGTATATTAACATTAAATAATATCTGAAAATAATATGGTTTTTACCAATTTATCCTTTTAAGACTTGGTTGTCTAAATCTATATACCAAAATAAAAAACTAAAATACAAACTTTTATACGCTAAAGAAACACAACAATAAAAGCACACAAAGAGATAAAATCATTGGAAGTCCAAATCATAAATGATTTCTTCACCAGGTTCCTCACTGACATAGTTAGCTACACCAACAAAGTTGTTCCACAATTTGTTCACCGTTACTATCGTCAATCTCCACAGGTTCCTTGGAAGATCTATATAACTTCTCAATATGAACTTGATGGCTTCCATAACATTGTGAGTTTCCGTATGCCAGGCATTGATCCAGATATCTAAGGTGCCATTACTTTTCTTTTTAGTTAATTTTTTCTTTCTAATGGGCATTTTAAGGTCAGCAAATGCCTCTTGCTCATTTAACTTATCTTCTAGTTTGTTTTCCTCGATATTCTCATTGTTTTCGGAAAGCTTAGCTGTAAGAAATTCATCATTATCGGATAAAGATGATTTGGTTGTATTTTTAACCTCTTCTACAGCGTCCTTCACTAGTGAAGTCATAGATTCCTCTGAAGGATCTGATATACTTTCGCTATTTTGAGCACTGTTATTATATTCTTTGTTATTGGACACACTATCATTGATAGTACTCCAACCTTTCTTCATTTTCTCCAATATTTTGAAGAAATTGTTTTGGAAAAAGTTGGTATAAGAATCACCACCTTCCCTTCTCTTGTATAACTTTTCGAAATTGTTGATATATTCAACAGATTCAGATAATTTATCAAAAGTATTGAACAGAGCAATTAATTCATATTTCGTTAACTTATCGACGAACTTTTGCTTAGATGACTCATCAGCTTCATCAAGGTCAAACAAAATCTTCAAACTAGTGGCCATACCTGTAGTTTGGACTTTACCCCATAACTTACATCTATCACAATGGACACAATCCATGATTTTAGTAACATTTTTGAAGCGAGCTCTAAATTCATTCTTTAGTGATGAACTTAGATCATTTTGGAACAACAAATCTTCATTGAATATTGAGCTATCCAATTTGGAGACAATGCTCAATATTTTAGACTTGACAGGATCGTCATAGTCGTTACAGAATTCTATTCTGGACAGATATGGTTTGATCTTCCACAATGACTTAGCTATAACTGCATAATTGAAGTAGATGTTGGTCACACGATCTGGAAAGTTACCTACTCTTAGCATAAATAAGTCTAGATTAGGTTCCCATTTACCATTTTCTGTATTCAAATGGTCATTTGATAGATGTGTACCAATCGATGCATGTAGACCAGAGACAAACCTAAAGAATACATCTCTAGCCATACTAACTTCATCTTGAGAAGCTTTGCCAGATTTCACCAAGTCCTTACCCAATGGGGAGCAGTTCTCCCCATATATACTGGTCCAAATTTGAGAGGACTGTTGACCACCATAGCCGGTAAATCTTTCTGGGTTTTTAGTTAGATCAACTAATACAGCATTCTCTCCACTAAAGTCATTTATATCACAGTAATTATTATCATCCACATCTAGCAAAGGCTTGGGTTTTGATTGTTGTTGACTTTCTGCACATAGATCATCCAAAAATGTCCATTCTTTCTCATCAGACCCCGATGCGTCTTGAGCCTCATCTAGACCACCAAGAACTTCTGGCTGCCATATTTCAGGCAAACTGTCCCAATCTGTCACCACATCGACCATACAGTCCCGGCTGAAACATAAACCATCGTTGTTGTCCCAGAATGTGCATTGCTTATCAGGATCTATCTTGAAATACTTGAAGAAATCGGTTCGTACTAATGATACCAGATTTTTTCTTATACTCTTGTTGATGACATTTAACTCGGTAAATGTTACATTACAACTGGGACTGATCATCAAATCTTTGTCCATGGCACAGAAATGGTTTTCTGTGGTCCAATTTGTCTGATTATTGGTTGAGTTTCCTTCACCAGCAACAATGCCTGCCAGTAGTAAATATGACAATTTCATCGTAGATACTCTGTTGCTTCCTCTATAACGAAATTCACCTCTTTAATGTAATCTAATTATGATATGGTATTATTTTTCGAGCCCTCCACTGAGATTTATATATACAATGCAAAGATAGAAATCAAATTAAACTTTACTAAAATGCTCATACAAATTGATTCACTGGGCAGATTTTCTCAGTATCTTTCGATTGTCCAAGAATATTCAGGAAAACGACGTGAAGAGTATCTATCCGACCCCTCGTCTATTATTTGCCACTTTTACTGAATTAATACAACTATCCGGGGGCAATCCAGGGCTTTGTTCGAAGTGCGAGCACATTGCCACAATGAAACTTTCAAAGGTGTTCTCTCCCAGTTGCCAATCGTTGGGAATTTTTTTTCAGATAAATTTTGATCCCAGTAATTAATGCGCACAATCACAGAAAACGGATTTAAGGTGACAATGGTGGCATTTGAATAGTCTGCACATAATAAAATAATTGTACTGGTGTGTGAATTACTAATGTTCTTTTAAGCATATACCTTATGTGTGTAGTTATGGGGTTTGACACTTACTAGCGATAAAATGTAGGCTTGGCTATGACCCCTTTCTTTTATGGATAGTTCAGATCTTGCACTAGGATCTAGTTTAATAATAACCGTGTATGTGGCGAACTAATTGGATAGTGTCAGTAATACATCAACACAGGGGCCAATTCTGTGTTTTTTAGCAATACAAACATCTTCTATAATCTCAACATCCAGATCAGGAAACATAGATGTTAGTGTCTCTACAGTTTCTTGGTGTTCCTTTGCCTCTAGCTGTTTGATCATTGAAGCTACTTCACCATCTTCATTTTTTGAATTGGCTTTATGGTGGACCTCTTTCTTCTTTTCTTTCTGAGGTTCATCTTGAATAAAAAACTCATTCAGTTTATTCATAACCATATTCGAGACGTCATCGAGCATGTTGGATGATTCTTCCTGCTTGGTTTCCTTAAGTAGTTTTTCCTTTTGTAGCTGATCTTGCTTTACATTTTCGATATTCTGTTCATATTTGGTATCAAAATCTTTCTCATTCTCTATAGTCAACGATTTTTTATCAAGTTTCAGTATAAAATTAGAAGCCGCTTGTAAACTGCTTAGATAATAAGCTTCTTCTCCACGGAATAAAGAAGAATAACGGAACCTCTCGATGAAATTTATATTGGAGACAAGGTTTTCAATTTTACCGCTTAATAGTGTGTAAATTAGTAATGGAACAAAACAATCAGCACCAGTTTCTTCTGAATGTTTCATGAGACCAAACAATATCTTAGAGGCATTTAAAATGCAAACCATTTTGTCTCTTGGGGCTTTGAAGTTGTTCATTTTGTTTAGCTCAATACTAGCAAAGCTAGTAAATTTCTTAACCCTTTTCACATTCTGGAAACTAATGTCTAAATTTGTTGGTTCTATAAATTTGAATTCTGCAACTTTCTTTATGAACATTTTATCCTTCTCGATATCATCCAAATGTTCCTTGTCAGCTTCAATTCCAGCGGCTTTGGCTCTTTCTGCTAATAATGGTGAAAATAAATGGTGATAAAGCTTACCAGTCAGGAGTTTTTCCATACCTTCCTCTGCATTTCTTAATTCAGTTTTGTTCAAATCACTGAATGGCTTGAAGTCCTTATACTTTGAATAAATAAATGTTTTGAAATCTTTGATAAGCTTATCCTGTTCTGTAGCGGACCAAATTGCACGCTGTGTAACAAAATTTCGCAGAAAGGATCTTGTATACTTAATCAATGGTGCACACCTAGCATCCTGTATTTGGTCAAGAAATAGTTGAAAGTTATAGTATGTTTCATTTACGTCTTCTTCTTCATGTTCTGGTGATTGTAAAGCATTGACAACTTGGTTGTGCGACTCTAGCTGCTCGTTCAATTCAGGTTTAAAGTTGCTTTGGAGTTCTTCAGATGCTTGACTTGTTTTATTTGAATTCATATCACGGTCTGATGCTTGGCCCTTCGGCTCCCTAATGTGACTACTCTCCATTTTCTTTAATCTAGAGTTGCGTACCTGTGGTATCTAACGCTATATAGCAATCCTCTGTACAAAAAAGTTGTCTTCGGTCTATAAGAATGTTATTTGCTTGTGTATATATTACCAAAGCTAGTCGTAGAATACTTTTAGTCTATTTCCCTTTTAACTTTTCGGATCTCTGTAGATCAGCGATTTTCTTGCAAAAACAATAAAAGATGCGATGAGGTCAATTCATATCAAAATTTATACTGCATTTTGTCATGAACTAAGTACCCTAGTAAGCCAATCCAAAAAGGTTAAAAAATATTGCCAATATCTGATGTGTGGTATATTACTTTGCTATGGGCCAAGTTTCAAAGCTGAAAATGACCGGTTACTGGAGTTTTATGAGGATGAAGTTCCCAGGTTAGGTTACGATGATAATATTGAATCAATTGTGAAATTGGTAAGATGTAGAGGACCAAACTACTGCTCTATGAGACAAATAAAAGATGTTAATTCCATTTGGATATCCTCTGTGCTATCGCTACGTCAACCGTTTACTAAACAAAGCATAGTTATTGGAAATAAGTATGTGTTACAATTTAACGGCGAGTTATATAATGACGAAATAATTGAAAGTGGGAATGATACACAATTTTTATCTGGACTATTGAAAAAATGTATTTCTGAAGATGATATCTTCAACATTTTACATGGCTTAGATGGGGAATTTGCGTTCACAATACAAGATTTAGAGAACAATCTAATATACTTTGGTAGAGACACTATAGGTAAAAGGAGTTTGTCATATTCATTAAACTACAATATTAGTGAGTTGATAGTTACTAGTGTATCTGGAAGTGATAATGGTAGTAGAATATTTAACGATTGTGTGGCAGGGGTCATTTATAAATATGATATTGATAGAAACATTCTTGATACAACAAGCACTCTTCGAAAACCTTGGTCAATCACAAGAGAACATGATGATGACATGACACATATTGACACATGTACCAAGAATTTATATGACTTACTAAGCGGTGCTACAAGAAAGCGAGTAGAGTCTATACACCCTTTACATATAGAGAATTCACCTATATCAATCCTTTTTTCAGGAGGGCTTGACTGTTCAGTTATAACTGCAATCGTATGTGAGACATTAATCTCTAGGAATATGCATGATCATGCAACCATTGAACTTCTTAATGTTGCTTTTGAAAACTTGAGGACAGGAATGATGCCACAAGATGCACCAGATAGGCAACTTGCAGTAAAAAGTTACTCGGAACTCTGCGAAAAGTATCCAAATATTAATATCAAGCTTATAGAAGTTGATGTGTCCTATGCTGAATATATGAAACATAGACCAGAAGTAGTCGATTTGATGTACCCTAAAAATACCGAAATGGATTTATCAATCGCAATTGCCTTTTATTTTGCATCTAGAGGAGACGGCTTTATTACTGATGAAAATGGTGTCAGAAAAGAATATAAAAGGAAGGGACTTGTTTTATTTAGTGGACTTGGTGCTGATGAGCTATACGGAGGATATTATAAACTGAGCAATAAGCACGAAGATGAATTGGCTAACGAACTGACCACACAGATCAATAATATTTACCGCAGAAACTTGAATAGAGACGACAAGGTGATAGCCTCCAACGGTGTGGAGGTACGCTACCCATTCTTAGCAGAAGAAGTGGTAGAGTTCTCTACTGCGAGTATTCCTTTAAATTACAAGAGGGACAAGATGATCTTAAGAAACATTGCATCTTCCATCTTGGGTTTACATGGTTTATCGGCAGAAAAGAAGAGGGCTATTCAATTCGGGGCAAAATCAGCTAAGATGACAAAGAACGGTAATAAAAACGGTACTGATCTGCTCTGATTCTGTACAGATGAAAAGCAATCAGAGGTACTAATTTCATATAATTCTGTGTCAAACAATATTAACACTGCATTGTAATGATATAACATAGATATAACATAGATACTTAATTAGGAAAGGTTTTCCTACATCTGGAAATTTTGGTCAGAAATCATATTTCCCTTTTCGGAATTTGAAACTTTTTCATCTTACGGCCCAAAAAAAAAATTTGCGATGAGCTGAAGCTCATCGCATTATAATAGCAGGTATAACAATACTATCACAATAAGCAACAGACACTAGAATTACAATAAAGAGAATTGCTTTGGTGCATCATTTACTTATTCTGTTCTTTCAGCAATAAGACTATAAGATGGCAAAACGTAAAGGAAATACAAGATCTAAAAGCTCCAAGAGAGCTTTAAATGCCCTTGAACTTGCAGAGAGGGAAGTTGGAGGTCAAGATTCTGAAGAAGAAGAAGAATTTTATGATAGAAATAAGAAGAATGGTACTGTTGTTAATCTTTTGAAGATGGTAAACGGGGGTGACGATGAAGATGTTGAGGATGGCGGTGATTCTTTTGAAGATGAAGAGCTAGACTCTGATGAAGCGCTTGGTTCAGACGATGACTATGATATCCTAAATTCAAAGATGTCTCAAACTATCCGTGACAAGAAGAAAAGAGGTGAATATAATAGTGAAGAGGAGGAGGAGAATTATACTTCTATCGATGAAGATGAACTTATGCCACTATCGCAAATTTGGGATATGGACACCAAGGGTGGAGATGATACCAAAGGTTCAACGACAAGAGATGAAAGCTTACAACTTGCTAGTGATGTAGATAGCTCATCTGAAGGTTCATCTTCCTCTGATGAGGAATCCAGCGATGATGAAAGCCAAGAAAGTGAGGATCCATTTGATGAAATTTCAGATGATGAAGAAGATATTGATCTTGCTAATGTTACTTCAAAGTTAGTAAAAGAGACTGAAATGCACGTTCCAAAAAAACTAAGTAACTATGGTCATGGTGAAGCTAATGATTTTGCTCTGCCATCATTAACTAGCGAATCCGGGATTCAGAAGTTGAGTATGGAAGAAATGATGGGCGCCATAGATGATAAACATGCAGTGACACAAGCCAGTCTTCTGAAAGGTAAGTCATTAGCAACTGCAGTTCCACTACCACAGAGAATTCAGCAAAGAAATGAGCGTAAAGCAGCCTATGAAATCTCTAAAGAAGAAATGAATAAATGGACTGAAGTTGTTCAGCAGAATAGAAGAGCCGAGCACCTAGTATTAGGTTCGAATAAAGAAAAAGTTCACAATGACGCTTCAGCTTTTACAAGAATGACAGAGAAGCCTACTTCTGAACTTCAAAGTAAGGTCGATGAACTACTAGGCGAAAGTAATTTAGTTGATCCTCAAAAGGAATCCACTTTTGAAGAGCTTGCTACTGCAAAGATGACTCCTGAAGAGATGAAGAAAAGGACGGCTGAGATGAGGCTGATGAGGGAGCTTATGTTTAGAGAAGAGCGCAAAGCTAAGAGATTAAAGAAAATTAAGTCGAAAACTTATAGAAGAATCAAAAAGAAAGAAGCTATGAAGAACAGAGAACTTGCCGGATTGTCTGATGAGAGTGATACTGAACATGACATTAGAAGAGCAAAGGAAAGAATGACGCTAAAACATAAGACAAGCTCTAAGTGGGCTAAAGACATGATAAAACATGGTATGGCAAATGACAAGGAAACCAGAGAAGAAATGGAAGAAATGTTGAGACAAGGTGAAAAACTAAGAGATAAGATCATTGATAGGCAATCGGGTGACTCAGATAATAATATTAGCGATATTGAACAAGACTCAGAGCAAGATATTGATGTGGAAAAGGTTGGAAAAACTGGTGTGATGAATATGGCTTTCATGAAAAATGCTGAAGCCAGAGAAAAGGCAGAAAACAAACAGTTTATTGAGAAATTAAGGGAATTTGAAAAGACAGGTGATGATGATCTCTTTGAAAGCGATGATGAAAAGCCAGTCATTGAGGGTAAGGACACAGTAACATCCATTAATAAAGGAAGAAGAACTTATGCTCCTGGTGATTTGGAAATGAGGCATGAAATGAAAAAAATTAAAGAAGAAGTTAGGAAGGAAAAGGAAATAGACGAGTCCAGAACTTTAGTTAACAGATTAAAGCGTAGAAATGAAAATAATGAGGAAGAAATAATTGATGTTGTTGAAGAAGTTGTGCCGCCTAAAGAAGAAAAAACTGCCCCAAAATCAAAAACTAAATCAGAGTCCAGTAATCCATGGCTTGATGGGAGTGATGATGAAGATGTTAATGTCAAGCAGTCTAGCAAAGTACATATCATTGACAAAGATAGCTCAAAGCTTTCTAAGAGTGCTAACAAGATTGAGAAAGCCAAGGCCAAGAGTAAGAAATCTAATAAAAGAGAAAATGATAGTGATGAATTACTGCTAACTACAGATAAGTCCAATTCTCTGAAGATTGTTGATCCTTATGGTGGATCTGATGATGAAGGTCAGGAATTTATGTTCAAACAACAAGATGTCATTGCGGAAGCGTTTGCAGGTGATGATGTTGTTGCGGAATTTGAACAAGAGAAGACCAGAGTTGCTGATGATGAAGGTGATAAAGAAGAAGATGTTACATTACCTGGCTGGGGTGATTGGGCAGGTTCTGGTGTGAACCCTAGAAAGAAGAGGAAATTTATCAAGAAGATCAAGGGTGTTGTTGATAAAGATAAGAGAAAGGACAAGTACTTAAAGAATGTCATAATAAATGAAAAGGTGAATAAGAAAAATATGAAATACCAATCATCTGCCGTTCCATTCCCATTTGAGAGCAGGGAACAGTACGAGAGATCGTTGCGTATGCCACTTGGTCAAGAATGGACTGCCAGATCTACTCATCAAAAGATGATCAAACCTAGAGTCATAACCAAACCTGGTCAAGTCATTGATCCATTAAAAAATCCATTCAGTTAGAGAATTTGCATTACCATTATTAAGATACTTGTATAGAATCTATGGAATATCAGCATTTTTAATTATTGGTTACATGAAGCCATCTATAGCATTGTAAATTATAGATAATCGGACTACTTTGTCTTATCTACCTGAGCGGAATTTTACTTTATAATAGCAGTTATTGCGTATTGAACAAGTTATTTTACAATTAGATCAGTTATATTTTGCAAAGCAGTTGCTATTACAGTGATTTTATTCTCTATTTTATTTTAAATGCATGTACATAATTATAAAAGTCGTGGCTCTTAAAGTGCTTCCAACCTGTCATTAATCTCCTGGGTGGACAATGTTCTGAATCTTGGGCCCTTATCCTTTTCTACACCTTTGTATCCGAGAAGATCGGTGTTAGGTTCTCCGATGACAGCTATTTCTATAGTGTCGCCATTAAATTCACCTTCCACGGACTCTTTCAAAGTCAAAAGTGCAATATGTATAGCGTCCTCTAACTCTAGCTCATTATTCCATCTTTTCTCCAGGAAAGTCTTTGCCGCAGTGGAGCCTTTACCGATGGAAGTAGCCTTCCATGGAAAGTAGGAACCAGATGGATCCACCTGGTATAAACTGTACCCGTTATGTTCGTCGTAGCCCGCCACAAGCAAAGACACGCCGAAGGGCCTCACACCACCGGACTGTGTAGCCTCCTGCATGATTTTGGCAATCTCGGAGACCAAAAGCTTTGTAGGCGGGTACTCCCCGTATATCCTCTTGTAATTCGTATGTGCGACTTTCCGAGACTTGTCCACCAGCACCCTGTAGTCCGGGCCAATACCGGAGTACACAGCACCAATGTCCGGTGTCAGCAGCGACACCTTCGACAGCGTCTCAGTCAGCGCCAATGGAGAGCTGGACTTCTTCTCAGTGGCAATTACAACACCATTAGTGGCCTTGATACCCAGGGAGGTAACACCTTGCTTCACCGCAGTCAAGGCATAGTCAATCTGACCCAGCTTACCGCTGGGGGAAAAAGTGGTCAGCGAGAATGAGTAACGATCAGCCATCTCCTTTGTGTCTACTGCCTTTCCTGTACAATCTAGAAACTCAATGCACACCGCAATGGCCCCATTATATATGTTCCCTCTGTACTGCACTTTTGCCAAAATTCCCCTTCAATCGCTCCCATCGCGCATTTTGCCACTATGTGACGTTGTACGTATATCACATGAAACCATCGCCTCCCATTGAAGCCAGACACACCAGTATGTATTTACAGTATTTACAGATGTATTTACAAATGCATTTGCATATGTATTTGCATGTGTATTTACCTATATATTTACAACTGCAATTGTCTGTCTATAGATTTTGTGTGCCAATGTGTTCTTAGGACTTTGATAGCTGTCTGCAGCACTGATCTCGGCGTGACAGCTAGGTCTGGCATGATTCCATGCATACTTTGTATAATAGTATTACCGGATAATAGCGGGGATAGCTCTGTATATGTTTAGCTTGTTAGATTGCTCTGCTCTGTATTGCTATGATTCCCACCACACCCACACACACACACACACACAATACCCCGTACAAAGCGTTCCCTGATCTGATTGGCCTGTCCTCAATCGTCGCAGCTGAGACTCTCTCATAGCGAAGTTCCTCTTCACAATTGAATTAAAATAGTAGTATAACGTCTTGGAAGGGACGTATATATCTTAGCTTCATCCAACGAGCCCATATTCGCATAGTGAAAGAACCCCAATGTCTACTGTCAATGTATTGAGATACTCCGCGCTTGGCCTAGGTCTGCTGGTTGGCCTGAAGACCGATTTCTCCCTGAGAGGTGCTGCTGCAAAGAAGTTGGAAGAAGAAGAGTTTAGCAAGAGACAGCAGCTTATAGCCGATGCCAAGGCCGAGTGGGCCAAGTTGCATCCGCCAAAGACTAAGGCAACTACAAAGGAGATCAACTTTGATGATCCTAACTTAGACTTCGGGGAGTTGATCGTCAACGCCGTGAATGCACTAGACGCTTGAGTTTCTACCTCTGAACATCATCAGTGGAAAACTGTATGGCCATGTTTATGTGCATACTCCAACGGCATAGTGATATATCCCAATACAATAATTGCCTTTATTCATTATGAAAGCCCCTCCACAACCCATTACATTACATTATTATTCATTTTTATGTATTCTTAACAAACTACACAGATTGTAAATAGCCAATTCCGGTAGTTTTAATCAAAACATTCTAAGCAAAAAAAGTTCGCTAACTTCATTATTTTGTATATACATGAGAATATAAAAAAGGATTCTTTGAAACCCTACTATTTAATTTGTTTACCTTCTGACTCTGCTGAAGACTCTTCCTGTTGGCATATTGTACATCTCTCTCACTTTAGAGACGTTTAGATCCCATTCACTTCTCCATACATGCGCACCAATAGCTTCCATGTTGTTCTTTGACGCAAAGTCTCTGATGTTAAAGTTATCCCTAACAACATCGCCCTTGGCAATTGGTTCAGTTTGTCTGAAGACCCAGACACTGTACCTTTGAGCTGGGACATTCTTCTCCGGCACAGGTGGCACGTACTCGGCAAGAACGTTCTCATCTGTGTATCTTCTAGGATCTACAACGTTGTCGTTATAGTCAATCTTAATATTTACAAGGCCAAATGCTAGCGTAGTCTTGAATGTGTCATTTTCAACATCTGGCTCATCGGGATTCACAATCAGCACAGAGTATAGTTGCTTGCTTGGGTCAACAAGATCGTATTCTTGGATCTTAACCGCTGGTGGTAAAGATGTCACATTCGAAGATAGAAACTCACCCGGTTCAACCCATTTGTTCACACCAGTGGAGTATGGAAATCTGATGTTGACTTCTGCCTTGGGAACAAGTGTAGGCATTGTGTCCGGAATAACCTGCAAACTTTCCAATCTTTGCATCAATAACATCTGACTATAGGACTCCCAGTGCTTCCTACCCAAGTGTCTATAAACTGGTTGCGTGTAATCAATGATTCGAGGATCGTTCTCAATCTTCTCGTGGTATTGAAAGTTGTACAATACTTCAGGATTACCGGATTCTGCCTTCGCAATCAACTTTTCACGTTCAAGCTCATTCTCCTGTCCTTTAGCTTTCTCATATAGTTTACTGGCATGGTCCTCCAAATACTTGTAACTAACCGCAAATGCTTCGTCGATGTGCTCGGGGGAATTGTACTTGAGTCTGTTAGATTTTCTGCCAATGGTAACGGGACCGCCTTTAACAGCACTAGAGCCTTCCAATACATTCTTCTTCACCAGCACATTGTTGATACCAAGAGACTTAGACCTGTTACTGAAATCGCTCCACACTCTGGTTCTCTCAGCAGCCTTAACACTGGAGTGAAACCCTCGCCTAAACATATTCAATATTAACAAGCCACCCTGTTGCTCTTGTTGGAAATACTATGGCTTTCTTTCAACAATAATACTGCGCCAAGATCACTTACACTATCAATTCAGGAAGCACTATAACTATGCCTTCTTTTCTTATACAGTCTGAGCACGACGAGTTCTTCAAACTAAACCGTTATGGATGATAACAATAGGCCTTGTAGACAGTCGATAGTACTTTATAGACTGGACTAAAATACAGTTTCGTATATATGTTTGAATTACAATTGTTATTTTATCTATTCTATCAGATGCTTTTTAAAATATGTTGTATCATTACATGTTGCTGGGGACAGTCTAGCCACCGTAGACACCGGCAAAGACGTGCCTTATCTCATGCAAGCTGTACTTACCTGCCAGGCAGAGTTGTAGCAGGATTCTACTCTTCTCTGGGTTCAAGTACCCAGAAGCAATCACGTAGTTATGTGTTCCGTCTGCAGCCTTTGGCAAGTTAGCCACTGGAATCATACCATCCATGGATCTCTTTGAGTAGACAATTGGGACCTTTAAAGTGAGTGCCTTCTGGTTCACGTTATCTGGCAAAGAACCGGCACCCATAGTAGCTATCACGATACCATCGTATTTATCTGATACAAGGTCAAATAGCTCTGGCTCAAAAGCTTGGTGTGCGTATAGGATGGCAACCTTTGGGAAGTTGAAACCTGTGTATTTTTCTTCAACATCGTCGAACTTCAACTTGAATTTGTGGCAACCCATTGGCTTCACTGGTGGGTAATAGTAGTGGATCTCGTTGTTGAAGAAATTTCCGAGATAACCTTGTCTTACGTTGAATGTGTCCAAACTGTTAGCATTGGTCTTTGTGATGTAGTAACCCGCAGAGATCTGGTCATTCAGGGAAACGAGGACGCTTCTGCCTCTGGACTTCTTATCCGATGCGATACAGATAGCTTGGTACAAGTTCATGGGACCATCTGCAGAAACACTGGTGGATGGTCTCATAGAGCCAACCAGCACAATAGGTACGTCGCCAGCATCAATGGTGCTCTCTATAAAAAACGCAGTCTCAGCCAAAGTATCAGTACCATGAGTGATGACAATACCGTCAAAACTCTGCAGGGAGTCAGAGATACCTTTGTATATCTTGAACAACAGCGCCTCGTCGATATCCTTCGAGTCAACATTACACAGTTGCTCATATTCTAACTCACAGATACCTGAAATGTCCGGAATGGCACTCAGCATGTCCTGGATGGTCAAATCAACATGGTAGCCAGCAGTCTGGGAGCTGTCACTACCTTTTGAGGCAATAGTACCACCTGTACCCAGGATCTTAATACGAGGAAGACTCCTGTGAACTGTACCAAGCGGTGTTTGCGATACTTTTCTGAGGTCTTGAACCGAGCTGCTTAGCAGAAACTGCGAGTTCTCAACATCGGGACATATAGTAGTAATCTCCACAGAGTCGTTCACCATTGTGTGTGTTTTAGTAACCCCCTTTGATTATCAGTATTTGGGAGTGGATATGACAAGTAAACAGCCTTGGGTCCCACAAGATAGTCATAACTGAGGACTCATTTGAGCTTTTCAAAGTTTGAAGCTCATCGCTTTCTGCTAAATTTTTCATTGGGAAGAAACCAAAAAACTCGAAGGAAAAGTTATAGAAAACAGTAAACAAAGTAACATTGGGTTGTGAGATAGCATTTGACCATTGTGAGACTGCCACCTTGAGCCAGCAGATACAGTACTGATATAAGTTGGGAGAAAATGGTTGAGAATCCGTATGAGGAAGTGCAGGTCAATGTGTTGTCGCGTATTATTGCCAACGTGGAGAAGCTGAACCAGAGTGTTCGCACATTGAACCAGGAGCTAGAGAACGTAAACAAGCGCAACAAGAACCTTGAAGTTATGGGTCAGATATGTGAGAACTACCACAGGAGCGTGCAATTCAACCTGGAGGCCACCGGGAATAAGAAACCTCCGTTGTGAAAAGGGGAGAAAGCGCTTCTTCCAGATCTAGTACCAAAATCACGCCAAATTCAGTCATTTTGAAGTGATTATAATGAAATCTGAAGTGACAAAAGGTGTCCTATGTGGGAAACTTTGTATTAGGCGTGAAACCAGGCAATAAATTGGACAGAAGTACCGGTATGATCATTGGTCCCACACATGTGATTTTAGACGTGCACTGAGAGGTTTTCGCTCTCAGCACTGATCCGCAAAGTGAGAATTCCGAGGCTTTCCTTGAATAAGGCAATAACAAACGGACAGGACTGTAGTTTAATGTGCTTAATGGGAAAGTATTATCAGTCTGTTTCTTAATCTAACAGGTTATTTTAACAGATGGTTCTTAATTCTCAGTAATTACCTGATACTTGTGGCAATACAGTAACTGCGAAATGTCTGATCCGTTTGGACACTTGTTGGCATCTTTGAAAGAAGGGAACGTACCGAGTTCGAAACCGGGTTCGAAGGAGAATAGTGTTACCCCTGGTGCATTGACTCCACAGAAGAAGAAATTGACTCCTTTGCATACGGAATCTATTGTGCATGGAAATGGTAATGTTGTCTCAAACACAAATATACATGATGATCTAGACGATCTATTTGGATCCATACCGAAGAAAGAAGATGTAGTACAGGACAATCATACTTCAATTGATGGCCTGGATTTGTTTCAGAGCTCATCACACGTTGTATCTAAGACAGAGCCCGATAATCAGGAAATCAATCCCTTTGACAATCCTTTCGAAACTGAACACAAATCTGAATCTCCAACTGAGGAAGTTATAGACGAAGTTAGGGATATGGAACTTGCGAAGTTGATGTCGTTGGGATTAAATATTGATAAAGCATCAAGCTACTATGAAAGGGGTATAACTTTTGAGGACGTGCTCAGGAAAAGGAAGCAAAAAGCTAGCAATGGGTATCAGCAACGTTCTAACATTGATAGAAAACAAGGTGGGGGAGAAATTAGAAACATATTTGATACAAGAGGTTCTGGTTCAGAATCTTTGTTCTCTGGCATCCTGAATAAAGGTAAAGAGCTTGTCAATCAGTTAAGTACCTATACAGAAGAAGAAAATGAAAGAATGAATAAGTTTAAAGGTTATGAAGAATACTCAATGAGCGAAACATATCTTGAAAAGGAGAACAGCATGGATCCAGGTGTATTCTCGAGATCTTCTCAAGAAAAAATACCCCAGAGAGCCGCTAGACCTTCTCATGAAAAGTCAAATAGCTCAAGATCTAAAATTAACAAAAGAATGACAACTGAAGCTCCTCATAAACCTTTCAACGATGATGATCAATCCTCTTTAATAGAATCTAAAGACTCCTCTCGCGAATCTTCAATGCCTGGTGAAGGAACGCTGTTGGATTTCGACAATGACAATCATGCTTCGTCTCCAGTAGTGAACACCTCCAATCAGAATACTGTATCTATTACCCAAATTCCTATCTCTCATATTGAGATTTCCGGTTATAATGAGTTCAAGGCTAGAGGTACTGATTATTTCAAAAACGGTGATTATGCTAGTGCAGTTGAAGAATATGAAAAGTCATTAAATACACTTCCAATGAAGCATCCTTTGCGGATCATTGCTTACTCTAACATAATAGCCTCTCGAATAAAAATTGGACAACATTCTCAATCTGTTGTAGATGCTCAGGAAGCCATGAAACTTTTACCAGAAGAAAAGTCGCTTTGGACAGCAGCAATTCAAAACAGTGATCCTGTAAGAAGTTATAATGATATATGGCCCAAGATTATATTGAGGCAAGCCGAATCCTATGAAGCAATCGAAAAGTATAAACTGGCGTTGGATGCTTATCAAACTTTGTTGGAGAAGAATTTGTTTAGTGAGAAAGTCATTGCCGGAAAGAGGAGATGTCAGCATGCATTGGGTCTTGATTCAAAGCCGAAGAGTAATCCGCCAAGTAAGTCTGCTACACCTGCTCCAGCACCGAGACGTGCACCAACAGTGAATAGGCAAACGGAAGTTGTTAATAAGAAATCGGTAAATGCTGAGAAATTAAAGAAGGAGAATGAAAGATTAGCCAAACTAGAGGATCAAAAGGTGGCGCTATATGATAAGGTGGAAGGTATAATTAACTCTTGGAAAAATGGCAAACAAGACGACATTAGATATCTGCTCTCAAATTTGCAAGCAGTTATTACATGGACTCAATGGAAACCAGTGCAATCAAGTGAACTTGTCTTGCCAAGAAAGGTCAAGATTACTTATATGAAAGCTGTGGCTAAACTACATCCTGATAAATTGCCTTCATCGCTTACTTTGGAGCAACAGATGATAGCAGAATCAGTTTTTAGCACCCTTAGTGACTCTTGGGAAAACTTCAAGAAATCTAACGATATCAACTAGTAGCAAAAACTAATATAATGAAAGTATTTAATGGAGCTTATACTTTTCTTTGTAATATTTTACTAAAATCTACTGTAACTGACTATTGACCAAATGTTGTCATTGTCATGTTTCTTTCTCGCGTTACCACATAACACAGACAAAATCAACATTGATTATGGTTAAGTGCAATGGATTAAAAACTCTACGTGTTCACATTCACTTTCCTCAAGTTATAAACAACCTGGCACACTTAAAAAGTGGTACAGTATGTTAGAACAGCCCCTCTGATCATGTTTGTTCCTACACGAAAGCAAGTATCCTTAGCGTATCCAGTCATATTAATATTGGGATGTTTTCTTTCCGTATTGCTTTCTGAAGAAGCCAAAATTAATCAAAGAGCTAATTATTATCTACTTAACTCAAAGAATGTTTTTAATCAGATACTAGCTTATAAGGGAAATTGGGTATGGCTTTTTCTGTTTATGGGTGTAGCTGCAGTGCAATACAATCTGCGAACTAAAAGCCAGTCGCTACTGCCCACTGATACAAGAGCACTAGTTGTTTCTAATAAGACTAAGTTGCAGATCATAAAAGAGTATTTCTGTAAATACTTTCTAAAGCTGTTCATTTTGGACGTCATATTCCTTGTAATAGATGGTGTATTTATAATGACAGGCGGGTCCTGTACAGTACCTAACAGATCCATATCAGCTGAACTTTGTAAGTCGCTAGGAGGTAAATGGATAGGTGGATTTGATATAAGTGGTCATTTTTGTTTTTTGGTCAATATTAGCATGATTCTATGGATGGAATTGATAGCCATCGCAGAACATGTTTGTGGGTATGACACTGTGATTTCGTTATCATCATTACAAAAGCATGTCATAACCGTGGCAGTAGTAGTACTGGTGGCATGGATGGGCATGCTGCTGGTTACCGCTACATATTACCATACTATTGCGGAGAAGTTAATCGGGTGTGTTTTTGGATACATTTGCCCATTTGTGATGTATGGGTTAATTCCTAACAGCCATGATTTAAACAAACTGTTTTATGCAACTATGTCTGATTGATAAGTGCTCTTTTTTTTCATATATTGTTAAATATTTTATAGAACTAATTAATTTCTCAAGCTTATTAACTTATACTTTAAATCATGAAGTGAACCTTGTAACATCATGGCTAATCTTTCCTTCTCATCATCACTCATTATTTTCGATTTAATAGTACAAGCAATTATTGAGTACTGATGGATATGAAATTCAATTTTGGTGGTCCCCTGTAATGTGCATTTGATCACAAGAGATTGTAAATCCATATCCAAGTCATCAATTATCCCATCCTTTTCTAGTTGTAGGAATAGCTCGGATCTAATAACTATTTCAACTAGCAATAGATAAATACATTTGGCAAAGAGGTAAACATCGTCATAAGTTCTTATCAAGCCACCAGTAACCTCTGCAAATATCCCTTCTACGTCGATATAGTTGGGTACAGTATATTTGAATAGTTTCCAATCATCAGATTTAGCAGACTTCTTCAGCAAAATATAATGTGGTTTCTCAAAGCTTTTAGATGATTCATTAAAAATATCAAACCGTATACCAAGCATATCTCGAGTAACAATCATCTTTTCAGTTTTGGAGTCAAATATCAGATCAGAGGGGTCCACAAGAGGGAAATAACTTATTCCAAAGAGCCTATATATGTTTTCATACTGAATTGGCTCTTTGCTAACTTTACCAGTAGAGTTTGGGTTCAATTGTTGTATCTTCTGTTTTCTTTTTGATGGTGATATCAGTATGTCAGTATCTATAACATCTCTTACGCTCTCATCAAATAGTCGATGCTCCACTAGAGGTTGTGTTTTCAGTACCCATTCATGTTCAGGTAAACTATGTAATTTCTCGTTCACAACTGAGCTTCGAGACTTCTTCTGTGGAGTCACAGGGATAATATTAGTGTCGTCAACATCAGTCGCACTTTTATCAATCTCATAACCGAGCAACAAATCTCGTAATCCTGGATTCTTCTCGAATATATCATTAAAATCTCCGAATGCTTTATCAAACTTGATAAATTGCTCCGGATGCTTCAACTGTTCCCTTAACTTCTTCGATTTCTCCTGTAGACCATTGATCTCACTCGTTAGTGCCTCCACATCTTGTAACAGCTCCTCAACAGTAACAGTATCCATTATTCATGTATATTGATATTTAATAGTATGTGATTGTTGATACAGCATTCTGTATGACAAACACTTAAATGGAATCATATGTAGTATTACTGCTGTTTATGTTTTGAGTTCTGAAATTTCGCGTAGGAATTGCGCGATGAGCTAGCTCGGATCAGAAATAGCAATGAGCTAACGTTGAGCAATAATAGTTAAGCGAGCCAGATATAATATGAGGCTAAGTGTAGTATTTAATTTTTTATATGTATCGAGTTACAATATTAAATGCCTTGCGGGCTAATTCCAAAGTGTAGATTTACCGAACTCTGCAAGCTGCTAGAAACAATACTTTGAATTGGTCAAATTTTGCCAATACTCTGTCGATTTAACGTGCTTCATAAGTCTAAAATAATTTACTAATTATTTCATATTATCCATTTCTTCACTAGTAACAACTCTAGTCAATGGTTCCTCATGCAAATATTTGTCTACAGCAGCAATGGAAATTGCGTAGGCTACTTTTTGTGCTGGGATACAGTACCCCAATAGCTTTGATCCTGGTATTCTGTAAAATGTTCTTGCTACAATTTCGCTAGCCTTTATAGACATTCCACCAGTTCTAATATCATCTACAAAACACTCCATATTCTGCAAAAAAGCCTTTTTATGGAGTAAAGCCCTCTCAAATAGACTGCTATTTTTTAGGATGGAATCGTTTGTTGGATAAATATCACTATGCCTTCCTACAAGAGGGCCAGGTCTTAGGATGGTTAATGTCTTCAGAGGTGGAGTAATTGCATTAGCTAGAGTTGATTCCAACTTCATTTTAATTTTGAAGTATGGTGAAACTGTACTAATTATTGTGTTATTGAAGGAAGTTACGATTATGACGCTCTTATCGTCTGTGTTTGAAAACGCCTTAACCAGATCAACATTTAACTGATAGTCAATATCATTATATGTAGTATTGGATATTTTGTTCCTATTTGTGGTTGTACCTATGGTGCTTATCATGGTTTTAATATCTGAGAGTAATGGAAAATACCTCTTTAGTGGCATCTTTTCTCTAAATGAGATTGCTTCAACCTCATCAGAGAATATAATAGGAATAACTGACGGCCAGGAAAACGAATTTTTAATGATTAATTGGATATGATTAAAGATGAAGTTCAATTTTAGTAGGTTACCTTCAGCGGACATGTATTCTAAATAATACATATATTCCTTACCGTAATACTCACCGCTGATTGGATTTTTCCCAGTAACATTTTTGCCTTTATCCTTATAGTATAGGAAGCCATCAAATGTAGCATCGTTGGAGGTTTCTATATCTTGATCTATATCCAATGGAACGCAAGTTCCTTTGTTGTAGTGATATTGAGATCCATTGAAACAAAATGGTCCAAAACTGTTAGCACTTGGTGATTTCAGGTATTTGTCTAAAGGTTCACCGATTTTCCTATTGAAACAATAAAGACATGTCTTAATAGTAACATTTTCTAGTCCTTCCTCGATTGCTTCAAGTAATAGCTCTCTTAGTTCAACCGCGCTATTCAAATAAAAACACGGATCCAGTAAATACTCGAATACCAATGAGCCAGTTAAGCCAGTGGATCCGAATAGAAGTATATTTTTTTCAAAAGTTTTCTCTCTCGACAGAGAGCCACTGGTATTTTCCAAGTTTGTGGTGATCATTATGGTATATCAAGCTATCAATATATCTTTTTCACCAACAACGTTGGATAGATTGTATAATGGCTCTGTCAAGGAACATAAAATGTATAGGCAAATAATACTACTAACCTGGTTATTGATCCAATATTAGTAACATTAATAACAAATGAAATAACTTCCAAAGTAGCGAGACAGCATCATATTATTGTTATGACACAAAATGCAGCTGTTGGTAAAATAATGGAAACCAGCATGTGTAGTTAGTAATTAACTTGACCCTAATTTATCCAGTGCCTATATGCTCTTTATTAATAAAAATATTACTTGTTTCTATACTACAGTTTAACAGAGATGTTTATTCATTGCTTGAATGCAACTTCTTTGGGAAGTTTAAAGCTGCAACAAAACATTGGCTTTGTTGGTGAAACCTTTCTTACCAGGTGGAAAGCAACTGCTTCAAATGGCAAAATATCAGCAGAACAGTCCATTTCTTTCAAGATTCTATTGAATACTCGTTTATGCAATTCTTCCATGGAGACTTCTTCGCCATTTTCATATTTCTCGAAGCAGTGAACATGTACATATGGCATTTCTTTGTAGATTTCTGGATCAATATTGTTATATACACCATTAAAATTTCCCAAGAATGTTAATGCAGAGTCAGGTAAGTTCATAACATAATGGCTAATATTCTTAGGTATAATGTATTCCTTATATTGCTGTTCTAGCTGTTTAGGTTGTGGTTCATTTTCATTTCCCTTTCTTCTTTTCTTACCTCTTAGTTTTATAGCATGTCTTACAACTCCATTTGATTCTTCTCTGAAATTATCTAATATATTAGCTGACTGTTTTATGAATTCTGCACCATCATGATTAAAAGGTTTTACAAAATCAGAAACCTTATTAAGAGTTATATTTTCTTGCAAATATTTGAAACTTTCTGGGTTCAAGTCATTGGCTAAGACAAAACTAGGTTTTTTACCTGCTGGAACAGCAAATGGACCAACCCCTGCAAATACATCGCAAACAATTTCACCATCTTTAAAATAGTCTGTTACTAACCGTTGATGTTCAGTGTGTAGTCTAGAATTCCAATAAACTTTGCTGAAATCGAATCTGAAAGTACAGTCAGATTCTTTTTGTTCAACAACTAAGTTAGTGCTATCACCTGCTATAACTTTCATTGGGAATGTTCTGAATTGTGTTGCAATTGAGCTAACTTTATCCACTACGCACTCGATCTTGTTGTTTTTATCTAAAATCACCTGTCCTATTAATGAATCGTATGGCTTGAATTCGTTCCTCAAGTTGAGATGAGCGACATGGCCTGTTATAGTAAATCCTGTTGGAACCTCATCCAAAAATTCCTCTGGTAACACACTTCTCAGAATCTCCTCAGCTTTCCAAAAATTATAGTCCAAGGTATATTCATATGGCAAAAGCTCAGCTTGTTTCTCATTTAAGTAGTCAACAGCTCCCTGCGAGAGTACTTTAGAAACATCTTGAACATTCGTTATCTTATCAGTTAAAAGAACACCTTTTGTGACTAATTCATTGTCACAAGCAACCGTCTTTGATGGAGCATGGCCATCCTTATACTCAAGTTTGATCACATGAGGTATTCTTGGGATTCTTAATATAGATTCCTTGTAGTTCTTTGCAAACTCGCTAATATTACGAGGATCCTTAAATTTGACCACCACTAATGGGATCTTTTTGGTAAAGAAACTCCTATCTAACTCTTTCATCGATCTATTGACCGGAGGTGAATATTTGTACATATTGTGTTGAGTGCTCATTGTGGACCAATTTCTCACCAATCTATATTTAGGAAACCAGGAAAAAAATCTGTGCATCCACACAAATAGTAATTATTCAGTTACGCTAAAAGATTGGGCAATAACCAACAAGCTGTGGGTTTATACAACTAGGCATTGTGTTGATGTTTATGCTTAACATTTGAGCTCATCGCAATTTTTTGACAAAAAAAATTTCAAACATTTTTTCAGAAATTGAAGCTCATCGAGTAATAATAGTGAGAAATAGCATATAAGATAAACCATTGAATCATTGTTCTAAGTAAAGCATAAACAAACAACGATTATAAAGAATATACTGACGATGTCTTCTGTTATCTCAGTGGTTAAAAGAACCGGTGGATTCCAGAGCAACTCGATTGAAAGTGATTTTGAGAGCGATGAGGACATGTCCTATGGCAGCGATGTTGAAGAAGGTCAAGATGCCGACGGAGATATGGAGATGAAAGAGGAGAAAGGAAAGGGTAATTCAGATATAGTTACACCTGGTGAGTTGATCACTGATGATCCGGTGTGGATGAGAGGTCATGGTACCTATTTTCTTGATAATATGACATACTCTTCTGTGGCAGGTACTGTCTCTCGAGTAAATAGGTTGTTATCTGTGATCCCTTTGAGAGGTAGGTATGCTCCAGAAACTGGTGACCACATCATCGGTAGAATAGCTGAAGTTGGTAATAAAAGGTGGAAGGTAGATATAGGTAGTAAGCAGCATGCTGTCCTGATGCTAGGGTCTGTGAATCTACCTGGTGGTATATTAAGAAGAAAATCAGAGAGTGATGAGTTACAGATGAGATCATTTCTGAAAGAAGGTGATCTTCTTAATGCAGAAGTTCAATCTTTGTTCCAAGATGGTAGTGCGTCTCTACATACAAGATCGCTAAAATACGGTAAGCTAAGAGATGGTATCTTCTGTCAGGTTCCAAGCTCTCTAATTATAAGATCAAAGAATCATACACACAATCTACCGGGAAATGTTACCGTACTTTTAGGTGTTAATGGATTTGTATGGTTGAGAAAAACATCAAAAATGGATCTTACAAGAGATGCACCACCAGGTGGCAGTACTGGTGCTGGAAGAGAATCATCTGTCGGTCCAACTGGTGCTACACATGTCAACACAAACACAAACATTTCTATTACAAGATTAGAGGAAGAATCATCATGGCAAATATATTCTGATGAAAACGATCCGACAATAAAGAATAGTGAAAGAAAGACTATATCTAGATATGCCAATGTAATAAAAGCTTTGGCTTTTTGTGAGATAGGTATTACACAGGAAAGAATCATTAGTGCATATGAGGCAAGTATGGCTTTCCCAAATATTGGTTCATTAATAGAAAAGGAAACGATGGAATCAATAGGTAGAGATGTAATAACAGTAGAGAGAATGAGAGGTACTGAACAATAATTATTTTTCTGGCATCAATTCTTTTATAAATATAATATTATATTTGAATCTTTTCATAATTATACTATTTACAGTTTCTTAATGGCTGTCATATTTACTTACTAGTATTACTGGGAATTTCAGCGTTATTACTATTTACATTAGAGGTCGTCCTATTGTTTTCCTCGTTCATATGTTGGATCTTCTCTCTCAACCCAGATCTGAAGTATTTTTCAATGAAGCTAATTTCTTTCTTCTTTCTCACATCAGATTTCTTTTTTGCAACTACACACCATGTGGTACCAAGATGAGAAGTATATTCTTCGACTACATCTAGTCCAGAATCGTCTAGTATCTCTCCGATGTCTAAGTTCCACCTACATCCCCATGTCTCAAGTCTCCTTTTGGCTCTCTTGTCTAATATTTTGTTTATTAATCCCACAGACCCTCTTCCATGCTCTAATAAGACAATTCTCCCACCAGGTTTGAGTAATTCTTGGAAATTTTTCAAGGCTTTGACTGGATCTTCATGCGAACATAGTCCAAAGGCTTCAATAATAGTGTCAAACTTCTTTTGCTCTTTTTTATCGGGGTCATCACCAGCTAAATCTAGAAGATCTTCTGCCCTTCCTTTGACAAATGCGACTTTTTTGTACGTTGGAAACCTGTCTCTAAATTTTTTATTAGCTATTTCCAGCATGTTTTCGGAAGAGTCTAAAAATATTAAGGAGTTCACCCTCTCTATGTCCAGATACTTGATGTTCCTTCCTGTACCACAGGCAACCTCTAGGACGTCACCTTCACAGTGCTTCATCAACCACTTTCTTTTCCTTCCCATTAAAATTGCTCTTTCTTCACTATTGATAGCTTTGTCATATTCTTCTGCTTTATGATCATAAAATTCTGTAGTATCATGAGCAGGAACAATAGATTCGTTTAATCGATTTTGGTCATTGTTCTCCAAAGTGATTCCATCAAAATCAGTGATTCCCTTATCAATCATTTGTTGATACTGTTCTAGTTTCAATTCGTCACGTCTTCTCAGTTTACCTCTAAGTTCTTTTATTCTCAAGCTCTCATATTCATTAATACCGCTGGTCTTGGCCTTCCCCTCCAATTTTTCGAGTTCTTTCTCTTTTTGAAACAATTTCTTAGAGAAATAAACACCATAAATCAAGAATATTGCATAAATACCTACCATGTACTTCGTCATGCTCTTATTGAACTTCTCTGAGCTTGCAATAGCAGCCCAACGAACTAGCCGATACGGCGATTGCAACGCCTTTTCATGTTTCTCTTTGGCAATCTCCTCTTTCGTCTTAGGACGTCTCACTTTAGCAGTCGGTTGAGGGATATATGTCTTGGTATTGGAATTGGCATCGGACTTGTACCTAGCACTGTAATGAACCTGGAGTATTGGTCGCACAACAGGAAAACGGTTCCTAGTCTGCGCAACACAGCGCATTAAAAGCATTGTTCTAGTAACTGTGAGTATGAGCTTGTATGTACTGATATATACCGAATAGTATGTCTACATTATTGCTATACAATTTTTATAATTATTGAGATTGTAAGGTTTGAGTTAAGCATATTAAGTATTGCTGAAATTGTTGGGACGTATGCAATAACATGGAATTATCGAGTCATAATGAATGCAATTGACAGTCCTATGTAGATAGCGTTCCAGTATAATTATAAAAAATCTCATAACATCGTTACAATAGTTACATAGCAGCAGGAAGCACTCCCGATGATATCTATAAAAGGAAGTGTATAAAAAGGGCTCTTTCTTTTTTGTTTGGATAGAAATATGATCAAGTCAAAACATCGACGAAATAATGACTCTCGTGCGACTTCAATTTCTGGTTCATTAAAAAATACATTTTAAAGGAGTATGTTGAGATTTGGCCTCTTTGAAGGTATTTAATTAGGTTATCATTTATAATCTGAATCTTAGTTCTTTGGTAGAGGCTTACCATTGGCGAACGTGGCAGCAACGATCAATGGGAAAACAATAGTAACATCAGCATAAATCTTCACAGACTTAGCTTCTGCCTTAATTTTACCCCAAGAAACAGCTTCATCGGGTCTTGCACCAGCATCAGAACCGTCAAACTCTTGACCAGTGTTGATATAAACTGCATAGTCAGCACCATTTCTCATTAGACAAGCGTTGGCAATATGATGCTTGATCAAACCACCACCCAGAATAATCATACCAGCTTTTGAAGCTTCCATAGACATGGAGTTGATTTTTCTGATATCAGCGACAATATCCAGTCTGATTTGCTTTGGAGAAGCCTTGAAAGTGTGGAAGAACAGCATGTCACCAATGGAACCATCAGTAATGGCTGGGCAGAAGATTGGAATCTTATTCTTGTGAGCCCAGTATAGAACAGAGGATTCGTCATTGATCTCCTTACCAAGACGGTCAATCAGTTTCGAAGGAGTCCAGATTGGAGAATCGACATCAGTGTTAGCATCCAAACAATCCTTACCGTGCTTGGCCACATATTCTTCTTGCTCCTCTAACATCTTGTCGAAGATTGGAACGATCCATTCTTCAAACTTACAGTAGTTGTCGTTTGGAACCAATAGATTACCGATACGGTTCATACCTTGGTCACGAAGGGATTTACCTTCCAAGGAGAATTCACCCAAATATGTTGGTGCCAAACACTTAATGATATCTTCTTCGATACCACCGGCAGTAGCAACAAGAGCATCAACCATCTTATGCTGCACAAGATATCTCAAGGTTTCACGTAGACCAGAACTAATCAAATTGGAAGTGTAACCCATAAAGACAGTGGTCTTTTGGTAGCCAGCGTCGTCGAATTGACCTTTTCTGTCATGCTCATCAAGCTCATCAATGTGCTTACCTCTCCATGATCTCATTTCATCAATGATATCACAAGCTTTGCCCAAGGAGCTAGCTTGAAAACCCATGGTCTTCATAGAGTTGACAAGATCAGAGGCTCTCATGTCTGTGGCAGTTGCAGCGGAGTAATCAATACCTTTGACCTGAACAAAGTCATCTGGAACTGGAACAGAGGCTTTCAAAACAGCATCCTGTAGAATGTCTGGAAGTTTATCGTTGGCAGCAGACATGGTAATATCTAGATATATTTTGAACTATGTCTATTCTATGAGTGTTGAATATTGAATACTAATGAAATTAATTATAACATAGTAGTTATTAGTTCTGCAATTTTTTTTTTTCATTTTTTTTTTCACTTTTTTCACATTGCGGGATAGCTCATCGCGATGAGCTGGGAATTATATAATATGGCATAATAATTATACCAGTTAAGAAATTGTGTTGATTCACCATATTTGACTTTAGCGATGGTATAGTTTTGGATGAATGCTGGTTGCTGAAGGAGGTGCAAATATACTTTTGGAATTGGATCATAGAGGTGTGTTATATCGCTGCAATGTTCGCGATAAGTCACTTAAGGTTAACAATGAGTACACTTATAAGAATTACAGGTATATTAACCAAGTTGTGAGACCTTTGTTAGGTGATTGTATACCTGAGATGGAGCTTGTTGATATTCCTTATGACCGGATTTCGGGCATCATTGGTGACTTTGTAGGTGATCCCGATAGTGATCATGTATCAGCACTGACTATCAAGAACTTGAGACCAACTAATGTATATGGTGAAAAGATAAGATACGATGATCACTTTACAAAAGTCTATCATGATGACACTATGGAGCATATCTTGGTGGAGATTAAGCCAAAATGGTTGCACCATGCGAAATTCTGTAGGAATTGTACGCATAACAATTTGAAGAATCGAAAAATACCATATTGTTATGCGTTGATGGTTGTCGACCCAAGCCACGTTTCAGATATGCTATTGCACACAGGAATTGCTTTCCCTAGGAAGTTTTTGATTAAATTTGTTGACTACTTCAGTAAGTCTGATAATATACTCGCAAAACTGCATGACATTCAAAAGAATCTTGACTCAAACGTTTCAATGAATGATATTAAGAGCATTGATGATGTGTCTGATGCTTTTCTACTTAATATGACTCTTAAGGATGTTTCTTGTTTTATAGAATGGACCAGAGAGCCGGACTCACTGGAAGTAAATGTTGTTGATGTAGACATGAAATTGGTGTCAAAGTTAGACCATTGGGTCAATACCCACATACAGTTAAGCAACTCATCAAATTTAGTTCATCATTAAATATAGTTTTTATTCTTCATTTACTGCAATATATCAATCTTTTGTACCAAAACATTAAATACAAAAGACCAAAATATAAAAAAAGTGTCAGAGATTGCAATGAGACAATAAAAAGCTTAGGGCCTAATGAGTAAAACTCATATGTACTTAGACTCATCATACCCAAACGGGCTATATAATGAACAATAAGAGAGACCGTGAAGATGAGTTAGCGGATCTCTCTGCAAAGCGACAAAGCTTAAACACGGGTGAGGAAACAGAATTATTTTACGATGAATCAAGCTCTAGTGAGGAATCGGACATTGAAGACATTGATTGGGAGGATATTGATTTAGCTGGAGATATCACTGTTAAACTAAAAGCTCCATTGCACCAAAATGCAACCAATAAGAGAAGAAGGAAAGACAATTTCTATCATCGTTTGCGATACGGTTTGCATATAATTGCAATACCAATTCTTGTGGCGACTTTAATTAAGAGAACTAATTGGACCCAAGATGAAAGACTGCGAAGAAGATTGAAGAGATCAGTCCCTAAACAGATCACCAAAAAGGTCAAGAATTGGTCAAAGAGCTCACAAGATATTCGAATTTCATCGATTAGGACACTACTACTTGGCCTAGTTATGTGGTTCAGGGCCAATTACCAGATTAATAGCAACGGATTCAGACAAAATTTCTACAGACTGCACTATATATTTCGACTAGATGATGGAAATGTAATGAAGCCCTATCGAGAAGCTTGTCTTAGAGATCAGCACAAATATTATGGGGAAAGACCGGACATCGCTGGAAATATCGAAGACATCAGAACATTTGTACGAAACAAGAAGGCAAACAGAGACTATTTAACTCTCTTTTTCATCACAATCTTACGTGAAATTTTACCCGCTGATCAAATAAAGAGTCTCCGGTTATGCTTTTCACTTCCCCTCCATAATTTCCAAATATCACCGAGAAATATTACCAAATTAGCCAGCAGGGATGCTGGTAAAGTTCCTAACAGATTTGATACCGACTTATTACAACCCTATTTCTGGATAGAGTTACATACAATTGATGAACCTGATAAGTTATATGTTATCGACCCTGTCGTACATATAGAAGAGGGAAATATTGTAAAAAAGTATAATATTGATGAACCTGTTGACATCTTTGAACCTATAAAAGATCTTAATCTGAATGTAAATCAATGGTTTCAATATGTAATAAGTTGCGATGCTAAAGATATGACAATCAGAGATGTATCTGCGCGCTATATTCCAGATATTTATTATAGATACTATGACAGGACAAGAGGAAGTGTCTTAGAAACGACGCGCCAATCTAAAAGTCATCACTTCTTCATGAGAGTGTTAAAGTCAACTTCTAGATACCGCAACGACAACACCGTCTTGATGAAAACCATTGCAGCCAAAAACTATAAGTTACCGAAATCTATTTCTGAACTTAAGAGATCTCCAAACTTTAAAGGTCTACGAATATTGAAACAAAGCGAGACTGTTAGTAGTAAGGCAAAGCCGGTAGGGAAGGTACAATATGGTGGTAAAAAAGATAAAATATATCGAATCAGCGACATTTTGCCATTGAAAACCAGACAACACTGGTATCTATTGGGTAGGACAGTCAAAGAAGATGCAAAACCTATAAGAACTAAAACGATCCCCTTGAGAAAAAGGAACGCTATTTCTTCAGCACAGGAACTTAATTTCGCTAGGGAGCTTTTCTCATATGAACAAACGGATTTAACACCCAAATATCCTTCGTCATATAAGGATGTATATGGGATATACCATGTTGTTTGTGATGTTGATTTTTATAAGAACAAATACAAGAATGTGGAGATATATTCTAAATCGGTAATTCCAACCGGGTTTCGACTGATGCGTACTTTTGACAAGGACTATAAGTTTGACTTACGTAGATTGATCAAAAATGCGAACGTGGAAAAGGGCAAAAAAGGTCAGAAATTAATCAAATATCTGGATGTAGTTAGTGGGTTTGATTTCAGGAAGGGTCAAGCAACTCCGATTAAGACTCATATTTTGGTAAACTACATGGACTACCGCAAAATATTATCACTACAAAAAGATTATATAGAGCTTCTAAGATTAGAATCATGGAGTAACTTTATCACAAGACTGAAGATTAAGTGTGAATTGGAGGACAAATACGGCAAATTATAGATAGCAATATTCTTTATACACATCATGTAAAACGAACTATCAAAAAATGTAAACTGTAATAGACGGGATGGGAATTCAATGCGATGAGCTGAGGTAGTGAAAAGATATGATCAAGGTTTAGCCACGGGCACAAGATACACATTTGAAACAAATCACATCGAGAGCCATAATAAATACCTTCAGTGGAAGTGTTTACTTTCATACTATTGCTACATATATAAAGAATACCAAAGGAGAATAAACGTTCAGTAATTATGACGAGGCGGTGTTCAGTGGTGAATGCTGGAGCTATATGGAAGCCGGATGATGACTCCAAGGTATGTGACAAGTGCGGCGTGCGATTTACATTCTTATACAGGCGGCACCATTGTCGGTGTTGTGGGAACATCTATTGCCACAACTGCACACATAACTTCATACTGTACGACACTACACGGGTGCGAGTTGTCAAGAACCCCGAGAGCTACTGGGAGTACCCGCCATATAGAACCTGTGACACATGTTTCGAGACGTTAAGAAGCCAGAACCTCATATCATCTAAATATCACTACGAAGAGATACCTGATGCCGACAGCAACGAGCCTGATGATACCTCTACAGACATCGCAGACTCGACTGCCGGTACGACCACCACAGACACTACTGATACGACAAATACAGATAGCAGTATGAATCACGACTCGCACGCATACGAAATGAACCATTGTCCTCTGTGTAACCAGGATCTACGGACATTCCCAACGGAGGAAGATGCGCAGCAACATGTAGAGCGCTGCATTACATCAGCAGAGCAGACACAGCAGCACCAAGAGCAAGAGTCAGAAGAGCCACCCCGATGTCCGACTCTACAAAACAGAATGCTCGTCTACAAGATCCCCACTACCACCGCCCCAGAGAATGAACCCCAGGGGTATCAGGAGTGCCCGATATGCTTCGAAGAGATGGTGCCTGGTGAGAAAGTCGGGCGTCTGGAGTGTCTGTGCGTGTACCACTATAGCTGCATCAAGAGCTGGTTTCGGAAAAAACGGAAGGAAATGAGCGTGGCCACCGCCCGCAATTTTTGCCCGATCCACGACGCAATCACCCTCTGACTATCGCACTCCCCGCTGTGCAGAAATGCATTATCTAATTATTACAATTGGCTGTAATTTTTCTATATTAACGACTTGCTACGTATATTTTAATGAGATCTACATTTTTGCTCTTAGGTAATTTACATATTGTTCGCGGCATGTCTCTCCCAGCAGATGTATGCGTACTTGAGTGCGTACTTGTGTGTGCACTTGTGTGCACTTGTGTGCACTTGTGTGGCTCTGCTATATATCCAGGTCTAGACCTAGACATTCACACCTTCAATTGTTAGTAATCTAAGAAACAACACCCCCCCCCCCAACGCTGGGAACTATATCGGGTGTCTCTAACAAACTGCGTACTTTAGAACACAACGGATATATCGCCAAAAAGGTCCAATGGAGAACAATGGGAGGGGAGAGAGACGCATTCCCCGTTTTATCGGATACGAGAGAAAACCTTATCACAGAGTTACTTCCCTTGTACCCGATACCTTGCACAGTACCTGATATGGCGCAGTGCAACACAGTGTGAGAGAACATTATCAAGTAGAAAGCACCGTAGCAACCCTTGGCTCCCATTGTTCTCTGTCGCCATTGTTCTCCTTTTCGAGCATGTTTACCACTGAGCTACACACTTTTCTCAGCCAGCCCATTGTCCGCACTGGGTACATTTCCCACTCCCCCCTCCATTGTCCAGAGAGTATTCTGAGTCTCTCCACACACACACCGGCTTCTATCGGATATTACTGCACCTGCCAGTGAAAGTACCGTAGGGGGCACAGTATTTCCGCTTTCGGATATAACTTTTTCCTCTCGCAAGAACTGGGAAAGCTGTTCTGCACCCTCGTCCCACTAGCGCGCCAGGCCCTAAGAATTGCTCGTAGTGGGGACTCACAACCAATCATGGGATTTCCTAATTGGGTCGTTTACAAGCCTGTACTCTTGATTACTAAAGCAGACGACGAAGTTTGCCTACTGCCAACTCGTCCAGGTGGGCACAGAAAGAGCTGCATTCCTTTTCTCTCACTCACTCTCGCCTTGAAAGAAAAAATTAATTTTTTTTCACTTCGAGGGAAAAGGTCTCGATGGCTTCCCATAGAGCTCCATTGTGTGGTAATTGTTGGAATTTTAATGATTTCTGTTAGAATTCGGTGATTAGGGAAATTACAAAAGAAGTTGATGATGTCATATTAGCCATTGCCATCATAGTGTGTAGCTAATTTTAAATATTATTATCTATATCGCTGATAACACCAAAAGTGACAGGAACATTCCAATTGAGAGCATCAAGGAACGTATATATATAAAAGACATAATTCCTTTGTCCTTGGAACTTGGTACCTAGGCGCACCCCTAAAAAAAACCAGACAGAGATAGGTATAATAGCCAGCGATGACTCGAGTTGATCCGGTTAGTGCAATGCGGTTGGCGGAAGAAATCGCCAAGAGGCAGGAGGTGCTCATATATACCAGGTACCAGAACAATATCGAGTACTACCGGGAGTTGCAGAGACAGGCGGACGAGATGTCTGTCAGCGATGAGGTACAGAGCCAGATCAGCGGAGTCGATGACTACCTCGCGACTACCGCGAAATTGTACGAGCTCTCTGGCAATTGCAAGGAGAACAAGACCCACACCAACACAAACTATGATAGCAATACACAAGACAAGATAGCTCGGTCACCGATGCCGAATGTCAACTGCATCGATGGGGGCTGTGCTATAGATAAGCCGCACAGCGATAGCAAATCTACATTCACGCCATCTACCTATGTGTCATGCCCTTTCCCATTACAAGATCCTCGCTTCAAAGTTATAGACGTATTCCTAAATGAAAATTAATGCCAATCGATAATCTACCAAATAACCTCCACTTAATCAATTCCACTAGGCGGGTTCATTCTACATTCTTTCAATGAAACATGATAAACACTCCATGAAATCTAAACTATTCATATCGTTGCTGGTTTTTTCTAATTTTTAACTTACTACTAATAATATTCCCTTAGTCTAATTAATATTATAAAGCATTTTTTAAAACTTAATTTCAATCACTTATAAACCCATAAAGAGATATATTATTATAGCATCATCGAAATTGCATATTCCGATGTTCATCGATTAGCATTGAATCTAAAAGTATGCAAGTTGTCACAGTAGATACAAAATATGTGAATCGTTATGAATAATTTAATTATATTCCAACAGTACTGGCAGGGTGATATTCGTCAATATAGATATTACCTTGCTTTCTTGGAGAATGATCGGTATCCTTGATACGCTTTGTAACTTCCTCAAGATCCAATTCCAGGTAATCCCTCATGAAATGACCTATCTCAATATTTTCATGATTTCCTTGCAACTTACTTAGCAGATACTGCCACGATTTAGGCCTGTTAGAGTATGCATATATGTTTACATCTACTGCACTATGGCCATGCGTAGACCATCCAATTTGTGCTCTAAACGAAATCATATCATTCAACTTATATTGAATATCTTCCACATTTGTCATATTGCTCAAGTCTTCAACGTCACTATCAGAATAGTCACCAATATTCATTATCTTTTCAAACACCTCCTTCTCAATGAAACGCTTTTTGTCGTTGCCTTTGTAATTAGCAATCTTGTGCTTCAAATATTCACCAGAGTGCTTGCTATTGAATAATACTTCCGGATACCACACATATTCCGGATAAGAGACCGTTACCTGTCTGGCAGTCACCAGACCTCCAGTTTCATGATCTGATGTCGATATTATGACAGTTTCTGTATCAGATTCTTTGGCAAACTCTAAAGCCGCTTTGAATGCCTTGTCAAATGCCATCACTTCACGAACCTGTGCTGCAGGATCATTTTGATGTCCTGCATGGTCAATTCTTGAGCCCTCTATCATGATAAAAAATCCTTTATCCGAGTGCTTTGAGGCATCATTTAAGGCAGTTAGAGCCGTGATCGTTTGCTCTTCAAGTGATGGATACTCTTTATCAGATCTATCAATTTCAAATGGGATATCAAAATCAGCAAATAAACCTAACAATGGCAGTGTGACATTCTTACCCATTTTTAGGTCATCGAAATCATTTCTGTTACCAGCATATTGCCATCCGTTTTCAATAGCCTCTTCGATTAAGTTTCTGTCATCTTGACGTAAACCTCTACGACCATACCTTGGATCATTAGTACCGGAGGGATAAAAATGTGTTCTGCCACCACCCATCATAAGATCTACCATTCGTCCTAGTGGGTAGTTACCTAGTTGTTGTTCGGCGATCTGATCTTCTTGAAACCTGTAGTCCACATGCGAACTAAATGCAGCTGGTGTAGCATCAGTTAACCTAGTTGTAACTACCAATCCAGTTAGGTATCCTTTGAGCTTTGCTGCTTCTAACAAAGTACCACATGGTGTCTTGTCCGGTCCAACACCTGTACCACTATTATAGGTCTTCATACCACACGAAAATGCTGTTGCTCCTGCAGAAGAATCTGTAACTAAAGAATTGTACGATCTTGTTCTTGAAGAGCCAATTAAGTGTCTATCCAACTCTAAGATGTCGTCGATATCTAATCCTTGTACATACTGTCTGTACGACCTAGTCAGTGACAGTGAGGCTGGTCCCATACCATCGGTCACAAAGAAGATGACATTCTTCTTCTTTGCATGGGAATTCCAGTGAAGACTCTCAGATATAACATCCGGGTACCATATATGCAGAAATGTGAAAAAAACTAAAACTGTTGTGAGAATGTACTTCAATCCATACTTGAAATATTTTTTATGACGCTTATTTTGAGATGTCAGTAATGACTCCCGCTCAGTATTTCTGATCATGATTCTAAAGATTACTGCAATAGAAAGTATCTATCAAATATTACCTGATTAAAGTTAGTCGATGCTTAAATGAGCGTATTTTAGCAATAAATGTAAATCTCTGTGTCCTCTTTGTAATTTCCAAAAAGATTACGAACACTGTTTAGAAAGAATACCTGTTCCTATTTAAATACCAAAAAGATGTCCGTTTGAAACAGATCTGATTCACTTACCAATGCCTGTGTGTCAAAAATCCGAGTACGGAAAGGGAGATAAGGATATTTGAATGCAACTTCTGCACACACCAGATTTATGGATAAACAAAAAGCGCAGATTTCGGTGATCGAAGATCCAGGGCTGATTGTATGGTCTCTAATGTTTCTTTTCTTAGAGCTACTCTAAACAGTACATAAGAACGTCTTTTCCAAAGCCTACCTACAAATCCACATCACATACTATCCCGGAATGCTGCAACCGAATGCTGATCGATCGAGTCATCATCAAAACGGGGGTGGTGGGGAAGGGAAAATGTCTCTTGCAAGCCAATTAGCGATTGTGAGAGACTACTCCCTTAGAAAGAAAATGGGTGTAACACTGCTGTGGAGGGAGAGGTAAAGAAAACTTTGACATTCCCGGACAAAGGAAAAAAAAATCACAGAATTTTAACTGCAAGCGATTTTTGTATCCGATTCGGTTTTCCTACTGCACCAGGATATCACCGGACAAAATATGCTGCAGAAACGAGGAGCCAGCTTATGAAACGATGGACTGCACTAAAGACGAGCTGCAAGAAGTGAATATCACGTGATGTTAACGTAGGTTATAACTAAGATATCCATTTCCACGACGTAAAACGTGATTAAATAAGCCTAGTCAATAATCAGCTCTGCTGTTATAAAGTCCATGAGTGATTAAAACCAAAAGGACTGTACTACCCCCCTCCCCCAAAAGCAATACCGTTCAGCTGAAATATAATAGGAGGCGGGTTATATTCTATTTAGATGATTCCGAGCTTCTCTTAGATCTTGGTGTGTATGCTTTCTGGTATTTCTCTTTCTCCTGTAGATCTGCGAGTAGAGTGCTTCGAAGTTTTTCACACTCTTCATCTATCCGTTTGTCAGGCCATTCATCTGGATTCCTATCCTGCTTATCTTCTAGCGAGTCCCTTAGTTCACTCACTTGAACTTCAATTTCTCTTCTCTTGTCGTGTTCCACCAGCACTTTCTTCAACCCATTGTCCTTACTTTCATTCGCAGGCTTGTCAACCTTCTGAGATCTCTTTGTGATCTTCCTGAGCTCGTAGTTCTTGTTCTTCAGCCTAACTATACCGGTCTTGTCGTCCCTGTTGTCGTGAGCAAGCGATCTCTGCACATACCCAGACGTGCTGCTACCTTTAGCAGACTGTAACCCAACACCACGACCCATCTTTATTCTCCAGTTGTGCTAAAAAGTGGGAGAGAGACCGAATAAATAATATATTAGTCTTCTCCTTTCTATATTTGCAATATGTGAACTATCTGAAGTACCTAACGAGCTTTAGAGATATTACCAGCAACCTCGGCGGCTATATCAACTAAAGGGAAATGGTGGAACCGAGATCTGGAAATCTGCAAGTGTTTGTGTGTGTTTGTGTGTGTGCGTGTGTGCGTGTTTTTGAAATTTTCTGAGTAATCCGCACACTATTTTGCCGGGAAAAACTTCAAAAAATGAAAAAGACTGAAAGTTCCGCGATACGAAACTGATCACGCACACTGATACCTCACAATTTTAGTAGAAGATGACCACAAATATCATTCTATACAAACATCATACAATACGATATATTACTGTACGGTACAGCATGTGCGTTGCGTATATAAGCATAACACAAGAACGTATAAGTGTGATAAGACACGATATCAAATATCACATGACGTTTCAATAGCCATTGCCTTCACAAGCACCAAATAATAGTAAAGCAAGAAGTGCTTCAGAAAGAGCCTGTGCTTTTTGATTTTTAATCCTACCGTTTTGAACATTTTGATGCTGTAGCAAGATCCTAGCTTAAGGTTTGGTAGTTCTATTTTGTTTTGTGCAACTTAATTAGGTATTGGAAAGTGCTCTGTGGTCTATTAGCCAGTTTTACAATAGACAAATATACATCATCCCATACTCCATGCAAAATCTATAAATAGAGATTACATAGAGCCAAAGTAAAAGGAGCTCCTTTCCTCGCACATAAGCCCTGGCTCTTTGCATCTTTCTCTTGCAGTACGTAAAGGATTTACCTGGGGGGACCCTAGATACAGAGCAGCAATAATGTCATTTGGAAGACAATTATGTGGGCATGAAATCTCGTTTGAAGAAATTTCTGGCATGAAAAATCTCTAACACTGACCTTCACAGTCCTGACGCATGTTTATTGAAAAGCCTTGGTTGCAGTTTTTTTTTTTTTGGCATTTGTCCATTGGACTTACTGGAAACTCGAGTTACATATATCAAATGATCCACGAATTACTACTATCCCAGTGGTTCGTACGCACCAAGGTTATAATATGTGCTTTTTTTTCCAGGTTCCTTTCCACTTCTGATGATTATCTCTGCTTCATTATCGTGTCTTTGTGCTAATTTTTTTTTTCCTGCTACAACTGACTTTTGACAACTTGGAAAATCATGAACTTTGTTCAGATGAAGTTTGTTCAAAGTCTCATACACTAAAATTATATATTAGCAGCCTTTGCTCTTTTTTTGTAGATTATCCTTAGTGGCCTGTAAACCGACCAACACCATCCTTGAACACAATGGCTATTTTCTTGTCAAAGAGGCTGATCAGGCTATGTGCCATGGTCACCGTGTTGTTGCTACTATTGGCAACTTTGAACACACACCAGTCCAGTTCTCAATATGTGAGCGGTTATCTGCCATCGCAATTGAGGTTACCAGACAGTTCTAACTTTGGCTTCCCTAGTGGTGGTGCCTCCGATGTCACGGTAGGCCAAACCACCGAACTTGAGGACCCTACCAAAGAGCTAGAGGCTGCCAGAGCCAAGGCTGACAAGGATACCGATGCTGGTAATATTTCCAATCCGGACGAGAAGGCACCAGGCGATTCAGGCAAAGCTCTAGAGCAAGCTGCCAATGCTGAGGCCGCTGTTAAGGATATGACCAAGAAGGATATTGAGGAGTACCTGGCCCCATCTTTTGCCAACAAGGGTAAGAGACCAAAGGCCGCCTTTGTCACTCTGATTAGAAACAGAGAGCTAAACGACATCTTGGAACCAATGAACATGGTTGAAAAGAGATTCAACAAGAACTACCATTACCCATGGGTCTTCTTGAACAACGAGCCATTTACCGAAGAATTCAAGGAAACTGTCAAAAAGCATGCCTCTGGTGAAGTTATCTTCGACTTGATTCCTAAGGAGCACTGGGGCTATCCAGATTATGTTGACCAAGATAAGGCCGCTATCGAGAGAAAGAAGATGGCCGACAAGAATATTATCTACGGTGATAGTGAATCTTATAGACACATGTGCCGTTTCCAATCTGGTTTCTTCTGGAGAGAAAAGGCTTTAGAAGACTTTGACTGGTACTGGAGAGTCGAACCAAGCACAAAGATTTACTGTGATATTCCTTACGATCCATTCCAATACATGCAAGACAACAAGAAGGCCTATGGTTTCACAATCACTATCCATGAATACAGATCTACTATCGAATCTCTTTGGAAGACCGTCAAAAACTTCATCAAGGACTTCCCTCAGTACTTGGCCAAGGATAACTTGGAGAAGTTTGTCTCTGAAGACAACTTAGAAGAATACAACTTGTGCCACTTCTGGTCTAACTTCGAGATCGCTAACTTGAACGTTTGGAGATCACCAGCTTACAGAGATTTCTTTGATTACCTAGATAAGACTGGTAACTTTTTCTATGAGAGATGGGGTGATGCTCCTGTCCATTCTATTTTTGTCTCTTTGTTCTTACCAAAGAGCTACTTACACTATTTCAACGATTTTGGCTACTACCATCCTCCTTATAACCACTGTCCAATTGACAATGAAATTTTCAGAGACAGAAACTGTGACTGTACTCAAAAGGATGACTTCACCTTCAAGGGTTATTCTTGTGGTATTCAATACCATAATGCTCAAGGTATCAAGAAACCAAGCAATTGGGAAGATTACAGCGATTAAGATGTAGCAAGTTCTCTACCGCTTTGATAACTCTCAGTCTCTGTTAGACTTGTATTGGATAATATCCATTTGAATCTAATCACGATGAGTGCTGGAATTTAATTGTTTGCATCGAGATTTTAAAAATGGCAATTTTTTATTTAGAAGCAAAATACCATATAAGATACTTTTACTCTTGTGATGCTAATGTACTCTAATGCCAGATAAGCTGGTTGACATTAGCTGTTTCGACTAGGAAAAAAAAAAAATTTCAGAAAACATTTTCTAAAAAACCAGCTGCTTTTCAGTGTAATTCATTTGATATCAATAATACATTTTATACTCAAATCTTATATATATAATTGAATTTTATGATAACTAATTGGATGAGTTACTTTTTATTTCTTCACGAATGGAGTGGCATAATTATGTATCAAAGCTTAAGCAATTGCTCTATGTAGCTTGAGCGTCGCTATATTTTTGAAAAAATTAAAAAATTTCTTGCGATGAGCTTCGAGTATAAAATATAAAACTCTAATCAAAATCCAAGTGACTTCTTGAGAAAGCATAAGAGGAACAGAAACCTAATCTTTGAGATGTCTTCAACCAAAAAAGAATATAAGAAACCCCAAAAATATGTTCCTGGGATTAATGATCCCATACTGCCTCCACAATTGGCCGAATTTCAAGACAAAAGCACTGATGAGGTGCTTACCGAGTTAAACAGAATGCCCTTTTTTATGACTAAGTTGGATAATTCTGATGGTGATGGTGGTGAAAATGTCGAACTTGAAGCTTTGAAAGCACTAGCATATGAAGGTGAACCACATGAAATTGCAGAAAACTTTAAAAAACAAGGTAACGATCTATACAAAGTTAAGAGATTTCGTGACGCCAGAGAGCTATACAGCAAAGGTATTGATGTTAAATGTCAAGTAAACACCATTAATGAATCTCTTTATGCAAATAGAGCTGCCTGTGAACTAGAAATAAAAAACTACCGTCGCTGCATCAATGACTGTAAACAGGCACTACAACTGAATCCCAAAAATATTAAATGTTACTATAGAATTGCCAAAGCCTTTACTGCGCTCGAAAGATTAGATGAAGCTTTAGAGTCAATCGAGTTTGGCGAAAAAATTGATAATACCAACAAATCCCTCAAGACTTTGAAACTTCATATTGAAACCAAACAATTAGAAATTGAGGCAAGAAGACTAAAACTTGAAAATGAAAAGAAAGAAAGGGAAAACTATCAATTTATTCTAAACAGTGCTATTGAATTGCGGAATATCACAAATATAAAAACCTCCAAACCGGCAGAACTTCTTCGAGAAGCTAGTATTAAGCTGGAAAACCCACTCGAATTAGAATCTCAACTAATCATCCCGGCTGTTGTTCTATTCCCGCTGTCTGACGAGTTTGACTTTATTGCTGAGGTTGGAGAACTTTCAACTGTACAGGATGTTATAGATATTTTAATGGAAAGGCCTCCAGAGTGGTTTGAAAGACCAGAACACAAGGGTTATTCCTCAAAATCTCTACTGGCTTTTATGGAAACCGAAGGTGGTGGCCTTGTTAAAGCTGGTAAGAAATTAACATTCCATGACATTTTAAGGAAAGAAAAACCAAATGTCCCTCTATTCGATTCTGCATTAAAGGTCTTTTTAGTTCCAAAAGACCAGAGCGACGACTGGCTTTCTAAATGGGATAAGGAAAAAGCACTAGCTCGCCGTTAGGAAATCACTAAGATATAAATTCAACAATTGAAATTTAGTTAAGCAGATAAATAGATAATTAATTTAACGCCAACAACTAATATGGCACAACCCCCTTTTCCCAACATAACGATATACTGGATATTACCCATGCAAGTGCATAAATGTATTTTAGTACATAAAATAATACAAATATTTACTAGCATCTACTATAATTAAGCTTTTTTAGTGTTTGGATTTTAGTTTAGCCATTCTAGTGGGACTGAATATTTCTTCTGGTTTCAAAGGATATGCTGGTCCAAATATATCATTTGGATCCAAACCGGCCTGATCAACAAGTGCCTTCTTCAAATTTGCAGTCTCTGCCCAAGTGGCCAGCACCAAGGTATCATCCGCTTCCGAATCTGAATAAATTTCTGGTAAAGTAGCATCACCAACATTCTCCTCTTGGTTTCGAGTACTCTCGCCAATAATGATTCTATGATCAACAGTATTGATTGTATCCAGAATTCCTTTCATTTCACTATTTGTATCATTGTGAGTTTTATCGCGGTATCGAATAAAATTACTTCCATCAAGAGAAGTATCAACATTTTTCTTGTTGCTGTCTTTTATTTCACTTGCCGGTTTCGTTCTTTTCTTAAGGTCTTCATATATTTGTGATTTCCTCTTTTGTAACTCAGTCCTTCTTCTATGATGATCTTGTTGGCTCCTCATGACTTCAGATAACCTTTTGTTCAACTTCTTCTTTAATTCATTCTTCTTTGATTCCAAACTAGGCAAAAGTTGAAAGTTAGTTAATCTATCATTTTTATGCTTTGCAGGATCCTTTGAGTCCAATTTATGGTGTAATTTAGCAACTCGTTTTGGGGATCCTCTGTTACTGAGCTTTAACAAACTTGATTCAGTTGGCGATGTGATTGTATTACCAGATTTAATCCTAATTGGAGTTAATCTTTCTGTAGGCTTCATTTTATTTAGATATATTCCATGACTAGACTTATTGCTGTGTAAATTAACTTTATTATTTCCATCATTGAGTTCTGATCTTCCATTTGGGATTAATCTACTAGTCACAGTAGATAAAGATTTTACGTCTATTCTGGGCTGTAATGATTTTCGCATGCCTTTGTTAGTGGCAATTGAAGTTGAAGATGATACGATCTGAGCTTTAGAGTCATTACTTAGCAAGGTTTTAGGAGAATTCAACTCAAAAATACCTTTCAGTGTTTCATTCATTGATGTATCCACTTGACCTGAGGTGGTCTTTATAATCCCCTTGCCTGCAAGTGAATTACGCTTTCTAGTTGGAGAATACATACTTTTTGAATCGGAATATGGTTTATAAGTTTTCGTTATCTTTTTCTCAAAAGATTTAGTCGGAACCTTTGCTAGACGCTCAAAAACATTATCACTAGCTGATATCTTTCTATTTTTCTCTGAACTCTCATTTAGATTTTGCTTACTGGAATCCAAACGTACATCTTTGATAGTTAATGGCATTTCTGACTTCAAATTGTGAAGTTTGTTAGACTTAGACATAGAACCCAATTTTGAAACTTCCTGATTATTACTTTGCTTATCAGGTGAGGACTTGATCACATATGTCTCTTTGGTCGGCAGTGGTATAAACATATTAGACCTCTTTCGTAAAACTCTTTCCTTATTAGTGAAAGATTTGCTACTAATTTTTGTCTCCGACTCTGCTTTATTTTTGTCATTATTAGACAAAATACTTGTATCTTCACCTTCTTTTGTAGTGGTTTGATTATGTGTATCAATGATATTGTGATTTTGGTGTTTTAAAGTCTCATTAATATTTGAAGACAAATTTGAAAATGACTTATTTGATTTAAATGGGGACCATTCAGATTTTGTAGGAGAACCTGACTTACTGTCTTTTTCCTTTAAACTGCTACTATTTGCAATAGTTACATCATTACTTGTTAAACCATTTTCATCTTTTTTCTCTATTGACATAGACTTTGGTGTAATACTAGGAATACCACTCTCTCTCTTTATAGGCGTATTAACTAAGTCCTTATTTTTTTTAGGTGCAGCACTGCTCAAAGTGGCTTTAACATTGAATACAGTCGAATTATCTTCAGAAAGTGGGTTAACTTCGATCGATTTCAGTTCGTTTCTAGTTGAGTTATCGTCTTTACTGTCAGGCTTTGTATCCAAGTGTTCAATATTTTTTGTTTTTATTATTAGTGATCTATTCTTATCTGCTGGAAGTATTGATATACCCAAAAGCGAAAAATCAATATCACTTAAGATCTCATTTATAGCATCTTGCCCATCGCAAGATATGTTATTCAGCTTATTCAGAGATTCAATAATCGACCTTGAGCCGCCAGGAATCGCTTTAGTTTTCTTCTTAGCTGCGTTGATAGCCCAGTCCATTTGGCTACACTGCTGTCGGGACACCACTTAACGCGTATTTCTCTCAATGTTTCAGGCCTTTTTCTTCTCAACTATACAGCTCCAACCAGTAGTGAATCCAATTTATGTCTACCAAGATATTATCAATGGTATTCATGAATACTACCGATATAACCATTGACCCCAACGACCGAAACGAAGCATTCAAACATGCGATGAGTTACTATAGTTGTGCATTAGCAAGTGATCTAAAGATCTGACTACTCACCGGTCCGTAATATTACGTCATAAACGATATTTTAAAAACTGCAAGAGTCTTATTATATTATAATATATTATATTATATTCACTAACTAATTCAATTTAAACATTCTGTATAAACAGCAAATAATGTTGTTTATTTGACAACTATAATAGCTTATACTTTCAACAATACAAGTAGCATCGCTTGGTGCAATTAATAGCTACAAGATTGTAAAAAATTGAAACAACAATTATAGTTTTACACTTCTTTTTAAACAATTTATAACTTATCTATCGTTAAACTTTTGGGTAACTAAAAACTTTCTATTCGTTAAGGTTTTCTGTTATCTTTCCTAGATCAATTAGAGGTGGTGGTGTATCGTTGATATCAGCGAACACTTTACCGGAGATATCCAATCTGTTTTTTTCAGCAAATTCAGTCAAGCTATTTGCGACACCTACTACTGTGTTTCTTCGTAATTGTTCTTTCGTGTCTCTTATTGTAGTCTCAGGACTTAACTGGTGCTTATATGAAATGATGTCTGATGTAGGAGAGGAAAGGTAAAATACGCCTTCGTCTTCTCTATAAATATCACTGTTGTGATCCGGTGTCTTGGGCAAATATAGCTCCTCTGGTGTACTCACCGAAATAGCATTACTCTTACGATGTTTATACCGCCTTGGAGATCCCGATGGGGTGATGGGCGGAGGAGTCTTCGGTAATTCGTAGTTTTCAGAGTGAGAACTGGGAAAACTATCTCTAGTTGAATATGTGTAATTGCTAAACACCCGATGATCATCTGCCGAATCATTTGAGATAGTTCTAATTGTAACTCGATCATCAGGTGGATGACTATTACCTAAATTTTGTGATTTGTCGTTGCTTTGAACTTGAGGGAAGTTAAACTTTTTAAGCCTATCAACTATACCTCTGTTTCGACGTTTCGACTCAGAAGGGCTTTTCTCCTTGGACTCAAAAGAGAACTGTGGCAGATAAGATTTCATAGTTGAAATTCTTAAGAGTGGTATTATTGGAAATGGGTATCGGAGAGGTTAATGAATATTAAAGAAAGAATATTGATAAAATAGGGTCCTTAGTTTTATAATATGGTCAAATATTTCCTTGAAGGTCCTACTGTGTAGCAGCGGTTCTCACAAAAATTATTTTGTACAATAATTTAACTGAAATTACGACTTTTATTGCAATAATCAAAAAATAATTTAAAAAAATATGAACCTGATGGCTACCTTATAGCCAACCTCACACTAATGAACTAATTTTCTTTATGGCCTTCTTTTATTTTTGCCTTGCCTGAATAAATTGAACAATGGAATTCATACATCGATAATGATGACTACAAATAAGATCGAAAAAATGTTGCTAAATTATATATTTCTATTATATTTCTTGGTTTTTTTTTTTTTATTTTCCAATTACATATAGGGTGACTCGTTTTGACTAAAAACTATGTGGCATTTTCACTTAACAAAGTATACTCTTAAGGTTTCCATTTCTTTTTTTCTTTGTTTCACTAAATCATTTACAAGAAAAAGGATATACAACCCACTGAAAAAGAATTCTAGCAACCTTCTATGGCAGAACTCGCAAAGTTAACTACTCAAAGCTTCACTATTTGAATTTTAATTTATGGCTAGAATGACTATATATTCCAATTATTATATTATTTTTCTTTTTCATAGTCATCTACATTCTGTTTTCCTCTCCCTCTCCGAGGATTTCTCTGTAGCAACGGTAGTTTCCCATTGTTTCTTTTTCTCCCGAAGGGTCTGTTAATTTAGAATTCTAGAATTCTGAACAACAAGGCGTACGTATGTGGGGGGGGGGGGGGAGTTTGAGTTTTATATGAATTTATTGCGCACATTTAACCAATATCTAACTGTGTGCTCAACATACCACCATAGGCACTCTATGAACAGCGAGACTATTGTTTTTTTGTTGAATTGAACTAAGAGAAAGATCACAAAAAGAACAGCAATAAGAAAAGGACAGAAAGAGATACAGATTCACAGTATTTCGAAAAAGATAAAAAAAGATAACAACAGCACATCACAATATAGAACTGAAAGCATACACAACTATATGTATGCTTCTAGGACAGTTCCTCTATGTATTTTTTTTTTTTACTTCTGTTTCTCGCTATACAGCCATGCAGATGTGTGTGACGTTGCAAGAGTTCTTATACCTCACTTGGTGAATACATACGTAGCCATGTGCATTCGTAACACGGGATCAGAATAAAACGTAGTACGTGATATAATAACCATGTGATTTGCTCTATTAACCTTTTTGAACATGGGCATGCAGAAGAAGCATTATACTGCTACACGAATACTATGCCCAGCACAAAAACCAAATAACTCTGTCTTTTTAAGTAAATTGACGCAGTGGATTTCCGTCCTGTTTACTGCTAAGAGTCTTGGGCACTGACAATCAGCTGCAGGGGAGATGATGTACGGCTATTTTTTTTCGCTGGGCTTGGTCTTTGCTGGAGGAGCCTGCTGGGGTGAAGGAAGGGGCGGGCCAGTTGGTGCCAGTTGGTGCCAGTTGGTGGATCGGGGCGAAACAATGTAATCAACACTGAAAGTATCGTACAACTCTCACAAGATGGCAAACTACAGATACTTCTTTTTGTGTGTTTGCTGGTTCACATTTGCCAGCAAGCATAACACAAGTGGAAGAAAGCGTTATAATAACAATTTCATGAGTTGTGAAAAACGCTGTACGTTACTTTCTTAGCTTTCCCATTAGTGGTAATCTTAAGCTGGCTACCCGCCATCTAATGTTATTTCCATCTCTGGTTACTCAGATGCTGTAACTGCATCAGATTAGTATTGCTTTCTCCATGAAACATATGATAACTGCCTGCATCTCCAGTATTTGACACCTTTTTTGGTAGTTTCAGTAAATTGATGGTTACAAGTTATTTCATCCTTATAACAATTCAATTGCGATGTATTTTTGTTTTGTTTGCTAACTAGCAAATATGTGAGTTGCTCCTTGCGTGTTACTTTTACAGGAAGAGAGAGCAGCAGTCTTAACTTGGGTTGTTTATTTACAGTAACATATACATAAATATTGTATATCCCAGTAATATTCCGGCTTAGCAATCTACACTATTTTTGTAAACAGTAAATATCAAGCAATAGAAAATTCAATATTGAAAAAAAAAAAAAAACTCTACTTATTGTGAGTATATATAAAGATATCAAAATCCTAAACTGATTTACACCATTTGATTCCTATTTTTTTACCTTATGACATATAAAAAAAACCAAGTCCATTTTTTTTTATTAATAATTATAATTTGAAAACCATTTAAATTAAAGAAAAAAAAAGCTATACACTATTGCTTTGTTCAACTGAAGATTGTGTGTGTTCTTTTTTGTTTTTTTTCTATCTAATTTCTACCATTTTAATATCAAAGCAAAAACTCTCTCTTTCTTTTAACTAAGAAAAGATCCATTCCTTATACTCAAAAACAATTCTTTTTTATTTTTTTTAAATTCAGCAAAAAAAAGAAGAATTTTATTTACTGGTTTATGCATTTTTTTTGTGAAAAAAGCTTTGTTATACCAACCAGCCGCCAATCAAAAATATAACACTTGGTTTCAAACCCATCCTTTCCTTTAAATTCTAGATAAAATAACTAGAAGCACATCGATTTCTTTTGATCTTTATAAGCGCTTTTTAAATTATTGTGCATCTGAATTATACTATCAAACTCTCGCTAAGAATAGTATTTCATTTAAAAAAAATTGGTCACAATTATCTATAAATGGTATTGCCTGATTCCAACATTATGAAAAATGGTTCAATTAAAAGATTAAGAGATTCTCAGATTGAGAACTCTCCATACAGCAGACCAATCAAGAAGATTACACCAAATTCGTCACATGAAGATCTCAGCGCTACAATCTCAAATGAAGGGAGCTTGAATTTCACTCCCAGGACCAGTCGTCAAGAAAGTCTATATAACATGAAGAAGATATTCCAAAAGACTTATTCACAGACAAAGCTTGGACTCTTTTCAAGCAAAAAGCAAGTTAATACCTTGGAGACTGCCATCCCAACTACTCCAAAGCAACAGTTACCAACCCCAACTACATCACCAGAAAAAAATAACATTTTATGGAGCACTCCAAATAGCTTGACATCTCTTCGTACTATCTCAAATGACCTAGATGATTGCAGAAACAGAAACCTGATTACTGATTTTTCCGAGCTTTCTATCATAAATTCCAGTTCTTCTAGTATTTATTCAACTCAGCAATCTCATCCAATCTTTGAGATTCCGGAAATAGTTGACAATATAGTTAAGCAATTATACCTGATTGAAAACGAACAAGATTTATTAAACGGTCATCATAAAAAAGATGTTAACAGAGAGAATACTTCAACGGTGGTGTCATGCCTTGCTGTTAGTAAGACTTGGAATAAAGTCTCCAAAGGCTATTTGATGCGTGACTTGAAATTTACCAAATCTACTAGTTTGACAAACTTCCTCTCCCAATGCAGTACAAAAAAAACTACACCACAATCATTGATTTTACACAAGATGAGTGACATTAATAACAACAATTCTAGGGGTCTCGAGATAATTATTGATCCAAAGCAGCTAAGGCATCTGGAGTATTACGTTTGTCCAAACATTTTACCACCTGTAAATTGGTTTCAAAGTCTGACCAAACTTGAAAAACTTATCCTTCCAGGAAATAAGCTAATAAATGATAGCTATCTAATCCAGATCTGTAGGTACTTACCAAACTTAAAGGTTTTAGACTTAAGAGCATGTGATAACATAACCGATGCAGGCATCGTAGCAGTTGGAACACATTGCAAGCAACTGGTATCTTGTAATATTGGTCGTCATAGAAATGGTTCAAGTATCACAGGCCTATCAGTTGTTGCACTTGCAAAGAATACAATGATTAGAACACTTGGACTTGCAGGCTGTGATATAACTGATGCTTCTATGTGGGAACTCGCACAGAAATGTGGCAAAAATATTGAGAGATTATCCTTAAACAACTGTAACAAGCTGACTAATTTCTCCCTCCCAATGCTATTTGCCTTCAATTATTTCCCAAATCTTAACGTTCTGGAAATCCAAAATATAGCAAAGATAACGGATGTAAGACATATGGTAAGATATAAAATATGGAAAAGGTCACAACGAATTCCAATTCTAATTAAAGGTTGCGACAGAATTACAAAATTGATACATGAAGAAGAACGCCAAATCAAAGCACAAAGTCTTAAAACAGCCAGAAAGGATATGACTTTGTGGGTTAATCAATTAGAAAATGAATAAGCTAAGTAATTCCCAAAAACCAAAATCAATTCAATTCATTTCCGTTACCCTTTCATTCTTGAATTCCTTACATAGTCGGTATATAGCTTGACTTTAAAATTTATCAAAATACATGCATAACATAAAATTTAATATCTTAATCCTTTAGCACCACAATATATGGGAACTGTAGAACCTGCATTGGCTATAAACTGTGTAGTATTTGCCAGATATTCCTTATTATTTGGTCATAACCATTCCCGTTTAAATCATGTGATATCCTCGTAGATGTTGAGCCTTATTTTAGTCAATTCCCCAGTATTTGGAGCACCTCAAGTATCGGCTGCTAGCTAAAGTGTATCTAGCTCATCTCAAGTAGCCTATTTTTGTATTTTACTTGTATTTGACCTTGCTAGACAGTAGAATATTGACATAAAACACCATACTTTACGATTGAGATTCTATCATGACATTTGTTAGGGAATTAGAGGTTGCTAGTCAAAATAGCAGAGCATTTAACGTGACACTATGGTTTATTTTCATCTTCGGTTTGTTGAAGCTTGTTCCTTTTGCATTGAGATTTCTGTCCATGGTCTTTGATCTCTTTGTATTACCACCTGTCAACTATGCCAAGTATGGTTGCAAAGCTGGTGACTACGCTGTGGTTACAGGTGCTTCCGATGGTATTGGTAAAGAATTTGCTTCTCAATTGGCAAGTAAAGGCTTCAATCTAGTACTAATCTCAAGAACTGAATCAAAACTAGTTGCATTGAAGGATGAACTAGAAGGCAAATTCAACATTAAAGCCAAGATCTTAGCCATTGATATCTCTGCGGATAGCAAGGACAACTACAACAAGATTTATTCCCTTTGTGATGACCTTCCAATCTCTATACTAGTTAACAATGTTGGCCAATCTCATTCTATTCCTGTTCCATTTTTGGCTACTGAAGAAGAAGAAATGAGAAACATTATAACTATCAATAACACCGCTACCTTGATGATCACTCAAATTATTGCTCCAATTATTATCAGAACAGTTAAGAAACACAGAGAATCTGGGGATAAAAAGTTGAAGTCTCAACGTGGTCTGATCTTGACTATGGGCTCCTTTGGTGGTTTGATCCCAACCCCATTGCTTGCTACATACAGTGGCTCTAAGGCCTTCTTGCAAAATTGGTCCTCCTCTCTAGCTGGTGAACTTGCAGCAGACAATGTGGATGTTGAGTTGGTTCTATCTTACTTGGTTACTAGCGCAATGTCAAAAGTTAGAAGAACCTCTATGATGATTCCTAATCCACGTACTTTTGTCAAGTCCACTCTGAGAAATATTGGCAGACGCTGTGGTGCCCAGGACAGGTATGGAACGATCACGCCTTTCTGGAGTCATGCTATCTACCATTTTGTCATTGAGGAATTGTTTGGTGTCTACGCCAGAGTTGTCAACGAGATCAATTACAAATTCCACAAGTCTATCAGAATTAGGGCTGTTAGGAAGGCTGTAAGAGAAGCCAAGCAAAACTGAGCGAGGAAAGTGGGATTTTTACACATTTGTATCACTGTATATATACGTCTATATCGATCTTTAACAGAGGATTAAAGCACTTATAACTCGAATATGCAATTTTGCAAACTTTTATAGTGGTCCTTACCCTATGTCATTCTGTTTTTGCCCTTTTTGGGTTCCTCCTCACTGGGCAGATCACCGCTTGCTAGAGACCACGGAATTTAAGTTAACGCGTAAAATGATTTTAAGTAGTGGGATAGTGAAATGAGTCCAGTTAGATTGTATAGTTGGCCTGGTTTAATCTGAATACAGGTGGGGAAAATATTAAGCTACAGGTATTAGACAGACAAGACATATTGTAAGACATGAGCAGCGAATTGGCTAACTATAAGAGGCTGGAGAAGGTCGGAGAAGGTACATATGGTGTTGTCTACAAGGCACTCGATTTGAGACCTGGGAAGGGTCAAAGGGTGGTTGCGCTAAAGAAGATCAGATTAGAGAGTGAGGATGAAGGTGTTCCGAGTACTGCTATTCGGGAGATCTCGCTGTTGAAGGAGTTGAAGGACGACAATATCGTCAGGTTATATGATATTGTGCACAGCGATGCGCATAAGTTGTACTTAGTTCTTGAGTTTCTGGACTTGGATTTGAAGAGGTACATGGAGAGCATACCTAAGGACCAACCACTGGGAGTCAATATAATCAAGAAGTTCATGGTGCAGCTCTGTAAAGGTATTGCGTATTGCCATGCGCACCGTATCCTGCACCGTGATTTAAAGCCCCAGAACCTGCTGATCGACAAAGAAGGTAACCTGAAGCTTGGTGATTTCGGTTTAGCGCGGGCCTTTGGTGTTCCATTGAGAGCGTACACACACGAGATTGTTACTTTGTGGTACCGTGCCCCCGAGGTCTTGCTTGGAGGCAAGCAGTACAGTACGGGTGTCGACACCTGGTCCATTGGGTGTATATTTGCTGAGATGTGCAACCGGAAGCCTATATTCAGTGGTGACAGTGAGATCGACCAGATCTTCAAGATATTCAGGATACTGGGCACACCGTCCGAGGCAGTGTGGCCGGACATCGTCTACTTGCCAGACTTCAAGCCCAGCTTCCCGCAATGGAGGCGCAAGGACCTGGCCGAGGTGGTACCATCGCTAGACCCCCACGGTATAGACCTGCTGGACAAGCTGCTTGCATACGACCCAATCAACCGTATCAGCGCAAGAAGAGCGGCCAACCACCCATACTTTCACGAGCAGTAATATATTTATGTATGGAGAGTAAAAAGAATGTTAATGACATATGTAAAAGAATAGAAAAGTAATCGTTTTATAACAGTGCCTGGCCAGGATGTGTATACTGTACTTGCACTTCAACACTTCAACACTTCAACACTTCAGCACTTCATTATCAGTATGTATGCTCTACCAAAATCACCCAACACTAAAACCATATGACCACACGTCCACTATGACCACATAAAAGAGAGAATCCCGCCAAAAAAAACGGTTGCTGCGTTAGTTTCTATGACAAAGGGCATTCTCAGAATGGCACGGAGGAGCCAATATTTCCGTAAGAAAAATGTGGACAAAAAACGAGGTACCGGGCGTGCTGTTCTGGCTGCATGGACAAATGGTATATGGGTATATCAACTGAAGCCCCGCTCTGCGCACAGTCATACATGCGCACGGGGGAGAATGGAGGGGGGGGGAGTGGCAAGAGCAATGAGAAAGGACAAAAGTCTGAGTTAGCGGGAAAAAGAGTCAACTTTCAATGGACAGACACAGAAAAGCAGCTACAGAACTTGCACTGCTGCACTGCACTGCTGCATTTGTAAAACATGGACATAAGGACATAAGGACATCTATGCCAAACTGCGGGAGAAGGGAGAAGTCACCCAAGGGACAGGGCATGGAGCAGCACAGACAAGCAAGGAGAGATGGAGGAGCGCAGAGACGATGAGCAGAGAATCAGTAGCGATGTACGTTAAATGCTGAAGATGTCAATCCTTTGGGATAACGGAACATTACGTATTGCGCATTTTGAAAAAAAATCCCAAAAATCCATAAAATCCATGAAATCCAAAAATAAAAAAAAAAGTAAAAAGATAAGGCCAAGAAGCTTTAATTAAAGTATATAAGTGCTTACACAACAGCAAATACGAGAGCAGCGAGGACAGCGAGGACAGCGAGAGCAGCAAGAACAACGAGATGTCGTATAATCAAGGGAAGGAGTTCATTACCGAGCTCGGCAAGACGCCTATGAAGTATATAATAGAGCCCACTGTAGGGCTCGCCAATAATTTGACGCCACATGGGGACACTGTTGTGGATGAGGCTAAGAAGGCGAAGAAAGGGAGGACCAAGTCTGGGCGGAAGTATGTGTGTCAGATAGACGGATGTAAGCGTGAGTTTAGTGTGCCTAGTCTGCTGGCGCAGCACAGAAATGCGCATACTGACGAGAGGCCTTATGTGTGTGACGAGCCCAACTGTGGCAAGAGGTTTCTGAGACCTTGTCACTTGAGAGTACACAAGTGGACGCATGCGCAGGTCAAGCCTCTGAAGTGCTCCTACTGTGAGAGGAGGTTTATCACCAACCAACAGCTCAAGAGACATACGAACACACACGAAAGGAGAATCGCGGCTAGCAAGAAGAAAGAGACTGAGGCAGCCATGCGTATGATGGTGGGCTTGCCACCAAAGAACAACAAACCTAAGAAATCACCTACAACCACCCTACTAAACGAAGCAAACGAAACAAATGGTACTGTGAACGGTGCCGCAAACGGGACTACAAACGGTGTTATAAATGGTACCGATGGTGTTGCAAATGGTACTGCCAATGATACTGCCAATGGTGTTACAAATGGTGTTACAAATGGTGTTACAAATGGTGTTGCAAATGGTGTTGCAAACAGTATTACAAATGGTAACGATATAGTCAACGGCAATAACTACAATACTGATAAATTTGATGATAATGGTTTGAACGGGCTGGCTACTGGTATACACACAATCAATCTACAAGACCTGGGCTTCTCTGATATTAATGGATATCGTCTGAACAACACATCGTTGCTTTCAGACCCAGTTATAGACGTTGACGGCAACGGGCTAAGGTTCCGTATTAAATGTCCGTACTTCGACTGTGACGCTATCCTGGGCCCAAATGAAGATATCATGAACCATTTGCTGGAGATGCACTTGGTTTCGAGGCTGGAGAAGGACCCCACGGTGGATGGCGAGTTATTCTACTCGCCAAACAGTGTTGTTAATAACAGCCTAAGTTTGAGTGACACTGCTACTTCGCCATCTTCTGATGGTAAGAGTGACACTTCTTATCTGCTGGACGGTAGAATTCAAGACAAGACCGATGACAAATGCTTTTCCGAGACGATACCCAACGACATATCCTACTATAGAAACAACGAGACAGTACTAAACATCAGTGACCACGAGGAGGCTTCGAGTTGGAACGACTTGAGATGCCGAGAGGCGCATTGCAAGGACTTGCCGAAGTTCAACAATGTGTTTGTACTCATAGAACACTACGATCAGGACCACGCATTCATACCGGAGAGTCTGGTGAAGTTCGGCTACTTACATCTATACGCTCCAGATGTCCAGGACGGTGTACTATAACAAATATAATTGTCTCACTAACAAACTATTTCCAGAGAAGGGGGGGTAAAGGATACAAAATTCTGTTGGGCAAGTGAGGGCAGAGGCTTTGAAGTATAACCTCAATTTAAAGAAAGCCCCTTCCTGCAGCCCAACCAAGAAACCAAACTGTGTATAACGAAATTATTTACTAATACGACTTATCAAATTTTTTTAAGACTAGTTTTAAAAGGGACTTGGCTTTCTCTCCCTCAACCTTTATTATATGATCATTGTAGTCATTTGTTAAAAGGAGAGTCATTATATAATATTCCGTAGGGGACTAGCAACAAGAAGATACATATATACGTAACGTCACATGTAATGTCTAACATGCTCCCCCCCCTCCCCCGCTTCGTCCCCTGCCATCACTTGCCATAATAGAATGTGGGGGTGGGTGTACGGATGTTAGTACAACCCCTCCTTCTCTCAACTCTCCACGGCTCAGCCACGTGAAACGCTGTCTTGCCAAACGTGTACTGGTGGGTGTACACCCACCAGTACACCACATAGGGGATGAACCGTTCGCGTTTTGAGAGAGAGAAAACCGGAAAAACTCGAAACTGGCAGCTAAAGCCGGTGCGGTACTTATGACGTATTTGTTCCGAGCCGTGTTGGACCCATTTCCCATCTCCCAATTCGCAATTGCAAGAGGAACAAGACAACTGTAACGATGGATTTTTCAAAACCACGAACATTAACTACTATGGGATTCACATACACCGTTCGATGGAGGGGGACTGAAATTGCTATGAATTACTTGCAATTTAGAGGAATCCCACCTTATTTCTAAATCGATATCACCTAACTCTTAAACTTCTGCGATGAGCATCGATCAGCATTGAAAAACTTTTGAAAAACTTTTGGAAAAAAAATTGTTATCCTGATTGTCATCTACATTTCTTCCAATTGATTCTTATAAAATCAGTTATGAAATCAGTTTACAACAACAGATAAATTTTTTAATTTTATGCCCTTATTTTCAAACCCCATCTTTTATTTATTCCAATTTGTTCTCTCTTATCTTTTAAATTAGACAGTTTAAATAAATTATACAAAATACTAAACAACAATGGTTCATTTAGGTCCAAAAAAGCCACCTGCTAGAAAGGGTTCTATGGTTGACATGCCAAAGGATCTTCTTGATGAGATCAAGAAGTTCGAGGACATGTTCTCCGTTGACGCTGCCACTTTGCAAAAAGTCACCAAGCACTTCATCAGCGAATTGTCCAAGGGTTTGTCCAAGGAAGGTGGTAACATCCCTATGATCCCAGCCTGGGTTATGGAAAACCCAACTGGTAAGGAGAAAGGTGACTTCTTGGCCATTGACTTGGGTGGTACCAACTTGAGAGTTGTCCTAGTCAAGCTAGGTGGTGACCGTACTTTCGACACCACTCAGTCCAAGTACAAGTTGCCTGGTCCTATGAGAACCACCAAGGACCCAGAAGAAATCTGGAGCTTCATCGCTGATTCCTTGGAGACCTTCATCAAGGAGCAATTCCCAGAGGGTTGCAACGAGACTCTGCCATTGGGTTTCACTTTCTCCTTCCCAGCTTCCCAGGACAAGATCAACCAAGGTGTCTTGCAAAGATGGACCAAGGGTTTCGACATCCCAAACATTGAAGGCCACGATGTTATCCCAATGTTGCAAAAGCAAATCGAAAAGAGAAACTTGCCAATTGACATTGTCGCTTTGATCAACGACACTACCGGTACTTTGGTTGCCTCCTTGTACACCGATGGTGAAACCAAGATGGGTGTCATCTTCGGTACCGGTGTCAACGGTGCTTACTACGATGTCGTCTCTGACATTCCAAAGCTGGAAGGTAAGCTTGCCGACGATATCCCATCTTCTTCCTTGATGGCCATCAACTGTGAGTACGGTTCCTTCGACAACGAACACGTCGTCTTGCCAAGAAACAAGTACGATATCGCCATCGATGAAGAATCCCCAAGACCAGGTCAACAAACTTTCGAAAAGATGTCCTCCGGTTACTACTTGGGTGAACTGCTACGTCTAGCCCTTTTGGACCTATACAACCAAGGTTTGATCTTCAAGGGCCAAGACGTCCAAAAGTTGAAGGAAGCTTACATCATGGACACTTCTTACCCATCCAGAATCGAAGACGATCCTTTCGAAAACTTGGAAGACACTGACGAATTGTTCCAAGCTGACTTGGGTATCCAAACTACTGTCCAAGAACGTAAGTTGATCAGACGCCTGTGTGAATTGATCGGTACCAGATCTGCTAGATTGTCCGTCTGTGGTATCGCTGCCATCTGTCAAAAGAGAGGCTACGAAACCGCCCACATTGCTGCTGACGGTTCCGTCTTCAACAAGTACCCAGGCTTCCAACAAAGAGCTGCCGAAGGTTTGAGAGACATTTACGGCTGGAAGGAAGACAAGCCACAAAACTACCCAATTGTCATCGTCGCTGCCGAGGATGGTTCTGGTGCTGGTGCCGCTATTATTGCTGCCTTGGCCCAAAAGAGAATCGCTGAAGGTAAGTCTTTGGGTGTTATTGGTGCTTAAGTACTTTTTTGAAATGTTGCACTTTTTACAATAATTTAAAAGTCTGAATCATCAATAGTGTTTACTTTGCTAAAAAAAAATCCAATAAGATTCTCAATGCCATTGGAATTAGATTTCATTCTGTGAAACCTGTTTCATGGTACTTCTAATGTGTTATGTTTAACGCCATTATGTTGTGCTTTCCAAAAGCTATGATAAATATATGATAAACCTTTGATAAACTAGGATACACTATATAAAAATTTCTTATATTTTATATGTTTCTTTTCAGAAAAATGAAGTTAAATCTTTTTCTTTAAACGCCTTCCGTTATTTTCATTTTTTTCCATAATTTCTATTAATTGACCAATGTTCATTTTTGAGTCACCTAGAAACTGAAATGATTTAACAAACCAACTAATTAGCAAGCTAACAGTGACTGGTCCGACATCCTATTGTAGATCTATATCAGAGCCCAGAAATGCCAATTCAGTTTGAATATCTCTGCTTAGCTCCACAAAGTTTTTGTCTTCCATGTCTGAGTCAAAGTCATTGGATTGAGAACTTGGAAATATTCTGTGCCTTTTATGATTTGAGACGTCATTTTTAATCGTATTCATGTCTGCTGTGCTAAACGATTTACCCTCATAAGGTGCATCCCAGTGTGTTTGCTTGTAAAATTGTTTTGACTTATTATGATACGGATGTTGTTTAAAATTTTTACTAGCAATACCATCAAAGTTATTCACTTGTTGATTATTAGATTCTTTCTGGTGTTGTTCTTCTGGCAATGATAAATCTTCATTATTAGGGTCCGACGGTACTAACTCCAATATTTCCAAATCAGATAAGTTACTATCCATTTCTAATTCATCATTTGAATTAGCAATTATCTTATTACTGTTAGTTATAATTTGTTGTTTTGTACCGCTGATATTTTCAGTAATACTTTCCAATTTTAAGATTCGTGAAAGCCCAATGCCAGGTATTTCTTCTACATTTAGAATTAGTTCGATGTATTCATTCACTCTTGTTAGATCCACCATAATTGTAAATGATTGTTCTTTGTTTAGTAAAATCATTGGAAATCTTCTGAAATCAATTAAATGTCCATTTTTGTCTAACGCCAAAAAATTCACCGATATTTCATTGCTTTTCCCTATTGGTTTTGCTACTTTGGCACTAATGTAAGGACTAATATTAAGAGAATTTTTATCATCTATAAAAGCCTGGTAATGGAAAGATAATATGGGAAGTCTTCTTATTTCATCCAAAAGTTTTGTCCCTGCACCAGGTTTTAGTCCTAAGTAAAGTTCAAGTTGTTCTCTGTTCATACTCGTCAATTGCTGTAGAGAATTTATTCCCATTTTGGATAGTTTTTCCACAGCATTGATACTCATTCCCTTAACTTGTTTTAGTATATATGGCGTTGATTCCCAGCAGCCTACATTTAATGACCGTAAAACGAATAGGGCATTTTTCAAAGATATTCCATCATTTTTAGCAATGAATATGTCTATTAAACATTTTAGTACTCTGATAAAGTGGCGCTCTATAGAACAGAGTTCATAAATGAGTTTAGGTGTTAGCCTTACTAGTAGTTGTGATTTTGGCTTGCTTAAATTATATTGGATTAAAAGAAATATTTTTTGCCAAGGTTGATCAATGATTTGTGGCTTACCTCCTTCAGTAAGAAGCCGAAACCAAATTTGAGAATTATTTAACTCTTTTAAAGTTGCTTTTTCATTGAGTCGAACCCTGTATATAGAGAAAACCTCTACCTTAGAGACGATTTTTAGTATTGCTTTTACGGTATTTTTTGGAGCAGCTGTTATCAAAGATTTCATGGTTTTGAAATCAATACAATGCCGCGACATTGCTGAACCAATCAATGTACTGGATATATTACCCTTATTTACAAAGATGAGGGAAAGGGTCTGTAGTGATTGTATTATTTTTTCATAGAAAATTGGAGAAGATATATTCCCTAGTGAAATAAGGCCCTGTCTCTGTAATGCTGGCATATAATGGTCTACATTTTTACAATATCTTTGAACCATAAAAGTAGCATTTATCCACTCACCAATGTCATTCACAGATTTAATGTTACCCAAAGAGACTTCTGCTAAGATAAAATCAATTATTTTATTATGTAAGCTGCTCTCCACTGTTATATTTTTGTCTATCAAGTTTTGATAAAACTTTATCCTCGAATCATCAGTCAAAATAATAGCCTTACCGCCGATACCATCATATTTGAATCCTTCAGTTCTACCAATCATCTGTAATATTTCAAAACTCGAATATTCTGATAATCTGTCATCCTTCCAAGTTGATGTTCCATTAATAACAACTAGATAGACTGGCAAATTGTTTCCAATATCCAGCTTAGAAGTGCAGCATAAAATTTGAATATCCCCATTAGCAAAGTTCTTTTCAACCTCTTTTCTGTCATCTATATGTAAGCCAGCATGATAAAATAGAATTGAATTTTTGTAACAGTTTTGAAGATCAGTATTTCTGAAGCTGATGTTAGTTGATGATTTTTTTATCGTTGTCACACTCATACCACAAAGTGATATAGCGGTACGAGCAGCAGAGCTTTTTGTAGGGCAGAATATTATTGTTGGCTTGCTTTCACATTGAGCTTTTATTATGTCAAACAGTGCTTTGTTGAATTTTGAATTATTTGTCTCTTTCCATGGAGTATACGATCGAATGCCTATAACCTTCGTTCTTTCTCTAATATGTCCATGGGAAGCTGAAAAATCCAGAGAATTTGCTTTATTGATTAGATGGGTAGAATTTAGCCAGCAACATATATCGTCAATATTACCCGTGTTTGTGCACAATGCAATTACTCGCAAGTTAGAAGCATTTTGTGTGATTCTTGTTATAACAACCTCAAGTACAGCACCACGTTCTTCTTTTAAAAAATGAATATCATCAATCAAAAGTAGGTTTACGAATTTGAGAAAAGTCAGATAATCCCCCCATTTTTTGCATATTAAATCTATTTTTTCTGGTGTAGCGACAATAATGTTCGCATTCCCAATAGTATTTTTTTCGAAATGATTCATATCACTAGTTATGAGTTGTACCTTTAAATTAGTGAATTTAGCTTTCCATCGGTTATATTTTTCCAAGCAAATGGACTTCATAGGTGAGATGTAGATAACTTTTAAACCAGTGTTATTTTGTTGTTCGTAAGTTTCTAGAGCTTTCAATATTGAAATTTCCAATAGTACTGTTTTTCCTGAATTAGAGGGTGTATTTATCACAAAGCTATTATTTTTTTCATATAGTTTATTCGCACATATAGATTGGATTTTATTAAATTCATCGAAATCAAAATACTCCCTCCATTTTTCTGGTATTTGACCTGGTGGGTTCCCACTTTTACCATTGACTGATCTCCGCACAGTCACCCGTCCTCTTTTAATAGGTTTCAAAGCAGTAATATCATTAGTGTTTAGTCTGTCATTGGATGTTGTAAACGTATCCTCCGTTCCCACGGAGAGATTACTCTGCCCAAATAATGAGTTCATATTATAATCATCACCAAGATCTTGATCATTATCAGAGTCATCTAAAATAGGGTTATAGGTTGAAAATTTAAATTTTTCTCTTATAGAATTTTCTGTTTTATATTTTAAATAAACATCTCTCTTTGAATTTTTGAGCCTATTGTAAAAACAATTAGCTAAGAGTGTATATTCCATTTGGAAGAGTAGTAGATAATGTTAGTAAATATAATATCTAAATTGACTTTAATGTTGTCTTGGGTTGTGGTATACATGCTTTGATAGAGTAACGTCATGCAGATCTGATACAATGTTTTTGCAACCCCGGATCAACTCCACTTAACTTGGATACCAGAAGTAGTTGACAAGATAACCCATCAAACACATGATATGTTTATTTAACATACTGGTTGTCATTGTTTTTTATTTGTATTGTTTGCACGCAGAATTTTAGTGGTAATATGTATCTGAACTAAATTGAAAACTTCCCGCCGAGCTCTCTTAACTTCAAGTTTTTTCCTGAGAATTCAGGTCTTCGGCCCTTTAAATTTTGAGCCTTTTCGGGTTGAAGAAGAAATAAAGGCGAAGCCATTCATTGATAGCATCGATAGTAAGGGAAGGCCAGTAGGATAGACAATTGGGTGTGGATATTCACAGGACTAGGGTCTGAGGTTTGAGTTATTTAGTTTGGTTGCCCTTTTGAAGCGGAATGTCGATTGAAGAAATGAATGGACAAAGAATGATAGTTGAACTGGAAGAGAGCAAATCACCTTCAGAACAAGGTCAACAAGAAGAAGCCGGGTCATTAAATGTTGAACTAGGGGGCGATAGTGATGGTGTTGATGTCAGGGACTCTGTACTGGTTGAAGATGCTGACGATGATTTGCTCAGCAGTAGTGGCAGCGATGACAGAAGGTTGTTCGTACAGGATCCTAGGGATGATGACTATTTGCGAACTATTGCGGAAGGTTTGGTACAACGTAAGGAGAACCCGTACGTGGAAGTACGCTATGAGAGAGATGTATATCCGTTGTTTGATGATCATAGTTCCCTTGAACATGATGTAGCGATTGAAAATTACAGGCAGTGTGTCTGTAAGGATCCAGCCATGTTACAAAGAAGTTTTTCTGAGTTCATGGCACATTTACGTTCATTTCTAGAAAGCCGACATGGAAGATTGAAGTTCGCTAGCCAAGAGATTCTATTATCGATAGTACCGCTTGACCTAGTGGTTTGTGAAGACAATGTTTACAATTCTCAGATATCGTTGGCAGATGTAGTGAATATCTTTGAAATTCTACAGACTAGATCTAGAGAAGCCGAAGAGAGAGAGATACCAAAGCATTTAGATATGGAAGTGTCGACGCGGCCAAGGTTTGTCTCTCGCTATAACACCTTGGTTGAACTAACCGAAGGTAAAGCAACTCTAAGTAATGTTAGACCATTTTCAAATGATGAAAGTCACCCACTGGTGCTGGATGATGACCAACCAGTAAAAGTCATAAATTCTAAACAGAACACATCAACTGTAGACAATAATGATTCGGATGAACTGCTAGAAATATTAAGTGAATAGTTATCTTGACTAAAGCCAAAATTAGACAAGTCTTGTTGTACCATGCATCTCGATTTGAGATTTATTCAAGGCAGCAGACCGTAGTTGTAACATTAGAAAAAATGCTTTGTTTTATGTAAGCTTTGATTAGAAATAGATATATTCATAATAAATAACTCTTTATCGGCAGAGTTCCGTGCTTGTTTTCAATGATCTCTTTGGCGCCAAAGTAAATCCCCTCATGCTTCATTCTGTGAATTTCATTACCAAATCATAAAAAGATTTTTCCGATCTTAAAATTGGAATATTTCTTAAACAACCAAGAATATAATTTCAATGTAGAAACCTGTTAATCATACCTACAATTAGACAGGATTAAACTATGTGTATACCTGAAAATATGTGGACTCCTCCAACTCTGCCTTTGCCGCTGCAGAGTTTCCCTAAAGAGAATATACCGATAGATAAAAGAACCCAAAAATGTCTGCTGCAAATAAAAAAACTCTGTTCTACTCAGTTCAGCCTCAATAAAGAATATAAGAGCACATTTAACTTGATTGATTATAAATTGCAAAGAATAATTCAGCCACACAATTTATCTGTGAATCCCATAAATAGCTTCTGGCCCCACACTGTTGAGAGGCTAGTTGTACCCCCAATATACTATGAGATGTTATCCAATCAGCAAATATACACTCTTGATTATCTTCAAATAAACCCACAATACCATATACCCATAAAATCTGTTCAGAAGTCTAAACAAAAAGCATTTCAGTTAAATTTGCTTCCATTACCGCGGCAAAAATTTAGGCAAATACAGTTAGAAAGTTACATGCCTTCAAAACTGGAATCTAAAATGACTTCTATCTGTGAGGAATCGTTACCAAAAACAGTTATATTTGATTATCATGGGTACTTTGATTTAAAACAGAAACTCCTAACGAGTAATACTCTTTTAACTGCTAGACTCAATCCAATTTCCACATCAGCTGGTTGTAGACAAAAATTAAAGTTCACTACTCATTGGCCAAGTTGGACAATAGAAATAAATACTGACATATCAAACATTAGCAGATTACATAAGGTATTATTCGATGAAAATTTTAATAAAATTGAACTGTTTAAACTGGCTTCATGTAATCTAAAAGTTGAAAGATCAACTAGGATAAAGAAAAACCACATTGCAACATGGAAACTAGACAAATTGCAATTGAAGGAGTTAGATTGGGACCCACTAAAAAAACTTAAAGCTTACAGTGTACAAAAAAAAATTAACTGTGATGAAGTACACGCCCAAGCAACATTCATCATTACACCCTTAAAGCTTGTGTTAATGCCAATAAACAGTTCAGAAATACACATATTACAGAATAATTATGGAAATATTGTGATATCAGCCAAAAGTTTTGGAAATTTACAACCAAAAAATACGATAGAATCTTCGCAAGTAAGTAACAATAATACTAAACTTTTAAAAGAGGCCCGCACTACGGGTAGTTCGATGTCGGATAGGAGCACTTCCATTACTTCATATAAATGTTCGTCTTTGGTACCCGAGAAGAGAAGCCTATTGGATTCAAACTTAATATCAATCGTACAGTTGAAGAAATTAAGAACCAGTTATCCGCAGTCAACTGAATCGCATTCAGGTGAAATGAGTCTACTACGCTTGCTTCATTCTAACTCTTGCAAAACCGAGATACAACAAATTGACACATGGTATGATACTGCAAAATTAAACACAACGCCAAAAACCACATCATTTAAACTAGAAGGTCAAGATATAAAGAAAAAAGTAAGCATTATCGCTAATGAATATGACATTTCAACAACATACCAAATAACAAGATTATTACGCGAACGGCAATATAGTAATATCGAAGAATACAGAATAAAATTACCATGCCATTTTATATTATCCTTCTCTTCATGTTTATTGTTGGTTGAAATTTCAAAAGTATTTCAATGCATTACTGCAGGTGAGTTATTTTTAGAGAGAACATTATCAATTCTTATAAAACATTTTAGAGTTGTACATGTTTTTATCGAATATGAACCGAACACAGAACTGTATGATAAAGACATATTCTGGAAAGCTAAATTAATACTAAACAACCCACAGGTGAGAACAATATTCATACCGAAATTCTCAAATAATTTGACAACCTGGATGCTGAGAGTTACTACGATACAGGGACAGAAATTTCAAGAAATGGTGAAGGATAATACATTAAGTCATTTTAATATCAACCCATATCAGGAATATCTAATACAAGAAAAGTTAAGAGAATCCAGTCCGTCAAGGCTAATAGAAACCCTAGTCTTTGGTGACCATGTTTTAGATGGAATCTTAACTCCAATTCACATCAACAGTTTGAAAATATTTGCGAGAGAAAACTGGCATTTGACATAAATTAATAGTACTTTATGTTTGCATGATTCATCAGAATACTTTCAAATCTGGTAGAAATTCCTTATTTTCTACAATCACATTACTAGAAATCTTTACGTTTCGAAACCGACATTTAATGTTCGTCTCGGAGCTAAATGCAAGAAAGAGAGCCTACCTACTTCTTTGTTATGAGTTTGCACCGTTTTGGGTGAAATGATTTCAAAACTTAGATAAGATAGAAGTGATACCATTTCAAGTGTATTTCAACTTCGCATTACTTTCTTCATACTTTCATCTTTTTATCTTTTTTTTCTTTTTTAGTTCATTAAATTCTTTATTTCTGCACTCTAATAAAAACTTTGTGCGATTGATTCACTAGTGTAGCAAATTGTTTGTCATGAATCTGGCTTGTGAGAAAAAAAGCAACGATATGTTCTTATTGGCAAGACAAAGGAAACTAGGATCTACTGCCTATCTGCAATTATAAATAATTTAGGAAATGCTCAGGTACCAAAGTATATATATTGAATATGGGGTCCTCCAAACTAAGATATAAAACGAATAGTGATGAACTACACTTTTGTATTCAGCTGCATATTTAAGGATTGGCCATAATAATAACATCTCAATAATCGGAATTTAGCTATCAACATATTGATGATCTATTGCTATTGCACATCTAATTAACTCTTATAAGAAAATTGAGTTTCTTGAATTGCATGCTAAACTATTGTACTGCTTTTTATCTAATTTATTCAAAGATTATTTTCTATCGAAATTGATAACCATTCAAAAAGATATATGACCTTTACCTTTGAAGTTACCATTTTAGGTGGTAGTGGAGGACCCATTGAGAATGATTGCCAAAGTTTTTTAATTAGACCATATGGCTCAGATGTTGTTGATTCCATATGTGTCGATGCAGGAACAGGCTTAGGCTCTCTATACAATTTGGTAGCACAAATAGGTACTTCGGATGAAGCGAAAGTTAATGACTACTATAATCAAAATGTAACGACTAGAAAGGTGTTCAACGATGTAAATGTTGCATACACAAACGGTTTTTCTAGTTCGCTAAAAAAAGTTTTGAGTGAAAAGTACCAAAATTTAAATCATTGGGAAACTACTATTCTGTTGTATAATGGTATCCGGGATTATTATATTACACATCCGCATCTAGACCACATAGCCGGTCTTATCATAAATTCACCTCTTGCTTATGAAATCAGCTTTGGTACTTCAAAAAATGTGTATGGGCTAACTTCCACAAAAGAAGCTCTAACAGATCATATATTTAACGATACTATATGGCCTTCTTTGAATAAGCTAAAATATCCTAAAATAAACTTAAACGCATTGAAACAATGCAGGACTCATGATATTGCCAATTTTCCATGGACAACAACTCCATTCAAAGTAAATCATGGGTGTGGCGCTTGTAATGGAGAACCAAACCATAGCACAATTTATTGCATAAGACATAATAGGACAAGCGAAGCTATCGTAGTATGCGGTGACCTCGAAAATAAGGCCTCAATTGATACCCTTGATTCATATTTACAAACTTTTACAAATTGGTTAACTAATAATATACTTGCAGAAAACTTTAAAGGTATCTTAATAGAATGCTCTTCCCAAACTGTCCCTGATGGAACCCCATTATTTGGCCATTTGTCACCACCACACTTAATCTCTCTTTTAAAACTCCTTCTTAAAAAATATAATGATATTGATCAAACTATTAGCGAGTTAAATGTTATTGTTACTCATGTGAAATATACTTGCGGTAACGAGGACCCCCGACTTACTGTATTATCTGAACTCAGAAACCTGGCGAAGTTCAATAATCTCCATAACTTAAATTTTAGCTATGCTTCACAGGGAACCACCTACTACCTTTAGTTGTTTTACATATGTGCGCTGGTAGCTCTATAAACAACAAATTTAATTAGAACATTATCCACACTTTTTTACTGTGAGGAAATAAGGAAACTATACATTGTCTAAATTATATTCATACAGCAGCAATACTTAATTTTAGATTATATGCATTTACTATTATGTACATAAGAATTACTGCAAACTCTCAAGAGCGGAAGTTCTAGTTTTCCGCTTCTTTCTTTAGCGTGAATTTGAAAAAGTTGACTTATATGTGTGATAAATGACAGGAATTTGGACTGTTCAGAAAGAACGTCTATGCTATCACACCTATATATTATAGTTTTCCAAACCAACTATTGTTAAACCATCAAAGTTTTGTACTTTACAAATTGTTGGAAATCCTATGGTGGAATGCCACTGGCAGAACTGGATAAATCATGCGATAGTAAAGGAACTCCACTTCATGGATCTACTAAGAAAAATGGAAACGCAAGGAGGGGTATCTTGAACAAACCAGTATACTTGATAGCATGTATGGTTGTAGCTATAGGTTCTATTTGTCTGATAATAGCATTCATGAAAGAAATTAGAAAAGATGTTGACGTTAAGCTAGAGATCGAGATGTTGCAACACTTAAGGAAGATTGATCAATGCAAATACAACTATCGGATAAATGAATGCGACCCTGGTGTACGAGTAAGGGCTCTGGATAAACTTTGCGAAGAATGGTATGAATGCATGACAGTTGGTGATGCTTTAAGCAAGAATTCTAAATTTACAAAGAAACGAGCCGCATTGTGGGCCGAAACATTAGGTGAAATACTGAATGCGTTTATGAACAGCATAAAGATTAAAACATGGGGTCTTTTAATGATCAGCATTACAATGTCTATATTGGCAATTAACGTTTCTGCTGCGGTTATAAAAAACCTCACTAACAGTGAACAATAGTCAACACAAAAGCATTAAATAAATACCATCTAAATGGAGGCTAAGACAGAATTTCTAATTAAGAGTCAACTCGGTTTTAAATGTCAGTATTAATACCCAAAGTTAACTCTTGTGGTAGCAGGTTCACGTTTTATTTTGAACTTCGTATTTGTCATTCCAGTCAGTGTTATGGTGTCGGAGACAACGGAATATTGTACATTAGGATAATAACAAAATATTTCACTAGTTATAGCTGATATTATATAGAACTGATCGTTACACCTTTCAATAATTCATGACAGTAAAACATAATGAACAACTAATTTATATCTTTCATACCATAATTATACTGTTACACGAGTATATATTTTCGTCTCGTTGTCATCAGAGATTTGTCAATTATGAAGTCTAATAACTGTAGTCTAATTGACTACAGAAAGAGCTTTATATTCTAGCAACTAAGGGAATAAATAACTCACATAAATAGAACTGCAGAATTATCTTTAAGGCGAGAACTTGTTTTAGGATTTGAATTCACTCTATATCTACTTGACGTGTCAAAACTAAAAGGATGTCTGATTTAGATGAAGATTTATTAGCATTGGCTGGTGCTGATGAAGAGGACGAGGAAGAAGTTTTAACCACCACAAATAAGAGAACTAAGGGCTCCTCCAACTCCCAAGTGAAAAAGAGACGGATTGAAGTTGATAGTGAGGATGAGGAAGATGACTACAACCCGGACGACGGCTATGAACCGGTAGATGTAAGTGACAAAGAAGAGGAAGAAGAGGAAGAGAATCCATTCCCACTTGAAGGAAAATATAAAGACACTGCTGACCGTGATCATTTGGAATCGTTACCTGAAATGGAGCGTGAAACTATACTGTTCGAAAGATCTCAGGTTATGAGGAAGTACCAAGAAAGAAAACTGTTCAGAGAGCGTGGCAGGAACTTAAAACAACAAAAAATTCAAGCGGGTGAGGATTCACAAAAGACTAGATCGTCCAATAGATCAACAAGAGCCACAGGCCATTCTGATATAAAAGCTTCAAAATTATCACAACTGAAAAAACAACGAGAAAGAAAGAGCAAAGGACGTAGAAGTTCTGATTACGAAGAAAGTGATGAGGATAATTACGGCGATGAGGATGAGTTCAAGGATGATTTTATTGAAGAAGATAGCGATTACAAAGAAAACGATGATGACGAGGAAGGTTATGACCCATACGCTAGAAAATCCAAGTACGCGCAGGATAATGATGAGGAAGAAGATGAGGAAGTTGAATGGGCTGAACAACTAGACAGAGATGCTGAGGTACAAGACTTCAATAAAATACGAATTGGTCGTTCATTTGTCGCAAAGTACTGTTTTTATCCTGGCTTTAATGAACTAATCCAAGGCTGCTATGGACGTGTCAATGTTGGTGTCGATAAAAGAACTGGTAATGCTGCATACAGGATGGTGAAAATTGAGAAAGTGTTTTTACAAAAACCTTACAATATGGGCAAATTTTTTACCAACCAATATTTTGGTGTGACTCAAGGTAAAGATAGAAAGGTATTTCAGATGAACTTCTTCAGTGATGGACCTTTTGTCGAACAAGAATTTGAGCGTTACCTAAAAGCGCTTGATAGTTCGAATATACCTAAGCCTTCTCCTTATAATATAAAAACTAAGTTTAAGGAAATTAGCGAATTCATATCACAACCTCTAACTGAGAAGCTTACCGATGAAATTGTGCGCAATAGAATGGTATTGAATAAGAAACTTTCTGGTACAAACGCTGTTTTAGAGAAGACAATACTAAAGGACAAGCTTCGCTATGCCAAAGAAAATGGTAACGAGCATGACATTGCAAAATATTCTAAACAGTTAAGAAACTTTGAAAAACGCATGGCGATGTATGAGAAACATCATGAAAATGATCAAGCTGATATTAAGAAGCTTGAAGGCCTAACTTCGAAGAACAGAAAGCTAAATATGAACAGAATAAGAAACGCAGAGAGTATCAAGAAAGAAGAGGATGTCAATTTCGATTCCAAGAGTGATCCTTTCAGTAGATTAAAGACAAGAACAAAGGTCTACTACCAAGAAATTCAAAAGGAGGAAAATGAAAAGGCAAAAGAAGAAGCTGCACAAGAACAATTGAAGATCGATGAGGAAACAAAGAAAGAAAAGGAGAAACAACTGATGTTAGCAGAGTTTAGGAGACTAGGAGGTCTACAAAAGATCATTGGCTCCATCAATGTTGATATTAAATTGGATATTTAGTAGTTAGAACACCATCCTAATCTCTCTGTAAATTCCTCAGATTTTATTAACGATGTAAAAAGTTTCCCGATATTGTAGTATATAAAATCAATAATCAATCAATAATCAATTAATAATCAATCAATAATCAATCAATAATCAATCAGTAATCAATCAGTAATCAATCAATAATATCTATCCATTACAAGGGCTAGATATCATGATCGTTTTAACAGATTCTTCTAACAAAACTTTTTTCACTGAGTTATAACAAAGAGAGCAGCAACCTGGCTATCGAATAAATATGCAAGATTAATAATGTGCTATTTTTGACATAAAACCAGCCAGAATTAATGAGTTTCAGAGATGATTATGGCACCAAAATCACAGAGCTAGTTCTGTCAGAATATGAAAAGTTGTCTGCTAAGGGTAGACCAGTTACTCGAAGTAATGGTGCTAAAGAAGGGACTATAGTTGCTGCAGTGATAGCCTCTGATACAAGAACTGATAAACATAGTATACTTACTATAACCACCGGGGTAAAATCTACTCCTAATGATGAATTAGCAAGGAGTAAAGGCAAAATTTTACATGATTGCCACGCAGAGATATTGGCCTTGCGTGGTTTCAATAGATTGCTATTGGAACATATTAAGAGAAGCATGGAAGGTATAGAATCAAACCTTATCCACAATACACCTAACGGCTTTGAGTGGAATAATGAACTTGAATTAACATTATTCATATCAAAATTACCGTGTGGGGAATTGAGTATGAGCTTATTAGAGGAAATGAAATGTGAAGATGAAAACTCATTGACTTTTGAAGAAGATGATAATCAGCAGTATATCACTCCAGAGATTAAAACTATTCTAAGAGGGAGATGCAATTTCAATAAAAGAAACTATGTGAGAACGAAACCGGGCCGTATAGACTCAAAAGCAACATACTCAAAGTCATGTTCTGATAAGTTATATATACGGCATAAAACTTCAGTACTGAATTCTCTTACAAGCTATATGATGCCAACTCCACTGTATATTAGTAATTATGTTATCCCTAATATTAACTCCCATCAAATAGAGGAGATGAATCTCTATTTTAATCGTCCTATGGATCTTCACTCCTCGGCAAGGCGGCTATACATACATACTTCCCACTACAAATTTGGTGATGATCTCTCCCCGGAGACCCCGCCATCATCGATGAGTGCACTTAAGATATTATTTAATGATAATGATATTCAAGAGGAACAAATCCTAAATGGGGTAAAGAATGGTTACTATACCAAGGCATCAAAGCCGCTCAGGAAAAATTGTGAATCGAAAGTAAGTCGATATTCCCTGTGGTCACTTTTTATAACAATGCATCGAGAGTTCAAGGATCTAACGTATCTTGAATTCAAAAGGCGATACTGTGCCGAGAGAGCAGAGCTTATCAGATCCATCAAGAGTAGTTTATCAAGTGATGGATGGCTATCAACTGCGGAAGATGATTGCCAACTACCCTAATCGAATAAACCAGTCAAAGTGATGGACCGGATAACGTTAATATCTATCTTTTATAAAATCTTATAAAATTGTTGTATAACAATATCTTAAATAATCTGTTAAAAACATTTATTTTAATTGTGTTTGTACATGCAATTTGAAATAGGGGCAGTGAAAACACCATGACTAGACCAGACCATATAACGAATACGAAAATACAAAGCCTAGTCTTCCTCTCCATCATCATCATCTATTAGTTCAGGTTCATCACCTTCATCTCCATCATAATTATCAGCAGCCAGAGCAGCGCCTTGAAGAAGGTCGATCAACTCATCCTTGTCATCTCCATGCACAAGGTCTAGTGGGAGTTGATTGTTAATGTTTTTTATTCTTGGATCCGCACCAACTTCAATCAGATTCCTGGCAATGAACAATCCATGCTCAGGTTCTTCATCGCAATATCTCACTGTAACATGAAGAGGAGTATCTCCATCAACATTCTGGGGATCAATATCGATACCACCTTCTTGATCCAATATCGTATCCAAAACTTCCCAGGATCCATATTTACAACATAAATGTAATGCTGTGTTGCCTAACGGATCCTTAGATGTGTTAATCAATTCTGCAATCTTTTCAGCATCATGCCCAAGTGTTTCAAATATACTAGACAGAAGATCACTATTATTTCTTCTTGAGGCATCCAATAGTTGCTCACCAGCACTGGCACCTTCTGAACTCATACTTGGAATATAAAATCTATGAACTTCAATAATCCAGTTAACAGTTTTCACCAGAGGCTATATTAACAGTCTAGTAAACTTTGAACCAATGTTTAAACTCCTGATTTTGTTTTTATTGATCCTATTCTAGAGTTCAATCGCCTTTTCTGAACCCGAAATGCACTAATTTGGTTAATTTTCGAGGGAAATTCATAATCTTCTAACAGTTTTGTACATTATGGATGAAGGCCTTGAAGACTGAAGATAATTTATGTTCCTACATCTACAGACCAAATCAACAGACACCATACCGTTCTGAATTGAAAAATAATCGCTCTAACTATGGTATCTCCAGAGTTCCAGCTGCTTATTGAACAGGCGCAATCTCCAGACAATGCGGTTCGTGAAGGTGCGGAAACACAGTTGTTAAACGCGTGTGACACCAATGCTGATGAAGTGTTTCAGTCATTGATTGAGCTAGGGGAGAATAATCAGACTCCGTTAGCCTCACGTCTATTTTCCTTGTTGTCGTTGAGGAAATTCATTACCATGTATTGGAGTCCCGGATTTGAATCATACAGAGGTACTTCTAATGTTCAATTGGGTACGAAAGAGCGCATAAGAGATGTCCTCTTAAAACTAAGTTTAGATGATCAACAATCTAACAAGGTCAGGAATAGCAGTTCATATTGTGTTGTGCAAATTTCCGCTGTTGACTTCCCAGATGAATGGCCGCAGCTCTTGTCTACTTTGTACAATGCAATTACTCAAAATCATTCTTTGAACGCAATGTCTTTACTAAATGAAATATACGATGACGTTATCTCAGAAGAGATGTTTTTTGAAGGTGGTATAGGCTACGAAACTTTACAGATTATCTTTACTCTATTAACCAATGCCCAAGTTAGATTAGCGTCAAAAACATCAGCTCTGAAATTGTTTGGAGCTTGTATATCACAGATGTCAGTGTTAGATAATAATTCATCCCAGAAAAGGAAATTGTTAGTCAGTGAGTGTCTGGGCCAAGCTTTACAAACAATTAAATTATTATTAGAACAATGCGAGATCATACAATCTGATCTCACATCAATTAACGAAACATTAGAGTTCAAGGATAATCTCTACGATGATATAAATTCTATAAAAGAGAATTTCCCTAGGAAATTTTTTCCAGAAGATGTTAATTTATATGTCACAAACATTGCGGTAAGAGACCTTGATCAATTAGCAGGGCTTTATCAGGAGTCATTCAAAGATAATTTTGACGAACAATCAATGTCCATATTTGAAAATTGTGTTATCCACCTGCTTGATTTTTTAGCAAACCCTATTAGCCCACTAAATAATGAACTGATTTCAAACATCCTAACGGCATCGATTACATTATGTGAACAGAGCGCTTTGACGAAAGATTCTTGGGAATCAGATTTCAATGAATTTGCTTCGAAGGAGACCGGACTATCTGCATCTTTCACCATTAGAGACGAAGTCGCGGAGTTAGTGAATGCTTTCGAAATTCCTCAATTAGAAACATCTTTCGAACTTATAGTTGGATATCTTTCTAACAACTCATCTCATTTATCTGCTGATAAGATAGAGTCTGCTCTCTATCTATTACAATGCTTGATGAATGTTGAAGACGATTTTTCAAATACATCCCTAGTCCCATCACTAATTGAGTTCATCAAGTCGATGCTGTCTCAACAAAATAACTTAGATCAAATGTCTCAAATAAGATTACTGTTACTAATTCCAAAAACGTTGGCGAAATTTATGGATATCTTACCTAATGTAAAACAACTGACAGCTGAGACCTTGAATGAAATTCTGTCTATGGCAACCAACTCTAACAGTCATCTCATTATAATCTCAGCCTTAATTTCCTTTACTTATTTTGCGAGTTATGCCGAGATTCTTTCAGTATTAGGAAATGATCAAACGCTATTGGTTCAGAACAAAACATTACATCTGATTCAAGAAATTAGTGAGGAATCTACCGAGGATACAAATGGCCTTTTAATGGAAGTCCTGAACTGTGTGATTGACTGTAATGATAAGAATGTTGCAAATATGGAGCTGTTCAAATTTGAATTCAAGCTAATATTAGTAATATCTGGTAAGGATCCTGCAAATATCCAGGTTTCTATCGAATCTCAAGAGTGCTTGGAAAAATTGCTCCTTAACGTAAACACGAATGACTACCTATCTTTTGTGGACATATGCATTCCATCTTTTATTAACATCATAAAATCAAGTGAAGTAACAAACTATAGTTACTCTCCACTTCTATCACTTGTTCTGGAGTTTATAACTGTATTCATGAAAAATAAACCACAAGAGGCTTTGCTACCATCAAGCGTGTCAGAGTATGTATTTGACCCTCTTGTTAGTTGTTTACTGAAATCAACCGAAGAAGAATTACTACAAATTGCAACAGAAGCATTCAGTTATATGATACACAATTCCAGCAAAGATGTCATTACTCCGAAATTGGAAACAATTGTTAATATATTGGACAGACTATTATCGTCAAACATATCAGACTCAGCTGCAATGAATGTAGGGACACTTATTTTAGCATTGATAACAGAATACTCTGAACCTATGAATCCTTTGTTGCCATCAATTATTTCAGCTGCAGTTCGAAAACTAGTGGTATCGAACAACATTACCACACAGCAAAATCTCGTCACTTTACTTTGCTTCCTGGTATGTCATGATCCAAAGCAAACAGTTGATTTCCTTTGTGAATTAACAATAAAAAATGACAAAGGTGAACAAGTTGCTTTACCAGTTATAATACAAAAGTGGCTAGATACGTTTGCTGTAGTAAGAGGAGAGAATAGAATCAAAGAAAATATTGTGGCTTTGAGTCAGTTGTTTCTGTTGGGCGATGACCGTGTCAATGAAGTTAAGGTTAATGGTGAGATAATCCCTTATGATGGTGATTTGATTATTACAAGATCGATGGCAAAATCTATGCCCGATAGATACACAACTGTATCTGCACCTGAAAAGATCGTTAAAATGTTCTTGGGGGAACTAGGTTTTCAAGGTAGAAATAAAAATCCAGAAGAACTATTAACTACTGATGATATGAAAGGTATGGGGTTGAAACCGAACCAACAGAGCAATAATGATGAGGGTGATGATGATTGGGAAGATGTAGATGATGTCGTTGACTATGAAAAACTTCAAGAATATATCGACGATGAAGATGACTTGGATGATAATTCTGTCGGTGAGTTAGAGACCATTACTGGCCAACAGCATATTCCGCAGTCAATACCTGAACTACTGAAGGACTTCTTCAATACAGCTGCTCAAAAGAATGTTGCTGGATTTCAAGAAATATATAATAACTTGTCTGAGGAGGAGCGTAAGTGTATTTCTGAGCTAATATTATAGAAAACCTGTATAGATTATATGATAATAGTATTGTTAATGTTAATTTCTGCTACACATTGTTCCTAATAAATCACAATTTTCTGATGTAAAGGTAAATTTTAAGAAACACAAAAGGGAAGAATTATTGTTCAAACTAACCACATTCGGAAAGTGAAGTCCTGAACGTGAGTAACTTTGAATGAAAACAAGACGGATATAAGTGCTTCGATTAGCATACACATTTTTGATTTTCAATTCCGGTCATTGCTTGCTTGCTAGCAGTTGAAACTAATAGCACATGAAGCGATTGTTATACATAGACTGGCTTGCTAAGAATGATAAGTGAATACAATAGGAGGGAAGAACAATCAAAAAATTCAAATAATTCGAAATGGAAAGATTTCCTACAGAGGCTTGGGCCGGACAGCGCGATCAAGCCGGTGAAACTCCCACATCAGCAGAAGAAGCTAGTTTTGGATGAAGCTCTTTTCAATCAAAATCCTAATGTATACGTAAATGGAATACTTAATGAGACAAACCAAGAAGGTGAGCAACATGCCGACACTATTGCAGACAGGTACAGAGTGGGACTGCAACTTCTAAACAATAACGATTACACCAATGTTACGAGTTTGGCATATTGGAAGGCATCTTCCTGTAAAACAGGTAACCCTATAACGAACGCCATTGATGACAGCTTTGAGAATTATTGGCAAAGTGATGGAATACAACCACATACTGTTGATGCATATTTTTCGAAAAGAATGGATATTGTTTTAATCGGTATATTTTTCACCATAACGGCTGATGAATCATATACTCCACGGGTAATACACATATTTGCAGGGAACAGCCCATCCGATGCTGTGTTTTACAAAACACTTATAGTAAATAACATGAATGGTTGGGCTGCATTAACGTTTGAAGATAACTTGCCAGTCGAGAAACTATTGAAATGCCAATATCTCCGATTCAAGTTTCCGGTAAATCACGAAAATGGTAAGGACACTCATCTTAGAGGCATAAGGGTATACACAGCTTCAAATAATCAATGCAAACCACAGTTGGAAACTATCAAACTACAACCTGTGCTGCCAGAGTTAGACTCGTTTGGCTTAAGATGAATCCAATTTCAGCTATTGTAATGCCAAAACCCTTATTTTTGTTCAGAGTAAAAGGATAAATTTTAACTAAAATCATTTGATAGATATATAGGATGATCCACTATGCATTCAAATATGGTTTTTAAAATTTATATAATGTTGATAAATACTGAATAGACATATTTACCATTACCATTACCATGGCTCCTGAAGTCATATGACCTTTTCGTGTAAAGAGTTTCTCTAGTCACTAAAAATTGAAAAATTCTGAAAAGTTCCAGATGAGATCAAACGAACATCTGATAGTTATCATACATGTTATAGTAGTACACACTATGAACCAATTTTGTAACGTTTATCGGCCCCATAGGATTAATTTCTTCTAGTATTGCGACATAACTAGGACTCAGATATTGACAGGAAGTTAATTGAGTTTTATAGACAAGTTGATCAGCTTTTAATTTTAAGAGAAGCGTCAGTATAATTGAAGGAATTGCTAATTACCAAAGCAATAAGCTGCAAGACGTGTCTTATTTAAGTTTTTTTATCGTTGTGCTGCCAATAATAATTGAAATTATTTAACAGAAAATGAGCGATTTAGAGACTGTATCTAAATACCTGGCAGAATCTGTGGTTGCCTCTACATCCAAAATAGCTGAAAAAAATTTAAAACAGCTTGAAAATGAGGATGGATTTGGTTTAACGTTACTACATATTGTTGCATCATCAAACCTACCAATTGCTACAAGATTAGCAGGTGCTGTCTTCTTCAAGAATTTTATCAAGAGAAAGTGGATTGACGAAAATGGTGTGCATTTATTATCGCCCAGCAATGTTGAATTGATTAAAAATGAAATTGTTCCCTTAATGATAGCTCTGCCTGGGAATTTACAAGTTCAAATTGGTGAATCTATTTCTGTTATTGCTGATTCTGATTTCCCTGAAAGATGGCCCACTTTACTAGATGACCTCGTTAGTAAACTCTCTACAGATGACATGGTAACCAATAAAGGTGTTCTAACTGTGGCCCATTCTATTTTTAAACGGTGGAGACCTCTTTTCAGAACTAATGAATTATTTCTAGAAATTAAGTTAGTTTTAGATAAATTCACTGAACCTTTCTTGAACTTAATGAAGTCAGTCGATGAGCAAATAACCCACAAGAAGGATGATAAAGCTAGTCTTGAGCTTTTATTCGATGTTTTACTACTGCTGGTCAAGTTATATTATGATTTCAACTGTCAAGATATTCCAGAATTTTTTGAAGATCATATTAGAGAAGGTATGGGAATGTGGCATAGATATCTATCTTATGAGAACCCGTTATTAGAGGACAATTTTGATACAGAAACCGCAAGTACACTAATCAAAGTTAAAACTTCCATTCAGGAGTTGGTTCAATTATATACAACAAGGTATGAAGAATTTTTTGAACCTATGATTAATGAATTTATTCAAATCACATGGAGTCTGTTAGTCAGTACTCCTAATCAACCAAAGTATGATATCCTTGTATCCAAGTCACTTTCGTTTTTGACAGCAGTAGCACGTATTCCAAAATACTTTGAGGTTTTCAATACTGATTCTGCTATGCATAGTATAACAGAGCAAATAATACTTCCAAATTATACTTTACGTGAAGAGGATGTCGAATTATTTGAAGACGATCCAATGGAATACATCAGAAGAGATATGGAAGGTTCTGACTCAGATACAAGAAGAAGAGCTACAGCTGATTTCTTGGGGGAGTTGAAAGAAAAAAATGAAAATCTAGTTACTAGCATAATTTTGGAACATGTCAAAAAATTCCATGATCAATATAGTACTAATCCACAAGAATTTTGGAAATACAAAGATTTATATATAAATTTGTTCACATCATTGGCTGTCAAAGGTAATATCACAAATTCTGGTGTTTCAAGTACAAATCCATTGGTTAATGTAATCGATTTCTTCACCATCCAAATTCTGCCAGACTTAATGGCTGGATCATTACCTCATCCAATCTTGAGAGTCGATGCCATTAAATTTGTTTACAACTTCAGAAATCAACTGAATAAGCAACAACTAATTGAAATTCTTCCAATTCTAGCAAACTTTTTATTAAATGGAGAATATTTGGTTTTCACCTACGCTGCTATAACGATCGAAAGAATCTTAGCTATCAGGGAAACTCCTTCATCCCCAGTTTTTATTTTCAATAAGAATGACCTTAGCGGAAGTGCTGATGTTTTGATCAACAATTTGTTAACGTTAATAAAAAAGCAAGGCTCTACTCCTGAGCAGTTGGCTCACAATGAATATCTCATCAGAGCTGTATACAAAGTTATCCAAACTGCGGAGGAAACAATATCGCCAATGTATCCTGAATTAATCAACCAGTTTATTTCTATAGTGGATATTGTTGCCAAAAATCCATCAAACCCAAGATTTTCTCATTATCTATTTGAATCCATTGCTGTTATACTAAATTATAATCCAAACAGTACTCTTCCCCAAATCATTGACCACATAATGCCATCATTTATGCATATTCTTTCCGAAGATATTCAAGAATTCATACCTTATATTTTCCAGATTATTGCTTATGCTGTAGAGAGTATGCCTCAAATATCTGAATCTATTACAGCTTTGAGCCAGCCCATATTGGCACCTGCTGTTTGGGAATTAAAGGGTAATGTCCCAGCAGTAACAAGATTGTTGAAGGCCTTTATAAAGAAGAACTATAAGATATTTCCTGATTTAATTCCAGTTTTGGGTATATTTCAGCGGTTAATTGCTTCTAAGGCATATGAAATTTATGGGTTTGATTTATTAGAGTGCATTTTCCTGTCAATAGACTTGGAAGTTTTGAAACCATTTATGAAGCAAATTGCTATACTATTATTACAAAGACTTCAAAGCTCCAAAACCGAAAGATATGTGAAGAAGCTAACCGTTTTTATTGGTCTAATTCTCTACAAGTTTGGTCCAGATTTCCTTATTTTATTTATCGACGAAGTCCAAGATGGTTTATTCGGACAAATTTGGGGAAATTTCATTATTACTACTCTCCCCAACATTGGTAACTTATTGGATAGAAAAATTTCATTGCTTGGGATGAATAGTATAATTGGAACGCAAAGTAACTTTCAGTCCAAATATAGCTCACTGATAACACCAACTTTGGCATCCGTAGTGAAGACAATAACCTCTGATAGTGCAGCTAATGCTGGTAACAATTTTGTGGATCTGGATAATATTGAAGAGGTTTCAACATTTGGCTCACACTTTAGTAAACTGGGTAGTATTTCAGAGAAAACATTCGATCCTGCTCCAGAGATAGACAATAATGATGGTGTCAAGGTATTTGTTCTTCAAACACTGAAGAAGTTTAACGACTCCTCGAATAACTTGGTTATCAATAGTATCTCCACTGAGTTATCTGAGGAAACACAAAATAAATTCAATCAATTATGGAGTCAAAGCCAATAGGTACATCACCGGTATTCTTTATATTGGGAGTATCTCTTCTCCAAAAGTCCACATATAGAATCAAATCTAATTTACATAACTGCATCTTAATATCTTTTTATTATACATTAATAACAATTCCACAACTTACGATTCTTATGAATATATATGAAAGTATTTTTTTATTTTGAACTTCAAGTGAACATTTATTACCTCATGACTATGTCCTTGAACTCATTTATCCAACAAAATATTGACACTACAATAGACTAATTGCCTCCATAAGTATAGGCAGCCTTACGCGTATTATTATTACCTTATTGAATATTGTCTTATAAAATCATACAAAACCGTTATATAACTCAATTAATAGGGGCATGTCATAAAATTTGTATCAAAATACCTGTATCGTTAAAATAATCTTCAGAAATTAATACTTAAATTCAAATTGAAGTCACTTGCATTACAAAATAATGCTGCTCAAACTTTAGCCCACCTGAGTTAATCTTTTTTGGTGTCTAAGTCTCCAGTACTAGCACCTGATTTTTGACTATTTACAATGTCTGCATTTGTATCTATAGATTTTTCTGCATCTGATTGACTTTTAGTTTTTTCAGTATCCTTCAATTCACCCTTTTCCTTGAGCTCTTTGATCTCTGCAGCAGTGAGGAACCGGCCACCTTCACCGCGCGGTCTTCTCAAAGCATGCTTGTGACGAGATTCATGTAAATATGGTTTCCTTTCTCTACATATTCGTAAAGATTCTTCTAATTTTGCTCTAGCATATCTCCTCTTCAGAATTCTATAATATTGCTTGGCATTAACATAATACGGTTGCTCTGAAGTACTCTCTTCTTTCGGCAGATTCGATTCTGGAATTTCAGTTGAAAACTTATTAGAGGGATTTTCATAATTTTTTGGAACTGACTTACGAACATTATCATTAGTAGAGCTACGCTGTGGTCCATCAAACTTGTAGTTTTTCTCTTTTCCATTTATATGTGTGTTTTTATTATCAGGGACTCTAGTTGTTGAGTTTATTGGTGGTTCAGATTCCATTTTGATATTTCCATTATTTGATTCATTATCCAAAGCTGTTCTGGGAATTGTTTGAACATATTGTTTGGTTATAATATTTTGTGGTACTCCTGTATCTTCTTGTTGCTTTCCTTCAAGGTTATCAGAATCCACATTTTCTGAGACTCTTTTCAGTTCGTTGTAGAGATATAGCTCCTCGTTTGTAGGTGCCTGAGATTCGTTATCATCCGGATTTGAGGTGTACAAATCGGTACCTGCGGGGCTGGCGTTTGAAGTACCACCAACAATAGAGGACGGTGGATGTACATTCTGTAGATTCATTGTTTCAGAGTATATAACTTCTCTTCGAGACATGTTAATGCCGTCGTATTTGTATGAGCTTGATGTTTAAAGGTAAATAGTTCCTGGACTAATATGAACGCAAGTACCTTTAAAAAAAAAAGCTTAGGACAACGGATAAAAACCTTCTGAAATTTTAATAAAAATACAACCCAAAGCTATTTGTAATTGCTTGCTAGAAACTGGGTGTTATTATTGGTTGTGGATTGAATATTGGCAAAAATACAATAATTGAGAAACAAAGTAATAAACTCTTGACGAAGCGTGTGTTGCCTATATACAAGGTCTTTGGATAACAAACAAAATTATATCGCAATTAGCTGGTCTTTTTCAACTCTATTTCCTGTTTATACCAGGGTTGTATCCAAAAAATGACGTCTATTATCTGGCCTTTCAATGGCAGATAAATTTGCCCGAGTATGCTCGTTTTCGGTAAATCTTGTCCAGTAAATAAAACTGTATGACTGTTTAAATAGTATAATATCCTGTTGTTGGCGTTAGGAACCTATGTCAAAGCCTTGTTAGGTGGTTTGAAGTTGACATATTGTCTTATATGTCTGATCGTCCATCTTTGTCGCCCTGAACAAATTTAAATCCGAAAAAGCGATTGTCAGAATGAAGCCGGGTAATGTAAAGATATATATATGTGATATATACTACATTATGTCTGAGTTTTATTATAATAAGTTGTCAACTGATGAGTAAGATAGTTATGGGTCATACAATAACGAACTAATTAAGTTTGTTAAGATTAGTTATAGATGCTGTTAAACAAATACAAGAATATGCATATATTTACAAGATTTTATTGATTCTTGAGCTCTGCTTGTCGTGGTCTGACTAGTTTGTACAATTCAAATAGGGCTGCAGCTGTAACACCTTGAATGCGTCTTGCTTGGCCAATTGTATTTGGTTGAATGGAGTTTAGTAGCATTTTGCATTCACTCGAAAGGGTTGGTATATTGCTATAATCAAACTTTTTTGGTAGTAACATTTGTTCGTCTGCTTGGAATGCTCTAACAAATTGGTTTTGTTTCACAATATAAGGCTCATATTTACCTTCAACATCCAACTTTAAGCTAACATGATTAGGTATCGCGTTAATATCGATATCTAGTTCAGGTATTTTCACAGCTAAATAGCGTAAAGTGATATCATTATATCTGAATACTTCCCAAGCCGTCCTGTTCTTCGCTGAATCTGCAATTCTAATACCCAGTTTTTGATTCCATTTTGAAGCACTTAGATCAAAGTTTTTTAGCTTTGTTTTAAACTTTTCAAATATATGCTTGTCGTTGTTAAAACGGGACCATCTAGTATCGTCTACAATTCCGTATTTTCTACCAATTGGAGTTAAACGGAAGTCAGCATTCTCTGCTCTTGTTGTAATACGGAATTCTGATCTAGATGTGAACATCCTGTAGGGCTCCACAACGCCGTTAGTAACCAAATCGTCAATGAGAACACCAATATAGGCATCTGACCTAGATAAAATTATCTGATCTCTATTTTTGCTGGACAAGCCAGCATTTGCACCAGCTATTACACCTTGGGCACAAGCTTCTTCATAACCAGTAGTACCATTAATTTGACCTGCCAAGTATAATCCATTTACCAGTTTAGTTTCTAAATTATGATTTAGTTGTGTTGGTTCGATATAATCATATTCGACACCATATGCTGGGTGGATGATTCTGACATTTTCTAGTCCAGGTACCATACGCATCATCTTTAGTTGCACATCTTCTGGCATTGAGTTAGAAATTCCGTTGGGGTATATGACGTCAGTATCTAAACCTTCTGATTCAAGCCAGATTTTATGACTCTGTTTATCTGCAAATCTCAGAATTTTTGCTTCAATAGAGGGACAGTATCTGGGTCCCTTGATGGTTTCTCTAATGTGTAATGATTTATCTAAATTCTGTCTTAGGTATTCATGCAGTTCCGGCGTTGTAGTTGTTCCGTAGCAGAGTAGTTGTGTTTCCACCGCAACATTATTATTTAAAAAGCTCATTGGGTGTGGCACTTCATCTGGATATTGCTTTTCTAAGTTTGAAAAATCTATCGTTTTCCCGTCCAATCTTGCCGGTGTACCAGTCTTTAACCTACCCAACTTGAATCCAATTTCCTTCAGGGTCTTACTGAGTCCATAAGTTGGTTCCTCTCCTATTCTTCCTGCTGGTATACATTTCATTCCAATATGTATTTCTGCACTTAAAAATGTTCCAGTTGTGATTACTACTTTTCTTGTGCGCATAATAGTCGAGTCTTCCAACACAACTCCGTGTACCACTGTTTTATCACCATGTTCCTTATCTAGTAACAAGTCTTTCACCTTAGCTTCTTGAAGTTGTAGATTGGGATAGTTACTTAGAATCGATTGCATCTCTTTCAAATACAAATTTCTATCGATCTGCGCGCGAGGTCCCCACACTGCGGCACCTTTACTCTGATTCAACATCTTGAAATGTATACCAGCTTTGTCTGTAACCCTTCCAGCAACTCCATCGAGTGCATCGACCTCTTTAATCAAAGTGCCTTTACCAACACCACCTATCGAAGGATTGCACGAGCAGGTACCTATCTTGTCCAGGAATGGCGTCACCAGCACAGTCCTAGCCCCAGACCTAGCAGCAGCAGTAGCGGCTTCACATCCAGCATGTCCACCCCCAATAACTACAACATCATGCTCCTCCAACGTCCTGAGATACTCACGAATTTGGGAGTCCACCATCAAACGACGCCTAGCCACAATGACAGTCCGATGAGCACTTCTATTCCCGAGACATCGCAGCATCACAACTATATGAGTGTTCTACCAGTGTACTCTGGCTGGTTAATATACATTAAAATTCTATGATAAAAACCAGTAGATGTAATAAAACCCATGACAACTGTAGCCATTACTGTCGATCACTATGAGTTTGAAAGAAATAGGCTATTCGCCTGAAATAGTCTATATCAATCTGAACGGCAAATGCATATGATTACACTCGCATTAAGTGATAAGTTGTGCTCTTTTTTGTCCAAATTCAATATGAGAATGTCTGGACAAATTAAGGAAAAACAGGGACAATCAGAGACAACAAAGATCCAATTTTTTGTGACATTTGGTTTCTTTGGCTCTAAGAAACCTTCGGAGACCACTGTATTTTCTTCAAGAAGAAGTCATCCCGCTACAAGCTCAATTACAATATTAGTGTGATGGACCATCGGTAACTTCAAATACTGAAAGCCTAGTCTACTGACATATAAAAATACCATCTTATTATCATTGCTAATTCGATATTAGCATGGTATTGTAATAGGTATGTAGGAGGAGAATTATACACTAGTAATATAGCAAGCTCCCACTGGTTTCAAAGTTGGACTGTGTAATTATCACTGGAGTGGTGATTCTTGAAAACTTGCAATGAGCAGGAGTCACAGAGAAGGGCTTTCGGGTGTTCTTTGTGCTGTGCTGCCGTGAAGGTTTGCACATTGTGGTGAAATTGAATCATTTTTCTTGCAGTGGGACTGTATAGCTCAGCTCATCAATTTTAAAATTAATTAGCTTGATAATAAGAAGTTAAAAAATCTACATAATATAATGTGCCGACTCAGTCAATTGTTTTAATATTTTTATGAATTTTGTATATAAGTGGACTTGATCTTATTGTTTCTAGTTTTATTAGTAATTTCCCTGAGGTTCCACTATCAACAGTATTTATATACACACATACAAGCAAAAACAAACAAACAATTATAATGTTGAACATTCTAGTTCTTGGTGCAGGTGGTAGAGAACATGCTCTGGTGTGGAAACTTGTACAATCTCCAAGTGTTGAACATATCTACGTCGCCCCAGGTAATGGTGGTATTGCCAAGATTGGTCCTAAAGTGGTCTGCGTGGATATCGATTGCGATGCCAAAAACTTCGAGAAACTGCGTGAGTTTGCTGTCTCTAAGGACATCAACCTAGTTGTCCCAGGTCCTGAAGTGCCTTTGATTGACGGTGTAACTGATCTTTTTGCCAAAGTAGGTATTCCGGTGTTTGGCCCATCAGCTAAAGCTGCACAATTGGAAGGTTCAAAGGGATTTTCCAAGGATTTCATGCAGAGACATAACATTCCAACTGCTCGTCACAAGACTTTTGAGTCCTATGAAGAAGCTAAGAGGCATTTGGAAGAAGTTAATTATAGAGTTGTCTTGAAAGCAGACGGTGTTGCTGCAGGTAAGGGTGTTTTGATCCCAGAGAACAAAGAGGAGGCCTTGAAAGCTCTTGATGTAATAATGGTTGAAAAGCAGTTCGGTGACGCCGGTAATACCGTAGTTATCGAGGAGTTCTTAGAAGGTGATGAAATCTCTATTCTAACCATATCCGATGGTTACAGCTATTTCAACTTACCACCAGCCCAAGATCATAAACGTATTGGCGAAAATGATACCGGCTTGAATACTGGTGGTATGGGTACCTATGCACCAGCTCCTGTTGCTACTCCAAAAATACTGCAAGAAGTTGACTCTACTATCATCAAGCCATCTATTGATGGTTTCAGAAAGGAAAGAATACCCTTGGTCGGGTGTTTATTCACCGGTATAATACTAACAAAAGAAGGTCCAAGGGTCCTAGAATACAATGTTAGATTTGGTGACCCAGAGACTCAAAGTGTTTTGCCATTATTAACAGAAGATACTGATCTTGCTGAAGTCTTCCTTGCCGCAGCTGAACATCGTTTGGATTCTGTTGAAATTAAAACTAAATCGGACTGTTTTGCTACCACAGTTGTTCTATCTGCTGGTGGCTATCCAGAATCATACAAGAAGGGTGATATTATCACTATAGATGAAAAGAAGTTACCATTTGACTCTTATGTATTCCATGCTGGTACTGCTCTTGACGCTCAAGGTAACTTAATTACCAACGGTGGTAGAGTAATCGCTGCTTCTGCAGTTTCTGATACATTAAAAGGTGCTGTAGATAAAGCTTATGAAGCTGTAGAAGGTATTCAATTTGAAGGTAGATATTTCAGAAAAGACATTGCTCATAGAGCTTTCAGAGACACTGAAAATAAGAGTCAAGGTATAACTTACGCCGATGCTGGTGTGTCGGTCGATAATGGTAATCTATTTGTTGAAAAGATTAAAAATATGGTAAAATCGACCAGAAGACCAGGTGCAGATTCCGACATCGGTGGTTTCGGTGGTATCTTTGACTTAAAGCAAGCTGGTTACAACACTGATGATACCCTTTTAATTGGTGCCACCGATGGTGTTGGTACTAAATTGATTATTGCACAAGAGACCAATATTCATGATACTGTTGGGATTGATCTTGTCGCTATGAATGTCAATGATCTTGTGGTCCAAGGTGCAGAGCCATTATTTTTCCTAGATTATTTTGCTACAGGAGCTCTAGATATAAAAATTGCTGCCGATTTTGTCTCTGGTGTTGCTGAAGGCTGTATACAAAGTGGTTGTGCTTTAGTGGGTGGTGAGACTTCTGAGATGCCCGGTATGTACCCACCAGGTCACTATGATACCAACGGTACTGCAGTTGGTGCAGTACAAAAGGACAGTGTTTTGCCTATGACCAACTTAATGAAAGAAGGTGATGTTCTACTAGGCCTTGCCTCTGATGGTGTTCATTCCAATGGGTTCTCTTTGGTTAGAAAGGTTATTAGTCATGTGGGTATCAGCTGGTCAGAACAATGTCCATGGGAACCATCCAAGACTTTAGGTGAGGCAATTTTAACACCAACCAGAATATATGTCAAGCAACTTTTACCATCAATTAGAGAAAAACTGATTCTAGGTTTAGCCCACATCACAGGTGGCGGTCTCGTTGAGAACATACCTCGTGCTCTTCCAAAACACTTGCAAGCTCAGGTAGATATGTCTAACTGGTCTGTTCCTGAAGTTTTCAAATGGTTTGGTAAAGCTGGTAATATCCCTGTAGATGACATATTGAAAACCTTTAACATGGGTATCGGTATGGTGATAATAGTCGATAAAGCCAATGTTGCAAGAGTGAAGGAGCTATTGGAACAAGCTAATGAAACCGTTTACGAGATTGGTTCTCTGGTTAACCGTCTAGAAGGTCAACCAGGTTGTGTTGTAAACAATGCCAGCAACCTATACTAAATGTATATGTGTTTCAAATGATCTTTTTTTCCATAGTGCACCAAATATTAAGTCAATTAAGAGAATAAACTACAAATTTGTACAAAATCTGTAAGAATAATAATATAGAAGTTAATGAAAATTTCGGACACTTAATATGTATGAAATATTCCAATATTGACAAACTACAATTTGATTATTATATAACTATATTTTTGTACGGTGCTCGATACGGCTCTATGGCCGAGCTAATCAGGGACATCAATCAAGAACAATGACTGCTAGTAGTGATTAGACCATATATATTGTTCACTTCGCTCAAGTGCTTTTAAGGTCTGCGTTATAACCATCTTATCTACATAATTGGTCTCCATAACACTATTTAGAATTACTTTTAAGCTGGTGAGGTTATTTAGAAAAGAAACAGCGAGAGTTGCTGAACAAATAGGGTACAATCCAAAATCATTCCATCACATTGGTAAAAACAATTGTAATATTTTAATTGGAACTATTCTATTTTTATAGTAATGGATCAAGAGACGAAGAAGGTCATATCTAAGGACTTCCAAGATGTCTTGCTTGATACTTCGACAGTTGTTGTGTCCTCTGTTTTCGATCAAGAGAACAAAATAGTGGGTGGTGAAAATGCCAAAGGGGTTGATATCATAGACTCGACGCTTGATATTGACCAAAGAGCTATAGATAAATGGATTCCATATTTGAGGGAGTACACAGAAAATGATCAATTGAATACAGTTATCACGGAACTGGAGAACTCGATTGATGATAACTTTCAAGGGCTGGAATTACAACTCTTACAAGACTCGCAATTAAATGATAAACTCGAAACTTCAATGGATGAAATTGCAGAGATACAATCAATGGTTGAACTGTCATTGTCTCGAGATATTGATGAGTTCCAAAAGAATCTTACATCTTCAACAAACGAATTGATAAGGCAAAAACAAACTTACCTTAACTCCAAGAAAACCTCTCTCAAAATTTCGGAAGCTATTATACTTATAAATAAAGTCCTACGCTTATTAGAACTGTCAAATAAATGTCAGGAACTTATAACAGAAGGTAACTTTTTTAAGGCTTTGCAGAATCTCGACAGTTTGGAAAAACTTTACTTACAAGAGTTCAGAGATTACAATTTCAAATTATTAAAGGAGATTTATGTTTCTATACCATACTTAAAATCAGTGACAAAAGATGAATGTATCAATTTGATAAAGAACTCGCTGAACTCTAACCTAGGAAAGAATTTAAATGTAGTTGGACAAACCTTCTATCTAATATACAAAGATGAATTGCTTTCCAAGTGGTTAAATACAAGAGAAATTATGAAATTAAAGAGAGTGAAATTCAACTCGCCTATTGAAATTTCAATGAGAGATGAAGAAAACTTAAGAAAATTAGAACTCGAGCAATTTTTTAACTTGGATGCCTTCCATGATTCATTGATGATATTTGAGACACTGAATGAAACTGATTACTTAGTCGAAGAGTTTAACAAAGAATATGAATTCAAGAAATCTAAAACAATTCAACCACTGCCTTGGAAGACTTCTGGTAACACTGTTTCCGTTAATAGCACAGCTCATGATGAATTTAAAGAGTCATTATCTGTACCCTTCTTGAAGGAGTATTTACTTAATATTCTTGGGTTTCTGTTATATGATATAAACCTGAATAGGCTGACGGATTACATCTTTGTTAATAACAACTACAATGCTACTAATGAGTTTTGGGAAATGTTAATGATGAGACTAAAGCCGTATTTTAAATACTTTATGGACACAGTATTAAAGACAGAGAAAGATATCATTGAGTTCAAAGACTTTTTGGGTATTTATGTATGCATTATGGAGAATTACAAACTCAATATCGATCCACTGTATTCCGTAATGCTAGCTTTATTCGAAAAGTATTGTAAAACGACATTAGAATTGTTTGACAAAGATTTCCAAGTAATGCTAAGTGATGATGACTTCATGCCTCTAACTATAGATAATAAAGGCTTTTACGAAAAGGTCATTAAGATATGTTGGATGAAGGAAAATCATCAGATTATTGATGATATGGATGATGAAAACTTTTCCGTAACACTCCCTTTTTCTCCACTTTATCCAATGACATGTACAATGACTCAAAAAGTGTATGCCAAATTGACATCTTTCATCTCTAGTTTTTATAGGCATAGCCTGCATTCGTTGAACAATATCCTTGTGAACACCATAGATGGTATTCTAGATGGAGTTGTCAACAAACAGATTAGAGCCAAATTGGAAACGACGTCAAGGGAAGAGATCGCTCAGCTCCTTATCAACTTGGACTATTTTGTAATTGCTTCTAAGGAGTTTAGTAATTTGATGACAAAGGATAATATTTTAGAGAACCCTGATGTTGAAATACGATTGGCTTCAACGAAGAATTTTGCTGAGAGTAGGAAATATGCGGAATCTAAATTGATAGATTTGATCGATACAAAAATAAAGGACATTCTGGAGACAGTTTCATTTGATTGGTTGGATACTGATAGAAGAATTGATCCTGATATTTCCATTGTTGATTTAGCTCAATTTCTAGAAATGATGTTTGCAACTACATTGGTAAATCTACCATATAGTGTGCAAATTTTACTGATTTTCAGGGAATTTGATTCGCTAACAAGACACTTCTTAGATGTCCTTTTGCATGATACCCCTCAATACATTTCGAAAGAAAGTGTAGGTAATTTTGAGGTTGATATGATGTACTTAGAAGGAATCATTCCAAAAATTTTTCCAAGGACTGATGAGAATGAGAATGGAAGACTGGGTAGTCAGACACCAAAGACACCTACCATTGATGACGAAAGTAGGTCTCAATCTAACTCACAAATTGATAACAATATCAAATCATTAGAATCCACTTTTATGGAATTGAAACAATGTATTCAGTTACTTCAGTCAGAAGATCCAAATGAATATCTAGATCCACAAATGAGATCACGGAAATACTCTAGAATTAAGCCGGATGATGCTAATATCTTAATAGGGAAGATTAGGCCAATTACGGCACCAGCACCTACAAATGAGGCGGAAAACTCCAGTGTTTTCAATCTAGATTGGAATGGATCTGATAGCAATAATGGCAATAATAGACTGGCGAAGTTTTTTAATAGACGGTGAGCATGTTAAGATTTGACATTTTGCAAAGATTTAAGTAAACGTTATATACATTTTGGCATTAAGCCAGCATTCAGATCAATTAAGTAGCATAAGGTAATATAGTCTTTATTGGTCTTGAATATGCTGATTATGTTTAGTCACTGTTATTCTTGTGTTTTACTGCTTCACAAATCGCTATACACACAAGACATGGAAATTTTTCTAAAAACCTAAATTTCAAAATATAGTCAATTGATGCGATGAGCTTGAAAAAACACTTGGATATTAATTTTACATTTTACATATGGTGCTTAAACTGCTACTTCTTCAAAAATAAGGATAGAACTAGGCTAATATATAATGGGTACTAAAAGAGGTAACGATGGTTCAAGTCAAAACAGGAAGATCAAGAAATTTAAGATAGCAACAGGGTTTCTCGATCCTGGTACATCCGGTATATATGCTACTTGTACCAGGAGAAAAGAAAAGGCTGCGATTTCAGAAATGGGAATATTACTTGAGGAGAAGATAGAAGAACTATATGGTGAATCAGAAGTAGCCGATTCAGATGTTGATGAGGCAGGCTCGATAGAAGATGAAGTTGCTAAAGAACTTGCACAGTTGAAGAAGAACAAAGATGACCAAGACAAGAAACAATTATTGAAGGCGATCGATTTGCAATGTGAGTGTGTTGTATTCTTTAAGACTAGAAAACCTGTTAATCCCACAACGCTAGTTAAAGCAATTATTGATGACTTCAGTAACCCCGAGAGTAAAGTGAAAAGGACAAGGTATATTCAAAAACTAACACCAATTACGTATTCTTGTAATGCCACCAAGGAACAATTTCAAAAACTTATTGATCAAGTAGTTGAGCCCGCGTTTAAATCCGATCAGTCTTACAAATTTGCTGTTGAAGTTACGAGGAGGAACTTTAATACGATGGAGCGAATGGATATTATTAACACAGTAGTAAGTACTGTTATGAAACACGGACATCATAAAGTAGACCTTAAAAACTATGACAAGGTTATAATGGTTGAATGCTTTAAGAATAATATTGGGATGTCTGTTCTTGACAATGACTACTCCAAGAAGCACAAGAAATACAACCTACAACAAATATACGAAGCTAAATTCAAGGATGAGGAAAAATAAAGATGATGGAACTGTTTCCTCTTATTCTTCTTTTGATGTTCTGTTTCTTTCCATTTAAATATCTTGTTATATTATTTTGTTTCTAATGATATTTGTTCACTAATGCATACAAATTTATCTGTTTAATATAAATTTTAAAAGGCTTTTATATATGTGATGTGAACTAAATTTACAGGTGGTAAGGATGGTGACTGGGAATTTATTTCTAATTTGTTTCAGAAAGAGAAGACACGAATGCCTTTGTTATAGTCAGTAATCTTTTCCCATGCCATCCAGTCACTTGTCTTGTTAGGTATCAAACCCATATCATTCAATTTCTTCAAACCGATGAACATCAAAACACCTTGGAAAGCAACGTAAAGTATCATCATAAGATATATCTGATTTTGAGACTTAGGGTTTCCCAAAACAGGTTTGAAAGTTTCTCTTATTGTAAATATTGATTTGACAGGGCCAGAAAGTAGCATCAAAGCAGTCATTATAGGGATTATTTGTAATGATGTACCAGACATGTAAGACATGAAGAAATTCATTGGAATAGATTTGGCTGGTTGCAATGCTATTTCCCAAGCTTTTTGAACTTGAAGGTTGGCTATATCGGGCTTATTCACCTGCTTGTTGGAGGTATTCTTCTTATCCCTTACTGATCCACTAAGACCTTGGTAGCCTTGAGGTGAAGGTGTATTTACCGTGGACTGTTGCCATTCCTTAACAATTTGTGGATTGAGTAAGTTCTCAACCCACTCCTCTGTATTCGCACTTACCATAATGTCTTTCTGAGTTGTGATACGTGGGCTTTGTATGGCTTGGTTCAACTAAGACAAAATAAAGTAATTTATTGTATCAGTATGATTATCAATGGTAAGGGTTTCCGATTGTAATCTAGCTCTTGATGATATTCACAGTTGCTCGCACGGTTGATCATTTGTAAACTCGGGTTATTGACTGTTTCCTGTATGTTCACGTAGAAAAAGCCCTACGACAAATGGCAATAAAATGGGACCAGAATGGATGATTTTTAATTTCAGCTTATTACTCTTACAAAAGTGCTTCTAGAATGCAGAATACTATGAATTCAATAAATAGTAATGCAATGAGCAAATCTAATATCCTTGCAAATTTTCTTGTGTGAGTGAAATTTTCTGCACCGCCCATCACGCATAAGACACAATTTGATTTCAATTCAGGGTTATCACAAATATTTGTATCATGCATCTATGACACCAGATTTATTTACATAACTGTTTTGACATTGAAGTAATTTATATTAATCTAAACTGTAGGTTTACTCAAGCGTATAACAACACACACTTCAAAGCTAAGATGACGTCAAGGTAAGGCTAGGAAAATTAAGGTGAAATTTCCTAAATTGGCCTTTCATTAAAGAATCAAGGAATATTAAGAAATTACGCGGAGCCAGTATCTTATATACAACACATATTGCATACCCGAAACAACCATCTGAAGATATATCTTTGTGAATGAATGGGTCGAATAATATATATGACAAATAAACTGCCTCTAAGCAAAACATGTGACTTGTATTGTTAAACGACAGTGGTAAGTCGCACTCGCGATTTCTGAAAAATTTTCGTTTTCGCACAGCGAATTGAAACTTTTTTTCTGGCTGAATTCATTGCAAAGCTCATCGCGATGAGCTGACAATTTTTGATCCAAGCTAGCTATACAATGGGTGGGATTGTTGTGGAATGCGGCGTACAATTGGTATATGTCTTAAGCGTCTTTGTAAATATTCAAGGTATCCTTCATACGATATTAAGCGGTACTTCTTTTTTTTTCTTCGAGAAGGAAAGGAAAACGGTAAATAATACGATATAACACAAAGAAAAATGGCTGAGAACCAAGCTAGACGCAACTCCTATGGAAACATTGATTTCACAGAAGAGGTCTCCAAGCAATGCTTGAAACAAGTTGAATTTTACTTCTCTGAGTCTAACTTCCCATATGACAAGTTTTTGCGCACTACAGCTGAGAAGAACGATGGATGGGTTCCAATTACTACCATCGCTACCTTCAACCGTATGAAGAAGTTCAGACCAGTTGATAAGGTTGTTGAGGTGTTACGTACAAGTGAAATACTAGAAGTTTCAGAGAATGGTGAAAATGTAAAGAGACGTGTGCCATTGGTATGGAACAGAAACGACGAGAAATTCAAAGAGGCCAAGTTAGAACAGAACAAGAGGACACTTGTTGTTATGAACTTCCCTCATGACGAAGAGGCTGGTCAAGCTCAGGAGAAGAAAGAAGGTGAAGAAGAGAAGGAGGATAAGGATCTACAAGTTGAGATCGAAGAATTCTTCAGAAAACTGGCTCAAGTCAACCAAGTTAGATTGAGAAGAGATCACAAGAAGAACTTTCGTGGTACCGTTTTCGTGGAATTCAAGAACTACGATGAATGTAAGAAATTTGAAGATGAATACTCTGCTGGTAGCAAAGATGACAAAGAAGGTGGAGAGATTTTGTCCTTCAAGGGTAAGAGACTGAATATTCTGACTAAGAAACAATACGACATGCAAAGAGAGGCCACTAGATCCAAAAACTTCAGTGGCTCTGGTCAGAGATCTAGATCCTTCACTGGACACAGAAAAAACATGCCAAAGCCATCAAAGAAGAAAGATCAAGATTCTGAAAACTCTTCTGCCATCGCTGAAGAGTGATGTAACACGTACAGACGACCATATAATACTGTAAAATAATACAAAAATATAATTTAACTAAATTTACAGACAAAAAAAAGATAACATAGCATTTTAAAATCACGATCATTGATGGTTACAAAAATAATAATTTCAATTACAGTTCGATATAATAATACATAAATAGAACTGTTATAAATCATTAAAAAAAGTAAGTACTAGACAAGTGATAAAATTGCAAAAAGGAACACACAATCTTCGTCGTGGTAAAGGTATCATGAGGCATATATAGACTTTGGATCTGTTTCTGTGTAAGGTTGGTTTTGGAAGACTAGCATATAGACGCTTAGCAACTAATAAAGTATTTTGTTATCTCGTAAACCTCTTATCTTTGAATACAGTTGTGATGCATAGTGAATGTTTAAATTTTTTTCATTTTTTAATTTAACATGTTTTTAGGAATAGTACAACCCTTGGAATTAGAAGTAAAAGTGTGAAATCACAAGCATGGCATAGTGTGGTAGAATATTATCAAATAAAAGAATACATCATAAATCATAGTCAGTATGAGTCACAATTGGCAAACGCCGTAAAGTTGGTGGAAAGCTGAAAATTGTAACAAAGACAGCAAAAGAAAAGATCAGTAAGTAGAGTGAATATACTATTAACTTGTTTGCCTTCTTTTCCTTAGTTTGTCCATGTTAAGTTTCCTTGTGGTGAAAGACTGTCTCTTCTTCGGGTCGTACCAGCCACCATTATCTGAAGGAAATGGCGCGGGAGGGGCATAGTTATAGTCGGAAGAGATGTAGTAAGACCAGCCTGGTGTCAAAGTGGTGTGTTGCACAGGTGTTGCAGTTAGAGAAGTAAAGAAAGACACTGCACTGGTGGCGTACCTTCTGGACCAAGTGGTAGCAGTAATCTTAGTTCCGGGCTGCGTTTGCATTGGCGCAAATTTAGCCTTTCCGTTCTGTTCCCCGTAAGGTATGTCGAAACTCTTTGAATCGATGGTGGCACCAAGGTCACCGGTGGTGACACGGGTTTCAGGAGTCGGTGGTGCAGTTATTAGCAATGTGTCCGGCAGTTTACTGCCGGTCATACCAGTCAGTTTAAACCTCGGGGAGTAGTGTATCGTGTAACCGTCCGTGGTAGCAGCGTATATCTGTACATAGTAGTAACCGTTGGCACCGACACTCTGCGACACTTCAGCTTCGAAGTCCGTAGTGCCTATGTCCGACAGCTTCCCAATCACTTTGAAAGCCTCAATCTTGTAGTTGGGACCCGAGCAAAGCGAAAATGTCAGCGACGTGAAATCATCCTGCGAAGGCGTGTTGGGCGTGAACAGCCATTGTATAGGTATCTTTGCAGTACCTCCAGAAGCATCAAAGGATTGGTCCAGTGACGGACCCACAACAGCTATATCAGCAGCGACTAGCTGCATCAACAGCAATATTATCGAGAGCATTTGATTGGTATTATATTTTTCAGTTTTAGTTTAGTTTTGTAATCGGCGAGGGCTAATTGATTATTTGTCTCATATACGTTTCAAATTCCTAATACGCGTGCTCTAATCCCCCCATCCCATTTATATACAATTCTCAATCCCCGTCTCGAGGTTCACTTTGGCTCATTTTTTGTTTTCGGTTTTGCACTTACAGGCCCATTCATCGTCCAAACCCCCCACACTCTACGCACCTTTCTGTGGAAATAAATATTACTTTTTTTCAACATTGCGAGTTGTCACCAAACAATGAAACGATATCGCAATTTTTAATTTTTTTTCATTTTGTTCAGCTATGCTCCCAGATAGCAAAATGCTCTTTCTGCGCATTATTCCACATTGCGACGTTGGTCATCAGATGTGTCTCTCCTCAAAACTCTGTTTAGAAATATGTTTTTTGTGCATGGTTATCTGTGTGCTGCTTCCCGTTCTCTCCTAATATATTTGTGCTGCCTATATGGCTATGTGACATTGGAAAATTTTCTTACACAGAATGGCCAGCACAAATGCGTACATGCTCATCAGAGCTTGATACGCAGTGGGAACCTGGATATCTTCACTCTTAGATAACAGATTTGTCGTAAATCACATGCGAGAGTTAAAATACCGTGCGGAGGAGGCAGTCCAGTACGAAGTCCGTACTAAACTCTTGAAACATATCATAACAGTTCCTCGTACAAGCGTTCGTACAGCCATGTTTGCGATACTTCGTTTGTTCTGCGGTTTGTTCTGCGGTTTCTTCGACGTCAAACAGGATTTACATTCCTGTGATTCTTAAACCAAAAAAACTGCTAAAAATACTGATACTCTTTTGTGCGCGTTCCGTAAGGGGAAATATTAATTGCATGGGTCTGCACTCAACAAGGACGAAAAGGGTCGTCTGAAGATACGTCAACCTTTGGAACTATCTGGGGAGAGGCCGTGTTACGTAACCTTTCACGTTGGCAGTGTTAGGATGAGATCATGTGACTGAAAAATTATTGCCTGCGCTGAGGGAAGAAAAAAAAAAATTTGCGATGAGCTATATAATAGGTAGTATTGGTTAGGTATACAAAAGACAAGGAAGAAGAGCCGGAAACAATACGCACAAGATGAAGCTGGATACCTCGCATATGCGGTACTTGACCGCGGATGATTTCAAAGTGCTGCAGGCCGTTGAGCAAGGGTCGCGGAACCACGAGATTGTTCCTACGCAGCTGATCCACCAAATCTCGAAGATGCGTTCCATATCCGGTACCAACAGGTCTATCAGTGATCTGGCGAAACTGAAGCTGATCTCGAAAGTGCGTAATGCGAAGTATGACGGTTACAGACTGACTTACAACGGTATCGACTACCTGGCGCTGAGGACGCTGCTTAATCAGGAAGTGGTGTACAGTGTGGGTAACACCATCGGTGTCGGTAAGGAGTCCGATATCTACCAGGTGAGTGATAGAAACGGTACCGCAAAAGTTATGAAAATACACAGACTGGGTAGAACCTCGTTTCATACAGTGAAAAACAACAGAGACTACCTGAGAAACAGCAGGCAAGGTACAAACTGGATGCACCTCTCTAAGTTGGCCGCTAGTAAAGAATTTGAGTTTATGTCTATGCTTTACGCTAAGGGCTTCATTGTCCCACAGGCGTATGGTTGTTCTAGACATGTGGTGGTCATGGATTTAATCGATGGTTATCCGATGAGAAGACTAAGAGAACATAAAAATATTCCAAAGCTGTACAGCGACCTAATGACGTTCATTGTCAAGCTGGCAAATAGCGGGTTAATTCATTGTGATTTCAACGAGTTCAACATTATGATCAAAAACGATGAAGCCGTCACAGATGAAAAGGACTGTGGCTTTGTAGTTATTGATTTCCCACAATGTATTTCCATACAGCATAAGGACGCTGAGTTCTATTTCAAAAGAGATGTTGACTGTATAAGAAGGTTTTTCAAGAAGAAATTAAAGTATGATCCACAGCCTGAAGCTGGTATGTTGGATACCGACGGTTTCGGTGAAGGATACAAATATGCATACCCAGATTTCAACCGTGATGTCAAGAGAACTGATAATCTAGATGAACTAATGCAAGCATCAGGATACAGTAAAAAACACCCCGGTGATAGATACCTAGAAGAAGCTGTTGAGAGCATGAGAAATGCGGAATACAACTCCGATGATGATATTGATGTAGCAGAAGATCGGAGTGAGGAAGAAAGTGATTCGGATTATGACTATTATTATACAGAAGAGGATGAAGAGAGTGGTGAAGATAGTGATGGAGATAGTGAGGAAGAAGAAAATGAACGAATTATTGAAGCTTTGTCCTCAGGAGTTGGCAACTTAAAAATGGACAAGTTGGGTAATTATATACTGGAAGATTAAGCTATCTTAGGTGTATGATTATTAGTTACTAATTATCTATAAATAGTATTATTACATTGCATATTAAAATTGTCATTTTCATAATTTCTAACATTCTAAATTAAGGTCTGTCTAATGGTAAAATTTTTTGCAAATATTGCGAAGTAATTTGTCTTAGCTAAATTGATAATGTGCAATACTAGTCATATTCAACGCCAGAGCCTTCCTCGTCGTCTTCATTGTCTTCAAGCTCTATAGGAATATCAAAGCTTGGTGTTTCAATAGGAAAATCGAATAAACCAGCATTTGAACTGTTCTTATTTATCGGGGTTGTTTTAGATATAAGTTGATTTACAGCAGGATTTGCTTGTTCTTGAATTATTTCATCCTCCTCAAAATCTTCTTCTGCATAGTCTCCACCATCAGCTTCTTCGTCTTCTTCATTCTCCTCTTCGTTGTCTTCCTCTTCTACCTCACTTCCGTCGGACAAGTCGCTATTGTCCTCGAAATTTCCGTCAGCTTCTTCATCATCTTCTGAGTCAAAGGGTATCTCGTTAATGTTGCCTTCTGTCTCCATTTGTTTAGTTGCCTCTTGTAAAGCGCTTGGTTGATCGGATGTATTGTTCTGCTGTTTGTTTTTGTTCGCAGTTTTAGCCTTTAATTCTTCGCTCATCGATTCATCCTTAACTTGTTTCAATTTAACGTAGTCATCAATTTTAGAGTATTCAGTTTGATCAATCATCGAGAATTCAAATTTTGTACCATAACCATCGTCAACCTTTTTTATTAGAGTAACATTAAAAGTCAATCTTGTTATTGAAGAGTACGATATAGATTCAATGTTTGAAGATTCGAATACTAAAATAGGTTTCTTAAAACCAAAAATTATTATTTCTGGCAAAAAATAGAGAGTACCTTCCTTGGTACCCCTATGGCACTCTACATGGAATGATGGTACAGGCTGCTCTACCGATGGGTTGAAGGGATTGGCAATTTTGAATCCTGTTAAAATAGCTTGCTTTCTGATATATTCAGTGCACTTGTTGAAGTCATCTACTTCTTGCCCTATTAATCCCATACTTTTAAACTCAGTTAATACATTTTCTTTGTTCATGGTTAGTAAAATTGGATCTTGGTCCTTGTCGTTGACCTTCTTTAATTGAACGAAAAGATATAGCAAATTTGGCTTTTCAGGTACAGGTAAAAATGTACCCATCTTCACATTGTCTTTTAAATTAGAAATTGAAAACTCTGATACACCATTTTTGACTAAGGATAATTGTGGTTTATGATCAATGCTCGACAAATGTAAAACTAGGTCCAACTTCTTCCTAATTGGCGATAGTACAGAGACGTTTTTCAAAGAGAATATGATATTTTGTTCATCGATAACTCCATTGCTAGTCACCTTCCGTTTTTTCTCTATATTATCACTGTGACTCAGACCATAATTGTATAATTCCTGAAACACCTCCAATGAGCTCGGCAGTGCCCTCGTGATGTTCCTTATTTTGTTCTGAAGCTCTTTAGGAAGCTCATTTAGAAAATCGAAGCTGCTCATTATAATGCACACGTCTATTCAGATATCAACCTTGATGTAGTATCTCGTTCTGACTGCAATATCAATTCCAAACAATAGAATGCACACTAGTTTTATTATTCTAATTACTCGAATCATTTCTGCGATGGGCGATAGTCGTGTTTTTTAAATAGCACTGCATACGTATATAAGATGTATAGTGTCACAGCTATGCGATGAGCTAAGCTAGACACCGATAAGATGCTACTAAGCTGAGTTGTACAGATAAGAGGAATTGTTCTTTAACTGTCTCTCAACCTTAGCAAATATAGTTGAAGTAAGACATAAAAATGAATGGCAATTTATGCCATAATTGAAAGTATGGGCCTAAATAAACCAGACCAAAATTGGTGGTCATGATTGTGTGAGTGTTGGGAGGTGCCTCTTCTGTATATGCATTTCATTATTCAAGAAGTATAGTTAACATACTCATCCATTTGAGAGATCAGTTTCGTAAAGGGAATATGAATGGCTGTTGTAAGAGCTTCGGGAGAAGATAAACTCCGAAGATCACTTTTGTCTTACTGTGTTAATCTTTAAAGGGAGTGATGAGGTTATGTTGACTATTGGAGTAACAACATTGACAATACAATATATAACACTGGAAGACTGACGACTATATATATAATGGCAGCAAGCTCGTTATAAGTTTAAATTATGAATTGGGAGTTTGAGGAGACTTGCGAAACCTATACTAGCTCAACAAAAAAAGAGAATTTGAGATGGTGAACACACTAGACAAGACATTCCTTGAAAAAAGTTCATGGAAGCCTGATTTATTCAAGGGGAAAGTGGGATTTGTGACTGGCGGTGCTGGGACTATCTGTCGAGTACAAGTTGAAGCATTGGTCTTGCTTGGCTGTAAAGTAGCCATCATTGGCCGTGATCACGAGAAAACAGAGAGAGTTGCCAAAGAGATATCTAGTTTGGTTGACAACCCTGATGCTGTATTGCCTATTTCCAAAGTTGATGTAAGAGAGGTTAAACAGTTAGAAAGTGCAGTAAAGAGGACAGTTGACAGGTATGGGAGGATTGATTATGTTATTGCAGGGGCAGCCGGAAACTTCATATGCGATTTTAATCACTTGTCGGCAAATGCATTCAAATCTGTTGTTAGTATCGATTTGTTAGGAAGTTTTAATACTGCAAAGGCTACTATGCCAGAACTTATCAAAAGTAGAGGTTCGATTTTATTCGTATCCGCAACGTTCCATTATTACGGGGTACCATTCCAATCGCACGTAGGAGCAGCGAAGGCGGGTATTGATGCTCTCTCTAATGCTTTAGCAGTAGAAATGGGTCCATTTGGTGTGAGATCAAATTGTATAGCACCAGGGGCAATCCAAGGTACAGAAGGTTTCGATAGACTAATTGGTGACGCCAGTAAGAAGAAAACTACTAGTAAAATTCCATTGCAAAGGTTAGGAACAACCGAAGATATTGCCCAGGCAACAGTATACTTATTCTCTCCAGCAGCTTCATATGTCAGCGGTACAATTCAAATTGTTGACGGAGCGATGTGGCACATAGGAACTCATTTTGCACATGAATTATACCCTGACCTTCTATTTAAAGATCCAAAGGCCAAGTTATGACTAGTAGATATGTTATATAGCTCTTTTATATATTCTGCAGGTAAATGTACTACAATTTCATTTATGCTCACAATAAGATTTTGAACATTAGTTTGTCGGTTATGTTTGATATTGTTAATGGTCGCCGATATATTTTTTGCATTTGTCTGTTATATTAACAAATTAAGCCTGGGTAAATGTATAACATCCAGCTGAATCAGACTACTGCACTTAATTTTGGCTGACCATTACCTGATCAACAATTGCTCATTGTTATATTTTGCTTGCGATGAGTTGACATTGCACAACTTTTAAGTTTCGCGTTTTGAAAAAAAAAAAAAATAATAATAATAATACATATAATGATACACGCTTTCTGTATCCCGTCCGTTTCTACTATTGAATTATTAGCATTTTAGCACCAGCCATAACAACAATTGTGTCTTACTTTCACTTTCAGATAGTACTAAGCTTATTCGGAATTGCAGTTGTCAGCTCATAATAATATTCGTGGGAATATCAACCATTAGCAGACTATTGAAGGGGACAACTGACATCAGTTCTAGAGGTCATTAAACTAGTATAAAATGGGTATTCAAGGATTACTCCCACAATTGAAACCTATACAGAACCCCGTTTCGTTGAGGAGGTATGAAGGGCAGACATTGGGTATTGATGGATACGCATGGTTGCATCGCGCTTCGTGCTCATGTGCCTACGAATTGGCTATGGGGCTGCCGACAGAGAAATACTTGAAGTTTTTCATAAAGAGATTTAATATGTTAAAATCATTTGGCGTAACACCATATTTGGTATTTGATGGTGATTCTATAAATGTGAAGCAGGAAACGAACAAAAAGAGACGAGAGAAGAGGCAGGAGAATAGAGAAATAGCTATGCGCTTATGGCAGTCTGGGAACAAGCGAAATGCAATGGATTACTTTCAGAAATGTGTTGATGTAACGCCAGAAATGGTCAAATGTGTGATAGATTATTGTAAAAACAATGGTATAAAATATATTGTCGCCCCATTTGAAGCTGATCCACAGATGGTATATTTAGAGAAAAAAGGATTGATTCAAGGAATAATTGCAGAAGACTCAGATCTATTGGTTTTTGGATGTCGACGGTTGGTTACCAAGTTAAACGATTTTGGTGAGTGTATTGAAATTTGTAGAGACAGTTTTGGCCAATTGACATCCAAATTCCCCATTGGACAACTATCTAATGAAGAAATAAGAATGATGGTATGTCTTTCAGGTTGTGATTATACCAATGGTATTCCCAGGATTGGTCTTATTAAAGCTATAAAATTGGTTATGACACATCGAAATATGGATAGAATTCTGATGTCATTGCAAACAGAAGGGAAATTTTCTGTACCTGAGAATTTCTATGATGAATATCGATATGCTGATTATTCTTTTCAGTTTCAAAGAGTGTTCTGTCCATTGAGCAAACAAATTGTATCTTTGACTGAGATACCAATGGGACTTCAGTCTGATAAAATACTTCACAGCTGCATTGGCAAGGCAATATGTAGGTTGGATGGTACTAAGAGATATTGTTTAAATGATGAAATAGACCACGAAATCCATGGTTACCTGGCTAGGGGTGACCTCAATCCATATGACTTCACTAAGAGGCTTGTTAATAGGGAGCATAAACTACAATTACAATCCAAGTCCGATATGAGCATCACTTATGATCCGAGTAACGAACAAAAGTCTAGGAAGGTGCTTTCTATTGACACTTTTTTCAGTAGTGTTCCAGAAATTAAAGGGCAAGGTACAAGCTCAAATAAACAACCAGTTTATGAGGATTTTGTTGAAAAGAAATACACACAATTAATATCTAACAGAAAATTGGGTAGGAAGAGTGATTGCAATAATAAAGTAACTAGTAAATTTTTCACATCTAATCAAGAGTCAAATAGCAGAACTGCAGGGCTAAATGGATGTAACTTGAACTCGATCGAACAAGCCACAGAAAAAATAATTATATCAGATAACGAAAGTGAAACAGATTTGCCTGAATCCGAATTACCGACTCAAGTGGAAGCGCAAAATACTCCGACCGAATTTTCCTTGTCAATTGCAAGCAGTCAAAGTAAAAGCACATCTGATGGCTTTAATTCATTTGAGGTGACTAGTCAAAGAGATGAAATCGGAAATACTAGTGAGGAACATGAAGATATATCAGAGCTTATTGACCTCTCAGATAATAATGATGTTGACAATTCCACAAATTTGGTATCAGGTTTGAGAAATATCAAAACAGAAAATTCAATCCCTTCACTGAAATTAGAAAATGTAAGACGAGCCAACCCTCATAAATTTGATCTCTCAATAAGCTCATATGAAATAAAGAAACCTAAGACTGAAATTTTAAAACCTTCAAGGGTATTAAAGCCACGTAATGTGAACCAGAAACCAAGTTCTGGTATTATTCCTAATATTATTGGTGACAAGCATTCAAGAGACAGACTGAAAAGAGATGTTGGTAAACAGAGAGTTTTGGCCTCAAAAGCAAAGGCATTACAAACTGAAACCAGCACTAGAAAAACTGGAAACAAGTTGCTACAGCAATATGTTTATAATCCCTCAAAATAATAATGACAAATCCACTTATGATTTCATATATGTTGTTAACTAAAACTTTTAGAACTACATATAACCAGTCTGCATCATTTACTTAGATATAGTTTCTATATTTTTGCAACGCACATATATTGTATGTCACTCAGTGGTGTAGATCGTAAGCTATTATACATCATTGGCATATGGTTGTAATGCGCTTGATATTTTTTATGATATTACTTTTGTACAATTTATTTGCTAATTTCATAAATGTGTTTATCCATTCCAGTTTGCTTAAGAACTGTAGAATATAAGCGCCTAGTAAGTATAGCTTCGAACAATATAAACTGCACTAAAGATTGGCCAGGTTAAGATGATCGGTTGAAACAGAGAATAAATAAAATTATTTCTTAGTAATCAAAAATATCTTGAAATATATCCAACTTTAGTTCTTAATTTCTATTTCATGTGAAATCTAACCGGTTATGAACGGGGATTGCGTTGCTGCCCCGGTGCAAGAAATGAGATATGCACTAATTCTACTATATTATTCCTATTTGTACATGGATTCGTGTAGTTACTTTGCTACGTATTTTTCTAAGCGATAGCATTTATCCCGAGAGGAAAGTCACTGTGTAATTTTAGTTAAACTGAGCTAGTAACTATTAAGTACTTCTTGATTTTATCGAATAGCCATGTAACATATCTAGGCACTGTTAGCCAGCTATCTTATCATGTTGGTTACTTTGCATGAAAATATACTGGGATGAATTAGTGCCGACTATCAAAATATGTTTTACTATCTCGTATTTTGTAAAGTAGAAGTATTGTTATATTTTTAATGAGTATAAGACCGAGATTTTGGAGAGGGGTTACTTCATACTAAGTGGTTTGGCTTACTTCCTATTTATTGTTTGATGTATATTTGCTTATTAATTCCAGCATTTGTTTTTGGTAAATCAACGGAGAAGAAAATCTTTGAGAAGAAAAAGAAAAAGGGTTGAGAGAAGAATGAATACAACCGGAAGCTCATGATATAGCATATTCTGCGCGGTCTTGGAGCAGGTCATGGAGCAAATGTCAATATAGCATACAGAAATTTTTACAGGAAATAATTCATGCAGCAAAAGCAAGGTTCTTTTCAGGATCGGTATGGACGTTTGGAAAGTCGGGAACTCATTGATCTATAAGGGTGAGAAATTGATTTTACGTGCAATTTTCAAATGCAACGGATTCATCCCGGGAAATTTTTAAATCAGCATTCACTTTTCTCGAGCATGACTGCACCGTGGCTTTGGTAGCTTACTAAACCTCCGCAAGCTTGTAGAAAACTGCTTTGTTTGATGATGAGTATGTCAAATAAAAAAGAAAGAGTTGTCACTCTACAATATTTTATTCGTAAAACAGGAACTGTGAAAATTGTCTGAGTAGATTAATATATTCATAATGTATACATTACAAACACATTCGAACTATAACACCGTTGGTAGCACAAAAAGTATTATTCCTAGTGTAGAGTATAGATTAATTTGATATATGGAAACTAATTGTCCCAGTTGCAATAAAGTATACTGTGCTACAGGTTGAAAGTCTGAAATTAAGACAAAATATTTCAAGAAAAAAAAATCATACGATTTTGGCTACGTTGCTTTAATGGCCGGAAATTCATGCTTTTGAAATATTCCCATTTTAAACATTTAAGAGTTGATCACGCTATTAGTTGCTACTTGATGCTCTTGCTGTCCTGTTTGCTTTGAATAGATGTTATATTATGGGTCGGTTCGGGCTGATCTCTGGTGTCATGAGAATATGAGAACTTGCCGTAGTGATAATGGCCTGCAGCTAGCTTCAATAACTGGGCCAGCCTATGTCACATTATAGTTTTAATAGGGCCTTACCCGTTGAAAAATTCCCTCATGGTCATGTGGAAGATATTTTATTGCTTTACTTGAATAGCAGGATTGAAAACTCTAGCTAGCCTGCCTTCGGGTGAATTTCTCCATACTACTCATTCAATGGGAGTTTTTTTAATGTAGCCGTTACTCCTCGAAGAAAAAAAACCCTGTACTAGTATTGTGTATACAATTGATACAGATGTAGTAAGCAGGTGGTATCTTCTATTATGAACGCAATTTTACAGAACTTTCATTTACCTATCCTGAGGAATACATAGCATGACTGCTAATTATTAATTAGGTGGTTTTTCGATATGAGGGAAAGATCTTTGATTATCCCACTCTTCTAAATGTAGTATTAGGTGATTGGGTACACTAAAACCGAGCACAATTATTTCTCAACCCCTTGCTGTGTCTACTTGTTACTATAAACAGATGTATGGATTCAGTCACAGAATATTCTAAAATCATTTGAACTATGCTATTTCCCGCATTGATTGAATTTTGTATTGGTAGACTTTTGCTGATTGCGCAGCATTTGTCTGGCCTTTTTGTATTTCGTTTGTCAGGGATTTCAAGAAAAGAACTATGCTACCAAACTTTTATTATATTTTATGAAAGTTTTGCCAGTGGGCAATCTGCAGAGTTTATGCCAATGTCCTCCAGAGTAACAATAGGACAGATAAGAAAAAAGTGTAACTCATAATATACAGCTAACTAGTAGAGATGGACTTAACAGAGACGGGTCTTTACCTCATTATCCACTACATAGGGGAGACCGGAAGACCATTATGCTCTGGCTACATTGTCGACACAGTATGGTTTTATTTTTCTATTTTTTATGCGTTGATTTACTAATCGATTAAGATGTAACGCTTATCAACGGATGGACTTCCACAAATAGAAATTATTCTAAAAAGAAAAAGATAACTTCTTGCGGAAAAATACCCTAAAAGAGTTCTTAATCCTTTTTCTTGTAGTCCCGAAGCTTTTTTTCCGGGCTATTTCTGCTTAATAGGCTCTATTACCTTTATTAGTCAACAGGATCAAATCTTCTTAATAGGAAGATATTAACATATCAATATTGTATGTCTGTGGTAATTAGCTGAATTGTACAAGACTTTTGTGCCTTGTATCGTATTTGAGCTTCCTTGTCACCTCTTATATTGCTATGTTGTAATATCTCGTTTCTACAGTTGTAGGATTATTTGTTACAGAACTGTGGGACTAGAATATACTCAGATTTTAATATTACTTTACACACAAGAAATGTGGTGTACCTAGGGTTATCTTCTTTATTGGGAAGACACCCTGGTTAAGAGGGTATATGCACACCAAGAAAAAAGAAATTCCATTAATGACTAAAAGAAACATAGATTTTCTAACTGCTTGAATCTTTTTCTTTTCTATTCCGGTAGAAAGATTTAATTCAACTGTTAATTACCAAAACGATTAGTAAACAATCGCTTTCGATAATACTGATGATCCATGATGCGAATTACTTATTGTTACTCATATCAAGGGTCGGATAGCCGGTGTAACTCCATTTTGGCTCCATGAATCCTTGTGAACTAACATACTCTTTCTAGGGTGCCTACTTAAAGTAGAGGGCTCGCATAGTTTGTTGTACTTGTATCTTCGGTTATTCAATAAGAGGAGAGCTTAGAGGTACTTTGATTTTCTGTGAGTTGGTAAGGGTTCTAGTTATCGAAATATCGGAGAGTTATGGATTACAAAGTCTAAAACTAATTTATTACAATTTCAAAGAGAGCCCGCTCCATTTTTTTAGTAGACCAGGATTTGCAAATTTTACTTGTTTCCTAGTTATAATTCATTTTGATTTTAATCTACTGACTGTATTTTATTTTTGATTTTATTATTAGTTGGTCATAGAATACCAACTGAAATTTCACTATATGAATAATATCTGACTATTTGATTGCCATATATATTTCGTGAATTTCTGAAGATCGGCATAGCTAGTAGATTTCCATCTCTTTTTCTATAATAACAGTTAAGGCTATATTCTCCTCGTTAAAAAAAAAAAAAAACTATTGTTAAACAGATAGTATTGAATTTGGTACCAAAATTCGCTTTTTTTTGTTTTATTCTTTTTTGCAACAGATAATAAAAGAACATTGTGTATCAAGCATTTCATCGTCGGCATAATAATACAAATAAATCAGTCAAAGGTCAAGAAGTTGACCCTAGTACAGACATTTGAAAAGGAAATTTTTATCTTATACGTTGTTTATATGGTTCAATTACTGAACAAAAGACATTAACTGAAAGTTACATCTGGAATCCAAGCATCATGAAGTTCCATAAACAAATAAAATCTATTCTTTCTACCCAAGAGAATTTTGATAATATACAACTATTTAGTAGTCAGGAGGCTGTCAATCAAATGAACATGGTCATTCCGTTGTTTCCAGACCAATCTGATGAACTTCGGTCTGGAAATGGAGATAGTGAGCAGAATTGGAGAAATCAAGGTGATGTTCATATCGATCATTCAGTACCGTGCAGTTTAAATGAAGATTGGATTGATTGTAAATCGGATGGTGAATCTCAGCAGTCTGTCTCGTCATTTGGTAATACATGCACTACTGGATCTGAGCCAAAGCATTTCGAATCCGCAACGAGTTCAATGCAGACGTCGTCCCAGTTTATGAATGAGAAACACAGTTTCATTGATGAGCAACCATTTCCTAGCTTTACAGAGCCTGCAGATATTGAAAGTCGTATGGAAAAGGCTTTTGATTCTCTAATTTCAGAAAATGTTCTAACTATCACTGATGAAAAGAGAGGTAAAAACACATCGACACAATGTGTTTCAACAAAGGAAAGCGTTATTGATAAGAATCAGCACATACCATTTTGTGTTTCAAGAACTATGGGTAAAAATAAGAATGGTTTGATGGGTGCTAATATGCATGTTCTCGATGTAAGAAATGACAAATACTGTAAAAAAAATACAAAAACTCAGACGCCAAAAGGTAGTAAGAGAGCACTCCATAGTATTGTTGAAAAGAAATACAGAACAAACATTAATGAGAGGTTAGCTGAACTTAAAAATACTGTTCCAACAATCCGTTATACCTATAAAAAGCTATGCAATATACCTTTGACAGAAGCAGATCATCGGCAATTAAATGGTATGGAACCAGCTAGAAAACTTAATAAAGCATCAATCTTGCACAAAGCTACAGAGTATATCAAATTTCTTGAAAATGAAAACTCTGATCTGAAAGCTGAAAATGCAAGATTGCAAAACATCATAAACTTGTCCTTTAACCTACAACAAAGAATTACGCCACTGAATATGTAAGATTGGTCTGAAAGACTAAAGAGTCCGGAGAGAGATTATTTATAATTTAATCGTTGTTTATTTAAAGATTTTAGAGCATTAATGAGGTAACACTATTTCACTCTTTTGACGAAATTGAGAGAATAATTATGTAAAAATTCAAGCATCATTTATATTATTTACAAAACTTTCGTTGTCGCCGATGATTCATAAAAATAGAATAGTATTTTAGTGAAAAAGCTTACACGCTAAACTAAATTCTTCAAAATACGCTAAAGAAGTGTTTGCGTCTACCAATTGAAATCTAGTCTTGAGCACCCCCAAAAAGTAGATAGGAATTATTCTATTAGAAGTTTCATAAATAATAATGAATAGTGAAACATTGAGGGGGGGGGTATTGGTTTGTGAAACTAATTAAGATAGTCACTGTTGTTTCCGATTCATTCCTCAATAATAGGATTTTTTCGTGAACATTATCGTAAAAGTTACTTCTGAAAAAATCAGTACCAAAAGTAGTGATAACACTCAAAGTAGCTGGATACCGATATTCTAGAGCTTCTTTTTCCTTCGGGCACCTGGGTACGCTCTCAACAAATACTTCGCCGTATTCAAATGTGGTGTGATTTTGTTAGCAGAGGAGCTCTCATAAATTTCACCTGAATTTCTTTGAGGGCTCACACGAGGTGATGCCTTGTCAATGTAAAAATCAGAGATCAGGCCACCAGAGTTAATATTATTATCTTCTCTAGAGATGAAATGATCTCCTAAAGTAGTAATATCTCTATTTTCATTAAATGAGTTTGTTCTTATCTGCCTTCCCAGAACAGTTTTTCGCGAAGCAATAATTTTCTTCTTTTCCAGCACTCCAATTAAAGCCCATACATTAACAGTAATCAAAGCCCTCAAAAAATAAACAATGTTGTAAGCCCATCTTCTATGATAGTATTCGCCCATTGTAAAAAAAATTGTGGCCCAGTAGGATAGACCAAATAATACGATATTGTAAGCTAATAGCGGCAAAATATCTTGGTAGTCCTTCCATAATACTTTCAAATGATAGTAAGACCATTTAAAGTAGTTGAAAAAACCATTGAAAAGATAAAATACTAGCCTTAGACCTTTTTTCATTACTACAACGAATATATTTTGAGACTTATTAGCAAAAGAGTAACTAGCCTTCTCGCAATTATCACAAGTTTCATTTGTGGTGGTAAATTTAGATGAAGTTTCAGAAGTGTCGATATCGCAACCGCCCTTCTGTACCTTAGGTCTAAGAACGAATGCAAAATTTGACCAAACAAAATACACTAGCAATAAACAAAAGATTGTGTAAATTATAATTTCAAATGATTTGAATGCAACATGAATTGAGGGTTTAGTGTTGGTCCACAGTAGAAGACAAAACAAAATATCATCAATCAACATTAGGATGATAGCTAGGCAAATATGATAGTGTTTGAAGTGCCTGACACCATTGGGAAGCTTCTTAACATGTTCAACCCACTTCAAAGAAACGGTTGGATACATGTATATTATAATGAGCAGCCAATTAAAGTGTGTGAATACACTATATATCAAATCACAGCTCTTTACTAGATTCGAGTTTATGATGATACTCTCGTACTCTTCAGATCTTTGATAGTTGTTGTAGTATTGGGGTTGGATGACATTAATGACCGTCCTATTTAATATAATTGCTTCAGTTATTGCCGAAAAAAGAACGAATATAAGAACGAGTTTATTTTGTCTGTTGTGATCATCAGCCGGTAGTAATACGACGACTGTAAAGAGCATCCAATATGCTATGCAAATTGAAATTTGGCCAAAGCATATCAATAACATACCGAGATAAAATTTGTCTGTTTTCGCAAGTACAGTACCACTACCTAATCCTTCATAAGTCATTAAATCACTTATATTTCGAACAGCATTTTGCATGATATTTTCAAGAATCACAGAATTTTTATCATTTGTATTATTAGAACAATGGATAAAAACCAGAGGTGATTTAGCGGTATAATTCAGAGCTCCAGAGTTTAGATCATTATCAGCTGAAGATACAATTCCTCCAGAGAAGAGGTTAGCAACGCATGAGTATGCTTTATCATGCAATAGTTGATTTGTACTATTGATTGTCTCAAAAATTGTAGAGTTAAGTATCCCGCTTAATTTCCATAAATTATTATTAAGGTCTTTCCCATAATTATTGGATTTTAGGTAACCATAGCTCGAGTCGTTAAAGTTCGGCATTTAAGTTTGCATTATGTGGGCTTCTCCAGTACAAATGTTAATCTTTGATCCGTCCTTTTTAAAAAGTATTAGGAGTTGTAAATTCAACTTTGGTAATCCGTGATATAACACCCTATAGATGAGCGAAATAAAATTGTTATTAACAATAGGTTCTTTTTAGGACTAGGTTCTTATCAACAAATGTTAAAACACACAAATGGGTGTCATGTATAAAGTCCACTATTTGAATACCTTGCTGAGAGACAAATCCGTTATATTGTCTTTCAGATATGATTTCCGTTGTATATTCTGAAGTCTAACACTGAATTGTTAGTTTTATGCTTGGGTCTTACTATGGTGTTTTATTCTCAAAAGTATTCGAAAACCTAAATAGTGTCGTAATTGAGTTGACCTGGAGATATCATGTAATCTTAATCTTATGTATTAATTATTTAGAAGATCCAGTAGAACGAATTCTATATTTTTCCGATTTTTGCAAAATTATAAAGCTAGGTACGAAATTGAGAAGTAGTATCACGCCATCATAGGGTGATGTCAATAGCTTAGCCAGTGTTGGGCTTGATATATTTTATTATATATCAAAAAGAATCGCAATGATTGGAATTTAAAATTACAGAATATACTTCTCGGTTCTGTTGTATAAAAAGAAATTCTTGATTGTTGTTCAAACGTAATGACCAAAACGATAAGTATTATATCATAAACGTTTTCCAAGATATCAGCCCAAAACCAGTATGATACCACAAAACCAAAATTATTAATCTGCCTCTTGGGAGATGAAAATATAATCCTGATATTTACTACTGTCCATCTATTTTTAGATATTTTCTTAGTTCATTGAATGTTAACTAAAAATAATCGGAACTATTTAGGAAGTGAGGGTTAAAAATTTTTAAAGTATCGGTGCTACTGACATTACAAGAAATCTAAGGATAGCGAAATGTTATTTTGACACATCATTAGTCGACATATTATAGACCTTGGATAACCAGGCAGATTGCTTATTTTGTTGATATAACCCACTTGACCAACAGAACACATGACAACTTATCTAAAAAATTTTAACACCTAGTCATCTAACCGTCGAAATCCATGTAGGAGACACTATTTCACTTGCTTGGTGTTGATAGCAAATATTTAGATATAATGGGCCTGCTTTCACTATTTCGCCACAAAGTAGAGAAATACGTCATTTTTTCGGAATAATTTACAGATACATGCACTTCAACTGTAAGTGGAGAACAATGATCCACACTAATTTACACCTTTACAGATATATTTGATAGTGGGGTATTATAATGCCCGTAGAACTGCGAAGTACAATGGAACATTTTCAAAGTTAAACCTTCTTCAGTAATTTACTCTGTTATCCTCAACTTTTACAGGAGAAAAATGGGCAACCAATTATAAAGATGACGAGGGGCCACAGATGCTGCGCAGTAACGAAACATAGTAATACAATTGGTGACTGGTGCGGGTGGCTTGCCCACTCTTGGGTTACTACGTGTTTTAATTCCCCCCACTCAACAGATTTCCAAAAATTCCACTTTCCTGCCTGGCTTCTCGTCAAATGGATGTAACCCACTCTACAGGCTCGAGAATGAACGGCACCTTCTCTGGCGACATTCCAGCTCATCTTTTCCCCACACCTATTTCTAGAGGCACTACTTCTGACGAAAGATAAACGTGAAGGCACCGTACATAATTAGAGCTGTGTATAAAATCTATTTTTAGCTTCGTCGGAGAGATTTTTTCGGGGCTGGAAGTCATCTCTCAAACGGCATGTGGGGGTTGCTCTGAGGGGCTGCACTAGTAAACCGTTTTAGGGAGGTCAATAATTTACAATATTGCTTATTGTGAGTGTGAGGGGAGTACAACCGGAAAAACCTCCCTTGCAATAATAAGCGAGGACCTTGAGTAACTCTTGTATGAATTTGCCGTACAGGTTACAAGATACTCGAGATTCAAATATGTCAAATCCCATTTAGTTTTTCCGTTAGATAGAGCTGGTGAAGATAAGCCAACTATGGAAGGGAAGGCACAGAGATAACAACGCTCACAATGGGAAGGCGCACGTCTACTCGCTCTTGAGGATACTGCTAGAGCACGGCACTAAATTTTCTCATTAACTGATCTGCGTGTTGCGTTGTGAGGGGCGAGGACTTCTAGAGAACTTGAGTAGCGAATAAGGGCTCAAGCTGATATAATCGCATTCTTCGTATTTTTATATTAGTTTAAAATATACTAGGCAATGCTAGAAGAATTGGCGCAGAAGAACATTTCACCCGCATGCTTTTGGCGCTAACTGTTTAATATTAACTATCAAGCAAAAAAACAAGTTAACTCAACTATATGCACTATACTGTTGAAACAAAAAGTCCAGCCAGCATTAATAAAAAATATTAGTTGCTAGCAAATATAGCTAGTTTCATAGGGAGCGTATACTGTTTACTAAATTTCAAGAAAATCGGTGCTAATTAATCTTTGAAATTTGTATTGTGCCATGTGAAAACATAGTATCTTAGATATCGATAAATGAAAATGGAAGGACTTAGCGAACAGGAATATTGCTATTACTTGTATTGACGATTTATGAGCAATAAATTTCAAGTAGCATTAGTCCATAACAAAGTATAAGTCCCTAAACTACTCGAAAATAAATTTATTTACTAAAGTTCCAAGTACTGTATCAATCGGTGGATATCCTGATATGTTAAGCACTTTCCCGAAAAAATAATCACAAGGCTTGACGTCAGCTTTAAGGTTTAAGCGAAATATACATGATATAGAAACATAAGTAAAAATATTAACCGAAACTTTATTGGGATGAATAAACACCAAATGACTGCTTGTAGAAAGAAAAGGTGCATATTGGAGAGCCGATTTAAATCCCCATAATCAGTATACAATTAAACCACTCAATATAGGATATTGCACCACAAAAGCCGAGTGTTCCAGATACATAGTGATAAACTCAGTACAGATGACTCCAGGCTGGTTAGCTCAAACTGTATTATGGAGATTCAAGGTATGGCTTTCGACACATTTTCACATGTTTACGTACCATAGTATTGGCATGGTTATTTTTTCCTTTTTCCTGTTATCTTGTCTCCATTGTAGTGCACCGCAATATCAATAATATTGGAATTCAAAGTAACCGGGATCGCTGTATCTAAACTAGCCATATTTTCCCATGGGAAATATCTTTATGTGCAGTCTAAAAATAGATTGTATGAGCGACCCCCATGACTCAAGGAGCTTTTTGCACAATGATTAATTGTATAATCTCTTCAAGAAAAATTAAATTAGGTTTAAATAATAGTAGGACACAGAAACATTCATAGAAGAAAATGCCAAGAAAAAAATGAAATACAGGAATCAGCACAATTATAATTCTTTTTTTTTATTGCCCTACTGGCCAGCGGGACAGGACTCATAACGGTAGGCAGTTGATTTGGATGCTAGGTGACTTTTACAATAGGATTCCACTCACACAACTAAAAAGAAAAGCAAAGACCTGAGGGTCATTAAACAACCTTATCTACAATATATTGTATCTCCAAATTAGCAAGAAATAGGAGTACTGCCTTTCTTTCTGTTAAGATATATCAGTTTCCAACAGGGATCACACATATCAGTTAATAGATATTATGAGTTTTCATTTAGTGTGACGTATTGTTGAGTTCTGTGTATTGTCATAATCCTATATTGGGAAATAGCTAACTAGTTGGTCATTGCATCAACGTAGAACTGTCGAGTAAAAGTGTATCTTAACAGCATATAGCGATCCACAGCGATCCACAGCGATCCCTACATGAATATGTGGCTGTTATATTCTCAACATTTGAATTTCCCGGTGCCTTTTTTCCTTTTTGGCAAGAAATATAATCACAGATATTATTGATTGCACGCCTGATTAATAGAGAATAATGAAAATCCGGAATACGTTTCATTATCAGTAGCCCAATGGGATCTCAGTAGTGCATAGAGCTGCCTTGAGAAATCGGAACTTGTCGCAAGGAGGGCGACAAACAACAAAGACAATGGTGTAGGCCACCCTTCTCCGAGCAATGTAAGTGCCCTTTATAAAAGAAATTACTATAATGAGAGAACTTCTGCTACAGGTTCTGTGCTTTTGGTGTGACAAAAAGCCTAAATAATCATTAATATAATTAAGGACACTAATTAATATTAACAGAGATTCGACCCAAGATTCAAATTCCAAGAGTCAGGGTATCTTGTTTCAGTAATGCACAGATAGTCATGCAGACTAATGGAGCTAAGGTTTGTAATCCGTAGCACTATGGAGATTTTGAGGAGGTTGCGTAGCATTGACAACCGGTATATATCTCTTAGAACCCACGCACAAATACGAGCTGATGACGCCATTTTGACCATGGGCTTTTGAAGAGCACTGGCACAGAAATTGCAGTATGACACTGCACTCGGATGCAGATGGAGTGTGGTAATCGCAGTAACATAGCTTAGATGGTGTGAGGGAGGATACCAAATTAATCGGAAGTTAAAGAGCCCTCCACAAAGTCACAAACAAACATACGTAGCTCCCCCTCATCTCCCCTTTTCATTTTGGAAATTACCCTCTCATTTATCTACCCAAATACTGAAAGGGGAGCTCTTCTCCTCATGTTGACAGGAGACCCTCTCTTTGTTCACTCCTCATAGGTAAACACAGATAATCACTGGTAGCTGGCACAGGTAGAATGTCCCCACGCACATTCTCTGTGGTTCGTAAGTGCCACTGCGTAAACCCAGTAGGCAAGAAGACTGACAATACACGCATCTACACTTTTATTTTCATTAACTTCATTCCTGCCCAATAGATCACCGTAGCACTTAATAAATGAGAATAATCATTGCGTCAAACATACACTTTTCGGTGCTCTATGTGGTAACTCCTCTCTGTATCAGTGACAAGTGATGCCTTTTTTTTCTTTTTTCCCGTTGAAACTGTTTTTTTTATTAGTACTCTAACAATGCCCGTGGAAGTATCTGAACAAAGGGGAGTTGCTGGTATTAAGAGGAGGCTTCCCCTTCTACCCTCTGAGTTTCCCCCCCCACACACATTAACCCGCAGCCAAACATGTCTTCCTAAGTAGCACATACGCACCAGTTACTGAGTACTAAGGGTTAAAGGTACTACCCTCTGCAAGCACACACTGATGAATGCGGTGTTGCTGCCAAAATTCACAAAGACAGGCATTCTCTCAGAAATGCCTGCGAACAAGAAATAGAAGAGAAAATAGAAAGGGAAAGAAAAAAGGAAAGTAGTTAATCCATGAGCCTTAGAGGAATTGCGTACCGTTAACGAAGAAATGGTGGGAAAGAGAGAAAAAAAGAGGGTTCTTAAAATAAAGACAGAAAGGCGTATTCTTGAGGGCTAAAAGAAAAGGGAACCCGCACTAAAATTAAGTGCTAAATGTTTGAACCGCATCTCAACTATCTTGAGACTCTAATTTTAAAAAATTCCTTGATGGTGAACTGGAGATGGGCAAAAAAAAAAGAATAATACTGAAATGAAGAAAACATACAGTAATATCGAAATGGTGAACAAGATATTACTTCACCCACATCCCCATTACTCGCGAGTGAGTTGCGGGAATCAATTGTTAAGCCTTATTTTAGTTTTTTGTTTATTCTATTCTTACTGAAGAGAATAAGAAAAAAGTGGTGTACGTAGGTCTTTGCATATTACATGATAGTTTATAGGGCTATTTTGATGATCAACTAACAATTCAAGGTAGTAGATTATTTTAGTTCATTTCTGAAATAATCCACTAGACTAAGTAGAAGATAAAAATATAGAAAATCAAGTCTTGGGAAATAGAAGAAAAAAATATATATATAAGCAACTTTCGATTCCAACTTTTACAAAAACTACTTTGTATTTGTCAAACATTATTTAATATGAAATTATAAAATACCAATAATCAACCAACAAATAACAACAAATATTTACTCATACAACCTCAATACAATAATGATGATGGAAACTGAATCTCAACTAAACTCCGTCCCAATGATTAGGGAATATCATTTCAACGAACCACAGTACAAACTGGTGGCTTCAAATACACCAAGAACACCTATGCCTGTTGTATCTCATGTAAGTCAGAGCATGGCTGGTTCTCCATACCAATACCAAGCTGTTGCCGCTCCAAACTACATTACCACTACCGCTGCTATGAACAACCAAAATGCTGCTATTATTACACAACTTCCACCTATCCAAAGTCTAACTCACGGAATTGCTCAACAACAACAACAATTCCAACAACAAAATGTTGTCACAAGAGGCTCGGGTAGCGTAAGTCCTGTCGGCGTCTACACTCAACACACTCTAATGGTTCCAGATGAAAGCAATACTGGTAGAAGAAGAAGTTCTATTAATATTGGTACACTTTGTCATGACCATGATGAAGGTGCTTCTATGAAAAACAGTCTACCTACACCTGGTTAATCAACCGAACCAACTTCCAGAAAGAGTAGTATTTTTTCTGACATGCCAGTTTACAATAATGGCGAGAGATACAACGCTAATGGTGAACTAATAGGCAAGACTGGTAAACCATTGAGAAACACAAAGAGAGCTGCACAAAATAGAAGTGCCCAAAAAGCTTTCAGACAGCGTAGAGAAAAATACATTAAGGCTCTAGAAGAAAAGGCAAAGCAATACGACAGCCTACTAAAAGAGAACATGGAACTAAAAAATCTAGTCGAGGTTTTGAAGAATCAAAAGCCTCAATCAGCAAACATGGTAACAAAATAAATTATTTGACTAAAAGAAACTATATTCTTTTCAATCTTTATCTGGAATAAAGATTTTATTAGACGATGAAGGCAAGATGTTTTCCAGTTTGCTAGAGGAAAGGGACCTATTTTTTAGAAACCTATTAATGAAATTTCTTTCTCTCTACAGTTAATCTTCAGTTCTCAAGTCGGTTTGTAACGAATTTTAAATTATAGAGCCTTATTATTTTTATTTTATTTTATTTTCCAATTACGTACTATTTTCGATGTAAAATATGAAAAAAATAATATTTTGTAGTATTTACCTATTCTGAACTTTAATCAATAATTTTAATAATTTCCTATTTTGACTCCGGCTGTCAGTTATACATTCAACAATTTCAGTTTTTGTTGGAAAAAAGGGAGTACTTCATAAATAACTACAACGGCATTAACATAAACATAATGGCATAACATCCAGCACTTGAAAAATATATTTTGCCCGAGTATTTAATACTGTAAACAAAAATGTTGTACAACAATGGCTTTTAGTAAAAAATTTGTAATAGTTCAATTATAGAATTTACCAAGACAGAAATAATAACAGGTTTTTAAGGGTCTTTATTGAGCAAATTTCTACTAACGTAAAATCGTCTGACCGATAACTTGTCAGTAGTTGCCAGGTCGCAATTCGAAATCACCATCTAAATATATGAGGTTGCTTTCAATAAAAAAATCCAAAGTTGCCTTAATGAGCTCATAATTCTTTTACCACTTCTTTTGTAATCTTCAATAACAGAAATGCAGTTGCCTACTGAACTTCGAAGTAAAACATTGCCACTACGAGGTTCAACTGTTCATTCTTTTGTTTCTATATCATGCCGTACATTGCTAGAGAAATAAGCATTCATAAAATGACATCGTTTTACAACGGAAGAAACCTAAGAAAAACATCCTTTAACTCTTTTTTCTTTTTTCTGTGTCTTAATAGTGATGTAACATTAACGAAGAACATGATCCACGGCCCATAAACGTTGGAGCAACAAAAATAAAACTATTTCCGGCTAGATTACTTCATTTCTAAAGGTTATTTAGTGTAGAAAGGACCTTAAACTAATATCGCGAGTCGAGTTTGTGATTATTAACTGATGATGCCGGCATCGCTCTCCTCTATGTATTCCTCTATATTAATATCCTTTCAAAATCAAACAGCCGTTAGAAGGCTCCATGGATGTTCTAATGGATGACGGAAGTACTGGTCAATACGCTATCATTAGCACAGCTCGTTGAGAAACACTCCTTATTCGTTACATACACAAGGTAAAATAATGTTAATAGCAGAGAAAAAAATAATTACTCACATGAATCTCTATTGATGTTACTTTTTAGATATTAAGAAATAGTAAACTAGCTAACAAAATATTCCTACACAAGTGCTGTTTAATTATCTTCGCTTAAGGACCGGTACGGATGATACCAGCAGCAATTAATGTTTGAATTTTCTTAAAGACGTCAGGATTCTTCATATGTTCTTGTAATGCAGCAGGATTTTGTTGAGCTTGTTGCAAGATGCTTTGCATCACAGGGTCTTGCATGATAGCAATGACCTCTGGGTCCTTCATTGCTCTTTCATATACTTGTTCTGGCGTTTCGTTACTAGAAGCCGGTTGGAATCTCTGCTGAGATGCCTTGACGTATAATTGGTCAATCTCTCTAACATTAGCACTGTTGTTAACTTCAGCATCCTTTGTCCTAGCAGCATCTAAAGTCTCAATGGCCGCAGCAAATTCCTTTACAGCAATTTGTGCCGTGGCCTTTCTGATGTAAGCTCTGATAAAGTTAGGATCCTTCTCGATAGCTTTGTTACAGTCTTCGATAGCTTCTGGGAAAGACATTAGCTTTGACAACGCAGCCGCTCTATTGGAGTAGCCTCTAGCATCTTCTGGTGCCCTTTTGATCATCTCAGTGTAAGCCTTGACAGCATTTGGCCAGTCACCCTTGGTAAAATAGTCTTTACCTTCTAGACGAGCTTCTTCGGCCTTTTCTGGGTTAATATATTCCTCAGCTTCTTGCTTCTTCAGTTCTTTTTCGGTATTTCTTAGTTTTGTTAGAATCTCTGGTGTACGGTGTTCGGTAAGAGACTTTTGATAAAACTCAATGGCTTTCTTTAGGTTGTTTGTCTTATGGTGCACATTACCCATACGTGCGAATGACTTTGCAATTAGTTTATAATCAGTTCTCATTTCCCTACCTTTCTCCACAGCTTCATCAAGTGTCTTTAAAGCTGTTTCGGCATCTCCCTTCTCAAACTCAGCAGCTGACCTGTTGTTCAAATAAGTGATATCTTGATGTAAGTTCCAGGCGGCATCATAATGAGCAATAGCCTCATCGAATTGGCGTGCCTTATAAGCTTTGTTACCAAGAGCTTTTTCCTTTTCAGCTTCTTCCTTTTTAGAGGTTTCTTCGTTTCCGGCAGAATCTACCTCCATTGGTTCAGGTTCAGCTTTCGTTGCTTCGGCTTGTGGTTCAGATTTTTGTTCAGCTGGTGTCTCTTTGGATTGCTCTGGTGTCTCAGTTGGCTCTTTAGGCATTGAGTTAGATGAGCTCAAGTCTGGCATGTTTAGGTCGACACCCATCAGAGTGGCCATAATGGTCATCAATCTTGGCTCGGTAAATAAGTCCTGAGACATAGCCTGTGGGTTAGTCTTGTACTTGATTAGCTTAGCCACTAATTCTGGGTCCTTCATCATTTCACTGGTCTTTGGGTTTTTCTTCAAATTTTCGATCAGGTTTGGATCGGCAAATATCTTAGACAACCCAAGGTCAGGCATACCTTGTCTAGACTCCTGCGTTCTCTTAACTTGATCTAAGCCGTCCTTCGCAGCTTGATTGCTACCGTCCAACTCTAACGCCTTCTTATAACTGCCCTCAGCTTCATCTAGGTCACCTAGACCTAAGTGCGCAGCACCCAATCTGTTGTAACCCTTGGACCAAGTTGGATTAATCTTCACACACTCCTCGGCGTCGTTAAGAGCCTCAGGGAACTTCTTCAAACTTGCATAGCAAGCAGATCTGTTGGAATAGAAAACATGGTTTGGAGTCTCAGAAACCTCAATGGCCTTGGAGAAGAGATCAATGGCCTTCTCGTAGTCCTTAGCAACAAAAGCTGCATTACCTTGTTGTTTGTACTCGTCAGCAGTAGTCATCCTTCTTACTTTATCTTCCAGTGTGAGTGTATACTATCCGTGACTAATTGGCACCAATCAACAACAACTAAAGTCTCAAAAACAGCACCACCATTATATACGTTTGGTTGGACTATTATCCCAAATCAATTCCCCCATCGCACTTGCACTGTGTTTGCTGAAGAAAATTTGTATGGGACTAGCTACCCTCTAGTTTTCCACAGATATCATCCTACAAACAAAAAAAGTACGCAGTACGGGATGCTTTGGCATAGCCAAGGTTTCCTACGGCTTCCTTGTTGTGAATTCCAAGGGTGATCAGTAGCTAAGAAATCCCCGCATAAATTTTCTTACGTATTCTGGAAAGTTCTATCAGTAAGTACGAGATAATCATGTGAATTTATCGTATGCTATGATATCGTTTACCTTGGAAATTGAATTCTGCCTCCAATTGTAGTATTGCCAATCTGTATAGAGAGTAGTTATTTGATCGTCAATTGTAGAATGTGCTTCAATTGGTTAAAATCTCCACGTATATTCTACTTGGTTCCAGTTCTAGGTTGCTATCGATGACTGCGTTAGTCTTGAAGGAGTCGTCGGATGTCGCAACGCAGAGTATATTTTCGTTGCATGCCAATTGAACCACACTGTTCTCATTGTACTTTGGCAGCTGTTTTATCTTTGTCTTCTTGTGCAAGTGCCATGCCGAGACGCACCCGTCAGATCCTCCTGTGTAGAACTCACTTGTATTTGGTATGAATCTGATGGCATTGATAGGGTATGTCATCACAGTATCATCAAGGTCATACTTGTGGCATCTGAAAGCGAATCTCTTTGATGTGTCATCAAAGTACTCCACCGAGACTCGTCCGTCTATCCCAGTACATACAAATCCGTCGCCCTCGGGAGTGAGCTGACTGTCTCTAATCTGGAAGATCTGGCCAGAATCCAGTATATGGGGTTTAGTGGTAGGAGTTAGTGGGAGTTTGAATATTGCAATTTTACATTTAATAGTGCTAATTAACAGTTTGTGTGCTTGTACCGACAACTTGAAACATTTCTTGTACTCGCTTGGCAGCTCTAGTGTGAATTCTAGAGAATTTGACTTGGGGTTTACTACATATATGGACCCATCCCAACTACCAGCAATTACTCTGTCTCCATGCATTGCAATACAGCTAATTCCTGCAGATGATTCTATTTGATCAACTTTCACAAATAATGAATTCTCGAGATCGACACTGAGGAGTTGGCCATCTACGCTTCCTGCGTAGATGAATTGTCTACCTTGTATGTTCAGCTGCGCCACACTAGTCAATGAAGACTCGTATTGAAGCCTCACGGTCAAATTCACCTGTTTCAGCTCCCGATCCACTGTATACACGCTTAGAGTTCCGTCATATGAAACTATTATTATCTGATTCTGTTCGCTAATAATTTCAATTCCACTAATATATTCCCTAGGAACATCCTTTATTTCAACTCTCATGAATAATTTTCTATTTCGATAACAAGGTACCTTCTTGGCCTACCAGCGGATGCTAAATGTACTCGTTGTGTGTACAATTATATATCAAATTGTTCACAAAACACACTGCAGCTATATATTAACTATTGCGATGATGTTTACATTTTTCAGGTCAAGTGCAGTGATTCGGGGAACTATCCGAGCTCGCAACAGAAACAAGCGTACAAAGGAAACTCTAAGAAAATCAAATGATATGTGAATTAAATTGAACGTGATTAAAACATTAGTTGTCATTATGAAATCTTACTGCATATACAATGTGAATTAAAAAAAACATATTAGCAAAGTTATCTAGCAAATTTTGTAATGATGAATGGATATTGTTTATGAACTGAAATTGGTCTAAGTACAAGAGCACAGTATGAATGCTATTGAAATTTTCCAGATATCTGGAATGCATGAACTTCATAGGTTTACTATACCTAAGGGTTTCTTCTTCAAAGTATCGTTTTTCTTGTTACTAGAAGTGGTCTTGGAAAACTTCTTAGGAGATCTTTCATCAAATGAGTTCTCAGGTGTCAAGAGCTTCCTTTTAACTCCATTTAGTATTGGTTCTCTTGTCGGTACCGTATTCCTCTTGCCAGTAGGAGTGGTTGGAGGGGTTTTTATTGAGCTCTTTTCAGATTTCTTTAACTTTCTAAGCTCACTAGCCTCTCTCCTTAATTGTCTCAAAGCAAGGACCTCTTCCTGGCTTTTGAAGAAATCTGGTATTTGGCCCTGTAAGTACTTCACCCATGTATCGCAATCACAACAAATTTGGTAATCTATAATGCCATTCCAGCGAGATTCAGAAAGCTTTGTCTTGTTAACGAGGATAACCAGACCCTTTCTTTCGTGTACTTGTTTACTTATCTGTTTCACCACTCTTTGAACACCATCGACTTTTAGGCTAGTACCCATTATGATGAATAGATCTGGCTTACCACGATTTATATCGGTGTTCAGCCCCTGTGTGATGATTTCACCGGAAGGATGGTTTTCACCATAGAGGACAATGTTAGGTCTCAGGTAGCCTATGTTATTGATTAGCCTTTTCCCCATCTGTACTCTTTCGTTATTGATTCTTTCACACTCGGGACAAGTTGGTAGTTCACCCCTTCTAAAATATCTAGCTAGGTACCTGCTCCATTGGAACTCGTGGTAACATCTGGTACACGCCAGGGTGTTCAAGTCACCATGCAATTGTATAACATCTATATTATTCTTGTTAGGAGAGTTGTCAGTTTCGGTTGTTTTGCCTGTGGATGGCTGGAATGAGGAGTTCGATATCGCCAGACCCAAGTTTTCCTCAAGACCGTCTATGTTTTGGGTGTAGCATCTCAGGAGCTTGTTTCTGTTTTTCAAGTGAGCAATGAATTTATGTGTTGTGGTGGGCTGAGCCAGCTTCACACTAGCGTACAGCTTCTCCATGAACGTGGCAAAGACAGAGATCTTCATCTCATCCCTGAACAAAGATATATCAAACATCTCCTTCCCTGAACCGATGGAGATGTCCGGGTACTGTCTCTTGATCAGGTTGTAAAGCCCTGTAGCTGACCTGAAGTCAGGGATACCCGCGTTGCAGGAGATACCAGCACCGGTAAGCAATATTATCTTCCGGGACTTGTTCAGCTGTCTGTTGATACTAAGCAGCACATCGTCTTGCTCTTCTGCCAGCAGATGAGTATCATCGAACACCACTATCTTATCCGTCTGTAGTTTCTCATCCATTACTCAATTACACTTTTTTTTGGGGGGGAAGGGGAGGGAATGGCTGGTAATACTCTCAACAGAGTAGGTTAATACAGCGGCAGTGAACAACTTTTTATCTATCACTGATTCCTGGTCAAGGATTGCAGAAAGTTGAATTGCAGATCAAGAAAAAATTATATGTGAAATTAGCACTGTGCCAGTGACAATCTATTTTAACATCTTTGAAGGTATTTCCAAAAGGGGAAATTGGCAAAACAATGGACGACTTCCAATAAAAAAAAGAAACTGAAAAATGTAATTTATGTGATGTTATACGTATAGTTAAGCGTGATATATTTCGTGAATTGATATATTATATTTCATTGATCACATGATATAAACGTACAATGTAACTACCATGTGATCATTTAAATCTCGTAAAACGACTACGCCTTTAGAAGTTGGGATGTGAAGGCAGAGAGGGAGGGTTCAGCCAGTTGCCAGTTGTGGTTGATAATGGGTCTCAGTATCTGTGCTTGGAGGTACTTTATTCGTTTTCTAGGATGACTAAAAGTGACTACGGCATTTACTGTGTGGATCAGGGGGGGGGCTTTTTCTTCAAGGGTCTGCGGCATTTATTCGCTAATCACCGGATTTTCTACTGAAGTGTTAATCATCAAATGCGATGAGCTTCCTTTTAGTCTTATTTAGAGAATATAATTAAAACTGATTTGCACTCGATGTGCTAATGGCGTGATGGAAATGGTGCATTATTTAAGTGTCTTGTATCTGTAATATCATTTATACAAAATTAGAAGCTATGGAAATGGCTGAAGATGCTGACAGGGCGCTCCGTGACACTTACAAACGAATCAAGGTGTACTATGACCCTGCTGAGCTGCCCTATCTTGTGAGGGACATACGGCCCTCTGTCTCCTATGACACTGTGCCCAAGTACATTGGCTACTCGGCGATCGAGGATATGGACGGTGGGTTCCCCGGTGTGGAGGTGACTAAGCATACAGTGCCGGTGAAGACTGACCTCAGCAGGAAAGGGGCCACACTGGGTAGTCAGGTGTTCCTGAACCCGAGGTTTCTGCTGCACAACCATGTCTCTGGTGATGATGACTACGAGATTGAGCGCATGAAGAAGAGGATATTTGACGCAAGTCCGCTGGCGAACAACCCGCTGTCGCTCACCAGGTCTAAGAAGTCGGTGTTCAACTACACCGCCGACGGGAAGATCATACGGTCGGACTACCCGACCAAGCCGGTCTTTGTCAACAAGATCATCATCAGGTCTCGTACTAATGTGCATTGGGATGAGAGATGGGCACAGCGGAAGTCGAAAATCGAGTACAATATGGAACACAAGGACGAGAAATTCATGTACCCTGATATCTTGTTCCCAGAAGTAAAGGAGAAACCCCTGATCATGGGTGATGACTTTGTACCCATCACTAAAGAGCAAAGAAGAAGAAATAAGATACTGACTATCAAGCAAGCTCACCCTACTTTGCCAAGAACTGTGGTGTGCTACATATCGGGACGAAGACACACTTGGGCAGGGCTGGACTGGGCTGTCCGAAGTCTGGCTGAGAATGACCATCTTGTCATTGTTGCAACTATTCCTAAGATGACCTCCCATAGAGACCAAGAACCTGAGGTAGATGGCACATGGGTATCCGGTTACACTTTCGATGAAATTGACACAATCATATCAGACTTATTTGAATATATAAAAGTGATTAAGCCGGTCCATAAGGCATTGAAGGTCACCATTGAAATCTCCATCGAGCGTACCAAGGGAGCCCTAATAGATGCTATCAATGTTTATTCTCCGGACTTCTTGATCTTGGGTACACTTAAATGGCAACGTTATGAAAATCTTGTTAGCTATAGGGGGAATAACATGGTTGATAAACTTTGTACTACATTCCCTATACCCACATTCATTGTACCGGCTAGGCGTTTATTTATGTTAGAGAAAGAAATTGAAGAAGAAACACTCACAAAATTAATTTCTGACAATACCAAAAAGGCTGTTACACCAGAAAATGAAGAAATTGAGTATCCTAGAAGTCCCAAATTAGTGTCTACAGACTCCTTTGGGTTTTGGTCTAAAAATGAACAAAAATTATTAGATGAATCTTACTCGATTTCAACAAAGGATAAGCTAGAGAAGAGACAAGAAAGTTTTACATCATTAACTACTCACGAGTCCGAGGATTCATTAGCTATTGAGGATGATGACGATAGAGATTCCAATCTGCTGGAAAGTACAGAGAGTATTGTTTCCAAACTGAAGTCTATTGCAATTACGAATAGAAAAAATATGATGGCGGATCTTGAAGAGTTTGATAATGAACATAGTAATATAAACACGAAAGAAAACCAGTTAGCCAAGGTATCCTTGATAATCAAGCACTCTCTGAATTCATCCAATACAATCAAAAATCTAACTCAAAATTTAGATGAGGAGAATCGTGGATTTGCGGTACTACAAAAAGTTATTACTGGTACTGGCACTGTTGAATCTCGCCCTAAGTTCTCAATGGTAGATGCAGTGAGAGTGAATGGCAAAATACCTGGCGAAAGCTCTGCTAAGAAACGCAGATCACAGATTAAGTTTGCATCCAATGTCAAACCAACAGATGGTACCGCCGGCCTAGGGACTCCTCGTATTGTAGGTCCAACTGGTGAATCGCAGTATAGTGGAGGTACCTCCCCATTACGAACCGTCGATTCTAACGAATCGGCATTAACATTTGCATCTAATGGTAGTAAAATATCTAAGCATGGCAGGAGCAGCAGTTTTGGTACTCATAGTGTGAATAATGGCTTCCTCAGTGTGAAGAGAAACTCCATGAGTGACCAAGTTAGTTTCCGCTCGGCAGATCACGCGCCTAAGTTATTAACCAAGAAAACATCAAAAAGTAACGACAAGTCTAAGGATAAGAAAGACTCTAAGAAGTCCTCTACTAAGAAGAAGCTAGGTAAATTATTTAGTTTTGGTAACCTTTGACTGAATTAAGCTCCCATATAAAAGTTTCATGACAACATATTAAGTATTCTTGCAAGAGTTTTATATTCATTTGCAAATTGCATATAAAGTTTATAAAAAACTGATAAAAAATTCACTACTATTTCAAAAGCAGGAATAGATAATAGGAAAGGAAAAGTCACAGACTTCAAACGATGCTAATTGGTATTAAGTAAAGAAAATTATATTTTATTTACAAGTTTTCTGCTACCTTATATATTTTGTACAAAATATAACAACTAAAAGGATAAAAAGAGTTCGGGAATGTGTTGAGATAATGGTGTAAGTTCAAAACACAATATGGTGCTTGAACAAGCATTACACCACAGGACATTTCAACAAACAAATTAGTTATCCTTTATCTTGGCTAGGATCTCAGAGTCTCTAAACAAGATGACTTCTTCGTCGTTGGCCAACTTCAAAGTAGAGCCACCAAATTGTGGGATTAGCACTTGGTCACCAACAGAGACCTGTGGGGTAACTTTGTTACCGTTGGCATCGGTGAAACCTGGACCAACAGCAACAACCTTAGCTTGGTTCAACTTCTCCACGTTCTTTTCTGGCAAGAATAGACCAGAAGCAGTCTTGGCTTCGGCCTTAATTCTTTGAACAAGAACACGGTCCATAAGAGGAACGATAGACTTGGCAGACTTTAGTAGAGTGGACATCCTTGATTTATTTGTATGTTGCTTTGCTTCCTGATACACTTTGAATTGTTTAAAATTCAAAGAGTTTCCTTTTTATAGCATTGATCATCGGAATCTAAGTGACTCTCTTGATTTGAAGAAACCAGCTCTTCCAGCATCTTCACTATAATGAGAAGGGGAGCTGCCCTTGTAACTGCATACGTCACGTTTCTTTCTGCAATTTTCGAAAATTCCAGAAACATGTCGTTCATTATGATATAATAGGAAAGTGGGTGGCAGTTCGAATCCCGCTGGGGGCAGTTTCTCTCCAGGAAATTTGCCGAAACTATAGTTACTACAAATGGTGTCAGATTGGATAGTGTATTTACATTTGAGAGGTGGAGCTGGTTTGTGCATGTCTTGTGCATGTCAGTATGTGTGTATGTGTGTGCATGTCGGTATGTGTGTATATGTGTGTATTTTGTACAATTGCATGTACCAGTTAAGGAAACACCACTTGAAGTAGGAAGAGATCAGCATTATTGGAGAGATAACAAGGTGACTTCTATATGTAGTGGCACGGTGTCAAAAGACTCAAGATGCTGTGATAGTGCAAACTCTCATGATAAGAATGGTGCGTTCCTCGTCCGTTATCCTACTGCCACAACACCAACCTGTGCATTGCAGTTATCGAAGGCATGTCAGAAATATTTCACTGAAAGCGTAGATCATTTTCGTTGTCTGGCGAAGAAATTGCTGCAGGGAGGGCAACCAGCAATTTTTCCCTCACATAGACGTGCTGCAAGCCCTATCTAAGAGCAAGCAATATAAGTGCAACTGTTACAAATGTCAAGGAGATAAGAGAGGCCTTTCCTATCCATCAGCAAAGGGTCTAAATATTGAGAATATATAAGCTCTAAGATATAGACACGGGTAAAGTGAAGAGAGCTTTTGGAGAAATATAGGGGAAGAAGTGCTAAGAGTGAGCAAGAGTGAGATATTAGCAAAGGATCAGCGATGGTTGACTCATATAACAGGCCTCGACTAATAGTGCTGATAAGGCACGGTGAGAGCGAGTCCAATAAGGACAAGAAGATCAACGAGGTTACACCGAACCATCTCATTCCGTTGACCCCCTATGGTAAGAAGCAGGCGCACAATGCTGGCTTAAAGTTGTTGAGGCTGTTGAACATGGCGGATGCCAGTGTCATTGAGAAACTAGGGGAGGAGTACGCGCTACCGGCCACCAGCACTAACACGCTGGAGCTGAGAGGATACAAGCCTAACGGGAAGCACATGGACGACAACATTATATTCTACACTTCGCCTTACAAGCGTACCCGTGAGACGTTAAAAGGGGTGCTGGAAGTGATTGATCGATACAATGAGTTGAAGAGTGGGATCAATATGTGTGCCGAGCAGACCTACAACCCCTATGGTAAGCAGAAGCATGCTATATGGCCACACGACCTGGAGAACAGTGGTATATATGAGAACGATGAGAGCACACATTGTGGTCCTGAACGGGAAGGCACGTATATCCGGTACCGTATCATCGATGAGCCGAGACTCAGGGAGCAAGATTTTGGTAATTACCAAGAGGTGAGTAGCATGCAAGATGTGATGGAGAAGCGTAAGACTTATGGGCATTTCTTTTTCAGGTTTCCTGAGGGTGAGAGTGCTGCAGATGTATACGATCGAGTAGCCAGTTTCCAGGACACCTTGTATAGGCATTTCCAGTTCAGACAGCACACGAAGGGCAGAGACGTAGTGGTATTGGTTACGCATGGTATTTATTCTCGAGTATTTCTGATGAAGTGGTTCAGGTGGACATTCGAAGAGTTTGAGTCATTCACCAATGTGCCAAACGGAAGTCTCATGGTGATGGAACTGGATGAGAAATTGAACAAATATGTTCTCAGAACGGTGCTACCAAAATGGTCAGATCTGGAAGCAGAGAAGGATCTGATCACCTAGAGATGATATTTAGCTAAATACATTATATTTAAGATAATTGAACGGTCATGACATTGCGATAAGACATATATATTTAAGTAAAAATGGATATTTGTCTAGCAATCATATTCCAATAACCACAACCAAAACGTTAACAGGTTAATAATTGAGAGTGCAGGGAACCGTAAATTATCAAATATGAAATCTACAGATTGACATACAACAACACGGAGAACACATGTGATCAAATGCGAATAACATTATATACGATAATTGAAAGAAAATACAAACATCCTTACACCACATACACAATACGGGATGCCACTAATTCCACCAAAGAGCAAAAAAGAAATGACGTAATCAGCATCCTCCCCCCCCCCATCAAAGTAGGAAGTTGCGTTGTGTGGGCACGATAAAGCATCATCACAATAACTAGTCCAAGCAGTAAGCTAACCAAACAGCACACTACACACACTACACAACTAAACAACAAGACAATACACACATACACAACTAGTAATCCCATAGAAGTGCGTTAATTCTTTTCTACAATGCAGTTTTCTAACGGTTGACTTGATTCTTTACATAGGTGTCTTGAGATGTTAGAACTTCTATGCCTTCGAAAAAGAAACAACCTTGGTGTCTTTTTATCATTGATCAGTTGGGCACACTAAAGAACCTAAACCTGTGTAAAGGACAATGACAGACTGGTAATGACAAGGTAACTCTACAGGGGACATACAAGAGCTGGAAAGACCAACTGTGGGAAGTTGAATGTAACCATTGTTTGCCCAATGGGCTAAAAATTTTCTTGGACCGAAACTCAATTGTTATTTAAATACCACGGATTTCGATTTAAAAGATGCATGTTTCATTAGCAACATCTTCTCTTCTTTCTCTTAATATTTTTTTTCTTCTGCAAATAGCACCAAACACATATAACACATATACATAACACATACAAAAATGGCCAGAACTTTCTTTGTCGGTGGTAACTTCAAGTTGAACGGTACCAAGAAGTCTATCAAGGAAATTGTTGACAGATTGAACACTGCTTCTCTACCAGAAAACGTCGAAGTCGTTATCTGCCCACCAGCTACCTACTTGGACTACACCGTCTCTTTGGTCTCCAAGAAGCAAGTTACTGTCGGTGGTCAAAACACCTACACCAAGGCTTCCGGTGCTTACACTGGTGAAAACTCCGTCGACCAATTGAAGGACGTCGGTGCCAAGTGGGTTATCTTGGGTCACTCCGAAAGAAGAACTTACTTCCACGAAGATGACAAGATCGTCGCTGAAAAGACCAAGTTCGCTTTGGACCAAGGTCTAGGTGTTATCTTGTGTATCGGTGAAACTTTGGAAGAAAAGAAGGCCGGTGTCACTTTGAAGGTTGTCGAAAGACAATTGGACGCTGTCATCGCTGAAGTCAAGGACTGGACTAACGTCGTTATCGCTTACGAACCAGTCTGGGCTATCGGTACCGGTTTGGCTGCTACTGCTGAAGATGCTCAAGACATCCACCACTCTATCAGATCTTACTTGGCTGAAAAGCTAGGTAAGGACACCGCTGAAAAGACCAGAATCTTGTACGGTGGTTCTGCTAACGGTGCTAACGCTGGTACTTTCAAGGACAAGGCTGACGTCGACGGTTTCTTGGTCGGTGGTGCTTCTTTGAAGCCAGAATTCGTTGACATCATCAACTCCAGAAACTAAGCATTAGTCTCTTGGGATCTATAAAGAAAATTTCTTTTTTTTGTTTACTGTTTAGATTGCAAATGCTCTTGCTTATAATGTCATAGAAGATAAATACGAATATAAATCACTTTTCATGCCAATGTATAATTATAATGATTATCTCAAATTCAACATCAATCATAGAATGAAATACTCTCAATTATCATACGGGAATATTTGGGGGTCTGTCTGCCCTACGTTACTAATAATGTGCATAAATATTAGTATATGTTTTACTTCTTACATATCTATCCTTTTAGTTTCACCAGTAATTTATCTCATTTTATTTGTTTAACTTTTGCATCCTGGCCTCTGCGGCTCTTGCCCTTTGCTCTCTCATTAATCTTCTTCTTTGATCTTCATTCAAAGAATCAATTTTATGAGAAGATAAGTTCATTAGACCAGGTGACCCAGAATCAAGCCTTCTGCCTTGCCCGTGTTTCAATTCAATTTCATCTGCACGAGCACTTCTTTCTTGTTTTTGTCTTTCCTTTGTCAATTCTAATTCTTTTTGGATCAACTTCTTAGTTTCAGCTTCATCTTGCTTCTCTTTTTCTGATTCTAATCTTTCTACTTCTTCTTTACTCAAAGGTACACCAACATGAGCTTCTTCCCAGTTTGTGTATTCTTCTCCAAGAGCGTGCCTGGCTTTTTGGAAACAGTATCTAACAGTATCATTCTTTGAAATATCCCAAGCGGTCTTACCAACATCATTAGGAATAGTCGGATCACATTTTACTGTTGTTAATAGGATAGAAACCATTTGCCTTAACCCTTGCTGGGATGCATAATGTAGCATTGTTGGCGTATGCACATATTTGTTCCTGGGTAGAAGTATAAAATTCCCATCCAGTTTATTCTTCTTTAAATATGACAGTAGTAAAGGAACACGACTCTTCTTCAGCAATGTAACAATTTGCTCTGTATGAACCTCTGCCTCACTTAGCTCTAGCTTTGGAACATCTTTCTTTTTACTTTCAGCATCTGGTTTTGAAATGGCCTTTCTGCTTGCTTCTTCGTTCGGTATAGGTTGTGGTTTTTCTACTGGCTTCATGTATGTCAGTTCACACCATATTCTTTTCAGCTCAGTAACAGTCGGTCTATTAGTGGTAAAAGGAAAACTCTTGATTCTTTTATCATCTTTGTTCAGGATTCCACCATCTAAGAAAATCTTTTTGTCTTGGACATTTCTTGCCCTGATATATATACTTTCACACTTATTCAAATATGGGCGCCACTTTTCCATCAAATTTTGAATGTCCGTCTTCAGAGCAGCCTCATTATATCTACGCAATGTGGAACCGGCAGAGTTTGCCTTACCCTTGGCATTATCCATAGCAGATTGTGACCCACCTTGCTTCCTTCTTGTTGTATACCTATGAAATGTTTTATGTTCCAAGAATTGAACACATTGTTCCTGTGGTGTTTCATCTACCCTCTTCGATCTTACAACACTTTTGATGTTACCACGCTGATGGCAAACAATGGCACCAGCAAAATGACCACCGCCAACTAGAAACAATGCAGAAATCGAAGTCATCCTTGTGTCATCCATGTTCCACTTCAATATTGTGTCCAAGGGCTCTTGGATGTTATCTTTATCAAACAAAGCCTTGTAAATACCATATGTCTGTCCGTTAGACAATAGTGGAGACCTAACGAGAATTTGAGGAAGACCTGTATTTAGGTGAAACAAGTTGGCTTGCGAGTCTTCAGTATCTGTTAAAAGTGGAGTAATTGGTTTGTCTATAATATTAATTTCATTCACCTTTCTTGAAAGTTCACCGCCAATTTCATCGATTTTTTCCAATTCATCCTCAGAGCTGTAATTGCTATCCGAGTCATTGCCACTATCATTGGAAATATCGCCATCAGAATCCCCTTCCACAATTTTTTGGTCTTTCTTAGCAGTATTTTTGCTTATCAACTCTTCAAACTGAGCTTGATTAAGTGGTGGCAATCCATTTAAATTTCGCCTGATATTCGCAACATGAAGATCGGTTTGATAATGTTCCCTGCCAATCGCTTCAGTACTATCAGCACAAACTTTACATTTCAATACTGTAGGAACTTGCTTATTCTTGACTTCTTCGATTGAAACTGGTGCTCTTTCCACCGGTTTGGGCTTCACTTCATTTCTGTATGAATCGAATTGTAACAAATCCAGCGAATTTAATAGAGCCTCAGGCAAATCATATATATAGAGGTCATGCTTTTTGATAGAGGTATCTGACATACTGGATTCGACTAGATATTTCTCTTCGCTCAATAAGTTGTAGTTAATATTATGCTAGCTTGTTCCTTATTTTACTGTTTAATACTATTTGCAGTGAAATTGTCAAATTTCCAAGTTTTTCACTTTTGCGATGAGCTAGTTAACTAGCTTCGGTCTTACTATCTAAAAAAAAAGAAAAGTACCTTTAAAAATTAAATAGTAACAGTTAGAATCACACAATATACATGGTATTATTCATAGTATATACAATAAAATAAGATGAGATGCATGAAGATTTGAATAATAGAAACACAATGCAAATTAATATCACTCTATATTAGAAAATGTTAATCTAGGCAGCTTTGTTAAAATGTGTGTATTAGGCAGAACCAATTCTGTGGCATTCTTCCAGAAAATGTCTGATCTTTTCCGTGTCCATGAATGGATGAGTACCATGACCGAAGTTAACGATATAGTTCTTCTTGCCGCCACCAAAGCCTTCAATCATGGTCTTCGTCTTCTTTGAAATTATTTCATCTGATCCGTACATAACACCTGGATCTAGGTTTCCTTGCAATACCACACGGTTGTTATTTATCTTAACGGCTTCCTTTGGATCCCAACACCAATCTAAGGAAACAACATTGTAACCGGAGTCACACAGCTTGTCCAAAGCATACCATGATCCCTTAGCGAAAACTATCATTGGAATATGTTCCTCAACGCCCAACTCCTTGAGTCTCTTAGGAACTTTAGTAGCGATTTGTCTCAGGTAAGGCAAGGAGAACTCGTCGAAGTCACCGGCAGACAACTCTCCGCCCCAACTTTCAAACACTTGTAATATTTGGGCACCTGCAACCACTTGCTGGGCCAAAAACTCGACTGCGACGTCTGTGATAGCTTGCAACAACTTGTGAGATTCTTCTGGCTTCTCGTTTATCCATTGCTTGGCAAATCTGAATAGGCGGGAACCACCACCTTCGGTCATATAGACCAAGAGAGTCCATGGGGCACCACAGAAGCCAAAAAGTGGCACTTGGCCGTCCAGCTTCTTCCTTGTCAGAGTAATAGCCTCGAATGCCCAGTTCAACTCCTTTTTGATGTCGACTTTGTAGTCCAGAACCTTCTGCAAGTCTTCAGATGTTCTCAATGGCTCAGGGAAATGAGGACCTTTGCCTTCAACCATCTCGACTTTCATCCCCATGGCCTGTGGGATCACCAAAATATCACTGAAGATGATCGCAGCGTCCAGCAGACCGGCATACCTTCTAACAGGTTGGATGGTAATCTCGGAGGCCACTTCAGCGTCACGACACACTTCAAAGAAATCCCTGTTCCCCTTCACTTCATGATACTCTGGCAAGTACCTCCCGGCCTGTCTCATCAACCAGCATGGTGGCCTCTCAACAGCTTCACCTCTAGCGGCCCTCAATATCAAATCGTTCTTCAGTTCAGGAAACATTTGGTGCGAATGCTATGTTTGTTTGATATAATTGATTTACCAATTACTTCCCCCCAAAATCCAGCGAGGAATCTTATCTCGTAATATAGATAGCTGATATTTAAATGATTAGCATAATATTTATCACGCAAGGTACTACTATCGAATACTCCTTGGCACCAAGTCACCTCATCACCTATACGATGACAAAATTGACATAACAATATACGCAATGACATGTGATATTAACATTACATACGTTCACACATGACAAGATATCTTGACGTTCCGTAGTAGACTATTTCAGCAATTTTCTTGCTCCAGCCGGTTTGCCTCTGAGATAGTTTTGAACGAGTTTCAAACCGGACATCGGTCCCCGACCGTTTCTTGTTCTCGGACATCGGATAAACAGCACGCAAAAACTGGTACGGTTTTAGCACTTTTTTATCTTTTTTTTGAACTTCATTGCTTGACCGTTTACGAGGGCTCTAAGGAGGGTGTGGGATGCGGCAAAAAAAAAGATAATGAGGGAATGCGTGGTTTTATATTGAGATTCATGCCATGGATATCAATATGACTCTTAAAGTTTTTATATGGTTTGAGCTCTTGCCCGCGTCGGGGGTGTAGTTTCGCTTTCGCACCGAAATGCTTATCTTTTGCTTATCTTTCGAGACCATGATACCGCTCATTTGCTGGTGCATAACCCCGGGTCCCACTCCCACATCCCACTCCCCTCCCCCCATTCCCTTTGTTTTCCGACTAGAGAGTATAAAGTGACGATCACTTAGAACTGCACTGCGTGTATCTCTAAGATGCATTGCTTTTTTTACCTTCTTGCGTTGTATCTCTGGTTTTCTCCCTACAAATACCTCTGTGTACAGCAGAACTCGCTCCAGCACCGTCTTGGCACAGGATAGGTCAATCTCTTACCTGTAGAAACACTTAAATAAGCGCAGCCTCCCTCTTCCCCCAGTTTCGCCCCAGCGTCCTTCTGTGTATGAGCCTTGTAGGTGCGACACAATGCATTGAGAGTTGAGAGAAGCCCACGACAATGAAACACACGACAATGAAACACACGTACACGGTCCCCTTGGACTATGACCCATTTCATTTTATTGCCCCCCCTACACAAGCAGTGCATACACCCGTTGCGGTCAAACCACCGTACCAAGCACTGCCATTTCACCCGAAAAAAGCAATTTTATTGTAACCCATCCCATTCCCAGATATCTAGCTTGCCAAAGAATGCACCGCACAAAGATATCTGAACCTAAGCACTCTGCACCTATTCTTAGGAAATATGACACATTTCATTTGCAATTTTGGTCCCTTTTTCTTTCTTTTTTGATTCATTTTCCGGGGGGAGCCCTCTAAGTAGCGCCTGGGGGGGTTGGGCCTCGAGGATTTTTGGGCACTTTTCTCTTTTGGAAAAAAGTATGAAAATTTTTGAACTTGATCTACCTCGACCCTCTTCTGCTTAATTGTGCAAGTGATGCCCTGTGATAAAAGCTTTGAATTGGCAAAAAATTGTAATTACAAGCTAAGTTGCACTCTTTAACACATATATATATGTACATGGCCTAGGAATTGAATTAAATAGTATCTTGATCCTGTAGAGCCTAAACCAGCAAAGTAATGAACTCTAACGATCTATTGTCCGAGGTTAAAGTGTCTTCTTCGGAAGACTCTCAAATCCTCTCCAAGAGTAACGACTATGTACACGAACAGAACCATATCATAGAAGGTGACTACGATGATGACGATAAGTCGTCGTCATCGCATAACCTGAGGTCTAGGTTCGATGTTCAAGTCAAGAACAGACACTTACAGGGATTCATCGATTCTTTCAAGAGGGCCGACGACTCTCCAGACCACAATGACCTCGAGAAGACCACCACCGCACACCAGGAGCAGAAGAAGACCATGAAGTCCAGGCACGTCATCATGATGTCCCTGGGTACCGGTATCGGTACGGGTCTGTTGGTCTCCAACGGTAAAGGTCTGTCCCTGGCTGGTCCCGCCTCTTTGGTCATCGCATATGGTCTCGTCTCCTTCGTCACTTACTTCATGATCCAGGCAGCCGGTGAGATGGCTGTTACTTACCCAACTCTGCCCGGTTCCTTCAACGCTTACACTTCCTTCTTCATCTCAAAGCCCTTCGGTTTCGCTACAACTTGGCTGTTCTGCATCCAGTGGCTCACCGTGCTGCCTTTGGAATTGATCACAGCAGCTATGACCATCAAGTACTGGAACACCTCCATCGACCCAGACGTCTTCGTCATTATCTTCTACGTGTTCCTGATGTTCATCCACTTCTTCGGTGTGCAGGCCTATGGTGAAACAGAATTCATCTTCAACGCTTGCAAAATCCTCATGATCGGTGGCTTCATCATCTTCGCTATCGTCGTCAACTGCGGTGGTGCCGGTAAGGACGGCTACATCGGTGGCAAGTACTGGCACGACCCAGGTGCCTTCGCATCCTCAAACGGCGCATCCAGATTCAAAGGTATCTGCTACAACTTGGTCAACGCATACTTCTCCTACGGTGGTAACGAACTGTTCGTCTTGTCCGTGAATGACCAGAAGAACCCAAGAAAGTCCACCCCAGCAGCAGCCAAGAGTAACGTCTACCGTATCGTGGTCATCTACTTACTAACAATGATCTTGATCGGTTTCGTTGTCCCACACAACAGCTCTGAACTGCTAGGTGCCAGCGGCGGTAACGGCTTGCACGCATCCCCATACGTCTTGGCAGCCTCCATTCACGGTATCAAAGTCGTCCCACATATCATCAACGCAGTCATCTTGATCGCATTGATCTCAGTGGCCAACTCCTCCTTATACGCCGGCCCTAGATTACTGAGCTCCTTGGCTCAACAGGGCTACGCCCCAAGGTTCTTGAGTTACGTCGACAGAAGAGGCAGACCTTTGACCGCTTTGCTACTTTCCGCTTTGGTCGGTGTCATCGGTTTCGCAGCTACCTCCCCAAGAGAAGAAGAAGTCTTTACGTGGCTCGCTGCCATCTCAGGTTTAAGTGAACTGTTCACATGGACCTCCATTATGTTCTCACACATTAGATTCAGAAGAGCAATGAAGTTGCAAAACAAATCGCTAGACACATTGGGATACAAAGCTAACACTGGCCTGTGGGGTTCTTACTTCGGTGTAGGTTTCAATATCCTTGTGTTTGCTGCTCAATTCTGGGTCGCCCTATCTCCACCAAACTCCGGTGGTAAATGTGATGCCAACTCCTTCTTCGCAAGTTACCTAGCCATGCCAATTTGGTTGGTGTTCTATTTCGGCTACATGTGCTGGTACAAGGACTTCACTGTCTTGACTGATTTGAATCAAGTGGACTTGGATAACCACAGAAAAGTTTATGACCCAGAATTCTTGAGACAGGAAGACCTGGAAAACAAAGAAAGATTGAGAAACTCATCGTTCTTGGTGAAAATCTATGAGTTCTGGTGTTAAAACACTTTTTTCTAACGCCCGCTACTTTTTCACGCTATTCATGTCGTCACAGAATTTCCAGTCATAATATATTTGCATAATATTTTCTTCTGAAGAGCATAGTTTCCATTACGCATTTTTTGTATTGAACTCCATTTAAATTAAAACTAATCAACAATACAAAAAAAATAAAACAATAAAAAAACACAATGGTTTTCTGAAAATGTAATACTTATGCTTTATCAATTATTATTATTAGAGAGTTCGCCGGCAACAATTGTAATAATAATTTTATCCCTCTTTGCCTTTTTATTTTAATACTTCTGTACATTGTTCCCAGCTTTTTCGTTTCATTTTCCCCTGCAATACATAATAACTGCATTTAAGTAATAATATTATCGAATAATTTAATTAATTTGCTAATCTTTTCTACACAGTTTTTGTTTTATTATGTGACTAATTGTGTTCTCGAAGCCATACTACTGCAACAACACACTTTGTCATTTAGCATTGTATAAACCTGCGCCGGGTAAACTTTGAAAAAAAAAATTCCACAATATTTGATCCATCCGATGAGCTGCTCATCACGAAGCTCATCGGGCATAATAGCATTACTGTCTTGCTGTATACATTCGATATGTTAGCTTCAAGTCGGTATTATGATCCCCTAGTATTTCGTATAATTCAGTTTAATCTGTGGCCAAATATAGTGGCTAAGTGAATCATAACATTAGGTCTACCACACTAAAAGCAAAACAAAACAAAATACTAGATACTAGTTGAGTATGCTTTCGTTTTGTCCCTTATGCAATAACATGCTGCTGGTTGCAACATCAGATAATGGTGTATATAATCTAAGTTGTCGATCTTGTCCCTATGAATTTCCAATAGAAAGTATCGAGATATATGACAGGAAGAAGCTACCAAGAAAAGAAGTCGATGATGTGTTAGGTGGTGGTTGGGATAATGTTGACCAGACAAAAGTACAATGTCCGAATTACGATACGTGTGGTGGTGAAAGTGCATATTTCTTCCAGTTACAAATTAGATCGGCGGATGAGCCAATGACAACATTCTATAAGTGTGTCAACTGTGCTCATAGATGGAAGGAAAACTAAACAGCATATGGTTCTATTCCTCCTCATATTCATAAATTGGCATACCGTATTGATATCCATTTAGTTGACAGCAAAGGAAGCTTTATTTGGACGTATGAATATTTAAAAATGAAAGATTCATTTCGAAGCTGACATCATCCTTACCTAAAAAAATTGTACAATAATATCTACACATTTTATGATCAAGTCATATTTAAACGAACCTTAGTACTATTTAGTATTGACTTAACAAATAAAAGCATCGCCTATAATATATGCTAGGTATATATATTTATATATCCCTCCTCGTCAGTTAATAACATGTATGGTTTATTTTTCAACTGAAACACATTTACAGTCATTACCCTGCTGCTGGTATAGTTAGAATTGTTTACTTCTTTTTGATAATTATGCTTTTGCAAGGACATAGTCAATGATGCAGTCACTTGTAGTACAGAAAATGAATGTAATTCCACTTTAGAGCCAGCAAAAGTAGAAGACTTTTCTGGATTTCGAGTATCCAAAATATGCAACAATCGGCCAATGTCGTCCATGTACAACACCTTATTATTGAAAATTTGAACAATGGGCTTGATATTTGAATTATTCTTCTCAAAAGCAAGCTTATCCAGCTTGTCAGCATCAATAACATTAAAACTATCCAGGGAAGGCTGCTCATTTGATCTGACAAACACATGCTTGCAGCTAAGTTTTTCTATATTCCATAAAGTAAAAAATGCGCTATCAACACCTCCACAAACTACCAAGAGAGATTTGTTCTCTTGTTCCATAATCGCCAATTTGTTAATAGGCAGTGATTCTCCAAATGTCCACGCTCTTATCTGCACAAAATATCTTGCATCCCACATTTCAATTATACCTGATACTGTGCCAAAAAACAAGAGGTTATTTTTATCATCTAAAACCATAGATATAGTACAGCCATAATCAGCATTCAGTTCTAGTTTTTCAATAACTTTCATGGTTCTTATGTCAAACAAGTAAACATTGGAGTAATTGGACAGCACAACTAATTGAAATTGGTCATTATTTGGACAGCATTCTATCTGGATGGGGTATTCCGAAGAATTCTCTCCAATTAAGTTTAGTGAACGAATGCATATAAGCTCTTGAAGGTTTTTCGCCTTTCCATTTTTCGATAGAGAGATCCTAAATATCAAAATTTCACTAGATTTTAGGCCCACACAAAAAGAGTCATATCCAGACAGGCCCTTAATACAAGTAATCTCAGCAGAGCATTCATAGTATAGTGGCCTTGTGATAGACTTTTCATTTGCTAGCCTATCTATATCCCACACAGTCAATGCACCTTGGTCTGAACCATAAATCATGAAAGATTTCGTTCCTAAAAGGACTTCTGATTGCAATAGCGTTCCATCAAAAATCTGAGGGTATGATCTTACAAACTTTCCATGTAAATTAATAACATCGGCTTCAGCAGTTGTGTTTTCCGAAACAAATCCAAACTCCTTGTATTCTTTCAAGGATGGCAAAATATTTAATTGCTTCAAATATTTTTCTATAATTTTATCTTGACCTTCATAACTACTCTTGACAATAAAATTCGCTGGCTGATTCCTAGCGGATAAGTGTGCATGTCCTTCACTGTGATTGTTTGTTGGCTCTAATTGCACATATATATTCTTCAGGTTTGATAATGTGGTTGGAATTCTTGGAGTTTTGAAAATGAGAGAGCCTTTCATTTCGATAACCTTAGAATGATTATCAGTAAATGTATTAGATTCAGATTCTTTAATGCTATTAGTGTTTGTTACATCGAGATCATTAAATGTGAGAGTTTCGGGATGTAAAAATTCTATGTCAAAAAACACTGTATTCGGCATGACATTTTCAATTGAGAAATTACTAGGTGTCAGACTTAGCTTTGATACAATACTGGTTACTGTTTCTGGTTTCTTTGATGATGATCTGCTGCTGCGTACAACGTATTCTCTTAAGGCTACAATCTTCCACAATTCATTGTCTGTTAATCCTGAGTTTTTAAATTTATCTATCCAAAACTTATCTTCAAGTGTTAGGGGAATGTTTTCGTTTTCATTTGTATGTAAGTGAATATTAGATTCCACTTTCATTGTTTTTAAACCATAATTCTCCTTCACATATCTCTTGTCGACAAAATTTATCGTCGAGTTGCCGAATGCATCTACATAGTTTGTAGTAACTCTTTGCCAAAAGAATGTTTTCTTGGATCTATTATTCCAGCTTCTTAATAGGTTGTAAGTATTTCGAGAAACTGGCAATTTTGCGCAGCTTATTAGCATATCACCAGTAAAATCAACATCAAAATCAAAAAAAGGTCTCAATACGGGATATAGCACACAGTAAACTTCTGCTTTACTCATTTGGTTAATACATTCAACTAGGGTGGTTAGAACAAAATTTCTTATCCAGCTATTTGGGTGTAATATCAATGGAGATAAAAATTTTGTAATATCATAAAAATACTTTTTATTAACGAATCTAGTTTTTAGAAGGTCTTTCAAATTTTTTAAAACGCTTACCACTACTAATTCTTCTTCATCAGTTATCGTTTGTATTATTAATGGAAGAATATATTGCTCCATAGTGATCGGACCAAGAAGTATTGCGATTCCTGAAATACACTCTACTAAATACATTCTCAGCGCTGGATCTCTATCATTCAAGTATGTTATTAGATGACTTAGAATAACGTCGTTTGTTTTTTCTCTTCCAAAGTATTTACACAGTGGGAGAATATTTTTCAGAAGTGCGACCTTAACACTGATTTCAGGATCAGTTAGTATTGATACTGTCAAGTCTTCAAATAACTGCTGTAATTTACGGGAGTACTTTCTTATTACTTCGATACTTTCAAAATCATGAACAATATTTGGAATTGTTGATGACTGCATTGTGTGACAATATTCTTGAAAAAGATTTGCTTTTAATGCTAGATCACTTAAGTTACTGGCTATTGCAACCCTAACTAAACTCTCTTCTTGTCCATTCTGAAGCAAAGCTTGTACACGAGGAAGTAAGTAATCAACAAAAATATTTTCGTTTAGTTGATTTGGATGTTTCACTTCCTTTATGAGTGTAGTTACACAATTCATTGCCATAACTTTAACTCTAGTAGAGTCATCTTCTAGAGCAGCTACAAGATATGGCAATGTCCGGTCTAATTTTGTATCATCTAACACAAACAATGAAAAGGCTAAAATTAATTGTAAAGCTTTGACTTTATTTTCTGGAAACTGGAGATTTCTGAATTCCTTGCACAAGAACACTAAAATTATTAATGAAACTTCATTCTGTATTGACGCGGTAATTTTATCTGTTTCATAATTTTCCAATCTTAAAAGTTTATCTGATACTCTCAAAAAACTGTCTTTTGTATTATAGTTCATATCCTCTTGATCTAATACGGGAAGTTTCAGACTTTTACATATTCTCCCAAAGTCGCAATAAATTTTTATCAATATTTCGTCTATACTTCCTAAATGATCTTGTAGCGTGGTGTTGACCTCAATTTGATCAGCACAAGGAACACTGGTGCCTAGGGTTACCAAAGTTTTACAGTAATCATATAAAAAATCATAAAACGTGTCTGGAAAATAGATTGTTCTATATTTCTCTAGTAGTTCGTGTGCTGATAGTCTCTTCTTGGGGTCCACTTGCAACATATCCTGAAGTATATCTTTGAGTACAGGTGAACTTTTCGATATAGTTTGGGGAAGAATGTCATTCAAAGTATAATCACCACTTTTGTATTTGAACAATTGAGACAAATTGAAAAGCGCTGCTCCATCTAGATACAGCTCCGCTATACAGCATCCGAGACTGAATATGTCCATTTCCTTTGTTGCTTGATGTACCCCATCACCTGAAGCCTTAGCGGAATCAAACTTTTCTGGTGCCAGGTAGCAAGCTCTTCTTTTTGAAGTATCAAAATAAAATGAAAACTCGCCAGGGTTATCATCTGGAATGTATGCCGGTTTTATATTAGAGCAAAAATCAGAGAGCACCACCCAATCCCAGCTTGTTAATAACAGATTCTCGGTTTTAATGTCACCATGGATTACATCGAGATCATGTATATCTTTCAATGCCTGTAGCAACTGGAACACAACAAATTTGGTCTCAATCTCAGTGAAATAAGGTCTGGTACTTAGTCTATCATATAAATTTGTCTTCAAATGTTGTCGTACTAGGTACCCACATCTTGTAGATTCAAATATTTTGCTATAGTTCAACACATTGGGTAATGCACTAAGTAATACTGCTTCTCTTTTCAATCTCTGTATGATTTTCTCTAATGAACTGTCTTCCTTGGGCTTTATAAACACTTTAACAACTATTTCACCATTAGGATCCAGGGCCTTACATGTCTTCAGAAAGCGTGAGTTGTTTAATTGAGACACATAATGAGTTTCATCTAATATATCGATGTATGAGAAGATACCAATCGATGGTGCTGTCTGTGCCAGCAAAGACAACTGTCCACCCATCACTTCCAATTTTTGGCCTACACACTATATGAGTTGATGTTTACCTTGTTGTGATAGAACTTCTACTTATAGGAAACAATGCCATGCTTTGTGCTTCTTATTCAGTTTTAAAGGGTTATTGTGTGAAATTTTGTTGACGTTTGTTGTTATAGCGGGAAAATACAGTAAGATGGGCATCGCATTAAACAACGATGGGTAGATGTAATGCCATAGAATGTTTAAGTAATGGTTCTATTTAATAATATACAATAAGACTTGTTGTTGTTGAACAAATATATACTGCATGGGTTTGCGCATACTAGTTGAAGGTGTAAACCAACAACTCATATCATGGGAATGGCAATAACCTTCTTATATTCTGAAATATTCATGATCTAATTGCTCAATTGGAGATGTTTCATGAAAGCCAGATTGTTTTGTCAGGATCTCTAGATTTCTGGCAGAGATCTTCTCCACTTCTTCGTTATATAGACCACAGAATTCCAGAGCCTCGCTTGGTGGAATTGTCTTTCTCCCATCTTTCAAGACATACTTAGTTAAGGACAAAGAGCATAGGTTCTTACCATTGTTTGTTGTGAACTTACTCATGACATATATCCACTTATTATCCCAGCATAGGATGGATGACTTCACTGCATACTTTTGGAATGGTTTGATCTCTTTCAAGAAATTGGTAAAAACATTAGCGACAGGGACGTAAGGCCATTTCTTAGCGTTAATAAACAATTTTTGGAAGATCTTAGTCATCAAATCACCTCTAGATATGTCTAATTCCTCGAAGTAAGTGCTGTTACTTTTGTGGAAATAAAAATCACACTCAAAAGGGGACGCATAAGTATCTAATTCAGCATAGGCAAAGCATCCATACTTGTTAGACTGAAGTTTCTTGATAATTGCAGTATCTTTACCAAAGAAGTATGGGCTAATGATGTTCCCAAAAGTGTAGTAATAGAACCTGAAGAAATAAGCACCTGGAAGTGACTTAAAGGAAGAAACAAGGTATATTATGAACAATATAGCCAAAATACCCATCTTTATTCGCTAATAGTATTTGATCGGCCTAGTAACTGTATATGAGATACTTCACCAAATATAGATGGCATATATTTATACCAATTGAATCACCAACGGATGAGCAATTGGATTAGACAATTGATCTATTTCGGTGTAGTAAGTGGTGGTGTTATACCCGATGCATTATCGCGTCCGCAGTGATGGCAACATGAGTATAGCTATTCTGCACTCACAGTAGCAAATTCAAGAATTAATCGGCATATATATACTTAGTAAAACACATCTATTTTGGTACTGAACTACTGAAAATGATCGATTAAGCTTGGGACACAAGTTATGAAACTATAGGATCTCACAATAAACTTGCTTTAATACCTTTAGCAAGATTAACTCGTTTTATACGTGTAACAGTTTTAGGATTCCATGTCAGCTTGAACTCTAACAGGAATACTGCTCATCTAGCACAACAATAGCCTTACAATACCCTTGAACAGTAATACATGAACGTTTTCATGGTGTATTGCCAACAAATTTATAAACTGGATGCATAAGCGGGATAGAGATTTCCTGTAATACCTAGCTTTCTAAATCCTGAAAAGAATTAGTGGGCACACGACGACGACAACAACAGCTAGTCCCAATCAAGAAACAGTGGGCGGAACTAATAATCGAATCAGAATATCAATTAACATTTCAGCATGCCACCTAAGGAGGTGAAAGACACTGTTAAGAAATCTGGTCGGGGGAGAAAGAGTAAAGAGGATGCTGCGAGTTTGCAATTTGAACAAGACTGCATAAACGCATTCACTAGGCGTGTACTAAAGGAGAAGGCCGGAAATTACAGGCCTTTAAAGAGGGGTATTGATGGTAAATTCATATATCCACATGCATCTGGCGTTACTACAAATAGAGGCAACAAACTGTTGCAAGGGAGCGAACTGATCTCCAGGAACAGATTGGACACATCACGGCCGTTAGAGGAAGAGAAAGTATTCTACAATGGTTCTGAGCATAGACTTCTCCAAAGTACTCGAAAGAGAATGAAGTTCCCTACGATTCCACAATCTGAATCAGTGCTCCAGACGTTGCCTACAGATGATCCATTGGAAGAGGACTTTGATGAAATAAATAACCTGTCAAAGCTTGTAAATGTACGGGAATTATTGACACCAATATCATCATTAGCTGATATTTGTAAAAGGGATTCTATCAAAAGGACTTTTAATAGGACTATTCTAAAAGATTTGGCACTGAACTGTATTTTGATGATTGAAAAAGAACAAAACTCAGTGACTACTTACTCACAACTACTGGATGTATTTCTAGGTGACTACCCAACGCCAATATACGAAAAAACGCTACGATTACCTAAATATGATCATAGTCTCACGTTGAAAGAAGAAGACTTAGAGGACGGATCACAATTAGAACTTATAAACTCGGATACAAGGAACGCTAACGATAAAGATAAACAGGCCAGGGTTACAATGTTTACTAGAAAAATACCTACACATACATATTATGATCTACTGGAGGAGTCTAAGACACAACAAGATGATAAAACTGATGACGAAATAGCAGAAGAAGATTCTGATCCATTCTTCGCAGTACCGAATTTGGCCCTACCAGAATCCTACCAGAAGTTATTACCAGAAACTGCTTCACCTAGAGTTTTGGAAGAAGTAGAAAATGCAAGGCAGCTAGTTCAGATAGCATTACAGAGAAATCAAGAATTCATAAGGAACCTTCAAAAGATCAGGGGATGTATTGTTAAATGCAATAGAATTAGAGAACGTATTACTTCCTGGAGTCGTGAATACGCAAGTATACCCGAAGAAGGTGTTACAGTGCCGAATGCGTTAAGAGCAGCTAAGCGTGGTATCATAAGTGCCACGACAAATAGATCAATGAGTGTGGATGAAGGTGTACGAGATGGTCAGGGTGATAAAGAGGATGAGGAGTAGGACTAAAAGTATGTTGGTGCGTACTAAGCAATTTTTTGTATCATTATTTTATACCATGGGTTCATCACATACAAGTATAGTTTAACAGTTGTAGTTACGGATAGAGAGGATTTTAATAAATAGTTTATGATTACCAGAGTATTTGTAGCATTTTATATTTAATTTATTATTATTAAGGAGACTTTGTAGCAGAGCAAATAGGAGGGGCAATCTTGACTAATTCGTGAAATATTTCAATAACTATTCCCATACATTAGAAGTAGTGTCCAATACTTTAGTGAAGTTGGAGATATTCTGGGGTTCTTCAGCTTCTTGGAAGAAAGGAGCAACACATGTTTTAACTACATCATCAAATAGTTCATATATCAATCCTTTCAAATCATTACCAGTTTGTTTAAAATCAGGGTAAGCATTGATTTCTAGAATCTTGACATTAAATGAACTGTCTACCAAGAAATCAAATCCAAAGGTCTCGAAAGCATTTCTTAACGGTTGGAAATTCATTCTATCAACGTTTAAGGCCGCTAAGAAGATATCTTTTGCAATCATATGGATCTGTTCGATAATTTTGCTTTTGTCTTCCCTGCTTATATCAGTCAAGTTACCAAATTCCATAACAGCCAAATCTTTATCCGCATCAGACTGCAAACATGTGTTTGTCAAGTGGCAGCCTAATTTATCCAAGTCGGTTGGAGAGTATTCTTCGCTGTCTAAGGCCGAGAAAGGTTTAGGAGCAAATAATGCCAACATTCTGTCGTACACATATACTTCAAGATCACCTTTGCATGTAATATAGCATCTTATGTGAAACTTCCTGTTCCCCATTGAAGGAAGTAAGAGTGGATCAGCCATGTATTCTTGAATGATGAAGTGTCGTAGCTGTGATATTATAATTTTATTGTCATCGACAGTTTCCTCGTCTATTTCCTCATCGGTATCCTCTTCATCAAACGAGTCAAATACATTCTGTAGATCCTCGATTGTCTTGAACACTCTGATACCTTGAGCTTTGTCACTCATACTTGGTTTAACGATCCACCATCTGTCGTTTTTTTCTAATTCCTGGCGCAATTCCCAATTCTCATCTAGTGCATCATCCAAGAATTCCGCGTAATCTAAATCAATGGTGTATGATTCCATATATGCTTTTTTAAGTATTGATCCCGGATGTTTTGAAACATATCTTTGGATTGTATGCGATAAATAGTGTTTTCTGATGATGGCTTTTCTATAGATGTAAGAGTTAACCAAGTAGTTTTGGGAATCCATGACTCTATCCAGGTCAAAATCTTCATAATCGCCATACTGGAAAACTTTTCCCTTTCCTGATGGGGCTGCATCTAATGTGTCTAGGATAGGAATATGCAAATGTCTCGCTATAGATTGTTGTAAGGGTTCATAGATGTAGCTATTCCTGGGGATGGTCAGCACAGCCACGGATTCGTCATTTGATCTAGTTGTTGAAGATCCCAGGTCGAGTTTACCGACCAGGTCAGGGACCGTATGGAAAGCCGCTCTGAGTGGTGTAACACATATACGCCTCTCCTCGATGATGTCCATGTCGTACTTGACATCTGGGTCACAATGCTTTGAGGGTCTATGGCCTTTGAAATCCGGCATCCACTCAAAAGAGATCATCTTGGACTCGTTACCGTCCTCGATGTCGTTGTTCACAGGTCTGTTGATCTTTGGCCCGTTATAGATCGTAGTCCATCTATTCTCCCAGATAGGTGCGTAGTATGCCTCGGTTTCAGGCCCGATGCTATCGATCAGTGGGACGTTAACACTGTACAGGTCAGCCTGTGTGCTCCAGTTGCCAACCAAGTGCTCGATCACATCGACACTTCTGGCGGAGGCCCTTTCCATCAGTTCATTGGGGACATCCTTGCGGCCATCGAAGAAAGCCCAGGACAGCGCAATGGCCCTGGTGTCATCGCATATGACTGCCTCCATAGCGGCGCCTACGGTACCACTCGAGGTGATGTACGCTGCGGAGGTGTTCCTGCCGACATTAGGGCCCGAGATGACCAGGTCGTACTTGTCCTCGAAGTGGTGCAGGCCGATATTGACGCAGGACGCTGGGGTGCCGTCGAGCAGAATCCACTCAATGGCATCCGCTGGTATGTCCTCGTTGACCTTCTGCTCCGGGAACAGCTCAATGGAGTCCCGCAGCTGTGGCTCGATGTAAGGCCCCCAGTATGAGTCGTCCGTGGAGTCCCGCTTGGAGTACAGGAACTGCAAGGACAGGTGCTTACCGGCTATGTGCGCCTTCCCTATCCACGACTTCTGTACGTGTGGCACACAGACTGTGATCTGCCAGTCTGGTCTGTTCTGCAGTATGTACTGCACAAATGGTCTGATGTATGGCGAGTACTGCGTATTCAGCGGGCCGTCATCGTTGGTAATCAGCACCTTCATCGTTGCGGGTATGTATGTATGTAGCAGTTACACATTTGTATATACAGTTTATAAAGGTTGTTGTCAGCAAAGCGTGAGGCACATCCTCTAGTGCCTCAGTCCCTTAGTATCAATCTCTCAATCTCCCATTCCCCCCCTCCAACCATCGCCCTCATCGCTTCCTGGACAAAAAAATGATCAAGGAAAGATTTTTTAAAAAGTTTTCTTGCAATCTACTAGTTATATACCAAGAGCAAGAGCAAGAGCAAGCCCAAAGAGAAATGTCTATGTGGTTGGACCCGCTTGCGGGACAAGAAGTGTCAGCGGAGCGCATGAAGCTGGCGGAAGTGCAGTTCGAGGCGATGCAGACGACCTTCAACAACATCATGGAGACGTGCAGGAAGAAGTGCATACCGCGGGATGAAGGGTTCAGCGAGTCGGACCTCACCAAGGGCGAGATGACATGCGTGGACAGGTGTGTCGCCAAGATGCACTACAGCAACCGTGTGATCGGCGCGTACGTACAGACCCAGCGCTTCTCGCCAGAGAGACAACTGCCGCACTACGAGAAGTTCTACCCCAAATAGCATCACCTCTCCCCCTCCCCCTCTTAATCTTAATCGGATCGACACACTGAACTTTACGCAGAACGTGGAGTTTCCAGCATACAGGGCGGCTATCCATGGTGGAGGGACAGTTGGTTTCACTGCATTGGACTCGCTACCGCCCTCGCTACCGCCCTATCCCCTCCAAGAGGAAGAACGTCCCATTTCCATTCCCACCCCTTCCTCTGCTTCCCTTCCCTTCCCCTCTCCCCCCCAAAAAACCACTCTACTTTGAACAGTTGAGCATTTCGAGAAAAAGCAAGATTCCAGCCACGATCAAAGCATGAGAGAAAACCCTGTACATATTAATTACACAACGCAAGGACACCCACACATCACTGCAAATCCCCTCCAAGAGGGAAAAAGCCCGTTCTCAGCATTTCACACCTGTTCTCGGTGGGTCATTTCCATCACAAGAGATTCACTCCCTTCCCCCGGGCTTGTGTGCACACGTTTCTGAGTGGGCCCCCCAAGATAGACCAGCGCACTCTCGCAAAACGCAATTTTTTCTTTGCTAGCTCTCTACACGTACATAGTGCTCTTAATAAGATAATCCTCTTTTGCATATCGCGTACCCTGCGAGTATCTCTCACAGAACACTCAGCAGCTCCCTATTTTCCCGATCCCCTCTTTATCGAGGTGTACTTGTACCCACTGTACTTGTACCACTGTGATGGTTTACTGTGTTAGTACCACACATTGTTCTACAACAACTGTAGCACACACTGTACTACAACAGCACATTGTGCACAGCAGCTCACACAACAACACATCCCAAACAAATTTTTCGTTTTCTTAGTGCTACACCTCCCATATATAAGCTCTCTCTATTATGGGCATCCACATAGTAAAGTTCTCTCTACCTCTTAACCCAATTTTTTTTTGCAAATGCTATTTTATCTTTTTATACGTTATTAAAGAAGTTCCCTTTTTGCTATTATACCTTTTTCTCTCTCCCTTTCTCAACACAGATTCTAAAACCCACAAAAAATACAAATCCCATACACCACATAACAAATGTCTGAGACAAGAGCCCCAAGAAGAAAGACCACCAGAAGAAAGAAGGACCCAAACGCCCCTAAGCGTGCGCTCAGCGCTTACATGTTCTTCGCCAACGAGAACAGAGACATCGTGCGTTCGGAGAACCCCGACGTGACGTTCGGTCAGATCGGTAGATTGTTGGGTGAGAGATGGAAGGCGCTAACCGCCGAGGACAAGCAGCCTTACGAGGCCAAGGCCGAGGCCGACAAGAAGAGATACGAGTCTGAAAAGGAACTGTATAACGCCACCCGCGCTTAAGAACTACTTTGTAACTCCATTACAGAGAGTAAGAGAGAACCAAAAAAAAAACTAAAACAAGCAAATTAATATATACATTATCATATTCTTTTCACTTCTTTTTACTAATTGTTTTATTAACAAATATATAATTTTGTATCACTGATTTAAAAATGTTGTGCGTATGCAGCTGCGTTCAGTTAGCGGCAAGATAAGCTTGTACGCGTCACCCTCGTTCAGGTAGTACCGGAACATCCGCTTCATGCGGATGAACCCCATGCCTTCATACAGGTTTAGCGCCGCAACGTTGCTCACCTCCGTCTCCAGCATCACTTCGTCGCACTGCATCTCCGCCATCTTCTCCAACGTGATCTGCACCAGCCGCTTCGCGATCCCGTGTCCGCGGTATGCGCTCGCCACCGCCAGCATACCGATGTAGCCGCGCAACCGGCTGCTGCGGTGCATCTCGCTCTTGCACACTATACACCCAATCGGCACTGCACCTGCAATACCATCTTCTCCATTCCCGTCCTGGCCGACTGCATCAGCATCGAACGCCAGGAATGTCAGATCTGGCCACTGGTTCAGGAAGTAACGGTACACATATATGGAGTACGGCTCAGAGAGATCGGCGTCTATAAGCCTCTTCAGCTGCTCGAAGTGCGCCAGGTTGCCTATGTCCAGGGGCCGGTACACTATCTTCATCCTCGCCCTCAATATGCTTTGGAGGGGTGGGGTGTCTGCCATTATCTTTCCATTCCTCTTTTTTTTCAACTCCGCGTATGGGGGAGAAGGGATAAAGAGATGAGCCTTATAAGAGATGAGCATTTTTGAGAGATGAACTTGATTTTTTTGAACTAGAGCTGATCTCTGCCATACCATCGCGCTGACACAATGGAGTACAGGTGTCTGGACTGCACCACAGGCGACACAATAGCCGTCGACCTCAAGGTCTTTCTGGACCTCAAGGAATTCAAGTCCTACCTGTCTAACAAGTGGGGTGTGCCCCGCGCTCAAATCCTGCTGCTGTACCCGTTCGGCATAAAGCTTAAGGACTCAAACTTCAGGCACGCCAGTGACCTCGAGTCTCCCGAGATTTACGTCTACGACAGAAGACTGTTCTCCCTGACCAACGAACCGCACACCGGCGCCGATGCCCATGCCGATTCCGATGCTGATGCTGATGCTGATACTGCAGATGTGGAACAGCAGGCAGCCCAGCTGCTCGACAGCTTGCTCGAGCAGAGAAGACACCCGCAGCTGCAGGACGACCTGATAAGACCCATACCGTCGCCGCTGGAGGACCTGAAGATAGCAGACGGCATCTCACACAGAACTGCAGTGAGCATGCTCACTACGAACCTCGGCTGGCTTAGCGCCCTCGAGATAGACGTAAACTACTACAGCTCCATATCTGATAAATGCAAAGAGGACACCCAGAGCCTCGCGCGGTGTCTGGGAACCTGCGAACAGTACTTGGGCCTCTACTGCTATGACGTAGAGCGGCTATACAATTCCAACGTCGTGTTTCTGGATCAACTGCATGAGAATAGCCTCCAGTCGAGATGGAAGGAATGCTACAAGAATACTCTGACAAAACTAGCAGGACTCAATGGCTACTTAAGCCAGTATGTGGATGAGGCAAAACAAATAGAAAAAGAAGTGACACTGAAATCTCTTGATGGAAAAGTGAACTCGAAGTTGAAACAGATTAAAAAAGAGCTGGACTCCTACGCTGATCAACGGAAATCGATTCAAAATGAAATAGAAAACTTGAAGAACATCAAGGATATGAAAAATGATGATAACGAATTGCATGAAATGCAGAAGAGCTTTGACTCTATAGCTGACACCGTGAGAAAAGCAAGTAGAGATATCCTCGACAAAGATGATGCCCTGTTTACTGATGAATATATCACTCAGGAGGTTGTACCAGTCATGATAGATATACAGAAAAAGGTCAAAACCCTGTTGACAGTATCTCAGGCCTTGTACGAGAATATGCATGAACTACTGACTCATAAGAGAAACTTTCAGATTCAGATCATAGTAAAACTAGGACAAATTGCCTGGATTCAGTTACAAATATCTGAACTAAAACAATACCTTTTAAATGACTGCAATGCAGACCTGACCTTATACAAGGACTTAGAAGTCGAATTTGCTCAAATCGAGGATTATCCGTTGATATATGGGCTATATTTGGTGGAAAAATATAGAAGACAGGTCTGGAAATGCGGAATGGCTAAGAATATGATTTCGATATCAAATGATATAAAAGAACGTTCAGCGGCCGAACTCACAACGAGAAAAAACTGGTATAAGAACTTTGGGGAGCTGTCCAAACCATTTAATGAAGATTTAACAAAATATAACGACCTTGATGAAATATCAAAATTGATGAATTCAGATTCACAATTCTTGAAAGAAAAATTCATTCAAGATTTGCGCAATGAACAGCGTAAACTAGAAGATGTGATAAAGAGCTTTATAAAAAATATGCATGATTTAGGTTTGTCAAAGGAAACTACTCAAGTTTTGGAGCAATCTTTCAAGGAGGCGTCAAATTCTAATATCTGCTCTCAGATAGATGTTACTTATGATCACCGCAGAATTAACAACGAAAATGACCTCATAAAAAGGTACAAAATTAGAATTAGAAAACTTGAATCGCTGCTACATGAACAAGGATATTCAAGTATTTCGAAGTGGCCATCTGGTGTTCTCAACCATACAGACAGGCCAAATTACTTTGCAGATAACGTTTCTCCCGCTGGTAGGAGTTTACTAGTTTCGTCATCAGCGCTGTTGGGTTTGGAACCTTCGGCGTCTTTGAAAACAGACGCAGAAATGTTTGACTTGAAGAAGGAGATCGGTGATCTGTCAGAAAAAGTGACTGCTCTCGAAAAAGATAACAAACTAAAGACGGATCAATTGAAGATTACCCATTCCAAGCTCATAGATATAGAGGTTGAGAAGGCAGCCTTTCGAGAGACATTGAACCATCTGAATAAAGAATTAGCGAGGCTCACGGTAAATGAGGAAGATCAAACTAACCTTTTGAAAGAGGAAAGGCTGAGGTTTAAGAAAGAAATGACTAGTGTGACTGTAGTCAATCAAAACTTAATGAACAACTTAGATGCTCTGCAAAAGACCTTTGAAGATGTGGAACTAGAAAATGCTCACTTAAAATCAAAACTGAAAGAATTGCAGCAAAGACAGGACCAATTAATTGAAGATAGTGCAAATGAAAAACTTGAAATAAAAAGCAAATACGAAAAACTTATCAAGGAAAAGGATGAAAATATGGGGCAGGCATTTGCTGTCACAAACAAAGCTATTTCTGGAGAACAAAACAAAACGGAAAGCGATATTATACATTCAAGTCCTTATCCTGAAGCCATATTACATTTGAGAACTGAGCTTTTTGATATCTTTTCTACCAACATTTATATTTTAGAGAACATTGGACTTTTACTCACAGAGACAAGTGCAGGCAAATTTGAAATCAAGAGGGTGAAGGGTCTGAAGAAGGGATTGAGTCAAAGTTTGTTAGACGAGAGTGCACAGATCTCACCTATTGACGGTGTTATCAACAGTGTAGTCTATAAAAATATTAGGGCACAGTATGAACAATTACCAAATGATAACAATATTTCCAACTGTGAGTTATTTATATCTTCTGTTAAAAAGATTTATGAAAATAAATTATTCGAAAGCGCTGTGATAAATCGTTTCAAAGATATAGAGACATTAGCAAAGCGATTGACAAAGGAAAATAAGTCTAAAAGGATTCTTATTGACTTATACCAAAATGAGCGATTAGCGGTTAAGGATTTTCGTGTTAATGATTTAGCACTATTTTTACCAACAAAGGAAGCGTTATCAGAAACTAAGTCTTTGAGCTCTTCTATGGCATCATCATTTTCATCAGTTGATCTATCCACACCTATCAGCGGAGCCAATAACAATATTACTGCATCTCGGAAAAGTTTGCATAAGCCGAATGTGAAGCATCCATGGGCTGCTTTCACTGCATTTAACGAATCTTCAAGATATTTCTTAAAGGATGAGAACATGGTAACTGATAATAAAGAATGGTTCATAGGAAAAATAACTGATATTCAACGACAAGTCGTTGAAAATATTAGCACAAACAACCCTTTTAAGCTTCCAAAAGATACCGTATGGTATCTTATTAGTGCGGAAATGATATCAATTGATTGAAGTCAATAGTTTGATTAAATGAACTCTCGATACAGAAATTATTAAATATATTCTTACTTATTAGTATATTATATGCTTTTCTTCTTCTTTAATAAATCAATGCATAATAATCCATAGCATAACAAATATTCACCATGTTTCCTGGATATATCTATATTCCTTCTCCATGCTTCTTAAATACTCCTTTGCGCTTGCATCATCTTTGAAGCCACCCCATTTTTTCAACATTTCAAGCAGAGTTAGTCGTATTTGAATAGGCATCTTACCAGACGCCCCACATAAAAAGAAAATACCCTTTCTTTCCACTAAAAGATTGGTAACCTCTTCTCCAAATTTCCAGAGCACATCTTGAACATATTTGGTATCTGGAGAATTCTCTCGGTCTCGAGAAAAAACTGGATAGAATTTGATTAAACCTTGATTAGCCATATCTTCTAATTCCTTCCCATGTAGGTAGTCTTTATCCTTGAAACGACAACCAAAATATAAAGACATCTCTGGAGAAACTTTAGATCTTACTGCAGATAATAGTGGTGCCAAACCTACTCCAGGGCCAACCATGACAAATGGGTTTGAACGGTACTCCTCTTTAATTAAATCATTTTGTTGAATTTTGTATCTTATTTTATCACCGACTTTTAGCTTTGAAATGAAATCAGTACAAACACCAGTTCTGATTTTTCTTAGTATAGTTTTGTACTTCACAATTGCAACGGTTAATTCTATATTATTGCAATTAGCCGTGCTTGAGATTGAGTATAATCTGGGCTTAATTGGCGGAAAAAAGTCCAAAAGATACTCCAATGGTAGGCGAATTGACAAGAAATCCTCCATAACCTCTAGTATCGATCTTCTAGGTCTGTTACAGTAATCGTATAGCTCTTGCATATCTTCATCAGTGGCAAATTCGTATAGTTTTTGCCGCTGATCCTTCATCTGTTCTTCTCCCCTCTCCATTCTAGTAACATCTGTGGCAAATGTCCAGATCTTCAGGAAAAAACTACTCCTTGGAATGCTCATAAAATCACAATGATATTTCAACAAGTTTCGCAGAGTTAAAGGCTGGACTACACCCCCATCTAGCAAATGTGTTGGTATACCATTAGTGAATGATAGTGGTTTGTCGGCAAGAGGAATCCATTGTGGTTGGCATTCAAGCATACGTTCAACAGATTGGTCTGTATTGTATGAATATAAAGCTACAGTATCACCGGGCTTATATTTAATATCATCACAAGATTCAAATGTGAATTGTCTAACATCTTGGAAATGATCTTTTGCTGTTATTCTTTTGTTTAGTGTTATAGTACCAGTTTTGATCAATTTATCACCAACAAAAGTAGTTGGACCTCCGGAAAAAGATTGTTGATCATGTGGATCATCAATCCTGAGATAGGTTATAGGTTCTAGGTATAATTCTTTGTCAATCTCTTCTCTCTGTATGATCTCATTACCAACTTTTCTGGTAGGAAACCTATCCATCAGGTAGGTAATGATTCTTTTTTCAAATTCAAAATATACTGATTCAATCCCTAATCCAGTGCCTTTATTACTTCCTGCCATAGATTGTTCATCGGCTTCCATACGATCAAATATCTCTTTGGCACCTAGTTGATTGACCATACGATTATGAATAATCCTTAAAGCATAATTGAATTTGGGGTAAGAACTATCACCTAATCCTAGAAATGCAGTCTTGATGTGATTTAGGAAGTCGGCAGGTAGCTTCTTCTTCTTTAAGAATGTCCATAGGGTATTTTTTTGATCACCTGTCACAGTTTCATAGACATTTCTTGGTAGTTCACCCTGTCCAGTTGTTGAGCATACAATAAATAAGTAGCGGCATCTTAAGATATCTTCCCTTTTATAATCTGCTAATGATGAGAATGTATGCTTAAAGTGAAGTCTATTGAGCTTATGCGAAAGAATAGCTGCAAAATCCTGAGCGTTTCCTGTTTCGGAGCCATATAGGACGGCTATCTTACTAGATGACATGAGTAAACCTTTTATCACTCAATTCTTGAATATCGTAAACGTTTTAGAACCTTGTCTCGCTCGTTGTGGTTTTTGACCTTTGGAACGTAGACCAATTTGGATGCTGATTTATATAGTCATCGCTAGCTCATCACTGAAATTTGTCATTTTTTTCAGCAAAATGAGATTACTAAGCTACAGTTGTAGTAATAAACTGTGAAATGAGCATAAGTTTTCTATGGATATCAATTAAGAAGGTGTAAGAGATTACTTCATTTCTTCAAATTTTATATATGTACATGTTTAATTTATTTACAGCGAATATGTTTTTGAAATATTCAGCACTTCGCATTTAATCAAAAAGTTATGATCGAAAGTAATAATGTCTAAAAGACTCGTTCATCATTGAAGGCATCTATCTTAATTCCACTTGGAACAAACGTATCAATTCTTCCTCGACTTTACTTTGCAATTTATTTACCTCGGCATTCGTTAAGTTCCTATCCATGGATTGGTAGTTTATTCTGTAGCACAATGACCTCTTTTTGCTTTTTGGATGTGTGAAATCGTCAATTAATTTCACACTTTCCACTAAATCGCCAGCGATATTTCTAACTATTTCCATCAAGTCATTTTCCTGAAGTTGAACTTCATTTTTTAATTTTTCAGGCAACCAGAAGGCGATATCTCTGTAGGAACCTGGATATTTGGAATAGGATGTAAAGGTTGTTATCTTGCCCTCCTTAAATTGATTATGGAACCTTTCATCTTTTGTCCATAGCAATCTAATATCAGGGATTTCGAACAGCAGCATAGCTATTCTATCTAGGCCAAGACCGAAAGCCCATGCAATTGTACTATCTGGTTTGTTACCGGAATTTATCAAAACTTGTTGTTGGACTAGGCCACAACCACATAATTCTAACCAATCACCTTCCCACCAGACTTCAATCTCCCAGGATGGTGCCGTCCAAGGAAAATAGGCTGTTATCCATCTTACTTTCAGTTCTTTTGGAATAGAAGGGTCATTAGCACCTTTTAAGGCTTTCATACTTTCAATTTTCTTATGGAAGACTTCTGAGACAACTATTTCAATTGACCTTTTCAGATGTTGGGAAACGAGATCGACCTCTAAGTCTGTCATATATTCTTGCTTTGGATTTACCTCTCTTGCAGTATTATCCTCGACAATCATATTGGTTTTTTCATTTCTTAATATGTCTTCTAATTCCCTGATATCAGTCTTTAGTTTTTTTATATGGGGAGCACTCTCACTAATATCATAAGTGCCATCAGATTTGATACTCCTGTTCCAAACTCTAGCACCTTCCATTTGATGGAAAGCTGGGTAGTGAGTTTTATCAATCTCATCTCTACGATACACATCTGCAGTTATTAAAAAGCCATCATTATTGTATTTAGGTATATTTTTGAAACACTCAAGTTCATGGGCTGAAGTATGAGTTCTTAATAGCGTATCTTTGTTAATATAATAAGTGTCAGATTTCGACCGGCCTGGATGATCCTTAGGGAACCCTAGTGAATCGAAGTTCTCGAACACAGATACTACTGGTTTAAATTCATCATACGCAGTATATGCTTTTTTACCGTCATTAAGCTTACCCTCAATTAGTTTCCGTAGTATACCAATAGGATGATTCGGCTTTAAATGCAATGATCTGTCTGTTAAGTCAATGATAGAGGGAGTAATATTGGTCATTTCCTCATCTGTATCATATGTTTTACCATTGATCTCGACGGTCTGACGAATTGAAGAGTATAAGCGAATATGTTTGTGAATTGCATTTCTGACAACTCTCAAGGGAGTCAATCGTACCACAATGTTGCTTCCCATTACTTTCCCGCCTAAAATATCTATCCTTTATTGTTTGTGGCTCAATGATTTATTTGTAGCGATATTCGAACTATATTCATGAGATTCTATCACAATTGGTTATCGACCTGGCTATCAGCAATTATATGTTCGTTTTGAAGTCTAGGCATTTGAATCACCCCCCCCCCCCCCGTCTATAGTGGGATTTTTGTCACTTTTGAGATGACTTGATGGACTATTAACAAGATATACTAAAGCTGCGCTAAAGTTACATCCATTGATTTATGGTTATACAATATTATATTGTGGTCATCTAAACTTATAATACTACTCCAGAGCCTGAGTAAACTTGGAGTGCTACGAGCAATTCACGCAATGTCTCGTTTTCTCTTTCAAGCTGTTCCTGTTCGGCTGTCTTGGCTGGTTTTGCAGGTGCATCTAATCCTTGATCACCGTATAGTTTATCTAGTTCTTGTAATTCTTCTCGAAGTTTCATGAATTTCTTCTGCTCATCGAAAATCTTTGTAGAAACATCAAGTCTTGCGTTGATTATTTGCATGCATTCAGTCTCTGTGCTATAATGTCTCTCCATTAGTGAGTTTAATCTCTCAGCTACTAAGTCTTCCAATGATCGCTCCCCGTCTTTGTCCAGTTGATTTACCCTTTGTAGTGTCCTTAATATGGCAGCACTTTCTTCGAGGCCGCACTGCATCTGTCGCCTCACTTTCATAAGATTTTCCTGTTCATCTTTGATAATAACTTTATGGTTGCTATTCGAACGCTCCAGATGTAGCTCATCCAGTACTCGCAGCAATTGTGTGTATAGATCTACATGTTCTCGCTCAAGCGCACATACACGCTCCCATTTATCCTCCATTCTTCTTCAATGCTTTGCCTCAATAGTTATTTTCTCTTGTTTACGTGTTTTCGAATCAATACACAGCAGGTATTAAGTTAAAAAAGGTATACTCAGCGTTATGTGCCGATTGCCCCCCAGGATATGTGGTAGAATGAAACAAGTATTTTTAACCTGGCAGTATTATTATAATATGTGCTTTCGTTACCCAAAAAAAATTAATGAGAGATAAGGGATTCGAACCCTTGCATCCGAAGATATCAGAGAATTTAAGCTTTAAGTGTTTCAACTCACCTAAATCTGACGCCTTAAACCACTCGGCCAACCTCCCATATTAAATGATCTGATGTGCAACACCAAACTGTTTCTACTTATAGGTAGTATAACTTTTTGGTTTGTGAGCGATTATTGTATTTTAGATCAGTGAAAGGTTACAAGTATGGCATGGGGTCTAAATAACTGAGATACTGATTATCATTTTCTATACTTTTATGTTGCCCATTTTAATTTTTTGTCTGTTCTCTTTTTTTGCTTCTTCCTTGCGCTTACTTTTTATTACATGCGCAATTGGTGAAGCGCTTTAATGAGAAGGTGGGAGCTATTAATCCAGTTTGGGATAAATAATATATATAAACTGCAGCTCATTGGTAAACGGAAACCATCGGTTGTATAAAGTAGTTTCATGAGCCGGAGAGTGGTGTTTTAGTACCTCTGATATTGTCACATGATGTACCTCGTTGACTTGCTTTTGGAAGCATTGAAAAATTGGTGGTTCAGGTCAAATCCTCATCACTTTCGCATTTTATCGATGAGGTTAGTTATATCAGACATTAATATTCCAATTCATTAGTCAAACATAGCAACAGTAACACATTGTGGAACCGATGTCGTATAATCAAGTAACACCAATAGCGTTGGGGCAGCGTTCAAAGCGGAAGATAGTGCCTAAGGCTGAACCTAAGGATGACAAAAAGATTGAGGTACAAGCTAACAAGGGCAAGAATGTTTTGAAGAAGCCACCTGTGGCAAATACTAATTCTGTTGTGAATCCAGCAGTGAGTGTATTTCCCCAACCTAACAAGGTAAGACCTTCTCGGATAGCACAAAAGGGACCTACGAAACAAAATAATACCAATGGTAGTAATCGAACCAACAAGAAGCTTAAGAGTAATGAGGGCAAAGTACGACATCCGAATAACAATAGAACTAATTCATCTGGCGGTTTATCAGAGACAGAAAGGAGGAGGAAAAGAGCAGAAAGGTTTTCAAAGGCGAACAATACGATATCCAAGAATGAATTGGAGCATGAGGATAATTTTTCAGACTTGAACTCTATTGGTACTAAATCTCATATCTTCAATAAAGATCAGAGAATTGTAGGTAGGTGTCAAAAGCTGGAAAAGTCCTACTTAAGACTGACATCCGAGCCCAATCCTGAAATGATACGACCACCTGAAGTTTTAGAAAAGGCGCTAGAAATGTTAATGGAGAAATACAAAAATAAGGAGGTCAATTATACATATTTGTGTGATCAGTTTAAATCTATCAGGCAAGATCTCCGAGTACAGATGATTGAAGATTCTTTCACAATGACAGTTTATCAAGAGCATGCGAGAATTGCATTAGAAAATGATGATCTTGGAGAGTTTAATCAGTGTCAGAGTCGTTTGATGGTTTTATATGACAACACAACAATAAAGAGGACTCATAGGGAAGAATTTACAGTATATTTAATCCTTTACTATGTCTTAATGCAAGATTATTCTGCAATAGATGCTCTGAAGTTGGAATTGATCAGAGAAAGAGGTAGATCTATTAAGAATGCAGGTATTGCTCTTGCGTTTGAAATAGCTGAAACCAGACTGGTCGGAAATTATCACAAGTTCATGAAATTATGCGCATCTTTGAAGGGTTTGGGCCAAAAGCTGATCAAGGCATTTATGGATCAGGAGATATTGAAAACATTGGTCACTATCTGCAGGAGTTATAACCAAGTGAATCTGGTGTTTCTAACAAAAGAACTCGAGTTCGAAACTGCTGATGAAACCATTCAATACTTAAAACGTAAAAATCTTGGCAATTACATTGTAACAAAAAATCTAAACATGCCAAATGAATTTAAATATTTAGACACGAAGGCCTGCAGGATAGAAGTTATCCAGGCTTATGCCAAATTGAAAAAGGTTGATATCAAAGGACAAAAATAGTCTTGTTAGTTTGCATCTTGTCTTGTTTTTATTTTGAAGGATTTGAAAAAGTATAATTATTAGTGGCACGTTTAGGATACAGAATATCCTTTTATTACAATAGCATTTGGTCTTATAAAGAATATTTTCAATTTATTAAATATTATGTATAAATATAATTATTTTTATATCTATTACACAAATAGAGCACAATTTTGGATTTTGTACATTATTATTACAATCGCTCAATGCGCTTCAGGTATAGGTGTAATCTCTATTGTTGAAATTAAGACTAAAGTCAGCATAGGGCATGACCTTCTTATCAGGAGCATTGTGCATATAGTACAGTTCAATTGGTTTTTTTTTTTTGAGTTATGTTAGTGTAGGATTTCCCCGTGTTCATTAAATCATGTCAAATAGATCATTATCTTTAGCCAACATATATTAATGTAGCAACACATGTTGTGCACTTAGTCAACTAACGATACATCTATTGCTAGCCGCCTAATATCGTTCAACTTTGCAAGAATCATACGATACATTATCTCGTCAGTCAACTCTACAATGTACCAACCTTCAAGTTTAGCCGTCATTTTTAGTGATGTTCTGTCCTTCAATGCTCTGATTTTTGATCTGAGCAAGGCGTGCAACTTATCCAGATTATCAATTTCACTCTTGGTACATTTAAGAGCGTAGTAATCTCCTTGGAATAGTATCTTAATCTTAATTTGTTGGTTGGCACTTGAAGGTTCTATGTCGTTGACCCAGTTAGTGAACGTGTCCTGTAGATGTAGTGGAGACTTTATGTCATAGATGACATCAATCAGATACGTCAAGTAAGTGTTGAACATTTGGAGTCTGTCAAGTTTAGTCGATTCGTCGACCTTTTCTTGTGCATAATTAGATGATGGCGCAGGAATGTTTGGAAGAGACATGTTTTCCTTCAATCCAGCCATGAGCTTTGTGTGCAGCTTATAAAATGCACTGTAATAGATATGCTTCACCTTTGTGTTACCTTCGGAGTCTTGAATCCTCACAGTATATTCTAGCCTATTATCCTTGAGTTCAATTGATTCCACTTCACATTTGGTTATGAGTTTAACTGCAAGGAAACTATCCTGTTTGGACCTCGGACTCTCTATACTCAGTGAGGTTTTCCTAGAGTAAGACGCCTTGCTAAAGGTTTTTGATACAATTGTTGATGGCGAAGTTGGGGGTGTCAAGTCGATAAGAGATGTGTTCCATTTTGCAGCATGGGGTTTTGCCGATAAGGTACAGTTCAGCTGTTTTTCTTCCTCAAGGTAAGAAGCTGGGACTAATCCGCATACCAGTTCATTTATGGGTTTCACATACCACATGCCATCGCCCATATCGCTAATCTTCTGAACCAACGAACCCTTTGTGACATGCAAATAATGGTCGATCAGTGGTGTACCATTAGAGTCTCGGAGTTCATTGGGATCCAAATGGGTAATATCAGAAGATGTCTCGGTTGGGTTGTACGTCTGCTTGACATTGTAGAACTTGTAGTTCAGAGAGGCACTCCTGTGCAGAGTGTTCCAAGACGCTACAGAGTTGTCATGTTTCATAGGAGGTGAGATGTTCAGCTGCCTTTGTCTGTCCCTGATAGACCTTTTCTTGGTTAAAGTGGGACTGGTATCCTCTTTCTGCAAAACGAATATTGCCATTTATTAGACAGTTCTGTATTAATATCAGTGTGATACCTGGTGTTTTGTTCTGGTGTTGAGCTTGCTAGCAATAAATTCAGCTATACCTAAGGGCCAAAGTTATTTTCAGTAATTGTTCTGTTCTGTGATAAGGGAAGCCTATTATCCAGTTTGTTTTATATATGTTACAGTTCAGTGTCTGAATACCAATAAAAAAGAATGGTTAAGTCAGATACAGCACAAGAATTACAAAGTTCTCAAGCTTCTTGTCCTTGTGTACATGTCCATGCTTCACTAGATGACCACTGACCTGTAACATCCCAAGTAAACTACGTGGTTTCATAACAGCTAGGCTTGTCCATGTTACGGACCCTATACAAAGGGTCCTCTTGGCGAGTCTATTTTGCATTGTGACCCAGTTGTCGGATCACAAACTACACTACTACAAGCTACACCGAAGACTACTAGGACACCCACCAATTTGTAGAGAAGATCAAATCAAAACAAAGGCAGGAAAGAAAAAGACACGTCTGCTTCTATTTACATATTACCATATTGGGCCACAATAGCAACAGCATCCCAAAAGTTTGGGAACAAAGAAAATGGCTTCGAGAAGCCCTAGGGCTGCCACTGGTGGATTTAAGGCACAACAGAGATCAGCGTAGGGGTTTTGTCAAAAGAACGAAAAACCAAATTTTTCAGTTGCGACTTCGAAAATAAAGGGAAGGCAAGACTACTTAAGTTTGAATCTTTTGTACGGAGGTTTTACACGGACCGAAGAGAGAAGGGGAGCAACCAAATTCCTTATTGTTACAGAAAAATGCAGTGGGACATAGCAGGATAAAGAAATCGAAGGATCCTTTCCATGATTTCTATTGATCGATGTAGTGCTACAGAGAACACGACGTACAAGCGTTGCTGATTACAAATATTTTGAAGATCAGAACACAGGAAAGCGGTATGGCCTGTGCAGGTGATTTATGGGCGTGTCAGATTAAGTCTACAGTCTACACAATTTAACGTAGGGCAGCGGCGGATCCACTACTTTCGACTCTCCAACATAATCTATTATGCGGTGGTTTGCACCCTTTTCTGTGCAAATCCAATGATAAGATTGGGTTTACACGTATATACCCTTTTTGGGAAAATACGTATTTCATATCATATTGGGTTTGTCTGCGGGCGTACAGGTTGATACAAGCATGGGTACACAAAGTGTAGTGTTTATTATGTTTAGATAATGTTCTTATTTGAGCACACATAGACTAGGGCGAAAGCTTAATAGAGGGCAGCAATCTTGGAAGATGATCTGCCGTTCTATTATTCATTCAGCTATACGGGTTTGCGTTTTGTTTACATACACAAGTTGAAGAATTTTGTCCTTGTTGCTTTTGTCAGAATGGAGAAAGGCGGATATAGCATTCAACAACATAAAATTCTTTCTACGATGTGACATTTTTTTTTTATCGTGATTGCAATCGAAATATTCAGTAACCCGATAGAAACGTATTGATGTTCTCCAAAACAAAACTTCTAAGAATTCTTGGCCCTCCTATTTCTGATAAGCGATTTGGATGCCCATGTGGAATTTTTGGGAAGGCAAATCACATACAAATGGCACACTACATTCTTGGTCCATGGCGGTTGGACTATATGTCCTTTGTTGAAATCTAAAAATAACTTGCAATCTTTAATATCCTAATGGATTTACCGCAAGACGCTGTTGTGATTATAAAGAATTTTTATCTTTTTATTGGGACGACAACTAGATATTTTTATTTTTACTTACTTCAACTATCAAAATTAGATAAGCTTACTACCTTTTGTAAACTAAACGTTAAATATAGATTTCAATTACTCGGGTTGGGACATCCCGCAAAGAAACGTACCTAGTTATGATACAAGTGACACGTCCTTTAATACGTGATATGTATATCCTTTGCTATCAATATATGTCCTTAGATGGCACTAATATCGGGGCAAAGTAGTGTATTGTAGCTGTAAAGGCGGCAGTAGTCAAAAGATCCTGGCTAATATACGTATAAGTACTATATTATATTGTAGTTGTATTTTTCTTGTTTGTATGTGAAGAATAAAAGAAATATTTGATGGGTTTATTTTTGTTATGTTAATTAAATTATAGATGACAAAATGAATGCTTAAGCTTCAACCATATCTCTCAATCTTCTGATGGTAGATCTGACAGTGGCAGCGGCGGCAGTGGAGACAGTGTAAGCACCACCAGCGACGGTCTTCTTACAGGAGTGACAAGACCAGATACCAGCAGCACCTCTTCTGACGGTCTTCTTACCACAGAAGGAACAGTCGTATCTAGCGTGTTGTTGGACTTCCAACTTCTTGACTTGTCTTCTCAAAGAAGAACCGTAACGGACACCGTACTTACCAGTGATACCAACCTTCTTTGTTCTCTTAGCCCTGTTTAAATTCTCAACAATACCTCTTTGCTTTACATGAAATAGATGAAATGGATATTAACTCGTAGTGGAAGATGGGTTCGGTAGGGGTAGGGAATCACAAAATACCATATTCACAGGCACTTTAACTTTTATCTATCTTTCTCTATCTCTCTCTTTCTCTTTTTCTAATAGTCACACAATTTCTACTTCTCTCTTACTATCACTATTCCTAATCAGATTCGTATTATTCCAGTTTCATTCTACCCGAGTATCCAATTTCAAACATCAAAAGACAAAATGGGGTTGTATTATGTTCATGTTAGTAAAACAGCTCAAATCATTTTTAAAGAAAGGACAGGACGGGCCATTATAACCCTCCCATCGCTCATAGTGTATAGTTTAACGTACATTTTTTGTTTATGTTGTTCCTTGGTTGTATATTATGAGAATACAGGTAACAATATAACAAGCTATTTCAATATATATCAAATATAGTTTCAATGGAAAAGAATTGGTGAAAAAAAAAATTTCAGTGTGTGAGTGGTGGTTTTACCACACTAACAAATTGACCTGCGACGAAAGTGCTTTCGCTGGAAAAAATTTTTTTTTTTTTTCAAAATTTTTCACTTCCTTCGTAGGATAGTACCGAATCCACGTCATATCGTATTTGATTGTCCACCCACAAGCAACTCCTCGTGCACGTCAGCAACTGGTTGGTCCTCATACAGTGGTATTCACTACGGGATGGTCAGTGGGATGGCTGCCATCCTTCGTGTCTCGGTGCGGCCAGAACTGGCATTACCGGATTTTTTTCTCTCTGCTAGATCGATCACGTGTTGCGTATAATGCCTGGCGTATCTAGTAAGTGCATAGCATTGCCGGTATTGTACTGCAGTTGTTTTGAGAGTTACAGAGTTACCCGGTTTATCTGATGTAGGTGGCCCAAATACAGAAATGGAAGCTAACCCAAAACGGCAATACCAACGAGTTGTTTTTGGAGAAGCTGTCCCTCAGAAATAAATGTTGAATTTTTTGGTAAGGAGGTAATTTTCAAGATGTTTGGGTGTTGTCAAATGCAGTCACAAATATACTTGACCACGTATTCCAGTACTAGGTGTTACGTAAGAGGTGCTCCAGTTATTGGGGAACAGTGAGTCGTTTCTTGCGCTGCTTCTAACGGATCATTTTTTCTCCCCCGCTCCCCTGCCCCTTCTCACTAATGATCTCTGCCCAGCGTTGCACCTAAGCAACAAGCTCAGAACGGAAAATAGGGGATTTCCCCCCGTGCGTTTCTTCACAAAGTCTTGTGCGAGTGGAGATATTTCTCGATAGGGGAGAGATGGGGGGGGGAACTCTCGGTCACAGAAGAAGCACCGCAGAAGGACCCGGAGTTTCCGAATGAGGTAATCAGAATAGCAATTCTTCGCGGAACCCGAAACAAGGGATTACCACTTTAGTAAAAGACATTCACTCCCCCCCAGGTTGTACCGCCACTTGTGTGCACAGGCTTCGAAAGAGGCATTTTTTTGTTTTGTCTTTGTTTATTTCACGATAGTTTTCCTCTGAGGAACAAGGCCCTCCACGCTAATGGAGCCACTCCTAGTACAGGGACAGCCCCTTTTCTTCCCACACCCAAGAAAGCACCAGCGTATCCCTATTCCCTATTCCCTTCCCTATTCCCTCTTCTATCGTCACACAAGCGAGGAAGAAATCGAAAGAACCCGAAGAGTCCTTTGAACACAACGCAAAACCCAAAGCGTAGCGGTATTCGATTCACCCGATGCTCACCGGGATGTTCACTGGATGTTCACTGAGATGTTCACTGAGAAACACCTGTGCAAATAAATACTGCTCCCACTGAAAAGGGAACCCCTAAATCAATCAGAGCTCTCTGCGGAAATGGCTCTCCTCAATCCCCAAAGTCTGAACGCAGCGCGGAGAGTACTGCCGAAATCGGTCCCTCTGCGCAGATTCTCACAGCTATTGTGCTTGTATTTGTATTTGTGCTTGTGCTTGTGCTTGTGACTAGTGGGCAGTAGTGGGCCCCTGCTTTTATTCAGCGCGTACATCCTCTCAGATACACCTGTACACACCCGCTGATCTTCGGAGATTGCTTTTCCTCTCATATATAAGGCATGGGGGATTCTTGGCCTTCCTTTCTTTCCCACAACTACTCGGCGGCTATTTATACTCGATCTCTTTTTGGAAGCTGGATGCTTTTAAGAGTTAATACTTGAAATACAATAACTATAGCCCTTTCCCCCTCCCATTTCCGAACTATAAAAACTACATGTTTTGCATATTATGGACGGCAATGATATACATAACCCCAGGAACGACAGTCGTAACGACCGCATCGACCGCAACGAACGCAACGAACGCAGCGAGAGTGGAGATGATCTAGATGAGTCTAAGAGAATATCGTACAGGTCAAAGAAAGAGCGGTTTGCATCGACGCTGAACAGTATCCTGCCTTCGATCAGTGCCAAGTTCCACAGCCGTAAGAACGTCAATACTAGCAGTGACGCCCCTACAGATGTCACGGAGAGCACAGGTGTGGACTACGATAAGTCAAAGGACAGGTATTTCATGAGCGACGGAACTAGCGTCTCCGACTACAGAACCGCGTTCAGCAGCGGATACCAGCAAGGAAGCCTTTACCAGGGCAACAACTATGACACGATGAGCAACTCGAGCAAGGACCTTAATTACACTCCGATCACATACGCGTCTATGGAAACTTCCCCTAACTACTTGAACAGTCAGCAAATACAACACCCAGGCTCTTCCGGAATGCCACTTATTTCACCACAGTTGCAGGGACATGTGAACTCAATGAGCTTGCCACAGAATAGCAATAGCCTAAACTTGAAGATTGGTAATATGAGTGCCATGACTAACAACAACTTGCCTATTCCTGCCCAGCCAAATAACGTCTGGCAGTCTATGAACAGCAACTCAACCCCTATCAGTTTACCACAATCTGTACCCGATCCATTTGAACACAGTAATCCTCCCGTGTCGGGACTAAACAACACTGCAAGCTTGGTAAATTCTGGGTTTGATCGAGAGAGAGCTCACTCCTTCGGAAGTTTTCAAAATGGTTCTTCCCATTACGGCTCCGATATGTCTTTGCATTACTCACTGAACAATAATACCGCATCTGGATACCCAGCACTAAATGCCGCTACTCAGAATATACCAGCTGTTACCACATCCACAAATGTCACAACTAGTGTGCCACAAATGCAACAACAGGAGCAGTTGACACCAGTGGTTGCCGATGACGTCGATCCAGCCCTAATTAGCTGGGTTTCCACTAATATCAATATTCCTGCATCAAACCAAACTGGATTCTTGCTACCAACCAATACGTTATGTATATCTAACGTATTTCCCTTGCAGACACCAGGAGAATACGGTAACAATAACTTGAGCCACCCAATAAACTTGACAAGTACATTATTAGCATCCCTATGTTCACAGTACGGTAAAGTCTTATCTTCCAGAACTTTAAGACACTTAAATATTGCATTGGTAGAGTTCGAAACTGTTGATAGTGCTATAACTGCGCTGGAGTCTTTACAAGGTAAAGAACTCTCTCTGTTGGGATTCCCATGCTCAGCAGCTTTCGCAAAGATCCTATCTGTAAGTGATGGTGTCGGCTTAGGTGAACATACGCTAAGTGTCAAGGAGAACTCAACGAGAAAGCCGCTACTGCACGAGGTTTTTCTCAATACAGCTTTATACCAAGGTAGCAATTCAACATTCACTCTGCAATCAAACCTTCAACCACCAGTGGTCATTTCACAACCTTCCAAGGAAAATATTTCAACGAAGAACGCTTCTAACGTTCACTTATCATCTGCTGATAACGATCCTTGTCCTTTCAAGTTGCCTCCCGCCATTCTAGCAGACAAACTGGATGACTTCCAAGATATAATCAAAAAGTTTAACATAAAGTATGACGTGGACATAGTGAACCACATGCTTAACAATTCATTGCAAAAGGGACCCAATGCTTGTGATGTTAATAATTTTGGACCAATACCACAACAGAGTGTGCATAGACAGTTCGATGCGCCAAAACTAAGGGAATTGAGGAAGGCTTTCGATTCTAACTCTTTGTCTCAAGTGGAAATGGAGCAATTAGCCATCGCCATGCTGGATGAACTACCTGAGCTATGCTTGGATTATTCAGGTAATACGATCATTCAGAAGCTTTATGATAACTGCTCTCCGATCATTGTGGACCTGATGCTGAGGGAATCTCACAAGTACCTGACATCAATGGGTATACACAAGAATGGTACGTGGGTCAGTCAAAAAATTATAAAAGTAGTGAAGACCCCAAGACAGATGGACTTCATAACAAAAGGTATTCAGGATTACTGCACTGCTTTGTTCAACGACCAATATGGTAACTATGTTATCCAAGGCGTGCTAACCTTCGGATTCCCCTGGAATAGCTTCATTTTTGAGAATATAATGTCGAATTTCTGGGTAATCGTAGATAACAAGTTCGGTGTGCGTGCTGTTAGAGCTTGTCTAGAAGCCAATGGGCATATGTCAAAGGAGCAAGAACTTTTGCTTTGTTCAATGATCATTCTATATTCTGAATACTTGTCAACTAGCAACACGGGTACCTTGTTGGTAACATGGTACTTGGACTCCTGCACTTTTGAAGAAAAATATGCAATGATCATTTCAAGCTTAATTCCACATATCGTTGAACTTTGCAGTCACAGGTTGGGCTCTTTAACAGTACTGAAACTTTTGAACTTGAGGATAGATCAATGTGTAAAAGACTCGATCTTGACTGCTATATTTGGTGACTTGAATGACAACAAGCCATCAGAAAATCTGATCGAAATATTAAAGGACAACCACAATGGTGGCTCTTTCCTATACAAGATAATTTCTTCCAGGTTCTTAGAGTCAGAAAGGAAGTCACATTTAGTTGAAAAGATCAAGATAGTACTGTTAAACTCTAATTTAGCCCATCAAAATAAGCGTCTCATTGAAGAAGTTGGTTTAACTTCAACTGGCAACGGAAACGGCATGAGCCAACCAATTAGGCACCGAAAGACAATATCATATAGCCACAGTCATGAAAGTGCCAGACAATCGCGGGATCACACAATGCCAAATAGAGTTTCATATCCCAAATCTATTGTTTCAGCAGGCTCTTATCTCTCACCTAATGGTATTACCGGTATCGGGCACAATGAGAACATAAGTCCAGATATGGCATTATATCTAGCCAACAGTAGTCCTAACTTATTGTACGGATCTCGAAATTCGCAGACGTACCAGCAGGTACCAGAATTGCAGGACTTAAGTCTTCAATTGGAAGGTATGAAGATTCATAATGACCAAAATTATTTTGGCCAGATACAATCGCATACATACGATACAACTGGTATGCCTGGTCATGATTTACTTGCCAACAGGCTCGACCATGATGAGAGTGGTTATAATATGAGCTATAACTACAGGTAGGATCACTTGGAATTCATATGACAGTGTCTGAGAAATATTGCTGAATTTTTGCGCTGTATCATCGCCCAATTTTTAAAATGGAACTCTTTTCAACCTGCATCTCTATTTTGCAAAGGGATCATTTATTTTTTATCTTTACAAGATATTTTACGTCACTATTTCATATTCACAACACTAATAACTAATTCTTCTTAATAGCCTTATGTTTAATAATTAATACATGTTTTTAACTCAATTTCATCTTTATGTAGCAAACTGTACACATATATTTGCAAGCAAATTATGGTTTTGAAACTGCTAATTGATATATGCAACAAATATAATGAACTAAAATCAAGCATTTAATTTTCAAATGATATACTGTACCTCCGATGCAATCAGAATATACGATGAAATTTTCATAAAATTCTGACTGGCGATGAGCTTCAGACAAAACATCGCAATGGTATATTAGAAACATAATTAATAGTTTGAACCCGTTATTTAGCTTCATTCGTTATTTTGTTTATTAGCAGCAAAATAACAAGGAAGCTCAGAACTATCTGTCACATATACAATGTCTTTGAACACATTTGATCCAAATACTGCTGAAAACTCTGAAGATATTGAGAAGCAATTTGCCGTTGTGGCAGTCGAGCAAGCTGAAACTTATTGGAAGCTTATCACATCTATTCCAGGCTCTAAACTACGTCTTACAAAGTTGGATGATGAAATATATGAACTTTTTATGGAAAGATTCCCAGAATATAAAGATATTGAAAGATTAAGAAAGTTTGACGAAGAAGAACTAAAGAACAAAGTTGCTAAGGAGAGGTGGAGACAATTTGCAAACTATTTCGAAAAGAAGGTCGAGGACTTCAACTTTGGTACACTTTTGAGAACAGACGCCAATGCTGAGTATGGCCAATTTACTACCTGCTTCGTTGTCCGTATTCAATTTTATGCCTTTGAAATTGCAAGAAACAGACATGGTTTGAACGACTGGGCTGTTGGTCACCAATAAATGTGATATGCATGATATCTCAACCGATACTGCTGCTTTATAAAAAGTTGCTCCTCTACTTAGTAGATTTAATGATATACAGTATTAGCATACCCAATTTTTAACCAATATCAAACGTCATGGAACATCAAGCTTTAATAATAGAACTGTTGATTTCTAAACCGTATGTGAAATCGACTGTTTTTATCCTTGTGATAAATTAGATATTAAAAATTATTAATCTTATTTATAGTTTAGCTTTAAAGGGATAATAATAGAATATATGAATTATAACTTAAGGTATCTCAGCAATGACTATTATATAAATCAAACAGTGTGATCTTATTAAATATAGTTTGAGATATTCAGTAGGATACCATCGAAATATTTTTATATGATAACCTAATAAAAAAAATGTAACATTATAATAAATATGTGATATCTACTCTATGGAATAGCGCATTCTGTCCTAGAATGCTAATATAAATATATGCGTCCTGTATCATACCTTCTATAAAAACAAAAACAAAAAACTTAACAAATTATTGAGATGTAATAGCAAAATCAATTTTTTTGCTCCAACTCATTTTTTTCATCTATGAGATCCTTTTCATCCACTTCTTCAACATACTCTATATCAATCTTAATTAGGGAAGGCAACTCTTCCGATAATATTTTTCTAAGGTGAGCAGAAATAAGCTCAAATTCGCCCAAGTCAAGTACATTATTCCAACGTTGGAGAGGTACTGTTAGAGTTAAATGTGCCCTCAAATTTGGACCAGATGGTAAAACAGTTAGTTCCTTTATCTTATATGGTATCTTAGAGTTGTTATTGGTTACAAGCTTTGCAAGAGTTTCATCAATAATAGTCTCAACTTCGATATATCTTGGATCACTCGAGGGTACCGCTTCGTCAACAAGTTCACGGAGGGACATAGTCATACCATGTACACCAGCTTTCAAAATTAGAATAGAAACAATTAGCCCACCAATTGTATCTAGCGATTGAATACTGAATAAATGACCAGCTGTAATAGTTATAAGAGCCACAAATGACGTGAGAGAATCAACACGATGGTGCCAGGCATTCGCCATTAGTACATTTGAATTTGTCTCAATAGCTACTTTTCTTGTTGCTCTGAAGACCCATTCTTTGGCTGCAATAGATGCCGCAGCAATCCATGCCGCATTTATATCTGTCACTTCTTTTGTAATTTCTTCTACAGTATGATGATGGTGGTGAGATGCGTTAGCTAGCCCGATCTGGTGCAGTGATTCAATGATTGCATGGGGAACATAGGGGCCAACGAGAGCACAGATTGAAGTCCATCCAATAGATAGACCTGCCATGGCCAATATAGTAGAAACTGCTAATGAACCAACGGTTTCCACTTTACCATATCCGTAGGGATATTTTTGGGATGGCTTGTTGGAGGCTAAATCAACAGAAAACAAAGTTAAAAAATCAGCTACCATATCACTTAATGCATGGATGGCATCTGCAAACAATGCTTGTGAATGAAAAACAATACCACCAATAAACTTACCAATAGCTATAGCTACGTTTAATCCCAGTCCAATCCACGTGATTCTTACACCAGCATTCTTTCGAATCTCTTCCGCACTTAGCACTAGCAGTGGGTTACCACCTGAATGTGAATGTGTGTGCCCATGGCCATGATGATGCATATGGCTATGTATATGAGTTGCTGGCGCCTTCGCCGCCTTCGGGGTTCCTAAATAGGTCGCTTTAGGAGAGTGTGTATGGGAATGTTTTAGTATTGATCTTATGCTATAGGTGTCATTTTGCTCCGTTTCTGATTGCTTCATATGGACATGTCTGTGGTCAGAATCTTCAGAATCATGTACTGAGTTATGTGTATGGATGTGGCCATGATCGTGATTATGATGATGGCCATGCCCATGCTCTTCTATTTTGTCCTCATCTGCTTTATTTGAAGCGTTTCTAATTGAACTTGTAGTGAAGTTATAACGCTGTAGTGCGTAGCCTAATTTTATCCTCGAGAATACAACTCTCTTATTTGATATGATGATATGCGATGACTGTAATGCTCTATTACTAAGTGTGGGTATGGAAAGCCTTAACATGTTTTCATAATCGATGTGATAGTATGTGTGTGCTCAGTATGTATGGTCAGCAGCCAATAGTATAATTCGGCTTATCTCCTAAATAAATAGCTTGTTAACTCTCTTTTGCCATTCAACTATCTTAATAAAATGGCAATACTATTGTTGTATCAGCTAGACAAAAATTTACAAGATAAATACCCACTAAAACGTTGAAGAGAAGACCCAACAGAATTTTTGTTACTCGTTTGATTTGTCAACTGTGATGAAGTCCTCCATTGTTCGACCAATTGTTGGCACATTACAGCTTGGTTGGGAGTTGCTGGGTCAGATTGTCACTGATCAATCATCGAGAATCCGGAAATTTTTCAGAAATATTTTTTTTCAAATTTTAACATTTAGGTGACAAATTACATCTGCCAATATAGTGACCAGTACTCTTTAATATGAGCTGCGATGTACATTGAATATATTGAGTAGTATAGCATTCTATTAAATTTACATAAAAAATTATACTTTTAGACAACTTAGTAACGATTATTAGAATCTTGATTAGAGCCATAGTTATCATTGCCGTAGGAGTTCCTGTTTGATCCATATGAATTGTCTCCGTAAGAGTTGTCTCCGTAAGAGGACTTGTTCTTGTTTGAGGAACCGTAGGAGTCATCTCCGTAAGAGGACTTGTTCTTGTTAGATGAGCCATAGGAGTCGTCACCATAAGAGGACTTGTTCTTATTGGAAGATCCATAAGAGTCGTCTCCGTAAGAGTTCTTGTTCTTGTTAGATGACCCATAAGAGTCGTCACCATAAGAGTTCTTGTTAGATGAGCCATAGGAGTCGTCACCATAAGAGGACTTGTTCTTATTGGAAGATCCATAAGAGTCGTCTCCGTAAGAGTTCTTGTTCTTGTTAGATGACCCATAAGAGTCGTCACCATAAGAGTTCTTGTTAGATGAGCCATAGGAGTCGTCACCATAAGAGGACTTGTTCTTATTGGAAGATCCATAAGAGTCGTCTCCGTAAGAGTTCTTGTTAGATGAGCCATAGGAGTCGTCACCATAAGAGTTCTTGTTAGATGAGCCATAGGAGTCGTCACCATAAGAGGAGTTGTTCTTGTTAGATGAGCCATAAGAGTCGTCTCCGTAAGAGGACCTGTTCTTATTGGAAGATCCATAAGAGTCGTCTCCGTAAGAGGACTTGTTCTTGTTGGAAGATTCATAGGAGTCGTCACCATAAGAGGACTTGTTCTTATTGGAAGATCCATAAGAGTCGTCACCATAAGAGTTCTTGTTAGATGAGCCATAGGAGTCGTCACCATAAGAGGACTTGTTCTTATTGGAAGATCCATAAGAGTCGTCACCATAAGAGTTCTTGTTAGATGAGCCATAAGTGTCGTCACCATAAGAGTTCTTATTGGAGGATCCGTAAGAATCATCTCCGTAAGAGGACTTGTTCTTGTTAGATGATCCATAAGAGTCGTCTCCGTAAGAGGACTTGTTCTTGTTGGAAGATTCATAGGAGTCGTCACCATAAGAGGACTTGTTCTTGTTAGATGAGCCATAAGAGTCGTCTCCGTAAGAGGACCTGTTCTTATTGGAAGATCCATAAGAGTCGTCACCATAAGAGTTCTTGTTAGATGAGCCATAAGAGTCGTCACCATAAGAGTTCTTGTTAGATGAGCCATAGGAGTCGTCACCATAAGAGGACTTGTTCTTATTGGAAGATCCATAAGAGTCGTCACCATAAGAGTTCTTGTTAGATGAGCCATAGGAGTCGTCACCATAAGAGTTCTTATTGGAGGATCCGTAAGAATCATCTCCGTAAGAGGACTTGTTCTTGTTAGATGAGCCATAGGAGTCGTCTCCGTAAGAGGACTTGTTCTTATTGGAAGATCCATAAGAGTCGTCTCCGTAAGAGTTCTTGTTCTTGTTTGAGGAACCGTAGGAGTCATCTCCGTAAGAGTTCTTGTTAGATGATCCATAAGAATCATCTCCGTAAGAGGACTTGTTCTTGTTTGAGGAACCGTAGGAGTCATCTCCGTAAGAGGACTTGTTCTTGTTAGATGAGCCATAAGAGTCGTCACCATAAGAGTTCTTATTGGAAGATCCGTAAGAATCATCTCCGTAAGAGGACTTGTTCTTGTTTGAGGAACCGTAGGAGTCGTCTCCGTAAGAGTTCTTATTGGAAGATCCATAAGAGTCGTCTCCATAAGAGGACTGGTTCTTGTTTGAGGAACCGTAGGAGTCGTCTCCATAGTTATCATTGCTGTAAGAGGTGTTATTCTTCTTGTCGCTGTCGTCTATCGAGGTTTTTGAGAATTGATTTCTAACCGTATTCTCTAGTTTATCGAAATTGTCTTCACCAATTTTACTTTTGAATTGGTTTACACGTTCCTCTCCTAAGTAGCCTTCAGCCTTTTTGATATAGTCATTGTCATTATTATTGGCATCATCTCCACCCTTATTGTCATCAAACGCCTTCTTAACTTTATCGAACAAACCCATGTTTCTTTCTTAAATTAGATAAATAGAGGATTTTGAATTATAAATTCACTTCACTTTCTATTACGGAGAGCTTTTCTTGTAGATGAAGCAAGCATCAATTATAGACTTCATTCTTTTTATATAACAAGAAACTCAAACGGAATGGATTTATGAATTTTAGATACCCAATTAGTTAATATCCAAGTCCCCCCGTATTGGCATTCTAAAGTCCACCTTATTGTCTGAGGATCAGGACCTCTTGCACCATAAAAATACCAACGGATATAACTACTTTTCCCTTAATAAACGTGTTTATAGCTTGGAGTCGGGTGAGCCCAAGTAGTTATTTCAGTAAATTCCATGTCGGTGTCAATAGCATGTAGTGATCATCTTATAGTTGTGATACCGATACGAGCAGAATTGTTGTGGAATTTTACTTTCATCTCTCCAGCCTAACCAATTTGCATTATCAAGGCTAATGAAATGAGTACTGGCAAGGTATTCGCAAGTCGATTGTGCGCAGCAGAACGTCATCGTAAAGTCATTCTTAGGACAATTGTAAGGGGGTGCTGCCTTTACCAGTAGTACACACTGATCATTCAATGATATAATTTTAGAATACTGTAGTCCACAATGGATGCATCCTTGATATTTCCGTGCAAAACTGATGTTCCCCTAAATATGGCTTGCCCGTTTAGTTTACATGAAGGAGCTTTAGCTGGAACTCCTCTTAACAGGAAAAAAGGTTGAGCTATTTTTGCAAAATGCCTGCTAACTGAATGGGCTACAGGAGAGCATTGCGACTACACACTGTTCCTGTCTGGTAAGAAAAAGTGACGAATAATGCACCAAACAGACACCACATTTTTAATTACAAAAGTGGCTCATCTAATACAAGTATAACTGGGAAATAACAACACCCGCCACCATTTTCAATATCCCACTGTGTGGCCTCAGGTAAGATAATTATAGACTTGAGAATATCTCTATATTTAACACATCCTTTGTGATATTTATAATGGGGAGTATATAATCTTGGCTATTTCGCTATATTTGTTTAGTGTCAATTATTGTCAAACATATCCAGCTAAGAAATGTACGCAGAAGGCGTTCAGGGAAAGGACCCTCGAAAAAGTGGATCTCGGCCAGATCTGATCCAACCTAGATCCGTAAAAAAAAAGAAAGAAAATTTGTGAAGAATGAGTAACAATGGGCGCAGAGAGCGCATATCTCTTGTGAAGAATGAAAACGCATGAATAGAAAGTTCTACATAGGAGAGAGAGCTATTATACTACCCGTTTAATTATCATTTTTTTTTATTGTTACATTTTATATTATAGAAGATAGACGCTTATTGCTTATTGTGAATTCTATAAAAAAGCTCCATTAGAATATTAACTTGTTATCTGTGGATGTACCTCATATTCCTATCAGGCTCTGTTGCAGCCAACCGATCGTTCTTCTCTTGATCTCACCATTCTCATCCCTATACAGTCTCTGCTTCTCTAACATGTCGATCATCTCGTCAGCAGTTTTGCCCTTATCGATACCGTTGAGAATGAATTTGTACAGACGTTTTCTTCTTGAAAATGTCTTTTTGTTTCTCTTTATACGCCATTTATTACCATACTTCTCTTCCAACCCTCTAATGGAAGGGTTACCATCTATACCATTAACGTATTCTTCCCAGATGGTCTTTACACTGGATGGTGCCTTCAGCAACATATAATTTAGATCACTATTTTGGGCATCCTTCTCCTTGTCATCCTTCTTTCTTGGTTCTATAACATTGTTACGGTACTTGTTGATCTTTCTCAATTTTTTCCGTTTCCTCTCACTTGCTGGTTCCTTTGGCTTCCTGCTATAAGGCTGTCTATCCTCTTCGTTTACCATATCATCCTCTTCATCGTATTCTTCCACTTCATCCTCAGATTCTTCATCAGTCTCATGCGAGTTATCACTGTCATTAGACTCATCATCTTCAAGATATTCACTCTTGGTATTATTGACAGGGTGACCTGTACTGGCGTAGACATTAACTGTAGGTTTTCTATCATCATTGATCGAGTGTGAGTCAGTAAGTGTCGTGTTATACTTGAGATTACCAACTTTGTTCTTATGCTTATTCAACTCTGATTCTTCCTCTTCATCGTCTTCTTGGTACCCGTCTTCATCAATGTTATTAATCTTTTGAGGTTGCCCTTGAGACGCACCGCCCAAGATATCCTGCGAAGCCTGATTCCTTATGTGAAGACGATTGTCAGGGTATGTAATTGAACCATTATCTAACTGGGGAGCCGAGTGCGACATGACTATGCCATCTCTTTTCTCCACGGGCGACGATGACCCCAACCTCGACAATGTAACGCTATTCGTGTTGTCCAAGAATTGTGGAAAATTCAAGTTATAATTATTCAATGATCCATGATTTAGACTATGCTGATTTGTAGCGGTCAGATAGGGTGTCTTGAGGGCCTGTACTGTGTTCACAGGTGACAGTGTTCTGCCATCCGACGCAGTAGTGTTGCTTTGCAATCCATTCAACGATTGTAGTTCGGAGTAAGAGTTCGATGAGCTTATGACATTAGAAGGTGTCATCGCATGGTTATTAGGAGTCGCCGAGTTCAAAGAGGTGTCGTAGCCAGGCTGACCCACCTGACCCGTGATATCGAAGGTGACATTCAAGTTATTGGACCTACTGCCGCTGTTGCCGTGGTGATGGCCCAGCCTCCTCTTCTTTATACCGTTCGGGTTCAGCGTGAACGTCTTCTTCCTGTTCAGCGACTTCAATTGTCCACGGGCTTTGCTGGTCTCTATCTGGTTGTAGTATATGGGCCCCATCATGTTTGGGGAGTCGTTGGGCGTTGGGTGCACGAACCCGTTCTCGTGCGTGCTCAATTGCACGTTCAGGTTCTCCGCGCCATTGTGCTTCATCTTCCGCAGGTATGAGCTGCTCACATTCGTGATAGAGTTCAGCAGGTCTGTGACAAACGCGGACTGCGGGTTGTTGCTTGCGAGCGCAGCCACATGCGTCTCCAGCTTGTTCACTTTCGAGGACAACCGCAGGAACGCGTGCGAGTTGTTCTGCTTCAGGTCCAGGATCATCGAGTTCTGGTCGTTGATCTTGCTGAACACATTGTTGAAATTAGACTCCAACATGGTGAGCCTGCTGGAGATATCGTCCAGCTTCGCAAGCACCATCGAGGACGTCGCAGTTACATCGGTTACACTACCAGCGGCCGTGGGAATGGAAGTAGGAGTAGGAGTGGGAGTGGTGGTAGCATTGGCAGTGGCAGTGCCACTGCCAGTACCATTACCAGTACCATTACCATTGCAAGTTCCAGTTGAAGCATCGCTCTGCTCTTTCGCCAGCTTCGAATCGCCAGCATCACTCATCTCATCTACTGATCTGGTGGTCTTTTGTTGACTACTATTACTATTAAGAAAATTTTTTGTTATAGGCTTTCAATAGTATTTCTTTTTTTTTCCCTTCCCTCTTCGCAATAGTATTTGTATGCAGTGGAATGGGTTCCTTTTAATGAATGCAGATCCCCATCGGAAAAACCTAAACTCCGCAGGAGATATCCCGAAAGGCGAGATGCCGATGCAGCAAGGGTCCATGGAGGAGGCGTGTACCGCCACACGTCGCATATGACAGACGTGGTAAGGTATATCGTATATTATTACAATCCCAGAAATCCCGCAATGATACCGTCATATGTGATGAGTTTTTCCCATGGGGAAGAGAGAAATCAGATGAGGAAGTGAGGAAGTGGGGTGAGGTGAGGGAGCAAAGCCTTGTTCTTGTGCGGGATTATGTCTCGCGTGCAGCTGGACCATTGGATTCCCTGATTGGGATAATTGATTTACAAAATGGAAGGTTTCTATGCTCCTGGCAGAGGAAGAGGGAAGCGATGCGATTGTGTGGGTTGAGACTTGGTACTCTGCGATTGGTACTCTGCGATTAGCACTAGAGACTAACTAGAGACTAACTAGACTAACTAGAAACCCACTTGAGACTAGCAGTAGAGAGACCCGGAAGACTGGGGGAACTCACGATGGAGCTCATCAACGTCATTTTAGGAAGTATAAGTGATAAAAAAATGAAATTGATTGATCACCCTTACAAAATGACCCTTATAAAAAGATTTGCATAGCATTTCCAGACAATCTATTTCAAAATATATATTTCAAAGTATACTTAAAAATAATATTTCAAACTATTAACATACTTGAAACAGGTCCGTAACATTTTGAAAACAGTATCCTCAATACTCAAATAAAAAAATTACAAACAAGAAAACGAGCATTAAAGATGTTGTGGTGTTGGTTATTTATGCTTCTCTTTGGAGAGGCCTTAGCTAAGAGAAGTCTGTATGCGACCTCTCTGGTCACTTGTATGGAGAACTCTCAGCTGCAAGCCAACAGTTTCGACGTCAAGTTCAACCCGGATGACAGGTCGTTGTTCTACAACCTGGACATGACCACATCCATCAACTCCTATGTCTACGCCTTGATCGATGTCTACGCCTACGGTTTCAAGATCATCACAAAGGAAGTGGACCTGTGTAACATCAACTGGAAGCAGTTCTGCCCCGTGCACCCAGGTAACATCCAGATAGAGTCCATCCAGTACATCTCAGAGGAGTACGTCAACGAAATCCCAGGCATTGCGTACCACGTCCCTGACATCGATGCTTTCGCTAAGGTGAGGATATACAGCCCCGAAAACCAGTACCTGGCCTGTGTGCAAGTGTTCTTCAGCAACGGTAAAACAGTGTCTCAGACCGCAATCAAGTGGGTGAGCGCAGTGATCGCTGGTATCGGCCTGCTGCTGTCCGCTACCTTGTCCACTTTCGGTAACTCCAGAGCCGCCTCCCACATCTCCGCTAACACCATGCTGCTCTTCCTGTACTTCCAGTCCGTCGTGGTCGTCTGCATGCAGCACGTCCATAGGGTGCCACCGATCGCCGCCGCATGGACGGAGAACCTGGTGTGGTCAATGGGCCTGATCAGAGTGACGTTCATGCAGAAGATCTTCAGATGGTACGTGCAGTCCACAGGCGGAACCCCTGACTTGTACCTGACTTCCAAGACACAGAGTGTGCTGACCCAGAGAGCCATCGACTACATCAGATCATCAACCGTCTACAAAAGAGCAGAGGAAGTCCTGTACGGTAACCAGAACACTATGATTTTCAGAGGCATCAAAAGACTGGGATACCAGATGAAGATCGAACCAACCTCCATTGTGCCCACCGGCTTCACTTTCTTCGTATTATGCGGTTACTTACTGGCCGGCGTCATCATCGCCGCTAAGTACGCAATAGAACTGTGCATAAGGGCTGGGTGGATGGACAAGAGGAGGTTCTTCGAGTTCAGACAAAACTGGCGCTTGATCTTGAAAGGTGCTATCCTGAGATATATCTACATCGGCTTCGTGCAATTGACTATCCTCAGTTTCTGGGAGTTCACACAACGTGACTCAGCAGCCGTCATCGTTATTGCGTGCCTGTTCGTCGTGCTGTCCTGCGGCCTGATGCTATGGTCTATCTTCAGAACTTACCATTACGGTCAAAAATCCATCAGACTCTACAACAACCCTGCCGCTTTACTGTACGGTGATGAATATGTTCTGCACAAGTATGGTTTCTTCTACACAATGTTCAGTGCTAAGTTCTACTGGTGGAATGGCGTGTTGCTATCTTACCTATTTTTGAAATCCTTGTTTGTTGGCTTTGCACAGGCGTCTGGTAAGACACAGGCCTTGGCTATTTTCATCTTTGACTTCTTTTACACAATTGCTATCATCAGATATAAACCATACCTGGACAAACCTACAAATGTCATGAACATACTGATATGTGTGGTTACTTCTATCAATTCATTCTTGTTCATGTTCTTTTCAGATTTATTCAAGCAAGGCTACCAAGTGTCAGCAGTCATGGGCTGGGTGTTCTTCATCTTGAACGCAGCTTTCTCCTTAATCCTATTGCTAATGATCTTAACATTCACATTGCTGATGGTATTCTCCAAGAACCCTGATTTGAGATTCAAGCCTGCCAAGGACGACAGAGCTTCATTCCAAAAGACTGGCTTGTCCAATCCATTCGAAGACTCACCTTACTCTGGCGATAATATGGGCTCACCATCTACCTTCTCATCTGAATCACCTTACAATGAAAAGAAGAAGAACAGAAAATACACTGCTGCTGACGAACTACTGGCTCTAGGTAATGTTGCTGAGGATCACGATAACTGGGAAGATCAGATACACAACGAGAAGCCAGAAGCGCAAAATGGATTAATGTCACCATTCATGGATGTGAGTGAAGCAGGATTCATGGACAACAGCAGTAACAGCAACACATCTGCATCTGAAAATGAAAAGAAAGATATGCCTCAAAGGAAAGTTTCATTCCCTGGAAAGATTATGAGAGCGTTGTCATTACGTGGGTACAAGGATAACTACAATGAACCAAAGAGTTCTATAAATAAGAAGGCAGTTCTTCCCGATAGGAATGTGGAAGGTACGCTCGATCCATCATCAAATCACGATGGTTTTTATGACGGCGACAACGATTTTGAAAGAGAACATACCAATCCTTTTGACTCCGACCCAGAAAATGCTTTCTCTACGCCCGACGCAAACTTGGGAAGATTCGATACCGATGTAGAAACAGAATCATTTACTTTCTCCTTGAACAGGAACTCAAATAACAATAACATGCAATGAATAAGATCGGTGTTAATCGACATATCCAATTGAAGCATATTACTATCATAGCATTTTTATATCTCATTTCGCAGTACCTCTACAAAGTCAGCAAATCTCCTTGAATGTGAATTATAGTAACCCACAGATACTATTAGAAAATTCCAATTATTTGCACTAAAAGATACCTAGGTGTTAGATATCTCGTGTTTTATCACTAAATGTTTGCATTACAATGTCCTGTTTTAAAATGGTTTTATTTTTTTATTTTCATTTATTCGTATTATTTTGTTATTCTTTCAGCGCGATTATTTTTTTATTTCTTATCCATTAATGCAAACAAAGCTGGCCTTTTAGTTAATATTTACCTCCCCTTTTAGTTTATTTTTTTTATTATATATAGCTGATTTTATCACTACTAATTTTATGCTTAGATTTAGTACTTGCTAAATAGAATGACATACATAAATAGAGTTATTACCGCTATTTTTCTTTAAAAATCTTGTATAAAGCTCTGTGTGGGGTACTTGCTGCTTGGCCAAGAACATTTATGACTGTATTGATAATAACGTCCACAATAATAGGCTTAGTATCAAAATTGCTATAATCCTCAGTAACTGACACTTCATAGAACCACGATCTTATACCATTTTTTAAACCATTTAGTCCTAATTCGTTTGCTGTAATCAAATTAAATAAGAGCTCTCTTACAGAAAACATTGGTATTGATCCCGTTTTGTTATACTCGAAGGAAGGAAAATTATACGTATGGATGTAAGGAACAACTTTATGGACATTCGCGTTAAGAATTTCCTTTACCTTATTATGGGATTTCTTTGAGTACCAATAAGACCAATAACCTCTTAAATCGTCGGAAACTAATGGTAGCAATGGTATTGTGTTATTTTCATTACACAGTGGCACAGGGTTAGAATGAAGAACAACTAAGTTGCTTGTAGAAGAATCAAGTATTTGAATTTTTTGGTTTTTGCTTAAGTTACAATAATACAACCCACCAATAAAACTGCCAGGTAGAAAGAATGAATAGTTCCTTTTTACATACTTTTTTCTTCTTGCAAGTTTAAAACAATGATAGTTGTTTATATCGTTAATTGCCGCTGTTCTCAAGGATGACGTTATATTACTCTTCCCATCATAAATACATATAAATTCATTCCAATCAATATCTTCTTGCATGTTTTGCGTAACAGTCCATTGCGATACACCGTCTCTACAGAACGTGACCTTTATAGAGTTATCAACCAGTGGCGGCAAAAATTGGAACAGAAAATGTTTATATATTTTAAATCCCGTGTAACCTCCGGAGTTTGATCCAGGTTGCCAGGCCTGGAAATATTGACTTAGAAATTTTTTGATATTTGGAAACCTTTCATCTTCAATACGTGTAGCGCATACGAGACTAGCTATATCACTTGGCTGTTCATGGTTCATTTGAGGTACTATAAAACCGCAGGAAAACTTATTCACTACCAAGATAAAGAGTGTCACTAAATGAAGCATCATCCTTCTTTATCTATATATACGTTAAAATTCTAATTCAAAACATTACTGAATTAATAATTAATATTATTTAAAAATTTAAAATCAAAACGACACAGCCGACTTACATAGTGTAAAATACCAAAAAAAAAGAATGCATAAGTATATGTGAGCATCATCAATACTTTTATTGTTTTAGAGGCAATGAATACAAAGCCATAATATAATCAAACTATTATCGAAATCCTGCCTAAATTTGCATATTCCTCTTTGTATTATGCTAAAGCACAAAAAGAGTATATACAACGTATAACACGATATATAGACTATGGAAAAAACACGAAGCTGATTGTCGACAAGAACAAGGAAGCTGATCTTAGGTGCCACTGGTCCCTGTTACAACAACCATTGAATAGTATGTTAAAGCTGGATCGTGAAGTCAATTATACTACCGATTATTTAACGCTTTTATTGATAATCACAACGGTAAGCTAGTTTCGTTGAATTCTTCTGAGCTAAGCCGAAAGACCAAGGAAACAATCTGCGACAACAACGATGAAGTTGGACGTAAAGGTATGTACCCTGTGCACCACTTTAAATTTCCATTGATATTGATACTATTGCTATTTGAAATGATAAAGAAGATGTTATATTACCTAAGACTTATTACTGATATTTGCGCATAGTAAGTATGCAATTGCAACCATGGAGAAATCTTTTTGAAGGGAGAAATTGGTTTTAAGTTGTGAGGTCTCATTAAAAAGCTACGGGACACCACTGTAAAGCAGGCCTGGTATCATTTCGATTATCAATTATAATACCCACTTTTTGTTCTTAAAATACTAACAAATAAAACTCCTTATTTTTTGCTGCCAATTATATCAAATTTTTGTCCATACAATGGTATCATCACATTATATATGCACTATTATTTATGATTGACATCAAATTGAGGAAGAGAAATCATTTTAATTAGAAGACATTCAGCAAGAGGTCCAATAGGGTCAAGGGTATCGACCTTCACCCATCCGAACCATGGGTCTTAACTACTCTGTACTCTGGTAGAGTTGAAATCTGGAACTATGAAACACAACAAGAAGTTAGAAGTATTCAAGTTACAGATACCCCTGTAAGAGCTGGTAAATTCATTACAAGAAAGAACTGGATTGTTGTTGGTAGTGATGACAACAAAGTTAGAGTATTCAACTATAACACTGGTGAAAAGGTGGCTGACTTTGTAGCTCACCCAGACTACATCCGTTCGATTGCAGTCCACCCATCTAAACCATATATCCTTACTGGTAGTGATGACTTAACAGTTAAGCTTTGGAACTGGGAGAATGACTGGTCTCTGGAACAAACATTTAAAGGCCACGAACATTTTGTTATGTGTGTTGCATTCAATCCAAAAGATCCAAACGTTTTTGCATCTGGTTGTTTAGATCATAAAGTTAAAGTCTGGTCTTTAGGCCAATCAACACCAAACTTTACCTTACACACTGGCCAAGAAAAGGGTGTCAACTATGTCGATTACTACCCATTACCTGATAAGCCTTATATGATTACTTCTTCAGATGACACCACAGTTAAGATTTTTGATTACCAAACTAAATCTTGCGTCGCTACTTTGGAAGGTCACATGTCTAATGTTTCATTTGCTGTTTTCCATCCAACGTTGCCTATCATCATCTCTGGTTCCGAAGACGGTACAGTCAAGCTATGGAACTCATCTACTTATAAACTAGAGAAGACATTGAATCTTGGTCTAGAAAGAAGTTGGTGTATTGCTACCCACCCAGTTGGCCGCAAGAATTGTATTGCCTCTGGTTTTGACAACGGTTTCACCGTTTTGTCATTGGGTAATGATATGCCAACCTTGTCACTGGACCCTGTTGGTAAAATTGTCTGGGCTGGTGGTAAGAACGCCTCAGTTTCGGACATTTTTACTGCGGTAATTAGAGGTAATGAAGACGTTGAGCAAGATGAGCCATTACCACTCCAAACCAAGGAACTAGGCTCTGTAGATGTTTTCCCTCAAATCTTAAAGCATTCTCCAAATGGTAGATTTGTAACAGTTGTTGGTGATGGTGAGTTTATTATTTATACTGCTCTAGCATGGAGAAATAAGGCCTTTGGTAAATGTCAAGACTTCGTTTGGGGCCCTGATTCCAACAGTTATGCTCTGATTGACGAAACTGGTCAAGTAAAATACTTTAAGAATTTCAAGGAGGTCACATCATGGTCTATCCCTGTCTCTTATGGTGTTGATAAACTATTCTCTGGTGCTTTATTGGGTGCTAAATACGATGGATTCACTTATTTCTTTGACTGGGAAACTGGTAGCTTGGTTAGAAGAATCGATGTTGACTCTAAAGATGTCATCTGGTCTGACAACGGCGAGCTGTTGATGATCTTGAACAAGGATAGTGAACAAAACGAAGGAAGTAGTGGATATTCCTTGATATTTAACAAGGATATTTACTATGAAGTGAGCCAACAAGGTGAAGTTGATGAGACAGAAGGTGTAGATGAAGCGTTTGATGTGCTACATGAACTTAACGAGACTGTCACTTCTGGTAAGTGGGTCGGTGATGTTTTCATTTACACAACATCCTCTAATCGTCTGAACTACTTTGTTGGTGGTAAGGTTCACAACTTAGCACATTATACTAAAGAAATGTACATCCTTGGCTATCTACCTCGTGATAACAAGATCTATTTGGTAGACAAGGAAATCCATGTGTATGGCCATCAATTATCAATCGAAGTTCTTGAGTTCCAAACTCTGACTTTGAGAGGTGAACTTCAGGAAGCTATGGAATCGATCTTGCCTAATATTACCGAAAAGGATGCATTAAACAAGATTGCTAGATTTTTGGAAGGCCAAGAATACTACGATGAGGCTCTGCAAATTGCTACTGATAAGGACCAGAAGTTCGATCTGGCATTAAAGGTGGGCCAACTGGATTATGCTCATAGTGTTCTAACAGAAGATGCTAGTGAACTAAAATGGAGATCCTTAGGTGATGCTGCATTACAGAAGTTCCATTTCAAGTATGCCATCGAAGCTTATGAAAAGTCTCATGACTTAGACTCTTTGTTCTTATTATATTCATCATTCAATTTGAAAGATAAATTGTCAGAGTTGGCTGTTCAAGCTGAAGAACAACAGAAATACAATTTAGCATTTGATGCATACTGGACATTAGGCGATATCAAGAGTATTAAAAACTTACTAATAAAATCAGACAGACTATCTGAAGCTGCCATTGTATCTTACACATATGGTCTAAATGATGATGAAGTTTTAGATGTTATAAAGCAATGGAGAGAGAAACTAGTACTAGATAAGGGTAACGACAAGTTAGCTGCCAGAATAGGTGATCTTGATAACAATCTTCCACCTAGAAATATAAATTCTGCTCCCCTTCTAGATCTAGATGAAAAGGAAAATACGGAGAAGCCTCAAGAACCAAAGAAAACTAAAAAGAATAAAAATAAGAAAGCAAACAAGGCTGAAAATACCAAGGAGACACCATTTGATGATAAATTAGAGACCAAGCCTAGTGAAGCAGCTACTAAAGTTGAAATGAAGGAGGAAAAGCCAATAGACACTGTGACAGCTGAAGTAGTGGAAGAAGAAACGGACGAAAAGGAAGACGCTTAAGTAGTCGCATAAACAAGGAGATCTATGTTTTATTATTGTAGAGCTCAATAAATGAATCGTTTATGGAATATGTACACTATTTCCTCGCTGTGATAAAGTTACTTAATTTCTAAATTTATGTACTTTTTTCATTTATAAATATGTATTTACCAAAATATAAATATCAATCGTAATTGCCATAATCCTATCCAGGAAGAGCTTATTATAATGTAAAAGAATATCATGGGTATCATTAATAAAACAGTTAATTATGAATGTCAGCGTTAAAAAGGATTACCGGATTGATTTACTGGAGGACTAATATTAGATTCTAAATCAATTGTTTCAACAGAAAACGTTCAGCTTATCTACATTTTTCTTCTTCTTTTTACCAATGAAGTAAATCTCTTTGGATTCATCTCTGGATGCAGAAGGTTTCGTTATTTCAACACGGTCAAAAACTTTCTTCATTCTTTTCTCAAATAGACTAGTCTCTGCACCAGAAAACTGTTTACATATAAACGATCCCGCTGGCTCGAGCAGATCTACTGCAGTTATCAATGCGGCATCACATAAATCAATTGAATTCAAATGATCCTTGAAGTTGAGACCGGATGTGTTACTCATCCTGTAATAGGGCATATTAGTAAGATTATTCAAAGAGGGTGATAATTGTGGAAAAGGTTCATACATGTCGCTTAAGATGATATTTACAGGAAATTGTGGTTGTTGCTCAGTATCGGAGTCATTACGTGCCATGGATTCCACTTGGCTATCATTCATGAATATCTGTTCCATGAAAAATTGTCGTATCAGTTGGTGAGTGCGTTTTGACAAAATGTTCGCTTGCATAGAGCTAACGCCGAAGGGCGGGTCGCACGGCAGTATGTCAACACCTAGCACAATAGAATCGGGGTGCGTCCTCTTACGGGCCACTTGGGACCACGCACCAGGCGCATAACCCAGGTCCAGTATCCGCTGAGGGACACTCTTGTGGAACACATGATAAACGTCATCCAATTGAGCCAGCTTGAATCCAGCACGTGACCTCAGATTATCTAGTTTACTCTCCCTTGTGTAGAAGTCCTGTTTCTGCCTATCGAGCCACCTCTTCGAGCTAGCTCTGCTGTAGCAGCGGTTCTGTGTTCTGTGTGCGGCTCTAATAGCCAGCGTTAGGTTCATCCGTATCATATTCGGTTCACTTTCTTGGCTTGATAGCAGTACCGTCACAGCACAATCACACAAGATCGTCCTTTTTTTTGCTCCCCCACACTATCCTGCAATACCACCTGTATATTCACAGGTTCTTTATCTTATAAATAGATATAGGCTATGATAGTTTGCTGTATAGAAAGCGGAGACTACTACAGACAAGTTCAATATACAATATGCTCACATTTAGCCTTGATGCTCACTTGACCTTGTCATCCAGAATTGTGACTTAGGGTATTGTGTCTTACACCCATACATTATTTAGTACACCCACACACAACACACTAAAATGTGTCTCAACACCACTACAACAATAAATTACCCAAATAGGATAAATGTGACTGAAACGGATGAAATTGAAAATACACGTCGAACGTTACAGCACCATGTGACATACAATCCATCATGTGACATAAACGTTTGTAACGACAGTAGCTGAAGAAAAAAAAATTTTTTTTTTTTTCAAACAAACTGGCCATCGCAACTTTGAAGTCCAATTACTATTGGGCCATTATCATATATAATAGCAAATAGTAGTTGTTGTTAAGTAGCTTCATAGTATATTCTTTTCTTAAACTTTAATTTGTAGCTTTTTTTTAAAAGGTCAAGTCGAAAAAACGTAATTTCTAGTAACTTTATTGTTGAAATTATATCACACCAAATCTTTTTGGAAGACTTCGCATAAACTAGAATAACCATGTCTAAGATTACTACCTCTCACGTTAGAGAAAACGTCAAGGAGCTTTTGAAGTACTCCGCTGAGACCAAGAAGAGAAACTTCTTGGAAACCGTCGAATTGCAAGTCGGTTTGAAGAACTACGACCCTCAAAGAGACAAGCGTTTCTCTGGTACTTTGAAGTTGCCAGTCTGCCCAAGACCAAACATGTCCATCTGTATCTTCGGTGATGCTTTCGATGTTGACAGAGCTAAGTCCTGTGGTGTTGACGCTATGTCCGTCGATGACTTGAAGAAGTTGAACAAGAACAAGAAGTTGATCAAGAAGTTGTCCAAGAAGTACAACGCTTTCATCGCTTCCGAAGTCTTGATCAAGCAAGTCCCAAGACTTTTGGGTCCTCAATTGTCCAAGGCCGGTAAGTTCCCAACCCCAGTCTCCCACAACGATGACTTGTACGGTAAGGTCACTGACGTCAGATCCACCATCAAGTTCCAATTGAAGAAGGTCTTGTGTTTGGCTGTCGCTGTCGGTAACGTCGAAATGGACGAAGACACTTTGGTCAACCAAATCTTGATGTCTGTTAACTTCTTGGTCTCCTTGTTGAAGAAGAACTGGCAAAACGTCGGCTCTTTGGTCATCAAGTCCACCATGGGTCCAGCTTTCAGATTGTACTAAGCATAGCACTGAATTACTAATATTTTTAACTAAATATTAGCTATCTTTTATATTATTACATATATATTAATTCATTGTTCATATTAGTCCAAAATAGACTTTCTCTCCCCGCATTTTCTAGCGCAATATCCTTAGCTTCCAATTTGGAGCGCCAATCACCACCATGAAGCTTACGCTCCAGACCAAATCTATAATTTCATAGAAATCAGCTACATATTCGACTCGTTACACATCCACATCCTAAGCTATGGTTGCTTGATCCCAACGGACTTTATAGCCCATTGTTCCACTCGACAACGAAGAAAATCACGGGGGAAAGGCGACCGAGCTCAAAAATTTGGCAGCCTAAAGCTTTAAAATGGCCTATGAATCAAGAACTATACCCTCGAGAACCGACGATACACCAAAGCATAGACTATTGTAACGGTACCAACCAGGTAATTGATTTGAAAATAGGCAGTCCACCCTCTCTTGTGATTGTGTTTCAGATAAAAATCCAAATACATGCGCGGCGGAGAGTCAGGCGTCAATATATAGCGAATAGTTCCACTGAATTGGACGTGCGTTTTGGAAAAGGAAGACAGAGTACTGGAAGCAAACACAGCGGCACGGCACTAATTTCTGCCTGCAATGATGAATGACACGGATGATGAGTCGGATTTCATGGAGCTGCCGCTGCGACATAACGGAAGCAGACTGCTTGATTCCGCGAATGATAACTTCTCTGAGTTGAACGAGGATCTGGATGGTAACTTACTACATTCGGGAGAGAAGGACCAGAGCTCCAGCAGTCTAACTAAAAAGGTGAGATTCGAGAGCAATGAGGGTAATGACTTCAATGAACAGGCAACTATCACAGAACACCAAGGTCTGGCTGCTATGGACGGTGGCCCACACCAAGAGGAAGAGAGCAACGAATTCATTCTTCATGCCCCGGGTCACATAAGGTTATCTGACCGGAACGGAATAGATAGCGACCTCATGTTAGCAGATCGGAGCCAGACAAGCTCGACTGTGAGCAATAAGATGGATGTAGAAGATCTGATTAGAGCTGCAAGTGAAGTCAATGAATATATGTCACAGAATTTAGACAAGATCAATAGTTTTAGATCGGAACTGCTGAGCAGCACTGACTTCACCAGGGATAATAAATTGAAGGATCCTTCAAATCATTTAAATGTGGAAAACACATCTATTTTGGCAAATCCTGCTCATAATATATCAGGATCGCTTTCTAATTTTGAGTTAAGTGATAATGAAGACTCTGAACGGGACTCAGATGAACTAAGAAATTATGTAATGAATCGAGAGATCCTACTTTCCTCTTCAACATCGCTCGGTTCTACAAGCGATTTTGGCAGAAAGAGTTACAACAGCTCCACTTCGTTGTCAAAGTTATTAAATAATAACAACTTTGAAGGTAGTCAACTGAACTTAAATAGTGTACAGCAAGAGCTTCTGAAAACCCAACAATTCAATGACTCAATCGACATCGATGTAGATCAAGCAATTACAGAGATCAAGCAACGAAAACACAGCGACCACAGCGCTAGACATGAACATGAAGAAGTGATGGATTCTAGCACTGTACTGCTATTAAAATATATTGATGATGACATCAATTTTGAAGATGTTACCATCGAAAAAGCCCTTGAGATATACCAACAGAACTTAAGCCAAATAATGGAACTCTCTAAATCAGCTGTAAGTAAGAGTGATTTGACAGCTAACGAACAGAATCCAGAAGATCATAACGATAATGAGGCTGAAAAGAGAGATGAAGCAGATAATGATGAAAGCTCAACCAAGAAAGGGGATGATATCCGCGTCGAAGGGCCATACGAGATAGAATCTCCAGCTGCCTTAAATTTTACAATGAAAAGCAAACCTTCTGTTTCCGCAGAAATATTTTTAGGTAGAATTCAAAACAAATGTGAGTTTGGTCCTATTATTTATCTAGCTGCTGCATATCTGCTTCAAATATTATTTTTGACAAGAGATAATCCAGACTCGAACATCCGAGTACGACTGAAACTAAGGGAGAATGAAATACATAGACTTATTATCTCGACAGTCCGTGTCTCAGCCAAACTTGTTGAAGATTTTGTGCACTCACATGAATACTTTTCTAAAGTATGCGGTGTCTCAAAAAAACTCCTGAGCAAGTTAGAAGTCTCACTGATTATGTGCATTAAGAATGAAAGATTAATGATTACGAAACAAAAACTAACAGCATCTCAAAAAATATTGGATGAACTGCAATCAGCATTATAGATTTATTTAATATTTATATTTCTTAGTAGTTTCCTCACAATAGAAATGAATTTCTGACAAATAGAGTAGCTTCGCAAACAAGTATAAAATTGATTGACCCATAATCATTACATGCGGTATAATAAGTAGTTACGATGTCTCACAAATTACTTACCACTGCCTTTTGTCATTTTTCGTCTCTTGCTTAACACACTTACCCTCAAGCAATTAGTTTTCGTGTCTATTATCTCAAAATCATAACATCATATAAAACGACTAAGAAATTGCGGCACAACAGCTAAATATTTCAATCCAAACAACACTGGACACTGCAACTTCCCGAAAATAGCTCGGTTTTGGAAAAATGCATGCCAAAAGTTGGACTTGTCGTTCTTTGGAAAGACAAGAATAATACGAGTTCTTATCCGTAATTATAGTTTCAAAGGCAATCCTAGTTTCAGCTGAGATCAGTTTTTGGTTATACGGTATTGAAAATATCAAGTATTGGAAGTATTTTCGAGGCAACCAATTGATTATATTTTTTTACCACATTGCTGACAGCCAAATAACCTAGGAAGTCAATTTCATCCTAGAAGAACGGCAAAAAGTTGATTATAGTCGATTAAAATTTAATAGATCAACCAAGATTAAATTTGATTATTGTTAAGACGTTTTTGCTTCATTTATTGAAACTGGATCATAAGCTAGCTCATTGATCATTGTTTATAGCTTCCCATATTGATCAAAAACACATCGATAAACCTGACTAGAAATTGATTAAATAACAAAAGTCGGATAACATTTCTATTTCCGTTTCTTGATTTAGTCTGCTAACAAGTACAAATTTAAGTGAGGAAAAATGGTGCTATATAAAAGGAAGCCAATAGAGCTACCTCGTCCCAAACCCTTACCAAGCGATCTCAATGTTCAGATATGGCATATTGATGAGACCGGTGAATGGTTTCCGACTTATGAAGAGTATTTAGAGAGATTAGACTTTTACACAAGACATCAGTTTACATGTGAGATCACAGGTGCTTCTTGTTTGACTTTTTTCGAAGCCTTAGACAGTGAAGAGTCAAGGTTCAAATACGTGGAGGAGAAATTCCCATTAAAATTGAGAGAACCTGTAGCAAGATTTTTACATTTTCATGAAATCAGAAGATTGGATGTACTGGTTGAAAAGGTTTACGCAAGATTTAAGAACGATTATTTCCCTGGTGAACTTGTATATTTGCGGAAGCCAAATTCGACTGCAAGTAATGCTAATTCTACTGTACCGTCTGAGACAAGCACACCAGCGCCACCACCACCAGAGGATCCCAAGAAATCAGGTGAATCAAGCGCCACATACTTCTACCCCATCAGAAAATATGATCAATTAACACCACCTGCACACCCATACATTATTAAGGAAAAGGTTCAATTCAACGCTAATTCGGATACTAATCCAGATGGTAAGACTGGACCTCAAACAAAGTACATGCTGATTGATGAAAAGGATCCCCACGACTCAGTCATTGCTGATGAAACACAAATATACAGAGACAGATCGACATTTACAAAACATCTAATAAAGTGCTTTTTCAAGATCACATTCCAGAAAGCCTCATATAAAATGGGTGCGCCATGGTGTGTTAAGCCAGAATACCTTGCAATGTATGGTCTGACGATGGACTGGCCACCCGAAATGTTGAAGTATAAGGCTGAGCCTGGCCATGTCCAAACAGATGATGATGGCGAAGAGTCTGATAGAGATAGGAAAAGAAGCCACTCTGGTAGACATGATAGTTCTGATGAAGGGGAAGGTAGAAAAGAATCTAAGAAAAAGAAGAAAAACACTTTGAAAAAAGAGGAACCAACTGAGCAGAAGGAAACAACCGAAAACATTAGTACAGCATCAGATATAGAACAAAGTGCTCAAGTACAAGAAACACCACTATTAGCTTCTGCTGCTACCACAATTACCAGTATCGTTGATGATATGGTTTTACCATTCCAGCCATTAGCCCAACAAGTTTTTGACAAATTACATCAATATAATATCAACCTGGAATCTTTAGATGTCAAAGAAACAGAAAACGATACGGCGTTTCCAGCGTTTGATAAGATACTCCAAATTAATCAATTTTTAAACACGTTCGGAAATAAGTTATACATTTCAAATTTCACTCTAGAGCAATTTATTACCTCTTTAAAATGTAGTGATCCATATGAACTGAAGGGTGAAGTTGTTTATGTTAACTTGAAAAAGGATCAGAGTGAAATTGATGACGATGATCTAAGTGATTGGAAGAGAAATAGCAAGATGAGAAAGATGATTAATAGCAAAAACGACGAATACGTTGAATATAGGATTATAAAAGACGACCCTGCAGATGATGAAATGATTGATAATATCAACTCTAATGGATCATCCTTGTTTGTTGAGTGTTTTGTTGCACTACTTCGTTTAATTATCAATGAAAATGGAGACTGGACATGCCTGGTAGTAGAAGAATGGGTAGAAGACAAAGATATAATGGAATTGCCTATCAAAAATGAAGAAAATTCCAACAATGTAGAAGAAATAAAAGAGGAGGATGCCAAATCAGAAGATGTGGATATGATCAAACAAGAAAATTCTAATGAAGGTGCAACTGTCAAGTCCGAAGTATCTGACGTCCCTAATGGTACTAGTAATGATAATGAAAAGAATTATGCTGTTGAAAATGGTAATTCAGAAATTTCCACTAATGATCAAGAATCTCTACAAGAGGCAGAAGAAGAAAAAGATCAAGAACGGGAAGAAGAAGACGATTCAGAGAGTATTGAAGATATCCTTTACAAATGCTTGAATTATAGAAACGTCAATTGGGCCGAGAGGCTGAGTAAAAGACAATTCAATAACAATAACTGGCTGTTAATCCTTCTCGGTGTCTTTGAAGATTGTAAGCATATCCCAATGTATACGGATATAATCCAGAATATGTTTCAAAAAATTCTACCAAAAGGTGTTGCTCAGACTCAAATACCTAAACAGCTATGGAGAAATTTTTGTAGAAACCTAACCCTAAAAGAAAAAGTGGACGCACTTTGGATTTTAGTAGACCTTGTATCTAATTACTGCTCAGAGGTTCGTTCATTTGTCGATGATGCCATGGAACTTTGTGGTATAATAAGAAGTGAAAGGTTCAGAGTATCAAAAGAAATTAAGAATGTATCCAACAGTCTCTATCAATCTACAATTCAGCTTCGCGAACTTGAAACCATCGCTCAAATGGGTGGACAAGCCACGACATTCACTAATATTGAAAATCTCCAAATACAACCTGCCAATGGGGATACCAATGAGATTAAGCCTGCTGAAAATGGTGAAGAAAACAGTAGCTCTCAACTGCCAGTTACTGAGAGGATTGAGAAACTGAAACAGGAGTTGGAAGAACTGGAGCAAAAATTAGCCACTCTGCAAAACGATAAAACTATCTTAGATAAACAATTGATGCTTAATGATGGCCAGAGACTTCGCTCACTTGGAATGGATAGATACGGCAACAAGTACTTTTGGTTTGAGTTGTTTGGCCAAGTGCTGGACACAGTTCCTAAGTCCGATGATCATAACGATTGGGAGGGTTTATCATACCAAAATGGTAGGGTATGGTTGCAAGGACCTCACAAGGATGCTGCTAAATTCTTTTTGGACCTATCTGAAGAACAGATAACAAATTGGAGAAGAATCGCCAAACAAGATGGTCGCGTTGCAGCTACTAAAGAGGTGTTTGGTGTTTACACAGAAGGCAACAAAACGTTATATAATCAACCGGATGGTACTTTAATCGTCCTAGTGGATGAGGAAGGTAATGTTAACCAGGATATTACTTTGACACCTATACTAAGAAAAATTATTGACGAAACACCTGCTGCATTGCTACTATCCGAAGAGCAGTGGTATGCTGTTGAAACATATGAAGATTTCGATTTCATGCTAAACTCATTCAATCAATGGGGTCGTAAGGAACACGATTTAATCAAACAAGTGAGACCAGTTCAAGAATATATCCAGGACGTATATATGATTAGAAACCATAATCTAAAATTATCTGATCTGAACGAGACTGAACAATCGTTGATCAATGAGTTAAAGGAATATGAGTTTAATGATACGGAACATGAGTTGATGAAAGGCAGCGATAATCCAAATAACACTGAGGGGCAATTGGAAAAGATTGAAAAATCATTGGATACCATTGTCCAAAGGGTAATGGAATTGGATGACCAAGGGGAAACTGATGAAAATAAAGCTGAATTGAAGACACTTGAGGAAGAGCGTGACCGTCTACTTGCAGAACAAGACAAATTAGCATCCAATGGAGATAATGGAGGGCGCCTGATGGCTAGATCCGAGAAAAAGAAGATGTTAGTGAGAATACAAACTAAGGTTGAAAAACAAATGGAGATTCTTACCGATTTAATAAATAACAGACATTTTAAAGCCATGGAGGATGTCATCGCATGGAAGAATGATATTTCTCTCAAAGTGTGGGGATCAGAACTCCGCAGGAATGCATCTGGTGCAAAGAAAAATACTATCACTGAGACGGTTGCAGAAAGATTCGATGAAATAGTTGACCTAACATCCAGAATTGCTAGTCAATAATTATTCAATGCCATAATGGAAATGATACTCCCCACTGTAATTAGTTAATTATAAATGCCTTACTTTATCATGATGGACATGAAGATTTCTTAAAGTTGGCGTGGCTTTTTTATTCTATCAAGATGATACTCGCAATTGAAATATCAATTATGAAACTATCGCATCTTGAATTTGTAATTTTAATATATCTAGTGTGACATTTTTATAATTTACACATCAAAATAACTAATAGTGCATATATAACAGATTACCATTTTTCTTAGAACAGCTGGGCATGCTTAAATCAAAACAAAAGATACCTTGAAATAAGTAATGGCATTTGTTTTGTTGTTGAATTCTTGCTCATCTGTTGCAAAACGTTAATTAAAGGACATCGATATTATGACAGACTTCAGCCCAGATCTATTGAATCAGCCAGTTATACTTGACAATGGTTCTAGTGTTATCAAGGCTGGTTTTGCTGGCAGCCAACAGCCAGATGTTCTAGAATATGCATGGATTGGAAATCCACTTGCTGAGAGGTCAATGGTTACAGTAAGCAATAAAGAGACATATATTGGCAATTCAGCCTATGAAAGAAGAGCCACTCTTCATTTAGAATCACCATATTCAACCAATGCGATTATGTCGTGGGATCGACTGGAAGATTTATGGGACTATGTGTTACTCAATAAACTGGAGATTGAACAATTACAGGAACATCCAGTTGTTTTGACGAACTCTATGTCGACTAGCAAGAAGGAAGAAGAGAAGATGTGTGAGGTATTGTTCGAGAAGTTCTCGATACCAGCAATATACTGTTCTCGCGATCCGATAATGTCTTTATATGGGCTAGGTAGAACTACTGGATGCTCTGTTTCTTGTGGGCATCGAGGCATAGGTATCACAACAGTTATTGATGGTATGATAGTTGGTGGGAGCTCCCAAATATCCAATACAGGCGGATCGGCTGTCACAAACACCATGCTTGATCTACTCCGACATAACCATCCTAAGTTAGAGAACGGTCAGAATGGTATAGAATTAATTAGAAGTATCAAAGAAAGATGCTGCGTGTTATCCAAAGATTTCTATAATGAAATTAGAGCATATGAATTGATTACCAGTAAAACATCAAATAATAAATATCGACTACCAGACGGCAATATAATTGAGATTGGATCAGAAAGATTCGAAGCGCCAGAAATAATATTTAATCCACAAGCATACGGTTACTCAGAAATTCCTTTACAGAAAATGATTATTAATAGTATTAGTCGTGCTGGTATACTGCCACGTTCTCAACTTCTGGAGTCAATAGTACTTAGTGGTGGAAGCAGCTTAATAAAAGGTTTCGGAGAAAGACTTACAAAAGAAATCCGTAAAGAGATTGATGGCAATCAAAAAATAATGTTAAATGCACCTCATGAACGCAGATTTTTACCATGGATAGGCGGATCGGTTTTGAGTGGTCTTTCTACAATGAAACTCCTCTGGAAGTCTAAAAGCGCCTACCGTGAAGATAAGCACTTCGATTTCAATACACTTTATAACAACCGGATGTAGGCATAGTGCGTCTCATAATTTAGTGTAGTGCAGTTATTCTGTGAAAGATATCTTTATTGTTTGCGTAAAATGTAAATAAAACTAGTATGAGAAATGGGTGTCTGAACGTATTTAGATAGAGTGTCAATTAGAAATGCTAATGTAAATAAAGTAAAGTATTAAAAGAAATAAACAGAATTGATACTATAATGTTCCAATCTGTTATAATTGAAATAAAGAAATGGTGAAAATAAAAAAACAGTAAACGTTGGACTTAATGGATTTAAGGTATGATTCTTTTTTTTCATGGCTGAGATTAGATACAGTAGTATCTGTCACCGAAGTCACCTAGACCTGGAACCAAGTACTTCTGCTCATTCAAACCCTTGTCAATGGCACCAGTAACAATCTTAACATCTGGGAATTGAGCATGATATCTATCAATACCATCCTTGCTGCAAATCAAGTTCAAGAAGTATATTCTTTCTGGCTTGACACCTCTTTTGATAAGGACATCGGTAGCCATCATAGCACTACCACCAGTGGCTAACATTGGGTCTAGCAAGAAAACGTATCTGTCAGCGATGTCCTCTGGCAGCTTCTCGTAGAATAATTTAGGAAGAGCGGTTTCTTCGTCTCTTTGAATTAGAATCTTACCAATTCTAACTGATCTGCAACAGTCTCTGAGACCTTGTTCCATGGATTCACCAGCTCTGACTATGGAAACACCACAGATCTTACCCATAAAGCCAACACCATTGAAGACCTCACTAGTGTGGGTATCAACGTCCTTGTTCTCAACAGGCAAGTGGTTTAGACCTTCCTCTACCAACAATCTGATGATTCTGTCAGAGTAGAAAATGAAGTCAGGTCTAGTGGTGTTCTTGTCTCTGATAATAGTGTAAAGACCCAACAATTGGTTGGTCTGAGGTAGCAAGTAAACGTTCTTAAATGGTTCAGAAGACATAGTTGATGTTCTTATATATTTTTATGCTTTTTAGTTGCGTATTGATTATATTGCGATACCAGCTCACAAAAAATACGCTATCCTTAAAAATATCAATTGTACCAAAAACAAAACGATACAATAGTGTCAAAGCAAAATAATAGAAAGTTCGACTAATTCGATTGCTTATATATGTTCCAGGATCAACTGTGCATTAATACATGAAAGTAAATTGTTACTATGCTGCTATTACTGTCCTACAGCTCATCTCATCGCAAGGTGAAATTTTTCAGGGAAAAAGGCAAGAATCACCTGAAAATCATAATCTCTGCAGTGCTTTCTGTGGAATACTGACTGGAAAATTTTTTGAATTGAAAAGGGAAGATAATGTATCACGTATTACGTAAATACGGGGGTTTCCGGGAATTTGCCTTGATCTCCGACGGAGAAAGCACTGAGGATACAGATTGTCCGTCGGAGAATTGCTTCCAAAATGCACAGAATAGTATTTGAACAGAGTTTATATAGTTTGTTGTGGTGAGTGTCAGGGCTTGTGGGTATTTTTGGGGATTATTAGATTTATAATACAATTACGCTTATGTAGTGCAGTAGCAATAGCACGACAATACATACGTTACATAGTCTTATGATTCTATTTTTGCTTTTCTTCATCGGGTATCTACAATTAGTAAGTCAAGTTGTTACTTGTTTCTGAACTGATCATCACCTGGATGGTCCTGCCATCGACCAAAGCACCATGGAATAGTTTTCGTACACGTTCCAGTTCCTCGATGGTGGCTTTCTTCAGCCAGACATGAGCAGTCGCCGAGCCTGAGGGCAAATCACGCACCTTCACGCGCTTGATGGAAACGTTCGCCAGGTTTTCCAATATCTTTTGTAAGTTCCTCTGATTTACACCCAGGGTCAAGTTGTACAACACTAATGACTTGTCAGACGCATCAGTGTTCGTGGAGATGACTAAAGTGTTGCCAGTACCAACTGGGAAAGTAGGTATATTAGTTGGTGTAATTACATTTGGCTTGCTCTTCATTTTCTTTTGCGCCTTGCTAGTTGATTGCTTTGGCTTGGTTGGAACTTTCACGCTATTAGCCTTCGCAGACCGGATACTCTTCTTCACTTCACGCTTACCCTTGACAACGTCTCTGGGAGAGTTGCCAGCGGCCCTCAATAGCACGCCAATATCGTCAGCCTTCACTAATTTACCATTGACTACGGTGAAACCAGCACTGCCGGCCTTCTTGGGGCCAGTAGGCGTGGGACCAGGAATGGCACGCTTACGGTTAACACCAGCGCCATTCACCTTGCCAATCCTGTCAATAAGACTCTTGCCAGCATACTTGCCACTATCTTTCCTCGCCATTTCTCTAGTCAAAGTCAATGCTTGTGCTTTCCTGATGATATCCAATAGCCACCGCGTAACCAATGGTAATTATTTGTTTAAGCTGCTCTGAACTATACCCTCGATTCGTAGTTGTGGTAACTAAGAGATTTGCCTGGGCTGTTCCTCAAATATGAACGCCGAAGATCGAAGTTAGTTTGTACGTTTTACATGTGATTTACATTTACGTATAATATTATACATATACACTCAGGACGAAGTAATCATGTGATCTGATAAGGGAATTCCGAATCCGCATTTCAGGTTTCTGTTGGAAGAAAGAGAAAATTCCCTGATCTGGAAACAGGTGAGCGGTATTTAATGGTGATAATTTCCTATTACAGTAATACTATACTTAGATAGGAAAGTAGACAGCAGGGCCGATAAGGAATACCCAGTAATCGGCAGCCGATAAGGATGTAGTACTTGTAGTCTGCTTTCGAAGTGAAAAAAAATCAAATTCAAAAGTTGAAAAAACTTCAAGAATAATAAGCTCACTTGCACTGTGGGTGTAAACGATATAGTTATATATGAGATCACATATTGGTTGCAAATTGGATACTCTTGTAGACAAGACAGCATCGCCTCCGCAACGATAACTTCCTTAGGTGCTCTTTTTCTTCAAGAATTTTTTTTGAGTGATTTTTTGATGAGAACAAAGGGCAAATCCAAATACAGGGAAGGAACATTGCTTTTGGATTCAGTAACTTGAATGCAGGTAGAGGGGCTGTCACAGTGTACAAAATCATTGGACAGGAGTAGACTAGAGAAACAAGGAGCTAGGCAGTTTTTGAAACTCGTTCTACTCTCTGTCTCTCTCTTCTGTGGGAAGTGATGTCTTTGTAGCTTACGGTTAGCTGAATAATAGTATATATATAAACTTGTAGAATAGGGACTCTATCGTCGCATTGCTAGTGCTAGAGCCAAAGCAAGCGTTTACTACAACTGTAAAATACGAATGTCTGGTGTGCCTATGAGTGTGAGTGGTACTAACCATCCACAGGATGTACCAAAGGAAGAAGAAGGTATCTTGAACTATTTGCTCGAAGTCAGGTCCTTCCTGTCAAAACTGAAGAAGAATAGAACACAGTACTTAAACTCGAAGGATGTGCTGAACACTTACCAAGAAGTGCTAACTAGAGTCAGGGAACTGGACGGAATAAGGAAGAGCAGCACAGATGTCACTCGCCGTCCCACTTGTGCTACTACATTGATTCACGACACCGATATGCACAACCGTGTTGACTCTGTTCTGGATGATGTGTTCCAGTTATTGTCCCTGTGCTTCTTAACAGTTGGCCTGAAAAACTCTGCACCAGCTACCTACGCATCTTTATCCACTGTCCAATGTCTGTTGGAGCATCTTTGCGAGTCAAATGTCTTCACACACCATGATTTAAGACCTATAAAGGAGAGATTGGATGAGATTTCCAAGATCGTTGAGAAGAGCGTTGAGTCCCGTCCTGAAGATGAAGTCGCTGAATTCAAGGAGATTGATACTGAGAGAAACAAGAATAGAATCGAGCAGGACTTGCTTTTAAAGGCCAAATTACAACACTGTATTGATGAATACAACAAGCTAGAGTCCAAGCTGGAAGAAATTCCACCTGATTTGTCAGACATTATGGAGAGATTATTTAAAGTCAGAAGAGGTTTACTTTCACTTGCCGCATCTTCCAAGAAGAATATTCCAGATGAGAATTACAAAGAACCTGCCAAGTTGGACGATTCAAAGCATGTACTATCTCAGGAATACTTGAGTAATAGCCTTGAGAAATACAAGAAAGAGGTTGCCAAGATGGAGGCTATGAGAGATGAAAACGGGCAATTCGTCTCGAAATCGACAGGCAAAGCTGAACAAAGAGGTCAAAACATTCTAAATGGCTTGTTAGATGATTGTAATGATTTAATTAATGACTTATCGCACCAAACAAATGGTGGACTGACACTCGATCCTTATCTGCAACCAATTTACGAGAAACTAATAGACATAAAGACCACTTTGGAAAATCTAATGATCACTCGGAGATGGACTTTAAGAGAAACTGATTTGTTTACTTATCAGAAACAGCTAACTGAGATAGATAACATGAGGGTACATGGAAAATTTCCAACAAAGTCCCCAGATTCTAAAGGTCAGTCAATTATACTGTATCTATTGAGAAGATGCTATGCCATAATATATAAACTGCTAGAGAGTTCAGAACCTGTGTCGGAATCCTTACAGCCAGTTCACAATCAACTCTCTACTGTCCGTCGTTGCCTCTTAGAATTAAAAAGAATGGGAGGCGTCAACAATGAAAGAGAATTGTATCCATATCAAATGAAACTTGCCTCTCTAGATAACTTGCGTAAGGATGGTAAGTTTTATGACTCCGACGGTAACATACCAGAAGGTCAAGGTATATTAAATGCCCTATTGGCTGGATGTTTCGATATTCTACATGAGCTAAAGGTTGAGGCAGAAGAAAGAGAGGATGAGGAGGATGAGGATGAGGAAGAGGATGAGGATGATAATGTTTCCCATGACAGAAATCATGACGAGGAATATTTGTGAATAGGTTTTAACTTGTAGCTTTTTTATTATGGACGAAATTTACATATGCTTGTAAACATATACTTTACTTCAACGCTATCTATCTATGCTATATAAGTTAAATTGAAAACTTGAAGTTATTTTAAACTCATTAACTCTGTAGAGCCCCTTTGTAATATAACGTGGATTTTATTCAAATAAAAATGTATGTACTTTTTAAATGGATTCAAAGAATAACTAGGTTGCTAGTTCTAATGCAAGATTAATTGAATGAATGCAAAAAATTATAAAAATATTATATATTCGGGAAATTTCACAACAAAAAAAGATTCAATGGCATGATTAATTCCTGATAACAAATTAGCATTCCTTATCTGGAATTATCAAAATTATGAGCTTATGGAAAGTGAATTTGTGTATTTTCAGTTAATTCGAATTGAAAGATATGCCAGCACACCAATTGGTTTTATTAATTAAAAAAAGATTTAATCGAAACGAAATGCTAATAGAGATGCTAGAATCTCCTAGCTTTGGCTCGTAGCCCCGACTAGAAATAACCCAGGCACAAGATTCACATCAGTCCTAAACAGCATGTTGTCAGAACGTAATGACCAAGATTTATCCTTGCTGGTGAAGAAGTTAGTTCCAATTTTATTGAAGTCTAATACAGTTGAAGTTGTATTTTGAGGATTTATAGCTGCAAAAATTGACCTGTCGATATTTTTAACTGGTTCTGAAATATTGAATAGATAATACTTCTCGTTCATCAAGTCATCTGTCCTGGTCACAATGTTGTCATAGATGTCCAGCATCACCCATTCTTCAATGATCCGAACTTCTGTCGGATCCATGGATTCTGTGACATTCTTCCAAAGTTTCCTTTCATAATTAAACATGAATGCATCTTTCCCAGGAGAGCTAATATGAGGTGCCACATTTCTTCTGAGCTCTCTTAACAACTTGGTTTTTAGAATAGGTGTTAACTTGGAGTATAAAATTCCCAACTCTTTGACACGGTACGATGTTAGATCAAATGAAGCAAATTGCAAAGCTAGCAGATCGTCATCATGAGATTTGACCATATTTGCGTACATTGTTTTTACATCAGATAGGCTTAACCCCAAAAACTGCTTTACGATATTTGGAGGCAGGCTCTTTATGATACTTTTGAGGTTTGCATACCAATGGTGGATGTTGGCATATTTTCTAATAGCATTATAGGTAAGCCAGGATCTAAATTCAGGAATAAAAGCGTTTTGTTGAAAAACTGTAAACTCATATTGAGCGGGTACTCTATATTCGTGTCGCAACAGGTCCACATAGCGATTCGGTATTAGCGCAGGGACGCTGTGAAATAAAGTATTTCTTAATGGTGAAAGTTCACTTAGTAATGAGAAATGTTCATTTTTACAGTTGTAGGCCTTCATCAGTTTATTAAATTCTAATCTTTGTGCTGGGTTGAGTTTCCTGGGAGCCCATCCATTACCCTTAGAGTCTTTGATTTCCCGTTCTGCATTTTCCTTCAAAGTTCTAAGTTCGGCTTTTGAAAATTGTTCTTTGAAGGCAGTTGAATAATTGTATAGTTGAAGTGGAGTCATTAAGCCTAATGGTATTTGTTTTAAGGACTCAAGATCGGTAACTGGTTCTTCTTTTGGCTCTACTATAATGTTTTGATCTGATATCATATGACCAATTTGCAACTTGAGTTTATCTGAGATTCGGCTATAAGAAACACTTAGACCCGTTAAATCAATGTACATACCTGTATCAATATCAATAACTCTTGCATCGATATTACCATGTCCGTTACCATGAGAACGAGTAACGAGAGAGCTACCGACATCGATCATATATCTACCATTCCCCTCCCTTGGATCTTCTAGAACAAGAGATTGGTTGAAGTATTGTGCAAGCAAATGCAAATGTCTGATAGGCATTTGTAAATCAAAATCATTATCCCATGGGAAAGTCATACCGTTGTACATATAACCATACAGTGTACCGTGAGATAGCCAACTAACTAGACCGTTTGCGATGGCAAATTTCTGAAAGGTTCTGATCATCGAGTTCAATCTCAGGGCGTACTCATGAGTATCATGAATTAGATTATCTCCGTAGAAAAACCGCCTATCACGGTGATGTCCCAGACCATTGTATTGCAAGACCCCTCTGGCTTCTGCAAAATATTTCGGTTGTAGGACTGCTGGAGTATTGAGTGAAAATTTAAGGGAATCTAGGTACATTGAATCCTGTTTAGTTGCCATACCTTCTCTTTCTAATTCTTCTAGTTCAGATATTTTGGACTTAACATCGAAGTCAAAATCTTCCTCTTTCAACTCAATGAATTCGTCATGTTGAAGTGCATGTTTATTGGTACCAGGGATCTTGACTTTGTATTTCTGTATCCTATCATCGTTTACAAATTTCTCAAATAGTTCTATATGATCAAATTCAACGTCTATATCATTAGGATCTTGTTGCCATTTTGCCTTCTTCATCTGTTCTATTTTCTCTTCAGTTCTATTATTCACAAAATTTTGTAGCATACCATTCTGTGCCAAATTTAATCTACTAGTTTGATTGATTGGTATCTGGAATGAATTGTTCATACCATCTAGTATCGTTATGGACAATGGAGGCTGTAAAGTAGACCACATGTAGATTCTGGCTTGTAATTGGAACACTTCGGGTCTTAGATTGTCCCAAGGCTTCTTAATGTAGAAAGGAGGCTGCATTCTTGAGAATACATCTTGTGTTAGATCGACACCAGCTAAGGTAGAGCTATTTACACCGAAATGTTTCCCAATGTTGAAGGGCTCGCAGTAATCGCTTATCTTGTTTCTTCTGTGGAAGTCTGCTTTCTTTCTTTCCATCTTGTACCAAGATGCCTGCGAGTATTTCTTCCTATCGTAACTGAACAATGGCTCGCCGTTCTCTTCCTCGATCATCTCAATGTACTCTCTGTCAAAGGCGGACTCCAGGACGAAGTTGCAAGGCAAGGACGACACGGAGGCCGCAAGCATGTTATTCACTTCATGGAAGTCTGTCCAGTCATACCACGAAAACTGCACTTGTTCACCATCGTCTTCGTAGTCATCCGTCGCGGTGCTCAAGAAATGGTGCAAGTACACAGACCACGTCATCCTGGGATCGAAGTCGTAAAAGCCCAGGTTGCTTATCGCTGGAATGGGCTCTCCCTTCTTGGGGCCTGCGCTGTATCGCAGCAGGTTCTTCTTCAAAGTGTACTTGTCCATCCACTTGGGGGAAGTGTCGAACTTGTACTTGTAGTATATTCTGCGTGCGAGGTCCAGCAACTTCCCCGAGTTGCTTCGCACAGTGTCTGCTTTAGTGGAGTGGAAGTCCTCCACCACATTGTTTGGGAACTTGGTATAAGCGGTGGTGTCATGGGACACATCCGCTTTGCTCAGCACGGAGTCCGCCGGGAGTGCGGTAGAAGTATCTGAGCGGTAGTTGTACAAGTTGCTGTATGCGTGATGGTAGTTGTAGTACCCAAGACACACTATCACCATCAGGCCCACTACAACCTTGGCTGCAACAGTATTCGTGAGCATAATCAGAGGATTTTAATATTCTGATAGGTTATCGGAGTGGTACTATTAGATATGCAAAATGCAATTGGTTTTGTTCTCAAGATTGTTGTAAAAAGTGTTTGGCGGCTAGATCTACAGATCTGTTTTAGAAAGAGGAATGGGCGGCTAAAAGGGGAATTTCTGGTGATTCGCCCTGGTATTTATAGGAATGGGAGAAGGGGTAGAATTTTGAAGAAATGGCGAAAAAAAAAGAAAGCCAAGAGTACACAGTCGCTGATCTAGAGTATGCAGTAATTTTTACTTTTTTTTTTCCAAAGTGTGGACTTAGTGGTAATCGCAGAGCAAGGAATTGGGTGCAGTAGTTTCTGTGGGATAGGCATTTCTCTATTTACTAATAATCAAATTCACTATCCTCTTGGGTACTTTATCAGAGAAGTTGGGCAGCATTGTATCGGATGTACGATGTTTTCTGACATGGTGAAAAATGGAAAAGGCAGGGAGACAGAAGGTTACAAGATCACTATAATAGAGAGTACAGAGGTAGGGGGGGGAGTTGAACTGATTATTGTGCGCTGGTTTCTGTGAAAATACGTATAAAAACTTTCTACTTTAGAAATTCCCTTTTTTCCGCAACCTAGATAAGGCCTGCGGGGTAATCTCTGTGGCGATGGTGACTATGGTATGGTCTGAGCAATGGGGGGGATGAGCCTAAAGGCATGTAAAGTCGCTGTTGTAAGGAAAGAAGTGCCGTAGTGTGACAGGGATCGCAAGCTTTGTCTTCCGTTTTTGTCATTGTGTTGCAAGACATGACACAGAAAACAGGCAGTGAGGAGGGTCAAGGGATGGTGGCAATTTCTTTTTACTTGTACTGCATAATACTGGGACAAAGGGAAGGGAAGATCTTGCTTTTGCCAGTACGTAGCCTTCCATTGTTTCTCTGTAGGCAAAGAGGGGTCCACTGTTTCTACGTGGCACAGCATCACAGAATGACATTTACTTGAGATCTGTGATGCCACTGCGGCTATGTTCCCGCAATGCAGAGCGAGGGGGGTGAGAGAGGGATGAGGGTTGGTACTTGGTACTATACGTTGTTGCGGACATATCTGGTAGTACAGTGCACAGTTATTCCGAGATGCACTTCAGCAGTAAGCAGGCATAAAGCTATAGGAGTTGTACGCAAAAAAGAAAAATATCCCATCGGGCTCATCAGGCTCCTCAGGCTCATCACCATTACGGTACTGTGGGGAGGCTGATAGATTGTCATACTGCAATGTCTATTTATAGTTTAAGTAGTTTTGTAAAAAAAAAAAAGCTTGGCAAATTACTAATGTTCTAGACAGCTCATAAGAACATTCGGAGTGGGAGTGGAACGTATTTGCTCTTTGTCATAACTGAATGTATTAGTGCATGCTATAAAAAAATTAATATAAATAGAGAAATAGATACAGAAGAGAAAATAAAAAAAGAAAAAAGAAAAAATGGCAGTGCGATATTATGAAATGAAAAAGAAAAGGAAAACGTTTTTAGGAAAAAAAAACTTAAAAATAAAAACTATCTATATCTGGAATGCACTACCTGGTACTTCCATGTGGTGGTGCACAACCTTTTTCTTTCTGCCTGCAGTTCCTGTACTTGTTGCATTAGAGTGTATTGATCTGTTGCTTGGGTCTCTTCTGGGTATAGGAGCCGTAGCTGCTCCTGAAACGGAGCCCGACATGGATGCCGTAATGGACGCCGATATGGACGCCGATATGGATCCGGCAATTGACCCCGTTTCCGTTATCTCTGCACCCTGTTGCGTAGTAGGATCGGCCGTCGTGGCTTTCGTATTTACATTGTCGTTATCAGTAGTTGTTGCATTCTCTTTGGATGCGAATTCGTTGGTGTCGACAGCACTGGTCGGCACTGTCTGGGCTTTTTCATTGTCAGCCTCTGCAGTAGTATTCGTCTCTTGTTCGTGATCACGTTCTTCTTTGGCCTCCTCGTCTAATGTGAACAGCGGCGTAGTTGCAGCTTTCTTCATTGGTGACTCAGCGATATCAACCATTGATCTAGGCTTGTGCAATTCTCTGATGCTTGCTGGCTTGGGTGTCTCCACTGACTCTTCAGTGGTATGTGTACCAGCTGGGTTTTCGGAGTCGGAGTGCAAGCCACCGTTGGTATCGGTACCTACCATGGGGGAGGGGATCGGGTGTGCGTCAGCTGCATTGACCAAATTGATACCTTCTGAGCTCGTCTTCTTAATTTGTGGGTGTCTTACCAAATTGACATCGTTGACGTCAACACAGGTCTCAACCGATTGAAACCATGGGTCGTTGAATAAGTCTTCCATAGTATAACGAGTCTCAGGGTCAGGGTCAGCAAGCCTCCAAGCCACTCTGCTCGCATCGGCATTCTTAAATCTGCGCGCAAGCATGTACTCACTTCCGGGACCGGGCTTGTAAGTGCCCTTTTGTCTGAAGTTCTTGTTCTGGTACCGTATGAAGTTGTTGTAAGAGTTCTCATATTCTCTGAACTTGGGGTCCATGTTGCAGGATTCGAAGAAAGGTATGATATTGTTGATTAAAGTAATAAATATTATTCCGAGTGAGTAACAGTCTAGTTTCAAAGGGTCGTAAGGTTTCTGCATTGATGTTGGGTATTTCTTTTTGGCATCCCAGTACATGACCTCCGGTGGTGCGTATGGTGGGGAGCCGATCATTCCTGCATTCTGTTTCACCTCGATGGTTCCGTCTTCGTTCTCTTTATGGTACCAATCCGAGATACCGAAATCTGTTAGTTTACAGACACCGTCTTTGGACAAAAGCACGTTCTCTGGCTTCAAGTCTCTGTGTGCGATCCCGTTATCGTGGCAAAACTTGACGCCTTGTGCGACTTGCTTGAACAAGCAGAATTTTTCATGAAGGGGAACGTTTTTCCATCCTGACTTCTCCATGAGTTGGAACAAGTCCTTGGAACCCAATTCCATGATGAAGCCCCAACCTCTGGTAGTATAAATAGTCGTAGGCACCTTGACCAAATAGAAGGTTGATGTTATATGAATGTTATTACTGAGTTGTTTGGCTATGATGAACTCCTTCGAGCATCTCTTGTAGAATTTTTCTGGCGTCTCATCATAGATCATGTTTAGCTTCTTCAAAGCGTAAACATCTTTCGAGCGGTAGTTGGATCTGACGATTCTCACTTCACTGGACCCACCGGACCCGATGGTCTTGTTGTCCTTATCGAAGCTGAAATTGTCAGACAAGTGTATGCTGACTTGCTTGATATCGTCCGGCAAAAACTCGTTGGGGTCAGCGATGGGCAACGGCAGCATCCTGATCTTGTTATCACCGTCGTGCATATAGAAGCTCAGGTCTGTGTTGTTGTTGGTAGACGAGGCGGACCCGCTCGAGATGTGTGAGCCGGACCCATGCCTACTGTAAGAGGACCCTCTCACCGACGACTGCGTCTCCGTAGGCCTGTTGTTTATCCCATATGGGTTGTACACCATATGCTGTGAGTTCGTAGGCCCGTTGTGAGTGTGACTCGCCGACGATATCGTCCCGTTCTTGTTCCTGAAGGGGTTAGAGTTGTGTGCAGTGAGCGTGCTCAATTGCTTAGAAGACTTCACCATAGTTGGAGTTACACCAGTGCTTCTCCTGGTCATTTGTCTGGGAGCCGGCGAGGCCGAGGGGATACCGGTGACACCATTTCTAAGTGGATGCGGGGTGTTGGTGGAGGCGCTCCTGGAAATGTGGGCCGAGGTATGCGCTTTCGTAAGCTTCTTAGTTGGAACGGGTGCTGGAGCAGCGGCAGGTGTAGAGTCGTTGTTACCTCTCAGCTTGTTGCTGAACAACTTAAACATCGAAGAACTCTTGTGAGGAGTCTTTTCGGTAGCCACTGTCATCGCAAGATATTTGTTATCAGGATAGCAATCTCTCAAGAGCTGAATACCCTTTACAACAAGGGACTTCTAGATACAGGCTAAGTTTGATCTTCCTTTTTAAGATGCGATGAGGTTTCCAATACAAGAACTATCCCATTATTATTATATATGAGTGATAAGCAGAAACAAATTTTTTTGCGCAAGTCCTTCCTACAACACAGAAAAAAGGGAAGGGATCAGCGAAGTCTCCCAAGGTCTCAAGTGAAGTCTCAAGCGAAGTCTTAAAAAGAGCTCCCAAAGCAGATAGTGTCAGCCAGCGTACCATGCACTGCAAGTACAGCAAGTACAGCAAGTACAGCAAGTACAGCAAACGTAGAGGGTGTTACCAATTTTGTCATGAAAGATAAAAACAATGAACTTGTTACAGGAAAGGCTTTTAGCTTTCGCAAAGAGAGGGAGGGCAGTACCCAACTGTGTAGTTGTATCTTCACGCACAGAGAATAGCGCGGGGAGGGGGAGGTTCGTCCCTTCCTGTTTGTATCCCGCACGCTGATTGGGGAACACCGGAACACCCATTCCCCAGCGTGCACACACTGCACTGTGCGAACAAAAGGAAGAGCAAATTAATAATTGGGGGCCGGGTAATTGGTTAAAATGACGTATTTTTATCTCTATCTTTCTTTCTTTTAGCTCTTTCGACTTTTGATCTTTGTCTTGTAGTAATATTGTAGTAATGCAAAGGCTTTGTACGCATAATTCTGTTTGGAGTAAAAAAGCGAAAGATCTGTGTTGATTGGGTAAACGTGGGGACTTGGAACTAGAATTAGACAGGTGGAGTTTATTTAGGACTACATAAGCGAGAGTTTCGTGCCGATGTCAGCGGGGTCGGTGTGTGGGGCAGGCATCTCGCCCGTGCGGTCGCTCGCGAAATTCGCGTACACAGTGCGGAGCCGTGCTAATTCCGTAGCGGACACGCTCGGTTTTGTCTCTTGCAGTGCCTCTTGCAAATCAGCCGCCTGGATATCAGGGTTCTGTGCGCTATTTTCACTGCTTCCACTGGTCCCATTGGGATAGTCACTCACGGCCTCGTACCCCTTTCTGCCCGCGACAATCTTACGGATCTGATCTGCAGTGATCGTGGTGTCATTCCCAGGGAGCACAACGTATTCCATGTGGTCTGTGGCCTTCTGCTCCGCTGTAGGCGTGGTGCTCACATGTGCGAGCTGCCTCTGCACAGCCTTTAAGTACGCATTGTAGCACAGCGATTGCAGGTCGGCACCCGAGAAGCCCCGGGTGCCGCGTGCAATCTCTGCGAGGTCAACGTCAGCGGCTACGCGGAGCTGCGTGGCCCCGCCGGGCTGTTCCCGTGTGATCGCGCGCAGGATGTCCAACCTCGCTGACTCATCGGGCATGTCGCAGAGCACACTGCGGTCCAGTCTGCCGGGTCTCAGCAGCGCTGCATCGATCAGGTCAGGGCGGCTGGTCGCCGCCAGCACGTACACACCCTCGAGGCCCTCCGCACCGTCCATTTGCGTAAGCAGCTGGTTCACCACACGGTCAGTGACACCAGTGGAGTCGTGGCCACGCTTGGGTGCTATGGCATCGAACTCGTCAAAGAACAGTACGCAAGGGCGCACGCTCTGCGCACGCTCAAACAGCTCACGGACGTTCTGCTCGCTCGCACCAATGTACTTGTCCAGGATCTCAGGCCCCTTCACAGAGATGAAGTTTAGACCACACTGGTGTGCCACAGCACCCGCTAGTAGCGTCTTACCGCAGCCCGGGTACCCGTACAGTAGTAACCCCGACCGTAGCCTCAAGGGGCACTTCGCAAACACGGGCGCGTACCGCGTGGGCCACTCTAACGTCTCCAGCAAGATCTGCTTGGCCTCTTGTAACGCACCGATGCTGTCCCAGCGAACCCCGGTGCCCTTCGTCAATTGCACACCTCTTAGCGACGACGGCGTGAAGTCTTTGACACACGAATCGAGCACCACTTGGTCTACCAGGCCAGAGCCATCCTGTGACAATCGCTGTGCCATGACCGTCCTGTAGTACAGCATCTCGCTGAACATCTTTAGGTCACGAACTGAGAACCCTTCGGTCTCGGCAGCAATGTCGGCCCAGTCTAACCTAGAATCCAAGCATAGTCCATAGGCGCTGGTATTGCCCTCACCATGTGTACCACAGAATCCTTGTAAATACATCGCCCTTTGGTCCCGGTTTGGTGCCTTTAGTGAATATGTTTCACAGACAAAGTGGGTGTCGAAGAACATGGCGTCCAGAGAGTATTTCTTAGCGGCACCCAGCACAACTCGGACACACCCTCGCGACTTTGTGTTCATGTGGGTTAGCGTCTCCACTAGGTACACAAGCGTTTGTCTCGCCACATTGCCAAGGCTATGTGGACTTTGCATTTGTGCCTGTTGCTGTGCGTCATCGCTCTTGGTGGTGGGAAACACAGAATCCGCATTGTCCATCAGTATCACCGCCGGTTGCGTCCAATAGCAGCTGCTAATAATGCCACCCCAAAACCTGCGTAACTTCTCAAACGACGAATACTTGAGTAAATCATTACAATCTATATACATGACATTCAGTTGGTTCTGTGTGGCGAGACGGCGTTGCAAGTACTTGAAAAGCATTGTCTTGCCCATTCCAGATTCCCCTTCTACTAAGAATGCAGGTGCGGGATTCAGAGGCGCGAGCAACTGCTCCTCTAGTACCTCTAACACAGATTGGATAGGCTCAACGTTAATATCTCCAAAATCATGTAACTGCGAAAAATGGAGCACATCCGGAGGCAAGGATATATCCTTAGGCTCAGAATTCAAATATAAAAACTTCTCTAAAGGGTGGCTCAAGTCCTTGAGATCCACAACAGGCACTTTTTCACCGTTATTTGATTTGATCTCAAGTACACATTGTTGCTTAGTTAACACCAAGTCTGTAGCGATTAATGAGCCCTTTAATTGGTCCAGTAGTTGTGATATCTCCGATTTCTTCTTACTCTCCGAGGTATGGTGATGTTGATTAGAGCCAAAAGGTCTAAATATCAAAGTAATATCTTCAGGACTGGATGCTACTTGAACATTAATGGTATTTATCCACAATTCAAATAGCTCGTTGTTGGCAGCAGTTAATGCAAGGCATTGCCACACTAAAGGCGCTATCAGTACATGTTCTTGAGCAACCAAATCGCTATAACAAACTCTTACTGGGATTTGTCTCAAGTACGGGTCTTTATTCTTGACGTGTAACTTTCTTTTAACTGATATACAGCCGTACTCACTCTCCTTCTCAGGTTCACCTCGAATTATCACTGTGAGTCCCTCTAGGTTCTCCTGTTGTTCACATAATCGACTTTTAACCAACCTCTTGCATTTTTCGGGCACACTATTCTTTAGTTTCTGTTTTGATTTTGTGTTTAATTTAGGTGCCACAACTACCAATGTACCATCTGTTAGTTTAACTGTCTTTACATTTTCAGGTACTATCCTTGTGACTTTGAATGTAGCTATCATACTATCGAGGTAGCATATGAATGGTTTCTGTAGAGTCACTGCACGAGTCTGGAAGAGAATACTGTCCTGAATCAACCGACTATTCCCTTCAATTATATCCCAGTCATAGGATGAATTTGGCTCCAAGTGCACTTCAATGGCGACATCTTCATCAGTAAACTTGGCTATGCTAGTAGTTATGATCTGGCCCGGCTTCAGCGAGTACAGCTTCGCCAGCGAAGCATTGATCTCAACAGTACCATTAGTAGTAGTTTCGAAACCATCCCACCCAAGAGTCAACAGCTCGCTGCCATGCAGTTTTACCTTAACATCCTGCACCTGGATGTTCGCCGCCTCAACAGCATCAACCAATTCAATCGGTAATCGCACAAAGTTACCCTTGACATCATGGCTATAGACCACTTTAGTTTCAGCTTCCATTTGCTATGTTATTGTTTGTACTAAACCACTTGGATTGCAATTTTAAGTCGTCAAGTTGTGTAGTCATCCTCTTTAAATAGTGTGTGTGTCTGTGTTACAAAGGTTTGTATATCCAATCCCAAAAAAAAGCTGGGGCGGGTGATAAATTAATTAACTCCGAAATATGATCTGTCAATTTTAGTTGACTTCAGCAGCATATGGAAAGGTAGTTTTGGTAATTTAATAGGCTCTGATTCACAAGATAAGATAATTGTGAATACAGTAGGGTCGTTATTATAGTGCTGGGGCTCATAATACAACTTTCCAATTGCAGTATTCCAAGAATATTCGAGGAAATGGAAGGGAGACCACACCTAGAATGTCAATTGGCCACTATCCCAGACAACTGTTGAACATTATCCGTTACATCACCGAATTGAAAAGAGCCAATGTCTGATTTATGCAGCTAGCTTCCACGCCGCCCATCTGTAAGTACTAGCAGATATACCAGCACAGACAGAGGGGCCGGCGGATACTTTGGTTTAAGTGGTAGTGTCATACGTATATTCTCATGTGATTTGTTCACGTATGGTATTACTATTTAGTATACGCGTAATTTTCTTCTTTGGGCAAATTGGGTGCAGTGCTACGGGTGTTTCTGGGAAGGCAACTGAGATGCCTTCTGAAAAAATGTATTAAATTTAGAGTGCGGAAGTGGTTGTGCGGAGGTTTCTGTTTATATCTAACTTCGAAGAGAAAAAAAGTTTCAAAGAAACAACACCAACAAGCAAGGACAGCTTCTAGGACGCATGAAGACAGTAGTATTTAATGAATAAACATTGCATTAGTTTCATATTTGAAGGTTGTTTTATGTTTTAGGATTGGTATTAGGAAAGCATAGTAGATAAAACAGCCCAACTCAAAAAAAAAAAAAACAATGTCTGAATTGAAGTCTAGGATCGGTAACAGTGGGTCTATCGCCAACTCTGGACCTGTGTCCATTCTGTGTTACTGTGCGTCTTCTATTCTTATGACTGTTACAAACAAGTTTGTGGTGAACACTGATGGTTTCAACATGTTTTTTGTTATGTTGTTCGCACAATCTCTTGTGTGTACTATGTGTTTGATGGTTCTAAAGATGTTTGGTTACGCCAAGTACCGTCCTTTGAACTTAATCGATGTTAAAAACTGGTTGCCAATCTCCTTTTTGCTGGTGTTTATGATCTTCACCTCCGCAAAGGCCTTGAAGTACATGCCAGTTCCTATCTACACTATTTTCAAGAACTTGACCATCATCCTAATTGCTTATGGTGAGGTTCTTTTCTTCGGTGGCTCTGTTACCCCAATGGAATTGAGCTCTTTCATTCTAATGGTCTTGTCCTCTGTGGTCGCTTCCTTAGGTGACCAACAAGCTGCAAAGATAGCACAACCATTGGCTAACAACTCTATTCTATCCCCAGAATACTACTGGATGTTCTTGAACTGTATCTGTTCTGCATCTTTCGTTTTGATCATGAGAAAGAGAATCAAGTTGACAAACTTCAAGGATTACGACACCATGTTCTACAATAACGCTTTGGCTCTACCAATCCTTTTGGGTTTCTCCTTCCTAAGTGAAGACTGGTCCTCAGAGAACTTGGCCCAAAACTTCAGCGGTGAGTCATTGTCGGCAATGATCATTTCCGGTATGACCTCCGTCGGTATCTCCTACTGTTCCGGTTGGTGTGTTCGTGCAACTTCTTCTACCACTTACTCTATGGTTGGTGCTTTGAACAAGTTGCCAATCGCACTTGCTGGTTTGATCTTCTTCGACGCTCCAAGAAACTTCCTATCCATCATGTCCATCTTCATTGGTTTTGCTTCTGGTCTATCATACGCCGTCGCTAAACAAAAGAAGGTCCAAAAGAACTGAGAATAAATGGCCACACTTTAATTCATATTTCTTAATTCCAAATTGTTATGGATGTTGTACCATTACATGGGTTTTTTTTTCTAATTATATCAGGCAGCAGGTGGTGTATTAAATATCAAGCCTCTCTGCCTCAATTCTAACATAAGTTATAGACGTTGATGATAAAAATATAACGCAAAGTCCTCTCATTGGTTTATTTTTTGGTTTGTTTATTCTTTTACTCTCTTAGATTGTGCGGTGATTATTATCTATTGGCAAATAATAAAAAAATGAGAACTGATACATAAATTTATAAAAAAACAGAAAATATTGTTATTATATCCCAATTATCTATTAGAACTAATTGATCTGGAATAGCTCAGGGAAAGCCTTGTCTAAATCAGTGATATCCTTGATGACAATGCTACCTTCGGGAGTCTTCCCCAGCACATCAAGCACTTTGTCCTCCACCAGGTGTGCACACTTGGGTATGCCAAGCGAAAGGCCTGTTTTGATATTGCTTCCACTGTCATCCACATAGTACGCGTTCTTGAAATCACCTAGGCCACTCTCACGTTTGGCTTTTTCGAACGCAGCAGGATCAGGCTTACATATCAATGACTCAGCGTGGTTGTAGTCACAGTAAGTTATACCATCAAATAAATCAGCAATACCGAGTAAACGAACACATCTTAAAGCGTGGTTCTTGTAAGCATTGGTGAAGAGCCACAACTTGTCGATTTTACCACATTCTCTTAGTCTTATCAACGTCTCGCGAAGTTTCAGATTTGGTTTCAATATATGTTGCAAAGGAAGCGCATCATCGACCAATGTGTTATAATCCATGGGATCTATCCCATTGTGTAAGGTTAGACCCCTGATGGCTAGCCCGTATTGTTTATAGTAAGTTCTGTTCAATTCTTCAGCATGAACTTTGTCTAGGCCAAGTTGCTTTTCAAAATAGTTGACAATCGCAATCTGCATAAGATCATGGATTCTTGTGGATGATGGGTACAGACAATTGTCAATGTCAAAGTAAAACACCCTCAAATTCTCATCGGGTTCTGGTATTTCTTGATCAACAACAAATGTGACTTTTGAACCGTCGTGGTCTAGAGAGTTCAAGTGCTCTTCATTAGCCTTGATCTCTCTGTACACTTTCAGTCTATGTTCGTTGCATGCGTCTGTAGCAATGGTCATCCTTGTGTCTTTGTAAATAGTCTATGGTCTTGTATCAAAGTTAATACAAAACCTCGCATTTAAATCTTAGAAGTCATAATCCATTTATATATTCTTCGATGAGCCCATGTGTCAATGTTGAGCGATGAGCTCATCGATTCTACGTTTCTTTCTTTTTGACAAAAAAAACATCGAAAAGGAAAATTCGAATTTCTCCAGTTTTTTATGAAAATCACTCGTCTCCTATAAATTTCACTTAATGGGAGTCTTCAAGTTGAATCATATGAAATATATGACGATTGACTATGTAAGTTACTCCTTTTTGGAAAGTGACGACATTCCTGTTCACTTGTTCCATCCCCTATAACTTCTCTAAAAATTCGCTTGAAGCTTTCTACATTTTGCGATGCTTTTAATATAATTAGTAGTTTCATTCTTAAAGCTAATCCTCAAGGCAGTATGTTTGATTGCTTTGTTTATCAAAGGTTTCATTCATTATCAATTAATATTCTCGCCTCCTATTTTTTATTATTAGTTATATGATTGTTGCTTTTCGATATTTTTTTTTACAAGTGTTTATTTTATTTATCTACAGAGGTTGGTAGGAAATTATAGCGGTAGCTTTTATGGGTTCACCTATCACTATACACCAATTCTATTTCTCTCTTTGTTGACATCAGCATTGTTCCATATTTTGGATATTTTATTCAATCTCTTCTTCTCCTCATCCGAAAACTCATGTACTTTAGCCTTGCTGTAGCCTATATTCAGTTCATCGACAAAACCGCAGTATGTGTAGTCAGCACAAACATGTGTTTGTTGCCATTCATGTTCTTCTGGATCAGGAATCAAATAACCATCTATTTGCAAAGGTGCGTGATATGATATCTTCATTACTTCAAGACTTCCATATTTCTCGGTCATCATCTTTGGATTCTCATCGAAGTCCTTCTTAGCTACTTCAGGTATTTTACAGTTTCTTAAGCCAGTATTAGTCCAAAGTAGTTGATCATTCGAATCTGTATGGGCCATTTGGATGGCACAAATGCTGTATCTTCTATCCTTTTCGGAATATTCTAACTTACCGATAGTTGCAGCATCTTCGGGCTCTATAACATAATCTGTATTTGCAGAGAAGGCAGCATACCAAAACAACTCTTTGTCACCGTAACTGCATCTTCTGAATAGGGCGTGGTTTTGAAAGAATTCTGATAGCAATAAGCTATGCAGTTTCTCTTTCTTGTTTATGACTACTAATCCACTATCCACATGGTGAAGTGCCAAGTTAGTTCTCATTTGGTTGAAAGCTCTCTCTTCAGATGTCTTTTCTTGCTTTAAGTCTGGATCTAATAACTTAAATCTTAGTGTAGTTCCTAAGATTCTATGTTCCTCCAAGGATGGCTCAAGTTTCAAGGCAAGATCTGGGCAATGTTCACGGATATGTCTGTTGGTAAGCGTTCTGTCTCTCCACATTCTCATTCCTGATTTCTTGAAGTTCTCAGATTCGAAGAAGTCTTCAGCTGAGATAAAAGGTACAGTATCAGCATCTACCATAATATATTCCTCAAAAGTATTGAATAGTACACCTACCCACTTATTGTGGAACTTGGTTATATGCTCATCCGCAAAATTTTTATCAAGGACAGGACCCGCATCCACAATATATATATTTTGGTCTGTCTCCTCTGCAAACTGCTTCAATGATATTTCATTATCCCTGGTTAATTCTCCACCTTTATGAACCACCTGGATTGGATATTTGTTTCCTAGTTCTTTCCAGACGCTTAATTGTTGCCGCAGCATATCAATATCATCAGGTTTTGCAGATAGTACAATTCCTCTGCCAGATGCAATTTTTCTCCAGTTAGCAAAGAAGTTCGAGTTAAACTCTTGTGGACTTTGTTTGGTCTTTGGTTTACTGACAACTTCGCCAGTGCGGACATTTTTTATAGTTGGGTACAAGTAGTCGCTATCCTCTTGTGTTACGTTTTTCAAAAAGAAGAACATCCTTTTCTGGAAGTCATAAGCATCAGTTGCTTGTAGATCAAGCTTTTTGAATAGTTCCCGAGGATTAACATCACCTTCAAAGAAGCAATAGTTGTATATTCTCATACACTCGCCTGCAAACTGTGCTGTCTTCTCCATATAGTCCTTACTAGACCAAGCGTAGACCAGATTCATATTGTTCCACTTCTCATCTGTATAGAAACCTTTCACCAATAGTCGGCATTGATCAAACCTGGAGCCCTTGTTCCAGTTCAATAATATTTTGTCCTCCTCTGATTCAGTGCGGGTCTTCTTACCGGCCTTCTTGGGGTCATCCTTCTCTTCTTTCAGCTTCATTATCCTTGTATTTATATAGCTGAATGGAGAAAATGTGCTTGCAGGATACAGACCAAATTCATAATGCATCCTGAATGGGTCATCAACTGCATCCTTGTCAGATACATGGTTGCCTGCCTTAGGAGAGGATGATGAAGAGCTCAGATATAAAAGCACAAAAATAACCACAACAGTGAGTACGGCCCGCCTACCAAACTGTTTCCTGGCCCTGTAATTCATGGGCTTCATATCTGCAAATGTATGTAGGCTTGAACTGGTAGCTCTATATACTGAAACTAGCCTTCGTGCTATCCAGCTTCTTTGTATAGAAGACAAACGTTATATATTAGGAATTGGGTCCCTGTTTGCAAATGAGAATAGTTCCCTTCAAAGGTCACCATCACCAATCCATTGTTGAACTATGTGAATGTTGTTATTAGCAGCTTGGCATCCTTACGAAAGCTTCGCTGTTCCTAGTTTTTCGAAATGCATTGTGCAAATCCTTGTAGCATTCAGTTGTTAGTCAAGAGACAGAGACACGCAGAAAAGGTTTGAGTCTCTGAGCAACGATGACAAGGGTCCTTGTACTTGCAGTGAATCACCAAGGAACTTCGGACGTTTCAAAGTAGCAAATCCTGAGATGAACTGCAGTGGAAATTGCTTGTTAGAGAAGTTGCAATCTTAGTTTGTTAGGGCCTGGCGTCCGTGATGATTTACATAATAGTTCATATAATGGAAAGGAGATTATCATACAGATTGGCGTATGATATGGCGACTCCTATCTATTTAGTGAATTTGTATTTGGTAACATTATTTGTGTGTTTTTTTTAGACACTTATATTGTTAAACTTTACGTATTACAGTTGTTATTTAGAGAGGATAGAGGTTGTGTATTATTCACATGATAATTATAGATTGATCTTGACAGAGTTCCATACGTTCGAAATTTTGTTAACTCTTTCTCTCTGTTCTTGATCGAAACGAACCAACTCTCCCATATCTTCGCCATCGACAGGCATATGTACGCAGTACATATAGTGGTGACAGGCAGGTTGCTGTTGGAATTTGAGGTTTGGTACATTGGGCGATATGAACCCATCAATAGATAGGTTAGACTTGTAGTACTTCTCTGTGTCTTCAAGTGTACCATAATTATTACTCATGAATTTAACATCTTTCTCAAAGTCATCCTTGGCAAAGTTTGGGTTCTTACACACTTGTAACCCACCATTGGACCACAGCAGTTTGCCACGGCCATTGGTATGGCCCATTTGAGCTGAGCAAATGGAGTTAAACTTCTTATTTGTTGACTCTCTGATTGGGCCTATGATCACAGCAGCCTCAGGGTCCAATGAATAGTCTACACCAGCACTGTAAGCTCCAAGCATGAAAATTTCCTTATCACCATATGTGCATGGTTTGAACTTGGCATCGGTATGAAAAAACTCTGAAATAATTAGGGAATGTAATTTCTTCTTCTTGTTGAATACAACAAGACCACTATCAACAATAGAGCCTGACTTCTCGAAAAAGAATTTATGTAAGCCGTCAGCTTCAGATGTGCCTGCATCCTTTAATGATTCCTCCTCAAGTCTATACTTTAGAGTAGTACCGAGAGTTCTATGTTCTTCTTTAGATGGTAAGAAATATGGTGCCATGTTTAGGCAGTATATATGCACGTGGATATCTGGGATATCTCTGTCTCTCCATAGTTTAAGACCTGTTTTCTTGAAATCAGCCGATTCAAAATACTCATCTGGGTGAACATAAGACACAACATCAGCGTCGACAAGGATTGCTTCTTCAAAGGTATTAAACATTGCTGCGTACCATTTGTTATGGAAATTTTCGATATATTTTTCAGCATAATTTGGATCTAACACATTTTGCAAGTCTACTATGTAAACCTCTTGGTCTGCCTCAGTTGCATATTCTTTGATTTTAGCTATCAGTTCTGGTGGCATTTCTTTACCCTTAGTGACCACTTGAATTGGATATGTGTTACCTAGCTCTTTCCATACAAAAAACTGAGAACGCAAGAATCTGCAATCATTAACACTAGCAGTGACCACGATGCCTCTGCCTTTCGCTTCATTCTTCCAGTGAGCGATAAAATTAGAGTTGAATTCCTGGTAGCTCATATCTGCTATAGGACCAGTCTGTACTTCTCCTGTACGTAGGTTTGTTATGGTAGGATATATATAGTAACCGTCCATGGCTGTTACTTTTCTCAAAAATGGAAACATTCTCCTTTGGTAATCATGAGGTGAAGTGTAATACATGCGATACTTCTCAAACATTTCATTTATATCATAACTATTCTGCAAGAAGCAGTGGTTGTACAGCCTTACACGTTCAGCAGACATCTGGAACACCTCATCGTTGATTGTAGCGTTATCATGATCTATAGTGATGGCCATATTATCCCAATTAGGGTCGTTGTAAAGGCCTTTAATTAGCATAGCACATTGGTCAAAGCCGGAACTCTTATCCCAGTTTAAAAGGACTCTTTTCTCTCTAGCAGTGTGAGTTGACAGCATCCATGAGGGTAGCATGTTCTCCAAGGAGAAGAATGGTTTATTGTCATGCAATTCCTTGACTTTGCGCTGAAAATAAGCATATGTAGAGTTTCCCGACGAGAACAATAGATCTTCTTCATATCTCGTCGACCGCCTTTGAGAAGCGGAATCTGCACGCATGAAGATGAACAGAAAGCATATCGCAATGACTGCTAAAAGCGAGCAACGCTTGAAACCAGGGTTCCTCGCCCTGAGTAGTGTCTTCATCTAGTTATATTTGATGTCTGGTGTAGCAGACTATTTTTGTATTCCTTCCTAGGGTAGCACGGGAGCTCTATTTTCATTCCAGTATGTTTATATACTTTCTAACTGACAGCTATGGAACATTCTTGCCGTTAATTGTACTACATTCGATGGAGAAACTGTATTGCGTGGTAAAATGGAAGCATTTAGAGGATTTGCACAGTTGTTAGGTCGAGGCCCTTTTTTGTCTGATGATTACAGCCCTTTTGTACGTAAGTTTCTGTGGTTACAGACCCTTTTCACCCGACCGGTGAGTCTTCCAGACGATTTACGTGTAATTAGACTTTCTCGAGGTCGCTGAGCTTGTACAATACGATCTAAGCGGTCAAAGCTATATATGTTTACAATTGCAGTGTGAACAATAATAAAACTAAGCTATTAGTTGTTTCAAGAATGATAAAAATATTAACTACCAGCCAGGCGCATATACACACAAATATTAATATTCCGGTGTCAACAAAAAAATTCAAAAAAAATAAATGCTTCCAACCAGATTTGAACTGATGATCTCCACATTACTAGTGTGGCGCCTTACCAACTTGGCCATAGAAGCTTTTAAATTCGTTGTGAGAAAAACTTGGGCTGGCACCCTTAATCAGTTGATGATAATATGATACGAAACTCTATAATTTATGCCATGTGAAGTATCTTAGTACATATAACATACAATAACGAGAGGGTAATTGAAAGTTGTTGAACAAGGATGTGAAATCCCAGCACTATTTAAATATATATATACTAATCTTTCTTATTGTAGATGTGTAGAGGCAGACTAACTCCAGTTTTATACTGAAATGATGTATAGCTCTGTAAATCTATCTTCGTACGATTTGAGTGCATTCCCTCGATTAAGGACCCGAGAAGAGCATATAGCTGTAATGACTATCTATTGGACTAATAAATTGCTTCAAGCAATTCAGAAGGACTAAGTCACCTGCAGGAATATTAGCAAAGACAAAAACCCTAAGACAGTAATGGCATTATTTGGTGGATCATCTAGTCAAGCTCCTGCATCTGCTACAGATAATAAAGTGCAGGCATTCAAGCAGCAGATTGCACAAGAGATAGCAGTTGCCAATGCCACTGATCTAGTTAACAAAGTGTCTGAGAACTGCTTTGAGAAGTGTCTGCAGTCTCCATACAAAGACGGTAACGAAGGATGTGTCGATCAATGCCTTGCCAAGTATATGCGCTCCTGGAATGTAATCTCGAAGACATACATTAACAGAATACAGGATGCCTCTACAACTGGTGAAATATAGACTATCCACAACAACTGAAACATGTATATATTTGAAACTACTGTTTATGAGCACGAGCATTGCAACGATAATAATATTATTTTTGTGTATTTTTTTTCAGTTATATATAAGAATAAATAAGCATAGTCATCCCTACTTTTTATTTGCTTTCATAGTAGATGATAGAATAAAGGGCCTAATCCCTGAGTTGGTTGATATTTTCTGTTCTCTTGAATATATACAAAGCAGCGCAATTGCAGCCATTATGTCATTTTTCTTTAATGTACAGAGCTTTCATTTCTAAATTAAAACTTTATTGGTGCTAGAATTCAGGATGGAGAATATCTACTCATCATCATCGTCCTCCTCATCGCCACCAGCAGCGCCTATCTGTGCCTTAACGTCCTTCCATAATTTACCCTTGTTGTGGTTCTCATACCAGGATGTGACAGCGGTGTCAAAAGCACCTTGGAATACAAATGCAGATGCTAAGATAGTACCAACGAAAATGGAGTTTCTCTTGAACAGAACTTTGTATAGTGAGCTGAACGACATTTTGTATTGTATTGTATTGTTTTGGACCTTTAAAGCTTTAGGAGTTGCAAATTGCGAAGCTGTAGGTCGATAGCAACTTTTAAATATTATCGATAAAATTTCAAATTACTATTCACTACTTATTGCTTTGGGATGGGCAGGGACTCGTCGTAGTGGACGCTCTTTCCGGTTAACTCGGTGATAAAGGCATCCAGAGAAATCATCGCAGTAATCAGCGATCCTCCCATTTCATTGGCTGAATTTGTTCGTTATAGCGTATCTAGCATGTGATGGTATATGTAGGTATTTAAATTATTCAGCGAAGCCAATACTAATCCAACTTCTGATAATTGGATTAGTAATTAATACTAGTATATTGATACATGTTGCGACTTTTATCATATTTATATTAGAAAAACTTACACAACTAATGCATTGTAGTATTGATTGATAAAAACTATGAAAGGTAAAACCAAGAATATACTTACGATGAGAACGTTTCCGATCACCATTCAGGCTCATCGTCAGTGTCTTCTTGGTCCTGGTTTTGCCAGGTATTTCCGTCAGTATCTTCTAGGTCCATACGGAAATCCTGCTCATCGTTATCACCGTTTTGTACAGCATCTCTGAAATCTTCAAAGATTTGAAAGAAGTCTCTAACATCCCCTTGGGCGCCAGCCGCATTAGGGAAGCCAAAGAGTGTGGTGGCTGCTGCCGCTGCCGCGGCTGGCCCTCCAACAATACCATTGGCCCCTCTTGCCAAGTCTTCGTCATCCATGTCAACGTCTCTAATCTCCTCATCGTCATAGAAATCGTTGTCCTCATCTATCTCCGTGGGCCTAGTGGGGAATCTTTGTCCTCTTGTGATTTCGAACAAAAATCCATTTGATAAAATGTTCACACGGAACTCATCTCCCATGACTCTACTTATGTAGCCTGTCACCTCATTGTTGATCCACAGCTTGTTCAGATGTTCATATCTTTTCAAATTCAATGTGGTCAGGTCCCCTCTTCTCATGGCATTTCTTCCTACCTCACCATGAGAATTCAAGTAAGGAGCTGAGATAAAGATGTTAGATGGTGGTTGGCTCAGGAATAAACAAACTTCACTGGTGTTGGGCATTAAGAAAAGTCCAAAAGATGAGAAACAATTAGTCAAGTGACGTGACATTTCTCTACGGTCGGTTCTCAGATGGACTTTCATACCACAAGTCAAACAAATTCGGAAGTCAAGTCTATTCTTAGGGTTAATAACATTCGTCAGTGCCTCCTCAAGCAGCTTGAATTGTTTTGAGTCTGTGACATAAGTATTCAAATATTTCTTCAAGTTAATCAATTTCACAACACCTGGGTATTCATGCGGAATATCCTTCAAGTAGGTGTCGTTTCCCTCAGTGAATTTCGAGTCCAACAATGCTTGCACAAACATGTCATCGAAGTCTGTAAATTCAGTCAGTAATGGTGTTGCTGAGTTAGCAAAAGATACATAGTCCTCTATGGAGATGTCGCTCTCTATGTTAACATCGTCGATTATTAGTGGTTGATCTTCTGACTCCTTCACCAAATTGTGGAAGACCTTTAACATGATGAACACTCGCTTGTAACTTGGAACAATTTGGTTAAGTAGGAAAGAATATATTATATTGTAATATGCTTGATCCTTCTCATGTACTTCCCTTGTTTTCGAAATATTGGTCTTGAAGTACTCATTTTCAAATTGTCTGATAGCTGATACAACTAACTCAGGAGCTTCATATCCATCTTTGAACATATCTGAGAATTGATAGTCTTCTCTTGAATCATTCATCCACATACATTTAAAATAGGACTGGACGGTTTGTTTGATCAAAACAAACATAACCCTTGATACAGCTTCCTTAACAGGTGTATTTTCAAACAACGTACTTTTTACAATATATTGAAGAACTTGATTGTAACAATTTCCACTTTCTGAAGATGAATCATAAATTTCGAGCTTGTTTGTAGGTTTGCCCATGATATAATAGAAAAGTGACATAGAAATCAGAATGTTGCCCAGAGTTTTAAATTTCTGTTCTCTACCCTTAATATATGAATTAGTATCAGGAGGATCAAGACGTGATGAGATTTCAAGCATACTAATAGTATTCGCCCAGTGAGCAGCCATGATTAACGAGGTATCAGTGTCATTGAATTCAGAGGACTTCCTTATAATTTTGTCAAATGAATTAATCTGTGGTAAAATTAAGTTGAAAATAGAATGGATGCTCTTGTATCTAGATACTGTAAAGTTCTTAAACAGACGAGATACAATATCAAGAATAGGCATAGGCATACCAAAACTGTTTAAATTTAGAGCTTCCTCAGATTTATCAGTTTGACATATAGGAATCACGGCATTAGAAAAAGTCTGACATAGTGGACATATGAATGCATTTGAGGAAAATCTCTTTTTCTGAATATATCTTCTAAAACAATTATGATGGATGTGGTGATTACATGAAACAAACACCTTTCTAGAACCCATTTCAGAATTGAGTCTCAAGTCTTCCAAAACAGTTGCATCTGTGGCAGACGCCTTTTCTTCGTCATTAAAAAATCCATGAACTTTACCGCTATAATCTTCTGCAGAATACACATCTGCCTCTCTAAAGGCCGGTGAAAAGTCATGATAAACAGGAACTACGAAAAAGTCATCAGAAGTGTCATCTTGGCATAAAGAGCATGTAAAGTCTTCGGAGGCAGTTATTTTGTTACCGAGCATATCTAGTTCGTTTTCTTTATCATCGAAAACTGCAGAATTCTCCTTCATGAATTTACTCTGTTGACTATTAAATTTTGCCATCAATTTTGCTTGATGTTTCTTTGCCAGTCTTTTCTTCTTTTCCTTTTCAGTTTCCTCTAAGATAACACCTTGATTTAGCTTTTTCGTCTTATACTCATCAACATATTCTAAACCGAATCCAGTAATGAGAGAGTCAAACACATCCTCAGGATTTTTTCTTATCATTACTTCCAATAAATAATCGGCCTTGCTGGTTATGCTTTCAGAAAAGATATCAGATTTAGCATTTGCAATACTCAAGAAAAGATTACAGATTGATTTGGAAATGAAGTTTTGAGGAATAGACGATTTGCCATTTACCTGTTCGTCATCCTTAAAAACACAATGTATCAGGTGTAATAATTCATTTAAAAATAATCCGTTCTCAGTATCTAAACATACCTGTAGCAATTTGTACATTAGTTTGGCAAACACACCAGTTCTGGTAAAAGCACCTAAGCGCATAGTCAATGGATCTAAGTGTTTTGGATGTATCAGTTGCGGAACCAGAATTGTTTTATTGACATCTTCCTTTGATGTTGCCAAATGTGACTTGATTATGCTAGCACTACTTTCAAATTCATTTTCCAAATTATCTAACCTCAGTGGATCAATTTTCGAATATAAATTGTCCTTCAACACAAATACACCATTATCAGCTAGTCCTTTAGGCTCCATAAAAGTAGATACTTCTGATAGTGCCTTGTCAAATTCAGTTCCATCCTCTGAAAGGTAATCGGGGACATTTTTTAGAAGTTTAGAATACGATAGAGGCTTAGTGTACAAGCTGTACATTATGGATGTTTTTATTTGTGAAAACCTCTTTTCCTTGGCGCTGGCATAGTTTTTAAAAAATCTCCTCTCAGTGAGAAGGTGGTATAGGAATGTAATGAATTGCTGAATAACTAGGCCAATCTTATCTTCATAAACGGTGTTATTATATTCGGTTTCCCCAGTGAACCATGATAATAATTCCCATCTATCGAGAATATTGTATAGAATTCTTGGAATATCATCAACTTCCCATAAAAGAGCTAATTGGTTCAAGTGTATATCTCTGGAATATGAGTTCAGCTCGGGGTTGTTCCTATAATAGGATGCTTGGTGAAGAACTGACACACCATTTCTCACCCAGAAGCCAACATCAATTTGCGCACATAGTACAACTGCTCTTAAGGAAAAGTCCGAAATTTTCAAGAAGTCGTTACAATCTCTTAAAACTATTTCTTTTGCTTCTGTAAGAGACGTTTTTTCAATCAAAAATGAAAAAAGCGTTTGAACTGGATTCATATATGCAACTGGCTCGCGACTAACCTCAAACTTGATGATCTCATGGGTGCCAGCCACTTCCCTGTAAGTAAGAGACCTATGTGCCAGGAAAGTGTTTACGAGTTTAATGGCATTCCTCAGTAAATTTGTATCAATCTGCTCTTTGAATTGCTCCATAATCTTTTCTATGGTTTGAATGATGCTGTAAATTGATGTCGTGTATTCTAGATATGGAATAAAGTATTGGTCCTCGTGTAAGATATGTTCACCCTCCTTCCGTTTTAATTTCCATGCACCATTGAATATTTTGCATAAGGTTACTATTGAGACAAATTCAGGGGCACGGAGTGGAATATTGGGGTCAGCAACTTTACTCAGAAGAGTTTCTACTGTATAAAGACCCTGTTTGAACGAAATGCTATAACTCTTCGTAGGGTTACTTTTTTGTACTCTTTGCCATAACAATAATGGACCATCATATTTACAAAATTCTGCAAATATGTCAAATACAGACCATACAATGTCAATAAAACTACCATCATTAAATATCATAGCAGCATTGGTTGGACATGTAAACAATTGAACAATGCATTCTCTAAGAGCAGTTAGTTGAGGCTCTCTGTCCATATAAGCTACTGACCTAGTCATATGGTTGAATATCTCAACAACTTGTCTGCAGAAATATGGTTTGTAGGTAAAAGATGAGGAGAGTGTTGGGATAATCATATTTTGTACCTCTTTTCTCAATCTCTTCCAGTACCTGTTATCAAAATATAATAAATATTGGACTCTCGAATTAGTATAATTCTTATCCTTTATTTCTATTAGTTCATTAATACCTGTAGAAATTTTGTCAATCGAATCATTACTCAAGGCCTTGTGTTTGCCTAGAGGAATTTTGTTACCAGGTGCAAGGACAGACATGTTGAGACAATCATGATTACCTTCCTCTTCAAAAAGATGTTCAAAATGCTTATTTATAAACGGATTCATGTCAACAGTCTTGGTGGAGTCGTATTGAGAGCATAATACCTTACCTAAAGCGTCCCTGAAAGTGTTTTGAAAATCAGGATCAGGAATAGCTAAACAATGAGTAATCCAAAATATTAGATGTTTGCATGCTTCTTGATGAATGTATTCATCCCACGAAGTTAAGGTTGCGGTTAACCCGTTTGTTTGTACCGCAAAAAAACCGCCCATCACAGAGGATAAATCCATAGAACATTTTAACATTGCTCTTCCCTCGCTATCGATTCTTGAAGTCAAAAGATCCGTGTGTACATTATCTGGAACACCTTGTCTTAAAGCTGTAGTTGCTTGTGAGTAATTGTGGAACTCATCGTTATAAATCATAACTGTGTAATGCTTAGGCTCCGTCGGACAATCTTCAGAGGTTTTATCGGCTTGTAAAACGCCGCCGGTACTCGCTACATCGTCAGCTACTTCATCCGAATCTTTATCCATATTTTCTTCTGGTATATTTTCGTTAGAACTACTGTTTTCATTTGTCTCGCCATAATTTGCCGCTGAATTATAGAAGTTCTTATACTTGAAATCGTTCAAAAATTCACTTCTTTCTTTTATTTTGCCAAATTGAGTGTGTGACTTCAGCTTCAAAGATATGGCATGTTGAAAAGTGGGTAGTGGTTCCAAGTTTTGATTAAATACATCAATGAAATGATCTATTACCTCTTCTAATATGACTTCTATTAGCTGAGTGGTCTCGGGTTTCATGAATGTGTTTTCATTTGAAGCATTGCTTTCACCTGTAGATTCCTGATTTTTCTCCTCTAATTCAGCTTTACAATTCAATGGTACATTCCACGCTTCTTCATCGCCACAGTCACATATACCACTGGTCACATCAGAGCATATATCTGTGTAGACATGGTGGCCTACGTGGTCCTCTGGATTGAAACAAAATATACATAAGACACAGGTCTCATCGCATCCACATTCATGACATCTATATAGCGGCTCACCGATCTTAAACTTCCTACCACAGTTTCTCCCACTATGTCTATGGACTTTAGTAACTTTTTCTTTGTCAATGGTAAAGAAAGAGTTTGATTTAGTTGCCCATACCAGGTCTATATCTTTGATCTCTTTTAAATCCTTAGGAAATAGGCCAACAGGAGCAGTATCAAATAACTGTGGCAAATTCTTACCCTCATCACAAATCAGGTAATACAAATAACGGTATAAGAATTCCTTCAGCGTGAAAGACATCTTCACTCTCTCGGTAGGTCCTCTGGTGCCTTTAAAGTAGTTCATCTCATGGATGGAATTTAAGGTCTCTCTGACCTCCATACGTACCGCCTGAAGATCCATGCTGTGTATCTGTCTGTATAACTTAATCTCCAAGTTTTTTAGGCCAGCCTGACGTTCTTGCTTTTCGAATGTCTTGAACTATAAGTAAGGAATCAGAACGAACAGCAAAAAATAAGGAGAGTATATTATCTTTGATGTTAAACCAAACTGTGCAAGTTTTGGCTTAGAATCAGAGTTTCCATTAAGCTAGTAATCGTATCTGCTCTGCAGATTTCTACCTCATCTCCCTTCATCTTTCAAATTTTAGGAATTTTTCAGTTTGGTTGATCCGGTGAGACGTTGGCAATAGCATGACAATGGGCTGCCGGGTTGACAATAAATGGAACGGGCATGTCCCCTGGGATAGTTAAGTAACGATAAAATGAATGGTATATAATAATTTATATGGTTCTGTAGAGAATAAGATCAGCTATCTATATGCTTGTGTTTATATGGAAGCTTCTTTTAATTCTTCAGTGACGGCCTCTACTTTTGGTTCTTCCGTCTTGGTGGCACCAGGGTATCTAGTACCTTTGTTCTTTGGCTTCTTTACCTTCTTGGTCTTTTCAGGTACAACTTGTGGGTAACCCTTAGCTTCAGCCTCTTGGTATTCCTTGCTGTTGGCGAATTCCTCTCTAATTGGTGCTAGAAGCTCGTTGATGGCATCGGTGACACCAATCTTCAAGTCAACTGGCATTAGTTGTTGTTCCTTAAATGCAGTTTGTAGGTCTTTGAAGGAAGTGTAGGTCACTGGACCACCGAACTTCTCAGGTCTGTTGATGAAGAACTCGAACTTGCCGGTACCTTTCTTTAGTTCTTGAATAGGTTCGATAACATATTCAACAAATGACAGCAAACCGTTGTTTTCTATATCACCTGGACTACAGTAAGCACTGTTGATCTTCTTACCGACCTTCTTTGGTTCTTCCAGCAAGTCAATCTTGGAGTTTGGATCAGATGCAGACATCTTACCACCTTGTGTTAGACCTGGAACCATTGGGTTCATCAAGTGTGCTCTCTTCTTGTAACCTATTCTTGGCAAGTTCTCTTCTGCTAGAACGAAAATCTTACGTTGGTCAACACCACCGAATTGCACATCGACATCCAGGAATTGCTCATCCAAAGCCTGCATCAATGGATAAATCAAACCACTTAGCAATGGGTTGGCAACTTGCTTAACCACATCGGCACCGGCCCTCTTGGCATCATTTTGAGAAACCATGTTGGACAACTTGAAAAGATCCAAAGTATAGTCACCACCCAATTGGTACGATGACCCGACAACAAACTTCAATTTCTCAATTGGAACATTAATACTCTTCAAAATAGCCTTGACAGTGTACTCGTAGTACTTGGTTCTGTAGTTGACAACTTCCAATGGAGCCTTCATATTGTCCAAGAAGGCGTGCAAGTCTGCCAAAAGAACTGTAACCTCGACACCAGCTTTCAAGAAATGTGCTAACTTGGTCATGGCAACAAAGTAACCACAGTGTGGTCTACCAGTTGGAGCTGTACCCCAGTACAACTTCAATGGTCTGCCTTCCTTCAGCACATCCTTGATGATCTGTGGGTTCAACACCTCTTGCAAGTTCTTGGTAATCCACTCGTATTGTTCCTCAGCGTCCATGGCTATAACTTACTTGTCCTCCTAGATAAATCAGCCCAATTACAACCGCTAAATAACTGACAATATCTCACTTCCCTCTTCTTATAAGCCGTCCCGCTGCGCATCGCATGCTTTCATCATTCAGCTTTGTGTGTGTGACACATTTCCAGCTTCTTCGGGCAGAAAAATTTTATTTACCCGGCCGGCAATTTGAGCCATTATCCAAATATAATGCATAGATAATAGTCATTATTAGTCACACTTGAACGTTCGCGGATGCCATTACTTCGGTAGCATTGGATACAATGTTCTTTTATTTCTTCGCGAGAGAGCTTCTCAGTCTTGGCACCTTGGCAGGAGTCTGCTCTGCGCAAAGGATTTCTCATTGAGGCAACTATGAGTACATTCACATTGGAAGCGGTACTTATGGTGACTTTATGAACAGATTTTGTAGGTGTATACCTTCAACTAGATCCTTGCTCTATTCTCGAAGGGTTTCAAGGTTGTCGCTTTAGAAGACTCGCCTTCATGATTCATTCTGCTTCCATTCTACTGGACCCCCATCTCTTGAATATCTCCAGAACGGCACAATCCCAAGGTAACAGATTGTTATTGCTGTTTCTTAGTACACCATCTGATATCTTTTCTGGGATGCATGCGTCAAGGAAAACAGTCCAGTCGTTATACTGCACCTGTTCTTGCTTCAGTAACTCTTGCACTGATAATAGATCAGCTGTATAATTGGCCAAGTAGTCGTCCTTAAATAAGTCTCTGTCTTGTGTAAGCAAGTCTGTTTCGGTAATCGCCTTGGTGTAGGTACCCACTAGCTCCTCGTTGGCATCGAGGACTATGTGGGGACAGAAGCGTGCTACAAGCGAGAACAGCATGCTGTCCACATGCTTGCTCCTGATCTTCCCGTACCCTTCCTGAACCAATTGGATCTTGGCCTCCAGCGACGTAATCTCGGTGAAACACACCAATTGCGCCATCCGTACCGCCTCCACACGGCAGACATTGTCCTTGATCTGTTCGGTAATGTTCACCCCGGTGTGTAAGTATATCAGCAGACACTCCAGCTCCTCCCACATAAGCATTGTAGCATTTGAGGGCGGCCTCTTGTGTAATCGCATAACCACCTCAGGCCACTCTTTGATCCCTCGTATCCGCTTGAGGTGTCTGTCCTTCTCATCTGAGGGTCGACGCTTATCCGAAAAACCACCTTCAATGCCTCGTTCCTGTACCTCAGTAACTTCCACACCGTTACCATCAGCCCTGACATGGCTATCAGCCCTGGTATGGCCCTCAGCTGCAGCTTCAAGCTCTTTCAACCGTCGCTCATACTTCTCTGCAAGCTCTGCTTCTATCTCCCGTCGCACCCGCTGCTCAACCTCCTTCAAGTACTCGCTAAACTCACCGACTATCCTGCTCTCGCTGCTCATCGTTTCCTCTTCCCAGCCTATTCCCAGTTTCTTCCCAGTCTCTTCGATCCAATGTTCTTATAATCTTCATTGCTCGTGATCTTATCACCGCATCTCAAGAGCGGAGTCCCAAATTATAAGAAGCTCAAGAGGTTTGGTAAGTAGCAGTTGCAAGGCCATCTTAAACACAAAGGACATCATAAGTAAAGTATACAAGGATGCTCAGGTTACTTACGAGACTTAATGTACCTGTGCGGGCTATGAGGCCCATGCCGCTGGCGCCATTAGCGAGGGCGCTGCCTGTGACGAGACCCCTAGCGTTGCCACTCAGGTTCTACTCAGATATGAATAGCCGGAAGCAGGAAACTGGCAGTGGGGGTTCTAGTGATGGTGGACCCGCTGGCGATGAGGGTTCTGGTGGTAAGGGTCAGGGCCAGGGCAAAGGACCCGGTAAGGACCCGCGCGAAGAGATGATGAAGGCCTTCTGGCAGTATGTGAAGTCTAAGGAATTCCAGAATACCATGTACTTGACCATCGGTTTGTCGTTTATATACACGTTGATGAGTGCCAACGAGGACACCAGTGGTCGTGATCCGCTGACTTTCCAGGATTTCAAGGCCAAGTACTTGGAGAAAGGGCTTGTGAAGAAGATCTACGTCATTAATAAGTACCTAGTTGAGGCTGAGCTGGTGCCTCTGGCAAACGATAGTAATGGGCAATATGGTGCCAATGGTATGGTGCCCAGAGTAATTTCATTTACCATCGGGTCCGCAGATGTCTTTGAAGAGCAACTGGATGAGTTGCAAGACAGGCTACAAATACCTCCAAGTGAACGTATCCCAGTGCAGTATGTTGAAAGGGCATCGGCATTCCAGTATCTATATCCATTTATCCCCACTGTATTGCTGATTGGTGGTCTCTACTTTATTGCTAAGAAGTTGAACCCTAATGCTAACATGAACGGAGGGGGAGGTTCATCGGGTATGTTTGGTGTCGGCAAATCAAAGGCTAAACTATTCAATAAAGAAACAGACATTAAAATATCTTTCAAGGATGTTGCCGGTTGTGATGAGGCTAAACAGGAAATTATGGAATTCGTTCATTTCTTGAAGAATCCGGCAAAGTATACACAATTGGGCGCTAAGATCCCTAGAGGTGCTATATTGTCTGGTCCTCCAGGTACAGGTAAGACATTATTGGCAAAGGCTACTGCTGGTGAAGCAGGTGTACCTTTCCTTTCTGTGTCAGGTTCAGAGTTTGTGGAAATGTTTGTCGGTGTAGGTGCATCTCGTGTCAGGGACTTATTTGAACAGGCTAGGCAGATGGCTCCTTCTATCATATTTGTTGATGAAATAGATGCTATCGGAAAAGAAAGAGGTAAAGGGGGTGCTCTTGGTGGTGCCAATGACGAAAGAGAAGCAACCCTAAATCAACTGCTTGTGGAGATGGACGGTTTTAGCACTAGCGATCAAGTCGTGGTCATTGCAGGTACCAACAGAATGGATGTTTTAGACCCAGCACTTATGAGACCAGGTAGATTTGATAGACACATCGAAATTGATGCACCTGATATGAGCGGAAGGAAGGCCATATATAATGTTCATTTACAACGACTAAACCTTGACCCCAAACTAACAGAGACTGCTGAGAAGCGTGACAACCTATCGGGTAAACTTGCCACGTTGACACCTGGTTTTACTGGTGCAGATATCGCTAACGCCTGTAATGAAGCTGCGTTGATCGCTGCAAGACATCAGGATAAGTATGTTGAACTATTACACTTTGAACAGGCCATTGAAAGAGTCATTGCTGGCTTAGAAAAGAAATCGAAGGTTTTGTCGCCAGAAGAGAAGAAAACAGTTGCATATCATGAAGCTGGCCATGCTATTTGTGGATGGTTTTTGCAATATGCAGACCCGCTATTGAAGGTAAGCATCATTCCTCGTGGTCATGGTGCGCTTGGATATGCCCAATATCTTCCTTCAGATCAGTATTTAATTACAGAGGAACAGTTTAGACATAGAATGATTATGGCTTTAGGAGGTAGAGTGAGCGAAGAGCTGCACTTTCCTTCAGTAACAAGTGGTGCTCATGATGATTTCAAGAAGGTTACAAATATGGCGCATGCTATGGTCACATCTCTGGGAATGTCGAAGGAGATTGGATATCTGTCTTATGACCAAAAAGGATCCGGATTTCAAATAAACAAGCCTTTTAGTGAGAAAACAGGGAGAAAAATTGATTTAGAAGTAAAGCGTATTGTTGATGAAGCCCACGAGGCATGCCGCAAGCTGTTAACGGAGAATCTGGAAGATGTAGATAAAGTCGCAAAGTTACTACTTCAAAAAGAAGCTATTAGCAGAGAAGATATGATCAAGCTTGTTGGACCAAGACCATTCCCAGAGAAAAACGAAGCTTTTGAAAAGTATCTGGATAATGGTCTAAATGGACCAGCACCTGCAACTGACTAGGTGCTAGATATTAGAGGTTTGATTGAAAGACACGAACTAATATCAACAAGCAGTATTTTTAATATTCATTACCTCAAGGGCGTTAGCTTATAGTACGGACTCTATATCTCTGACGAGATTTGAAAAATGGAAGCTGGCTCATGTAAATATACAACATTCTGTTAAGTAATTATTTAATAAGGAATTAAGTTATCTATTATATATTGGACAAGCTGATCTTGGATTGACCTCGGAGGATCATTTTTAATAATTAAGTTCTTGTATGTTAAATAGTATTACAAATTATTTTCAGGTTTGGCATTCGTCTTAGAAAGTTTCTTCGTCAATTATCAAGTTGTTACTTGATCGCAGCGATTCTCCCTCGAGGGTTTGTGATGCTATATTTCCTGAAGAAGTGTTGTTAGTTGTAATCCTGTTGGATTCATTAGTATCTTTAGTTTCTTCGTTAGACGCCGACTCAATAGTGGCATATAAAATATGCTGTACTTTGTTAGTAAATTTATCAAGTTCTTCGACATCGCCCTTGTATAAACCCTCCTTGATAAAATCTTGAGTAGTTTGGACTAATATTTCGATGTCGCGCAGTTTAGAGAAATAAAAGTTATTCTCTGCTTCCATAGCCGTTAGAGCCTCTTTAAAAGTTCCCATTTCTTGTTCCATCTCTTGAATTTTGTTATGAGATTGAGATAGCTCAGTTTGCAAAGCTATTATTTGCTCACTGGTTACCCTACGATTTATATTGTTTCCTGAAGTTCCGCTGGCATACCTTGTAGATAGAGATTGAGTACGGCTTAGAGATGTCGAGTCACTCATATTTCTTCGTTTAGATATGTTTAGTGTAGAACTACTATTACTAGCACTGGAGAGTCCAGAAGGTGTACCTGGAGTACCGCTATTTGTACTCGATATTGGTCTGTAATTCCTGCGTGCCTCCGCATCATAAGGTGTTCCATCTTTATTGTTTACCCAGTATTTTTTGAGCCATTGTAAGAACTCCAGATTGTCTTGAAACCGGCATCTAATTAATTTATCTACATATACTGTCTTCTCAATATTGTGCTTGGTAAAGTTACTCTGAAGAACTTTATAATTTATTTGGTTCTCATAGTCTGCAGTACTGTTAAACCGAACTCTGTGCATGGGTACATCACCATAAATAGAGTCCATTATTTGACAATAGGCGGCACCTGTGCCACATTCTTCTATCTTCTTATAGTTCAACTTCAACAGATCATTCAACCAATTTAATAGTTCAGTTCGTGATTCACCTATCCCGCTCATAGTTGTCTGCTAGCACACTCTTTCTTGTTTTGGAAATTATCAAACACACACTCAATTGCCAGTATATTATTAACTTGTATTAGTAGGATGAGGGCGCCAATTGACTAAGGGTTAAGATCTTGTTTCATGTAACGCCAGAGTTACTTTTGTTTAGAGTGGTTCGATGCCCTTTTATTTCACGCGTCACTTCTTTCAAAAACGTACAAGTTGACGCGTTACTGCAGAGCCATAAAGACCAAAGTCATACATATAATCAATAAAGTTGCCATTTATTAGACAGTTTAATGCTGTTTATTCAAGTTTCTGGAATATATAATACTTAAAAAATTTTAGAAAAAAGGCAGCTGTATAGATACTTACAGTTTTTGAGCTTTTATAACAGAGCCTTCTTTGTAGAGATCATCAAGAATATCCTTAAAAAATTTGGAAGCCTTTTGTCTTTTTATCTTTAATGTTGGTGTTACGACATCGTCTTCTACCTTTAATGGTTCTAATCCAACGTAGATATTATGAAGTTTTTCAAAACCTTGTAATCCAACACAAGATCGGTTAATTAATTGCAACAAGACAAGTCTTAACTTTTTGTCCGAGTTAATTTGGTCCAATAATTTCTCATCCGTCCAGGACTTTATTTCTGGGTGGGAGTGCATCAATTGAGGTCTTAAGGACTCTAGATCTAATCCCAAAATACCAACCAAGAAATTTTGCAGCGAGTTACCATACACAAATGCTTGAGTGATATATGGAGAAGACGATAAGTAAGTGTTTTCAATCTTTTCAGGGCCAATATACTCACCGTGTGCTAGTTTGAAGAAGTTCTTGACACGGTCAATAATATGTAAACGTCCCTTCTTGTCAATGTAGCTAACATCACCAGTTGAGAACCAGCCGTCCTTATCGATAGCCTTGTTCGTCTCATCTGGATTCTTGAAATATCTGTCAAATATTTGAGGACCACGAAGTTGCAACTCACCTTTCAGGTCCCTCTCCGCATCATATCCCATATCAGGAACAGACTTTAATCTACATTCAGCAGATATACCAATAGGACCACAAGAGCCTACGTCTTTCTCATCTTGTTCACTGATACATATACCAGCAAAAGATTCAGTAAGTCCGTACCCTTGTCTAACACCAACATCTAAGCAACTCTTCAAAAACAACAAGGTCTCTTTGGCAATTGGTGCTGAACCCGTAACCATAAAGTCAGTTCTGGAGAGACCAAGTTGTTCGCGAACTTTGTTAATCAGGACTTTCTTGTAAATGAGAGAGTTAACCAGAGAGTCATCTGGACCAGCCTTAGTTGAGTACCTGTTGATCTTAGCATTCACAATCGTTCCTGAAATGGCTCTACTAACAGCCGATTTATCAAACGAGTTCTTGATACCAGCTTCGAACCGAGTTAAAATACGTGGGACGAGTGCTAGGTTGTCAGGTTTCAAGATCTTTAAATCTTCCACCAGCGCTGAAGGATCAGGGATATGTAAGAAACCTAAACCTGCACCAATGGCCAAATCATACGCACAAATCATTCTTTCAAAGATATGTGCCAATGGCAAGAAACATAAGTCATAAAGTTGTCTGTGGGCCTTATCTGGATTCTTTCTAAATGTAGAGAAGGCAAAGGCTAGCCCAGAGGCGATATTAGTATGACTCATTTCAACACCTTTTGGTAGACCAGTTGTACCAGAAGTGAAAGAGATCGTATATAAGTCATCCGGTTTGGGTTTAATAATTGGGATCTTATTCAAAGCGCCCAATTTTTCGACCTGGGAAAGTGTATGTACTGAGATTTTCTCCCCATTTGCATTAGTGGCATTTGGTAGAGAGGACGTATTTAGCATGTGCAGCTCTTCATCGCTCAAATCCTCTATACACACTAAAGTGTTTAAATGTTTCAATTGAGGTAAAATCTTCAAAACATTGTACATATTCGACTTGGCAAAGATTAAAATTGGGGACTCGGTTAAATTCATTATGTACTCTGAGGTTTCTGGTCCCAAAGTTTCATAAAGCGCAGTGTTCGGTAAGGAGTATGCCTGGCATGCCAAATCAGTCAATATCCATTCTGGACGGTTGTGAGACAAGATGGCCACAATTAAATCCTTGTTGTCTGTTAATTTCCGACGTCTCTTGGTATTGACTAAAGTCATAATACCACTACCCAGTGCCTGGGACCGTTCTAAAGTCCGCTGGTAGGAGTCGAATTCATAGTACTGCTCCCAATCTTGTTTTTCGTCATTGTAAGGCCTACGACCTAGACAATCGTTATCTGGCCAGTTCCTAGCGCTGAATAGAAAGTAGTCATAGTAGGTTGCTAGGTTTTTATCCATACACGTGACTAAACGTTCGGTAGACAGAATACTTCTGTAAACTGGACTGAACCCCTTCGCCTGTGATCCTGGCACAGGAACAGCCTGCGCCTGCAGGAACTTTCTATAGTCTGGGTGGTTAGACAGTGGGAAAGTATCCATCAGCGCGCGAAGGTACTCATCAGATCCGGGCTTATACCCGGATAATCTCTTCTTCAATTCAGCATACCGAGGAGATGTCTCTACCAACTCAGTCACTGAGAAGCTCATTGTAATTTCTTTTAAGGTGTTTGAAGTTATCTACTCTATGTTTACTCAAAGCTTAGCTCGAATACTTTTACAGTGCTCGCTATTTATACTTTCAGTTCTCTCCACCTTGACAGTTTCTGATCCATGAAGAACTCCAACTTGTTAGCATCACCGTTCTCAATCTCCAAAGTCCTTCAAGAGCACCAGTCGGAGGATGAACGGCTGTTAAACAGATGCAATTGCGAAGTCGGTCAAGGTCATCGCAATCCCATCTTTAACAACTAAGAACCCTTTCGGAGTTTATTATCGCAAAGCCGGGTTTGATTGCAAGGGTTTGTGGGGTCCCACACTCCAACTGGCTTCTCCAAAGTAAGTGTCCTGAAATCCGCATCCGAGAGACCCCCTAAATCACCTTGTAGTTGTGCAATCACATGTAAAACAACGTACCAGTGTATATATCCCGTGATATGTTGGTGTACGTAGGTGAGCGTGTTCTGCTAACATTATATAATAGGAATACTATCGCTATAGTCTTACGGTACAGGTAGTAATTTATATATTTTGATTGTAGTTATTTATATTTTATGGATATGTCTTTTTTTTGAAGTAGATAACATATTTAGATTATAGATTCAAGGCTTTTGTTACTTGTGAAAAGTCTGTTGGAAAGCGTGAGTGGGGTTTCTTTCTTCTTAGCAATGCTTTGTTCACATCACCTTTAAAGATCTTCAAAGATATTTGTGGAAGTAAAACTGTAATAGTATAATCCAGTTTCTTTTAAGTTGAATCGTTTCCACAAGTTGGTCTTGGCCATTGAGTACAGTTTTTGAATCATGACACCCAAGATATTATCATCCACCTGTTTCAAATGGGATTCGCCTATGGTCCACTCCTTGTTTTTGTCCAAATCAATACCTTGTTGTAGGTTATGAAATTCAATGGTTTGCTCATTTTCTGGGTCAGTTGCCGCCTGGATACTGGCAAGGACTGCGCCTTGGTGCTTTTCGACTAATTCATTGATGTAGCCCTGGACATAACCATGTAACTCTTCTTTGTTATTTGAATCAATACACATGGCAACACTAATCGGAACAACTAGTGATAGTAAGTTAGTAAGTTTCATATCTTTTCTCTTGTAGTTTGATTATTGGGTGAATACTAAGATTTGGTTCCAAAACACAGAATACTCTAAAAAAAAGTATTCAGTTCTTTCAAATTTGGTAACAATTCAGCATTGTACATCCTTTATATATGTTGGAGTTTATGACTTCCTTTTATTACGGTCCTTTTGCTGTAATCTTTTTGTTGCTAAAATTATTTTTGTGGCGGTTCTGCAACTTTAGCAAATATTATTTAATAGAAAATTTAGCATAAATAGTTTAATAGCAAGCACAGGGAAGGTTTAAAAAAAAGTGTTAGCTCTTGAAATAAATACAGTACTAAAGATCAAATAAATAAGTAGTAGAAAAGAAGTAAATACAGGGAATGCCATTTAGCAAGACTTGGCCAAAATTTTTGTAGTTTCGTGTTATTTTATGTTCTCTTCTGTTATCAGCAACTTATGGAGCATAAGATTTAACGTAGTTTTAACGCATCTTGGAATCCATCTGCAAAAACATCAGGGATACCAGGACCAATGGCAAAGCCCATACCACCTATAGAAACCTTGTTGTTGAAGAGTTTTAGTATTTTCTTTTCCATATCGGTTTGCCAATCCATGTAGCCAACATTATATTTTGGCAAACACTTGTTTGCAGGAGTTACCTGCCACAAACCTCTGTCAAGATCATTAGGTGATACTCCCAAATGTCTCTCTAAAGTGTTTCTAACAGCATCGATAATCTGCTCATCTTTTGGTACTACAGGTTCACCGGTAGCAGGATCGTTATACATATATCCACCAACCATAGCTGTTAACTTAGTATAAGATTTTTTGTCTGATGATACCATTTCTTGTGCATTCTCAATGTTTTTCAAGTTTTGCTCAATAACTGAGTCAAAGATCACACCCAATAGTTTTTCTTTATTTGGGTTTGACTCAGGTACCAGATAGCCAAAACCACGGTTTTTCTTTGGGATGACATCCTTATCAGGCAGGTAGAAATTTACCAAAACCACGGTATTGGCTTTGATGGTCTCCAGACTGTCGGCTATATGGCCATCAATCTCACGTAGTAATGGTCCCAATCTATGGGGAATACCGGTTAGGCGAACGTGGTCAAATTTCTCTGTGGACTTTCCGTGATTAATTTCAACAGTTATGTTATTATTGTCAGACTTTGCGTCTGAGATTAATTTAGTGATAGCTGAGTTATTCAAAACGGAGACATTAGGCATGGATTCAAGACCTTTGAGTAATGTTTGGCAGAAGCTTTCTAGGCCTCCCTTAAAACCTAACATGGGGTAATGCTTTAACTTCTTAGACAGCTCTAATATCTTAGACTCTTCCTTTCCCATTACTTTAGTATATTTATCGAGAATCAAGGTTAAAGAGTCAGCATTCTTTTTCCTGTCTTTTTTAGTCTTCATCGAATGAATTAATGCTTTTGTGTTAGAGCCAAACTTCAGTTCATTTGCTACCATCTTGTGCATAACTTTTTTGGCACTGAGAGTATTAATATCGTCAGCATAGATACCTCTATATATGGCACTGAAGACATTTTTACCTAAATGCTCATTACCCATTCTTTTATCTAACATGGAAGCCACAGTTTCATCCTTACCGGGGTTTGCACTGGCTTTTCTCCAGAATTCACCTAGCATTGCAGGTATAATACCTTTCCCTAAATCACTCATTATGAATTTAATACCACTCAAAAAGGAGTCAGGTACCTTAACTAGTTTGTCATTTGGATCAAGTAAAAACTTCTTATCAGCATCAGAGTTGTGTTCTATAAAATGTACTATGTCCAAGCTTTTCAGGTCTTTCATGGCATCGATCATCATTACTGTCCCATCTGATACACCTCTTAAGGTTCTTGGTCCACGTTCTATCATTACTGGTTGACCATTCTTGTCCTTTGTCTGCCATGAATTGATCCATCCACTATTTCTTGCTGCCTTTTCATACAATGTAACAGATACATCTGGCCTCATTTTGGCTAAGAAGTATGCAAATGATAGACCAGCTATACCGCTACCACCTACAGCCACTTTGGCATTCTTAGGAAGAGCTGTCAAGGGAGAAAGCATCGTCTATCAGCTATCAATTGATTGTAATGTCTCTCCTGGTTCTTTCACCAAAGTCAGTGAAGTAACTTCTTCCCTTAACAAAGTTGTCTTGCAGTTATAAACAAGTGAAACCAAATAAGTTAAATGCAAATTGACTGAGTAAACGCATTATGTATTCCTCTATTCAAATTATGTGTATTGTATAATATATGACTTCCGTTTAGGCAGAAACGATGAATTGCCCATTTCCACATTTTTTCATCATTTCCCCACGAGAATTTCTGTGTCTTCCATTGTTCTAATTTAATATTTATGAAAATTATGTCAAAAAATAAAAGGGCTCATCGTATAGCTCCAGAAAAAAACTCATATAATACTATTTATTAAGTTGTGTTCTAATTATGTGAAAGCTTCCAATTCTAAAGGCAACATATAATCCTCATTTTTTTTTCATTCCTAGTGCCTTCTCCCTATTTTGTTTCTTAGAGCTTAATCTCCAAGAGTTCTGGTCCTTGGAATGTCTGTTGAAAAGTGGTTCTATCTTAGTCTTCTTACGAGATTGGCTGTTCTCATCTGCAACTTTATAAAAGTGAGGAGCAACTTCTAATAACCATTGAGGCTCTATACCTGATATTTGGGACATGAACTCTCTCGTAGTCAGAATTAAGCTGTGATATATTACATACTCATATTCCCTGCCATATAGTGCACTAGATGGGTGTATTCCAACTTCTGTCCCACCATTAATTGTCTTGTATCCAGATTTTGTTTCCCTTTTAGCAGCATTTAAGAAGAAACCACTTACTAAAGTTTTTCGAATTATCTCCGGATTCTCGTTACAGCTAGTAATGGGTAAGTTTAAACGCTCGAAAATCATCGAGATTTGCCTCTTAACATCTTTAGCTCTTCTCAAGTGTCTGAAGTGAAGGAAGTTAGTATTACAAAAATCTTCAGAACAATTTGACCTCTCCCACCTATTGTAAACGTTTAGTAATGTTAAATGATCACCATAAGGATGATGAAACCTAGCCTTTTTGCCGTCTGCTTCCTGTTGCTTGTTCTTTGGTCTATAAAACACATTTTGCACAGACAGCATAGCAATTATTGTTATCATCTCATCAGAGCAGTTATTGCTAACTGATGAGAGAAGCGCTCTAGCAAGGGTAGGCTCCATTGGGAAGAGGGACATTCTTTGACCCAATTTTGTCAGGTGACCATCGGCATCTAAAGCTTGAAGATGATATAATTCCTCCAATGCATGTACCATTAAACTCTTTGGAGGTGGGTCCATGAAGTCAAAATGTAGTAAATCATTAATCCCCATTGCCTTTAGCATTAAAATAGTATGGAGTAAGTTCTGACGCTGTATTTCAGGAATCGCATTTGGAAGCATTTCATTTTGATATGAGGACTCTGTATACAATCTATAACACTTACCTGGACCTGTTCTACCTGCTCTACCCTTTCTCTGATTAGCTTGAGCTTGTGATATGGGAGCAACTACTAGTTGTTCCATACCTGCCCTAGGAGAGTAAGTATTTACTTTTGAAAACCCAGGATCCACCACGTAAAAAATACCATCAATAGTAATCGATGTTTCGGCAATATTAGTTGCAAAAATTACTTTCCGACTACCTCTCGGAGTGGGTTCAAAAATTTTAGACTGAATCTCACTTGGTAAGGCTGAGTATACTGGCAAAATAATCAATGGATCAATCTTATCGCCCATTTCCTTAGCCCTTTCAAAAAGAACTTCGCAGCATGTATCGATTTCTTCTTGGCCAGTCAAGAACACCAAAATATCACCTGGGCCTTCAGAAGTATGAATATCCATGACACAGTCAAGTGAACTAGCAATGTAATCCATTGTAGGAGTTTTTGAATAAAGAACTTCAACAGGAAATGTTTTTCCCGGAATATTAATAATTGGACAATTGTTGAAATACTCGGCAAATTTGTTAGAGTCCAACGTTGCAGATGTAACAATAACTTTTAGGTCATCTCTTTTCATAGCAGCCTTTTTTAATAATGCGAATAAAACGTCAGTAGCTATGGTCCTCTCATGTGCTTCATCCAGCATGATGACGGAGTACTTTGATAATATCGGATCTAATAGAGCTTCTTGCTGCAGCATACCATCGGTCATATATTTGATGCGTGTCACATCCGAAGTTACATTCTCAAAACGAATAGTATAACCGACCTCACGGCCAATTTTACAACCAACTTCCTCAGCAACCCTCCTCGCTACGGACTCGGCCGCAACACGACGAGGTTGGGTACACCCAATTATTCCATTTTTACTAAACCCTTCATCATCTAGGTATTGTGTAATCTGGGTAGTTTTACCTGAACCTGTCTCACCAACTATAACTAGAAACTGATTGTTTTTAATTTCTGACATAAGTTTTTCACGCATGGAATACACCGGCAAAGATTTCCTTTGCGCTGATATCGGTTTTGCGGACTTTTTACCATAGCTTACTTTCTCTCTCGATTTCTTTTTCTCCCAGGAGGTAACTGTCAATTGCTGCCTCAAATCATCAATCTCTTTCTTAATTTGTAATGGGTCTTTAGTAGGATCCTCGATTTTCCGTTTCTGTTTAATTTGTTCTTCAATATCCTTTTTTTTCTGTAGTTTTTCCTCTCTATGCTGGAGCATTAATTTAGAACCTTGGGATCCAGCTCTGTTTAATGACCCCATAGGATTATTCGAGAGTTTTGGGAGCTCATATTTTTTAGACACTTTCTTGCCCTCTTTTCTAAGGAACTTTGGTCTATCATTCGGGTTGCGTTCTATATCTATCTCTTCTATCTCATTAATATTATCACTTTGATCTTCTGTTTTATCATTGTTGCCTTCATGATCTACCACTTCTTTCTGATCGTATTTCAGTAGTTCTGGGTAGTCTTTAATTGATGCCATACCAGAAGCAATTAGCTGTCGGAGCTCCCATCTTTCTGGAGATGTTAATTTTCTCTTCCGTATTGGATTGGATTGTTTTTCACCTGGTCTACCTCTAACCTTCAATGATTCTACATCGACATCAGTCGATTCCTTCTCCTTTCCTGAAACTTGATCTATGTTGATCATGGATAAAGATATTTTTCCATTAGTCATAATTTTACTAATCTTGACATAGACTGTCTGTCCTTGTTTTACAACATCGGAAGGATGACGTACTTTGTTTTTGCACAGTTCAGATATATGAACTAAACCTTCACCACATTCTTTTTTGAGGTGTAGAATCTGTACAAAACATCCAAAAGGCATAATTTTCTTTATTATTCCTTTGTAAATCTTCCCTAAAACCGGCTGTTCATCTTCAGTGATAAAATTCATTGACAATAAGTCCTTACTATCATATATATCCTCCCATTTTATAGTTTCATTGGGTAGTTCCAGTCCATCTACTTCATTTTTTATCCTTACCTTTGTTTTAACGGTTAATTGTCCTTGTGAAGCATTATATGAGTCGAATAGTTTCTTTGCTACAATTGGAGGTACACCTGTGTTCATTTCCGTGAGTTTTTTCAATAATGTACTAATATTGGGACTGTCTTTAACTATTTGCAGAATAAACTCTGCAACAACATTATCACTTATACCTAGTTCACTGTCTAATACTTTTGATATTGATGAGATGGGATCATCTTTAACAGTACTTGTTAGTGTAGCGTAAAGCCTCTGTATCTTGTCAGTCTCCAAAACTACTCCCAGGGCCTCAAATTTCTTTTCAAACTCGTTCAGATCTTGACTTTCTTGAGCTATCCTCAGCACAAATTCAACAACTACCGGGTCTTTAGTACCTAATATGGATTCTATGTCATCGTCATTTTTATTCATACTTTGATCAATAGCTGATAAATTTTCTGAATTAAAAATAATCTATTCACTTGAGCAACTCATAAGATTTTTACTCTTGGAGAATTCGAAATAGCTAATTTGATAATGTTAATTTCGAACTTTCTATTTTTGAATAGGAATACCTTACTTTAGTCATTAGATGATTTAGCTCATCGCAAACTTTAATAGCGAGATTCTTTTATCATTATGAACGGTATATTTCTATCCATAGAGGTGCGCATACAGTCTCATTGAATGATATGTAGGGCAATACGTAACAGGTCAAGATACAGTATAAGATATATGATATGCTGGCAATAGTAATAATAAGTAGTATAGATGAAAAAATATATCGTAAATTTCTTCCTAATGATTATACAAGAAAAAGCTTAAAAAAATAAATGCTGAGATATACAGTTAGAATATTGGAGCCAGATCAATTTGTATCCTTCTTTTCTGTTCATGAGAAAGTCCATGACAACTATGAAAAGGATGTCAAAATATGCTCGAGCATTCTAATTTGCTTTGTCCTATGTGAAACATTCATTTATTGTTCAACCTCTCTAACACCGTCCTTGTCAACTATCTTGACTATAACACCTTTGAAATCAATTGGCATTCTCTTTTGCAATTCGGCAATACATAGTTTCAGAAGTTCTAGACCCTCTGTGGTGGTCATATCTGGTCTATAATGGTGATCCAGCAACGAAAATGTGTAGAATCCGGAGTATCCATGTGCTGCGTATGGCAAGTCAACCTTAGTACCTAGGTAATCGATCTGGTATAGTTCTGGCTTCTCTTTTTTAGTATCATAGCCACCTATTAGGACATTCACTTGGTATGGTTTCCTAGATCTGATGGATTTTGCGAGTTCCTGTCTGACGTAGCTTGACACAGCACTGGGCGAAAGCTCGTAGTTTTCCCTTATAGAGTATAATTGCATGTTGGCTTGGATGTATTCTGCAAACTGGACGGTGTCACCAGCTTCACCAGTGAAAGTCATTAGTGTGTGAGGCGATAGTAATCTGGACTTGTCATCGCTATCCTTTAACACAGAAATACCTCTCGTTACCGCCTTAGAGGTAGCCAAGATGACAGAATCCTGAACTCTTATACCTAGAATAATATCCATCGTAAGTTTCTTCTTATAATATAGACTTTTTTGCCGCTAGTTAAATCAACTCAATTGACTTAGTATTTCTTCAAAAGTATTCAAATGAAAAAAAAAATATATGTGAGCACTACCTTCCTATTCTAAACTTTTTCCGTTTAGTTAAGTTGACTTGCTTTGAGTGTTCTGTGAATTGTCAGTAGAACTAATGTAACTGAAGATAATCTGATTCCTAGTAGAATTCATCCAATTCTAACCTTTGATCTGGGTATGCTCAATTAGCTGCTATTTCGCCACTTTCTTCATATTTGAGGGGCGATTTCGGGACGCTTCTCTGCTCAACATACAAAAAATAAAAGCGGAATATAGTTTAAAACGTGTACAGCATGTGACATGTTGGGATATACGCAAAAAAATATCAAAAAAAAAATATATTTGAAATTTGGCTAATCACTCCGATACGGGGAGTCGAACCCCGGTCTCCACGGTGAAAGCGTGATGTGATAGCCGTTACACTATATCGGAATACTGGATTCGTTGTAAAGCTAAGTAATGTATCGTGGCATATTCTTATAGTGTTCTTCACGTGACAATATTTTGCCCAATCATCATATTCACGTTTTGAGATATACTTGAGGTAACTAAACTTTTGATTATCTATCAAGTTTCGTACATTGCTTTATCCTGATCGTATTAATCTCTCTATCTATCGCTGACTAGAACAAAATACAAAGATTTAACCAAAAATTTGTATATATTCCTAGCCTTATATCCTTTCATCAATGTAGATTTATTTATTGGAGATATGCTCTGTGCATTCTTGAGGTAAGCACTAAAACCAAAATGGGACACCAAAACATTAACCTGTGGAACTACACACGTGGAAAGTGACCGAACTTGATACTTGCGGAAACTACATAAAGCACTAGTGCACAATTACTTGTGAAGTTGTTGGGATACTGTGTAGATAACTACAATATACTATTGTTACTATTGCTGAAGAATACACTACAATACCCTATTTGTGCTTGGCGGCAAATATCCATTCTAATTTCTGGATATATTGAGAGAACCTCCAAATCCATTCAATGTCAAAAGTTCTAGAACCAAGGTTTTCGTATAGGAGCCCTCGTTAAACTCAAAGCTTTTCTCTAATTTAACATTCTCTTTCCCCGTATAGTTTACAAGTGCAGAACCAGGTACGAAGAACACGGGATGGTGGACTAGCGAGCAAGCAAGGCTTCTATATTTGTAGTACACCTAACCTAGACGTTTAATGCGCCTTTTCAAATCGCTTAGATATCCACTGAATATTGCTCTTCTGCACTTCCATCCCCACCCCCCTTCTCATTATCCCGTTTTGCCGTCTCCTCTTCTGGCAGGCGACCCCTCTTGCTGCACAAGGGATCTTCAAATCCGCGAAAAAATATTTCAGAGATCTTGAGATCTCGCTTCATTGTTCTCGCTTCATTGTTTACATTTTTGACTTGCCTACTGTGGAGATCTTAGTAATTCTATGCATCAGAGTTGCTTGTGGACACAGAAGTTCATAATAAAAAAGCAATTACCTGTCAAAACGCGAAAATATTATACTTTCTTATGTAGTGGGAATGAGCTCTATATCATATACTCTTGCTACGATGGGGAGCTATTTCGATGATCTTAATCGATGATCTTAATCGATGAGTTGTTTACATCTGGATCAAGAAGTTGTGTTGAAAAAAAGCAAAATACAACGCAGATACATCTGAAATATCTAACAATGGAAGTTAATAAATAAATTACTATAGAGCATGTAGTATAATTGAACGATATCCATATTGCTTGGGATATATATCACGTTATTATGTCGTTTAATTATCAATGATCGTTTCTTATATGACAACAATGCCATATAATAATGAAAAGTATGCCTCTAGTATAAGAAAAAAAATGTATATAAGAGCTATATATTCTTGATTTAGTTTAATCCTACTCTTGGTTTAAATTTAATTGTTAAATAATAAAAAAACCCCATCACACTAAGAAAAACAAACTTTTATACACTCGCTCATAATTTCAAAAATGGCTTACTCTAAAACTGCTATCCTAATCGCCGCTGCCGCTGCTTTGGTTTCCGCCCAAACCCCACAACAATTGGACGAATTGAACGTCATTTTGGATGATGTCAAGTCTAACTTGTCCTCCTACATGTCCTTGGTCCAAGACCCAAGCTCTGGTATCACTTTGGCTAACTTGCCAGCTGGTGTTTTGAACTTGGGTATGGCTTTGGCTTCCGCCACTGACGACTCCTACACCACCTTGTACAAGGACATTGACTTCGATGGTATTGTTCCATTCTTGTCCAAGTTGCCATGGTACTCTGAAAGATTGGCTGGTAAGTTGGCCAAGGATCTAGGTGAAGCTTCTTCTTCTGCTGCTCCATCTTCCTCTGCTGCTCCATCTTCCTCTGCTGCCCCAACCACCTCTTCTTCTGCTGCCCCAACCACCTCTTCTTCTGCTGCTCCATCTTCTTCCAAGGCTTCTTCTTCTGCTGCCCCATCTTCCTCCAAGGCTTCTTCTTCTGCTGCCCCATCTTCTTCCAAGGCTGCTTCCTCCTCTGCTAAGGCTTCTTCCTCTGCTAAGGCTTCTACCACCGTTGTCACCTCTGCCACCAAGGCTGCTATCTCTCAAATCGGTGACGGTCAAATCCAAGCTCAAACCGCTAACGGTGCTGGTAAGGTCGCTGCTGGTATGGGTGCTGGTGTCATCGCCGCCGCTGCTTTGTTGTTGTAATTTCTCTAATCTATTAGAAAACTTTTATAACTTATAGAAACTAAATATTTGACGGAAAATCTCATGAACACCTTTTAATGTAAGTAAGATATTCTATTGCAGGGCTTATAGAAATATATTGCTACCATATTATTTATAAACTTTTTTTGTTTATCACAAAGTTTTTGCTGTCAATACTCTGACCAAATAAATGTTACAATTTAAAAAGGACATTGGAATTAAATTGTTGCTTAATAGCTACCGCGCTACTGGACTGATATTGATCAATGTAATTTTGGGTGCATAAGTATGGCCCCATTTGAATCCTACTCGGCGCTTGATTGAATTAAAAAAGTCATGGATTGCTAATTGGGCAACAGAGGTGGTTAGTGATATGTTTATTTAAACTATTTATGAACTTTATTTTTAATCAATTTATATATATATTTTTTACATGATACATATTTTAAATCGATTTTTAGTTGGGGATGGCGCAGACCAATCCGTTGTTTTTCAAAGCGGCTTTTTTCAAATGAGTGAATACCAATTAATGTTATTATAATACTTTAGAATTTATTCGTAACTATAAGACCTATGAGACGTAGTACTATCTAAGTAAACATGACGTTGAAATATCGTAAGTGTGAATCTATAAAACCGTATTCCAGTAAGAATAATGATGCCTGTAATTTAATTTAGTTGGAAAAAAAACCCTTATGCTAATATGTTGGGTAAACTTACAACAACAAAGCAGCAGCAGCGAAAACACCAGCACCCATACCAGCAGCGACCTTACCAGCACCGTTAGCGGTTTGAGCTTGGATTTGACCGTCACCGATTTGAGAGATAGCAGCCTTGGTGGCAGAGGTGACAACGGTGGTAGAAGCCTTAGCAGAGGAAGAAGCCTTAGCAGAGGAGGAAGCAGCCTTGGAAGAAGATGGGGCAGCAGAAGAAGAAGCCTTGGAGGAAGATGGGGCAGCAGAAGAAGAAGCCTTGGAAGAAGATGGAGCAGCAGAAGAAGAGGTGGTTGGGGCAGCAGAAGAAGAGGTGGTTGGGGCAGCAGAGGAAGATGGAGCAGCAGAGGAAGATGGAGCAGCAGAAGAAGAAGCTTCACCTAGATCCTTGGCCAACTTACCAGCCAATCTTTCAGAGTACCATGGCAACTTGGACAAGAATGGAACAATACCATCGAAGTCAATGTCCTTGTACAAGGTGGTGTAGGAGTCGTCAGTGGCGGAAGCCAAAGCCATACCCAAGTTCAAAACACCAGCTGGCAAGTTAGCCAAAGTGATACCAGAGCTTGGGTCTTGGACCAAGGACATGTAGGAGGACAAGTTAGACTTGACATCATCCAAAATGACGTTCAATTCGTCCAATTGTTGTGGGGTTTGGGCGGAAACCAAAGCAGCGGCAGCGGCGATTAGGATAGCAGTCTTAGAGTAAGCCATTTTTGATATTATAAGCGAGTGAATTCGGTTGGATTAATTATTTCAATAGTTAAGAGAAAATTATAGAGAAGATAAAAGTATTATCTTTCAAACACTCAAACATATCTTGGGAAGGGTCCCTATTTATATGAAAAAAAAACTTTTGCTTCTCAATAATCACAACCATGAATCAAATTTAGTCCTTAAAAAATCAACCATGGCATGGTGTTGTTGTTGTTTGTACTATATTTTTAATCCTTTTTCAGTTTGTATCTTTACGATTGCGGGATGTTTTTTTACTTTTACAATATTCAATGTTTAAAAATGTCGTTCAAGCACTACTGGTATCCTTTAGTGTATTAGAGAACATTGCATAACATTACTTTAAAATAGTATTTTTTTTCAAAAGTAGAACAAATCTAATAGGGAGGTATGAGATATTACCACAACGAGATGTTGTTTATGCAAACATTTTCAATATCGTTTAATTGCTATTTCTGTTTCATAATCATATCTTGAATAGAAAGGTATAGTTAGAAAGAATCAATCGACTTTTAAACAAAGTCCCACAACAAATTATGCAGCGCTAGTAGTTTATCAATCTTAAGAAGGTGGAGGGGTGCGTTCAAACCATTACCAATAGCCTGGGTATAATCCAATCGAGTTTCCCCAGCAGGGAGCTTCCATTGTTCGTACCCGAGTTTATTTTAGCCAAATATAAAAACAATGGGGGAGGAAGAGAAAAGAAATTCACAATAAAATAGCGCTGCTTCCTTAGGTATTTTCTCTGTATGATACGCAGATCGAGATTAAAGTAATAAGAACCACAGGGACTACAATAAATTATCAAATATTAGTAAGTTCTTATAACTTGGGATTATAAATAGATGATAGAAGCACACCCTACTCAGAAAGCCTTGTAACAACTGGGAGAATTAATAATAGCGATTACCTAGTGTGATTAACCGTGAGTTGCGATCCATATATCCAGTCCCACGCCATTGTTTGTTTTTCGCTAACAAATGATCGTAGCTACAGTATGAAAATTTCAAATTCCTACTTTCTTTCTTTTTTCCCCCTACCATAATATATACTTCTCGTACTTTGCTGAGAATGCGCCGTAGCACATTTTGAAAATACCATGAATTACCAATTAGCATCTCAGCTACAGAGAGGGATAGCCATAGAAATATCGCAGACCGTGCCGTCAGCAAGAAAAACCACTGTACAATAGCTATTCATGGTCGTGTTTCACTGTGTTCCTGCCCCAGAGGTCTCCATATGAATCTTAACAATACAGTCCTCAAAGAAAGCTAGCCATTTATTACTTTCCTAATCGGGACATTCTATCCTGCATGGATAGTGATGTGCGCTGAACGATTGAACACAAAACGAAAATCACTTGCCCGTAAAGGTACGTACGGCCATTTCTTTGTGGTTCTCAGTATTCATGCCTCCCCGAGACTCTAAGTGATGCTTTCTGGATCTTGCGTTTAAGTAACATTTTTGCATCAGCTGGGTGCTTTAACGAGATGAGTTATGGGCCCAGCTAGTTCCAAGAGCTGCAGATGCTTCGAGTAGTAGTCTCGAATTGGGGGCTATGTGATGCAGCAACCACCAAAAATGGCAAAGACGGCATTCGCAGCAAAGGGTAATTCAAGCTCGTTTACCCAGGGCCAGGGATTTTAAGCCCAACAAACGAGGAAGTGCTGGGCCAGAATGTTCTGCATTTGAGGTGACACTTCCAGAGCTCAAATACTAGAAATTCACGCAAGTGAGTGCCTCCATAAAAGGTTTCCTGAGGTATAGCTACGCAAACAAAGTTGTGACCGCTTCGAAGAAATAGCCTAATCCCTATTGTTAATGGTAAGGTGGTTGAAAGAAGATTACTTGTGTCCGTTTAAGACGGAACCGAACAGGGATTGCAACTAAGCTCTGGATGGCTTATTTGTCTAGAGTCCTACATACACAACTCGACTATCGAAACAATAATATGGATGTTATAGGCAGTAAGGTTCTCCGGACTTATGTGCTACGAAGAAAAAGACGTCTAGATAGCCTCCGCCTCCTGTGGCCGTGTTTAGTGTCAATACTGCGATGAGCACCTTAAAAGTGAACAAATAACTCTTCTGAATGCCAATGTGTTATACATTGAAGGGCTCCTTCTTAGACATTATATAGTCTCCATATCAAAATATAGAAAAATAATGACCTTAGAAGGCTATGTTGTGAAGCTTAAAGATTATGGAGCTTGTGACGTTTCAGATGGATTGCTCCATTACTGTAAAATTGATGATGGGGGTTTCTTTCCTGACTTGATACAAAGATCAGGACCACACAAGACCATAGTTGGTCCCGCATACACAGTGCTCTTTGCTTCAGTCGATGACCCCCGGCCTGAAGTGAACTACATTGACAATATCCCTGCAGGAGCATTCATGATCATAGCGCTAGAAAAGTCATTACAGGAAAAGCCTGAGCAAATCACGCAGGCGCTTTATGGTGGATTAATGGCCAATCGTGCGCAATATCAGAATTCTGCAGGTACAATTGTGTTTGGTCGGGTCAGAGACTTAGGGGAGCATAAGGAGTGTGGCCAACCATTGTTTAGCCTTGGTGTTGGCACTTGTGCACCCAAGAAAGCTGTAAAACCAGTGGCTACAAATGTTTCACTACCTATCCTATTACCGAATGGTTGTACCAGTGCCATTAGTCCAGGCGATGTTTTAGTAGCCGATGAGAATGGGGTTGTGCGCATCCCAAAAGATACGCTGTTGGAATCAGGTGATAAACTGATCAATTACATTGAGCAACAGATAGCAGCTGATACTTTAGTTATGGAAGATATTAGAAATGGTATTCCTGCCAAACAGTCTCAAAAAGACAGAAGGGCCGCACTGAAGCAGTTACTCTAAGACTTTGCACTTTGAGAAAGCGCAATAACATAATTACTTTTTCATATATTCATATATTAAGTTGTGAACCAATATTCTATAGCTTACACATTATATTTGTAGTTGCTGATCTAAAAATGTATACATTCACGGATAGGAATCTAAAAACATACTCAGTAGGAACCTGAAAGTGTTTCTATATCTTTCCTACATCTCATTTAAGCAGAGTAGTTCAAACGGAAAATGTCGTTGAAGACATAGTAAGAGTTACCATCTGGTATCAAGTGGAAAACTTGAGAGAAACGTTGTGGGTTTTGCTCATCATCAATCAACAAATCACCTGTGATCATAACTAGAACGTCACCATTTGGAGAAGCTGGTTGAGCATCCAATGTAGTGATTCTGTGAGCAACTTTTTGGAATGGCAAAGAAACCAACTTTTCAACGATGCTCTTGGCACCTTGTAGCTGACTGGTCTCAAAAGTCAACATGGACTCATCTCTGTACAAGTTACCCAATTGACTTCTGTCAGAGTCAAATTGGTTATAGTAAAATTCAGTAAATTGCTGAGCCAAAGCGTTAAAATCCATAGACATCTCGATATGTAGTTCTTCTTGATAAAAAGCAGTCCCTTTTGTTCTCTTACGTTGTACCGCTAAATAAAACAACCAAGTATTCTTGTCTGTGAAAAATCGATCTGCAACCTCATCGCAAATACCTAACCAAACTATCCTGTTACCACTCATCGAGCACTCTCTTTCGAATTTTGTCAAGTCTTGTCATTATTACCAATTCATCTCGTTTTAAATGATTATTGAATAGGGAAAGTTCTGGGCGTCCCTTTCCCTGATTGCATTTGTGAAGTATAATAACAAGACGGATAGTTGGTAAGGTGTTCGCGCATCGCTTATGCAGTGAAGAATCAAGTGACATCTATCTAACTTGAGTAATTTCTTCTATTTTGTAATTGTTTGGACAGCCTCATTAAAAAGAGGTGATAAGGAGCTTGTATTACAAGGTTTGAGATTGGCATTGCCACATTAACATTTGCACACATACTCCTTTGAACAATGAAAAGTGCTAGATCTCCATTTAAGAAATTTGGTCACAGTCGGGAAAATTCAACTGATGAGACTAAGAATGGTGGCCACAAGAGGACTGCATCGGGCCACAGCGGCCATAAATCACATTCCAGACAACCTAGTGGGTCAAACATACCGCCTGTCGCAGGGAATAACAATACCAATGGGCACAAACACAATTCATCTAGAGCTTCAAACTCCTCACAGAACTCCAATTTCTTGGCGGATCAGTATGAAAGAGACAGAAAAGCGATCATAAAGTATTGTTTCTCCAAGCCTGATCCAAAGACAGGTGTACCACCGAACAATTATATTACTCATGTACGAATAATAGAAGACTCCAAATCTCCAAATATGAGACCACCACCTGATTCCAAATTGGAAAACAAAAAGAAACGTGTTCTAATAGTGAGTTCGAAAGCTAATAATACAAAAGAGGTCCAGCTGCACAAAGCTCGTGAAAATAGTGACAAATCGTTTCAAATTGGAAGAACATGGACTTTAAAAGAGTTGGTCAAAATAGAAGCTGACTCTGTTGTGCCTGAGGGGTTCACATTCACTATGGGAAAGGTTTATTATTGGGAAACAAATACCGCTAAAGAAAGAACAGTGTTTCTGAAATCAGTTGTATCCCTTTACATTCAAACTTTTGAAGGCAAAGTGCCGGAGTTGATAAACCTCGACCTATCCCTATTTTATCTAGATGAGAAGAGTTATAGCAGAGCTGTAATCACGAGAAGCCCTAGCTCTAGTTTACCATCCAGTCCATTGAGAGCAACCCCAAATCTCGGTGCTAGTCATGGCAATTCTGGTATACAGCAGCTACAACAAGCAGCAGTTACAGCACCAGCGGCAATACCACCAATGAATAAGGATCGGGTCTTGAAAGGCTCAAATGTTACACCAATCAATACGAGCATTTCGAACGTGATGACTATGGATCCACCTATGAGGTCTCCAAATAGACAAACTTCAAGATTGAGTAATGATACAGGTGGGCTATCCAAATCACCATATGCCAACAACACCACAATTAATGATGTTCATAGAAATTATGGTGCACCTGCGCATTCAATAAAAAGTGATAGGCAAGACTCACTTGTCGACAATTCAAGTGGCAAGTTTTCTAACTCTGAGCTTGGTTCTGATAAAGTCATAGCCAACAGTTTGTCCAAAAATTCAACAAATGATAAAGAAGGTAATGAAATGGTATCACAACATAGCCGCGAATCCAAGGGCTTCAAGCTGCCAAGTGAGAAAAGATGGTCATCTAATTTACCCGATGACGATTCTCGACCAGATTTTGATGACTCTGAATATAACAAGCCACCTCAGAATAGGCCACCAGATCTAACAAACCCAGGTATGCCAGAATACTTGGATAAGCAGAACAATTCCTTAAGGGATAGACCCAAAGATAATTTACTAGAAGATTTGAATGCTGTTTTGGCTAGCGACGATTTTAAGGCTCCTAAAACTGCTATGTATGCAAATGAAGATCTCAATAGCAGTGTAATAAGCGAAGATGGAGTGGCTCCTTTGAATTTAGCTGAAGTCATACCATTACAGACAAAAAGTGTTGAAGCATTAGCTGAACCAATAGACCTTAATGAATCACCTAGAATGACTGACGACTACCCAATAAGAGAAGACGTTACAGAAGATATGACTGAATCATACTTAGATGATACAAAAGAAGATACCACTGAGATGTCATTCGAAAAAAATGATGAGGTTAGATATAGCCATGGCTACGAACCTCAGATAGAACATGTCTATCACGAAGTATCTACTATTCAAGAGGAGCCTGATTTAGCAAAGGTACCAGCTAGGAACACTGATAGGCTTAAAAAGGTGGATGAAGTCCCACCAATCAATGTAAATATAAATGATGAGGCTTTAATGGAAATATTAACAGATATACATTGGGATGTAGAGAACGATGATGCTGACACACTGTTGGAGAAAGTCAACACCAACCTTTCAAAAACAGAGTACATGTTTAACACTAGTTTACTCACATTGAGTAAACTATCTAATAATCTTCAACCTTACGAAACTAACGTCAACAAGGCTTGCGATAACATTAATCCTACATTTTCATTGTTTTTGATGGAGATGAGTAACTGTTCTGAAGACATAGATTATGTCGAAAGTCAGAACAACGGCTTACAGATTGAAAGTGCTAATAAAAAGCAATTATGGTCAACTCTTGATAATCTACTGAAAATAGTTTCATTAGACGAGGAAACATTAAACAAGCTATTAAATTGTCCCATCAGAGAAAAGAACCTACCTTGGATAGAAGAACAATTAGATGCTATGTGCAAAGCATATAATGCAATAGAGGGTGCTAAGAATAATGACGAGTCAAATTTGAGAGACCTTGAGGCATTGAGACAAAGGCGTGAATTTTATGAACGTGTTACAAAGTTATTGATTGATAGAATGGTTGATGAGTTAGGAAGACGCTTTTCAAATCTTCACAATTCTAGCACATCGAGTGAACAAGTAATGAATATCCTGAACAATTTACTTGTTTTTTCTCCTTTAATTCTATTTTGTAAAATAATGTCCCCAGAGTCTTATGAAAAGCTATTGGAGTTATGGAATGCCAATTCACAAGCCATTCATAAAACCATATGGGATAAGGAATTTGCAAAGCTTGACAAGAATGAAATAATGGAACTGAAAGCCAATCATGCAATATTGATGGAGAAAGGTACAGAGCAACTATTAAAGCAATGGAAGCATTTTAAAACTACCAGGAAAACAACAACAGATGAGCCTATATACGGTGATATTCTGGTTTCAGTACTTGAAATGTTAGAGTCTCTCCAGAAACAATGTATTTATTACCAAAATTTTATTGATCTCTACTTTCACATTTCCTCTACACAGAACTTCACAGAAGCCATAAAAGCCAAGTACTCACCAGAGTATAATCATTCACTTTTAGCATCAATTCATTGCATAGAATCAGATAGGGAGGCGGCAGTGAAAAAAATGGATATTGTTTCAAAGGCTTTCCAATCTGTTGTTACTTCTATTTCTGTTAAAATCTCAGATATTTTGAAGGAGGAAAATAGTGTCGCACCTGCTTTGATGTTATATCTTGAACAAAAAATAAAGGAATTAGAATCGACCAATCAAGATTATCTGTCCTCGGCATACAATAGATTACTTGCTCAAATAAACCAAAGCTGGTCTGAATTCTTAGAGGAATCTTTGGTCCAAATGGAAAGATCATTCCATGGTGCATCTCTTTCGGATGCTTTAACGGTGATTAACAATACTGCGGTATATATGAAAAATATTCAGGACCTCTTTGAATACATTCAGAGTCAAATGAAGATTGAGAATACTAACACTTTTGACACTGTGTCCATTGTGGAGACAGGATGCACGACTTTAACACTAAGAGTATCGAAAATACTGGATAGAAAGAATGATGGGGGAAGCATTATCAGTGGGATTCAAGGAAATAATAGTCAAGAAGACATTGAGAATACAATTGCACTAATTATCAACAGTAATTCAATGGTTGAATTTCTGATGGTATTGAACAATTATATGGGGGGAATACTAGAAAGCTCATTACAAGAATCGAAAAATATATTTGATTGTGAAAAGGAAATATATGCGGCATATATTTTACGCGAAACTATGCCTAAATTAACTTCGTTTGTTAATGGTGCAACCAATATGTTAAATACACAATCTGCTATGAATAATGCCAGGTTTGCAGCATATAGCAAGCATAACCTTCAAAACATACTAGCAGGTTACTCTAGCAAAGATATTGGTGTAATAATCGAGAAATTCCATCAGCGTATTATTGAACAATTCAATCCCAATGGTGAGCTTAACCCTATGGAAATAGTACTATGTGATAAACTTTGGTCTTGCTTACAAGGTAATACGGTTTCGCTGTATTTAAAACTTCAGACATTAATTGAAAAAGTTTATCCCGGCGTTTCCGCGAAATTCACGAAGAATGACATTATTAGTGCATTTGAAAAGTATAGAAAATAGGCATTCTAATCTAGAGATTGAATATAAATATAAATTCTAATGGCATTCTGTATGATTGTTGTTTGGTAAATAAAGGATGTTACATCAGGTTGACGTGAATCTTACCACCATTAGCAACACCGTAGTCACTTAAGGGAGAAAACTCTCTTGACATTGGTATTAAAACTCCAGGTGTGGACTCATATTTTATGTCTATTTGATAATACTTCATATTAAATTCATCAGAAATTAGCCCTTTTAAGTAACGAATACTGTACTTGTCATATATTTTCATTTTAGAGTGCATTAGTTCATCGAAATAGATTATTAAGGAAATTGTTATAATATTAGTATTCAACCAGGAATGGTTTTCTACAGTTTCTATTGTATTATAGAATTTTTTGACTAATTCTTTCATTCTTAAAGTGAAACCTTCCAATTTCAGAGCACCCTCTTTCAGCTTGCATTCCAGATAGTAGTCTGCGTCTTTTCTCATTCTTCGATCAATTATTGTTCCGTTAATGATGTTTATATGCCTTAGTATAGCTATGAGAATGAATAGCTTGGAATCTGGAAATTGGGCATCTATTGGTGGGAGCCAGTTGAGAGAGCATCTTATTTCGCATAGACTCGGAAACATTATATTTATTTTATCTACTAGGGTCCAACTGTCTAATCGAATGTGTGTCATATTCAGGAAAGTTATGGAGTTACTTTTAATATCGCTCAACTGGATTTTGATGTCAGTAGAAGAGATATCTAATTCGGTCAGGTAAATTAATTTACTCAAGTCAATATTGGTGATGCAGTTATTAGAAACCGTTAAAGACTTAAGATTGGGAAGGATCAAATGGATATTAGCTAGGTCATTGCCGTACAGCCTATTACCACTTATATCTAGATTCTGCACATTTGGAAATACGGCTAGTATGTCTTGTAAATTGTTCATTGAAAGATAGCAACTTCTAATTTTCAATGTTTTCACAGTACAAAATTTTATAGTTTTGTCGAACAGAAATCGTAAAAATCTGTTTTCTGATAAGTCTAGACAGGCTACTGATTTGAAGTTATTCAAAATTTTCGCTATCTCTTTGAAATCAGTTATTAAGTTTCTGGAAAGGTCTAAGTCCTTCGTTGTTATTGGTTCTGTAGAAGGGTTATCTCCTGCGCAAAATATCTTTGCTGAGGACAAATCAATTATACCTAAACTATTCCATCTTTTATTTATTAGATTAAGTTTATCAAATCCTAGTTGTTCGACCATCTTGGTACCAATATTAACGTTGAATTGGTCTGAGGCAGTGTTACCATACTTCTCACAAATACCGTCATAAAAAGATCGTCTGGGATCAGCACTTACATCCACTTTTGAAACTTTAAGGAACGAACCAGACTTGGGTCTGATGGTGTTAAAGTACTGTATGCCTCCTAATTTACCATTGTGCTTACCTCTTGTATCATCATCCCACTCCACCCCATAAGCTATTTCACCGGGCCATACAGATATTTCGCCAACATATAGTATTGTACAGTTATAATCGCTATATGAGATTCTATCTCCTACCTTGAATTTTGCACACATAACCATGCCATGATAAAACCTCAGTGCTTTCACCAATTTTATGTGAATTTATTTACTCTATCTCATTGAGTTATATCAAAAGAACTAAGGTACAATTTCTAAGATTCCCATCGCTTTGAAAAATAGCAGTTGGTAAATTGTTCACAAGCATTAAGTGGTGATCATTGAAAAATAATTTAATGTACAGAGTTATATGTTGGGTAAAGATAATAAAATTATAGACTTTATTATGACTATTGAATAGTCATGTATGTATCTGAAGTCAGATAGTTGAGGAATATTGCAGTTAAACTGATGCATAAAAATCTATCAGAATTATGATGTTGTAGTGGAAGAGTATGATATAAAATAATTGTATATCAAATTTAATCTTGCATGGCTTGATCCTTACTGTCTTGGATTGCATTATCCAGAGTGCTGAATAATCCGTCCAGATCAAACTCCTTAGACCAGTCTGACACAATAGTAGTTTGCTCAGATTTAGCTGGTGCTGGTTGTGCACCAGATGATATGGTACTCTCTTGCACGGAAGGCTCGATCGTATTATTCTTCGATGCTTTTGGTAAGACCCAACCAAGAATCTTACCATCCCTCCAATCATTTAGCACAGAAATACCAGCACTACTTAGGTTTGGAACACCACCTTTTCCAAGTCTACCTCTCTTCCTGGCAACGTGGATTAAGAAATGTTTAGTGAATGTCTCTGGATCACCAGATGGGATTGGTGGAAGTTCATAGAATTTCTTAAAGTTTTCAGTCATTTCATCAGAGCCTGCGATTCTTTTAACTAGTTTTAAAATAGCCGGATAAGGGTCAATTTCGTACTTTGGTGGGAGGGCATTAAGCAGTGCAAGTTCGGCTTCTTGTTCAACTTTAGACATTGATCGATTTTCTCCAGGGAAACATATACCAGGTGAATCCAAAATTTTCAACTTGTTGTCTACTTTGACTTCCCTTAGTGAAGTTGTAACACCAGCTTGATTTCCTACTGGACATGCTTTACTTGTGCCACCTCTATGAGATAGAAGACTGTTTATGACAGAGGATTTACCAACATTTGGATAACCAATTACACCAACCACAATAGATCTCTTAAGTTTGCTATTGTTAGCATATGTTTTTAGCGCATCCATTAAAGCATTGGCAGTAGCTGATTGAGTTAGTTTCTTGTTGAAAGTGCTTTTGTTTGTGGCGCCTGGAGCAGCTCTAAGAGGAATAGTTGGAAAACTCGATTTAAGGACATTCATCCATTGTTCCAAAACATGTGGTGGAACAAGGTCAATTTTGTTCAAGATTAAAAGCAATCTTTTACCTTGACTTTGGAGAACAGCTTGTTCGACTCTTCTAGACCTGCTACCCTCAGGATCTCTGGCATCCAAGACATATAATATAACATCAGAAGCATCAACTACAGTTTTAAAGATTTTGTCGTAAGCCTTTCTCGATTTCTCTAGCTCTGAGTCGTTATCATTGTCAGCATCTGTGTAGAAGTCAATATCATAATCGATAACATCAACTGGTTGAGACTGAAGTTCTTCTGAATAAGGATGACCATCGTACTCTTCAGCGGCAGCCTGTGCAGATTCTACAAGAGCAGATAAGCCGTTAGAGTCATCTTCATCATCATCCATCATCTCTTCAGTAACACCAGCTTCCATGGCAGCTCTCTTGGCTTCAAGTCTTTGCTGCTTAGCTAACTCTCTTTCTTCCATTTCTCTCATCTTTTTTGCCTCGATTTCTTCTAGAATTTGGGCTTTATATGGAAAACTAGCTGGGATGCCGGGATCTTTCTTACTTCTTGATTTCCATGTTATGTCTTTTTTAGCCATCTTTTTCTCCTTTCTTCTCTGAGCAGTAGCCTTCTTCTTGATCCCCTCTCTCATACGAGTGGAGGTTCTCTTAGATGTCTTCTTTCTAACTCTCATTTCTCAAATTCGTTGGTATGTTGTTTTCTTTGTATTATGAGCTAGAAATACTGCATTAAAGAATCATATTAGTGAGAAAACATTTCTTAAATAAATATTGTGCTACTCATCTCATCGCAAAAGCTCATCGCAAATTTTTGAAAAACTTTCGGGATGTGAAATTTTTCACTTTGTTACCCGGAGGCTTACCTGAAAGTGGTTAACACGCTTGTCAATATGGTTAACCAGCCGAAGTGTGAAAGATTTATGTAAATTTTTCCACATGCAATAATTGTTAAAAATATCTATATTTCTCGAAACAATAGTAAATAATATATACCTGCCTTCAGTCCTTACTCTGTAAACCTTTCATCTTTGAATTTGCCAAAGTCCGAAATAGAAAACGCTGTTCTGGTTGCCGTGCCTGGCACACTTGGCGACGATAAATGAGAACTACTTGGTGACTTTCCTGTCTTATATATTTCCCTCTCTAAACGCCTTGATGAGGAGCCGGTTCTAGAATAACTTGGTGAGGGATTCATCTCAAATTGTTCTCTGAATGCTCTACCGTTTGGAAGCCCTTCTTCTAATTGCGATAACTTATCCTCAAATGCCGGCGCACCTCTAAAAAGTGACTTTACACTTGATATAAATTCACTATTGTATTCAAGTATTTTACTGGAATTAATCAACCTTCGCAGTTTATTTTTGAAGACAAAGGCATATAGCAAAACAATAACCATCAAAAATAGGAAAATGCTTCTCAGGAAGTGCGAACTCTTACTATGGTAGAAGGATGAGTTTCCAATTAAACCACCTGGAGAAAATGTCTTACCAAGTTTTTCCATTTCCAGGGAACTTGGTAACACACCTGCCGTTATACTCTTACTTCCCGCAGTAATAGTGGAAGTTGCATAGAGAAGGATTCTTCCTAATGTCCATGAAAGTTCTCTTTCATTTATTCTTTCAAGACTTTGAAATATTGGAGTCTCTTCTTCAATTTCCTGTGATAGTTCCTTCTCAAAACCAAGCCGCGGCAATTCAAAACCTTCGTGTAATATATTTAGTACCCAATTAGCCTTAAAGCAAGCGTCTTTAAGTAAATTCTGTGGCATCCCGTTGAAAGCACCATTATCTGATTTATTCTTTAGTGTTTGCCAATCACTATTACAGAATTTTATTACTTGTTCGTTGAATTCCTGAAAATTATACTCTCCGCCTAGCTTGAAAACATCGTTAGCAGTATACCAGTATTCAGATGTACCAATAAATCTGTCCTTCTTAAAGTCAATATGTGGAGCATGAATACCGTTAAATAGGCATGGTTCGTCTGAACAAGGTATATTCTTTAATAAAAGAGGGTAAATGGATTTTGAACACTGCTCGTAGTTTCCTGATCCTAAAATTTGGAACTCTTTATCTTTGAACTCAAATTTGATTTTGGCGCCTTTTGGAGTACAAGGATCAGTCAATTTTCTTGTTGTAAAATCATCGTCATCGTATTTGTTTGTATTTTCTGGAAGTGCATTAACTAGCTGTGCAAAATATCTATTTCTAGCCTGGTTAGCACCAAATCCTAGCCATGTGCTAACAAAAACATTCCATTCTTGAACATCACCATTAACATTCTTCAGGTAAACTGTTGCTATATCTTCCTTGTGTTTCGCAATATCGTCAGCACTGCTCGGTACAAATGCTATTTGCGTCGACGCTCCTCCCATATCCATGAACCCAAATGTGAAATGTGAGTTCGCATTTACTTCGTATTCATTAAACTTACCAAGCAAATAATTTAAGCTTAGCCAGCCATATAATCCTTCTGTCTCGCCATCAATGACTTGAACTTGGTAATCGCAATCTTCTAGCAAGAAGTCTGTATGTTTCGTTATACCATTACATATCTCATGTAAAATTTTTGTTCTTTTATCTTCCGGAATCAATCTTAATCCTGCAGTTCCTTGAATAAAAACAGGAGTTTCTTTCCTTTTATTCTCTGGTATTATATCCTCAGCAAACTCTAGTAATGATTTGATGTGTTTTTTAAAGGCTTTGCCTGGTTTGTGTTCAAAACTGGAGAGACCCGGAGATATTTTCTTTGTCCATGATGGATCTTGCCTTATTTCAGGAACCGATCTTAATAAGGCAGGAGTACTATTCTCACTTTCTCGAAGAACGTTTGGATCATCCCATTCATACACATGTACACGCGATCCCGATGAGCCCGCATCAATCACAATACCGTACTGTTTAGATGCCATTTCTAGAGTATAATGCCTTAATGTTGTTATCGGGGACTCAATTCTTTATTGCAGTTCCTAAACAAACACGATTAATAAGGTTAACCTTATAAGAGCAGTAAGAAATTCTACAGAATTACTTTATCATTGTTTTTGTCAGCTAACTTATCTTGCAAAAAATGTTGCCGAATGTCAACTTGAAGATGAAAATGTTGTCTTAGTTGGGGGATTGGCAGTATGTCAATAGACAAATCTAGCATCCAATAAGTCAATGATTGTTATAAAATATTTTGCATAGATCAAAAATATTATGAAGTATAGAATATAAATATTAGTTTCGTAACTATTTCGTTCATGTGGTACTAATGGGGATCTGATCCAAAATTGCATATATCAATGAGAATTATACATTAGGGATTTCACTTAGGAATTATTTTTGAAGTTGTCTACTAACTCCAAAATTTCAGAACTTCCTACATACCTTACTGTAGGTGATTCGGTGTTCTTCTCAGCTTCCTGTAGAGCGGCCTGCACACCTGCAATCCCTACTTCTTCTCCTTGAACTGGGTATCCCATAATGCTTTGCAACCTTGACCTGTAAAAGCAATTACCAATCTTTACAAAGAGGTCATTACCAAACCCTTTATGGTGATCTCTTCTATCTCCTAAAAGGGCGCTGGGACGCAAAATGATCGTATGTTTGAAATTTAATGCAATGATATCTTCCTCAATTTCACCTTTCATTCTAAGGTAAGGCATCCACGAATTCTTGTTAGCACCAGTTGAAGATACGAGGACAATGGTTTCACAACCATTTGCCTTACTTGCTTTGGCTAATTCAAGATTAAGATCATGATCAATTTGATATTGCTTATCAAATCCACCAGCTGCCGCTCTGGTTGTAGCCAATGAGGTAAATAAAAACTTAAAATTTTCCTTTGGTAAAAGGCTTGCCCAACTACTTGAATCTTTATCAACAATTTGTTCACAATCGGCAACGTAAGGTAATGATCTTCTACTAATAGAGTATACCTTTTCGAACGCTTGTGAAGCGACAGCAGACTTCAAAAGATGTTCACCACATAGGCCAGTAGCACCTAATACAACGGCTGTTTGTTTACTCATTTGGATAGAATTATTGTATATTTACCTGATCATTCAAATGTACAACTATTACTATAATTAATTATTTGCACTAAAATATATCATATCTTCAATTTGTGTTTGTGCAACTGCAAAACAAAAAAATGCTTGCCACCAATAAATAAAAAATCAAAAAACGCGTAACTAATGATGCAATTTTTGTTTTGTACACTAAGATTCTATTTCGGAACTCTTACCCATGTCATTATTTACTTTATTTTCATTATTGTAATTTTTTAAGCTTTTATTATGAATTATTTAAATGCAATTGTTTTTGATCATGTGACAGACATCACTGAAAGATGTGCTCTGCGTTATTAGTCAGATTGAAATATACATTTTCATGTAGATATGATGTTCTTACTTTAAATGTTGTTCCATTTGCTAGCTTAAATAGACGATATTATAAATTTAAGTATTCACTAAAAATCTGACCCATTAATGTTAGAATTAGTATTATTTTTATGTGATATTACATTTTTATATTTTGGATTTCAACCAATGCTCTGCGATATGATTCAACAGAATAATTTGTACAAGCTACTTTAATTCATATATACTAATAGATTCACTATGTATTTTCTAGAGGGAATAATTTAAGAAGAATCGTATGCGTAATATCATTAAACAATTATTTATTTGAGACAAATTTTGAATACAGAATTATATACCTTTCTTCGCTATCTTGTCACCCAGACAGTCTGCATAATGCATGCCAAATACAGACCAGTGTAAATTAACTACAGTATATAGATGACGGAACACATTTCCGAATTCCTCCATCTCAGTCACAGCATAAGTTGCCATGTTTCTTCTCATCTCATCGGTTAGCGGATAAGCAAACAGAGAGGAGTTTTTGATACCTTTGACTTTAGAGTCTATGTTCAACGTTTGACCACTATTTTCCATCGCTGAGGTATCACCTTCTGTATTCTGTGATGGATTAGCATTATACAAGTAGACAAAATCCTGTTTTACTCTTCCCTCTAAGGTGCAGGATGATCTACGGTATATGCCATCTTCTAAAAGTTTGAAGATCCGATTTTCAAGTACTCCATAAACATCACTTAAGGGTTGGGTTTGTTTCCCTAACCAAGACTTCGCAAAGTTTATCTTATTAGTATCCAGTTTGGTAGAGGCTGCAGATCTTGTATTGGCAATTGAACCTTGCCCTTTCGCATTGTTTGTATATTCCAGTTTTAAATCTGAAATCACCTTACATAAATGAACCGCTATAGATAGCGTGTTCTTAGTCCATCTGCAATTGCCATGATCATCTGTGATGATACTCACAATGTCATTAACCAGTAATTTGTTGCTATATTTATTGATGATATAGCTTTTGGCCATTTTATCAATTGAATTGTCATTTGCGACTAGCTGTTGGAACAACAGTCGACAGACTTGCAGGCACACAATTTGACGAATATCTGCCCTTAGTAAAATCAGTCTTGCATGGTCAAATGAAAGACTGGTAGGGTATTCCCTTACCATCTTTCTACATGATAGCAAGCTTATGATACTTTTAATGCATATCCGGTATACATCTGGAATTTGAATGTTATTCTCGTTAAATTCATTATTCTTGACATATGAATCAAATTTCTGAGAGAACCATTTCAGTGACCCCACCAAATCGATCCGTTTAGAGTTCATAAGAGTATTGAAGTATTGTTTTTCAAATTCAACTGCATTACTTAAAAGTGCAGGTCGCAATATTCTAATTTGATGATTTGCTATATCTAATTTCATAGTTTCAAGAATCTGAAAAACAATACGTAGACCATCAATCAATTTTGATAATGAGTTTTCTGTTTCTGCTTCTTTGAAGGTAGCACTCATTTTATCAACCCAGGCGTCCCTCATAGGGGCACAATGCCTTTTGAATAGCTCTGCCAGCCATTCCGAAAGATTTGTCATAACTAGAGACCCCTTTAAAAGTTCCTGCATGTTAAGCTCTGTGTCAAGTACATTATTTATTGTTGTAGCCTCTTTTTGTGGGACTATTGTAAGTAATACTTCCTTTAGAGTATCGAATAGAGGGACCAAACGAGTCTTGCCATATTCGAATAATTCTGGTCTCTCTTTGTACACTATTATCTCATTTTCAACATCGCTCCAGTACTTCGCTGCCAGTTGTCTCTTTTTCACACCTCTTTCACCATCTAAATTGGGCCTGAATTGCAATAGTGGATCAAAAATTATATCATGCCTTAGCTGGGGGTTCTTCATAATCTCATGCAAGTCAATCTCTTTCAGACCTTGTAAATTTATTGGTGGAAGGGGTATAACATCTCTTGTCCTCTTCAAATATTCAATTCGTTCGTCAAGAGATGTTGTCGGCAGTAACATCTCATTTTCAGTAATATTTCTTTTTGATGTTTCGTTGTGGAATTGCTGACTTAAAATCATAGCCTTCCTTAAAGCCACCATGGATGAAGATGTCATATTGTCTGCTTTCAATCCCCTCTCGTCCATATTTTTTTGATAAACCCCTTCTCCCGCAGAATCCTTACTTATTATAATGCCACCTTTGGAAAAGTTAGTTGCCTTGGTAGATGGCTGATGATAAGCTGCATTTGTTTTGAAGGGGTAGATGTCCTTGTTGACCACAGGTATGTTAGTTGTGGTCATCCTCCTTAATGATGAATGTAAGATGGTAGGTACAGAATGTGACCTTACTTTATGACTATTGTGGTGGTTCATGAAGTCCGTGAGAACCACAGGGGTATCATTAGTTGGTTTCGAGTTGACATTATCCTCGTTAAGTTGTAAAGCACTGTTTTTATTATGCTTATCAGTAGTATCAGTCCTTTCGGTATGCGAAAGGTCATCAGGAGAGATGTTATTTTCTTTTGTGATGCTCCCTTGGTGACTTTCATTAGATCTGTTATTAGCACTGGTAGTACTTTCTTGCTCATTACTATTAGAGTCGACTCTTAAAAATTGTCCTGTTTTCATATCAAATGGTTTGAATATATTTTTGTTGTTATGTTGTTCTTGGGATTGTTGCACCTCTTGGTCAACTAATTTTGAGAGAGGCGTTACAGAATTTAGCTGCTGTGAAGGTACTGCTGTGCTCATATAATCCTTCATATCAACATCCTCATTGAGGTTATTTCTGTCTTGATTACTAACCGAGTTGGGGAATCCTAAACCATCAGTATTTTCAGTTTCATTATCTTGGTTAGATTTGAATTTCTTGGTTATACCCTGTCGTTGTTGTGGCTTATCAAGCATGTTTATGTCTTCATCCCCACAACTCATCTCTGTATCTGGCAAGTCCGTGGAGGAGTTGCTATGATCATGGTTACCAATATCTTCACTGCCATACATATCCTCATGTGTTCTCATAGCCATTTCAAACTGCTGTCGGTCTATATCAGAGTCCCTAGTACCGGCTGTAATAATCGATGATGGTTCCTCCTTCAACTCAATACCAGCATCAACCCCTTTGTCGCTATCTCCTGATGTCACGGAGCCCGCAGAATTCGACGAAGTATTTAGTAGTGAACTTGATGTTGATGTTAGCGATACCGGTGGTGGCACAGTAGATTTCGGTGTTGCAGTCGATGAAGAATGGCGAGTCCTAGTGTGTGTCCTTGGATTATCCATCAAAGCCAATAGGTTCCTTGGTCTTTTTATGTAGTAATGATCGGAAACACCCTCTTCTTCTTCTCCAAGCCTTTTTCTATTCTCGGTTGGCCCGGAAGTATCTGTTTTTGAATTATTTCGTCTCACTTTTGATGTTACCTTCCTTTGAGGTTGGGTGTTGATATTATTATTATTTTTTTTTGTTTTTGGTTGTTTTTTGTAATCCCTTTTTGTTTGAATTTGGTATTAGTTATAGTAGTTCCCCAGAATACTGGTTTTGCTAAAGTTTTGAACTATGGCACGTACGAGTATAATATAAAGTTCTGGTGTCCCTAACAATATGCAGTGATCGTCCTGATACTAGAAACTTCCTAAGCGTTATGATGTGAAAACTGCCAAGAGACTCTAGCGAGTTGGTCCACGATGCACTTTATACTAATCTCTGACTCAAAACTCCTTATGCTTTTGGTTATCGGGGCTAGTCTTGTTTAAGTAAATCCCTCCCAGATAGCAAATAGATTTTCCTAGCGATGATGACTTGTTGTGGGTTTTGTTTGTAGTTTTGTTATAACTTTAAAAGCACTGTCTGTCCGTTATCAATAAACAAAAACTCATTACAAGGTCTAATAAAACTATATAGAAATGCTAATCTCTCGACTAGATTAGAAGAGAAATTATATTGAAATTTGGTATTATGGAGGAAAAAAATTTCTTTAATACATTTAGGGCTTAAGGAGTACTGCCTGGCCTTTGTGCTACCAGATATCAAGAAGAATAGAGGCAGAGAATATTTTTAATGGGATTAAAGAGAAAGGGCAGATGAGCATCAATCACCGTGAAATAAAAGAGAGTCCCCATCCCATCTTCCAAAGGTAAGTCCTTCATCTATTGCAAGAATCAAGGAAAATGAAAATTTTTTGCCCTCATCTCTAAGATATCCTGTACAGATGGCCATTATATGGACATGAGTATGAGTACTTCTGGGAAGATAGTGGATGGAGAAGGCAGAGAAAGGGAGAAGAGGGAGAAGGAGAGGGACCTACAGGATTATGGAAATATACTGGCTTTCCAGGGATCAGACTTTCTTGGGATCGAAGCTTGGGACCTGTAAGTAGAGAATAAGCTCGGGGGGTCGGGTTTCCGGTTCTTCTTCCTCTTGATGGCAAGAGGACACGGGAAGTGGAAAGCTTCGATAGAGGCAGAAAGGGATAAGAAGTGGGCTGTGTGTTGCTACGAAGAACTCAAATGAGAGGGACGATAACAACACAACGAAGATAGTGGGACTTACACGGGATTTAATGATAAAAAAGCTTCTAAAAAGCATAAAAGTTTCCAATTCTTGAACATGGTAATGATGTAGCTTTGGAGGGCAGAACTAGTTGAAAAAAAGAAAGGTAGGGGAAAAATACTAAAAAGCAATGTTTTCTAATTGAAGGTGAGTATAATTACTTTTGTAGTGTGCTTGATCCGTGGCCAATAGATGGACAAGGAAGATCCCAAGATTATAATAAAATGCTGAGGTGCCCAAAAAAAAAAGAAACGCCTAGTGCCATCTTTTGCGGGAAGAAAAAGAAAGTAATCGCCCAATGGATCCTACATTTACATCTATTTAACGTTTTATGATAGAATAGTACCTATCTAGTAAAAAGCTGAGACTCTCCTTTCATTGGAAAAGAACATGCTGTCGACTTCCCGTCTGTGGAGGTCTCCTTCAAAAGAAAAAAAATGCTAAATCTGGAGAGCCATCGATCTAAAGCTGGGCCCGTTGAGGAACGGATATGCATCGAATGCAAGGATACTATCGCCCGATTACTTCCCTGTGTGGTGCGCTAAGTAGACCCTGTCCTTAGCTAATTATCTGTACCGAATACATCTTGAGCCTTAGTAAACTTGTCTACTATACCGTGTACAGTACCCAGCTTACTATCTATACATGTATCGGCATACATGCACTGACACTGTGCAGGCTACTTTGCGCTGAACCAGCAATACACTGTCTTATTACTCTACTTAGTCTATAGGCTGGATCACGTGATTCTTCTATTTCTTCCTTCACTTGGTGGCAGAGGAGGCTTCTATATGATCCCATCTGATCTTCATTTGGGCACAGAAAGCACTGCAGAACATAGGGAGGGGAGGGTCTTCGGTGTGTGCTGCACCGTCACGTCTTCTCTTCTTGCTTTTCTTCGAATTTATTTATAGTTTGTATCAGTCGCTCCGTGCGGGTGTTTCTGTGGGCTTCTAGATTTCCTGCTGTGCCATCCTAAGCATTCTTGTAGAGAATATAAACAACTGAATGGCGGAAATTACGTCATTTTGTGCACCAGCGGTGTTATCTGGTGTTTCTGCCTTGAGAGTCGATATAGTTCCGGTGCTAGTGTAATATCGTATTCGTAGACTATCGTAGCAGGTTCGTGTAGGAATTGGAATAGATAGATGGATGGCAGTGCACACCATTACTGTAGATTATATATGCTAGTTGACGCTGATAGCAGCGTGCTTAGCATGTGGATATACCAATTCACAATATTGGGAATAGAAAACAGAGTATGAAATACACCTAAAAAGTAATATTGGGTTCCGAATAATTAAAAAAATTATATATATTTGAAATAAAAAAGATTAATAGAAACTAGAATACAATCCCGTCTCTTCTACCCATTGGAGACGGAGCCAATTTTATTATTGCCTTTCTTGATATTCTGTAAGCTGCAAGCCAGGTGGACACAGCATTACAGGAATCATTTTTTTTTGTTGCTCATGAGATAAAATAAAAGATAGATTAGTTTAGAAAAAAAAAACCTTCAACATAAAAACATGAAAAATGCTATGAGAATATTTTGCGCAGTGTAAGCTATGCTTAACCACCGAAACCGTACAGGGTTCTACCTTGTCTCTTCAAAGCGTAGACGACATCTAGAGAAGTGACGGTCTTTCTCTTGGCGTGTTCAGTGTAAGTGACAGCGTCTCTGATAACAGATTCCAAGAAAGACTTTAGAACGGCTCTGACTTCTTCGTAGATCAGACCGGAGATACGCTTGACACCACCTCTTCTGGCTAATCTTCTGATAGCTGGCTTGGTGATACCTTGAATGTTATCTCTAAGAATCTTTCTGTGACGCTTAGCACCACCTTTACCCAAACCTTTACCACCTTTACCTCTACCGGACATTGTTATTGATTATATATTTATGTGTTGTTATTTTCTTGTAACGACAAAAAAAATTGGTGTAAAAGGAAAAGACTAACGTTACAAAGTTGGACATTGGAAACATCCCCCTGTTTATATACAAACAAGTAAGTCTTTGGCCCTTCCTGAAAGTACCTCAGATTGCCCCCTCTAGCAAGACGATAACAATAGGCTGAACTCAGTAATTTGCCACAACCACCAAGCACCATTGTGGAACTGTTGAATACACACGGAGGCACAGAGACACAGAGACACAGACAGAGACACAGAGGCACAGACACAGACAGAGACAGAGACGCAGTCTCGTCTCCCCCAATCTGACCATAGTAACTCACAGCGTGCACATCCTGGAACGGTCGGCTCACTTCGAGTTCGAATCCAGGTGCGAATTTGTGGGAACGGATTAACTATGGTCAGGCGGCTACCTCTTCCACACAGACACCACAAACGCGCGAAAAAATGGGTACGCCTGAAATACACATACCGTCCAACGAGAAAAACCATACAAACATACTCACAACGGCTGCCTCCCGCTGCGGATCTGAACTCCGCCGCGACGGGAAACGCCTGTCCCGCGCGCATCTCTGAGCCTGATCCACCCGTCTGCTCGGTTCCTACCCTCTAGCCCGGCCCCAGGTTTTCGCGCGCCAGGACGTCCCGGGGGTCGGTTTGCCATAGTTAATCCGGACCCACATATTCGCACTTGTATGCCACCATTCCCAAGTGCGTTCTGAGCCAACTGCGAGACTGTCTCTCGCCCTCGGGCGTGTGGCACCATAGTGCACCGGGTGGTAGCCTTGCTGCACTTCGATTGCGACTGCGAACTAGTGGAGCTGGGATCCTGCTCGATTATCTGCCTTGGGGGCCTGTGACACACTAGTGGGGGAGGAGGGAGAGGAGAAAGGGTAAAAGGGCAAAACTGGGTTATGACTTACATATTACTAACACCCGTTCCAGCAGTTTCACGTATCTTTTCCATTTCATAACTTGTGAGGTTGGTGCAAACGTGTAGTAAAAAAAAAATTAGCTGCGATAGGAACTGGCAAAAGGATCGTCTTCTTCCCGGGAATATATAAAAAGGAGTTGTTAATCGGTTCCCATTCTCTCTTGGTACATGTTGTCTTTTTTCTAGTAGCAGAAGGAAAGACAGTAACTATATACATCTATACATAATGGCTAGAACCAAGCAAACCGCAAGAAAGTCTACTGGTGGTAAGGCCCCAAGAAAGCAACTAGCTTCCAAGGCTGCCAGAAAATCCGCTCCATCTACCGGTGGTGTCAAGAAGCCTCACAGATATAAGCCAGGTACCGTCGCTTTGAGAGAAATCAGAAGATTCCAAAAGTCTACTGAACTTTTGATCAGAAAGTTGCCTTTCCAAAGACTAGTCAGAGAAATCGCCCAAGATTTCAAGACCGATCTAAGATTCCAATCCTCTGCCATCGGTGCTCTACAGGAATCTGTCGAAGCTTACTTGGTCTCTTTGTTCGAAGACACCAACTTGGCCGCTATCCACGCTAAGCGTGTTACCATCCAAAAGAAGGATATCAAGCTGGCTAGAAGATTGAGAGGTGAAAGATCTTAAGTTGTCTTATAAACCAACTTTTAGTCTTTCTCTTTGTCAAACTTGTATGATATCGGCTATACATTTTTTTTTTTGCAATAGAAAATAATGACAGGGTTCAGGGAATCCATAGCATAGCAATATCACATACTAAAGCTGTTCTCCTCTACTGCGGGAGAGAATAGACTACATTACTCTGGCATTTTAGTTATACTATCGCCTTGACACGCAGTTGTACAATACTATCAAGTTATATTCTATGGTTTTTTTTACTTCATATTATATATATTATTTTTATTAAAAGATCTAATAAAAAGGTTTCGGTAATTTAAGAAGAATTTAGCTAAACATCACCTCATATTTGTTTAACCATTAGTTGGAGAGGATGAAAGTCTTTTATCTCAAATGAATTGTATCGTTTCAAAAATCTAGAACTGATTCTATTCTATACCAACATATTCTGATTCTTCAGTCTAACAGAAGCATATATTTTAGTTGATCCTAGAAATTGACTAGCAAAATAAAATGGTTAATTCTTATATAGGATTTATATCGCGTACTTATCTAAAGACTTTTCCAGTCCGCCAGTTCAAGCAGAACCAGAGATGAAGAACCACTTGTCGACAGACTTGTCAATTGGAGCGTCGGCTTGTGGAGCAGCAGCTGGGATAGCGGAAGCAGCAGAAGCAGAGTAGTATGGAGAGTCAGTGACCTTGGTGTTTTCCAAAGCAATGTCCTTGGAGTCAGTAGACTTACCAGCAATCAATTGCTTCCAGGATTCGTTGGTTTCCTTGATGATGTCCAAAGCGTACTTCTTGTTCTTGGCTTCACCGGAGAAGGCAAATTGGTTTTCTGGCTTACCATCTGGGATCTTGTAGATTCTGAACCATTCGTTGGTAGCTCTTAGAAGACCTGGGAAGTACTTCTCAACATCTTCGATGTCGTTCAACTTTGGAGCCAATGGGTCGTTGATGTCGATGGCAATGACCTTCCAGTCAGTTTCACCTTCATCCAACAAAGCCATGATACCTAGAACCTTAACTTGCTTGACTTGACCAGTGTAACCAATGGTTTCACCGATTTCAAGAACATCAACTGGATCGTTGTCACCAACAGCCTTAGTCTCTGGGTGAGTTTGGTTTGGGTCTTCCCAGGTTTGTGGGAAAGCACCGTAGTTGTGAATGTAACCGTGGTGAGGGAAACAGTTTCTAACGTATCTTAGCTTACCCTTCTTGGTGTCTTGGATAATTGGGTTCAAAGTTTCCTCCTTGGTGATTTCCAACTTGGCGTTAGTCCAACGTGGGATTTCAACAACCATGTTGAAGATGTTCTCTTCTTTGTCGGCATACAATGGGATGTCGTGGAATGGAGAAACTGGCTTACCATCCTCTTCGATGAAAACCTTGTAGTCTAGGGTGTTCTTGGCACCAATTTGTCTAGTAGTGTAAACCATCTTGGTATGTATTTGTTGTGTTGAACTTGTGTTGAGCTAGTAAAAAAAGAAGAAAAAGTATATACGCCAAGAAATAAACAAAGTAAAAAGAGATACACCAATTGAAGTCAGAATTCTATTATATTACAGTCTCTGACCTTTTATATCAAGTGCAAAGTACCAAAACCGTCGCCCAACGTCAAGTTTTTTGCAATAGTGTTGGGTTCGATTGCGTTGAAGCATTGCTAGTAGAGAAAAAAAAAGCATCGATCAATTCGCCAGAGGGATAACCCACAGTTTACCTATTGAGCTATCGAGCACCCGGACAAACCCACAATGGCTTGTGATGATAACAAACAACCAATTGCTACATTTGTCCGAAGGAGTTGTTTCCCATGAGAGGATGTTGCCTGGCACATCGTTGCTGGTTGAGTGAGGCATATCACGTGTGAGTAGTTGTGTCAGTCACATAGGAAGACGAAACAATCCTTGAGCATAGCGAGCATGAAAGTTACCAATGTTGAGATATCAGCAACACCCTGAGAGCGAAAGTATATTGGCTTCTTGTAAGATTAGCATTAGTTTTTAGGTGCTGTACCGTTACTGCCAGTACCACATTGCTATTATCTTCTTAGGATAGACAGAGTAAGAGGTGACCGGGTAAAGACAATATCTTGATCGAAAGAATGAATAGGCGAAAACTCATTAAAATAATATCATAGGTAAAAAAGAAGTTCTGAACCCATTGCAAACAATGCGACATTTCTTATGATATGTATATATAGCTTCATGTTGGTGATGGAAACAAAACTATTAGCAAAAAAAAAACGTCTTGTGATCCAACCGAGGTTCGAACTCGGGATCTTCGCCGTGTAAAGACGACGTCTTAAACCACTGGACTATTGGACCATTGGGACGTTAGAGAGTAATACGCCAAATTTCTATAAATATACAAAAAATAGTTGCTGGAGAAAAAGTGATATATCAAGTGATGTCATTATACAAAGTAAATTTAGAACATCTACGTGTACTCAACTTTGAAGATAATAGTAGGTTTTGTGGATTTTGCCGAACACAAAATGCCACAATACTATTATATTCTACGATAAACTAGCCAATTATTAACACTAATAGTATAGAATTAAGTTAGAAATTTAGAATTAAAATATTTGGTAAATGTAAAAATAAAAAGGTAGGACCTAAGGTGAGTTTACTTCATTTTTTATTATTTTTTTTATTTTGTTTTTTTAATTTTTTTCCTGTTAGCTGCCTTAACCTAGGCTATAAATAGTCATACTCTGAGCTTCCTTGCTTTCGAGATCTTAAATGTCTAGCTCAAACTTAACTATAACAATGGAAGAAAACTCCTATCAGAAAGGTGATAATACTTAGTAATACCGTAGCAATACTATATTGTAGTCCAGTTATGCCAACTTACATGCAAATGACTTCTAATTTGACGAAAATAAAGATACCGTAGGTAAATTGTGTATTATTCATCTAATACCATTTGAATTTGTAAAATACTGTTCTAATAATTAAGTTTAATAATAAGAACCAAGTAGAGTTTTATGGGAACATGAAATTATCTGAACTAATGACTAATGCAGCTAAAACAAGTATTATTAGAGAAGGAGAGTAAATTTATTATTACTGTGACGTATTGACAAGCCATAAAATATGCGGTACTCCAAAAGTTGTCCGAAATGCTTGTCTGCTTCCTAATTATTGTTCATCTTTAGCGAAGTTAAAACATCTTAATATGCCGTCTAAGCAATATATCAGAAACTAATGGTAATAGTGTCCATGCCGTCAAATCTAATGGGGAAATTTTCGATCCGACATAAAACATTAAGGGAGCTATGTTCTAATACATGGACATTTTGTAGTTCCGCATATCGTTTGTTTTTCGTCTTATAACATGATCTACCAAGACAGCTAATTTGAATATATTATTCACATTTGGCCGCTATTCTAAACACATTCACGATACCAAACACTTTAGCTAAGGTAAAGCGCTTTCAATTGCTAAACACTAATAAAGGGGAAATGGAAACGAAAAGCAATTGCCTTCAAATGCAAAACTATAGGAGTCGTACTGATAACTAACGGTTACTAATATTCATCTGGGATCGTGAAAAAAAAACTCTTAGACGGAGAAGGGACTTAGAATAAAATCATCATTAGCAGTATTGGCTTTAGTATACCGGATGAAATGACCGGATTAAAAATTAAACAACGAAAGAATGCTAACTGTGATTGGAAAATACGTTCAGTTTTAAAAGTGCTAAGCAAATGGTTTCTAGTGTCTAGATAAAACAAGGACTATGACTTTCGATTAAACATCATAATAAAACCAGGAAAAAAATCAAAAATGGCATCTACTGAAATTAGATTCAGAACTTAAGAGCCGTTAAAGTTCTAAAACGTAGGGGATTAAGGGTTGAAGTTGCCATTAAAGATACCAAACAGATAGTTGACACTAATGTGATACAACCATAATAAAATTTCTCGTAGAGAACAAGCCAGTAGTTAGATATGTACGTCAAGGATGTAGGTAACCTAATTAAACAGCATGTCCTATGCGACACTGGATTTAGTTTTAATCGCTGTTCAAACTAACAACCATCGGATGTAAATAGTGTAGATCACCTCAAAAAATAATAGATACAGAAAATCAATTAATATCTGAAATAACGAGGAATATGAAATTGACAAATTATGATTTAAAGCTGTAGCAGTATTAGAATAAAATATCAAATCATTTCGTCAATTAGTTCCCTCTCTTTGCCATTAAGACAGTCATAGTCATAGATTGGCCGTCCGATATTATCTGCTGTAGCCTCAATGCACCTTTCAAATTGTTCGTAAATGCTTGAATTCATGTCCTCATTCTTATTCACAAAATTGTCAAAGTAATTTCTAAGTTGCATGTGCTTCTTGGTAGAGATAGAATCCATATCAGATGCCCTTTCATCTTCACCTTTATCCAACATTTTCAAAAAAGAATCGATACCTATATTATCACAAGAGACCATACGATTAGCTTCTTGAAATATTTTATCGCTGATCTTCTTCTTCAATATCGACCTTTTTTCTGGATTGAATAATCTGCCGGAACAATTATTCAGTGACAAGGAGCAATCAGATGTCCCTGTCGAACTTGAGATAGTACTAACTTCGTTCTTACTATTACTACTATCAACCGCCTTGTTCTTGTCAAAAACACAAACGTAAGATTTATTGTCAAATCTTATACTACCTTTTGATGGCATAGATATGCTTCCCGACTCGATATCTGATCCAAAATCTGAAAATTCAGGCAGTTCATCATAATCTGGACCTGCTTCTAGCTCATTTTCATAAAATGTTTTATTTCTGAACGATATGGGCCTTTTAACACATTGAAATGTCTTATTAAATATCTTTGAATTCACTCGAATGCTATTCTCTTTTTCAGAGCTAATAAAACTAGACAGACTGATCTTATTTTTAAGTTCACCTCTAAATGTTGGGACCAAAAAATACTCATAGTCCGATTGTTCCTCAATATCGAGAAGGCTCTCAACAGATTCATCTATTTCCGTATTGGACTCATTAACCTTAGAAGACTTAATGAATGATTTAACTATGTCAATCCCAAATTTACATTGATCTTTGAAAGAGTTTTCTAGACTGTTAGTATTACTGTCCAAATTTGAGAGATCAGAAACATTCTTTACCTCGAAATTAGAAGGTAAATCACGAACAGATTCGTTTTTCAAGGCATTCGTTGATATTATTGATTCTTCAATGGTGGCACCACATTGAAGCACAGATTTAGAACCAACATCAACAGATCCTTGAGAGCAATGATCTTTGACACCACTACACGACTCATTATTATCAACATCTGAAAACCTGCTTTTCAAATTTTTGAATTCTTCACAAGAAGTTTCTACAACTTGTTCACCTAATAAGTCTTCAGAATAGTTACAAACATCCTCATTCAAGTGATTTTCATTAGTCTTACGGTAAGAGCTACCACCAGTTTTTTTCTTCTCTAAATTAAATTTACTGTTCTCTAAATTATCGACAATGGTCACTTCTTCTGAAATCTTTTTGGAGAAGATTTCATTCGAGTTCGGCGCCTGAACTGAATAATAACCTTCATCCAAAACGGTTTCTTCAGAAGATACCCTTTGCCTCTTCAATAGAGGATTCTTAATGTTAGTTTCTCCATCAGTAGAATCAGATTTCTCAATATCAGATCCTTGTCTTTTCAAGGAATTCTCCACATTGTGACTTGAAATAGATTGGCTAGCTTTTGTTACATGAGTAAACTGACATTCTTCTTGAATTATTAAAATTGAGTTCTCAGACTCTTCAAGATTTAATATATTATCATTCACTCTGATACAACTATTAGCTGAACAATTATCACCTGTTTCTTGACCTTTGTCGGAGTACTTAAATGAGGTCTCCTCTGCGCAGGAATCCTCTTCAAGAATATCGATAACTAGAGAATTTTGAGAGCGACATGGCGATAGATATTGGCTATCGTTGGCTATTATGATTGAATGACTTAGATCAGTTGATCTGTTTTGTGGATCTTTATTATTCAAGATATTACAGTTGAATTGCGTGGTAGGGCATGTCTCAGTGACTTCGGAAGTGTCGCTTGAAGCTTTTAGTCCTTCAGCGTCATCTTCTGAGATTGCTGGCAGTGAATTAAGCATGTGAGTTCTTACTCCATTACTATCACTCTTGGTCGATTCCTCCTCCTGATCTTCCACTTCTTCAAAAGAGAAAACATCCTCATCAGCGGCAATATCAGAAATTGTACTATCCAAAAAGGAAGTAGTATCGTCAGCGTCTGTATGCAAGTTTCCAAATTTACGTAAGCTACCTGAATTACCTACCAATTCATTATTGGTCCTACGATCATAACTAGCTTCTTCAGCAGTAGCATCAGCTGGTGTTTCATCAATTTCATGAATTTTCGTCTTAGACTCCTGGAAACCTTCAATTACAAATTCTGAGTTATTATCAGTCGTATCATGATTTTCCTCATGTGTCCTTCTCAAACTGGTGAGATAGTCAATGCTATCGTCATCGGAGTAAGTATGGTTCACAACAACTCCAGGATCAATAGAATTGGTAGCGGCGATAACATCAATGGATATAGCACCTAATGAGTCTTCATGGGTCGCAACAACGATATGATCGTCTGATTTAAATGTTAAATCGTGATTGGAATCCTTAAATGTAACATTCTTTATAACATTATTATTATTATTATTATTATTATTGACTACATTAGTGATAGGTTTCAAAACAGTCGACTTCCAAGTATCAATATTGGAGGCATCTTTGAAAAAGCTTCCTATATCAGTAGCATTAATAGTTTCAGCAGGTTTTAACCCTATATTATCAGTAGAAATATCTGCAAAGAATTGTTCTTCCATTGACACACTCTTTTCAAAAGCTTCTTGCATCGGAACAAATCTCTCATCTTGGCTATCAGTGAAATTGCGTAAATCAACCTCAGAACATTTTGCATTGACAGAGATAGCAGCAGCATTTTCCACTCCTCTATTTGAGTGAACATAACAATCATTAGCCAAGTATTGGTAATCAGTCTCAGCAGTTTTAGTAGCGGCAAGAATAGAAAAGGCGTCAATAGGGGCTAATACTGGTAGGGTGTCATCGGAAGAGTTAACAGGACTAGGGTAAGCTGCAGTATATTTATTGGAAACAGGAATTTCAGAATCTGTAGACCACCCTGCCCACAAGCTAGCTTTATCCTTAAAGAATGTTCTAGCAGAACCATTAAAAACCTTTCTCTTATAATCTCTTATAGAGTAGCACTTATTCTTCACTTTTCTGGATAGAATAGTTAGAGCAGGATCCCTTTTAATCTGTGCCTCCAAATCAAAAGGTGCATAACAGTCGAATAAATACTCCTCAGAGAATTCAATGAGAGGTGGGGAAGGGGTCCTATTAAAGACCTTTGTCTTTACAAATTCCTTGAACCTTGCCTTCTTAGATAAGAACTTTTCCTTAAACGACACAGGTTGTTCAGTAAATCTGTCAATCTTTGACTTAGAGGAAAATGAAAACATATCAGTGAGTAAAAAAAAATAAAGTAAAATGAAAAGATTAATATATCAAAAAAAAAATAAATAATTATTAAATCGGTATAATAAAATAGACAAAAAATAAAATCAATCAATATGAGAACACTGGATTAAATTCAATAATTCTTGGATATTTTATTAAACTTGATCTGTTTGTCTACCTTTAAGTATTAACGAATTGGAAAACATAGATAAAATAAATAAAACTAATCAGAATGGTAAAAAATAATTAAGAATAAAAAAACAACAGGAGAACTTTTTTAGAAATAATTCCAAGTTTAACATCAATTAAAAGTTGGGGAGATATTTATACCTGGTGTTTTAATTTAGCCATTTTTTGAATATTTGGTTCACAAAGTTACAAAAATGATTATATATTATTCTGGTTCACAAAAACAACTCAATAGAAATAAGTGAAGAGCTAGATTGAAAAAAACCAGGTATATATTAAATTTATATTGCTTTTATACCATTAACTGATCAAAAGTGAAATTTCACATAAAATATACTCAATAGTTATGTACACTAGCTATCTGATCAAATTTAAACGCCAACGAGAAACATTAGTATCATCACATAAATCACCGAGAACGATGCAAATAAGGCTCAATTATTGATATAACTGGCAAGTGTCCCAAGTATTAGTACTTATGCTATATAAAGTGTAGGGAGATAAGTGCATAAAAACAATCTGTAAATTAAATTTAGAGTATTTATCAGTCTATAAAATATCCTAGAACACAGACCTCCCCCATGTAAAAATCCCGATTCCCATTCCCATGATTTAAGTTTATTGAGGAATTTCAAGAGTTACTTTTCCAGTAGTTTGTCTCCTTTCAAGCAATTTAGCAACCTCTGCGTACTCAGATAACGGGTAAATGCCACTAATGTCAACTTTCAAGCTCTTAGACTGAACAAAGTGTTTGAATATAGAGCAATAGTGGTCCCACTCACTTCTAGTGCCCAAGTAACCGTATACCTGGGGCCTTAGAAGCTTCAAGTTTTTAGGAGATAATTTGTTGATTGCAAATGGTGGCACCATACCTGAGGCGTTACCGAATGATACTAAAGTACCCTTTCTGCGCAGTGCAGCAAGATCAGTTTCAAAGGTGTCTTTACCAATGGAATCAAACGCAGCATGAACACCTTTCCCATTTGTATATTGCATGACTTTCTCCAAGATGTCATCCTCTGCATAGTTAATTAAAAACTCAGCGCCATTTTCTTTTGCCATTGCTAATTTCTCAGCTGAGGAAGCCACAGCGATGACATGCGCTTTCCTTTGAGAAATCAATTGACACAAGATGGATCCAACACCACCTGATGCTGCATAGACCAAGATATAGTCACCTTCCATGACCTTATATGCTTCATCAATGAAAGAGATGGCCGTCAAACATTGCACTAGGGATGATCCATAGAGTTTTAAGTCCTCGTCAGGACAAGATTGTCCGAGGTTCATTATATGATTCTCAGTACTCTTCTTTGTGTATTGCGCAAACGTTGATCCACCCAGGTATGCAACTTTATCACCAATTTTGAAGTCCTTCACTTCTGAGCCAACCTGAACCACTTCACCACTGGCCTCTCTACCAAGAACATATGGCAGTTCACAAGGGTAGTATCCCTTACGGAAATATGCTTCTATGAAGTTGACACCGGCGTACTTATTCTTCACAAGGACATCGGTGCTGCCAATCGAGGGCACTGCAAAATCCTGATACTTAATAACATCATAGTCGTCACTCTTACCATCAATCAAGACAACCTTTTGTGTAGTTGGAATAAACATGGTTGCGATACTCTTAACCCCTACAGGAAATAGCTTCAAATTTCTCCTCAACATCTGAGTATATAAAGTCTTATATCAACGTTTATCAACTAGTAATAAGACTCAAGCATCTAAGTGGCAATTGGCATCGCCAACTAACACAAACTATATTAGGGTTCCCCTAACTGACCACTTCCAAACTGAATTTGGTTATCATCAGCACTTTTCCCTAAAACAAAGATCATCTTAGACATTAATTTGAGTTGACTGCAAGATAAGAAACAATGGTGCAAATCAGAAGCTGCACCCTGAAAAGAATGCCATTGTTCAATGATGAGGCCCCAATGAACAAGATGTCAAACACGAAACTGTAAGATGGGTATTGCCTATTGTGCAATGGCTCTGGGGTAACCAACCCACAGTATATATTTCGCTATTCAAAGTATATAAACAGAGTGCCTACGTGCGCATAAACCAGAGTTAATAGCAATACTCCAAACACATTTACAGAAACCAAAGAAAGACATGTACTGGCCACTGATGCGTAGAGCGTTGGCAAAAATATCTTACAGACCACTGGTTATTGCCAGACCTAGTTGCAGACCATATTCAAAAGAGGTCTCAAGCAAGATAATTATACCACCGGCCGGTCATTTCGGTGAGGAGCTTAACTATGCTGGTGCTGTTGTGACCAAGAAGAGCAACATACCGATGCATGAGTACCGGCAACTGCCGGACGACTCAAACTACATTGAGAAATACTATGCTGAGCTTGATGTGTTCTTACAGTACTTGCAAACGCAGTTGCACAAGAGTTACGTGGACTTCGAAAACGACCCTGATGAGCTTGTTTTCCAACTTGAGAAGTATATTGAATTGCAAGTAAGGTCTAATTATGATGCGAACAAAGCTGGTGAAAAGCTTGTAATCGACAGATTTGTGGCATTTTGTGAAGGTGTGAAATTAACTTTGTGGTTGAATGGCGGCCATTGCTTCATTTTTGATGTATTGTTGCAAACAAAAGGTGAATTTGACAAGTTAGAGACCACAAAGAAGAAGCAAGAGATACACGCTTAAATCTAACTCCCAAGACGAATACCATGGGGGCAACATACATACCAGCTAATATTCACTATATTTTCGTTTCCTCTTTCAATATCATTCTTGTTTTCCCTTGTTTCCCTAACGTATCAAATATACTTATAGATTACTACCACGACGATAGTAAAGCTAAATAAAGTTCAGAAGATTTATAAATTTACAACTAAGTGCTAATTTAGCTCTTATCTACAAAAATGAATATACTAATAAGTATAAAAATGCAATGTCCATGAATGCTATATCATTATTTTAGCGTCTATTCTGCAGAACTTCCACTGCATGACTGGTTAGTGTCGTACTTGGATGCACCCTAATGAATTTTGCTGTATGTGTGTGCAATTGTTTATTTGTTTCTATATCGTCAGAGGCTTGGTATTCGAAATGTGCTAAGACTTTAGTAGCTACCTCGGTTGGATTCTTGTTTTTTATCTCTTTAACTAACCTTTTTAGTTTGTCGTAACATACTTCAGCTTCCAAAGGAGTCATTTCTGAACTTGGATTCGATTCGGCTAATTCTTGCCAGTCAAGCGATTTTTCATCAGTGATTTCTAGTTGTATAATTCTTTTAAAAAGCCATTTCATATCTTCTTCATCCCTAGAATCTAGTCTATCAGAGGCTTCACGCTTGAGCATCTTGTTCCATTTGTACCTACATTGAATACGTGATCTTTTACCTTGCATCCTTTCACTTACGATAGTCCAATTTATAACATCCTTGAAGCTTAAGTTATTTTCTTTTTTATCAGAAATCATGCTATTTGAGTCATCTATGCCTAGGTCAGTTTGATCGCCCGAACCGAGTTCACCAATATTATTTCCACTTTCATCCATTCCTCTATATTGACCATTGGCTTCTTCCATCATTTCATTGACAACACGTTTTAACATCTCTTCTTCCTCAGCAGTCCATCTATTTGCAGATCTGTTGCCACCACACTTCACATAATTCCTCCACCTATCTCTGCAGTCTTCAGGCATTCTGCCAAGAACTTTACCAATTTCTACCCATTGACCCTCTTTGTCTTTACACAGTTTCTCTAATATCTCATCTTCCTCTTTGTTCCATTTACCACGTTGTTCGAAGATATGATACTTTCTTCTCATATGCTTATATATCGAAGCGCTGGTACGATATGGTAATACTTGGTATATGCTATGCCAAAAATTGTCCCTTGGTCTATCCGAATTCCAAATTCTTTCACAAACTTGCCTTCTCGTCACGCCTTCAATGATTTGATACTCGTTAACAAATTTCTCTAGGGCTTCATCTTCCTCCTTTGAAAACGCTTTACTACTAATAATCCTACCATCAGGTTGTACCGAACCTCCTGCACCTTTCTTCGACGCAGCTCTTACCGAATCGGCTGTTTCCTTATCAACCAGTTTCGAAGCGTTTATCACGGCTTCCTTCAACAATTGCCGAACTCTTACACTTTCAGGAACATCAACATCATATTCAGTACCGCCTAGGGTAATCTTGTTTCCGAATGTGGTATCATTACGTTGTTTTGTGTTAATCACTTTAGGTAGAACCTCCTGGTAGTTCTTACCTTCTAGAGGTTTTGACAGGGGATTTGACAATTCATCATCGTAAGATCTTGAGCCATCGCCGAGACCAATATCCAGCGTTTGGTCATTTGGTTCATAGTTCAGTTTATCTTGGGGCTGTTCGGTATCTGCACCCCCATCAACAGCGAGATCATGCTGTTGACCTTCCACATAGCTCTCTAGATCTTTCATGGCTTTCGCTTCATCGCTAGAAGACTGACCATCACTGTTGTACTGGCTGAGGTCAGTGGTCTTATCCACATCCCTAGACGCCAATAGAGCCTTCTGGACTATGGGATCAGGCTGATCCATCATGACGCTTGGGTCTTCGAGATCGGCAAGGTCAGGATCAACTATGAAACCTTCGTCGTCAGCAGATGTTATGTCGGGCACGTTGTTGCTAATATCCTCAGAAAGCTTCAACTTTTTTGAGTGGCCTCCCTCCAGCGAACGTTTCCTCTCACGCTTAGAAACCTTCGAACCTCTACGCTTTTTACTCTTCTTACTCTTTCCACCATTGCCCGTATGCGACTCTAACAGAGCGCCACCATCAGTCTCTGGCACTGCATCGCCGTCATCACCGCGCGCGCCACCGGAGAGCGACCCAACATACTTCATCACCGCCTCCTCCACAGACTGATCATCCTCCTTGTGCTCGCTCATTTTTCTGCCAGACTCTTCTATTGATGTTTTAGTCGTTTGGGCGCCAACGCTTATAAACTTACCCGCTTCAAAGCACCGTATTTCCTGTCTGAATCACACCGGTGTACCGCAGCACAAAATTGCTCACGACGCAAGAACCCACTCAAGAGAGCCACTAGTTCAGATCACTATAGGACTGCTGAGCGGCTAATGTGTTCTCAAGTAGAAGTTATAGACCTCCAAGTGCACAGCTTCCATCACACAACATTGTGAAGCTTAGCGGTGTGCTCAGCTCGATGCGGACCGGGATCCGGTGATGAGATCACCCTAGACCCCCCGTACACAGACTACTGCGGACGAGTCTAAGGAACGGGTTGGTCCCACAAATTAAGGGGGCCGGGTAACAAACAGTCCCAACGGGCTGAGAGGGGAACATAGTACTGTGGACGACTTATATAAGCAGGAGGCAAATCTGCTGCTCTCAGTAGTAGTGCGTGTGTATTCAGCAAGAACGTTTAGTTTGTATTAGATGCAGGTCGTTAAAGTGTTCTGGCGTCTATGTGTGTGTTTGTGTGTTCCAGCGTGATTGTTCCTGGTGTGCACATAGCCAGATGTCATGACAAAATATATATATATAGATATATATGCAAATGTATTATCGGTGCGAGGTAGTCTCTAGTTCAAGACGTCGGGTGGCGGTCCTGCCGTCGCGTTTCTGTCGTGGGCTAGTGGTTGCAGACTGGCCTGTGTGGCGGGATACGGATTCTTGGCGGTCGGGTCATCGATGTCTGTGTCCGTGTCCGCGTTTCGCTCCGTCTCCGCCTCGGTGTCTATGCCTGTGTCAGAGTCGGTGCCATCGGCGTCTATATCGTCGTCGGAGTTGAATATGAAGGTACTGTTGTACAGTGACCGAGGCGAGAGCGATGCGGAGCGCTTGAGTCCCGCAGCTGCGCCGGTGAGACGTATGCTGCTGCTCCGCGGTGTCCGTCGCAACGACAGAGTCTCAGCGCTGCTATCCGCCGAGAGCAGTATATCTATGCCTGCCATTGCATCGCGTGGCACATCTACTACTTCGTTCTCCCCGACCACCACTGCAGTCTTCGGCACCGAGCCGAGGTGTATTGCCTCGACGTGCACTGCCCCGAGCGGCGGCTGGAGCAGGCCTTGATCGACGGCCTCGCCGGGCAGAAAGTCTTCTATGTCCCCGTACGTGACCACACGGTTGTACTCGTAGCGCCGCCGCACTCCGCTCCTCCGCCCAGAGAGCGTGTACTCCACGCTGACGCAATCACTCAGCACTACATCCGAGAGCGCCCGCACTACGCCTGCGCCATCCACCGCCATGCACTGCACCGTCTCGCTGAAACGCACCTTCCGCACCCGGTTCTCCGCTCCGCTGCCACTGCCACCACCAACACCGCCAACGCCACTACCGCCACTACCGCCACTACCGGCCCCGGCGCTGCTCCGTCTCTTGCGCCCGTTTCTGTCTCTCAACAACATCTCCATGCGCTATCGTGCCCGTTGCTAGCCGCTCCCAAGACACAAAAACGCAAGAACCACTTTGTTGCCCATGGAACAGCAGTTTATATACTATGCCCCATGTTTACGGGCTCGGCTGTTCCGTGACAGGAGGTGGTCAAGGGCGAATCCCGCTGACCCGAATCTTGTGCTAAGAAATCATCGTAGTACTATCGGTACAACAGGGTTCCACGACGGGAATATTGGCTTTAGCCGATGGCTGTAGTCTAACAAGCGATAACTGAGCGAGCGTGTGCATATGTATCTGTGTGGGGAGGGGGGAAGCCAAAAGTGTGTGATGGTGCGGGTGCTTCTCTGCGGGTATTTGTAATGTATGCGATGGCGATCGGGACTCGATAGACGAGTTACGGTGGCAGTGTGTGTCTGTGTGTATCTGTGTTTGTGTCTGTGTTTGTGTAGCTCTGAGGGAGGCAGGAAGCATCCCCTGTGCGCTGATTGTTCTGTATCGTGGCGGTATCCGATTTCCACTTAAGGGGGGGGGGGGATGGGAGGGAGAGGTGAAGGGAAGAGACCCTGCCCCTCTCTCCCCCATTGTCTGTATGTCTGTATGTGCATTAAGGATTCGCGCAGTGGGTCGAGGGATTCTGCTACAGCCGTAACGGGAGACTACCCCCCCTTAGTTCCGTGTGGCGGTTGTCTGTGGGTGATTTGCCTGGTCTGGCACTCCCCCGTCAATCCGAAATTCATCGAGGACACCCTCGACTGTGGTACTACGTGATAGTTGTGCTCTCGAAGCATCGGTTCAATGGGAATGAGGGGGGGGGGTGCTATTGGATTCGTGCAAAAACACACAGGGTGCCAGGAGGGGTGTCTTTTGAAGAGAGTATTGGATGACATAAGGGCTCTTGTCTGCATAGGAATCTACATAGGTACTGTATATACACGGGGGGTAGTGTACAGAATCTAGAGTGTCGTTGTTCTTTACTTTATAGTTAAAATATGTATGTAATGTATGGGTGTAACCGTTCCTCATTTTTTTGATAGGCGGCTAGATCTCGCAAATCCACAGAATGCGGGGATCTAGCTCAAAGAGGTTGTGTGGGTTTTGACTGGGCACTCCCCTCATTTTCGTAGTCCAAAAAGGGCAGCTGCCGAGATCCAAGATACAGAGAATCCCCATCGCTTGGCCCTCACAACTTCTTCACGGTTTCGCTGAAGTACTTACCTTGCAGCTCGTGGGTCTTCAGTTCCAGCTCAGATGGCTGTCTGGATCCGTCTGGGCCTGCAATGGTACCTGCACCCCAAGCGGAACCACCGTGCACTTCTTGCAAGTTGGTGATCTGTGCGAAGACGTTCTTGTAACCCAATGGCACATACACGATACCGTGGTGTGCCAGAGTGGAGATCGCGTTGATCACAGTGGACTCGTTACCGCCACCAGTACCAGTGGACACGAAGAACCCTGCAGCCTTGCCTTGCAAAGCACCTTTGGCCCACAGGCCACCAGTAGCGTCCCAGAAGGCCTTCCATTGCTGTGGGAAGTTACCGAACCTCGTTGGCACACCGAACAGGAACGCATCGTACTCTTCTAAGGTGTCTCTGGTCGCAATTGGGTAAGTCGCCTTGGCTGGCGCACCGAACTGCTCGAGCTGCTCAGCGGTCAGCGTCTCGGCGACCTGGTAGATGTCGGCCTTACCACCGGCTGACTCCACACCGCGCTTCTCGGCTTCAGCCAACGCAGCAGTGTGTCCGTACATGGAGTAGATAATAATAGCGACTCTAGCCATCTTGTTATTTGTTATGATATTGTTATAATGTGGTTGGTCCGCTTCCCATTACGGTATATTACTAAGTAACACATAATCAATTCCAATTGCGTCTTCTTTATATTCCCCTTCCCACGCTGCGATCGACGATGCCTCGAGAAGATCGAGATAAGATCAAGAATGAGCGATGTTGGCAAGTAGGCAAAAAGGGGGGGGGGAGGGGTGGATGCTTACAATACTGGTGGGTTTAAAGGTGAGGGGTTCAGCATGGCAACACTTACACTATACAACAGAGAAAAGCCGTGCAGAGAGAGGGGGGAGAAAGTAAGAAATTAGAAAATACTAGAGTTAGAAGTAGAATGTTCGTAAATACGTATATAATAAACACATGCAGTATCGTAACTAATGTCTATTTATAGGTGTGTGTTCAGAGAGGAAAGAGATACCGGTAATGAGAGCCGCCGATGGAGGGACCGGAAGCACCCCTGCTAGCCATTCATGGCAGCTGAGAGATATCTGGCTGTCTCTTGGCGCTGCCGACGTCGGTGGATGAGTCCAGCACGTCAGTCAGCTTGTAGATGCAGCCTCCGACGGAGTCACCTGAGGCGCTGCTGCCTTGCTCGATGTCCAAATTGGCGGTGGTGATGCACAGATCCCTGCCGACAAAGCAGCAGGAGGAGATCCGAGGGGTGGACTGCGGCAAGACATACTCGTGTAGCAGTGTGCCGTCCTCTAGGGAGTACTTCTGCACCTTGTGTGTGGACCATACACACACGTAGACGACGTTGTTGACCAAGTCTGTGGCGGATCCGTCTGGCTCTGGGGATTCAAACTCAGGGTTGTGGCGCTGCACGTCAATCAGCTTCTTCTTGGTGCTGCTGTCGTCGCCATCCTGCTCCCACAGACAGAAGTGCAAGGAGTCAGTCCAGTACATCTTGGTGCCCGCGCTGTTCCAGTGGATCGCGTTGGGGATCTTGACTCTGTCAATGACCAGGTGTACAGGCAAGGGGAGCGCAGCTGAACCGACCAGGTCCACGCGAACAATGGCGCCGATGTCTTGCATAGGCACGTGGAAGTCGCACATCACCCCCACATACAGCGACTTGCCATCTGGGGAGACGTTACCGTCGTTGGACCGCAGGTCCAGCCAGCGGTCACCACTAGCCAGCTCGGGGCAGTGTGAGTACAGCGTTAGGTACTCCCACTCGCCAGAGCTGAATTGACAGCGGCCTACACCGAACTTACTGCCAAACAGCACAGTGTCCACCTGACCATCGGTGATCACTGGGAAGATACAACCAACAGATTCGCGCAGCGGGGTAGGTGTCTTTGGGTACTTGATGGCAGCGCCAGAGCTGTAGGTGCTCTGGCTAACGTTGAACACCTTGTGGTTTGCAGTGCCCGAGGCAGACACACTGTCGAGACGGTGGATCTCGCCACGGTAGATGTCCACCCATAGCAATGTGTCGGTCTCTTTGATGTACGTAAGCCCTTCACTCAACCTCGCATCTGCGACGTGGTAGAATGGCTGCAGTTCTTGGTACTTTGTCTTGCCCATTATTACTGGTGTTTGGGGTATGTGGTTTAAATGGTCTTTTACCTTAAGCTTACAACATTCTATGGTAAGAGCAAGACAAGTTCCACAACCTCATCAGTTGTTTTCTTATATAATGGGTTGGGATCACTCGCTATGGGCTTGCAACACTTTCATTGATAAAGAACAAGGATCTACGGTTTCCCCTTTTATCAACAGAACAAAAGGAGGACAGGGCCCGTTGAGAGAATGTCGAGCTCGAGCTCTATGCTCTGCGAGAAAATCTCAAGAGTCTATCCACCGGTATGCTACAATGAGGAAGGAACACCACACACTTTCCTCTCACCTTGCCCCCGCTCCCTCCCCCCTTTAGTGCGGAACAAAGATAACAGGTCTACGGACGAAACTAGTCAGCTGATATATCATATAACACGTTAGGTAACACGGATCACATGACCCATACCTGAGTGTGTCATTTAATACAAATTTATCTCGTGAGCGTTCAAAGAGTTGCTGGGGGGCAAAAGAGTATCTGGTCCTCGAGGGGAGACCTGGAATCCCAGAAACGACAGCCGCATCCCGCATCCCGCATCCCGCATCCCGCTTCCCGATGACGACTGAATAACAGCATCGAACTGGTCCAGTCCAAAGATAGCGGCATCCTGGAAAAATCCAGCCTTATTTATGCCTTGCCCTTGTCTACGCTACAGTATTTTGTGCTGTGCGCTGTGCAACTGGGAACCCTAAGAGACACTATCAAAACATTGGGAGACATGGGAGACATGGGAGACTACAATTGACAAAGGGAAAAAGGACACCCACACACCCACTGCCCCTGAGTATCCAAACTAGGAAATTGAAAACAAGCAACAAACACTAGCATGACGTAATTTGCATGTTTCCGGCAGGGAAAAGCAAAACAAATACCCATTTACCCAGAAGAGTACGTACAGGATTGCGTTATTTTTTTTTTTGTTTTTTTGTTTTTCTGTTTCTTTTCAGTTGCTTTGTTTTGTTTTGTTCTGTTTTGTTTTTCTTGCTTTCCAATTTCCATAGCACTATTCCCCTTCCCTTCAGCGATTTTCTCTAGCAGTCCCCCCCTGAGATTCTGCTTCTGTTGACACTACAGTCCGTCCCGGCTCCTAGTAATTGTGTGCGTACACAAAATAGCACAGTCAATATCCCGCACACCCCACCCATGCACAAGAGATCTCTGCTAGAAGCACAAACAACTCACAGAATGCACAAACGCACAGACACCCCAGCACAACAATCCGCTTCACTCCCAAAGAAGACTTGAAAAAGATGTACCCACTCACTTTTCCTAAACGGGTAATTTACATGTTCTGCATACACTCAAAGGAGCACAGTCCACTGATAAAGCTGCCCGCCAGAGGCAGAGGCAGAGGCAGAATAAGTACCGCAAAAAATGAGCACAACGGTCGTATACTGTAGATCTACACAAACAACCTGGGCATATTGACTTTTTGTGAATAATATAGCTGTTTCTCGCTCTTACCTAAGGTCTGAGACTCATCCGCACAAACCTCCGTTACCTTTCTCGGTGAATATACGGAAACTTTCCACCGGACAGTGGAAAAATGTCTCAAGGGACCCCCTCGGCCTTCAGTCCTTCACTATTGCCAATTGGCAATTGGCAATTAGGTAGCATAGCAATTAAGCATCGAACTTGTACAATACTGCCTTGTGTGAGCGATATATTCCTTCATTTCAACAAAACAGATAAAAAAAAAAACAACTCAATTGCCAGAATAAGACATAATCCGGAAAAGAGCATCGACATTGGGAATGAAATTAGGAAGGGAATACTGAAAAGAACTCAATTGCAACTCAATTGGGTAATGTAAATGTTTTCTTGGATTGGACACTCATCTGGTCTTACCTGCATTTTGTATATAAGCCCATTGGCACTTTATTGTTGATGCTACTACTTTCTTTAATTCTCTTCGCTCTTGATTTCATAAGCTTCATTTTATTCCTATTTTATTCTTTCTTCCTTTACATCCATTTCCTAACAACAAATCTATCACAACTAATTAATTTCGATACAATTACCAAATGTCTACTTTTGTTGATTTGTACAAGAGAGGCGGTAACGAAGCCGTCAAGATCAACCCTCCTACGGGTGCTGACTTCCACATCACTAGCCGTGGTTCCGACTGGCTATGGGCTGCTTTCTGTGTGTTCTTGTTGCTAGCTATCGTCTTCGTCCTATTGATGTTCCGTAAGCCTGTCAACAACAGATTCGTCTACTTGACCGCTATCGCTCCAAATGTCTTCATGGCCATCGCCTACTTCTCCATCGCTTCTAACTTGGGTTGGATTCCAGTCAGAGCTAAGTACAACCACGTCAGAACCTCCACTCAACAACAACACCCAGGTGTTAGACAAATCTTTTACGCTAGATACGTCGGCTGGTTCATGGCTTTGCCATGGCCTTTGATCCAAGCTTCCATCTTGGGTAAGACCCCAGTATGGCACGTCGCTTTCAACTGTACCATGGGCTGTGTCTTCTCCGTCTGCTTCTTGATCGCTGCCTGTGTTCACTCCACTTACAAGTGGGGTTACTTCACCATCGGTTGCGGTGCTGGTATCGTCTCCATCATCTCCTTGATGACTACCACTTACACTTTGATTAAGAAGTGTGGCGACAAGGAAATCAAGAGATGCTTCTTGATCTACGTCTGCCCAATCATCGTCCTATACTTGGTCGCTTGGCCAGTCTGTTTCGGTATCACCGACGGTGGTAACGTTCTACAACCAGACTCCGAAGCTATCTTCTACGGTATTATTGACTTGCTTCTATTGGGTATCTTCCCAGCTCTATACGTCCCAATGGCTAGCCACGTCGGTTACGAAAACATCACTTACGGTATCTTTGACTCTGCTATCGGCGGTGCTGCTCCAGGTGGCATGGCCCACTCTGCTTCCATGGACATTGAAAAGAGCCCAATGTCTGCTACTTCTTCCCCAACTCCAGTCTCCCCAACTCCAAAGGCTGGTATTAAGAAGCCAAAGTTGAAGTTGAAGAAATAAACGGTTTCATGAATATTAGAAACCACTTCAATTATTAATTCTATTTTTTTTTATTTCGCTTTTATTTCCATTCAATTCTTCGCTCATGTTATAGACATTACTGAACGATAAAAAGCTTTAGCATTCCACGCTTGGTAAAGCTAAAACTTACAGCTTCATTATTTTTTTATTATCTTTTGATACCTGAAAGACAGATGATAATACAACCACCTTTCTCTTAATCTACTTCATCAACATCATACTAGAAAGAAAAACAACGCTATGAATTGTACCCATAGGTCTTTAATTTATGACAATTTTAATAATTCCGTTAAGATGTCTGGTTCTAGAAATATAGAAAGTCTAGTATCCAAACAACATAATATGGAGTTGTCTTTTTTTCTGATTTCACACACTCGTTATAAAAGGCTGGGCTTTATCTGCTTATATTTTATTAGGCATTCGAGAACAGACCTTCCTCCAATTACAGTTCTTTTTTTTTCTTATATATTTCACAACCTGTTATTTTTTGTTTATATCTAATACTACTCTGACTTTTTGTCAGAGCCGATTTCCCAAATTACTAATAATTATTTTTTATTATATTAAAATCATAAAATCATCTAATGCTTATTATCATTATAACTGTAGTTTTCTGAGTTGTCCGCTAATAACTATACAGTGTATAATCAATTTATTATGCTTACCAAATAATGCCGTTATAATCATTTACAACGCTCTGCAACTTTCTTGAGTATTACAGGTGAAGACAGATATTGCATTTTCACATTTTTGGAAACTTTGATCCATTCTTCACCATATGCAGGATCGAGCTCCGCAACCTTTTCCAACAACTTATCCAAATCGTCATTCAGTTTTTGCTTACAATTATAAATGTATGCCCACCCATCACCAAACCGAGGTTGCTTGGTGACAGCTCTATCAAACCATTTCATTGCCACCTTATATTGATTGTCATTGTAGAAAGACCTACCAACCTCAAACAGAATAAGATATGAGTTGTTTGTAGCTTTTAAAGCATCTTGAAACAGCGTCTTCTTCAGGCTAGATTTCTTTGACTTACTTAGCCTCATCCTACAGGCCCATAATTCTGCATCCTTTGCAAAAGTCTGTAAGCCTTGCGATATTAAAAGTTCTTCTTGTGCAAAGTTTCCCACCGTTTCCTCCAATTTAACTTTAGCAACAATTAAAGAAACATTGCTTGGGTTATGGACAATGCCTTTGTCCAAAATTGATCTAGCCCTGGATGTGTTTCCAGATGTTCTTTGAATGAAATTAGCATATTCGATCCAGAAAACTGCATGCGATGGCAATCTCTTAGTATAATCATCATATAACCTTGAACATATACTATTCATACCCATATCTTCATAAATCTGGACCAGTTGCAATTTTAATTTTACTGACTGTGGAAATAACAGCAGATATTTGTTTTCAATATAACTAACAGCTTTCTCATTCTCGTCCATAAAACGTAAGAATGAAACATGACGATAGAGTAATCTTTCCTTGTTATGATCATCATAATTAGCAGTTTCCAAAGAGTTCAATAGTTTATCAAATATAGAAGCAACACAATCTAGACGACCGGTCTGCAACAATATCTTTATTTTCGCTAGCCAACCCTCTATAAAGTTTGGAATTTCATTCAAGGTTTTACTCAAGATTTCTAGGGCCTTATCTGGATTCCCGTCGTGTTTCCATAACTCTTTCACATAAAGCAACACTAGATTGGGATGTATTTTCACCATTTCATAACTATTCTGGGTGTCACGATCAAAAAGCAGCTCTTCAAATACTTGAAAAAACTTGTCTATATTATACGATTTCACACAGATATTTTTCAATTTTTGCCAAACACTTATTTTAGTAGGCTCGAACTTCAGATATGATTTTAAAAATATGATCTGTATTTTAACATTTGATATATTATCAAGGTAATTCAATCCATATTCTTTAACAATCTTCTCACCTATGCTATCAAAAATTACCTCACAAAGAGAAGCAGTAGTTATATCAACAGCAATGCTCTTATTCCATATTTCGACTTTATCTAGCCATTTAGTCACTACGGACTTATCCATGTCTTTCATATTTATACCAAGCTCTTTAATGATCACACTCTTACATTGACTGACAGAGTCAATTTTCTTATGTATTTCTTCATTCATTAACTTGTAAACCTTCAAATCTATCTGTTTGGGATTTTGAGTTATGACCTTTTCTAATGTATTCATAACGTCCTCGTAGGGTTCTTTCATTAATATAGCCCAGAAATAAAAACTTGTTGGGATGAATTCTAAAGCCTTTTTACATATTCTCAAACTATCATAATCGTTTGGGTTATATTTGACTGCTAGTTTCCAGATTTCTTCTTCAGCAGGTATTTCTCTTAATGCTTTTTGTATAACTCTAAACTTATTGGCAGGTTGTTCCTCATACTTGATTCCCTCCAACCACAATGCGACCGATTTAGGTTGAAAGCGAATTGCATTAGCAACAATAATTTTCTTCTTTTCATTGTTGGATACATTCAACCGTAAGTTTTCTAACCATATTATCTCATCTAATGGACATTGTAAACACCCTTGCTGAATCAGTTCCCTTGCAAGTTCGTAATTACCACAATTTTCCTCTAGTTTAGCCGAAGCAATCCAACTTGTAGGATCTTTGGGTTCTGCCCGTCTGTATGACTTCAAGACCAACCGCTGCTTTTGTACCTCTTCGTCATCGCCTCTTCTCACAATATTTACAGAGTCTTTGTCAATGTCCGCTATATACTTCAAAGTTTTCATCTCTTGATCATTAGGCTCATTCTTTGCAAAAAAGTCAGTGTCTAACTGTCTTGCAAGAAGCTTCTCCCTTTCCTCTGTTAATTTCACCAAATCAACACTATTGGAATCTAGTAAAGAGTCAGGTGCTGCATATGTTTTCCTATTCATCTGTTCTTCCAACCTAATTCTGCGATTTCTCCGGGTCATATCGGTAGCTTCTGGTAGATTAAGCCATTGGTCTTCTGTCACATTAGCGAGTTTCCGTTTTAGCGGTATAAAATCAGCCTTTGATCTCTCTTCCGGCTTGGGAGCCCTTTTTCGGGCTCTCTTTTCTTCAATCGATGCAAATACATCTTCATCGTCATCGTCATTGCTCTCCTTGGTATACCGTTTCGGTACTCTAGGAGTTTCGTTTTTCTGACCCCTAGTTGCAAAACCAAACGCGCCTCTACCTACACCAGCAATATACCCTGGAGGTGGCTTTTGATCCAAAAACGCTGGCCTATACCCTGACATAATCCCTTGCACTTATGGCTTTCTTGTTTTATTGCCAAGCTTAAAACAGCTCAATGTCATGCAAAAATTACCAGTACTTCTCGTTGTGAATACCAATATACCAAACCAATTAGATGGTTAAATATTAAATTCAGTTATACTAGTATCAGTAGCTGGCACCATGTTATAGCATGTCAAACACTTACTATGGCTCAAGCTCATCGCCTGATTTTTTTTCAGCTGGGAAGCTCATCGCGTAGTAACCCGCAACGAGTGAAACCCTTTATTTCTGGGAGTAATATATAAAAGGGAAGCAATTTTAAACATTCTTAGATATCAGTTGCTTCTCTGTGTAGCCGCCAAACATTTACAACGTAAAAAGAGGAATTATTTCTTCAACATTGTGGTGCTACAGCTTTATCATATTTTTTCGATTTTAAGCGGGCGATGTTTGACAAATTGAAGCAGAAGTTTGAGAAACTGTCGGTAGGCGGGTCTTCCGGGGAGCCAATTCCCACGGAAGAAGTTGTTTTTGGCGAAGAGCTACCTGAAGAGGTGGTATACAAGTACAGGTATAACCACGGTGTAAATTTGGGGTCCCTCTTTGTGTTGGAAGAGTGGATCTTCAACTCCGTGTTTGAACATGGCGGCGGTAATGAGTTCGATGCAGTTAACAACTACTTGAAAAATGGCAAGTCAGAAGATGAAGTAGCCAAGAAGTTACAGGATCACTATCATGACTATAGCTGCAGAATTGATTGGGATTGGCTAAAGAATGAAGTTGGAATCACAGCCGTCAGAGTGCCAATTGGGTATTGGCACGTTAGAGATGGTGATTTGTTATCTGGGTTGCCATTTGAACCATTGAAAAAGGTATATCATTTGGCTAAGCCCACAAATTATTTGAAGGATATTATAGAAAGTGCAAGAAACCGCGGGATCGGTGTCTTGATCGATATTCATGGGCTACCAGGTGGTGCTAATGGTGATGGCCATAGTGGGTTTCCAAATCGTGGAGCAGACTTCTTCAGAAATAGTGGTTATATAGACAGAATTTGTAATGACATCATCCCTGCTATAATTGAAGACATATGCAAACCAAACAAGAATGTTATCGGGTTACAGGTTGTGAATGAATCTGTTTTTGATAATAACGCCCACGGCCAAAAAAATTACTATAAGCGGGCTATTCAAACAATTGCAAGTAACCAACCAGGGCTGCCAGTCATTATTTCAGATGGTTGGTGGCCCCAACAATGGTCTGATTGGTTAAAGCAGGAAAAGTTAGACTTAGTGACAGTAGTTGACACGCATGTTTATAGATGCTTTTCAGATGAGGACAAAAAGAAATCTGCTGATCAAATTATAAACGACCTGGAGGGATCAACCAGTTTTCCTAAGAATGATGCCGATTTTGTTGTTGGTGAATTCTCTGGAGTTCTTGATGAAGAAACATGGAAAAAATCACCTGGCGATCGGAATGAGTATGCCAAACAATTTTTGAACAAGGAATTGGAGGTTTTCTCTAAATCATCATCATGGGGATGGTTTTTCTGGACACTACAATTTAAGTATGGCGATGGTGGTGAATGGGGTTTAAAGCCAATGTATGAGCGTGGTGGAATAAAGAAGAGATCAACACAAAACAATCTGAACATTGACGATAACAGAGTTAGACAGATTATTGATGAACACATCAACTACTGGAAGGATAAAGGTGGTGACAAGTTTGAGCATTGGAGATTCGAAGATGGGATTAATTCAGCAATATCAGATATCAAGGAGTTTGCTCGGTTTGACAATTCTAGACTGGGAAGATGGCATGCGTGGAAGGCCCAAAGAAGGAACGATTATATGAAAAAGAAAGGCGATAGTGAATACATGTGGGAGTGGGATCAAGGTTATGACAGAGGTATTGCAGAATTCAATTTCTGAAAAAAATGAAAATTACAACTAGATTTAAATGTTCTCTTTGTTTTCTACAGTCGTTTTTGGCCAGCAAAGCTACTAGCGTACCATTTTACTCTCTTTTATCTCATATAGCTAATGCTAGGAACTGAAATAAGCAAGAAAAAATGTGTCATTACGATATTAAGTAATGATGTGCAGTATTCTAAATAGGAAGCCCTGATATTCAATTTTTACGTTCGTTAAGTTGCTTGGAATATGGAAAGCAAATAAAATGCCCTGGTTGCTATATTTTTCGTCATGCACATGCTCGCCTGAGCGTACGCATCGATCATAGTGTTGGTCCAGCCACCCCGCAGCGACTGCTCAAGAAGGCGCATTACCACATCTAGCATTACCAAAGATCAAAATACTTTTCAGCGATGCAGGCGAAAAGGGTCCAACGCTATCTGCGATGACTAAATGAAATTTTTTTTTCACTTTTTTCCAGACCATTGCTATTACTCATTTTTATCGATCTGTACGTATATTTCTGTGCAAAATTTGTTTTTGAAAAAATATGGCTACTATAATGAAAAAAGAAATTACAATCATTAAGTTCTTAAGCATTAGCAATTGATAATATATAAGAAGCAAAGGATAGCTTTTTGAATGGGGTTTGTGTTTGTTCCTCGTCTTGAACTTCGAGGAATACAGTAAAGTATCAGAAGTTATAGGCAAATCCAAAACACTAGTGCAACACCTAGTATTATAATCTCGCTAGAAATACAATTCTATAAATTCTTCTGTACCTATTAACCCAGGCTTAGGAATAAACATATCCTATAAGAAAACAATTCGCAAAAATGTTCATCAAGAATGACTACAGAGGTGACAGAACCCGTCTAGAAGACTGGAGAATCAAAGGTTACGATCCATTGACTCCTCCTGATCTTCTTCAGCATGAATACCCAATCAGTGAGAAAGGTGCTGCCAACATACTGAAAGCTAGAGATTCTGTGTGTGACATCTTGAATGGTAAGGATGACCGTATGGTTATTGTCATTGGTCCATGCTCCATTCATGACCCAAAGGCAGCTTACGAATACGCCGATAAGCTAGCAGTAATCGCTGAGAAGCTATCCGATGATCTACTTATTATCATGAGAGCGTACTTAGAGAAGCCAAGAACCACCGTTGGATGGAAGGGTCTGATAAATGACCCAGATATTGATAACTCTTTCCAAATCAACAAAGGTTTAAGAATCTCAAGAGAAATGTTCACAAAGCTGATCGAAAAGCTTCCTATTGCCGGTGAAATGTTAGACACTATCTCCCCACAATTCTTGAGTGACTGTTTCTCTCTAGGTGCCATTGGTGCCAGAACAACTGAATCCCAACTGCATAGAGAACTAGCTTCAGGTCTATCTTTCCCAATTGGTTTCAAGAATGGTACCGATGGTGGCCTACAAGTTGCCATCGATGCTATGAGAGCTGCATCTCACGAACATTACTTCCTTTCTGTCACAAAGCCTGGTGTCACCGCTATTGTTGGTACTGAAGGTAACTCCGACACTTTTATCATTTTAAGAGGTGGTAAGCATGGTACCAACTACGATGCTGAAAATGTGAAGTCCACCAAAGAACAACTAAGGAAAGCAAAATTGATTGATGAAGCTGACAGTACCAGAAGAATAATGATTGACTGTTCTCACGGTAACAGTAATAAGGACTACAGAAATCAACCAAAGGTCGCTCAAGAGATCTACAACCAACTGAGTGCTGGTGAAAACGGTTTGTGTGGTGTTATGATCGAATCTAACCTAGTGGAAGGCAGACAAGATGTTCCTCCAGAAGGTGGTCGTGAGGGTCTAAAATATGGTTGCTCTATCACTGATGCTTGTATTGGCTGGGATACTACCGAAAGCGTTTTGGAACTTCTAGCCGAAGGTGTTAGAAACAGAAGAAAGCATTTATCCAAGTAAATAAACACGTCCGATCAAGTATAAAAATCATTATATGACGAAAGGTAACATATCTATATATGACTCTGTCATTGTATTTATTTATTTCATTGTAACCAATAAATTCTGTAATCAATGATATAAGCGTTCTTGATTATTGTCTAAAATAGATATAAATATGAGCAACACTTTGACTCGACCAATATAGTTAGGGAAAAAAAAAATTGTTATTAGTTAATATAGCAAGCAATCTGAATAATGGGTTTCTGTTAAGAATCCAAAACTTAACCAAATGTTAATTAGAAAAATAACCACAAAGTCCGAGGAAATGATAATTAGTAGTAAACCCCAAAGGTTACGAATAAAAATGTAAAATCAAACTTTATCTTTCCCTAGCTTCTCTTTCAATTGAATAATTTGGGTTTTTAGGTCCTTATTTTCTTTCTTCAAAAGTTCAAGAGCTATATGCTTTTCTTTAGCCCTACCAAATGATAACATTCTAGCCATTTCCTGGTTTTCCTTCGTTAAAGTTTCTAGCCTTACAACAGTTTTGTGAGCTAAATTCTCTGGATCATATCTACCAAACTTTGTTGAGCTATTAGAGGGATTTAGCGCCATGGCGGCTAGGACACTCTCTAAATTAGTCTTTGTTTCATCTAATTCTTTTTCTCTCTTTTGTAAAGCTGAAGATAGCTTTCGAAAGATTATATCCAGACTGTTTGGGACATCTATTTCTTTTGTTGTAATATGCTCTTCTTTATCGGCTGTTTTGCTAGAAATATCCTTTGTATTATCTACTGCTACTGAAATAGCACTTTTCAATCTTGTTAATTCCCTCTGAAGAGATTGAAGTTGAGCATCTTTTACTTGAATATCGTATTTCAGTGTATCAATTTCTCCAGAAGATTCTTTCGGTTCCTTTGGGTTGACAGTAGCACTGCAATTGGATGGTTGACTGGATTGTGTGGCATCAAAGGTAGTAGCATTATTGTAGACTTGTCCATTATCACTGCCTGAGTACCTAGAAGGTAACTTTGTTGAATTTATTAGTCCTTGCTTATTGGTTTCCCTGTTTGTTGGATAATAATAGCCCGTGACAGCATCAGAAGTGAATGAATTTCCCAACATCGCACTATGAGTTGTGCTACTGGCTGTATAATTTCTATTGCTTGGTATACCATTATAGTTGACTTGTCCTAGATATGACGCATTATCCTGTTTTGCCGGAATTGAACTAATCGTGGAAGTACTCGTCAATGTCCCCATACTGTTATATCTAGACGTGAATAACTGATCGTCGACGCCTTTATCACTTGTTGTATTAGGGTAGCGGCTTTGTTGTGATGTCATATGAGTTAAATCAGAAGTCATTTTAGGAAACCTATCATTATTAGTAGAAACATTGTAAGCTGTTGTATCAGTAGTCGTTGTATCAGTACTTCCACTACTGGCTATTTGGTTGTTTCCGTTAGAATTGGCATGTGAGTAAGAGTAATCTGTAGCCAAATTATTTTGTGTAACCGTTTGAAACCCTGGACTGGAATTGAATGCATTTTGTAAAGGTTGAAAATAATTAGCATAAGCTGAAGCATCTTGAGGAGAGTTTACGTTCTTCTCATAGTTACCACTATAGCTTGACCCACTCATCCCATTTAGCATTGAACTGGCTATGTAGGTTTGACCACTCCCAAATTGTGTATGGGCTTTCCCCTGGCTCTGGTTCTGAACCTGATTCTGGTTCTGATTTTGAAACGCAGATTGATCCTGTGTACCCATGGATGTATTGTTTGCAAACCCATCTCCTTGATTGAAATTATAAAAGTAACTCATTTGGTATGAATGTTACAAAAAGGCAAATCAAAGAAGGGAGACTCTTGGCAGAGGTGAGAGTTGTTAATTGTGTGAAGAGCAGTAAGCAAGTTTATTGAACAACTGTAACTGAAGTTCAGTTTATTTGTATGATAGCTATTATCGTTCTGAGAAATTCCTGGAGTGTATAAAGCCAACACCACTATGTTATTTGTAGCGATACTTGGCCAATAGCAGACGTGATTAAAAAGATTAGACCTCTCAACAGTATCTTACAAGATCATATGTCTTGCCGCTAATTGATCTATGCAAAAGTTTGTGATGACTGTTTCAATCCTGAAATAAAAAAGGACAAGCACAAGAAAACAGTTAGCAGGCAGAACATTAACCAAATTAGAAACGGGAAAAAGTAGCCCAAGACTTGGCTGAAAACTTGCCCGCTATTTATACCTTAGTTTTCCAACAGAAGTGGAGTTCATGAGATCTGACAAGAGTTTTAGCGCCGAGCGCCAATTGTCCCCCCACAGATTTGCTTTCCGGGTAACGTTGTTTCATATTTACGTGGTATGTTACATCACCTGATATAACAGCAATATGGGTCCTTCAGCCTCTAGGAATGTTGTAATTACCAGGAGATAATATGCTAAAGTAAATATATTTTAAAGTCTCTTCTTGAGACTGTTTAATGGAATAAATGCTTTACAATACTAGACTATAGCTTTTCACTGGATATGCAGTACGTAATGATACTAATAACTATATATTCGAGCACTTTAGAAAGTACCTTCAACTTGATCAGGTCCTGGAGTAAAATAGCATGTAACTGTTCTTCATCATTTCTTCAAAATTGTTGCTTACAACTATTTTCTCATCATTGTAAAGAACCCAAGTGGGTTTGCCGTCTACCATTTTCCTAATGAAAGCCACATAGTGGCCTGAGTGAACTGAGTTACCCTTGTGGCAGATGATTGCAGATAGTTCGTAAGGCTTGGCATCATGGTGGCCGTAAGTCTTCGAAGTGTCGCTCTGCTCTTTCAATTCTTCTATTTCGCCATCGTCATCCATGTTGTTGAACACCCAATCAACACTACGAGTGACATCATGGTTATTTAAAATTAGAGCCTTTCTACATAATTTTGGATCAAGTCCCATTCCGACCATCATAGATATGTGCTCAGGGTTGACATCATTCTTAGCCTTCTTAGGTGGTATAAACTCCGCGTTAACGTCTGCATCTTCAATATGCCCAAAAAGCCAGTTCATTGCCAATTCAGGGTCTTTGTTGCCAGTATGGTACAAGGCTCTCACGCAGGCATTTTCAGTAAAACCCATTTCCATAAGTTGATTAACAAATGTTTCGTTAACTTCAAATTGAATTTCGTCATTATCATCATTTAATTGAGTTTCTGTGTCCTTTTGCAAACCATTTCCTTTATATTGAGTTAATTCCAAAACTTCAGTAGGAGTTTCAAGACCCGGAATGGTCAATAGATTACTAGTTTTGACAGGAGTCCAATTCTCGATCTTTATCCTGATAGGGTTGATGACTAAAGTATCAGGAAAGGTCCTCATTGCAGGCTTCTTTACAGCATTTACCATTTTCTTACAATTTGGACATTTAAATTCAATAACTTCGCCAGAAAAATATGCATTTATTCTTTCTTCTAGATCTTGTGCATCATTGCTCTCTTGAAGTGGTAATTGGATTACATTTGAGGTTTCTGTGCTGTACTTAACACCATGACACTCTTGGCATTGTAGCCGATCCTCCATCATAAATTTCATTAAATCATTAGGGTTGTAGTCGGAGTTTTTAAATAATTTTTTATCCAGTTCGTCAACAAAGTAAGTAAAGAATTCTAAAGCATCCTGTTGTCTTCCAGAGCTGAATTCTTCGTGACTGCCACCAATGCATTTTTTGAATGACTTTGGCCTGATACCTTGCTTGTAAATAGTTGGCTCTTCTTTCAAAGCAGTTCTCAATTTTGTCAATTGGGATTTCAAATTATTGGCAGGATAAACAACATTTAAAGAAGGTGAATTACCTAGCATGTCAGTATCCCAGCCTTTGACACCCCCATTAAATAGGCATTGAAGAGTAGAATTCAAATAGCAGGAATTTCCTAAATTAATAAGCCCACAGCCAAGTTCCTGACTTGCGTTGAGTTGTTTTAATTGCTGTCCCTTTTCATCTACCATTTTAAAATCCCAATTCATATTCTGTTCAACCTGCAATTCAACCAAGGTTTTCTCATCGGCTGATTTCTTGTCCATATCAATCCCATATTTAGCCAAAGTTGTTTTCAGTACTTGTAAGTCATTGAATTTTACTTCATCATCACATGCATAACAATACAAGTCGAAGGAGGAACTACTCAAAGAGCCTAGTTTGATCGCTAAGCAGTGATCATTTTTTGACTTAAAGTGCTCGAGTGCATGGGAATGCCCCTCAATACCAACTTGTTCTCTACCACAGCCTAAGTTTCCACAATAAAGACAAATCCACAAATTTTGAGTCAATTCGCAACTCGAGCAGTGTGTTTCTAAGGGTTTCTCTTGTACATTGGCAAACGAGAAACTATCGACATGCTTGCATGGCTTAATATCTAGCTCCCAAACGTTGGCTTGATCAGCCAAGTCTTGAGATTTTGCATTCAAGACATGATCCACCTTTTCTGTCTGTGCAGCATTGGCTTCATTGGATTTTAAAACTATATGAGGTGAACTTTGAGAGGATTCAAAATGTAAAAGACTCCAAACGTCATTGTAGTCCTCATCTCTTGATTTCTCTATAACTTGTAATTTGATCTTTTTACTAGAGTTGGTATCTTCATCTTCTTCACCATCCAGCATGTCTTCATATTTCCTTACTTTTGCCACATTTAAGTAATCAAAATGCTGTGCATCATTATGTTTGCCGACTTCAATGTGGAAAGGTGTGTGTCTGGGACAAACAGCTTGGAAGCAAACTAAGCAAATGTTAAGTGTATGGGCAGCCTTCGTGGAGTCCGTGAGCTGTTGCTCTTTACTTCCTGGCTTTTCGGGGTTATAGGGCGTCTCGAAACAATAAATACATTCTTCTTTTGCAATGATAGCTGGTACTTCCAGACCTTGCAAGATTTGATCAGACATTCCTTAGTACTATCTTGTTGCTGATATTATTTTACAACAAAGTCTCCACTAACAACTTTATATAGACGTTGTTGTAATCTCATCGTTTATATGAAAAGTTTCAAGGGCAATTTTAAGAGGAAGATGAGGTAGACCAACGAAACAAATGATATGAGAAGAAATTCTTCGAAATAAATCTATATGTTGAGAAAAGTTCTAAAATAATGTACAGAAGTGTATTTATAAAATCGTAATATACCGTAACAATGTTGAATTCTGTATAATAAAATAACGGCTGGAGGAAAAACCCTACGTAATTTACTCCATGAAGTTGGGCACGCACAATATGAAATAAAACCGATTTGAATGAATGCATAGTTGTTATGAGAGAAAAAATAACCATGGCCTAAAAATGAAAAGTTAGAAGAACAACAATAAGTTGTCTTATCTAAAATTAGTAGTGCCAATATGCTTAGTTGCACAGACCCTATAGGAAGAAGCAGTATTTGACAATTCCAAATAGGGATAAGCTGAAAATCATCAAAAAGAAGGTATGTAAGCAGAATGCATCAAAAGATGTCATTAGATAGTATGGCATGTGGATATAGTACATCCAGTATATTCTGTCCATGAAGTCCTCGACGCGGTGCATCATCGTAATACCTTTACCTTCCAACTCCCTCCTTTCCTTCAACGTGAGCACGTATCTCATTGTGCTTTTCTTATCGTTACCAGTAGACATTGCTTATGATATTCAGTTATGGTTTATAATTATAGGGATTCCTAAGGCACAATTCCAGCTAATCAATCTAATTGCAGACCTTCTAGCTCTTGCTATTTTAATAGGAACAATAGTTAAATCCACTGTTTCTCAAATTTAACGCTCTCAGCAGTTGGTAAAACGCTTTCTAAAACTATTAAACGCCATATGGAGCACACTCAGACTCATCTTATGCTAGCAATATTCTGATTATGAATTTCCATTGTTAGTGTCTCGAGAAGAAAGAAGACACGACGCGGTCGCTAGTGAGCATCGTGAACATCATAAATTCAGGAAAAATGGGCTGAGCAAAAACCAAATACTCGATCGTTCATTATGATTTAGTTACTTCGGTAGTATAAAGGACCAACTTGATCAAGAGTATTGGCTATAGGTACAATGAAAAAATAGGTAGCTTGTTTCTCACTTGAACATAGAGAATAGAGATTTTCTCTTGCCTGTTTCGTGACCACTGTTTGAGCGCGACATGGCGTCCCTTCTTGCACGCTCCAAATCGAGCGATTGTCTTGCCTTTGCGAAAGACCTCTTCATCTCAAACTTGTTCGACGTGCTGATGTTTATGCTACTATTGCTGCCGTTACTTGAAGTATATTCCTCTAATCCGTGAGAGCGTGAACGGCTTTTGCTATCCCTGGGCTCAATGTGGCGTTGCCTTTGTCTGTCTAATGATGTTCTGGCATTTGTAGATTGAGAAATTACTTTTGAACTTTGGCTTCGAGGCAGTGTATTTGATGGTGGTAAAGACTTTATGGTATCTTCTACTGATTCTTCGCTCATAGATCCCTTAATTCCAGGTCGGTGTGTGTTCTTGTTGTGTAGCAAGTTGTTCTTACCGGCTTCTGAGTTAAAATGTACCTCTTGGACGCTAAGATCCAACGACCGTCTACCATTTTTCTGCTGCTTATCAGTATCTTTTACCTTAGACTGGATAGGCTTTTGTGCAAGTTTGGTCTGTCTTTGATTACCAAATGGATAATGCATTTTCAATCGATTAGTAACATCAAGGTCAACACTTTCACTAGATAACAGACTGCTATCCACGTCGTTTCCGTTACTTGAATCAGCAATAGATGCTTCTGAAATGTCCATCTCGTTTAACTGTAAATCAAGCACTTGTGGAGCATGGGTTTTTACGTTTGATAGTTCCTTTTGAGGTGATGAGGTTCTTTTAATGTCTCTCGGAGGTGAAATATCGATCAACAACTGTTCATTTTGGACCTCTTGTGGTGTTGTGTTGATATATGCATTTTGCTGACTAGGTTGTTCATGATAAACTTGGTCATATTTTTGCATTTGTTTTTGTGGTGCTTCATAAGATTGTTGCATCATTTGTGGCCTTGGAGGAAATGGTATGTAATTCGACCCAGCGTTAGGAAGAGGAACCTTGTTATGAAATCCTTGATTACTTGGAACTCCAGAATTATTAACAACTCCTTGGCTTATTGGAATGTTATGCTGATTGATAGGATTAGTTACATCGAAGTTCACTGACATATTTGTTCCTGGAACAAAATTCATCTTAGTATTTGAGAATTGAGAAACGTTCTGTGGACGTCCTGCACTCTGTCCAATACCTGTATCTTGTATTCTATTTGTGTCATTTACAGGATTATTATATTCAAAATTTTTGGGTTGAGATGGTATATTATTCGCCTGTATCCCCCCATAATTCCCTTTAACAGGTGCTGTAGTATTGTTAGCATCGTAATTATTATGTTTATTGTTTAAAGATTCGGTGCTTCTTTGTCTGTCTCCCGCCATAAATGGAAAAGGATTGTTAGATTTATGGTTCTGTGACTTTAGATATCCAACCATTTTAGGGCCTTCGGTCGCGTCAGCACCAACAAATCCAGCAGAAGGAACATGTGAGGAGCTTTTCATTGATTTACCACTGGAAGAAAAGGAGCTGATACTTTTTTGTCTTTCTGGATTAGAGCTGTTCATATTTCCGCCACTGTTATTAATAATCTGATTCTTAACTACATTGTCCTGAGCTTTTTGTTGTTTGAATTCCTTGTCTAAATATGTGTTCAGTTCATTGACACTAGGAAAGTAAGGTTCGCCTGATTCATCGTGAGATTCCGGATCTGTCTCCTTACTGAATTCCTTATTTGATGTTTGTGAGAATGTCTTTTCAATTGTGTTACTAGATGTGCGGACACTTTTTTGTGAGATATTATCTGATGCCTGTCTTGAATTAATACTCTCGTGCATAGATCTTCTTTTATTGTTCACATCCAGGTGTTGATCTTGAATACTTGGTGAGTTCAAGCCAATCTCTAATGTGGGCTGTTTTTCACTTAACCTCGGATTTGGTATCTTTGGTATCATCTCAAAAGTTTTTATGTACAGTTCATCCAAAACCAATCCGTCTTCTTTAGAAAGTTTGGACTTGCTTGAGACCACCTTATTTTGCAAGTAGTTTATTTGATTCTGGATTGTCTGCACTTTACTTTGAAATTTTGTGTACAAGTCGAAGTTATATGGACCAAGCCCGTATCTATCTTCGATCGGTACAGGAAGATTCATAATTGAGCAAATATGATAAACAACTTGGAAAATATTTGGCCTCAGGTTTGGATTCTCCGCGAGCATGATAATAATCAAGTTGATAATCTTTGATGAATATTTGTTTGGGGGGAAATCATATTTCGAATGAAGTATTGCCATTTGGCCTGTTATCTCAAATGGAGTAGTATAAAATAATAACTTGTATAGGAATATCCCAAGGGCCCAAATATCAGATTTTTCATTAATTGGTAAGTATCGATAGAGATCAATCATTTCTGGTGCTCGGTATTGCGGAGTTGTGTGTACATAAATATTCTGAGTCATCATCGCTATATCTTGGTTAGACATCATTGGTGGGGAACACTGAGATGTTGATCCCATATCGCATAATTTGAAGTTATTATTCGCATCTACTAAAACGTTTTCAATCTTTATATCTCGATGTATTAATGGTTGATCTAAGTAATGCATATTAGATATACCAATTGAAACATCATACATTATCTTCAAAATTTCACTCTCTGACAATTTTGTTTTTAGTCTTTGATTCATGTAATCTAAAAGAGACTTATTTGGACAAAGTTCCATCAATAGTAATACTTCAAACCCTGGTTTACCATCTGTTCTTCTTGATGCGTTTGAATCAAAATACTGCACAATATTTGGCGAGCTTTTCAATTTCTTCATAACTTCAACCTCATTTCTCATCTCGTTCAAACCCATTTCATCATTTACAATAACTCTCTTCAAACATGCTATATCTCCTACAGTTATGGCCGATTTTGAACCCAATGACTCGAACTCATTCAAATATTCAACAAATTTCACAACATATATTTGGGCGAAGCCACCTTCGGCTAAGTAGCTAACAATTTCTACTCGATGGGCGCCAACAGAAATCATCTGCCCATTAGGATATTTCTCCTCATTTGGTGAGTTCAGTGAAGTCATGCTCCTACTATTTGGCCTTTCCATTGTGTATAATATCAGTGTCAAACTCCCCCTTTTCTGATATCTTATGTTCTCCTTAAATTTTTAAATCAAATATAGTGTTCTTAATTTCCGCTAGTATATTTCACACAATTCACTTCCATGTACTATGCTAGGAATTAGTTATAGTGCCAGTTGAGACCGATTGAACCCAGGTGTTGCCAGTAATATAGATATAATGCGGGACAAAATTATTGTTGGGCCAATTAATGAGAAAATTCAATATACAGAAAACAGAATTGACAAGTCAATTGAATTACAGGATATTAAAACTAGTCTCTTAGGATAAAAATACATCCATTCAACACAAATAAAATACTGCTATTATCTACAGCTTTGTTCGCTACCCTTTTCTTATTAGGGCTTCAATCGTGATCGCCTGACAATTTCGGGCTTAGCTCATCGCGTGCCTCATACAGAAGAGCACCGAGGAATAGATATCAGTTGTTAAACCGATGCTACTCTTATATCAATGCTGTAAACACAGTATGGTATAAAGTCAATGCTATCTATATTGTTACAAGCTGCCTATTCAATTCTATATATGAGTATTTACTTTGTCTATGTTGAAGTAGATGGAAACATGTTGATTTGTAGAGAGGTTACGGTACCTCTAATAAAATCATTCCTCATAGAGTATTTCTTGAAGCCTTTTCATCTCTGCGTATGTGTATGGTACCCATACAAACTCTGTGCCAACTGTATTCTTTGATACTGATGCCATCTTATGCTCTATAAATTCTGTTAGCATTGATCTCAGAGCCATTTCATTTGACGCAATAAAATCTGCTGCACATAAATGTACTAATTGTTTAAATTCAACACCCATTGACATGGTACCACGCTTAGATGCAGCCACTTTACCAGTACTCTTCGTTGTACTAACTTTCTCCATGTGCTGCAATTGCGTTTCTATTAGAAGCTTATACATTTTTTTGGAATTTAGTGTCAAAGATTGCAAGACATACTTAGCACCTTCTGCACCAGTACTGTTCTCTGATTTACCAAGACGCATCACATCTTGGAATGATGACTCTGCTTCGTATGGCGCATAATTAGTCACATCGTGGAACACAAAGTTATAGTTTTGGGCACGCAGATTGTCCCAGAGAAATGGTGCATATATATGGTCTGCTGATGCTACTATTGCAACTTGCCGTATCAAAGAAAGAAAACTTAAAATGGTAGGAGAATCACCACGTCTAATGTTGGGACCATCGATGTTATGAATTGCCACAATAAGCTTTATGTCCAAGGGTTTATCTTTGTAATAGTCAATTAATTTCTGAATGTTCATTATAACATGATTACCCCAAAACTTTGATTCACTCTGAGTTAATTCAGCCGGTGTTAGTAGGCTCAATATATCCTTAAATACATCTCTATAGTTACAAGTAGGGTTGTAACCATTTACAACCACGACGGGTATACCTTCGAATTTCGATTTTTTACCGTTATAAGTCGGAACTTCAATTGCTTGTGATAATGCAAGTTTTGGCGAAAGATACTTGAATACAAAGTCCTCAAGAAATACCTTCTTTGATCCAATACCGTAGAATAGAAGTGAGAATCCTTGTATTACTTCAAACCAATACTGTGGGTATAGCTTCTTCTGTATAATGTATAAATGATCTCTCAGATTTTTATGAAGATTGCGGTGAAAGATATTACTTATCAACCCAAACTCCTCTCTAGTTACGTGTGGAGCCATTGTAATCGAGTTTTTAGAAACTTTTACTCCTCTAACTGACCGTTTCTGTTCAAAGTATCCTTCAAATGTGTCTGTAAAAGACGTTACGGCCCTATTCGCTTTTAATTTCTCCACATCAGCAGGTCGCGGTACTTGTGTATTAACAAAGTCTCTACTGAGCTTTAGTTTGTCAGCCAGATCACTCTTTTTGTATTCGTTCAGATTATTCATTATAACCTTCTTTAGCGGAGAGGTAAAATCGTGCTCTTTAGATAAGTTAACTTTCCTTCTTTTTCTAGGCGTCTGCAATTGAACCAGATTCTCCTCATCTGAAGTTAGTTCCGGCGTCTCATACTCACCAGCCGACTCGACCTTGATCTTATCTCCGATCTCCCTAGGAGAGGTACCATTTTCCTTAATTGCCAAATCCTCATTTTCTTTTAGACTCTCCTTCTTAGGTGTTTCAGGTGGAGACATCAGCCAAAAATAATCAATTCGTTAAAGCACTTGTATAATCAATTAAAGCTAGCCTTCTGAGATAGTGGAGAAATATTTGTCACTGTCTATGTTATAACTCACTAGGTGCTCAGTTTTTATGAACAAGCTTCCTTTGTGAATGAATAGTTATGGGATAAGCCTAAAGCTGGTAAATTCAAGTAGCTTAAATTATTATATGCAGGCTGCTGGTCTTGCTTGACTTGTTTGCGTTAACTATTAGAGAACAAAGAACAACCATTGTTCTCTACTGTTTACTCTTTCTTGATCCATAGTCTTGGAATTTTTCCAAAATTGACAAAATAAGGTGATCATCGCCGAAATTGGTGCTAAAGAAGCATTTTTGATGGCAAATTGAATAAAATATATAACGCATTATATAGATATGCTATTCTGTTGTAAGTCTTATACAACAATTACTATGGTCTATATGTTTCTAGTTAACTTTCCGTCTCTTTTCAGCTCCAAGGCCCTCTTGTAAGGTGGGTTGGTTGGGGCCTGTACGGGGTCTAATGCGACACCATACTTCGGAAGGTCATGATATGTGGCATCTGAGTCGTAGCTCGATAACGATCCGCATGCCATAAAATCTGCAATTGACCTAGGCTGGTCTTTCCATGGTTGTAACGTGTCGTCAATCGATAATTTTCCAAGGTCACAGGTTGCGAAGAACTCTGTGACAGATGAGTTCACATCAAGTTTAGGTTCCCAGCCAGCTGGTGGATTGTATCCTATACAGACAATGAATGCCTCTAGTGAGGTACCTCTTGATGATCTGGGCTTGGCACAAACTATCTTCTCGAATAGATAACCTAATTGTGAGTATAACATATCAATGTCTCTGCCTCTGAAAATCTTCGCAACAAATGTACCTCCTCTTTTCAGAACACAAGTAGTTAGTTGTAAGGCGCTCATGATTAATTGATGTTGAATATATTCATCAAGATCATGCAAACCTGTAACATCTGGTGCACCATCACTACAGACAAAATCAGCCTTCTGATTTCCGAAGAGCTCATATATCCTCTCTAGTGTTCTTGGGTGGGTAATATCTGCTTGTAATGTTATAACATGATCTATTGGTGACATAGGTTGCAAATCAACGGCGATGATCTTACGGTCATCTTCTTGACCATCTGCCACTGGCTCTCTTTCAGCAAATAGCTTCCGCGAGAGCACCTGCGACCATGAGCCAGGAGCTGCACAAAGATCAACAACACGCTTCAGCTCTGGATCATCTAGAAAGTGGAACTCCTCATTCAACTGAAGCAATTTGTAGGCAGATCTTGCTCTATAACCTTCTTCTTTGGCTTTTCTGTAATACAGGTCCCTCTTGTCTTTACTACTTTTACCCATAGCGTTTGTCTGTAACCTCGAATTGTATTTCGAATTTTTTTCTTGCCAATTCTGTCAGTCGTTCTTGCTCTCAATTGCTATTGATCTAATATTACTTATGATAATTTTACTTCAAGACCATTGTTACAATCAAAGCTAGCGATGAGCTTGACAAAGTCATCGCAAATACATAATTTCAAAATTTTTCAAAATTTTTCAAAATGTTTGATCAATGAGCTTACAGAATACAGTTATTTATGATACTAATTGCAGTGTACACACTCATCTCTTAACAATGGATTCATAACTATTTTTTGGTTAAAAGTGGATTAGCCGTACATACCCCAGTCCTCCTCCAGTTCTACTTTGCTCGTGTCCAACTCTGGTAGCTCTTTCTTGTGCGTGACGTCGTCCCTACACATCGGGCAAGTAGTGTTCTTGGTTAGCCACATAGACACACACTCGAAGTCAAATTTGTGACCGCAATGTGGCAGTTCAACTACTAATGGGTACTCGTCGGCTATGAAGTTTGAGCAACAGATTGGACATGTGTCATCAGATTTGAGCTTTTTCTGCGGAATTCTGGGCAGAGAATCGATAAAAGTATCTGAGCAGCCTTGCTTGCTTGCAGAATCCATCGATTGCATCAATTGCTCTTGTAGATCCTCAGGCATTAATTGAGACAATAATTGTAGTAGCGTCGTAGTTGCTTCCCCGCCTCGCTCGGTGCCATCTCTATGGGTACCAGGTCCGTAAAACTGCTGGAATAGGGTTCTGAAATGATCTCTAACTTCCTGACGCCCTTCATCTGAGGACTCATTATTGTTTATATTATGCTCTTCTGTAGCATGTAGTTCACATCTAGATGATGGCAAGCCATGAGGCCTTTCACATCTGTTGCACATACTATTGTTAGTAACATTGTTTCTCTCGTAAATTGGTGGCGACAATCAACCAATGTCATAAAAGACCCATTCTTTCACATAAACAACATACCTTCATATGTAGACATTGTAACATATGACTATATCCAAGCTAATCGGTAGCCAATTTCTATATGCTATCTCGAGAAGTTGTGCTATTATTGCTTTCTAAAAAGTTAGTCATTACAGCTGAAATATGTGATTATAACACATTTTCGAAGGGCGTAAAGCACTATTTCAGTGACATGTTGGTAAAGGAGGATCACACTACCTTACCAGCCTAGTTATCATATAAATTAATCGATATATGCCCTCAACTTTACTATTTATGTTTGAAATATGAATGCAGTCTATATTTACAGATGTCATTGGGGGAGGCTCCTATTGGTGCCCCCCAGTGCGGAGAAATTTTACTAAGATTAGACCAATTGTGAACTAAATGAAATGTGATCAACTTTATATGGGAAGCCAATTGTATTGACTTAAGGTAACTGCTGGAGTATTGCTAGACTAATGCTGACTTTAATCTTACTTTGTCGATAAATTCCGCTCTTGAGTTCATAAAGTTGGATACTGTAGCCTTATTTGTATTATCAGAACCAAAGCTCTCCATTGTACCAATCTTCTCTATAGACTTAAGACATTTTAGAGCGGCAATCCAATCCTCATTTTTTACACAGCAGTCAAAGAAGCCAATATAGCTTTGTAATTCAAATACTTCCATGCCAAGTTTGAACCACTCCTTCGCCCGTCCATAGTCTCTAAAATAGTTCATTTCTAGAAAACCTAAAGATGTTAATGATTCTTTAAATCCCTGCGATGCAGCCTTCTCTAGAAGTATTCGGGATTTTAGAGGCTCTGAACTCATATATATTTGGGCGGCCAAGAAATACCATCGCACTGAATCCTCGACTGAAGTAAGTTCCAAACATTTTTGCCAATATTCCTCTGCTTTGGTCATGTTCGCCAAATATGTAAATTCTATCTCGCCTAATTTACCATAAACCTCACCTGTTAAGTCATCATTGCCGGTGAGTAAGTGGCCATTATCTTTGACAGCAATGTTTATGTATTTATTGTAAAAAGTGAGCGCTTCTTCCCAGTTATTAGCTTCGAGGGCGAGATCGCCTAACAATTTGATTGCAAGCAAGTGATTAATATTGTACAAGTCTTTGAAAAGTTTCTTCGCTATAGTTACTTCTTCATTATTTGCCTCAGCAGCGCTGTTAGTGCCCATGTTCTCTCTGATGGATCTAAATGACAAAATTGCGATGGCATCGTTATTCCCTAGCTCAGCAGCAAGTTCTAACAGCTTATCTTCCAGCTTTAGCATATCGGGTCGAGCATATCTAGTCCTGTTTCGTACTTTCTCCAGCACATTGCGCATTACAATCAAGTCAGAACCCTTGACTCCATCAAGTAACTTCTGCTGCTGCGGTACAGGAACACCATGGTATAATCCCACATAGATGGGATACAGTTTTTTATATGTGAGACGACTATTTAAATCAAATAGTAGTTTGTTTATGGTCTTCTTCTTGGGAAAATGCTCCATAAACTTTTTAGAAACTTCCAGAGTTCCCAAAACATCTGGTTTCTTCTTCAGAAACTGACTAACAAAAGACATGAAGATGTATCCTTAATATAATAAACCTCTGTTTCAATTTCAGTCTTATACTTTCTGTTTTCTCAACTTGTGTTTGACATCGTTCCATCAAGAAGAGTATTGTTCATTGTCTGTTAAGGAATTCAATTCGATGTTTTAAGGCCGAAATTAAGGAATTGTGGCAGATCATGCTGAAAGTGGTCAATCTATTATATTATTAAATTTGGTTCGTTAGTTGGTCAAAAATTACATAGGATCATCCTAATTAGTGTACTTTATTTACGATTTATCTATATAATTATTCCTTTCTAGTTATGTCAATTGTAGCAGGATCTGATGGTCTTGGTAGTTCTTTGAAATATTCACTCTCGAGGCATTGAGCTGTGCTCCAACGCTTTGCTGGGTTTAAGCACATCATACCGTTCATGAAATTTAAGGCGTTTTCCGTTGCAGCAATAAACCTTTTCCGCAGTTCATCTCTAGAAGGTGGTGGATACATTTGTAACTTGTTGTAAGAGTTAAATGACGATACTTCCGGCCAATCCTTGTCTGTAGGTGTTCCCAGGGCCCTAAATGTAACCTCCATTTGCTCAAGATCATTTTGGCCTGGTAGATACGGTATTCTTAACATAAGTTCTGCAAATATGACACCCAAAGACCACACGTCGATGGCGGATGTGTAATGCTTTGCACCAAAGAGAAGCTCAGGTGCTCGATACCACCTGGTCACCACATTAGATGTCAGAACTTCATGCGGAGATGGTACAGCACGCGCTAGACCAAAATCCGCTACTTTTATTTGACCATCCGGGGCAATCAATAAGTTATTAGGCTTCAAATCACGATGCAGTATGAAATTCCTGTGGCAATGATGGACACCACGTACACTCATAAGCATCCAGGACTTGATGTCCGCTGGAGTGAATAGTATTGATTTGTCCTTGATGACCACTTCTAGATCAGTTGGTAAGTATTCCAATACCAGGTTCAAATTGCCATACGACATGAATATATCAACTAGTTCGATGACGTTGACATGTTGCATCTCCTGTAAGTACTTCACCTCACGGATTGCCGACATATCTAGACCGTCCTTGAATTCTGAGGTCTTGATTTCCTTCACAGCAATTCGGCGTCCTGTGCTCTGCTTGGTACCAACATACACAACGGCATATGTACCTTCACCAACCTTCTTCTCCTTTGTATACTCTGCACGCTCCATTTTAACACTGATCTTTTCACAACAATATTAAAAAGCAAGTATATTCCATACGTGGATAATCTTCCCACTCTTTAAGCTTCTGATACTGCCTGATTACCAATAATAAGCACTACTTGCATTTTCGCAATCTTGAAGCTTTTCAACCTCATCGCTTCTTGAGGAAATCGATGATTATCGCATAAAATTGGTGGTCAACAACCCAGTCAATCAGAAAACTATTTTTGTCAGTTGCTCTGATTATTAGTCTTCGATTGTTAAGTTTGCATGGCATATTCTTATGTTGCGCAGGTTTATTGTTTGAGAAGTTTAAAAGGCTACACAGTGTATCAAGCGTCTAAGACATGATTCACGTTAGAGGAGCATTAGCAATTGGGGAAACAAGTCGCTTCCTCATTGAAGTCAATTCTAATATCGATGGGCCAGTATTTGTTAGGTTACGTAACCGAACGAAGGCTACGCGAAGAGCTACGTATCTGTTAGGCCCGTTCGTATTATACTGCGATTCAAGACCAGTCATACCCGCCAATCAGAATGAGTACGTCCCTCAATTTAAAGCCAACATTGAGCCACAAGGTAAGTTTACATTTCAGCTGAAACCTGAAGATGCAAGAGATGTGGGTGGTAAACGATGCTGGATCATCGATGTCGTCTCAGAAGTACTATTTAATCAAATTACAAAAGTCGATTATGAGCTCTTAATAAGTTTGGATATCAATAACTTTAAAAAATCCAAGTATCAACAGGATATATATGAATCTATTGAGGGGGATGTTGTTGCTAAGCAATACTCAAATCACGACATTCAGGAATTTATTGAAGTTGGCGCCAAAATAAAAAAATCCCAAACAAAAGAACGGAACCAGCATCTAGTAATTGTGACCCACGGAATGATTTCAAATGTTAGTAACGACATGATGTACATTATGGAGCAACTGCGAGCTATTGACAGAGATGATCTTGATGAGGAATTAATATTGGATGGCTATACAGGTAACGTTTGCAGAACAGAACTTGGTATAAAAAACCTAGGAATACGGCTGGCAAATTACATTGTGAAGGAGAGATATAATACCAACATAAAAAAGATATCTTTTATTGGTCACTCTCTTGGTGGCTTGGTACAGACTTTTGCTATTGCTTACATATATATCTTACATGGGTGGTTTTTTGATGCAGTAAAACCTGTTAATTTTATTTCCCTAGCTACCCCATTTCTAGGTCTCTACTCACATATTGGCAATTATACAAAAAGATTATTATCATCCGGTGCTCTTGGTCAAACGGGAGAAGATCTCAGATACCATAGTCACAACAAGCTAAAGAACTTTTCCATTCTTTATCTACTATCTGGTGATCCAGCACATAGTATTTTGCAAAAATTTGAAAGAAGAACTTTATATGCGAATGCAATCAACGATGGTATTGTTCCACTTGCTAGCTCAGCGTTACTATATTTGGATTATAGCAAAATTCTAAAGGATTCCAAATTACTAAAGAAAGAAACAGATGATATTCGGAGTATAGTTATGACATGGAAAGAATTCCAAGATTCTGAAGATTTCAAAGTATACAAGAAAGTCAATCCAAAAAGCAAGATTTTTAGAAGAGTTTCATTAACCAATACAGTCGGAAATCTAGTTTTACCAGAACCACCAAAAAACATTACAAGTGACATGAAAGTTCTTATTCATGACCAGGTATATCAATACAATGATATACCTGATTCCGAGTATTTCCCCCCAGATGGAATAGATGAAATCATGGCAATGGACAGACATCAATTACAGGAATGTATGGCTCGTAGATGGCATGCCGGAAAATCGTGGCGCAAAGTCATTGTGTGCTTAGAAGGCGATGCTCATAACAGTATTAATGTACGCAGACGTTATTCAAATTCTTGTGGATGGGCTGTCATATCACATATGATCTTAAACCATTTCATTAAGCCTCAGAAATGTGATGTTCCTGAAGCGGATATTGTATCTCAGCCGGCTTCTAGAGACGAGGCAGATATGGAGCCAAACAAAACGTATGCCTGGCTATTGAAAGAAGACAAAGAGAAAGGAGGTCTTATTAGAAGAGCAACCAATGCGTTGAATCCAATAGCTAGAAGGCTATAGTAGATGAAGAATACTACAATTTGTGTGACCGTCCATGAAATACATCTTGATAATTATGGTCACGTGATCGATCCTGGGGTTCATGCCTTTTACTCTATTTGTGAAGCAGAACAGTTCTAGCAAGTGAGTATGAATGCGAAGAGCACTGTCACCTTTCCTACCAGGTGGAGCAGTGCTTCACACTGCAGCAGTTGTGAAGCAATCTCTCCCTCTCCTCAATTGTCCTGAATGCATCACACCTCAGTGCATCTAACGGATAAACAAATACTAAAAGCGGGGTTTAGAGCACAATTTTGTAACGAGGGGGCATCGATTCCGAAGGGGTTATGCTTGTAAAGATATGATTCACAAAGTATATATAGTAGGTTCAAGTCGGTTAAGATAGCTCTTGTTGCTTACCCATTTCTCGGAAAGTGTAAAAACGAAATAGGTATCAAGCGTTGCACAGACAGACAATTTACGCCAAACGGTGAAATTACAAATTATTTCTATCATAACATAATATTGAGTGAGAGATGACTAGTGCTAGCGGAATGAAAAGGCCGGTCGATGTGGCCAATTTTAAAATAGCGATCAGGGATATGGGTGATGATGAGCTCGGCAGAGTGAAGCAAGAAGTTGAGAACAGTATCAGACACCTGACCCGGTCAAACGAGAGATTGCATCGATACATCAAGAAGTTGCAAGGGCATGCTGTAGAGTTGGAAGATGGTGAGGAGATGGATGAGAATTTGGGCTCGGACGACATTGAGTTGTTTCAGGAGTCTATTAGGGAGAACGAGCTGGTCTTGGATAACTCCCGGGAAAGATTAGAGGCTTTGCATGACGAGCTGGCGTATAGAAAAGCACAACATCCTGATGGCAAGTCCAACCCTGAGGGCAGCCTCGCAGAACGTAAACTGTCTGCCATTGACATGGACAACACAAACGTTGACGTCGCTGCACCAAATTCCATCTACTTGTAGTACAGAATCCGCAATCCCTTACAGCACTTCGCATGGTTACTTCTCCCACTAGCAGAGGATGATTAGAATCCTATTAGAGTTTCCTACATAAGCAATACACCAATAGTCATGCCCAAACTACGTACTATTATCATATTTAGTGCTGGTTTTGCTATTCTGTAAATTCATCCACAGAAAAAGCCGCAGAAAATTCTTACGTATTTCAGTTTTATAATTTTTTGCCAAAAAGAACGGCGAGCTCATCGCAAAATTTTTTTTATATAGAAGAAACGTTAGAAATAGTGAATATTGATGCGAATTTCGATTAGTAGTAGCTAGCCATTGAACAGAATCAACTCGTATCATATCAGAGCGTTGTATTATCTTTAGACATGGTTTTGTCAGTTACTGAGAAGGCGTTTTTAGCGGACTCTTTGAAAGCCGACCCCGTTATTAGGCCCGATGGTAGGGAAGCGTACCAGAACAGACCCATTGAATTGTTTGTGAATTTCCTTCCCAGTTCTAACGGTTCTTCCAGAATAATTGCTAGTGACGGTAGTGAATGTATTGTTAGTGTGAAGTCGAAGGTAGTAGACCACACCTTGGAAGATGAGTTGATTGAAGTGGATGTTGACATAGTGGGATACAGAGACGACTCCCTGTTGGTGGAGTCTACATCCTCGTTTCTGAAGAAGGCTTTGAGGTTGGGAGAAACAGTTGAGAGAAAGTCTTTGCAACTAACCACAAAATATAGTTTTAAGTTATACATTGATATCCTGGTGATATCGTGCAACTCTAACCCAACATCACTAATATCTTTTGGGATGTATACAGCATTAAAATCCACATACCTACCGAAACTAATATCCAGTTACGATGATTTACAAGTCGAGGAGCTTCCTACATTTCACGACTATGATTTAGTAAAACTTGAGATCGATCCACCAGTTGTTTTCCTATTGGCAATTGTCGGCGATAATATTATACTTGATCCTGCCGCAAATGAATGTGAAGTTGCAAATAACGGCTTATTATTGACTTGGTCAAATGGTAAAATAGTATCACCAGTTCGTACCATCGCTTTAAATGACACCCATTTAGAGGGATTTGATCAAAATATCATTAAACTGGCATATGAAATGGTCACGCAATATGCTCCGGAAATTGTACGAGCATTGGATCAGTAGTGTATGGAGGTCGAGAAATTTCTAACTATTTAACGAGCATATATCTATATAACTAGAATTATAAAATTATGGCATTTAAGATTAACATTCTATAGTATCTGTGCTGAATAAGAATGTACAATGACTGCTGTTGCTGTTTGGATGTTCATCGAGCGAATGACACCATGCTGTTTGATTTCTAGGCACAAGTCAAGCTCATTTAAAAGATGACCAGGTATACCATGGGCTTCTGTACCCAAAAGTATCAAACTCTTTGATGGAAACTTGAAGTTATTATCCAGCTTAATAGACTTATCAGTTTGTTCGAGTCCAATCAGCGTATATCCCTCTTTCTTTTTCTCTTTCATGAACTTGCTTATCTCATCAATTGGTACTTCCTCCATTGGCATCCATTTATCAGCAGTGACAGCGACATTCTTAAACTGAGGATGGTTCTTGACCCTCAAATCTTGAACTGTTAATAAGCCTACACCTAAAACATCACATAGTCTGCAAATACCACCTAGATTTGGAGGCTTGTCAACTAGTGAGGAGACCACAATTAACTCGGACCTTTTAATCATAGAGTTGGAACGTTTTTGATCGATGTCTAGTACAGTTTCCCACGCACCACTTTTAGTTTGTAGAGAATCAGATAAAGCATTTTGAGATGTAACATTTGGGTTAGATACATTCTTACTTTCTCTCTTGCTTAACCATTTATCATTCTCATCGATTCCGATAGGTATTGGAAGGTCTGTTGATTGCGGTATGTACTTCTCAAAGTCAGATTTTGATAAATAGGGTACTTCATGATCGATACATTTCATTAGTACACCACCAAATAGGCCAGTTAATGTACAGTCATCTACAAGATCCCATACATTAGCATCACCGGTTCTATATTGTCCAACGATTTGTGCTTCCTTAGAATTTTCATACAATTTTTGTAGAATTAACTTCAATGAGGAATCTTGTAAAACTTCTTTGAATTTTGGCCAGAAAGAAAGTATCAGAGAATTAGAAAAGTGTCTTACAAGGGGCTTATTTGAAGTACAGTTTGCAACTAGTAATGCTACAAATCTGTCCTGTAAAGTTGAGAAGTATTCGTTTTTAATATCAAATACCATGGCCTTGAGAGTAATGTAAATGATTTTCTCCACAGTGACCACAAGGATAGGTTTGCTATGATCATCAAAATGACTAAACAAATAGTTGGCTTGTTTGGTCAGCTTTTCAGATTCTTGATGAGCTAAAACATGTGCAATTGACCATTCCTTGCATATCCTTACTAATGGCGAACTCTCGTCTTCGATACTTGATAACATTTGTTCAAAGATGGACCACTCTATGGATTTGGCATCTGAAGTTACCACACATAATAAGATCAATTGCCACAACAATAGGCGTTCTAGACCTTCGACACCGTCAGTTCGCTTAACTGGGACTAAAGCTTTTGTTTGAGTTACTATGTATTTTACAATAGCATTCTTTGTTGTATTGTTGCAAAACAGTATGGCGGAAATTATATGCACTCTACAGGAATGCTCATCATCACCGTAAACTTGGTAGTACAAAGATTGTTGCAAACCAAAAAATGCTGATACATGGTTTTCATAGAACTTAGAAATAACAGGTTTTAATTTGAAAACGTTCTCGCCCATCTGGACGGTTTTGAATGCATTAACCATGATCGCAATCATCCATTCACACTTCAATAAAAGAGAGTTGTATGACATGAAGAACTCGTTGATTCTTTTTCCTAGATGAGGAAGTAATGACCGCCTTGAATATGCCTTAGAAATAATATCCAGTCCAATTTTTGATATTTTCGTCTCGTACTCACTATCAGTTGTTACTAATAGAAGAATATGAGGATGAAATAGCGTATCTATAAATGCTAAGTGCAAATCCCGTTCCTTCAAAATTAATCTTTCGCCGCTTATATTATCCCATATAGTTGACAATATAGTGATTATATGTTTACCTATTACAACTTGTTCATCATGTAGTTTGTTGGCGATAGGAATGAGATATGTCGATGTTAGTGTCTGGCAAATGGATACTGCACCTAGGTTGCCCAGATAATAGCCATTGTCGGTATTAACGTTACTTTCTAATATATTAAGAATATTGATAATATCATTTCTTTCCTGTCGTAATGGAGTGGTTTTTAAGTAAACAAATAGTAATTTGAAATAAGTATCATACAATGAATCTTTCATTTTATAGTCACTATCTGTTTTTTTGGCAGTATTAAACTTCTTTATGGATTCGTATATGTCACAAATATCAGTGAATGCAAAATCGACGACAATTGTACCATAATTTATCATATTCTGATACAAGGCAACAAAAAACTTAAACTTTTCAGGTTCGAAATTCTCTCTTAAAGAAACATATAATGATTGTACATTTAGATTGCTCCATATTCCTTGGTTAATGGTCTTTGCCCTAGTTAAAATATCACAATCTTTGGGATATTCATTCAATTCTTTTGCATCTAAAAGTCTTACCAGTTCTGTAGAAATGATACTGTTATCCTCGGGCTGAAGGTTATCCAATTTTATTAGTTGTTTGATTACATTAATATCTGTGCGAGGCCCTGAAATATCGAAGAGAGTTACAGCCACAGCATCAAATACAGAATCCACACCTAACGAGGGACTTAACTGCTCATCTACCAAAATTGGATTGAAGTTGATAACACAATGTTCTCTGAAATCTTCTACCAATGGCTTTACGTATTTAAAGTCACCACGTTGACATTTAATATGAGCAACAACTGATTGGACCAACTCAGCAGCGCTTATGGAATTGTTCCCATGCAGTAGTAACCTTAGGAGAATATGCTGTAAAGTGGTTTCAAAAACTTCCTCCTCACATTCAAATTCAAATAATCGACGAATCAATCTGAAGTGTTTACTTTGTAAAGATTTTGGAACTTGAGTATTTAGACAGTTCAAAATACCATAAGTAACATATATCCTTGCCGGATCAAAAGAGGTTCCTTGGTCTATTAACAACTCTAGTATTGAGGAAATGATTTCTGATTTAATGTTGGAGGCGAGAATAATACTTTTTATGAACTCTGATAGTTTATCACCGTAAGGGCATTCACAACCAATCACATTGAAAAAATGGGCGTTCATTAATGCGGGGATAAAAGATGTTCTGAGCACATTTAAATTGGCTGAGAAAACTGACATGTTCTTTATATCCAGCATAATATTAACGATGTATTTTCTGACACTTTCCATGGAAGCAGTCAAACCTGTGGAGAACAACAACAAACTCCAAGTTGGGGGTAAATTATCATCATTGAAAATGTCAATAATATCATTTCTAGCATCTTGTATTTGATTTAGTGCAGTATCTACTGCCACAATTTCATACAAAGTTGTAAATCTTTTCCAAGATTCTATTATCTTTACATTTTGTTGAGGATCCCACTTGAACATTTCATGTTCTAGTGGTTCACTGACCTTATCAACAATCTTTAAAATAGCGAGTTTGACAATAGATAGGCCTAGTTTTCTGTATTCATGTACTGTATGATTCAACGAGGAATGAATTAAGGTCCAAAACTCTTGAGTTTTAACAAATTGAACCCCCTGATCTGAAATACCCTCATTGGATAAAATTCTCAACAACAATGATAGGCACACTCTTTGCTTCCAGTCAATCTCATCTTTCTCTAAATTCATTAAGGTGATGACATGCCATAGGAACAGGTCAAATGATTGTGATTTTAATGATTGAGAAACTACAGATTGATGTGTCCATCTCATAAGTCTGGAGCAAGATGTAGCTATATTTTCAATATTGCAAGCTTGCAGGACAATTAATATTTTGTCTAACGCCACTAGTTCTAACGTCTGCAAACTTTCTTGTTTGAGGAATAGAAGTTCCAAAAATGCGAGGTAAGTTATGACTGTGGATGTTTCTTCTTGCTCCATGTCATGCTCCGCGATGGAACACTCACTTTCATATACTTTCTTCATCGCTTCAGAAAAGCATCTACCCATGTTGCATCTGATGTAGTTATCTAACATCACACTTATCTTCCGTTCAATTTTGACCCAAAGATCAGGCACCGATACCACAATTTTGGCGAATATATCCATATCTTCGGATAAATGCTCACAGCCGACATCTCTGTGTGCATTCTGTAGGTCTATCTCCTGAACTTCGTTATCAACCTTGGAAACAACTTTCTCAAATAGAGCTTCGACATGTGAACCACTCAATTGTTCATGGGCATCAATAACACCTACAAGTGCGCTAAAATTGTCCTGCTCTATTAGGTCATCGAGAAGCGAAACTCGTTGTTCAGCGTTCAAGTAACGCAGAACCACCAAACTTTCAGACATTGGCTATGAGGTCAAACTACACTGTGCTTCCTACCACTGAGGAAAAGAGCTAATGACTCACCATCTCCAAATACAAAATCTTGATGTACAATTAATATTTGCACTACTTCGAGCCAGTAAGCGATGAGATGAGCTCATCACTGCGAAGTGAAAAAGTTTTATCGTCAAGAGCGAGAACTTTGGAAATCGTGTCTTGCTGAAACTTTAAAGGGAACAAAGGAATGAGAGCCATAGTGCTGAGTAGCTACAACTGAGAGAAGTATAACTACAGGTAGTGTTTAGACTCTCGGTAGCTAATTATTCGAGTTGTAGTCTAGGTTTAATAGCTATACTGAAGGATTGCAGGTTCAATCTTTAGTTTGGGGAAGTGGCAAATTGAGGTCCGGGGATTAGGGATACATCAGCGCTAGAGTCTGTATTTATTGTATGGCTCTTAACTGTATAGGGCATAAGCGATACTAAGCTTTAGTTATTATAATACATTTTAGTGGACGGTTCGATTGTATCTAATAGAAAAAGGAACTAATTCAAATCTTTATTCACTAGTCATGGGTAGATCGAAACGTTCTAAGAAGAAAAGCTTGGCTCATCTACAATCTGATGGGAAGGATAAGCTAAGCAGTGAGGAAAACATCTCCAGAGGAAGTGAAGTAGAGGAGTCTCCCGAGAACTTTGAGGAAGCACAGGACTACGGCGATTCCCTGAAAGACACTGATGAACAGAGTGATTCTATCACAGCTATAAGATCAGTTACTGGTGGAACAGCTAGTACAATCACCGATCTTAACAATAAATTCAAGTCACAAGAGTTAGTAGATAATGAAAAAGTCGAGATCAATACTAAATCAACAGAGGAGGTCGGATGTAAGCCTAGCACGGATCATAGTACCGAGGCATTAGATGAAGGTCATGATACTGGTATTTCTAGTACCAACAAGGATGATAGTGACGTTAGGATAATAGGTGATGATAATGAAGATAGTGAGGCTATTGAAAGTGTAGATATTAAAGGTAAAGTTAGCAGTGGTATTAGCGATGCAGATGTTCTGAAACCACAAGAGGAATTAGTTCATACTGCAATTCTAGAGAATGATAATCCTTTTTATGACGCCAATAAGGAAATTTCTGGATCAAAAAAGCTTGATGAAAAGGTAAATAGCGTGGATAGTATGGCAGAAACGACTAAGGTCAATTCTGGTGATAGCAAGCAAAGGATGGGAGATTTAGTAGTGCGAAGAAGTGAAAATTTGCATAACCCAAATCTTGACTATGAAGAGGAAGATGAAATACTTGTATCAAATACAGATACGAATAAACATTCGAAGGAATCAAGCTCAGCCTTGAACAACGCTAATATGAAATCTTTTGGTAACGCTGTTAAAAGTTACACCAAGAAATCTGGGAAGCATGTAAGAATATTGGAGGCCAAGAAAGTTTCTGAGGGTCAAAGTAGAACTTTTGTCGCATATTTCATAAAATACAATGGCCACATGGTGAGGAGAAGATATAGTGATTTCGAGAGCCTACGATCCATATTAGTAAAGTTATTCCCTCTAATGGTTATACCACCAATACCAGAAAAGGAAGGTTTGAAATCCTACAGTAAGGCTATTGCTGGTTTAAAGCACGCCAAATATATTCTTCCTTCGGAACAGACCGATTCGGTTGATTTATCCCTTTCAATAATAGATCAGTCAGTAAGTGACAAAGAAGAGAATATAATAAGACACAGAGTTAGAATTCTAACAAAATTTCTGAATAGGTTACTTGATAATACTGACATCTCATCTACATCACTCATCGAGGACTTTCTTAACCCTAATAATTCAAATTGGAATGATTTTGTTACCAGCTCAGCCACATTTTCTATGTTACCTAGAAATCGACTGCAAGCAAATCCAGTGGATCCTACTAATACGACTAGAGTTCATGCCTGTCTTCCTATACCCAATACCAGTGTAGCATTAGGTAAACGTGATCCGGAACTTTTTGTGAGTGGCAACGAAAATGATGATACCGATGGTTATATTCTTCTAGAAAAGGAGCATAAAAGATATGAATCCATTGTTAATAATACTTACAAATACAATAGGAGAATAACAAAGAACTTCAACGAAATGAAGCATGATTATGATGATCTTGCGGCTGCCTTTGCAGAGTTATCAAATCTAGATATATCATCCAATCCGAAGCATGTAGATTTCTGTGCTACTTTTGATAAGTCTTCTATTGCAATGCAAGCATTGGTGAGTAACTTATACTATAATATTGATGAGCCACTCAATGAAGCTATTTATAATACTAATGCTGTGACTGAATTGTTGATGTTTAGGAAGCTCAAGGCCGTACAACTATATAAAGTAGAAAAATCATTGGTTGGGAAAGTTCATGAATTACAAAAGTTAGAAAAAGGTGAAAACAAAATAGAGTCCGAGCCTAACCAGGAAAGTTTGACTTCAGCTAGACGCCTATCTCCCATTCCTGCCCCTCAAAAATTAGGTGGATCGTTTTTCAATAAAATATCAGAGATAGCAAATAAGGTTAAAGAATCGGTAAGTTATCAAGAGCTAGATGTAGAAACACAGATATCAAATTTGAGGAAAGAAATTGAAAGGTTAAAGGAGACGTCTGCAGTCACGACGAAGGATATGGAGGTTATCAATGACACAATTTGTAAAGAGGAAGTGCCGAAAGCTCTCAAATGTGGTGAAAAAGAACTTGAAGATATACTTGCCAGTTACGCTTCATATATGAAAACATACGCTAAGCAAAATCTGGAATATTGGAAAAGCATTCAAGAGGCACGTTAATTCTTGGAGTTTAATAAATGAGAAAAATTTACCTTTAGACTATATAACTGGTTATATGATGTCGTTATAGTATATATCATTCGCCTAAAGATAAAATATGATTAAATAATCACAGTTGCAAGAAGAGAATATTTTGGCGCTCTAGATTATAGTATTGTTGAGACTAACATTACAGCATTTTTTTTTTAAGCTTGGTAACCCTATTCATCCCGCTAAGGTTCTTGAGAAGGTCCAAATACGATTGATTAAGTATTTTTATATAGGGAATTAAGCCAGAATAGTATGGTCTTCTCAGTGTAGAGGATATTTTACTATCTACAGTTTTTATAATCTCAGTTGCAAGTTCATTAGGTGGTAGGTCTGGAGCTAGAAACTTTGAAGGCGTGTCAACATCCTTAAACATGGTTGTAGATATTTTACCTGGGCATACTAAAATTGCTTTCAGTCCTCTTCGATTGTATGCATACGAATTATGTGCATTGATCTGTTGATTTAAATAATTGTGTAATTCAATTAATCCACCTTTTGTAGCGCCATAGACAATGAGACGAGAAGGTGTCAATTCACCTAAGACAGAAGCAATATTGATTATGCATCCATTTTTAGTGTATAACATTTCAGGTACAAACATGGACACTAAGTGGTACGATGCAATTAAGTTTACATTTATGACTCTTTGAATCTCTGCCTCAGTCATATCAGTCAATTGTTTGATGATCGTAATAGCTGCATTGTTCACCAAAATATTAACTTTACCAAAGTCTAGTAGAACTTTCTTTTTCATATGAGCAACCTGAAATGAGTCTGTGATATCACAACGATAGTGTATTATATTTGGGTACTGTTTCACAAGCTGCTTTTTTGGTGGTACTACGTCAACAATAGCAACAATGACACTCTTATACCGCTGTACCAACGCAATGGCAATCTCAAGACCTAACCCGCCACTACCGCCAGTAATCAACGCTACTAGAGTTTTTTCCTTATAGGTATCATAATCTAAATTAGTTGTTGGTTTTTTTTTAGCAAGTATCCTACTTTTAATATCAAGTATTCGATGCATATTAGCCCTCCACAATCTTCCAATATCTTCTGTGATGTCCATTTCATTTACCCAATAAAGACCCACTGGATGCACACCGCACTATATCACCAAGACTTGTAAGTAGCTATATGACTCTAATACCAAGAAATAATAGTCATCTCTTATGGTGACTACCGAATCGAGATTTTATGGATTTGATTTTGTGTTCCAATTGTGAAACTAGGAAATAATTACTATCACAACGAGAAAATATCAAAATACTACGCACTTTTTTTCAGAACTTAGCTGTAAATTCGAGATGTTTTAGCCGCATTTACAGTTTATGATTTCATATTATCACTACTGTCCAATTAAAGTCTATATTTCACATAAATATGGCCATTTAGTCAAACCTTTGATACCTTTTTGCGTAGCTCACCGTACTGAACAACGACGGACAAACAAGGCCATCACCAGGTCTAAGAGCTCATCGCATCGAAGGGGTTTGGATTATACAAAACTATTGATATATGCCTTGATTGCCCGAACCAAATAGTAAATTCGAATAGGATCGTTATCATACAAGCTAGCTAGGAGTGCTGAGATTGAGATGGGGAAGCGACCGGAGTTCATACGGTTGAAACGTCGCAGAGACGAAGGTTCTGTGGCTACACTGCTATTGGAAGAGAACGCTAAAAAGAAGAAAGCTCGGTATGTCTTCAAGTTATCGAAGACTGTAGTATCCACAGATCAATTAAATAAAGATGAGACTACAACACCGTTGTTAAAAGTTGCGGAGGACCATAGGCATTTTGTTCTGGAACAACCAAGAAAGAGACATCGTGAAGGGGAGGTAGACGCAGACACTGACAAACACTCTGATGAAAGCAAATCAAGGTTGGAAAATCAAGAAGAATTACCACCCGAGATTACTGAAATGGTTAATAAATACTTGACACTTAACAAGGATAGTGAAAATAGCAGAAAAAAGAGGAAACCGAGCAGGAAGCACTTTAGGGGAGCTGCAGCTGAAGTAAAATCACTTCCAAGCCAGGACTACGTTTATGATGTTTACCATTTAGAACAAGTTCCAGAAGATGAATACAATAAATATGAAGGTAGCAAGGTTGGGTTCATTAAAATCATAGATGTTTACGGTGATTTGTTACCTGATGAATTAACTGATTCAGACGAACAATTCCTATCGGATGAAGAGGACTCTAATGATGAAAACTATTATAGAAACGATTACCCAGAAGACGAAGATGATGACAGATCAATTTTGTTTGGGAGTGAAGGTGAAGAAATGGCTGAACTTGAAACTGAATTTCTAGCAAACCACGACGTTGATGAATTCGAACGACCGGAAATGACAGACAGCGCTGACGTAATACGACCAAGAGAGGATTACGATCCAAAAATTGCCACATATGATGACGTATTTTCCAAACTTCAAGGTAGCAGCAATATACTCAGGTCAATAAATGATGCGAATTTCATTGACCTGGATAGAGATTTTGAAGAAGAAGAAGGAAGCGATGGGGAATTTATGTACAATGAGGAACAAGAAGATAAAGATGAATTTCCTAGGAACGAATTCTTCCCAACAGACAAGGACGATCCAGTTGCTATTCACAGGGATCGAATTTTTCATCGACTGCAGAAAATGATTGAAAAAGACTAAAGTGAAAAAATAATATAATTTTACGTGATTTCTGTGTAAGCCCAAACTAGCTGATTTATTTTATGAAAATATTAATTTCTACATATTCATCCATAACTACAGGAATACACAATCTATTTAATATCCTCTGCCAAAATAGCAGTTTTCGCCACAAGATCTAGGTATTCTTTTAGTTTCCCACTTTCTTGGAATAAAACATATATTCTTTCCGATTCATTTGCCACAAAATTAGTCAATTCAAGAGCTCGTGAAATAAACTTAGGAATCTTTAAAAGTTCACTAGCTTCAACGAGCTTTTTATGCAATTCTATTATCAAATAGGGTATATATAGTGCACGAATCTCATACAGTATGGCCGTATTTTCGGATTTTTCATCTTCACACAACTCAACCAAGAAATCTTTGATCAAAATGTTAATGTCATTCGAAAATCCTTGAAATTTTTCAATTAGCGATGGTATGTTGGATTCTGAATTCAGTTGGTTGACCGATTTTTGCCAGTTTTCGTACTCGACAAAACCCTGAATCAGATTCTCATATTGAGAAAGCTCTTTTCGTGTTGATGAATTGATTGGTTGTTTTCCAACTGCAATTGCAATTTCAATTTGATTTATGACAGTTGTTAGATCGTTTCTTTCAAAGAACAGTTCTAAAGACTTTACCTTACCGTTCAGTAGAAATCTTCTAGCCAATGCAAGTATCGAGTTCATTGCATCCACATAGAGTTTACCTTCCAATAACCATTCAACGGAATTAATCAGATGTAAGTCAATCTTAGTAGTTTCAAAACAAACTGACATTACTTGAGTTGGTTGATATTGCTGCTCAGTATCATCAAATACCCTCTGTGTTATCTTCTTTATGATTTCAGAACAGGGTAAATGGAGCACACTCATTAATTCTATTTGCTTTCTTTTTTCAGAACTTTCTTCTATAGTAGAAAGCACAAAAGAATACGCTTCAATAGTCTCCTCAGCTGACAATAGAGTCATATAAGCTGGTATGCAGTCAAATAATTCATAGAATTTTAGTATGGTGATGTAGGATGTTATGAGTTTTGAGGTGTCTGTCTCATTCAAGGCATGTCTATCAATAATTTTGAACATAATAGCAGTATGTGTCATAACTCGTAATAGGTATGGCTCGTTGAAAATTTCGTTTTCCTGCTCAGAGTTTTTTATGGCGTCAAACAATTGCAATACCGAGGAATGAACAATAGAATCTGTAGTACCTAAGATAATTGACGCAATCAAAGTTCTTAATGGATGTGAACTTTCTTCTGGTTTTAAATTGGATAAATCATTCAGTATTGATGATAGCGACTCGGTCGAAGATGGTATATATAACTGTATTTCTTCATCAGTGACAAAACCTGCTCTTATCATCTCATTTTCAATATCAGTTTGAAGCTTCTGATTGATAAAGAAGATCAATAATTCCTCCCAGTTACATATGCTCATCACTTCCTCACTTGGACTTACACCAGCTAGTAAGCTATATATAGCCCTCTCGTAAAGGTCTAATTTGGAATTTTGAGATATACCATAAACTGTTCTTCTCCATAGGGAATGTTTTTTAATTCCCTGCTGAAAGTCAAACTCATTTTTGAGATGGAAATCAATTTCTGGATTAACATATTCTTGCAAACCGCAAATTATCATGCTTAAAGTTAAATTACCTGACAATTCACACTCATTGAGGGCTTCCTCAATCTTACCCCTCAAAAGTAATTGAAAAATATACTTAAATATAACGCGATCCTGTTCTCTATCCTTTTCATCAAGAATTACACTGCTATCTCTCAAGGGATAGTCGACATCTTGACTCTGGAGGCCTTGTTTCAATAACGTATGATTCCATTTCTTAGTTGGCAAGTTCTCCGGCCTTTCCACAGTTTGTAGATTATCTTGTAGCCATACCATAATTATCCATAATTCATAAAAGTCATTATTGTTCTGCAAAAGTTCTTTTTCATACGCTGCTCGCGTGCTGCAGTTGACTTGCGATTGTTGTTGATGTTTATCTGAATACCTAAATTTTATTAATTGCCTAAACAAACTCCAATAATTGGCCTCTAACTCCCAGTCTTTCCCAGCTTTAATGTTCCCTGATCTCAGCTCTGTCAATGCACATTCTCCTGCGATGCTTCTGAACTCTTGGGCAATCTCAAAAGGGTCTCCGGCTTGATCTCCATCAATTGAATCGATCTGATAATCGTTTACTGCTCTGGCAAATCTAACGTAGTAGTCTTTACCCGACATATCTGTAATTCCAAGTGAAGAGTTCATTTCCTTTATTCAAATGGTCAAAGTTATTATTCTATGTCGTGGCAAATCTCTTCTCTATTGGGTATGCAGATTCAACTTTTTGATATGAGAAAAGTATAGTGAATTTGATTCCGACCAATTGGAACCCAAAAATGATATCTTTAACTGATCAGTTCTAGTACAATTAATACATCTCTGCTCAGACATAGCTATTGATCATCGCATCACCTCACTTTGCAAAAATGATGCAATCTTTGGAAACTCGTATATAACTATAACGATAAGGCAGACGATTAATGACCCAGAGAATAATGTATAATTGCTATTTTAAAATCTATTCCTGATAATTATTAGGTGTTCTTCTTATGTTTGCTGCCATTTTAGTTTTATTAGTATTACCTATTACTGATAGAAGTGTTGGTGATTAGTGCCGGTGATGGCAATGTTTTTAAACTACGCCAACATTATCTTCTTAGACAGATGTTATAAGGTAATTTTGTTGGGGGAAATGAGTATATATATACAGCAACATGATAAGAGACAGTACAATTTCTATTAATTATTATATGTTATTATGATTTAGTAGTTGTATATCTGCATACTAGATGTTTTCATTAATTATTTGTGTTTTAAATTATAAATGCTGAAATGCAAATAGCTGCAATTATGCTCAATAATAAGCTTTAAAAATTTCTCCTCGGACATGGTAGTCCTGTATGCTATAGTGAAATAATGTCAAATCAAATCTTAAGTAGTATTTGACATGCAAGATTTTATGCGAATATTTTTTTTTGTTTCCCAATGATCAAAAAAATGCTAGATACAATACCACTCTGCGAAATTGGCCCAACCTAAACCACAATCCGATAGGATCATACCAGTCCAGACCCCTGATTCTTTAACTTTAATAGTTTTTTTCCATGTACCATATGATACATGGGGATCATTTTTCTCTAGATTGTATATCTTACCAGATGGTGACTTTATCGCTATGGGTTGCTTGATGTTTTGGTTTGCCGCCGTAGAGTTGTACATTATACCATCAAAGGGATGTTGTAATACCTCAAAATTATACTCGTTATCCGGAAACAAATACTTATTTTGTGGCTCCATAACGTAGGTCTCTAGCTTTAAGATATTTTCATTTGGTACTTTAGAGACGAATTCGTATTTGCTCTCCGAACCCTCATGATATAAAGGAATAATCATCGATAATGGATGAACATTAGCAATAGTGGTTTGAGTACCTCTGACTCCGGAGTGTATATACAATGCGCCTGATTTAACACCAGGGGGAAGAACAGCTTTAATCACAATAACCCGTTTACCACTCTCAGTTCTGTGTTTGCGTACTTGCGCTAGTGACAATTCCATCTTTTGATATAGCTTAGCTTTATTTTTATCTTCAGTGTTTACAACAACAGAAGAGAAAATTTCTATATCATTCGGAATTTCTATTGAGCATTCGTATATTTCATTATCTTCAAGATATGATAATGCGGTGCTGAACTTGTAGAGAACAAGTCCGTTTTTGAAAAATGAAGGGAACACTAACGGCAAATAAAGGATAGACAATTGATCCAGACTTGGAACAATATGTTGCTCATACTCACTAGGTGGAATATGTGTATATATAAATTCCAGAGGTTCAACTAAGAAATAGCTATCATCTGCTCTTTTTGCTGGTTTGTTATTTACAAACTCATGGATTGGATTCGTGATATTACCTAAAATTACATCGATAAACCTCCATTCATTATTGACAAGAACTCTCAACCAACAATGATTATATTCAAATTCATGATTTACAGCAAACGGTGTTTTTAAGAATCCAATCACGACTTCACATTGAATACTCAATGATACTGCTAGCCTTTTAAAAAGACAAGTTAATTCATAAGGTGTACAATATTTTTGATATAGAACTGATTCGAGATTTGCTGGTTCCCTAGAAAAGTCAGAATGACCATGATCATCTATCAGACTGAACATTTCAGTGCAGAAAATATAGATACCTCTCAGTTTCTCAATGTCTGTAGAGTATCTTGCAGAAAATGTCGTCCTTACCCAATTTTCTAGACGCATAGTGCTATTTTTAGAGCATCTTTTCCATGTCATAGAATCAATGTATTGAGTATTGAGACCAGCCAACTCAATATCCACCGATCCTGGCTTACCATGTCCTCTAATTTCGTTAGTATTTAAGCCATTATAGATTGCATCTTGAGGATGTAGAACCAGATCACGATTACGTTCTAGAGCTCTCATATATCTCGGATGCTTTTCATATTTAGTAAGTGATTTTGATCTGTTTACATGAGCTTTCACAGTCAACCAATCATGTGCGTCATTATGGTGTGGGGAAATATCTAAAGTTTGTAAATCAGGTAATTTTGGGAAACTTTCATTGGTTCTTAATGAGTTGGCTACACCGTTATTATTGGAGTCATTTTTATTCATGAATCTCTTCCAAAACCCTCCTGTTTTCGTATCATTCACTTGTTTAGTATCAATACTATTTCCGTACTGTAAGTGACCGTTCTCTGATCTCTCCAGAGAATCAGTAAAAGATTGTGCTTTTCTATGTCTGGCAAATGAACCAGCACTAGTAGCGCTAAAATCACTCATGATTGCAAAACTATTCTCACTACTTGTCACTGAGTTGTCCATGTATTGAGAATGAGAGAACAGTCCACCTGATGAAACTGAACTAGTATCCACCGAGGATCTCTTGCCTGAGTTAAAACCATCAAAAAATCTTTGGTCATCAACAAAATGATCTGCTGGATCTCTGCTGCGACTAGTTGGTAGGTCATTCGACGAATATGACTTAACTGGCTGTCTATGTTTACCGTTACGTTTAGAAGACTGCAACTGAGGCAATGGAGGAAGAGCCGGGGTATCCACAAAATCTTCATATTTATTCACATTGGGTTTCTTGGTAAGACTATCGTTAATATTATTTCTTTTCTTCATTGCCAATTGATCGTATCCTGGTTGTCTCATCCCGTAAATTTCGGCTCTGCGTGAGTAGCCATTATTTGATCCAACTGGAGCGTTATTTTCATATCCACTAGCTGTTGCTGGGAGATTTGGTGTGGAATGATAAGCCTGTCGCGAAGATCTGTATTTGCTGCTATCATGATTGGTGCTACGTGTCGGAATAGGCGGCAGTCCACTCTTACTCTGTTGCAATATAGGTTGTCCCTGCTGGGCCTGCTTTGACCGGCCACTATCCACTGATTGAACACTGTTGATCCGCTCCTCAACTATCGTAACAAAATTGTTTGGGAAATAGCCCGCACACTTTTTGTTCCTCAGTAATCTCCCATAGTACCACTCACCTGCGACTCGCGATACCTCCATCACATCTCCTTCGAGAAAGCCCAGGTCCTCCTTGGCTTGTCCCGACCACCCATAACGGGCCTTCACTTTAAATGGTACCCTCATCGTCGTCATACTGCAACTTTGTAGCTTATGATTTCCACCACATGCAATTTCCTAAAAACAAGAAACACCTTTAAACACCACCTTCTCTGGTTATATACTTGCTACCACTGAGGCAGATCATCGAGCTTTGCTCACAGCCATCTCATTTTTTTTTCAGTGCTGTTACAGACCCAGCGCTGCTCTTGCGATGCGCATGAAAAAAATATAAAAGCTGGAGACGGTTTGATAGATGGGCCTCATTGTGTAACGGAACCACTCAGTTATTGATATCTTGATGACCCATGCTTGGTGCCACTATACCATGATTAGACACACTGGTGCTCCTGACACCTATTACTATATAAAATAGGATTATTTCGTTGCAACCTGTTGACTAATGGGAATCGATAAGAGTCAAGTATATGAATATTTACGTAGACATCGGAGACCTATATAGCACATTGCCCAGATTAATGCTTGCGGGCAAAATAACAATGTGTAGTAAATAATATTTTGATATGTGATTAGCTTTAAGAACAAAACTGCACGTCGTCACATCTTGAAGTGCAAACTCAAAGGGCGTTTTTTAGCAGATGGAATGCATAAAACTACCCCCCATTAGATTCACATTAACCGAATAGGAATATATGTTACGAGAAAAGGATAGACTGCGATCTTCCAAGAACATACCTGTAAATAATGGCAAGCTCTACAGGCCACTTAATAGGTGGATTTGCCGGAGGCCTTTCCTCTGCTGTTGCGTTGCAACCACTCGACCTTCTCAAGACTAGATTCCAACAGACCAAGGGTGGTACCCTGTGGCAGACAGTAAAGTCGCTTGATACACCATGGCAGTTATGGAGAGGAACACTACCTAGTGCAATTCGTACATCTGTTGGGAGTGCACTATATTTGTCAAGTCTCAACTTGATGAGAACTGCTCTGGCGAAACGTAAGCAGTTTGACACTGCGGACAGTGTGGTCACAGGTAAGAGCAGCAACTTACCTCAATTAAGTATGTATGAGAACCTAGTGACTGGTGCGTTTGCTAGAGGTACTGTGGGTTACATAACAATGCCCATTACAATCATAAAGGTCAGGTATGAGTCTACCCTGTACAATTACAAGAGCATTGCAGAGGCAGCCAAATCGATCGCGGCACAGGAAGGGATTAGAGGCTTCTTTAGAGGATTTGGGCCAACGTGTCTAAGGGATGCCCCTTATTCTGGGTTATATGTGCTACTGTATGAGAAATTGAAGCACACTCTACCCACTATTCTTCCAAAATCGTTGCTACAACTCGATTCTGAAGGTCGGTATACAGCGTACACTTCAACAGCAATTAATTCTACAAGCGCCATATTGTCAGCTAGTATGGCAACAACAGTAACTGCTCCATTCGACACAATTAAAACCAGAATGCAGCTGGAGCCAACAAAATTTAAAACGTTCTGGTCAACCCTTACAACAATAGTTACGCAAGAACATCCAATCAAAATATTCTCTGGACTAAGCATGAGACTGACTAGGAAGGCACTCAGTGCTGGTATTGCTTGGGGTATATACGAAGAACTTATCAAGCATTTCATGTAAATATACAAGATGATCTTTCTCGCTTGGTATTATTCCAGTGTAGTTTATGGTCAATACGCTATATGTTGAGAGCAGATAAGTGACAACGCTACAAAAACTCATCAAATTGAATCAGGGTCTTTCAAGTATATCCCTTAAACTTATTTATTCATCATTGATCAGTATGGAATCATCTAAAGCAATCCATCTCAATATCAGTTTTGCCCTTTTGTATCTTATAGCATTAAATTAATGACGTTTCTGGTTTTGCATAAATAGTTTGCTGCGGTGTTATCTGACGTAGTTGAATGGAAAACAAAAAAAAAAAAACTGAAGAATATCACTCAGTGAATTGCGATCCGTTTGTAAGCTCATCGCATAGCGTTCACTTTTAATCTAGGTCAAGAAGAGGGCTCCATAAAGACTTTATAGACACGGTTATTACAAGAAGGACATTTTGAACTGAATACGCCTGACACTCTGATATACAAAGCAAACTATTTTCAAACATGGACTTCTTCAAGTTTCTAATTGTTCTGGTTATCGTTGTCTTATTTATCCTGGTGTTACCATGGCTCTCAGGTATTGGTTCATATAGTATACAAAAAGCTGCTGTATCAAATAAAAAGAGTCCAGATTCCAGGAGAGAGAAGCTCAAAAATAAATTAGATAAAAGTGTCGCTTTGAACTTCTCCCTGAAGGATAAAAACGACGAAAGTGATGGCAAGTCCAGTCATGTCTCCAAGAGAGGTGAGTTCGACATAGATTCAAAAACAGGTTTAAAAAGAAGAGTACTTTCAAGATATGACCAAGATCCTAACAATTTTGACTTTGATATTGATGAGCTTATAGATGAAGACAGAAAAGAGGAGGCCAAAGAAGAACAACAAAGAATAAAAAAATTTGGCGGGAAGTCTTCCGAAGCATACGAAGGATTTGTTTAAGACAAATTGCGTTAGTTCTTTAGCATAGCAGATATAATTCCATGCTGTCTGTTAGAACATTTTGGCTCACCTCCTGTCAATGCAGTACATATCTGTTAGTAGCATACACCATGACAAAATTTATAGACATTCACATGGGCAAATAAAATCATCGGCTTATACAGATCATTTATTGATGATTTTGTTTTTTTATATGAATTAAACAATATACTCTTTTAAGTTTCTATATTCAAGTAAATATGTGATACAGTATATATGTTTCTGTTTTGAAAATAAAAACGCATTCTATTATCTAAAAGAGGTACCTCAAATAAGAGATATCAGTCAGATTCTTTTTCCAATTCAGATTGATCAAGATTTTCTTCCGTATCATTTTTATTTCCGCCATTTTCCGCGTTATGCAATTGGAACTCATATTCAATATCGTCCTTCATACGGCCTGTTTTCTCATCGTAATCATATTCATAGAATAACATGAACACACCAGGAGTTGACAAGACCTCTGCCTCATCAACGACATACACACTCTCATCTGATATTCTCCACCATACTCCTCTGAATTTTCTATATGCGATATAATGACCATAATTGTGTGTTCCGTAATGAACAATCACAGAACGCAAAGCATATGTTAGTGGGCTTGGGTTTACAGTCGAGTAACGTGGAGCTAGATTAATGGGTGGCGCTTGAACAGCATCTTGCGATCTATTACTCTCGTCAGAATCAACTGCTTCATCATCTTCAGCATCATTATCTGTGTAATTTTCATCACCATCATCATCATCATCATCGTCATCTTCATTTTCACTATTATCTTCATTACCATCACCATCCACAATATTGCCATTTGCAACTGAAATTTCTGTTAATGAGCCATCATTCAAAGTAACAGTTTTCTTTTTTGGAATTGTATTGCCTAATGCATCAACTTCTTCATCAGAGGATATCTCATCTTCTTCAGAGTAGTCAGAGGACAGTTCACCATTCAGTGGATCATATTCACTTACGTTTCTAGATTCGTATATGCCATTATTGTATTCTTCATCCTCATCATCATATTCCTCTTCGTCCTCATCCTCAAATGCTTTTTCAAATTTTTGGTGAAGCTTACTATAATAGTCACCGCCGATATTTTCATCTTCACTGGATTCCACAACTTTTTGCTTTTTTGACATAGGAAGACGGGCATCCAGATTGATTTCATCGATATCACAGCACCAAGGTTCAAGGTTCATTCTAGATTTGAACAAGACCCTCGAGTTATTTTTCCTTATCATATAAGTTCTTGGATCAAAGACTGATCTATTAATGTGAATAGAAAGCAAGGCAGGAGGTCTTGAAATTACAACTTGCTTTGATTTAGAGCATTTTCTTACCATATTTTCTGTGTGAAGCTTTTTGTAATCATCGTCATCAATAACTGGTTTCTTTAAAGTTTCTTCTAACTCTGCCAAACGTGTTCTCATAGCATCTACTAACTTTGCAGGAGTGTTAGCAGATCCGTCAATTTCCTTCATCTGGGACAGGAGATGTTCACGTACTGCTTCCAATGCACAACGATTACATTCGACTCCTTCAATGATTTCTGGTTTTATCCACTCGTTAAGAAGTGAAGATAATTTTAACGTACTTCCAATATTCTCGCTGGGTAAGTTCAAACTGAGGCCGGAGAAAACAGAATACCTTATCCCACCATTCTCACCGCACTGTAAGCACCCAATTCTTTCAGCTGTAATACCATCCAATGGTGTAACCAATTTGAAAGGGGTGAAGGATTTTTCTGTACTTCCCTCAGTGTATGAATTAGGATCAATTTGCTCTGATGGAATATATACAGTACCCATGCGTCCTAGATGTGCCTGACCTATCATATCATCTTCGGATAAATTTTTAGCTGGTACTGGTGTCTTGTCATCTTTTCTAGATTCTAGAGTCTTGATATTCTTTTCCAATTCAGATAAAATAGTTTGGAAAAATTCTTGAGCGTCTTCTTGATCATAGGCCATTAACATACTCTTCTTTGGAGAGTTGGACATTTTGTTCACCATACTATTAGTTTTAAAATAAGGCCTTTCTTTATAATACTTATAGTTAAGTTTGTCTAATAATTCTTTAAACGCAATAGTAAATTGAATATCAGGCTCTGTGTCATTATCACCATTGTCGACTGACCTATTATGTTTCTTTTTAGACTTCCCATAAACTTTCCCATTACTAGCCTTTTGTTTCTTACCGTTTTGCTCATTTGACTCTGATACAGAATCTTCATCAGCAACTAAATCCTTCTCAAGACTTTCATATCTTCCAATGATCTCATCATCTAAAAATTTTAGTAATTCTTTTGAAGAAGCTAAAGATTGAATAACTGAATTCATAAAACAGAAGTTACCGTCATTCAATAAACCACCCACATAGCCTCCTCTTTGCAAGATTTGCTCATCAATATTTGAAAAATAATTGCTATTTGGTGCCATTCGACGCAACGCGCTATTACCAGCGTCTTTTAAATTTCTACCAAACTCGTTCATTCTTGCTTTGATTGATTGATCCCCAGTCTTATAGATAAATAATAAAAAATATGTTAAGATTATTAAACCAATTGCTGTCAAATAGGATCTTGTAACAAACTCGTAAATGGGAATGGTAAAGGGTATGTACTTGAGAACTTTATATTCAATATTGGCAACACCCATGCAAAAATTTTTAATGTTTTAACTTTGCAAACAGAAAGACAACTGTCTGCTGTAAAACCTAGGATTCGAGCTAGGAATTTAATAGAGGATACACTGAATCCACAGATGAACCACGGGCTGAAAAGTATTTCAAATAAACTGGACTGTGCCGTTTCCTCGACACTCTTCTTTATAGTTAAAATTTCAGTAAAACGTAGCTTTGAATCGATTATTCGATCGGTAAATAGCCAACTACGTACTTATTTTCAATTACCTGTTATAAGACAGAGAGCACTATGTTATTCGTTAAACTGACAATTTGATAAGAAGCAATCAAACAAAACTGTCTGTTATGTACTTGGATGGCAGCTCACAGAAACTCGATTTAGGATAATAATGCCAAAAAATTTATCATCATAAGTCACGAAATATCACGTTTCTTACTCTGCAAGTAGCAGGAGAGACATGCCTCTCACTTGAATGATCATCAGAAGAAATTGGCAGAAGGAACAAGAATGCTACTACAGTAAGGAAAGTCGAATCTAAGTAATTTTTTATATAAGACACCTATTTTAATTTAGGCAATCCAAAACACTTTACAATATGGCAATGGAAGCACTATTCAAGTCCTTCTAATGCTAATGCTATCACTTGCCAAGTTGAATGAAATCGCCATTACACTAATATAAAAAGTATGTTAATGACCGGAAGATTTCAAAACTTGTGTTTTTAGATGAATATGATAGAACTTTCATAATAAAAACAAATAATACAATATGCTCATCATCTGATAAATACATGCATCATTGCTTTAACACAATGGAAAAACTAAAAGGTGTATACCCTTGACTTAGAAGTAAAAACAAAAATTCATAATAATAGTAGAAATCCTGCAGTACAAAAGATATAATTGAGATAAAAAATAGCTTCCATTCTTTCCAAAAACAAAAAAATTGAATGAAAAAGCATATGGAATAAGTAAACTTTAATTTCTTTAAAAGATAAAAAGGAAAAAAAAAACATTATCTTCAGAGTTCCTGTGAAATATCATAGAGAAAAAGATGTAATCGTAGTAGATGGTAGTATAATAACGAAAATTAAAATGAAAAATGCATCCTTATTTTGTGATTTATCCAATCATCAATAGCCGTAATAAAAAGGTAGATGACTAATATCAGTAAAAAAATGAAAAAAAATCAGCAAATATACAGAAACTGGAGTGTATTTTTATTCCCTCCGCTTCAATTCAAATTCTATCACTTACTGAGGAGCTGGAGGAGCTTGGGATGGATCCATCATAACTGGCATTTGTTGACCTGGAGCACCTTGAGGTGGCATGAAGTTGGTTCTCTCCTTACCCCAACCAGTTCTCAAATTTCTGCCTTGGAATGGGAAGTTAGCTAGAGCTACGATACAAACAGCTGCTTGCTCGTGGGTATCATACTTAATGAAACAACATCCCTTTTCAGGATAGTGAGTGAAATCCAAGATGAAACCAAAGTTTTGTAGAAGAGGAATCAAGTCGGCTTCAGTTGCATAATGAGGAATGTTACCAATGTAAGCAGTGGTAACTCTTGGTGGAGCTCTTCTAATCATATCTTCAATAGCTTGTGGGTTGACAGGTGGTGGAACCATTGGTTGCTGTTGCTGGACATTTGGTTGCTGACCATTTTGCTGGCCTTGCTGCATTGGCATCAAACCATCCATTGGCATACCCATGGCAGGAGGCATCATATTTCTGTTGTTTCTGTTATGGTGACCTTGGTTACCGTATGGGCGGAAGTTACCACCACGACTACCGCGGTTGTTCCCAAAGTTATTACCCATGTTTCTTTCTCTCTTGGTAGCCCAATTAATTCTGATTTGTCTACCGCTCAAATCCTTACCTTGCATAGCATCCATGGCCTTTTGTGCCTCTTCTTGATTAGAGAAAGAGACGAAACCATAGCCCCTGGATCTACCAGTTTGCATATCCCACATAACATGAGCTTGGATGAAAGTTGGGAACTCTCTGAAAGTACCTGCCAAAGTTTCATCGTCGACATCAACGTTCAAGTCACCGACAAATAAGTTAAAAGTGTCGTCATTTTCGGCGGCTTGTTGTGTCTCAAAAGCCCAGTTAATCTTCAAAGTCTTGTTTTCTAATTGAACACCGTTCAAAGTTTGCAAGGCAACATTTGCATCATGGGATCTGATGTATTCAACAAAGGCATAATTGACATATTCGTTCTTCATGTCTTCGATGATTTTGACATTTTGAATTGGTCCACCAGCTTGGAAATATTGCTTCAAAAGGTCCTCAGTGATAGACTTGTCCAAGTTACCAACATATAGGACTCTGTCAGAAGTTTCTCTACCACCTTTAGTAGCAGATGCTGGAACAACCGATGGCTTATCATCATCGTTCTCCTGAGAAGCGTTATCGCCTTCAACTTCTTGGGATACTTCTTCTGGCTTCTCAATTACTTCTTCAGGGGTCTCAATGACCTCGTTCTTAATCTCTTCAGACATTATTATATACTATTTCAGTTCCTGCTTACGCTACCAATTATGCTGGGATTCCAATGCTATATATCCCTATAAGTAAACGCGCCTTCTCTTGTCTTTTCAAGAATACGTCCAATTAATAATGTTCGGAATACAACTTCTCAAAATAATGTATAACACGGACTTGAAAACAAGCAAGGTGCCGACGCAATTGATAAGCTAACACTGCTCGGCTACTCGATGGCCACCAGAATCCACTTCCGCATTACCCAAGAGACAAGAACATCTAAGCAAAACTACGTGATCGTTCCCTTCTCGATGCCAAAATTCAGGTTCGCCAAAAAATTTTTCAGACAAGCAATGCTAAACTTGGCTACCCCACGCAGTACGAACGATAAGTGAAAAAATGGGAACAATACTTACCCGGCTATTGGACTGAATAATAAGTGATAATGATTCAAGGCGTTGGGGCGCATACACAAAACGAATTGATGGGATTCTGCATGGTACATTATGTGTTGGGTATGTCGTAGCTGCCTGAAGACGACTAGATAAGGTTAGCTTTATCGTTTCTTTGCTTGACCATAAAATCTTGAAGAACTGGTTTGGCACTGTCAAATATAGGAGAAACAATTATCAGCAAAATTTTTATTTTATAGTTCGCGAAATGGTAGAACATGTTAATATAATAAATATCGTATTTCCTGAACTACATTGTAACATTAGTATTAAAATTTGTTGAAAAATCAGTTAAGTTATTCAAAAATCCTGAGTAATATTAGTATACTAACTTAGGTTTTATACTGGAGGTCATTATTTAAGCAATCTAAGTTTAAGAAGTACAATAAATGATAATTGCAAAAAAAGTAGGTGCTAAAGAACAGTGTTAAAAAACTGCTGAGTATAACGAAAACATACACTGTATACCATTAGAATCTGCCTTTCCATACATATTTATTACTGTAAGTGAAGATTCAATACCTATGAAACCAGTAGGGCAAGAATATGGTCAAATGGGTATTGTACGTAAACAAAAATGACAATCTACAATTGCTATGTATCTATTCAGTAGTTATAGCTTCTTATACTCTTGTGATATCTGTAACTAAATCTTTCATTACTTTTTGTTGCCTATCTAGTACTCTTAAAATCACTAGAGAACTGTTTGAGGAACGTTCATATGCACTCAGCACAAATAGGGAGCCATGATTTACTGAAGTACAAAGCAAGCTTGAAGTAGCCGTTATCAGTATGCTCCAGAATACGACTTTCCATGACATTTAGGTCATGAAATACAATTTATTTCTCACGCGTTTGATACTAGAGTCAGTGTCTTAAAATGACCACAACAATTGAAATGCTGTATAGTTCAGTTTTTCGCTAATACCCATTTTTTAACAATATTGTAATGAATAAACAATTATTACAGATATCTAACTTTAGTAATCAGATTATAGGATTTTCATATACGTAACCAATATACCAACACAATACACCATTGGTCATGATCTATTAATCACTGTTTAAATGGCCAGAAAATATATATCATGTGAATTATTTCGTATCTGTGAGACGGCCACATAAGTAGAATATCATAGAACCAATAGGTAAATTAAATTGTTTTATCAAAGAGGGTAGACTTCATTGTATTTGGTAAACTGATTTTAATTATGCGATGAAAAAAGGCAGTCGAAAACCCTGTATCTTATATCAGAAGTAGCTGGAAACAAAAACAAAACTATATAGTAGAGTATAGGGAGTCATTAAATGTAATAGTGTTTTCAATATCCAATCTTTCTGCAAAGGTAGGGTCGAAGCTTTTTAATTAGAAATTTTTTTGAATCAGTATGGATTTTCATTTTTTATATAATTTCAAAAATTCAAGGAGTAAACCACAACTTATAAAAAAAGTACAAAGATTAGTATGAATTGTGAAAAAAACTTGTCATATCATTGGAAAGAGTTCTTTTACATATTTTTGGAGAAGGGCTATTTTTGATCGATAACTCCAATCAAATTGACTACATGAATAAAAAACAATCATCTACTAATCTCATCATTACTTCATAGTTGAACAATCATACTTTGTAAGTCTACAAGAGCTGCTAAGCTATCCAAAAAAATTTAACACCGTATATATGATGTTCAAAATGACCCTTTATAATTATATGTAAATAGTTGGTATTGAACAATAGTAAGCTATTATTTACCACATTACCTATGTGATAACCAGATCAGTAAAAAGCTGAACATGAATTTTGTTCTTTATGCAAAACAGTTTCAAGGTATCTACAATAAAGAGAAACTTATTTTTTCTAGAAGGACTGAACTATTGTATTACCTATGGCAATTGGAGTATTGATGTTATCTCATATAAATGCGCTATTCGATTAGACTTTAGGGGAAACTAGCAACATAAATTGGAACGTGCCACAATATGTATGAAACAATCCTATATTGATTTATTTCTGCTACTTTTCAATTGATATGCGATGATTGAAAAAAACAGTAAGCAATTTAACATACTAATTATTTTATCAGAGATTGAGATTTTTCTTTAAAATTTAATTTTAAGAAAGTTATCGATTGCTTTTGAAAATTTAATTTTATATAACATTACATTGCAACTGACATCTATTCATCAACAAAGAAAGATGTATAATGAAACAAAATGTTATTTGTGGTTTGTTTGAGAAAAGATCATTGTGACTTTCAAAGCAAATAAGGGTAGAATATGCTTCGAATCAAACTGCAGATTAAATACAATCACTGAAAATTATTGATTGCCTTTGCAAGCAATCAACTACTCTTCTGAGACTTCATATACATGGTTATTCTATTTTAATAAGTTCAAGGTATCTTCTATCCATTTATCATATCATCTAGTGTAATAATATATGACAATTTGATACTATTGATTCTACAGTTACAAATTTGCTTCAGTAGGTAATCACATAGTACCGTTCAGATCTCAGACATAGGAACATATTCTATTTTATTACTATTTCACAACCGAGCAAAGTACTAATACATATAATGACGTGTAATATCCAATATATCAATACAAACTTTTTTAGCAGCGAGATGAGTCAATCAAATACTTGTTCCAGAACATTTCTGGGTGTTTCTCCAGTCCTGAGTTAAGATGACACCTTCAACTTAATTTCCGTCCTTGTTACTACGATTGGTAAAATATTATGGGCAACATACTTCTCTTGTTTCGTAAAATTACAGAAAAATACTCATTTAATTTGAACGAAACAATTACATAGATATGCAACAGAATAATTGAAAAAAGGAATCTTTTTTTTGAAATCATGCAGCAAAATTAAAAAGGAACCCGCTATGATATTCTACATATTATAACATTATTAATTATTTGATATATGAAAAATTAATAACATACTTCCAAACTACCAATCAACCAAACAAACATGATTCAGTCAATTAAAGTTTCATTAATCCTAATACGGAACTACATGAGCTCCTGATATATTAAGTGCTTCTAATCGAATATGTTCTAGAACTTGAGATATAAATTTGTTTGTACTAAACATTGTTACAGAAGTTTGCTTTTAGTTACTCAATATTCTATGTTGGGGAACAAGAAGCTAGAAGATTGAAAGTTTCTGTGATGTATTTGATCTTGGATAAAAACAATATGTCATAAGAACTCTGAAATCAATTAATAAGTAATTTAGTATTTATTGTTTTTTGATGTAATTAGTTTCATGTAGAGAATGTCAGTAACTTCTCAATGTTCGTAAACTTTAAGCAAAAACATATTGAAATTATATCAAACCTATTTACATTCTGTAATAAGAATTTAGAAAATACTAGCATGTGGTTAACTTAGAGCACCATAATAATACCACTTCACAGATAAAAGAAATGACTATCTACCATATGATCCTGGATATGTAATTGAAGTATATTTTCTTCATCATCGAGGAATTTTAAAGAAAGTTCTGGCTTGGAGAATTATAGTTAGGAAAAATTTCACTAACATAGATTCATTATGGTATGGTATTACCACTTTAGTTCCTACAGCAGTAAATAGAAACTCTTATACAATTTAATTCAAACATAAAACATCCTTACTCAAGTAACCTTTACTCAATAGTGGTGGGCAAAAATGAAATGTGTAGATAGTCGAAATGCACATATATCTATATTAATGGTGATATATCATACACCAACATTTACGGATTCTAAAGATGTAAGGTTTCCACAATATGAAACAGGTATAGTTATTATGCACTCTAACTGTCGACTTTCGAGGAGTTTTAGTCACTCTAGATTGAGTCTGCTAATACCTTTAAAGCCAATACTATCTACATATTTTTTTCACAAACTATCAGTATAAGGAAATGTGAAGATTAGAACGTCTCCATCTCACAAAAATCACCCAACCTACAAAAGTTTAAAATAAAATCGGTTATGTTCTGGTCATCCTCTTAATAGCCATTTAAAAAGCAAGTTCATTAACCGTGATATCTGTAATCTTATAATTTTAGATCCTATAGTCTTTTTTGCGTACGTTTTTAATATGATCAAAAAACAGCAAATAGGAAATATTTTATGTTGTAATCAATCTAACTTCTTCTTAGTCTTACAATGACACTGATTATTTCATTTATACGTATTTTGATCTATTATTAGTATGAGAATAGAAATACGAAGCTTTTAATTTGAGGTGGTACAAACAGTTACTCTTTAACCTGATGGGGGATTCTAGATGAAAAAAGAAATGCATTCGAAAGTTTGCTGTAACCTAGATAGTAAATATTAAAAATAATTTGTTCTTATAAATTTTATTGGCTTGAAATGTATTAATGCAGTCCTTAGGCAGTGACGAAACGTGAAATATATATCAGCAATAGGAAATTTTTAGTCTCATTGTTGTGTTAAATCAATATTAAAAGAGCAAAATATTAATTTGATAAATAAGCAACATCAGTAACTCGTAGAAGGAGCAACATAAACAAAACATTTGTTTTTTAACCTAGAAATGTATAGCTTGCTTTCATGATGAGTACTAATAAATGAAGTTTTGTAGCTGTGGAAATAGAACTCTTGCAAGTTTCTAGAGTTGTTACAAAAACTTATAACGACTTTGGAAATAAGCCTCTCAGATTCCTCGACAACAATTAAATATTTATATTATGAATCAATATATCCACGAAAACACAAAAAATAGCAACTAAGAATTCGATAGGAACTTTCAGTTTATTGAAGATCCCACCAAATTAAATGTTATCTACAATTACAGTGTGTATTACATTTCGAACATGATATTTCATTGTCAGCTTTGTATCGTGATTTAATGTTTATTTCCATATTGCCGTTCCTAAGATGAGTATTCATTACCAGAAAAGTTTCTATGTGTAGTAAATTTAGCGCTAAGTATAGAACTAATTCTTCAGAAAGATCTTCCAAAAATAAGAGAATGCACAATTATAAGCAAATAGTGTCCTTGCTAACGTAGGGAAACCTTGAATAAAATATGTGAACCTAGTTAGACTCAATATTTTATATGAAATACTTATAACGACAAGCTAGAATGCCCTGTATAGAAATCAATTCTCACATAAGTGCCTTCTTCAATCTTCAAGACCTACCAATAATAACTAAGTATTGGTATAGTCTTATGCGCCCGATAATAACCCCAATAGAACTTGAAATTACCAATTAATGATATACACTATGCTCACGAGCATAAAACCTTTGCAGTTTATATTACTGATCAATTGTTTGAGTGTTTGATTCAATTGAAGAGTATTTACAGATAAAAGTTACATTCAAACCCAACAGTAAATTATTTTCTGGTTATTATTATGTCTTTTTAATAATTCAAAAGCCATATTTACTCACTCTTGTGACAAAAAGATGAAAAATATCCGGGGTTTTGCTATTTGTGCTTTTACATGTCAGCCAAGTAGAACTTGAAAATTCAACATCACATCGTGTACTCACAACCATTATGGAAGAAATACATGACACTAAATACCCATATTACTGTTTGGTATAAGAACTTCGGTGCTTTATTGGTGCTGATGATAAAACAATAAATTTATTTTTGAAGTGAAGTGTAGCATTGAAGTATTTTAGAAAGAAATTTTACCAATTTTTGATGATTGTATCAAATATTTTAGTAAACAAAGTCACACCCATACTAATATCTATTGGTTTTACATAACGTAATAGCTTCTTTGGTGCTACGCTGTTGCAAAATTTTTACTAAAGTAAACAAGAAAAGAAATTCTCTTAACAATAAAAATGTGCAATTTATTTTATCCCAGCTCTTTTTTTTTATCAATAACAATCACTTAATATCCATTTTGCAAACAATTCATGAGAGAATATCGGCACTCTTAATGAAAATATTCCTCCCAATTATAACAGAACATAGAGCATTAATAATAGTCATCTTTGCTTTCATATTATACTTAACTTAATTTCCTTGCAAGTGATCTCAGGGTATAATCTACACATAATGTAACTATAACTGAGATATATGTTTTTGTTACTAGCTCACTCATGTGGGTGTAATAGATATTGCGGTTTTTTATAGAATCTCCTAAGCTTTGTTAAAATGAGCTGTTTATGTCATATAATTCGATATACTGAACAATCCAAATTAAAAACCGAATTATTATTGCCTTTGTTTGTGCAGCCATATCTGCAAAAAGCTTATGTTATCCTGTATATATAATAGCATTTCGTTTTTGATATACTTTGTTTTTTATTAACAATGGTAGAAGCTTATTTGGTCTCTGTTATAGCTTTCACGTACGTCACTCTCAAAAATTTATATTACAATATCAAAATCTGAGAATACGTAATTTAAGGCAATATATTATTTATGTGAATTTTTATCAAGGGCACAACACATTTGCAAAAATATTCGGTTTTGTCTACACTTCTAACAGACTAGCCGGTACTCTTCTATATTGTATACACCTAAAGGTGTGTTTCGTTCACATACTGGTGACAAAGCAGATAATAAATCAATGACCAATACTATTTCATTATATATTGGAGTGAAATTGCATCTTGATTTGCTGCTTAAGGTACTTCCTTTTTGGCAACTTAGAGCTTATCGAACAAGTTTGCAGAAGAGAAGATAAAACTTGAAACTGTGTAATTGCTGATTGATGTCATCACTAACATACCAATTGGTGGGTTCTTTCGTTCAAATAAATAGCAATCCGTATAGGATTTATCAAATATAGAAACACCTATATGGTATGTGGACATGTACTTCAGTACCTGCAAGATGGTGGCACTGTCTGTGTGACTAAAGGATACAGTGTATCTACGAAATACTGATCGATACAATATTTAGCAAATGACCCATTGTCTTCTCTGCTTTCCTCGGAAGACATGCCAAGATTTTCCGACCGTGGGCTGTTCTATAAGATATTTGAAAAACCGGCAATTTTTACAATCACCCAATTTCCCGATTGGGAAAATGGGCCCACTTTTCTTCATATCGCCGGTCTCCCGTCGACCGGGAACTATGGGTGCGGGTGATTTATTGGCATCAGAGTAAGTATTGCCTAATTGAGCAAATGATCCGAAATAGTATGATATTCCCATTTAAGCGAATTCCGGAACGGGTGTACTTCTAGGGGTCCTTCAATATTCTTACCGAGGCATTTAGTGGAAATACTTGCGCCTGTGCAGTGAAGTGAGTCGCGGGTGCCCGAGAGGTCAAGGGTCAACAGTCGTACCTTCACAACCTGGCCATAGAGATTAAATTGACTGCGCATTCGAACTGTAGGGAAAAGATATCCCGCAAGTGCATTTGAATATAGAAGATATTGAAAAAGGATACACCCTTTGGGATTTACCTGAAACATTAAACTATCCAACTATCTTGCTAAATCAGCTTTTACTATCACTTTGTGATTCCCAAAGGTTTCTATGAACAACACTTGACTAGTTTTTGTTCCAAGCCCATGCACCCCCAAGAGGTAGGTTACTACTTTCATCCCTGAAATGACTTCTTCCATTCTTTCCTTTTGATGAAACTTCGCTGAGTCAACTCCAAACATTTACTTCTCCTTCTTGGAAAGTGTAGAAAATTTTTTAACAGTGAAAATAAACCCTTTAACACACAATGGAAAACCAAGATTTACCACAACCCCTTGTCACCCACAGAATATGCTTCCGGTAATCTTTGCGCGAGGAAAATCGAAAATCGGGAAAATCTATACGCAGTTTCACTGCTTTTCTTCTTACAGAAATATGAACCCCCTTTTGTTTCCCGGAAGGACATTTCCTATTAAGCTACTGTTCAATTTTCCCATTTCATCCCACGTATTTCTCCCCCACAGAAACTGAGGCACATAATAATGTTTCGTTGACTTTTTTTGTGCGCCCCTCTAATTGGCTAGTCTATAAAAATTTTTCATCCCACGCCACTTTTGTGTACACACGAATCTTGCAGCTCACAAAACCATAACCACTAGTTGCTAACATATCTCGTAGCACTTCATATTACTAATTGTAATGTCCCAACCAGAGAGACTAGTAATACTGAAATTTGCATCCGATCATCCTAAAAAGCTTCACTGTGCCCAAGAGTACGCGATGCACCCAAAGACGGAATCTCACCTTTTCTTCGTACCTTCCTTAGTCATAGTTTGTATATGTTAAAGCTATATCATCCGCGAGACTTTCATCTATTACTAAACAAGACGAGGCATCAGTTTTCTTTATTGTTGCCCTACTCATACTGGAATATTCTACTGACCAAAACAGGCATGGAAACGATTCCGTGGTTACCGTTATTGTATGGGATACTTAGTAATACCAACTAATTCAAACTGATGGTAGAATTTCGTTTTATTGAAAATCTTGTTTCGGTTGCACTTCCCAGAATGGAACTAGGAGAAAGATTACCACAAGATAATTAACCCCATAATGGACAACAATTTCTGTCCTAACTCTAATCAATAAAATGTCGGTGCATCCCAAAGTAAAACATCGAGACAACTTTTGTTTTCCGGTCAGTCATTTTAATAATTCCTCGTTATATATATGATATGTAAACCTCCATCGAAAATCACTCCACTTTTTTTTATCTTGTATATCCATTTGACCTGTTGTTGTATTACGTGACAAAAGACAGATAAAGGAATTCTAAATATCCATCTACAAGACCATTCAATACGAAAAATTGATAGGTTTGTAAACTCATTCTACTAATTACATTATCTCATGAGATTTAAAAGTATATTTTCAAGTGCTGCATTAATATCTTGCTGGGCTTTTGGAGTCGCCAAGTTATATCAGAACCAAGAAATAATCATAGACAGTGCTACGCTTGGGTCACAGATCTTTGAAGATGACGAACTAATGCAACTCTTAAATGCTAAAGTGACGCTTAACAACTTTACAGATATTCGGCTCCCCCAAGGTATTTCTCTAAATAGTCGTTCTGTTCTAAAGATCAATGCTCCTCCAGGTCATGGAAAACCATATTCGTTGGTTATCAATGGTCAGGTAACAATAGGTAAAGATTCAAAATTTATATTTGATGGTAGCTCTTTAGAATATGAAAGTCAGTCGGCAGCATCCAGTAATTTTAAATTCGATATCAACACTGGTAGCAAAGGGGTGTTTATTTTCACTTACTGTACCATGACTATTAAGTTACCTAAACTTTCGGAGGGCCTAATTGATTCCGATTCGGTTGCTGCTATTCATATCGGAGGTACATTTGAGGCCCCTAATATAAACTCCCCATTATCCATATTAGGTACACTCGAGGTATTGACAAGTGAAACCACGGTAGATGGCTCTTTTGATGATAAGCTGTGGAGAGTAGATCTCGGTCCGGATCAAATTGTTGAAGATGGTGAGGGCTATCGGTACATTTTAACTGGTAATATACACTGTCAAGCTTATGTCAGTGTTTATGCCGATATTTTCAAAGCTACTAAAACAGTGCTTCACGCTTTAGGATACAGAGGTTATACAGTTGTTTCTCCAATGACCATTGATCTAAGCGAAGGTCCTGTATTCTCTGGTGGACTTTATCTCTACTATATCGTTCTGCCAGAAGGTCAGGATGGTTTAACATTTCTTAATTTCGCTGTTCACGAGGACAAAGGAATACCAGCTCCAACACTAGGGTTTATGTTTTTATACAGCGGCGATCAGACGGATGTAGTAGCTACAGCGAACCAGAATATTATTAATGTCATGAATCTCAATTCTAAAAAGTCGATATCTGTAATAGGTGACCACAACTATAATATCACTACTAAATACTCCGATGGCAAAAGTATACAACAGCAGGGATATTCTGGAGTACAGTCCTATCCCAATGAATTGATAGTCTACCTCTACGCCCCACCATCTGAAGAACCGGATTACACGACGACGATCGACAAGGGCAACGGCGAGTTCGAGACCGATGTTGTTTCGCACATCACCACCAAGGACTCCGACGGCAAGCCTACCACGATTGTGACCACGATTCCATGGAAGCCAAGCGAAGAAGCTGACTACACCACGACGATCGACAAGGGCAACGGCGAGTTCGAGACCGATGTTGTTTCGCACATCACCACCAAGGACTCCGACGGCAAGCCTACCACGATTGTGACCACGATTCCATGGAAGCCAAGCGAAGAAGCTGACTACACCACGACGATCGACAAGGGCAACGGCGAGTTCGAGACCGATGTTGTTTCGCACATCACGACCAAGGACTCTGACGGCAAGCCTACCACCATCGTCACCACCATCCCATTGAAGCCAAGTGATGCCGGCGAGGCCGACTACACCACCACCATTACTTCCGACGGTCACACCATCACAGAAGTAGTCTCCCACATCACCACCACTGATTCAGACGGTAACACTGTTACATACACCACCATGATGGCCTCCTTCGATCAGGTAGGCGACGGCGTGTACACGTCTGCTCCACCTTACTCACAGCCACCAGTTGTGACAACCACTGTGACGGAGGACGACGGTAGTAGCAAGACGGTTGTGATCTCTTACTCGCCTTCTGAGGGCGAGGATGGGGTCACCCGTACAGGTACCACCACTATCTCCACCATCACTCCGAGCGGCGAGGCCGACTACACCACGACGATCGACAAGGGCAACGGTGACTTCGAGACAGACCTCGTCTCCCACATCACCACCAAGGACTCCAACGGCAACCCTACCACCATCGTCACCACCATCCCATTGAAGCCAAGTGATGCCGGCGAGGCCGACTACACCACCACCATTACTTCCGACGGTCACACCATCACAGAAGTAGTCTCCCACATCACCACCACTGATTCAGACGGTAACACTGTTACATACACCACCACGATGGCCTCCTTCGATCAGGTAGGCGACGGCGTGTACACGTCTGCTCCACCTTACTCACAGCCACCAGTTGTGACAACCACTGTGACGGAGGACGACGGTAGTAGCAAGACGGTTGTGATCTCTTACTCGCCTTCTGAGGGCGAGGATGGGGTCACCCGTACAGGTACCACCACTATCTCCACCATCACTCCGAGCGGCGAGGCCGACTACACCACGACGATCGACAAGGGCAACGGTGACTTCGAGACAGACCTCGTCTCCCACATCACCACCACTGATTCAGACGGCAAGCCTACCACCATCGTCACCACCATCCCATTGAAGCCAAGTGATGCCGGCGAGGCCGACTACACCACCACCATTACTTCCGACGGTCACACCATCACAGAAGTAGTCTCCCACATCACCACCACTGATTCAGACGGTAACACTGTTACATACACCACCATGATGGCCTCCTTCGATCAGGTAGGCGACGGCGTGTACACGTCTGCTCCACCTTACTCACAGCCACCAGTTGTGACAACCACTGTGACGGAGGACGACGGTAGTAGCAAGACGGTTGTGATCTCTTACTCGCCTTCTGAGGGCGAGGATGGGGTCACCCGTACAGGTACCACCACTATCTCCACCATCACTCCGAGCGGCGAGGCCGACTACACCACGACGATCGACAAGGGCAACGGTGACTTCGAGACAGACCTTGTTTCGCACATCACCACCACGGACTCTGACGGCAAGCCTACCACGATCATAACAACTGTGACTTTAATAGAAGAACCAGATTACACATCTGTGTTTGTTTCTGATGGTCACACGATTACAGCTGTTGTATCTCATGTTACAACGACCAATGATATCGGTCAGACGGTCACCACTACTGTGACCGTTATGTCATATGATCAAGTAGGTGAGGGTGTATACACTTCTGCTCCTGCTTACTCTCAGCCTCCAGTCACTACGACAACTGTGAGTGCAAATACTGCTACAGCCACTGTTGTAATTTCGTACTTCCCATCTATTGGCGATGATGGAGTCACCGGGACAGGTACAACAACCGTCTCCACGGTATCTGTCGGAGGTGAAGTCGACTACACTACAACAGTCGACAGGGGCAATGGCAGTACCGAAACTGATGTCATTTCGCATATCACCACTACCGACTCCAATGGTAATCCTACAACAATAACCACCACGATCACCAATGCACCCCCACCTTTGAATTCTAAAGCAAATATTGGGTCTGATTACACCAGCACTGTGGTTTCTAACGGTCACACAATAGTTTCTACAGTGACCCAAACCGTAGGTGGCCAGAGTCATGGAAACACTGTTTCAAGTGCAGCACCAGTCACCACTGTATCCGGTGCTAGTTTTAATGCTCCTGAAACAGCAGGTGTAGGTGGTATTGTCAATTCTCAGAATTCTCAGTCACAATATGTGGCTGACCAAGGGTCTGGCAACGAAAAGCCAACACAAGCTCCTGGCACAGCCGGTGGTAGTGGCTCTGGGTCAGTTCACCAATCGGCAGGCAATATTGTACCATCTGGATCTCCATCTGTTCAGAGTCCAATGAACACTGCATCTCCAGTCAATGGTATTCATAGTAGCCAAACACCACACTCTGTACCTTCACAAGCCCAACAACAAGGACAAGGACAAGCACAAGCACCATCATCACGTCAACAGGCTGCCACGACTGTTCTATCACCATCTGGTTCCTCTGTTAACAACATCGGCAGTGGATTCAACAGCACGCAAACAGCTTCTGTCCTACAGGGTAAGGGTGCTTCGATTAAAGTCACTTCAATTAGTATTTTATTCTCCATTATTACAGTAATAGTTGTCGGTATGATCTAAAGTGTATTTGTTCTGTGAATGCCCAACATGTACAGTAATACAAACGTTCGTCCAGCCATGATTTTTAGATAGGCTGTTTCTTTCAATATGAACATTGATAATAAAAGACTGATTATAGTCCAACAAAAAACAAAAAAAACTGAAAAAACACTAAAGTAAAAAAAAAAACTGAAGCTCCCCGTTTATATTTATTGTTCGTAATTTGGGGCTATTATTTTTGTTCCACGTAATGTTTTCTATATCTCATATTAATAATGTGAGCAGTATTATTCTGAAGAGTTTTTGTATATATTATTTATTATTAGTTAACAATTTAAGTACTTTTCTCTTCCAAAAAATTTTATGTTGTTTTATGTCTTTATTATTGTATTGTGTGCGTCTTCCTGTTGTCGATGTTTCTTATAATATCTTGGCTAACCATGGATTTGAACCTGTGGTCTGAAATTGAACTTCAAATGCTGCGAAAAACGCGAGATGTGATAATGCACGGTAGTAGTCATCTGATAAGTTAAGTTACCCTGTTCAACAATCTGCTTTAGTTGTTTGACGAAAAATATCGTGACCAATCGAAGTTACCCAGCCCCCATTTCTGTTGAGATAAACTCAAAACTACTTATTATTCTAAACGAAGATGATCATATGATCATACTGTGCCACGAATATGGCACAAGGCTGTAGCGCACCGCTCATACTGGTACAGAGATAGCCTATCAAAGACAAGATAAATAAGATAAAATATAACTAGGCTGATAACTGACTATGATCATATTACAGGTGAAAAGAATGTTCACCTGAAACACTACTGATCAGAAAAGAAATCGAGTTAGGGCTTATTAGAACAACTTTGTCTATTAAAGATAAAAGGTATAAAAGGAGTCCTTATCTCCATTAGTCTATGAAGTTAAACCTAAGTTCTAGTATCTTATTCTGTATAATGAAAAAGGATAACCAGTATAATTTTGTATAATATACCCGTTAGAGTTTTGAATTAATATCTTATCATTATGTCTTCTAAGTATCACTGGACACAAGAACTAACTAATCCACAAGATCGTTTTAGATTATATCAACAATTTCCACAACAGTACAGGATACGATATATGTTCACATGTCCTTTGTTATATCCATGAACGAGTACCGACTTTTTTACTAACATCTAGGGAAGGTTTCCCTGGGTTGGCAATTTGGTTGAAGGGAGGTGGTGGAAGAGTTTTCTTAGAGTGCGCACTTCAGCACCCAAACATGAATTTCAAATTTTGTGATTTTACAATTGTTTAAAACAGATATGAGTGCCGGAATAGAAATAGTAAATATTAGTTACAGTACATGGTTTTACCAGTCAAAACTTATTGGTGAGTTTTTACTGATGATATTGCTTTTTATGTGCGTAATAGCTTGTATTGTAAATCCATATTTGGAGCTGTTGCGTAAACTAAACTGAAATGATTTAAAATTTTGTTATAAATACTTGAGAGAGTATAGTGTTGGACATTATAAGATTACAGTTCTTAAATGATAAAAAAATATACACAAATTGAACACAGAAATGTACACTATCTACAATAAATAAACAACAAGGGTTGTTTATTCTTATTTACAAGCAACATAATCAAATATGTATCTAATATGTGCCTCATACATGCAGCTAGTCTCTTTTATTTACCATTTTCTCCTACAAAAACAGCCTTGTCTGAGAAGGTGGAATCACAGTAGCATGTCTCTGTTCTGAAATGCTATTGTTTTGACAGGGGACCCAGCTCAGTCCTGCAAATCCAGATATCTAAGTTGCGAAAAACGCGAGACCTTGCGTTCTACGAGACAGTCGACAAAGCAATTTGATTTACCCAGCCTGGTTGAGAGTTGCGAAAAACGCGAGATGTTGTGTTCAACGATGCGTTGTTGAAGTACAAGAATCCACTCTTCTCTAGAACAACAGTTCTTCCTGAAATGTTGCAGTTCATCTGGTTGAATCTGAACTCTGACCAAGATTCATTGATGGGATTGATGGTGGGAGTTAGACATACATGGTTTGCATTGTGAGATAGGATAATATTATGTATATATTAAGATGGTAATGTATTACTGTAATCTTGTAAGAGTGGAAACCATTGAAATACTCAAGACTTTTTCTACTGTAATATATCATTGGTTGAATACTATGCAGGAGGATGAAATGAACAATCCAGTCTATTTTATGAGGTTTTCTTGACTTTCCCATATATGCCTTGATCACTTGTCACCAGTATTTACTTTATCAACATTTACTTCACAATGAACATGAGATGATGTAGTTATCATTATGTAGTTATTATGACCTTGTAGGATTCCTATATGTATCCCTGAAACAATGAGTTCCTCCACAACACAACACACATCAATTCAATATCATGTGTGAATTTATAAATGCTTATGAATACGACAATATCTGTGCAGTATTT